CAACGTCGATGAAGCGGCACCTCGTCAGGATTCGGCCTTGTCGCTCTTCTTCCTGCTGAAACCTGTCTGGCACCTTCGCCGAGATAAGGAAGTGCTGGACGTGCGCGCTACACAAAATGGATCAGCTCAGGCGCGGTGTGAGCGAGTCTGTGAGAGGCGGCAACTCTCTGACACACCCAGCTTCATTCGCTGAGGTTCTTAACTCGTACTCATCCTGATCGCTTTCGCTTCTCAATGAGGTTGAAAAGCCTCACGTCTCTGCCTGCTGCAAGCTTGAGCAGTAAATGTCAACTTCCTCAGCGAGGAGGGGTACGAGCGAGCCAGCGTCATCGAGACAGTCACAGTAGAGGCACATCGGTGAGATTTTACTCATCGCTCTCTGGCATTGCAAAGGTATCGCATAAGGATACGAGTACAAACGCTACGTTATAAGTGCTACGTAAACAGTCTCTACATCTTCACGGCAAAGTAGGTGCCTAGGCAGCGCACGCGGACGAAGTGGAGCTTGGCGAGGGCGTACGCAAGTACACTTCTAAAGTAGCGCTTCAACGAGGCTGCCGACTTGCCATCGCGTTGAAGCTGGTCGCCCAAGAGGTGCTTGACGAGGATGACGTGGCCCTCGAGTTGCTTGAGCACCATCTGCGCCCAGGGTTGCTCCATGCGAGTGCGCAGCTCTTGGAGGTAGGCGGGGACGGTATCGCGAACCAGCAATCCCCTGTCTCGACGCGCCTCGCGGATCAACTCCGGCGTAAGGGTGTCGTGCATCTCTTGTGCGACGATGCCCTGTTGTGCAGCGCTCCAGTAGTACTTGAAGAGCGTGTTGACTGCTGCGATTTGTCCGCGGACGACGGCGCGGCGGATCTGGGCGAGGGACGGAAGAGGCGGGCCAGCGATGTCGAGGGGGTTGAGAGCGCCCTTGTGTCCGGGATCAAGCTGGTTGATCAGCGGATCGTTGTCCAGCCTGTGTGCGATGGTGTCGCCAGGAGGATTGGTGGCGGCGAGCGGTGCGGCCGACGCGAGCAAGGTTGGCGTGCCAAGAGGTGCCTGGTCATCGGCGAACTCTGGTGGCGAGGCTTGGTCCCCAACGTCGAAGAGGTCGGCGTCATCGTGCTCGTCGTGCGCTCCCTGGTCGTCGTGCAGAGAGGCGTGAGCGGCGGCATCGTCTGCGGCGGCTTTCTCGTCGGCTTCCTCGTCAGTGTCGTCGGCCAGCGAGGGAGGCGCGGCGGGGTCCTAAGCGTTGGCCGGAGCGGAGATGGCCGAGGTTTGCCCCCCCCCGAGGTTGACGTACCATTGGCTCGACGCTTCTTGACCTTCTCGCGCTTATCCTTCTCCTTTTCCTTCTCCACCGTACGCTCCCTCTGCGCGATCGTCTTGGGCGCTTGTCCAGGCCTGTCGACGGGGCGCTTGCGTTTGCGCAGGGGGCGACCGTTGGAATCGACCTGGATTGGGGATGATGGCGGCGGAAGCGGCGGCGGCGTCGGCGGAGGGGATCGCGCCTTCTTGTCCCGCCGCGATCGCGAGGACGAACAGCTCGAGCGCAGCATTCATCTCTGCCCTCTGCTCTTCTCTCTCTGCCTCGGTGAGCTGGCGGCGAGGAAGACGAGCCACTGGCCTGCACGCTACCGCGCCAATCGCCGGGACGTTGGGTGATCTGAGGATCCCCGAAGATGACGAAGACGACGAGGCGATCCTCTGCAGAGAAGAGCGAGATGGATCATGGCATGGCAGCGCAGCAAGACCAGCCAGCACGGGAGCAGAGGGTGTAACCGCTTGAGGGCGCGAGGGATCAGCCGCTTGTAGGCGCGAGGGAGTAGCTCCCGGTTGGCACGAAGACGATGAGGAAGCAGCAGCGCTTGCTGTGGCCGGACCAGAGGGATTGGACCCTGGTTGGCGATGAGTCGACGAGGAGGAAGACGCACTAGCAGCAGCGCCTGCGGTGAGTGTGCATGAGGAATTGGACCCTGATTGACGAAGAGTCGACGAGGAAGCAGCGCCTGCTGTGGGAGGACGAGCGGAAGGCATGGTCCCCTGCTGCTGGCCGTGTTGAGCAGCTGCCCCTGCCTGGCCTTGTTGGGCGACTCCATTTGGCTGAGCTACCGGCGTTGATGCTCTCGCTGCCGGCGAGCGGAAGACCGTAGCCCTTGGTGGAGAAGGGATCCTCGTCGCCACGACCTGATTGGCGCTGAGCGTAGGCGGCGGACCATTGCCTCCCCTCAGCGCATTGGCCAAGGCAGTTGCACTCGCTCTATCAGCAGCCGATGAAGAGGAGGAGGATAAAGAAGAGGCAGCAGGCTGCGTCGATGTCCAGCGAGATGCCCCTGGGTGTGGCGCGCGCGTAGGGACTGAGCGCTGAGTAGCGGGAGACGCTTGCACGCCAGGCTGCCTGCTTGATCGCGCAGAAGAGCCTGCATTTGATGATGGAGAGGTGCGAGGGGCGGCCGGCTGAGCCTGCACCGAGGGAATGGCGGGTCGAGGAGCAGACGATTGTGAAGTGAGCCCTGGTGCGCCTGGTGCGCTTGGTGCGCTTGGTGCCTCTTGTCCGCCTTGAGCGCCTTGTGCGATGCCACCAGCCTGTCGCTCCTGGGTGGGTGAAGGCTCCGAGGGATTGGCGCCTGCGGTCCTTCATAAAAAGAATCCCCTGACGCAGCGGACTGGTTGGCCGGTATTGCTGGCGGAGGAAGGGCAGCCGGTGTATATGTCGAGAGGCAAGCCCCTGTTGTTGCATCGTGCTGCTGCTGCTGCTGCTCCGAGCTCATTGGTGGTGGAGGAGGAGGAGGGACAGAGCAGGACGACGAGCTGAACGAAGACGAGGAGGACAAGGATTAAGGATGCGAGGGTGCTTGTAATGTCTCTGTGGAACTTGCCTCTCCGGTGGTCGTCGTGGCGGCTGCGGTGGTAGTGCTGGCAGCAGCGGCCTGTCTCCGAGCACGGCCGATCAGAGAGAACCTCGCCATGCTCGAGAAGGTATGAATCGCTCCTTGCGCGGGCACGTCGGCCGGGACGGACAAGCGCACCTGCAACTCGTCGTTCATGATGACGAAGGGCTCCTGTCGTCCACCCTCGAGCGGCGTCCCTTCTGGCAGCGATGATGACAATCCCAAGTCGTCACCACACACAACGGGCCTCCCTGAAGCAGCTCGGTGGACGGTAAGAGGGAGGATCGACCCAGCGAAGCTGAGGTCGTGGTAGGAGAGGGGCACTCTGACGCAAAAGGCGGTCCATAGGAAAGTGTTGTGATAACAAAGGTCTTCCAGTTTTGAGCGTCGTAAAGTAGTGTAGGTGCTCGAGAGGGAAGGGAGTAATGGTAGGACGTCAACAAGATCCTCGCTCGTAGCGGCAGGGTGGCAATAGTAGAGCTCGAAGAGCAGCCCAGCGCACCAGTGGGGCAAGCCAGCTTTGAGGCGTTGAAGAATTGCACCGTAATCGCAGCGGCACGGCATCCACAAGGTGATGTGGGAGACAAAGAGCGCCGCCGAGTCGTGTGCCTGAACCTCGTGAGGCTTGATGAGGTCCGCCTCGGTGCATCGCGCCTGTGTGCGGACGAGATTGACGATGAAGGCGACTACCCAGCAAGGGAGGATGTCGCGGGCGTTCTTCCAGCGACCAAACGTGCTCTTCGAGCCGTCGTTGTGCTGAAGAAGGCAGTAGCGCACGCCCTTCCACCCTGCCTGCGATGGCGCTGGGTACACGGACAGCAGCATGTCGTAGCCCACCTCCGGTCGCAGGTTCGCTACGTCTGCTACGGGGTTTGGAGGCGCGGAGAGGCAGGCGAATTGCTGGTGAGCCGCCGAGCTGCCGGGGATGGTGATGGTAGGGTGCCTCTTGGCCGGGTCGTACTCGAAGGGGATGCGGATCCCGTCCAGCCTCGCCCTCGTAGCCAATCCAGAGAAGAGGCCGCCCTCGAAGTCGTCGGGTTGCCAGCTCTGGCGGACGATGCGAGCGGCTTCCCCCGTCTTGTTGACCGTCAAGATCTCAGTGAGGAGGGACAGGAAGTGATCCCACAAGCCCGCGATCCCGTCGTTGGCCCTCGTCTCAGACCAGACTTGGTAGTTGGCGAGGAGCCACGATGCCTCGGGCCCTGCTGCGAGGGACTGGCAGTAGGATGCGCCATTGCCGCTGTTGGAATCGTGGGCGGAGGATGATCTTGCTCTTGGATCCTTCGCCGAATGGGCCATTCTTGACGTGGTCCCGCTCCAGCTCGTAGGTCGGGAAGCCCGCAGCGGGACACGAGACGACGATCTTGCCCTGCTTGATCTCAAAGGCCCAGCCCGTGGAGGAGGTGAGCTTGGCCTTGTGCTCCTTGCGCTCGTCGAAGGTGAGTTGCGAGCGGACGAGGCAGGTGCGCGCTTCGCCTGCGTTGGCGGCATGAGAATTTACCCTGAGAGCGTAGACGGAGCGGTTCCCAGTGCCGTCGTCGATCTTGTCGAGCAGCGGGGCTTCTTCGATCGAGTCGCGCTCTACCATGAAGCGGTAGTAGTCGAACTCGATCTCGATGTTTGCCTCGCTCGTCGGCTCGAAGACGTCTACGACTTCGAAGAGGCCCTCGACCTCGTAACGCTCGTCGATCCATTCGTACTCGTCGTCGACGTCGTCGTCGCGCTCGTCGGGCTGCGCACCTGGCATGGCGAGCGCCGACGCCGCTATGACAGCATTCCTCGTGTCCCTGTGCAGGCGGCCAGGGGAGGAGGCGACGACTGAGGCGGGTCCAGGGGCGTCGGCGAGCCGAACGTTGTCTGCACCTCGCTCCTTTTTGCGCAGCACCTTCTTGGTGGCCCACACGGGCGCGTCCTCGAAGTGGAGTGCCGGGTATGGTCCGTTGATCTGCGAGGCGGTGCTGTGCGAGAAGCGGGCGTTGCGGTACAGCTCGATGCGCTTGTAATTGCCGTGACGAGCGTTGAACATGGCCATGTCAATATGCTCGGCGCCGGCGTTGAGCAAGCGCTTCTTGTGCTGCAGCTGGAAGCCCCTAGAGCCGAGAAGCGTGAGCTGGTGGCCCGTGACGTTGTAGACCACAAAGTCGAGGTACTGCTCCTCGCTGAGGTCGGTGAGGAGGCTGCCCGGGTGAGGTGCGAGGGTCGTCTGTACCCACATGAACCACTCGATGATCCCCAGCCTGTAGAGGTACGTGTGCCCCTTGTCCTGCTCACGGTTGATGGCTTTACGGTCGCCTCGAGCTTCTGCCTGCATGAGGGCGTCGAAATGCTCCTTGTCTTGAGCTGCGCGCGCGCTGATGGGCTGGTCCGTAGCCAACCCGGGGTAGACTTCCCAACGCACGACGTCGCTCTCGTCACGCCACTTGAGGCCGATGCCGTACGTGCCTGCCTGGTCGCATGCAAATGGGTTGAGATCAAGACGCCCTGCTGCGATTGCCATGAGCTACTCCGAGCGCTCGATGGAGAAGGTGCTTGGGCAGCGGAGGCGAGCGAACAGCAGCTTGCGAAGACGGTCTCAAGGTAGCGCTTGAAGGACGCTGGTGACTGGCCGGGTAGGTGAGATGGCCTTCAAGGAAGTGACAAGGTGGTGTCGCTCTCGAGCTGCTTGACCAGGCCCATGGTAACAGCAAGGTGGGTGGGATGACTGGGTAGCCAGGGGGAGCTTCGCTCGGGGACTCAGGAGGCTCTTGACGACGAGCTGAGGTTGCTGATGATGATCGCGGCTGATGACGTTCTCTGCTGATGATTTCGGCGAGCACCCTCCGCCGTGATCACGGAGCTACGGCGGCGATGCTTGAAGGTGTGATTGAGTGAGGTGGAGGCGTCTTGATCGTCGTCGTCATCGTCTCCTTTGTCGAAGCCGTCCTCCTCCTCGAAGTGTCGGGGCGGCGGTCGCCATTGCCCTCGTTTCGCCCATTGGCGCCTCCCTCTTGTCCCTCGCCGCCGTCACCCTCTTGGCCCTGCCGGTGGACCTCCTTGCTGATACGGAGACCGTGGGCCTCCATGCACGCCTCGAAGGCGCGAAGCTCCTCAGTAGCCTCCTTCGCCTTGTCCATGAGCATTTGCTCCTTCTGAACAAGACGTTGGTGCCATTCTGTGGCGAGGGTAGACTGAGCTGAGGTGGTTGACATTCTGTGCGGTGCAGAGATAGAGAGGACGTGGTCATGGTTAGCGTGCCGCATGAGCAGGGTACGAGCACGCACGACCAGCACTCACATGAAGAACAGCCAGCGAGGACGGTGGGAAAGGGTGGTGATGTTGGTACTGTAGTTGAAAGGACCGAGCATGAGCGCCGGCACGATGAGGAGGGTCCTGACGGAGGAGCCACTTGGGCCTTGATCTGGATGGATTGGTCTAGCGTGCATGCGATGGGGAACCATTGGGCATTGTCGCCGAGGAGGGAGAGAAGCCATCCATCGAGGAGGGACCCTTGCTTCATCTCTACGCTCTGGTACTCCAGTGGCCTCAGATCCTTGAGCCAGTGGATTGCAACGCCACCGCAGGTCGACTTCTCTACGATTACCGCCGTTGAGCCGCAGACCTCCACCTTGTACTCCGAGCCATCCCACCATGGCATCGCTACGGCTGACGTCTCGAGGGGAGGACCTGCGTGGCGGCGTGGCGCGGCGGCGTGGATGATGGGTCAGCTCGCTCCCCTCGCGCCACGCCGCGCCGTTCTCTGCTCACCTTCGTCTACGTCCTCGCCAGCGTATTCCCCAACGTCTTCGCTCACGTCTTGGCCGATATATTCGTAGTCGTGGATGAAGAGCCCATTGGCCTCGGGGCTGCTTGCACTGCTGTCGCTGTCGTCGAAGTGCTGACGCCTGGGAGGGTGCGGCGTGCGTGCACACTGTCAGCGAAGCGTGAGGCGAGCACAGCAAAGCGTGATTCTCACTTGTTCATGTAGGGAGGCACCTCGACGTAGTGTCATTTGTAAGTGTGTGTGTTTGTGGTTCGTAGCCGTATCATGATGACGATCTACGGAGCGTGCAAAGCGGGAGAGGGAGGGGTGAGATGGTGCCTCTCGAAGTGGTAGGAGCTGAAGTCTCGCGCACGGTGCTCACCATGTAAGTAGTCCACAGAGCCTTTGTTGCTGTGCAATGCTCCCCGGCCAAGTGATCTCTTGCATTCCCCCTCAGAATGACGGTGGTTGAGGGTTGCACTGAGTTAGTGGAGCCAAAGCGCCTGCTGACCGTGGTGGTCAGGGCAAGGCAGAGCGCCTGCACCTTGAAGTGGTGTTGGGCGGCGAGCAGGCGAATGAAGGCAGGCTTTGTGCTCGTCGTACTGGGCAAAGTACAGGTCGCACAGTCCAGTCTGCCGCTCGTCGTGATGGTTGCGATGATGAGAGATGGATGGATGCGAGGAGCTGTGCGCGAGGAGGAAGGAGAGGCAGGGTGGAGTTCGTCAGCTCAGTGGATGGTGGCGAGGGTGCGCGACGTCATCGTCTGCTCACCTTAGTAGCTCGATGTCAACGAGACGCTGAGCACCTGATCTTGCCCCGCTCATTGCGATTGCCTTGATTGACCGAGCACTGTCTGTTGAGAAGCTACAGACTATGGCGAGGGAAAAGGTACGGAGCTCGTGGTCAATTGCCCATCCAGTCAGGCTACCACACCCACGATCTCGTAGCTCGCCATCAACTCACCTTCATACGCTCAGTAGAGCAGGGGGTATCAGTTGGCTACACCACGCCTTACGGTAGCCGGATGGCGAGAGAAGTGGTATCGACCTTGCTCATCTTGATGCTTAGCCATGAGCACGCCACGCAAGCACGCTGCTCGGAGATGAGGCTGAGCACGAGATGGTGGGTGGACGGGTGGATGGACGATGATGAAGGGGAAGGCGAGGAGCAAAGGAAGGGGATGAGCGGTGTGGGCGACGAGGCCAAAGCGACGACTCGACGACTTGCTGGCTCGACTGAGCGCTGGCACCAGCCAGCCTGTGTTGCGTGGCGGCCAGGCGGGCGTGGCGGCCAATTGGCAAATCACATCACGGGTGCCGCCGCTGGCCCAGCCTCTCGATGACTCGACAAATTGATGGATGGCGGCGAAAATAGCGGGCTTAGCTCAGCCTCCAGCGAGTGATCACCCGCAAAGCAGTGTGCTTGATGAGGCGGGTGCCTGGCGTTGCCTTGGTGAAGTCGAGTGCTCGCCCATGCGTGCGTGCGCTGCCGCGAGATTTGGGCGTCGAGCAATTTGGGCGTCAAGCGTTGAGCCCTCCGCACTTTGCTCGCATCCGCCCCGCACTTTGGCCCTGGCAACGCTCGTCCGTGCACGCTTCGCCTCGCCCCGCCCGGCAGTGGAGATGCGGCGAGGCGGCTCGATGTGGATGTGTGGCTGCTGCTCCGTTGCACCCTGCCTGCCTCGAGGCGACTTGCTGAGGCCCCCCTTTTCCTCCCTACCACCCCATCCACCCCATGCGCTCAGCATTCATCACGACATGACATCCACCATGTTTATCGCTCCCCCTCGCATCACTCTCGCAAATCCACGCTATCATCGAGCGCAGGGTAGCCTTGTTGCTACGATCTCCTGAGGTTATCACACTCGTCCAGCCCTGATAAGGGAGATGACATGGGGCGGCACACGCTGCCAGGCAAGGACGCATCCCGCTTTCAGTACTGGGTCAGCATTCGCCCTCTGCTCTGATCACCGACTTCGATGTCTCCCGTCAACAACCTGTGAGTAGACGATAAGATAGTAGAGGAGCGTCGAGCTTGACGACTGACTCGCTACATTCCTCGCCCCGCGGAGCCAGGTGGCAGGACACTGATGGACGAAATCGGCGACACTGGGCTAGGCACTCGTACGCCGGTCATCGTGTCAGTCCAGCAAGTAGACGATGAGCAAGAGTTTCAACAGCGCCCTCACGCTGTACTCGGTGCAACGTTCTCTGCACGATTCATCAAGGCAGTGCGGTGCTTCCTCCAAGAAGGGACGATTTTGCCCGTGTGGACTTTCCTCTACACCAGCCTGTTCTCACATCAACCTCTCGTACAGTATCCAGCACGTCGCATGGTTGACAAGCGCGAGATCATCAGCTGACCTACAGTACGCACGCACGCACGCACGCACGCAGAGACCATGGTGAAGAAGGAGAACAACAAGAAAAACGACAACCGCCGCCACCGCCCCTCCTCCGCCACGCTCGCGGCCTGGGAGGCGGCCTTCAATCGCGAGCAGCAGAGGACCGTCGGCGAGGACTTCCTCGCCCACACTCGAAATCTGGTGCGCCGCGAGATAGAGCTGCAGCAGCAGCAGCAGCAGCAGCAGCAGCAAGGCCCTGCCGCCCGCCCCCGCCCTCACCACCGCCAGCAGCAGCAGCCCCGCTCCTCCTCCCAACACCACCACCATCATCAGCAGCAGCAACAGCAGCAGCAGCAGCAGCAGCACCAGTCTCGCCCTCGTCCTCGCCCTCAGCAGCAGCAGCAGCAGCAACCTCGCCCCCGCCAGCAGCAGCAGCAGCAGGGCTCCTTCCCCCCTCGCTCTCGCCCTGCTCGCTTTGGGCAGGGCAACGCTGCCGCCGCCACCACCGCCGCCACCACCGCCACCACCGCCACCAGCCTCACCACGGCCCCTCCCCTCTCCAGTGGCGGAGGCAGCCTGGCTGCTCGTCTCGGGGGCAAGAAAGCTCCCCGTCCCCATGGCGGCTTCCACAGCAAGGAACGCCGCATTTACGTCATGGGATGGCGTAAGGGGGAGACGGCGGAGGGGAGGAAGCGCCGCCGCGAGCGCTCCCAGGCCAAGCGGGCCGAGGAGGATGCGAGGGCGCTGGAGGAGATGAGGAGGGAGGATGAGCACCCCACCACCGACCTTTGCATCACCGTCTTCATCCTCTGCTAGTCATCATGGAGTGCAATGCTTGGCCAGGTCAGGCCAGCAGCCCTGAGTACAGCCTGAAGCGCAACATTAAGCAGGAGGGCAACAATGTCACCTTTCCCCCGACGTGCAGCAGCGCTTGCTTGACGTCAAGATCTCGCACAGCATAGGACAACTCGCACCGCCTTCTTCAGATCCTCGCACCGTACGCACTTCGCCATGACGCCGCCATCTCCCATTCGCAGCGACGGCGGACGAACCCCGACTCCGGCTGAGCTCGAGGCCGAGCACCTCCGCCAGAGGCAAAGGGAGCTGCGCGAGGCATTTCTCGAGGAGAACTGCCGTCTGGAGGAGCGTCTCGTCCTGTTGGAGCAGCAAATCGCCCGTCAGCGAGCTGTGCACGCGCCCACGCCCACTCACGAGACGCACGCTACGCACTCCGACGCTCATCTTGACGAGGAAGCCCGTCGCAAGGAGGAGCGACGAAGGAGGATGGGGTGGAGGAGGAAAGAGACGGGGCAGGAGCGAAAGGCGCGTCGAGAGCGTCGAGAGAGGGAAAAGGCTGCGGAGAGGGGGGATCTGGTAGGAGGAGGAGGAGGAGGAGGGAGGGGATGGCGATGTCATCTCTAAGGGTGGGGAGGGGCGGTAGCTGGCGTGAGAGTGAGGTTTGACTACGTAGCATATAACGTAGCGCCCTCTACAGTATCCATACGAGATACTCTCCCTCCTCTGCCTCTTCTTCTTACGCTCTCGTATTACTCAATATCAATGAGCGATCCAATGTAGACGATTGAATGATGACTACGCCTCGTTCTCCTTTTCTTGTCCTTGCCCTGCTCCCTTCACATAGCCCACCAGCCTACCGTCTACCAAGGCCTCGCTCCGACTCTCATCACGCCCCTCCTGCCCCTCCTTACCTCGCCCAGCCAACTCCTCAAAAGATTATCGCGCCTGCGCCCCCTCTTCTTCTCCCATCCTCTCTCACTTCGCCCCCTCGCCCTCCTCCCCGCCTCCGCTCCTGCCCCTCACCACCCCCTCCCACCACTCCGCCGCTCCACGGGGCAGCCCGACCCTTTTTACCCCCACGTCCTCAAACACCTCACTCACCATCCGCTCCCCGCGCCTCAACATGTACTCGATCGCACTGAAGTCGCGTTTGCGCAGTCCCCCACCTAGGGAGGGATGACGAAAGGCATGACGTAGGTAGAGGAGGAAGGAGGGACGGGAGGCCTGAGCGCGGGCGAGTGACGAGTGGGAAAGGGTGAGCGAATAAGAGAGAGGGAGCAAGGAAAGGCAAGGAAAGCGTGCTCACCTCCGGCTTATTTCGCAATGCTCGTAGACCACGACGATACAGGGCGAATACCTCGCGCTGCGCCGGGGTTGGGGCGCGGGGGGGCATGGCCGTGCGCAAGTGTCCTGTACTTCGGCGATGATGCTTGTCGTGCGTGTGCTATTCTGTGATGAGGGTGGTGAGCATCGAGGAAGAGAGTAGGGATTGAGCAGTAGAGATGGGAATGAGAATTGGACTGGACTGCCTTGCAGACTACTCCCTCGTCGGGTGGACGTCCGTGCGTGGAGGGCGGCACAGGCGGAAAGGAGACGAGGGCGGGCGTGCTGACTCAGCGGGGGCGCGAGACGTGCGTGCTTGCGGTCCACTTCACTTGACCATCGCCTTGATGGGGAGGAGAAAAGGCAAAGCGTCTCGTTGCAGCACCACGACATCATTCGCGTTGTTCCACGCAATAGTCCAGCCCCGTGCTTGCACAAGCATAGCCGTCGTCCGCGCTCCCGCTCCTCCTTCTCTGCATCCCACCGAATCGAATCGCATCACATCCCATCATTCCCTCTTCGAACTGACGCAACGGACGGATTTGCACCTGGTACTTCGAGAATGCATTGAGCAAAGCAAACCGTCGTAGCGGGGCGGGCCGAAGAGTGCTTGTTTTGGACCGGACCGAGCTGTGATCCTCGCCTTCCGTTCGGGCCCTCGTAATGAATATCAGTCAGTCAATGTTCAGGCCGGCGTCCTTGCTCCGCCCTCCGGTGTATTTACGTCTTCGTCTCGGCCTAGCCTTTGCCTTGCCTGCCTTGCCTGCCTGGCCCGCCTGCCTGCCTGGCCGTGCTGCTCTCTCTTTTTTTTCGGAGTCCAAAGCCCCGCCCCGCCTTGGCAACAGGCAACGGGCGGTGCGGCTCCTCCAACACACACGCACACGCACACGCGACCCGCCCCGCTCGCCGAGATGCAAGAGAGAGGAGAGGTCAAGCCGACCCAGGGCCAGCCTTTCCTTGCCGGGCGGCCAGGCTCGAGAGACGAGAGGTGAGAGTTGAGATTCATGCGTGTGTGCCTGAGAGGGCGAGCTGTGTGTCGATCTTCCCCCATTGGACTCGCGACGACTTACGCAGCCAACTGTTCGCCCCATCGTCATCACATCGCCATCCCCGACTAGAAGAGTACGCGCACACCCCACGATGCAGTAAACCAACGACGACCTGCCGCAACCCGATAGGATCAAGAGCCGCCGCCGCCGCCGCCGCCGCCGCCGCGCCCGTCGCGACTCTCTATCTGTCCCCTCCCTCCTCGTCTCGATCAACTCTCCACCCGTTCCCTTTCAACGCCACAGCAAATCAACACCTCCTCTCGTCCCCTCCGCCTCTCTTCACGCAATGCCCCCAACCCGTCTACCCCTCCTCGCCCGCCGGTCTCGCCTCACAACGACGCTCCTGGTCCTCCTGGCCCTCTTCCTCTTGGGCACCGTTCTCGTCCTCTCGACGGCAAAGGCTTACTTTTCCATCGACAAGTCGGCATACATCCTTCCCGAGGAGCTGGGGACGTGGGAGGAGATACGGTGGGGCGCAGAAGGGGGCTTGCCTGCGGGTTGGGCAGAGAGATACCCGTGGTTGTGGAGGCTGTACGTGCGCGGCGCGGCGAAGGAGTGCGAGTGCGAGTGCGATGACATGCTGACCCGCTCTGGACCCCCTCGCTGCGCGATTGCTCGCAGGTTGCACAATCACGGAGGATCCAGCGCAGAAGTAGAAGGAGCAGCGGGCGTAGCAGGTGCAGGTGCAGCCACGTCTCCAGGCGAGGGCGATTCGCCGCCAGAGAAGATACCGCGGATCATTCACCAGACGTGGAAAAGCGATGTGCTGCCTCCGAAGTGGCAGGCTGTTCGTGATGAGTGTGCTGCGATGCATCCAGACTAGTGAGTCGTGCCAGTCGCGTCGCCGAGCCTTGCGTCGCCCAGCCTTGCGTCGCCGAGCCGTCCATCGCTGACCCTCCGCGTCCCCCTCGTTCACTTCCTGCCCCGCGCACTCGCTCACTTGCTATCGCTCGTTCACTCGGGCACAGCGAGTATATGCTCTGGACGGACGCCACCTCGCGCACCTTTATCGCGCAACACTACCCCTGGTTCCTCCCCATCTTCGACGCCTATCCGTACGCCATCCAACGCGCCGACGCAATCCGCTACTTCGTTCTCCACCACTACGGCGGAATCTACATGGACCTAGACATAGGCTGTCGTCGTCGCCTCGACCCGCTCTTGCGCTTCGAAGTCGTCCTCCCCGTCACTCGCCCCGTCGGAGTGAGCAACGACCTCATCTTCGCCGCCAAGCAGCACCCATTCATGGACCAGACGATCCACAACCTCGTCACCTTCAACCATCGATACCTCACTCACTACCCGACGGTCATGTTCAGCACGGGACCCATGTTCGTCTCCGCCTCTTACGGCCTCTACGTCGAGGCTCACGGCCCTGCCTCCCCCTCGAACCCATCCGACCCTGCCGCCGGATTCAAAGGGGTGCGCGTTCTCCCCAAGTCGCTGTACGGGAAAAACGCAAAGGAGAGCGAAGTGCCCGACGCCTTTTTCAGGCATTACTACGGGAGTAGCTGGCATGCGGGGGATGCAGGGTTCCTCATCTTCTTGCGAGATCATGGGAGGTTACTCATGGTGATTGGCGGATGCGTCCTCGCGTATGGAGCGTGTAGGATGGTCCTGCCGCGTTTGGCCTTTAGCTGGAAAAAGGGACAGTACAGGCGGGTGGCGGGGGAAAGTCGAGGCGCGCGTAGTAGTAGGAGGAGGGGAGGAGCAGACCAGGGCGCGGGCGAAGGAGCGGGATGGATTGGCCTACCCCTTCGCGACCCGACCGCTTCGCGCACGCAACGGCGCGTGTCCAATCTCGCGGCAATGCGCAATACGGCGCAGACGCCCGATACGCACCTCGGCCTGCACCGCCACGCGTACGGAGAACCAGAATCCCCTACGCCAACCGCGGCAACGTCGGGACCGCCTCGCGTTGCCGCTCCTAAACCACAGCGTCTCTCCCTCCCCTCCTTCTTCGAGATCGACGAGACCGAAGGGGAAGGCGAGGATGACCCCTCCGCATCCGATCGTAGTTCCGACCGATCTCGCCCTTCCAACGAGGAGCACGATCACGAGCCGACGGGCCTCCTCGCCTGGGCAGGCATAGCCGGTGGCGCGGATAGTAGTAGCAGCTCCCTCTCAGACTCGAGCACAGCAGGAGCGGGACCTCACGTACCGCGCGGATGGCGAAGCGCACGAGGTGTGCTTCTCCTCCCTGCCTATCTGCTCAGCAGGATGGGAAGCCCTTCCCTCCCTTCCTTTGGCGCCAGTGCGGGTGGGAGGACGGGCGCTAGGCGGACGCGCACCTCCTTCTCCGGCGAGCATACCGCCCCTCTCCCTCACCACCACGCGCACCATTCACCCGCGGACAGCTGGTCCTCCTCGTCCTCCCCGCCTCCACCACCCTCGCGCTCACCCTCCATCGTGGATCGCGCAGCCCACCTCCTCCTTCCCCGCGGGTGGAGAGGCCCCGTCTCTGGGCGAGGGAGGACGCCCGTACCCGGTCTCGATGCGGACGCGGATCTGGAGCTAGATAATCGACATGTGAGCGGGCCCTTTTGCGGCGAGGGGCAGGGAGAGGGGGAGAGGACACCACTTGCTGCACGGGCAGGGGAGGGAGGAGGGGGGAGGAGGATGTCCAGCTCTGCATGGTTTGACGAAACGGCGGGAAGCGCACCGCAAAGGGCGAGCGGCGCGTTCCTCACCCCTTCTGGCTCGGTAGCTGCTCAGCTGCCCAGCGGGACGGATGCGAGGACTCCTCCGCCACCCTACGACGGCGCAGCAGCGGCGGCAGCAGCGGGTGGAGGGGCGTGGCCGGACAAGAAGTAGGAGTAGGCGTCGCGGTGTGGAGAGGAGCGCGCGCTTACCCCCCACGATACATTCACGCACGCACGCACGCACGCACGCAATTCTCTGCGTCAGGCCTCGCATTTTCCACGCCTTTCATTTCTCTTTCTGCACCGCGAAAGTGGTGAACAATGTATTATTGTTAGCGCAGTTCGCGAGTCGTTGCAGCGCGAAGAGCGCGGAGAGCGCGGAGAGCGTAGACGAAGTGGTTCCTTTCCAGAGTAGAGTCGCGTCGAAACGAGTCAAAGAATCGCGCTACCGCAAGAGAATCGAGTAGTGCATAGTAGCGCTGCCCTTCCCAGAGTCGAATGAAGCTGTCCCGAGTCGAATGAAAGGAGGCAGCAAGCAAATCCCACGCCCGCGCCCCCCCACGCCGATTGAGGGAGGACGTTGGTTACGCCAGGCATCGCGGCAGGCACGGGCACGGGCCAGGCCCATTTTTTTGGCCGCTTGGTCTGACGTGACTTCTTTCGGCTCTCGGCGCCGAAAGGAGAGGTCCAGACATCCGGTGCACATGCGCTGCGCTCGCGATGATAAGGCCTTGCCTCTTTACCATCCCACGCACGCCGCGCCACAGCACTTTACGATGGCACAACGATCCCTCCTCGCCACGCAACGCCGTGATGAGAAGTTGCCATCCAGCGGAGCAGCCGCTGATGAGCAGCAACATTGCCAGGCTGGGGTGGAACGTCAACGTCGACGCGGAGGACGCGCTCTCCTCTCCTTGGTCCTTCTCCTCGGCCTCACACTCTTCGTCTTCCCTGCGACGATTCGATCCAGCCCCGAAGGACTCGACGAGCGCATCGTGCGCTGGATCTTCTCCTCCTCGCCCTCGGTCGCCGCCACAGCCGCAGAGGGAAGCCGTGTATGCCCACAGGTGGAGCCATGGACGGGACCCGGTGAAGACGCTCCTCACGTCGAGTATCCGAGTGCAGAGCAGATGGGAGAGAGGCTGAGCGGTGCTGTGCAGGTGAGTTCGCGGCGAGTTTGCAGCGAGTTCGCGGCGGAAAGACCCAAAGAAAGGAAAAAGCTGACTCTCCCGCTCGCCCACACGCCCACACGCCAGATCGACACGAGCGTGCACGACGACGAGCCTCCCCCCGAGGAGGACCCATCGCTATGGTCCAGCCGTTTCGATCCACTCCGCGCCTTCTTCTCTCGCACCTTCCCGCGCACGCACGACGCTGATGGACCCGTACAACTGGAGCTCGTCCACGCACACGGCCTACTCTACACCTGGCCGGGCCGGAATGCCAGCCTGAAGCCCCTCCTCCTCATGGCGCACCAGGACGTCGTACCCGTCGACCCGGCCACGCTGAGCGAGTGGATCTCCCCGCCATTCGAGGGACGCGTCATCAACGATACGGTCATCGGGCGCGGAGCAGCGGACATCAAGTCCCTCGTCGTGTCCATCCTCTCTGCCGTCGAGGCTCTAATCGAGTCCGGCTTCTCGCCCGAGCGTACCCTCCTCGTCTCTTTTGGGTACGACGAGGAAGTCAGCGGTCGATACGGCGGCCAGGCACTCGCTGCGCGCATCGAGGAGGTGTACGGACGCGACGGAGTGGCAATGATCGTCGACGAGGGCAATCCGGTCGTCTCGCGGTACGATAGCGCAGGGGTAGGGATGGACCTTGCCCTTCCAGGAGTCGAGGAAAAGGGCCAAGCTCACATCCGCATTCGCATCGAAGGGACAGGAGGTCATTCCAGCCAGCCGCCGCCGCGTACCACCATCGGTCTCCTCTCCGAGTTTGTGGCGAGCATCGAGCAGGAAGGGGGCGACAATTTGAAGACGGCGGTCATTCCCGACCTGGACAGCGCCTACCTCAAGATGCTCCAGTGCATCCGCGACGCACCCGCCGTACCTCACACCGTTCGCCAGGCGCTCAAGGCGCTGGATTGGGCGGGTCGTTCCTCCACCAGCGAGCTCCTTGCCGCATCCTCTCACTCCCCACTTCGTCGCCTCGTCATCCACGCCTTTGCGCATCCTCTCGATACGCGTAAACGCCAACGCATCGAGCGAGCAAAACGCGCCCTCCTCGCGGCCCTCCCCGATCACTTGAAGGGACAGTGGCGTACCACGCAGACGCCGACCCTCTTTCACGGCGGAATCAAGCTAAACGCTATCCCACCTTCGGCTACGGTGGATATAGATCATCGCGTCGCGCTGCACCACGATGTGCCGTTCGTTCAGCGCTGGTACAAGGAGAGGTTGACGCGTTTCGCCAAGAGGCACGATCTGGGGCTAGTAGCGTACGGCGAAGAGCAACACCTCGACGGCGGCAAGGCGGGTAAGGTAATTCTCGAACTCGCTGGCGCACCACTCGCCCCGGCCCCTCGTACGCCGACCGACGCGAGCGATCCACGCGCAGCACCCTGGCGTCTCTTCTCGTCGGTCATCCGCTCCGTCTGGCACTCCAACACCTCCTCCTCGTCGCGCCCGATCCTCGTCGCCCCGCACCAAATGACAGGCAATACCGACACGCGATGGATGTGGCGCCTCTCTCGACACATCTTCCGCTTCATGCCCGCTAGCCTGCTCCCCGACGCCTTGCCCGCGGGCAGCGCATTCGCGGGCGTGCATGGAGTGAATGAGCATTACAGGGTCGACGGGCTGGAGAGGGCTGTGCGCTTCTACGCGGGATTGGTTAGGGCGGTCGATGCGCAGGGCTGGGATTAACGTCGGTGGGGAAGCAGAGGCGCGATTCGGTCTTATGTAGCAGCACGCGGCGTCAATGCTTGGAATCAAATTGCACCTCGCCCGTACGCGCGCCTCGCCCCGCGCCTAGGCGTGCGCGCTAATCTCGCCCACCAGCACGCATTCGGTCGATCCCCCCTCCCACCCCCTATCCCCGCTCGCGCTCAACAAGAAACGGCCCGTCGGGTCTACCAACAAGGAGCTAATCGCCCCACCATGGTGACCCGCTACGATGCGAAACGGAATTCCACCCGCGCCGCCGCCGCCGCCGCCGCCACTACTCTCGCCCGGCGTCTTGTCCAAATCCCACAACCTCACATTATCCGTACTCGCACAAACCAGGTGTCGCCCATTCGGCATGAAACGCAGTGCGGTCACCGGTCCCGAGGAGGTAGGCAAGCGTAGCGTCCTCGTATGGAGCGGGGAGGATCGTCGTTGCCCCGACCAGGGGAGGGAGCGATCCACTTCGTCGCCGCCGCGCAGAAGTCGCGCGTCCCACTCCTCTACCGTCTCGTTGCGTCGAGCAACGTAGATGCGATCCCCGTCAGGAGCCCAGATTGCTGCAGAGCACCACGGTGGGGTGCGAGCGGGTAGAGGGAGCGCGAGGACGCCTCGTGAGGGCGAGGGCTCGCCGGGCGTGGGGACGCGACGATCGTACAGCATCACCTGCCCGCTGAGCGTCGTGGCCATGAAGACGTCCTGGCTAAAGGTCGAGTAGTCCCCTTTGAAGTCGAGCGTGTCGGTGAGGCCCGGAGGAGGCTTGAGCTTTGATGCGCCTGCGTTGGCGTTGGCGTTGGCGTTGGCGCTGGCGCCTGGGCCAGGTTGGGTGCTGGCCGCCGTAGGGAGGGGGAGGGGCAGAGCTGTCGCGCTCGCACTGCTTCCCGTCCCTATGCCGGGCAGATTGATCCCCCCCGCGCTAGGAGTCGCCACCCCGTCAGGGCGCGTGGTACGAGCGAGAGGTTGATCGTCATCCCCGTCCGCATCATCCTCTGCATCGCCGTCTGCGTCCGCGTCCGCCTCGCTATCAGCTTCCGCCTCTGCGTCCTCCTCCGCGTCTTCCTCGCTGGCCCCACCGAACAAACTATCGGCGTCCCCCTCGCCGTCTCGGTCCTCCGCAGTAGACCCGCGCCGTGATGATGAGGATCCGCCATTCTCCTTCGATTTGCGCTCCCCCTGCGCAGGCTTCAGGTCCGGTAAGTCGTCTTCGCCACCTTGTCCTGCACCGCTGGCATCTAGGCCGAGGCTCGCCTGCAACTCGGCTTCAAAGGCCAGGTCCTCTGAAGAGGGGGCCGGGCCGGAGGGGCCTGCGTCGGAGGGGGCTGCGTCGGAGGGGGCTGCTGCTGTTGCCGCTGATGCTGACGCTGACGCTGGTGCTATTGCTGATGCTGAAGGTCGAGCCAGGGAGCTAGCATCTGCGCTGCCGTCGCCGTTTGACTCTGGCTTTGGCTCCGGGGGCTTTGAAGTCGAGCGCGCTCGTGGGGTGGAACGCCGCCTCTTCGCCGGAGTGCTGGGCCCGGCCTGCGTTGCCATTTCGGTGTCCTCCCCCGCGCCATCCCCCGCGCCATCCCCCGCGCCATCCCCCACGCCATCCCCCGCGCCATCCCCCGCGCCCTCGCTCCTCCGCATCGTAATCGCCACAGTGCTCGACCCTCTCCTCCCTTGCGGGCCGGCCCCACAAGCAGGCCTGAATGCCACTCCCGAAACCTGCCCCGCACACCCGGCGTAGCTGCGCACCACCTGCCCAGTATTCAGATCCCACTGATGCAACCCACCGTCCCACCCACCGCTCACCAGCTCGCTTTCCGCCTCTCCGCCAAGCGCAAGTGCAGATACGGGCCCACGATGTTTGCGCAAGACGTGCTGCGTAACTCCAGGCTCGTGACGGAGAGTCGTAAGATTGATGGCGCCAGAGGCTGTCCCGCTCAGCGACCAGAGAGCGTCGCGCTGGATGGCGAGGGAGTGGACAGCGCTTACTGGACGATGCTCTTCATCGTCATCGTCCTCGTCATCCGATTCCTCTTCGTCCGAATTGGAGGAACCACGCCTCCGCTCGCGCACCGCATTCCTCTCCTCGTTTCCCCACCACGAATGTAACACCCCACCTCGCGTGATGCCCTCGACGTACGCATGCCTCACACCCAGCGTGAGCATGTTCCGCCCATTCATTGTCCCGTACACATCGTATCGCCTCACGTGGCCGTCTGACCCGCCCGTGAGGAGGACGGACCCGTCACCGGAGAGGGCCATGGCGTGGACGTGCGCCGAGTGGGGAAGGGCGGCGAGCGGTTCGATGGCGTACGATTTGGCGTGGAGGGACGTGTGCGAGGGGTGACTCGCAGCAAGACGGGCTTGTGTTTTGCGCAGGTAAGACGTTGGCGAATTGGAGCGAGGTGCGGGCGTGTCGATATCCATTCCGCCTTCAGAGGGGTCCGAGCCTTCCGAGGTGTCCGAAGCGTCATCGTCATCGTCGTCGTCATCTTCGTCCTCGTCGTCATCATCGTCGTCATCGTCGTCCTCCTCATCATCCTCATCCGCCTCGTCATCCTCCTCGCCTTCATCCGCGTCTGCATCCCCATCCTCGTCGTCCATCTGTCCCTCCTCCTCTTCATCCTCCTCGTCATCCGCTCGTTGGCCATTCGGATATTGCTCGTAGTCTGACCCGTCGTCCATGTCGTCGAGGTCCATGGCGAGCGCGCGCCGTGCGAATGAAACGAAGTGAAGTGAGAGTCGAAAAGGAAACAACGCGAGGCGCAACCTTCGAGTGTATGCCGCCTGTGCGTCGTCGCAGCAATCAATCAAGACGAGACGAGGAAGCAATCTCTGTCCGCCCTCCGCCCTGCGCTTGCGCCCGCGCCTCTCTCTCCGCGTCTCCGCGTCTCCGCGTCTTCTCCTCGTTCCTGTCCGCCCGCCTTTTCATCTTTCTTTCCTTCCTTGCCCTGCCTTGCCGCACTCGCCTCACTCGCCTCATTCGCCAGGCATGGCCTCCTCTTCTTCGTCGTCGAGCTCTCACGCCTCGCAATCGTACGCCTCTCGCATCCCACACTTCACAAACCCAGCAGCGCGCCACCTCCTCGAATGCATCGAGCGAAAGAAGTCCAACCTCGCCGTCAGCGTCGATGTCACTACGAAAGCTGAGCTACTTGCGGTAGTTGAGGCCGTTGCCGAGGATGTATGCATGGTCAAGGTGAGCGGAGGGACGGCAGGTCAGGTGAGAAGGTTGTGCAGTACTCACGTCACGTTTCGCGCCGCCCGCATAGACGCACATCGACATCGTTGAGGACTTTGACCTGGATCTCGTTGAGAGACTCAGCGCTTTGAGCAAAGAAAAGGACTTTGTGATTTTTGAGGACAGGAAGTTTGCGGATATCGGTGCGTAGATCCGCGTCTCCCCTTCCTGTCGACGCTTCCTTACCCCCTTTGCTCCCCTCGCTCGCTCCCCTCCCCCGCTGCGCTCGCCGCGCTCTCTCGCAGGCAATACCGTCTCGCTGCAGTACTCCTCGGGCGTACATCGCATCGCCTCCTGGTCTCACATCACCAACGCTCACCTCGTCCCAGGGCCAGGTATCATTGACGGTCTCGCCTCAGTGGGCGTACTGTTGGGGAGGGTGAGTTGGCGCGTCTACCTCTTCCATCCATACATGCTGACAAATAACTCCCACACCACGACAGGGCCTCCTCCTCCTCGCCGAGATGAGCTCCAAAGGCAACCTAGCCGGCGGAGAGTACGGTGCCGCCTGCGTGCGCGCTGCCCGGGAGGATACGACTGGCTTCACGTGCGGATTCATCGCCATGGACCGCATTCACGAGCGCAACCCGTCCAGCGCCAACGGCGATCGCGACTTCCTCATCCTCACCCCGGGCGTAGGGCTCGATGTGACCGGCGACGGAAAGGGGCAGCAATATCGCACGCCGGACGAGGTGGTGCGCGTAAAAGGGTGCGACGTCATCATCGTTGGACGCGGCATCTACGGCAGCTTGTTGACGGAGCAGGGGAAGAAGGATCCGCAGCACGCTTTGCGCAGTGTCAAGGAACAGGCGGAGCGTTACAAGCAGGCAGGGTGGGAGGCGTATCAGAAGAGAATTGGGGCGGGTGCGTAGGTGTGGGCGCAGAGGAGAGAGTAATCTGCAATGCAAGAAAGTCTAATGAGAAGCAAACTTGTTCGCATTCGCAGCCGCAGCACGAGTGAGGCCGAGCCCAAGAGGGAAGAGAGCCGCAAGTCCCAGTCTCGGCGCAGCGAGGTCCCCGGCCAAGAGACGGCTGTTCGTCCCCACTGCTACCGCGAGCGCTCAGCAGCGGGACCCTCCCCTCGCAGACACGTCGGGCGACGCAGCCCTAGCCGCGAGCCTAGAAGCGGGGCCGTCGAGCAACTCGCCCGGCTCGCGAAGCTACACCCTACGTACACGCTCCCAAGTCAAGAGGGAGGAGGGGCAACAAGCAAGCCCGAGCAGGACGCGCACGCGATCGACGGCAGCGAGTGCGGCTACGTCCACGTCTACGACCACGCTCTCCACGCCCGCCTCTAAGCAAGGCCGCCGCAGCATCAAGCTCGAAGACGACGAAGGCGCAGCCACGCCCTGCGCCAAGCCCACATCGTCATCATCGCCCTTCTCAATCTCCCCGCAAAAGACGAACCCCAAGTCAATCAAGCTGGAGCTCGACGCCTCCGAGATAAAGCCAGCCCCAAAACGATGGCGCGCCCAACTCGACGTCCTCACAGCACAACGTCGTCGCATCGTCGCTCCCGTAGACACAATGGGATGTGAAGCCCTCTCCTCCTCCGAAGCGGATCCTGCGCGTGGAACGGACGAGGGGCAGGAAGACCGCGACAAGCGAGCTCGTTTTACGACGCTGGTCAGCCTGATGCTGAGCAGCCAGACAAAGGATGAGGTCACCGCCCAGGCTGTGCGCAATTTGCAGAAAGACCTGCCAAACGGGCTATGCCTGCGCGGGATCCTCGAAGCGTCTGACGAGCAGATCTCAACGGCGATTGCGAAAGTGGGCTTCTGGCGACGAAAGACCGGGTACATCCGATCGGCTGCGTTGATCTTGCAGGACAAGTTTGGAGGGGATGTGCCGCGTACTGTAGAGGAGGTGCTCACCCTCCCCGGCGTGGGGCCGAAGATGGCCTTCCTCACCTTGCAGGCCGCGTGGGGCCTCAATGTCGGCATCGGCGTGGATGTCCACGTGCATCGTCTCTCCAACCGCCTCGGGTGGTGCAAGACGAACGATCCAGAGGGGACGAGACTGGTATTGCAGAGCTGGCTGCCCAAGGAGCTACACCAAACGATCAACAAGACGCTCGTGGGGTTCGGACAGGTGGTGTGCGTGCCCGTGGGGCCGAGGTGCGATTTGTGCGAGCTGGGCAAGGAGAGGCTTTGTCCTTCTAGGAGAAAGGTGGGGGATGTGAGCGCGAGGAAGGAGGTCGTGTTTCTGGATGAGGAGCGGGGGGAGGTGAAGCGCGGGGAGGGCGGCGAGGGAGGCGAAGTCAAGGTCAAGGTTGAAGTGCAGGGACCGGACGGTACGGGAGTGCTTCTTCCCCAGCCCACGCATGGGATCAAGGAGGAGCAGGAGGCGGGCGAGGCGAGCGCAGCGAGTATGGCTGGCCAAGCTGCCCCGCTCGATTGGTGATTCTCGTCGCTCAACCCTCGGTCTCTCGTCCTCATGCATACCCCGCCCATTTATTCGCGCATGAGCGCTCTCGTCTGAACCTCGTATTAATCCCGATCCTACCCTGGCGTATCATGACGTCCGTGCGATGAGCGATCGCAAATAGAGCGGCGCCCTTGCCTCGATTTATCCTTTGGGTCACGCCTCGCGGCGGCCGGTGGCGCACAGCCTTCTCTGCCGAAGCGGCAGGCAGGCGGGCGGGGCAGGGCGGTCCACGTCGGCGGCACGCTAGACGCTACGCCACACGCCCGCCGACGGCCGCACTGCATGGCACGACCGGCGAGAAAGAAGACGTCGCCGCGATGAACCCTCGCGATGATGCGGCGCCATGTCGAATAAGATACAAGAAGGGGGGGAGACGGAGCTTGAGGTGCCCACCCAACCCACCACACCCTCATGACGAGCGAGAAAGAGCAGCAACCGCTCATGGCGGGGCATCTACCCACCTACCACGAGGCGGCTAGCCAGTCAAACGCTACGGAGCTCATCATCGGCCTCGACCACGCACGCACGCAACGTCGTCGCCAGGCAAGCATCAAGGCTTTGCTCCTCCTCGTCGTAACAGTTCTTGCTGGAGGAGGTCTCCTCTACCACTTCCAACCTAGCGACTCGTCTTCCCACCTCTCGCACGGTGGTGGGGAAAACCGAGGACCGTTCCCCTGGTTCCCTCCCCCTCCTCATCGACCAGGTCACGGTCCCCCGCCTCCTCCGCCTGGAGGCCCACCGCACCATCAACCCTTGCAATGCTGGCCCCTCCCTGCAGGAGAGGAGGTGAACATTTCCCTCCCCTTGGCCGCTCCTCACCCGCCCCCACCTCACCCGCCCCTTCATCGCGGTGCCCATGCGTGGCGCTGGCTTGGTGGTCTCCTTCGCCGCCATCGTCACGGCCCCCCTCCGCCTCCGCCTCGCGGACCGACCATCTATCTCCACACGAGTCTGCTCAGCTCCGAGGTCAAGGTTGTGAGGGACGAGATGGGGAGACATGAGCCTTCCGCGCCCCTGCATCTGGGCAACGTTGACGAGCACGAGCGCGAGCACGAGCGCGAGCATGGGCATGCCCCCGCGCCTCCCCGTCACCCCTTTACGATCATGGGAACCTTTACTCGCCAGGCCGCCAAGAAAGAGCATAAGTCGGCTGGTGGTGATGGAGATGATGGCGAGGAGAGAAAGCCCCGCAACCTCGACATCTGCACCTTCCCCGCCCCTCACGGCGGCGTGACGGTAGGCATCTTCCGTCCTCCCCCAAAGCACCATCGAGACCACCTCTCCCCACCCCCTCCTCCTTCTCACGGGGAGCAACGTCCCTTTCCTCCCTTCCCGCGCGAACAGTACAAGGAAATCTCAGCCGTACTCCATCTTCCCGCTGGGGCGCCGCTAGAGATTGGCACCGTACCTCCTCCGCCTCCCCCGCCTGGACATGGGCATCGCGATGGAGCTTCAGTCAAGGGGAGGAAGAAGGGGTGTGGATGTGCGGGGTGCGCTGCTGGACGACGAGGTTAGACTGCGCCGTGCGCCGCGCTGATATATCGATGATTGAATGCAGCCTGTTCATACACACCGCGCTCTTGCTCTTTCTCAAACGATGATGTCGTGATCGTATCCTCTTGTGCGTGCGTGCACGCGTGCGACGCCTAGTCCATAACTGTGTCGCAAGGGTAGTTGACGTCAGTACGCCTGTACACGTGTCACTCAGCGTATTCACCCCCACTCACCATGCAAAAACAACACCCCCAACCCGCTCCCCACCAACAAAGCCCCCAGCAATCGATTCGCGCTCCTCCCCCTCTCGCTCGCTCGAAGTAACTGCTTATTCCCCGCCTCAACCTCAGCCCGTTGTTCCCCTGCCTCCCCCGCTAAATGCCCAATCGTCTCCCCCTGCACGGACAGGTGGTGGATGAGCGTACTCTGCAGCTCATTGATCGTAGAGAGGGTCGAAGCTACGGATTCTACGGCTGCGAGGTCGGATTGAAGGGTTCGGGTTAGGGCTGAGGACTCCGAGGCAAAGAGCTGCATTTGTGAGGGGGTGAGCTCGGAGTCTGGGCCAGAGGAGGAGGAGGAGCCAGAGTCGGGGGGTAGGCCACTCGGCCCCGCCCCCGCGCCCGCGCCCGTAGCACGGAAGCTCGCTGTGCTCCCTTGCATCCCCTTGCTCGTCCCCTCCAACGCGGCAGCTTTTGCTCCGACTTCCTGATCTCTTTTCCTCCTCTGCCTCGCACTCGCGCCCACACTCCTCTCCTCTCTACCGCGCACCCTGGCCTCTTGCATGAGGCCCACTCGTTCCCCAACCCTCTTGAGCTCGGCGCCGAGCCTGCCCGTGATCACTTGGCGATGTGCTGCCAATTGCGTGGAGTATTCCGTCGAGTCTAGGCTGGTTGGCGAGAGGGAGGGAGCTAATAAGAGGCGGGCCCAGCCTTGCGCGGAGGAGGAAGTGGTCGGGGTGGGTTGAGAGGATTGACGGGCTGCGAGCGTGCACGCGAAGGGTGAGTGGGATGTCGTTATTGGCTCCCCGCCGCGCACTCACCCTCTTCGGCTCGAATAATCTCCTTCAATCTCGCCACGCTCCTCTCCAATGCCAATTTGAGGTGCAAGTCAACCTGATCCTTTTGCTCCTCACTCAACCAACTCAACGCATCGAAGCTCTGCACGTCAGACGGCCCTGCTATCTCGCGCTGCTGTGCCTCGCCATCATTGTCGTCGCCGCCATAGACTCTCGGTGCTGGCCCACTGTGCAGATACGCCCTGCGCACATTGGAGACGAAGAGCTGCAAGCTGGCTATATGCGCGCGTAGTCTGCCGGCCTCTTGATCCCACTGAGCCTCGGCTTGACGGCGACGATGCCATGCTTCGAGGGCTTTGGGTTTCGTGGAAGGGGGACGATGAGGTGATGCGCGGGGTGCGCGGGGTGCAGATGATGATGAGCCGGCGGCGAGGGAGTGGAAGATCGGGGTGAGGTTGGTGGATGCCATCTCGTGGGGAGAGGGAGAACGAGAAGCTGCAAAGCAACGCAAAGTCACTTTGGCCCCTCGTCAAGGCGTGGCCCAAGCGCAACCGCAAGCGCAACCGCAACCACGCCGCGCCCTTGCCCCGCCCCGCCAGTCCGCCCTGCACGACGCGAGGCAACAAAGTGGCAGCAATCGAAATCCAAGTCGAGTCGATGCATCCAACCACGCAACGCAACCTCGCCCCGCCTTTCCTTGCAACAAACCACGCCCTGCCATCTCGCATCGCCGCGACAACGCCATGTCCGGCGCCGAGGCAGGCCCATCCTCCTCCTCCCGTCCACATCGACTCGCCTCAGCTTCTTTACGCCGCTCTACCAGTGGAGAGCGTTCCGCGGCAAGCTCAGCATCCGGCCAGGCAGCCTCGCGCTCGCGCTCAGTCTCGCGCTCAGCCTCCCACGACTCGCAAGACTCAGAGGATTCACGCTTCGAGCGTTTCCTCGAGGGTGAGCTCGACAGCGGCAGCGAATTCGACCCAGAAGACCATCGGCAACGTGCAGGGGATGAGAGTAGTAGCGAGATCGACGTCGAGGACGAGGATGACTTCGAGTCGGATGGCGAGGGGCGACGAAGGCGACGCCGTCGACGTGGGAAGAGCAGGAGCGGGCAGCGAGCAGGACGAGGGCAAGGCGCGCCCAGCTCTAGCACCGCGAGCTTCATGGCGGATCTCCACCTCGCAGAAGATGGCGAGGGCGACCCAAGCCAGCAGAACAGCTCCGGCTTGACGCGCAGTCAGCGTGAGAGGATGGCAATTGATGCGCTAGGGGCGGACAAGTGGCGAGAATTGGCAGAGAAGAATAGGTTGATGAGAAAGCAGATGCGCGAGGAGCAGGGCGAAGAGGATGACGAAGAGCAAGAGGAGCAGGAAGTTGAAGAGGAGGAACTTAATCGACTCATGAAGGGGATAGCACCTTCCACTTCTACGGAAGAGCCAAGCGCGCCTACGCTCGCTGATGAGGCGCAGGACGTTGAGGAGGAGGAGGCGGCGGCGTCGCAGCGTGGTCGAGGGCGTGGTAGGGGACGCGGGCGTGGGCGTGGGCGCGGGCGTGGGAGGGGAAGGCGTGGCCGAGCTGCTTTGATGCGCCAAGCGACAGAGTACGACGACGAAGGGTTCCGCCAGGATCTCATGGGATTGAGCAAGTTCAAGAAGCCGCGCAAGAAGGTGAGTTAGCGGCCCATGCGAAGCTGCGCATCGACGGCCCCCGCTGATGCTTCATCCGTCTCGCCGCCACGCCCATCCGTCTCGCCGCCACGAAAGATGCGCCGCGCCCTCCGCGAACAGAACCTCTCCTCGGACGTCTCCCGCCTCCTCTCCCAAGCCAACACGGCCTTTATCACTCAAGGACCCGACGCCACCATCGCCCTCCTCGAAGAAGTCATCCGCATCGAGCCCACCGTCCGCAGCGCATGGTCCACCCTCGCCCTCTGCTTCCAAGACAAGGGGCTACGCGACAAGAACCTCCAAGCACGCATCGTCGCGACCACCCTCACGCCTCGCGCCCCCGAGCTGTGGGTCGACCTCGCACACGAGAGCGAGCAGCAAGGCGATACTCGACAGACGCTCTACTGCTTCGACCAGGCAATCAAGGCCAGCCGAGAAAAGGGCAAGGCGGACGTCCTCGACGTGATGTGGGATCGGGCACACCTCCTCGCCGACTTGGGGGAGCAACGCGAGGCAATGATGGCATTCAAGGCTCTCCTCAAGGTCCGCCCCCACAACAGCGAGGTCCTCATCAGTCTTGTGCCCCTCCTCCTCTCAATGGACCGACCAACGGACGCAATCTCCCTCCTCGAGAAGTCGCGCGACTTCAACATGAAGCATTTCCCCAATCCTACCCGCGGAGAAGGGCTTCGCTTCGCCTCGTACCGCAATAGCGAGATCGCTACGCTTGCCGACCTGATGCTCATCGTCAACGAGCCCCTCAACGCGCTGCACACTGTCCGCCAAGGCGCACGCTGGCTGCAAGGTCGAGCACACGAGACGTGGTGGGACGACGTGCTCGACGACGATCGCGAGTTCGACCTGGACAGAGACGAGTCCGCACGCTCTGGAGAGCTCGGCCGTCGCGTAGAGCATGCGCCCGTGTACGAGGAGCTGGACCCACAATTTCGCCTACGCTTAGCCTTTGCCCGACTCCGCATGGGAGACTGGGACGAGGCATTTCGCCACTCGGAGCACTTTTTCGCCTCCACCGATCCGCACGACCTGCACGCCCAGTGGGAGGAGTTGCTCGCCCTGTACATCTCCAATGGCAAGTTCGAAGAGGCCCTCGTGCAGCTGGAACGAATGATCGCGCTGGATAGTCTACAGATCCCCTCCCTGTACGTGAAAGTCGGGGTGTGCAATCGCGCCCTCGACGAGCTGGAGAGCGCAGCCGCGTGCTTTGAGGCGGTACTGCAATCGCAACCGGATAACGCCGAGGTGAAGATCCAGCTGGCCGAGGTGTACGAGGATCAGGATCGACGCGAGGATGCGATTCGGCTCATCAGCGAGGTGTACGGTCAGCCAGAGGAGGGCGACGACGACGAGCAGGGAGAGACGAGCGCCGCCGCACCTCGCCGCGCTCGCACGCGCGTACCAAAGTCGGCGCGCGCCGCCCTCGCCCTCTTCAACTCGGCGCAGGCCCAGGCACAAAAGGGTACACAGCCGCTCAGTGGCAGGCGTAGGCGCGTCATCCGTGCCGAGGAGATCCAGCGACTCGAAAAGGCGCGAGAGGAGGAGGCTCAGCTGGCGTTTTCCCGTCTACGCGATCGCGAGCCGGAAGTCTTTGTGCCTGGATGGTGGCGCAGCGACGTCTCCCTCGGCGAGACGATGCCCGTCACGGACGGCACGTCGGCGTCGGGCCCAGCGCGCGAACGTCACGGCATCGACCCGGGCGTGGACAGGGAGGAGCGCGACTATCGCCATCACGTCGTGGCGGAATGGCTCGAGCTGGCTAAGCGACTCATCGACGGCTATCGATCCATGACGTGGCTGTTCCCGCGCAAGAGTCATGGCACCAAGGGGCGCGTCGCGGGGGCTGGAGCTGGGGCTAGGAGGGCTGATAGAAGGGAGGCGGCAGCGGCTGTTGGGCTCGCGAGGCAGAGGGCCAACGCACAGCTGAATACGGACGATCGTGTCAACAACTTGATCTCGCGTATTCAGGATACGATGCTCGACGAGACGACGACGCACAGCGAGGCGGGCAGCGTGAGCGGCGTGAGCGGGGCAGCACCTAGGCCGGAGATTCAGGTGAGTGAGCGCGCGCGCCTTCTCGCTCCGCCATCTAACATCGAGCCTCGCCTTCTCGCGCTGGCATCCTCGCCCTTCTCGCGCGCACGCCAGACGTTCCGCGGCATCCACTTCGACGACTGGCTCACCCTCATCATGCAATACTCCTTCCTCCTCACCAAGACGGGCAAGCACGAAGAAGCCCACCAGCTCCTCACCCTCATGTCCACCTCCCTTCCCATGGCCCAGACGTCGCCTGCGCAACCCGCGGGCCCGCCGCCACGCAAAATGGCCCTACACCTCTGCATCGCCTCATGCGCCCTCTACGCGCGCGACTACCATGCCGCCGTCGACGGTATGCGCTACCTCATGTTCCGCTTCCAGTTCAACAACGGCCCACTCCGCGTCCAGGCCATGCTCGGGCATGTCATGGGCTTCTACGGCTTGGACGCATTCTCCGAGACGCGCATTGCCAAGATGGTCGTGCGACGCATGCGTACGCACGAGGCGCTTGTGGCGGGTAGGCCGTGGAGCTGGACGCACGGGGAGAAACGCTACGTCATTCGCGAGAAGTTGGGGAATAGCAGGGTGCTCAAGCAAGGAGGGAGCGAGGGTGGTATGCGAGCGTACTCGGCTGCGACGAGCTCCAAGGCCGGGTCGACGACGTTGGGCGGGAGTGACGACGGTGGAGACAGCGATGAGGACAGCGACGATGACGACGACCGATCAGCCTCCGACCGATCCGCCTCCGACCGCACTCCCAGCGTCAGCGGGCGAGGCGACGACGGCGCGACGTCCACGTCTGCCTACAACTACGGCACCACCTCGGTGCCCAATCCCGCCCCTGCTCACGCCGAACCCTACCCGACCAAATTCACGCCCGTCGCCGAGCTGTACTACTCCTTCTTCCTCATCGCATCCGGATCCTACCAAGCCGCCCTCTCCTACGCGTTGCGCGCCTACTCCCGTGCACCGAGCGACCCGCTCGTCTGCCTAGCCGCGGCATGCTGCTGTCTAGCGCGTATGACGAATCGACAGGTGGACAATCGACATCACTTGCTCGTACAGGCGATGGGCTTCTTGACGCTCTACCGCAAGTTGAGGGGGGCAAGCGCCTTGACTGGGGCGCACGCCGAGGGCGCAAAGCAAGGTCGCGTATCGAGGGCGTCGCTCGAGGCTAGCTATAATGTGGGGAGAGGTTTTCACGCTGTTGGGCTGCTTCACATGGCCGTCCCGCAGTACGAGGCCGTGCTGCGTGGGCATGACGCCAATGAGGGGCAGGAGGGGCAGGAGGGGCGAGAGATGGATCTGGACGCGGGCGAGGGCACGACGGGCTTCGACCCGTATCGAGAGGCGGCGTACAATCTCGCCCTCATCTACACGATCAACGGCAACGGGCGTGCGGCCAGGCTTCTCCACGAGAAGTACCTCGTCATTGGGGCGTAGCCGCGAGCGTCATGTTCTATTTCAATACCATTCATTGCATCTTGTGCGTGCGTGCGTGCGTGCGTGCGTGCTTGCGTGCTGCGTGCGTGCTAGAGGCGCCCCGCAAGGTGACGCTGTAGTCCCGCCAAACGCTCGAGAGCTCTATGTCTGCGATCCTGTAGCTCCGCCTCCGCGTCCGCATCGGCTTGCCCAGCGTGCTCCTCGTCGTCGTCGTCGTCGTCATCGTCTCGCATTGCACCCCGCGGCGCCTCCTTGGCCTCGTTGAGCCACACCTCGTCCGTGTACTCCAGCCTGCTGGCCAGAACAGCCAAATCCCGCTCAACGAGGCGCAAAAGTCTACGTCTCTCCCGTCTCGTCATCCCCTCCTCACTCTGCCCCGCGAGACGCTCCCGCAGCCCAGCCAGGTCCGCAGCGGCCTTCTCCTTCCAATCCCGCTCAAGAAAGTAAGGCCGTATCGCTTCGCTCGAGCCGGCAGACGTTGCCGCCTGCAGATCTGGAGGAGGCAGCGCAAAGCCGGGATTGTCTGCCTGCGCCCGCTGCGGATCAAAGGGTCGCATCATCTCTTCGTACTCCTTCTCCTCCTCCGCAGCAAGGAGAGCCATGAAGCCCCCAGGCTCCTCGGCCGTCGGCGGGCAAACGCGAGGCGGCGACGTTGCTGTTGCTGCGGGAGGGAGGGCGCGATTCCACGCCTCGACGAGGGAGGAGGGCGTAGCTTCGGCGTCGTCACGCGCGGTCAGGGTGGAGGAGAGGTCCGCCGCTGGCAGGGAGCGCGCCCATGCTTCGTGGTAGGCTGGGTCGAGGAGCGCTGCGTGCGGGGCATCACTCTCTTGCGAGACGACGCTCTGCGATCGTACAATATCGTGCAAACCTTGCTCAAGCGTCTCGCGGCTGCTGTACCGTGGCGAAGGGTCGTGAAGCAGCTGCTGCAACGCCGTAGACGTAGACGTCGGCGAGGACGAGGTTTCTGCTGGCACGGAGGGCGCTGCGCGAAATCCCTGTCGTGGGCCCGTCGTATCCATTCGCCCACCATCGCCATCTGGAGCCCATTGCCGCTGATCGGCCGCCCACGTTGACGATTCGACTGCTTTACTACCGCTGCCACTCGCCGCCTTACCCTGCCCCGCCATGAGCCCGGACAGCGATGACGACGCCTCCTGGCCTAGTCCGCTCAACGCCGAGCCTAGCAGCGATGACGACGAGCGCGAGTCGTTGCCGCTTCTTGATGGTACTTGGGCCCCGCTCTTACCGTCGTCTCCGCTGCTGCGGCCTTTGCCCTTGTCACTCCGGGCGCCGCCCCCGCCCGTAAGACCCTTTCTCGGGTCTTGTTCGTCTTCTTTCATCTTGGCCTTGATCTCGCGAGCCAATGACGACGGCGAGAAGGACTACGGCGATCTGTCTCCGTCTCTTGTCATTCGTCGGCCGCCGTGTGTGCCTTCTTGGCGTGGTTCGAGCCTAGTGGGCGAGAGCAGGTAATCTGAATGCGAGCTCGCTCAGCGCAGCGGCGGCAGCAGAGATTGCCTTTCTTCTCTCTCCATGGTTTGGACCGGATCGGGCTCACCTGCTGCTCCGTCTCGGTCTCGGGCAGATTTAGACGTGAGCCACGCACGCCAGCTCAGCCACGCAGCTTGGTCGCCGCATCGTCGTCGCCCTACCCACGCCTGCCTGCCTGCCCGCCCTGGCCTGCGAGCGGTTGTTCCGCGCAGGGGGGAAATCTGTAGTCACGACTCCGGGATCGTCGCCCCGAGATCCCAAGGAGTCAACGACATGGACGAGGGCAAAAAAGCAAAGCGCAAAGGCAGGTACGCTGCGCGCGTGAGTAACCATCCGCCCGGCCAGAAGAAGAACAAAGTTGAGTTGTTGAACCAGACCAGACACGTCGATAGTGTTGCTAATCGTGTGTCGAACCAGTGCGAGTCACTCGTCACTCATCGTCGTCGCCTCCATTTAGCATGGTAATCGCGCGCCGCCAAGTCATGGGGATGCTCCGCTCGCTCACTCACCAATCGACGAGCTCGTCGTGGCGTGTATGGCTCGCTCGAGTCGGCCTTTTTCGGGTGCGCACGCCCTCAGCTCCGCCCTCCCTCGTCGTCATGCTCCCATGCGGACATGCGCCTCCGCCCCTCCGCACTTCCGCCCCTCTCTCTTGTGCCACACTCGTGGTGCGCCCGCATCAGCTGAGCCCTCGCGGTGCGCCGCACGCTCGCCTCGCTCTCTTGCATCGGGTCGATGTGTGTTGTGAGCTTGACAAAGATTCGCCCTCTGAATCGGATCGTCGTCGCCGACTGAGCGTAGCCATCGTAGAGGTGGACCTGCGACTACGATTGAGATCCTTGTCCAAATAAAGGCACCGCTGACGTGGACCCACGACTTCCACGATCCCTCTCAACAATCGTCGCGGCAACCAATCGCTACATCTAGTCGTACGAGGCGCACACCTACGCCGCGCAGGCAACCCACACTGCCTCCTCTTCTTCTCGTATAGACTCACGCACTCGCCACGCACTCGTCACGCAGTCGCCACGCTCGCGTCGCGATGGCTACATCCAACTACGACCCTGCGGCGCCCCGCGATGACCTCGCCCGCACGCAGGACCACCTCGCTCGCCAGATCTCAGCTCAAGAGGAGCACGACCGCGAAGACGTGAGCGCCTCGCCTACGCAGGGCAGCGGCTCGGAGGTCAATGTCGCAGGAGCAAAGGAGACCCTCGACAATGCCGAAGCTCAGATCCGCGGAGAGCAGTGCGTGGCTCAGCGTGGCAGAATAGAATCGACCCCTTGACGTGACGCTGACCCACGCCCCCGCGCCACGCAGACACAAGGCCTCGGACGTGGAAAAGGGCTCCGACTACTACCAAGTCTTCGACCTGCGCCAGTGGCTGCGTAGCAACTTCGCAGCTGCCAGCGGCGGCGAGAAAGATGGCGGCGACGACGAGGAAAAGTTCTCGCGCAAGGCCATCGGCGTAAGCTGGGAAAATGTCAGCACCATCGGCACCGCTTCGATGGATCTCAAAGTGCCTACCATCCCGCGCATGGCCGTCTTTGAGCTCATCGGGCCCATCTTTTCCATCCTCAAGACCTTTGGCATCAACCCAGTCAAGGTCAAGGAGCGCAAGCTGCTCCAAGGCTTCACGGGCTCTGCTCGACCCGGTGAGATGGTTTTGGTACTTGGACGACCCGGCGCTGGATGCTCGACGTTCCTCCAGACGATCGCCAACAAGCGCCAAAACTTCATCCGCGTCGACGGAGACGTACACTACGGAGGCATCGACGCAAAGAAGATGGACAAGCGATATCGCGGCCAAGTCGTCTACTCGGAAGAGGACGACGTGCACAACGCCACGCTCACTGTCCAGCGCACAGTCGACTTTGCACTTCGTCTCAAAGCGCCAGCCCTCAATCTGCCCAACCAGACGCGCTCCTCGTTCCGTAAGCTTATCCGCGACGCCATGCTCCAGGCATTCAACATCCCACATACCAAGCACACCCTAGTGGGCAGCGCCACCGTGCGCGGCGTCTCGGGCGGTGAGCGCAAGCGAGTCTCCATCATCGAGGCTCTCTGCTCCAACGCCACGATCCTCAGCTGGGACAATACGTCTCGCGGTCTCGACGCTTCCACCGCGTACGACTACGCCAAGTCGATGCGCACGCTCACCGACTTTTTGCAGTGCACCATGTTCGTCTCGCTGTACCAAGCCTCCGAGGTCATCTATAACGAGTTCGACAAGGTCATGGTCATCGACGACGGGCGATGCGTCTACTACGGGCCCAAAGAGCAGGCTCGTCAGTACTTTATCGACCTAGGCTTCGAGGACCGACCGCGACAGACCACTGCCGACTACGTCACAGGCTGCACGGACAAGTACGAGCGCATCTTCCAAGAAGGGCGCGACGAGAACAACGTCGCCTGCTCGCCCGAACAGCTCGAGGAGGCTTACAAGAAGAGCACCATCTACCAGCGCGTCCTCGAAGACAAGGCCGCGTTCGACGCCGAGGTCAACGAGGACCGCGAGGGCTACTCCAAAAACTTCAAGGAGGCTGTTCGCCACGAGAAGCACACGGGCACCAGCAAACGCTCCCAGTACACCGTCTCGTGGGCTCAGCAGGTCTACGCCCTGTGGTTGCGCCAAATGCAAATGACCCTCGGTGACAAGTTCGACATCTTCATGTCCTACGTCACATCCATCGTCCTCGCCCTCGTCGCCGGAGGCGTCTTCTTCGACCTGCCCACCACGTCCGCCGGAGTCTTCACCCGCGGTGGTGACCTCTTTATCCTGCTCCTCTTCTCCTCGCTCACGGCCTTTGCCGAGTTGCCCACCATGATGCTCGGTCGACCCATCCTGGCACGACAAGCCGGCTTCGCCTTCTATCGCCCCTCGGCGCAAGTCGTCGCAGCGCTCCTCGCCGACTTTCCCTTTGGTATCCCGCGCTCGACGCTCTTCATCATCATCCTCTACTTCATGTCCGGCCTACACCGCTCCGCCGCCGCCTTCTTCACGGCGTGGTTCATCGTCCTCATAGCGTACTATTCGTTCCGCGCGCTCTTCACCATGTTCGGCGCCATCACCACGAACTTCTACACCGCAGCCCGTCTCGCCGCCATCGTCATGTCCGGCCTTGTCCTCTGGGCAGGCTACGTCATCCCGCAGGCGGCCATGGCGCGATGGCTCTACTGGGTCTCGTACCTCAATCCAGTCTTCTACGCGTTCGAAGCGCTCATGATCAACGAGTTCAAGCGCACCACGTTCACGTGCGCAGGGTCGAACATCATTCCGAGTGGACCGGGCTACAACAACGGACTAGGACCCAACCAGGTGTGCAACGTCGCTGGCGCATCGCCCGGCTCGGCCATCATCCCCGGCATCAACTACCTCACCGCCTCGTTCGGCTACTCCGAGGGCCACCTCTGGCGCAACGTCGGTATCCTCCTCGCGTTCCTCTTTGGCCTCGTCGCCATCGTCGCCCTCGTCATGGAGTTCCAGAACAGCGGCGCCTCCGCATCGGCAATGACCGTCACCAAGCCCCCGAACAAGGAGGAAGAGGCCCTCGACAAGCGTCTCGCTGACCGCCGCTCGGGCGCATCCGAAAAGACCGAGGCCAAGCTCGAGGTATACGGCGAGACGTTCACCTGGTCCAACCTCAAGTACACCGTCCCCGTCAAGGGCGGAAAGAAGCAGCTACTCGACTCCGTAGACGGCTACGTCGTGCCCGGCACAATGACTGCTCTCATGGGCTCCTCGGGCGCGGGCAAGACGACCCTCCTCGACGTCCTCGCAGACCGCAAGACCATCGGCGTCATCGAGGGTGACCGTCTCATCGCTGGAAAGAAGATTGACGTCTCCTTCCAACGCCAGTGCGGTTACGCGGAGCAGCAGGACATTCACGAGCCCATGTGCTCCGTCCGCGAGGCTCTCCGCTTCTCCGCCTACCTCCGCCAGCCCTACGAGACGTCCGTCGAGGAAAAGAATCAGTACGTCGAGGACATCATCGAGCTCCTCGAGCTGCACGACCTCGCCGACGCCATCATCGGCTACCCTGGCTTCGGTCTCGGCGTAGGCGACCGCAAGCGCGTTACGATCGGTGTAGAACTCGCCGCCAAGCCCTCGATGCTCCTCTTCCTCGACGAACCTACGTCAGGGCTGGACGGTCAGTCTGCATTTACCATCTGCCGCGTACTCCGCAAGCTCGCCGACAATGGTCAGACGATCCTCTGCACGATCCACCAGCCCAGCTCCCTCCTCTTCGAGACCTTCGACCGCCTTCTCCTCCTGCAGCGCGGCGGACAGGTCGTCTACAACGGCCCAGTCGGCAAGGAGGGATGCCACGTCATCGACTACTTTGCCGAGCGTGGCGCACAGTGCCCCCCTGGAATCAACCCGGCCGAGTTCATGCTCGACGCCATTGGAGCGGGCTCGCAGCCTCGTATGGGAACAAAGGACTGGGCAGATTGGTACCGCGAGTCGTCGATGCACCAGGACAACCTGCGCGCCATCGAACAGCTCAACCGCGACGCCGTCGACAAGCCTGCTGCTGCCCCTCACTCCCGCAAGTCCGAGTATGCCGCTCCCTGGATCTATCAGTTCAAGGTCGCCCTCAAGCGCACCATGCTCAGCACATGGCGCCAACCCACCTACCAGTACACGCGCGTCGTCCAGCACTTTGTCTTTGCCTTGCTCACCGGTCTTATCTTCCTCCAGCTGGGCAACAGCGTCGCCGAGCTGCAGTACAAGCTCTTTGCCCTCTTCATCCTCGCAGTCATCCCGGCTATCATCATGGCGCAGATTGAGCCATTCTGGATCATGTCCCGCTCCGTCTGGATCCGAGAGGAGACGTCAAAGACCTTCTCTGGCACCGTCTTTGCGGCCACACAGCTCATTTCGGAGCTCCCCTACGCCCTTGTGTGCGCTACGGTCTTCTTCGTCGTAGAGTACTATCTCGTCGGCTTCCCCTCGTCGTCGAACCGCGCCGGCTACTTCTGGGTCATCACCTTCCTCACCGAGCTCTTCGCCATCACCATCGGAACGGCCATTGCCTCGTTCTGCAAGAATGCCTACCTGGCTTCGCTCTTCACCCCCTTCTTGATCGTCATCTTCTCCCTCACCTGCGGTATCCTCACCCCACCAAACCTCTTCAGCTCAAAGCTCTACAGCGACTTCCTCTACCAAGTCAACCCGATCCGCTTCGCCATCTCGCCCCTCATCGCCGACGTACTCGAGGGCGTGCCCGTCGTATGCGCCCCGGGGGAGTTCTCCGTCTTCTCCCCGCCAGCATCCCAGACTTGCGGCGCCTATGCGGCAGAGTATCTCGCGCGAGCGGGAGGGTACCTCGTGGACCCGAACGCAACGATGGACTGCCAGTACTGCCCTTACTCGAGTGGTCAGGAGTTCTACTCGGCTTTCGGCATCTCCTTTGGGGAGCGTGGGAGAGACGCTGGAGTGCTGCTCGCCTTCTCCGTCTTCAATACCGCGGTCACGCTGCTGTGTACCGCTTACCTCAAATTCTCCAACCGTTAGCGAGGGGCGCGTTTGCTCTTGTCTTTTGCTTTCCTCACTCTAATAGACTTGCACTCGTTTTCCCCACGCCCTGCTCCGCTCATTACCCCATCCCCCATCTATTCTTGTGTATTCCCTCCCTGCCCGCTCGTAGTTCAATCGGATCACGTTCGCCGCGCAGCGATCTTGAGTGACAGGCTCTATATGTGAATGGGAAGTGGTATATTCGTGTCGATGCTGAGCGCGCGCGCAACTTTCCATCAACTCCTACGACCGACAACGACCTCCGGCCGCGATCGTAGCGCTGCCCCCGCTTCCCTCTCGGGTGTACGCGTCTCCCCACCGCCCATATAGACTACCTCCATACCCACTCCCCGCAGTATCCCCTTTGCCCCACCAGCCTCTCCACCACCCTTCTTCTTCCCCTGCCCACCCACTCCACTCGCTCCCGCGCCTCGCAGCAAGTCAACGCGCAGCCCCACGCGAACTATACAGCCGTTGGAGAGGGAGCCTTGGTAGAGGAGGGAGAGGAGTAAGGTGGAGAGGTTGAGAGAGGACTTGAGCAGGGCGCGAGGTTGTGATGTGGTGTCCGTTGATGAACTGGTGGGCGGAACGGGGAGGTAGGTCGGCGCGTGGAAGCCTGGTGGGGAGACGGTGGTGCGCGAGTGGTAGGACGGGGTGAGGGGAGAGGGAACGCTGGGTGATGGCGGTGATGGCGGTGATGGCGGTGATGGCGGTGATGGCGGTGCTGACGTTGCTGGCTTGCTGATCTGCTCCACGGCTACGGGCACGGGTACGTCCCGGAGAGAAGCGTTGCGCGACGAGTCGGGTACGGGCTCCCTCTCCGTACGAGGGGCGCTACTCTGCGTTGCGCTGGTGCTAGCCTGCGGCGCCGTTACGCCCCGCAGCGACGCCTCCCTCGTGGCTGCCACCAACCCGCGCTCGTATCCCTTCTCCACGCCCAACACCTTCTCCGCCGCGCTCACAGTGCCCCTACCCCCACCCCGCAACCAAAACTCCCCACCAACGGTCAACTCACTCTCGTACGAGTAGACGTTGAAGTCATACCTCGAGCAGCACACCACATCCCTGCCCAGCTGAGCGGCGTAGGCCGTGCTCATATGCCCCATCATCGGGTTCAGCGTAGCCGTGATCGTCGTAGGCGGCTGGCTCGGCGGTGCACCCCCAACATAGGCGTGCGGCTCGGGCAGGGTAGTGAAACGTACTCCCGTGGAGAGGCCAGCACTCTTTTCTGCCGCCGAGAAGAAGAGCTCGCCACCAGCGGAGAAACGACCGCGCAGCCCTGGACCGACGGAGGAGGAGGAGGAGGAGGAGGAGGAGGAGAAGTGCGAGGGACTACTGGTATCCACATCGCTGGCGGTGTTGTGTCCCCTGCTACTGGGTCCGAAGTGATGCATAGTCCTGAATCCCCAGAGCGCATCATCGACACTATAGCTCCACTCGTTGAACCATCGCCCCGTATCGTTCTGTACCGTCACCTGAAGATTCGTCGCCCCTGGAGCCGTAGGGCCTTGCGCCGCTACCGCTGAGCTGGATCCCTCGCCCGTCCCGCCAACTGCGCCTGCGCCTGCGCCTCCCATGTAGGCGGGAGCGTAGCTGTGGCTTCGCGGTGGGAAGGAGCAGGCGGTGAGGATGAGGTTCCATGCAGGGCTGAGCCGCGTTGTGTATAAAGCGTCGAGGCGGGAGGAGGGGGCGTGCAAGCTTCCGTAGAGGAGGTAGTCCCTGCCAGGTCGCGAAGACGACGCCGAGGAAGTGGACGGGAGACGCGGCTCGTTGACGATGCGAAATCGCTCCAGTACACTTTGTAGTCTATCATTGCTGCCATGCTCGTCGGGAGGCGAGGATGCAGGTCCCGCCACACCCTCGAGGTCTAGGGGCCGTTCGGTCCGCGCGAAGACATAGCCCAGCGAGCCGGCGAGATGAGGGAGGGCTCGTAGTCTATGTGTAGAGTAGAAGGTGGAGGGGGAGGAGCACGAGGAGAGGGAGAGGGACAGACCCGCTGGGATGGGGAAGTCGAGGAGGATCGAGGACGACGACGATGTGAGGTGCAGGTAAGACTGCGTTGGGTCCCAATCTGTTGCGGTGAAGTAGGCTCGGAGGAGGTGAGAAGTGAGGTCTTGCGTCATTGCGGCGCCGGAGAGGACGCCGGAGATAGGAGGGAAAGAAGAAAGTGCAAGTGTGAGGAGAGTGCGGATCCATTTCAAAAGGTCCCTTTGCGTCATTGCCCATTTCGAGCCGCCCTCCGTCGTTGCCGAGCGGAGAGCGGAGAGCGGAGACCAGGAACAAAGCTCGAGATCTCGCGACATTGCACGTTTCGCCCTTGCTTCTCTCCTCCACCAAACAACCGGCCCCACTTCCTCCTCCTCCCTCTCGCCATCGTCATGCCCGGCAAGAAGAAGAAGAAATCGTCATCATCAAATCGACCAGAACCACATCACACCGACTCGCTCAGGGCAGATATTGCGGTGCGCCCCTTCCCCCACCCTCTCGCAATTGAATTGGATGACTCACGGCAACCTCTTATCCACCCCCGCTTCGCACGCGCAGGCAGCGAATGACGAAGATGTGGATATAGCCTCTGAGTTACTCGCCTCCCTAGACGCACGAGACGAGGCAGAAGAGAGGGTAAAGGAGAGTGTACCCCCTCCATCCAAGCCACTCGAAGTACCCTCCGCCCCAGCTCACCACCACCAACGCAGCTCCCTCTCATCCGAGACGAGCGGGTCGAGTGGGACAAGTGGTGGCGGGCTGATGAGCGGACTCAAGGGAGCGGGAGAGAAGATTCGTAACCATGTCAGCCCGAACTCGCAGCAGGGACAGGGACATTCCCCGACTTCGCCGCGATCAGGTGGTGGGTTGAAGGGCTTGTTTGGGGGTGGTGGGGAAGGTGGAGAGAAGAAGGTGGGAAGGCAAAAGGCTCGAAAGGTGAGCGTGTCGACTAAGGGGGCCATTTCGCGCATCGTCAAAGTCAAAAGGACTGACATGGTCATGGTCCCTCTCTTGCGCGCCACCCGCAGCAACGCAAAGAAGCTACAGCGGCGGCGGAACGTGCCCGCTTCGAGGAAGAGCTCAAAGCCAACGGAGGCAACGTCGACGAGGCCGAGGAAGAACGGCAGGGCATGTCCCTCGCGTGCGACTCGCTCAACGTAGACCTCCACGAGATCACACCTGACGGGCATTGCCTCTATTCTGCTGTTGCTGATCAGCTCCGGTTGGCCGGGTTAGGCGGGTATGACTATCAGGGTACGCGTAAGGTGACTGCAGAGTATATGCGGCGACATAGGGATGACTTTTTGCCCTTCATCAGCGATATTGATGAGAGTATGGCGGGGATCAAGAATGAAGGCGCGGGGAATGCGAGCAAGGATGGGGCAATGGAGGGTACGTTGCGCGCCATGCCCCTCTGCTATGTCATACCCCGCTGACCATCCCCGTTCTCCGCGCTCGCACACGCACAGAACACTACCTCCGCTATTGCGATGCCATCGAATCGACGGGCGTGTGGGGCGGCCAGCCGGAGATCCTCGCCATGAGTCGCGCCTTCAAGTCGCAGATCTGGGTCGTGCAGGCTGGGCAGCCCATCGTCAAGGTGGGGGAAGGCGAGGAGAAGGGGGGTCCCTTGATGATCAGCTATCATAGGCGGATGTACGGATTGGGAGAGGTGAGTGGGCGAGAGCGACAAGGAGCGTAGAAGGCCGGAAAAAAGCTCGAGCTGACCGATCTTCTGCTCACCCTGGCAGCACTACAATTCTCTGCACCCGCGAAAGAAGTAGAAGCGAGCTGACGTGGAGCATTGGCCGTGGAGCATTGAGATGGAGCATCGAATAGCAACAATATCACACACGCACACGCGACACGCTGCTACGCATCGATCCCCAGCCCCAACGTCTCACACTGCTCTCGCCTCACCATCTCCCCCACTTTCGGCTGAACATCCAATCGCATCACCTTTCCCCTCCCCTTGTTCGCCATCCCCCACTCCCCACTCCGATCAAACGCCCGCAGCGTAGACGCATACCCGCGCGTGCGCAGGTACTCGACGCTTGGCGTCGGATTGGACGTGCGGGCGAAGCTGGTCCACACGTCGATTGCCAGCCGGACAAAGTCGAGGTCATTGGAGGTATCGCGAAAGGCTATCCCCTGTGGTGCGTGTGCGTGCAAAAGCGGGGTCAGCCTCTCGCCTCGCCTTCTATTCACTCCTCGTCTTCGCGCTCGCGCGCCTACTCACCGCATCGGGGAAGTTGCCAAAAAGAAAGGGGAGCTCACCACCATGACACCTCAGGTAGGCACTTGAACCCGGATCCCCCACGGGCCCGCAGGTGGGTCGATTCACATTAAAGTCTCGTTGGAAACTGCGCTCGAATTGGTAGAACCAACTCCCCGGCCAGCTAGACCAATGCGCGATCTTCTGCCCGTAGCAGCGAAACAGAAGGTCCGTATTGATCGTCGCGCTCAGGTTGAAGGCGTTTAGCGTCGCGTTTGGAGGGTGCGAGGTGCCCAGCGGGAAAAGATCGGTGCGCGCTAAGACGTCCGCCGTGTAGTTCTGCGCAGAATCCCCTTCCCCTGAGCCTTCGAGGACAATGTTCTCCTCTTGGGCGATGCGCGTATCCAACACAGCACGGATGGCCGTCTCGCGTGTAGAGCCGGAGAAGTTGTACCGGATGAAAGGGGCACCGTCCTCTGCTGTTACGCCAAGGAGCAGGGGCACGGGGGAGACGACGCTCTCCTGGTCCAGCGTGGCAGAAGGGACCAAGTCGTTGACGACTATGTAGCGCGGGTAGAGCGTGTGCGGCAGACTGCGCGGTACAGCGTCCGTGAGGTTGTACGCGGGGAGGCGACGCAGGCATTGCACTGTCTCCTGGGCCTTCTTGCGCAGGCAGCCAGAGGCCCGTACCGTCTCCCTCCCAGCGAGATCGTAGCTGCGCGAGATTGGCACGAATTGGCTGTAGTGCGTTGCCTGGTTGTACCCGCCTGGAAGAGAGGAGAGGATAGCAGAGCGAAAGAGCCCTTTGGCCTTGGGCGCGCGAAGAAGAGCTGATACGATGCTTGCGCCGGCACTCTGCCCCCATACGGTGACCTTGCTTGCATCCCCGCCAAAATATGCCGCATTGTCGCGAACCCACTCCAGCGCAGCGAGGACGTCGCTGAACCCGTAGTTACCATTGAGCGCCTCGTCGCCCTCCAGTCCCTCGTCCCCCGGTATGGCCAGCCATCCCAGCGAACCGAGGCGATACTGCAGTGTGATCACAACCACGTCCCCGCGCGAGGCAAGATTCCCTCCGTCGACCAGACCGTCACGACTACTGCCCGCCGAGCCGGAGAGGAAGGCGCCGCCGTGAATAAAGACTAGGATGGGCCGTAGACGCGACTTCGGCGAGGAGGAGGAGTTCCCGGGCAGCGAGGGCGTGTACAGATTGAGGAAATTACACGCCTCCGTCGACTCGTTGCCCGGCACGCCGTATTGCGCACAGGGCTTGCCGTAGTACGTGGCATCAATGGCTTCGAGGGCGGGCGCGCGCACCGTGGCGTACTCGAAGCGTTTTGGGTCATTAGAGTAGAGGATGCCCAGAAAGCGAAAGCTCTTCTTGTTGCGATAACCACGCCAGGAGGTGAGGTTGCCTTGTACCACGACCGTGTTCGTGGGGGTGCGCACGCTCGCGTTTACGCGCGTCGACGGGTCGTTTTGCGTGCACAGTGCGTGGCGGAGCTTCGCGGCGGTTGAGGGGTGGACGCTACTCTTTTGGATCTTGCCACCGTTGATCTCGACGGTGGTGGACTCGCCGAGCCAGATGGCCTCGCTTTGTGCCACATCGTGCTGCGAGGCCGTGTAGTTGAGAAGGGCGGGGAGGTCCAGACCAAGGGAGTCGCCCGTCAGTAGGTTCTCGTGATAAGCTGCACAGCTTGACTGTGCTTCGACTGCAGTGAAGCCCTGTGAGGCGGGGCTGCTCAAAAGCAGGGCACTCTGAGATTGCGCATCGGTGCGGTAGTCGAGGGAGTTGACGTAGAGGAGCGTGACAGTGGGGGAGGCCAGAGCACGCCCTGCGGCGAGTCCAATGACGAGGATGATACGACGATGCATTGCATGCGCGATTTGTAATGAGGAGCACAGGCGTGAGGGCGCTCCATCTTAAGTACAGCGGCGTGATGAATGAAAGGCAAGGGTTGACGGGCGGCGGCGGCGGCGGCGGCCCCTCTCGTACCGGTCGACACCATTCCGTGCCGCCGGAGAACGGCGCAAAGCCATGCCAATGTAGGGCGGCGGCCCGAGAGCGTCGCGCGATGCAGACTTGGTAGTGTCGGGCCCTCTCGCAGCTCACAGATAGGAAAATGGCCCCGGCGCAGGGGGCGGCATCTCTGTATGACCGCCTCGTCCCTTCTTGGCCTTCCTTGACGGCCATGGCTCTCCATCCACGTCCGTATCCACGCCATCCTTGCCCTCGCCCCCACTCCTCGACGTCCTCTCAGCTCGCCCTTCCTCCTGCTGCTGCGCGACCGAGGGCGCAATAATATGGCCCTGACGACTTCTAGCTGAAGCGGCCATGGCGTGCTGTTGTTTGTGGCGCCGCCAGATGAGGTAGATGGTTAGGCAGCCAAAGAAGATGGCCAGGATGCCAAAGACAATGCCAGCTATGTAGCCTGCTCGCATTGCGGGGGTTGGACGGAGCTGGGGCGAGACGAAGCACTCGCTTCTCCCTTCTTATAGACTAGCACGTAGAAAGTGCAAGTGCAAAGAGGAAAGCGCAAAAGAAGACGCCGATCGATCTGCATCACGAACCAGCGCACCGCCGCACCGCCTCCGCCGCGATGCAGCATCACCCCGCGTGCGCCGCACCTAGCTTCGCTTTGGGCTAGTCTATCTCTATCAGGGGCGGCGATCAAGGTGAAATTCCAGGCTACGGTACAGGTCGCGAGCGCGCACCCGCGCATACATTCACATCCACGCACGTCGCACGCACGCACGCACGCACGCACGCACGCACACCTCACGTCATATGCTCCTTCTCCTCGCTCTTGGGTATCCTGACGAAGATGGCGCAAATAATCGCCCCGCAGATGGCCGCAGCGAAGTTGAACCACCAGATGGCCCGAAGGCCAGCAAGGTCCACGCCCGTCACAACGTCACCTCCGCTGCTGCCCTTTTGGGTGACGGCTGCTCCAATGGCATCCGACACGCTCGTGAGTACAGCGGCCGAGATATTCTGCAGCGTGACGAGGAGACTCCCCGCCGATCCTTGGTAGGAGCGTGGAACTTGTGAGGTGACGAATATCGAAGCAGCCGCAAAGCTCAAGTCGGGGCCTAGAGTCACAAGAGCTATACCGGGCATGGACAGCGCCCAGTACGTTGTGCGAGCCGTCTGCGGGATAAAAAAGACGGGACCTAGCGCAAAGGCTACGAGGGAGGTGACAAAGAGCCAGTGCGCCGGCATGATGTGGAAGACGCGGCTTACCATCGCTGCGGCTAGGACGCCGACGATGGCGTTGGGGAGGACGTACAGCGCCGTGGTGAGAGGGGTGGCCTCTTGGATCGTGAGGAAGAAGCGTAGCGCATAGAACTGCCAGGCCAGATACGAACCGATACCGAGCGCATAGGCTACGGTAAGCCATGCGAAGCCCGGTGTGCGCCAGAGGGAGGCCGGAATTAGAGGGCGGGCGACCTTTCTCTCTATGTAGCCTAGTGCGGCGAGCATTACCACACCCAGCACGGCGACGACGATGGAGTACGGCGCCCATCCCGAGGGGGTGCCCTCGGTCAATCCAAAGACGAGACAGCCTGACCCGGCTAAGGCGAGGCCTGCGCCTACGAAGTCGAAGGACTTGATCGAGAGGACTTGCCCGCTCGTCGAGACGGGTGAGGCTTTGAGGTCAGGCAGATAGTGCCAGCTGCATGCGCAGAGCATTGCGCAGACCAGCGCATTGCTCCAAAAGACCCAGTCCGAGTGAGACGCGAGAGCGCCTCCCCTGCGAGCATAAAGGCCATGATCGGATGGTCATCAGCGTCAGCGATCCGCGCAAGCTCACGGCGGCGCCCACACTCACTGCATCGCCCCGACCCAAAATCCCAGCGGCGCCGTGGAAGCCATACTGCTAAAGGCGATATTCTTCCTCCTCCCCGGCTGGTAGATGCGCCCCAGCATCGAAATGGACGTCGAAACCAACACCCCAATCGCCGCCCCTTGCATTGCTCGAGTGACAAAGAAGAGGATAGCTACCCGTCTCAGCAAGCTGACCCCGCCCACCAAATTCCAGAACACGAGCCAAAGCAGCGACCCATTGATCATCCACCTCGGCCTAGTCAAGTCCGCCAGCGACCCGGAAATGATGACCGCCAGCCCATTGGCAAGCGTGTACGCCCCCTGGATCCAGGGAAGCTGCGGTTCGGCGATATGAAGCCGCTCGCTCAACACCGTCTGTAGAATGGCGACGTCCCCGAAGAAGGTCGCAAAGAGGAGCTGGCTCGAGGCGCACAGCAGGATGAAGACTATCTCAGCGAGTTGGGAAGGGAGCTCGTGTGGGCGAGATTGCATCTTGAGTCGGGCGGGCTGCGGAGAGTGGTCTGCGGTGAGACTCGTGTGGGAACGAGGCGTCGTCGCCCCTGACGCTGGAGGCGTCTCGAGGGTGATGTCCTCGGGCGAGGGGTGTGTGCCTGGCCTCGTCATGGCGGGCGAGTTGTGTGGGGTAGGATCGAATGGAAAGGACATGCAGCGCGCAAGCGGTTCGAGCGAGCTTTGAATTTCAATCGGGGACGTCCTATTCGGGGACTTTTCCTTCCGTGGAGGCCGGGCGGAGATTCAATGCGCGGCGGCGGCGGTACGGCGGCGAGCTACAATTCACCCAGGTCTGCGTGCGAGTCACGAGTCCAATTGCAATGCGATGCTACTACAACACAATAAAAACGAGCAGTGGTGCGGGCACACGCGCGCACGCGCACGCGCACGCCTAGTTCCAAATCCAGTCTACGTATCTCATCTTGCCCGTTCGCGGCACCTGGCTCGCCTTCTCCTCTGCCAAGTCTCGCTCCGCCTCATCCAGCGCCGCGGCGAGCGGGATGGCCTCGAGGGGGATCCACCTCGTCTTCTTGATGAGCTTCCAGATGACAAACGCCGCCACTACAAGAGGGATGTCCACGTACGCCGACACGAATGTGGATGCGCTCCAGTTGCCCTTTGTGAACGCGCTGAACCCGTTTGTGAAGAGGATGAGCGTGAGAGCAATCAAGGAGAGCCACGAGGCGTAGTACGTCCAAATGTTGTGCCACGGCAAGCGATGCCACGAGTAGCCCTGCTTCTGCATCGCCATCTTGAGGCGGATGTGGCTGAAAAGGATGGCCAGCCACGAGATCATGGTGCCCACGGCCGTGAGGTCGACGAGCCACCAAAAGACGGTCATGGCTCCCGAGGACAGGACCATGAAGCTCAGCAGCATGAAGACTGTGCAGAAGAGCACGCCAACCCAGGGAGCGCCCCATCGCGTCGTCTTGAGGAAAACCTTGGGCGCTTGACCCTTGAGCGCGAGTGCGTAGAGGGCGCGGGTGGAGGTGAGGAGCGCCTGGTTGGACGAGGACCACGCGGATGTAATGACAATGGCGTTGACCACCGACCCGACGGCAGAATACCCTGCAGCCGAGGCGGCAATGACGAATGGACTCTGCGACGCCGTGCCCGAGTCGTCGTTGAGGCGGGCGTCGTTGCTAGGCACGAGCATGCCTACGACGAGGACCGAAATGAGGTAGAAGAGGACCACTCGGAAGAAGACGCGCTTGCACGCTCGCGGAATGGCGGTGCGAGGATTCTGCGTCTCAGCAGCTGCCATAGCGAGGGACTCGATGCCAGAGAAGCTGAATACGGCGCCGGTCATGATTTGCCAGTAGCCCAGGAATTGGCCCCACGATCCGGTCGCAATGTAAGCCACAAATGGCCCAGGGTCGTTCCAGTAGCGGAAACCGATGCGCTCCACGCCGGGGATGCCGCCGAGATTGATCACCAGACCAAAGATGATGAGGAAGACGACGAGGGCGATCTTGAGCGTAGCAAAGGCGAACTCGACCTCACCAAAAACGCGCACAAAGGCTATGCCGACGATGAAAGTGAGGGCGAGGAAGATGACGATGAATACGGACGAGTTGAGATCGGTCCAGTACTGGAAGAGGACGCAAATGGCGACAATCTCCGTAGGGATGGCAATGACGTTGCCGTACGTCAGGTTCCCTAGCGAACAGCGCATGCGTCAGTCAGGTTGCTCATCCAAATCGCTCGCGTCTACACGCGCACTCACATCCTACTGCGAAGCCGAGTGCGGGGTCGGCGAGGAACTCGCAGTGACGGACAAAAGAGCCCGTGACGGGGAGGAGGGCGGTGGTCTCTCCCAATGCAAACTGCACACAGCACACGATGAGGCCGATGGTGCCATAGCCAAGGAGAGCGCCGAGCGGTCCAGCAGTCTGGATAGCGGTACCGAGGGACAGGAAGAGACCCGTGCCGATGGCGCCAGCGAGGGCCAGCATTGAGATGTGACGTCTGCGGGAGTGCGCCGGGTGGTGGGTGAGCTCAGTTTGGCCTGGCATCGCCGCGTCGCTGCGTCGCACACTCACTGCTCCAGACCACGCTTCAAGTCGCGCTTCTCATTGACGGCAACAATGGCCACCTCATCGCTCGTGCTGCCGGGCAGCGAGTCTGCGAACTCTTTGCCCTTGACATCGCCGCCGTTCGCTTTCTCTGGGTCGGCATCGTATGCCAAAGTCGATGCCATCGCGAGGAGAAAAGGGGGGGAAGGAGATGGTTCTTGGTGTGGGGAAGAGAGAAGAGACGCAATCGCGATGCAGCCATGTCGCCGTGCTTGCTCTTTACGATCTTCCACCCCTTCGTTGCCCTTATCGTGAGTCGACCGAAACGCGATGCAAATTTGGGCTGGGCAAGGCACCAAAAATTGCGCTGCAAGAGAGAGCGAGAGCCAGAGAGCGTTTCAATTCGCGCCGTGCGTGGTTCCGTCGGCTGCGCTTTCGCCCGCGTGGACAGGCCAGGCCAGGCCGCGGCCCGCCCACGCGAAGCCTCGAGCCCGGCGAAACGGCCGAGATGCAAGAATGCAGAGCCGTTTCCAAGCACGCTGTGGTAGGTGTGTGTGATGGCGATCTTGTCCCTTCGCTCTCGATTGCACTCAATGTCATCTCACGACGATCGAGCTCGCTATGATCCCATCTCACGACGTGGTGATGCCCAGCACAATGGCCCATCGTCATCGCCCTCTTGTGACTTCGCCGCCGCCATTGCCTCGCCTACGATTAGACCCGCCGAAGACGGACCAGCCTCGGAGCAATTACGCGGGGCACAAGCCACCGATTGCGGGGCTAAGAAGTCGAGGCTGAGCAGCTAACCATCTTGACTCCTCAACCATACACGTCCGTAGCAACGCAGGCGCGCAGCATGGCCACCACTATCATCACCGCAGCTCAAAACGCCAGGCAGGACGCGCCGCCAGCCAAATTCCCCCTCGACTGGAGCCGCCTGACTCGCAGCATTGAAGCTGGGCGCACGCGCTTCTCCGCAGCTAGAGCCAAGTTCTCGAGTGAATACCCAAATGCAGGTGAGTCTGTGCTGATCAGAAAGCGCGGAATCTCGCCCTGACCCTCGAAATTCTCGCCAGGCGTCAAGGCCAAGGAAGCGGCCATGTTCTTCGCCCTCATCGTCGGCGGCTGGAACGATGCTACACCAGGTGCCCTCCTCCCCTCCATCGAGAGCCACTACAACGTCAACTTCATCATCACTTCGCTCCTCTTCGTCGCCAACTTCCTCGGAAGCGTCACCGCAGCGGTGCTCTGCCCCATCGTCATCGATCGGTTCGGCCTAGGAAAAGCCTTGAGCTTCTTTGCGCTCCTGGTCACCATTCCATGGGCCATCTTCATCGCCCTCCCTCCTTATCCGCTCTTCGCCGTCTGTTTCTACTTTAGCGGCTGCGGTGTCGCGGCGCTTGACTCGATGGGAAATACGTGGATCTCTGGCCGACCTCGCCCTGCTCTGCGTTTGGGTTTCCTGCACTTCGCCTACGGGATCGGCGCCTTCCTCTCGCCCCTGGCTGCCGCACCCTTCAACGGACACAACATCCGCTTCTCCTTCTTCTACATCATTGCCCTGGGACTCGCCGCGCTCAATACTGCCGGCGTCACCGCCGCCTTTAAGCTCAAGCGCGAGACGGACGAGGAGCGAACAAAGGACTCCGTGGCAGAGAGGAACGGGGAGTGGGTTGCGGCTTCGACCGCGCTTGGAGGCACGAGTGCAGACGTAATCGAGCTCAGGTCGATGCGCGCTCGCAATGACAACGACGCCCTCAGCCTCGACAGCAAGGCCGCCCGCGATAGCTCTCCCGAAACGCCCTACGACGACTCTCGCACCCCTCCCCCGCCAGCCACGCCCCACGAGCTCTCCTCGACTCGCGCAAAGTTCATCGCCGTCCTCAAGCAGCCGCGCGCCCACATATTTGCCCTCTTCACGCTCTGCTACGTCGGCACAGAAGTGAGCATCGGGGGTTGGACCTCCACCTATCTGCTGAGTCGCAACGACCCCTCGTCCGCCACCATCGACTACGCGGGCGGCGAGTTGGCAGGCGGTGGCCTCACCCGCTCGCAGGCCACGCTCCTCGTCTCCGGCTTCTGGGGCGGAATAGCCGTGGGCCGTATTGCACTTCTCCCCGTGACGAGTTGGATAGGCGACCAACTAGCCGTTCTAGTCTACATCCTCCTTGCCCTCGCCCTTCAGCTCGTCACCTGGTTCGTGCCCGCCATAGCAAGTAGCGCCGTTGCTCTCGCGCTCATGGGCATCTTTCTCGGTCCCATCTTCCCGATCATGATCGAGATTGCCGCACGACAGATCCGCCCGCGTATCTTGCACACCACGGCATTGTCCTACATCATCTCGCTGGGCGCAGCAGGGTCGGCGCTTTTCCCATTTTTCATCGGACTGCTCGCTCAGGCGCGCGGGATTCAGGTGCTGGCGCCTACCCTCGTGGCTATGCTGGGGGCACAGGGAGCTATTTGGTGCTGTTTGGGCTGGCCGGTGAGGCGGGGCAGGAGCAGGAGTACAACCGGAGGCGATGAGTAGGCACGGCGTGGCGATTCGGGGGAGGAATGGCATTGCATTGGACGCCACGAGATCGCAAGGGTATATCACGCACGCACGCACGCACGCACGCGTCATCACAGAGCCAGGGCCCCCGCTACGACGGCGAGGACGACGGACCCCAGCCCGACTTTTAGCGTGGCAGCTCCGTTGCTCCCACCACTACCGCCTCCGCCATTGCTCACGACAGCCGAGGCTACCACCCCGCCAGCGCTGACTACCTGGGTGCCTTCTCCCGTGACGGAGGCGGCAATGGTCGTTCCACGGTTGATGGCGGTGGCGGTGGTGCTCGTCGCTTCCGACGACGTAGCGGTAGCGCTCGAGGAGGAGGACGACGACGTCTGCGAGGCCCCAGCCTCGGATGACACACTGGGCGACTGCGTTGCCTCATTGTCCGTAATGTTGACCGTCGTCTCGTCGCCGATCGATGTCACCTGAACGCCCCAGTTGGAGCCCTCCACCCACCCGTTGTTGGCGCCCTGCGGCAAGTAGACGTATTCGCCGTCGGAGCGACCGACAAAGGAGCCTCCTTGCAGGCTTTGCCCGACCGAGCCGCCGAGGCACTGCCCGTCCAGCACGACATTGGAGCGGCAGCAGTACTGTCCGCCGTACATCAGGGCGGTGCAGGCCGTCCCCGTCTCCGTGGTGAAGTACGAGGTCGTCGCCGAGGCTTTCAGGTAGGAGATGAAGGATGAGGCGTATCTGCGCGTGCGGGGGCCGGGTGTTAGTCCAGCGTCTCGAGTGTTATGGCCGCCCACTCACGAGCGGATTTCGGGCCCACCATCACCCCCGTCCGGCTGGTATTGACGGCGTGCGGGAGGTACTTGCGTGGGCATGGGCGACGCGAGGGCAGGGCCTGCGAGGAGCAGAGCGGATACGAGGGCCAAGATTGAGCGCATGTTGGGCGGCGGTGCGTGAGAGAGCGTGGATGCGAATGTGTCAGAGGGTGAAGGATGGGATTCGTGCATCGAGCACGCCTTGTTGGGCCTCTTTAAAGGTGCGAGCGCGAGGATCCACGTCCACACGGTCGGCGCGACATCCAGATTCTCTCGGCTCACGTACCTCCGGCGCTAGCACTAGCGTCCGGACCAAACGAGCAGCGCCCGCGGCTGCGCCCGCTGGTATCAAACTCAGCCGAGGGACGGCCAATGAGTCGGGGCCTCGCAACTGGTTTTTGACAACACCTGCGTGACAGCAAGGCTTTCAGTCTCGTCGTCGTCAATCGAAGCGTGCATTCACACGGAGTGGCGCGGCGCGGCGCGGTGCGAGGAGCAAAATGGACTGTCATATCTCTCCGCGGCAGGGGCTGAGGAACCGCGTGGTGCAAATCAGCGCGGGCGGGTTTCATCTTGTTCATCGTCTGAACAGTGAGTGATCTTCATGATTCCATCTCGCTGGCATGAGCCCTGGCAAGATGTCTGTTGCCGCGCGCCGAGCCGGGGCGGTCGCTGTCCAGGAGGGAGTTGTCAATCCAGTCTTGGAAGATGACGTTGTGCCTCTCATCGATGAAGGTATCGCGGCCATCCTGCCTGACCTGGCCACCATCCTCCATCTCCCCGAAGAGAGGCGAGCGATCGAGATGGCCCAGGGACGCTCGCATCGGCGACCACGGTCGAGGCGCGAACCCCAATGATGTCCGAGTGCTTTGCCTCGCCCTTCAGTGCATCATCCACGGCACCACGACAGGATGCTGTGGGGCAGCGCAATGAAGATGTCATTCCGAGAGATGGCACGCAAGGTGGTCCACAAAAAGAGAGCACCACCTGTGGGTATCGCAGAACGCGCCCATTAGAGAAAGACAGCTCCAGCAGCGACGGCAAGGAAGACCGATCCAAGACTTGCCTTGAGGCCAGCAGCCCCGTTGCTTCCTCCGCTAGAGCTCGAGGAGCCGGCCGAGCTCACAACACCGGCTGCGCCAGCGCTGGTACTCGTGGCCGAAGATGAGGGAGAGAACGATGACGTGAGGGTAGGAGCCGCAGTGCTAGTTGGGGAGGCAGTTGTCGAAGCCCCCATGGCAGTCTCGGACTTGATCTCCGCCGCGTCCGTCGACGCCGCGGCCGCGGCCGCGGCCGCTGAGGATGAGGAGGCGAAGTCCTGGCAGAGGCTCGGGCTATCCTGCGGGTACGACTTCATTGGGTCCGTGATTTCGAGGGCGTCCGAATCTGGCGTGGAAAAGTCCCCGCTGACCTGCACCGCATGGCCGTGGCTGTAGTCGATGTAGGCGTATTGAGCGGCACTGCTCCTGCCCGCTATAACAGCGTCCTGGAAGTCGGGGTTCTCCGTAAAACATTGGCCATCTACGACTATGCCAGATTGACAGCATTTGCCGTTGTATATGAGGCGAGAGCAACCATCGCTGCCACCGGAGAAGTCGATCGCTTGGGTACCGCACTTGGCCGCGATGAGAAATTGCAAGAAAGAGCTGTGCGACGGCGCATTGCCCAGGAGCCTGTCAGTGCAAGAACAACGACGACCCGAAAGGTGCGCGAGAGCCACACTCACTCAGGGTCAATCTCTTCGCGCTTTCGCAACGGGGTATTGGGCAAGGGCGAGGCAGAGATGCAGCCAGCGAGTAGGAGCGCTGATACGAGGGCGAGTCCTGAGCGCATGGTAGTAGTGCGACGTGAAGGGGGAGTATGAGGTGGTGGCGCAGACTCACGGCTCGATTCACGTCGCTCCCTCCTTTTTATAGGCGCATGCGAGGGAGATTTTCGACCTCACCATTATCACACCCACAAGCTACATCCATACTTCCCCTCTCGGCGCTGGTCTACCACGGTCTAGTGCTAGGACTTCGAAGATGGGAAGGAGACAAGAAGGGACTGAGGCGGCGCGGGGCTGATTAGCGTCCGATTCAAAGTGAGACCACACACCGCCCTCGCGTCGATTCATGCACGCGCTGCATGGAGCCCAGGTGGGGGAGAAGCCGGTGTCCGCCCGTCCATACGCGCGCTAGTCTCCACGGTCCGTGTGAGGGAAGCGTCTACTGGATCCGATGGATTGGCAGGCATAGCGCAGCACGGAGATTGTTTGTGGGCGCAGCGCAGCGCATAGATCTCGAGAAAGACACAGGCATGGGAAAGGGAGGTGTTCCCGCGGAAGGGGTTAGCCTATCTGGGATGCTGGCGGATGCTGGCTTCATCCCCTCTAGCTCCTTCTCACTTCTCGCTTCTCACGCTCGCGCGAACACAAAGAAGCTGGTAGGCGAGGGAAGAGAATCTCAAGACAGCGCTAGAATCAGAGGGGCGGTCAGTCACGCTTCGTCAATAGCACGGCTCAAAGAGTACGACAATCTCGAATATTGTGCTGCATTACGGTGCAAGGAAACGAAACGTGCCTAGAGCATCACCGCCCCCACACCGGCTGCAATGGCGAGAGCGAAGGAAGCCTGAATCCCACCAATCGCCATTCCACTGACGGCGCCATTCGATCCGCCCAAATTGAGAGCCGACGCAGAAGAGGAAGTCGACGTGGGCCTCGTGGTGCTACTCGACGAGCTGGTCGTACTGCTGCCTCCAAACAAGGCAGACTGGCTCGCAAAGACGCTGCTCAAATGCGCGCTTACGCTGCTCCTGATACTCGCCCCGACCTGATCGTTGTCTCCGATGCTCATGGTGAATCCTCCAATGTCCGGTGCAGAGTAGGTGTATCCGCCACCACCGTTGGAGAAAGTGTACCCTTGGTTGATGGTGATTCCTCCATCGCCGCCATTAGCTCCATCAGCTCCGTTGCCCCCATCCTTTCCACCGTAGTCGTGACCCTGAACAATGTACGTGTCCCCATCCTGGTTGGTGTTGTACGAGCCCGTACTGATGAACCCGGTCGAAGGGGAAGACAGGACGTAGCGCGATGTTCCCGATGTGCCAACGAGGATCCCTTGGGGGAAGTCCTGGGTGGCTGGGTAACATGCGTCATCAATTACGATGCCAGATGAACAGCACTGTCCATTGTACAGGAGACGGTTGCAGGAGGAGCTGGTCGTCTGCTGGGCGTTGAAAGAGGAGGTGGTGGCGGAGGCTTTGATGGAGGAGATGAAGGGGCTGCGCGGACGACCAAGAAGAGGGACGTGGTGAGCTCGAGCCAAGGTGAATTTACGGAACGTCGTGCGCTCCTCACATTGCCCCATCCTGAATGCTAGCACGGGCTACCTTCGGCACAGCCGTAGGAGCAGGCGCAGGTGCGGCCGAAGCGCTCAGTGCCAGAAGGAGGGCGCCGAGGAAAGAGATCGACTTCTTGGTCATCATGCTGAGTGAGATGCTGAATTGTTGAGGGGGAGCACCTTGCGCTTGTATCCCCCTCGAATGGGCCACCTATTTGTACCCTTCACCACCCTGTCCAACGCCAAGCACCCTTTCCACCAGTATCATAGCAGCGAGCTATCGTTTCGCATCGCATCGCACTGCGCCAACGCAAGGTCCCATCCTGACCACTAGCAAGCATAGCCTACTCTGTCCGTACCCAGAATCGCACGTCGGCGCACGCGCGGGCTTGCTTGCCTGCATCTTCTTCTGCTTCTTCCCAGGCTACTCAGCTGCCCCTGCACCGGCCCATCGGGACGCTCGTCTCGCCTCGTCTCGCCTCTCTCTGCATGCATGCTCCGCGTGGGCGCAGCAAGCGTCAACCTCCGGTAGTGCAGCCAGCCGCGGGAGCGCACAGCGCACGGCCAAATACGGCACTTCTCTAGTCTGACAGGTAGCTTCGACGCGGGCGTGGGCGTGGGCGAGGGCGCGGAATCAGGTCAAGAATGCCAATTACGGACCATACGTGTTGAGATAGGGGAGAGACGCCCCGCAAGCTTGGACGGTGGGACTTTCGAGGAGGTTGGACGTCGGACGCTCGACGCTTCGACGCTCGGACGGAGCGGTCGCTGTCTATCACTCTCCACTCTCCATTCTCCAGCCTTCAATCTCCTTGAACCGCTCCTGTCAAACTTTGTTCCATCGTACGGCTCGCGTTCAATGGATATCTATTCGATGATAAATGGCGCTTAGCTGGCCGTGGTATGATGGTAATCTACGAGTCGCCCCGGCTCCTCCCCGCCACCCCTCTCACAACTCATCGTCCTCTTCGTGTCCCTCATCGCTCTCCCGCTCTTGCTGCATCAGCTGTCTCTCCAACAAAGCCTCCCGACCAGCTGCGCCTCCGTCGCTGCCGCCACTCCCCTGCGTATTCTTCTTCTTGACCCGTCTCGCCTTCGCCTTTGCAGCCTTCTGTGCCTTGCGCTCGAGCTGAGCCAGCTCCCTCTCCATCTCCTTGCGTTGCTCGCGCTCGATCTTGAGACGGTGGCGCGACGAAGGCGGGGACGCGCTTGCTAGAAGGTCGTCGTCGTCGTCATTGTCATCGCCGCCGCTGCTGCTGCCGCTGCTGCTGCTGAAGAAGAGGAACGAGGGGCGGGCAGACGATGAAGAAAGGGTAGGAGCAGGGCGTTGCTGCTTGGGAGGTGAGGCCTTTGGTGGGTTGCGCGGCACGAAGGGCGTCCCCTCGCTGAGGCGGCACACCTCTGCTATCCAGGCCTTGGACTCTATGTGGATCTCGGGATGGGCTTGCAGCTCTCGTAGACGGCAGAGACAGCTGTGTAGGAGGGAGGCGGCGACGATGTTCGCTGAGGCGCTCGCCCGCGTCAAGTCGAGGGGGAGGCATTCCGTCTTGCGCACAGGGCTGTGCTTGCTGAGCGCAGAGAGACGGGCAGAACGCGGGGTAGTGCTGATCCAATGGTCGGCCGTAGCTGCATCTTGACGTGGCGTGGGCCGGTCGCACGCCATGGTAGTATCGCCATCGCCATGACCGCGACCGCGCCCGCCGCTCGTGTCGACCCGCGTGTAGGGAGCTGAAAAGGATCGCTGCATAGTGATAACGCGCCCGTCCTGACGTTGATACTCGTGGAGCTTGGGTAGGATGGTAATGAGGAGCACACACCCCGACTCAAGCTCCCACAGCGAAGGGATGCCAGGGTACGCCGTGTCGAAAAGGAGGCGGTGCAGCCATTGCTCGATGACAGCGAGGTCGACGATGCCCTGCCTGTAGAGCTCGCCGAGGAAGCGCACGCAATGTAGAGAGGCGAACGTCTCCTCGAGTCTGCCGTTGACAGCGAGCGTCTTCTCCGCGTCGTTGCCCAGTCGCGCAGCTCGACTCTTGATGCGAGCCATCTTGATATCGAGGTTCTGGCTCTCCCGCTCGAGGTATGCCTTCCATCGTAGCGTGTTGCGCGGATTGAGCGGGACTTGGAGGTGATGCGACTGCTCCTTGATGCGATGCCCCCGCTGCAGTAGATCATCGAAACGCGCGAGGAGCATCTCGCGGAATGTGCGTGCCGGCTGTGGCTCGTCTTGTGGTGAAGCGTCGTCTCGCGTGGACGCACCCCCGTACTCGACGCTCGCTACTCGACGCAGACGGGATGCGCGCATCGTGCCTTCGTGTCGCCACGTTGAGGGCTTGCGTGGGCCGCGTTGGTATTTGCGGAGGCGGTCGGCGAAGGTCATGCCTGGCTTGGACTCGACGAGGACTCGCTCGAGGTCGGGACGGGAGAGGAGCTTGGAGCATACGACGCCTAGGGCTTCCGGGAGTGAAAGAGGGACTGGAGCCAAGTCGAGATGGATGAAGACTTCGTCAAGGAACTTGGTGATGAGGGCGCGGCGCTCTAGGAGCTGGAGACGAGCTGAATGCGAGCCATCCTCGTCATCGCCGAGCAGCTTGGTGCCGCGCAGGCTCGACGCCCACCACGACTGACGTCTCGATCCCATGAAGGTGTGCCGCCCATCGCCGAGGAAGTCGACGTTGCTTGCGTCTGGGCTGTGATGAGGGTCGAGACCTAGCATACGCTCCATTGCGAGGACGACCGTCTTGGTGTTGCGCTCCATTTGAGCGTAGTTGCCTGCTCTGCCGCCTTCGCCCTTGATGCGGGTGACGAGCTGGCCGACGAGGCCTTCGACTTCGCTGTAGAACCAGGTGCGTAGACGGGCGTCGACCTTTTTGCGCTCTGCGATGGCGTGCATGAGGGCAGGATCTGTGTGTGCGTCGTGTGCGTCGTGTGCGTGGTGCGTGTCGTTGATGGAGAGGGTGGCGAGGAGCCCGGCGTCGGGAGTAGTGGTCTCGGCGGGAGTGATGATGATCTGAGGGGGAGGGAGGACAGCGAGATTGTCGACGTCGATGTCCATTCCGAAGAGAAGCTGGGACTGAGTGATGTCCTCGCGGGCGGCCTCGCGGGCAGCCTCGCGCAGTAGGTGCTGAAGATTAGCAGAGGGTCTACGGGGACGCTTTGGTGGGCTCTCGCCGTTGGGGCTGCGCTCGTGGCGTGAAGATGAAGGAGGAGCCGGCGCCGGCGCATCGCTGCTGGGCCTCTTTGTGGACCACGAGCTCGCTACGAGGCGGCGAGGCGCTGGCACAGGCGGGCCGAATGGGTGGCGAGGTTTGGTCTCATCTCGTAGCTTGCGGTGAGTGACTGGCTCGATGGCGGCGGCGGCGGCGGCGTCAGCGCCTGCGCCGGTGTAGAGGTCGATTGGCTTGAGGATGGAGTGGCGAGGAGAGCCATCGCGGTAGGGGCGCTTAGCAGTCGAGATGATTTGGCGTCCCTCGTCATTGATGTCGTCTTCGGAGGAGGGGTCGAGGGGCGAGCGAGGAGTGGGAGGAGGGCATGATGATGAGGAGGCGTGACGGCGGATCGCCTGGCAGGATAGTAGGGAGGGGAAAATCGATGGATCAGCTCACGTAGCTGAGCTGAGCTCGAGGTGTAGGCGCGGCACACTCACCTTGTTGACCGCGGAGAAGTGATGCTCCAGAGACGTCGACCTCTTAGGCGGGATATGAGGAGCCACGACGATCGTCATGACGACGAGTGGGAGAGGCGAGAAGAGGTGATGTCGAGATGGCCATGGTATGGTAGGGAAGGAAGAGTGGAGCTGGGCTATTCGCCTGGAATGCGCCTCGAGCAGGCGGATGGGTGACCCTGAGCCAAAGTTGCGAGTCTGACTTGCATCTCGACTCGCAAGCGGGCATGACTGGAGGCGGAAGGCGGAGAAAGACACGAGAGAGCAACTCGAGTCGCTCGAGCCAGCCCGTAGACGCGTCCGATGGTTGCCCGCGTGGCTCCTTCCGTCCTGCCGTGCCGCCCGCTTTAGGCCACGCCTGAAGCCCTACATCTCGCTGGCTCTCTTCTTGACCTTGTCCTTCTGGCCATGCTTTGATGATTCTCGGTCCTAGCTATCGGCTACATCTCGTATGACAGAAATGTCGACCTTGGCACGGCTGCGCCTCTCGCCCTCGCCGCTATCCGTCCCACCCTTATGCCCGTGTGCGATTTGAAATGCGGGACGGAAGACGCCGCCGCCGCCTTATCCCCTTTACTCGCCACCCTTCGTCCCCAGCATCATCATCCATTGTGGCTCGCATTTCCAATCTCTCCCTCCTACTCTTCGCAGCCATCATCATCATCCTGGCCTCTCTGACCGCACGACTGCGCCCAATCCAGCTATTACGGCTCAGCTCGCTACATCTCCGTCCAACGCCCTCACCTCTCGCCCCGGCGCATCGCCCCCTCATCACCATGCCTCGCAGTCGTGGCGACCCCTACTCCTACCTCTATGAGCGCATGCTCCCCTTCCACGCCAATTTTCGCCGAACAATAGCCATGATCCAACACACACTCCCTCAGACGCAGACCTTGCCCAAACGAGACTTGGAACGTTTCCTCGCAATGGGGGTTCAGCTGGTCCATCATTTGGAGATGCACCACTCCATCGAGGTGAGAGCTCGGCGCGATGCGAAAGCAGCAGAGAGACTTCATTGAAGAGAGCTGATCAGATTCGCGTAATATTGGCCGCCGCCGCCGCCGCCGCCTCGTAGGAAGCGCACATCTTCCCCGTCCTAGCAACAAAGATGCCCGATTTCGGCGCCTCGGCGACGCACGTACACGAGCACGAGGTGATGCATGCTGCGCTCGAAGCGTTTGGTGGTGAGCTTATGGCGACACATCGTCGTCTGACTGGTTCACAGGGCAAAAAGGCCGAGGCTGAGGGGTGCGGTCAAGCGCTGCAGAGGGAGGAGGAGGAGGGACGCAAGGCCTGGCCGCGCAGCGTGTACGATGGGGAGAAGGTGGCCAATCTCACTCAGACACTCGCTGAGGCGCTTCTTCCTCATTTGGAGGCGGAAGAGGCTAGTATTAGTGCGAAGAGCATGCGAGCGGCGGGGTGGACGGAGGAGGAGGTGTTGAGGATACCCATTTGAGGCGGTGAGCGCGAGACGGCGGCGCTGACACGATGTATATTAGTTTGTGGACTGACTCAACGAGATCGTATGACTGGAGACTACCTCGCCTGCTACACCGAGCTCACGCCGCTACGCCTGCCTTTGCCTTACGGTAGTCGCTCGCCTTTGCCGTGGTGAAGGACATGAGGTCCTCGAAAGATCGGTTCCCGCCTACGTGCGGTGGCGCAGAGAGTGAGATAACCAAGTCAGCCACATAAGCGCACCCACTTCGCGAGCGCATCGTCGCTCGCCCTACTCACGATACTCGTCCACCTTTTGTCCATCCTGATAGAGGAAGAGGGACGGGTAACCCCTCACCTTCTGCGCATCGCACAAGTCTGCGCGTACGTACCGTCAGCTTCCTGTGTCTGCCCATCATCATCTTGCGCGGGATACTCACCACCTTGCTCGACACAGTTGACCCTCCTGATGTAGAAATCGCTCGTCTGCTCGAGCGGCTCCTGTATCTCGGCCAAATCGGCGTACGTGGGCGCAAATGCCTTGCAGTGGTGGCACCAAGGGGAGAAGAACTCGACGAACCACATGCCCTTTGCGACGCTGGAGTCGAAGGTAGTGGATGTGAGACCCTCTGCGAGCGTTGCGAGAGTGGTCAGCGCCGATTCGGAGGGTTTGGAGAGAGTGGCCGCACCCGGCTTTACTCACTCAGCGAGGGATTGTTGATGTCGCTCACCGGGGCGGACAGCGCCGTCGAGACGAGGCTGCTGACGATTGCGATGAGCAGCGCAACGACTGCTGAGCTGAATGACGTCTTCATTGTATCTGATCCTGCTGCTGCGTAGATGGGTGGTGGTGGTGGCGGCGGCGGCGGCGGTGATTGATGCGCGGCGTGAGCGGCGTGATGGATGATGTTTGGCTGCCAAGTCCAAAGTCCCGCCCCGCCCCCCCTCGTCGACTTGGTCTCCACGTTGTCGCGGCTCGCAGCTCAACCGGCGGCAACTGTCTGCGAGCGGGCCGAGCGTGCAGCCTTCGCATCTTCTCTCGCTCTTGCTCGCGCTGCTTGATTGAGGAGCCCCTGAGTCTCAAGAGGGACGGTAAGAGGCCCTCGAAGGCGCGGAGGGAGCCCCTACTGCTTCGATTGACATGCAAACCGCCGACTACATCCATTCTTGACTGCCTCATCGCGACTTCACGACCATCTGACGACTCTCACGACTCTCACGACCCGCCATGCTCGCCTTTGCGCGCTCCGCCGTCCTCGCCGTGGCACTGGGCAGCAGCCTAGCGTGGGCGGCGCCCATGCCGGCACCTTCGCCTACATCACCTCCCCTCGCTCGTTCTCCCGATGGACCCGCACCGACTGCAGCTCCACCTGTATTGCCCAAGGATCCCACGCCCAACGAAATCTTCAGCTTCTACGGCCCCATCAAGTCAGGCAGCGAGCGTGCGGGTCCACCGTCCAACTTGATCGGAGGCGGCTACTTTGATTGGTACGAGCCAGAGAAGGCCGTTGCCAGCCCTGTACGACGAGACGAGACGCCGCCTGTGCCACTCAGCCAGTTGCCCTACCCGTGAATAGCGGCGCGCCATCCCTCTCATGAGCACACAGCCTGACACCATTTGCCCCGCCCCCACCCCCCCGACAGCACCTTCCCCGCCGAGTATGCCTCCTGCCGAAAATGCGAAAAGCGATACCCGCAAATCTCCAGCTGCGCCCAGGCATCGTCCGCCTTCCAAAACGGCACGACAATCGTATCTGACCCGACCAAGTACTACTCCATCATCAAGTGCGCATGCACCGACACCTTCCAGTCCGCTTACCCGCAGTGTCTGGACTGTTTCCAGCACACCAACCAATGCTGGTACCTAGGCACCGACCCTGAGGGTACGCAGGCGCCTGCCATCCTGGGTAATATAAGGAGCCTGTGTGCGCTGGGTAGTGCGTTGCTTGGCGGGGTGGCGAGCACGAATCAGCATGGGCGCAATGGGACGTACACGCCTTATGACCCTGGGTACTACACGGACGTGGGGATGACTCTAGGGCCCGGCGGATACGACGAAAGCACTGGGCCGCTGTTTAGCGGCGCGGGGGGGCAAGTCAAAATGAGTATGAGGGCGGTATGGGCGGCTGGGCTGGTAGCGCTCGTAGCTGCTTCTCTGGCCTAGAGAACTCAGCATGGCGTCGCCAAGAGCAGCGTGTTGGCTGTTGCGGCTCTGACCGCCATCGCGATGGGAGCGTTGAGCTAGGCAGGTTGGTGCGCGCTACACAGAGCGGCCACGCCTTATGGACCTTCTTGTTACCCTTCTCGTGATCTTCTTCCCCCTTGTACATGCGCTTGACGACCTGTAATGACCTGAAATGAATTTTTACGACGTGCTTCGTTTGCAGCAGCATGGCGCGTGACACGCCGTGGAGAGGAGCATCGCATCACCTTCGTCTTTGGCCTCCACATACGAGCGACGCATACGAGGAGGCGAGGCGCGAGCGCAACCACTTCCGTCCTAGCTACCACCAACAGGACGAAATGGCGCCCAAGTACACTCTCCACTAGTGAGATGAGAACGGAGCTTCTGGTGAGCAGCATCGCAGACTGACCGACTCATCCACGCCCCGCGCCCGCCTCGCGCCCGCAGCTGGCCGCAGATCCCCGGTCGGGGCGAGTATATCCGCCTAGCCTTCGAGTACAGCGACGTTCCCTACGCAGAGAACAATGATGTGACCAAGCTGCAAGCCTTGCTCGACGAATCAGCCCCCACCGGCTCGCCCCACCATTTCGCCCTTCCCCTCCTCGAAATCACAGAAGGCTCACAACGCCAGCTCATCTCTCAGACGCCGGCCATTCTCCTCTACCTCAGCCAGCAGATCCCCCGGCTCTACAACTCCCAGACAGAAGCCAAGAGCGCAACCGCGACCGCGACCGCGACCGCGACGACGCACATCCACACGCACCAGGTCCTCCTCACCGTACTCGATCTGAGCAACGAGGTGCACGATACGCATCACCCCATAGGCGCGGGGCTCTACTACGAAGATCAAAAGCCCGAAGCGGCTCGTCGTGCTCGCGATCTGCGGGAGGAACGTTTGCCCAAGTTCCTCACGTACTTTGACCAGCTGCTCACCAACTTGGAGGGGAGAGTGGCCATCAAGGGTCAGACGACCGTTGCTGACCTGGCACTGTGGCAGGTGCTCGAGGGGCTCAACTTTGCTTTCCCCCAGTGGTGCAAGAGGGCAAGGGAGGCCGGGCAGTACGCGAAGGTGTGGGAGTTTCAGAGGAGCGTGGGGGAGGAGGACAGGATCAAGGCGTATGTGGAGAGTGGGAGGAGGAAGCCATTCAGCGATGGGCTCTTCCGACATTACCCTGAGCTCGATGCTGCTGAGGGCGAGGGCGAGGGCGAAGGCGAGACGAAGAAGCGCCGAGTCGAGTAGCGAGTCGCACCATGACTTCACAGGATCCCTTTGCTCTGCGCCTTTCGCGTGCAATTTATTGCCCAAATACATGCTCAACCTCATCGATTCCCCCAGCCTGCGGAGGCGGCAGAGGCTGTTCCTCCTCTTCGTCCTCCTCCTCCTCCTCCACCTCCTCCCCCGCCACCAGATCATCGTCATCCTCAAATCCCATCACGGGCCTCAGCTGCTCGCTGGATGTCCGTCTCGGCATCCCCGGCATAACCTTGGCAAGCTCTGCCTCCCTCTGCAGCGCAATCTGTCGTTCACGCTCCGCCGCCGCCGCAGCAGAGGAGCGTCGACGCCTACGCCCGCTGGAACCGCCACCTGGGCCAGATGTGGTCGGGGAGCCGGGCGTGGGAGGGCGCGGTTGAGAGGCGAGGAAACGCATCTCCTTGGGAGAGAGATGCTCCCAGTCACTCTTGCCCTCTGTACCTTGCGCACCGTTGCCATTCCCCGCCCCACCACCGGCAGCGTCATCCCCTACGCCGCGCTCGTTGTTAGGCCGCGTGAAGTCGAGCTCACCGATACTCGCTATGCTCTCCGAATCCGAGTCCGAGTTGGACGCTACTGACCCCGGACCCCGTTGGCCCTCTGGTCCGCCCGCGCTCGGGCCCAAGATCTCGCCAAGAGCATTCCAAGCCGTCTGAGCGCCCGTCTGCGTTAGACCCCACTTGCCCGACGACCAGCCGGACGCCGTGCCCGTAAGCGCCGAGTCTTGCGTGGATGACGACGCGCTAGCTTGCACATGAGAGGCGCTGGGGCTGATCCCGCCCTCGCCCGTAGCCCGTTGTGCCGCCATTGTAGGGCTCTGCCTCGGCGAAGAGGCCGGGACGGGTAAGGCGGTGGCTGTGGCGGCCGTCGACGAGGTCGGCATCATCGTCTCGCTCACATCGCCGCGCTGCTGCACGCTCGTGCCAAAGACCTCGCCCAAGATCTCCTCGTACTCGCCCAGGTACCCCTCGACTACATCGTCGGGAATGTACGCCGCTGCGCCCGGTCCATTGTGCACCGACCTCGAGGCGGGATTGCGGCGTAGCGGTGGGAGGAGGAATTCGGACTCGAAGAAATCGTACGACGAGGCCGATGGGCCTTCCTGCTGCTGCTGTGCTTGCCCACTACCTTCGCCTGCAGCCACGCCGCCCGCTCCCGCATCGTTGAAGTCGATCTCGCCCATCTCGGCCGCCGTACCGCCAAGGGACTTGGCCTGACCATGCGCCCCCGGTCGGCCCACTCTGCTCCCGTCCTGCTGCTGCTGCGTGGGAGCGCCCGTGCTCGCCGCCTCGTCTCCCCCCGCAGCGCTCCCGTCGTCGAAGCGGCTGGCCACGTAGTACTTGACCAAGGCGCGCAACGCTTGCTCTTGCGGCAGGCTCTCCATCACCACCCCCTCTACATCGCTGCTGAGCCATTCGTCGCGAAGGTCCGGCCGGCAGTTGAGGTAGATGCCCGTGATGACCTTCATGTTGCTCTGCCGCCACTTGCGGCCGCAGAAGGGGACTTGAGACTTGATGATTTTGAGAATGTAGAGCTGGAGAGTCGGATGCTGTACTTTCAGTAGACGCTTGAGGATCGCCGAGGACTTGTACTGCGTCAGGAGCAGGATGCGATGCACGCGGCGTTTTGTGAGCTTCTGCAGAATGCGGGTGAAGTTGAGGACCTGGGGTGCGAGCGTGCGTGAGGAGCCAAGACGATTAGCGTGAGCCGCGGCCGCCACTCCGCCGCACACACTCACCGAAAAGAAGTTCCGAAACGAGTAATCGTTGATCATCTCGCCATCCTCCGACGAGGCCGCATCGTCCTCATCTCCGTCGCGCTCCCCCTCCTGCCCATCCGTCACGCCCGCCTCCCTCGCACAGTAGGCTAGGAAATTAAAGCTCCCAACCTCATTGATGGCCCTGACGCTGTTCGCCACCTCCTGTAGGCCAAACATCTTGAGCACCAAGAGCATGCAATTTGAGTCGACGAGGAACTGGTTGAGGTGGTGGAACTTGAGCGCATGGCTGGCTTTGAACCACTTGAGCGAGAGGAGAAGGATGGCACTGATGGCCTTTGTGGTGATCTCGCGATGGCGGAGGATATCGATGTCCTCTACAGTGGGTGGGGGAGCATCCTCCATCCCGCTGGGCCCGCCTAGCCCCCCCTCATGCGGCGAAGCATTTTGCGCCGTCACGGTTGCGAGGAGGAGCTTCAACAAGACGATGACGGCGCTCTGCATGCTGGGGAGAACGCCGCGGTAGATGGTGTCCACGCGTTGCAGCCGGCGAACGTCGGCGAGCTGCTGGTGAAGCGTGGCCACATTCGACGAGTAGCGCTCATTGTCCAGTACGGCCATGAGGTGGTCCCCCTCTGCGCGTTCGAGCGTAGAGCGGATCTCGGCCTCGACGTCGAGCAGTCGATCGTACGTGGGCTCGCCGCGCGTAAGGAAGGAGTTGTCCGGATCTACGGGGTCAGCATGCTCGTCGGGGGCGATGCTGGTGCGTGGGGAGCCGCCGGGGGTAAAGGCGGGCGTGCCAGACTGCGGGGCTGCCGCGTTGGTCGCGGGGGGTCGACCGGGGTCGGAGGCAGTAGAGGAGAAGGCAAGGTGGTGTGGTGGGGCCCGTTCACCGCCGTTCAGCTTCGACAGAGCGCGCAGTCCTGCCCATCCTCGCGAGTCGTGGCTATTCGACCTCGTTGGTCCCACGCTGTCCCCGCCATGCAGCGATGGAGGAGCCGTATGCGTTGCACGCCCCGCGCTGGTACTCGCCGCATCCTCTCCCCTCCCATCGCCGCGTCGTCGCAACCCTCGCTCCTCGCGCTCCATCTCCTCCTTGGTACGCCACATCTGCCAAAGCTCCGTGCTCACATGCATGTTGTCCTTGTACAACCTGTCCGCCTCCTCAATACTGTACGGCACGACGCGGCTGCCCTGCACGCTCACCGAATACGGGAACACAAACGGGCGCGTTTGGTCGGTCTGGTATTTCTGCTTGTTAGGGCGAGGAGAGGGGGGAGGTGTAGGGGCGGGGGTACCAATCTGCCCATCCTCCCCTTCGCCTGCGCCGCCCGCGCCGCCGCCACCGCCGTCTTGGGAGGGACGGATGGCGAGACGTCGAGGAGGGAGGGGGTCGACGGCCGTTGCGAGCTTCTCGATGGGAAGATCGGCGGGCCCGCGACGTGGTGGCGTGTAAGTCGGATATTTGACGGCCAGCTCCTCGCGGAACGTCTCAAAGTCCTGCGGCGTCGTCTTGGTAGGCCGACGCTTGCGTGGTTGGCCAAGGGTGAGGCGCCCCGATGTTGACGCTGAGGCAGAGGGCTGCATCTGTGGAGCCGTCGGTTGCGTGGTAGGGAGAGGCTGCGGTGGCCAGAGGGTGTTGGCGGGCAGATCGTTCGTCGGATTGACGGGCAAACCTTCCACCTTGCGAGCTAGGGCCTTGCACCTCCTCACATCCTTCTGCCCGCCAAGACAGGCGAGGAGACTCTTCCACAGGCAGAGAAGCAGCTTCTTGACGGGAAAGCCCTTGGCATTCTTCTCGCGCAGAGCGGCGAGGACGGTGAAGAGAAAGGTGGGCAGTGGCGGGTCGAGCGCCATGAGGTCCTCTGGAACGCGCCCGTGATCGCCGCCCTCAATCGCGTCTGCCCCCTCCTCGTCGTCTCGCCTCCCCGTCTCAATGAGGAGGTAAAGCTGTGCAAAGCTCAACGTGAGCTCAAGATTGACCTCTTCCATGTACTCCGCCTTGCTCTGCGGCGTAAGGAGCGGACCCTCCTCGGTCGAAGCGGGCACATGATCGGGCAGCGAGCTAAGGAAGTCGTGCTTCCACATGGCGCGCTTGAGTGCCTCGTACACCTTGGCAATGGCCCCTTCGCGCCGAGCCATCTTTGTGCTCAGGATGATCCAGTGAATCTGATGCTCTGGCCCATGAGTATCAGCATAGCTGCCCTGTAAGATGTAGAGGAAAGCGCGCGAGGCAGTGAGCCGCAGGTCTGGGTCCTTGCTGGAGAGCTGAGAGAGGAGCTTGCGCGTGTGTGACTGTCGGATCGATGTGGGCAAGGAGGTCCACGTCGTCGATGGATTGGACGTCGACGTCGAGGCCTCTGCCGAAGTTTCTGCCTCCTTTCCCGCCCACTCCTCCCACGCCAAGCGATTCTCGACAACCTGAGGCGCCTCGACGTACGAGTAGAACTCATCAATCTCCCTCGGCAGCGTGTCGGCGTCTGCATGAGCTGGGAAGCCGTACTGCTTTGCTTTTGATCGAACGCCATTCATTCCGCTCATGCCGATACCGCCGACCATGTTGCGTATCTGGTCTGCAATCGATGTTGGCTCTACATTCCCGCCAGGCTGCTGCTGCTGCTGCTGCTGCTGCTGGGGTGGGGCCTGAGGTTGTTGGAATAGCTGACCTTGCGGCGGGGATGGTGCGGAATGCGGGGAGGAGGGCTGCTGTTGATGCTGCAGAGGCTGTTGCGCATCTGCTCGAGCCAATGGGCTGATCATGCCCATCTCTTGATCGCCTGCAATGTCGGTAGGAGCGGGCGCATTGACGTCTGCCTCGGCGGGAGGCGGTGGTGCGATCGGTCCCTCTGAGTTGTCGAAGCTTTCGAGTGGATTGGCATCGCCTGGCATGGGCGCTGGTGGTATATCCACGACGGAGAATGGCGTCGTCGAGTTGTTCGCCGGCTCGTCGTCGCCATCCGTCTCTGACTCGGACATGAGCTTGCCCAGATGGACGAGGAGGGACGAGGTAGCTTCATCATCTTGTCCAGGCGGGCGAGGGTTCTCGACATTAACGTCTGCATCGCTCGAGTCGTCGATGGCAGACTCTGATTGCGCTTCCACGTCTTGACCGTGCGTCTGCGGTGGCTGTATGCCCCCAACGGGCTCTTGAAGGTCGAGTGTTCGATGACGCGGTGAAGGCGGTGGGGGAGGAGGATGAAGATCGATGGGTGTAGGCATTGGCGCAGCTGGCGGCTTGCTGTCATCGGCAGCAGTGGCCGCGACTTCACCCGCCTCGCTGCCGTTTGCGGCCATGTTCGATGACCTGCTGCTGATGATGATGGTTGGCACTCACGACGAGGCGGCCTGAGCGCGACGTCGTCCGAGGCGCCCGCTGTGGCCGAGGCGTCGCCGCGGTTCAATTTCAAAGGGCGGGTGGATGGGCGGGCGGGCGGAAGAGGCGGCAACGAGAGCAAAGTCGAGCGACTTTTGGATACGGAAGCGCGAGAGTAGGCGGGACTAATGCTAACCTCGCATTCTCTCGTCATGAGCGCAATAGCAGCCAGAAAGGCTCGTCTAGCTGCGGCAAAAGCGCAGGTGCAGGCGCAACAGGAAACACTCAAGCCGCTATCTACAACACCTCCACCACCACCGCCGCCGCAAGCTCAGCCCCCACGAAAGCGTCAAAGGAGCGTCGAGGTTGCGAGCAGCGAGAGCGACGGGAGCGAGGCTGAGAGTAGCGCAAGTGGCAGTCGCACTCGCACCACCAGCCCATCGTCAACGCCTATCCAAGCGGACGCCATTCAGTGGCTTCAACCAGTATGGGCTCAGTCGACGAGCAGCAAGGAGCCTCACAATGTCTCGATCCTCTCCACCAAGGGCAAGGGCAAGGCACGAGCTGAAGAAGCCCTCGTTCTGCGCATACAACCAGGCAAATCCATCGCCATCAGGGGTACAGCCCAGCTCCTTGTCACAGAGGGCATCGTTTCTGTCAATGGCTGCCACGTCAGCCCAACCTCACCGAAGCAGCTTCTCCTCTGTCCATCCACCGACCCTCTGCCGCTCCTCACGGCTTGCGGAGAAGAGGAAGCCACGATAGAGCTCCACGCCATCTCAAGCACAGGTCTCGAGACATTAGCAAACGTCTGCCCCCTTGCCGGTACGGACCCTTTCTCATTACGACCACGTCGCGACATCCAGTCCCTCCTGGTCACTTCGCAGCACCTCGCCCTCGATCCCAGCCTGACAGTACAGCGTCAGCCACCAAGCTGGCAAGAGCAATGGGACCGCCTGCAGGCCGCTGAACCAAGCGCTACGCCACAGGCGGTCCTGGTGCGCGGCGCAAAAGGGGCAGGGAAGAGTACTTTTGGTCGCACCCTCCTCAACATCTATGCGGCGCGGCATCAGCGCGTTGCTCTACTGGACGTGGACTTGGGGCAAGGGCATTTCCAGCCTGCGGGAAGCGTTCATCTCTACATCTTCTCCCTCTCCTCCTCCTCGAATTCGCAGCATCCCCTCATCTCCCCCTCCTGGCTCACCCACCCTTGCCTCCCTGCTCCCGCGCACTCAATCTTCCTCGGCCAAACAACGCCTAAAGATCTTCCCTCCTCCTACTTTCGCGCTGTTGCCCACCTCATCGAGCGATACGATGCCACGCTACGCGGAGAGGGGGTCCCCTTGCTGGTAAACACAATGGGCTGGGCAAAGGGAATGGGCGCAGAGCTCAACGAGCGGATAGAGGGGCTTCTGCGGCCTGAGGCAGTATACGATTTGATGCCTACCCTGGATCCCTACGCAACCGGCGGGAAGGTAGCGCGCATCGAGCTACCAAAGCCCTATCGTGCCCCACACGGCGGTTGGGTCACACCTGTGCAGGCCGTCGGGCTGGACATGAAGGCTGCTTCGAGTAGCGGGGATTCGAGAATGTCCTCGACGCAGGCAGGGCTCACCGCTGCTGACCAGCGTTCCCTCGCTATGATGACGCATCTGCACGCGTCCTCCGCAAGTCCGCTGCCGCGCTGGGACTTTTCGCACAATCTCATCGAGCGAAGACCCTTCGTTGTGGATGTACGCACAGGGCTACAAGGCGGGATCCACCTCGGAATGAGCGATCAAGGGAGGGTATTGGATGTGGGAGTGGGATTGGCGGCACTCAATGGCGAGATGGTCAGTCTCTGCATCATCGACGTCGCAGATCAGGACGTCATCACGGCGTCGATCGATTCACAACCGCAGGACGGCGACATCGCTGCAACGTGGCGCCATGCATTTAGTCGCCCGCCTCCTCCGCCAGGGAGCGAGAGACTCATCTGCCTAGCCCTGGTGCGCTCCATCGACGAGCAAGCGGGCAAGGTACATCTACTCTGCCCTCCCTGTCTGGCAGAGCTCGTCAGTCGCGCTCATTCTCAGTCTCAGTCTCCGCCTCGCCTCGCCCTGATTGCCACGGGAGGAAGTGCGGCCATTGCCCCACCCATCTTCGCCTTCTTGGATCGACCGAGCTTTGCGGCTCGTGGCAGCACGTCGGGCGAAGCAGAGCAGAATGGCGCAACGAAAGGTGGAAGAGGAGCGGGTATGGGTACGGTGTCTCTCTTGGCTGGCGTGCCACGCAATGAGGCTCCCTACTTGTCTTGGCCGGCGGACGCGACGTCGGCGGGAGCGGGCGGTAAGGCGGGCGGCGCGATCGTAGGAGCGGGCAAGAGGAGGGTGCGACGAAATGTCATGCGACGCGGACAGAGGGGATGAGAAGGTAGCGAGATCCAGTAGCGCAATCACGCAACATGACAGATCTGTAAATGCATTCACTTCTTGCGTGACCGAACCAAGGCGACCGGCGACCGTGGGTCTAGCGCGAGATCGAAGAGAAGACGGGACGCGGAGAGAGGAGGTTGGGTTTGGGATACAAGGTAGGAAGACGAAGAGGAGAGAGAGAGATGGAGGAAGAGAGTCCGTAGATCGATGCTGGGGCCTCGTGGGGCTATTGGTACAAGGTAATGGAAAAGGGGGGTCCGAACAGAGCGCGAGGAAAGGCGTCTACCAGAGGGCGACACCTCCCCCTACGAGCATGGCGACGGCGACGGCCATTACGGCTCCTGCCGCCCCACCTCTTTGCGCGGCATTCGCATTGCCCACTCTCGCTGACCCACCGCCCGTGGGCGTGAGCGTCTGGCTCAGTCTTGAGATGGAGCTGCTCGGCTGGACGCCATTCCTGGTGCCTCCCGTGGCAATAGGCGTGTAACTAGTGATGGTGTACGTTCCCGTCGTCGGTCGGACTGAACCCGTCGCGACTGGCCCGCCGGCGGTGACGCTGCTCGTGGTGGGTACGAGCGCAGTAGTTGACGTCGGTAGGAGAGCTGGATCCGTCGTCGTTGCCACTCCTCCCGCCTGGACTGCCGAGTAAGGGTCGGCGGTATAGATGAGCGTACCGCCGTCTGCGAAACAGCGTTGGTTCACAATGGAGCCTGCGCAGCATTGCTGGAGGCCCGAGGTAGCGTCGATGTAGGACTGGAAGCCCACGGGGCAGGCACCGCCCGTGGGCTGCGTGAAGGGGGTTGTGCCTTGGTTTTCGTAGACGGAGATGGCGGACGAGGCTAGGGAAGCTGTGCGGGTGGCGCGCGTGCAGGATGAGTGGTGTCAGAGGGGATGAAGGAAAGGCGGGAGCGCGAACAGAGAGGACTCACGATCATTCGCAGCGACTTGACGTCGTTCAACTTGAGTCGGCAGAGGGCTCGCCGAAGCGATGTTGCTGAGCAGCGCGAGGGCCACGACTGCGTATGCAAGGAGGGAGGGAGACCGCAGTAGTGACGGCATCGTGGGCGTGGAGATTGCTGGAAATAGAAAGTGCGAGGAGAGAGAAGATGCGGGAGCGCCTTGCGTCGGTTCCGCGATGCGATGAGACGAGACCTGAGAGGGGTTGAGTGGGGTCGTTGCGGTGAGACTGGACGCAGCGTTGCGGGGACGTGGCGTTGATTGACGTGTGCGAGGGAGAGTGCAAGCTGCGAGGTCGGGCAGAGGGATCGGGATGCGCGAGAAGGCGCTGACACGGAGAAGGGCGAGGACGAAGAGGTGAGGATCGATAGAAAGAAGAGAAGTCGCAACACACACGCAACTCTCAATCTCGCAACCACACACAGCCTCCCTCCCCCCTTCACCCCTTGATCTTGGTAAGTTCACACGCTCTTCTCGCTCTCCCTTTCGCTCCCGTCGACGGGCAGGCCATCCCGCCCTGGTCTGCCTGCACGCACGCACGCACGCGCACGCTCACGCCAAGCTGCAGCAGCACAGAGGCACTGTGACGCCTCGACACCCCCTTCGTTTGCCCGCGTGCGTCGACGGACCCCGCACGACGCGCACGCGCACTGAGCTAAAGGGCCCTATGCCGCTTTGCCGATGCTTGGCCTGCTGCCAAGGCGGGTTCGTTGGACGAACGACTAGCTCGACTACGGGTAGGCGGGACGCGCTCGAGCCCTCTGCGATCTGCCAGAGCGAATAGAAGACACGTCTACGCGGGCCAGACCGTCGATAGGGATTCATAAGATCACATTGAGATGACTACGAGAAGCAAGAATAGAACATGGCAGCGCGGTGCGGTGCGGCGCGGCGCGGCGCGAGAATAGAGTAGAAGAGAGCGAGAGGTGAGAGTTGGTTGTGCTACAAGTGGTCCAGAGGCGACCGAGAGGGATGATACCGAGAAGAGAGTGTGTGTGTGCAAGAGATAGCCATGTTGTCCGTTTGATCGTGTCGCGTGAAGCAAGCCGAGAGGGGGGAAGGGGGGGAGCGCCGCGCCTACTGCTCCATCATTTCCACCTTTGCGCTCATGGGTCGCGCCCTCGGGCTACCCATCCCCATGACGTCCCACTCACCACCCTCCTCCTCCCCACTACGGGGCCGCCTTTCCGCCCCCTCGTGACGCACTGGCTGAGCATGATGCGCATGTATCACCCCCTCCCCGCCAGCACCATTCCCACCGCGGTTGGGGGGAAGCCAGAATCGGTCCTCGTCCGCATTACGGCGCCTACGGGCGTCCTCCTCTGCGTCATCATGCCCGCGCAGGGAGGCGGCGCGTTGCATGTCTGCGGAGAGGATGCCGAGTGCGGAGGAGGACTGGAGAGAGGTCGGGCGTGATGCGTTGGATGATGGTTGGACAGGCTTGGCCGAGTCCGTCGAGCTGCTGCCTGTGAGGTGGCGTAGCTCTAGCATGGGTGGGGCGGCAGAGATGCTCGAGGTGGGAGGGGAGCGTGGACGCGGGGCGGTATCTGTTGATGAGGCCAGCACGGTGCGAGATGCTGTGGGAGCCTCGGAGCGGATACCGTGCATCGAGTTGGGTCTCGAAAGCGACGTGGCAGCAGCCATGGCCGTCGAACCCATGGGCTCGTCGTTGTGGTCCTTCCACGACGGCTCGCGTTGATGCGGCGTCTGCCGCTGCTGCTGCTGCTGCGCCTGCCCGCCAGGTCGAGCCTTCCTGATCACCTCGAACCCACCGCTGCCAGGAACGACGGGATCCTCGTCCTGCTCCTCCTCCTCAGCAGCGACATCGTGACGGCGCCTCGACTTCATCGTGTTGGAGCGCTGCCCCGTCAGCCTCTCTCGCATCGCAGCGAGCGCCGCCTGCATCTTGACGACTCCGTTCCACGGTCCATGCTGCGTGCTGAGCGTCGACGTTCCCCACGTCCCCGCCCACGGATCGTCATCATCGTCATCGTCCTCGAGGTGAGCGTGAGGGCCTTGTCGCTTCGTCCCTGCTCCTTGCGGCGAGGGGTGGGCGAATTGAGCAGCAAAGGCCGTCGAGCTCGTCGAATACGGATCGTTGTCCGTCGCACGACCGCCACCGACACGGTGGAAGCCCTGCTGAGCGAATGCTGAGCCCGGTCCCGCGGCAGTCTTTCCGGCCGTGGTGGGGGGCATGGCCGTCATGATCCCGCCAGCGTCATCGTGGTCGTCGTAGAAGGGCGAGTAGACGCCGTTTTGCGGGGACATGACGGATGGAGCGGCATTACCGTAGTCGAGGTAGCTGGCGAAGGAGGCGTGGCGAGAGCGAGTCAAGGCGATAGCTCCTGGCGTTCCGCCGCCCAAGCCCTTGGTCGTGGACCCGGGAGTGCCGACATAGGACGAGGGACGAGTACGCGGCGCGTCCGCAAGCATGATGCTCGACGAGCTTGAACCCCCGCGCTTGTGCTTTCGACTGGTCGGATCGTTGAGGCGCAGCACCTTGTCCCTCCTCCTTCTGATCTGGCGAAGCGCACCACCCGTACCGCCAGAGCGAGCATTGACGCCCTCATCGTACGGCACGCGCGCCACGAGCCTGACAAATGCCTCGAGAAGCTTGAAAGCGAAAATGATCGTCGCGCCCGCGAAGAAGATGCCTTGCAGGACGAGGACCACGTACGTCACCCAGGAGACGGCCTGCGTGCTGAACCCGACGATGGGCGTGAGGAGGATGACCAGGACAGCGGTGAGGACGCGCAACACCGACGTCATGAAGGAGATGGGCCCCATCATGGCTCCCTCTCCCCAGGGCAGCCAAAGATTTGTGGCGAGAGCCAGGAGCAGCTCGATGACCAGCAGCACGATGGCCTGCGCTGACCCAGAGCGATAACCAGCCCCCACAACCAGCCCCACAATGAGCGAGTACGCAAAGCTGACGGCCCAGAACATCTGACTTCCCGGCGAGTAGATGTTGTATACCGGTCCGAGGGCGAGTAGCGTCTCGATGTCGTCGTAGAGCTTGCGTGTCGGACTGGACCCGATGCGGAAGAGGAGCCAGATGGGCAAGCACACCGAGATGATGACAAAGGAGACGATTCCCAGAGCGACAGTCTTGGTCGAGTGATCCGCAGCGTTGGCAAAGGAGTAGACGGAGAAGATTGTGATGGGTAGATGGAACATGGCGAGGGCGCGAACGATGTTGCCGTGCAGGGCAGCAAAGTGCAACTGAGGGCTACGTTGGCTGCGTTGCGCGTGCGCCTTGATGTTGGGCGAGTGGTACTCGATGCCGCCATCCTCGCGATTTTGCTTGATCTTGGAGGCGGTCACGGCGATGGAGTCGATGATCCATCCGGCGACGGCGACGACAACGAAGACGGCAATGATCAACAGCCAGATGGCGAGACATGTCCCGAAGAGGTCCTCTGCGCCCAGCCCAATCATGTGGGCAAAGGCGGGTATGCCGGTGAAGGAGCCATTGAGGTTGATGAGGGATTGTGGGGCCGAGGAGTTGAGGTAGAGCGGCGAGCTAACGTTGCCAAACTGGCTGCCTACGTCGCCCGTGGGGAGAGAGGCATTGGTTGCGAGGGCGTTGGTCACCGTACGCTCGATGATGGTGACATTGCCAACGAGCGAGGCCCACGAGGCCTGCGCGAAGAAGGGATAGCTAAAGTCGGGCCAGCGCACCGACATCATGGCGATGGCTGCGATGAATTGGAGCTGGAAGAGAATCTCCCAGCATCCGGGCGTCGAGTAGCGCAGCAAGGCGGGAGAGAGGACCATGCCTTGTCCGCTGAGCGCAGAGAGGATGACTGGATTGAGGTGGTCGCGCAGGAACGAGGGCGCCTTGCCCTCTCGAGCGCGGTTTTTGAAGGCTCTCGCCCTCATCGTTGCGGCTGTGAGCGCGCGAGCCATTGAGACAGTGACGAAGAAGCCGATAAACAGGGCGATGGGGAGCCACAAGAAGCTGTGCGGCGTGCGGAGGCGCAGAGGTCAGACTCACCATGCTGCGCTGCGGACACGCGGCGCATACTCACAATGACCAGTACCACCGCTCCTCGTCGTATCTCGAGACGGGCACCTGAATGCACGCAATAGCTTGCGGCGGCGTCGAAGCGTCAACGAGCATCACCCTCGTCCAGATCGTTCCCATCGGATACGTCGAGTTGAGGGGCACATCCACGCCAAAGGCGACCGTCCCCGGTCCATACGTGCAGCTCGCATGACTGGTCAGATTATTGACGCTGTCCGGCCCCGTGGGGTAGAGCTCGTCGCATAGATATGTATAGTTGGAGAAGATGTTGAAAGTCAAGAAGCGCGATTGCACTTGGACCGCACTGAATGTGCCGTTTGCTGCACCGTAGGACAGCGAGTCGACTGCGCCTACGCCCACGATTCGAAGGACGCCCTCAGTGTACGGGTATTGGTCGCCAAGGTGGCGGGCATTGGAGGTGTTGTCGAACTGAGTGTACACGGCCGAGATGTTGATGCGTTGGTCGGCTGCTACGAGGTTGCTGATATTGGGGGGCGGGGCAAGAGAATGGATATCAGCCTGTGTGAATCAGCGCCTCTGCTGCGTCACCCGCCGCATCACACTCACACATCATCGTCTGTACAGCCTGTGAAGTACGTCTGCACTCGAGGCCGCGTAGTTCGCACCGACTTGGATGATGGCGCTGGTCTCTGTAGCACGTAAGGCACCATAGATGAGGAAGCTAGGTCGAGGGTAGGTACGGCCGTCATTGCATCGCCGACTGGAGTGCCAGTAGCACCAGGAGTGTTGGAGGCTGGCGTCGTCGACTGCCTGGCCACCGATCCATCATTCAACGACCCGGACGGCGTTGACGCTCCTATTGCCGACGAAGATGAGGATGCCGGATTGGTGACGGTGATGTAGTCGGTCGATACTGGCTGCTGAGCGTACGCACTCTGCAGCAGCAGCAGCAGCAGCAGCAGCAACGAAGACGCCGCGATGAGGAGAGGATGGACGAGGCGGCGCCGCATCTTGCGAGGTTCAAACCCGCAGTCGCAGCTACGAAGTCAGGACGGTCTGCAAGAGTGCGAGCGCGACGATGACGGTAGTGAGGAGGAAGGATTCGATGCCACCCAGGCGGCGGCCATTCGCACCTCTGTCGTCGTTCGATTGGGCCGAGCGAGGGTCCTCTCCTCTCTCTCTCTCGCAGCTGGCCTAGGCTGGGCGTCGACGACGATTTGGCCCTCGATTCTTCGTCGGCGCCTGCGTCCGCGCCTGCGTCCGCACCCTGCACTCACGGCAACTCACTCACTCAGCCCTCCCTGGGCGGGCGGTGCCTGAAAGTGCGGCGACGATGGGTGTGTGCGTGCGATGCAGCGGGGCGCGAGCTCGAGCAGGCAGACAAAGCGAGCGGGCCGCGGGCTAGAGTCGAGACGTCGACGCCGGCCTGGGCCAGAGGTGGCCACCTGGAATCGCCCGCTGAGCGAGAGAGAGACAAGAGAGATGAGGTGGAGCTGACAAGTCGAGGCGAGCGACGGACGGCGTCGAGGGTCGACGACAAAAGTCCACACACTCCTCACTACCATTCCATCATCACCACCACCACCACCACCACCACCACCACCACCACTCCGCCGTCATGTCAGACTCAGCGGCGCCTAGCGTCACTGTGAACATCAAAGGCCCCTCCGAAATCAAGCTCACAGTCAGCATCGCAACCGACTCGACGGTCAAGCAGCTCAAGGATGAGATCGCAAAGCAGCGTCCGGACGTGCCCGCCGAGTCGCAACGCCTCATCTACGCTGGCAAGGTACTCAAGGACGACATGCCCTTGACCGAGTACAAGCTCCAGGATGCGCACACGGTCCACCTCGTCAAGTCTGCTTCGCGCTCTGCGCCCGTGACTGGCAACCCATCCACAGGGACGGCGGGGACCAGCGCAGCAGACAGCTCTTCGAACAACAACGCCTCTGCAGCCGCTGCCTCGTCTTCGCAGGGCATCCCATCCAACTTTGGCGCAGGTCAGCAGTTCACCAACAACCCGCTCGCAGCACTCAATCGCGCTGATCTGGCCGGACCGCACATGGCACAGATTGGGCGCAACATGTTCCAGGGGACGGGTATGAATCCCAACGACCCTAATATGATGATCAATGCGATGGAGAGCCCCGAATTTCAGCAGCACATGCGCAATGCCTTGAGGAGGCCAGAGGTCATTGATCAGGTGCGCGCGCGCGCTCTCGCCTCGATCCTCTTCGCATCCCCCGCTGACCTCGTTACCCTCACGCCCTTCTCGCCCGCAGATGATCGCCATGCGCCCCGAGATGCGTGCCATGGAACCACAGCTGCGCCAAATGCTCCAGAACGACAGCTTCGTTGACGCAATGACCAACCCGCAGATGATGCGACGCATGATGGCGATGCAGAACATGATGGGTGGAGGTGGCGGGCAGGGCGGAGGAGCAGGAGGAGCAGCTCCCTTCCCTCCGCCGGGCGCCTTTGGGACTCCTGGTGGGCCGGGCGAGCGTGGGACGACAGGGGGCCAAGAAGCAGGGGCAGGAGGGGCGACGTCAGATGATCCGCTTGCGGGCTTGTTTGGAGCAGGCGGTATGGGAGGAGCGGGAGGAGCGGGAGGAGCGGGAGGAGCTGGTGGGGCAGGAGGCATGTTTGATCCTCAACTGTGAGTGTACGAGCACGCTGCGAGGTCGTCTCCGATCCCACGCATCCTCACGCGTCCCCTCCTTCTCGCGACACAGACTTCAACAGATCCTCGGCGGCGGCGGCGGCGGCGAAGGGGGAGCAGGCGCAAGCCCATTCGGCGGGGCACCAGGCGCCAATCCTTTCGCAGCATTTGGCGCGGGCCTGGGCGGCAGCGGCGGAGCAGGAGGCATGTTCGGCGGCGGAGGAGGAGGAGCAGGTGGAGCTGCGGGCGGCGACACTCGACCACCTGAGGAGCGCTACGCCTCACAACTACAGTCACTGCGCGACATGGGTTTCCACGACGGGCCTGCCAACCTGCGTGCACTCTTGATCAGTGGCGGGAGCGTCGAGGGGGCCATCAGCGTGCTTCTGGGCAATTAGAGGGCAGAAGGACAGTAGACAGGGCTATACCCTCCTCTCCTAGAGCTACGCGTGAGTGGGAGGCCAGTGAGACGCCACTTCGCTCCATACAACGTCTGTCAATTCCAATCGAAGACCACTTTATGCCACGACCTCCTCGTCAATCTCACTCGCGCGGGTGCAGTGGCGGTTCCTGACTACTTTTTGCAATGCGAAGCACTAGCTAGTCTGGTCTGGCTCCGCCATGCGTCGCACCCGCGGAAGACGCGGCGAGGCCGGCGGGGAGGCCCCATGCGGGGCGGCAATGACGGAGGTGAAAGTGCGAGAGATCAGGGTGCGATTACGAAGGCGCCGAACGTCAGACGAGCGGGTGATGAGGGATTGACTTTCGCCGTCGTATCCGCGGGAGGATCAGGTCAGGTCATGAGGTGTTGGTTCCTCCTCATCCTTGTCTCCTACTCGTCACTGTCATCTTGACCTCTCACCTACTCATCCACCGCACACCATGTCGTCCATCGAGGAACACAAGGGCGATCGCGAGACGCACGGCACCTGGGACTACCCTGACCCGCTCCACGAAATCGATCGCGACGAATGGGATGTCGTGATCGTCGGCGCTGGCCCTGCCGGGCTCATGCTGGCCTCTTCTCTTGCGCGCTTCGGCGGCCACTCGATTCTGGTCATCGACGAGCGCTCAGAGCCTACTGTAGCGGGTAGGGCGGACGGCATACAGCCACGCACCATCGAGGTGCTGCGCAACATGGAGCCGCTGGGCAGCGAGTTCGTCGCTCGTTCTGCTGCTTCATTCGAGCGGACTTTTTGGAACGCAAAGGCGGATGGGTCCCGTGGGATCCAACGCTCTAAGCGTGTCCAGTCCTTCCCGTACAGCATGGAGATCCAGGACGGCTGCACACTCGGACTGCAGCAGGGGATCATCGAGGGCGGCTTCCTACGAGACATGGAACGGCACGGCCAGCGAGTACATCGTCCCTGGGCCTTTCGCGACTTTGTCATGGAGGGCAAGGGTAGCGAACATCCCGTTGTGGTCACCCTCGAAAAGATGCAGCCTGTCAAGGAGACGACCAACGAGGGCGGTGCACCTATTTCGGTCGTCAAGCCCACCGGTGTGACCAAGACGATCCGCACCAAGTACCTCGTGGGCTGCGACGGCGGACGCTCGGGCGTACGTCGCAAGCTTGAGGAGGAGCACGGCTTTGAGATGAAGGGCGACTGGGTCGACACGCTATGGGCCGCCCTGGACTGTGTAGTCGAGACGGACTTCCCCGACGTACGCAAGATTGCCACGATCCACTCCAAATCCCACGGAGCCCTCTACATCTTTCCCCGCGAGACGAACGACAAGGGAGAGCCCATCATTCGGTGCTACACGCAGGTGAATCGATTGGGAGGGCAGAAGCACGCGGGGGACGTGAGGGATATGAGGGAGAAGGTGAGCGCTGAAATGGTCATGAAGGCGATCAATGAGATTGCGCATCCTTATCATTTCGACTTCAAGACGGTGGAGTGTGAGTGTTCGCGGGCGCGCGAGAGAGAGCAAGGATGACGGCACGCTGACACCCCTCGCTCGCACGCACAGGGTTCACCTGCTACCCGATTGGCCAGCGGCTCGTCTCCCGCTACTCTCTCCCTGCCGGCACATCCTCATCTGGCGTCGCCTTCGATGCGCACCGCGTCTTCCTCGCAGGCGACGCCTGCCACACCCATTCACCCAAGGCGGGTCAAGGCATGAACACGGCCATCATCGACGCCCAAGCCCTCGCATGGCGCATCAACCTCTGCTCAAAGGGTCTCGCCGACCGCGAAACCCTCCTCTCCACCTACCACTCTGAGCGCCACCACACAGGCCAACAGCTAATCGACTTTGACGCAGAGTATTCTGCCCTCTTCTCTGGAGAGATCCCGCGAAGCCACCCGGAGCTCAAGGGGGCTAGCGAGGAGAAGTTGCAAGAGGTCTTTTTCGCTGCGCAGAGGAAGAACGCCGGGTTCACGACGGGTGTCGGCGTTACGTACGACGAGAATGTGCTCAACCACGTCGCCAAGACGGGTGCTGTCACGGCCAAGCTGGAGGCGGGGAGACGTCTGACGCCTGCGTGGGCTACGCGCTTCGTCTCTAGCACGCCGGTACGAATCGCGCAGGAGGTGCAATTCACCGCGCCTGGCGGGTTCAGGCTGTACGTCTGTGGTGGTGACCCTCGTCACACGGGACAGCGCCTTCAGTCATTCGCACGCTACCTCGCCGCGGATTCGCGTTCGTTCATCAACCGATTCCGCCCTCAACGTGGAGCGGGTGCATCGCTTAGGCACGGCTGCTATCACCAGCGTCCACCTGCACTCAACACCGGGCTCAAGGGGCTCGACGTCGATGCGAATCCGTACTTCCATCTTCTCCTCGTGCTGAAAGCGAACCGCTTTGCATTCGAGCTCAAGGACGTTGCCGGGTTGAGCCCACTGACGTCGTGGCTCTACGTCGACGACGTGGAAGCCGGTGGGGACCGCCTCGGAGAGGAGGACGGCGACGAGAGTGTGGGTGGCTTGCACAAGAAGTGGGGCATCGACTCGACCGAGGGAGCCGTCGTGGTGTGCAGGCCAGACGGCTATGTTGGTGTCGTGGCGCAGTTGGGCGATTACGAGACGTTGGAGAAGTACTTTGATGGATTTCTCGCATCGACGATGAGCAGGCCGGTGAGCGACTCAGATGCGGCTAGTTTGCTGGTGTCCACCTCTTCACGACTATAATCGCGCTAGCTCGAGCTCGTCTCCATATTGTATTCTCCTCACGACGCCGATTCTATCGAATACCGCTCTTCCCTGCCCTGCCAATCGCTGCCGCTGCTGCCGCGCCGGCTTCCGCCCTCGCTTTAGCCTGTCATCCTAGTCGATCCCATTCAATCATGTCTCTCTGCCCCAATCAATCGAGATCAATCATCAAGCAATCATCGACGACGTGACCCGCCTTTGCCGGACGTCTGTCTCCAACGCCTATTTGGTACCTCAAGTCGGCCTGACCCTGCCTGGCGTGGTGGTCGTTATGCGGCGTGTGTGTTGCTTTAGCCCCTCGCCGATCGCGTCGTGACGTCAGTGGCTAACGTCCGATAGCCTCAAACTTTTCGCCCGGAAGGCGCCCACCCGACTCATAGGGCGGCAGGCAGTCGCGAGTGACGTCGCTCACAGACTTGCAGCAACGCGCCGCCGTCCCGCCTGGCCCCGCGACCTCAACCTCGTCATTCGACATCGACCGACGGCCTCCCTCGCGGCGCTCTCGAACGTCTCCACACACACGCAATCGACTGGGTCCAGTTTGCTCGTAAGGGGTTGCGGGTCCACTCCCACTCTCAGCTCTATTCATCGACACCTTCATCCATCTCGTCGTCTCACTCTTTTCGTGAACGGTGTTCAAGTCGGTCGTCGTCGTCGTGTCTCAGCCATCACTTCTTTCAAAATAAGCCCGGCTGCAAGTCTCACTCTTCGACCGCGGAAATTCTCCTCAATCAAAGGATCCAGCATCTCTACTTCATTTCCCTCATCGCCTATTCTCTAGGGTCCCATTCACCCTCGCATTCATCCTCGTAGTCGTAGTCGTCGTTTCTTCTGCTTGCACCCCATGCCCGTCATCGAGCAGTTCAAGGCCTTTATTCGCCACGGCCGCGCAGCCAAAGACCACTACGAGGTGCGTGCGATTGTGGCCTGGACGAGTGCGAGGAGGGGCATTGACTGACGCAACTTCTCCGTTCACACGCCGCACTCGCAGGGCGAAAGCAGCCACGCCTCAAGAGGCAATCACACCATGAGTCACGCAGCAGAAGGATCGTCGAGGACGCCGCAAGCACCCATTGGCACGGCGGTACCGACGGCGCAGGATGCGAGTGCTCAGATCCACCACAACATCCCGGATAAGAGCGGGAGTGCTGCTGCCGTCTCTGACGCTTCAGCACGAGGAACAACAACGTCAAAAGCAGGCAAGACGTCTGCATCCAACGGTGGACTCGGCGGTGTGCCGAGCGGCGCCGTAGGGAGCGGTACACCAGCATATTCACGATCAGCATCGAACAACGGAGCTGGGTCGCAGCAGTATACGCGAGAAGCACAGCAGATCGTCGAGGAGGAGCGAGCAGCATCGGAGAAGCTGCCAGTTTACTCTGGTCTGCAGGACAGGTTCATTCTCCTCAGCAAGATGGGTGACGGAGCATTCTCAAATGTCTACAAGGCGAGGGACAAGAAGACCGGACAAAAAGTTGCCATCAAGGTCGTGCGCAAGTACGAGCTCAACAGCAATCAGGTGAGTAGCGCAGCATGCGGCGGCGAAGCGAGGCGAGTAGGTCAAGGGTATGCGTGTGCGCGCCGTGCCGTGTCGTGTCGTGTCGTGCCGTGTCGCAGCCGTCGAAAGCTACGGTTATCGTTGCCCTTCCCTGTCCGCCTAGCAGCAGCAGATGGTTGGCGACGTCACCACGCCATGTCACGCCACGCTGCGGCGCGCCATCGCACACCCCTTGGCCTTCTCCCTCGCATGCCCGCCCATCCGCGCAGTAATCGCCCTCTCAAAACCCTCGCTCACCAACCTCCTGGCCGCTGCGCTTCAGGATGCCCGCCTTGACCCTCAGTGGCGCAAGAAGAACAGAGTCACGGAGGTTGGTAGAGTGGGGCGAGGGCGCGTGCGCGGGCGGCAGCAACTACGGACCGAGCGCCCCGCTCTTGCAATGATGTATTGACATGCTAACCTCTTTACGCCTTCCCACCCCCCGCACAGCGAGCAAACATCCTCAAGGAGGTGCAAATTATGCGCAACCTGAAGCATGGCGGCATTGTTGAGCTCCTTGAATTCAGCGAGTCGCGCGACCACTACTACCTCATCCTGGAACTCTTGGAGGGAGGAGAGCTGTTCCACCAAATCGTCAAGCTCACCTACTTCAGCGAGCCCCTCGCCCGCCACGTCATCTTGCAAGTCGCCCACGGAATCCGCTACCTCCACGAAGAGAGCGGCGTGGTTCATCGCGACATCAAGCCGGAGAACCTCCTCTTCGAGTCCATCAACATCATTCCGTCCAAAGTCAACAAGGCTCGACCGTACGACGAGGAAAAGGAGGATGAGGGAGAGTTCATGCCGGGAATCGGTGGCGGCGGTATTGGAAAGGTCAAGATTGCCGACTTTGGTCTCTCCAAGGTCGTGTGGGAGGAGAGCACGATGACACCGTGTGGTACCGTCGGCTATACGGCACCAGAGATTGTCAAGGATGAGCGCTATTCGAAGAGTGTCGACATGTGGGCGCTGGGTTGCGTCCTCTACACACTCCTCTGCGGCTTCCCGCCCTTCTACGACGAGTCCATCTCAGTCCTGACCGAGAAAGTCGCAAAAGGCTACTACACGTTCCTCTCGCCATGGTGGGACGACATCTCGTCGTCAGCAAAGGACCTCATCACCCACCTCCTCTGCGTCGACTCGAACAAGCGCTACACCATCGACGAGTTCCTCGCTCACCCCTGGTGCAACGAGAACGACGCGCCCCCGAACCTCGACTCGGCGGACATCGCCCTTGCCAAGGCGAGCGAGATGCCCCTCGACTCGCCGCTACTGCAGAGCATGAAGAAGACGGTCAATCCTCGCAACTTGATGAGCCCGGGCATCAACCAGCTCAAGGAGGCCTTCGACGTCACGTACGCGGTGCACCGTCAGGAGGAGGAGGGGCGACGCCGTGGCGCTCACGCTGGCGGGCTGCACGGCCTCAACGAGGACGACGAGGAAGAAGAGGAGGACGCCTCGAGCATGCAAGCCCGTCTCCAAGGAGCAGGTCGAAACGACGATGCAGTGCGTCAGTACCAGCAAGCGCAAGCGAACCGCACAACAGCCCAGCAACAGCAATCACGCGCAGCGCCCGCCGAGCAGCAGCAGCAACAACAGTATCAGGGTCGAGGAGGAGCAGACCGCAAGATGGCTGAAGCGGCCTTGTACGATGGTCGCGCAGGTACGAGAGATCGTGGCGCTGCGGGTGGGAGGAGAAAGAACTTCGAGCTCAACATGGGCAATGCGACGCTGCTTGGCAGACGTAACAAGGGCGGGCCGGCCGGTGGGCTCGCTCTGGGAGGGTTGAACGCGCCTGCCGTCACGACTGTGCCTGGTTCGCCGATGAGGGTGGATTGAGCCGTGGGTGTAGATTCGATGATAGAGTGGAGGAGCGCTTGCCTCATCTGTACGGAGTTCCGCAGCTCTTGGTATCTCTATTTCAGTGTACATTGATCGACTATGACGGCCCGCACTTGCTTGTTCGAAAGAGTGGACGTAGCGCCAACGGCGAACGCTTGCCTCATCCAGGGGGAGCGCAGGCACGGGCCGCCAAGTGCGCGGTTCGCCTGGTCATGATCACATCGAGCCGCGCGAAGCTCTGCTCTTGGCTGCTTCGACGGCTCGTCAGCTCATTCATCTTGCGCCGCGGGGGCAAGGATGCAAAGTGGGGTTGACGTGAGGAGGTCGTGGGGGCACAGGAGCAGGATGCGGGGTCACAAGCGAGGCGAGGCCGGCAATCTCTATCCTCCGCTTCGCGACACAGTATCCTCGTGTGCCTTTGTACCTCAATGAAGGCGAAGTGAGACTTTGAGAAAAGGCTTTAAGGGCCGCTGATTGCGGGAGCCCCTTCTTTCGCGATCCATCCACCTCCTCATGCTCGCCAGGATGTTCTGCAGGCTCTCCAAGCTCACTCTCCTCGCCATCGCGTCGCTCTACTGCTTGGCTCAGGCAGCTCCTAGCTTACCTCGCGCTGACGCGGCCTCAGAATACGTGGGTTACCTCTTCCTGCACTTCTACGACAACTACCGAGCTCCTGGAGAGTGAGTATCATCGCGAGACACTGTGCCACACCCGCCTGCTCATCACCTTCTCTCCTTCTCCTCGCACGCAGCTACTCAACGTACCCCGCGGGCGAGCAAGTCTTTGGCCATCTGAGCAATGGCAACAACCCACTCCCCTACAGGCCTCTCAAGGGCGGTGCCCCCCTCCTTCGCTCGACGGTAGGTACGCGCGGGGTGCGCGACTTCTACCTCGCCTCGAGGCCCGACGAGTCCCAGCACTACATCATCGCAACCGATCTGAACCAGACGGCGGCCGGGGGCTTCGGCGGTGCCTTCCTCAGTCGCAGTCTTGTCATCTGGGACTCCAAGGGCTCCAGTCTCACGCAATGGGAGCCTCCTCGTCTCGTCGAAGTCGTACCCCCCAACTTCCGCATGGCTTGGGCTCCCGAAGCAGTTTGGGTGGCTGCCAAGAACCAGTTCATGGTATTTTGGGCGTCTAATGCATACGGTGATGAGAGGCATGTGGGGAAGCCCAACGAGGACAAGATTTACCGCTCCTTCACTTCGGACTTCAAAACGTTCACGCCGCCCGAGCTTTACCATGAGCTGCCCAACGGCCTGAACACCATTGACATGACCATTCATCCTACGGTAAGTGTGCAAGGGGACGCGCAGCACGAGAACGCCAAGCTGACTCTTCCCTCTTGCCTCGTGCAGGGAGGCGCATCTCGACCCAATGAGTATGTGCGCTTCCAAAAGCGCGAGGACCTGGGCAGGTGCTACGGCGAGGTCAGCGAGAATGGAATCGACGGCCCCTGGACCCGTATTGGGGACGACAACTCCTTCGTAAACCCGGATAGCAATGGTGAGGCGTGCTTGTTCTTCCAATCTAATACCAACAGCGCCGAATGGTTCGTCTTTGTCGACCAGTACGGGCGCAACCCCGCTGGCTACTACCCTTACCTGGCCGTGAATGGCATCACCAAGGATGGGTACCGGGATCTGGGTCTGCAGGAGCTGCCTAAGCTGCTCAAGCATGGGACTATCAAGAAGGTGACGAGGGCGCAGTACGACGAGATCCAGGCGAGGTGGGGTTGATGATGCAATGCAAATTCTTTGATTCTATAAAGTACCGGGCGGGCAGTGACTGGTGTGACACGAAAGGAGGAAGGGGTCTATGAAGGTGACTGAAGAGAGAGAGAAGAAGAAGACGTTAGGGCGCGCTCATGCCGTGACGGGCACGCAGGTACCGCTTTCGTTGTACTGGCAAAGAGCGTAACCCCTGGGAAGCGTACCGCACGAAGGCGTCTGGTCAGCCTTGGCGGCGAGCGACTGGTCGTAGTAGACGCTCAATGCGTTAGGCCCGCCGCACGTGTCGACGGAGCTGCCCGTGCAGGCCATGGTGCATTGGCTCGACGTCGTCTTGGGCTTGTAGCTTCCGCACCAGCACTCCTGGCCGTACTCGAGGCCAGAGTACGGGTAGCCTTGCTCGGAGCACTTGGCCGTGCACATGTTGATGGTCATGTTGGGCGAGTTGAAGGTGTACGAGTTGAGCGTGCGACCATATCCGGCGACTTGGTCGGCAAAGCAGCCGATGGACTGGTAGTTGGAGGAAAGGCTGGCCGCAGCGCTGACGGGGGCCGCGATGGCGGCGTTGTCGAAGACGGTGAGGGACCACGAGCCACCGCAAGTCTCGGTGCTGTTACCGAGGCAGGGCATGTTGCAAGTTGCGCCAGCGGTGACGGTAGGTGCCTGGTTCGAGCACATGCACTCCTGTCCGTATTCGACACCGCTGTACTTGAAGCTACGGTCTCCGCAGTAGTTGGCACACACCTCGTTGGTCATGGAGCCGGAGGCGGTGTAGTCGCCGCCGAAGGTGCGAGCGCCGCCTGAGCCGGCGTTGTCGTAGAAGCAACCCCCTTGGTAGAGCGACGCCTGGTACTTGAAGGCGACGTACGTGGAGGTGGGCGCAGAGGACGTGGTGGAGGTTGAGGAGGATGAGGTCGTGGTGGTGGAGGTCGACGTGGAGCTGGTGCTGGTCGAAGTGGATGAAGTCGACGTGCTGGTGCTGGTCGAGGTTTGCGTCGACGACGAAGTGGTGCTGGTGGCCTTGGTCGAGGTCGACGTCGATGTGGTGCTCGACGAGGTCGTCGTGGTGCTGGAAGTTGTCGTGGGCTTCGTGGTCGTCGGCGCGGAGATGTCGGCATTGGACCAGACATTCAGGCTTCCAGGGCCACCGCAGCCGTCGCTACGGTCCCCAGGGCACGAGTAGAGGCACATGCCCGACGTATAGACTGGCGCACTGCTCGCACAGTAGCAATTGACGCTTTGACTGCCCGAGTACTTGAGGCCGAGGTCACCGCACCTGTTGGCGCACACGGTGTTGGTCATGGCCGAGTCGACGAGACGGACATCGCCAAAGGTAGCCCAGTCGTAGGTGTAGCACTTTGATGCGTAGCTGGAGCCATGGTACTTGTTCCTTACGGTCGAGGTGGAGCCGCCAAAGGAGATGAGGGGCGTGGCCTCGCTCACGGCTGCGAGGAGGGTGACTGCGGCGGCGAAGATGGAGAGCTTGAGCATGGCGAGGGTGAGGTGCGGGAGGGAGGGCGTGCTGTGGGTGAATGGATGAGGTTGGCGAGGGTGAATGGAGGCATCTAGCGGCCGCCTTATATCTCCATCTTCGTCGACCTTGTCTCAAGGGGAGGATCAGCGGCGCAGCCTCTCGCGTTCGCCGATCTCCACCGCCATCAGTGAGACATCATTGTTTGTTCTCCTTGCTGCCCAGTGCACTCCTCATGGTGATACGACAAGAGCTCTAGCCTCGATGGCGACGGCGGTGCCTTCAGGGCAATGAGACACGCAAAGCTTGGTCGACATCCGCCGCGACCTAAGACAACATTCTGTTTGTTTGCTGGCAGAGCCGGTCGTGAATTCGCCCACTCACTCGCCCAGCCGGCCGATGACGAGCTGGTGGTGTCGGAATTGGGAAGGAGGTAAAAGTCCAAGACCGCAGGTGCATGGCAGTGCGTCGACCTTGGCCTTGTCTCACTCGCGGCGGTCACTCGACGCCGCCTTCTCTCCTCTGCTGCAGGTCCGCGCATCGGGGAGGCGTCGCCTCAATTGCAAGATTCGATTGATTGTTTGCTCCGCTCGGCGGCGTTGGTGCTCACACTCACACCTTCGATGGAGTATGGCGAGTTGTGCCGGAAGAGCCGCCTTGTTCATCGAAGCAGATTAATTGCCCGCTGAGCCAAGAAGAACCCACCATTCGACAAGATCCGACACTTGCGCGTCACTCCTCGTTGCAGGTGTGCCGTCTCAAGCTGAGGCTAGTCTAGCCTGTTGAGGTTCCATTAGGGTATCCGGCGAACTCCTTGCTCGCTCAACCTCAGCTCCGAAGCAAAAGCACGGCGAGATCATGCCGCGCTCAGGGTCATTGAGAGCTCATCAGCATTGGTGGGAGTCCTCTTGGACGTCGCACAGCGCGGTGCGCTCACGGAGCCTAGAGGAGCATTTGCGGTCAAAGAATCACCCGCCGAACCCTGAACCTTCGACAGGCGACCTTCACGACGTGATGAGACCGCATCGAAGGATGAATCATACGCTATGTTATCATTTCGGGTTACGGTTCCGATCATTGCCTCGATCCAGCGAGGCGGCGGTCCAGCCGCGCATGGCAGAGTACATACGAGGGGCATCCAGTACCCCTGCGCGCATGCTTAGCTACGACGAAGGTGACGCTTCCTCCTGAGATGCCTTGCCGCCCCCTCTTCGACATCTACATCCAGCTCCCTCTTCCCAGAACCACTCGCCGCCTTGATAGCAGGCTGACCCTTCTCCTTTGCCTCGGCTGCACACTTGTCAGCAGCTTCCTTCCCTGCCCCCCTGATAGCCTTTGGCCCATTCTTCACGTAGAGGCAGCCGGGCAACGAAGTGTGTCCGCTCCCCATGACTCTTTCTCCCACCACGCTAGACTTCGTGGTGCAGTAGCTCCCACCATTGTCCTTGGACTCGTCCTTGAGTGAGGCGACGAAAGGCTTGCACGACTTCAAGTCATTGAACAAGTTTGTCGTGCAGTCATCAATCGCGCTCTGGAGCACATCCGTGTCCCAATGCGACACAAAGTCTGCATGGAATGAGTGGCCCACAGCATCCCCATTGGCGAGAACGAAGCCGCTCTTACCCGTCGAGCTGACCGCCAAGTCCTTGGTAGCGTAGACGAACTCGTAGAAGAGGGTTTGAAACTTGACAGGGTGGCTGCTCGGGCAGTCTCCATTGTCAGGGAAACCACCGAGAGGGTAAGCGACGTGAGACTGGTGGTCGGAGGAGTCGAGATTCTTGCCGTCCCAGCAGGAAGGGAAGACGATCTGCGTACGGATCCCCCAGGGACAAGGACCCTTGGGTAGGGTGTTGGTCTGCGGCCCGCCAGTCGAGCTCAGGCACACAAAGGACACGGCTTTGGCTTTCGTGGCGTCGGATGAGGGACCGTTCAGCTGGGTTGCGTTGCCCGCGATCATGCGCAGTCCCTTGGGGAAAGCCTTGAGTGCTCCGGCCTTTTGCTTGATGCTGGGCCCGTATCGATTGAGGTAGTACGTGTTGACATAGGAGATGGGCACAGCGCTGAATGTCTTGCCCTTGCCATGATAGTAGTAAAGCTGCGGTGCCCAGTAATTGCTCTTGTCTGCTTTCACGTTGCTGGTCGTGCACATGCTCTCCTTGCTTTGCGAGTCGAGAATGGCCGCCGAGCCTACGAAGGCGTGGGTGTGGGCTGAGGTAGTGTTTGGTGAGAGGATCGGGTCGAGGCGTTGCGAGACGAGAGAGTGATGCGTAATGATCCAGAAGGCGTGGGACGAGGCTACGAGGCTGAGCAGAGCGAGGAGTACAGGGAGGAAGTGAGGGCGTGACATGTTGGCGAGCTGAGGGGGTGAGAGGGTGACGCAATGGCAGAGTGACGAGCTCGATCCAGTCGAGCGATGCGAGATCAAGGAGCAAAAGCTAGCAAAATGAGGGCGAGCGAGAGTGAAAAGAGAATGAAGAGAGACTGGAACGCAGGGGCAGACGGGACAAGGAGTGTGAAGCCTGCTGGCAGAGCGCCGTGGCGCGTGGTCCCGATTTGATCACGGGCGGCACTCCCGCTCACCCTTTGTGTGTTTGTTGTCGAGCGGAGTTGACTTTGGGGCGGTCCCGTCGCGCGTCCCACTCCCTCGGTCCGGAGGGGCGAAGGAACTCTTCTTGCCATTTCGAATAGCGTACAAAGGGCGAATAAGATAGCAAGCAAGAGAGCAAAGACGTCGCCGCTCCCCTACATGTCCTTGCCGTTCTGGTCCACCGTGCTGAACTGGTACTTTGCCTCCCACTGGTAGTCACGCCCTTCCCCGTAGATCTGGTTACGGCCCCACTCCGGGTTATTGATAGCGTCAATCCAATCCTCCGCCTCGATGACCATGGCTGAGTAGTTCTCGTAGATCTTGTCCAAGCTCCCATCACCCCCGTGCGCCCTCTTCCTCGGAATGGACGCCTTGGTCGGTCCATTGAGCCCCGCAGTGGTGTAGATCTGCCACGCCTCCTGGTTGGTCGTGATGCTCAGCTTGATCCCCGAATCCGGGCTGTACACTTCCATCGAGGGGCTCTGTTGCGGGTGACCGGCATCCTCGACCCAACAGCTGTCCCATCCCTGGCAGCCTGTGCCGCACACACCCTCGGTCTGGTCGAACTTGGAGCGCAACGTGGCAGCCTGGCGGAAGTCGTAGGCGGTCCCGTCGACTTTGGGGGTTTCGCCCGTGGGGATCAGGATGCCATCCGTCTTGATGTACTTGGTCACGTAAGGCATATGTACGACGTGGTCGAGGATGGGACGGGCATCGCTGCTGGCATTGAAGGATTGAGGATTGAGGTTCCAGTAGACGTGAGAGGAGAGCATGAGTGGTGTCTTCTTGCTGGCCGTGGCGTGCATGCGGATGGACCAGGAAGCGTTGCGCTCGAGAGTGTAGGTGACGCTGTGCAGTAGCGGGGGGGTCTAGGTCAGCTCTGCCTCAACAGTATACCGCACGCTGCCCCTCCGCATGCTCACGTCGTGTTGACCTCGCCAGGGAAGCCCTGGTTACCATCCGGGTCGGTGTGCATAAACTCGACGGACGAGTCGTTGAGCGACTTGATCTGCCACGACGCCCGGTCATAGCCCTCCTTGCCGCCGTGCAGCGTGTCGACGTTGTTTTCGTTCAGCGGCGTCTTGTACGTCTTGCCATCGAGCTCAAAGGTGCCGTTCTTGATGCGGTTGGCGTAGCGCCCGACGACGGGACCAAAGTAGTTGTGCGCCTGGCGTGCGAGATGCGAGATGAATGCCAGGCCGTCAGTTCACCGTCTTCAGCCAATCGACGCTGCGTCTGGCTCTCACCGTATCAGTCCCGTAATTGGTCGCATTATCAAAGCCGAGAATGACGTCCTGCCAAGCTCCCTCGCGGTCCTTGACGTAGACCTCCTTGACGCTTGCGCCATAGGGCATAAAGGTGAGTCTCAGTGAGTCGTCCGGCGACCTGATACGGACCTCATTGAAAGGAAAGACGGGCGGGAGGGCCTCGGCACATTCCTTGCCCGGTACGGAGTCGGGCGAGTAGACGCGCTGCCCATCAACGGTAGCGTCGAGAGCGCACGAAGGGGTGCCTACTGTTCCATTGTTGACGACTCCGCCCGAGGACGAGTCTGTGCTGTTGTTGTCGTCGCTGGCGCGTCGTAGAAGCTCCTCGGTCGGGCTCATTGGATTGATGGCAGTAGCGGTTGCGGAAGCAAAGAGGAGGGCAAGAGGAGCAAGCTGCTTGAGGGGGAGCATGATGGGCAATCGTGCTGCTGCGGGGCGTGTTAAATGATGTGGCTGGATGCGACGTGCAGTGCTCTATATGAAGGCAAGGTTGCGCGAGGGCAATGGCGGTCTAAGAACAGGGGGCCTCATTGAGGCGATGAAAAAAGGGGGATTCCCGAGGGCGGCACCAGGGAGAGAAAGAGGAACTAGGGCTCGCGAGATCGTCATGTGGGGGCTCCACAGCTGCAACCTGCTGCATTCATCCGAGATGACCGAGAGCAGAGCGAGCTCCGGCCGCGGCAAGTCGGCGACGAGAGCGACGGGAGAGAGGCCTGCGATGCTGCATTGGGGGTTAATGAGCATCTTGGGAGCATCATGACACCAAGATGGTGGTCTCCCTCGGCGCCGAATGTTTCGTACGATTACATAGCAGGTCTTGCATAGCAGGTCTGGGAATTAGGGAGACGCCACGCTATCTCACATGACGCAGCAACACCCCTTGCCCACGGCTCCTCGCACTCCCGCCGCATCTAAGCTGATCGTACCGCCATCACTACCACCCGATCCACTACCGTGTTCTCCGCCCGGTGGTATTCTACTTTTGAGCAGATTGGCGCCACGAGTCTCTACTGTCGCTGGTGCACCTGCTGCTGCTGCTGCTGCCTGGCCCGGCTTGCCCGCCTCCTGCAACGCCTTTTGAGCAGCTGTGAAGCGGCGATGTATCTCTGTTACGCACTTCTCGAATGCGCCGTGCACGTTCTGGCCCGTCTTGGCTGAAGTCTCGATGAACAAAATGCTGAGTGCGAGCGATTGATGAGGAGGCGAACGGTCAGTACTTGAGAGTTGACGCGGCCACTTCTCCCCTCTGGCCCAACTCACCCCTGCTCGTCAGCCCACTTCTCTGCCTCCTCCTTCTTCACTTTCCTCCTCCCCTCCCCGTCTTCTCCCTCGACCAGGTCCGCTCTATTCCCCACCAAGACGATGCACGCATCCTCCTCTGCATGCTCCCTCACATCCTTGAGCCAAGTGCGACAACTATCATACGAGGGGCGATGCGTCACATCATAGACGACCAAGCAGCCAGCTGCTCCTCGAAAGTAGGAGCGTGTGATGCCTCGAAAGGCTTCACTGCCTGCCGTATCCCATATTTGGATCTTGACTCGTTCCGGGATGGGCGATGAGGAGGAGGAGGCGGAGGCGGAGGCGGGTGAGGAGGATTTGGTTGTGGATTGGGAGGAAGTGGAGGCGGCCAGAGGGATGGTAACCGACCCGAATTCAACGCCTACTGTTGGCTCGGCCTCTTCAGCTAGGAAACGGTCGTCTGTTATTCTGAGAGAGAGAGAGCGTGATTGAGCGAGGCAAGCCGATGAGCTTTGTGCAATCTCGACAGGGTCGAGGGCGAATCTCTCACCTCAAGAGGAGCGCGCTCTTGCCCACCGCCGAATCTCCAATCAAGATGAATTTGCACAGGTAGTCCCACTCGTAGTGGCCTGCCTCATCTGCCGCTGCCGCTGCTGCTTTCTGTTTTCCATTGCGTGCCATAGTGAGATGATTATGTGTTGACGTGTGGGTGTGGAGCTGAGGATGGATGGGGTGTAGAGTAGACTCCGGTGCTGCGAGTGAGATTGGCCCGCATTTGGGCCAGTCCGCCGTGCAGCAATCGACGTCGAACAACACCTGGGAGAAAAGGTCAGGCGACCACGCACGCAGGGGACGTGGTTCAGATGATGAGACGTAGATCGATTGATGATGTGATTGATCAAGCAAGGAGAGAGCGGAATCTCTCGCGCATCGACTGCAGTATCAGCCCGTCCTCCTCCCTGTCGCATCGCTACGGCCTCCGTATGCGCGCACCTCGCCTCCCTCCTCCCTCCATTCACAAGAACAACCTCGCCAGCTCAAAGAAGACTATGTACGAGCCAAGTCGAGTTGTCAGTACATCGCTCCTTCCCGCTTCACACCCTCTTTCCCCACCTCCCAAGCGCACTCACCTCCTCCAATCACGACAAAGCACACCATCCCTACAGCCCAAGCGGGGACTGCTGGCTTCTTGCTGGTCATAGCCCTCTCTGCGTACGCAGGACGAGGCTTCGTCTGCCCACGACGATGCGCCTCGGCGTTGCGCGCATTCTTGGCACGGATCTTGCCGCCTGCGGATGACTTGTTGGAGAAGTGCGGGGCATAGCAGGTGAGAGGTTGGTTGGAAGGAGGGGTGCGGGCGGTGGGAGGCGGGGGATGGAGGGAGGAGCAAGGGGATAGCAATGCGAGATATGTAGTCAAGGGATCAGTATCTGACGACAAGCGGATGATATGACAGCTGGCATCGCGTCTGCTCACCATGTCGTTTGATCGAGGGAAAGTGCGGGGAACGAAGGAAAGGACGACCCCGACAATCTCGTTGATCGCGGACAACGCCCGTCCCTGCAGCTCGTCTCGTCTCCAGCGTGGAGCCCTTTCGCGCCACGGCGAACACGACATACGACCACGCTGGAAGGCGCAGCAGTCGTGAGAGACGAAGTAAAGTTTCAATCAAACGAGAGCGATGCAACAATGTGTATGCGAGGAAATCTCCCTTCTATTCGCCTAACTTCGCGCTCCTCCGCCTTGGCCCCCGTCTCAGGCCCTCTCCCCACCCGGGTACCCATCATACATCCAAAAATTGATCAAGGCAAGCGCCGTATCAGGCTGGTCATGCGGCACAAAATGCCCCGCATTCCACACAGTGATATAGTTGAGCACCCCATCCGACCTAAAGACGCCCACGGGCTTCCTGTCCTCGTCGTACGGATGGGCATACCACACCTCGCTCGGGATCTTGCGCCACTTCTCAGCGCCGGACCACTCCAAGTCGTACGTCCATCTCTCCCCTCCTTGGTAGTTGCAGATAAAGTCCGCATCGCCGTGGTAGATGCCCACCCTGATGTCTGCCTCGAGGGCCTCGCGGACAGCCCAAGTCGAGTCGCGAGCCCCATCGCCAGACTTGCCGAAATGAGAAAACACGGCATCCGAGCAACCCATGAAGGTGCCATTGTGGTGATCCCCGTACAGCTTGTCGACGCCAAAGGCCTTCTTCGTCTTTGGATCGTTGAGGAATGTGGTGATCCAGGCATCCTCCTCGTACTCGCCCTTATGGCGCCAATCGTAAGGCGACCGGCCAGTCTTGTCCCATGGATCGGCAAGCTTCTTCTCGCAGTACTCCGTTGCCATACGACAGGCGAGGGCATCGTAGTGCGTGTCGTCGTCTGGCTTGGGCGAGTTGCACTTCTTTGTGAGGGCAAGGCAGGTAGGCAGGTCGGTTCGTGCCTGCTCGCATTGCGACTCGTTGTAGAACGGCCCGCGATCGAGGTGAAGCGGGTTGTCACACGCGTAGCTCACGTAGGCGGGGTATTGATGGATCGGGGACGACCACCCGTTGCCGATCAAGATTGAATTGAGCGGGAGAGGCTTCAGACCGCGCTCAGGGTGAGCTTTGGCTTCTGCATTGTCCTTGAGGATCTGGTGCGCGAGGAGAGGGACGTAACGGCCACCGTAGCTTTCCCCTGCGATGTGCAGGCGCGGTTTCTTGCCTATGTGAGCGCGTGGAGCGAACGGGCTGCCTTTGCCTCCCAGTGCTCCCTGCTGCTCGGCATGGAGGGCCAGCAAGTGCAGGAAGGCGGACGTGTCCTTCGCTGCGGCTGCCGTGTCCCACACGCGTGCCGGTGGGGGCTTCTCCAGCTCATTCTTCGTGCCATTGGTCCAGGCAGTGTACGAGAAACCCACGCCGGCCGGCTGGTCCAAGTAGAGAACCGAGGCATTGTTGTTCCACGAGTATGGGTTTGGCTCGGTATAGACGGCACCGTTCTTACCCTTCTTGATGCTGCAGGGTCCATTCTCCATGAGCAACCCCGTGAAGCTGGAGCAACCGGGCCCACCGTTCAGCCAGAGGATGACGTCCGTCTCTGTCCCCTCGAAGGGCTTCGTTGGCTTGTTGCGCGCCTCGAAGAAGACGAAATAGAAGTGCTCGCTCACCCCGCGAGGATGCTTCGCCCAGCGATCCTTTTCGTGCTGCGTCTCGTTGGCGTGCGGCTCCCAGAGCTTGTCGAGGTCCACGTCGAGATAGCCTGCCCAGGAGCGGGTGTGCGGATTGGACTCGCAGAGGGTGGAAGGTAGGCGATGCAGGCGGAGGGAGTGGGCGGGGAGAGAAGGGTGGCTAAACTTTGTCACCGTCTCATTGTCGACGTCGTCGCTGAAGCCCTGCCTGCCCTCCATGATGCCATCGTACGGCGGGGAAGGGAAGGGAGCTGCAGCTGCTGATACGCCGAATGGCACCTGGTTGGTAGGCTGCGCGTGGCTGGTGGTAAGTCCCGCCATGCCGACAGCGACAAGCGCGTAGACGGTATTGAGAGCACGCATCCTGCAATGCGCTCAAGAAAGGGGGGTCGTAGTGGTCAAGAAGCAAAGAGCTATGCCCAATTCTCGCCACGATCTTGAGTGAACGTCAAGCCGCCGACTCAGCTGTCCGTCCGCGTCTTCCTCTCGCTCGGGCCGCCCCAATTTCACGCCGCTCACGGCCACATCCACCGTAGGTCATGCGCACACGATGATGTTTTTTTAATACAAGGACAATAGCTCACAATCGAGTAGAAGAACAGATTAGTGCAAGAGCAAAAGTGGAATGAGCGCAGATGAGGCAAAGGCGCGAACCTTCCGCTGCGGGTCCTTCTCAACCTCGGCGCCCTCACTCACTCCTCCTCCGTCTGCCTCCCAAACCCAGACGAGTCGGGATCGATCCAGTCTACGATACCCAGGGAGTGCTGCGATGTATCCGCAGAGCTTGCGACTGCACCGGACGATGTAGAGTGGTAAGGAGGGCTGGACGAAGAGATGGCCTCCCCGCCCTGCTCGCTGCGCCCCTCATCCGCGTCCTCAAAGTCACCGGCGGACGAAGAGCTCATCGAAGGCTGCTTGGCCATGGAGGTCGCCGCAGGTGCAGAGAGGAGGTCGCTGTGGAAGCGTGTCTGCGTGGCGGTCTGGTCTTCATCGTCGTCATCACTGCCTGCCTGGAAAGCGAGCGGCGCACTGGCCGTAGAGGCCGTGTCGTTCGAAGCCGTTCCCGCGCTTGAGTCATGACTGCCGTTGCCTGCGCCTCCAGCTCCGAGAAGGGAAGTCCGTGCTGCTGGCGCTGAAGCTGGTGGCATCGTTGGCGTTGCAGCCCGGCCAGGGACGCCACTCGCTGCGCTGTCCTCTATCGTCGAGCGTCGTCCACCTGCACTGGACGTTGCTCGCCGCTCACGTCTTCGCGCGTACTTTTCTCGAGGGGTAGGACTGGTCGTCGAGCCCGCGGCGTCACCTTCACTTTCGCCCGCAACCCCATTCCCACTACTGGTCACACCCCCGCCCTGTAGCTTAGCCAGCATGGCCTGCGCGAGCTCAGACGGGTCCTTGCTCCTTGGCGGTGACGCCGCCATACCCCGAGGCTCACCACTCACAGCCTCCTCCACGCCATCCAGCCCAGGCGTACTTGGGCTTCCCGCGCCACCCAAACTTTCCTTTGCTCTCCTCGCAGCCCCCCTCTCCCTGGCCTTGCGCTTCGTCTTTGGTGTCCCACCCCCACTCCTCAGATTACCAAGCAACGTCTCCAGCACAAGACTGTCATCCACTCCAGCCTCCTTGCGCGCAAGGGCCTCCATACGCTCCTTCTCCCTCTCCTCAGCCGCAGCCCGCCTCTTTGCCTCGATCTGTCGCTGCTCCGATATGCGAACGTTATCCACCTTGACTTTGCGATATGCCGTGGAGAATTCGCGGAAGATACCAAAGAAGTCCTCGGTACGCATCGGCTGGGCGGCGGGAAAACCGCGACGTTTCGGGTCGGGTCCTTCACCAAAGAAGCGCAATGCATCAACGTAAGTGCGCTCGGTGAATTGCACCTGATCGCCCAGGCGGGAGAGGTCGGAGGTGGCCTCGTTGAGGAAGGGGAGCATGAGCTTCGTGTATGGGTCCTCCAGGTGCGTCTCGTCCTCGTCGATGAAGCGGTCCAGCTCCTTCTTGTGCTGGAGGCTGCCACTCTTCAGCTCGGCGAGCTCGCGCTTCAGGTCGAGAAGCTGCACGCGACAGGCCTCGGAGGGGTCGTCGAGCTCTTCGAGGAAGGCTTCGACCTCGGGGAAGGCTTTCGATACCGTGCGCTCGACGAAGTGGAGGAGGGTCGTGCCGTCTGAAGCTTTCGTGTCGACGAGCTTGTTGATCGACGAGATCTTGAATCCAAATGCACCGCCCTGCACGCCCGTCGCATTGAGGTAATTGCCCATCATCAGGATGATACCCAGCAGCTTGGCAAAGTTGGCTGCGTTGACCAAACCTTCTGAGCCGGCACGGATCTTGGAGGAGCCTTCCTTGACGAGCTCGAAAGCCTCCTTGTACTTGGTCATGAAGAGGAGACCTTTTACCTTCTCCTTGAGATGCGGGACGGTCATGAGGAGCACAACGAGGCGGTCCGCAGGGTGGAGTAGACGCAGCTCGTCGTCCGACGCATTGCGATACTCTCCCAGCTGACCCTTGGTCTCTGACTCGGGATAGTGGCGCAACAGCTCGGTCAGGAAGGACTGGTCGAGCACCACGTCGTTGCAGTTGACAATATGATGCGCCACCTCCTCCGGCGTGGCGTGCTTCGAGTCTGTTAAGCTGGAGCGCACACGCTTCAGCACCATCTCGATGCCCTGCCTCGTCTGGAAGGAGAGATGCGTCTTGAACTCGATCTTGTCCTTCTTGTTTGCAGCAGTAGTCTGCCGCTTGGCTGCTTGCTTGGCCTTGAAGTCTTCCTCCATTTCCTCGAATAAGCCCTCCGTTCTGAGGACCTGCGCGAGACGCTCCTCCTCGATGACGCCCTTGCCCCAGACTGTCTCTGCTGCGTGCTGCGGGGAGAGCTTGTCCCACTGCAGCTGCTTCATGCGCGTCTTGGCCATGTCGGCGACGTCTTTGCGCGTTGTCGACGGGTGGACAAAGACGCCCGAGGGTGGAGCAGGTGGAGCGGCCGTGGGACCAGCAGGACCGATGTCGCCCGTGTAGCTGGCACGCACGTTGAGCATCGAGTCGCGGTAGCCCCCGGCTGTGCTTGCGGCTGAGGCGGGCGTTGGCGGGATCGCACCTGGCGCCGCGGCGCGAGGTGTTGCAGGCACGCCCGGCATGGGCGGAGCAGGTGGTGCTGGCGGTGGAGGCGGCGGAGGCGCTGGAGGTGCTTCGCTCGCGGTGCTGGCAAACGAATCTGGGCGAGAGGGTGCTGGTGTATTTGACGGCGAGAATGCAGAGCCAAGCATCGGCGGAGGAGGCGGTGGTGGTGGTGGCGGTGGAGCAGGAGGAGGGCCCATGTCGCCGCTGACCATGCCCGGCATGGGAGGTGGCGGCGGAGGAGGTGGCGGACCCATGTCGCTGATGACTCCCGAGGATGGCGTTGGCTCGCTCGGACGGAGCGCGCGACGATTGCGAATCTCGTCGAGGAGCGACGTTGGTTGAGCGCCCGGCATCATCGGAGGCGGTGGCGGAGGAGGAGGAGCAGGCGGCGAGGCCATACTGTCCGCCGAGTCTGCGCCCTCCGCACCGTGCTGTGATCCTTTCTTCCTCCTCGTCGCGCGAGCGTCGTTCATGCGATCAGCGAGAGAGACGTTCTGAGCCATGCCAGCAGCCAGAGTAGCCTGAATGCGCCACTTGGCAGCCTCCGTCGTGTCGTCCTCGTCTTCATCGTCTTCCGTCTCGGCGCCGGCCGCCGGACGAGGATCCTGCTGCTCGCCGTCCTCCATCTGTGCTCGATTCCTCAGCGATTCGCGACGGACATCCTGCGAGATTCGCTGCCTCTGCGCCTCTTCAATCGCTGCATCGCGCTCCGGCCCGGATGGGGGCAGCGCACGCCCTTGCTTCTTGGCGTTTGCCTCGAGCTTGCGAATGGTACGATCGCGCTCCAGCTGCCTCTCGAGCGTGTCCACCATCTCTTGCCGATCAAGCGTCGCCTTACCGCCCGGGAAGAGCTCTTCCTGCCCTGCCTTTTCGCGCATCATCTCGTAGATCTCCCGATTCTGCACCTCTAGCTTGACGATGCGGTCTATATACCCCTTTTCCATGTCCTCGAGGTCGCGCTGAAGCCCCACCGCATTACCCCGCGACACCTCGAGGTCCTCCTCGAGCGACGAGATTTGCGCCTTGAGCTTGCCTACAAGCCCCTCGCTCTCCTGCTCGAGCTGAGCCTGCAACTTTGCCCTCTCCTGCTCTGCAGCGCGCGCTTCGTTCTTGAAGCGCTGCAGCTCAGACTGAATGGACTGCATATGATCTTGATCTGCAAAGCGCGACAGGACATTGTTGACCGAGGTGCCCAGGAGCGACGAGATGTCGGAGCGTTCCACCGCCCCCTTGCGGTCCATGACGACGGAGGTGACGAGGGAGTCGATGAGCTGGTACCAGTGCACGAGGTGATCTCCCTCCTGCCTGATCAAGAGGAGATGCTGCAGCGAGCTGAGGAAGAAGTCATAGGCGCGAGAACCAGAGACCTTCTCTACGATGGCCTTGAAGACGTCCACCGGATCGCTCATGTCGGTAAGGACGTCGCGGTTGAACGTCTCGACCACATCCTCGTGATCCGAGCTCGACGACGTCTCAAAGAGGTTGATCTGAGCGTCCAAGTCCTGATTCTTGAACGCCTTCATCTTGATGAGGATGCGTTGCAACCCGCTCGCCTCCATCTGATTGCGCAGATGGACGCGCACCTCGAACTCGGGCACGATGTCCGTCGACAGCAGCGCGTTGATGAGGAACATGTTGTTGATGGCGTACTCGTTGAGCGACGACTCTTGCGGGCCTACGATGCTGAGCTTCTTGACCTCGTCTGATGCGCCCACTCGACTGCCCATCGTCCCTCTGCCGTCGATGGTCTGCTCCAGGACGCGAAACCACGCATCAAAGCGGCCGTGATCCCCTTGCGAAGCCTTGATGTCGTCGAAGCCCTGGAGGACGAGGCGATGGCCCGTCGGCTTCTCCCAATGGCAGAGGAAGAGCAAGATGTCGGCAGACTGCTTGCGTGTAGCCAAATGTGCCGAAATCATCGAGTGTGTGATGCCAGAGATGCACTTGGGCTGGGCGAGGGCATCGTTGGCTCCCGGCTTGGAGTTGAACAGCGAGCGAAAGGCCTTGAGCACCTCGTACTCGAGAGCGATGTCGTTGTCGGTACGAAATGACTTGGCGTGCAGTCCGCCGAGGAAGCTAGCCAGCACAGGCGTGCCCTTTGCCTCGACGAAGCTCTGGATCCAGCCAATGGCGCACGTCCTCAGCGTGACTGCCAGGCTCTCGATATCCTTCGTCGTGACCGAACCGTCCATGAACTTCTTGATGAACCACTCTGGCGAATTGCGTGTGATGATCATACCGCGAGGGTTGCCCGCCACGTTCGCCTGCTGACGTCTATTACGCTCCCGCTCTTTGGACGACATCCATTCGGTGAGGCGATCGTTGTAGACCAGCGCCCACTTCTTGTCGACATTGAAGAGGAGCATGTTGCGCCGCATGCTGTCCTTATCCGCTGCGTTGCCGCCGAGAAAGTCGCGACGATCCATGAGCTCGGCAAACATGCGCTCCACCTCAACGTCGGGTGGGCGAGGCATGTAGAATTCCCCTGCTGGAGGTGGGGCTGACGGAGCCATGGACGGAGCTCTGAAGCTGCTCGTCGATGGCTGGCGTGGATGATGTGAAGGATGACCTGCGCCGACTGAGCGCTGATAGACGTCTGGTGAGCCATTCATCGGCTGAGGGACCATGGAGGACGATGCTGTTGACATGCGGTTGACGACATCGTTGGTCGTAGTGGCGCGAATGCTGTTCGTATCTGATACGGACGTCGAGGCACGGCTGGAGTGAGATGGGTCATAGTAGCCTGCGCTGCTTCCTCCTGCAGAGCTGTAAGGGCCCCCACGACTGCGATTCATGGCAGGGTAGAAGTCCCCTGTGCTCGAGCCTGACGCTGAGAGCATCCCACCAGCAGCAGATCCGCCCGGTCTCGCGCCCCCTCTGCCTTCTTTACTGACGTGTGGGTTGCTGCTGGGCCCGCTGATGTTCATCATCGAGGGCGCCGTGGACCCGGACATCGACGGCCGCGATGTATATGACGAGCGGTCATACGACATGCGACTGCTATTGGACGTCTCTGTGCTCGACTCATTGAGGGTCGTCCTCGACTTCTTCTTGCGGAAGAGATTGTCCATGACGGCAAAGGGCGACGACGAGAGTGGAGTTGTAGGAGGCGAGGGTAGTGCAGCCAGCCGTCTTGCAAGGCTTGAGCCACCTGAGAGGGAGGATCGAGGGCTACGAGGATTGGCAGGCTCGATGAATTGCAGAGGCTGCGATGGTTTCTTGCCTCCAAAAGACCAAGGCGAGGATGGACGGCGGAAGACGTGCGCTACCCGTCGGTTGCTGCTGCTGCTGCTGCTACTTCTGCTGCTGGGACGCTCGACCTCGAATCCGGACACGTAATCTTGCGAAAGTACGCTGCCACTGCAGCTACCACTACCGTCGCTTTCGACTCGTCGTACGCGCAGACAAGGAGTGCTAGGCGCAGAGGAGGACAGATGCCAGGGCGAGGACGAGGGAGGAGAAGCGAAAGGCTGCGGAGACGAAACGCGAGGCGATGAGATGAACTCCTGCTCGTCCTCTTCTCGCGGCGCGCAGTCCTCGTCGTCGAGACTAGTCTGTATGTGAATCGGCTGGGAGATGGCCTGCTTGCCGTATCGGACGCCCGTGTCCTCAGCGAGGGCTGCACCAGATAGGCTGCGAAGCGGGGAAGCAGAGAGGGGGCGAGACATGGCGGAGAGGATTGGAGATGATGGTCAGTTGGTGTTGCAAGCCGCCGCCGCCGCCTCCTCGTTTGTCTATACTCACATTAGCACTCGTTGGTCTCTGCTTTTGCTATCAGGGCAGCGGCGGCGAGACGCAAAGGGCGGGCGGCGATGAAGGCGGAAGAGGATCCAAAGTGAGCGGCGCCGAAGGGGGGCGGGCGACGAGGATGGCTGAGATACCTCGAAGAGATGACAACGACGAGGACAGCGACGACAACGACTGCGCCCTACGTCTGGCGGTCGTGTCTCCTAGAGTAGGGGTTGAGTGAGAGGAGGATGCAAAGGCAAGCTAACGAGGTGCCAGGGTCAGGTCAGTCGACTCGAGTCCGTCCTGTTGGTCTCGCTCAAAGCGCACACGCTGCTCACTCAACGCGGGGCGGGGCAGCGAGCGGGCGGGCTGAGCGCAGGCAGCGGGCGGGCTCACGATAGCGTTGGCAGAGAGCAGTGAGAGGCTCCAGAGGCGCGCGAATATCGCCATTATTGCTGCAGGCTGATCACGAAGTCAGTGCTCATCACGTACCACGTCCCAGAGCATGATATTGCTTTGAAGTCACTGCATCACCTTTCGCTACTCCTCGTCAGGCTATCCACACGCCCCACGCCTCACGCGCCGCCTCGCCGGGTCCCTCTTTGTCTCCACCGCGAATCCGTCCCTCGGTGGGCCTGCAAAAATCGGAGCGGACGGCTGAGCCTCGGCGTCGTCGAGGGCGGCGGCGGCGGCGGCGGCGGGAGGACGTCAGTCAGCGACTCTTCGCATCATTCGATCCACTTCCTCATCCCGTCCCGTCTCCGTCCCTTCCTTGATCGCCATCGCCTCATCTCGATAGTGACGACGACGACCGACGACACGATGGCTTCCTCTTCCTCTCCCGCCGCCCCCGGCTTCCCGCAGCCTGGCACCGGCCTCCCTCACACACCCGCAACGCCCGGCGCAGGCGAACTCCAATCGTTGCCCGTAGTGACGGAGCAACCACGGGCTCGCTCCATCTTCGCCTTTGCCGATCCTGTCACAAAGCCTCTCGCTCGCACCATGGCTTCGTTGCAGGAGTCTCGTCAGAAGTTGGGTCTTCCCAACCCGGGCACGATCGAAGGGCTGACTGTGCCTGTGCGAACTTGCCATGCTTCGAACCTTTTCTTCGATGGCGCGAGGGCCGACCTGGCAAAGACGGTCTCTTTCAACCCGATCTTCCAAGTCACTCACTCCTTCACCCATGGTGCACAAGGGGCGCCGCCGAGCTACCAATTCGGAGCTGTGCTCGGTACCAACAATGTGCGGCAAGACCAGAGACACGGAGGCCAGATGATCCTCAGCAGCTACTGACCATGCCATGTCTCTCCCCCTTGCCCCGCTCGCAGACCTTCATGCAGGGATCCGTCGACGACTCATCCAGCGTCATGATGCGTCTCAACCAGCGCTGGGCGCCAGGCCACATCACCAAGATCCAAGGCCAGGTGAGCCCCGCCGCTGCATAGCCATGCTCGGTGCCATCCCGCTCACCCACTCGCTCCTCGCACGCATAGCTTCCCGGCGCTACGACTGGCTCTCCCCCCTTCATGCAAGTGGAGCACGACTTCCAAGGCCTAGACCACTCGATCAACCTTCGCGCAATGAACCCCTCGCCCACAGACCTTACCGGAATCTACCAATTCAACTTCCTCCAATCCCTGACCCGCAACTTCGCCCTGGGACTGGACACGGTTTGGGTGCGCCAAACGGTGGACATGAACGAGGCCAACATGGGGTACGTGGCCAAGTGGACCTCGGATGCCCGCGATGCCGTGGGTACGCTGCAGCTGCAGCCGCAGGGGATCGCTCAGGCTACATACTGGCAAAAGGTGGCGGAGAGGGTCGAGGCGGCGGTAGATCTCCAGGCCATTGCGCAGGGTGGAAGGAGAGAGGCAGCTGCTACCTTGGGTGCCAAGTGGGACTTTAGGATGTCGACTTTCCGTGCGTCGATCGACTCGGGAGGCAAGGTGACCAGCTTGTTGGAGACGAGGCTGAGCCCCTCGTTTGGGTTCACCGTCGGTGGTGAGATCGATCATGTCAAGAATGCGGGAAGATTCGGCGTGGGCATCTCCATCGACAGCGTGGGCGATCACCTGCCTGTGCCTACCGACCCGAGCGCCCCGCCTCCGGCTTCACCGAGCCCGCCCATGTAAAGCGGGTGAGTGAGGAGACAAAAGGCGCAGGGTAGGGAGGTTGGAGTAGTAGAGCAGGCGCAGCGTGCCGGGGCGCGATACGACGTGTGGACGACGAGGCATCTTGGGCATCGAGTAGAATGGGAGAGTCAATCGCGTTGGACCCCAGCCTGTAGTCTATTGCACGCACACACACACACACATGCACACCCACACATCACCGCCATCACACCACTTTGCGCTCAAGCTTGCAACTTGTAAGATTGGCTATGCGTTCGCCACCGCTATGAAGTCTTCTCGCCCGTCGTCTTCTTGACATCGCCGCTAGCCTGCTCTGCGATCTCCTCGCTGACCTCAGGCGCAATGGCAGCCTCGGCCGCCTCGCTCGCCGAAGGTGCTGCTTGTGGCTGCCCAACGGCTTTTGCCGCTACCTCTGCCGCTGTCTCCGCCACCGCCTCCTCCTCCGCTTCATCGCGCAGCTTCATCTTCTCTAGCATCGCTTTCCTCAACTCGTGTACCTCCTCCCTCTCCCTCTTCTGCTCCTCAAGAGCCAACTCCCCTTCAACCTCTTCGCGGATAGCCCTCCTCCTGGCCTTGTGCTTGCGGGAGTGTTTGTTCTCTAGGTCGTCGCGCATGAGCAGCTCGATGGGCAATGAGTCCAGGTGGGCGCGCGAGAGACGGAGGGCTGGGGACGAGGGGCCGTCTTCCTTGCCTTCGGGGAAAGGGGCGACGAGGCGACCAGTGGCTTCGTCACGACGATAAAATCCTGCCGCATAGCCTGCGCCGCGCTTTTCTGCTTCGGTATCGACGGGTAATGTCCAGTTCCCGGCAGCTGGGCCCTCTCTAGGTGCGAGGTCCAGGTAGTCGGAGGGAGCAAATGATCGCCCGCCATTCTCAATGTGCGTAGACGCCTCGCCCGCAACCCAATCGGCTCGCTTCTGCCCCGCAAGAGCGAGGATCTCGCTCGCCGTAGGCGGCTGAGGAACAGGAGTGGCTTTGCGATAGCCTTGACGCTTGTTCCTCTCCGCGAATCCGGCATAGACGCCCATGCGGCGCTTGGCCCCCTCGCCACGCTCGAGATCTGCAGCTCTCTTTGCCTCCGCAGCTCGCTGCGCCATCTCCTTACGCCTGACCTCTACTTGCGCCTCGCTGATCGGACTCGCCCAGGGCCTTTCGGGGTTGAGCAGCACAGGGTCGAATGGGCTCCAGGGAAGCCACGTCTCCTCCTCCACGACGTCGCGCTTGGTCAGCTCAGCCCTGTTCTGTGGGCGTGGTCGCTCCGGCTCTGGCCAGGGCACCTCGATGCGTGACGTCGTTCCATCTGCTTCCTTGACTACGGCGATGCGCTGCCACATCCACCTGCGCAAATGACGGTTGTAATGGACGTTCCGCCTCTCAAGCCTGTACGCATAGCGCGGCGGGGCATTCTTGTCGCCCTCGCCGGGGGGGATGCGTAGCACCAAATTCGAGTAATGCACAGCCCGCGGTACCTCGACGACATTGCCCTCTCTTCCCTTCTCCGGCTCGTTCTCATCCATCATCCTCGACGGGATATGTTTCAAGCTCTTGGGTGCTCGCGGGTTCTTGGCATCCGTATCCGTCAGATAAAGCACATTGCGCTTCTTGTCCACGCTCTGCACTATTCCTTCTCCCCTAAGCTTCTCACGCGGATCAAATCCCAGATCCTGGCCTACACGGCCGGTGCGCAACTTGACTTCATCGCCTGGCGCGAGGTTCCAGAAGGGGATTCGGTCCTGCGGATGGACGAAGTGCTGCGGTTCGCGGAGGTTCGAGGGGATTGACTTTGCGTCAAATTTGGACGAGGGTTTGGGTGGCTTGAGGTGCGCAAAGTTGCGTGTCACGCCGGAGCGTGTGCCGGCGAAGGACATGCTGGTGCGAAAGGGTGGGTGGTGATGAGGTGAGGAGGAAGTGGGGAGTGAGAGCAACTCGAGTCGAGGCGGCCCACGAAGAAAGTGACTGACGGAACGGCACGCGGGCGGGCGGGCGGGCGAGGGCGGAGCCACTCGAGTCGAGTCCAGTCGAGTGGAAGCAACCAAAGTCGACGTCGACCGCTTCGCAGCTTCCTGACCGACATCATCACAGCATAGCATCGCGGCACCATGTCCTCGCCATCAACACTCGCTTCGATGATCAGAGCGGCCCAGCGCACGCTTCCCGCGTCACCTCTGGCTACGTCGAGCCGTCGTACTCTCACCTCATCGGCACCTCGCCGCGCAGACGACCCCACATCCGGCGTACGAGACTACGTCCAATCCCTTACCTCGTCCGCCGCGTCCGCCTCGTCGTCATCACGGACGCCCGCCTTCCGAGCCGGCTCAAGATCACCTGCCAGCCCATCATTTGCAGTCAACAGCCCGCGAGCCGCGCCCAACCACCTCGGCGCCATGCGCTCCCCATCCGCTGGGCCCGGCGGTGTTGGCGCGGGAGGTGTGGCTCGACCAGCAGCCAATGCGACGGCCAAGGCTCAGGCTATTCGTATGGCCTTTCATGGACAGGTAAGCACGAGATATACATGCAGTGCCTTCTCAGCGCAACGCCAGTGCCCGCTCACAGCTCAACATCCCACGCTCGCGCCCGCAGCACTACACTCCCCCCTCACTCACCTCCCCTGCGCAAATCTCTCAACAAACATCACGCGCTCGCCCCTTGCTAGGCCCACCGAAGCACATTGCAGTCCAAATCGACCAGATCCATCGCCTAGGACTCAACCCGGCCAAGCCTAGCTTGCAGGACGACTCGTACAAGAACCCGGCACTGATGACGCAATTTGTTACCGAGATGGGAAAGATCATGCCGAGGAGTCAGACGATGCTTACGAGGAAGAGTCAGAGGCGGGTGGGCAAGGCGGTACGCAGGATGAGGAGTATGGGATTGATGCCTGTATTGGCTAGGCCGCAGTTCTGAGCGGAAGATGGGGAGAGGAATACTCACTTGTGTTCATCGAGTGTTTGCGCTACTGAGGTGGTAGTGAGAAAGGCGAGATCGAACTGCGTGCGATCGATCGGCATTGCCTGACCGAGATCTGCCCAGATGAAGGCCGCAAAGAGCTGCTGGATGCTACCTTTGCACTGAGACTCCACACGAGCTTTTCGGGCTCGACGAGGCGATCCGCCACCTATCCCACCACACTCAGTAACGCCTCTGCTCACTTTTCGAGGCGACCATCAGTACAATCGACAAGCGACGAGTAAGCTGGACAACAGCCTGTTGAAGGATGACGGTACGGGGCATTCGAGATAGAGGACCCATACGGTGACAGCGGCTCTCACGTACAGCGAGGGTCAGGGTGCTTGTAGCGACATGCTTCTCTCGTGTCACAAGATGTATTCGTGGTCGCAAAGTAGCCCGAGCGTCGATCGTGTGCGTTCAACGTCTCCCGACAAATCGCTGAGCACGACCGTCGACTTGCCGTGAGCAGAGTGTGTGTGAAGCGCTTTGGTCATCTCGCGCTCCTTCTTGTACCTACATGGCGGCAGATGCATCTGGAATCCAACGATGTCATGCCTCACGTCCCTCCTTGCGACCCGAATTGCTGGCCGAATCGCCCGAATACCACCAAATTGCGCTCCTCACGGCCACCTCAGCCTGCGGTTAGCGTCACTTTCTTTTGGTCCGGCTGTCCCTCCGTTCCGACACCTCGACCTCACCGCGCGCGGTGGACCCAGTCGCTCTCGCGAGGGCCGATTCGTCGAGCCCGCCTTGCCTGCCTGCAAGCAGCCTGTCCGCCGCCCCGCCTGCCCACTGAGCCCAGCCAAGGATTGAGCGACTGCGATCTTCGGCCCTTCCTCCTTACCACTCTTCCATCCTCATATCGATCAAAGATGGCAAAGTCTAAGAACCACACCAACCACGTTAGTATCAGCATATGGAATGGAGATAAAGGCGGGCACGATGCGGGAGAGGAGGAGATTGAGAGTGTAGGGAGCGAATGGGAATGGACTGGAGGAAGGTTTGGACGGCCGAGGATGATTGTCTTCGCTAGATGAGAGTGGCAGCAAGACGAAGGATAGACTGCGCCTCTACTTGAGGAGACCTCAGGCTGCTTCTAGCTGGCATGTGATGAGGCAGTGGAAGGGGCAGGGAAGACGAAGGAGGCACCGGTCGTCGGTCGAGGTGGTCTGAGATCTGGCGGGCGATCCGATATCCTGCAAGAGGAGACAGGGGATAGCAGCTGTTGCGCAGGGCAAACACTCGGAGACGAGCCCTCTCAGCAGCATGAGGAGGCGGGAGAGAGGAAAGGTCGCGCTGGCTGCTGCGGACCTCGTTCAGACTCCATTTCAACGTATCCTCGAACAATCACCACTCACACATCTTCCTCTTCTCCCCTTCCACGCAAACAGAACCAGAGCAGAAAGGCTCACCGCAACGGTATCAAGAAGCCCAAGACGAACAGGTACCCTTCGCTCAAGGGTGTCGACCCCAAGTTCGTCCGCAACCAGCGATAGTGAGTTGCGCCAAGCCTCCCCTGACTTGGCCGGAGTGTCAGAGGACGCGGAGCTGACCATGCTCAACCCTCCCTCGCCCCTCGCTCTCGCCCACAGCGCCAAGCACGGAACCGAGAAGGCCCTCCGTGAGAGCCGTGCCGCTGCTAGGACTGCTGCGTAGAGGAAGGATGGTTCTTGCCGTTCGATGACTTCACCATCGATGAAGGTGGTGGGGCCATTGGCGGCGTAGTGGACTAGCGGGAGGGCTCTCTTCTTTGCCCTTTCGCTCGACATTGGCTCGCCTCCTCACCTTGTACAACTTTGATCCTCACAATCTACATCTACAGCACTACGGCACGCGTGTACACTCGGTTCGTCAAGCGTGCCGCGCCATCTCTTCTTGATTGCCGGCGGGAGAAGCTACGGCGGCCAGTCGTCGTCATCCACCTGCTCGTCATCCGGGACGCTATCATCGTGATCCACATCAGCCCCTCCTCCCTGCCATTCCTCCCCATTCTCGCTCGCCTGCTGTAGCCGCCATGCTGCCGCTTCGCCTCTTCGCTCCTCGTCTCCATCGTCGTCCTCATTCCCGTCATCGCCGTCGTCAAAGTCGAACTCAAAGTCTTCGCCCACACCAGCAGAATCGTCAAAGTCCAGCTCCCCTTCGCCCTCACCGTCTGCTTCACCTCTGCCCTCCGTCCTCACACTGCTCTCCCCTTGCTCTTCCACAATCACTGGCACCCACCCTCCCAACCTCCTCCCCAAACCAGTCATACCCTCCAACTCCCTCATCACCTCTCGCTGCCTGACTGCGTCCCTCTGCTGTGCGAAGTGACTCGACTGCAAGGAGAGAGAGAGGGCAGTGCTCATCGGTCCGCCGATACGGGAGGGCGGCGAGGTGCCTAGCGCTTTGGCCGGACTTGTGGAGAGGACGAGAGGTGGGGAGATGCTGGTGGGGTTGCTGTTGGCAGCTAGGCCGCCGCCTTCAGAGAGGCCAAATAGGCGACGCTTGACGTCTGCTGTAGACTCCCCGGTCGGTCGGTGCTGCGGAGGCGGCGGCGACAGCGGCGGCTCGGCACTTTCTTCTATCCTGACCCTGCGTAGCTCTTGCTCCAATGGTGAAGGTTCGTCTCCGTCCGCTTTCGACGGTAGGTTGTACGCTGAAAAGCCATTCTGCCGCTCTTCAGGCGACTGCGTGCTTCCCTCAGCCGTAGCCTTCTTGGAGGCGGCGGCGCTGGCGGCCGGCGTGTTACTACGATGTCGTCCCCTCGCGAGGCCGAGTCGCTCCGATTTGCGAATGGCCGTCTTGGGGATGAAGATGGATGATGTCGAAGAAGAAGAAGAGCTGCTTGCCATGGTGGGAGACGCCAGCGGTATGGCTTGAAAGGGAGCGCAGCGCTGTGCTCGCTCTCGATTGTCCTCGTGATGTTTGGCAAGCCTGGGCGACGCTCGAGCCATGGCTTTTTCGGCCCTGGCACTCACTTGGCGGCGCCGATGAGCCGCCGGCTAATCTGTGGCCGCCCCCACTGACTCCCACCCGTCTTCTCGCCGCTCATTACTACGCCGCTTTTACCGCTCTGCACTTCTTGGCTCCTTACCACATCCATCCTGCGTCTTTGCACACAATGAGCGCCGCACCCGAACAGCACAAAGCCATCAGCGCCCCCATCCAAGCAGTGGACGCCTCGCGCATCCCTCCAGCAGGCCCCGTCGCGATCCTTCCTTCTGATCATCCCAACTGCAAGCGCTATACCTCCGACATCCTCTCCGCCTTTCCCGATCCCCCTCTCGCACCCCTGAGCAAGGAGACTCGCGGCGTCATCTGGCTCGACATCTCTGCCCACGCCAAGCTGGGCGAGGTACTCGACGCCAATCCGCAGGTAGGGTGGGTCCAGCTCGTCCAGGCTGGAATCAACCTGTACAAGGACGTGATCCACAAGCACAACGACAAAGTCTGGACGAGCGCAAAGGGCTCCTTTGGCCAGCCCGTGGCCGAGCATGCGCTTATGATGATCCTCGGTCTACTCCGCAAGATTCCGCAGCGTATCCGCTCAACCAGCTGGGCCCCCGCTGCAGGCCTGTCCTTGTACAACCGCCGGGTCACCATTGTCGGAGCAGGCGGAATCACCCTCGCCCTCCTCTCGCAGATCGCACCCTTCAGCCCACATGTCACTGTTCTGCGTCGTCGCTCCGATCCATTGGAGGACGAAGTCATCCCGCCCGGACTCAAGGGGCGCGTCGAGGTGGACACATTCAAGCGCCTTCACGAGGTATTGCCCAAAACGGAGGTGCTGGTCATCGCTGCCGCCCTGACGCCAGGGACCAACGGAATGATCGGAGCCAGAGAGCTCGAATTGCTCCCATCCCACGCTGTGCTGGTCAACGTGGCTCGCGGCGAACATGTACAGACAGACGCCATCGTCGAGGCCTTGCGCAAGGGGAAGCTCGCCGGAGCAGGGCTAGACGTTACGGCTCCCGAGCCGCTCCCCGAGGGACATCCTCTTTGGAACCTCGAAGTGGAGAGCGACACTGCTCTCGAGCAGATCGACGAGGAGCTTCGACCCAGCGCACAGGAGAAGACAGGCGGCAGGAGGGCAAACGTGATCATCACGCCCCATACGGCCGACACGCCAGCTATGATTCGTCCGCTGATCGTCAACCGCTTTGTGGTTAATCTCAAGGCGCTGCAGGAGGGCAAGGGGAAGTTTGAGGGAGTGGTGGACAACGAGCATGCGTACTGAGGTGGCAAAGCGGTAGAGCTGCAGCTAAGAGGGGGTTGATGATGATGATACATTGCACTCTATAATGCTCAAAGACACTCAAGCCCTATTTCCGCCCTGCTGCTCGAACGTCTCTTCCTCGGAGTCGAGCACTTCTTCATACTCCTCCGCATCATCTTCGTCGTCCTCGTTCTCCTCACCAGCCGCTCCCTCCTGCTCAGCCCCTTCCGTAATGATCCGTCGCATCGCCTCACGCTCAGCCTCAGGCAGTGATCCCAGCGCAGCCATGAGAGCGTCCTGCAGTTCAGCGGGATCACCACCATCTTGCTGCGCTGCATCACCCTCTCCGGCAGCCTGACCGCCTTGCTGCTGCTGCTGCTGAAACCATCCTCGCAGCCTACCAGCAGCAAAAGCCGCCAGGCGACCCATGATCCCCTCGCCCATCTCCACGTCGTCCTCTGTGCCGCCTCTCTGCCCGGCTGCAGTGCCTCGTTGTGTTCGTCCCTGCCCGAACAAGGGCGCAAAATACTCCTCATCCACCCTCGTCACCGCCGCGCCTCGAAGTTTGGATGGCGGCAAAGGGTCATGAGCATTGAGGTTCGCTTCGTCCTTGGCGATGGAGCGCGGAAGGCAGGAGAGTAGCTGAGTCCGCAAAGCGTCAGGCAGATCCGACGCAATAACGTGGCGGTAGACCCCCTCGACCTGCTCCTCTGTCGGTCTCGCCGCACCGCTGTCTGAAGCCTTGATTCCACCTTCGCTCTCGACACTCTTGAGCGTCTCTTGCAGCCAATCCCTGTTGTCGGCGTCTTTCCAGAGAGACTCGCTGCGTAGCGCGTATAGCTGGGCGAGGATCTCCTGTACGTCGTTGGGATCCTGCACTCCCAGCTTGGGTGAAAGGGGAGGGAGGGCAGTCTTGGAGGCGAGAGCGGATAACATGTAGGAGTGCGAGTGGATGGCGCGCTTGAGTAGGTCGGTTGAGCTGGGCGATGAGGAGGAGCGCAGTGAGGTGGCGGATCCTGACTTCTTCTTGCCTTGCTTCTCGTCAGCCTCCATTGCGCGCACAGCGAGAGCCTCGGCGAAGGCCAGTCCACCGAGCCAGTCGGCATTGCTGCCCTCCTTGCCTTTGCCCTTCTTGCGCAGCGCCGGCAGGAAGTCATCGACAAGCCACTGGTGCTGACTAGACTTGACCGCCAAGAAGTCAATCCAGAGCAGTGCGCCGTGCGGGTCCCTCTCAGGCTCCAGAGCGAGGAGCAGCTTGCTCCACTCAAGCGCCGTCCTCCAAGTCCCTCTCCTCCCCAAGAATCCCACATTACGATGCACTGCCAACCAGAGTGCTCGATTCTCCACCTTGTCAAAGTCCACCCGCATCGGCCCGCCTGCGGCACCACCGCTGGTCAAGGAGCCAACCCACTGCGTCGCAGCGGTGCGCTCAAAGGCAAAGAGGATGCGCGCATTCCAGTCTGCAGCCTGGGCTAGATCACCCTGATGCTTCGCTATGTCGCTCAAAGAGCTGAGCAAGTGGATATGCCAGGGGTAAGGGCGGAATAGGGCGTAGATGCTGTTCGGGTCATAGGTGGCTACCGCTGCTTGGAACTCGTATTGAGCGGTCCGGTAGGCTTTGCTGTGTGTCCAGGTGGCCATCTTCTCCCCGCTGTCCTCATCGTCGATCAGCTCGCCTTGAATGCCTGTGAAGGTCCTCGCAATAGGTGGCCAGTCTTCCCTCGGCTGGACGAGGACGCTTCGTGCCTTGAGGTTGGGGTTGCGAGCCATCATCCTTGCCTTGGCTCCTCGGGCAGCGCGTTGCGCTCCTGCGCCTCCTGTGCCCCCCTCGCCGTCCGTCCCGGCATTGGAAGCCTCGAAAGCTTTGATCGCTGCGGAGCCGAACTGACGCTTGAGCTCGATGCTTGGGTCGAGGTTCGAAGGGTTGAGTGTGAGTGAGGAGCGAAGGGAGGATGGACCACCAGCAGCAGCGGATGTCGAGGGAGCGGCAGAACCTGTCGCAGAACCCGAGCCCCCGCCTGCCTTCATGTGTGGCTGCGAGGAGAGGAGGGAGTCGAAGTCATCGAGAGACATCTCAGAAAGGCCCTTTGTTGGCGCAGTGCCACCCGAGGGTGTGTTCGCCTTCGACTTCTTCTTGGCCGCCATTGACGCTGCGGATGCTGATGCCTCGTCTGCTTCGGCTGCCACCTCCTCTCCCTCGGCCGGTTTCGCCTTGCTCTTCTTTTTCTTCTTCTTGTTCTTCTTCTTTTTGGAGGCAGCGGGCTTCGTATCGGCGACCTGCTCCTCATCGCCGCCCTCCTCGTCGTCCTCCTCCTCCTCACTGCCAGCACCATCCTCTCCGGCGTTGAGCGCAGCAAAGATGGACTGAGCGGCCGGTGCTTGTGGCTTTTCCCCTTCCTCCTCTTCCTCCTCTTGCTCAGGCTCTTCTTCCTCTGTCGGTGCCGGCTTGACAGCAGCTAGCTCACTGAGCTCCTGCTGTTCTCTTGCCTGCCTCTTGTTGAGGCGTTTAGCGGCCATGGCTGGTGAATGAGATTGTGGTAGTGAATGCAGCTCTTCACGATCGGATGACCAGACTTTCTTGCCGTCGTCGCTGAGCTTCGCGTGGAGGTGGACGAGTCCGCAAGTCGGAACGGAGTCTTACCTCTATCCCAACAACCACTCTTCGCCGCGGCGTCTTCTGGTGACGTAGTCGTCATGTTACTCAGCCCTGCTCGACATTGATGTCACCACCGACCCTTCGCTTCCATTGTCAACAACTGTATCTTCGAGTCCGAGCTGCGCTCGCGCACCACCACCAGCACTCATGCCACGCCGCTCGCTCTGCCTGCCCTCGACGATCCCACGTCGCATGCAAGGAAAGGGCTTCGCGTTCCAAGAATCGCTCGCTCAGGCCGGCAGGCGAGGTCGAGGTGTGCGACCTCGAGCCAGCCAGACTAGCCGGGCTGGCGGCGGGCGTACATCCAACACCTCACTCGCCTCTCCGCGCGCGCGTGCGTATGTGTGTGTGTGTGTGTGCCTCTCTCTCCGCTACTCCTAGTCTATTTCAAGTGTCACACCTTGCCCCCTCGCGCCAGGCTGCCGTCGCTCGCTCCCTCGCTCGCACGCTCGCAGCCACTAAAAGCGAACGAGCATGACGAGGGCAGCTAGCGGCCGGTCTCTACCGTACTGGACAGGCAAGGTCTGATCGCCGTCCTCGTGGGGCAAGACGGAGGAGGTCCTTGATCGCTATGTCCTCCTTTCCATCTCAACATCACTAATATCCCCTCCTGTACCGACCCTGTCTCCCCCTCACATCCATCAAAGACCCCCCTCTATCCCCTGATACCAACTCGCAGCGCGAGCCGCGAGAAGCTATCGAACCCACATTCTTTTGATTGAAATACACCACGCTCTTTTCCGGATCCACTTCAACTCCCCTCGTGCTCCCGTAGCACAACCACTCTCCACCCCCCGCCAGTCCCGCACCCGCTATGGAGACGGTCTACACCTCAGCAATGGCTGCGGCCACACCCACCGCCTCATCACTGGACGTGGCCCCTGCAGCGACGTCCGCGACCAGCACTGTCTCGCCCGAGCTTGCCTCCCTCCTCGCCTCGAACCCCTACCTCTCCCGTATCGAGGAACACGGTCCCTATGGGTATGAGCCCATCCTCTGGCTTCCCATCCTCTTCTCAGGCCTCTACGCCCTATCTGCACTCCTCCACGTAGCACAAGTGAGCTCAACACGACACTGGTGGCTGCTCGTCCTCGTCTTTGGGTGTATCGCCGAGTCCGCCGGCAACGGGATCAGGATCTACGGACATTTCGACGCGAGAGCGATTGACCCGTACATCGCCCAGCAGGTGATTCTGGTCGTCACGCCCGTCTTCTTCGCGGCGGTGCACTTCGCCACGCTGGGTCGGATCATTGAGCTTTTCGGCCAGGCATTCACTTTCAGATATCTGAGCCCCGCAGCCATCACGCCATGCTTCGTGCTGCTAGACTTGGCGTCCCTGGCAGTTCAAGGGACAGGTTCGGGAATGGCGGCCACTGCCGAGGTCAACGGCAAGGACACGACATGGGGTGGCCGTATCGTCGTGATAGGGCTGTGCGTCCAGCTGGTCGGGTACGCCTGCTTCAACTGGCTCCTCCTCACCTTCGTTTGGCGCGCCGTCGTCACCCACCACTCTACCGTCTCCTCTAACCGCCTCTGGACGGGCAAGTTCAAGTTCTTCTTGCTCACCTTCTTCCTCTCGAGTCTGCTGGTACTGGGCCGTTCTACGTTCCGCACGTACGAGATGATCAAGGGATGGGTGGGACCGATCAGCACTGTCGAGTGGTATTTCTACGCCTTCGATGCCGCCCCGGTCTGCGCTGCTTCGCTGTTGCTCAACCTCATGTTCCCCGGTTGGGTGCTGCCTGCCAATCATAGGGAGACAGTCGAGGAGCTAGCGACGGCGAGGGCAAAGGTGGAAGGCAAAGGAGGGCGCGACAGCTTTGATGGGAGCTTCTGCAATGTGGATCGAGATGCCGATCGCAAGGGCGGGTCGATGGATGACGATCGCTTCTCCATCTACGCCTCGAGCGTCAAGTACGACATGGCAGGCCAAGGAGCAGGTGGCACCGTACCGCACCATCGCACCAACTCGCTGGGCGTGCCGCTGCACAAACTGCCAGCCGCTTCGAGCTCTACGCTCACGCTTGCCAACAATGGCGCGCCGATGGCTATGAGCAAGTCGTACGACTACGCGCACGACGGCGAAGACGACTACTACGCCCCTGCGGGTCGAGGGCTGGATAGTGCCACACTGCACCCCTCGCCGTCAGCAGGGTCGGCGACTTTTGGTTGGTCACACCCGCATGTGCCCTCACCGTCCCCTGCGGCCTCGCCGAGCGACACGCCGCAGCTGCAGTCGGGGATAGGTGGATATGGGCAGGAAGAGCCTTACCGCAATAGTGCGCGCTTCTCGTCGGGTGCGTTTGCCATGTAGAGGTGCGGTCCATGGTAGGGAGCCGGCCTCCGAACTCGTGATACCTACTTCCCTTCCGGTCCTCGCTACGTCCTCTGATCTCCTTTCGTGTACGCTACGCTACGTCCTTTGCATGAGCAGCTTAATGACAATACATCGCAGCTACAACCGCGAGCAGGCTGGCACGGAGGTGAAGCACACAGCTCGCCGTGCTCGTCGACCTTTTGCTCGGCATCTGCCGCGTCGTCGTCGTCAGGGAATCGCGTCGTATGAAAGATGCCAAGAAGGATGATGCGAGAGATCGTACACAGAGACACAAAAGGAACCACGGAGCCCGAGCCCAAGCCCACCGCGCAGCTAGTCCTTGCTCTTCTTGCTCTTCTTGCTCTTCTTCGTCTCCCCATTCGTCGCCACGCTAACCGCAGTAGCATCCGCGTCCTCACCATCCTCTGCCGGTCGCTTCTTGCCATTCGTCGCCACCGCTGCCTCCTTTGCTGCCTTCTTTTCCTTCTTTAGTCTCTTGCGCTCTTCCTTGCTCAAGCCGTCCTCGTCGCCGTTCACCGTCGCTGACGCTGTTGACTGGTCTGCTGCTGCTGCTGCCGCCGCCTTTGCCGCCTTCTTGGCGGCTTTGCGCTCCTCCTTGCTCAGCTTGGCCGAAGCAGTCGACTCGTCCACATCCATCGCCGGCGCAGCCACAACGGGCGCATCCGCAGCCGCATTGTATGATCTGCCCGCTCCAGCCCCGGCGTCAGCCATGTCGAACTTCTTCTGCTGGTAGCTCGACGGCGCGCCATTCTTTGCCGCCCTCAGCCCACCGATGTCGCTCCTGTGCTCGAGTCCACGCAGCCTGCTCTCCAGCTTGGCACGGGCATCCAGACCAATAGAGGGGGCGGCCGCGTCGCTCTTCGAGTCTGCGTCCGCGAGGGCGTCGAGACGGATGGAAAGGGCGGCCTTTGTGGCGACCATGCGCGCCATCTTGCCCTTGAGCTTCTGCGGGGCTTGGCCGACGAGGGAGGAGTGGAAAATGAGACCGTACTTGGGCGTGTCATGCTTCGTCTTGAGGGCACGGAAGAGGGCCTTTTCTGCTCCCAAGATCTGGACCGTAGAGGCGGGCTGCTTGGCGAGGGAGAGGAGCGAACCGGCGTGCGAGATGAGGCGGGCGCCGACCAGCTCGCCGACGAGGGCGGTGAGATTGGGAGCGATGGCCGCCATTCTGTTCTGGAGGTAGGCGAACAGCTGCGCACGGTAGGCGGTAATGCTGATGACCTGATCGCACAAGCTGAAGATGTGCTCAATGTCCGTCTCTGAGATTTCAGTTCCCATGGAGATCTCTGCAGCGGCCTTGATCGTCTCCTCGATCTCTTCGGGGAGGATCTCAGAGAGGTCGGACGAGGCCATGTTGGTGCGGAAGCCTACGGCTCGAATGACCTTGGCGTACGCGAGGTTGTCGGTGATGATCTTGCCCATCTCGGGGAAGTGCCAGCCGTACCATTCCTGCCGAGTGGAAGGGGCGAAGTCAGCTACGTGCATACAGCGCCACGTCTCGTCTCGCTCGCTCGCTCGCTCGCACGCACCTTGACCCTCATTGCGTATATGTTGATCTCCTTGTCGAGATCGTCGAGCAGGCCAATAGCCTGTACCACCATGGTGTCGACCTTGTCCGGGCTAAACTTAAGCTTGTAGCGCGAGAGGGAGTGAGAGAGACCGAGAGACATGGTGTTGAGGTCGCGAGGGTCGAGGCTCGAGTCGTCGCTGGCAGTGGACGAAAGCAGCTGAGCGAGGTGAGTACGAATGCCTCTGTAGAGGTCATTAACCGACGAGTCCGAAATGACGTTGATGCCGAGCTTCTTTGAGATGGCGCCTCCGAGCTTGGGGTCGACGACGACGAGCTGCTCGTTCTTGCCCTTTCCCTTCTTGCTGCCCTCTTGGTCGACAATCTCGTCGGTGAGGAGCTTCTTGAGCGACTTTGTCATCTTGCCCTCTGCGATGGACGTGGCCTCGTCGACTGCCTCTGCCGTCGATGTGAAGCGCGAAATGGCAGAGAGCTTGAGGAGGTTCGACGCCTTTGTCGGGTCGGCGAGATCGTTTGCCAGGTCGGGCGAAGTGACCTTGGCTGAGTCGGAGAGGCGGAAGAGGGCAAGGCCCACAGCCGTCTCGAAGAGGACGAGGACCATGTTGGGCGAGTGATGAGGTGGATGAGGAGGTGGTGGTGAGGAGGTGGTGATGAGGATGAGAATTCTCTCAATTTTGTCGTCGTCGTCGCCGCTCGGCGCACGCCCGCTCCCTCGAGCGAGCGAGCCCATTGAGACCAGCCCGCCCGCTTTGCTTTGCCGCCCTTTCGAGAGGCTCAAGATTTTTCCAAGTCAGGCAGGCGAGCGGGTGGGCAGGGCCCAAGGCTCCGCTCCGTCCGTGTCAGACTGGAGCTCAGCGCAGCGCGCTCGACTAATGATTATGTAAGACAGCGCCTCGTCCAGCTCCACTCGATGAGATAGGCGGAGAGAGAGGTGCGAAAGCTGCATCATCATCATTTCTCTTCACCAGCATCGCAGCATGAAGATCACTTCGCGCCACATCGAGCGGGATGGCTCCGGCAGAGTCACGATGGTCCCAGAAGAGGAGTGAGTGCGGTGAGCGAGTGATAGGGGGCAAACGACTGACCTGCGCACCCTTCGCTCGCAGCGAGGACATGTATCACCTCCTCAACCTCATCGAGGAAGGCGACCACGTACGAGCGCAAGCTGTGCGTCGCGTCCAATCCGAGTCCTCTACAGGATCCATGGAGTCACATCGCGTCCGTCTCAACCTGACGCTTCAAGTGACCAAGGTCAACTTCGATGCAACCGGCTCGTCAGCTCCGCCGGATCCATCAGCTGCCAATGCCGCAAATGCATCAGCAGCGCAGGAGACGGCCTCAGCCACTGCAGGGGCGCTAGGTGGTGGCGGAGGAGGGTCAGGCAGTGGCGAAGGGGCCACACTTCAAGTCTCAGGGCGAGTAGTCGAAGAGAACAACTTCGTCAAGATGGGCGCTTTCCATACGCTCGATCTCGAGACGCATCGTCAGGTCACGATCACAAAGGACAGCTGGGACAGCATCCATCTGGAGCGACTGAGCGAAGCCAGCGACGTAGGATCACGGGCCGAGGTGGGCGCCGTCGTCCTCGGTGAGGGGACAGCCGTCGTCTGTCTCCTCACAGAACACATGACCATTGTCCGTCAACGGATCGAGGTGCCGCTGCCCCGCAAGAGAAAGGGTCTTCCCGCCAGCGCCGGTGATCGCAGCTTGGCACGCTTCCACGCGCAGGTGTACAACGCCGTCCTCAAACTCGTAGCCCTCCCTGCGCTCCGTCTGGTCATCCTCGCCTCGCCCGGCTTCATCAAGGAAACAGTCTACGATTTCCTCTTCGACGAGGCGGTCAAACGCGGCGATAAGCCACTCGTTGGGGCAGAGGCACGCAGGAAGTTCCTCAAGATTCACTGCTCGAGCCCACACGTCCACGCGCTCATGGAGGTGCTGCGCAGCCCTGAGGTCAGTGCCCGATTGAAGGACACCAAGTTCGCGCGTGAGGGGCAGCTACTGGAACGCTTCATGCGCATGCTGGCTTCGGATGAAATGCGAGCGTGGTATAGCGAGGAGCACGTTCTGCTCGCAGCCGAGCGTGGCGCTGTTCAGACGCTCCTCATCTCGGATGGTCTGTTTCGTGCTGCTGACCCGAAGAGGCGGAAGCGCTTTGTCGGGCTCGTGGAGGAAGTCAGGACCCAAGGGGGTGAGGTCGCCATATTCTCTAGTATGCACGAAAGTGGCAAACAGCTCAATGGCTTGACGGGGATTGCGGCGATCTTGACTTGGCCGATGGATGTTGAAGAGGTTATGGAGGAGGAAGAGGAGGAGCGCAAGAGGAGAGAGGCAGAGAAGAGGGCGGCTGGTGGAGATGGAGATGAGGAAGCACCACTGCCTGAGCCAAACAGAAATCGTGCGTAGCGATGCCTCACACTTCTGGTCACTCGCCCGCACACCTCGATACCCCCAGCATCGGACTGCATGATGTACATTACATTGTCAATCGCACTATGCTCTCATACGCTCACTGCCACAGTGCCGCCCGCCGCCTTGCCTACGCGATTCATGACTGCTAGTCCGATGCCCTTCTCTTCCACTGCCTCCACTACGATCAAGTTCACGCCGCCCTCATCGAGACTCCTCAGCCCAGAGAAGAGGCGGCGTGCAGGCAGATGAGGCTGCGAAAGGCGACCGAGACTGAAGGGCTGGATGAGGATGTGAGCCTGGCTGCCATCGTCGAGGGAGAGGGGAAAGGCCGGACCAGTGGCGGCGGCCATTTCTGCCTCCTCGGCTTCGCGTGATGGCAGAGGCGCGGCCGATTGGGAATCGCTCTTCTCCTCTGCAGCGAGCCAGGCGCGGTGCTCGTCCGTCCATGCGTCTGTATTGCTGGCACGAGCAAACATGGCTTGCGCGAGTGCCGAGTCTGTGAGAAGCATGAGGCCGACGTGGACGCTCGCCTTCCCGTCAAGGAGGTCAGGCTTGGCTGCTACGAGTGCTTGCACCTCTTTCGATAGTGCTTGCGACCAGCCGGCGATACTGCTACTCCCGCCATTCGCAGCCGCCTTCGCGTACCGCGCCTCCTTGCTGGGCACGAAGACCACAACGGGAGCCGTGGGGCTGTAATGCCTGTACTTCATCCCCGGTGTGGTAGGGGCAGCCTCAAAGGCCTCCTGCCGTACCATGTCCCTACCATACACACGAAGCCTTACGGCTCCCTCCCCACTCAGCCCACTGAGGCATTCTTCAATCTCCTCGGGACTAACGGCGCCCGGTCTAAGCACCCTCAGCTCCCCAGGCTCCGTCACGCCATCGACTACGGTACTCTCTACTCCCTGGCTACTCGCACCGCCGCCCAGCACGTACGGTATCCTTCCCTTGAGGTCGTGGAGCACATGCTGCGCAGTTGTCGGTGAGGGCCGGCCGCTCGCGTTGGCGGAAGGAGCAGCGAGGGGTAGGCGCGAGTGGGCGATGAGAGCTCGGGCGAGAGGGTGCGAAGGCATGCGGATACCGACTAGCGGGTGATTGGAGGTGACGAGGAGGGGAAGTGGAGAGGTGCCTTTGCCTTGGAACCACGATGACGAGCTCGACTGATCAGAATACGTCACGCCCGGTCTCGCTGCCGGCATGAGAAAGGTGATTCCTCCCGGCCAGAATCGTCGCATGAGCTCCTCGTAGCAGGGCGGCGGTACCCACCCTTCCGCCACAATCTCCTCTGCCATCTCCAAGTCGCATACATGTACGATCAATGGATTGTCTTGCGGCCTGCCCTTGGCGGCAAAGATGGCCTTGCATGCTGAGGAGGAGAGGGCGTTTGCTGAGAGGCCGTACACTGTTTCCGTAGGGAAGGCGACGGGGAGGTCTTGTCGGAGAGCGGAGGATGCTTCCCGCAGCGAGGAGGTCGTGGTGGGACCTGCAGCTGCGAGACGGGCACGGCGGAGTGGCTCGTTGGAGGAAGAAGGGTCGCTGAATGTGACTAAGTCGGAGTCGGTGGGTAGGACGATGGTGTCGAAAGTGCGATCCGGGTATGCAGGCGCGGAGGAAGACGACGACGACGACGACGCCTCTCCCTCCCGCGCCTTTGTTGCCATGCTTGCCATCCTGAGTGCAGGCACTCGTCGAAGCAGAGTGTACGGTGTTTTCAGCAGCAGTGAGCTAGACAACCTTGTGGCCATGCAATCACGGGCACGCTGTGTGATAGGATGAATGACCGAGTGAATCTGGACTAGCGCTTGAATGCCAGTGCAATGGACAGACGGACAGGCGGGAAGGAGCACATGCACAACGTCGAGCGAGTCCTTCGAGTCTCAAAAAATCGTCCGCCCGCCGGCTCGCCGCTCCGCTGCTCCTCACTCAGCCCTGCTCGTCGTACTCGAGCCAATTCCAGCAAGGCTCACTGAACCACGCTCAGGCCAGGCCAGGCCAGGCCAGGCTTCTCCACGTCAAGCTCGTCGCGAAGCTCGGCAGACTTGCCAGACGACGACAAGGTGGGACGAAGCGGCAGCCGCGATAAATCAGGTGGACCACAGTCGCCATCACCGGCACGGCGCTCTCACCGAGACGGCGCATTGTTATCGCTGCGAGGCCAGGGAGGCGTGTGAAGACGCAGCATGACTTGATCAAGCCTCATGGCAATGCAACACGAGTTGAATGATCCCGCTTGCGTGTGCGTGGTGTGCAGGCAGGAGCAATCGAGTGTGTGCCACTTTTGGGCCGCCCGAGGCTGAGTTGGGTGTTGAGGCGTCGAGGCGTCGAGGCGTCGAGGGTCAATTGCGGGGCAAAGGGCGGGCGGGAGGGGGGGCTTTGCTTGCTCTTGGCTAGGCGGAGGCAGAGGCGGAGGCGGAGAGTGGGCGAGGCGACGGCTGGGTCAAGGCCGCTCTGGCTCGTCTGGCCCAACTGACTGGCCTCTGTCCGTGCCCAAGTCGCTCTCGTCGAGCGCGTGCGACATTGCCAGGGAGCGCAGTGACCTCGGCCTCGTTCAATCTATCCTTTCACTGCAGCAAACGCTCCCATCGCATCGCGGGCGGTCACACACCTTTGCGCTACCCTGTCCCCCTTTCTTCTCTTCCTCATCTCAACAATCGCTCAGACGCCCGACGCTGTCGCATCACAGTCTCAGCTCGGACCGCCGTCTCGCTGGTCTCGGCGAGCGGCAATTGCCTCTCAACACACACACACGCACGCACTCCTCGTAGCATACACGGCGATCACGACGCTCAGAGTGAGGCAATAGGCAGAGGGAGAGGCAGGCAAGGCCAAAGCCAGGCTCCACTGGTAAGGCCAGATGGGCTCACCTCCTCCTCGACCAGGCCAGCAGGAAAGGGGTGCTAGCCGCGATGACAGCACCAGTCGCCCGCAGCTGTCAAGCGCATCGTCCTCTTCATCACTGAAGCGACCGCCTTCTAGCTCCTCTACAAAGAGTACTACGCCTCAGTTGCCTATGCATCCGACCTTCAGCCAGACTGCGACACCTCGCGCTGCTACTTCTTCCTCATCATTGTCCAAGTGGAGCTCAGAAGACCTCGAAAGAGCGGCCGATGTCAGAGCGACGTCCACTGGCTCTCCTACGCCTTCGGGCTCTTCGAATGTCAAGCCGACACCTCTGACGTCGCGCAGCATTGCTACCGATCTGAAGTCGCCTCCGCGGGCTCGAGAGCCAGTGTCCAGCGACTTGGGCGAGCAGGAAGATGAGGCAGGAGACGTCCATCGCAAGCTGTCATTTAGTCGCACTACTGATGGAGGTGAGTCGATTCGAGATCTACCAAGCCAGCCTCGCCGAGAATCGCTGATATCCGCCCTCGCCTTCGCCCTTTGCAGCCTGGACAGATCTGCGTCGCTCCTCGTCCACCGCAGGCATCTTCGACCTCGATACAGACGTCGTCGCTGAGCCGGCCGCCCCGGCCGCCGCATCAGCAGCTGCTCGAAGCTCGCCCACTCGCACCTCCCCGACTGCCATCCGTTCATCGCAGCCCCGCCCGCCTCCATCCTCCTTCATTGACCCATTCGCAGCTGGCTCGCGGGCGCAGAGAGGGCAGCCTCGCACCTCACTCGGCGAAGCCTTCGGCGCCAGACGCCAGCAATCTACCCTGGCTGTCCCGCCTGCCACAACTACACCATCTACCGGCCCTTCATCCTCGTCAAGCGGCCCCTCCTCAGGGCCCATCACTATCGCAACGGCAGGCAAGCACGGCAAGTTCCCCTTTGACACGACGCCCTCCTTCTCCAGTCCCCTAGCCTACGCCTCAATCCTACCCAACGACGCAGCGGATGACTTTGATCTGGACCGCGTCAGCCCATCAGACGCAAACAATGATGCACGAGAGGTTGAGGACTCGCTGCAGAGTCTTGGGGTAGCGGCTAGCGAGGCCGAGGCGGACGTACCTCCTGGTTCGCGTAAGGCCAGCAACGAGTCTAGCATGGCAAATGCTTCACACGCTCTGCGCAAAGTCAGCAACGAGTCTCGCGACTCCAGCGCGGCAAACGCCTCGTCCGGCTCAATACGACGCCGCAGCTCTGGCCGCGTGTCCGCAATGGGCCCTCCGACCTCGATTCCGGCTCGACGTCACCACACTCCCTCCTCGTCCAGCTCTGCTGCGTCAGTCGTCTCGGCCTCTACATCGCCGGACGAGGCAATGCCCATGCAGCACCCTTTACGCAGCCTCAAAGCGCAGGGCAAGCAGCGAGAGGACTCAGCTCGCAGCATCAGTGGCTCCTTCTCCGTCGGCAGTCCGGTCTCTTCGTCCAGTCAATTCAGCACATCCCCCTCGATGACGTGGGAGCAACGACCGCTCAAAACGCCACTAAGCGTTTCGGCGGCAGGGCAGCAGCAAGAGACGCGCACCGCTAGCGGGACGAGCAGGCGACGCAAGTCGAGCGTGGCAGGCCTCGGAGGTAGCAGTGCGCATCGCAGAGCGAGGTCGCTGGGAGGAGCTCTGATGATTGGAGGCTTTGAGCCGGGCTCTGCGGCCTCTTCGCCCATTGGTGGGCCGGATGGAGTAGATCCGAACCTCGTTGCTGCGATTCGAGGTGGGGACGTCAGCATCCCTAGCACGCCGATGCACGAGAACGCAGCAGCAGCAGCAGCAGCAGGCTCAACGACGGGCTCTTCATCCTCGTCAGTAGGCTCGCCGCCCATTGCGACGCCGCTCAGTACTCCATTCGGCTCAGCGAAGCGACGTTCCGGCCTGTTGAATCTCGTGCCAGGCGTAGGGATAGCTACTCCTGAGAGCTCGAGGTCACGAGCTGGCACTACGACGTCGTCCGCTGATGGCGGCAAATCTGGCGCCTCAGAGGCATCGGGAGGAGATGCAGCTACGGAGCCCTCCACCTCGCCAGTCTCTTCGCGGTCACCAACCGACGCTATCCCTCCTTCCGACTACGTTCGCGCTCGTACGCGAAGCCAGACGATTGCTAGCAGCGGACAAAGTCCACGAGGCGCAAATGCCAATTTGAGCGCCTCGATTGGGCCGGGAACTGCACGCTCGAGCAGTAATACCGGCAGCTTAGGCGATGCGATTCGTCTACAGCGGGTGCCAACCTCGATCCGACTTGCCGGCGACGTCTTTTCGCCCCCGAATGCACAGCAGCGCAATCGCGCAACGACGACTGCCACGATGGATTCGCCTCTGCAGACTGTGCCGTCCCCGCGCAACTCGATGTCCAACTTTGGGCCTCGCTCCTCATTGGGCGATCAGGCGCCAGCACAGCTGGGTCTTGGAATCCATGGACAGCAGGATACGAGCCCACAGCTTCCTGCTACGCCGAGCACCAGCAGGCGCCCTTCGCCACGCCCGTCGCGCACTGGCTTGTCTACAGCCTCGTCCTCTGGACGCGCGTCTCCCACTGACGTCGATGTCGGCCCAGGCTCAGGCGCACGCTTCCTCGCCCCGCCACGACGAGACCTAAGCGACTCCTCTTCCATGTCCCTCTCCGGCATGTCCGGCATGTCACACAGCATCGCCTCTTTGCCCGCTTCCGGCCTCCCGCGCACAGCAGAGGAGCAGAGCCACGGTATCACCACGCGGCGTCGCTCCAACTCCCCTGAGCAGCGTCTGCGGTCCTCAACCGTGGGGCCCTCAGCAGGAAGCGCCTATGCTGCCTTGCTGTCCGTCTCGCCTAGCCTACCCCGAGCAAGCATCAGTGGCGGCGGCGGTCACGAACCCCTGCGAATCAATACGGATGCAGCAGTCGAGCACCTCGGCGGTGGCGGCAGTGCTACTGGCTCTCCCGTGGGTCGTTCACCCATTCGAGCGCGCGGTGCTGGTCGCCTTTCCCTGGCACAGGGCACGCTACCATCCAACGCTCTGCTTACTCCCGGCGGGCTTGGTCCGGCAACACACCCTGGGACGGACGAGTATGCGCAGATCATCCTGCAGAGCCGCAATGCTAAGATGCAGAAATGGCGCGTCCCTAGTGCGACACTGGCGGACGACTCGATGATTGAGGACCCGGACGAGTCCGTACGCGACTTGCAGCGTCAGCGCCAGACGACAGCTGTCTCGGCTGGTGGTGGAGCCGCAGCGAGTGGAACACCGCTCGGTCGCCGAGGTACCACGCTGGGGCTGCCGGAGCGCTTCCGGACTTACAGGGATGCACGGGCGGATGAGAGTCTGGATGCCGACGAGTCGCGATCCGCTGCTCAGGCATTTGCCGGCTTCAGTGGGGATAGCGCGGGGGAGATTGAGTGGGTCGACTGGCTTGATGAGTATCGCAAGATGAAGGAGGCAAAGTTGCAGTCCGAGCGGGAGAGCGAGGCGGTCGGCGAGGCGGTCGGCGAGGATGCGAGTGTTGGTCCAACGACGCAGGCATCCAAGCAAGAGCCGTCATCAACGGTATCTCAGCCACCAGTCACGGCGCTGCCTTCATCGTCGTCGATGGGCTCGCACGCACAGTCCTCCTCGTCACCACCTCGTCAAGTCTCGGCCCCAACGCCCCCTGCCGTGTCCGCCTCTTCATCAACCACTCTCCTGGCAGGAGGGACCCCTCGCCGACCGTCCGAGCCACCCCTTCACCAACAGCAGTCTCGCTCATCCTTTAACACGACTCTCGACACCACTACAGCATCCCCGCTGCGTTCTTCCTCTTCATCACAGAAGCCGTCTCGAAACCTCTCCCTCTCACCCATGTCTTCCCGCTTCGCCCATGTTCACGCCGCACCGTCGTCCGGGTCGGGTTCCTCCTCCTCGTGGACGAATCGCCGTCGCAACCGCAACCTAGGCAGCAGAATCGAAGCATGGTGGGGTTCAGTCAAGACGGGCCTCTCGTCGAGCCTGCAGTCTCCTCCACCATTACAGCGCAACAAGGGCTTCCCGAGCTCGCCGGGTGGGGCCTACGGGGCGACAATGCGGCATGCGAGCCACAGTGGCGGACTCAGTGGCAGGGCACTCAAGCCTCGCCCTGCAGTGATTGCGCCACCGCCTCCCGCTGCGACGTCGTTCCCCACCAAGGAGCCAGCGTCTTCCTCTTCGTCAAGCAGGGCGATGCCAGACGCTTGGGTCGCCTCTGTCACCACGCCATCGCAGCTCTCCCTCCAGACGCTGCGAGAAGCGCGACCAGAAGCTCAGGCAGCGGGGCAGCCCCGTCAAGAGAGGCCATCGCACGATAGCGGATCTTCATCGCTGGGCAGCACGACGGCTAGCAGGCGCAAGCAGCCGCACCTCTCGCTCAACCTCGACAAGGGCACGAGCAGCTTTGACGCTCGCGAGTTTGAGGGGATCAGTCAGGCCATCCACACCGGCCGAAGCTCCAACAGCGGTCCTCGAACCTCTTCTCCTCTTTCGCAAGGGCCGAGCCCTCGCCACGTCTCGCACCCTCTGCCCGTCAAGGAGGAAGACTCGCCCGCGGCTGGAGAGCAGCAGCAGCAACAGAGCCTTGGTGAAGCCTTTCGCTCGAATGTCTCGAGCCCCAAACAGAAGCCCGAGCGGCCTAGTCTGCCTGAGCGGGCAAGCAGCGAGACTCGTGGAGCTGCAGCGCCGCAACAAGGAGGAGGAGGAGGGGCGCCGCCGACGTCCAAAGAGATTACGATTCGCTCGATCCGCCATCACATTCGGCATCGCCTTGCAGCATCCAAGGAGAGCTGCGACAAGGAACTGCGCAAGATCGTGCGCGCCGTCAATGCATTCGTGGAGGCTGGTCTCCAGGAGCAGCATGACGAGGGCTCAGAGTTGGGCGATGACGATGATATCAATCTGCTCGGCGAAGAGATGCAGGGTCTTCAGCTCGAAGAGGATGTCAATAGGCCGGTCATGCCCCGCCCTTCGCTGATGAGGCGTACAACGAGCAGCTCAAGTGGACGGCGCGACAGCCCGGCCAAGGTAGCGAGCCCTCCTCTGCCATCAGATCCGGATGAGACGCCTCGTCCTCACGACGACGCCAATGACTCGCCGGTCTCCTCACCACCTGCACAACCGCAGTCCATCCTTAGCGAGCGATTCACCAGCACTCACCCTCAATCCGTGCCCCTCTCCATGTCCTCCTCTTTCCCTGGGCTCAGCGCAAGCCACCACCTCATCGCCGCCGCAGCGCGCAGTCGCGACGCTTCCCGCTCCGTCTCCAACTCTCGCTCGACATCCCGCTCCCACTCGCCCATGCCGCCAACTCTGCGTCCAGCAGCTGACATGGATTCGCCGCGCTTCTCCCCTGCACGACGCATTCGCCGCTTACCAGCTGGTGACCCGCCGCTGGAGCCGTTTGTCCCTGCGCTACAAGACATCGTGGGCATTGCCCTCGACGTGGCCGATATGCCTATTGCGGCGCTCACGTCTCGTTCGGGTGCTTGCACGGAGATCATCGCGAATATTCAGAGTGTAGGCAAGGCGTGGGATGAGCATCCCGACTGGCCAGGGAGAGGGTGGTTCGTTCAGCTGCTCCTCGCTGTTGCGGGCTTGTCCCGTGTGGTCGAGTGGTGGGAGGCGGAGAAGGGATTTTGGAACTTCGATGATGAAGGAGATGAGGATGCGGAGCCCATCAGCTTCAGGTTCGGAGATCAAGGCACCTACGAGTCGGCTGGCGCAGGAAGTCCGGCAAAGGCGCGCTACCCGCATGCTCCGTCGACGAGGGCGAGTAGCGTTACCAGCTCGCCTGCGCTTGACCCTACGGATCGACGAGTCTTCTCTGAGCCAGAGAGGGGGCCATCACGCCTTGCATTGGCTGCTGCGATGCCAGAGGAGGGCGACGAGTCCATGGCTACTACGGCTGCCGAGACAGCAGCTACCACGGCGGCGGGGACGGTTGTGCACACAGGCACTGAACCAGCACAGCGTCCGCTCGCGCTCGGCGTTGACCAGCAAAACGTCCTAATGGAGCTCAGCCTCGATCAAGAGCGACTCATCTACGTCAGCCCAGCCTGGCGGGACGTCATTGGCTCGGATCCCGACCAGCTACTCGACAGCCCCATTGCCGACCTGCTCGCTCCCACCGACTTGGACACGTTCGCGGAAGCCACACGCCAGCTGCAACTCAATGAGTCGCACACCGTTGAGATTGCCTTCCGCATGGCCGTTGGCGGTGAGGGGATGGACGCGAACCTCTACCAGGAGATGGAAGGCAAGGGCATGCTTATGCGCGACCGCGAGGAGGGCCTGCCATCGCACACGATGTGGGTCTTCAAACCCGTCGGTAGCCCAGAGCCAGAGGCAGAGCTTTCCTCCAGCCCGCACGCTCCTCAGGCGGCCCTCACTGCCGCTGGTATGACGGCCGCAAGCATCTCGACGGAGCCCATCCTCTGCCGTATCTGCGAGCGCGACGTGCCTACCTGGTTCTTCGAGAAGCATTCAGAGATCTGCAACGAGATCCATCGTCTTGAGATGGAGGTCGGGGAGTGTAATGAGGGCTTGGCTGAGCTGAGGCGCACGGTGAGGTCCATCGTTGAGTCGTTGGACAATAATGCCGAGGAGCAGGAGCAGCCCCAGTATCGTGGTGCGAGGCTCACCACGCCTGCCGCCTCGAACGACCCGCCGTCGGCGCTCGAGCACCTGCAGAAGTCTCTCTCGCCTCGACAGCTCGCGCCAGCCGTCGTTCGCAAGTCGCACTTCCGAGCGCTGGAGGCTCTGCTGGACATCTTGCTCGTGGCAAAGGAGATCTCCACGCCAAGCATCAAGGAAGACGACGTCGCCGACCCGGTGGACAAGCAGCGACTCCTCAGCCCCACCTCAGAGGGCCGCATCGCCCAAGTGCGAGCGTGGAAGCCACCAGGCGTCGAGGATCCCGCCATCGAGGTGTTGATCTCCGACGTCCAGACGGCCATTCGCAACAAGCTGAGCGTTGTGAATCGCACGCTCAACACGATTGTCTACGTTGAGACAGTGCGACTTGAGTGGGAGGAGCGAGTTGATGCTGCGTTGGCTTCGGTGGCACACAGCGGTGGCAGTGACGGCGAAGGGAGCGGCAGCGAGGAGGCTGAGGGCGAGGTCGAGGGCGAGGGCGTAGACAAAGCGGAGCCCAAGACTGTAGCGCAAGAGGCGCCTCACCCCACGCCGCCGCCAATGACAGAGGACGAAGAGGATGCAGCAGAGACGTCGGCCATTCTGCTGGAACGCGACGACCGTGAGGACATCAAGGACGAGGAGGAGGATGAGAAGCGCAGCGCGGCATTGTCACCGGCTACTGCAGGAGAGGACGGTGACGAGATCCCTGGCGTTGAGCAGCTGATGGGCGGGCGAGCTCACGTCACGGAGCAGCACGCGCCGGCTATCCCAATCCCACGACCAGGAAAAGGAGCTCACGCAGGACCGTCAAGACCTTCCCCTCTCGGCCTTGAAGACGCTGGCGCCGCTGGTGGGAGCGGGCTTGGCATCATTGCGCCGCGATCTCGCCACGGTTCTGCTACGTATACGGCTGATCCTCACTTCGCCAGCTCATCCCTCATGGCCGGCTCGTCCCTTATGACGGGCTCATCCCTGCGTAGGGTCTCTCATCGTCCCTCTCTCGCAGTCGGTACGCCCACGTCACCTCGAATCCCACCGACCGCCCCTTCCTCACGCTCAACAGCCTCCTCAATCAAGGACTTCGACATCATCAAGCCGATTAGCAAGGGCGCATTTGGATCCGTCTATCTCGGCAAGAAGCGCACGACGGGCGACGTCTACGCGATCAAGGTGCTCAAGAAGAAGGACATGATCACCAAGAACCAAGTCACCAACGTCAAGGCCGAGCGCATGATCCTCATGACCCAGACGCAGTCGCCCTTCGTCGTCAAGCTCTACTTCAGCTTCCAGAGCACGGACTACCTCTACCTCGTCATGGAGTACCTGCCCGGTGGAGATTGCGCGTCGCTGCTTAAGATGCTCGGCGGGCTGGATGAAGAATGGACGAAACGCTACGTGGCTGAGATTGTAAACGGGCTTGAGCAGCTCCACGCGCAGGGTATCGTGCATCGTGACCTCAAGCCGGACAACCTGCTCATCGACGCCAAGGGTCATCTCAAGCTGACCGATTTTGGTCTTTCCAAGATTGGTCTTCTCAAGCGACAGACTGGACCGGCAGATCGCAGCGCCATCACGCCCAGCGGGCACTACAAGCCCGAGTCACCTGCCACCTCTGGCTCAGGCCTCGCACGAAGCAGCACAGCCTTCTCTGACTCTCCTACCACCTCGTCGCCCATGACGCCTGGCTCGTCTGTGGCTCCATCAGCAGCCACCGCTGCCCCGTTCTACGTCGACTCAAGCACAGGCCAGCGCGGCGAGAAGATGCACCCCATGCCCTCTGCAGGTGGCACAATCGAGACGCCCGATGCTCCTCCGCCCTCCTCTGGCTCCTCGCGCACCCCTCGCGCCTTCGTAGGCACGCCGGACTACCTCGCACCCGAGTCCATCCTCGGTATTGGCGTAGACGACAAAGCGGTGGATTGGTGGGCTCTTGGCGTCATCCTCTACGAATTCCTCTACGGCATCCCGCCCTTCCACGCCGAGACGCCCGAGCTCGTCTTCAAGAACATCGTCGGTCGGACCATCGACTGGGAGGAGGACGGCGTCGGTGCCGAATTCTCGCCCGCTGCGCGTGACCTCATGGAAAAGCTCATGTGCTACAAGGCCGAGGACCGTCTTGGATCACGAGGCGCTGCCGAGGTAAAGTCGCACGCCTTCTTCGAGGGCATCGACTGGGATCGCATCGTTGAGGATCCAGGGCCATTCGTGCCCGACGTACTCAACCCAGAGTCAACGGACTACTTTGATCTGCGAGGAGCGCGCGAATTTGAGCATGAATACAGCGAGCCAGCTCCCAGCGTTACGGCGTTTGCCAAGGCCATCGAGCACAACAGGCGTCGCGGCGGTGGCGGGGCTGCTACGGCTAGTCGCTTCAAGATTACGCAGGGTCGGTTCGAGCGCGAGCAGCGCGAGCAGCAACAGGCCATGGATGACTTTGGGTCTTTCAGCTACAAGAATCTGCCGGTGCTCAAGCAGGCGAATGACGAGGTCATCAAGAAGCTCCGTACTGAGGCCAGCATGTCACAGAGCTTAGATGCGCCAAGAAAGCGCAGCCTGTCGTCCAAGGTCGCGAGCAGTGCGCTGCGGGCTGTCTCGACGGGAAGGCCGCCTTCCCCTGCCACGTCTGTGTCCTCGTCGCAGAGCTCTGCGCCCGTAAGGACGAGGGCTACAACCATGGGCGGTGGAAACGACCTTGCCGTGTCATCTCCCGGCGCACCCTCGTCAGTAATGGATCGGCGACGCTCGCAGCTCATCGGCAACAACAATCTGAGCGACTCGACGGACTCGCGTGGACGCACGGCCTCTATAAGCACCAGCGAGGCGAGCGCTCCGTCTGGCCCGCCAGCCTGGACGACGCTGAGGCGACGCCCGACCGCAGCGGGGCTTATGGGCAGCGGTAGCGAAGGCGAGCAGAGTCCCAGTGGGCGTGGCAGTGACAGCCTTTCACAACAGCAGCAACAGCGCGCCAGTATGCAGCAACGCAGTGGCTCCGGCTCCCTGACCGCCAACGTCCCGCCAAGCGCGGATTCCCCCACGCTACCGGAATGCCTCGTAGCAGAGGACAACCCAATCTCCTCGCGCATCCTTTGCCAGATCCTCACACGTCTGGGCTGCAAGACCAAGACGGTTCGTAATGGCGCTGAAGCCGTACGACTGGCCATGTCCGACTCCAAGGTGTACGCCGTCCTTTTCGTGGACCTGACGCTCCCCATCGTCAACGGCCAGGACGTGGCGCGCATGGTCAAGTCGACGCGGAATGCTAATTCTCTCACGCCCGTCGTGGCGCTGGCTGAATGGCATGGCGAGGGACCGGTGCCGGCTAGCATGGATGTGACGGGCAGCGTGTTCGATGGGTGTCTGACCAAGCCCATCGACTGGGCCGACGTGAGAGCTATACTGCCTGGTATGCTGGCGAGGGCCACGCTCAATCACAGCGGCGCAGGTGCAGGAGCATCAGCGCCCAGCATGGGTAGGCAGAGTGTGGGAAGCGCAGGTCCCGCGTCCGCAGCGACGACTTCCTCGACCACAACGCCGCCGATGGTATCCCCTCCCCCGCGCATGGTCAAGCAACGCACCGCCTCGGGCCGGACGGTCATGACCCTCGGGTCTGCAGCGCGAGAAGAGGACGAGGGTCAAGCGATGCCGTCGAGTGGAAGCGGAAGGATTGGCTCGCCGGTGACGAGCAAAGAGGTGGAGAGTCTCGCGAGCAAGTTTGGCGTCGCCTCGTTGAGCGGCAGCGGTGGCGCAGGCGCGGCGGAGGATGAGAATGAGGAGGCGGTGTTGGAGTGAGAGATGGAGCGGTCTCTCTGTCACTCTGTCACGTCCCCTGCTTTTGTATCTAGATCGACGATCGATCGACTGTGTAAATGTGTTTTCAGCTAGCGGGTTGGTCGACATGCCCGTGTGCGTGTGAAGCGTAGGCAAGCAGGCTGTGGTCTTCCGTTCCGCTCGTCTCTCCCCGCCGAGCTGACCATGCACGCATCTCAACTCGAGGGTCCGTCCGCGACTCTGGACGTTGAGCTGCGTCGCACCTCCTTTCCCATCTCCACCCAAGATCCCTCCACGCACCACGCTGCGGACATGTCCATTCAGCAGCAGGCAGCTACCAAGACTCTGATTGCATCGATTGCAGATGAGGTGAGACTGCGAGTCGGCAGGACTTGAGCAAGCAAGGAAGAGCTTCGCGGGCTGACCTGACCATCTTGTGCGCTTTGCTACGTCGTCGCCAGGACACAACGACCGGGCTCCTCCTCGCCGGCATCGGCCAGGTAGAGAGCGATGGCAAGACGAAGAATTTCGCCATTGTTGATCAGAAGGTGGGGTAGAGATTTCTCTCGATCAAAGATCAACCGCGCAGCGCTCTGTCGTCCCTCGTGCTGACCGATCCCCGTTCCCCACTGCCACCCCCTCATCCTCTCGTCTCGATCCCTCTCGCACCGACAGACCTCACCCTCAGACATAGAGTCACACTTCAACACCTTCACTCAGGAGCGAAAAGATATTGCCATCTTGCTCATCAACCAGCATATCGCAGAGAAGATCCGTCCGCTAGTGGATCGTTATCAGCAGGCTTTCCCTGCTCTGCTGGAGATTCCGAGTAAGGAGCATCCTTATGGTGAGTTCGGGGATGCTCTCCAAGCCCAGTCGTTGAGACGATGCTCACATCTTACCCGCTACCGCTTGCAGACCCGTCGAAGGATTCGGTGTTGAAACGTGTACAGAAGGTGCGTAGCTGCGAGGCCACACTCCGTCACGTCACACCACGCCCAGGCTCAAGCTGACAAACCACTCCATCACCCCTCCCCCTGCTCTTCACGCACAGCTCTTCGGCGAGGACTAGTCTTGGATATTCTAAATTGCATACCATTGTCTATACGTGTATTTTCCCCGCACACCGCGTCACGCCGGCAAAAGCGGCACGACGCACTCCTCGACCCACCAGCGATGCAGCCTTGTATCCCTGGTGAGCTCCGGGTGGAAGGTGGTAACAAAGACGTTTCCCTGTCTCAGCGCCACCACATCCGCGTCCGGCCCGGGTGCCAGTTCAGGTGGTGGACGTACCTCTGGTGCGAGGCGGGCGATGACCTCGATCTCCGGTGCAGGTGAGGATCGCTTCATCGGCGGGGCCACAGCGAGGCGCAGCGCCTGCTTGACAGGTTCTGAGGCCGCAGCTGGTGCGCCAGCTTTCTCCAGCGGGTCCTCGACGAGGGGCGTGGCCGGTGTGTTGATCTCTGCGCCCTTGACCGGGTACTGGACCAGGTTGACATTGCTGAGCTCCTCGCCCGGTCGGAGGCCTGACTCTGCTGGCTGGTTGGGCTGGGCGTCATCGACGTCTGTTGAGGGGAGAAGGCGTTCTACTACCGGAGCGCGGATGAATACGCCTGGAAATGGGTCTGCGGGAGTGGAGGATGAGGATGATGGGAGGGAAGGAATGTCCAACGGGGCCTCGAATGATTCGACCTGCACGAGCGAGCATCTCATCTGTCAGTGCCGTGATACTGTCACCTACCCTTCCTCTGTGAGCGCGTATTCACCTGACTTCCCCACCCATTCCTGCTCACTCTGCCATCCCAACCGCCAATCAACTCCTGCATCTTCTTGCCTCCCGTAGCCTCGCGAGCAAGCATGATCATCCCCGCACATGTCCCCCATACGGACTTTCCCTCTGCCACCCACGCCCTCAGTGGCTCGAGTAATCCTCCACGAGCAGCACCGAGGGCGATGGCTGTTGACTCGCCACCGGGGATGATAAGAGCGTGGCAGGTCGAGAGTTGCTGTGGGGTGCGAACAGCGATTGCCGAGATGGTGACATCTTGAGGAGAGGAAGACAGGCAGCGATTCAGGTGAGTGATGTGCTCGTGGAAGGCGCCTTGCAGCGCGAGCACGCCGATGGTGACTTGTCGATCTTGATGGGGCATGTTGACCTTGGTGATGGAGGAGGATCGGGAGCAAAGGCAGAGAAAGTGTGACTCTAGAAGCAGCAGCAGAAGCAGCTGCTGCAGCTTGGCTCGATAATCGGGGTCGCGCTTACGTAACAAAGTCGGCTTCGATTCGAGATTTTGGCCTCGTTCCGCTTTAGCTGCAGGTCCGGAGGCGTCGCATCTTCCTTTTTACTCCTCACCTACCCATTTCCTCCGCCGGGCATGTCCTTCACTTTCATCGGCGGCAGCAATGGCGTGGATGATGCCCTCGAGAGCAAGGTATCATCCCTCTCTCGCCAGCTGAATGCGCTCATTGGCCAAATCGAGGGCGGTAGCGCCCAGGCTCGCAACGATGTCGAAGCGGCGGACCTCTTTTCTCGTTTGGGCGCCCTCAACTGCGAGACGGCCAGTCAGGCATTACGCAAGGCTTCGCTCAAAGCAACAACGCTCCTCTCCCGTGCGTCGGCAGGCGGTTTTCACCTTGCCTTGCTCATGTCACGTCAGATCCCTTGGGTCACCCAATCAGGCGACGAAGGTGTTTTGCCCAGGCATGCGCACGATTGGCTGGCTGGGGCGCTCAGCTATCTGGCTAGCGACAAATCAGACGCAGAAGTGCTGACTCCGCTTCTTGAACTCATCACGAAGCATCTTGTCCACCCGAGCACGGCCTCTCGCCCAGAGTACACACGACACGTCGTCTCGCCCAATCTGGGCAAGTTGCCCGGCCTTCTGGCAGCCCGCCTCGAACGGGGTCAGAGGAATGAGCTTCCCCTTCTTCTCAACACTGTAGCAGACGAGATCGAGGTACGCGCCAACACCTACCGATCAGTAGCCTCTCGCCTTCACGCCAGCGCTAGCGCCCACATAGCAGATCCGTCAGCGCAAATCCGTCTCGCTGCCATTCGACTGCTGGGCCAGTTGCACCTCACAGGCGCCGTCGGCGAGCGAGGGGCAGGCAAGGAGAGCTCCTCAGCACATCTTTGGTCGGCGACTATCAAGGCTGCCATTGGTAGTGCTCGATCCGCGTTCCAGGACTGCACTACGACCTTCGTGCGTCGTCACGTCACACCGCAAGCCCAGCTCACCATCCAGGGCACTCCGCTCGAGCGACTCCACCTCGCCATCAATCTCTTGCCAGCCCTCCTCTCCCTTCCAACGCAACGGGCCGTTCCTGTGCCTTTAGCGCGACTGTTTGGTCTCGCTCACGACATGCTCTCTGTCATCCGCCCCAAGGCAACGGTCGAAGCCGACGTTAACGCAAGTGAGGCCGCAAGCCTGGTCCAGGTGCGCCTCCTTGCACTTCAACTTCTCGTCATCAGCCTAGAGACGGCCTGCCTCATCGGGCAGGATGCAGTCGCCCGCTTCGCGAGCCAGGCGCTGGAGGATGCGGTAACTTTGCTGGAGGACAAGGCGGAGCCCGCTGCTGTGAGGGCGGCAGCGGCGGAGGTGCTGGCGGTGCAGGTCAGCCTAGATCCCTCGTCACGTCTGGTGCTGAGGGCGAGCAGGGCTTGCTTAGCTGCTCTGGTTCCGCAGCAGCTATTCAGTCAGCAAGCGACAAGACCTCCACAGAAGCGCTCTCGAGCCCGGTACGAATCGGACGCGGTCGCGTCTGGCAGCCAGGTTCCCTCTCCCTCGGTTGACCCACACCTCTCTCGCTCTTGCCTGGCAGCCCTACCTCACCTCTTCCCGCACTTGTGCACCTCTCTCACCCCGCAACACTTCGACCTCGCCCACACCGCCGCCCAGCTTGTCATCGCGCTTGGCCCTCCCGCTGTACCCTGTCTCGCAAGGTTGGTCGAGTGCTGTCCCGCCGGTAGCCCTCTGTTGGGTCTGATGGTGCCCAAGTTGAGCGAAGCGGCGCGATGGTCCGGGAACGCGGAGGTGCAGAGGGTACTGAGGGAGGTCCTGATGCCTAGGCTGCCGCCCGTGTTGGCAGGCAGACAGGATGATCGGGGCGATGAGGGGGAGGACGAGGCGACGCGGGATTGGGGGATCGATCCGGAGACGGGGAGGGAGACAACCGCCAAGACGGGGCCTGTGTATGGTGGTGAGGTGACGACGCGGGAAGCGCTCGAGGCGGTCGGGTTGACACAGCCGTGCCAAGAGGTGACTGTGGAAGAAACGGTGGTTGAAGTACAGCACCCATCGGGAGATACGCTCGCCGCCCCGGAGCCAACGGTAATACCAGTGCCACCCGCCAGCTCAACGTCAGCACCGACGGGCCCGCGTCACTCCTCGCCAGCAGCAATGCTCTCCCCCGAGCCCACAAAGCCGCTTCTTCGTCCCACCACACCGAAGATCGGGAGCCCACGCGCTGTATCTGCTTCGAATGCAACACTGGGAGCAGCAGCGGCGGCGAGCCCGGAGGCCAAGGAGGTCTTTGCCGCCCCGGCGCCTCCAGCTCGCCCCGCAGCTCAACCACAGAACGCGCTGGCAGAGGATTCGGATGATGAGGAATTGCCAGAGATTGATCTCAGGAGTGACGATGACGAGGATGACGAATAGACAATACCATCGTTCGCATTGCAGAGTATCCATCACAGGCGTAGCTGTCTGCCACGTGTGAAAGTCGTATGGCCGAGTCAGACCCAAGTCGCTTGCAGCCCCTTCTTCCGCCTTTCCCGAGTGGAGGCGCTGCTGCGTCTTTCCCTCCGCGTCGCTACCAGTCCGCGGTGCGCTTCTTCCCTTCTTCCCTCCTCGCCACCAGCGACCACAACCAATCATCATCACGACGACCATGCCCCCTCTCACTATCACCGCTGCCCTCGCCCTGCGCGACGGGGCCTCGATCCCACAATTCGGTCTCGGCGTCTACCTAGCCAAAGGCTCCGCCTGTGTCGAGTCAATCCACAACGCCATCGCCGCCGGCTACCGTCACGTAGACACGGCCCAGTGGTACGAAAACGAGGCCGAGGTAGGTCAAGCAATCAACTCCGCCTCTATTCCCCGCAAGGACATCTTCGTCACCTCGAAAGTATGGGACACCAACCATGGCTACGAGCCTGCGACGCGCAGCATTGATGAGAGTCTTCGAAAGGCCAAATTGGACTACTTTGATCTCTTCCTTCTTCATTCGCCCAACCCGGGGAAAGAAAAGAGACTCGAGGCCTATCGAGCCTTGATTGCCGCAAAGAAGGCGGGGAAGGTTAAGAGCATAGGTGTAAGCAACTATGGGCCGCATCACATCGATGAGCTTGTGCAGCATTACCCGGATGACCTGCCTGTGCTCAATCAGATTGAGCTCAGCCCCTTTTTCCAGCGTGGGGAGATTGTGAAGAAGTGCAAGGAGCACAACATTGCCGTGGAGAGTTACTCGCCATTGGGAAAGGGACAGTTCGTCGATTTGCCCGAGATTCGGGATGTGGCGAACAAGTACAAGAAGAGTGCGGCGCAGGTTCTGATTCGTTGGGTGTTGCAGATGGGTGAGTGGCGAATGGTGGCGCCCCGGTGTGAGTCCATCACATACTAATCGATGTCTACGCGCGCGCGCTCTTCATCAGGCTACATCGTTATCCCCAAGTCGTCGAACCCGGCCCGTATCAAGGAGAATGCGGACATCTTTGACTTCGAGCTGAGCAAGGAGGACATGGAGACTCTCGGCAAGCTGGAGACGGGCAGTGGAATCACCTGGGATCGTGAGTGTGCAACGCGAGGGGGGATCACGTTGAGGAAATTGGAGAGCTGACATTCATTGATGAATTCGCGCTCGCTCGTTCACAGCCACCAAGTCTGCTTAGGCTTGACATGGAGACGAGATGTAAATTGAAGCCAGACCCAAATGAGAACATCCATAAGTTCGACGAGATCGCATCACCGAACCATCCTACTTCTTTTCCCCCTTGATCTTATCATTACACTCCCCTGCCAACCCCGACTCCTGACCCGGCTGATTGATCCTATGCTCCCCCTGCGTAGCATACAAGGCTCCGCCCGTCGCCAACTTCCCATTAACGTACAAGCCCATGCACGCGTTGAAAAAGTTCTTCGTGTACTGTGGGCCTTTGAAGGCATCGTAGTACGCAGCACTGAGCGCGTCGTGATCGTCATTGGCATGGTGGTCCGCGTCCTTATCATCGTCGTCCCACGTGTACTGGACGTACTGTTGGGCAGAATTGACTTGGCTGATATCCTGCCGGTCGGAAAGGAGGGAGGCAGAGCTGATGGCAGCACCGGTACCATTGCCAGTGTCAGTCGTCGGGTAGTTGCCCTGCCCTACGGCGAGTCGGTGCTGATTGGTCGAAACGTCGAAGGAGTAGAGCCAGTGGGAGATCTCCCCTTCCTTCTCGCCTACGTGGTGGGCGAGCAGCACATGCTCACTAGGGGAGCGCTTCGCTGAGGTGAAGAGGTCTTTGAGTCCTTCCTTACCGCCGTGCCAGGCTGGATGGACGTCGATTAATGTACCGTAGTCCAGCTTGATGGCCCCACCTTCCTCGCCTTCCAGAGGCGCGCCTCGCTCCGGCCTTACCCCAGCAATGATCAGCCCAACGGCCAGAATCAAATCGATACCCAATGCAACGAGGCAAGGGACACCCTTGTACTTGTCCGGCAAGGGTAAAGGGCGCTCGCATGCGTAGCCTGTGGCTGCGGAGAGGAGACTGATGCCGATGGAGAGGAGCTTGAATGTTATGCCGCTGCAGAGGGTGGCGAAGAGGAGAGGCAAGAGGAGGAGGGACAGGCGGACCATTGTGGGAGATAGCCAAGTGGGGAGGACGTGCGTTGAGAGAAAGGTGAGAGGACAGAAGATGGAAGGACAGGTGGTATCTTCTAGCATCCTTCGTTGGGTCAAAGGGTGAGGTAGCGAAATAAGTGCGGTGGCTTTGTGTCTGACAGGGCCTTTACTAAAGTTGCGGGCGGGGCGAGCTCGTTCGCGGTCAAGGGTGGGGATAGGGAAGTAAGTGGGCTGACCTTGGTCGGACGACCGCCTTGATTCACTGGCGTGCAGTCTAGCAATGGTGGGCGTGGTGGAATCAAATTGACGGCACGGGCACGACTCGAGTGGCACGAGATCATTCCGTAAGTAAAGGTTTTCGGATGAGCGGCGGCCCTAGTTGGCTGCTCATGTGTCCAATACAGGCCATTTGGCGGCGACTGCGTTTGCAGCGATGCTAAGGTCGCGTAGACGGTGGGCTGACCATATGGAGCCGCAGGACCGGTCACTGCGCTCCGAGGTCGCGCTGGCCTCAAATCCCACCGTGACACGGGCCGCTATTCATTTTCACTTACTAGCGCGAGCGTAGAGTAAAAAGGAAGATGTTCCCCGTTCGAGCTTGCCCATGATCGATGGCAGGCTTCAGCGTTGGAGCCGCCTACGGCTTCGCACATTGCTATAAAGACGCGTCAGCATTGCAATAACGCGGCATGGAATGGGACCTTTACATTAGAAGCACAGACGATCGAGACAGCGAGGCGACGGTGACGAATGCCCAGAGCTAGTGGCAGAGAGCGTGAGAGAGGGTTGCAGTGGCGGTCTCGACGGCTTAGAAGCGGTACTTGAAGAAGGGCGACTTGTCACCCATATCGGCGATCTGAGCCCTCGAGAGCGCTGCCGCCTCACCCGAGTCGATCTTGGCCTGCTTGGCCTTGTTGGCCCTCCACAGCATAGCGGCGTTGAAGAGCGCGCCGCCGATGGCAACGCAGTTCATGATGATGCAGGCCTTGTACGCGTTGAAGAAGCGAGGTGCCTCCTTGGTAGGGAAGATGTTGCTCGAGATGATGCCAGCAAGACCGCCAATGCCCACCTGAAGAGCAATGCAGGTAGCACGCTTCGTCTTGCCGCCGACGTTCTGGGAGAGGAGAGCGACGACTGAAGGGAAACCGGCATAGCTGCCAGCAGCAGAGATGAAGCAGGCGGCGTAGCGGACGTGCGGGTCGTGAGAGGCCAAACCGATTCCCCAGCCGATGGCGGACATTCCGCAGCCGAGGCAGAGGAAGAGGGTGCGGTTCTGGAGCTTGTCGGAGAAGTAGGCAAAGATGAGGACCAGAATTGCGGCGACCACATAGACGGGGACGGTCATGATCTGGGCGCGGACCGGGTCGTATCCGAGAGAGGTCTTGAGGATAGTCGGTAGGGTGAGGGCGATGCAGTACAGGGGGGCGAGGGAGCCGACGTAGGCGATCAGGGAGAGCCAGGTCTACGTGCGAAAGAGAGCGACATGTTCGTGAGCAATGGTGCGTCATTCAGGCATCGCAGCGCCGCGCGTACTCACCTTCCAGTCAGCAAAGCCTGCGAGAACAAAGCTGGTCTTGTAATTGTCGTTCATGGGGATGTCCTGGCCGTCGAAGCGGAGGCGGTCGCTCATGTACTCCTTCTCCTCCGTGGTAAGGAACTTGGCCTCGTCCAGGTTGGAGAAGAGCATGAAGTAACCGAGAGCAGCAACGGCGATGGTGAGAATTCCTTCGACAATGAAGATCCAGGACCACCCTTCGTAGCCCCCGGTTCTGACGTGAGAAAGGCCATAAGCCAGCAGACCTCCGAAGGCGCCGGCGATGGTGGCAGCAGAGAAGAAGGTAGCGATGCGTACTTGAAGGAACTGGCGAGGGATGACGAAGGACAGAAGAGCAGTGACACCAGGAAATAGGCCTGCCTCGAAGGCGCCCAGTACGAGGCGAAGTCCAATCAATCCTGCCGCGTTCTTGACGAAACCCGTCACCATCATGGTGATGCCCCAGAACAGCACGATGATTGGAAGCCATCGCTTTGCCCCAAACCTCTTAAGCATGAGGTTGGAGGGAACTTCGAGGGCAGCGTACGTCAAAAAGAACAAACTGAGGGCGAGGGCGTATTCTGTGTCCGTAAGACCGAGCGCCTTGTTCATTCCTGCAACTTTGGCGTTGCCGATGGCCGTACGGTCCAGGAAAGAGAAGAGGTAGAGCAGCGAGCAGATGGGGAGGAGGCGAAGATCGACCTGGGAGTGCGTAGTGATGTAGACGCGTCGGAAGTCAGTTCACCGTGATCTTCGGAAGCGCGTGCGCTCCGATCTTCGCCGTCTCGCTCACCTTCCTCAAAATGGCCTTGGTGCGACGCTCATCGGCGACTGTGGTGGGACCATCAAGCTCATGCTCACGGTCGTGTCCGTAGGTGAGGGCATTCTCGAGGGGAACGCCTCCCTCGAGCTTTGTGTCGTCGAGGATCTTCTCGTTGTTGCTCTGCGGCGTGGACGGCATGATGGCGCGTGGCAGAAGGGGTGAGGCAAGTGGTGTGGAAGAAGGAGCGCTGCGCTGATAGTAGGATCGAGAGCGACTTCTTTCGTGAGGGAAAAGGCAATGTGGGCTTCTTGATCATATATCATCTTATACCTCACCTCGAGAGCTTGCTAGAGGTCTTACCCCGCAGAGACAGCGAGATGGTCTGCTCGCTGCACAGTTCCAAGCCACCTCAATTCTTCTCAAGCAGTACAAACCCAGAGAAAGGCCTGATGAGCGTTGTGGAGCCCCACAAAAAGGGTGCTGATCCCGAGGTGAGGCCGCATTGCATTGCATCCCATCAAGCTCGCGGGAGAGTCCTACTCTGCTAAGGACGGCAGGCTGGGCAGAGTGGCGCGCAAATGAAGGAGGCTTGCGGCAATACCGAGCGAGAAGAACTGTCAGAAGATTCGTGTCTGCGTCGGGGTCAGCGCCTTGGCCCTGCGTCGTCAGCATCATGCTTCGTGGGGAAGGAGGCGGCCTCCGATCACCAAGGTACGGCGGTGTAGCTGCACTGGTCGACTACTCCGCGAAGGTCAGCATAGCCCGCGTTGGCTCCAACGCAGCTGGCGGTGAGGACCCGGTGAACCGTTTCGAATTGATTGCCGCTGACTTGGCACTCCGTACCTGCGTCGATGTCGTGCTGGCTTGGGGTGAGACCCAGGTAAGTGGGAGGCGTCGTACGCTGAGTTGTTAGCGCGGCGGGTGGCGCGCTGAATTTGGCAACGCGCTACCCTCGCCTGTCCCGGCACGACCGTGCGCAGGTGCCTGTGGCGTCAATCGAGGGAAAGCGGGGCTTCAAGCTCGGACCTCTTGGCAGCATCGATCCCCACGCCCTTCGACCGCGGGGTTGCGCAATTGTCGAGACGCTGCGACTAGAAGGCAAAGAGGCGTCCTGAGTTGCCTTCGTCCGACGATGATCGCGATCAGGGAGGAAGGCCGGAAGTCGCGGTTGCTATTGCCATTGCGTTTGCGGTCGCAGTCGCGGTCGAGAATACGGACGACAACGCGATTGCAAAGCGGCGCTTGCGATATGAGCCGGACGTGATCCTGATTCTAGGCCTGATGACATGACCTCGAGCGACGAGCGCGGAAAGCCTTTGGCGAGAGCATGGTGACGGCATGACATCAGAACGGCGAATGCTGGGCCAGTATTGGGCACGGAGGACCCTTTGGTTGGACAGCTCCCTCGCTGGCAAGGTGGTGCAGACGAGCGAGGCGAGCCAGTTAGCTGAGTGGCTGACTCGACAAGGGCAAGTAGGCTGCACCGCTTGGTAGCAACGCTCAAGCCTACAGCTTTACCCAGTGGCTTGGGCCTATCGTCGCGGCTCATCTGCTATCGAGTCTACCCTGGCCTTTACGTGCGCCACGAATAATGTCGCAACGCAAGTGGGCCAGACGCTGAGCCACGACCAACCAGACGAATCACAAGCGTGGATCAAAATGGTCGCTTCGAAGCAGATGAGCTTACCATGGCAGGGGCGTATAGAGCAAAAATATAGCGTGATTCGAGCTCTGGGCGAGGTGTTGCTTCACATTATTCTGACCGGAACGGCAGGCGGGCGGGCGGGCGGATGTGAGACCCGCATCGCAGTGCCACGCGCCTCGCTGGAGGCCCGAGCGTGCGGACAGACGACGGACGAACGACACTTGGGCGAGCTCCTTCTCATTTCATCATCGCACCCTCGCAGCAAGCCAAGCAGACACTTGCCGGATCAACGCCAGATCATTGGCAGTCTTCCGCCCAATCGAGATCTGCCCCGCACTTCTCTAGCCGTTTCAGCCAGCTGCGTCGAGACGGCAGTCGTCTAGCTTCTGCGCCGCCCGAAGCTCGATCTGCGCATCATGTCCTCATCAAGATCGCCGTCAATGGCGCGGCTGCTCTTCATCGCAGCTTGCCTCATCCTAGCGTGCTTATCGGTCACTCGAGCGCACATGATCGAGCTGCCGCCGTCGCAAAAGGAGTGCTTCTACGAGGTGAGTCCAGCGGGCATATAGCCAGGCCCTCCATGCGCCATTGATCTCACACTCTTCTCTCCCCTTGCCAGGACCTGAACCCCTCTGACCAAATGACCCTCACCTACCAGGTAGGTGGAGGCGGTCATCTCGACATAGACGTATGGCTGGACGACCCGAACAATGCCCGTCTCTTCGAGCAGCGCCACAAGGACACGGGCACCTACTCATTTACAGCGACTCACTCGGGAAGGTACACGTACTGCTTCTCCAACGAGTTCTCCACCGTAAGCGACAAGACGCTGAGCTTCAATGTGCACGGTATCATCTATGTCGCCGATGAGGGGGAGATGCTGCCGATTGAGAGGGAGATTAGGGATCTGGCGGCGGGGCTGCAGGCTGTCAAGGATGAGCACGAGTACATGGTTATCAGGGAGAGGACGCATAGGAATAGTGAGCGCCGCGAGCAGCAAAAGACATTGCGCACGCAACTCGCTGACACTTCGCTCCCTCCTTTCGCTCTGCAGCTGCCGAGTCGACCAACTCAAGGGTCAAGTGGTGGTCAATCATCCAGGGCTTCATGCTGCTCGGTGTGTGCGCCGTGCAGGTCGTCTTCGTCAAGAGGTAAGCGAGCGTGGGGTTTGCAGCCTAACATCGCAGTCTGACTGACCCCTCATGCCCTCTCCCGCACGCTATCGCCCGCGCACCAGGCATTTTGAGGTGCGAAGAGCGATCTAGCAATGAGGCGCGGGCCGACCGTCACGTCAAGCTGGGCTTACGATGCGGGACAACATCTGTACACACACATGCTCATGATAATTCGAAGCGGCAAGTCTCAAGTCATGATGCTCAATTGCGATTCTACAAAAGCGCGAGCGTCTACAAGGGGTAGCGGAAGTGTAGGTCCTGCTTGTCTGTCAAGTCGAGTAGCGCAGTGTCCAGCTTGACGGCTGGCTGGCCCGCCTCATCAGGGGACTGAGCAGCAGCAGCCGCTTTCTCTCCCTCACCTCCCTCGCCTTCGCTGCCGCCCAGCCTGACCTTGACATCATGCCCCTCCTTTGAAGCCACACCAGCTCCGTCTGCCGCAAGAGCGTCCCTGCGCTTGTTCTCGCTGCTCATGATCCACTTGAGCGCATATCCGGTAGGAATGCAGCAAAAGTACGAAACAAGCACAATGGCCCACGGCACGATGTTTTGCGGCGCGTACTCTGCTCGCCAGATGTACGGGCCAGCAAGATTGCCCACGCAGTACGCGATGAGCTGGATCGCGTTTGCGACGCTCTTCTTTGTCGAGCCGGAGTTGGATGCCGAGCACCACGCGAGGCTGAGCACAAAGCCAGAGGTGTTCAAGGGAGCGAGGAAGACGCCCACGAGGCGAGCGACTTTGTGGTCTTGTCCGAGGCCGATGAGCATGCTTGCGCCCACGAGGGAGGGGAGGGTCCAGAGCGCCATGACGTCTGCGGTGTGGTTCTTCCACTTACGCGCCAGGTACGTCGCAGCGGGGATGCAGATGATCTCGAGCACTCCCGTGGGGATGTTGAGCAGGGCCGACTGCAAGGTGTCGAAGCCGAGTTGGTTGATGATGATGCTTCGCTGGACTGTGAGGGAGTTTGGGATGTTGGAGAAGATGGCGTACAGGGCAAAGAGGTAGATCTTGGGGTCACGGAGGGCTTCCACGAACTGGTCGCGTTTGAAATGCTTGTTCTTTGTTCCTGTGCGGTTCGCCGAAGAAACACGCTTGATTGCCATGGCGCGCTCGCGAGGGGAGAGGAACCCTGAGCGAGGGGCAGGCCAGAGCAGGCATCATTAGCTGGAGCTAACAGTGTGCGGCATGCGCGAGCACTCACAGGCGGTCGCAGGCGTGTCCGGCATGAAGAAGAAGTAGAGAACGAACAGGACCGTCGTCATCAGGCCGAGAATGAGGAAAAAGACCCTCCACGGCCTCCAGTCGCCGAGGTGCACACCCTGCACGCCATAAGCTACCAAGGCATTCAGAATGATCGCAGCGCCATTCATCAAAAACCAGTAGCCGACCCTGCTAGCCTGCTCGTCGAACTTGTAGTAGGAGCTGGTCAGGGCGAGGAAGCCGGGGGTGACGCACGACTCGACCACACCCAGGAGGATCCGCAGCGTGAGAAGGCCAGCAAAACTGTTGCTGCTCAGGTGAGCGAGCATGAGGAGTGCCCAGCTGAAGACGGCGAAAGTGAGGACGCGACCCGTTCTGAAGCGTTGTAGCAGGATGTTCACGGGGTACTCGGCGACGAGATAGCCCTGCGCGTGGGAATGAAGGACATGTGATCAGCTCTGGGCCAGGCAAATGAGGAAGTTTGACTGATTGCCACTCACGATGTAGACTGCAAACGAAACGCCAAGGCAGGAGAGAGTGATCAATCAGCGTGCGATCCAATGTCATCTCCCGCCGCGCCGACTCACAAAAGCTCGAGCACTGATTGAACCTATCTTGGGTCAAGTGGTTGTCCTGCTTGATCCCGAGAATGGCCGCATTCCCCAAGGAAGTCTTATCACAGAACTGGATCATGTACATGGCCAGCATGAGCGGGAGAAGATGCCAGTCGATTTTGCGTCGCAGCTTGTTGTATTCATCCTCAGTGACGTTTTGGAGCTCGGACTCGTACTCGAGCATGAGTGCAGCACCTTCATCTACTGACTTTGCATTGATGACTGGGGCCGAGGAGGGAGACGTGTTGGAGGTGGTGGGAGGGGAGTAGGGCGAGTCTGTGATGACCGCCATGGCCGTCTTGGAATCATAGGCCTCGCCGCTACCGCTGCTCCCGCTAGCGCCGTGGGTGGCCATCTTCTTCTCGTCGTCGTGGTCGGACATGGTGTTGCGCAGAGAGATCAAGGGCGTCGTAGTGATGGAAAGAAGAACAGAAAGAAACTGTCCCGCCACAAGAAGGTCTTAATCTCATTCGCATTCGCACTGAGGCAGAGGTTCGCCCCCACATTGGTCACACGCTCTCTGCACCCATATCAGCCAGTCGGCAGACGCGGCTGGATGGAAGCGAAGCTAGGGCCGCGGGGCAGCGCCGTACCGATAAGAGAGCCCCGGCAAGAGGCGACGCTCTGAGGTCCGAAGATGACCGCGTGTCGACAAAGGCAGATAAGCTGGCCAAGAAGCCAAGAATCACTTGGCCCCCGCTTGAAAATTTGTTCGTGAATATGGCATCAGACCTTCTTCGCCCTTTCTTACTGGTAGATGTGGGAGATGAGCGCATGATCGACGGGCAGTCGAGCGGCGCACCCATCTCGTGAGACGCAGTGGGCGTCACAATCCGTCTCGGTCAGGCACAGATCTCCAGCAGACTGTATCGCTATTCTATCGAGGCCTGCCTCTATGGCAGAATCAGTCGTGCGAATGAGATTGCCATGATGTGAGACAGGGTGGTGAGGCGGTGAGGTGGTGAGGTCCGGAGCGGAAGAAGTCGCCTGCCGGCCGGCCAAATTGACGCGGAGCGGAAACGCGCCTCTCTGGACGCGCTTCGACTTGGACTTTGGAATCCAACACTCATTGTTACCTCCTCCCCTTCCACACGACCGCCAACATGAGCGAGGATGTCGCTCGCAATGGTCTCGTCGAGCAATTTGGTCGCCCTCTCGCAGATCATGCAGACAGCATGACCGAGTGTCTCTCTCTGCTGCGCCTCTACTCCCTCACACCGCAGACCCTCTTCTATCGCTGGGAAGCATTCGCTCTCAGCTCTCTCCCTTCGGAGGCGCGCGCGAATCCGACATTGCAAGACTTCAGAGCGCTCCGTCAACACCTTCAGTCCTCACTCGAGACGGCTAATGCATCTTCTTCTTCCGCGGGGGCCTACGCGCAGACGCCAAAGAAAGATGGACTTGCTGGTTTCGGTGCCGGCTCGGCGGGGCGTACCGGAGGGGCAAGTGCGAGGAAGATGATGGGATTGGGTGGGCTCATGGGATCCGCTCCCAGCTCGACCTCGATGCAAACCCCTTCACGCCCGTCAGCGCTTAGTCGCGGGTCGCGACCCACGGCAGGAGGTGTTGGGGACGATTCGATGGAGATGGACGACTCGCCTCTCCGACCAGGCGCAGCGAGGGCTAATGGCGGCCAACAATCATCTGGGCCTGCGGGAGCTTGGCATGCAACGCAGACATTGAACAGCAAGATTCCTGCGAGCAACGGTGACGAATCACGAGGCTCCTCGTCGCGCGTAGCATTGGCTGTGGGGACCGACCCGAGGAAATGGCAATACCGCTACATGTTCGAGCGCGGTGGAGAGCGAGGAGAGGGTGAGTGACCGCTGCCTACTCGGAAGCCGCATGTGTGGGACTGACAAATTGATAATGACTCTTTTCGCTCGCCTGGGCCCCCACTACCTCCAGCTTTGGACGACTCCCTCGAATCCTACTCCTCCCTCATCCTCGAGACGTACAACATCAGCGAAGAAGACCTAGGCGACCCGTCCCACACGCATCAGCAGTCTGTCTACGTCGTGGGCCGTATCACGCCCAACCTGACCGCGATGACCGCGAAAGCATCAGACAACACCGCAGCCACAGCCGGTGGTCTCCCGCGCCTGAAGCCGAGCGCAGACGGGATCCTCATCGAGTCCTCCAAGCTGCAAGGCGCAGGAGCACGCGTGCCTATCAGATTTGAGAAAGATTGCACGATCCGTCGCCCACCGGGTGACATGGACGCCGACTCAGGGCCGTCCTCCCCCGCAGAGCTCCTCGGCCTCTTCCCCGGTCAAGTGCTCTGTCTCAAAGGGCGCAACGGTGGCGGGTCCGTCTTCGGCGTAGAGGAAGTACTTCTTCTCCCTTCCCTCTACCAGGCCTCAACTGCTCCCTCGCGTTTGCTCGAGTTGCAGCATACTGCTCCGAATCACCTCCGCGGCCAGGCGCTGAATATCGCTGTAGCCTCGGGACCTTATACAGCGGAGATGGATCTAGACTTCGCGCCATGGCATGCATTGATGGATAATGTGGCGCGAGAGGCGGTGGACGTGCTCGTCCTCCTAGGTCCCTTTATCCCGCTCTCGCACCCGCTCCTCCCCACCTCGCAACACCTCCCTGCCGACCTCTTCAAACAGCACTTCGCCTCCCGCCTCAACAGCCTCACCTCCCCCTCGGGCTCCGCAGGCACCACCCCGATCCTCCTCCCCTCCGTCCTCGACGCCCTGACCTCGCATGCGGCCTGGCCTCAGCCGAAGTATGATGCTGCTGAGCTTGGCCTGAGCAAGAAGACGAAGCTGCTACCAAATCCGTGCTTGTTCAGTGTAAACGAGGTGGTCGTCGGAGTGAGCACGGCGGATGTCCTGAGGGATTTGAGGGGAGAGGAGCTGGTCGTGCGACTCAAGAACGCAGCAGCGCAGACAGGAGGGGCAACACCTCCAACACCGCAGAAGGAGGACGTCATCGCTCGCGCTGTGCGACACATCATGTCGCAGCGAAGGTGAGCCCCTGTCTCTTTCCCGGATCCATCTCTGCATTCAGCTGACCCTTCTCTCCTCGCCACTCGCACGCACACCCAGCTTCTACCCCCTCTTCCCACCCCCACAACCACGTCCGGCCCCCGGCGCGAGCTCAGAGGAAGCGCCCCTCCCCCTCTCCCTGCCACACCAACACCTCGCCCTCTGGCAGTCAGTCACGCCTGACGTCCTCTTACTGCCTTCTTGCTCCCTAGCCCCATTCGCAAAGATTGTCGACGGGACCATCGTGATCAACCCTGGACCGGCTGCAGGTGGAGGGGACGAGGGACAATCGCAAGAGGAGGGGAAAGCAGCCAAGCTTACCATCCTGCCATTATCGCGCGCTGAGCTAGAGCAACAAGTCAACGCGGAGGACGAACCGAGAGGACATGACGTGTGGAGTAGGACGAGGGTAGATTTGTTGGGAGTGCCGTTGCGCAGGTAGAGGGGCGCGCAGAGGGACTTCTATTGCTCGAAGCTGGTAATGCTGATGTAGACTACGCGACGCGACGACAGACCCAAACCCGCTCCCTTCTCTTGACACCGAGTGCTGCAACTACTTGCACTTCGTCTCCTGCTTTTCTCCCTTTCGCACTGCGAATGAGCGCCAGGCTCTCTGTTCGTACAGGCAATCCCTCCGCTCCTTGCTCAAGCGGCGCTGTACTGACGAGGGCGAGCCTGTACCCTGCCACCTTGGGCAGGCGAGGCAGGAGGACCTCACCTATGTAGTTGACGAGGTTTCGCCTCCATGTTGCGCCCTTGCCTTGTATCGCCCTGATCGCAGCGATCGTCGGCCGCCTGACAATGCTCAAGCCGGCATGCTCTGAAAAGCTTGCCTCCTCTACAAAGCCCTCCTTCCCTTTTCTGCCCTCCACTACCTGATCACAGGGAACCTCGCTGATCACCCAGTCGAATTCACCCCAGATCTCGAGCAGTGATCGGTCCAGATTCTCCTGCTTATCGTACGTCCACACGGCTCGTTCCTCTGCAGTTGAAGGAGGCAAAACACCCGGCAAGAAGGACAGCCCAAATGCGCCCCGGCTGTTATGATGCGAGGAGTGGTGCAATGACTGGAAGAGGCTGACGCCAGTCATGGCCGGGGGTACGTCGATGTGTACTCTTGCGCCGCTCGTTGCCGGATGGGTCTCGTGCAGCCAGCGTAGAGCTTCCCCCCCTGGGTAATTGGATGAGCTTGTACCTAGCCCGAGGAGGGTGAGTGCTAGGGTGAGGAGGGTAAGAGTCAGGGGCAAAAGACGACGCAGTAGGAGGACAGGGCTTGACGAGGAAGAGGAGCCTAGTTTTGTTGCTGGGAAGAGCCTGGTGATGAAGGGGCAGTGAGCGAGCCATTAGGCTCCCTACGTTGCTTCACTGGCCACAAATCGCAGTACTCACAATAAAGCTGCCGCCAATGCCGCGAGGACATTCAAGCACGGGCCCACGTAGACGATGAATCTCCACTCCTTATGTTTGAGCAGCGAAAGTAGACCGACTTGTACTGCAGAGACCCATAGGAGGGCCAAAGGTGGAATTCGGCCTGCTTCCCGTTGAGCCAGAACCTCATTGATACGTTTGCTCCTCGCCGCGGCGGGGGAGGGAGCGGATCTGCCTTGCTGGAGGGTGTTTGACGTCGCAGGAGGACCTGAGGCTGATTCAGACGACGGCCCTCTCGTCGCTGCCCACACAGCCGCCCCTGCGCCACCCACAGCCAGCGGTGTCAGACCTAACAACAGTCCCGGCAGCGCCGACGTGAAGTAGAAGGACCATGGCTCGATGCCCCATTCGACACTCTTGCCCTGCACAACATTGAAGAGCCCGGCCTCCAACTCGGGCCACGTCCAATTCGTGTCCATGCCTACGCGCCACATCCATCGATCCATGAGAGCCGTCCATCCCGCGGAGAGGGTGGCGGCTGCTTGGGATATGCCAGCGAGTTTGGCGATGCTTTCGACCGGGTGGGGGTCCCATTCGCTGCGGTAGGAGAATAGGCGGGAATGCAAGTGGTACAGCCCTAGCGCGCCTACGAGGGCCAGGCACTCTAGCCGGATGACGAGGGACGTGAAGATGAGAAGGGCTACGCCAGCTAGTTGCTGTTTTTCGTGAGGAAGACCTCGAGGGAGGGCCAAGCCGAGAGCAACGAGGACCAAAGGCATGGCGAAGCTATTCGGCAATGGGCGACCGGCATAGAATGGGATGCGGAACTGCACCAGATGGAAGACCAAGGTCAGTCTGTGGAGCCAGCTGCGTAGCTTCCTCTCCCTGGCTGAGTCGCCTTGCGTGAAGGCTCGAAGGTCCAACGCTCCTGCCACACGGCGAGCAAAGAAGAGGGCAGCTTCCGCCCAGCATAGAGCAAGGATGCAGCGTACCAGGAGTTGGGCGTCTGCGCTCGTCGTGATGAAGCCTGCGAATCTGCCTAGCAGGAGGAAAGGATAAGAGAGGAGGCTGAGAAGAAGAGAGGGAATGAAGCTGCGAGGGACCGCTCCCGGGAAGAGGATGTGGTCCCACTAACCGAAAGGAGGGGTGAACGAAGACAGGAAGTCAGTGGTGCTGAGACAACGGCAGCACCTTTGAGACCACCTGCGTACCTCATTGATGCGGCCCAGACCCAAGAATAACCAATCATGCACTGCCTGAACATTGAAGCTCTCCTCGACCTTTGTGTACGGGGCGACCACAACGTGCGCGACAGCTACGATGCGGAGGAGGACTTGAAGGTTGATGTCGAGCCACGTCGAGCGAAAAGGTGGCTGTCGCATTGCAGGTGCAACATTACTGCTGGGCATGGCAGCCCGAAGATTATCTATTAGCCTTGTGGGATGATGAAATGGAAAGAGGGAAGAGAAGAAGTCACGTCTTTGTCCCCGTCCGCGTTTTTGACGCCGCACGAGCCATGCCCATCGTTGAGACTCGACAACACAGCTTGCAGCTCCTCGCACAACCGCCACTCAATGGACGCATCAGTGTAGTTCGCATTAAAAGGATCGAGTAAACAGGTTCAAGTACGACGATGGAAAGATCTCAGCCCTCACTGCCTCTACTATCGTGGCAGCATCCCGCCGCCTCCTCCTACTGCGCCTCCGCCTCCGGCCCCATTCTGAGCCCCGCCACCACCAAGCTCCATCGCCTCGACTACGCTTCTACTGATCGCCGGCCCCGCCCCTTCATTCGAATTGGGGTCCAGCCTGCCACTCTCCAGCGCTTCCGTGTACTCCTCTACACTCCTCACCAGGTTGAGGAAACGGTTGTCCTTGATGAAGCGAGGAACAGAGTCCGTCGCCATGAGCTTGAAGGTGTGGTCTTGGATACGCTCGTACAATCGCACGATTGTCTGCAGCTGCGAAGCATGAAGCGGAGCTCGAGGCATCGAGGCAAAGACCGTCTTCTTGCGCTCTTCGACCGAGGCGTTGGGTCCAAGTGGCGTGGTGCTGCCCGGACCGGAGGAGCCGTCCCCAAGATCGGTGCTGGGACGACCGCGCCCTGTCCCGAAGGAGGAGGTACTGGCCGCAGGTGGGCCAGAGAGATTGCTAGGGAAAGCATCGTTGACTGACTGCTGCTGCTGCGCCACAAGGTCTTGCGCCCTGACCGTTGTGACTCCTCCGCCTTCGGCCCCTGAAGTAGCTCGAGCGTCGGTGAGCACCTTGGTCATGTAGTTGACCAGCTCCGTGCGCAAATTGTGCTCAATATTGAGCTCACAAGGTGACGCAGGCGCCAGATACGTATTGTAGATCACGAAGGCCATGGCGATGAGGTCCTGCTGATGCTTCTCCATCGCCGTATTCGTTCCCTGGCCGCTGGCCCGCTGCTGCGCTTCCGCCGCTGCCGCTGCAGCAGCCTGCTTGGCAGCGTTGCGATTGAACAAGCCGGTGCGGCGTGAGGTACGCTCGCCCTGCTGGTTAGCATTCGAGGACTTGACTGCTACGGCGCTCGAGGTGGTGTGGAAGCGACGCTTGAAATCCTGTACGTCCAGCCAGAAGGAGAGATTCTCTTCGCAGAAGTTCTGCTTCAAGAAGTCGCGGTAGAGGGAGCGCAACGCGGGCTCTTCGAGGATCTGGCGCAACCTATTCGTGTTAGAGTCTCGCGAGTTGTATCCTCCGACGGAGCCCGAGGCAGAGTCATGACCATGACTGTCCTTGCTACTGCCGCCCCCGCTTGTCCCTCCGGTATTGCCGCCGCCGCCTGAGCGGACCAGGTAGTCATTGCGCAGCTTCTCTGCGGCGGACTGCTTGCGAAAGAGGTTGGAACCTTGCCTGCTGCTGTTGGAGTCGCTGCCGATCGAGCGCGATGAGATGGAGGCGCTGCGAGAGTTGTCACCCCCTTGAGAGCCACCGTACTCGGGTCGGTTGCCGTTGGAGGCCATTACTTCTTGTTGCTCGTCACCGCCCGAGGCTGAGTGCAAGGCGTCCTTCCCTCCAGCCCCGGCGCCCGCTACTGCTGCTGCTGCCGCTGCACGTCGCGCATCGTGGCTTGACGCTCCACCGTAGTCGAAGCTACCACGCACAGCCGGACCCCCCGCACCTGGTGCCCCAGCACTTGTCCCACTCCCGGCGACATCGCTGCTGTCGCGACTTGGCCTACCAGACCCTGCATTGCCGTAGCTATCTGCCGGCTGTGCATACCCCGGCCAGCGAGCGACGGCTCTGCCTCGATCGGTCAAGGCGTAGATTGCCTTGTAGTGGCATCTGAACTCTCCCTCGCTCACGCGGCCGATGCCATCCTCCCCTCGCACCAGTACAGCGTCATCATCTCCCTCGCTACCACCGCCGCGCCTAGACGACGAGTCGCGCACCAGCCCCACGAAGCCCATGCGCTGGAAGTGGGCGCAGATCTCTGCTGCTTCATCTCGCCCGCAGATGGTGGTGAAGTCGCACAGCCAGTCCAACGCAGCAACAGCGGAGAAGGTATGCTTGACTGCTTCTGCGTTCTTTGACGTTCGAGGCTTGTCATACAGGTCTGACAGCCCAATGCCTAGAGTACGATCAAAGACAACGGGCGGCTGGCCGGGCTTTTGAGGGGCCATGGCTGCATCGATGTAGTTTGGCTGGCGGCCACAGAAGCGGCGAAAGAGGACCTCGATGATGGGGCGATTGATGAGGAGCTCGTCGTCGTGGGCTCGTCGCTCGAGATGGAGGAGCTTCATGCAGATGGGCTGAGAGGAGAAGACTTTGAGTAGGTGCTCGCCATTGATGCCGTTCTTTGTAATGAAACGCTCGAGGATGTGAAGGCCCTTGGGCGTGAGTTGGTAGACGCCTGACGAAGAGATCAAGGGACGTGCGTCAGCATGGCCCCACAGCTGGCGCTCTGATGGTGCTTGACTCACCTTTGTCCTTGAAAATGGCGCTCGAAGGATCAGCAGCATTCTCAATGAGACGAGCATCCATGAAGTGTTGGCAGATACCTGCAGCAGGGCGTTGAGAGTGCAGAGCTGGTGAGCTCAAGCTGCTTTGACCTCGCTTCCACTGCTTGCTCACCTTTGGCCATATCACGATTCATGCTGAACGTCGTCGTCGTCGTCGTCGTCACAACTCTGCTCGGCTCCCTCGGATCAGGCGCTCGATTGGACTGCGAGAACTTGAGCGCCGACAGATTCTCGGCCGCCTCGTCTGTAGTGAAGGAGTTGGTGTACGTTTTGAAGTATTGACGGTGCGTCGTCAGCTCAAGAGAGACGATGAGCGTCGCAAAGAGATCGTGGGTATCCTGTCGATGCGAGAGAAGGGATCAAGTGAGCTTGCAGCGAGGAGATGTGGCAATGGTCTAGCGGGTCTCACCTTTGCATAGGGCCGTCCCCTCCTAGTCGTTTTCATCATCCTGCTACTCGTCTGCTGCTTCGTTCGAGTAGAGGAGCCGCCCTGTCCTCCATCGCGACCGCTGCTACGACTGCTTTGTGTCGCGTCTTCAGCCATGACTCCTGGCTCTCACGAGAGATATAGGAAGAGGTAGAGTTGTTGGTGCTGGCCAGAGCTAAGGGGTCGGACGAGCGGCTGGTCTACGATGGTCGACAGCGCAAGCAATGACCGAGGCCGGGGGCGCGGCGCTCACTTGCTACCCTCGTCTCGTCGTTGCTCGTCCTTGTCGCCGCGGCCTGTCGTCGCTGATCCGGTCAGGGGGCTTGCGTGTGTGTGCCTTATTGAACGGAAACCGGCCGCGATGATGACAAGGCAACAACGACGTAAAGTAGGAGGGGGCAAAGTGAGGAGCAATCGAGCGTGCAAGTCGAAGTCGCAGTCGCAGTCGCGCTAGACGAGACGAGACGGACAACGGAGTTGGGAGGGAGACAAAGAAAGGCAACTAATCAACCAACTAGCGCGAGGCGTTGGGCGTCGAGCGTCGAGCGTCGATTGGCTTGCAGTCAAGTCAGTCTCACCCAGTCAAAGTCCAACCAACGCCCACAGCGGCGGCGCCGGCACGGCGGCTGGAGTGAGACGGGCCCTTCTCTCGCTCACTCAACGCGCCGCCCGCGCCGCTCCACGGGTCTCCTCGCCGCTGAGCTTGGCCCCCTCGCGAGGGCACACGAGCAGCCGAGCTCAAGGCCAAAGCTCAAAGCTCACAAAAAGCTCACAAAGCTCTGCACAAGGTTCAACAGTGGGCGCTGAGCTAGCCCGCCGGCAACGGCAACGCCAGCGCCTTGGCTCGCAAAGATAGATAGACACCGATTTAGGTCAGGGCAGGGCAGCCTGCAATGAACAAGGTGGGAGCATTAAGGGGGTAAACGAGTCGTGAGGAAGTGCGGCAGGGGGACGAGGCGAAGGCGCGAGGACCCCTGACAACAGAGTCAAGGGGGACAGCTGCGTCGAAGCTGCTTCGAGCTCAGGGCGCCCAGGTGCAGGAACAAGAAGAACGGAAGCAGGCCTGTCCTCCTTACCTCCCGACTGCGTGTACAGGGCGAGAGCGCCTGCTCTCCCTCTCGCCGTCTCTCAGCCATGCCACCACTCGTCGGTACGGCTCCATATCTCCAAACGAGCAAGTTCGAACCAGAAAAGATGAGATGTAGATGACAGGCAAAATCAAAAGAACAATGAAGAGAAGAGCACAGACGAATATGAGATAAACAAAGAGGGATGAGATGTGAGATGCCAACCACGGACGGGGCTTCCAATCGACAGGTCACGGTGTGACACTCTGCTCTTCTACACCGTGAAAGCGTCCGCCCACCCGTCTGTCGCGCCCAAGAAGTCCAGCCTCCAGATCGGGCTAGGTTGCGGAGGGGCAATGTCCCTCGAGGTCAAGTAACGACGCTGGGCAGATCCGCCTCGAGCCTGCTTTTCGTGCTTTTCAGGTTGCTGATGCTGATGAGCGTAGTAGAGCTGCTGCTGCGACCCTAACGTTGGGGTCCTCCCCGCCGCTGTCTGGCTGCCCTGGCTGGACATGCTACTCCGCCCATACGCCGCAGTCGGGCTGCCAGGGAGAGCAGAGCTGAACCTCTTGGCGCCGCCCGTGCCGACGATAGACTTGAGAGCTCCCGCCCCCGGCTGTTGAGCGTACTGCTGGCCCTGCCAGCCCAAGCTCACACTAGGGTTGCGAGAGTCATATCCATCGCCCTTGGCGCACATGGTCGTAGCGGTCGCGGCAGCATGGACTGCCGCGCCTGACTGCCCAGCCAAATAGCCTCCCAGGCCACTGAATGCTGATGTCAGGCCTTGCAGACTGACCCTGCCCAAAGCGCGCGAGCCCAGCCCGCCTGCCGCGGCCATGGCCAGGTTGCTGCCTGAGCCTCGCCCAGCATCACGATCCGGGGAGCTAAACTGCGCTGCATCGCTATTGCTTGAGTAGGAGCGTCCAGTCGTGGAGTTGGTCGTCCCGCTGTTGGAGCGCGTGAGGCCCGAGTCGAGGCTGGACTGCGACGAATCCCTGACGTACGCGCTGCGAGCCACCGGTGGTCGGCCACCCTTGAATGACGAGGAGCCAGCGATCATCGCCTGCCTGACGGGCGGATTTGATCCCCTCCTGCCGACGGAAGCGTAGTCACGCGCCGCGTCATCATCATCGTAGTACTCGACGTACACGGGCGGCATGTCGAGCGAGGAGTGGGTGGAAGGCAGCGCCGGAAGCGGATCGAGTTGCTCGCACACCAGCAGACCAAAGAAGTCATCGATCGAAGGCTTGCGGCTGCGCTGCGCTTGCTTTGTACGTTGACGTAAGCCGTTCTTGGACTGCGCGTTACGGACAGCATCGAGGGCGTCGCGATAGGACCATTCGCGGATGAATTCGGGCCGATGCATGTCGACGTGGTCGGACGCGTCTTCATGGAGAGAGTCGTCGTCGTAGTCCTCCTCTTGCTGGTCGTCGTAATCGTCCTGCTCGTCGTGCGGAACGCCACCGCTCTCGAGGTCTACGGGAGAAGCCGGCCCGTACGTTTCGACGGAGGACGTGGTGCTGGATCGCTGCCCGCCGACGTCGCCAGAGGATTTAGAGCCCTGAGAGCCAGATGTACCAGAGACGGAAGCATTGCGGTCCCCAGCTTGGCTGCGCACTTGAGCTGGCGATGAGGCAGCTGATGCAAACGTGGCCGAGGGCTCCAATGAGGGAGTATCGTAAATCTCGGGAGCGAGCTCCTGCTCGTCGCTTGAGGCTTCTTCAATATCCTCGCCGGCTTCAAGGTCAATAATGCTGCCACCTCGCGCATGCTGCTGCTCCTGGCCATCCATCTCGCTCTCCTGCTCCTCTACCTCCGCGACTTCTTCCTCAACCTCCTCCGCCTCGGCCAACGGCTGCAAGCCTCCCGGCAGAACACTCCCGTCCTGCTTCTCATCAGGCGTGAGGGAGCCCTGCTCCGATTCTGCCATACTCGTAGCCATGGTGGTTCCACTGCCGGCGCTCATCATACTGCTCTGATCCATCGACCCCATGCTCGAGTCGTACGCGAAGACATGACGCTTGTTCCGGCTCGAAGGCGATGGAGCAACGGGACTGAGGACACTCTCGCTTTGCGAGGCATCCATTGGAGAGAAGGCTGCCTCTTCCTCATCCTCTGGTACTGCAGCCGCCATCTCACGCTGAGTTGCAGAAATTGAGGCAGTGCGCTCGCGCTTATGCTCCTCGGTCTTTGTCTTCTCGTTCTCCAGCGAGGCAGTCAACTGGCTATTTTGGTCCTTGAGCTCATCCGCCTCCTTCTGCGCCCTTAGGTGCTCGCGGCGCTCATGCTCCAAGCTGCCCGCAAGGTTGAAGATCTGCTGGCGCATATCCTTGAGCAGCTTCACCGTCTGCGGGTTGGGCAGCTCCGACGAGCTGGCACCTGGAGGGAAGTAGCTGCTTGAGGGCGGCGCGTTGGGGTCGAGCGCGGGACTCTTGAGCGCCATGATAACATCCGCAGGAATGGTTAGGCTACGTGAGGGAGAGTCATCGCTCCCTGTAGGCGTGGAAGCTACCTCGAGACCTTCCTGACGCATTCTGGCCTGGAGAGACTTGATGTGCAGGTGGAGAGAGGCGACCCTTTGGCGCTCTGACTCGGTGTTAGCCCGCTCGTCGCGCAGTGACTTCTCGAGACCTGTGCAGCGCGTGCGCCAACCGTCGACGTCGTCTGCCAACATGTCGCGCTCTGCCTCGAGATCCTCCATTTGCTGGCGCATCTCGGCTGCACCAGCCTCCTTCTCTTGCTCCAACTGGGCCAGACGCTCCTGATGCGCAGATTCGAGCTCGTCGATGCGCGAGGTGAGTGCACGCTTCTCTTCGGCCATGCGCTGCTCTAGCTGCGAGTACTCGAGGGCCGCTCGTTCTGTCTCTTGCTTCAGCTGAGCATTGGCAGCGTCCACTTGGCCACGGAGCATCTCGAGAGTGCCAGTGTCACGCAAGTTCTTGGCCTTGAGCTCGTCGATAATGGCCATCGTTGAGGCTGAGGCTGAAGTTGAAATCGATGAGGATGACGAGGACGCAGGAAGCGAGATCTCATTTGGCGTGGTCGGTGAAGACGATGACGGCTTGTAGATGATGCTAGATCGGCGGTTCGTGACAGGCGACACGGCGTCCGCAGAGCGAGAGGTCGATGATGGCTTCTTAGCGCCCGGCGTGTGGAATCCATTGCCCACGGTCCCATCGCTGCTCACTGACCCGGTGGACGATTGACTGCCGAGTCTCAGCGCTCGCATGCCAGGACGGTTGGAGGTGTTCGGTGGCGAAGGGGGGTCGTCACCTTGCGCCTCAGGAATGGCGTTGATGCGGGCAACGGCGCTTGCCATGTTGAGAGGTCGAAGGGAGCCGAGTGGCATTGAGCGCCTGTTGAGCTTCTTAGTCGCCTCGGACGATTGCGAACGCGGCATTGACCAGCCGCGTGACAACTCGCCAAGGGATTCTGATGGAGCCAGGGAGCTCTGGCTTTCCACTGTGTCGGTCTCTTCGTCATCTGCATCGCCCGACGACTCGTTCAGCTGCGGCAAACCAGCGGCTCGCTGAACGCTCGAGGCGACGTAGAGGCTGGTGGGTCGGCTCTTGAGCTTGAGGGGCTTGGGCTGAAGGCCGAGTCGCCTTGTACGTTGGGCCGTTTCCAGCTCGGCCTCGCGACGTCGCTGTTGGGCTGCCTCGTCCTCGACGGCGCCGATGCCCTTGATGAAGTCCATTGCTTTGCGCTCCTTCAGCGGCGAGTTGGTCTCGTCCTCCTCTTCCTCCTCGACGAGAGTCGTAAGTCCCTCGGCTTGTGCATTGTCGGTGGATATGAAGAGCGACGCTGGCCTTGTTCTCGGGCTCTTCTGCGCGCTGAGCTCCGGCAGCGATTGCGAAGAAGTCATGCCGACGTTGGGAGAGAGGAGCGTGGCGTTGGAGCGAATTGACTGCTCCTCAGTGGATCGCTCATTGGCCTCGAGCAGATTGATCGTCGATCGTCTGTCCATTCCCTCCTCGCCGTGGATCTCATCGAAGGTGGGAAGCTGGACGCTACTTTGCCTCGAGTGACGTCGGTCGGAAGGCGTGTGAGGGGAGGATACGCCTGCTTTTTTGCCCTCAAGCTTCTCCAATGCTGTTCGACGGTCGTCTCCTCCGTCATCGCCGTCAACGTCTCGCTCAGACGGGTTACCATACGATCCCCTCCAGTCAAAGTCACGCACGCCACTGCGACGGTTGCTGTCGCCGCCGCCAAAGAGGAGGCTGGCGGACTGAATACCGGAATGGCGATTCGAGCTGAAGCGGCGGCTAGCTCGAGAGTTGAGTCCGCTGTCCACCGACGATGGGAAGCCTAGGCCGCCCATGATCTCCATGCTTTCCCTCTTCGTGGCCAGCGACGCTTTGCGAGAGTGACGCGAGGGCCTGCGACTGTGGCTCAAGAATGAGTCGGCGCTTTGGCTGCCGGCAATGCCCTGCGGATCATCTAGCGGCTTGGGCTGGGCCTTGGGCGTGACGGAGGGCGAAAGCGCAAAAGCAGGCTGCAGCTTTGCTTCGTCGACGTCTTGCCAGTCAGACGGCTTGCCACTGGGACCAAAGGCGTCCGGCCCTCGCTCTACGGCCAGGATGTTGGCATTGCCTGCCGACGATGATGAAGCCGCGCCGAGTGCTGCGCCGCTCAGTGGTCGTGAAGGCTGGTGAATGCTGAGGTTCCTTGAATGTCGCCGGCTCGAGGCGACAAAGGATGTCGGGCGAGTATTTGCTGAGTGTGCTAAGGGAGTGGCAGATGAAGGCGTTGAAGTTGAGTTGCGATATGGTGACTGAAGGCTCGAGGCAAGGGCGTTGACGGCCGTTGAAGCCATGCTGTCTGCGGTGATAGAGATGGAACCTGTCCTCGAGTGACCTCTCCCGTGTCCAGCACGAGAGTGAGTACGAGAATGATTTCGAGCATGCGAATGAGTGGCAGATGGTGGCGGTGTCGCGAAGGAAAAAGCATGCATGCTGTCTTGCGAATCTCTGGCTGCCTGCACGATCTTGGACTCGACGGCGAGGGCAATGTTCGCAGAGGCACGCTTGGCCTGAGCAGCTGTGAGCGAGATGGAGTTGCGCTTGGCCCTCTCCATCTCTGCTTGCTTTGCTTGCTTCGCTCGGTATGTCTTGAGCTGTGAGAGGGGGGCGCAAGGGAAGCAATGTGTCAATTCCATGGATGTGTGGTGGGCGGTAGATGAGAACTCTCGCCCCGCAGCATGCTCACCTTCTTTTTCGCCGCCAGGATCCTGTCCTCCCTCTCCTTGCTCTCGACCGATGCAGACGACGAGCTGGTTGCCATATTGGAGGGAATGTGAGAACAGTCGATGTATGGGTGAAGGGCGGAAGGGAGCGTCTCGAGGGGTTGATGGGTCGAGGGTCGATGGATACAGAGGGGGCCGGGTAGCGAGGCGAGGGAACAGTGGCGAGCACGGAGGCTAGGGAGACAGAAGAGGGAGGACGAAAGGCTGTGTAGTGGTCAAGCCGGCCGGAGCAACGTCGTGGAAATGAGGGCGCAAGAGCGAAGAGGGCGTTCGTGGGCGGCGAAGGTCGGCGGCGACGGCTACCCGACGGTTCTATATTGGCCTGATGGGCGCGATAGTCGGCGTAGAATGGTTGCGGGCCTTGCTGCGTTCGATGACGCTGGCTGAATCGAGGCGTGTAGTGTCGCAGAAGGTCGTTGATCCGCCAGGGAAATGCGAGGTGCTGCGATGAGCGCTCTCCTTCGTGTCGCGTCTTTCTCTCAGAGAGGTCGCGACGATTCAAAGGGGTTCCGGCGATGCGTTTGTGGAGAGGGGCCGCTGGGTGATTGCAGACTTCGAGTCGGCTTTGCAGCGACTGTGCGAGGGTGAAAGGGAAAGTGAAGGGGGGAAAAGGAAAAGGGGAGGGGAGAGGCAGGAGGGGTGGCGAGGTAGTGGTAACGAGAGATTGGAGGAGGAAGACAAAGTTGTCCCTGCCTGTCCTCAACGCCTGCCTGCCCACGACGCTCGAAGTAGCCGGCGGACGAGACGAGGTAGGGCGCAGGCTTCTCCGCGGCCATTCGCTCGCTCTCTCACTAGCCTGCTGCCTAGGCTGCCCGACTGCTTGCTGCCCTCCTCCTGAGACGCGACCACCGATGCAGGCAGGCACTTTGGCAGAGGGGCGTCGAGCAGTCGACTCAGACGAGCGAAGGCGGGCGGCGCATTCGAAAAAGCAGGGGGGTGAGAGGACGGTGCACAAATGAAATGAAGCGTGGAAGGTGCGATGGGATCGAGAGACGGGAGTGAGTCAAAATAGGAAGGTAGTGGTGCTATTGCGACGAGATGCGAAATATCAAGGGCAACGATAGAGGAGAAGGAGGGGGAGGAAGACGTCGAACCTCGTGATCCTGTGGTAAGGAAGCCACTGTTCCTCGACGATGACACGGTTGAGACCATGATACCATACCTTCGCATCCATGCTGTCTCACAGTCTGACCTCACTTGTGAACAACGCTTGTTGACTTGCCCTTTCAGGCTTCTCTTGAGTGGTCCAACCCTGAGCTCTTGCCCTTTGTGCCTCGACGCTTGCTTGCTCGAGCTCGAGCTGAGGCTGAGGCTGAGCCTGCGCGCGAGTCCGTCGGCGAGAGGGGCGTTGCGTTGCGTTGAGCCTTGAGCCTGAGCGGGCGGCAAGTCAAGCAAGCAAGCAAGCAGCAGCGGCGGCGGCGGCGGCGGCGGACGACGACGAGGCGGCGAGTTCCACCAATCTTCTCAACCAACACTTCGTACTCTTACATCTTACTACCTCTTTACTGCTCAACGGCATCACACACACACACACCATGGCTGACACCGAGAACAAAGATGTCCTGGCTGGTACCGGAGTGAGTGTAGTGCGCCCTCCTACCCTCTTGAGAGAGGCGCTTGCTGATCTCCTGCCCATCCTGTCGCCCTTACGCAGGAGGAGGAGTCGACGGCCAACTACGAGCCCATCGTCCAGCTCTCGGAGGCTGACAAGGTCGAAACAAAGACGCACGAGGAGGACGAAGAGGTTACGTTCAAGATGTGAGCAGGGAGTGAGCGGATAGCCAGCGAGCTACGTCGCCATGCTCACGCCTTGCTCCCTCATCGCCACCCTCCTCGACCGCAGTCGAGCCAAGCTGTTCCGCTACGACAACGAGAACAAGGAGTGGAAGGAGCGTGGCACAGGAGATGTTCGTCTGCTCAAGCACAAGGAGTCAGGCAAGACGAGGCTGGTCATGAGGAGAGACAAGACGCTCAAGGTCTGTGCAAACCACTACGGTGAGTAGCAGATCCAAGGCGTCGAGCTGGGCGTCCTCGCGGCATACAGAGACCTGACGTCTACCCTTCAATCCTTTGTTCTTAGTTCTGCCCTCGCTCAAGCTCTCGCCCAACGTCGGTTCAGACCGCTCGTGGGTCTACAGCGTTACCGCAGACGTCTCGGACGGCGAGCCGGTGGCTTGCACGCTTGCCATTCGCTTTGCCAATTCGGAGAGTGAGTGCGAGACAGTGCCGCCCACGGCGAGGGATCCTGGAGAGAACTGACCACATCACTTTCGCCGCGCTCGCCCAGACGCCAATCAATTCAAGTCGCACTTCGAGGCGGCGCAGAAGGGCAACACTGGCAGCTCGTCAGAGGCGGCCCCCTCCACCGACGGCGGCAAGACTGAGGAGGCAGCAGCGCCAGCATCATCAGCGGAGAAGAAGGAGGAGGAGCCCAAGGCCGACGCAGCAGCTGCGGCCGCGGACAAGGATGAGAAGAAGGAGGACGAGAAAGCCGCCGCCAAGGCCGACTGATGCGTACAATGGGTAGAGCCGCGAACAGCGAGGAAAGCTGCAGGTCGTTTGTACTCACGAGTGGAGAAGTCTTCATCGCGTCGAATACATCCCAGGATAACGCTACATCTCACCCGGGCGGGCGAAAGCTGACTGACCGACGGCTTAAGGTACTGCCCATGCCCTGTCCACAACGTGCTCACTTCTGCTTCCCTCACACCCATCATCGCCTCCTCTTGGGCACACCGTCCATCTCGCCAGCAGCCACCAGAGGCCAAACAGCGTAGAACACTGCCCCCTGCTGCTTCTTAATCTGCACCCCCACAGTCCTCGACGAAACATCCCACCTACCCGAGGCCCCGCCAGAGAAGTAGGCGTCTAGCTCCTCAAAGTCTACCCCTGCCTGCTCGAGGCAACGAAGGAAGAGCTGCGCTTCCTCATTCCGGTGTGGCGCGCTTTCAGTAAGGCGAGGACTACGACGACGAATGACTTCAGGCTCACTTCGATGCACTGCCGCCGCTAGTCGCTCCAGCCCGACGAATTGGTCGACAAGGCAGCGCATCCCTGCGTCGTGCGTGAGTACGCAGCGAGCTGACAGCCGCGCGTACCAGATTGCCAAGCGCGAGGCAAGAGAGACGAAGTGGCGTTGTTTTCGCTCCTCCTTCGAGGGAGTGAGGGTGCGATTGAGCTCGATTGCACTGCCGTTGGTCCAGAGAGCGTCGAAGGCGTGGGAAAGGGCGCTGATGCGCCGCAGTGCGGTCTCATGAGCGTCCACTCCGGTTTCGTCGGTGTCCATGGCACCATAATCGGCGGCTCCTTGGATCTCATCATGGTACTCATCGTGGATGCCGTGAACGTCATCTAGAAGGTGCTCGTCCCTGATCTCTGCATGGTGGTCCGACCTTTGGATGGTTGGGAATGGGATCACCGATGTTGCTGGTGAAGTCTTCTCCGATCCTGATGGCCTCTTGAAGTGGACAAAGTCGCCCGCTACGGCCGACGATGGGTCAACATCGATGCCCAATCCCTTGAGCTGGCCCTCGATCTCCATGCCAGCCTCGCTGCTCTGCTGCCTCTCGACCTCCTCGGCCATCAGTAGCGCCCTAGCCTTGAAGATGTCCTGCAGTGCTCCGGTTGCGAAGCGCTCGTAAGCGAAACGCGCCGCAGCGACGATCAAGGCCGGTAGACGCGCCGTGTGACTCAGGTCGGTCGCCAGACTCCTTCCCTTCCCACTCGAGTTAGTCGTGGCTTCTTCCAAGCTGCTGGGCATTGGCCTTGACTCGATCCAATGCGCCTGCTCAGCATGCGGGAGGAGCCAAAGGTATTGCAGCTGGACAGCCCGAGCCAGCTCCGGGGCGAGCGGCAGGCGAGTACGGAAGTTGCGCCTTGCCCTGCTCATGAGCTTGAGGCAGTACGCCTCGGGCTGCGGCTCGAGGTTCGCACCTTTCGATCTCGAAGCCGCAACGATCCCAGCCCCTCGGCAACATCCAAGCGCGTCCTCCAGCTTCCGTGGCAACTCGCCCTCAAAAGGGTGCAACGCCTCCTGCAAGCCTCGCAGCGTCCACGTGATACGCCAGTCGGCCATCTCTCGGGGCAAGAGGTAGGCGCCACTGTTGTCTATCTCTGCTCCCGTGATGCTGCACTTGGGCGGGCAGAGTTGCTCGTAGCTGTGCTTCTTGTCGTCAGTCTGCGCCGCGTGTGCGCTGGAGAGGCCGAGGAGGAGGGTCGAGAACATGAACGCGCTGTTGCGATCACCCATATTGGAAGTATATACGGCGCCGGAAACGTCGATGTTAGGCCAGCGTATTGTAGCAGCGACCGTCGTCCGTCCTCTCGATGTTGCAGGTCGACAAAGAAATTCAGCCAATGTCATGTCATGCAAGCCTCCGTTATCCTCTGCAGTACCGCACTCTACCACCTTCCTCCCACCTTGTACTCTCAGCTCCCACCCGTACGGTAAGCCCAGCGCAGTAGCCAGCGTCCCCACCATTCTACCCAGCGAGAGGCTCATGGCCACATGCGCGGCCACCTCCTTTTTGTGCTGAGGCATCCTGCTCTGCTGCAGGCGGATGTGAGCGGCACGCTCCTCTGCTGTCGAGGAGAGCCAGCGTGTTTGGGAGGGGGAGTCGAATATTTCTGTTGGGATATGGAAGAGTGTAACAGGGGCACTGTCGGCGCTGCTGGGTGGCAGGCCTACTCGGGAAAAGATCGAGGTATGGTTGTCAGGGTCAAGCGCGATGGTCAGGGTCACCTGGTAGGCGAAGAAGGGTGATTGAGGCATCGCGGGCGAGAGAGGATAGGTGAGATGACGATCGTGGTAAGGACCAGGAGAAGGTGTTACGAGCGGCCGGCCTACCGCTCTGGCATCAGCTCAGCTTCATCGTGAGATTGCCTCCGAGGATTTGTCGATTGCATCCGCAGTCTCATATGTTCTCGACGCGTCACCATCGGCGGAAGCAGATCTCGTGAGACAGTAGGCGAGCGGAAGGCAGTCTCAGACTCTCTCGAGTGACGTCGCGTCGTCCTTGATCGAGGGTGGAAGTGCTGGCAGCTGGAATTGCGATGTATTGAGGGAAGGTGACAATGAGGAGCTTCTAAGGAGTCGGAGATTCATGTGACACGGCGAGACGGAAAGCTACATATACATCAGAGTTGTGAGAACGTGGAGATGAACAAGGGACGGGAGGTGACGTGGGAGGGAGTAGAGGCCAGACAAGAAGATGGGATCATGACGTGCCCGAGTTCCTGCCCGTCATCGGGCGGCTTTGAGGGTCGAGGCAGCAACAGGCGGATTGATCAGTCTTTGCCGTCTGGATCGTGGCGCTCTTTTCATCGGCTCTAGCTCGTACTCACTTGCCTGCGAGGTAGGCTCCGATGATCGTCTGCGCAACGCAAGGAAGCCGAGCAGCAATCGAGAAGTGTCAGTGTCGCGACCCACCATCTCTGCTCGCCCCATTCGCCTGCTCACCTTCGTCTCAGGATCCCACTCATACGTATTTGTCCTGGATCGGCCCTCAGCTCGCGAGCTTCCACTAATACCCCTCTTGTGCCTTGAAGCCGCGGGTCCAGCCTTGACATACGCAGCGACGTGACCATTCGCGGGCAGCGGAGGTAAAGCATTGCGCTGCTTGACGCCATTGAGACTGCTGAGAGCTGTAGCCGGCGTGGGAGGTCGAGCCTTTACAGAGCGGTATGGTCTAGGAGGGAGAGGCTTGGCGAAGACGATGCTGCGAGTCTTGCCCAAGGGCGTCCTGCTGGCTGCAGTTGATGAGGCGTACGAGGCAGCGCCACTTCCGCGCCTGACCACACAGCCATTCTCGCTTCGGGTTTTGCTGCTGACGCTGTTGCTCGAGCGAGGTGGAACGGATGGACGAGATGAGGCTGTCATGCTGGTCGCAGGTGTGGTGAGCCTGTTGCTGCCGCTGTCGAAGCAAGTGCTCGTGCTCTCTCCGACCTCATTGTCGATCTCATCGTCGCAGAAGGAGTCCGATGGCCAGGTCGAGGCACTCAATGGCACATCCGTGGGCGAATCAACTGAAGAGCAGTCAGGATGCTTCGAGTCGGTCGTGCTTGGCTGTGAGATGCCTTTCCCACGAAGAAGTGGAGACGACGTGAGTGTGAGGCCGGCCTGTCGCTCCCTGACTGCTCTTTCATCCTGGTTCCAGCCGTTCTGAGCCACCGAGGTGACCGCGCTGCTGAATGAAGGGACAGAAGAGACTGGTGTAGGCGGCAGAAGAGGATCGAAGCAGGCCGGAGTAAGGCTAGGCAGACGGGACATGCCAGGGGAGGGTGGCGTCGGTGGGAGAGGAGCTGTAGGTGCAGGTGGTCGAGGGGGGTAATGACGGCGTTGATGCGGTAATGTCGTGCGACAGACAGCCGCATGCTCTTGACGTCGCTCGTTGTGTGGCGAAGAGCTCCGGCTTTGCAACTTGGCAAGCTGCTGAGCTGAGCGCACGGATCGTAGAGAAAGGGCGGGAAGAGGTGTGCCGTTTCGCGTCCCCCTCAGCGTTGAGTGCTCGCCAGATGATCCTGGGGACAATGAAGGGGAGACGTCGAGGGGCGAGAATGAGCGTGGACGGCGCAATGGGCGAGGAGGAGGCATCGGCGCCATCTCGAGCGCAGCTTGGACGTCTTCGAGCTGAAAGGTAGAGTAGCTGCGGTTAGACACGACAGATACGCGCGAGCCACGCCAGTTTGGAGCTTTGTCGGAGAGGCGGCGGGAGAGGCGCTTCCCAAAGCTGTCTTGCTTGTGAGCGCCTGGCACTCTGAGATTCGAAGAGCCAGGTGTGGCGATCGGATGAGGTGAGCCTGCCGAGAAGCTCTGCTTGAGCGAGTTGTTCTTGACTGCTGACTCTTCCGTCACTTGCGGCAGCTTGAACATGCCACGAAGGCTCATGACTGATGCGGATGGCTTGATGATGCGACGAGGGCTCAAGTTCTTGGTGGCAAGCGGGCGAGCATTTGAGGGCGTCGGAGTCGCATCATCACGGTCTACTGGTGAGACGAGGCCCAAGGCAACGGCTTCTTCATTTAGCGGCGATCCCCAGATGGAGTCTTTGCTTTGGCGGTGGGTGAGGCGGGTGAGAGGACCGAGGAGACGGGGCTTGCGAGCCTGTCTTTGCCAAGGCAGCTGCTGCTGAACATCGCTCGGCCTGGTACCCTTAAGCTTGGGTGGCAAGATGGATAAAGCCACCTCGAGGCTCTTTACTCTCATGCCTGCGTCGCTATTGCTGCTGTGGGTCGAACGAGGTGGAGAGACCGAGCCGGAGTGTGAGTCGTCTCTCGTTTGCTGTTCCTCAACGATGGGCGAAGGGCTGTGACGTTTGCTGTCGTCGCGGTCTCGCCCAAGGAGGCGATCTCGATGGAAGGTGAGCTTGTGTCGAAGCATTTTGCGTGGAGTGTCTGTATGAGAGAAGCCGTATGAGGGTGTCGTTGAAGTGCGGCACGAATTGTAGCTGAGCAGCAGGAGCGGGTGTCTGTGCTACTGCTACAAGCGAGTCGTGTGCATGTTGTGGAAGACCCGGGTGGGGAGGAAAGGGGAGGAGTGGTCGTGCGTATGGCGAGAAGGAAGAGGAGTGAGGAGGGGTGTCTGGAGTCGAGACCACAATTGCTAAGCGGAGGAGCCGTGGCGGGGGCGGCGGTGGGCTCCTTCTTCGCCCCGCGTCACGTCGCCCCGCGTTCCTCACCCATTGATTGATTGCTCTGAGAGCAGCGTGCGTGTTGATGGCCGCACAGCTTACGAACACTGAGCGGCTGTAGATGGCACGCGCCGCCTTCGCCGTCGATGTGCTGGCGTTGATCAAGCCGGCGAACATCCCGACGGCCCTCGTCACATCGACATCTGTGCCTTGCGGAGGCTGACTCGCGGCTTGCTCGCCGCCGTCGCCTCCGCGGACTTCATTCGAGGCACCAGAGTGCGGACCACAATCAAGATGGGGGGGGGGGCTGGGCTATGCTGATGCTGCTACGGCCCTGTCACGCATAGCCCATTGTCAGTGTCGATGCATGCCCGCTTTGCCTTGAATTTGAACATGAGGAGCGACGAGAACGGGCACGCACGCCCGCCCTGATCCTCTGGTCAGTGCGGCTTGAAGCGAGGGTCAGCCAGCCAAAGTCAAAGTGTTCGCACAGGCGGAGTGGAGGCGGTTGCGGGGCGGGGCGAGCTGCTGTGAGGCGCAACCAAGTCGACCAGCCAGCCGACGACACCGCTCATCACTCGTCAAAGTCGAGACGTTCGTTGAAGGGGGCTCGATCGCAAAGAGGGTCCTTGACACTGAACGAAAGCAAGCGGGCCGAACACTGAGCGAGAGCGGCTAGACGACGATGACATCGCACCGCAGACAAGGCATGCCGCTTGCTTGGGTTCTCCCCGTCAAAGCACGGCTCCTCCGCCGGTCCGCCGGCTCTCTCTTCATTCGCGGTAGTCAGGGGCGCACCCAGGAGTCACATCATCCAAGCCGCTGAGCCGCTCCCCCATTCGCTGAGAGGGCGTCCACGCATCCATTAGCCAAGCCGGTACTCAGCTCTTCTTGTCTCTCGATCCAAACCTTGAATTTGCGGTTCCCTCCTTCCCACCACCACAACCCTGTACGCCCTCTCTTGCCTCTTCACCCTCCCTTCACCGCTGCTACACTCTACTCTTGCTCAACATGATGTCCCGCCTCGCCAAATTCACGGCCCTCGCAACCCTGGTAGCTCTCGTGACCCTCGTGCCCCTCGCCTCGCAGGCCTTTGAGATCGTCGCTCCTAGCAAGGAGTGGTGGTGGGTAGTGAGTGCCAGCGCCGAGGATGACGAGCAAGCTGGGACAATCGCTGACCATTGTCTGACTCAATCCTGTCCCATCACGCTAGGCCAATGCCTCTAACCACCTCTATTGGAAGGCCGTGAGTAGGCCGCGCGCTCTCAGACATCGTCTACGCCACCACACTCACTGACCTCACCCTCCTCTCTTACCGCCTCGTCCCGCCCAGAACCACTCGGATCCTGAGCACTTCACCGTTCAGCTTGTCAACGCCGCTGACAACTCGCGAATGAAGCCCAACTTCGAGATCGGCAACGACATTCAGACGGCCAAGGGGCAGACCAACATCCGCCTCGACTCGGTGCCCGAGGGAACGTATAAGGTCCTCTTCGTCAGCCCCAAGTGAGTCGAGACGACCGCACATTTCATTGTTGCTGGTGATTCATAGCTCACGTCCATCCTCACCCCTCGCGCACAGCTCTGAGCAAAAGCAACAGCCCGATATCTACTACCAGTCTGAGCCTTTCGATGTCAAGGTGGGTCCAGCCCATGCGCCACCATCACGCACGCTGTCTTTGCTTACCCCATTTTCTGTCCTCTTCCCCATCACTTCTCGGCCGACAGCATAATGGCCTCGCTCAGCATGCCGTCAATCCCAATCTGAGCCATGACCCCTATGCGGACGACAATGGCGGCGGCAGCGCCAGCAAGCTCAGCAACAACGGCGATCAGTCGGCCTCCGGTCAGGACTCTTCTCCTGACGGTCAGAAAGGCAAGAGCGATCAGCAGAACAAGGGCAAGGATGCCAAGAATGGCGGCGACGACGATGGACTCTACAACGAGAATGGTCAGACGGCAGCCAAGCCCGCCGTCACTCCTGACGAGGCCAATGGTAATGGCGAAGACAAGGGCGACGATGGCAAAGGCAGTGACCAGGGCTCGTCCAGCCCCGACGACAAAGGCGGAAAGGGTGATGAGCCGTCTTCCTCCAAGGACAAAGATGGCAACGGGCAAACATCTTCCTCCAAGGGCCAGAGCTCTGATGCTTCCTCGTCCAGCACCAACCCTGACTCCAGCGTCTCTTCTGCCTCGAACTCGTCCACCGTCGGCACCCACATGGGCTCGATGCCACAGAGCCCTGCAGCAGCGAACCTCACGGGAACAGACGCTGGTAGCAACTCCTCGAGCGAGAGCATGCCCCTTTCCCCAAACATCGGCCAATCGCAAAGCGCAGCAGGGGACACTGTCAAGCCTGCCAACGCTGCCATGGCGCTGCGCGCAGACGGCCCTCGACTCCTGCTCGGGACAACGGCCGCTCTCGCACTTACTGGTGGCATCTTCGCCTTCGCCGTTTGAGCCGTCTCTTCATCGTCGCCACATCTCCATTGACTTCTCATTTCCGTCTCTGGACCGGCCTCGTCGTACAATGATCCCCCCGCAACCCCACATCCCACCTCACTCCTCACGAAACACGAGAGTCGCCCCCTTCACCTCGCCCGCCACACGCATTCATACCCACTGTAAGTCCTCATCAGCCTGATCATCGCTCTCACCATTTGTGGTCGAGAGTGCCTTCACCCTTCGTCTCTTAAAGTCTTCTCTGCAATGAAAAGAAGGCCACGTCGCTCCATGTCCTCATCACTCACCTTGTCGTCAACGGACGACCTCAATGCCCGCGAGTGAGCGTCGCGTCGCGTGGCCGGCTCTCGAGCCTGTGTTGCTTTCTCGTTCCGCCCGTCCTGCATCCCTCATCCTTCCCCACCTCTTTTGCCTTTCCTTCCCACCCAACTACCACAAATCCCATTCAAATGTCCTCCGAACCATCCACCTCAACACCAACTTCGTCCGCCACCCCACCCGCAGCCAGGACGAGCGCGAGTGCGACTGGCACGCCAATCGCAGGCATGTCTCCCGCTCGACCATTGCCTCCTCAATCCACTCATGCACACGCGACGGATGAGGACGAGGAGATGGTCAGAGGGGCGTTGCAGCAAGATGAAGAGGGAGCAGAGCAGGGAGGAGAGCAGATAGAGGCGGAGACGATCAAGAGGCCTCGCACGAGTGGGACAGCGAGCGGTAGCAGCAGTAGGAGGCAGAGCAGAGCGTCTATGCCGCGCAAGTCGGGCGCAGCATCGTCTAGTCGGGCCAGTGGTATCGGCGCGGGGCCTAGCGAAGACGTGAGACTGAGGAAGCTGGATGAGGCTCTTGATCGCTTCCTGGGCTTGGTGGACGTCAGGGCTACGTGAGTACGCGAGAGCAGGCCTCATCTGCGAAGTCAACCCGTTCCCTCAAGCTGATCACCTCTCTTTCTACTTGCCCTCGCAGTCAAGCCAACTTTTCCGCCGCCCTTCCTCAGCTGGATGCCGCAACCTTAGAGCCGGCACGCCAAGCCCTCGTCTCATCGCTCAAGGACACAATCAAGCGCGAGCAGGCATCCCTGGTGGGAGAGTACGAGCTGGAGGACAGACTGAGGGAGCTGCAGCGACTGGCTGTTGAGGCTGACCAGAGGGCTGAGAGGGGACTGGAACTAGAAAGCGAGGAGATGAAGGATGTTTGGAGGTGAGTAGCTAAGAGTCGTCAGTCAGAGAGAGGCATCGATTGAGAGGGCAGAGCTCACCATGTCCACCTTTGTGTACGACAGGGCCGACCTGGACATCTCGACTGCGCTGCATGCTCGTGCCATACCTGCGCAGAGGGAACGGGTAGCCAAGTTGGAGGCAGAGCTAGCAGAGGTATGTCTTGCCCATCGTACTCCGTCGAGCTCCTCTTTGCCCTTCCCTTCTAACATCTCCCTCGCTGGCTCCTTGGCCATCATCCTCCAACGCCACTGCAGATCGAAGAAAGCAACACTCTACTCCACTCTCAGCTCACAGCCAATATCAACGAAGCAGACGAGAAGCAGGCAGACGTCCGAGGATTCCTCGATATGCTGGAGCGGGCAGTTAGCGAGCTCAAGCCTCCTGTTGGCCTGGAGAAGGAGTTGAGGGGAAACTTGGAGGCTTTAGCTGCTGAGCTAGGGCCGAGGGCCTAGAGACTGAGCGAGGAGAGAACACAGTGAATTCGATACCATTCGTGAAGTCCTCTCGTTGTGATGCTTCTGCTGTTCGTCGGGCTTGCGCGTCTCTGGTCTGCACCGTGCACGCCTCTTCGTGGTTCCGTCGTGCATCGTCGCGTCCCGGGCATCTTTCTCTCCCGTCCACTCCATCACACCTTCTACGCCACGTCCGAGGTCTGCCCATCAGCGCCGTCGTCGACCGTCGTCATGAGTGACGAGATTGATGATCCGATGGCCGTCGATGCTGGCCCCTCAACCTCCTCGCAAGCAGGCCCCTCACGCCCAAAGAAGCTAGCCCCCGTCCAATCCGTCCCACGAACCAAGTTCGTCGTTCTCGAATACCCTGGCATCATTCGTCCCGATCCCATTCCTACTACTGCCCAGCTCAACGACGAAGAAGATGAAGAAGACGATGAAGAGGACTACGATGAGGACGGCAATGGCATCAAGCCATCGCGCCGTCGCGCTATCACAACGAATCTCGATTTGGCCCTTGCGACCCTCGCTCCCGAGCCTCCCCCGTACGGCAATGCAGGCTCTGCGCTTGATCACCTGGGGCGAGTCATCAGTCTCAAGAGCAAGGTCGTGGAGTGTAGGCCCTGGGCTGTCGAGCATCTGAAAAAAGAGAAGGCCAAGCCTCTACCCGCACTTCGACGCGCACTTCGACGACCCTCAGTCGGAGGGGATGGGGAAGCGGAAGAAGATCCGCAACAGGGGCTGGATGCAATTGAAGACGCGAAAGCCGATCGCGTTGGCGTAGCTGCTCAGCTTGACCTGTACAGGCGCCCCCTCACGGGTCAAGTGGTCGACACGTACGACTTCGTCACTGTCGTGCAGAGGAGGGTTTGGAGGCGTAAAAAGAAGAGGAAGGCCAAGGCAGGCAAAGAAAGCGCAGCCGATAACTTGCCAGATGAGGTCAGGGAGTACACCATCGATCCGCTGGGCACGGCGACCACTACGGTACGCTGGCGTACGATGGCAGACTTTTGCTTCCAGCCGGAGGCTACGCAGAAGGACGAGCTGCTGGACGTGCCCCGAGCTCTGCGAGAAGATGGATGGATGCCTCGTCTACGCCCTTCGAGACCGGGGCAAGAACCAGCAGAGGACACCGATATGGCTTCAGTCGAGCCGGAGACCGCCTCAACGCCGCCAAGGACAGCGAACGGCGCAGACGCTGATGGGGACGACCCGATGCAAGCAGACGCGCCTCAGCCACTCGCTTCTCCCCCAGCTGGACCGAATGCCGCAGCTGACGGCGATGCTCAGATGGAGTCAGACGCACCGCAAGACGCTGCCTCACAACCGCCCCCTGATCCCCTCCTGTCGCCCTCTCCTCCCGCACCTCGCGGCGGCCTCCTCACCCTCTACGACGCCCTAGCCCGCATGGACATTGACTCTCTGCGCTCCTTCGCCATACCTGCCGAGACGGAAGAATATGAGATTGAGTCCCCACCGGGATCAGGCGTCATGAAATCGAACTTGCGCATGCCGCCCCCACCAGCCTTCACGCGCGTCGACCTTCCCTTCCCTTACTCCTTCCGTCAACCCTCCACCTCCGTCATCGAGTCCTACGCGAAACGGCTACCAGATGGAACTACGCAAGAAGCACGTCGCTGGACCAATCAGGCCCGCTGGAAGGGTTTGGCTCCCGCAAATTGGACGTTCTCCCAGGGCCTGCCCGTGCCCGATAAGGCGCCCGCCGAGGTGCTCAAACAGCAGGATCGCTGCGAAGCAAAGATCCTTGACAAGCTGCGCAAGATCTTCGATGAGCGTCCCGTCTGGACGAGGGCAGCCCTGCTCAACCAATTTGAGAATGCAGACGAGCGCAAGATCATCATGCATGCAAAGGAGTACATTCCCCTTGTCGCGTACACAGTTAATGACGGTGCCTGGTCTGCTGCACTGGTCAGGTTGGGCTACGATCTAAGGGCGCACCCTGACTCAAGATTCTACCAAAAGATCATGTTTCAGAACTCGTCGAGTACTGTTGCCAAGGGACGTGGATCATTCAGGAGCGCTTATGGTGGGGCTCACGCCTCTGGATCGGGAGTCAGCACGGCTAGGAAGGCGCAGTTGCGCGAAGAGGCCGGGACTGAAGCGGGCACTGTCATCGGCGGAGAAACGAATGCGTCCGTCTCTGCAGCTGCGGTCAATGCTGCAGACGAAGATGGACACGACGGTACAGAAGAGCTTCCGCCCCTGGAAAGCCACACCTTCGATGGCAGCCGCGTCGGGACGACCAACTCTACCTTTCTCCTCACAGACATTACCGATCCGGTTGCCCTCCCGCACATCCTGGCTACGGGATCGGAAGATCTCCTTGCGCAGCCTACGAGCGAAACAGGCTGGTACACCGCATTGGCATGGCAGCGTATCAAGCAAGTGGTTGGTGTGCGCTTCCGCAAGCTGGTGGACGAGAAGCGTCCAGCGACAGAGAAGGAGGTCGAGGACGTGTTGGCTGCAGTGCAGGCTCGAGCAGATCACAGGGCTAGAAGCTTGGCGCCGGAGGGTATGAGGGGTAGGGGCGGGTCGCCTGCTGGCAGCGGGAGTGCGGGCAGCCCAGGAGCTGGTAGCGGTAGGGGCAGTGCTGCTGGGAGTGCTTCGCCTTCTATGAGTCCGCCTGCCCGTGGTCAAGGACGAGGGGCACGCCGAGGTAGTGCAGGAAGCTCTGGGGCCTCTGCCGCAGGGTCTGGGTCTGGCTCGCCTGAGCGTGGGACTCGCGGAGGCAGGGGAGGAAGGGGAAGGGGAGGACGTGGTCGCGGTGGTGGTCGAGGAAGGGGTGGACGCGGTGGCAGAGGAAGAGGAGGAGCAGCAGCGGGGACGGCTAACGCGGCATCGGCTTCGCCTGGCAGTGGCAGCCCAGGATGATCGTGAGGCGAGACGAAGACGCGTCAGAGGCACGACACTACGATCTCCTTTTTCTGTCATCTAAGGCCCTGAGAAAATGTCATCTCGAAGTGGCCAAACAACCCACTTTGCTGACCGACGCGGCACCTCAACTTGACGTGACCTCTTAGAGACGCGCCAAGGCCCGCGTCGAGCGAGACGAGTCAAGGCGAGCAAGGTCATGGGACGACGAGCGTACCAAGCAGGGGGTAGGGGGAGGCCTGGGACAGGTGGCAGACAGACACTTGAATTGTCCAAGCGAGAGGCGGCCTGCATTTCCTGCTTTGCCTCACCTTCATGTGTCGAGGGCCGCGTGACCCCTTTGCCCTTTCGCACGCGCCACCCTCTTTTGCCGCCATGCAAGATGGGCGACTGCTCCCACGCCTCCTCGTCTCGTCTCCACTCCCGCTCCTCCAGGCTTCATTCGCCGACCCTCATCCCGCGTGCGGGGCCCCAAGCTTCGTCCTCCCTTCACTTACCTCAATCCACTCTCCAGAGCTTGAGCCGCCTCGTAGAGCCAGTCTTGCAGCGCCTCAGAAATGCCTCTGAGAGCACTTCGACCCGGCGGTCCAACACGCTCTCTTTGTCCTCGTTTCTCTACGTGCACGTCGCCAAGTGCCTCTCGACAGCTCGAGATCACTTGCACCAACCCAACTGTACCCCACATCGTACACAGACGTCGCGCCGTGGTGCTGATTGACTGACCAGCGATTAGCCGGGTCAATGAGGAGGCAAAGCAATCGCCGGTGACCCTTCGTCTCCCATGGACATGTCTGCGTCTGATCCGCTGCTCCGTGAACCACCGCACTAGGGTACGGCGACACAAGGGAACCGCCAGTGAACGCGTGCCATTCCATGCAAGGCAATCCCAGACGATGCTGGTCAGGTGGGACTCATGCGAAGCGACCGGACCCCCTTCCTCCCTCCATGCCTGCCTCGCCCAGCCCGGCCTGCATCCTGCTCTTTGACAGGTACCCTTCTGTTCATAAGGTTGGAGGATGAGAATCTGTGTGCGCGTCCGTTTTGAGCACTTCAAGATCCCTTCATCCCCTCGTCCAATCGACTTGCTCGTTTGTCTGCCGCTAAGCTCCATCCTTGATCACGACTAGCTTCTTGCATTACCTCCCTCTCTGAGCGACAACACCAACGCAACAGCCCTTCAACGCACGGCTATTCGAACACAATGGCATCCAACGAATTCGACCGCAAAGCCGCGGAGGCAGACAATGGCGGCAATGGTGGCCCCCACTTCCATCAGCCCAACGGCGCAAGCGGGACTGACCTCTCGCGCCAGATCTCAGTCACATTGACGCCTGAGCAGTTTGAGTCCATCTACCTCCAGCCAAGCCAGAAGAGCAGGCAACAAGGACAGCTGATCAAGGCTCTGGGTAACCCGACGTGCTTGGGTGTCATGTGCTTCATTTTCAATCTGCTCCCCACAAGCTGCATCCTCATGGGATTCCGGGGATTGAGTGCTAGCGCGCAACTTCCCCTTGTAGGCGTGTACTATTTTGTCGGTGTGTACGAGTGGCTGAGAGGGCATGACGATGGAGGGAATGCTGACAATTGCTCGTTGCATTGCAGGCGGCCTGGGTATGACCACAGCTGGCGTTTTGGAGTTCATCATCGGCAATACCTTCCCCTTCGTCGTCTTCTTCACCTTCGGCATCTTCTGGCTCTCGCTTGGCGCTCTCGTCGACCCTGTTCATGCTGTGCAAATGACGCTGGCCACCGAAGGGACCGACTACTACGGCGGGCCAGCCTTCTACGTGAGTGCAAAGCTGCGACGAGACCCCTGCCACCTTCGCCCCCGGCCCGGTCGTGACGTCAACTGACCATCCTTCCGGGCTCTTACTCGCAGTTCCTCACCTGGGCCATCTTTGTCTTCATGCTGACCATCGCAAGCCTGAGGACGAACGCCGTCCTCGTCTGGATCCTCTTCTTCGTCGCCATGACCTTCGTCCTCCTCGCGGCCGCCTACTTCCGCTTGGCCGAGGCCCAGATGGCGGCCGGATCTAATCTCCTCATCGGCGCCGGAGCTATGGGCTTCTCAGCGTGAGTCGCAGCGGTGATCCCAGCCGGGCGAGAAGAAGAGGGGAAAAAGTAGCTAACGTCTCTTTCTCGCCCCGATCACAGCTGTATGGGCGGTCTCTACCTCGAGATGTCACTCCTGCTGGCCAGCACTGAGTTCCCCTTCGGACTTCCCGTGAGTTTTGCCTGATCTTCATCTGCTCTCACGTCTATCGTCGCTGACCATCCTCACCATCGCCGCTTTGCTCACCCTACAGGTCGGTGACCTCAGTGGCTTCCTCCGCGGGAACAAGGCCTGAGCCAAGCCATGATGTCCAGGCGAGCCGCACGCGGGTGCTGGCCGCCTGCACCTCCCACCGTGTGCTTCGATCAAGTCGTCATCTCCCATCTCGGCTTCTCCGTGACCTTCTTTGTAATTTTCCTGCTTGCGCACGATAGTGGACAAATGTTTCATGCCCTATGCGATTCCGACGGAGAGAGGTCTTGGCTGTCAATCGTGCTCCGCACAGTGGTTGAGCAGCTCCGCGAGAGTCGATCTCACGGTTCACATCCCCTGGAGCAGCCTGCTCGCGATTCAGCTCGAAGGGGTCAAGCTGTTTCTGACTGGCAGTTGCTCCCCTCCCTGGACGTCGACTTGGCCGCATCCGTATCGCCCTGCATGACGTCGAGGAGTGGTCGCGAGCGGACCTTGAGCTTCCAAAGCCCGCCGGGTAGGGCGACGACGCGTCGCAGCGCCTCGTCGCTGCACGGAAGCCTGCCTTTGGTGCTCCGCCGCTTCAGATCCTTCATCCTCTCCACAAACGTTCATCGTTGACGCCTCCGTAAGGTCATGGATCACCCTGGACTCCCACGTTATCTTCATTGACCCGGAGCGAATATGCATACAAAGTTACCTCCGCAGACAAGCTGGGGAACAAGCTGATGATCGCCGCGGCTCGGCGGTGACAGGAGGGCTGCCAAGGGCAGAAGTAATTGCCCGAGCTATCAGCTTCTAGAGGTGTAGGGACGCTAGCCAGGCGTCACGAATGTGTGACAATGACGATGTGAATGGACCGGTGGCCTTCATAAAAGAGCTGAGTGCTCAGCATAGTAGCTTGAGCGCCCTTGCTCCCCCGTTTCCTCACGATCATCACCTCCATGCTCGCCATTTCGAGCCCTTTGCTGCTCGCCGCGACGCTTTGCAGCGCCGTAGTACTGGTCATTGCCAGCTATCTGCGACGAGGACCGCTCGCTGACTGGGATGGTCCAAGACAGCTGCCCATCATCGGGTCGATTCTCAGTCTCAAGGGACGCCTCGTCGTCGAAGCCTGCGAGGAGGACGACTGGCACAAGAAGTATGGCCCGGCGGTCAAGTTTTCCATCGGCAGCCGCAACTGTCTCCTCGTCACCGATGCCGCTGCGGCACGCGAGCTCTTCGGTGCTCCGGAGACGCAAGGCAGGCCCATGATTCCATTCTTTGCCAAAGATCTCGGCGCCTTCGAAACTATTACGCCAATGATGGCCGCTCACGGTCAGGGCAAGGCGCAAGTCGACATGCTGCGTCGCGCTGTGCTGACGAGTCACCGAGCTCTCAGTGAAGGCATCGGAGCTCGTTCGTCAGCAGCTGGTCTACAGCATCTTTTGGAGCAGGCTCCTCACTCACACATCGTCGACCTCGACTACCTCGTCGGCGGTCTGGCCCGGATGAACTTCATGGACGTCGCATACTCGGAGAAGCTCAGCACGATAGAGGAGGCAATGGCCGACGAAGACATTGCCCGTCTCAGCCAGACGTTCCAGGACGTTACGGCTTTCCTCAACACCAGCGGCGAGCCATCGGTACCGTTTCCCTTCCTCGAATGGCTCCTGCCATTACGGTCGCGCCGCCTACGTCAGACTGCTACGCATTTGCGCTCAGCGTGGACGCAATGCGCCCTGGAAATGTCTCGCAAGGTCTCGCAGCGCTACCCGGAGGCTTCGAAAGCGAATCGCTGGGATGGCTTGCCACAGAGCATCTTCAAGGAGTGCTTACTCAACGACAAGGTCGAGCTGGAAGTTGCGCAGCGAGCCGCTTGCGGAATCGCTCTGGCCTCGATGGACACAACGAGCTCATCGCTCAAGAGCGTCATTTGTGCATTGGCTTACCACCCGCACCTTCAACAAGACCTGCAGCGCATCATCGACGAGGCCAACAACAGCGAGGACATGCCGACAGAGTCTGCGGCTACGTGCAGCCCTCAGATGATAGCATTGATCAGAGAATGTCTTCGTCTCGCGCCGGCCATTCCAATCGGCATCATTCGGGAGACGACACGCGACATCATCTTCCAGGGGCGGAGAATCGAGGCGGGGACGTGGCTGCTCCCGATGAATGCCCTCATCAACAAGGACCAGCGAATGTACGGCATCGATGCGGAAGAGTTTCGGCCGAGTCGCTACTTCGAATCGATCGGGGCAGATGGCAAAGGACTGAATGGCAAGGGGACCCACATCGGCCCATTGACGGCCCAAGGTGAGCGCAGGCACGCACCGCGCAATGGCCCGGGATATCCTTGAAGGCTGACTCTCACCCTCATTTTCTCGCACGCAGCGGGGTTCGGCTTTGGCAAGCGTGCTTGTCCAGGAGCAGACTTGGCCGAAAAAGTGATCGCCGTGACAGCCTCGCGCTTGCTGTGGTGCTTCGATATCTCCTTTGAGGACCCGACAATCCTCGAGCGCCAGTCGTTCTTCGAGGCCCTGAATCCAGCCCGCGACTGCCAGGTCCGGACGATGCGCCCGCCTCCCATCTCTTTCACGCTGCGAAGTGGGAGAGATAGACAGGCATTGCTCGAGCAGCTTGCAGTAGCGTGATCGGCCGTCAAGTGTCAATAGAATGCGTTCTCTCGATGGTCAATCCAAAGCGGTGTCTGGATTGGTTCCCACGTCAAAGAAGTCGATCGGGCTCTAAATTCGGCTGTTCATCCGTGCCACAACACGCGCGCGACGTCGATGTTCGCGCATCTCATCTCCGCACCTTCATCTCCGCGCCTCCTTCTCGACTCGACCAACGCAGAGAGTCCGCATCGAGAAGACGCTAAGGCCAACAATAGCGTGGATGGAGATGCGCTGCTTGCCACAGTGACGCCACTTGAATTTGTCAAGCCGGAGGCGGGCCGATAGGAGATGTTGACAAAAGCACATATGTCGTCCGAAGGTTGAGGACCTCGAAGAAATGACACGAAGGGCGTTCGCCGATAGCAACACTTGGTCGACACTTGGCGCATCGTGACGGAATGATGGCTGCACCAGTTTTACTGATCACCAAACGACTGGCTGCATTCGCTAACCTGCCCACCATCTCATCGTAAGGCGGCCTCCTCGTCCATTCGCATAAGTAGTTGACGGGGAGATCGGTCAGTACAGAGCTTCCCAAGCCAAGTCAGCCTCGTCGAGAACAATGGACTACGATCCAAGCTACACGCTACGCGACAAGCCGCGACGCTCTTCGCTGCAGACGTATGGTCACACCGTCGACAAGTACGTGCAGAAGAGGCAAGGGTCGTTCAGCGGCTCTCTCAACAGCAGCGACCCCTCGCTGCCTGTGGCTAGGAGACCGTCCGATACTGCCTTCATCAGAAGGGCCAGCGAGATACCTCGATCCCCTACCCTCAATGAGACGACAGAGCCGGCCAAGGTCACAGGCAGAGGTCGATCAGCAACCACTACCTCAAGATTGACACCGGCCTTGGACCCTTCATCATGGTCAGGCGCAAGGCTTGAGCCGAAAAGGAACTCCACGGCCTCCTTTTCCAATTCAAGTCCATTCTTCCTTGGGGTCAGAGGCCGCTCCGGCACGTCATCGTCCATCGACTCGAGTGCCACAGGTCTACACAGTCGCCCTCGCTCCGGCACCATTGCTTCAGCTCTCTCGCCCCTGGCCCAAGTCACCGACCCAGACTTGAACGCAAGTACAGTACCCGGTCGACTGTCGCCCAGCTCTCAGCTGCGCTGCCCATCACTGCCACGAGGCTCTTTCTCTTCCAAGCGGACGTCGATGGACCAACCCGTGTCGGGTGCGCCCATGTCTTCCCCGGAAGCCATCGAAGAGGAGCCAGAGCCAAACCTTCCCTTGAGTCCGGTCATAGAGAAAGGTGCGACCAAAGGCCGAAGAGAGTCTGTGAGCTTGGCCGTCTCAAAATAACCTTTGAAGTCGTTCGCTGACATACATGCCCATCTCTCGCATACCCAGATGATCCGATGCTGGCTGCGCAGAATGCAGTAGAGTCGCCTCAAAGCTCGCCGACGAAGAGTGCGATGGGCTTCGTGCCCGTTCTTCCCGTAGTGCCGCCGAGGGTCGCTTCAACGAGGGGAAACAAGGACGACGCTCGAGTTCCATCGCCCTTTGCTGGGTGGAATTTCCCGCCTAGCAAAGAGTTCGACAGCAACGAGACGTCCCCTACTCTACTCAATGCCCCTTTACAGGTAGACGAGCCTATTTCACCTACCCGGCCAAATTTTGCCCTTCGACACAGCTCAGACAAGAAGGTGGACGAGAAGGCCCACAGCCCGTCTATCGCTGAAGAGCTAGGTCATCATCCTCCCCCCTCTCCTCCTCCTCCCGCCGCTCCGCGATGGTGGCATCGCATCCCCATAATCTCGTGGTGCTTCGAGGTCCTCGCCACCCACTTCAATCCGCTCTTCATCCTCGGTGTGTTCAACATTCGCTCGTATTTTTGGCCCTTGAGTCTGCAGAAGGCAGCCTACATGATCGTATATCTGTCCATCATTGTCGTCATGGTGACGACGGCTCAAATCTACCATTGGGGCGATGGTGTCTTCCACGTTCTCAAGGGCACCGTATGGCCTCTTATGGTGGTTCTCATTTGCCTCGATCCGGTCACTGCCGTCTACTACTCTTCCATTGCGCCAGTCAGGCCACTTTTGGCGCAGAGCTGTCGGCCAGACTGGGAGGACAAGGAGGTCTATGAGCTGCAAATGGCGAGCAAGGAATTGCAGCAGGGTCGCGACTTGGCTACAATCGGAGCGCCCGCCCTTGTCGACTCCAACACGCGCGACACAGCTTTGATCATTCCCTGCCACGACTCCGAGCTTGAGACGACGGAACTCGTTCTTGCTTCGGCGCTGCGCCTCTTCCCCCCTCAGAACATCTTCGTCGTCGAGAATGGCAGGTCTGCCGTACCACCCAACCGTATCTTCCAAGCGCTGGTTCATGCCATCCACCCAGAGATCAACTACATTTGGTCCTGCTACGGTAACAAGAACATCGCCGAGTACGTCGGTGCATCGGCAGCTCATCGCTTTAAGTACATTGCCACAATCGACGACGACGTCATTCTTCCTGCCAACTTCTCCGCGCCTGCCCATCTTATCGACGATAAGACCAAGGGCGTATGCTTCCCCATCGTAGCTGTGCCTGACCAGCCAGACGGGTCCAAGAGCATCTTTGTCCAGTGGCAGGAGATCGAGTACAAATTTACGGGCTTGCTCAAGGCTGCAGAGCGAGCTCATGGCGGCGTATGCTTCCCGCATGGAGCTGGTAGCTTCTGGGAGCGAGAAACTTTCCTCAAGGTGCTGCGCCGCGTCGATCTCGTCTTCTACGCCGACGACCTCAAGAAGGGTCTCGCTTGTATGGAGCTCGATGTCACGCTCAGCATCGAGCATCAGTCGCCCATTGAGACTGTCGTCCCACTGTCCTTTGCTGGTCTCCCCTTGCCCAACTACTGGACGCAGCGTGTTAGGAGTTGGGAGATGTCTCGCCATACTCTCTACTGGACGTGGTTTCGCAACATGCTTCGCTGGAACACCAAGCAACGATTCTGGACCGTCCTGACGCATAAGTTCATCCTCTTCTACGCCCTCTTTGTCAACGTCATGGACTGGCTGCGCTTGCCCGCCATCATCATCTTCTCCTTCGACCCCTACCCCTTCTGGCTCGTCTCTGGTCCCTTGCTCGTTCTGCCTATCCTGCCCTCGCTCATCCTGCGATATTGGAAGAGCCGCTCAGCGGGCAGGGTGGATCTGCGCAACGACTTGATGGCCTGCTTGACTTTGCCCATCTACAAGATCATGTACAACGTGTGCTCCGTAGCGGGCTTGCTTCGTACCTTCTTTACCTACTATCCCAATCGGCGCCGCATCCCGACGATCCCGGAGCTGGAGAAGCTGACGGGCGACGCTCGTCCCTTTTGGCTGGATGAGCGCTTCTCTGAGAATCCGGGCTTCCTGGCAGACGAAGCGGATTCCATTCTTATCGTTGTAGAGGATGCTGTGGCGGCCGAGAAAGGCGTGATGGCGGTTGTAGATGCGCCTCACGTAGAAGCTGTTGTCCCTTGACGATGCAACTCTAGATTGCCAACAAATCGATACCCCCTGTTCAGTCCCAAATGGCGCTAGTCTGCATCGAAGCGTTGTTGCCCCTTGCCTTGCTTCTCCCCCATCGTATTTTCTCACTGAAGCCCCAGTCCTGTCAGCAAACCGAATAATTGGCACAGCCTGCTTCGTCTTGGTGCGTGCATCCGGCTCGGCAACCGGAGCAAGACTCCCGGTCATGCAGCGTCCGAGGACACTTCTACTGAGGGGGCGCACGGACATCGCGAAGCGCTTTCGACGACTTTACCATAAGAGCGGCGCCGTGCTGGCGGACACGACTTGATCGCTCCTGCTTACCTCTCAAGCTGCTCACCATCTCTCTGCCCTTGTCTCACGAACATCCAGCTATCGAAATGACGACCATCAATGGACACTCGTTGAACGGAAATGGACACGCCGCGAATGGCAACGGACACGCTAGCATCGACGTAGCCCCTTCGACACAGGTCAAGACAGTCCACTTCTCCTCCAAGCATCCCGACCTTACGCTCTTGTACCTCGACGCAGCCACTCCTGCATCTTCCTCTTCGAATAAGCCCCTCATCTTCTATATCCACGGCGGAGGTTTTGTAGTTGGAGATGCCTACCTCATCCCTGCGCATCTCATCGCTCTTGCCCAGAACATGGGAGCGGCCCTAGTCAGCGTCAACTATCGTCTCTGCCCAGAAGTGTGAGTGCGGGCGAGCAGCGAGATATGCGCGCGTTTCAGGGCTGACACGCAGGTTCTCCCACTGGGTGCGCTGCCTTCAGCGGCATTCGCAATGGGGTCGAGGATGTCGAGGAGGCTTGGCAGTACGTCTTCAAGGGTGGGCTCGGTCAAAGCTTCGAAGCGTCCAAGACGCTCATCGTTGGAGCCAGCGCTGGTGAGTTGACCAACGTGCGAGGTCTAATTTTACGCTGCCCTTGCTGACACGCCTCCCCTTCTTGCCAGGCTCTCATTACGCCGTACAGATGCTCCTCACCACGGATCCGGCTGCCCAGCCTGCTGCGTTTCTCAACATCTACGGCGCTGTAGGCGTAGACGTCTCCAGGTACGGCCAGCCGATCCCGCAGTCGGTCCTCCCTCACCCGCTCCTCGACATGCCCGGCGGCTTCCCACCTCTTAACCAGCTCATCCACAACCTCTACAATAAGCCAGAGGGAGCAAGTGACAATGTCAGCGAATGGCCTGCAGGCGCCTCGCTCAAGTCTGGTCTCCTGCAGCCGTCCGAGGTGCGCCTTGGCGTCCTCGACCAGCTGCTGGCAAAGGAGAAAATCGACCACCCCGAGAAGTGGGAAGCCTTCTGGGCGGCGAATGGTCTGTCGAAATCCCTCTACGGCGATCTTCAAGCCGGCGTGCGCATGAAGCCAGAAGACATCGCTCGCAGCCTTCTGCTGCCGTGGGGCTTCCGTACGGGCAACTTCGTTGAGATGCTTCGCGATGCCGATGCAGGGCAGACTTTGGAAGAGTCAGACGTCTACCTCAATATCACCAAGAGACTGCAAGGGGCTGCTGACCCAGCCTCGACTGGTCGTCTGCCACCGACGATGAGCGTGCACGGCTCAGCAGACGTTCTTGTTCCGCCCTCGGTCAGCGAAGGGTTCCACGCCGTCATGAAGGCGCGCGGTGAGGAGAGCGAGCTACTCATCGTCGAGGGCAAAGAGCATGGCTTCGATTGCGGGGAGTGGGTCTTTGGACAGGACGACGATGTCAGGAAGGTCGACATGTGGGTGAGAGCGAAGCTGGGGGTCACAGCTGCCTGAACGGATCCCACCCGCCCGCCTTTTTCGCCGTCTCTTATCTTGTTGTGCTCGTAGAATTGCTCGCATTTGCTCGGTGCTCGCTTTTATCGCAAACCACTCGCAATTGCAATCGTCTTGTTGATTCACCATTGCGCCGGACCACGATGACCGATGCTGGTGGGAAACTCGTGCCAAGAGTCTGGGACTGCGGCTGTAAAGTGAGCTCTTAATGAGGGAATTTGATGTCGCCCAGACCCCACTTTCTCACCACGCCAAACCAAAATCTGGCAAGGCGGAAGAGCTTGAGCGACAGCGGCTGGAGGCAAGTCTAAGCTGCTGGGCGCTGCGCTGCGCTTGCGGGGAAAGACAGTTCTGAGTGGGCGGGCAGATGCAGAGAAGACGGCTAGAGCAGGTTACAGGCAGCGGAGCGTTCAGGAGGCCAGCCTGAGCCTGCTTTTGGGCGTGTGAGCCTTTGCCGGCGCAAGGTCCGGGTCGGCAAAGGGTGATTAAAGTGAGTGAAGAGCAGAGCAGGCCGGGGGGCAGAACCAGGGGCCACCGCCGAGTAGACCCACCTTTCGCCCACTCGCAGGTAGGCTCGCCGCTACTGTGAGGCAGTGGGTTTGACAATCTGCTCCGCCCACTCAGTCTCGCTTGTCCAAGGCTAATTGACACGAGACCATCGCAGACGAGGTCACACAGCCCTTTTCTCCTACTTCACCACACCCTTGCCGCTTTCTTTCCCACCGACTGAATCGACAGGATCAATCAAACAAATCGGCGAGCGGGTCAGACCACTCGCCACAGACGAAGACTAGTCACCAGCTTCAAGACCGGGTCATTCGAAATCAACACCTTGGTCTCGTATCTATACCACGAATGCGAAGTCGAGCATAGCTTCTCCTGCCCTTTCTTCGTCGCTCCATTTCCTTCCTCATCTTCTGCGATATGGCCAGCCCACACACTCCTCTCGACGAGGAGAAGCGCGCGCCCACCTCGGACAGCTCCTCCTCCTCATCTCCATCACCAGCCGTCCATGACCTAGCCTCAGCCCGCCTCGCCGAGTTCGCACCATCGCGCCTCGAGCGTCTGATGGGCCGTCGTCTCGCCCGCTACTATGCCAATCCCTACACGCAAGTCTCCATCATCGGTCTGACCGCCTTCTGCTGCCCTGGCATGTTCAACGCCCTCAGTGGTATGGGCGGAGGTGGTCAAGTCGACCCGCAGCCAGCAGACAAGGCCAACATCGCCCTCTACTCGACCTTTGCCGTCGTGTCCTTCTTTGCTGGGTCGATTCATAACAAGCTCGGTACAAGGCTTACACTCTGGCTCGGATCTTTGGGCTATGTCGTCTACATCGCGGCTTTCCTGTCCTACAACTTCAACCAGAATGGCGGATTCATCGTCTTTGCCGGCGCACTGCTCGGTGTCTGCGCTTCGCTCTTCTGGTCGGCACAGGGCGCTGTCATGCTGAGCTACCCTACGGAGGCGACCAAAGGACGGGCCATCGCCATCTTCTGGACCATCTTCAACCTCGGAGCCGTGATCGGCGCTGCAGTAGCCATGGGCCTGAGCTGGAATAGTCCCGAGGGCTCCTCGCTCGGCAACGGCACCTACGCTGCTTTCGTGGCCATCACCTTCATTGGCGGTCTCATTTCTGCCCTGCTCAAGAACCCAGCCACAATCGTGCGCGCCGACGGTTCGTCCGTCGTCGTGCCCAAGAGCACCACTTGGCGCTTCGAGCTCGTCGGCCTGTACAGACTACTGCGTACGGACACTTGGATCCTGCTCCTGTTCCCTGCTTTCTTTGCCACCAATTTTTTCTACACCTGGCAGTTCAATGTCTACAATGCCCGCCTCTTCACCCTCAGGACCCGAGCGCTCAACTCGCTCCTCTACTGGCTGGCGCAAATCGTTGGTTCGGTCATGCTCACGCTCGTCGTCGACCGTAGGAGCCTAGCAAGGAAGATGCGAGCCTGGATCGGTTGGTTCATCACGTTGGCCATCGTCTTTGCAGTATGGGGTGGCAGCTACGCCGAGCAGCTCAAGTTCTCTCGCAACGAAGTCATCGAGCGCATCGACGTGATGCAGTCGTCGGCATACGTGGGTCTCTGCTTCCTCTACCTGTTTAGCGGGATCATGGACTCGATTTTCCAATGCTTTACATACTGGCTCATCGGAGCCCTCTCCGATGATTTGTCCAAGCTCGCCATCATGGCTGGACTGTACAAATCGCTCCAGTCGGCGGGTGCAGCCACGGCCTTCGGCCTCGATCATGCGGAGCAGCCATTCATGGTTATCTTGGGCGTGTCGTGGGCTCTGTGCGCCGTTGGGCTCTTGCTAGCCGTGCCCGTCATCGCACTCCGCGTCACCGAGCACACCGACCCGCTCTCTGAGAAGACGGCGCCCGGCAGGGAGCTCGAGGTCCAGGCTGCTACGGAGCAGGGGCTCGCGCGTACCGGTGTGGTGCCGGAGGCGTTGCGTGGCGGCGGCAGCGAGACGGGAGAGACGGTGGCGACTGAGGATGAGCGCCGTGAGAAGGTATAGCGGGATCAAAAGTAGAGCCTGCGGGCTCGCGATACCGTAGCGGCTGTGAATGCGTCTTCCACTTCTCATTGACTTATGTGTACCACTCAACGAACATTTGGATACGCTACGCGACGACAATTTGATGCAAAACCACCGTCACGCTCCCGTTTCGATCGTTGCTATTGTCTGAAGCTCGCGCATTGATTGATTGACTGACCGTCTCCTGACTATGGGAACTCAGCGAAACAGCCGTGCGGCTACGCGTTAGCGCTCGCTCCTTTGAGAACCAGTGTTGCATGTAAGAAGCCGGTAAATCCAGCAAGGCCCACGAACACGAAACCCAGCTGGTAGCTCCACGGCCATGCCCTATCCTCGAATCCAGGCTGGATCCCCTTTGCCCAGACAATACCGCCCACGATGGGCCCGACGAACCTAGCCGCACTACTCGTCGTCTGCGCCAGACCATTGGCCAACGGAACGAGATTGGGCGGCGTGAGCGCGTTCATCAGGATAGAGACGGCGGTAAATGCGCAGATGTTGGCAAGCCAGCGCATCGAGGCAAAGATGATCATGAAAGTCATGACTGCGGCATCCGTCTGCGGGTGGAGGAAACGCCTCAAGAGCGGGAAGAGGATGTACGTCGGCAAGTACAAGGCCGTGCCTAGACGCATCATAGCCAGGTGGCTCCACTTTCCCTGAGGCGGGCCGATCTTCGGGTAGAAGTAGAACTGAAAGCCAATCTGACAGAAGGCCATTGCGGAGATAAGCTCGGCGTAGTGCGCTGCCGTCAGACCGAGGCCGCCGGAGGGGAAGGGCGTGACGAGGAAAGCCATGAAGACCTGGTCGAAGGTGGCACTGTGGAAGGCGAGGAGGCCGTAGTGCGCGATGATCGTCATGGGAAGGAGGGACCAGAGGCTCGGAGGTGCGGAGGGGCCAGAGGCGGATGACTTTTTCGCCGTCGCGTCCGTCGCGGCGTAGTTACTGCTGCTGCTCTGCGCGGCAAGAAGGCGTTGTTGCTCTTCGCTGCCTGCTGCCTTGCCGAGAGTGTTGCGGGCTGAGGCTGACTCCGGAATGCCGGCGAGGGTAGGGTCATACCTTGACTGACCGGCCGCTGGAGCATTGATGTTGCTGGTTGCAAAGGTCGAGCCGGAAGGATTCTCCTCAGTCGGCGTGGGGCCTTCGCTCCATGGTGAGGGAAGGTCGATGCCCGTATTGTTGTAGAGGGATGGCACGCGGGCGGCATTGAAGCTCGGAAGTCGCATAGATCCCATGCGAGTGCCGCGAGATCCACGCCGTTGGGCGATGTTGAGGGGTGGGAGGTAGGGGCGTAGTCGCGAATTGTCCATCGAATCGAGTCGCTCCCTTCCTGCCCCGACCTCGTCGTCCTCATCGAGCTCGTCTGTCGAGTCGATGTCGAAGCTCGAGTCAATCGCCTGGCTGTCACCCTCGCCCTCGCCATCGCCATCTCCTTCTCCGTCCCTCTCGTCCCCTTCATCTAGATCGTCCTCCTCCACGGCCGCGTAGCTAGCTTCGTCACCATTGATCGCCGCAGCGACCCAAAGATCCGTGATGCTCAGCACAGCATCATCGTTGGCGAGCAAGAAGCGTTGCGCAAAGTTGAGCTTTCTAGGCGCAGGCGCCAGATTCGGATCCTCGCCCACGGCCTCGAAGTCGGGTGCGTAGTTGTACGCAGAGCCCATAGCGGACGGAGTATACGAGTAGCGATTCACCCCAGTCGCATTGCTCCCGCGACGAGGCTGGCTGCCGAACTCCTGCTGCTGGATTGCAGAAATGCGATTGTTCCTCGAGCGCAAACCTTCGCCTCCGGCGCTGATGGTGCTGAAACGATTCGAGTCGTAACCATATGCACTGCCTCCTCCCAAAACTCCTCTCCTTCGCTCCTCTGTGCGCGAGAAACCAGAAGCAGAAGGCGCAGCTCCACTAGAGGAGAAGCCTAACCCAAGCCTTGAGTCCCAGTCAGATCGTCCACGCCCTCCACCGTGCGTACGGCCAGATCGCCTTGTAACGATGGTCCCCTCATCATCGCTATCGAGGGGTGAAGGTGGCCCGCCAGTCTCCTCGTCGACCTGCTGGGTAAATGTGCGGGGCAGCCCATCCGGCGCGTGAATGGCGGAGGAGGTGCGCCCCAGGCTGATCTGCGAAGCTTGTGCCGTATGGCCCTGGTTGGAATCGTCGTCGTTGCCGAAGAGACCGCTAATCCTCTGTCCGGCGCTGGCGGCTACGGCGGCCAGACCACTGCGTCCGGCGGCGTTCGCATTGCTCGTAGTCTGCGCCACCTCCCCTTCCCCCTCCTGGAGCCTAATCTGCCCCTGCCTGGGCCCACCGTCCGGCCCGATGAACAGGGACAGGATAGCTCCCAGAGTCGTGAAGCTCGCTCCGGCCAAACAAGGTAGCAGGTATGGGTACGTCTCGAACAACTTGATGCCTCCAAAGACGCCCGGAAACTTCTCCGCCGGATGCTCCAGTATCCCACCAAGGATAGGACCCGCGATACCACCAAAACCCCATGCGAAGCCAAGGATGGCATAGGCGCGCCCCTCGTTCGTGGGGTCCGTCAAGTCCCTGATTGCTCCCTTGGCTACACCGACTGCTCCATTGAACAATCCCTGCGCCATTCTCACCGTAAGGGCCATCTTCAGATTCGTGCTCGCTCCGAAGATGGCCAAGGTGAGCGCATTTCCGCACAGACTCGCTAGCAGGACGGCTCGTCGCCCGTATCGATCTGCGATGCTTGACCAAAGGAGTGAGGTGAGGAATTGCGCAAAGAAGAAGACGGAGGCTGTGATGCCTGCCCAGAATCCTACTTGTGATTCGCCGCCGACATTGAAGGAGTCGATCATGAAGAAGAGGAAGGGGCCGGCTACTCCTGATGAGGAGAATTCGCCAAAGCAGACTAGGCAAAGGACCTGTTGCGGCGACGAAGGGGAGGCGAGAGGTCAGCGAGGAGCTCATACGAGGAGGACATGCTGCGACGCTGGGCTTACCGTGAAAGGCAACAGCGGCAGGGGCGTTGCGTCCGGGTTCGCATTCTGGTTGGGCAGCAGCGAGGGGATCTGAGGCTTAGGCTCCGGGAATGACCAGGATGAAGGATCCTCCGGGTCACCTGCAATGGGCGGGTGAACAGACAGAGTCTGGGCCCGTCGCATGTTACGCCATCTTTCCACTCCGGGTACGGCTAATGACCGGCGCTGCTGCGCGTTCGGGTCGTTCGATGTAGAGGGACGTCGACTTCCCCCGCCACCTCCGCCGCCACCACCAAAGAGGAAGCCACTGAACGATCGTCCAGCTGTCCCTCCTCCTCGTGAAGCAACAGAGAAGGATGCCCCGCGGGAGTTGGGGTTCGTAGAGCTGTTACTGCGCTTCTTGAACGACATGCTGCTTCGTGGGTCGAGCTGGCTCGAGGCCGCGATGGAAGGTGGAGGGCGTTTGGAGCCACGACGAGGAGCCGTCGCTGATGGAGAGGAGCCACCTCCGCCGCCAGTGGTGCTGCTTGTATCGACTGAGAGGCCGCCTTCCTCTGACGGTCTCTCCGAGTGTCCACCACCACCACCACCACCGGCGCCGCCACTCGAATTGGTGCCGCTACCGGCCGTCATGCGTGCAAGCGGGGAGGGATCTGGAGCCCAAGAGACGGAGAGTGGCTGATTGTTGTCCTGCGATGAGGAAGAAGGTCGACGCTCGTCGACGTCAATGAGTGGCGATGCCGAAGTGGAGTGCTGACGAGTGGACAAGGGAGAAGGAGAAGGGGATCGATGTTGCCCCCCGCTCGAACGAGCTGATCCTTTACGAGATGGAGAGAGAAGAGGATCGTCCATCTTGATTGATGCCGGTCACCCCTATGACTGCTGACTGCCGGCTGCTGCTCGCTGCTGCTGATGGTGATGCTGCAATGCTGCGAAGCTGCTTAATTCGCGAGGTGGACGGGCCTCTGTGTGTCTGTGTGTGCGTGCGTCAGGCGACGCGCGAGTCCAACAAAGCAGGCGGGCAGCGAGCAAGGTGCGAGCGCTACTAATGAAACGACGCTGCTCAGCGCTGCAAAGCACTGTACGTTCAAGGTGCAAGGTGCAAGGTGAATGGGTGATTGGTCCTGCGCTGCACAAGGAAAGCGAAGACGTGAGTGGGTTCGAGGGCAAGAGGGATGGATGTGGGAAGAGACAGGAGCTTAGATTTGGTCAGTGGCTGGCTGGGCCGAGGGCAAGGCTTAGCCAGCCAGCCACCCAGCCTCAGCCTCGGCCTCGTCCGCGCTGCCCTTCAACTTTGAGTGTTGGATCAGATCATCCGAGAGAGAACGCGTCGCACTTGGCTTCGGGCCAAGGAGACAAGCCGCCTTGCCGCTGCCGATGAGCCGTTGATGCTACCACACAGCTACCTCCGCACCGACATCGGCCTCGGCGATATCATTTGCGCATTGCAACTTCTTCACATCTCTCTTCTATGACAGCCCTAGACGCCTCATCGAATTCGCCTCGCCCCAGGTCCAGCAGACCCAGCGTCTCCTCCTCCTTCACCAGAAGCGCTCGCCGGTGGCTCAGACGGCATGGCTAGGAGAACGAGGATGGGAACGATGTCTGCGCGGCGAAATATCGTTGGAAGAGAGTGGTCAGCAAAGTGGAAAAGACGATGACTTTGTGCGATGAAATCGTAGCGCACTCACAGAACCAGTACTTTTGAATAAAGCTCTTCTGCGGGGGCGGCGTCTCCCCTCCCACCTGCCCATCAGCCCTAGGCCTAGGTGGAGTACGCAGCACAGGCTCAGCGGCCGTCTCCTGCTCCTCAACCTGGATCTTGAGCTGCGTGTCTCGATTGATCAGGCTGCCTCCCTTGCGCGGGATGGGCTGACGTGGGCATCCGTTTGAGGGGTTGAGGGGTGGTAGGCCCACAACGCTGTAGCTCATCAGTGGGGTCGACGAAGGGTGTGAAGGGAGGACGAGGGTGAGAACGTCGTGTGACCATGAGCCGGGGATGAGTGCGGTGATGAGACACTGGGGGCGACCAAGATGAGGAAGCAGTCAGTTTAATGCCCTGGAGATGATGCTCTCAAGCCTGGCTGCTCTTTCGTACCTTCTTCGTTGCAACCACCTGGCTTCCCTTTCCATCTCCTCCGACGAGCCTCATCAGGTATCTGCCCTCAGCATCGCTTTGCTTGACATCTCCTAGCAGATCTGATGCTCTCTGCACCTGCTCGAACGATCCTGCCGTCGAATTAAGCAACGTAACCTGACCCCTCGTTGTCCATTCCGATGTGGAGTCAAGACGATGCTCGAGGGTGTAGCGAGCTGGGAATGATGCGGCTGAGGCTGATGACGAGTGCAAGAGGGCAAATACCAGCGTGCAAAGCGCCAAGGGTAGTGATCTCAGCAGCATGACGGGCAGTCGATGATAGTGGAGAGATGGAAAGGACGAAATGAGCGACGGGTCGATGCAAGGCGGAAGAAGAAGTGCGGGCACAGCTCCACGTGGCCGCACGGACCTTCTGCTGAGAGGGAGCGATACGAGCAACGGCGGATGATGATGACAAGCTGAAGGCACGCAGACTGAATCGAAAGCACAATGAATTGTAGACTGCTATCGCCTCGTTCCGTATCGTCATGAGTCCTCCCCACTGAAGAGCACGCTGACACCGATCAATCCGAGCAGGGCGTATTTGAGCTTTGGGTAATCGTTGAGGACAATGGTCATGTAGCCCACGTAGGGGACGTAGCTGTACGAGGAGGGTAAGAAAGACAAACGGATCAGTTTGAGCAAGTATGAAGACTGCCTTTCGAGTGCGACGTACCCTTGCACCTTGCCCACGATCTGACTTCTCCTCAGCCAGCTGGGACCGCCATATAGCACTACATCGTCCGAGTCGTTGTTGTCTCCCTTTGTCAGTATGAGCTGGTCATTGCCTTCGTAGCTGCGAGCGCACAGAAGTCGGAAAAGAGGTCAGCCTAACGCGCAGACACCATGTCCCTCGCCCACCGTACCCACTCATCATGCGTCTCCAAGATGCGATGAACGATAGGCGTGCCCCCGTAGACGGTATTATACACGACTATGTCCCCCACTTTCAGCTTCTCGCTCGGCATGCTCAGTAGCAGCAGGTCTCCGCGATAGAAGGCTGGCTCCATACTTCCCGAGAGGACGACGACGACGGGCGATTCGGAGTCGACTACGCATGACAGCCCCTTGTAGAGGGCCAGCGAGGTCGAGAGGACCGTCAGGACGGTGAGGAACTGGGCGAGCAGTCCACGAACAGACTGTCGGCGAAGCCAGGCAAGCTCATTTTGGAACATGCTCGCAAAGTGGAAGGGGATTCGGATGAGAGGAGGTTAGAATGGGCAGGTTGCTGCGAAGTCTCGTCCAACACGACGACGGACAGCCGTGACGGAGCGGAGACGGAGAAGCGGAACGAGATTGGCGGACGAGGCAGACGAGGGTGTCAAGGGCGATTGACAGATCAGAGAGGGGCGAACCAGTCAAGCTTGACTTCAAGACCATCACAAACAACACAGCAACAGCATGGCATCAACAGCGGGCACCAAGCCCAACAGCAGGCCAAGACCCGTCATACTCATCACAGGAGCCAATGCGCGCGTGTCCAACCTGATTTCTCCCTTCGTTGCCGCCAAGGCTGACCTCTTTCTCACTTCGCGCCTCACAGCGGGCTAGGCTTCGCAACCTGTCAACGTCTTCTTCTCCAACTCTCCTCCCCAACCCCATCTGACACCCTCGGTCGTTCCGTTCGCTTCGCATCGCACGATGGCACGGACGAAGACCCTCTTGCTACCCCGTTCGCAGCACCTCACGGCTGCACCCTCATCCTCGCGTGCCGCAACGCCATTAAAGCGCACAAGGCGAGACGTAGCCTGGTGGAGATGGTGAACAAGTTGAAGCACTTGCCTGACGAGGTGGAGACACCTGTTTGTGCTGAAGAGTTGGAGCGGTATAACGTCACTAAGCCGGTCAGCGCGAGGAAGACGGTGCAGAAGAGGGAAGAGGAGGACGTTGCTGGCAAGGATGCCGGGAGCAGTTCTACTGCCCTCCTCGATTCGGCCAGCACAGCGACGCAACGTCGCAAGACCTCCAGCAGCAGCTCCAAACCCAACCTAAGCCAGTCTCTTGTCAGCCGCGAAGCGACGGCCCGTGGCAAATATCGTCGCCGGTTCTGCCGAGGCGTCCGGATCGAATTCGTCCCCCTCGACCTAGGCTCCTTCGCCTCTGTCCTCAACTGCTCAGCCCAAGTTAAAGCGCGGCATGGACACCTCACTCATCTGATCCTCAACGCAGGTGGAGCAGCCTTCACCGGCCTTGACTGGATCAAGGCAACTTGGATGATCATGACGTCCTTCAAAGCGGCCGTCACCTACCCGCGCTACAAGATGCAGCGATCCGGCGACATAAGCCAGGATGGGGTCGGGTGGGTGTGGAGCATCAATGTCGGGGGTAGCTGGATGTTGACGCAACAGCTGCTTCCGCTCCTGAGGGCGGGACCTTACGAGGAGAGGGGAAGAGTAGTTTGGACTGGATCGGTCGAGGCTTTCCGACGCTACTTTAGCTTGGAGGACATGCAGTGCTTGCGCACCGACAAGGAGTCCAAGGCGTACGAGAGCACAAAGTATCAGTGCGATCTGGCGGCGGTTGCGCTGAGGGAGGAGCTAGCACAGGAAGGGGGAAAACAGCCTGCGGTCTACCTCACGCACCCAGGAGTGGTAGCCACGAGTATCATGGCCGACTTCCTCAATGTGGTGACGGCAACGGCTATGCTGTGGTGCTTTTACCTGGCGAGGATGCTCGGAAGCACGCATCATTGCGTTGAGCCTTACAAGGGTGCGATCTCTGCTTCTTTTGCTTGCTTGGCGCCCAAGGAGCGACTGGCTGCGTCGGCGATGATGCCGGACGGGCGTGCCACTCAGCTACCAGAGCGCTTGCAGGACGCCGCGCAGAAGAGTGAAGCATCGGCATCGGAGACTCTGGTACGGTACGGGTCAGCTTGCGACATCTGGGGGCGAGAATACGTCCACTTCGGTCGTATTGACGCCTGGCAGCCAGAGAGCGATGAGGTTGGAAAGGTGGTGGACAATGGGAGCGAGGAGGAGTGCAATGTTCGCGGCCTGGCGAGGAGGTGGCGCGATCGTACGCACGAGGTTGTGGAGCGGGTGATGGGAGAGAAGAAGAACGGCACGCTGCCGCCTGCTGGGTTGATGGCGACGCAGGACCAGGGTCAAGGGCAGGGTGAGGAGGCGGAGGAAAGGCAGGACGAGGACGACGAAGATGACAGCAGCGAGGAGTGGGAGAAGGTAGACCAAGCCGTGTGACGCCGTACGGAGGCCAATCGTTCCCAGCATACCATGATCATCCGTCTAGCGCACACCTCTACCGCTCCGCAATACCAATCTAGCTTGTTTGACGTTTTGCTATCATTTCGTGCGATCGTCCAGCATCAGCATCAGCAACTACGCTGCAAAGAAGAGAGTGTATGTATGCGAGCGCCCTCCTCACAGCCTCCAAAGCCTATACCACTTCCTCTGCCTCGTTCCTGCCTCGGGCTCTTCCCTCTCCCCCTTTGCGACCCTACCTAGGTCGCCCAATCTCTCTCCCACCTTGACCTTCTGTCCCGGCTTGACCTCGAAGGCAAATTCCGGACTCTCCCAGACGAGCACAATCGTGCTTCCTAGGAGGAAACCACCCATCTCCTCTCCCTTGGACAGAGGCTGTCCGCCAAGAAGACGCGACGCTTTGCCGTAAGACGCCTCGGAGTAGGTACCAGCTAGAGGGCGCTGCTCCTTGACATTCGTGCGCAGCTCGGTATCGAAATTGATGCGGATGGACCCGACATTCGTCGCGCCCACAGGGATCATGCTGAAGAAGCCGTAGCGCCAGCGACCTAGTAGGGCCACGCGCTCGTTGAGGATGAAAAGATTGCCTAGGCGATTCGCAATGTAGGGGCTGACGGAATAGAGCTCGCCGCGGAAATGTCTCCTACGTTCTGCCACCCAGTTGGTCGGGGAGTGGAAGCGATGGTAGTCTCCTGGGGCGAGGTAGATGACGGCGAAATGGAGACGATTACCCTCTGCGAGGCCCTCGCCTTGGTGTCCGACAGGGGAATGACGTTGCAGGAAGGGAGGAAGGGCACCAGAGCCCATTTCGTAGGCAACGGAGGCGTAGCGGGAGAGGATCTCGGGTGAATCAGGGGTCTCTACGCCCGCTTCGCTGATATCGCCGTCTTCGTCGTCGCTGTCGTCGCTGCTGGGCTGCTCCTTGGTGGCACCAGGCTCTGCATCGCTTGGTCTTCTTGACTGCGGGATCGGCGTTGAACTACCGCCGGTCGTCGCAGGCGTGGCGGTCTCCTTGCTGCTCTTCCCCCAGACCTTGCTCTTCCACCACCTCCAGCTGACGAATCGCTTGATCTTGCCCGGCTTCTTCTCATCACCGAGAAGTCGGTCGAGCGAGTAGTCGATGCCATTGATGGCAGCAAACTGCTTTTCATCCAGCTGGGAGCCTGGTCCACCATGTGCCTCATCGATGCCCTGCGGGTCGCTACTCAGTCCCAAGAGCGCATCGAGGGAGTATGTGATTCCTTTCACCTGCTCCACTCGGCGGCCCTGGATGGTCCCGAAATGAAGGACAGTTCCATCGGCAGGCGACACAATCGGAGCTTCATCATCGATGGCGCGTGCGCCATCCACGAGCTCGCGGTAGAAGAATTCGCCGAGCGAGGAGTAGTGCGTGAGGTCCTTGTCCTTCATCTCGTCAAGGTTGCAGCCGAAGATGCGGGCGTAGAGGCGGAAGCCCATGGGTCTGAACCAGACGGGGAGGGTAAGGTTATTCGCCCAGCCCCAGAGCCGTGAGATGGCATTCAGCGGGAGGGCGCCAAGGACGTAGACCTGTGGTTTAGCGGTACAGCCGATGTCAGCGTGAATGAAGGACGTGCAGTCGCGTCTCGCGCTCTGTGGCTCACAGTCCATGGCCCACTCATGGTGACAACCTGCCCGTTCTCGTCCACGATCTTCCCACGCTTCCCACCAGCACCACCACTAGCCTCCATATCTGCCACATAGTTGCGCCTCGCCTGTACCCCTACGAGGACAATGGCGCCGAGCAGGATCGGGATCGGGTACCATGTGACTGGAGTTCGGCGCCATGAGTCTGCCATGCGTGCGGTCAGAGAGGGGCGACCTCCGTCACTTCCACCATTTTTGCCACCACTGTTGCTACCTCCACTCCCTGATTGCTGCTTTGCCGCTGCCTCGGCGGCCAAGGCATCTGCCTTCGCTCGTGCGTGACGATTACCTGCGACGGTGCCTGCTTCGCGCTCTGCCTCCAATGGGTCGCGCGGGGGTACTCTATGCGCCACAGCAGAGGCGTAGAATGAGCGTACGCCTGCTTGCTGCGTACATGCTGCTGAGAAGCGAGGAGAGGCAGAGAGGATGAGGAGGGAAGTTGGCCGAGCTATTGAACGAGATGCTGAGGAGGTGTTGAGGAAGCGGCATTGCGGTGAGTACCTCGCTGATGCTAGGCTGCGCTGTAGCACCGCGTGTGCGCCCCTGAACGACTCTGCCATCCTGCTGGTGATGTTCGACCTCGTAGCGCAGCGCTGCGTTGACGAGGTTGGGGTAGGAGGAAGGTACCAAGGCCTGCTACGTTGCGTCCTTGTGCGAACGGGCCCGCGCTTTGTCTGTTCAGCCTAAGCCGGGGTCGAGGCGAACAGACGGACGTCGTCGGGAAGCTCTGTTAGTATATATGTGGCATACTTTCGCGCCGTCGACTATTGCCTGCTTGGCCAAGTGGCTAAGGCGCTTCGCTTGTACACCGACACGCGAAGCGTGGCTTTTGCAAAACGAAGAGATCGCCCGTTCGACCCGGGCAGTAGGCAACTTATTTTTTCTCCTTTTTGAGACCACCAGGAGGTAGCTACGACCCGTAGCTTCCGTTTGGTGCGAATATCACATCGCTCTGAGCTGTTTCGACGGTGCTACGTCGATCTGAAGGTTGGGGATGGCGGGTGTACGTCCCCGTGTTCGATGCGGGTAGATGACGCCGCGCGCGGGAGGCCCGAGCACCATCGGTTGGCCCTCTAAATTCTTCGTGTGCTCTTTCCTCAGACCCGTCCTACCTCTTTCAATTGCTACCTCAGTGTGCGTGGCAGCTCTGTCTGCAAGACTATGTTACTTTGTGGGCCACCACTCGTCGCGCTTCTCGCCGCCTGGTTGCCGGCCGAGTCGTGTGTCTGAGTCCGAGTGAACAGGCGGGCGGCGGGACTGCAGTTGCTAGCGCGTCGTTGGTTGGTTGCCTTAGTTCCGTTGGTCCGCTCCTCCATCGTCCCCCGCATCGCATCGTCGTGTCTCACTCTCTGTGCAGCAGGATCCCTCGCTTTGTCCGCCTTTCCTTCGCACCATATTCCCACTCTTGTTGCGTCACACTGCTACCGGGGCGTCAGAAACAAGCCAGTCTATCATCGCCTCATCCGCGCGCGGACGCAGCACAATCAAAGCTGCATTGTTCAGCAGCTCACGCTCTTTGTCCTTCACCGTAGAGGACCAGCGTATATGCAGCGCTGGCAACCCTGGTCACCTTCTCTTCGTCACCATCATGGCTTCGGCAAAAGACCTCTGGACTACCATGACTAGCGGGGATATTCCCGCCTCTCCAGCTAGCGTCCAATCGCTCCTCGATCTAGGCATGGCTGGCATCCCCGCGCTCGACCAGCAGTCTCGGTCGACGCTCACTCGCAAGCTGCTCGCCGACATCTCCAGTAAGCCAGAAAATAGGCTGACGTACCTCAAAGCCCTCAAAGAGCTCTCGCGCTTACCTGGAGGAAGCAATGCACAGGCAGAGGTGCAGGGGCTGCGGACCTTGCTTGAGCAGGTGCGCCTGCCAGCGCCCTCGGTGTACAGAAGACACAGCGCTTCGGCAGGACCATCGTCGTCGAGCAGTGCCTCACACGGAGGCGTCACTTCCTCGCCCACCTCCATCACTGGCGTACTCTCCCGCGCCTGGCACAGTAAGAAGTCCAATGGCACCACCGTCCGCAGACCGTCCACCGAATCTGGCGCCAAGCCGGGTATATCTGGCAGGCAGCCTTCGTCCGAGAACGAAGGGTCACGTACGTCGCGAGAGACCGCTACACCGTCGCCCATCGCTCCGAATGGCGGACCATTCTCAACCTCACACTCACAGCAATATCAGCCGCCTCGTCCGCCATCTGCAGAAGAATGGGAAGCAACGGATATCGCCCTTCGCTGCCTGAACAATGCCCTCTTTCTCCACGAGAGCAGCAGGAGAACATTCACCGACGACAGCGTGGGCGGCGGAGCCCGCAGGCTAGTTGGCTTGCTCAAGAATCCGGCTCAGACGCCCACAGACGTGCTCTTCTTGGCAGGGAGGCTACTGTTCTACGCCACCTTATTCGAGCCCAAGTTCAACAAGATCGTTGTCGATGAGGAAGGGATCGTGCAGGATCTTTGCGAGGCATTGGCCGTTCTGACGGCGCCGCAATTAGTGAATGGCATCGGGACAGCGCCTACGCAAGACCAGATGAAGGCGGCACAGAGCGAGCTGCTCAAGGTCATCTTCAATGTCAGCCTGTACTACTCAACCTCGCAAGACGGTGAAGCGTCAGGCTCGAAAGCTGCCGCTGCTCACGAAGCTCTCATCGAGTGAGTCGGCGAGAAAAGTTGAGAATGAGCGCAGCAAATCTGACACCTTCTCCACTGCCCGCCCAGCCTCCTCGAGCCCGTGATCCGTCTCATCATCAGCTATCCCGCATCACCACCTCTAGCCGCGCCAGTCTCCGGCGCCATCGGCGTGCTTCTCAACTTTCCGCTCACGCAGCCGTATTACAGCATTTGGACCAGGGACTTCTTTCCAACGAGAAGAGGCAGCGCTCCTCCACCATCTCCGACCCCGTCTTCGTCGTCCAGCTTCACAAAGTCGAGTACTTCGGCCGCTCGCAGGGTCGCGAATGCACTCTTTTCTAGCGGCAGTACTGGAGCAGAGCAACAGGAAGGTAGCAGCAGCTCGTCGCAGACTCCTCCTCTTCCTTCATCCACGGCTACCGCCAGCGCAAGCGCAGGGACGCTCATCGAGCAACTCCTCTCCTTGCTCGATGCGACGCTCGATTACTACTTTGGCATGGCCAGCGCACACTCACGAAAAGACATCGCGAGTAGCATGCGTGAAGAGGCCGAGCAAGCCAAGCTCGACCCAGACTCGGCTGAAGTACGGGCAAAAGCAGCAAAGGATGGGGTCAATTTGGAGGAGCTGCTCTCCCCTCTCTTCCTGCTGTTGCGGAAGCTTGCGGCTGCTGACGTGCCCGCTGGTACGACAAACGAGGCCTCGAGCGCAGTTACGCCTTCAACACCGCCGATGAGGAGAGCTGTCCATTCAAACCTTTTCTCACCCAGTAGCAGCCCAGCATCCTCGCTCCCACCCTATCGTCAGCCTACAACCGTAGGCCACCTGGTGCGCCTCCTTTCCTCGCTCCGCTTCCCCCGCCTGGAAGCCCTCAGCGGCGAGCTCCTCCTCGCCGCTTGCGGCGGAGATGTGCGTGCACTAGTCAAAGAAGTAGGGTACGGGCCTTGTGCTGGTTGGTTGCAGCGAAGCGGAAGAGGTGGGGACGGGCTAGCCGACTTGGCTGGCGAAGAGGGGCCTTCAGGTGAACAGCAGAAGGATCCCATTACGGGCGCTCCCTTCTCCTCCAGCGGAAACGCCCCTGGTCAAGCAGACGGTCTTGACGAGATGACCGAGGAGGAAAAAGAGGCAGAAGCTGAGCGGCTCTTCACGCTCTTCGATCGACTGAACAAGACGGGAGTAATGAAGGTCGCGCATCCTGTGCGAGATGCGATCGAAGGGTTGGAGGGGGATGCGGAGGCGGCTACCAAGTTTGAGGAACTTAGGTCTAAGGACGAGGAGGATAAGGAAGAGGAGCAGACGATGCGAGAATTTGCAAAGTACAAGGAGAGGAAGGGTAAGGTAGCCGAGGACTCCTAGAGATAGAGCGTTGCTAGATAGCCTGCGGGCCTTGCGGCAGGCCTCAATGACGACTATGATGATAATCAAGTAGGGGCAAATAAAGCCCGAAGAAACGGCGCTACGCTCCCCGAGCCCTCTTGCTGGCAAGCGCGGCACAGGTCGAGCGGCGATTTGCAAGCACCTCACCTCATTCGATCGTAATACCAACTTCTTACAATTTCGCGTCGTCTGAACAGAGCGGTGACGAGAAGCACGACGAGCTGAGGAGGGGCGGGCAACATAATGCGTATTCAGTACAACAAGGGACGGATCGTGAACAAGCGTAAAAGAGCAACGGGCACGCATCTCACATCACTCCTTTTCTTCTCCCTCCCTCTCCTCCACCCCTCACTTCGGCCCCATCTCGTCCTCCTCCGCAAGCAGAACTCTCTCCGCCTCGTTGACCTCCGCGTCCGTAATTTGCAACCCATCCAACCACTGCAAAGCAGGGCAAACCATTCCCAGCGTCCCGCGATGTAGGAGACGTCGCATAGCTAGCTGCGCTGGTAGGGTGCGCGAGAAGCGGGCATCGCTGATGGCGTACCACGATGTCGACGAGGCGGCGTTAAGGCCGGCTGACTGCTGCTTGGCCGGCTTGATGGTCTCGTCCGCGTCTTCATCGTCATGTTGCTCCGTCCCACGACTGTCATCCCCATCCTCTTCAGGCCTCGGATGGACCTTATGCCAGAAGCTCTTCTCCCACCTGCCGCGCTCTTCCTCAGCCCTCTCCTTCTGCTTTTGCGCCATCTCTCCTTCAATCGTATCCGGACGCAGAGTTTCTGCGTTGGGCATTGGCGCGAGGAAGGCTGGAGATGGCGATATAGAGGCAGAGATGAGCGGGGAAGCAAGTACGGGTGGATACAGGCCAAGAGTGGCAGGATTCATCCTCGCGTCCAGAACGGCCAGTTGATCGCACCCTTCGAACGCTTCGATCAGGTTGCGCGTGCTCTTGATCCTGCAGCCGACGAGGCTGACGCGTTTCAGACGAGAGAGAGCTGCCAAGCCTCCGCCGTTGCTCTTTCCATTACTGCGGCTAGGTGGCAGCCTGGTGAACAAGTTGTGGTCGAGCACCAGCTGATGCAGATTGGGGAACAACACCGCCAGATTGGGCGGAATGGCTGTAAGCTGGCAAGCAGAAAGCTCCAGGTAGGCAACATTGTTGAAGGAGCAGGCCGACAAGCTCGTGTTGGGCAGACGTGGCGTGGCACCGAAGACGTTGTGCAAGCCTGCTTGCGGCACGTACACGTTCTTTGCCTCTGCGTTGAACTCCTCGCTGAAGGCATTGCCGGAGAGGAACAATCTCTTGACATCCTTGACCTGCGCTCCGGGCCAACGGAAACCACCGGGCGCCTTGCTCGGTTTGGTGAGCTGCTGGCGCACGCTGAGCTCTTCGAGCTTGTCTAGAGCACCGAGGTGGTCGATTTTTTCGAGCGCACAGAAGTCTGCGAAGAGAGTGCGCAATGATCGCGCCGCAGGGAGGACATCGAGGCGCTCCAGACGGGAGTTGTTGCTTACCCGCAGTGAGCGCAATCTGGGCATCAGACCGGTGCCTAGGTCGAGAAGGGAGAGATCGTTGGAACCCACGTCGAGCGTCTTGAGATGCTTGCAGTGCCATAGCCCCTTTATGGAGGTGAGAGCATTGTGCGCCACATCCAGGTGTGAGAGACGGCGCCAGGAGGTCTTGGAGAGGTCAAGCGACACAAGCTTGTTGCCCCGCAGCGAAAGACTGTGCAAGTGCTCCAAGCGCTCGATCCCCCTTACGTCGCTGATGCCATTAGCATCCGCGCGTAGGTGGCGAAGGTGCATCAGGCAGTCCAGCGAAGACAAGTCATCCACCTCGTTCCCGCTGAGGTCGAGCGTCTCGAGGCTTCTGAGGTGCCCGAAGCTCACGATACTCGGTACCCGATTCCCGCTCAAGGTGAGGAGCCGCAGCCCAGCGGGCAGCCCCGTCAAGTAGCTCAATGCGTTTCGATCCAACCTGACCTTCTCCAGTCGTGGAGCGAACTCCTTGAGCCTGACCACGCTCTCCAGTTTTCGTCCACTGAGGTCAAGCTCAGTCAACTCCTCCCACGAGTCGACCCAAGGCGCCACATCCGTCAACACCTCCACGATACGGTCGTGCGCGACCTCGAACGAGGCTTGCGTGAGGAAAGTCTTGTCCGCTTGCGATTCGCCAAAATTCCAAATGGAGCGGCCGCCGGCGCTGCGACGCGTGGAAGCGATGGATCGTCGACTTGCAGCAAGTGGAGTCGCCGCGGGCGAGTCGAAGGGAGTCAGCCGAGCGCTGAATCGCGAGGTCGGGGAAGGAGCTTGCCATGAGTCGTCGCCGTGAGCCGAGGCTGCCCACTCTTGCTGCTCAATGTCCTTGCGACCGGCCTGCTCTTCCTCGAGGGCGAGGGCCTTGACCTGCTCGAGCAATTCCTGGATTCTCGCTGCCCTTACGGATGATGGCCTGTCCTGACCACTGGCGCCTTTGCTTCGTGCAGGCTTCGGGGTCGCTTCCTCGCCTTTCCCCATGACCTGGCTGTCTTCGTCATCATCATCCTGCGCTCCGCTCTCAAACGAGTCTTCCCGTTCGTTGCCCCGCCTCGTTCCAATCCCGCGCAAAGGACTCTGCGAGAACATCTTACCCGAAGTCTTGCCATCCGCGAAGCTAATGGAGCGCGGTGGCTCCATAGCAGCGCTGCCGCCGAGGCGAGATGGGCGAAGTGGGGTGCCGGCGGGCGTCGATGCATTCGATGCATTGCTGCCTTTCAGGATGGAGCGCGGGATAGATGGAGGGGCTGGGCGCCGCGCTGGGGTCAAGATGGCGGAGGACGGCGGAAGCGCTGCGGCCGCAGATTGGGCAGCTGCTGCTGTCGCAGTCATTCGCGGCCTCATAGACTCGTCTCCAAGCGTGATTGACGAAGATTGGGTGGAATCTCCATCGGACATGACCACCTCATTCCTCAGCGCTGAACCGCTCTTCGGCAGCGAGTGGACGTGCGGGCTGCCCTGTGCACGCTGCTGATGCAGAGCATACGTAGGCTTGAGGATGGGCGTCGTACCCCTCGAGGTGGGCGTGGAGGTATTTGAGGACGTCGCTCGGCGCGCAGGCGTGGTGAGAGTGATTGGCGAAGAAGCCTTCGGCGTGGCCTCGCGACGTGGTGGGAACTCGGCCCTGTTGCTCGCGCTTGCAGAAGCACTCGCGCTGACGTTGCTGTTCGAGCTCGCATTCGGGGCGTTGAAAGGATCACTCTCTGCTACTGCCGGAGTAGACGAGGGCTGGTCGACGCTCCCGTTGGCTGCCTCGAGACTGACGGTGCGCCGCTGCTGAAGGCGATGGTGCAATGCCGAGCCTGGCGTTGGGAAGGCTTTCGATGGAGCTGCTGCTTGTGTAAGCGATGCGGAAGGGGCTGTTGAGGCCTCTGGAACCGAGGTCGCAGGAGGAGTTGAGGAGAGTGTTTCCCTCGAGACTTCGGGGATCGTCTCAACGAGGGCGAACGACCTTGCAGGCGCCGGCGAGGGAAGTGATGGCTGAGCAACAGCTGAAGCAGCAGCAGCGGCGGCAGCAGCGGGCAATGCCACGCTGCTGGCCGAGTAAGTCCTCGACACGCCCACTGCCCCCGGAATCGTCTCGCTCTGCCCATTCTCGTCTACAAGAACCATCCGCGTCGGCGGCTGAGGAGTAGGCACAACGGCAGGCCCAGGCGCAGCTTTCCTCGAAGCGGCCGGTGTGGCCAATCCGGCCAGCTTCCCCTCCTTGCGCCTCCTGATCCTCTCCTCAATGGCAGCAAGCTCCTCATCCCTTCGTCGCTCATCATCACTCCACCCTTGCGAAGCCCCCAGATCCGTGCCGCTGGCCGTGCCCGCTCCACCAGGCGTCAAGGCAGTTGCTCGCTCTGCAGCCTCGATCTCGCGCTCCACCTGACCTGCGGCAGAGAACTTGCGGAAGAGCTTGCGCGGAGACTCATCGTCCCGCATGTGGTGGATTGCAGGACTCGAGTGGCGGGTTGCGGGTTTAGGTCGCTTCTCCCAGATTGGAGAGCTCGGAGGAGGCTGACGTCGCACTGAGATGCGCATCGGACTGAGCGGTGGAGCGACGACGACCACTGACGTCGATGCGTCCACCTCTCCAGCAGCCTTCTCCGCACTAGCTGATATCGCAGCTCTATCCCTACGATCAGGCAGATGCAGCCTCAATCGCTTCATCTCTGGCTCCGCGTCCCCGCGCGCCTCTTCTCCGTCGTCGTCGAAGTCGCGCTGTCGTCTCGCCCGGTGTTGATATCCAGGGGTTTGCCTTTTCTTGGCCTCCAGCCTCTTTTCAGCTTCTTTCAGCTTCTCATCGTATAACCTCACTGCATCCTGCAGTGCGGCCATGTGCGCACCACCCTGGCCCTGGCCCTGCCGATCATTCTCGCCTTCTCCTACGCGACCAGGTGAGTTCTGCATCTTCTTCGCACTCTCAAAGACGAACAGCCGTATCGGCAGGCTTTTTGCTCCAGTCCCATTTGCAGTACCAGGAGCGGTTGATCCACCGGCACTACTTGTCGCTCTCCCAATGTGAGCATATGCTTCTGCTGAGAGGCCGCGCTTCTTTTGCTGCGTGCGTGGAGTGGCCAGGTGAGCAAAGGGAGAATCGGTCACCCCGCTTCCTGGCATGGCATAGGGGGAGCGAAAGGTGAAGGCGCCGTGAGATGTGGGTTTCACGGCTGGAGGAGTGGTGGGACGAGAAGGCTCGGCAGGGACACTTGCGGCCGCAGCCGCTGCAGCAGTGTCCTCTTCCTCCTTCGCCGCCGGCGGTACAGGTAGTCTCGAAGGCGTATGCTCCACCTCTGCTGGCTTGGCATCGATTTCCTTCACTGGCGCACCATCAGGCGGCGTTGGTGTCTTGAACATAGTCTGCAGCTTCAGCGGTGTGAACATGTCCCCGCCTATGATGGCTCCCTTGCCTCTCTTCCCCGGCGTGCGCGGATCTATGGCGTTCGCTTGCCCTCCCTGCCATGCTGGTCTGAGAATCGGAGGAAGAGAAGAGGCGTCCGAGTAGTGGATGAAGGTTGCGCCGGCACCTCCGCCTTCTGAGGCTGTGACGCCAGCAAAGCTCGGAGTGTTGTCGTCTTCTTCTGCGACGTCATCGCCGTGATCTGCGCCTGATCCGGCAGCCTGCGGCACATCAAGGCGTGACTGCTCTGCTCTTCCTCCCCTCTTGAGCTCAGAGCGAGACGAGCTGCTCGACTGGCTCGATGAGCGAGAGTGGCTGCCGCCCTCTTCCTCCCTTCTACTGCGCTCCAGAGTCTCTGGCGCGGAGCTGGGCCCAGCCTCTGCATTGCCGTCATCCACTCCATCATTGTACGCTCCTCGCCGCGTAGAACTCTTCTTGACGTCCTGGCTACGCTTGCGCAGTATGGCGCTGCTCGGCCCTGGCTGAAGGACGAGCTCCGAATCGGTGAGAGAGGGTAGGATCGGTCGAGCATGAGGACGAAGGTGGGAGGAGCGCAGCCCACCTTTGGTCTCGTTCCATGTTCGCCTGGGCTTGCCGTCCTGGCCATTTGGTGCTTGGTGATTGGACGCGGCGAGGCTTGCTCGAGCATCGAAGAAGGTTCCCTCTGTCGCGCTTGAGACTATGCGGTTCGAGCGAGCCATTGAATCGCCCAAAGGCGGCAGGGGTGCTGAGACTGTTGCCTCTGATGCTGCTTCATGCTGGATGACAGGCTTCGCGGATGCGACCGGCGCTTCGTCTGTACTGGCTCCTTGCGCCCAGCTCTCATCGAGGTCCTCGAACCCAGGCATGCTCTTCCAGGCTGGTAATCTGGCCGGCGGAGCTGCTGCTGGCTGCGCAGCGTCCTCATCTTTGTCGTCGCTGCCCTCGCCATCTGGTCCTGAAGCTGGCGCAGGGTCATCAAAGACGAGTGGGCTAGGCTCGCGCTTCTTGGGCGAGAGGGGATTGGGGCCATTGGGCGTTGAAGCTCGAGGCTGGCCGTCCATCGAGAGCTCATCGCCTTCTGGCAATGCAATGACCGGTATAGGGCTGGCAGCAGCAGCAGCAGCGGGAGGCACAGCGACCTCTGCCATTGCGTGCGTAGATGCCCGCGGCGTTTAGATTGGGATGATGAGAGTAGTTATGTAGGGTAAGGATGAGGTGCACGAAGGCGGGCAACCAACACGAACGCCTCTCGACTTGCTTGGCCCGACATGAGGGTACGGAACGCGGCAGGCGGCCGGGCGGCAGCAGCTCAATCCACTGCACATTGCAGGCGGCGGACAGAGGCGCACAAAGGGTCAACAACAGCATGGTCATAATTCATGAGCTTTTCGATGCAGAAGATCAAAGGGAGTAGATTCTCGATGTTGTCGACCACTTGAATGCTACCAGATTGGCAGTAAACAAGGAGCGGTGGCAGTGCGTGAGCTTCTTGGGTGTTGGACGGCCAAGTCACGTGTTGATTCCCGACGCGACGCCACAAGTTGGTTGGCGTCGTCGCAGGGCGGAGGCAGATGTCGGTAGGCGGGAGGAGCAAAGCGGGCTGCATTCAACATTGCTCCTCCTCGTCACCATCATTCCCAGCCTTCTCCTGCTCAATCTGACCATCATCCTATCAAAGCCCGCACATCCATCATATCGGCCTGACGAGGCAGGGACACATCGTCCATCAACTACCTAGAAAGTATCACGTATAGCGCCTGATCAGCCACGATGGACGGGCCTGGGCTCCTCAAGCTCCTGTCCGACTCGACATCGACGCTCTCGTCTTCATACTCGGAGCTCGGCCATCCACCTCAAAGACTTGAAGAGGCCATCGCAGCGCTTCAAGAGACTCTTCAGACCGCCGTCAAGACGCAGCTGGACCGCGTTCAGAAGGAGGTCGATGATGCCAAATACACCCTCGAGCATGGCCAAAAGCGCATCGAGAGGATGAAATTGGCGCTGGGGGAGAACGAGGCAAGCAGCACAAAGGGAGCCGGGCAGGGAAGGAGATCATCCAGAACGCGCACAGCTAATAGCAATGACAGGGAGGTGAGTCGACGCAGAGGCTCAAATCAACTTCCATCCCATCGCCAGGTCTGACCATTTCCATCCCTCGCCCTTATACGCCCAGGCCCTCCTCCCACGCGTCGCAGCCACAACGAGCGAGATCAATCGACTGCAGAACATTTACGACTCGCGCACCCACCAAGCAGACAAGCTCACAGCCGAGCTTCGCAGCTTTGAGCCCATCCTCGGCGACTACGTACCGCAAATCCGACCTCCCGCCTTAGACGAGGCCGACCTCGCGGCCGCGGATGCTAGCTTCGCAGAGGGCGAAGTACCCATGTCCGCCATGCCCCTCACATACCTCACGTCCCTCAGCAGTGCGATCGACAAATGTGGACACGAGCTTACCCGTAGGAGTGAGGAGCTTCAGACGCACCTCTACGAGATACTCGGCTTGTGGTCAGAGCTGTGCCTGCCCCCGGACATGGGTGAGGAGAATGCCGCCGAAGCTACCTTTGACGCTCTCGTGCTTCGCCATCTTCGCCTTCAGACCGTGTGGGAGACGGTCGAGCTCGATGAAGGCGACACAACGCTGGAGTTCCAGGGCACTTTCCTTCCCATCGAAGGCGGCGAGCATGACGAAGCTATGGCTACACCAGACACGCCTTCTCGCTCTGGAGGATCAGGCTCTGGCACCCTCCAATCCATGCGCTCAGCAGAGACTCATTTCCCTCCTCATGTCCTCCAGCCTACACCAGACAATATTGCAAAAGCCAACGCCAAGCGTCAGGACCTCGAGGAGGAAAAGGCGCGAAGAGAGATGCGCATCCAGGAGCTCTACGATGACCTATTCCAGCTTTGGGTCAAATTTGAGGTCCCAGAAGAAGACATGGATCGCTTTGTCATGAGCAACTCCGGGTCGACCATGGCGGTCATTCAGACCTATGAGGGCGAGCTGGAGAAGATGGTCGAGCTCAAGCAGCAGCATATGGCCTTGTTCATTGGCAAGGTCAGAGAGAGGATCGATGAGCTCTGGTCTGAGCTGAGGCTGAGCGCGGAGCAGCGGGAAATCACTTTCCCGGAATTCTTTGCAAGGCTCGACGATGTTGCTTCCGCTGAGCTGGACCACCTGCTGCAGCGCCACGAGGAGCGTGTGGCGGAGCTCGAAGGCGAAGTAGAGCGCAAAGCCCCCTTGCTCAAGCTGGTGGCCAAGTATCTCGACCTCTGTCAAGAGGAGCGTCAATTGGAGGAGAGCGCGAAGGACACCTCGCGTCTGATGAAGGGAGTGCGCGGCGATCCCGGTAGGCTGCTGAGGGAGGAGAAGATGAGGAAGAGGGTCAAGGTACAGAAACCCAAGTTGGAGGCAGAGCTGCTGAAGGCTATCCCCGGGTGGGAGGCAGAGTGCGGGCAAACCTTCACCATCGATGGAGAGGCGTACTATGAGAAGATTTTGGCCCTCTCTGCTGGCTCGTCAGGCGGGGGGACGGACGCTGCCAATGGCAAGAAGCGCAGCCGTGTCGCTTCGGTCGCTACTCCCTCAGCTCACAACGGTACTGGTGTCCTGCAACAATCGGCGCAAGGCAATCGCATGGCGCCGACGCCAATGCGCACCCCATCAACTGCTCTCAACGGCGCTCGAGGCGGTGTACCAGCAAGCACAGGCGGCCTGGCAGGCAAGAAGCCCCGCCTCGTAACAGCAAGCGCGAGCAAGGGCACACCAGCGCACGTTCCTTCTGCCGCCAACGTAGGTAACTTGCGCGCTCGCGTCGCGCCTACGCCAGGCACAACTAGCAGGCTACCTAGCTCGTCTCGCATCCCAATGCCAGGCGTCGGAGCCAACCACCCTCCTTCGAGCCCGCCGAAGAGCCACGCTTCGCAATTTTCTGGCCGAGCAAAGGTCCCCTCCTCCTCCACCACGTCATCATCACAAGCAGCAGCAGCCCTGGCCACCGCCTCTCACTCAGGGTACGCAGCGGGCCACACCTTCCGTCCGCGTCCCTCTCAGCTCGCACCCTTCCCTCCCCCAGCAGGCTCTGGCGCTGGACGTCAACCGCTGCCACGCAACATGTCTGGGACGAGTATCGCCTCGGACGCTACGACGCTCTGCTACCCACACGCGCAAGGCGGCGCCGCTTATGCGCAGGCTATCCCTTCTCGTCCTCCCCTTTCCCGAGGGACGTCCGCTAGCACTGCGCCCCGACGTAGCGTGAACCACGGTGGAGGCAAGAGCAGGCGGGGACCAAGCATGTCATTGGAGGGAGCGCTGGCCAACGGCTTTCAGCCGAGGCTGAGCTCAACGATCAGGAGCGTGAGCAGCGAGGTCAGAGAGGCATACGAGGCGCAGGAGGCTGCTGAGGGTGATGGTGGGGCAGGAGGGAACTGGGCTGTGCTTGAGGAGGATGATGAAGGGGATGCAGTAAGAGGAGGAGGGGAGGAAATGGAGGTCTTCTAAGAGCGCGGCTGCCTCGAGTCTTCGTCTTCGTCTTCGTCTTCGCCGGCCTGGCACTTGATACATACCTCCGGGCTTTGCGCCCTCTTCACCTTTCTGCCCTCCTCTGTACTTGTATCATGCCTCTGAATGCTTCGCACCTCTGTCTCTTCCAACATTCGTCAATGAGAGCTATCCAGATGCGCAACCGTCACACACAACTCGCATTCTGCAGAGCTTTGTAAGATAACATGACCGTGGATTGAAATTGAGTCGAAAATGCTCCGCGATGTCGTCTGCCGCTCACTTGCGGTAGAAGTTGCGCTGGAAGTTAAAGTAGAGCTGCAATACCCCGCGATCGAAGCTACTCTTAAATCCTCTCTTATGGCTGTACTGCCAGGGTCGATTGACGATCCTGAACGCAATATCCTCGTACGGTGCTCCTGCCTCAAACTTCAGGATCACAGTCTCATCTCCCCCTCCCTCTTCCTTGATGATCCTGTAGGTGGGCGCCTTGCTCTTATCGATGAGGTCAGGATAGAAGATGTTGAACTTGTACCCCTGAACCACCTTAGGCGGCGGATTGTCTGAATCGTAGTGCGTCTGGTTGTACTTGTTCCACTCGAAGCCGGTGTGAACACGATTAAAGTAGCGTGGCTTGCGCGGTCGATACTTGTCTTCCCAGTCGTACGTCTGCTCGTCTGCGGCCGAGCGACCTCCACCGCCACGCATGGTTTGACCAGGAGCGAGGCCTGCTTCATCGTCGAAAGCGGACTCGTTGACGTCGATGCCCTTTGCCGCTTCTTGTGCAAAGAGGGCTTCCGCAGCATCCTCTGCACTTGTGGCTCCGCTGGCGTTGGTGGGACGAGCACGCGGGACGAAGCTGGCGCCCAAGACCTTGCGACGTGCTGCGATGAGGTCTGCACGAAGGGTGTCCCAGGTCTGCACGGGGAGGTGGCGATCGTCGTAGTTGAGGCGAGATTCGTCGAGGGCGCGCGGCTCCATCTCCTCCGGGTCCCATGCAGAGGACGAGGCGACGGCCGTAGCTGAAGATGGCCCAGCAGCCGCGACCTCCTCTTGCATTGCCTCATCGGCTTCTTCGATGTAGTCGCGACCCTCTTCGCCAAGCTGCGCAACCAGCTCCTCTTGCTGACGCTCCGCCTCATGTCGTTGCTTGCGCCTGAGGTACTCCAATCGGTTCTCAAGCACTACCTCGTGCAAGTCCCTCAGCTTGGCTTTGGCCCTCCACACTACAATCTGGCGAAGCAATCCCTCCCAGTACTCGACATCAATCGCCTCATCGCTGCGCAGCTTTGCCCTGACTTGCCCCTGCAGCGCCTTGAGATCCTCGTAGCTCTTCTCCGCGAGCATGCGATTCATGTTTGCCTTGATCGTCGGATCCATGCGCGGACGTCCAGCATCTCCGTCCTCTCCTTGCTGCTCGGCCTCGCGCAGGTCTGCCAACTTGTCGTCACATACAATGATCATGGACCGCCAGAAATCGAGGTTGCGCTCGTCTTTGTCCAGCTCGAGGTACATTTGAATGTCTCCGTAGAGCTCCTCGGTATCCTGCAGCGTGAGACTCTCGAAGATCTCGTAGGGCTCCTCGAGGTCAATCTCCAGTCCTGCCTCGTCATCGTCTTCGTCTTCTTCGGCCGCAACACCGAGTCCGTCGAGTCGCTTGGCCTTGATGCGGTCGCCGTCTGCCCAACGCAAGTTCATGGCCAGGAGGTCGATAGGCTTTGCGCGATTTTCTCGGATGCGGATCGCAGCACGACGACGGGACTGCTCGAGGTGGAAATCGTCCTCCTTGGCCACCCACTCGCTCATCGCAGCGCTCTCCGCCAATCGAGCCATCTGCTGTTCCTCCTCCTCCCGAATCTTCTGCTCCGCCTCCCTCTGTTTGCGCGAAGCGTTCAACCTTGCAATCTCTTCTTGCGCCTCCCTCCTCCTCTCTGCATCTCTTCGCGCAGCCTCTTCGGGGGTGAGGCCCATCTTCTTTTCCTTTTCTTGCTTCTTGCCCCATTTGAACTCGCGAGAGAGGTCAGAGTCATTGAAGTCGTTGTCGCCCCCGCCTGTTGAGTACATGAGCATGTCTGCTACGTTGGCACGTTCGAGGGCCTCCGATTGGTCGTGGGCGCTGCGCTTGGCAGCTTTGCGGTCGCGTCGCTCTTGTGAGGTCTCGTCGCGATGTCTGCTCCTGTCAACGAGCGAGAAAGAATCATGGTCAGCAAGAAAAGATGTGCCCCTGCTCTACACGCGAAGTTGCGCACTCACTTTCTATCCTTCCTCCTCCTGCGCCTCTCCTCCTCCTCGTCGGAGTCGTAGCTGCGTTTGCGGTCACGGTCGCGGTGATGATGACGATGGCTGCTGCTCTTTCTATCACCCCGATCGTCATCCCTGTCTCGTCGCGATGATCGCTCTCGGCGGTCATCATCTCTATGTCTTTTCCAGCTGCTGGCGTGTCGGTCGTCGTCGTCGTAGTCGTCATGACGTCTCGAGCTCTTGGATGAGCGAGCCCGATCTGCGTCGTCATCGTAGTGTCGGCTTGATCGGTGTCTAGAGTGACGATCCTCGTCCTCATGCCTGCTCCGGCGAGGAGGGGATGCTGACCGTGGCATCCTGGTCGAGATGGGCAAATCGTGAGATGGAGAAAGATGGACGGACAGAAAGTGTGGCTGAGCCTTTGCGTGGAGTCGTCGATCCGTCCGTCCGTCAGCCGAGCCCCGGAGCGCCAGTCCGACTTTCCTTTCCTTCTTCCAACCAACTCCTCCACAATGCCAGGCGCAGCAGCTTCAATAGAGCAGGAGCTGGACAAGCTTAGCCTGTCTTCCAATCCGGACCAGCTGATCGCAGCATTCGAAGCTGATGCCGATCAGAGGAGCAGGGCCTTGGCCACTCTGAGCCTTTCGCGAGCTGCCTCGGATCAGGCGAGTCTGGCGTCCTTGTATGCGCCTTTGGCTTCACGACTGGAGGATGTGGCAGAGGCAAAAGGATACGCTGCAGCGCTCAGACTTCTCTCAACTCTATCTAGCATCTCTCCACCAGCCGTGCAAGGTATCCTGTTTGCAAATGCTGCTGTCCGCCCGCTTTGGACCAGCGCCTTCCCCAAGGTCACCAGCCCAGATCCGCTGCTTGACCTCCTTCGTGCCGACCTTCTAGCTGCGCTCGTCAGCGATGCAGCAATGAAGACCGATGTGCTCAAGGCCAAGGAGCTTGTGGCCTGGCTGCGAGCTGCAGGCCCACAACATAGCGAGACTGAGGACGAACGCGTTGCTCTAGTCGCTCACCTGGCCCTCTACAAGCTGCACCAACGACCTTCGAGCAGTCAGCTCCCTGCCGATGCAGGGGAGGAACTCCAGAGATCAAGCTCAGACGATGATACTCTGCTTCTCCTCTCAAGAAGCCAGGTACTCACCGCCAACGCTCAAGCTCTCGCCGACGAGTCGTCGCGCATCTCCCTACTCGCCGCCCTCGAAGCGCTGAGCTACCTTTCTTCCGGCCCACCATCAAGGAAGGACCTCATTGCCAACGATGCACCCTTCTTGCAAGCTCTATGCGCAATGCCTGGTAAGCTAGGCCAGCAGAAAAATAGAAGAGCAGTCTTCCCGTCCCGAGGAGGTGACGAGGGAAAGGCGAGCAGCAGCTATCAAATGGACTCTACCCTCTCAAAGGCGGACGGGCTTGCACCAGCAGACACGTCCGTGCAGTACGCCCTGTCAACAATCATCCTGAACCTCGTGGCCTATCCGCCCGCTCTGACTGGTGAGGAGAAGCAGATGCAGAAGCTGAAAGCGATGGCAAATGCGAAGCAGCAGGAGAAGGGGCAAGGCGGCCAATCAGCGCCGCAGGAGGAGGCAGAGCCCAGTGCGAAGATTGATGCGAGGGTCAACAAGGCAATGCAGGCTGGCGTAGCGGATACGCTTGTATCCCTCGTTCTTTCTGGCGGTGTGGACGCAAGCAACTCGACGGCACTCAACCCATCCACAGCTGTACGCGATACCGTCTCCAACGCTCTGCTGAACCTGACAGTCAAGCAAGACAAGCAACAACGCGGCCGGCTCGCTCAAGCGGGAGGGGCGAAGGCTCTCGTAGCGCTGAGCAGCGATGTTATTGCCAGACTGAAGCAGCAACGAGAGCGAAAGCAAGAGAACCAGAGCAAGACGGGCTCCACACCTCAGCCAGCATCAGCGTCGGCAGGAGTACCCCCGCCCCTCTCCTCGCTACAAGCTCTGGCCCGTCTGTGCGTCACCCACTCCCCGGCTCTCCTCTTTGGCGGAGGCTCCTCCGGGAGTTCAGCATCCTCAACCGCAGTAAGCGCCACACTCCCCTTCCTCACCGCCTTGTACCTCCATCTCACCTCCAACCCTTTGCAACGCTTCGAAGCCTTGCTAGCGCTCACGAACGTGGCTAGCCTCTCACCTGAGGCCGGGCGGGCGGTTGCGAGCGCGAAGCTTCGAGATGAATTGAAAGGGCAGAAGGGAGGGCTGGCAGGAGGAGAAGGACCGACAACGATTCTTGATGGCTTGGAGAGCTCCATTCTGCTGGAGGGAAACGACATGATTCGCCGTGCAGCAGTCGAGCTGCTGTGCAACTTGGTGCAGGATGAGACGGCGTTCGCGCGATGGAGCGGTGAGGAAGAGAATGAGGCCAGCTCCAAGGCCCAAAGAAAGCCGCAGCAGATTACCTCAGCAGAAGGAGGCGAAGAGAGGAGCAGCGAGGGGAGTCGGGCCCGCCACCGTCTTCACCTCCTGGTAGCCCTCTGCGCTCCTGCGGCTGCCAATGCCATGAGCGGTGAGACGTCATTACCTACTCGTATGGCCTCAGCAGGTGCAGTAGCTACTCTGTGCTCCAGCGCTATAGCTTGCGAGCATCTCCTCTCTTTGCGCGCTCGGACGCTCAATATCGTAGCGCGCCTCATACGACCGGGGGTCGCCGTCAAAGCTGGAGCTGGAGGGCAGCAGGAGGCGAAGATTGTCGAGCTGACGGAGGGCGATCACGAAGTCTTGCCTGACTCCAATGGGGGTGAAAGCGACGACGATGTAGTAGACGAGGAAGAGGAATCCGGCCTAGAGCAACAAGACGCCGTCTCTTGGGCACAAGGCGCCTCGCATGCCCGTGCAAGCCTGGCCTTGCGGGGCGTCACTATTGCGAGCTGTCTTGTGCAGTACGTCGCTTGGAGGCGCGAGCAGAAGAAGGGCGATGTGGGGGTATTCAAAGCGGAGCTCGAGGGCTGTGGAATGCTGGAAGCGTTGAAGGGCGCAGCATTAGAGGGGGCGAGGGAAATGCAGCAAGGCGCTGCGGGGCAGGGTGTCAAGGAGGGAGCGGCTGAACAGGAGGCACGCGCGATGCGTGGGGAGGTCACACGACTCTGTATCGAGGCATTGAAAGAGATGAGCAAGTGGTAGAGCAGAGCATATCATATTTGTAGCATTAGGCAATCGATCGAGAAAAGTCAGGGTGAACGTTGTTGATGCTCGCGTGGCGCCCGGCACGGGCGTTGGCCTGAGCGGCGGAGAGTGGAGTCGCGGCCGGCCAGCGGCGCACAGCATCGCATCCGTTCCTTCGCTTCTTACCATCAACCCTAATTGCCAAGAGTAGACTGCCCAGTCCTCAAGGCCATCTTGCCCTCATAGCGCATCACATCATATCACGCCACTGCCTCACCCTCATCTCGCTGCAATGGCCACGCAAGTCCATCACCTCTCCATCTCGCCTCTGACGGCTCACGCCTTCAACGCGGATCGCTCCAAAGTGGCCGTCTCCCCGAACAGCAACGAAGTCCACATCTACGCCTCCTCTGCCAACGGCTGGACACTTGAGCACGTCCTCAACGAGCACGACAAGCTCGTCACTGGCATCGACTGGGCTCCTCAGTCCAATCGCCTCGTCACCTGCTCGCAGGACCGAAATGCCTACGTCTGGACGCTCCAGGCCGATGAGACGGGCAAGTCCATCTGGAAGCCTACCCTCGTTCTGCTCCGCCTGAACAGAGGTGCAACATTTGTGCGCTGGTCCCCCAACGAGGACAAGTTCGCTGTCGCCTCAGGCGCACGCATCATCTCCATCTGCTCCTTCGAGAGCGACAATGATTGGTGGGTGGCCAAGCACATCAAGAAGCCTCTCCGCTCTACTGTCCTCTCCGTCGACTGGCACCCGAACAATGTCCTCCTCGCAGCAGGTTGCGCCGACATGCGAGCGAGAGTCTTCTCCGCCTTCATCAAAGGCGTCGATGCCCGACCTGCCCCCTCCGTCTGGGGTGAGCGACTCCCCTTTGGCACTCTCTGTGGCGAGTTCGCATCTCCCGCAGGTGGATGGGTCCATGCAGTGGGATTCAGCCCCAGCGGTGACTCCCTCGCCTTTGCGGGGCACGATTCGAGCCTCACAATTGTCTACCCCTCTGGACCCGAAGCGCCTCCTCACGCCACACACGTACTGCGCTCCCCAACCTTGCCGCACGTCGCACTGCAGTGGGTCTCGGAGGAGAGCCTAGTAGCGGCAGGGCACGACTGCCAGCCCATCTTGTTCAGCGGTTCGGCAGAGCAAGGCTGGAAAGTGGACAAGACCCTCGACTCGGCTGCGGCTGCCAATGGTGGTGGTGGTGGTGGGAGCGGGATTGCGGGCAAGGCACCTCCCCCGCCTCCGCCCGTTGGGGCCAAGCCTGCTGGGCTGGCAGGTGGACCAGGCAGATTGAGCGGCGAAGCTTTCAATCGATTCAAGGCGGCAGATGTGCGTGGTCAGTCGGCCTCCGCTGGTCTCCCCTCCAACAGCGATGGAGCCTCCACTCCCTCTGGCGGGTCGGGTTCGTCCGTTCTCAACCATCTCGGTGGGATTGCAGGTGCCTCTGTTGGGGCAGATGGAGAACTGCACACCACCCACCAGAATACCATTACCTCCGTCAGGGCTTACAGCGGGGGAGCAGCGAGCGGTGGACCGGTTACAGCGGTGAGCACTTCGGGCGTCGATGGGCGACTGTGCGTGTTCGATGTGGGGAAGGGGGCCGCGCTAGGGAGCGTAGTCAAGGGAGTGGAGAGTATGAGGGTCTAAGCTGGGGAAGAGCTTGTGAGTGGGAAGGCGTAGGGGAGTGTTCAATGGAATACGATAAGCTTCACGAGATGACGACTTCGCAGTGTGACACTGGGAGAAGCGCGCCTACGATCCAGCACCTAGCAGGCACGGCTTTGCGCTGCCCACCTGACGCACAGCCAGACCACGGGAAAAAAGCGGCGATCACGATGATGTCAAGGGCAGGGAATATGGATGTATTTGGAGCTAGAGAGTACGAAAACAAGTCTAGACAAAAGCGAGTCCGTGAACGCGTAGAGAGAGAAGCAGAGTACAGGCGCGTACGAGATCAGAGACCCAAGACGAGATAGATGAGAACAAGCCAAGTCCGAGCAACGAGAAGACGAAGGGATCAGTGGCGAGGCTGGGTCGGCTCGAGCACAAAGATGCCCTCCTCATCCCTACGCGAGAGCAGGAGGCTCTGCCTTTCCCCATCCTCAGGTGCGCGCGAGTCCGCATCGCTGCGATCCAGGTGTTGAGCAGCGTGCTGATCGAGTTCCTTCTTGCCCTTGCCAATTTGATCAGCACGATCGACAGGCGAGCTGTTCACCAGCGTGTCATCCCCGCTGGGCCCGTGCGAATGAACGTCGATGTCAATCCCGTTTGAAAAGACCTTGGCATGCTCGACGACCGTAGCTTGGTGGCGACGCTGCATCCTCCTGCGGGCGTGGTAAGCGCGCTTCGCCCCCAGCCAGGTGACGATGCTCATCAGCACGGCGAAGATGACCACCATGAGGCCGAGGGACTCGAGGCAAGAGAGGTTCGTACCGAGGGTGGCGTTGTAATTGCTCGCTGCCGCTGCTGAAGCCGTTGCCGAGAGTGAGGCAGAGGTAGAGATAGTGGCATCTTCGACGAGGTGCGTGTGGTCTTGACGACGTACGAGAGGAGGTGCGCGGTACGCTTGATGCAGGCGCTCAATGTCAGGAGACATGGCTGCCTTGCTGTCGCGGGCGTGGTGGTGATGACGATCCTCTCCATCACGGTCATCGTCGGCGTCCTCATCGTCGTCCTTATCGTCGTCCTTCTCCTCGCCTGATGGCGGACACTTTGACTTGGCCTCTGCCTCCTCACGGTGATGTTCACCGAAGAGGCGCTTGCCGTGATGGCTCTGAGCAGCCGCACCATGCGAGCACCTGATCTTAGCCTCAGCCTCAGCCTTCTGTTTGCGGTGGATGCCGTAGAGACGCTTCTTGCCTGCTGAGGAGGGTGACGAGGGTGAAATCTCACGGCGAGCGAGGCTACCGTTCGAGGGCCTTTCGGGCGAGGTTGGAGCAGCCGGGGCAGCCGGGGCGGCGGATGCGTTAGGCAGGGCGGGAGCCTGAGGAGCGGTAGGAACGGTCGGCGCGGCGGGAGCTTGCTGCCTCTTGTCGAGAACCTCGCGGCGAGTCTGCTGCTGTTGACTAGGGATAGCAGGCACGGCAGGTACGGCGGGCTTCGAGTAGGGAGGGACAGGTGGTACTGCTGGCGCAGTGGGCGCCTCGATACTCTCATCGCGCGCATTGTTGGTCTTGACTGACTCAGGCGACGACTCGTGGATGTCCTCAGCGGGAATGGCTGCCACTCGCTTGGCGTCAGGATGCTGCCCTTGTCCTGCATGCTGCTGGTTGCGTCCACGCTGGTTGCCACCATCCTGAGTCTGCTGAGCTGGTGACGCCCCCGGTGACGAGACAGGCGATGAGCCAGGGATGGGCGGGATGCTTGGAATGGGCGGCATAGACGGGATGGGCGGGATGGGCGGAATCTGGATCGTCTGTTGACGCTTGACTTTGGTGAGGAAGGCGTGAGGCAATCGCTTGCGCAGATTCTCGATGTCACGGTCACGATGATGATGGTGGTGGTGGCCTTCCTCTTCCTCATCTTGGCGATCGTCTCGGTCCTCATCCTCGTCATCATCGAATGTGCCGAGCGGGCTCTTATCCTTGCTGTCCTTACCTTTGTGCTGCTGCTTATGGAGCTTTTGCTCGAGGTCGTCGAGCTGATGTTGAATCTTCTCAAGACTCTTGATGAAGTCGGCTTGGGTTTGGCTCCCTGAGTCGGCGCGCGGCTTGATGTCGTGGCCAAGATGGCGAATCTCGTCATTGACGTCGTCCAGGAGGTCAGAGAGGTCGCGAGAACGCTCCTGGTAGTCGCTTGAGGCGAACGACTCGTCATCTGAGCGATGGTCTCTGTGATGGTCGTCATCAGGGTGAGGAGGATGGGGCTGCTTGTGAGCGTCTGCATCCAACTCTGAATGAGCTTCAGGATGACGAAGGTCCGCGTGAGGCTCCTCCTTGGGCGACTCAGAAGGGGAGTCCGTGTTGACGGCAGACTGGTCTTTGTCGGACGAGGGGTGGTGTTCATCCGGGTGCTCCTCAGGATGCCCCTCGGATTGGTCCTCAGCGGGATGCTCAGCCCTAGAGTGAGGTTGAGGTTGACGCAGGTCCTCGTGGGGCAGCTCCTTGGGCGACGTTGCAGGGTAGTCCAAGCTCATTGGCGGCCTTCGCTGACCAGGGTGGTCAAGCTGTAGGTCGGCCGGGGGTGCGTTGCGACGGTGAAGATGCTGACCATGGTGAGAATCAGATCGGAGCGAAGCCTTGGCCTTAGCCATTGAGGCGTCGACGAAGTGGTGTTGCTGCTCATGGTGCTGACCCGTGGAGCGGCGCTGGTTGTGCAGCCAGTTGAGAATCGTGTCCTTGATGGATTGTAGGCTCGGTGCTTGCCCCGTGACGTCGTCACCCGCCTCGTTGTAGATGGGACCGACAGGCACGTTCGAGGGGATGTCGAGGTCATCGAGACCGAAGGGACGCGAGCGCTCAGGCGCAGGGGGAGTCTGCGACTGGTCCTGGCCTTGAGCTTGACCGGGTTCCTGCTCCATAGCGACGGCTTGATAATGGTCCTCCTTGACGACGGCAACATGGCTCTTACCGGTTGCGTGGCTGGGTGCGGCATTGTGGCCTGCCATGCTGGCCTTGGTCTCGTCGGCTGAAGGCTTCACCTTGTTGCCCTTTGCGCGACAGCGAACCTGCTGGTGCTGAGCCGTGGGAGGAGCCGTCTCGCCCTGCTGGCTCTGTTGATTCTGCTGAGCTTGAGCCTCCTGGTCTGCCTGGATCTGCTGAGAGATGGGGTCACTGCCCGGCTTGTCGTAAATAGGGCCCTTGATGATCCACGACGGCCAATTGTCGCCGACAGACTGGCGCGAAGCGACGACGTGCTTGGGACTGGTAGGAGCCATAGTGAGTGAGGGAGTGGGTGCTGAGAGTAGTGAGGAAGGAGTACGAGCAACGGTGGAGCCGTGCGATGTGCGGGAGAGGTGAGGTGAGGTGCGTAGCGTGCGTGTAGAGTAGACGAGGGGCGGAAATGCTTCCTTTGCGTACGTCAAGCAGCAAAGCAGAGGCAGCGGATGCGATGGTAGTCTACGATAGTACGAAGATGCGATGCGATGAGAAGGTGGTGAGGAGGGAAGGAGCGAGCGAGTGGGGGGAGGCCGTGTTGACGTCGCCTTTAACGCTCGCTGAGTAGATGATCGCTGAGCTCAGCAGCCGAGCAAGTGAGCAAGACAGCCAACGCTGGCTGTTGTTCGCGAGAGAGGCAGCAGCTAGCAGGCTTGCTACGCTCAACGCTCGCGAGCTTGAGCGGTTTGTGTCGCGGTGTGTCGCGGTTGTTTCAAACCTCAGGAAGCCATAGGGCGCTGCTAGCCAGATACGTCATCATCCAGGCGCGAGCAGCCTCAGCCCCACGGGTATGGTCCATTTCGATGCCAGATTCTCGTGCGTGGCTGCCATTCTTGTCTTGCGCTGCGAAGCGTTGAGCGGTGTGCGTTGAGCGAAGTCATCAAGCAAGCAAGCAACGCGAGCGCTTGCCGGCGTCAGCCAGTCTCTGCCTCCCGCCTTGGTGCGCCGCCTTGGTGCGCCTCTCTGTCCGCCGCCCGACTCGCTCGCCTCGTCTCGAGATGATTGGCGGCTGCAGCCACCGATTGCTTGCCCCTTCCGCTCCTCGACCACTCGACATCTTCTCGCTCACACCACCTCCCAATTTCCACTTCGCAAAGAGACATCTTGTCTCACCACAGCGCAGCGCAATGAAGCTCACCCCCGAGCTCATCGCCTCAACACCCACCTACCTCAATCCTCTGGGCGATCGCGAACTATCTCTACGAGGCAGGAAGATCCCTACGATCGAGAATCTGGGCGTGACCCGCGACCAAATCGATACCCTCGACTTGACGGACAACGATGTCCTCACGCTAGCCAACTTTCCGCATCTCGACCGACTTGCTCACCTCCTCCTCAGCAACAACCTCATCTCCCGCATAGATGCTAGGCTAGCATGGAGCTTGCCGCGCCTGACGAGCTTGGTGTTGACCAACAACCAGATTGCGTCATTTGCGCAGCTCAAGGGGTTGGGCAAGTTCCCTATGCTGCAGTATCTGACTTTAATCGGCAACCCGGTGGCGAGGGAGAAGTACTATAGAGAGTGGATCGTGAGCAGGTGCAAGACGGTCAGGGTGTTGGATTACAGAAGAGTCAAGGATAAGGTGCGTGCCCGCGGCGAGGATGCCAATGAGGGCTCGTAGACTGACATGGCCATTTCATGTCTTCACTCTGCAGGAACGCGAGCTGGCAAAGTCACTCATGGAGACATCAGACGGCAGACCATCAGCTCTCTGCGTACAATTGTCGGCGCCAAAGGGAGCAGAGGGGGAGCCGATATCCATGGGCGTGGATACGAGCGCGAGAGGAGGACCGGCAAAAGGGGCCGCGGGCAGGTTGATGACGGCGGCAGAGAGAAAGAAGCTCGAGGCAGCGATTGACAAGAGCGAGAGTCTGGAAGGTGAGTAGCATCGAGCGAGTCTGGTAGGGACTGGGAGGAGCAACTGCTGACCACGGCACTCTTGACCGCACGCACGCATGACAGAGATCCGACGACTCGAAGAGCGATTGAGATTAGGATACGCCATCGAGGACTCGTCATCAAAAGCATCGTCAGCAACCAGCAAGAAGAGGAAGAAGGCAAAGGATGACGATGGCGAGGCAGAGGCGGAGGAGGATGAGTAGAGTGACGAGGCAGCGAGGCCGAGTCTGGGGCTCGCATCCGCAACGGAATGAGTGTGAGACCGCTCAGCATTGGCAGATCCGCATCTGCACCCTGTACCATCTAGCACACAATCGATCACATTCATGACCATGACCAGCTGAGAGCAACCGTGACGCCGTTCCTGGTGGACCATGAGTTCCGTCGATCGATCGGTGGGCGTTGGTCCGCACGGAGCGTTCCGCAACCTCGAGCCAGGCAGCGACACCTCAGCTTGACGGCGTCTTCCAGCCAGTGGGCTCTATTTCAAGAGCGACGACGATGAGCAGGTCAAGAAAACGGTGAGTAGACGGTCGCACGGCTCTCGAGGCCTTCGGTCGTGGCGCAGGCACGGAGAAGCGTGGCCGAAGCTGCGAGCGAGAAGTCGCGGACTGGGAGAAATTTGGGCTTTGGACTGTCGCGCCGGTACTGGTCCTTCTTCCCTTCCAACTGCTCCTCATCTTCAAACCTCAAATCCTCCACGCCCCTCTCAACCCTCGCCAAAGAAGCTCATCCCCACGTTGAAAGCTCACGCAACAATCCCTTCTGCCCCACCTCTTCTCCTCCCTTCGTCGCCAGCCGCAAAATGGACCCTCCCCTCGATCCCCCTCTCCGAATGACCTTCCTCCATCCTGGCCGGACTCTCACCCTCTCCGAGGCTCAGGGGAACATCACCGCCTTCCTCGCACAGCGATCAGAGCGACTCGCTCAGCAGGCTGATGGGGCTACCGCTGGTACAGGGGCTGGTGCGGAGGGCGACGCTGTTGGGGCGCCTGTTGCAAGGTTGGCTAATGCTTTGAGGGAGGAGATGCAGAGAAGCGGTGAGGGCGAGATGAAGATCGAGGGGGCCAGTCAACAATAAGTCGGATCGAAGGGCTGGACGCCACTTCAGGCGCCGCCTCTTTTGGCCAATGCCGCCCAGCGGCTCGCGATAGACTCACGAGCTGGCAAGATCCTAAACAAGATACCCATAGAACCTCAGCTTCGTAAAGCGATGGTAGGAAGCATGTTCTGCATATGTTCGGGCACAAAGTACACTCGACAACATCAATCCGTCTTACCTACGTCCAGCAACTCATCCAAGCAACCGCTCTTCCGACGTGGCGCACGCGGGCGTTCACCCTACGCAAGGACGCCTGAACGCTTGTTCAGCCAGCTTGATGATGAGGGACCAAAGCTGCGATCTCGTCGCCCATCGTGATTGGCGATCAAGGGCCCTCACCAAGCAGGAGATTGCTGGCAGCCGATGGCCAGGCCGTAGGCAAGAGCGCTGCCTCTCGCCGGGTACTCCCTGAAGCGCGTTACCATGCTGTGAAACTCGAGCAGCAGACTCGTGGTGTAGAACGCAATGTGCCCAGCTCCGTTCTGAATGAGAAACCATATCACTCAAAATCTCTTTTGACTGGATGCTGGGGTCGCTGAGAAATGAAAGCACTCACCCTCAGGCTCCACTCGGACTGAGCCGTCCAAGTCCGTCCGCCTGTTCCGTCGTGGCCTCACTACCCGGCTCCAACGCATCTTCCCTCTTCTCCTCTCTTTCCCATATCATCACTGCACACGATGTCCCTCTCACGCTCTTCCTCAGCTTTCAGGATAGCGTCAAACTCTGCTCCTGAAACAGGCATCATTGGTGTGAGGATGCCTCCCCGCTCGCATCGTCCCAGTCTCGCCACCACCTCACGACGTCAGGTTGCTGCACGATCGTACTCGAGAGCGGGTGAGAGCTCTTCAAGACGAGCAATTCTCGGTCTGCAAGTGCCATCAAGAAGTCAAGATGGCGTTCATGGCAGGACCTTCGTCTCCGGCATCACCACGTCGCCCGGCCAATCGCAGCGTGCGCATCTTGCACCTCCACGTCTAGCCCTCACCGCAGCGCAACCACGCCACTTCTCCTCAACCTCATCAATCCACGCAGCAGCCCAACCCCACACCAACACTCCAACCCTTCTCACCTCCCCCTCTGAGCCCGAAGATCCCGACATCTTCTCCTCCGGGCCAGATCCAAGCGTCCTCTTGACAGATCGCGCCGTTGCTCAGCTACACAAGATCGCTGTAAAGGAGAAGGATGAGGAGAAGAGGGCCAAACTATGCTTCAGGATTGGAGTGGAGCCGGGAGGATGTCATGGCTATCAGTACAAGATGGAGTTGAGCAGACGAGGCCAAGAGGGGAAGAAGGAGGAGGAGGGGGATGATTTGTGAGTATGGGCCGCCCTTTAACAGGCGAGCATGATAGCCTCGAGAAGTTCCCTCGATTGACCAAATGGGCATCCCTCGTACCTCGCACAGCCTGTTTCAACCAACTCTCCCCACTTCGGCGCCTAACGCAGAAGTCACCCCAATTCCGGTAGCCATCGACTCCATCTCCCTCAATCTGCTCAAGGGCAGCACAATCGACTACGTGACGGAGCTCATCGGCAGCCAATTCGCGATCAAAGATAATCCGCAGGCCAAGGGAGCAGGGTGTGGCTGTGGTGTCAGTTGGGAGCCCGTTGCGTGAGGGACATGAACGCAGGAGGGTGAGGCAGACAGGAGGTCGGTACGAGAGGTGAGGAGCCAGGGGCGAGGAGCGAGGAGCGAGGTGAATGTGCGATTGCATTCCCGTCGTAATGATATCAAGTAGCAGAGCAGCAAAGATACGAGTCCAACAATGAAGGAAGAGCGACGAAAGCTAGGCATACAAGTAGAAGTCGAAAGAAAAACCAAGCCAGATTGCCACCAAGAAGAGGGGAGGCGGTCGGCGAGAGGGTGGCGAAGTAGACGCCGAGAAGCTGCGAACGAGAGTCGAAATGTTGCAAGTCCACCGTGAGAGAAGATCAAGTTAGGGAAGTCCAAGCCAAGGTCGAGACCGAATGAGCGTCATGTCGTGTCATGACGCCCATGGCCATGCAGCATCCTTCTCGTGCATCCCTTTCCCTCTCGGCCGTATCAAGGCCCACGCACATCAAACGTCCATATCAAAGTCCACCATCTCACATGACCAGCCCGGCGCCGATGACAGCGGCAATACCTGCCGCCACGACAGGCCCGACTGCTGCGGCGCTCCACTGTCCCCTCGCCCCATTCGGGGTGACGGCGCTCGCCGTCGCGGTGGAGCTGCTGGTCAGGCTAGGCAGGGTAGTCCTTGCCGTGTCCTGGCCATTGGCAATAGTCGTCGTATCCGTGTTCGTGTTGTAGTTACCGTCCGCCACATTCGTCGCAGCGTAGGAGGGGCCAGGAGGCTGGTAGGTTGTGGTCTGGGCTACTTGGCCTGCCTGGTCGAAATTGAAGGAGGAGGAACGGGAGAGGGAGGAGACGCCAAAGGGGCCTGCTCCGCCTGCGATTGAGGGTTGAGAGGGGGGTTGGGGTAGGAAACCGGCCCCTTCTGTCGGGGTGGGGAGTTGTGCTGCAAGATGGAAAGGGGATGCGGATGGTTAGAGAGGGATGACGGGACTGAGTTATCATGCGGCTGAGGTGCTCACCTTGTGCGAGGGAGGCCAAGACGAGGATCGCGGCTGCGATGAGTGATGTTGATGTCCTCATTTTGCTCAAATTAGGTGTTGTGGCGTGGATGAGGGAGTCTCGAGGCTAGTTGGATGAAAGGCTCGACGGGACGAAGGCGGTGGCGTAGAAGCTAGATGGTATCCTAAAGAGCCCGCAGAAATAAGTGCGACGGTGGTGCAGAAGAGACAACGCTCAGAATATCAGCTTGGTTGCGATGGGGAAGCTTGGGCACGGTCAAGGAAGAGAAGTCGAGTGAGTGGATAGTATCGAGAAGTGAGGATCAAGAGGAAAGAGAGGAGTTGAAAGCAGCAGACGATCGACGCTCAGTGGGACAGGGCAGGGCAGAGGAGAAGCGGGGTAGGGCACACAAGCAGCGGCGGCAGAGAGTCGCAGTCAGTTGGGAAGCGGGGTTTGGCAGGCACTCAAGCGCGATGCGGCGCGGCAGCACCCAGAGGCGAGGAGAGCAACCAAGCAGAGCGGAGGCCGAGGCCATCCATCGACAACTCGTCGTCGGGCGGAGGATGGGTCGATGGCGGTGAGCTCGTTACCAGGGGAGCTCTTGCTTTTAGCGGGTCGCTGCACCGAGCTTTCAATGCCTAAGACGACAGCTGATAGCAGAAAGCTCGCCTTGACAAGAAGAATTCGCGACAACGAGCTCTGTCAGCGGGTCTCAGCAGTCCAGCATGCCTAGAGCGTCAATTCCAGCCACGCATCAGCCTCGAGTGCGTCAACGTTGCTTGTAACCATGTTCTGACATAGGCGTCTACTCCAAGCACTCTTCTTGCGGCTCTGACTTGCTCATCAGCCCCCTCAGCCCGCCGACGTCACGGCTCTGAAACGACGGGCCTGTGTGGCTAGCCACGCGCGGGCGGACTGGCGCGGCAGATTTGGGCGCTCCTCGGTCGGGCGTCGACAGGACAGAGATGGATTCGCACGTCGACGGGTGACTCCTTCTCGATTTCAATTCAGTACCGCCCCCATCTCGTCACTCCACATCCTCGCTCCACGCCATGCCTGGCGTCAACAGCATCAAACTTCTCACGGGCAACTCCCACCCGGAGCTGGCCCAGCTCGTCGCCCAAAGACTAGGCATCGAGCTCACCCCCTGCATCGTCAAGAAGTTCGCAGACCAATCCATCGACGTCCGCATCGGCTCCTCTGTGCGAGACGAAGACGTTTTTGTCCTTCAGACGGGCTACTCGTCTCACGTAGAGCCCAATGACGCCCTACTTGAGCTCTGCATTATCCTTTCTGCCTGCAAGACTGCCAGCGCCCGCCGCATCACGGCTGTAATTCCAGCCTTCCCCTACTCGCGACATGACAAGAAGGACAAGTCTCGCGCGCCCATCACAGCCAAGCTAGTAGCGAACATGATCACCGTAGCAGGGGCAGACCATGTCATCACCATGGATCTACACGCCTCGCAAATCCAGGGATTCTTTGACATCCCTGTGGACAATCTCTCCTCTGAGCCCTCCGTCGCACGCTGGATCAGGACAAAGGTAGAGGACTGGAGGAACTGCATCATTGTCTCGCCGGACGCTGGTGGTGCCAAGAGAGCCACAGCTCTGGCAGACCTGTTGGGCGTGGACTTTGCGCTCATCAATCGCAACAGGAAACGAGCACAAAACAGAAGGATCAGGGAGGCGAAAGCGGAGGAGGCTCGACAAGCGGGCATGCCCTTCACCTCTGCTACCGCGATGAGCAGTGCAGACGACTTGACCAAGAGCGGGCTCATGACCCCAGCGGCGGGCGGTGAGCATGCCCATAACGGCCATGCCGCACAGCACTTGCCGGATCAGCTGCACACCCGACTCAGCCTCGACCCACACGCCTCCTCGTCAACAGCACCATCAGGCTCAGCGCCGACGCAGCGACGCCAACCCTTCTACTCGCTCATTGGCAACGGGGTGCAAGCAAACGAGTCTGGCGACTTCTTCATCACCGATGAGGATGGACGACAGGTGTACAGCGGGGGTCATGGCAACCATCCGCGTGTGAGCGGTGAGGCGAGCGGAGACTCACTCTTGGGCGGCAGTGGTGTGGGTGGACCGGCGAGTGGAGCTGCGGGTGGAGCACAGGCGGATGATGGCACTGAGCTGAGCGGGAGCGCAGCGGCTATGGCTGTTGCGGATAAGATGTGAGTGCGGGAGTGTGCCGAGCGAGATGGATTTTGGGTGACTGACCTAGCAACGCCATCACCCCTCTCACTTTGCAGGGAAATTCTGGTAGGCGACGTTCAAGGTCGTACCGCCATCCTCGTAGACGACATGGCAGACACGGGTCGTACACTGGCCCTGGCCGCCAAGACTCTACGTGACGCCGGCGCCTCACGAGTGTACGCCCACATCTCTCACGGTATCCTTTCTGGGCGTGCGGTGGACCTTATACGCAAGCTGGAGATGGAGCGTCTCGTTGTCACCAACACGATCCCGAACGGGGAGAAGGTTGAGGAGACTGGCGGTAGACTGGAGGTCATGGATGTGAGCCCGGTCATTGCCGAGAGTATCAGGAGGGCGCACCATGGTGAGAGTATCGCTGTGCTGTTTACGGACAATTTGATGGGCTTCTAAGTGGGGAGAGAGAGAGAGGCGCAGCGAGGCCGCGAAGTGCGAAAGGGGAAGGAGTCGGGTCACGATCATTTCAATCGAGTCGGAGAGGAGCATTCGAGGACATAGAGTATCATGTGCGCACGCCGCCTCGGTTCATCTCAAATACGTAGCATCTATTGGTCATCGTCGTCGTCACTGGATACTTCGCGCACGCCTACTCGCCCTGCTTAGGCAGCTTCTTTCCCCCCTTCATGCTGGTAGGCAACGCCTCGACCGTTTCCGTGGGGAGCATTCTCGCCATGCCCATCCTCCCCTTCTGCTGCAGCAACATATCCATGCAGACCAGCGCAGCCATCGCCTCTACGATGGGAATCGCCCTCGGCGTGACACACGGGTCGTGTCGCCCCCTCGTCTCGAGCGTACCCGCAGTGCCCCCGTACGTAGCGGTAGCCTGTGCCTGGCTGATCGTTGCCGGGCTCTTGAAGCCCAAGCGGAAGTAGACGTCCTCGCCGTTGGTGATGCCACCTTGTACTCCTCCACTCCAGTTCGTCTTCGTTCCCAGCCTACCGTCAGGCTTGATCTCGAACGCATCATTGTGCTTGCTACCGGGCACCTCCGTACCACGGAACCCGCTGCCAATCTCAAAGGCCTTTGTTGCCGGGATGGAAAGCATAGCGTGTGCCAATTTAGCCTCGAACTTGTCGAAGCAAGGCTCCCCGAGACCCGAGGGAAGGTTGCGGATGACGCAGGTGACCGTCCCGCCAATGGAATCGTGCTTCGACTTTGCGAGCAAGATGCGTTGTCTCATTCGCTCCATCGCTTCAGGGTGAGGGCAGCGCATCTCGTTCTTGTCTACTTGTGCGCGGGTGACGGTGCTAAGGAGCTGACGGAACTCGGCGGAGAGGGGCTCTTCGGCTTCGTCCTCGTTCATTGACGAGGTGTCGATCTGGTTGTCGACCGCAGACGAGGGGACAGCGCTGGTCGATGTGCTGGCTTCTGCCTCTTTAACTGCCCCATTTGCATCTGAGGAACCTGCGAGCTTCTCGCCGGGGAAGCGCGGGATGTGCACCTTGCCTACCGAGCTGACGAAGGCAACAATCTCAACGCCGTACGTCTCCTTGAGGTACTTCTCCGCCAGCGCTCCAGCCGCTACACGCCCGATGGTCTCACGGGCGGAGGAGCGACCACCTCCAGAAGAGGCCTTGATGCCGTACTTTTCAAGGTAGGTAAAGTCGGCGTGCGAGGGGCGCGGGTACTCATCGAGTGTCACATCGGTGTAGTCTTTCGGGCGTTGGTCCTGGTTGCGCACCAACATCGCGATTGGCGTACCGAGGGTGACGCCATTCTCTACGCCTGATTGAATCTCTACCCGATCCTTCTCGTCGCGAGGGGTGGTGAGGTCTGACTGGCCTGGCCTGCGTCGTGTGAGCTGAACCTGAATGTCCTCTGGCTTGAGGGCCATTCCTGGAGGCACACCATCGACTATGCAGCCTACAGAGGAGCAGTGTGACTCGCCATAGGTAGTGACGCGGAAGGAAGAGCCAAAGGATGACATGGTGAGGGGCGTGAGAGCGTGGTGTTTGTAGGGAGGGAGGATGCTAGGATCTCTAGAATGGAGGCCCTTGATTGAGAGTCACAAGCTGCTCACTCCCGCCCGCCCTGACCAAGCTGACCGACTGACTGCTTCTTCCGACGAGGAAAAAGGCCTCGGCAGCATCGACATCGACTGTCGAGTGCAATGGCCACGCGAGAAGCGGGAGGAGGAGGACCTCGAGTAATTTTCCAAGATGGAAGCTGCGAAGGCGCCGTCAAGCAAGCAGTCAACGCCTCGCTCTCACGACCTCCTTCTCGACATCACCCTCTTCTCTTCTTCACACCGCCGATTGCAATGGCAAAGAAGACACAGTCCAGAGCGCAGGCTAAAGCAGCTTCCAAGTCGAGGCCTCAGGCCACCTCTCAGCCTGGGTCGTCAACACCTGCCATCCCACCCAAGACGGCCTTCTCGCCTCGATCTAATCATCTGGCCATCCTCTCCAACACGCTGGATCGACAGAGGCTGTCCGTCTACGAAACGTCACCTTCATCGTCTGCATCGAGGCTACTGGTCCACTATGTCATCCCCAATGCAGCAAACGCACCATGCAGTGCCATTGCATGGACCTCATTGCCGCCAGCAGACGCTCGCAGCACGCCTCAATCAAAGAAGCACAAGAAGTCGAGGAAATCTACCGATGCTACCGACGCCGAAGCATCTTCCTCTTCATCTTTGCCCTTCAGGCCCATCATAGCTCTCGGCTTCCAGTCAGGACAGATCCGCCTCTTCGATGTTGCGCAAGCAAAGGTCATCCGAGTCCTCGCAGATTCGGTCAGCGGGGCCACGAGCGCGGTTGGCAACGCCATCACCTCTCTTTCTTGGCCCAACACCTCAACGACACTGTATGCTATTGCGACAGACGGTATACTCAGGCAATGGGACCTCGCAGCCATCTCTGCCAGCCCGTCGGCGGACGTAGATGCCCCCGTAGCGCCGGCGAAGCGCGTGGCCCCTTCCTCCTCATCGTCATCTACCGCGAACACTCTCGTGTCCATCTCCCCTTCATCATCCAACACCCTCGTTGCTCATCACTCAATCTCTCAGCTTTCTTCGGGCGACGATGGCAAGGCGACAGCAACCTACTCATCACATGCCACCCCGCTCACCCACCTCCATTGGCTCAATGACTCGCATTTTGTCTCGGCAGCAAGCGAGGACCCTGTGCTGTACGTGTGGAAAGTGGGGACAAAGGCTGCTTTGGCAACTATTGAGCTCGAACAGGGTCAGGACGTACTACGCCTTGCCTCATCTACCTCGGCGGAGGACAACGTGACCGCACTGGCCGTCGTAGCCTCGCAGGGATTCGTGGGGTTGTACGACGTGACTAAGATCCTCTCTAGTAGCGCAGCGGGAAGCAGCAAAGCTCCGTCCAGCACGCAGCTCCTCCAGCCCGCCGCAAGCACCACAGCATCATACAGCGTCGATTGCTGCTTCTCCTCCGACCGCTTGCAACTCGCTCGCCTGATCAAGGGCCTCAAGCTTGAGGTCCCCTCCCTTTCCATCCGGGACGTGGCCACCAACGCCCTAGTCAAGTCCCTCGCGCCCCTCTCTTCCAAAGCTGGCGGCGCGAGTGGCAACGTCCTTGCTTCAGGCCATGACGAGGAAGCTCTTGCGCAGGGCAATGCCGGTCTGCAGCGCTATGCAAACCCGACTACAGCAAAGGGCAAACAAAGCGGGGCTACTACTGCCGCGGGTGGCTTCGTTGGTGAAGACGGCAAGGTCGTTGATGCTTCTGCGGACGGACCGGTGGGTGATGAAGGCGCGCTCGACCAGGAAGCTGGTGGACTGGAGGATGAACAGACCCTTGAGGACAGGCTGCGTGGTATGCGCATGATGAAGAAGGGCGGGCGAAGCGCAGCCAAGCTCAACGGAACTGCAGGCGACGATGACGCAGAAGCGTCTTCGTCCGACTCGGAGGACGATGACGACGAAGACTCTCCCCGCAATGGCGCGGGCTCAGCGCCTACCACCTCCCTCTCCCTCTCCACCTCCCTCTCTCAAGCCCTCCACTCCTCGGACAGCGCCCTTATCTCCTCGCTGCTGCGCTCTGCCAACCCGCAGCTCATCAAGTCAACAGTCATCCGTCTCTCCGGGCCGAACGCGGTCAAGCTTCTCGAAGCCTGCGTCGAACGACTCCACAGTCGTGGTGGGGCGCACGGATCCTCTGCCGCATCGAGAGGGACGGTGGGGAGCAATCGCGCCCGCGGGTTGGTGGAGTGGGTCAAGTGGACTCTGCGCTTGCATGCGGGCTATCTGATGAGCCTTCCGGGACTGACGAGCAGGCTGGCTGCACTGCATGGGAGCTTGACACATCGTCTTGCCTCTCATCAGAGGCTCGTCGCTCTTCAGGGTAGGCTGGAGCTGGTGCTGGCGCAGGTTGAGATGAGAGGTCAGTATGACGCGCAAGGGAGGGGTCTGCAGGGCGTCTCGACTAAGAAGGACAAGGCTGCGACTGCACCAAAGGGCAAGGCTGGGGGCACGGTGTGGAAGGAGGATGATGATGAGGATGAAGATGAGGAGGACGGCATGTCCGTCGACGAGGATGAAGACGAAGACGACGACGAGTCAGACTCGGACGACGATGACGACGACGATGACGACGAAGATGACGAAGTAGCTGCAGCGGACGAGGAAGGCGACATCGACGAGATTGGCCTCGACTCTCACATCAACGGCGCCGGTGCTGGCGCTGAGGACGATGACGACGACTCAGAAGAGGAGGTCATCCGTCCAGCTGCGAGACGCAGGGCTGCCAAGGCTGCCGCCAGCAAAGCGGACACGAGCGCTCTCTCCGGCGCAGCTACGTCAGATGAGTCGGGTGAGGAGGATGAGGAGATGGATGACGATGACGATGAGGAAGACGATGAGGAAGATGAGGACGAGGAGGACGAGAGCGAGTTGGAGGACGATGACGAAGAGGAAGATGAGGAAGACGACGATGATGATGAGGAAGGAGGAGGGGGGCTCATCGATGACATGGCAGAAGAAAGCGATGGTGAGGAAGAGAGCGACGAGGAGAGCGATTGAGAGGTGTCACCACGCTGCATCCTCTGTACGAGCACAAGTAGACCTAATTGAGCATATTGCAAAACGACTTGGTTCATTGGCATCTCTTCTAGCGAAATTCGTCTCGTCTCTTACCAGGCCAGTAGACTCTTCGTCCGGCCTTTGCCACCGACAAGCTGCTCTTTCGTCCCCGATACAACGTCCTCCAGCTCATCGGCTCCCTCGCCCCGGTAAAGATTGATTCCCGCCCTCAGCAACTCTCCAATTACTTTCCCTTTCAAAATCGTCTCCTGAAATACTCTCCCTGCACCCTCTTTCGGATCCACTCGGCCGTACCAGACTCCAGAGCCAGAGGGGAAGTAGACAATTACATTCCCTGCCCAAGCGTGCTTGCCGATATGGGAGCAGTAAAAGATGCCGAGGCTGGGGGAAGGGGCGTACGAAGAGGACGGGTCGCAGAGCTCTTTGCGCCAATTGAGGATCTGCTCTTCTGGAGAAGGTGCCTTGTTGCTGTCGTCTGCCGTGCTTGTCTCGTGCACATGCCCCCATCCTCTACCGGCGGGCACGCGTAGCAAGTCATGAAACTCGCACGAACCCTCCTCGTCTGCCTCGCCGTCGTGGTGGTGATCGACATGATCCGCTCGCTCGTCGACCTCCCAACCAGCCGCCTCTGCATGGCGCTTGAGCACTTCTGCGAGCATAGGCGCAGCGATTCCGCAGCGGGCGTCGCGCTTGTTGTGGCTGCAGAGAACCACGACCGCTCGGTAGGGGAGAACGGTGCGTCGTGGCCTGGAGCGCGGCCGCTCTTCCTTTGATGATGACGATGAGGGTGCAGCAGCAATGTGCTCGCGGTAGAGCTCCCTCGTTCTCTCCTTGTCCTCAGCGACAGCAGTCGCGACTTTCTCCCCTGGCTGTCCATCGCAGACATCAGAGAGCATCACCCAGTCGGGGAAGAGCATGACATTCTGGCCGTGATGATGCCGAGAGGAGGAGATGTGTGAGGCGTTGCTTATGAGGACGCGACTGGGTCCGCCGGGGAGAGGGCGAAGGTGGTCTTGCGCTGTTCGGGCCTGACACGACATGATGGGCTTTGATGACGACGATGACATTGCTGAGGACGGCGGGAGAGTGGATTGCCAGACACCTTCAGGCAGTATCGGCTGCCGGTGCCTCGCCATGGAAGCATCCTGCTGAAGTGTCTCCTTTCCCTTCTTCTTCTCCTCCTCGATCTCGCCCGCCCACTCTTGGAACCACTGCGCCAGACTTCCGTCTACTGTGGCCACATCGTGCACCCAGTCTTTCTTGCCCGTGCTGATCAATGCATGTCGATAGAAAGGCGTGGTGGAAGCCAGCATGGGCGAGTCCATGTCGATCGTCTGCTTGGACCACGCGCGGAGAGTCTTGTCTGGGTGGATGGTGTTGGGATCTAAGGACGTATCAAGAGGGTCACAGATAGAGGGACTGAGGAGGTGAGAGATGGACGCAATCAGTGACCAGGGGACAGTGAGGACTCATGGCTATGACCGGCGATGTTACTCACCAGGCTGAGCAGCTTATCAGATCTACGCCTGCTGCTGTGAGCTGCTGCTCTGCTGCAGGATCCAAGGCCTTCAATTCCACTGCTCCGCCCCCAACGGGCTGCGCTTCTGAGTCATCCGCCTGACCAGCCTGCGCTTCGACAGCCTCCTTGGCTGGCTCCTTAGCCTCGCCGTTGCCCGCTAGACGCGACTTGATCGCTGAGAACATCTTGCCCTTGCCTGACTGCCTGTGTCCTAAGGATGAATTGCTCGGAGGTTTTGGAGGGAAAGCGCCTTCGATTGTCCGATGTGACTTGCTCTTATATGCTGTAAGATGCTTTGCAATTACGGGGAAGAAAAGGAAGAAGCTAAGCTGAGCGCTGAGCTGCACGCTCCAAAAAGAGCGCTTCTCCGACCGGCGGCAAGCGTCGTGCCCTGATCCGCTCCATCTGACAAGCCCTCGGGACCTGGGGACCAATCTAATCGCGCATCGCCATCAATCTATCAAGATGGTCATCTCAGACACGTGGTCACGAGGCAATTTCATGCTGCTGATTCCATATGTTCACGCCCATCGCATCTACATCGTCTCTATGACAAGTACGCCGGGTCCAACACCGGGCTCACGCAGCCCGCCGATGCCGGCGCCCCTCACGCAGCCAGGTCCTCGAGGATCATGCTCGCAGCCTTCTCCGCAATCCCGTACACGACGCTCTGGATGTGGCTCGAAGGCACAATAGGCAGAACCGACGCATCGACGACCCTCAAACCCTGCACGCCATGCACGCGCAATTTCTCGTCCACAACGCCTCCCTTCTCCTTTGCGCCCATCGAGCACGTCCCGACCGGGTGGTACGTGGTCGAAGTCGTGTCCTTGACCCAGTTCTCCACATCTGCATCGCTTGTCTTCTCCGGTGCAGGCTGTTGACGCCCCTTGGTGATCTTCTTGAATGCAGGAGTGTCAACTACCTGGTCAACCCACTTAACGGCCTTGGCCAGCACGTCTAGATCGGCCTTGGCACTGAAGTAACGTGGGTCGAGCTCCGGAGGTGCGAGGGGGTCATTGGACGTGATGTGAACCGTACCACGAGAGAAGGGGTGTTGAAGAGCTGCCAAGATAGTGAAGTAGCGCGAGTTCGGCTTGGGTGGAGCAGCGCCGTGGAACCAGCCTGGTGCAAAGACGAGCTCCATTGCTGGGACGTCCAGGTCGTCGAGCTGCTGCAGGTAGACTTTGGTTCCCTCCTTCTCCACCTCGTTGACGTAGTAGTCTGAGGCGAGGAGCTTCTGTACGCCAGACTTGACTTCGTCGACCTCACTCTTGCTCATGTACTGCTGCAGGGGAAGGTATGCAAAGCCGCTAAAGGCAGAGGCGATGATGCCTCGGTCTACATCCTGGCTCTGATACTGCTTAAGAGCATTGGCAGCAAAGTCCGCTTCGCGCAGCTGATCCCAGGTCTCGACCCCAGAGTCTTCGTTGAGCTCGTAGGCCGAAGCAGTGTAGCAGTGCTCGACCAGGTTGGCGCCGACTCCCTCCAGGGGCACTTTGACGTCGACAGACACCTTCTTGAGGACAGCCGGCGAGCCGATGCCGGAGTGCTCGAGGATGGCTGGCGAGTTGATCGAGCCGCCAGACAGGACAACCTCGCGACGGGCCTTGACCTCGTACGAATGCCCGTCATGGACGTACTTGACGCCGGTAGCTCGGCCATTTTCCAGCACGACCTGCGTGACGTGAGCGCCGCAGAGGACCTTGAGGTTCGGCAGGTCCTTGTTGGGCGTGTAGTGGGCGGCTGCGCTCGACGAGCGTGTCCACGTTCTTTGGTCCACAGTAGCCGGGCTGGCCCACAGGCCCGAGTTGGAGCCCCTCAGCCCATCGACATTCTTGGTCAGACCAATGCTCTCGAGGCTGTCCATGAAGTGCTTTTGGCAGGTGTGGTACCAGCTGCTGTACGAAACGTGCACAGGACCATCACTCCCATGAGCCGTCTCGTCGATACCGGCCAGATTGGCCTTCTGCAGTTCCGATGAAGGCGGCAGCATGGTGGCCGACTTTCGGAAGAAGGGAAGCATATCCTTCCAGCTCCATCCTGGGCATCCCAGCTCCTTGTCCAAGGCGTCGAACTCTTTTTCGTGGCCACGCTGCCAGACTAGGAAGTTCAGGGCGCTCGACCCACCCATAACCTTGCCCCGTGGATGGATCCATTTGCGGCCATTGGCATGCTCCTGCTCTTTCGTCTGGTAGCACCAGTCGTAGTTGGGGTCCATCAGCGACTGACCGATGTAGGCCGGGTAGGCAATCTTCGGGTCGTCAGGTCGCCTGAGACATGGAAAGATCAACAAACACAGTGTCAGGTGTCAGATGTCATTGCTGTCTCAGATTGCGGAGCACGTCTCGCATCTTGCTCGCGACAAAGCGATCAAATCAGCAGTCGACACTCACCATTGACCAGCTTCGAGAACACCGACGTTGAGCTTCGAGGACGTTGCAAGACGGCCAGCGACAGTCAAACCAGCTGTGCCTCCTCCAATGACGACGCTAAACCACAACAAAGGTAGGTTGGTGAGCTTCGCGGACAAGCTCGCGACCTCGCAGCTGACGTCAAATCTCACACATCGAATTCCTTGAAGTCAGCAGGCTTGACGCCGGTATCGCTCGAGGTAGCTGACATGCTTGAGAGTGTGAAAATGAAGATTGACCGAAGGGGGAGAGTGCAGAAGACGTGTAGGAGCTCAAAGATGATACGCAATGGTAGTGAAGACTTTCCCTTTATCTCGCTGGCTTTCGTCCTCTTTTATACAGAGTGGAAATAGAGCTCCCTCATGCTGGCATACAAAGCAAGCGCCGTTCATGCAGCTTGGGCCCTCGCTCCTTCCTGCCCCGCCCTCTCTGATCAAGAGGTGACCTGCCTTCGCTCGTAGTGTGCTTCTCCTTTCTGCTGCGAGGCAGTGGGAACCTCGCATTTGGCGCCCACGCCCACCGATGAGGCGACGACGCATGACGTACGGTCCCGCTCTGTCCAACACCCAGGCCAAGACGGAGTGCGAGCAGAAGAGCAAAAAGCAAGCACCAGCGCGAGCGCAGACGCCAGACGCTAGGACGACGAGCGTGCAGAATCAGGTCGGGCCGGGCAGCGAAGGCAATGTGATCGCTGATCGATGGCGGCCAGTGATTGGAAAGAGTGTGTGGTATTGAATTTGACACGATCTGACAATGAAGAATTGACTAAAAAGAGTGATAAGCCGGACTCCTTGCCGTCGCTTTCTTTCCCCTTCCCCCCTCCCTCATTTCTTACGGAAAAGGGAGCGAAGTCTGCCCCTCTTCACCTCAGCTCCGCCCTCGAGGGCACTTTCTACAGCGATGCCGGCGGCGGAAGATGCTGGCGTATCGCTATCAAGCGCCGGGCTCTCAGTAGGAGATGGCTCCCTAGTTCTTTCACCAAATGTTCCACCACTCCCAAAGATGTCCGAGTCGCCGTCGTCGCCAGATGCTGCTCCTGACCCCGGCCCCTTGGAGAAGGACAGCGAGCGACGGAGCCTACTTGGTCCAATCTCTGAATTGGACGTCTTCAGCTTCGGGCGTGTGAGTCTTGGTGGAGGTGCCGTCGTCATCGTCGCAGGCGTGGACAACGTCGACGAAGTGCTAGCGTTTCCACCTCGTGAATAGAGGCTGCCAGCCAAGGTGTGCGAGCCCTGCCTTCCCATGCGGGGCATCGTGTGCGAAGCGTACTGCCCTGATGGTCGACGTCCGAACAAGCTACCGCTTGTAGACTCGAAGGACTTCTTGCTGCCCAGCGATGTCGTAGAGGCAGATGTCAATGCGCGTGAAGCAGACGTCGACGGCCTACGAGGGGCTGATGCCTGCTCCGTGATCTTGCCTGCGTGGTCTACCACCTCAAAGACGCGCTTGCGACCAGAGCGAGATGAGGCCACGGAGACGGTCATAACTCCCTTGCGCTCGACCTTGGCCTTGGTCATCAGCAAGCGAGCATCGTGCTGCAGGTTGTGTTGCTGGCCGACTCTGCGGCAGGCTTGGAGCGTGCTCTCGATGGCTCGGTCTTGCAACATTTCAGTCCTGGAAAGTTCATCCTCGGCTTCGATGTAGGTGAGTTGAGGCAGCCGGGCACCTATGAGGTGAATGGAGGGCAGCTTGAGTGGCAAGAAGGTCGCAACGCGGATCGTGACCGTAGCGATGAAGACCTTCTCAACACAGCCAGCGCCCTTGCAGACCCGGCAGTTGTTCATGTCTATGCCTCGAGCGCGAGCGGGAACACACTCGCTGCACACGACGACAGTGCGGCTGCTCGCCATCTCGATGTTCGAGCGTAGCTTCTTGCGTTCTACGATGCCACGCGAGTCGATCGGGATGAGCCAGACGTCGCCGATATCCGGGAGTCGATTGGCGACACCTACGCCGGGTGGCGCGGGGCCTCTCACCGTCCACCTTCCCTCGCGCTGCTCAGTCCAAACAGTGATGCTCACCGAGGTCGCCTCGTGCTTTGAGACTGCCTCGATGGTCAGGTCGGCCTCCCTGGCCTCAAGCTTCTCTTCAGCTTTGCGCAGCGACTTCTCAGACTCCATTCTCGTCCAGCTGGGGCGATTCTCTTCGTCATCAGCGAAAGACGAGCTGCGGCGGGAGGATCGTCGAGAAGGGAGAGCGGAGCGAAGCACGCCCGCGCCAAGGTCAGGGTACGTCGACACAAGGCGGCGGCGAATTCCAAATAGCGAAGAGTGCTGCTCAACGCTGCGAAGCTCGCTGACCTCCACGTCGTCCTCTGTGAGGGCAAGGCCTTGACGCACTAGGTATGCCGTGTCCGACTCGTCGTGCATGCGGCGCATTCTCATCCTGCTCTCTGAGCCAGAGGAAAAGTTGCTGCTCGACGTTGCACTCGGCGAGGACGTGGCGGCGGCATATTGTGCAGCCGGAGCGACGAGAGCAGTCTGAGATGAGTTCGCCGTCGAGGGACGTGCGCCATAGCCACCGGCGCCTCCCTTGATCTGAAGCTGCGATACGGCCGAGTTGTTGCTATGCGCGTACTCGCTCCAGCCGCCTCCAGCGCGCTGCGATCGCCCGTCATGTGACGACTCGCTGCCCGCGATGGAGCCTGAGCGCGACCGTGAATTCGGTGAGAGCAGTTGAAGCGAGCCGCTCGACGAGTTGATCGACCCCTTTCGACCGCCTTGCGCGTACGGAGGGCAGGCATAGAGTAGGGAAGGGTCCGCGAGGTCCTCCACTGAATCACCGCCTTTGCCTCCATGCAGCTTTGAGGCTGATGAGATGGGGTTGCCAGCCCAGATGAAAGGGCGTCGGAGATAATCACTAGCCTGTCCGTCATTTGTACGTGCCCGGGGCAGTGGTGGCCTCATGGATTGCGGCCCAGCCGCACTCGGGCGGCGACCTCCTGCAAGCGTAGTGTTGTTGATAGGTGTGTTGTAGGGCTTTGGTGACTCTCGGACGGGTTGGTGAGGCTGCTGAGGGCAAGTCTGCAGAGGCTGTCGCGCCGAGTAGCCAGACTCGAGAATTGGCGGCGATTCTGTACGCGTGGGCTCTTCAAAATGGCCCGAAACCTTCCACGCCCGTACCTTGGCCTCCCACGTTGGCTGCTCTCCTTGATTTCTGGCGCTGAGTGTCGTGTCACTTGCGTTTGGCGTTTCCATGTGGGAAAGACGCGGGCGATTCGTCGGCCTTGAAGTAGATTGAGCTTCTGAGGTCGAGATCGAGCTGCGGCGCTCGCTTCTCGGCGGGCGCACTGGCTTAGTGTGGACGCGCGTGACGTCGGTGCGAATGGCTGGAAGGTCAGAAGGTGGCGCTGAGCCGCCCGACGAGCCTCGACGGTGAGCAAGAAGGCGCCGCTCGCGAAGATTGGTAGCCGTCGGCGTATCAGCTCCTCGATCTGCTGACGACGAAGGAGACCGCGACGCCGGCTTCACTCTGCGCTTGTCATTCTCGTACTCAAGAGGCAGGTCTTCAAGATGCGAATCGTCGAGAACAGCTCGGCCCTCTTTGCGCCCCTTGAGATGCCGCAATGTAGCCGAGAGGAGGTCGTGATTGGCCATTTGTTCGCAATCTGGTGAAGGAGGGAAGAGGCTGCTATCGCCGCTGTCTGTCTCGATCTCGTTCTCGAGAGAGCGCTGCATTGTTGCTGCATCCTGCTCGAGTTGCGAAGAGTAGAGGCCGGCTGTGACAGGAGTACTCGGAACATCGGTCGGTGGCGCACGAGGACTCCTTGTAGCCGCTCGGCCCCAGGACATGCTCAAATGATGGTCAGACAATCCACCAATACCAGCGGGTCCCCAGCGAGATGAGCCTGAGGCTTGGAGAACTTCGTCTTTCTCAGCATGATCGTATCCGTCGGCATCCATTGGGACCTCATCGTGACCGCGCTGTGCAACAGAGCCAGATGAAGGCAGAGCCGGTGAAAATTTGGATGACGAGGCTTGAGCACCGTTGCCGAAGGGTGCTCTGGAGCTCAGAACAGGTGGCTTGTGAGAGCGCCGTCCGTCGTCCTGCACTGTGTTTGTCGAAGAGTGGGAGCCGTCGCTTGGCATCGAGTCATTACGGTGGTATGGTGGCGCTATAGGAAGCATATCCAAGCCGGGACCGGCGCTGTCTGTTGGCGAGAGGAGATCTGATGAGTCGAAGACGAGGTTTAACCCTTGGGAATGATGTTGAGGGCGCCGTTGCGGCGGCATGTTGCCGTCGCGGGAAGGCCCTGAATGTGATGCCGCTCCGGCGATGGCGGTGCCTTGGCCGCTCATCACCGTCATTTGACAGGCAGATTTGAGAAGATGAGATAGGTCGGCGTGCGACTAGGGTGCAAACGGTGCGAAGACGTGGGCTGCGTCAGGCACACCTATCACCGCTGCTCAAAGGCGGATGAATCAGGGGAGGTACGATGCCCCTTGGTGGATTCGGTGCTGGAATGCTTCGAGGATGAATGATGGTAAGAAGGACAATCGCCTGCGTCGTCATCAAGGATGAGGTGTCTGTGATCAAGCCTCATCTCGGCCCTCTTCGCCCCGTCCCCGGTCTAGAGTAGAGCATCCTGGCCTATCGCGCTTCTCATCATCGCTGCAGCCGTCGCCGCGGCCATCACCCTGTGGCCCTCAATAAGACTCCTGACCTGCCTCGCCCGACGACGTCTGGATCTGGGGCCACGCCGGCGAAGCGAGATGGCAAATAGGTGGTGTGGAAGAGCCTCGCGCTCGGACGACGCCCTGCGGGCGCCTGGGAACGGATTGGGTCGCCATCGCCGTGCTCCGTACTTGACGCCAGACGCCCGTGGTGAGACGCCTTTTGTGAGCTAGTCTCGATGTCGAAGTCGGGTGGGAAGTCCAACTAGGCTGCCTGCTCGATTGACGTCTGACTGACTGGCCGCTAGCCAGAAGGCGGCTAGCACACCCAGCGCCGGCATTTCGCTCTCGAAGCGATCTGTTTGGAAGACGCCGACTCGACTGCCCGCGGAGGCAGCGGCTCTTGACGCCAACTCGCAGTGTGCTGCCTTTCGCACTGAGCCAACTCCGAGACTCCGCACCTCAGGCGAATGAATCAAAGTGAGGCCTCATGCAGCAGCCTGACTAGCTCTTTTGCCCTCTATTGCCCACGCTCACCAACGACGCTCGTCGCTCACTCGTCAGTCGTAGCGTCCCGAGGACACGGACGCTAGAGATGATGTTTCAACAGGGAAGCTGCCCTCCTACCTGAACCGCTCTCTCGGGCGAGCATCTCCCCTTGCGCAATGGTACCTGCCTGAGCAACCCGTGGAGCGGACAAAGCTTTCAAATTGTCGAATCGTAGTCGACGCTAGGCTTGCCGGTGCACGTCTCAATCTATGCCATCCGATGCCGTCGATGCCATCGATGGAAGCCCAGTCGCGCAAATGGGCCAGCTTCCATGGCAGGCGACACACACGTAATCCTCGTGAACGTTTCTTCCTATCGTTCCCGTGGCGTACGGGTTCCACGCAGTCTGGACTCTCACCACGGCCGGGAGGTTGGGCGTTTGGGAGTGGGCGGGAGCTGACTATTCCAATACCCGGCTACGAGCTCAAAGCGCTAGTGTGGGAAGGTCAGCGAACACAGAGATGGCACCCAGGTTGAGCACACGAGCCACATGGGGACCCTCCCACGCGAGGCGAGTCCCGCCTTCCAGATCATGAGTGATCGCAGGGTCGACACAGTCGTGAGTCGTGCGAGAATCCAATCCTCCGATTAGCAAGGGCCGGTCAGGCCGGGGCAAGGGTCGCAACTCGAGTGCTCCGTCCTGGTTGAGGGGTGTGAGCCACGCCTTGATCTAGGCCGCGCAACGGCGCAGCTCGAACGGCGATTACTCGATAGCATGCTCGCCATCTTTCGGCGTAGTGTCCAGACGAGTGCGATCAGATCATCAAGCTACGGCGTCAAGGTCGCGAGAAGGAGCTGCAAAGCGTGAGGAAGTCATCGCCCTAAGCCGTCGAGGAGGCGACTGAGAGCTGAGGAGTACCTTACGATCAGCGATTCAAAAGACGGCAGACTGTGTGTGAGCTTTTCGAACGAGCCTTCTCGATGCATGACTTCCGTAGCAACGTCTCTGAGGCCCAGCTATCATCGTTTGACGATGGAGGGAAAGGAGCAGACCTTGAAGCCGTGTCAGTGAGGGGCCGACACGCCAGCCACGTGGTTGAGTGAGTGACCTTGCCCTGTCCGCGCCACGTTTTTACCCAATCCGCTCTCGAGTGGCGGCGAAGGCGACGCATCATCGTCCGTCGTGGGCGACGTCTTCGTCTCACGCAGCATTCCTGATCCTCACCTCGCTCAGCGTTATCCTTATCGTTTGAGCATCGTCGCAAGGCCAGCTGCCGCCACTCGACCATCATGTCGGGCGGATCGCCCTTGCCGCCGCCTCCAGGCTTCAGCGGCCCACCGCCGCCCTCCGCGCCATCTTCGATGATGCGAGGCCCACCACCAGGGATGCCATCCACCTACGACAGCAATGGCGCAGGCCCCTCGCGCATCCTTACTCAGGAACAGATTGAGGCAAAGGGGAGGAAATGGCAGCAGATGCAAAGCAGAAGATTTGGCGACCGTAGGGGAAAGAGCGGCTTCGTCGATACGGGCAAGCAGGAGATGCCACCTGAGCATGTACGAAAGATTGTCAAGTGAGTCCAAGCAGGTACAGTAGCATCCAGCAGTGAAAGTGCTGACTTCTTCACTTCACCGTTCGCTGCACTCTCAGAGACCATGGCGACATGAGCAACCGCAAGTTCAGGAACGACAAGCGCGTACACCTGGGCGCCTTGAAATACATCCCTCACGCCATGATGAAGCTTCTGGAGAACATCCCTATGCCTTGGGAGCAGGTACGAGAAGTGCCTGTCCTCTATCACATCACAGGAGCCATCACCTTCGTCAATGATGTGCCCAAGGTCATTGAGCCGATATACCACGCTCAGTGGGCGGCAATGTGGCTAGCCATGAGGAGAGAAAAGCGCGATCGACGCCACTTCAAGCGCATGCGCTTCCCTCCTTTCGACGATGAGGAGCCACCGATGGACTACGGCGACAATTTGCTGGATGTCGAGCCGCTGGAAGCAATCCAGCTCGAGCTCGACGAGGAGGAGGACTCAGCGATCATCGATTGGTTCTACGACCACAAGCCGCTGGCAGACGACCCTGAGCACGTCAATGGCACGTCGTACAAGTATTGGACACTCGACCTGCCGAAGATGGCAGCGCTGTATCGCCTGGGCAAGACGCTTTTGTCCGACTTCAACAGCGGCGACTCCAACTACTTCTACCTCTTTGACCGCAAGGCCTTCTTCACAGCCAAGGCACTCAATATGGCCATTCCCGGTGGTCCGAAGTTTGAGCCACTCTTCAAGGATGCGGAGAGCTACGATGATGACTGGAACGAGTTCAACGATATTCGCAAGGTCATCATTCGCCAGCAGATTCGCACAGAGTACAAAGTGGCGTTCCCGCACCTCTACAACAGCCGCCCGCGAGCCGTACATCTGGGCATCTACCACGAACCCAAGAACGTCTTCGTTCGCACCGACGACCCGGATCTGCCCACCTTCTTCTTTGACCCGGCCCTCAACCCCATCTCAAGTCGTGGTCTAGCAAACGCAGATGCGTTTGACAAAATCGATGCAGATGGGGAGCGTATTCTGAGTCACGAGGATGCGGTGTTTGGCGAGGGTATTGAAGGCGATGACGAGCTGCCGGATGAGGAGGCGTTTAGCTTGCCAGAGGGCGTGGCGCCATTCATGGAGGATGAACCGCTCGAGAGAGAATACACTTCGGACGCTTTGGCGCTTTGGTGGGCGCCCGCTCCCTACAACAGGAACAGCGGTCGCACTAAACGCGTGCTAGACGTTCCCCTCATCGAGGGATGGTACATGGAGCACTGCCCGCCTGGGCAGCCAGTCAAGACGAGGGTCTCCTATCAAAAGCTGCTCAAGCGCTACGTTCTCAACTGCCTGTCGACGAAGCCGCCCAAGTCTGGAAAGAAGAGATACTTGCTCAAGCAGCTCAAGTCGACCAAATTCTTCCAAACGACGCAGCTCGACTGGGTTGAGGCTGGCCTGCAGGTCGTGCGACAGACCTGGAATGCCCTCAATCTCCTCATCCACCGCAAGGGCTTGCACTATCTTCACCTCGACTACAACATGAACTTGAAGCCAGTCAAGACCCTGACGACCAAGGAGCGCAAGAAGTCACGCATGGGTAACTCATACCATCTCATTCGAGAACTCGGCCGCCTCACTAAGCTCATCGTCGACTCACACATCATGTTCAGGCTCGGCAATGTCGACGCCTTCCAGCTTGCCGATGGCCTACAGTACACGCTGAATCACGTCGGCCAGCTGACGGGCATGTACCGGTACAAGTACAAGCTGATGCACCAGGTGCGAGCATGCAAGGACCTGAAGCACGTCATCTACCATCGCTTCAACTCGGGGCCAGTGGGTAAGGGTCCTGGTGTGGGCTTTTGGGCTCCATCATGGAGGGTCTGGATGTTCTTCTTGCGCGGCATCGTTCCTCTACTCGAGAGATGGCTGGGCAACTTGCTCGCCCGTCAGTTTGAGGGTCGTAACAGCAAGGGCGGCGCAAGCACCGTCACGAAGCAGCGCGTCGAGTCGCACTTCGATCTCGAGCTGCGTGCCGCTGTGCTCCACGACATTCTCGATCAGATGCCAGAGGGCATCCGCCAGAACAAGAGCAAGACGATCATGGCTCACTTGCAGGAGGCCTGGCGATGCTGGAAGAGCAACACACCGTGGCGAGTGCCCGGTATGCCTGCACCTATCGAGAATATCATCTTGCGCTACGTCAAGCAGAAGGCGGACTACTGGACGTCGGTGGCGCACACCAACCGAGAGCGCATTCGTCGAGGAGCTACGGTAGACAAGACGGTCGCACGTAAGAACCTGGGCAGACTCACGCGTCTTTATCTCAAGGCCGAGCAGGAGCGTCAGAATGGCTACCTCAAGGACGGACCGTACATCACCAGCGAGGCAGCCGTCGCCATCTACACCTCGACTGTCCACTGGCTTGAGTCACGCCGCTTTGCGCCCATCCCCTTCCCGTCGCTCAACAACAAGAACGATACCAAGCTTCTCGTCTTGGCGCTGGAGAATCTCAAGCAGCAGTACAGCGTGCAGGGTCGTCTCAACCAGAGCCAGCGAGAAGAGCTTGCTCTCATTGAGCAGGCCTTCGACAATCCGCACGAGACTTTGGCTCGAATCAAGCGACTGTTGCTCACACAGCGATCGTTCAAGGAGGCAGGCATTGAGTTCTTCGACACCTATGAGAAACTCATTCCGACATACGCCATCGAGCCCATCGAGAAGCTTACTGATGCCTACTTGGATCAGTACCTGAGCTACGAGGCAGACAAGCGTCAGCTCTTCCCGCCATGGATCAAGCCCTCGGACCAGGAGCCGCCCCCCTTGCTCGTCTACAAGTGGTGTCAAGCGATCAACAACCTCGACAATGTATACGACACGTCGAATGGAGAGTGCAACGTCTTGATGGAGACCTCGCTGGACAGAGTCTATGAGAAGATAGACATTACCTTGCTCAATCGCCTCTTGCGTCTTGTCCTCGACGCCAACATCGCCGACTACATGACAGCCAAGAACAACATTCCAGTCGTATTCAAGGACATGACGCACATCAATAGCTACGGTCTCATCCGCGGCCTTGCCTTCAGCCATTTCATCTTCTCGTACTACGGTTTGGTGCTCGACTTGCTCATTCTCGGCCTGCAGCGAGCCAACGACATGGCGGGTCCTCCCTCGACGCCAAATGGCTTCCTGCAATTCAAGGACACCGCCACCGAGACGCGACACCCCATCCGTCTCTACACGCGCTATGTCGACCGCATCCACATCTTCTTCCGCTTCGAGGCCGACGAGAGTCGCGATCTAATTCAACGCTACCTCAGTGCTGAGCCAGATCCGAATAACCAGAACCTGCTCGGCTACAACAACAAGCGCTGCTGGCCCAGAGATTGCAGGATGAGGCTGATCAAGCACGACGTCAACCTTGGTCGCGCCGTCTTCTGGGAAATCAAGAACAGGTTGCCGCGAGCCCTCACAACGATTGAGTGGGACACTACCTTCGCCTCGGTCTACAGCAAGGACAATCCGAACACGCTCTTCTCGATGGGCGGCTTCGAGACAAGGATCCTGCCCAAGGCGAGAGCCGGCGATGTGAACGAGGCGAGAGATGCTGTGTGGTCTCTAGTGCAAAGCGCTACGGGAGAGCGCACAGCGAATGCCTTCCTGCGCGTCAGCGACGAGGGAGTGCAAGCATTCAACAATCGTGTCCGGCAGGTCCTCATGTCTGCAGGTGCGACGACATTCAGCAAGATCATCAACAAGTGGAACTCGACTCTCATTTCGCTCATGACCTACTACCGCGAGGCCGTTGTCTCCACGCCCGAACTTCTCGACGTCATTGTCAAGGGCGAGTCGAAGACAATGGCGAGGATCAAAGCCTCGCTCAACTCCAAGATGCCGTCGCGTTTCCCTCCCGTCCTCTTCTACTGCCCGAAGGAGCTTGGTGGCCTCGGCATGCTGTCGATGAGCCACATTCAGATCCCTGCGTCCGACTTGCGATGGTCCAAGCAAGTCGATGGCTCTATCACTCACTTCAGAGCCGGATTGAGGACAGGAGGTGCAGAGGACGAGGAGGCTCTCATCCCCGCCTTGTACCGATACCTTGTACCGTGGGAGTCTGAGTTCGCCGACAGTGCTCGAGTCTGGTCCGAGTACGCTCAGAAGCGCAAGGAGGCCAACGCTCAGAATCGTCGCCTCACCCTTGAAGACCTCGAGGACTCGTGGGATCGTGGTCTACCTCGTATCAACACGCTCTTCCAGAAGGACCGCACTGTGCTAGCCTTCGACAAGCAGTGGCGCATGCGTCAACACTTCAAGCAATACCAGATCCTCAAGCACGATCCTTTCATCTGGACCAATCAGCGCCACGATGGAAAGCTCTGGAACCTCAACGCCTACCGAGTTGATGTCATTGCGGCGCTCGGCGGTATTGAGGGCATCCTTGCGCACACGCTCTTTGCTGGTACGGCGCATACGACGTGGGAGGGTCTCTTCTGGGAGAAGGCGTCTGGATTCGAGGAGCAGATGAAGTTCAAGAAACTCACCAACGCTCAGCGCTCTGGTCTATCGCAAGTGCCCAATCGTCGATTCACGCTCTGGTGGAGTCCGACGATCAACCGAGCCAACGTCTACGTAGGTTTCCAGGTGCAGCTCGACTTGACGGGCATCTTTATGCACGGCAAGCTGCCGACGCTCAAGATTTCGTACATTCAGCTTTTCCGTGCTCACTTGTGGCAGAAGATCCACGAGAGCGTCGTCATGGACCTGTGTCAGGTCTTTGACCAGGAGCTTGAGGCGCTGCAGATTGAGACGGTGCAGAAGGAGACGATCCATCCGCGAAAGTCGTACAAGATGAACTCGAGTTGCGCAGATGTGCTCTTATTCGCCAGCCACAAGTGGCCCATCTCGCGCCCTTCGCTGTTGACGGACGGTCGCGACGTCATGGACGGCTCCAGTACGAGCAAATGGTGGTTGGACGTACAGCTGCGATGGGGTGACTTTGACTCACACGACGTGGAGCGCTACGCTCGCGCGAAGTTCCTCGACTACACAAGCGACTCGACGTCCATCTACCCTTCGCCCACTGGTGTTCTGATTGCCCTCGATCTGGCTTACAATCAGTACTCGGCGTACGGCAACTGGTTCCCCGGCTCCAAGGCGCTCATTCAGCAGGCGATGGGCAAGATTCACAAGGCCAACCCTGCCCTGTACGTGCTGCGTGAGCGCATTCGCAAGTCGCTCCAGCTGTACAGCTCCGAGCCGACAGAGCCCTACCTCACGTCGGGCAACTACGCCGAGCTGTTCTCGAACCAGGTCATTTGGATGGTCGACGACACAAACGTGTACCGCGTCACGATCCACCGCACCTTCGAGGGTAATCTGGTCACCAAACCCATCAACGGAGCCATCTTCATTCTCAACCCACGCACTGGTCAGCTCTTCCTCAAGATTATTCACACTAGTGTCTGGGCTGGCCAGAAGCGTCTGGGCCAGCTGGCCAAGTGGAAGACGGCTGAAGAAGTGGCCGCCCTCGTCCGCTCATTGCCCGTCGAAGAGCAGCCCAAGCAGGTCATTGTCACGCGCAAGGGTATGCTTGACCCGCTCGAGGTCCACTTGCTCGACTTCCCCAACATCGTCATCAAGGGCTCAGAGCTGCAGCTTCCCTTCCAGGCCTGCATGAAGCTCGAAAAGTTCGGTGACCTCATTCTGCGAGCGACGCAGCCACAGATGGTCCTGTACAGTCTGTACGATGATTGGCTGTCCTCCATCTCGAGCTACACTGCCTTCTCTCGTTGCCTGCTCTTGCTGCGCGCCCTCCACGTCAACCAGGAGAAGGCCAAGATTATCCTCCGCCCCAACGTTTCGACCGTTACTGAGGCGCACCACATCTGGCCGACATTGAGCGACGACGAGTGGGTCAAGGTTGAAGTAGCCTTGCGCGACCTCATTCTCCAGGACTACGGGAAGCGCAATTCGGTCAACGTGGCCTCGCTCACCAGCTCCGAGATTCGCGACATTATCCTCGGGCAGGAGATCCAGGCCCCGTCAGTGCAGCGTCAGCAGATGGCCGAGATCGAAAAGAGCGCAGAGGCGGCCCAGCAGGTGACGGCCACGCAGACGAAGTCGTCGAACATCCACGGCGACGAAATCACGACGGTGACGACAACGCAGTACGAGACGCAGCACTTCAGCTCCAAGTCCGACTGGAGAGTGCGCTGCCTTTCGTCGACGAATTTGCCGCTCAGGTGCCAGCATCTCTACGTCAGCAACGACGATGTCAAGGACGACATTGGGTCGCTCACGTACGTCCTGCCTAAGAACATCCTCAAGACCTTCATCGTGAACGCCGATCTGCGCACGACGGTCGCCGGCTACCTGTACGGTGTTGCTCCGCCGGATGCGCCTAGCGTGCGCGAGGTGAAAGTCATCGTCTGGGTCCCGCAGCGTGGCAGCAATAACAGCGTCGAGCTTCCTTCGGACCTGCCGCAGCACGACTTCATGCTTAAGGACCTGGAGCCACTCGGCTGGATCAAGACGCAGGCGATGGATCTGCCCCACCTCTCGTCGATGGACGTGGCCTCGCATGCGCGCACCATGGCTTCGCACCCAGAGTGGGGCGCAAGCTCCATCTGCATCACTGCGGCCTTCACTCCAGGCTCGGTCAGCTTGGCTGCGTACAATCTATCGGTCGCGGGCTTCGAGTGGGGTCGCAAGGCCAACCAAAGCGATGCTGCCTCGGGTCAAGGAGGGTTCAACCCGTCGACAATGGCGGACAAGGTACAGCTCCTCCTTTCTGACCGCATTCTGGGCACTACGCTCGTCCCGCAGGACAAGGTGTGGAACTACGGGCTGAGCTTGAGCGCTCAGTGGAGCCCGACGGTCAAGACTGGGTACGTCTTGGATGCGCCCATCTCGTTCTGGAATGAGGCGCATAGGCCCCAGCAGTTCTTGAACTTCACGACGGCGGACGTAGGTGCCGAGGAGGGAGCCGATGTGCACGATGCGTTGGCGTAGTGGAAGGGTAGGGGAAGAAGGATGTGACGTAGTATGGTAGTCCTCTCTCGCTGCTACACAAGTTTCGCTTGTCATGATTCCAATGCATTTTCTCGATTCAGTACAAATACAGCTCATGTGAGCATCTACCTTGCGGAGAAGTGCAGCCTACCAGACTTTGGAAAATCGTTCTCTTGAGCTGATTGGCCTCCCTTGCTCCCCCTTCTAGTCTTCTCCTCCCTAGCGATAACTATCTGACCTCCTCGCATTCACCCCGTACTCAGCCAGGGCGGCCGACAGATCATCCATAGTGAGCACCGTACGATTACGGTCTTCCCCAGCTTGTCGCTGCTGCTGGCTCTGTTGACCTGCCCCTGGGCCTTGCTGCTGCTGTTGCTGCTGAGCCGCCACAGCCGCCGCACCAGCAGCTGCGCCTGTCGTCGTCGAAGAGCTAGAGCGGATGCGCGAGTACTGATAGGCGTCCGAGACGATGTCTGCCAGGAATTTTTCGGTCGTTAGGGAGAGGAGGCGATTCCTGTGCGAGAAGACCGCATATAGGCATGGTCAGCTACGACTGGCAATCAAGATACAGAGCCTGGTCATGCCCCATTGCCGACTCACAATCTTGCATCGCCGCTTTCAAATCCGCTCCGCTGCAAGTAGTAATCCGTCACCTCATCTGGGATCACGGGAGTGTACGAGTCGAGCATGCGCAGTAGCTCAGCCAATGTGCGATCTTTTCTCTGGTCTTCATCTTGACGCTTGAGCAACGCTCGACGGCGATTCTCGTGTGCCTCGAGAGAGGGATCTGTTGCTGGTCGGATGGGATCGTTGGTTGACGAAGGGGCGGTGGAACCTTGTGGCTGAGCGGGACCGGCGGTCGGGGCAGAAGGCTCGGGCGGTTGGAAGGCTGAAGTCGGCGGCGGTGCTGCAGCTGCAGCTGCTGCTGCTGATGACGATGAAGAAGATGCGGAAGGACCAGGCAGTGTAGGTGCCCTGAACGGGTGTTGCGATTGTGATGTGGATGAACTTGCCTGAGGTTGAGCTGCTGCTGGCACTGCCTCGTCCATTGGTTCGTCCTTCATGACGCGCATAGACGATGGGGACCACGGCTGCTGCTGCTGCTGCCCAGCGTCAGGGCCAGAAGGAGGCGATGTGGCCATGGTGAGGCTTTGTGGCTAACAAGCGATGTCAAATCCCAGAGCTAGGCGTCTGAAATGCTAAGCTGCTGAATGGCGACCTCTTGCTTCGCTCAAAGTGGTGGTGAGGAAGCAACGACGAACGAACGCACAGACTCGCGACGAGTGCCCAATCGACGGACTGGCGATGAGATTGCATCCGTTCCGAGCCTCCTTCCTGGCTCTTGCGCTCATCAAAAAGGCACCTCAGTCCGCCGAATTCCTTTCTTCTTTTCCTCACTCATCACGCACGCTCACGTATTGTAGCCAGCGCTGTCTTGGCCCCCTCTTTCTTGATCGAAAGGTCATAGCGAGGGTGCCAGTGGCCGCCGGCTCTATATTGCTTGCAAGACCAGCGAGGCAGCCTTTGAAAAAGGGTGAAAGCCTCGAGACCCTGTTGCCTTTACTGCCTTGAGCGCCCTTCGAGGCTCGTTGATGCAGGTGGATGGTTTGGGCAGGATACATGACGCGAAAGAGCGGAAAGCATGGTTCAGAGATGAGCGAGAGTTTGACGCTGGTCACTGGGGACCAATCGTGCGGGCTCTGCGCTGCTGAACGAGGCTGTAACGACGAAGTTGTCGCCTTGCTGTCTTTGGCCCGTTGGAAGCCTCGCCCTGCCGGCCTTTCTCCCCCTGTCCATTTCGTTTCGGAGTGCTATCACGACTTGACGATATGCAATAGTATCTAATTGTAAGAAGATGACTGGCTCAAGCTACACGACAGCCTCGTCCCGTCCGTCTCCGCCTACTCGATCTTCCATCCCAACCTCTTTCCCGCCCAGAAGGGGATCACCTGCAACTTGCCCTTATCAGCATCGTGCAGTCCAATATGTCGCGGGTGTATGCAGACCTTGGGCACCTCACCACCCGTTCTGCCCGCCGTGCGAACCAGCTTGACCTTCTTTGCCCCTTCGCCCGCTTCGACCTGGTAGAAGCGGCGCCCATTGTTCGAGACAAAGTCCTGCAGCCTGTCGAGCGCGCCAAAGCTCTCCAGCAGATGAGCGCACAGCGGTACCAGGCACACGGATGTGTACACGCCCGCAGCACAGCCGCAATTGGTAGCCAGTCCGCTTGCCCCACCCTCCACAGTCGCGGCCGAAGGGTACTTGCTAGCGAGTGGGTGCGGCGCCGAGTCGCTTCCCAAGAAGAAGCGGGGATGTCCCTCTTTAATCACCTCGCGCAGTGCTTGGCGGTCGTCCGGCCATTTGGCCACGGGCTTGCAGTAGTGCAATGGCTTGCCTGCCCAGTCGTCTACGATGAGTTCGAGGTGGTGAGGAGTGATGCTGCATGCCACTGTTGAGCCGCAGGCTTTAACCGCCTCGACGGCTGCGCGGGTAGTGGCGTGCTCGAGGACGATGCGGAGGGACGGGAAGCGAGCGTGGATCTTGTGCAAGTGGGAGAGGAAGATGGCCTCGGCGTTGAGGACGGTGATGTTCTAGCGGCGGTGTGGAACAGTTGTCAATCGATACTGCGCGACCAGACTCTCTCGTCATCTCGCCGCGATCTTGACTCACCTTCTCCGCGTCTGATGGCACCTCTCCATGCAAGTTGAGCACAAGTCCGTGCTTTTCCATAGCCTCGAAGACCGGATAGTAAGCCTCGTAGCTTTCGATGCCTCCCTCACTGTTCGTCGTCACACCCCTCGGGTAGCTCTTCACTCCCTTCACCACCCCACCTTGCGCAGCCTTCTCAATCTCTTCAGGCGTCAAGCTCGGGTGCAAGTAGAGTGTCATCCAGAAGTCGGTGTCCGGCGCGATCTTTTTGAGGGTGGAGTGGTAGGCGACAGCTGCATCCACTGTTGTGATGGGCGGGACGAGGTTAGGCATCACATAGGCGAGGGAGATGCCTCCCTGAGCGACGTGGGGTGCGATGAGCTCGGACATCTCGCCTTGCCGAAGGTGGACGTGGAAGTCGGCTGGCGCCGTGAGCTCGATGCTATCGACGCCAGTTGATGAAGAAGCCGCAGCGCTCGATCCGTCGGCAAGCTGGACTTTCTTGCTTGATGAGGCTTTCTCATTGTCCGCGCCCTCGCGGCTCCTCTTGCCATTGGAGGTAGACGGTCCAGCTTCGCCGCTCATCTCTTCGTCCGAGTCTTCTGAATCCGACTCCTCACCGCCCTCACCAGCCGCTCCCGCCTCGCCCGACTTCTTGGTTCCCATGAGCTCAGGCGGAGGCTCCACCACCGGCAGACTGGCATCGTAGACGTACGCCATCCTCCAGATCTTCTCGCCGCGCTTCTCCTGATGAACCAGCTCCCTCTCACTAAAGATGCCCGTCGTGCTCTCTTCGATAAAGTCGTGGTTGCCTCGCAATGGCTTCAGGAAAGAGCAGTTCATCAAGGCCTTGCGCATGCTGTCTCCGATGGGTTGGTAGTCGGTCATGACGTGCAGCTCGCATCCATCCTTGAACTTCGGGCGCATGTCGTAGAGGAACTTAAGGTTCAACACTCGGCGCTTCTCGTGTCGCTTTTTGAACCACGGGTCCGGGAAGTTATGCGAGAAGAAGACGATGCTGTCGTCGGGGAGCATAGCTGGGAGCTGCAAGTTGGCATTGGCAAAGAGCCCTCGCAGGTTAGTCAGGTTGCCCTGCTCGCGCTTCTCCTCCGTAAGCTCGACGTAGTGACGCCTGATTTCGTTGCCTATGCAATTCCACTCGGGATGCTTGCGGGCCAGGTCGGCAGTAAATGCTCCAGGACCGCAGCCTACATCGAGTGCGAGAGGCGCTTCACGGCCAAAGAGCTCCTTTTGGTCGATGAGGGGCAGAGCGTGACGATAGTTGAAGGGATTCGTGTGCATGCGATGCTTCATCTTGCCTTTGCGAGCCATGTTGGGCAGACCTCAAGTGGGTGCTGAGGTGGCGAGCTGAAAGCCGGATGAGTAGCAAGGTACCTCGGTAGCTGGCGGCTACGGCGATGATGCTGGTTGCAAAGGAAGATCCCAAGGCGACAGCAGCGGGAGCAGCGGCAGCGCCCCGCGTTTCGAAAAGTCGAGCGACTCACACTTCGACCGTCGGACTGAGATCGCGACTTGCCACGCGAGCACGCCTCGGCACTTTCACTTCTCTCGTATCAGCGGCGAGCAAGCAACAGCAACGGCCAGCAAGCAACAGCAACATTGCCAAGTTGCCCTTTCAGCCGCGAGCAGTGTAGGCAGTCATTGTGTACTCCGCAGCAGAATTCCGATGGCCTCCCAATCAGAGAACGGCGTGGTGACCTAGGCGACGGGTATCCGCCGCCGGCCCACACGACATTGCCCAAATCACCAGGAGCGATGTATCGTCTCGTGATGGTCAATGGCGGCGTATCTCAGAGGCGGCGACTGAGGGACTTACTCACGGTCACATGATGACAATTAGGCTGGGGGTGGCACTGCGGAATGAACAGAGAGATCAAACCAATCTTGCAATTGTACACCTCTGCCAGTAACACCGTGCCCACAGCACCAAGAAGTGCACTCATCTTTGAGGCTCCCATGATGCTTCTCACTCACTCCCTTCTCTTGAGTTTCCTGCTACCGCTCACCACAGTACCCACTGCAATGGCAAATCAAGCCGGCTACTGTCGCTGGATTGATTCAGGGGCAGGTCACAACTCACCACATCACGCCAATTACACGTACTACTGTGACGCTGTGGCCAAGCCTTTCAACGACAGTCACGTCGTCTTCGACTGTAGCAGTCTAAGGGTGGCCACTTGGGGTTTCGCTGGACCGTCTACGCTTGAGATTGGTGGGTGAAGTGCTCGACCAGCATGGGCAATGTTGCGAGACGGGGTGCAGCAGCGACCCAGGGGCTGACTTACTCCTTACGCTGGCCATTGAAGCCGCACCCTGCGCTCCCATAACTGGCTACTCCCCCGTATGCGCACAGCAACTCGCTCGCAATCGTGCCATGGGAGCTGACTCTCACATTGCCCTAGCAGGACTGCGACTACAAATTCTGGGCCGCCTGCCTGGGCAACGCCGCGCCCCATCACGACAAGCACACGTTCAGCTGCTTCTACTTCAACGGAAACGATAGTTGTGCGTCCTGAACATCCTGCATTTCTTCTTCTTTCACTGTGTGCCTTCAGCTGACCCTGCCCTCCACTATTGAACAGGCGTATGGCCCTTCAGCTTCACAGCGACCACCCGCCCGACCACAGTGCAGATCTGGCATCGCATTGGTAGTGGAAGCACCAACGCTACGCTCGGAAAGAGGCGACTTCCCTCATACTGAAGGCCAGCTGTGCACTTGTTCATAGCTACTCGGCAGACTGAACAGAAAAAAAGCGCCCGAGAGGGGGGAGGGAGAGGCTACCTTGCCTTGTCTACCAAAGTTCAGAGTCTGGTCTTCTGCCGTGGTAGTGGCGGCGGCGGCGGTGAACTCTCTCGGTAATGTCCTGAATACCATTTCATACCACTGTGAGCTGCGATCTCTCGAGATAAGACGGCGTCAACGACCATCATCTTGCCGTGGTGGCAGCAAGCTGCTCAGCCCTCGCCTCCACCAAGATGAGCCTTCGCTGCAATCAGTTGGCTCGCACGGGTGCTTTGGGTCGTAGGGCAGGGCCAATCATTGACGGTGGCGCTCGACAGGAGCAGGCAACGTGCAGTAGCAAGGAGCAAAGGGGGCAAAGCAACGAGCAAGAGGGGCCCCGGACGATGCTCCGATGACAGCGCTACAGCCGTGACCTCTTCTGCGAGTCGGCCGATGCCCCGATTTGCTTGGGATCTTAGGTTGGCCGACTTTGTGATGGCATCAAAGACATACCGGTGCCAGCTTGCCTCAGCCATCTCGCCCATAAAGCTTTAAACAGCACAGCATTGATTCAAGGCAGCAGTCTCTCGTCTTCTCAACCGTCAGTCACCTCTGACTACGCCACTGCACCCACGATGCGTCCTCTTCCCAAGCACCTGCCATTGCCCTGGACGCTCGCTCCCCTGCTCCTTCTCACCTCACTCGTCGTGGCCACCCACCACGTTTGCACCTGGAAGGATGCCGGTCCTGATTCTCCAGCGACGTACTGGTATGAACACTATTGCACCGCGACACCTCAAGTCAGCAACGACTCGCATGCAAGGTACTATTGCCCCAAGAATCAAGGCAATGGGGACTTCGTGGCTGACTATGGGTATTTGAAGGCGGAGACGATCAATTTTGGTGAGTGAACTGAGGTGACTGGGCACATGGAATTGCCGACTGAGCTGTGCCTGTCTCCTCGGGTGCATCAGCAAGCCCTTGTTCATTCAATGGCTACTTCAAGTTTCGACATGTATGTGTTTGCTTGCCGCTTCTCTGAGGCGCTGGGTTCCACTGACCTTCACCTCCATATCTCGCCCTGTCCTTGCAGGACTGCCACTGGCCGTACATAGGCGTCTGCATCGGCGAGGCCGGCCCAACAGTGGACGAGTCGAAAATCTCATGCCTCTACATGAGTTCGAAAGACGATTGTAGGTTCACAACTCGTCCGTTGTCGACTAGAGCGAGCGCTGACTACCTTGACATGTTTACGCAAAGGCGAATGGCCCGATCGATTTCCCGCGGGAACGTACCCAGCCAAGGTTGACATCTGGAGGAAGAGCTTTTAGTGTCTGAGTCTTGAGGGAGGGTGTCGCGCCACTACGAGAGACTGACTTTCGTGGCCGAGAATCGGACGGCCCTGCTCAATCTTCTTGGCAAGCATTCTCTCTGTCGAGTCTCTGCTCAATCAGAATGCTAGTGCAATCTTCTCCCATGTCGCCCGCGCTACGTTGCGTTTGCTGCTGACTGCTTCAGTCTCTTTGCGCCCTACTGGGGTGCTTCAAGCAAACCATCAAGCCTTTCTCACGACCGCGCCTTCACCTATATGCGGCGAGGTTCGGCGCCTCACCGTCTCGCACTGCCGATGTCGTTGCGCCTTGACTTTTCGCCTGAGAAAGCGCGAGGTGACATCGACTTCCTCTAGCCGGATGAAATGTGGGTCGAGGGTCACTGCAGTGTCATCGTTGTCATTGCGGCGCAGGAGGTCAGCTGCGCAATCTCGCGAGGTCGTATGACCACCTAATGATAAACTACATCTCGCGCACTCTACTTTGCCAACGCCTTTCCCACTCCTCGACACTCCGTCATGTGTGCTCTCCTGCACCTCCTCCCCCTCTTCGTACTCCTGCTCGCCCTCCCTTATCCCAGCCTCTCCGAGCATCGCATCTGCGAATGGCAAGACCAAGGCACGCCACCCGAGGAATTCGGGTATAGGCTATGGTGCATCTCGATCATCCACAAGCATCGCCCCTACAAGGCTACGTGGGAGTGCAAAGGCAAGACGGTTGCCGACTTGGGATACCTGAGGGAAGGGGTTTTGGAGATTTGTGAGTCACCTGAGGAGCGAGCGTGGCAAAGGGGGGCAGGGAGCTGACCTATTACATTGACTCCCTCGCGCGAGACAGATACGGCCTGCGGTACCGGAGGGTATGCGGATGTGCGTATGACCTCCTGCTTCTCGCTCGCCGCATGCCTCACCGCTTCTCCTCTTTCTTGCACAGGACTGCGACTGGGATACGTGGGGCGCCTGTATTGACCCCGAACACTGCTACTTCACCTCAAAAAGTGACGACTGTGAATGGCCGGACAAGTTCACCTCCAAATACGCTCCTAGGACGATTGCCATTTGGCAAAAACTCAGCTCGCATAATCTGACGCAGACAAGGGCGTTGGAGGGGCGCCGAAGCGAAGAAGGCGGTGGTGGCCGCGGCATGAAGGGGTCCGATGGTGGCAGCAGGCGCTGATGTCAGGCTTTCATGTAGGCTCAAGCCTTGGCATCCACCGAGGCACGCTGACAAGGAGTTACTCTTTTCATTACCGCTCTCTTTGCTCTGTCACTCTCCTCTTTACGGGAACCTGACAGCAGGCGCTCTCTCTACGTCAGTGATGCTGATCTTGTGTCCCACCAAGTCACGAATGCTGTCAGCGTGCGGGAGGAAGCAGCAAATCAAGTCAGTCACTCTTCTCCCTTTTTTTCAATAACTCTCTTCTCGCCCGCCGCACTCACTTGTTGATCCCATAACGAATCATCGTCGGCCTCTCCAGACTGAGTCCCCATCCAAGCACATTCACGCCCTCGGGTAGGCCCATAGGCCTCAACATCTCTGGACGGAACATGCCACTGTTGCCAATCTCGACCCACTTGCCCAGGCCAGAGTGGTAAGAGAAGATCTCGAGTGATGGCTCTGTGTAGGGATTATAGGCGGGCTTGAAGCGCAGGTTGGTGACGCCCATCTTGGCAAAGAAGATTCTGGGTGGAGGGGATTCAGAGAGACAAGGCAGAGGTGAGCGAGGGCGCACGTCTTGCCTCGCGGTGCTACTCACTGCATGAAACCGATGAGATCGCCCAATGTAATGTTGTAGTCCGCGACGACTCCCTCAACCTGGTGGAACTCGGCCAAATGCGTCGCATCGACAGCCTCATTTCTGAACACCCTATCAATACTGAACATCTTGGCCGGCTTGAACCCGCCCGGCCTGTTCGCTAGCTCATACAGCATGGCCGCAGACACGGCTGTAGTATGGGTGCGGAGAACAAGCTTTTCGGTAACGTCGCGGGAGAACTTGTAGCCATACCCTGTCGAGCCATATGGTCCTCCGTCCTCGTGGGCGGCGGTCACGCGAGAGAGATAGTCCTCTGGGATGTGCTTCGCTGCGGCGGGTGACTTGATGAAGAAGGTGTCCTGCATGTCGCGAGCGGCGTGCTGTTGCGGGACAAAGAGGGAGTCGAAGCTGGCGTGGCGAGTGGGGAAAGGGCGTAAGATTGCAGTCGCCATCTCTGCGGGTTGGCGCTCGCCCGCCTACTCACCACCAGAAGCTTGAGTCGACGAATCGGTTCGTGGGCATTTCGGTGAATCCCATCTCAAAGAAGATGTTCCTGAACTCCTCTCGCACTTTCAACAGCGGGTGCAATGCTCCAGTGACGGGCATGACACCTTCGGCGTCGAAGTTGTACTTCTTGAAGGGACGCGTCTTCCATTCGCCTGATTGGAGCATCTCAGCTGAAAGATCTGTTGCGAGCTTTTCGATCTTGAGGCTAAACTGCGGGCCCTTGGTGATTGAGAACCAGAGGAGCTTCCTGCGCAGCGAAAAGAAGAGAGGACGAGGAGATCAGCCTGGAGAACAATCGTTTAACGGCTCCATCATCGCGGCTTGCACGCACTTCTGCACCACTAGCTTGCGCTTCTTGAGGTCATTGACCCTCTGTCCATCCTGCAATGTGCCACTCCTCCTGATCTCCCTCAGGTCTTCAGCCGTATCGTCCACAATCTCCTCGACGCCGGGCATCCTCGCCAATGCGCCTTGCTTTTCAGGATGCTTCCTCGCCCACCTCTTGGCGAAGGCCTTGCCTTGGCCAATCTTGAGGACATCAGCTCCGAGCTCCTTCTTGAGCTCATCCAAGGTCTTGGCCTCGTCTCCCCCGGGAGGCAGCGCAGCAAAGAGACGTGCCTCTTGCGAGCCAGAGTGGGCAATCCCGTACCCTTCGGCCGTGAGAGCGTAGGTGATCTCGTCGTGTGACTGGAACTCGATCATTTGACGAGCCTCAAGGGATTTGAGGTGTCCCTGAAGCGCCATCTGCCAGTCAGCGCGACGCTTGTGGTGCTCATCGAGGGACTTTTCGTCTTCGAGGTTGGCAGGCATCGGCGGACGGCCTACCAGCTCGCGCGAGTCTGGGATGCCAGACGAGCCAGCGGCGTCTACTTGCTGAAGAGTCCATTCTGCTGTTGGGAGCGAGTCCCACGCTACTTGCGCGGGAGCTGACATGATGGTGAGAGGGGACGAGAATTCAGAAGGCCTGTGGGAAGTCGAGAATATCTCCAAGTCAAGCCAATGCCAATGACTCTGGGCCTTGAGGCTCATCACGTGGCGATGGCACGGAAGTGCGACTCGAGTCGAGTTGAGCCCGTCTTTTGATTGACGGCGGCATACAGGGTGGCTCAGCGTCGCGTCGCATCTCGCTTTGTCTCTTTACCTCTCATCTGCATCCTCACCTTTCGAGCTCATCCACAAACAGCTCGCCTGCCGATCGCCAATGTTCGCCCGACTACAGAACGCCGCCAATGACAACCAAGGCGCTTCGTCGTCATCGAACGGGCGTGGCGGCGGCAGGGGCTCTGGCAGGAACGTCGCAGGCTCAGCGTTGCGAAGAGCTGGATTGATCGACGATGATGTTGGTATGCGATCCGCTAGCTCCTCCGGGCCTAGCAGGTCGGGTAGAGGCAGGGGTAAAGGAAGGGGAGCGGGAGGCTCGGCAGCTGGGCCAGGAGCGACAGCAGGACCGGTGAGTAAGCCGCTACTGCAGCAGATAGTCATCCGCTGCCGCTTGACTGACACAGCAACTCCATCAATGATCCGCGCGCAGTCTCGCATCCAGATCGATGATGACGGTGCGGCTGGAGGAGGAAAGACTGGCAAAGCGAGGAAGGCGAGAGATCGCGCCAACCCGCTAGCAGGCCGCCTCTCACGCCCAGCAAGACCGGGCACCATCACCGGCGATGCTAATGTCAGCGGCCAGGTCTTTGCCATCCGCGGAGCAGCAAACGCAGCGGGAGCCGGCGCAGCAGGTGGTGGTGGCAAGGGAAAGGCTAAAGGTGGAAGAGTACCAGGAGGCGGAGGAGCGAATGGCAATCATGCCCCGTCCTCGTCCTTCAACACGCAGGGTACCATCGGAGTCCTGCGGCGCTTCCTTGCCGCCAGATGGAATGGCAGTGCCAACTTCCTCAATCTTGACAACATGAAGGCAGACAATATCCTCAAGGAAAGCAACGTCATTGCCCCCGGTCAGCCTGGCGCCCATAAGGACATCGGCGCCGTCATGTGGAAGCTGGCTGCTGAGCTCTACCCTGGCCTCACGACGCTCTCCATGGGCAATAACGACCTCAAGAATTTGGCGCCTCTCGCCGCTCTGCCACAGCATCTGCCCAACATTCAAAATCTGTCGCTGGAGGGCAATGATCTCAAGTGGGCAAAGGACCTGACGACCTTCAGCAAGAATAAGAACGGGACGCTCAAGAATTTGAGGGAGCTCATGCTCACGGGCAACCCGATGCAGGCAAATGCAGCAGCGGCTATGAACGAGGAGGGTGAGCAAGGTTTTTCGTGGCACAAGGTTCAATTCTACTCGACGCTGATCATCTTTCTCCTCCATCTCCCTCGTGCCAGGCTATCGCGCCGAAGTCCTCTCGCACTTCCCCACCCTCACCCTCCTAGACCGAGTCCCCGTCACGCCCAAGGAGCAAGCAATCGCGCAGCTACCCTCGTCCTCCAAGGGCGGCCCGTCCGGCAAAGGCAAAGGTGGCAGCGACCCCTCAACCACTCTTGGCCCAGACACGCCTACCAAGCCCTTCCCTTCCACCCTACACATTAAGCCAGGCTTCTCCGACCCATCGGCCGAATCCATCGTCCCTACCTTCCTGGCCAAGTTCTTCCAACTCTACGACTCTCAACGAGATAGCGCAGACCTACGCGCCGCGTACGCCTCCAATGCTACTTTCAGTCACTCTCTCAATCAGAGAGTCAGCCCACGATCTCAAGCTGCTGGCTATCTCACTTCGGCGGAGATGCCGCGCCAACGTGACCTCAATTGGCACGGATACACTGGCAAAGGGCTCAATAGCCACGACATCATGAGTCTTGGGAGCAAGAGCGCCTCAAAGGGTTTCCCGGTGGGAGCAAATGCGATCATGGCTGTGTTGGCTAAGATGCCCAAGACGACGCACCCCCTCAATGATGCGAGCAAGTTCGTGGTGGACTCGTGGCTCCTTCCCAACCAGGCGGTGGGAGCATTGGTGGGGGCCGACTCGAGCAGTGGTGCTCAGCAGAATGGCGGCGGTAGCACAGAGCAGAGGCCTGAAGCGGTCCTGTTCATCAACGTCAAGGGGGAGTATCAAGAGCATCCCTCGATGGGATATCGCTCCTTCGATCGGACGTTCATCGTCGCTCCATCCGCGCCCGGCTCTACGGCGGCTAACGCAGGGTGGCCGTGCGTGATACTCTCGGAGCAGCTGACTGTCAGGCACTACAGCGGGACGGCGTCGTGGAGACCAGGACCGCTTGCGTCTGGCGATCAAGCGCAACAAGCTCTACAACCTCAACAACAGCAAGGTCAGCCCTCCGCTGCGGCGCCAGGCAGCGGCCCTCAACCCCCACCAGGGATCAACGAGCAGCAACATTTCCTTTCCCTCGAATTTGCGCGGCAGACAGGCCTCACTTACCCTTTCGCTCTGCAGTGCTTGCAGGAGAATGGCTGGCAACCTCAGGCTGCTATGGAGGTCTTCCAGAACTTGAAGGGGCAGGGGGCTATTCCGCAGGAGGCATTCGGACCAGTGGCATAGTAGGGGAGGCATGAGGATGGATGCAGCCAAACGAAGTAGCGAGTGGAAGCAGGAGACAGAGCAGCGAAAACATGAGAGATGGATGGGCAGTGAGAAGGAGGCGGTGGAGCATGAGGGACGACGAGCCTGGCAAGAAGAAAAGCAAGACACGAACCAGGCAAGATCCACGCACACACACACGAGCTGGTGCACCCACGCTCTCTTCCATGTATTACATTTGGAAAACGAATTCAAACAGAGCAGCACAAGCTGCGCCTTTCTCTCTTGCTCTAATCACTCAGGCTCAAGACGTTTTGTGACAGTGATGATCAAGTTACGCATTGCTGATATCTTTTCTACTCCTCCTCCTTTGCGCCTCCCGCCCCCTTCTCAACAACAAAGAATCCTCTTCTCGTCCTCTTTGCACCCTTCAATGCTTCGTCCGTCGAGAGAATGCGCGTTCCTTCCTCCTCATCTATCTTCACCTCCTGCCTTTCCACCTCTTGGTCCATCTCCTCGTACTCGTGTCGCATCTCATCCCTTACCCGCCCATCCACTAGCCCCACCGTCCCCTCCTCGTCTTCCCTCAAGTCAAGCTTCGGCGTCCGCCTGACCACATCGATCAATCGCTTCGTTTCGCGCATCTCATCTTTGAGCTTCTGCACCTCCTCCGGATCGGTAGGCATCTCGAGCGCGCAAAGCTTGTGCAGATGGGCGAGCTGGGCGGTCGTGAAGCCTTCGTCTTCGCTTGCAGAGGAGAGGAGGGAGGTGACTGACCAGGTGGGCTTGGAGGGAATCGCTGGGTGGCGACAGGATGAGGATGAGATGGACGCAGGGCCAGAGGAGACGAAGTGCAATTGCTCGTCGCGAGCCTTCTCTCCAGAGTTGGACTGGCGCTGACGAGCCGAGGTGTGCAAGGAGCGACGCCCACTTGGCGATGCCGCGCTCACGCTAGATGGGATCTAGTGAGGGTGAGAAAGCGGGGGCTCGGTGGTGAGCCTTCATTCATGTACATTGACGGCGAGGCCTTCTCACCTCTCACATCAAGCACGCACCTCTCGTTGCTGCTGCTCCACGTCTTCCACCACTTCACTTGCGCCCTCATCGTCCCTCTCGATCTGACTCCCAATCAACTGCCTGAACGCGCTGCCCGGCTTGTCTAGTGCCTCAAAGGAGCCACTCTCTACGATCTTTCCGCCTTTGAGCACTACAATACGCTGCGCACTCCTGATCGTACTGAGACGATGCGCCACGATCCAGACCGTGATGTCTCCCTTGCGAATGATCTCGCTGATCGACTGGTTGACCAAATGCTCCGACGCCGCATCAAGCGCGCTAGTCGCCTCATCCAGGAGCAACACTTTGGGCCGTCGGCAAAGAGCCCTCGCAATAGCCACACGTTGCCTCTGTCCACCGGAGAGCTGCCTTGCCCCGATCTCAGTATCGAGTCCCTTGGGCAACTGCTCGATAAACTCCCAACAGTTGGCCATCTTCGCTGCCTCTTCCACCTGCTGGCGAGAGGGGGTCGGGTCGGACCCGTACGCAATGTTGTCGAAGACTGTACCGGCAAAGAGGATCGGGTCCTGCGTGACTACGGCGAGTTGGTCTCGCAAAGCTGCAGGGAGGATGTCGGTGATAGGCGCCCCGCCGTAGGTGATGCTGCCATGTGTCGGGTCGTAGTAGCGGAGTAGGAGGGAGTGGACAGACGATTTGCCTACACCGCTCCCTCCGACGAGAGCGACGGATTCTCCCCTCTCGATTGTGAGGTCAACCCCATCCAGCACCTTGACTCCAGGGCGGGAGGGGTACTCGAAGTGCACATTCTTGAACTCGATGCGCGCTGATCGCTTCTCTGCTTCAGTGAGATCGCGTCCCTGGTCAAGCTTGATCTCGCTCTCCCTGTCAACTAGCTGGAACACACGCGCTCCGGCTCCGACGCCCTTCATGAGGGAGGCGAAGAAGGAAGTCAAGTTGGCCAGACCACCGCCGAGATAGGCGGTGTACATGAGTAGAGATGTGAGGTCGCCCACTGTGATGACGCCGCGCGACACCAGGGTACCTCCGTATGTCAGGAGGACGAGGATAGAGCAGTTGCCCACAAATCCCGTGCCGGCGTAGAAGAAGCCAGTGGCGTACGTCTCCTTTGTCTCCAGCTTGGCGATCGAGTTGACCTTCTCATCGAAGCGGCGTTGCTCGCTGCGCTGCGCGTTGAAGGCCGTCACCGTTCGGAAAGCCTGCGAGTTCAAACGCTCCTCCGCTGTCCGTGTCATCTGTCCTACGGCCTCTTGCACCTTGTTTGTCAAGTCGCGCAGGTATCGCCCGTAGAAGACGGCGCCGATAGCAGCGGGGGGCACGACAGCCATCATCAAGAGCGTGAGGGCGGGAGAGATGAGAAACATCGTCGTGCCAGAGAAGAGAACCGTCAAGCCTGCCCTCAATCCGTCGCCCAGCTCGTACGTGACGGCATCGCCCACAATGGACGTGTCTACCGACAGTCGCGAGATAACATCCCCGTGCGACTTGTCGGCCCACTCAACTTCCTGCTTGACTGCATTTCCAAAGCAGCGCTGCCTGATCGCTTGCACGATGCGCACTCCCGCCAAATTGAGCATGATGGACGAGCCCGCCCTAGCTGCCGCTCCAGTCGCAAAGACGAAGACCATCAGTGCTGCGACGGACTTAAAGCCGAGACCAAAGATGGTCTTTTCACCACCTTTCTCGTCCTGAGAGGAGGTGAAGAAGTCGATAACTTTGCCGATGGCGAAGGGGACGAGGAGGGATATGCTTGCCGATACAAGGAGGAGGCAGAGGCCGAAGACGAGGGTCTTGCGCTCCGGTCCTGCAAGGGAGAAGAGACGCTTCATGTCTGGGTAGGTAGGAGGGGCGACTGTTTCTTCTGAGCCCGAACCGGTGCCATTACGGGAAGCTGCTTTGGAGGCCGACTTGAGAAGGGCATCGCGGACTTTTGCAAAGATACCAGACGATGAGGCGGGAGCAGTGGACGGTTTGACAGGTGAGTCAGGTTGAGATTTGGAGTCGGGTGATGCTTTCGCTGCATCGGACTTGGAAGGTATTGGGTCTGCGGCCTTGGAAGAATTCCAGCGAGCCTGTGGTAGTATTGATCTGGGTATCGGCTTGACGAAGGTGACTGGCCGTGATGCTACCACATTGCACGAGGTTGTATGCAAGCTTCTGGCCAAAGGAGCCGCCAAAGCCTGGCGACCGCAGGCCGTCGCGCTCACAAGGATGCGCTGGCCCGCGAATAGCGACATGGGCTCCGAGTAGAGGGGTTTCGGAGGAGAAAAGAGTGACGAAGTGTTGGAGCTGTTGCTATGACGAGGGCATGAAAGGCGGCGTGATGAGGATGGGAACCAGTCGTAGGAAGCTCCCACTGACCCGCCCGCCGCTCGGCCAACGTCGGTGAGCTCAGCTTCAACGGCAATGCAGCCGCGGCAGGCCGATGGCGGGGTCCACTTCCGTGCGAGGCTACGATGCAGCTGCATCATTTTTGGGATCAGCTTCATCCTCGAGATCCTCCATATATGCATGTCATGGACCACCTTGGCTCCTCCTCTTCCCAGCAGCTAGCTCAGGCTGCTCGACAGGATGTCCAGCCCTTCTTCACTGCTCGCATATTCCCACTCAGCAGTGATGAGGCTGCCTTTGATCGCCAAGGGCTCCTCGCTCTTAGGCTCAGCCTGCAACGCCACCTCGACGACTTCCTAGCCGGTCCGCAACCTCATGGCGCAGAGGGATACGTATTCTATCGCTCACAGCCTATCATTTCTATCTCTCGGGGCATCAAGAAGGGCACTCAAGTGGCGCCTCCCCACATAAAGCTGTCCCTCTCTACAGGCGGAGCCACAGAGGACGAGTTCCTCCTACTCCACTTCCTAAGGCTGCAGCAGAGACCTGGAAGCTTGCTTCGCGACTACGCTGTCCAGGTCATAGATGAAGATGGCGAGCTACTTCTCATTGAGGCTGCTGACCATATTCCGGACTGGATTGACCCGGATAATGCGGCTGGTAGGGTGTGGCTGGTTCAAGAGGAGGTCAAAATCCTGCCCGCTTCCTTGGATAAGGGCGATGCTTCCTTCCAAGAGGACGCTGCTTCCATTGGACCCATTGCAGACATCAACACCAGCCTTCGGCTTCTTCAGGATCACGCTGCAGCTACGAGCACATCCTCCGATCTCAACATCGCTGCCTTCTCACGAATGGCTACCTACCCAGGAACTGAATGGACAGATACTGTGCAGCATCGCACAACAAGTATCGTACCTTCCCTGTCAATCGCTCGAGCTTTTCGCTCGCGGCCACAGCTGATCGCGAGGGCCGGGCAGGCATTCTTAGGCAGAGACGCTAGAGACGCGAGGATAGCCAGCAGGATGGCCAAGTTACTGCCTCAGCAGTCTGCGTCAACGTCACTCGGCGCTGCCTCTGCAGCTGTCCAAGCCGAACCGCTGGGCTTTCCCATCACCCTCTCGCGTCGGCTATACACCCACCTCCTCTCAGCGCGCTATCACCCACCCCAACCTTTCTCATCAGTGTACCGAGACCAGGTCTCTTCCTTCTGGACGGCACTGGACTCGCTCGCATCCCCAGAAACGGAGACCAGCGCATCAGAGCAAGAGAGGCAACAGCGCGCCTCAACACTGCAAGAGGGCAGGCGATGGGACCTTGGCTGTAAGCTTGCTGTTGGTTTGGAAATTGCGTTCGCTAATGACTTGGAACGTCGCAGCTCTGCGAACAGAAGGAAGCATGATGTTTTCGCCTCGTCGTCGAGCAGCGGTGCAGCTCACGGAAGCGAGTCGGAGATGGATCCTCGACAGCGACCCGACTATGGGGCCTTCATCGCCAGATTGGAGAGCTTCGGCTTCTTCGAGGGACAGATGAGAGGTAGCAAAAGATGGACGGAGCTTGAGGAGCAGGCCGTTAAGGAGTGGGGTGTTGGCAGGAAGGCGCCTGCCCCCAGTAGAGCAAAGGATTCGTCAGAAGAAGAAGATGGCGAGGAGGATGCGTTGGGAGAATGGACACAGACCCCAACCCTGTTGGCCTCCACACCATTGCCCGACCTCGATGTCATTCCTCCCACCGACCTCGCAGCCTTGGCCTCCCTGGAGCAACCCGATACCTGGCTCTACGAAGTCGGGTCGACCTTCCTCGACGCCGGACCGGATGATCTCGATGGCCCTTCGAACGAAGAGCAGGAAGCACAAGCTCGCCTGTCCCACTTTGCGACTCAGATGGAGAAGTTCGTCGAAGGGAAAGGGGACGTGGAGGGGGCTTTGATCGATGAGAGTGGGAGTGAGGATGATAGTGAGGACGAGGAGGAAGTGAGGGAGCAAGTGCGGGAGAGGCTAGCCGCAATGAATGATGAGCAGAGGGATCACGAGCTGAAGAGGGTGCTCCCAGGGTTCGCGGAGAGACCAGGCTGGGACAAAACGGGTGAGCAGGATAGCGAGCGTATGGAGGAGGATCTACGAGCGATGGAGGAGAGTCAGGCGCGTCTTGAAGCCGAGGAGAGCGTTGCTGCCTCATCACGCCAGGACGATGGCGCCGACACGGCCGGCCCTCCTTCCTCTGGAAAACGCGCCCTCTCCAACGCAGAGCTACGCTCCTCCCTCGCCTCCTCTGCCAAAGCCTTGAGGTCATCCAACCTCTCAGCCAACAATTTTGAAGGAGCCGAAAGTTGGGAGCTTGGCGGCAGTGACGATGATGCTGAGCTCGATGAGGATGGGAACGCACTACCTCAGCTTGATGAGGATGGGATGCCCGAAACGAAGGAGACGCGCAGACGACGGGCGGAGATGCTGGGTCTGGAGCCGAGTGATGATGAGGACGACGAGGAGGAGGAGGACACTGTGCAGGTTGGCGCAGGAGAAGCGGACAAGAGGTCAACCTTCCAAGATGATGTGGCTGAGGAGATGGACGAGTTCCTCTCTTTTGCTAGCAAGGAGCTTGGCTTGACTGCTGGGCAGCTGGATAAGATCATGCAGCAGAGGAGGGACGAGGGGAGATGGGTACCGGGAAAAGAGCAGAAGGATCAGGCGCCGCAGCAGCAGGCGTCCGCGTCTTCTCATCCCGCTGCTGCTGCCTCGTCGACACCCGAATTTGGCAAAGGCTTCGGGAAGGGCTTTCTCAATAAGAAGGCGAGAAGGCCAGCAGCACTGTCGGCTGGTGCGCCACCGCCAGCATCGTCGCTCAAGAAGCAGACCACATCATCGAACGGCGCCTCATCTGCTGTTGAACAAGATGGTATCAGTTCCGTCAAGCCCAAACGTGTCGCCTTCTCCTCGGACACAAAGTCCTCCCCCACCACTGCCTCTTCTCCGCCTCAAGCCACCGTCAAGTCCCCTCCCGCCTCCTCCAATCCCTCGTCCAACCCATTCTCAGCATTCGATACCCTCCTCTCCGCCCTGGACGATCGGCTCAACCAACATCGCGCCTCAAAAGGTCTGCCGCCCCTTACACAGGAAGAGCTGCAGAACGCCCCTATTGAGGGTGCAGATTGGGCCAACAGGAGACCAGGTGGCGCCAGTTTGGGGAGCGTCTTCGCGAAGGAGCAGGCCGAGAAAGAAGGAAGGCCGGCAGAGGACACGCCGCAGCCGGCTGGTGGAGCTGCTGCCAGGCCTGGATCAGACTCCCAGCTGAAGGACCCTATAGAAGCTACTGCCTCTGCTGTCCCTTCCTCTGCTACCGTTGACGACGGCTCCGATGAAGACGAGGACATGCTGCCCCTCACAGCGCAAGACCCGGCGAAGTTGGAGCGCCTTCTTCGCGAGCAGGTCCCTGAAACGCCCACCTTCAAGGAGATGGTTGAGCAACTTGGGAAGGAGAGGGAGGAGAAGGCTAAGCATACTCGGGAAGAAGGGCACGCTGATGAACCGGTACGGCTCGGCGATGATATGGGCCACAATCGCATCACTGAGCTCCCGTCCGATGCTGCTGAGGAGATCGATCGAGACGCAGAGATGCCTGGTCTGGAGTCCTCAGATGAAGAAGACGAGTCGGACGAGGAGATGTTCCCAACCATTGTACCTGATGCCCAGCAGGGAGAGGATGGCGGGATGGCGGACCTGCTGGAGTCGTGGCGAGCCCAAGGTGGTCGACCTGGTCCTGTGGGAAACCTGGTGGGTGGGATGGGAATCAAAGGGCAGGCGCCGCGCTAATGCAGAGTACTTGCTAAGTGAATGCCAATTAGCCGTGACTCGAGCCGAAATCGCCGTGTGTCATAGATGAAGGGGGGCCGGGGAGACCGGTGTAGGGACTTGTTGAACCCATTGAATCGCCGAAATCGTCGCGCGTGCTCCCCACTCTCGAATGTGGGTCTATCGCCAAATTCTGCGGCGCATTGGGAGATAATCCGGCCTCAAGCTGTGCGAGCTCCTCCTTGACTACGTGCCTTGCAGCGCCATCAAGCTCCTTTGTCACCTGAGCGAGCATCTTCTTGACCTTGCCATCCGCTTTGTTGATGGCGTCTACCACTTGTGAGGCGAGAGGAGGAAGGCTGCTTGTGGTAGCAGTCATGCCCTCGCTGCCGTCTTCCGTCGGGGCCAGGCCAGTGGAAGGGCCTGGGGCGCCGAGGTAGGTGAGAAGTTTGGAGTAGATCTCGATGAGGATGTCGGCGAGAGTGGTAAATGTCTGAAAGAAGTCGAGGGCAAAAGGCTACGCGGTGCAAAGAAGTGGAAGTCAGGCCTTTTCTGAATACGTGCTGCCTGAATCACGGACATCGCTGCGACTCACAAGATGGCCACCAGCAATCTCGCTGCTCGCTCCGCTGACCCCACCCATCGTGCTCATCCCAAAATCCGGCGGATGAATATCGCTAAACGTCCCTCCCTTCTTTTGGCCCTTGTTTTTGCTCGACGAGAACAAGCTGCGCACGCTTCTCTTTTCCGACGAGACACTCCCCCCTCCGGCCGAAGACGATGGGTAACCCGCAGCGCTCAATCCTGCGGATGAGCTGCCCGCTGTCTCTGGCAGCGCTTCGACATCGGCGAGGGCAGAGCCGAGGGAGCGTACGAAGTCGGGCAGGGACATGCTCGTTTGCTCAACCAAAGGGGACAGAGCGAGTCCTAGCACGAGGTGCCGATAAGAGCGACGTCGCATTCTCTCTGTATCGTAGACGTCGGCGAGGTCGCGCGGGCTGAAGAGGACTGTAGAGGCGTAGAGATGTTTGCCCGCTAGCACACCCTTCAAGTAGACGAGTAGCGCGATGCGTCTTGTGAAGGAGTCGCAGAGGATGTCGTTGACTGTCAACGAGGAAGCGCCACCGGGTCCCGGTGGGACTACGCGTGATGGTGTGTTGCTGGTAGAGGACGAGGCTTGTGTGCCATGCCCAATGGTGGATGACGAGGCCATCCTTCGCGGCGGGGGCGAAGAGGAAGACAGGGGGCCGCGTGGTAAGATCGGAGGGGGTGGGAATGCCATTCGACCCTGAGAGAACGCTGAGGCGAGCGAAATTGAGGGCCGATGTTTGCTGAATTGGATGAGAAACAGAGGAACACTTCAGAGCCGGCGCTCGGGCCTCCTTTCATTCCAGGCCGCATCAACTCGTCGCCTGTGCCTCGCGTGGCCTCTGTCTCGGAACGAGGATTGAGATTGGCCAACCAACACCACAAAGCGCAGCGACTCCAATCCTTGTTGTCGCCTCATCGTATCAGCCTCCTTTTCGTTTCATCGGTCGTCTGTGGCCTGTCATCTACTCCGTCATCATCTCTCTGCCTAGACATGGCGGCCATCGAGGCATCGTCGGGTCTCGATGACTTTCTCAAGCTATGCCCATCACCGCATACAGTGCAGCGACTCCTCGCCTCAGATCAACACACGACAGAGGACAAGGCACAATGCCTCGAAAAGGTGGTGTTGCGCTGCGCATCTAGCGGAGATGTCCATCTACTGGCTTGGATCCTCGAGGCAAAGAGCTACGTATCACAACAGCAATCGGCACAAGGGCCTCCGGGGTCCCAGGCCCTCGCAGTATTGCGCCTTGATGAGCTCCGAGATGAGGACGGCGAAGGCGGAGACAGCGGTACTGAGGCGCCCTTCATGGGACCACTTTGTCTCGCTGCCAGTTCAGGTCACATCGACGTAGTCAAGCTTCTCCTCGACTACGGCGTCCCTATCGATGAGCAAGATGGGCTGGGCTGGACCCCGCTTATGTGGGCCGTCAATTCTTCCAATCTGCCCCTTGTCGACTACCTGATCCGGAGAGGCGCAAATGTGGAAGCTCGCAGCCACAAGGGTACCACTTGCGAGGACTTCATCGTCTCCATTGCGCCAGAGGAAGTTTCGCAGCCTTCCATGTATCACTACGCTCCTCGTGCTGCACCAGCAGCTGGACCCTCGAGCCCGCGGTCAAGAGATCGACAACTCATCGCCGATGCAATCTTCGACCGACTCCAGATTGCCGCAGCATACAGCGAAGCTGACCAGAGCATCGACAACTTCAGCGTCGCCCCTTCTCCTTCAGGTCGAGGAACCCCATCGACGCCGTCTCGCTCACATAACCGCGCAGTCTCCATCGATTCGACCCCTGCTGCAACACCGCCAAAAGCACGCGGTCACTCCCGCACACTGACCCATCAATCCCCAATGATGTTCGCGACGACTTCGTCGACTTCTCGGCGTCTGATCGGCAAAAATGAGCGTCATCAAATCCAAGAAGCCAATTTGAGGACAAGAGAAGTCGCAGAAGGGAGAGGTAGAGCCTTGCTCGACATGAGCGTCCTCCTCGACGTTGACTTCTCTTCCCTCGTCGGCGAACCACCGCGTGAAGACCATGACCACTCATCTAGCTCCTGGGCCATCAAGAGACGCAGCAGCAAACAAAAACGCCGCAACCCTCATCAGCCCAACTCTGCCGCTCAGCGTCGTCGCAACGATCTCGGTCTTCTTCCTGGATGCGGTGCCCTTGAAGTGGGCGCTGACCCTCTCTCTGTGGGCTTTGACTTCGAGCAAATCCTTCCAGACCAGATGATGGTATTTGGGGACGGAGACATCGACCCGCTACTGGACATGATCGTCAGCCACGCCAAACCAGTTCGCGCCCCCTGGATCGCTCGCGCCGAGCCTGCCAACGCGGTCTTCCTGTGCTTGCGCTACGCTGCTAGCCTAGGAGACGAAGATCTGCTCATCAATATGCTCTACGCCACTCTTGAAACGGTGGAAGACCTAAGCCGTGCCCGTGAGGGGGACGTGGTGAGCCAGGCCTTCTGGCTATTTAATATGATGCTCCTCCTCTACTACACACGACGAGACGTGACGCTCAGCCAGCTGCCCAAGATGAGGGAAGAGGCGCACCTCTTCATTCAGGACCTGGTCAACGAAATAGTCGTGGCCATCATCAGGGATGTGGAGCGCCGTATCTCCAAGGTGCTGGAGGTGGCCCTGCTTGAGCATGAGGCCATACCGGGCTTTGAGGATGTGCGATTCGAAGGAGAGTGGAACTTGATCAAGACGCTCAAAGGAAGCGTGAGGGCGAGCACCGGTGGAGGAGGGGCAAATAGCTTGAGACACAAGGGATCGGCGAGACGGCCACTCAGTCAAATCTTCTCGCAATTCAAGGAGGGGAGTGAGGAGAATGAGGCCAGGGCAGGGCCGATGATGATGAGCCCGATGACGGGCAGTAGCTCAATGCGCGGCGAATCGTATGCTATGAGCGGGCGGCCGCCACCGCAGCCTGGTGCTGCTCTTGGAAGCAGCACTGACTCAAAGCTCTCTGCGGCTGAGCAGCTCAGCCATCCTACACCGCGGACTGTCACGTCAATCCTGACGGCGGCGCTGCATGTGCTTCAGCTCTACGAGATCAACCCAGCAGTGATCGTCCAGATATTTTCGCAAGTCTTCTACTGGCTGGGCTCGGAGCTGTTCAACAGGGTGAGCCGGCGCCGCCCACGTTGGTCTTTCTGATTCTCTCGCTGATCCCCCTCCCTTGCTCGCCACTCGAATGTAGGTCCTCACCTCCAAGAAATATCTCTGTCGGTCGCGTGCTATGCAGCTAAAGCTGAACGTCTCCACACTGGAAGACTGGGCGCGCTCTAACGCTCTTCCCCTCGGGATAGTCACTACCCACTTGGCCCCGGTCAACCAATTGATCTCCTGGCTGTCTTGCCACTCGACCCTGCGCGACTTCCCAGCCCTCATCGCCACTCTGCAAGGTCTGCATGCTCTTACACCTATGCAGATGCGTAGGGCTGTCCGCGACTACCGCTACGAAGTAGGCGAGCCACGCATGAGCGAGGAGTGTAGGCAGTACTTGGATCAGCTGGTGGGAGACTGGCAGAGGAGTGTCGAGGTGCAAAGGGAGGCGGAAGAAGAAGGGAGGGCGAGAAGGGAGTTGGAGAGGATGAGACGGGAGATCCTGAGGGAGGACGCCAAAGCTGCACTGAGGGAGGCCGGGAATGGCGAAGAGGAATCGGTAGAGCGTCATCACCGCTCCGGGACGACGACGGAGCGTGGTGTCAATCCAGACAGTCGATCACCTACACCGCCGCCCAAGGACAATTTGGGGGCCGACACGAGCGGAAGCACAGTACACATGTCATCTTCCCCACATATCATGGGCCGTACAAGTTCCCTTGGACTGGACCTGGGCAGCACTGCCTCTCCTCACGACCTCAATGGCGCTCGACACATGGCAGGTCCGCAGCCACCAAGCAAGGATGGCCTCCCGTCGCCCGCCGACTCAGAGAGCTCCATCGCTCTCCGAGATCGTGAGCGAGACGAGGAAGCCTCACGAGCTCAATCACTCGTCGACTCGCTCTTTCTTCCAGGCAGATCCATCGCAGACTTTGTACCTAGTCGTACTACCCTTGGCTCCTCAGCGACGACCACCGCGCCGATACGGGAGCTGTTCAAGTCGTCAGCGATGCTGCCCTTTGCGCTGCCTAGCAGTACCGAGGCACTCATCGTCTCGCCAGGGGATGCCTTTGGCTTCGGTAGAGGTCATTTTGCTGGGACTGGTACACCCTCGCTGAGGCATGTGAGGGGCAATGCGGGAACGCTCGCTGTGGGCGCTCAGGGAACGCCAGGTGGCAGCGGGCCCGGATCAATGACTTCGACGAGGGACTTCCTGCAAGTACCGGGCACGCCAGGCTCATCGATAAGCGCAACTCGTCGCGCCTCTATCGTCGCCTCCTCTCCCACCTCTGGCTCTGCCGCGCAACCCGAGGACATTGACGACGCCCTGTCCGAATCGTCGGCCGGCGCTCCCTCAGCCACTTCCACATCCTCAGCAACAAGCAGCACACTCTTCGCCACCGGACGCGGCTTTGCAGCCGGCGGGTACTGGCAACCTGTTCCTCTCCTGCGGGATGAAACCTTCGAAGCTTTGGGCGTCATGATGCGCAAAGAGGCGGAAAAGCAATGGATTGCTCTGGCGAGGAAGAGACGTGCTGCGCTGGCGAGCTTGAGGGAGGAGGGGTTGGCGCTTCCGGAGCAAAGGAGAGGGTCGGGCATGAGCGCCCGCTCTCCGTCGGGGCAGATTGACAGGAGGGTGAGTGGTAGCAGGCGGAGGGTAAGCGAGCAGAGCGAGACTGGCGCCCGCTCTGCGTCTGCGATTACTGGCGACGATAGCGTGGTCATCAACAATAACCGGACGAGCCTGGATGCATCTGCGGAGAGTAGCCCCCACCCGCAGCATGCCGGCTCCCCCCTACTGCTGGACGTCCCGCACTACACGACCCGTCCGACCGCTTTGCAGGCTCAACATGGCCAGCTCAGGCGGCAACCCTCCTTTACCGGGTCTAGTGGGTCGTTGGGCAGCGAGAGTGATGATGAGTCCTACGGCGAGGTGCGCCCGCCCTTATCCGCTCCTCGCCAGGAGCAGGAGGGAGAAAGGCCTCGCTCCACCTCTCCTCGTAAACAGCTCCTCGCCCTCGGTGGCGCTTTAGCCCGTAAGGCGGCAGACCGGCTCGGTGGGCCTCCTCCCACGCCAGGATCAGGCGACCCAGACTCGGTGGGCGAAGCCGGTCGGCGATTACGCAAAGCTGCTAGCCGGCTGTTTGAGCAGCCACTCACCCCTGCGGATGAAGAGCAACGTCACCGAGATGCGCTGCTCGCTCAAGCCAAACGGAAGGCCTCTGGCTTCAGTAGTAGAGCGGGACCGCTCAACTTGCCTGCGGCTAGTGCGAGCGGGCAGAGAGGCTGGGTGGGGGAGATCGATGAGTAAGGGCAGGAAAAGCCTGCTGGACAGGCGAAAGCTTTACATGTATGGTATTTGTTTGATGTCACTTCTCGGCCATGATAGATGATCAGGTGCTTTGCTTTGTATTCACACTCGTGCAACGGGCCTGTGACAGGATTGATGGTATTGTGTCTAGAAGAGGTGTTGGTACAGCATGTTGATGCGCGGCGGTCGTGAGAGGAGAAGAGAGAAGCAGTGAGAGAGGTCATGAGAAGGAAACCAACGGTTTACTTTGAGCTCTTTGTAGCGCTGGGCAGGGGAGCATTGAGTGCGTCTGAGATCTCGGCAAGAGTGGCTGCCCAGTCTTGCTGTTGGGAGGGGAAAGAGGGTCGAGGAGGCTGTGGCTTGGAGGCCGGGACTGGTGGCGACGCGGGTCGACGGGGAGGTGAAGCGGAGGGGGACTGAGCTTGACGAGAAGGGGAGGAAGATCGCATTGCCCCTTGCTCTCTCGCTCCTGCTGTTACCGGAGATGACGTCGAGTCGAGCGAAGGCACAGGCTTTCGCTTCCCCATCCTCGTGGGTGAGGTCGCGCGCATAATCGGAGACGAGGGCTCGTTGGAGACGCCGACTTCAGTGAAGAGGCTTTTGTCCATCGAGGCTGAAGCGGCCGCGGACGGCGACACCGGCGGCGAACTAGGTCGAGCAGGCCAGGGTCGATTCCCTCCAGCAGCTCGCGAGGGAGGCGAAACCGATCGCAAGGGGGAGGTGGATCGCAAGGGAGGCTGTGAGGCGATGCGACCGGTGGGCGAGGAAGATCTGAATGGCTGGCCTGAGCCATCTGGTAGACCAGTCGCAGAAGCGGAGCCCCCAAAGAGCTCTCGCGCGTCTGCCCTAGTTCCTCCACGCCCAAGCCCCCCCAAGCCCTCGCCCTGGGGTCCAGGCGCCTGGCCCATCTTCTCGAAGCGCTGGATGAAGCCGCTGGGTACCTCTTTCACCGTGTCTAGGCGAGCATCGCGAGGTTGCCACATGTCTGGGCTTGAGGTGGGCTGGTCAGGGGAGCCAGTCCCCATTGCTGAGTTGATTTGGGCGAGAGAGTCTTGCAGCGACGTGTCATGATCAGCGCCTGAGCCAGCCAGGCGAGGCTGCTGTCTTGAGCCCGGAGAGGAGGGAGCAGAGATTTTCCTGTTCCTCATATGAGGTGAAGATGGTGGGAGATGGGCTTCAAGACCCGGCAGAGCAATGGCCGTCTCCAACGACGGGCTGCTGGTCCCTCCTCCTCCTGTATGTTTGAAATTAGTTGGCAAGCCGATGAGAGACTTGTCGACCCCTCCCTTCCTCGCAACCGCTGCAGAGGACGACGAGCCGCCGAAAAGGTCCTTCATTGGACTAGTCGGCCTGCTCATGGGATTAGGCGCTGATGGCCCTGAGCTGATGCCTGCGGATGAGATGGAAGCTGCTGAGTCCTTGCGACCACGAGTGGGAAAGAGGGCACGCGACCTCTTTGTCGGGCTGCCTGGCGGTGAGGAAATGCTGAGATCGGCTGTGGCTGAGGCAGAGGCGTTGCTGCCGTTGGTGTTGGGCAGGAAGCGTGGGGAGAACATCTTGGTGGGTGAAGGGGAGCGATACGATGGGGTATGCGACCCGGCGTCGGTGTCTGAGCCGACGGGCGGGAAATCCTTGTTGCTGATTCCACTTGTGGAGCGCTTTCGGAATAGAGTGCCCGAGTTTGTGTTCGATGCTGAGGAGCGCCGTCGCAGCAGCGTACGTGATGGCATGCGCTGTATGCTCTCAGACTGATCGACGGAGGCACGGCGGGCCATAGGCGGCGGCGCAGATGGAGACAAGTGGCTGGTGGTTGAGTCCTGGCTGGCTGCGGGGTCTCCCTGCAGCTGTAGCTGAGATACCAGTGGCGGTGTTGACGATGCAGCGGGAGAGCCATCATCGATGGTATTGGGGCCGCTGCTGCGACTGCCACCTCCAAGGAAGGACATGATGCGCTGCCTCGGCGTTGGGGAGGCAACTCGTGGTGGAGGTGATGATGAGCGGAACATGGTGGTCGTCAATGGGTTGAGGGGTATAATGGGTGGTCGTTATGGGTCGTTTGTAGTTCGTGAGATTCGTAGTAAACCGTTGCAGAGACAAGTCAAGGTCAATTGCCTCGATGTGGAAGTCGCTCAAGTCAAGCCTCTCTCCAAAGGGGCGCAGGCCGATTGAGCGAGCGGGCCTTTGTTCCCCTCCCGTCGCCCGCCTGCGCGCTCGCGCCAATCTGTCATCCCGTCGACCCACGACTCGCCTTCCTTCTTCCCCACCTCAACAGGGCAATCGACCAGCCCAGCAGACCCGGTTCGAAGTCGACGCGCACTCTCACTGCGAGCCAACAACGTCCAGAGTCCAAGGTGCTGCACAGCAGACTGCCGTTGTCCCCCTTCTACATCGTCTTTGGTGAGTCTCGATAATCCCCCCCTTCCTCTTCCTCCTCTCTCGATCGAAACCTGTCCTTGCGAGCAACCCCTCCTTCATCGTATTCCCCATCGTCTTGCCCTGGCCATACGTCAACGCAGCACGTATGCAGAGCATCGCCGTCACCTCCTCCTCTTCTTCATCTTCTTCGACGACTTCCTAGTCGGAGACGGCCAGCGCTCCCTTTGCATCCGCCCATAGAGGCGCATACAGCCAGCCTAGCTTCTTATCCTCCCCCTTTACTCAACTCGGCGCCCTCGTCTTTCTTATGCCCGAGACTTTTCATCCTCGTCATCGCCCTCCGACACCATAGCTCACACTCTTTCATCCTCATCTTCCTCATCTTCCCGCGACTCATCTCAGCATCGAACAAGTTCTCACAACGCCAGCTCTAGTCGCACACCATGTCTTACTGGCGTGGAGACGACGATCCCTACGCACGTCAGCGCTCGCCGCCCGCAAGCCGCTACGACTACCGCGCTGAGCCGCCTTCTAGGTCGCCCGATTACACTCGCGGCGCCGCGCCTGAGCGAGGAGCCCCAGTCTATGGCCGAGGAGGTGAGGCGACAACGCTGGGCATTGTGCAGTCGTCCGACATCATACTGACCACTTGAGCTCTCTAAATCGCAGCCCGCTCACCATCGCCATACGCTGGCTACGATCGCTACCGAACATCGCGCTCTCCCTACTCATCCCGCTACCCAGCTGCTCCAGTAGACCGCGATCCATATGACCGCTACGACCGGTACGATCGCGAGCGCGAAGTCGTCGGAGGAGCACCCCCACCTCGTGGCTATGGCGATTACGACCGCGAGCGCGAGCGCGATCGAGACCGCTATGCGGCGCCGGAGGAGCGCTATCAAAGGCGTCCGCCCCCGGCAAGCGGCGAAGAGTACTATGGTGGCGGAGGGCGTGATCGCGAGCCTCCGCCTCGCCGTCGTCCCCCGGTCGAGGAAGTCGGTCCCATTCCCGACCCACTCGAGTCTCCTGCCCTCCTCCCCTTCAAGCAATTTGCCCACGTCCATCGCGCCCGCCAGGCAGCGCTCAATCCTTCGAGTTCCTCGTCGGACCTCTCGACGCAGGAGATGTTCAATCTCTACAAGCAGTACAAGATAGTTTACACCGCGCGCTCCGCAAGGAGGTTTTGGGAGGAAAAGAGGGACCTGCCCTTCTTCCTGGAAAAATACGGGCTGGGAGACGTGGAGGTCGAGCGAAGGCAGTCTCGCAGGCGCCAAGGCAGGCATGGCCGCAAGCAGAAGTGGTTGGAGGAGCTCAGCAGCGGCGCCATTGATGGGGTGGCCTTCGAGCAGCATTTTCCCTCCATCGCGGAGAGCAAGGCAGCCGGTGCCGGGTCGCAAGACTCGACCATCTTCTCGCGCTCTGGCGAGCCCATCAAATTGACATCCGACGCACTTCCCATCGACCCGTGCCCCGAGCAGCTCCTCGTCATGCGCATCCCACCAGAATGCAGTCGTGGTGCCATCGAGGAGGAGCTGGCCACGATGGACGGCTTCCGCTATCTGGCCCTGGGCGAAGCACACGCGAATAAAGCCTACTTCGCCATCGGTTGGGCGCAATTTGAGACGGATCAGAATGCGGCCGACGCTCGGCAGAAGATGATGGATAGCAACGTGGTGCAGCGCTATAAGTTGCAGCTTGACCTTGCGCTTCGCGGCGTCCAGGTCAAGTTCCGCAGCGCTCCCTCTGGTGCTGGGAGGTTGCAGAGGCTGGCAACGGATTTGCGGCAGGCGAAGGAGCTCGTGCGCTGGCTCGAGGCCGAAGATAGAGAGCAGCTCTGGCCTACAGGCGAGGAAAGTCCCCCGCTCGATGAGGCTGGTCGCTCCGCAAATGCCACAGACGCTTCGGCAGAGATCGGACGGAAGGTCTTTGAAGCGATGGGCATGACGCGCTACTACGAGGCCGACGGCTCAGAGCTGGAAGATGATGTCTTGCGCTCAATTGCGGATAATGAGCGTCTGCTCGACTCAGAGAGTTTCAAAGCCGCAGTGCGCAGCACGATCAAGAAGCAGCTTGACCTGCATTTGGATCTGCTTCGCGAGGTGTACCATTGCGACTACTACTCGTCAACCATCTGTGATTTCAGCGAGGAGCTGGTCCGCAGAGCGAGGGCGCACTACAGGCGGATGTACCCTGCTGGCGAATCAGAGGCAGAGCGTGAGGGCAGGCAAGAAGCCGGAGGAGGGACGGAGGAGTCGCTGAACGTAGGCGAAGAGCAGTGGGCGGAAAATTTGGATCGAAAGCACGCTCTCCTCCTCTCTCTGCCCAGCTCGGACATAGCAGAGCACGGTGGTGTCGACCTGGACAAGTTGATGCTCGATCTCGCGACGCCCTTTGCCCGTCAAGACGGAGAAGAGAAGCATCGCTGTGTTGTCCAAGTGGTCAATCCTGCGCACGAGAAGGCCCTTGCTGAGGGCATGGCGGCCGACGAGCCCGGGGTGCCTCCGCCAACGAAGACGTGCGACAAGCTTTTCAGGGCGCTTGTATTCGTTCAGAAGCATGTATGCAACAAGCATAGGGACATCATCGAGGGAGAGCTGGGTGAGGGCAGGAAGGCGGATATCAAGTACCTCAACAACTACATTAGGGACCCGACGAGGATCATGCCTCCCCTCAGTGGGAGCTTGGTAGCAGCAGTAAACGAGCGCGAGGCTCGCGGAGCAGGCGGAAGACCCAACGGGCACGGACATGGGTACAGCCAGTCACACAACTTCATGGCAGCGACACATAGCTGGGACGATCCGGCGGGCCTGTCCGCAGGAGACGGCGGTCGCATGGGGTTGATTCGTATGGGTCCCTCGACTGTCGTGCCAGGTGGTGGTGGTCGCAAGAGAAGGCGATCCCACTCCCCTCCCCCAGGGCTGCATCGTCGTGACTCCCGCCGGGGCGCCCCAGGCGGCCTGGAGGATCGTATGGCACCTCCTCCCTTGGGCGGCCCGCCTCCTATCCACCTAGCGCCGGGGATGGGAGCGCCCCCGCCTCTTCACCTCAGGCTCGGTGGGCTGGTAGAGAATGGCGGAGGCAGCAATGGATTCGCAGACCCGGACGCGCCAGCACTACCTGCCGAGCCGCTCCCTCCTGCACCCAGACCACTCGACCCGCGAGCAGCGAGGGGGAGGGACATGAGGAGCTATCAAGACTTGGACACATCGGGCGGTCCTGGCGCTGGAGGAGATGGAGCAGGAGAGGTCATGGAGCTGGAGTACTGAGAGGCGGACGGGCGCTCGCTTCGGGCTTTCCTCATTTGTTCAGCTACCCAACTCAAACTGTCATCTGCCGTCGTGCTACAAAAGAATATGCATCGTGCATCATCTCAGTCATTCTCAGGTCGCTCAGCCTCAGGTGAGCGGCTTCGTCGTGATCTCATCTGCATTGGGTATCAGTTGCTGCGCCCGCACACGCTCCGTCGATGTCTTTGTTGGCGGATCCCCTCAATTCAAGCTGCCTCTCAACTCCAACCACTCCCTCCTCTCCCTCTCGTGCTGCTTAACAATATCACGACGCTTCCTGACCTGGTCCTTCTCCATCTCCTTGCGCCCATCTTGCTTGCTGCCCCTGATGCTAGAGCTCGCACTAGCGCCCAGTGTAGGGTAGTCTCGTCCCGTTGAGGCGCGCAATTTGCCGAGTCCAAGTCTGTCGCGCTTGAGTTGAACAGCGATGGGTTCGAGGAGGGGCGCGGGACGAGGAGCGCTGTATGGACCGGTCGTTGATGATGAGTCCTTCTCTGGATTTTGCTCGTCAAGGGCAGCAGAGGGCGGCGAAGGAGATGCAGTATGGGTAGGCTTGACGCTGACGCTACGCTGCTGGTGCTCCTCACCTTGGAGCGGGCCGAACAGAACATCTTGTTGGGCTTCCTCATCATCGTTGTCCACCACGATCACCATCTCACTTTGCTTGCGTCTTCTCTCGCTCTCCTCCTTCTCTTCCTCTTTTATCCTCCTCGCCTCTTCCAGTGCAGCTCTCTCCCCCGCCAGGCGCCACTGCTCCTCCCCTACTCCCAGTCCTTCCCTCCATCCCATGGCTTGCAGGGCTTGATACCCAGAGTTGGAAGAGTCGATATAGAGCTTTGGCAGAGGTGGGCTGGCTGAGGCTATCTTGCTTGTGCCAGTGGTTGATGATGGTGCGGGCGAGGAAGGGGTGGATTGGGCCATGCGATGGGCTATGCTGTTCAAGTGGGCGCGGAGGATGGGTGCGGGACAGGGTGTCGGGAGAAGCTGCGAGCAGGTGGGACACGGCTGGACAGAAGAGGCGCGTGGTTGATGTGTTGCCAGCGAGGGCGGTGCGATACTCGTAGACGTCTCGGCGCTGGCCTGCGTAGTAGCGATGAGCTGGACGTCCTCTCGCTGCTCTCCCTCCCTCTGCTGGGTCATCTGACGCAGTTGCTCCTTTCGCCGCTGCTCATCGCGCCGCCTGTCCTCCTTGCTCATTTGCTCTGTAGCTTTTGCAATGAACCAATCGCTGCTCTGGTCAGCTGTACGCTTACGCTTAGTCAAGACGCGAGGTTTGAGCGCTGGGCGTGGTGGTGGCTGGGTTGGAGATGAAGGTTCCTGAGCGGTAGAGGCGATCTGAGAGGCTAGCTGTGCGTAGAGGGAGGCCATGCTATTGGTCTCTGCTGACGCGACCTCTGCTACTGGAGCGGTTGGCTCGCTCCCTCCTTTGTCTCCCGTCACCTCATCCCGTGTGGCCGCCTCTGCCACCTCGCCGTCTTGGTCCTCGCTTCGCGTCCAGTCGCCGCTCCAAGCTTCACTGGCCTTGGACTCCCTTACGAATCGCGGCTTGCCATTGGACGTGGGTACGGCGTTGGAACGACGTCCGAGGCCGCACTTGGCGGATCGCCTCGCCGCCTCATCCGCGTCATCCTCGAAAGATCGCGGCGGTGGACTGGCTCGGATGACAAAGGCTTGTGTTGCCATGTTGCGCTTCCTCTCCGTGAAGTGTCAGAATAGCTATCTATGCGGCGGCTCCATCGTCCGTTGTATGCTGATGGTAAGGGCGTGGCAAGGAAGTCGGGAAGGCTGGATGCGCAGCAGAGCGAATCCATTGCCGGCGGCTGACGAGACGTCGACGGACACGCCTCTGTCCGCACCTGACAATGGCGTATCTCCGTTGGCTCGCCGGACCCTGCGCATCCGTTGATTGAGCCCCTCTCTCCTCCTTTCTTCTCACTCCACTCGACCTCGTGCTGTTCCACTCCGATCCAAGCATCCATCCTCGCAGCCAGCAATGGCTGCTCTCGGCCCCTCGACCCCAACACAGCATGATCAGCGCAACGACGTCGTAGTAGACGAGGAGACGCCCCTCCTCTCCCCACCAACAGCAACGGCCCTCCGACGAAGACGAAGCAGTGCACGCCGCGCCACCTTTGTCGACTGGGGTAAGCGTCCGCAACTCTTGCTACGCGGCCTCATCGGTCTACTCGCCCTCCTCTTCGTCGCCTTGTTGGTCCTCGTCTTCTCGTATCGAGGTAATGCAGAGGACTCCCGTCCCCCCTCGAAGCCTCCCCTTCCCCCGCTCGATGATCGCGGTCGGCTCAACCCGCCCAACCTACTCGAGGGCAAGCACGGAGCTGTAGCCGCAGAGAATAGACAATGCTCAGAAATTGGCACAGCTTTGCTTCAAAAAGGCGGTTCAGCAGCTGATGCAGCTGTAGGGGCGACCCTCTGCGTCGGTGTATTGAACATGTTCTCAAGCGGCATTGGAGGGGGCGGCTTCGCCCTCATTCGCGCGCCTGCTCCAGAGGAGAATCCGTCTCAAGCAGGCACGGAGCATGTGGTAATAGATTTCAGAGAACAAGCTCCGGCTGCGGCATTCGAGGAAATGTTCCATGGTGCTACCGAGAAGGCCAAGTTTGGCGGCTTGGCCGTGGGAGTACCTGGGGAGCTCAAAGGGTTGGAGGAGATTTGGAGACGTTGGGGAAAGCTGGAGTGGGAGGATCTTCTGCAACCCAGCATCCAGTTGGCTAAAGAGGCAAAGGTCGGGAAGGAGTTGGCGAGGAGACTGGGCTACTTTGGCGGCTTCATGCCTGAGAAGAAGGAGTGGGCCGACATTTTCCTGGATGCAGAGACGGGCGGGTTCCTCAAGGAGGGGGATACGATCAGGCGACCGGCGTACGCGAGGACATTGGAAGCTATTGCGCAACACGGAGCGCAGGCCTTCTACGAGGGGGAGATGGCGGAGGCGATGGTGAAGAAAGTGCAGGCTGCGGGAGGGATCCTGACCACGGAGGATCTGCAGGACTATCGCATCGAGGTCAGGAAGGCAATTAATGGGACATGGCTGGACGGGCGTAGGGTTTGGACAAGCCCGGCACCTACTAGCGGGCCCGTCTTACTCGGGATGATGAACCTGCTCCGTCGTCTGGGCATCGAGGAAGAGCGACACCACGAGCAACACGGCTCACAAGGTGACAAGGACGCCGCTCGCCGCGCTCTTTGGGCCCACAGGCTGGTCGAAGTCTTCAAGCACGGCTATGCAGCCCGCACCCGTCTTGGCGACCCTGCCTATCTCAACCAGTCAGCTCTGGCCGAGATCGCCCAGATCCCAACACAGCGCCGCGCCTATCAGCTGGCAAAGAAGGTCGATGACACCCGTACTTTCCCCATCGATCACTACGCTCCCCTCTTTGACGTTCCGGAGGATCATGGAACAACGCACATCTCGGCAGTCGATTCGAGTGGTATGGCTGTGGGGATCACGAGCACAGTCAATCTCATCTTTGGCTCGCAGGTGATGGACCCGGAGACGGGCGTTATCTTCAACGACGAAATGGACGACACATCTACGCCTGGCACGCCCAATGCGTTTGGCCTCTACCCGAGCCCGTACAACTATCCGCAGCCGGGCAAGCGACCATTGTCGAGCATGTCGCCTGTGGTGATCGAGGATGCGCAGGGTCGCTTCCAGGTCCTCCTCGGGGCTGCGGGCGGGTCAAGGATACCCACGTCCGTCCTTTCCACGCTACTCAACATGGACATCAAGGGCATGGACCTCTCGCAGGCCATTGAGGCTCCCAGGCTTCATCATCAGCTCTTGCCCGATGTAGTGGCAGTGGAGTCTACATTTGACGAGTATGAGCTCGATGAAGGGTTAAGGGCACGCGGGCATCAGTTGAAAATCGACGATATCAACTTGGGCTATGCGAGTGTGCAGGGGGTGCAGGCGCGGCGTGACGGAAAGGAGAGTCAAGAGGTCACGTATCTGGCGAGTAGCGACTCGAGGAAAGCAGGGTGGGCTGCCGCGTATTGAGGAAGGGAGACGCAGACATGGACCCTGTTGTATACGACTTCTGCCAACCATTGCCTTTTGCTGAGCTTGTGAAAAAGCGTGCCGCGCGATGTATTGCTATCTCGTGAGCTCGCCAATGTCCAGCTCTGCATCGTCATCATCACCATCGTCGTCCACCGGCTCTGGCGGCGCTCTTCTCGCAGAGGCCGCTGCTGCCGCTTTCTCACGCATGGCCTCGCGTGAGGCTGTTGATGAGGGCGTGGTCGATGAGGACGATGAGGAGGACCGCGAAGACGATGATGACGACGACGATGACGATCTTCTGCGTCTTGCCGTCGGCCTCTCAGGCGCCTTTTCCTCGTCGTCGTTGTCATCAATCGCAACGACCCTCTCCATTCCCCTCACCTTTGCGCCACATCGCAAGCAATCCCACGCCCCGATCCCCCGATCTTGACTAGCTACCTGCTTCGCCTTTCCTTTCCCCTTTGCCTTCCCCTTCTCTCCTCGTCCGCCATTGGACTCGCCTTCCTCCTGCCCAACCGCACCCGCAGCCGCCATGGAGTCTTCCAATTCCTCTCCTGCCTCCTCACTCAAGAGCTTCTCCGCCAGGCACACGTAGCAATACTCGCACCCACAAGGCTTGGCCCTATACGCATTGTGTAGCAGGGCATTTGCATATGGCACTCCGTCGTTGCTCACACCGAAAGAGCGGGAAGCGTTGTGGTACTCCCGTCGAGTGGCAGAGGCGTTTGAGGAGGCTAGAGTATTCTGTTGTGAGGTCGATGGGGCTAGAGCGCTGGATGAGGGATCAAGAGGATCAGAGGAAGGGATGCCGACGTTTCCCAAAGATGACCCAACAGGGGAGGTCGAGGACGTTTCCGATTCCACTCGTTGCCAGCAGATGGGGCAGATACCTTCCGGCAGGTGGGAGTACTTGCCCGCTCCCTTCGACGAGGCATCGCCTTTGCTCGCGGAGGTGGGTAGGCGAAAGGGCAAACGATATCTCGGTCGACCAGAGATGGCATCCCTGTACAGGCCGACTCGCGCCGCAAACCATCGTGGCAAGACGGCGAGCCAAAAGGCGAGGATCCGCGGGTGGGTCGGCAACCTCAGTAGCCTCCTGAGCAAGCGCTTGGGTCGGATGATGGGCAGAAGGAAGAGGAGAAACTCTGTGAATGCATGCCATACGAGTTGTCGGTTGAGGAACTCGAATGAGACGTTGCGATTGAGCGTCCGTTCCGCGTAGGTAAGGCGCATCCCCAGCATTCGGTCAGTGATGGTGCGGTATTTGCCATCCGACAAAAAAGCCGCAAAGTTGACGAGAGCGAGACCCTCGTGCAAGCGTTGTAGCTTGTCCACCATAGACCAGAGAAGGCGTCGCGGGTCGTTCGCCGGCATTGACGAGAAGGAAAGAGAGGTCATATGTCTCGAGAGACGGGCGTATGCATAGGGGACTCCGATGGTCAAGAGAGGGTATAAAGCCAGCTGGACCTTGGACAGCGGTGCAGAGAGGAAAGTGGACTGCAAGCCACCACGATGCGCCCATTCATTTCTGTACCGCAAGTTCTGCAGCATGGCTCCGTAACTTGCACCATTGTCCCAGACGCTGTACTTGAACAAGACGAGCTTGAGTAGCGCGAGCAGTTCGGGCTCTATCCGATCGGGCAACGTATTCTTGATCTGAGCAAGCGATGTCTTGACAGGCTCAAAGAGGAGGGTGAGGAGCTCTTCGTCAAGCAGCTCGGCGTCCAGTTGGGAGACGCGTTGGATCCGCAGAGGGGCTGAGGGGAAGTGTGGCAGACGCCGACGGATTTGGCTGATGCGTGGATGCGCATCTGAGGCAGCTTGTGACCAGAAGTGGTCCAAGGAATTGCGACTTGAGCTCGCAATGGCGTTTGAAGGGCCACCATCGTCTGCCATTGCGGGACGCGGGTCGTAGTGGTGGAGGAAGATGAGAATGAATCAATTGGAAGCGGATGAATGAATAAATGCAGTCCTCGACCGGCAAATGGAGGCGGCCCTGCAGCTGAGTCTGAGCCGGAACGGGCTTGCGCGGGGCTCGGCACACGACAGGCAAGGGCGGAACCAGCAATTGAGTGCAAGGCCGTGCGCAGATTTCGTTCAACCGCAACCGCTACGCCGACGCCATGGCTACGACGGCGCTCGACGACATCCTGACTTTGCGCCGGGGACGCATCGGCATCCTGGACGGCGGTCAGGCCACCCACCTTGAGTCGCAGGGCCTCGACCTTTCTGGCCCACGTTGGTCTGCCGGCCTCCTAGCAAGCAAGGAAGACGGTGGGAAAGGTCGCGAGGCGATCAGGCGGGTGCATGCCGACTTTTTGGCTGCGGGAGCCGATGTGGTGGGCACGATGACGTATCAGCTCTGCGACCTGGCGTGGCACAAGGCGCTCGGCGGGTCAGAAGCAGAAGCAGGGGAAGTCCAGGGCTTGATGGGCGAGGCAATCAGGCTTGCTGCGGAGGCAAGAAAAGAACACTGCGAGAAGACGGGCCGAAGGGCATTAGTTAGCCTGTCACTCGGACCGTACGGAGCGGCTTTGGCTAACGGCGCAGAGTGTGAGCACCGCGAGAGATTGCCTCATGAGAGATATGCTGACCCCCTCGTGCACCCAAAGACACCGGCGATTACCCGTCCGCTGTCGACTTGGCCGACTTCCACGCGCACCGGCTGCGGCAGGCCATGACAAGCCTATGCTTCGACTCGGACGTCGACCTTGTCGCATTTGAGACTATTCCGCGACTAGACGAGGCGCAGGCGATCCTTCATGCGCTCGAGGCGGTCGCGAGGGAGCAAAAGGCGGAGAGAAAGCTACCCGCCGCGTACATTAGCTTCGTCTTCCCACCAGAAGCCGACGGTCAGCTGCCCGGCAATGGCGGTAAGCATGGGGTCAAGGACGTCGTATCACTTGTTGCAAATCAGCAGCACAGCAAATGGCCTATAGCAGGGTTGGGTGTCAACTGTACAAAGATGTTCATCCTCGAGAAGGTCATGCGGCAGCTCAGCGAGATCGACTCCTCGGCAGGCTCGAAACACCTGCATCTCTTCGTGAGCCCGAACCCTCCTTGCTTCCCCTCATCTCACTCACTGACATAGCTGCTCCCGTCTCGCCCAGCTGTACCCAGACGGCGGCCTCACGTGGGACGGGATCAATCGTTGTTGGCTGCCACCAGCAGCGGCTTCATCGGGGAAGCAGAGCTGGGCGCAGTCGCTCCGCAGGGTGGCAGAGGAGGCGTGCCCGAGATGGAGGGGAGTTTGGGTGGGAGGGTGCTGTCAAGTCAAGCCGGGCGAGATCGCAAAGCTCAAAGAATGAAAAGCTGTCAATGTCAATGAGTAGCGGCGCAAATGACGACCCGCAGGCCATGTCGAAGCTCATCGCGAATGTTTTTGATCGTGAGGTGGGAGAAAACAGCTAAAGAGACAAGCTCGGCGAGGAAAGTGAAGCTGAATCCAGTGGCCCCTCGAAGATGCGCGCCTCACTGGCAGCACGCCGAGCCGTTGGACCCGTTCGTCGCCGCAGCTTGCGCGTTCACCGACTTCGCGTCCTTCGCAGCGGGGACATCGAGGGCAGGGTTGCGAGCGAAGAACCCTATGGGCTTCAAGGTTACCTTTACTGCTTCCGCTGGCATGATGGGAAAGTCCTCCGGACGAGGTCTGGAGCATTGCGAGGTCGCAGGAAGAGGTAGGAGACGAAGGTGGTCAGTTCAGCTCCTTTCCAAGGCTCTCCGCATACTCACACGTGCGTAGTTCCCACCGTCAGGAAGGAGACAATGTCCTCGTTGGCGATCTTGTCCTTCCCGTCTCCGACCCACCCGGCTACCGAGTCCTTAGGGATCACTCTCGACTGCACTGGGTACCTGCCTGCCGAGTAGTTCCTCCCCTCAGCGTAGGGCACAGTCCACATGTGGTGGGTAGCGAAGGGCGCACGACGAGCGACGAGACTGTCCGGCTGAGCGTAGAGGCGAGGCATCGCTGAGGTGACAACCTTGTAGCCCACGGGCATGCCGCTGGAGTAGTGCTTGACCGACTCGTTTACGAAGGACCAGCTGCGCTCATCGTGCGCATTGGCGTCTCGTACTGCCTCTCCAGACGTGGCGAGGATGCGCTTGCGGGTGGTGAAGGCGTTGCCTGCCCAGTTGGTCTTGGGGTCTGCAGGGAGAGAGACGATCTCCTGCTCTTGGACACTGTTGAGCGGCCCGTCGATGTGAGGGTCGACGCGCAAGCTGAAGAGGTGCTGGTGGTAGTGCGCATTGATCTGCGGTGCGACTTCTGTGCCGAAGCCAGCGGGCGACTCTCCCTTGTCGAGAAGGTAGAGGTTCAGAATACCCGTAAGCTTGATCTCGAGCTCGATGTTGCCGTCGAGATGGAAGGACCAGTTGATCTGGTACTCGTAATTGGCCACGGTGCATACCATGGAGATGACCAGCTTCCTGCCTCGTACATTGTGAGCATGACCGCCCGGGCGATAGTCGGAGTGCTTCCACATCAGACCAGTGTCCTCTTCGTGGATGCAGATGGCATTCTTGATCGTCTCCACTGTACCGTCGTGCTTGACGAAGCAGCCGTCCATGTACTGAATGGAACCAAGGCAGTCACATCCGAGCGAGAGAGAGTTGGCAAGGAAGCCCAAGCCGTACTCTCCCACGTCGAATGCGAATTTACGATAGTGTGGAGCAGTGCTCTACTCTCGCCGATGTCAGTCTCTGCGGGCATGACAATCTGATACCGCTCAGACTCACCTCAGCATAAGGCACGACCATCTCGGACAGCGAGAGACGGTAGAAGAGTGGCCTCTCCTTGGGCGATGCCTTGCTAGCCCCAGCAGCCTCGTCATCTGCGTAGCTGATTGTGCTGAGTACCACACCCTCGCGAGGGTTGAATGCAAGGTGAAGGCGCCACTTCTGCCAGGTCAACACTTGCCCATCGAGCTTGAAAGAGACGCCCTCCGGCTGAACGACGCTCAGAGGCTTGAGGTCCTTGCGCATCTCGATAGGCTTGTTGCCATCGTGGAGGGGGCTGGAGTTGGCAAGATGAGGGAGGTAGTTGTGGTTGTCGCGGGGAGGCGGAATACGATGACGGGTCGTGGGTGGGTCGAAGGAGATCTGTGTGGGGCATCGAGGGCGTCAGCGGTGCTTCTCTTTACGCAGGCAGTGCTTTCAGCCTCACCTCCTTGGGCTCCTCGGTCGAGTCAGCCGTCAGAGCGCCGCCCTTGCCAACACGGTGGGCCGGGAAGTCGATGGCGAGCACCTCTCCCGTGTTGCAGTCGAGGATGGGCATAAAGTCGAGTGGATGAGCGTAGAGGTGCTCGTCAGGACCGAGGCGCTGGTAGCAGATGCATTGCTGCAGGCGCTTGCCAGGGAAGCGCGAGTCCCAGCCAATGCTCCAACCGTCGCAATAGAGTCTGCGAGGTATGGGTGAGAGATTGTCAGCTCAGCTGCTACTGCTGCCGCAGTGCGCTCGACTCACTGCTCAGGAGGTACACCAACGTCGGCAGCGACCTTGACCACTCGCGGGTCAGCACGGCACTTCTCTTCTGCCAAGCAAAGCTCCTCGATGGTGAGCGAGGGCTGTGTGCCCTCAGGCAGCTTCTCAACAGATGCGATCGAGACACCGTCTGCTCCCAGAGTAGCCAAGAGCTCGAACGAGTCGCCCTGCAAGTGCACAGAGAGGACGAGCATCAGCACGACATCCTCCTTGTCCGGCTCTTCCGCGCAGCTACTCACCTTTACGAGGTCAACGACGTGCGCCCAGAACTGCCTCTCAATCTTTCCTGACGTGGATTGCTTGGCGGCTCCTCCTGGGAAGTGGCCTGCCTCAATGACAGCATTCTTCTCCGGGTCAGCGAGCATGACATTGAGGAAACGAACAGCCTTGACTCCGTGCTTCTCAACGAGATATGGCCTTATCGTGGCCGTAACTGCGAGAATCTCATCCTCGTTCGGCGCATCGAGCGGGTGCTTTGCAGCGGTCGGAACCTTGACTGGTGACATGGCGGTAAGTGTTGACGATGATGATGGATGGAGAGGTAGGTAGGATGGTGAGCGTCACTTTGAAAGTGGTGATTGCGGCGAGAACAGGACGGGCGATAAGACTATGCTGTCCGTCAGCCCAAGACGAGCATGGCCGCCCGACAGTGCGTCGACTCTAGCGCATCGCATCTCAATTCAGGGCGCGGGAAGCGGAGTCTGGAGTGTGGGGCTGACTGAGGGCGAGCGACAAGCTCACGCCAAGGCACACAATACGGCGAACGACACTTACTGCGATAAGGCTCGTGACATGAGAGCTCCTGAAGCTCGACTTGACGGCGTCAATGCTGGTGAACAGGCTGAGGGGCGCCCATTTCAGCCTGAATGTTAAGCAGCTTGGCGTCGGACAGCCCAGCCTGAGTCCCGTTGCATCCCCCAGATCCGTCGCTGTTCTCTCTCGCACCCAAGTCAAAGTGCATGAGACGCCTTTTGAACGAGGTCAGGTGCTTGCGACTTGAAGCTGCATTAGTCTGTTGCGCCTTAACATGTCTTGCTTCGCGAAAGTCTGCCAGACCTGACTCCCAGCCTGTACCGGCCAAAGTGACCGCAATCGCACTGTCGCCCCTCAGCATGGGCCGTCTGTCCGGGCCTCTCTTCGTCAGGTGAAGACGCCGACGAACACGCTGATCGACGACACAAGTAGGCGTAGTCGTCTCATCTCTCAGCCGTACCAATAGCTGCTCTCTCACTCACCCTCGACTCAAGGCAGCAGCGCTGCAGGCGGAGAGGCGCTTGCTCTGTCGAGTGTCGACATGCAGACGAGGGCGGGGGAAGGGGCGCGGCCTTCGACAGACCACCGCTGCCGACTTTGGGCCCCCGCAGACGGACGTCACAGGCCTCGAGCGTGAGTGGTGGATGCACGCTACCACTTTGATTTCTCTTCACCTCCTCATTCAACCGCATTCTCCTCCTCGTCATTCGTTGACTACCTGTCCTGCTTCTCAGCTTAATCACCACCCCCAGCCGCTCTTCCCGCAGTCGCTTCCATTCATTACGGTTAGGCGCCCCCTGTCGACCCAAGCCGCATCGTCCCATTGCATCGGGCTACTCCGTTGTCCACCCTTCTCTCGCCCGGTTCACGCCCCTTCTCCTCACCATGAAGACCTCACTCTTCCTCTCAGCCGCTGTGGCTCTCCTCGCGGCCTCCGTTTCGGCGCAAGATCCCATCGGCCCCCTGACAACTAACAACGCCCAGTCAGCCTGCGTTCAGTATGGCGATTGTGAGTCGTCGCCACCCGCCGTGAGCTAGCCAAACATCCAAGCTAACGTGCCTCGCTCTCATCTCTTTCAGGCACCGCCCTTCCCGCGGGAAACACTGCTTCAACCGCAACGCAATACGGCCCTGTGACGGCGCCAGCCTCCTCGCAAGCCTTCTCCGCACCCACCAACGCGGCCGAGACTGCTGCCTCCCTCTCACGTCTGGCAGAGACCGGCGCTGCTGCTGCTTTCAGCAACCTCTCACAGGGTAATGACGGAGCTGGTGGTCCGGCTTCGAGGACGGGGACTCTCACAGGCGGTGTCATTGTGGGAAGCTCGACAAGCTCGGCTTCGGCGACGAGGAGTAACGCGCCTAACGCCGCAGTGGCTCTTGGGGCGGGGCAGGGTAGCTGGGCGTGGGTGGTCGGAGGACCCCTGGGCGCCGCTGCGTTCGGGGCCCTGATGCTGGCCATCTGAGGTCGCTAGCCCGCTCGATGATACCATGTTGTCCAGGGCTCGTCAGTGCTCGCTTGATGTACGGCCACTACGGTTTCGCAGCCAGCGGTCCTCAGCCCGACGCGCCGCCTGCTCTGCGCGCACACGGGCCGGCGTGCTTTCCTACCTTTGATCTTTCCATTTGATGCTTCACTCGTTGTTCGCTCCTATCTTCTTGTGCTTCTTTTGTATTGGACCCGTCCTCGTGCGCTTTCTAATGGATTCGTTGCTATCGACCTCGTACGAATGCGTGGAGATCAAGAAGCAGGCTCGACGGAGCGAGGAGGAACTCAAAGCGCGACACTGAAGGTCAAGGTGGTAGTTGCATAGGATAGGAGACGCGCGAGAAAAGACAAGTCAATACATGGTGGAAGTAGTAGACGAGCGGAAACGATTGAGTGACACTGGCGTAGGGACTGGATGAGCAAGATCTGTCCTGAGATCTTGTCACGACTGGTAGGTACACGGCGCTGAATGTGCTCTCACGCAGCGACTTGACGCCTCAGCCTTTTGACGCTGGGAGCATTGCCGTCTGCGGAGCGCTTGGAATTGGCTGCGGCCGGCGGCGGGGTAGCCGTTGTGTCTGTCTGTGCAGGCTCGACGGACACGGTAGCATCGCTGCAAGGCATCGCGCCGATCGCCACCGCGGCCGCGTCGAGACTCGCGCTGGGTCCGGCAGTAGCAGCGGCGGCCGCTGCGGCTCGCGTCTGACGGTGAGTCTGCGATTGGGCATTGGCGGCTGCAGCGGCGGCTGCGTGCTCCTGAGCAGCTCGAGGGCTTGCGTGAGGGAAGGGTGACAGCGAAGAAGGAGCCGGACTGCCAGATGCTGCCCTACCTCGGCCTCTCGCTGCGCCACGACGACCTCGTGTCATGGCCAGCTTGGCGGGCGACGGTTGAGGAGTGGAGAGGGCCGAAGAAGTGGACGGCGGAAGAGAAGACGCCACAGCTGGGGCCGCACCCTTTGACGACGATTGGGCCCCTCCCCTGCTGGCTGCTTGTGCCATCGCGGCTGGAAGCTTGAGAGAGGGCGGCATGGCGATGGGAGGCTCCCACCCGGCTGCGAGGGGAGAAGTCCAGCTGCCTGCCGAGGTGGACGAATTGAGCCTGGACCAGACCGACACGAACAGCACACGCTTGAGGCGCCGGTTGTAGAAGAAGGCATAGGTCGACCAGAGAAGGCCGCCGATACCGTCGATATCTTCGTCCTCGTCGGTAGTTGCGCCCATAGAGCTCGCAGAGGTAAGACTACTCGATGCAAAATCGCCGCGACGACGCTGGTCTGTTTCCCCACGCTGAGCACTCCTGCCAGGCGTGCGAGGGGTCTGCGGGCCCTCGCTCGTTGCGTAGGCGCCCGTGCCTGCGTTCATCTGTCCGCCATGCTTTTTGCCCGGGAAGCCTCCGTCAAGATCCTCGTCGAACATGGGAGTGTCGATCTCATCCGAAGCGATACTCCCGCGTCGAGGTGTGACCACATTGACGCTCTGCATCTCACTGTCGTCGGCGTCATCGTAGTAGGCATTGCCACTGTCGAAGAAGCCGGACCCTTCCTCGTCAGGCTCAGGGCATGCGTGCGGGTCCGAGTCCATGTCCGGATGGAAGGTGTAGACTTCGCACTCGCGAATGTCCATGATGTCATCGAAGAGACTGGCAAGACCGGCATGCGTGGCACCATCGATAGCTCCAAAGGGGCGAGTCGGAGGGCTGCCGGCCGACGACGAAGGATGAGAAGTCGCAAAGCGAGCGGCAATCTGCTCCGTGTCGTCGAAGGAACCGGTGAAGGTGCTGTACGAGCGAGGCCCTCCTCCTGACCCGTTTCGCAGGCTATGCAAAGTCGTGCTCAAACTATGCAAGACCATTGCGGGGCTGACCTCTCTGCGGAAATCTGCTGGATTGACCTGGCTGAAGTCATGATCAGGGAAGACGCCGTTGAGCAGCGATATGAGGAGGAAGAGCGTCTTTCGCGCTGCAGGTTGGTCGAGTCTGCCAAAAGGAGAGTCGAGAGCGCCTTCGAGATAGTCCTGAGGCGACGTCGACGCCGTCTGTTGATATGCAGACTCCAGCGCTTTAAAGAGACGCTTCTCCTTGGTGACAGCCTTGCACGAGTAAGCCTCGAGGCGGGTGAAGACCTTGCATTCGGCAGATTCGAAGGTGAGAGTATTGGAGAGAGATTCGAGCTCGGGGTAGTCGAGGAATTTCATCGTCGGCGCGGGAGAGGGGTGTGATACGGAGACTGCGCAGCGCGAGGAGGAGGCGGGGGTCAGTGTTGACGCCCTCAACGCGTTGAGCATTTCGCGATTGAGCTCACCTTGTTTGCCAATTGGGAGAAAGAGCAGCTATACCAGATAGTCTGGTCAAGTCGGCAGTATTCACTGGCCTCAAGGACGATGTCTGAGTCTACAGAGACGCGTGGATGGCGACTCTATCGAAACACGACGAGCGTGATTGATTGCGGTTGTGGTTGGTGGTGAGAACACGCGTGGCTTGCGTGCCCTACTGAAGGGTCGGGTTGTTAATACGGCTGGTTGTAGAAGTGAATATGTGGGATCGTATTGATCTATTGACAAGGAGAATGAGACGAGTAGTGGATATCAGCGGCCATGCTCCTGTTCTCATTCACGCCGCGTGCGCTCCCGATGCGTCCGCCTGCGTGTATGCTGCATGGTGGACAGGCACCGTGGGGTCGCAATGGGCGTGTACTCACCCCTGGTCAGCTTGCTGATACAGCAGAGGCTCAAAGTTGGAAATTAGAGAGGGCCTGGTGGAGTCGCGGAGAGCCGCGAGCAAGTAGTCGATGATGCGATGGAGAAGAGGAGGAGATGAGATTGATGCGACGATGAGACGAGGATCGTCGGTGGATGGACGCCGTTCGACGACGCAGGTCAGTCCCAGGCGCTAGGACGGCGGCAAGGGCGGCGGCGGAGTTGAATTCATCTGAGGCGGACTGACGGTGTGCCTGAGTCTTGCGTCCAAACTCGCTCCTTCACTCGGCCCCGCCGGTATCGTTGAGCGTCGAGGGGTCGAGTGACAGACATTCGTCATCATAGGCAGCGGCAACAGAGTGCGACGAATGATGAGCAGTATCGAGCGCAAGCGATAATTGAGGCGCAACTGATGAGTTGACTGCCTGACGAGCGATGAGACGTGGGTTGGGCGATGTCGAGTATCCGCCCTGACCTTCGTTCAGGGGCGAATAGCAGCTTGGAGTCGCTCAATGAGCTCGAGTGATTATGGCAGAGGCATGCCGCTGGCAAGCGTCATGAAGATGATGAGATCCATTATACTTGTCTCCAGGTAGTGGTTGGCGCTGGAGCTGGCTTCGCTGGGCTAGCCAGCAGCTGTGGGCCGTTCGTGGTCGGCAGAGCTCATGGGGAGCCACTGGAGGTCTTCGAAAGTACGGTAGCTGAAGATGAGGGCATTACGACGAGGTTGACGAGCTGGTGAAAGGATGACTTGGCTCCTTTTTGGATCTCGTCCACCTCCTCTTTCCTGATCCAACAGACCAACTTTTCCACCTCCTCTGCTCGCAGTTCCAACCAACCCGGCCCGCGTGTGAGCCCGCATCTCGCAGTCGGTCGACTCTCGACGGGCTCTCCACATGCAGGTCAGTCGAGGGGTCGCGAGTTCACACCTCGTCCGTCCCACCACCCAAAGCACCGCAACCTTGACTTGATCCCAAGACCATCACCGCAACTCACCTATCCCTTTCGGTCCCCTCAGCATTCGTCCCTCGCTTGGCTTGACGCGATGGACCTCCCCCTCATTGGCCCCATCCTGCGATGGCTGCAGGCCACCTTCTTCTCCAAGCAGCTCCAGATCGTCATCCTTGGCCTGCAGTCGGCAGGCAAGACGTCGCTGGTTAATGTGATCAGTAGCGGGCAATTTGCCGAGGAGATGGTGCCCACTGTAGGGTTCAATGTGAGTGCGAGTGAGCGAGGGACGAGGCGACGGCTCGGTAGCAAGGGAGACAGAGTAGGCGCTGCTGACACACGATCACTCGCGCCCACAGATGAGGAAAGTGCAAAGAGGCAATGTGCAGATCAAGATGTGGGATATTGGGTGAGCAGCAGCGACAGCAGTAGCAACAGCAGCAGCAGCTTTTCCTTTCGCCCCCTCTGACCACCATCACCCTACGCACGACCCCTCGTAGCGGCCAACCAAGGTTCCGCTCGATGTGGGAGAGGTACTGTCGTGGCGTCTCCGCCATCGTCTTCGTCGTCGACTCCGCAATACCTCGGCCACCCACATCCTCAGCCCCTTCAACGAAAGGCGAGACAGCCAACAGCGTGGACAGTCTGACCTCCAACAAAGCCGAACAGCAGGCCTCCTCACCCGCGCAGCAAACCTCCGACTCACCAGCGCAAGCCCCCATCGACCCCTCAGCGGATCGCTCCACCCGCCAAGCCAACCTGACCGCCGCTGCCGGCTCGGGGTCAGCATCTAGTCGCTTGGCAAATATTGCCTGGCATACGGCGACGGAGGAGCTTCATGCATTGGTTTCGAGGCCGGAGCTCTCGGGGATCCCGCTGCTGGTGTTGGCGACGAAGAATGATGTCAAGGGCGCCGCGAGCGTTGAAGAGGTGATACGGGTCATGTGAGTGCGATAGGGCGCAAAGATAGCAGCGCACAGCTGCGAGAGGGAGGGCTGACACATATGCTTGCTTACACTGCTCGCCCGCAGGCGCCTGGACACGCTGCGCAATCGTGAGGTTTCATGCTACTCCATCTCGTCAAAGACGCAGTCCAACATCCCGAGGACGCTGCAATGGCTTTGTAATCGCCAGCCTGTAGCAGTTTGAGCGTCAATCCGATGATGGTTACGGCGATTGGCCATGGTCCACCAGCAGGAGGAATACGAAAACCGTAGCTGGCCGCATGAGCCTGGCAGCGCTGCTTGACAGCGGCAACATCGGGCATCCCCCTCCCCCTGGACAATTCCATCTTAGCAATGCAGCACTACCTTACTCACCATGCTCAACTGCAGCCGTGACAGCCGACTGTTTGACCCTCTCTACCTGTTCGACGGCAAGCCTGTGCCTGCCAGACAAACGTAGGACTCACGCCCGCAGACGCTTGTGATTTTCGGTGATGCACATTTGATTGACGACGACAACGAGAACACGAGAGGTAACGCAGAAATGGGAAAACGAGATTTGGCGTAGCCGCGAGGGAGATGACTCGACCGCTGGCTGTTTGAATCAACGACGAGAGCGTTTGGTCGATGTGATGCGCCATGTATTAGAGGTGATCGGAGGAGGTGGAGGGAACGAAGACGGTTAAAGGAGATTGTGATACAGTAGAAGTGGAAGACGGGAGAGTGAGAGGAGAGAGCTGTGCGGGCAGGTCCAATCAGCCTGTCCGAGGCAATGCCTGGTGGATATGCGTGCGGGCGATGGTTGCCTTGCTCCTACTCGGCGCCCTCGGTCTCGCTGACCCTGCGTCATGAGGTGGCTTTGAATGCTATGCTATGTTGAAGTTGGTAATTTGAAGTTGGTTGATGCTGTTGGTCGCCACTGAGGGCGAGTTGGCCGAAGCCGAGGACGAGAAAGAGGGGGGAGTGGCGTCCGTGATGCTATGCAGCGAGCGCTATGCCAGTCTTGCGTGAGGGCGCACTACGGCGCGTTCCGAGTTGACATGGCGGTGTAAAGAGCGCACACCTAGTGGGCGAGGCCGCGATCTGACTGGGTCTGCTCCCTCTCAAGCTTAGCCTTGTTGGCAGCGAAGGCCGTGTTGCGAATGGCGTTGGTCTGCGAGCAGGCGTGCTGCTCCGGCAGACGATGCTGGGCGCAGTGAGCCTTGACGCAGTGTGGGCAGACGCCGGCGATGGTCAAGGCAGCATTGCCACAACGCTGCTGTCCCTCGGGAACGTCAGGACCAGAATTGTGTTGGCAGCGCTTCTTGGCCATATTGTCCTAAAAGAGGTGATATGAGAGGGTACGATGTAGGTTGGTAGGTTGTGGCGACGAGGCGGGCTGCGATGCTGCGCGATGAGGGTAGTGAAGGTGGTGCGTTCTGTGAAGGTGGCGAAGCTGCTACTGGCGAGGAGCAGATGCTATTGCTGGTTACAGGGGGTGCTTAGGAGGTCGAAGTGATGATAGTTGTGGTGGTAAGGGGAGGAAGGGGGTTCAAGGGGGCCGCCCAGTTGATAAGGAGGTCGGCGGCAGTCTGAGTGCGAGTCTTGTCCGCGTCATTGGGTGGAGTCAAGCGTCAAGCAGGGCGGCAAGCGGAACCCAAGCAGGCTGTGGGCGCAAGCTGTGGGCGGGGCTTGCTTGGGCCGGGCGGAGTCACAGGCCGCCAAAGGGGCAGGCCGCGTCAGCGCCTGCCTACCTGCCTGCTTTGTCTTGCTTGGCCTCGAGCGAGGGTTGACGGATCGAGCAGCAGCCGCTACGACGCTTCCAGAATCGAGACTCGAGACCGAGAGGCCGAGGAACCAACCGGCTGCGATGGGATGCTGAAAGATCGACACGTCGCGATGAGACGGTGACGCAGACGGATGCGACAATGATCATGGTAAGACAACGAGCGGGGAGCACGGGTCTCGTCAGCAAAAGCAAGACAAGTGACGAGCAGCCGCCGTCGAAATAGACGCTGGCGGTCATTGCCATGATGCAAGGCCGCGTGGTGAAGCGCGACGCAGTAGGACGGACGATTGGCAGCGTAATGCCGCGCTTTGGGCAGTGGCGAGCGACAAGATGAGGATTGAGATGATAGTATATACACGGCGCACACGAGAATGGTATACAGGCAGGAGCGAGAGGAACCGAGAGGCTAATAGATGGAGGCAGGGACACGGTCCAGTAGTGCCACCATGCCTCACGGCGAGTTCTGCTTGGTGAGAACCGACTGCTCCTCCTTCGACGAGCCCTCCTTGGCCTGCCTCATCTCCTTGGGCAGCATGACAAACCCAGCAACGTAGGCCACAAAGAGGACCGCCGCCCACGCGTACACGATGTAGCTAGCGTAGTCGGGTACGCCCCACTTCCAAAGGGCCAATCCCTCGTGGATGTTCCAGATGGCTAGGCCAAAGAGGAGGCAGCCAAGCGCCGCATGGACGTAGTTCTGCACTCGAATCCCCTTCTTGCGTCGCACTACGTGGCCCACCTGGCCGAGCGCGACCTGGAAGAGGGTGATGAGGAAGATGGCGAGCCCGAGCTTCGTGTGCGTCGAGGCAAAGTGAGGGATGCCGATGTTGGCTACTGCTCCCACACCGAGGAAGAAGCCAATGAAGATGGCGACCAATGACGCAAGCTGGATGCCCCGATGCACGGGGAACCAGGTGAAGAGCGTGCGACCCCATCGAGCGACGAGGATAGCCGCAGGGACGAGGATGAGCCAGGTGAGAATCATGAAGACCATGTGCGCAATGATGAGGTTGTTCTTCATATTGAGCTCGCGCATCTGGCCACCTGATTGACCGGTAGCGCCCGAGGAGGAAGATGTCGAAGCCGCAGCGCCACCGTAGCCTAGGAGCGCGGTGACTCCCGGGGGAGTCGTAGGTGCCTCGCCATTGTAAGGCTTGGTGAGGTCTAGCGACGAGAAGCCGTAGTCGTTGTGCTTGCTGATCCTAGCCGACACATCCGAGCTGGAGGGAGCCGTGTTCTTGTTGATGGCCCAGATGTGGCCGTAGCTAGAGCCTGGGTTCTCTGCAATGCCGCCGAACATCCACGACGACACGGTCATGCCGGCGTCTGTGGCGACACGGCTGACTTCGTTCTGCATAAAGACCCCCTGAGCCTGCGTCGTCGTCGGCATCACCTCGCCGGACGCAGATCGGTGCGAGAGGACGGGCTGGCCACCAGAAAGCCATGAAATGAGCATATTGGCGCCCGACATCTGGTTGCCCACGCCGATGGCTCGCCAGCCCATGAAGCTGGTGCCGGCTGTGATCATCGTGTAGTTAATGCTCTGTTGAGACGGCGTGTAGATGCCCGTGACACAAAAGTCGGGGCCACAGAAAGAGTCAGCAAAGTGGGGACCATTCTCTTGAGGATTGATCTGGGCCGTGGCGGGCGTCGCGACGAACAGCGACGCCAAGGCGGCAGTGAAAAGCATCATGGTGCTGCGGGTTGACGTAGAGAAGGCGACCATGATGAAGTCGCTCTGTAAAAGATGACGAGCTCGTAAGTCGGTTGGATGAATGGTAGAAAAGTCAATACAGAGAAAGAGAAAGCAGCGGCAGCGGCTGTGACGACGGCGACGGCCCACGACTTTTATTTGGTAAACGTCCTCTGAAGGCGAGAGGTTCGCAGTGGCTTCAGGCTTGGCTCCGATCAGAGAGAGGGTGCCTAGCTTAGCCTTGGCCGCCTCGTCACCCAATTCCAAGCTGCTCGGATGCTCAAATCCAGTCAAAGTCAATACCGACGGCTCTCGACGTTCCGCGACAGGAGAGAGCAACACAGTGGCCCTGGCATTGCATTGCAGGGCAACATCGCCCTTGCCCTCACGATGAGAGAGTTCTTGTTGCCCGCTTGTGCGGGTGGACTCCGCTTCCAAGAGCTCTCCTTCGCTGGATTGCTCATCGAGCCGTCGATCACCTGCTGCCTGCCTGCCCGCCTGCCTGCCTGCCTGCCCGCCTGCCTGCCCGCCTTCCCTTCCGCGAGCATGCGAGTCGCTGAGCGAAGCCCTATTAATAAGGCGCAGCGAGCGAAAGGCGGAGGAGGCGCAGGCGTGCTGAAAGCGGAATCGCTCTCGCGTCTTGGGTCGCTGCTTGAGCGGAAGGATCAACGCTACCGCGACGAGATGCCGCTGACTCAATGCCACGCTACGCTACGCGCTCCACGCTCGAAACGTAGCTTCTTTCTTGCTTATGCTCTAGCGTGAGCTTGACGATGGACATGTCCTTGCCTGAAGCTGTGCACGGACGTCTGGTCCCGGGAGAAGGCACAGCAATGAAGTAGCCGCCGGCTTGTCAGACGACAACGATGCCGAGCAACTTGGCATCAGGTCTCACGATCTCACGGTATGAATGCAGAGCAATATGCGGGGGGGCTTGGAGGGATCGCGAAGTCTCACGGGTGTGCCGGCTTCAAAGCTTGCGTAGTTGTCCTACGTATCGCCGCCTGCTGAATCCCACTCCAACAGCGAGCGGGAAGAAGCGAGGGTGCCGAGAAGATACGAGGGAATAGGCCGTAGCTCCGGCGCCCCGAGGTAAGCACAGCATGCTACGGACGAATGTGTGTCATCTCCATTCGCCAGGCATACTCGCCTGTCTACAACGTCTCGTACCTGCAGCAGACAGCAGCGACAAAAGCAGAAGCATATCAGAAGCCCAGCCCTCCCTTGCTCGTCTTGATCTTGGCCCCAATGGGCTCAGCCATTCCTCCGACGCCCATACCGGTGCCCTCGGCCCAGCCCATCATCGAGAGGAGCTTGTGGCCGATGTTGTCAGCGCCAATCCTATCAGCGCCCCAACCGACATCGGCGCCCTCGATGTTGCGGCTCACGGAGATAGCGCCACCACCTCTCGCCCCGCCGCTACCACCACCACCACGTGCGGACGCCTTGCCCTTGCCCTTCTTGCCATTGCCCAATCGCACGTCAGCCGTGCCCCTGAGCACTCGCCCGACCTTTGCCGAATCAACATTGACACCGCTCCTGCCCGTCTTGATGAGCGTCGTGAATCTGTTCGAGCCAGAGCCGCGACTCTTGCTCGCGAGACTGTAGGCGCCGGCCAGCATGTGCACACGAGCACGCGCCCGCTTGTCCATGGGTGGGAGTGACAGGGTAGTGTGGCCCGGTAGGCGGAGGAACTGCTCGATTTGGGAATTGACCTGATTGAGATCCGTAGCGCCGCCTCCAATGCCGGCGATGAAGGGTTCGTCCCATGCATCAGCGCCCTCTGGGTCCACTTGGATGTTGGCCCGCCTGGCAGCTCTAGCAGCCTTCTTTGCCATCTTCTTGGTACCCTTTTTGTGCGTGTTGGGGAATGGATTCTGAGCTGCGGCCTGACGCTCGGCGGCACGCTTCCGCTTGTTGGCTGCCTTGGTCGCTCGGTCTTTCTGCCACTGTGATTGGAGGTGCTCCGCCCAGACGTGATCGTCATCCTCGTCGTCCATACCGAGGCCAGCAGCAAATGACTTGGCAGCCTTCTTGCCCTTCTTTTTCTTTGCTGGCACAAGACCAGCCATCGCTGCATCGTCGTCGTTGACTTCGAAGTCGTCGAAGTCGCCGCTCGTGATGGCCTTGAAAACGCGGTTGCGCGACTTGCGGTCGCGGCCGTGTATAGTGGCATCGTTGGCGGCGCAGAAGCGATCAATCTTGCTGAGCATGGCTTCGTCCTCGTCGGCCCAGGTAAAGTTGCGGTCGAAGAGATAGTCGTCGTCCGAGGAGGAAGAATCGTCGCTGTCGCCACGTACGTCGACGTCCTCACCATCATTAGATGCGTCGTCCTCACCACTGTCGTCTGAGCCTGACGTTTCATCCGCGATCTCGACATCATCCTCGCTCGACCCCTCGTTGACCACCTCTCGCTCTGCAGCGTCAAACACTGCCTCTTCATCGCTATCGCTGTCGCCGTCCTCATCGCTCTCTGTCATCCACTCATCTTCTTCCGCAATCTGCATCTCATCAGCAATGTCGCCCATCGTCATCTGACGGCCACCGACCTGCGGGTCCATCCCGTTCATGAAGCTGATCATAGCATCCATGTCCGTCTTACTGTCGAGATTGCTGTCGTTGCCGCCATCCTCATCGTCAGACTCATGACCCTGATTGAGGAGCGCATTGTCAATGTAGTCCTGCATGACAGCCTCATCTTGACGCTGCTTGCGGGTCTGACGACCTTTCTTCTTAGACTTGGGCGCGTCGATGGCGATGGAACGGAAAGATGTATTGCCAGCTCCGTTACGTGAGGGCTCTTCATCCTGCACGCTGATGGAAAGGGCTTCGAGTAGCATGCTCTCTTCTTGAGCGCGAGTCTGAGGAGCATCAGCGTGACGTCCAGTCGGGCCTAGATTGAGATCTCGCATCTGGAAGAGGTTGCGGTCGATGCTGCCGTTCGATGGCTGATCCATATCTGGTGGTCCGTCGCTTCCCCACTCGATATCCGAGTCACCAGTGCGAGGGCGACGACGCTGCGCTCCGGTGCCCATGAGTATGTCTCCTGCCTCGTCATATTGCAAGCCTTCCGCAGACTGGCCCAGCTTCTTGGCTCGTCGCCGGGCCTTCTTCGCCTGGTTGCGCGCCTTTCTGCCGCTTTTTGGCTTATTGCGTTGACGCCCGATGGGCACGAAGCCGTCATCATCGTCGTCATCGTCGGATGACTCGATGATGGCAGCGAATGACTCGTCAATGGCGATCGCCTTCGGCATGGCTGCGGCGGGATCATCGCTGGATGGGGTAGCAGCGCTCGCGAAGCTCCGTTCGCCCAACACGAAGGAATTTTGCGGATGCGTAGAGTCCTGTTCGGTGGCATTTACGATCTCCGGCGGCGGTGTTGAGCCTGTCAAATCGATAGTGAAGCCGGCGCCTTCCTCAGCAGAGTCGTTTTGCGAGGCCGTCTCCTCTGCTTTCCCGGCTTGAGCACCAGCCTGCGCTGCGATGATAGCATCGAGCTGCCTCTCTTCTTCGGAGTCTGTGTCCATGGTCTGCGTCTGAGTACTGGCCTTTCCAGCGGTTCTGCGAGGGATCAGGATCTGCTCGTCGTCTGAATCGTCGTCGCCGTCGTCATCCGCTGCTGCAACCTCCGCTGGCAGCGATTCCTCCACCCCTTCGCTCTGATCAGCGCTTCCCTGACCTGTCACTGCCTCAGTAGCGCTCGGCGCGGCGGTCCTTTCTTGAGGCTCGACTTTATGGCCAAAGATTGTCTTTTGCGGCTCGTAGTGATCCTGCAGAGCTGGAGAGTACGCCTCGTCCTCTTCGAGAGCTCGCGAGCCAGGGAATGCCTTGAGAAGAGCTGCGAGCTGATCCTCGACGGGTTCACTTTCTCCTTCGTCTATGCTGCTCTCGCCTTCGCGGGGCTGGGCAGCAGGCGTGTAGCCCAGACCAGTGCCTGCACGCCTCGCATTGATAGCATCATAGCGCTGCTGCGAGCCCTCTGGCTGTGAGGGCGCTGACGATGATGACGAGCCCTCGGGCTGCTTTCCCGTCCATCGTCCGTCCTTCCACTCTCCCGACGCCTTGACGAAGGAGACTGGGTGGAAGTGTGGATTCTTGTCGTCTGCCGGGTCGCCGCTGCGGAAGCGACGAGCACCTGATCCTTTCCCGCCGAGGACGAAACCTGACGACATGCCAGCGAGGTACTTTGCATCACCTTGCTCTTCTGGCGCTCTGGAATTGTTAAGACCTCTCGATGTGTGGAATGCTGGGAAGACGGTCGGCGTGCTGCCTCGTCCTCGTCCTCTTCCTCGTGCGGCGAATGGCGAGTCTCTTGGCTGATACCAGGCTTTTGGCCCAGACGGAACGCTACCTCCTGGCGTTGATGAGCCGCTTGATGAGCCGAGCACGTTACCTGAGCCAGGGAAACTGCCGCCATGACTGCTGCTGCTTGGTCCGCCGCCACCTCGTCCTCCTCGACCGCGTCCACGGCCATTGCCACGTCCGCGTCCCCCACGATCAGCGCCAGATGCTCCTCTGGCCATGCTAGTGATTGTTTTGAGGGTGATGAGCTATCGCCAAAGGGAGGGAGCGTACTATTCAATGTTCGTGGCGAGAGCGAAGAAGGGCGGGCACCTATTGGACAATCCTAAGCCGCTCTTTCGAGGCCACGCTCTCCTCCACTGCCCTCCGCTCCGCCAGTCCGTCCAGTGGCAGCGTTCCTTTGATCAGCACGCGTGTGGTTGCAGCGAGCGCAAATGCAACAAAGGGTTCACAGATTTGGTATTCGACAAACGATAGATGTCAGTGTTGGAACAAACGGGGCCCAAGAGAGAGAAGAACGACGTGGAAAGAGGAGGGATAGGGTACATTGAAGGGCGGGAGGAGGGGGAGCAGGGAGAAAAAGCCAACGATACGAACCAAGTTGCATCGCCGAGTGAGGTCTGAAGACGAAATGCGCTGGACGCTGAGAAAGGGGTGTCGAACGAGATCAAGCAAGGTCGAGCCATCTTCAGAGCATGTCGCACGACATCTCCGCTCATCGTCCACTTCTTAGTACTTGCTCCTGCCAAGGCAGCAGCCGATGATGAGCGGGATGATCGCAAGGACAACGGCGGCGAACGCAGCCCAAGTCATCCAGAGCGAATTGCCGTAGTTGATGACGAGACCGCTGTTGTCCGGGATCGAGTTCCTCGCCTTGTAAAGGATGGCGGTCCACAGCGCCGCTCCCACACCCAAGCATCCTGCTGCTCCGAGAGCCTCGAGGGCTGCAAAGGCGAAGCAGAATCGATGCGCGAGGAAACCAGTGAGCCATGCCAGACCCGAAAGGATCGTTCCGACGAGGATGATGACGTTTGCGACGCGAGAGAGCATGCCAAGGTAGTTGACGTTGGCAAAAGAGCCGTCGCTCGTGTTGAAGAGGTTCTGCAGCTGCGCAGAGGCAGTCGTGGGGGCATCGCGGACCAGCACCGTCGTGGGCTCCCAGCGATATCCGATGTAGCGGTCGGAGCAGTCGCGGTTCTCGTCGGTACCAGCGCCACCGCAGAAGGCTACACGAGAGCGCAGAGGGGAGAAGAGTCAGGAACCGTCGCTCTCAAGAGTCTCTGCAGCGTTGTACGCCTTGTCATCCATGCCTACTCACAGTACATGCCCCAGTAGTAATTGTACTTGAGACCCTGGTTCTGAAGCTCAGCTGCCGCCTGGTTGGAGGCGTACAGGGACCCAGCGTTGCTGCCCAACGTGTCTCCCAGGCCAGTCGTCTCGACTTGCGCGAACCAAAAGTGACGAGCAACGACATTCTGGGTCAGTTGGCCCATCTATGAGCGGGAAAGCAAGAGAAAGGATAGGTCAGCAACGGCATTCCAACAGCGCGTCGCCTGCTCGTCGCCCGCACTTACGTTGACGAGGATGGTGAGAACGGTAGCGGCAAAGGTCAGGAATTGACCTGCAATGGTAGGCATGAGGTTCAGTGTGAGCACAGATTCACTGTCATTTGCCTGCCCCGTCTGTCGTCGCGCACTCACCCAGCCCGATGAAGAAGAAGCGTGCCATCTTTGAGAGGTAGAAGTTGTGGGGATGCTTGATGCGCGTTTGCTTGCTACTTCTTGATGGTCTTGGGTGCTCTCTCCCTTCCGACGTCGACTAGGAGACAGGAGAAGAGGAAGACGGGATATGAGGTTGAGGAGTAGGTGGATGTACGGATGGAGAAAGAGAAGAGAGAGGCAGTCGCCGACGTCAATTCAATCAAGAGAGGTAGTGATGAGCGCGAGCGCGGGCGCGGTGAGCAGGGCAAGACTCCGCAAACGGACGACGACGATGACGATTGAGGCAGAAAGGCAGGCAGAGAGACAGAGTCAACGTCCGCGGCGGAGTTCGGAAAGTGGAAAGGCACTGTAGAGAGTCGAGTCGAGACCCAGGCAGCAGGCAGGGCAGAGCAGAGCGCACCGCGGCCGATGGGCAGCACCGCCTCTGACTGCGCCTCTGACTGCGCCTCTTCCTCTTCCTCTTCCTGCGCCTCCGCTGCTTCGACGCTCTCCACGCTGCTTGCGTCGATGAGACCGTTGATCCCCACACTACAATCACCAACATCATGCTCGATCCCTTCGTAGCATTGCAATCGACTCTGCTAATTTTCGAGCCTTTGGTGTCATTGCCGCCCCGTTCAATCCTCCACTCGAGAGTGGTGTTGGTCGAGCCTCTGCCCGCGCCTCGCCTCGAGGGAGGCATCGATCTTTCGACGCTTTCGCTGCTCGCCCATTGCTCGCTCGCTCGCTCACTCGCTGCTTGCTCCGAATCGTGCCGTGGGTCGGTCCTTCGGTGCGATGCGGTGCGGCGGTCGCTTGACGGGCAAGCTCCAGTCCCCGTCCCTCGCGACTGTCGATCTCAGCACATCGCATCGAGGTCGAGGGCAAGCCTTTCTTGGCAGCGCGCACGTGGTAAGTCGACCTGACGTCACGACGACATTCTCTCCTTCCGACCGTCACTTTAGGGCTCGCTCGCACCCCGCGATCTTCGTCAGGGTCCACTGTCTAGTTTGCTCGCTCGCTCGCTCGAGGTCAAAGCGATCTTCTCCGCGGTTGCAAGCATCGACGTCGGAAGACCAGAGAGACGAGTCGCAGCGACTCTCACAGCTGGTCGACGAAGGAAGCGGCATCAGCGCGTTCACCCTTCGCCTCGTCTGACCATGGACGAGCTCGCTGCCCGCCTCGGTCTGGAGGTGGCTCAGCGTGCTATGCAATCACCTGCCTCAACACGCTATCTCGTAGGCATAGCTGGGGTCCCGGGATCGGGAAAGACGACCTTGGCCAAGCATGTTTGCGCAATTGTAAACGCCGAGCTACAAAAGCTTCAAGCCAGCTCCGGCGCCGGCCCGTCTTCGCAATGCCCAGAAGCCGTGATCGTAGGCATGGACGGCTGGCACTACTCTCGCGCTCAGCTTTCGCAGTTCCCTGATCCCCAAGAGGCCAAAGATCGTCGCGGAGCAGCCTTCACTTTCGACTCCGCGGCCTTTGCTGACTTTGTTGAGCAGCTCAAGGCAAAGAGCGCGGGTGACGAAGCGGTCCTGGCGCCGTCATTTGACCATGCGCTGAAGGACCCCGTAGCTGATGATGTACGTGTCGAGTCGCGACATCGCGTGGTGATCATCGAAGGGCTATACTGCAATTGCGACGACGGAGAGTGGGCGAGAGGTGCAAGGGCGCTGAACGAGCGGTGGGTTGTGCAGGTAGATCGGCAAGTGGCGAGAGAGAGGCTGAGAGTGCGACACGTCTTGACGGGCGTGGCCAAAGATGAGGAGGAGGCCCTGTGGAGAGGTGAGTATGGCAGTCTTGACGTGTGAGAGCTTGGCACCCTCGACTCGTCCAGCTGACGCCTCTCTTCGTGTTCCCCAGCCGACAACAACGACCTGCCAAACGGCGACTATCTCATGAGCCACCTGCTTGAGCCCGTCAAGCGCATCGTCTCTCGAGAGGACCAGACTTGGGTCTGAGCAGATCTTGTGGACAGAAACTTCATTTAGAGCGATAAGGAACGCAAATAGACAAGCAAGAGACCAATCACCCGCCTCACGAAGTGGAAGGCGCGGCCGTACACCTCTCGACCAGGTCATCTGGTATTCTGCACTCGAGATGGGCGATGACGTCCCGAAGGGGCGTCCACTCGACCCGGTCTGACGAGTTGTTGGTGCGCAGCTTGTCAGCTTTGGAGTGTAGCAAGGTGCCATACGCGAAGACGCGAACGAAAAGGCCCGCCTCAGAATCCTTCGCCGCATGATGCCGCCACACCTCGAATACCACCTCAGACCCCAATGCCGGCCACCTAATCGTCCCGCTCTGCGCCAGCGTCTTGAGCAAACGGACCATCGTCCCATCGTGCCCAACGAAGAGCTTGACGAGCGGCCTCCCCTTCCTACCCTCCTCCACAGCCTTCAGGTCTCTTGCGAGCTCGTCCACCAGCACTGCCGTACCATATCGCACATACTCATCCGCCAAAGCCCCACTGCTGCTGTCATTCGCGCTGCTCGCCCGATTCCAGATATAGTCATACTCCCAATCGCCTGCTGCGTAGACCTGATTGACGAGGGATTGGTTGACAGCTGGTGCATTCGGCCCACCAGCTGGTAGCGAGTGGCCGTGGCACTGTCTAGAGGTCAAGAGGTCGAAAGAGTGATCGATCCATGAGTTCCATGCCTCTACGCCCTTCGTAGTGGGTAGCGATTCGTGTAAGGCATCGAACACCTGCGCATGGTCGGTGAGGTGGCGCTTCCATTCCGGCGTAGCCTCAATGGCCGTACGTAGCGAGTCCGCGTGCGCGCACGAGTATGAAGGAACGATTCCATCGATCGTGTCTGGCTGGACGATGAGCTTCTTGCTGTGCTGTGACCCGTCAAGGTCTTTCTTGCATACTCCCATACCCGCTAGAAAGGCGCTAGCTACTTGCGCCGTGCGAGCAGATGGGGAGGCACGGACCGTGATGGAATCGCACATGTCGTTGTCTGATTGCCCGTGTTTGCCCAGAATCTGCGCCAGTCCTTCAGGTCCATAAACCTTCATGAAGTCCCTGCCGTGCATCCTCGCGTCCTCCCAACCAGCACGCGTAAGTTGGCCACTTGAGCAGCTCCCATTCCAAAGTCGACCTCGCATCGGGTTCCATTGAGGGATCGAGTATTCCGTCTTCATCCTCACTCCCGCGTGGCCGCCATTTGCGTAGTTGAGCACCTCATAGTCATTCGAACAGTCCCAGCCACTTTGGGGGTTGGCATAGCTCTCCACGTCTGCGCCTGGCAGCAGGTTATCCGGTGTGCGCTTTGCATGGCGCTGGAAGGAGGTGACGTACACCAGCTCACTGCCGGAGGGAGGTGGAGGATAGTGAGCAGCGTTGACATGCGGGGCGTTGCAGTAACTGTAGCTGTTCCAAGCGGCTCCAGCGGGCGGATGGAAGCCGTTGTAGATGCCGTGACCGGGGATAGAAGAAGGCGGACAGGACGACGACGACGCGTTACACGCTAGTGCGAGCGCTGTGGCTGCTGCCGCTGTTGCCAGCGTCATGGTAGCCTGAAGGGGCATCCTCGTGTGCGCAGAGCAGAGACGATGAGCGGGGGAAGGAATGGAGCTACGTCTCTGCCATGCCGAATGTCTTCATGCCCTCTCGAGCGCCAAGTTTGGGCATTCCCTGGAAGAAGTCAAGAAAAGCAGCATCGAGCCGAGCCGGGGTCCTGGGAACGTGGTGCTTCTTCCTGTCTCTCACTCACTACCTTGGCCTCTCCACGAAACGCAGTCCTCGGCGGAAAATTGAGTGGATATCATTGCTGTCAGACTATTAATACAAAGCCGATTGAACGGGAACAAACACAAAGCAATATCACGCAGAGGAAGGTAGGGCCGTACCGCTTCGAGGCCCACATCATCCACTGAATCTGTAGCGCTCCCTCAGTCCCTCCCCGTACCTGAATAACACCAATGGAGCTGGCAGCCCTGCCAACGCAATGAAAGCTAGTAGACTGGATCCCCAACCAAAGCCGAGCGCTCTGTAGAGCTTCTGGGCAAAGAGTGGAAAGACTGCCGCCAGGACGGACCGCACCAAGACGGCGCATGCTGTTGCCGAGGCGGAGTATGGGATGAAGGCGTCTACGAGGTAGACCAGGATGGATTGGAAACAGAGAATTGTGCCCGCCCCGACGAGGAGGGAACCGATGAGAGGTATCGTCCAGTGCGTTTGCGCCTGGGCTGCCCAGCCAAAGATGAAGAGGCCCACGGGTAGGACGAGCATCCCGAGGAGGCAGAGAGGAAGACGATACTCCGGCTGGCCTTTAGTGGCGGGTTGCGATGAGGGAGTAGCAGCTGCGGCAGCCGCGGTCGCATCTGGTAGCGACGACGAGACGACAGCGGTCACGGTTGTGCTCGTTCCGCCGCTCTTCTCCACGTCTGACTCGCAGCCATTGCTCCCGCTCGGGGCGTCCTTCCCGTATAGCATGTCATGAATCGTCTGCGGCGACCTAAAGAGGATCCACCCGAGCCTTCCTCGACTAGCTGCCAATCGTCGATAGATAGGATCCTGCAAGAACGCATTGACAAGCGCGGCAGCCAAGAAGCCAAGCCCCAATCCTCCATAAGTCAATCCTGCAGGCCCTGGTCCCCATCCGTACGTCGGCAACCTGGGTCCAGGCGGGGGATCATCAGCTCCTTCTCGCCGTTGAAAGACAAGGGGGTGTTCGACGAGGAAGAGGAATATGATGCCGTAGCAGAAACCTAAGTAGAAGGAGAAGATGGCGCATATTGGATTTGTGAAGAGGAGGCGGAAGGGGCGAGAGAAAGCCTGAATATACTTGGCTTTGGCTGTTGGAGTAGGGTAAAGAAGCGAGTGAGAGCGATGCGCGAGCGTTGAAGAAGTTGCGTGGAACCAGGCAAGTGCTCGGCCTCGCTGCGAGGAGACGGCATTGTCGTCTACCCCATCTCCAATGCCCGAGAGCTTGTTGGCGAGCGCTTTACGCTTCTTCTCCAGAATGACCGGCGCGTACGTCTCCCTGAGCCCGACGCACACGACAACAGCAATGACGCCCGACATGATGGTGAGCGTCCAGAGTAGCCATCTCCAGCTCCTCGGGTTGTCCTGAATGATCCATCCTCCAATGATGTTCCCCACCACTGGTCCCAAAAGCGGGCCGAGTCCGTACAAGCTCTGAGCTCGTCCGCGCTCCTGGGGAGAGAATAGGTCGCCGATACTCCCTGCTCCCAAGCTCGGACCTGTAGATCCAAATACCCCTGCGAAGAAGCGCAGCACGCACAGACCCGGGAAGGTCTCAACTGCTCCCGTGGCTACATTGAACAAGATGAATATCAAGCTCGTAACCACGTACACTGGCCGTCTACCGACCAGCTCGCTAGCCGGAGCCAAGCAGAAGGGTCCCGCCCCCAGTCCCAACACGAAGAGGGAGACGGGCAGCAGGGAGAGTGGGCGTGAGGAGAGGTCGAATTTGTAGTCGATGGCATGGCATCCAGGGATGATGATGGAAGATCCCAGCGGGGAGATGAAGCCCATGAGGGAGATGATGGTCACGATGAGCCATTTGTGTGTTGTAGGCCAGAGGCGCGGGTCTTCGTGCTCGGTGAGTGTGAGGGCGGGGCCGAGAGGCGTGGACGCCGAAGTGGCGGTGGCAGCGGCGGCGCTTGGCAATGAAGGCGCTGGCGATCGATTTGACGTCGCTAGAGGCGGACATACTGCGGATTGTGACAGAGTATCCAAGGCGACCGGCTTGGTCTGATCCTTGCTTGCGACATCGGTCATGCTGGACGAGCCCAGGGTCAATCGAAGGAAGCGCTCAGTAGGGCGTGGTGCCAAGGGCCTCGAGTTAAATCAAAGGCAGCGGCTGTCTAGCCATCACTGTAAAAGGAGGAGCGTATGTATGGCAAGCTGGTCTTGATAGGTTGAATAGATGTAGTCCTTGGGAGACTAGCTAAAATGCCCCTTGCGAAAGGATAGTCCTGCCTTCTTGATGACCCGATGCCGGCCGGCCGGCACCAACTATGGCTGACTGCTGGCTGAGTGTCTCCGTACCACACCGTTGTCTTTGTCCCTCCAGAACCCCCGAAGCTGTATGCGACGTCGAGGCGATGGGATGAGTCCTCGGCAATCAAGCAGCTACGAAGCTGCCTACTGTCAATATCGGCAGATCTTGATTGCTGCAATAGCAAGCCATGAGCGCCTCGCGATGCGGTAGCCTAGTTAAAAGGAGAGTGGGGCGAACGAGGCGGGTGAGTTATCTTGTTACGACAAGGGTAGACTGAACGAGGGCGAAGCTGGGTGAACGGGTTCGACGAGGAAAGCTCTTCCTTGCACTTGGATGCCGATGCGATGCGCCGACTGGCTGCGAACCCGCTGCCGCTGCCGACCATCGACGTTGCCGCTTGCCGTTCCAATTCTGGCTTTAGCTTCGACTGATCCGATGCCGGAGGTCACGGTCAATCTTCCGCCGGCCGGCACGGCATCCCTGCCACACCATGCGTCATGCATCAGTCCGCGAGGAGGCAGTGGGTGATCGGCACGACGCGGCAATTGGTCCGGGCCGACAAGAGCCACGCGGCGAGCTGCTCCGTTGAGAAAGAGGAGACCAACACACGTTCAATTGGCGGCAAGCTCAGATTGCGATGTCACACGACTAAGGTGTTAGTCCTTGTAAAGATTATGATCTGCAGAGATGTATCCCTCACTCCTACATTGTCGCCTCACTACCCTCGCTCTGCCCACCCGCCTGCTGTGTCTCCCAAGGCTTCCTCCTCGCCTCCAACTTACTCTCGCTGGGCTCCTCCTCGTTGATCTTGAGCGGGATGTCGCGGATACCTTGGATCTCATCTGTACGGCCCGTCGCGATGAGCTCAACTAGTGCATCAAAGGATGGAGGGTGGGGAGGGATCGAGGACGACGGGGAGTTGGGGCCGGCGGTAGATGCGCCCGGAGCACCGGCTGACTCCGCAGCGCTAGGTGGAGCTGGCGCAGCAGCGGGGGCCGGCGCGTCTGCCAGCTGCCATGCTGGGATACCCTTGGAGAGGGACGGCGGCGGACGTCTAGCAGGTGGTGCAGCTCCCGTCCTACTGGCTGCTGAGCCAGCAGCCAGCCCCGTGCGTAGCGGCACGCCCATCGCCTTGATAAGCTCCCTGACCTTAGCCACCAGCAGCAATTGAGCCTCTGCCGCCTCGCACTTGTGATTCGCCCCCATCAGCACCTCAAAGCGACAACGTTTCAGCCCCTCGTCCTCCCCATCCTGCGCGGCTTGCTTGTACGTCTCCACGATGCCCTCCGGCGTGATTCTCGGCCGGGGAATATACTCGTCCTCGCCGCCCACCAGCGCTAGCACGTACCCGGTTCCTCCCTCTCTCAGACCCTTGCCCGCTGTGGCCCAGATGTCCCTGATCTCCTTCTGACTCAAGTCAGCCGTGGAGAAGTAGTCGTCTTCCCCTCCCTTGGCGAAGAGGGACCAGTATCTATAGGCCGTCATAGGCGAATCATTGACCGCATCCACGTTGCCTAGTTGCTCAGTGTCGTCTGGACCGGGGCGGCGGATGACGGGCACGTCTCGAGGGAGGAGCTGACTGCCTTTGCCCTCTTCCACCAGTCGACTTGCATCGCGCAGGGTCTTGCGAGCTTCCTCCTTTGAAGACTCAGAGGCCGACGATGATGACGATCCAGAGCTTCCCTCCCCAGAAGCGTCCTTGGCCTCTTCCTTCTCACTCCTCTTCCCAACTTCGCTGCTCTCTTGCGCATACTCATTCTCCCACGACTCCCGATCAGACACAGGCGCCTGAAGCACAACTCCATCCACGATCGCCTTTTCTCCCCTCGCTGCAGCTCCATTAGGATGCGACAAGTAGGCCATGGCGTCTTGACACCCAGTCGAATGGCCCATTAGGACCACCTTGTCCTTGCCTCTCTTCTCCCTCAACCAGCTGACGCCCCTTGCAATCTCCTGCGCATCGCCCTCCAAGCTGCACACCCCGAAGCCGCCCAGGCTGCTGCTCAGCTGGAGTTGAACTACCGAGAAGCCATACGGGGCCACTCCGGCTGCGAGGCGATCGAGGTAAGGGCAGGTGCCAAAGGTATCGGTAAGGCCTGGGATGAAGACGACGCTGTGTGGGAGTGAGGGGTCGCTGTCGAGGAGCGGCAGCTTGGCTGGCTGGCTGGTGTAGATGGAAAGGGACCAGCGCGATGGAGGCGGGTCGCGAATTGTCGACGACGGCGGTACTGACATGGTCAGGGGCGAGGAGAGGCAGATATTGATGCTGGTGGGTGGTGGGAAGAGAAGTGGAAGAAGGCGCAGCCACGAAGGTTCCGAGGGCGCTGCAGGATGCGGCGCCATCCGATGATCCGCCGCCTCCACCGCGTTGAGTGCGTCGCAGTCCGCCTTCGGCTCTCGAGAGGGCCAAATTGCTCCCTCTCCCTCTTCTCACCACGATATCCGGCAAAATGCCACCAAAGGGATCCAGAGGGGCCAAGCAGGGCTCTTCATCAGGCTCAGCCTCATCGAGAGCAGCCGCCCTCCTCGCAAAAGCTCGAGCAGCCTCATCCTCTTCACCACGAGCATCAGCAGCCGTCAAGCGCGAGCCGGCTACGCGTGGCGAATCGGCCGCCTTGCCTGGCTTCAGTGCAACAAGTGACGCGTTCCCATCAAGCTCGGTACCCAACTCGTACATCTCATCGTCATCGACGTCAACTAGCGCTTCAGCTACCGGCTCGTCATCGTCCGGCCCACAGCTTCCCCTCCCCGTTCTGCTCAAACGCCTCACATCCGGCAGTGGCCGGTTCAGCGTGCGGGAGGCCATTCCTGTTGCAGGAAAGTTGCTCAAGGCAAAGCTGGCCAGTGAGGAGGCATTGAGTTTACTCAGCAACCACATTCTTGAAGAGAGAGCTGGCATCGAATCGCAGGAGGAGCGAGCAAAGATCATCACAGCCTTTGGCGCTCAGACTGCCGCCGCGAGCAGGAAGAGGCGACGAGCTGATCACTTTGAGAGTGACGAGTATCTCTCTCGCGAATGGGGCAATGTCTCTGCTCCCTCTGCATCGTCATCCAAGAAGCTTCTCGCCTCCTCGGTCCCACTCCTGGACTATCACCTGAACCCGATCCTCTCTCTTCCGGACTTGCGAGGTCGCTATTGCTACGTGAACCGCGCTCCTGTGCTTACGGCATGGTGCGTCGTACTACTGGAGCGACTGGGCTTCCAACGACGTGAAGCACTCAGTGTAGCACACTGCTACGTCTCCCGTACAGCCACCGCTAGGGGCGTAGCGATCGGGGTCTTCCCCGCCTCTAAAGCGCAAGTGGAAAGCACACATGTGGGGTCTGGTCAGCCACACTTTGAGCTGATGGGAGTAAAGGTGCCTGTCATGCAAGTGGACGTGCCTCGCCCACCTGGCACGGTAGAGTCTGAGGAAGAGGGCAAGGAGTGGCGTGGGATCGATAGTGAAGGTAATTGCGTTGGGCCAGAGAGGGCTTTCAACTACATCAGGAAGAGTATGGCGCAGACGCTTCCATTGGTCGTGGGTGCACTGAGTCTTCTGGCTGATTCGTGGATGCAAGATGAAGGCGGAGGAGTGGGCGGAGAGGAGGGCGTGAAGGAGGAAGGTGGGGAGGTAAAGCAGGAGCCGGACGCCAACAGCGATCGAATCGAGGTAGAGCATGAGGAGCATGCCACTAGCGTAGGCTCAGAGCCAGCCGATGCGGCCACCTCCATGGCTTCATGTGGCCCTGACGTCCTTCACAGTCGCGCATACGAGCTCTACACGCTGTTCCGCCCCTCGACAGGCGGGCAATGGGGCAAACGAGCACGATTCGAGCTGGACAAGGTTCTGGCGCTGCGTAGAGGACACGAGGACGAGTGGGAGAGGGAGTGGGCTCACAGAGTGGATGAGGAGGATGAGGACGTCAGGGGTGGAAGAGACGTTCAGGCGCCTGCAAAGAAAGACGAAGAGCAGGCACCGGAAGCGACAGTGGATGAGGAGCGGGCACTGCAGGAGGACATCGAGCGAGCGATTCAAGAGGAGGAAGCGGCTGCGGCGGAGCAATCGGGCGACAGCAAGCGCGTCAAGTTAGAGGTAGAGCAGTAGCCAGCGGGCACGATCTTAATACCAGGCCTTTTGCCACCAAAGGACATCGACGCCGCTGAAGTGGTAGTATAGACAGAGCACAGGGAGAGTCGCAACGCTACCAAAGAAATCGTTTGCTTCGCTTTACCAGTACAGACGGTGCGTGGAGCCTGCAGGGGAGGAAAGACGGAGGCCGCGGTCAGTAAAAAAGTTGGAGGAATCAGTCGCACACAGCTCGCGCACACTCACAGTGGTACCCGCTCGGGTTAAGGTCAAGGTAGTCCTGATGATACTCCTCTGCCTCAACAAAGTCCTCCTGCTTGGCCGGCTCAATGGTAGTCACAATCTTCCTGCCATTGGGTGTGAAATGCTTCTCTTGAACTTCCTTTGTGATGCGCTCCACAATCTCCTTCTGCTCATCGTTGTGCGGGAAGATGGCTGAGCGGTACTGCGATCCGACATCTGCGCCCTGCCTGTCCTTGGTGGTAGGGTCGTGCGTACGGTAGAGGAATTCGACGAGCTCGGCGTAGGAGACCTTGGAGGGGTCGAAGGTGACCTGAATCGCCTCGGCGTGGCCCGTTCGACCTGAGCATACATCCCTGTAGGTAGGGTTGGCTGTGTGGCCTCCGATGTATCCGACCTTCTGGCTGATGAGACCCTTGTTCTTGAAGTGCTTTGTGTACATCTGCGCTGGGCCCCAGAAGCATCCATTGGCGCCTGTGAAGACTTGATGATCACCAGCAGAGGACATGGTTGAGGCAGAGGCGGCGAGGGCAGTGGCGGTTGTGGGAGTGGTGGGGTTACCGAGTACTTTGGCTGGCTTGAGGCTAGGTCTGAAGAAGCGAGTGAACATATAGTAGCTTATTGGGAATGCTGCTAGCGAGAGGGTCCAAAATGCGATGTTGTGGCGAGGGGTAGGAGGCGAAGGACGCATGAGAGAATGGTCTGCTTAGCTTCAAGTCTTGCGTTATGTACGGCGGAATGCTCGCGGCCCCCTCGGCCACTCGGTCCTTGAGTCCGAAGGTGGAGTAAGAGGATGGGCGAGCGAGAGGTCACCTCGCTTATGTCAGCAAGCTGCGAAGTCGCGATGCGGCCAGTGTGGGGCAAGTCGAGGCGCAGCGAGCGACAAGGGGATATTCATCTTCTTCCCAACGCCGCCCCCTAGCCACTCAGTATCGTCATGACATCCACGACTGCGCCAGCATCGACATCCACTGGGGATCGCCAGCTTCAGTTTCGCCACCTCCTGCCCCCGACCTACTCGCAGACTATCGCTGCCTGGCTAGCAGAGGACTGCCCATCCCTGGACTATGGCGGCTTCGTTGTCGGCGAAGACCTCAAGGAGGCCTCTCTTTGGTGCAAGTCACCGGGTGTGCTGGCTGGCGTGCCCTTCTTCGACGAAGTGTTTCGTCAGCTCGGCTGCTCCGTACAGTGGTACTTTGATGAGGGGGCCATGATCGGCAAGGAAGGAGAGGGAAAGACCAAAGTCAAGGCAGCCACAGTGCGAGGACCGGCACGCAAGCTCTTGCTCGGCGAGAGGGTAGCTCTCAACACCCTGGCACGTTGCTCAGGCATCGCAACTGCCTCCCATCTCTTCTTGCGTCGAGCTCGTCAAGCGGGATACCGCGGTATCGTAGCCGGAACACGCAAGACGACACCAGGGTTCCGCCTTGTGGAGAAGTACGGTATGCTCGTCGGAGGCGTAGACATGCATAGGTACGACCTCTCCAGCATGGTGATGCTCAAGGACAACCATGTCTGGTCGACCGGATCCATCCCTGCCGCAGTTGCTGCTGCTCGGGCTGCTGCTGGCTTCTCGATGAGGATCGATGTAGAGGTGCAGAGCGAAGAGGAAGCCCGTCAAGCCATTGCGGCGGGGGCGGATGTGGTCATGCTGGACAATCTTGAGGGGCAGGAATTGATCGACGTGGCTCGTAGGCTCAAGAGTGAGCTGCACGCGAGTAGTGGGGTCAAGGGAGGCAAGGAGTTCCTCATTGAGAGCAGTGGAGGAATTGACCTGGCGAATCTGAGCAGTGGCGGACACTTGGATGACGCCATAGATGTCATCTCGACGAGCGCTATCCATCAGTCGACGAAGCATGTCGACTTTTCGCTCAAGATTGAGCCGCTGAGCCAGGTCAAGACACGAGGGCATTAGGTGATTCAGGATGGTCACGCTACAATCGCAAATCTAGATAGCATCGAGCTCCTGATGCCTGAGGCCGTAGAACCGACAAGTCTATGAAACACGGCGAGCTGTAATCTGTTCTTCTTCTTGGCCTTGACGCCGGCCCGGCGACTCGACGCGTCGGCCTCGCTGCCCGGACCGAGCGCGTCGATTAATTGGCTGCCCCGCAAAGAAGCTCGAGTTCTCTCTCTCACCTGTCACACTACCACAAAACCTCGCGTCTCTCTCATCCATCTCCCGCCATGCTGATAGCCCTAATAGGCCCACCGCAATCGGGCAAGCAAACAGTAGCAGACTACCTCGTCTCGCAGCATGGCTTCACCCTCGTCTGCATCCCTGGACGCAATTCACATCGCATCTCGCAGCCATCCTCCCCCTCCTCCTCCTCCTCTTCCACCTACAAGCCACTCAGCTTTGACAGTCCCCGCTCCCTTCTCGATCACGCAACAGCCCATTGGCGTGAAAAGCTGGTCACCCTCGACCTCTGCACACTCGCAGACGTGCAGGTCGGATTCGATAAGAGGCCGTTCTTCTTGCTCGTGGGCATTGATGCGCCGCTGGGGGTGCGATACAGAAGGCAGAAGAACCTCGGGCTGGAAGATTTTGTCGAAAGGGATGACGCGATCCTCTATGGCTGCGAGAGGCTCGAGCCCGAGGGAGGAGCGGTCATTCAGCAGCATGTCAATGGCAATGGCCACCAGGTGAATGGGCACCGCCCTGCCTCCCTCGTACGGAGCGACTCGCAGCAACCGGGCGTCTCATCCCTCTCCTCGCCAGCCTCGACTTCTCGAGTCATCCGACTGGGCATCGACGACCTTGCTCTCACTGGCGGGCCGGACCCATTACCACCCTCTACCACTCCACCTTTGCCCGTCCTTCCTTCATCCTCCCTTCACCCGCTGATCCAACAAGCCCACCTCATAGTCCTCAACCCCTTCCCCTCCCTCTCCCCCTTGCACGCCCACTTGGACACCCTAGACCTGCCCTCCCCTCACCGTCTCCGCCCATCATGGGACGCCTACTTCCTCTCGCTCTGCAGTTTGGCCTCACTGCGCTCAAACTGCATGAAGAGAAGGGTAGGCGCCGTCCTCGTCTCTACGTCCGAGAAGAGAGTCCTATCAACAGGGTACAACGGCACGCCTCGCGGCCTCACAAACTGTGCAGACGGAGGCTGTAAGCGATGCAACGATCCTCTTGCAACAGGGAGGGGAGGAGCCAATTTGACCGAGTGCTTCTGCTTGCACGCAGAAGAGAATGCTCTTCTAGAGGTGGGGAGAGGACTGGCAAGAGGGGCGACGCTGTATTGTAATACGTGCCCCTGCATGCGCTGCGCCGTCAAGATTGTTCAAGTAGGGGTGGACGAGGTCGTTTATCAGTTGGATTACTCGGTGGATCATAGGAGCGCCGATATCTTCACCGCTGCGGGGGTAAAAATCAGAAAGTACGGCGAGGCGGTCAAGTGATGATGACGACGAGTGTGGAAAGGTAGCAGTGGAAAGCAAGCTGATGGATCGCAATGTCAATGAGGGTGGTGACGAACGAGCATGACGTCAAGCCCTTTTCTCCTTTTACTCTTCGCCTTTCATTCGCCCATCTCACGCCTTTCTCCTTTCGTGTGCCGATTGTCTCGATTTCATGTAGTGGAAAGCAGAGACGTCAAAAAGAGAGAGAATACAAGGTGGTGATGCTGCTGCTGCCGCCGCGTCCAGGTTCAAGTCGTCATGCTTTTTTCTTGCTTAGACGCTGGCGAGGACCTCGGGCTCCTTGAACTCTCCGCTCTTGACCTTGGCACCAGTGTCCTCGGCGCCAACGTTGGCCGCACCGCCGTGAAGCTCGAGGAGCCTGGATACGTCGAACTTGGGGGCCTTGAGGACCTTGGTGCGGTAGCAGTAGACGTCCTTGAGCGGGAAGATGTTCTGGCACGCCTTCTCGATCTCACGGCCCATAGACTCCGGGATGAGCTTGGCGACGAGCTCCTTGAGGTCGCAAGAGCCAGCCTCGCGCTGCACAATCTCGGTCATGCGGGCGCGGACCTGACGCTGCTGAGACGACTTGGCGTAAGTGGTCTTCTTGACCTGGTTCGCACGGCGACGGGTGAAGCCGATGACGAAGACGCGGAGGAGGTAGCCGTCGGTCGTCTTGATGTCGACGTGGGCCTCGATGAGCGACTGCCACTTGCGGACGAGAGAGCGGAGCTTGTCCGAGGTGAAGTCCATGCCGTAGAAGTTGGTCAGGCAGGTGCGGCCCTGAACCTCCTCAACGCGCAGGCGGAACTTGCGGAAAGCCTGCTCGTCATCCTTGTTGAGGTCGGCGAGCGAGGACTCGATGATGCGGCCCTTGAGAGCGTCGTTGGCGTTCTTGAGACCCTGAGATCGGTTGACGAGGGTCTTGCCGACGTTGCGGTTCTCGAAGAAGATGGGAGCCTTGACGTCGTACCAGTCCTTGCGGGTGAACGGGTCAACGGCACGCTTCTTCTGACCGCGGCCCTTGCCAAGCTTCTTGTTCTTGCCGACAGCTGTGAGAGGGGAGAGGGAGGGATGAAAGGGGAGAGGAGCATCGTGTCAGTCCAGTAGTCTACCGAGCGTATAGGAGTGTGACGAAGGGACGGAGAGAGTTCGAGATGCTGCTGCTGACGACCTGTCTTTCTCAGTGACCAGCTTCGCCGCTTCGCCTCGACCAAGAGGTGTGTCTGCGGTGCGCAGCCCTGGAGGGGGCTGACTCTAGGGCTGTTGAGACATTGGCTCTCCAACCCTCAACCCCGAGCAAGGCTCTGCCAAGCAGACGTTTCCCTCCATGCCGACGACGAGGACGCCTCCGCTTCTCTAATTCTACGCCTCTGCGAAGGCTGTCGCAGCTGTTGTTGCTGCTGCCCATTGGTCCTCTCTTCGCTTTGCCTACGTCCATCGACGCCTCCCCCAGCCAGGCTGCGACGTCCCTTTCCTCAATACGAATCTGCATCCAGCTCTCCCGTCATGAGCAGCATCTGATCCTCTCTCTGCTCCACATGCAGAACTGCGTTGCTCGTTGATACTAACCCATGATGTGCTAGTCGAATGTGATGAGGAAGAAGGGGGTTGAGGGATAAGTGGTAGGAAGCTCGAAAGGCCTTCGCTCCGTCCTTGGGCCTGCCTGTCGTGGCCTGTCGTCGAATTCGAGAGAGCTGAGCCGCCCCGCCGCCTCGCCCGCCCTGTCTGTCCTTGACTGGGTCGCTGCCCGGTGCGTCGGGACGACTCTGCTGCTGCCTCGCTCGCGTGGCGCGAGTGAAAACTGCGGGTCCTCGGCCGAGCCGCGGCGTGGGCTAAAATATCACAGGGGCGAGGGGATGATGACGAGGAGGCCACGATAGCGAGGTTCTGATAGGCTCATTACCGCTGAAAGAGGTTTGGTCAACGGTAAGACGAACATACGCCACGGTCGCAGCTATCATGATCAAATCGAGTAGCACGACCCCTCGGGCCAAGGTCCGCGCGAGTCACACACCACGCCGTAAGGCTTTCTCTCTGGCTGAATCTGCATAGTATTACAAACAGAATGAGGCGAGGAAAGCGAGCAAAGAGCGAATGTTTCACTACCGTAAGAGCGTCCCCATTTAGAGATGCGTGGCTTGCCAATGCGATGCGTAAGCGCCTACGACGACGGCTGAGGCTCTGCTCCCGCTCTGTCAGACGAGGCGGGCTCAGCTGCCGGTACAGGCGGAGGAGGCGGCGGCGGAGAGCCAGCGGGAGGTGGTGGAGGGGGAGGAGGAGGAGAAAGGGCTGGCGGTGGGTTGTCGGGCGGTGGTGGAGGGGGAGGGCTAGATACTGCTGCGCTCGTGGCTGGAGGGGGAGGTGCTGCTGCTTGCGTGGGGACAGTAGCTTGAGCTGGCGTAGATGATGCCGCTGATGCGGCCACTGGCGCTGGAGATGCCGTCGCTGAAGGAGCAGGCGATGCTTGGGCCAGAGGAGGCGCCGAAGTAGGAGCAGATGGAGTCGCGATTGCGCTCGATGCTGGTGCCGCCGTAGTCGACGCCGCGGTGCCAGATGGTGCTGCAGGCGGTGGCCTAGGCGACGGAGTACCTGTCGAAGCAGGCGCCGCGGCCGGCAATGGCCGAGGTGATGGGCTCCCTGTTTGAGCAGCAGACGCAGATGCTGTCGGCGGCCTGATCGTCGGTGGTGGTATGCGAGGCATGGGCGGCCGCGGTGCACCGCTGCCCACTCCTGGCGGTCGAACCACCCCGATTGCGCCCTGAGTCGGCGAGCCGGCAGGTCCTGTGGGTGCATAAGCCGGTCTTACAGCAGGCAATGGCCCAGGAGGGGGACGCGGCCGTGTGGCGTTACTCGAAGGCGGAGGAGGTGGCAATGGCGGTCGTGGACGAGTTGAGGGCACGCCTGTTGGAGGACGTGGAGAACTGCTGCTACCTGGTGGGCGGACCACCTGCGGCCCTGGAGAGGGAGAGCCTGCTGCTAGCCTTGGGCGAGGCGTTGGCGTCGGTGAGCCTGCTCCCATACCTGGTCGAGCCGGCGGTGGCGAGCCCGCTGCTCCTGCCGCTGGCCGTGGAGATGCAGTAGCACCCGCAGGTCTCGGAGGCATCGGCGCACCCATCGTTGGTCTCGGCGAAGGCATAGCTCCACCAGGCGGAGGCGTAGGAGACGGTCCCGCACCAGCCGGCCTTCCCATTCCTGGTCTGACTGCACCAGCTCCAGAGCCCAGTGTACTCGTGGGAGGCCGTGCCCCCGGCGGACGCGCGGGTCCCGCCCCTTGACCCGCGATCGCATTTGCCATCTGTAGCAGCTGGATCTGCCCCGGCGTCAGCTGCGGCAACTTGTGCGGTTCACCACTCTGGCTTTGCTGCCTCAGCGCAGCGATTAAACCCGCAGCCTCCGGATGAGAGGACAGAGAGTGCAGCGCTGCCAATGGGCTACCAGGTGGGGGTGGACTGGCAGCAAGTGCTCCACTGCCGCCTCCGCCTAGGCGATTGACGGGGGGTGGAGGGGGCCGATTGCCTGGCATCGCTGGGCGAGGTGCTGAGGGACGACCTGCACCTGGAGGGTACGGTGGGCGCATTGTGGTCGCGGGGGGTCGCACACCACCTGCTACCTGACCTGGGCGAGGGGGAGCATTCGGTGGTCGAATGGTTGTCGCCGTATTGGCTGTTGGTGGACGGATCGCATTGGGCGGGCGTGGTGCACCAGGCCGTGCCGGTGGCATCGCTGGACGAGACGATTGCATAGGCGGACGGATCTGGGTCGGTATCGGTCGTGACGAAGGCGAACCCGCGGCTGCCGGCATTGCCGGTCGAGGGGTGCTCGCCCCTGGAGCAGGTGGCCGACCCATCGGCGGTCTCGGAGCAGGCGAAGGGCTTGCACCACCAGCTGACGTTGGCCCCGGGCTAGCGGATGAGCTCTTTCTCCCCTGCGAGAGCTGCTGCTGCCGTACCTTGAACTTGAGGTGCTCAACAAGCAAGCCTTGTAGTGTCTGCAAAGCCTTCTGCGGACCCATTCTCTCGATCTCGGAAAGCTGCTGCTGACTGAGATGACCGAAAACGGGTGGAGAGAGGAAGAGCTTGCCGTCGTGATGCACGATTGGCGCTGCATCCAGCAGAGCCTCTACTGAGCCTGCGGCTGCTTTTGCCTTCTTCGGTAGCACGGCGCCTGGAGGTGGCGCGCCAATGACTAGGGGTACGCAAGCGACTGGTTTGGGCGTGCCACCAGGCGTCGAGGGCGAGCCTGCCTTGGGAGTGGAAGGTCCTGGAGTGGGCGTCTTTGCCGGAGGGGCAGGACTGCCGCTGGTTGCGCTGCCGGCGGCTGCTGGGGGCGGGGGTGGTGGAGGCGGTCGCGTAGCTGTTGCTGGCGGTCTGACCTGCAACGGTGGACGAGGCATCGAAGGCGGTGGTCGAGCGGGCATCGATGTCGGCACAGGAGGGCGATACGGCGTGGTAGGAGGACCAGTAGATGGACCTGGCCGTACTTGTGGCGTGGAGGTTGGCGGAGGAGGCCGTGATGTAGGGGCTGAGCTGACTGGTGGCCTCACTGTAGGAGGGGGCGCTGCCGCTGCTGGTCTTGCTATCACCGGAGCTGGTGACGGCATCGCTGACGGGGCCATCGTAGTGGCTGCTGGAGCCACTGGCCTCGGCGCTGGCATTGATGGCGATGCCTGGGCGGCTGAAGCTGATACGCCTGGCGTCGCAGATGCCGATGCAGGGGGAGCGGCAGTTGCAGCCGGACTCTGAGCCGGGGGAGAAGCTGCGCTCGGCGTTGAAACGGGCAGAGGCGCCGCGCTCGATGCCTGCGCGATACCGGCCAAACCATTCGCAATAGCCTCTGGAGTCAACCCATTCGCAATAGCCTGCGCTGCTTCCTGCTGTGCCCTCGCCTCTAGGGACGCCCTAGCCTTCTTCTGCGCCTCAGCCCTCAACCTCGTAACCTCGGCCTGATGCTCAATCGCCAATCTGCTCTTGGCCATCGTGTAGAATTGCCCCTTGCCCTGCTTATCGTGAGCTTTGCGAGGGATCTTGGCAAAGTCCCTGCTCGAGGCAATGGCGTGGCGCAATGTAGACTGCCAATCCTTTTCGTTATGCTTGCCATTCTCGCGGAACCAGGCGTAGCGCTTCTCCAGCCAGGCGTAAATCTCGAACAGGGTCATCTTGCCCTCATTAGACTGCGCTTCGGGCGAGGCGAGGGCCATGGTAATGAGCTCGACGTTGGAGAGGGCAGGTTTCTCTGCCGGTGGCGGCGGCGGAGGTGGCTCGGCGGGCACCGGCGGTACAGCAGGAGGAGCCGGTGCAGGCTGGCTTGCTGGGCCATTTGCCGGCTCTAGTGCTGCAGCTGCGTTCGCTGCGGCCACTTCTCCGCTCTCCTTCTTCTGTTCGCCTTCTGGAGCAGCAGGTGTATTGCTCGCGGTGGTAGTCGCACCAACCGACGTAGCTGGCGTCTCTGCACCGCTGGGCGCCGGCTCTCCCGCAGCTGCTGCCGGCGCCGGCACCGATTTGGTGGCGTACGACTTGCCTGGTATCTTGCCTTTGCCTTTGCCCTTTCCTTTGCCTTTACCCTTGCCATTGATTTCTACTCCGGCTGCTTCCTCCTCTACTGCAGCCTCCAGTCTCGCCGCTTCCTCGGCCTTGCTCGGATCGTCTTGCGCTTGCGCCCGCATCTCTTGCGCCTTGAGCAACCGCTTCTTGGCCGCCTTTGCCCGCTTTTCCGCCTCCAAAGCTTCAATGCCGATTGGCGTACCAACGGCCAAAGCCTCCGGCTGCTCGTCTTCTGACGGTGCATCGCCGCGTTTTCTTTTCCGATTGGCAACCCCAACACCCTGTGTCCAGCTCGGCATACCTTTGGATTTGCCCTTGGACGAGTGTTTGCTTTTCTTGCTCGTTGATCCTTCGCCCCCGCTCTCGTGATCTGAGTCGACGTCCATGCCATCTGCCTGTGCCTTGCTCTTGCGCCGTTTGAGAATGAGCTTTGGTCTGCGCTTCTTTGCCCCTCCTGATCCGGATGGGTCCGCATTGGCTGCATCGCTATCTACCTCTGATAGCTCCGACGAGTCCTCGGCCTCTGATGAGTCTTCTTCGCTCTCGCTGTCACTGTCGTCCTCGGATGGCGAGAGCGAGCCCAGCTCCTTCATCATTGCTGCATGTCCCCCGGGTCCAACATTGGGTGGCAAGACAAAGTAGAAGACTCGCTCTGCAATCTGAATTTTGGTCCTCTTGCTCAGCTGAACAACGCCGCCTTGCCTGATGTAGACATCGTCAACCATTGCTCCATGCTTGCCCTCTATGCGGATGACAAAGAGATCACGTAGCTGCTGATGTGACTCGCGCCAGTAGGGTCCATACGACTCGAAACCACGGAACATAGGTCCAGCAGGCGCTCCAGAAGGGTAGGGCATCGGATGAAATGGTCCAGCGTGGAAGTAGATGACGGCATGGCATCGCGAGATAGACTTGACGTTTCCCAGATCGATATCGACATCGCCTGCCACCCTGCTGCTTCCATCGATGGCTCGTGGTTGGGCCATCGAGTGGGCCTGCTTGAGCTTGGCTGGTCGTCTGCCGATGGTGACCTCGAGCGTCTGGATGTAGATGGAGAAGCCGGGGAAGTCGATCTTGGCGTAGGCTTGGATGGGGCCTTGTGGCGCTTGCATGGGGTGAGCGCCCTCATCTGATGAGAAAGCATTGCCCCAAGCGTCATCGTCGTCGTCGTCGTCGTCTTCCTTCTTGAGCATCTGCTGCTGCTGCAGTGGTGTCTGCATCGCGGCTGCTGGGACAGATGAGGAGGAGGCTACAGGGCCGAGATCGAGTCCATGACCGGCTGCAAATGAGGCGAGTAGCCTCGCATGCTCCTCGTTGAGCTCTTCTTTGGGCTCAGCAAGAGGTGTCGATACGACTGGAGCTAGGCATTCATTCAATGCCAAGGGTGCCGAGATCTCTGGCTCTGGCGCTGCTATTGCTGGTGCTGAAGACGACGACGACGACGACGATGATGATATTGCTAGTGTTGACGTTGATGCTGTTGCTGCTGTTGCTGGTGTAGGAGGGGATGATGCTTTCGCCGCCGTCATGGACGTGGATGGCTGCTCGTCCTTGGTGGTGGTGGTGCTGCTGCTGGTGCCGCCGCCGCCGCTTCCTCCCACCGTTTGGTCGGAGGCGGCGGGCGTTGCCGTCGTCATCATCGCAGCCGATGCCAGGCTGGTCGTCAATGGCGCTGCATCCGCGCGACCAGACGGCGAAGGGATGATGAAGAGGCCTTGGTGTGTGCGACGAGGATTCGAGTGCTGAGCTCCTCGATGGCGGTTGTGGGTGGACGACGGAAAGGATGCGGCCGTGAACGCGACTCAACTTCGCGGTCGACTTGGGACGAGTCGAAATGAAACCCGCGGGCGGGCTGGCGGCAGCGGACGGACAGAGAGAGGCGAGGGGAAACGACATCCCGAGCCACGAGGTCGAAATTTTTGGCAAAGGAGACAGCGGCTCACGATGGTATCGGGCGAAGCATTCAATGTCTTGTAGTGGGACGAGGTGAGCAGATTGCATACAATGGTCGAAAGAATCAAGGCAGCTAGACGACTGCTTTGAGTAGAGGTAGAATCAAGTCCTGGCCGCATCATCCTCGCCCTCGGAGAGCACCGACCAATCCTCGGATCCCGCCACGGATGCGCTCGTTGACCTTGAGCGGCCACCACTCGCAACTCTTCTCGGCTCGACACCACCCCTCGCACTCCTCCTCAGGATCAGCGTCGTTGCATATTCCAGATCGGTGTAAATAGCCCTTACCGCCTCTGCTACCCCGTTCTCCTGCCTTATCTTCTCGCCCAGAGCCCTAGCCCTCTCCACCACTCGAGCACTTTGCGTCGCCTCTACCAACGCCGCTGACAGCGAAGTAACGCTCAGCTCCTTGACACAGCTTCCCACGCCGAGGCTCTCGACTTGCTGGCCCCAAAAGAATTGGTCGCCGAACCACGGCTTGACGATCGTGGGGAGGCCGGCGCGTAGGGAGGCACCGATTGTGCCTGCTCCGCCATGGTGGCAGGCGGCGTCGATGAGTGGAAAGAGCCAGTCGTGAGGCACCGAGTCGACGCGGTAGACGTCAGGCGAAGAGTGAAGAGCACACTCTGCTGCGCCTCGCCCACCGCTGCTCTTCGCTGAGAGTCGTTCCGACCATCCTTTCGACAAAATAGCGCAGACGTTGCTCCTTCGCACCGCGTCGAGGACGCAGCGCGTCGTAGCCGCCGCATCGGGTACAGTGATGGATCCCCAGCCGATGTAGACGATCTTTTTCCCTTTCTGCCTAGCCGACTCAATGAAGGCCATCAGGTCCTTCGGCGGTGTCCAGCAGCTGCTCTCCGGATTGTCAAGGTACCAGAAGCCCGTAACGTGAATCCAGTCGTACCAATCGAGGGGCTTAGGCACCAAGCTCGGGCTGAAGCTGTATAGGAAGGGTACCTTGTGCTGCTCTAGCTGGTCATACGTTGTCGTTGCCAGACCAAGACAGCTCTTGCGCCATCGATTGATCTGCCCGGCTGAAGCACGCCAGAGCACCTGATCGAAGATGACGTACGAGAGGTAATTATAGCTACCCCCTGCCCTCTTGCTGGGTACGGCAAATGCTTGAGGATAAGCGCGCGTCCGTGACCATGGCATGGTAAAGGCGCGCATGTAGGGAACGCGCAACGCCTCTGCGACGTGGATACCTGCGATTGCGTTGGGGGACTCGATGATTACATCGCTTCCTTGACAGGCATGCCAACAGGACACTAGCAAGTCGTCTAGCCAGCCGCGGAATTTTGTCACCCCTTCGCGCAGAAAAGAGACAGTGAATGTCCCATTCTCAACGCATATTCTCATGAGCTCAGCCGGGTCTCCCCCGATCTCTGCAAAGTCGACACCGTGTTGCTGAATCCAGTCGCCAAACTCGGCGTGAGTGGCAATGCGAACCTTATGACCGTCAGCGGCCAAGCCTTTGGCGAGGGCGAGGTAAGGTTGGACGTCTCCACGCGAGCCAATAGTGAGGAGCGTAAAGGAGAGGGCCTTGGCGGGCTTGAAGCTCAGCAGGGAGACGGCGGCACTGCTGTCTGATTCAGAGGTGGAGGTTGCCGAACTGGAATGGAGGGAGGAAAGAGAGTCGCTCATCGTTGACCGCTGCTGGGCTTGCTGTTGATGTACGAGGTCGGTTAGAATGATCGCTTCGCTTCGCTCGCGCTCGATTGCGTTTCTCGCTGCGGCTAGCTCGCCCCCTACCTGCTCCAAACGGCCCTCGATCAGCGTCAAGCACTCATCTCTCCTCTCCTTGCTTGAAAACTCGAGGAAGAGCTCCTCGTGCCCGCGAATCGTCAACACAAGTCCGTGTTGACCGAAGCGAAAGGCCCTGTGCTTAGCGCACGAGATGATCTCCCGCAACGGCAAGACCATCTTCGTCAGTCCCATGGCCTTATTGGCCAGCTGTGACGACTCGGAGAGGAAGCAGAGGTGGTTGTCCGATATGAACAGGGTGCCAGGCAGAGGGAGAACTCGGTAGAGATAGGCATCGATTTGCCGATGTAAGCCCTCCGTCGAGGGAAGAGCGAATGTGTCCCGGAATGAAGAGATGCTGTGTTGCTCTACGAGACGTTGCCGGTCTTCCTCATCTTCGGAGGTGAGTGAGTCAAGCACCGAGAAGTTGGAGTAAAGAGAGTCGGACATATCCTGCCCAGATCCGTCATTGGCCATGCTGCTGGGTATCGCATCCATGCGAGGTGGGGAGGACCAGACCTCAGTGATGGGCCGCAGAATGCCTTGCCGATTTGCAGCAATAGCGCTCAGCGAGCCACGCGCTGCAGCCCCACTTGCTGCGAGGAGGCGCGAAGGAACCGCCTTTGCCCAGTCAGGTACGGCATTCCATGATCTCCTTTCGCTCGAGGGTGGTATGACCCCTTCTACTGGACGAGGGGGATAGCCTGAGGGCTGAACGGGCGGTTCGAGGCTGGAAGCGTGAATGTGACTCGCTCGAAGTGTGCTCGACAGCCCGTGATCGTCTGCAGAGGAGGGCGAGCGACCTTCATCGGAGCCACTTGCTCTGGGCTGGCCGGCTCGCGCTGGTATCGCGATGGCGGCAGCGCCCGTCGTATGCGGCAAGGGAGAAGCTCGAGCTTCTTGACGAGCTCCGCTTTTCGGATCCACACTTGCGAGCCTCGGCGCCTCTTCCAGCGCCGTTCTCGAGGTATCTTGTCTCAGGCTGCCAGTCGAGTCCCTCGTCGAGCCCATCGAGCGACGTGAGCCGATTGGCCCTTGCGCTAGCCTCTGGCGGAGCTGATTCACAAGGGCCTGCTTTTGATCTCCCAAGAAGTGAAGGAAATGGTAATCGTCCAGCGCAAACTCGTTCGACTGCCACTCGATGACTTGCACAGAGACTAGGTCGGCCGCAGACTGAGCCGCGCTGCTCGTTGAGGTGCTGTCCACGTCAACGATTGCCTCGAGCGGTATGCTGATCCGCACGCTCTCTCCTTCATTCTGCGCGCGAAAAGCCGCCTTCTTCAGCGTCTCCACCCAATCGTCGCGACTTGCCTGTGAGTCGACGCCGAACACGAATGTCCGCTGCGGCGTAAAGACGCGAAAATGTCGAGCCTTGCTGGCGCTAGGCCGTACGTCGGATACGTCTCGCAAATCAATATGTCCCCTTGGAAAGTAAGGGTCGTGCTGACTGTCATACCAACTAAGAGCCCTGCCCCTCAGGACGGCCCAGTGATGTGAGAACCGCAATGTCTTTCTCGTCTTCTTGCGGAGATGACCAGCCTTGACCACCTTGTCCTCTCGTGTGGGCAGATAGGCGTAGAAGAGGAGGTGCCCGTCGGTGAGATAGATGTGGCCTTGAAGGAGGACTGAGCGGAACAGCCAGCATGAAGCACAGAAGCGGACAAGCTCGTCGGAGGGGAGGCTGAATATTGATTGGAGCTTGGTAGAAAGTTCGTCCAGGCGTGAAGGTAGGGGGTTGGCGACGTCCAACCGCTCGGGCTCCTCGTCGTCAGAGAGATTGCTACTGCTGCTGCTGCTGCTTGAGGTGGCACTGTCTTGCGGCTCTGTTTTATGAGAGAGCGCAGATGAGCTGCGAGGCTCTCGCAGGCGACTCACTGGACGAGTCGAGCTCATCGAGGCGCCCAGAGGCGTCTGACCTCCTCGCGGTGTTGCTGCGTGGCGCGGCGCATGATCAGTTGGCCGTTCGCAGATACCAAACGGAGGATGATGCTTACAGCTATCGTCAGCAAGGAGCTCTGACCTGATGCCTGCTAATCTGCTTGCGCCTCTTTGAGTACCTGCGACCCCCTCGGACGGCGCAGCACCGGCGGCAGGGTCCAGCTCTTGACTCGATGCCAAGCTGCTGTCTCCGGTAGAGTCCCCTCGATCTTGCTCTTGTCGCTGCGCAGCATCAGCCAACCCCATTTGATCCGCCTCTATCAGCCTGCTGCCCACGAGCGTGAGCATCTGCATCAACGTCTGCGCCTCCACCGCTCCCGCTGCCGCACCCGCAGAGGTGGGAGACTCAGCCATTGGATCTGAGGGCGGTGATGGTGGGAGCGGCGGTAATTGCGAAGTCGATGCTATTGGCTGCTCATCGCCTGTCACATGCCCATATGTGGACGACGTAGCGGCCAATGGCAGCTCCAATTCGAGCGATGTGGCCAGAGACGAGACATTGGAGTGACCCCTGGGAGATGTTGGGGACAGATGCGGAGGCCGCGGGGGACCCAGTGGCCGCTCAGGCGATGATATCGAGGACGATGGCTGCCCAGCTATTGTCTCTGAAGATGGATCGCGAGGTGTGCCCATGATAGCGCAGCTTGCCGTCGTTGTTGCGGGTGCAGATGGTGTGGGGAAAGGGCCTTATGCCGGTACTGTCTATGAGGATGATGTAGCATACATCGTGCGTGTACAACGGCAGGTGTGAGGAGGGTTGCTGTTGCTAGTGGTGGCGATGGCAATAAAGACGGGCGTGAAGCGGCGAGGTCCACGTTCGACGACCAAATCAAGAGGCGGGGCGGTGGTAGAGATGAGTTGAGACGAGAGGGTCAAAGCGTAAGCGCAGTGGCCAAAGCGGCGGCCGGAGAGCGGAGCGAGATCGAGGGCGGGAGGAGCAAGCAACGGACGACGCGTGCAGCCACCCTGCATCAACTCGCAGCCACACACCAGCACAAGTGCCAGGCCGAAAGACCGGGATAGAGGTGAGCCGGCGCGACAGCATTGCGATGCTGCGTGAGCGGCAACGTGGAAAGCATGGCATGGCGTGACATTCTGGTCATGAGCTGCTGGCAATAAATGTGGCCCAAGAGGGATGGTCACTCAAAGATGCGACCGGATCCCGGCTGCCTTCAACTTCTTCTCGCTCTCCCCAGTAATACGATTCTGCCTCTCCCACAAGGCTTCGGCCCTTCTCAACTCCTGCTTGCCAATCTGCTGGATATGCACCTCATCCGGCCCATCAGCGTACCTCAATGTCCTCAGGCCGGCGTAGGCAGCAGCGAGAGGCGTGTCCTGAGAAATACCCTCAGCCCCATGAGCTTGCATCGCCCTGTCGATGACCTCGAGGGCTGCAGTGGGCACCACGACCTTGGACATGCCAATGTCACGCATGGCGCCCTTTGCGTCTGACTTGTCGATCATGCTTGCTGCGGAGAGGACGAGGAGGCGTGCTTGATCGATCTGCATGCGTGAACGGGCAATGTCCGCTACGATGGTGCCGTGCTCATAGAGGGCTTTGCCAAATGTCCTCTTTCTCGTGTCGGTCACACGGGTGAGCATACGGTCCAGTGCAGCCTCGGCAGCACCAATGGAGCGCATGCAATGATGAATGCGACCCGGCCCGAGACGACCTTGAATGATCTCGAAGCCTGCTCCCCAGCCTTTCACCAAATTGGCCAAGGGCACGCGCACGTTTTCGTAGATGACCTCGCAGTGGCCCTCTGGCGCGTCGTCGTAGCCAAAGACTTGCATGGGCCGCACAACTTTGATCCCCGGAGTGTCAGCGGGAATGAGAACGATGGACTGCTGCCTATGCTGATTGGCATTCTGTGCGTCCGACTTGCCCATCAGGATGTGCAGCTTGCATCGCGGGTCCCCTGCACCACTGATCCACCACTTGTGGCCGTTGATGACAATCTCATTTCCCTCTTGACGGATGTCGGTGCGGATGTTGGTGGCGTCTGAGGAGGCAATGAAGCGCTCTGTCATGGCAAATGCTGAGCGAATCTCGCCATTGAGCAGTGGCATGAGCCACTTCTTTTGCTGCTCCTCATTGCCGTACTTGGCGAGGACTTCCATATTGCCAGTGTCAGGTGCGCTGCAGTTGAAGGCCTCTGAGCCAAAGTGGCCACCTCGACCTGTGATCTCGGCCATGACGGCGTACTCGAGATTAGTGAGCGGGGTGCCATGCTTTGGGTAGTGCTTCTTGGAGAGAAAGAGATTCCAGAGGCCTTTTGCTTTGGCCTTGTTTTTGAGCTCTTCGATGACAGGGGGAACCTGCTTCCAGCGGGTGGCGGGATCCTTGGAGATCTGAGCCTCGTAGAGCTCGGCGGCGGGCAGCACCTCGTCCTGCGGTTGCGAATGCCAGATTGATTAGCTTCTATAGACTGGCGAACACGTCACTTGCTCCTTGGCTACTCACCAGAGTGAAGCGAACGACGTCAGTCAGCTTGGCCTTGGCAAAGTCTGAGAATTTGTCCTCAATGAGGGACCACGCGCCACGAGAGATGAAACCCTCTGCGACAATGGCGTGGTCGCCGGGCCTGACTTTTCCAAATGACATGGCGGTAAGAGAGAGGCGGAGAGACCAAAGGGAGGGAGGAAGGCAAGGTGGGGATAGAAAGTGAGAGAGAAGACGGGGACAAGATGGGGTAAGGCTGGCTTCCCCTTCTACCCCGCAACCGGCTGGACCTTGGCAAGCCGTCGTCCCGGCTTGCAGCTCGGTCCCTCGATCCGGCAATTGCAAACCACGTGGTCATTGCATGGCGTTCGGGCTTAAAGCCGAGCGGACAGGGCTGAGCTCACTCTCGGATAGGCGGCCTCCATTTCCGAGCTTCAATGTCGATCCAGAGACCCATGCTGCGCATCCTTCCTTGCCTTCCTCACCATGCAAATCATCGTCAAGTACCGCGGTCAGGACCATCGTCTCGATCTTCAGCAGACCTCTACGCTCTCTGACCTGCGCTGGCAGATCGTGGAGGCGACCAGCGTGCCACTCGCCAACCAGAAGCTACTCCCGAAGCCGGCGAAGGGAATCTCGCTCAATGACGATTCTGCCACGCTCGAGGCGAGTGGCGTCAAGGATGGCCTCATTATCATGCTACTCGGTGCAAGCAACGCAGAAGTAGGCAAGGTCAGAGAAGAGGAGAGGGAGGTGAGTCGCCGCGGTTTATCATCGCCACCCGCTAAGCCTTCAATACTTACGCCACTCCGTCTACGCCGCTCATCCCTCCCCCGTCTCTATACAGGCTACAAAATGGAGCCAACCCCGCAATTATCACCCTAGTATGCTCCGAGGCACTCGTCCACGCTCAACAGGCGTGGGAAGCACCAGTTCGACGAACCCCTTCCTCTCACTCGCCCCGCATCGCTCTCTCTCCTCGTCCCATCCACTCCATTCTCGCGTCATCGCCTACCTCACTCGCCTCACCCAAGACGAAGGAGTCATCCACGTCTGTCACCTACACAACTACACCATTGGGCACCTCACTGAGCTCCTCCCCTGGGAAAATCCGGAGCTACTGGGTCTGAATGAGAACAAGGGGCAGACCATCCGGCTACGCATACGTACGGACGACGCGGAGGGATTCAGAGATTACAAGACTACGCGACAGGTCTTGCTTCATGAGCTGGCACATATCGACGTATCTGGACATCCCGTGGAGTTCAAGGAGCTGAACAGCAAGCTGAATGCTGAATTGGCGGCTTGGGAGAAGAATAGGGAGCAAGGGACGCACAGCCTTGTGGAGGGCGAGATGTATGCTCCAGCGCCGCAGGCTGGCAGCTCCAACAGTGGTGGAGGATCGTACGTTCTGGGAGGTGGTGCAGCAGGAGACCTTACGGCAGGACCAGCGAGCTCTGATGAGAGGCGCAGGGCCATCCTCGATGCCACGCTGCGGCGCATCGCCAAGGTCGAGGAGGAAATTGAGGCCGGGTGCGGGTCGCATCAGAAGACACACCAGCATCAACCTTCTCAAGCATAGTCTCTTCCCAATCTTTGCTTAGCTTTGTATTCCCGCCTCTCTAATCGCATAGATACCATATTGGCCTATTGGCCCTTCTTCTCCTTCCTGTGCGTCCTCGTCAAGATCGACACCTTCTATCATCTCCTTCTGCAGTCCCGCATCCTCCAAATGACGCCACAGCCCGACCTCATCAGCATGACGGTGCTTCTTTGAAAGGATTGCCATGGAACCCTTTGGCGCTGAGCGGAGAAGTCTTGCGAGCAGCGAGGCGAATGGGCCGTATGTGTCTGGATTGTAAGAGCAGTCTGACGCGAGAACGAGTAGAGGTGGCCGTGATCTGGAGCTCTTGCTGTCTTCTCCTTCGAGTGCCTCACAAAGAGACGCAGGGAGCTGCTCAGCAAACCAGTCTAGCTCAATGACTTCCGGTCCGTGTCCCGTAAGACCATTGCGCGCCTTGTTGCTTTCGATGAGTTCCAAAGCAGGGGCAAGGTCCGAAGCGAAGAGTCGACTGAAGGGCGTCGAAGAATGCGCAAGACCGATCGATAGCATGCCTGTTCCGGCGCCGAGCTCGACGATGACTCTGCTCGGGCCGTGCGGGATGATCGATGCGTCTGAGTCTACGCTGCTGCTGCTCTTGCTATCTGGCGGCGCCATCAGCAGGCTCAGCAGCGGAATAGACGCATCCCAGATGTGCTTGTCTAGTTCGAAGCCAATCTCCTCCTCAATCTCGATTGCGGCGAAACAGCCTTGCCCTTCGTCCTCATTGCTGTCGTAGGCCCAGAGCCTGGAGACGTGAGTGAGCTTGGCGGGCGACATTGACAATGAGGCTGAGCCTGGTCCCGTGGTTTTGATCGGTGGGGTAAGGACGGGCAGGAACACAGTTTCTCCCGCTTGTGATCGCCGTACTGCCTCCGTGGGTCGGATCAGGAGGCATGATGAAACATCTTGCCCGGCATTTGTCTCCTGCGGTGACTTCTTGGCTCTCTTATGACTTTTGGGCGGCGGCTCAATGACTTCGACCCACATCGCCAGGCGCAGGGCGGCATCCTTGAGCGTGGCTGATTGGACTGCCTTCTTTAACTCCTTGACAGATGGGCATGCGATGTCGACTTTCCTGTACGCCGAGTCGGGCCCTATCCACTGTACGCTCTGCTCTGTCTTGACTACAACGAAGCCTTCCCGACCTTGGGCAGCGTCGTGCTTCTCCATCACCCAAGCCAGCTTGAGCTCGACGCCATCTTCTCCATCCTCAGGTAAGAAGACCTCGTCGCGAAGGTCATTTGCAATCAGCGGAGCGACCTGAAGAGACTGTGAGGGCGATAAACTGGAAGGAGGGAGTCTTTGGAAGCCAATGTACTGAAACGGCATCGTACAGAACAGGAAGCAGGGACGACGCGATGCATTTTTGCGCTGTCCGCCCGAGTCCGTGCGTTCATCGACCCTTCGGCCGCTGATCGGCTTTGGCGCGAAGCCGCCCCTTCAACGAGGACTTGTACGGTAGACGCCGTCTCCCTCGCCGCGCTCGGGCAGCAGCCCCGGTGAGCTTATACGGAGCGCTGCGCAAGCCTGACCGCACGCTACGACGCTCCTTGCTTTCGTAGTCATGCGACTAGGAGGAAGATTGATGCTCGAAGACTGCCTCGAGCATCTCTGGGCCTCCACCGCCTCGTGACCTCGATCAATCATCGTTGTTGGCGGCATCTGATTGTTGTCGTGCTCCAATCAATCGCCTGTTTCATTCGATCAAGAGCCGTCATTCGGAGTCCTGGGCTGTCATGCACCAAAATAAAAAGCGCGGAATCCTTTGCAGCGCAGCCTGGCCTGAAGGGAGTGTCGTGTGCCGTGCAATCGTGGCGACGACTAGAGGTCTTGGGGCACGATCCGCGTATGCCGAGGCCGGAGTGAAGGGGCCTGAGTCGTCGTCGTCGTTCTGCGCGTCTGTGGCTGTATTCCACGCAGAGGGGGGGAAAAAAAGGCAAAATCTTGGAGAGTGGTTGGTCGCTCGGACGCCCGCTGCTGCTGTTGCCTCTTCGCCGCCGACGATGCGATGGGACGGCGTTCCGCTGTGTGGGTCCTGATCCTCTCGCCTCCTGCCACATCGGCTGCATCCCGCACCACGAAAGGCCGGCCACCGAGCAGCCAAACTCGGGCGGCGGCGTTGGGCGACACGACAGGGCGGGCACAAGCAAAGCAAAGGACAACGACGGCGAGCACCAACAAGCGGGCATGGATGGCCACCGGGCGAGAGGCCAGGCAACAACTCGAAAGTCCAAAACCAGAGGGCGCCCGGCAGCTCTATCGAGAGACTGAGCGCGAGTTGTGTGTCGAGTCGTGGACGAGTCCGGCTCAGACTTCTTGTTTCATTCGCTACCATCCCATCGTTCCCCTTCCTTCCGCTCCCTCACCACCCTCGCTCATTCTCTTCATCGTCATCGGAGGACGATCACTACTACTCCGTAGGCTCGTCGACATTTTCCGTCTTCTCCTCTAAAGTTTGCAAGGCTAAGGAGTTAGTGCGCGCTCGCTCCCTTCCTTCCTCGGTCATTCGACGCAGCGCGACTCGCGACTTTTTCGTGACTCGCTCCCCACTCGACATCGCCCTTGCGAGTCGACATCACTCTCATCTGTCATCTGGCTCGACGCACCGGTCGACGCCACTCTTCCTTCTCGAGCACACTCCCTCACCCACCTTTATCCTTCCCGCTTCGGACGCCGCGCTTCCCTCGCCACAATGGACGTCGTGCTTCACCTCGCCGACGACTACCTTCTCGACCGCCTCTGGGCGATGGCATGGCCTGCTCCACGAGGCATGGGCGTCGCAAAGGCTGCCAGCCCGTCACAGGCCGTCATTGCCAATGTCTCGTCGCACCTTGGTAGCGCTTGGGGCAAGGAGCCCTCGCAGTGGACAGGCCATGCGGGCAAGGCCGTCAGTGCTCTGCCGCGAGACAACATCATCAGGTGCGTGCGAGGCAGCAAGCTTAGCGGCGATGTTGCATGCTTTGTTGCTCATCTCTTCTTTCCCACCCTCTCTCGCCCGCAGACAAGCCTTGTCGCTCTCGCTCATCACTTACGTCGGCATCTTCATCCTCTACTTTGGCTTCGCAGGGTTGTCCTACTACTTCTTCTTCAACCACGATATGAAGCGCCACCCTCGATTCCTCCCAAATCAGGTACGGCTCGAGATCGACTGCTCGCTGCGGGCTTTTGGTCCCCTCACTCTGATGACCCTGCCGTGGTTCGTCGGAGAGGTCCGCGGTTACTCGATGCTCTACACTAAGGTCTCCGACTTTGGTCTGGCGTACACGATCTTCTCGGTGCCCTTCTTCCTCGTCTTCACCGACGCCTGCATCTACTGGGTACACAGGCTGGAGCATCACCCCAAGGTGTACAAGCATATCCACAAGCCTCACCACAAGTGGCTGGTGCCCACGCCGTTCGCCTCGCACGCCTTCCACCCTCTGGACGGTTACTTCCAGTCACTGCCTTATCACATCTTCGTCTTCCTCTTCCCGCTGCACCGCTTCGTGTACATGGGTCTCTTCGTCTTCGTCAACTGCTGGTCCATTCTCATCCATGACAGTGACGTGATCGTCAACTCGCCGTTGGAGAAGGTCATCAACGGCCCGTCGCACCACACGCTGCACCACTTGTACTTTAACGTCAACTACGGCCAGTACTTTACCGGCTGTGACAGACTTGGTGGCTCTTACAGGCAGCCGAGGTCATCCGACGACCCCCTCCTCGACGTTACGGGCAAGGGTGAGCCGAAACCCCTTCCAAAGGCGCAGAAGAGCGAGTAGACGACGCGAAGACGACTTGTAGCATTGTGGGCGGGCAATGACTTGAAATGAAAGAGGCAGGCGAACTCGCAAACACGCTCGTTCTTGGCCAGCCCTGCACCACCCATCAACACCACTAAAGAACCCGACTCACCAACGACCTCAACAACAGCATCTCCTCTGCCACGAGATGAAACACAAACGATACCATACCGCCTTTCTTCTTGTTGCGCCATCCTCCGTCCTTTGTCAGTCATTTGCGGAACCTATTTTGGCTCTTCATCTCGAGATGCAAGCATGCCCTTGCGCAGGTCAGTCGACCGCGGGCATCGCAGACGCAGCATCTCGATAACGTCGGATCTCTTCCGCCTCCTTTTCGGCTCACAATGTCTATACTCTACCCCTCGACTGCGAACAATAATATCTCACCTGAGCTTCCTGGCACCGTGTGCGAGTGTCGATCTCTTCGATACGATGCATGGGCTGAAGGAATGAATTTCTCGAAAGGATTGACAATGCCTGCGAGTGCCAGACTCGAGCGCGGCTACGAATGGAAAGACGCGAGGGGATGTCAACGAGCACAACGAGTGCAGTGGGCATGAGAAGGCAAAGGGGAAGATGTAGTGTCTGAACGGGTGACATCGAGAGTAGCGCTTCACGCCTATCGTTGGTGGCTCCTACGGCAACGTGATGGCCCCAGACCTCTGCTCACCGAGGCGCTTGATCTCGGTCTCCTCGACTCCAGCTGCTGCTACTTTCCCCCTGCTCTCCGCGACAGGCAACGGACGACGCTCTCCAGCATGGTGATGCTTGGCTGGCGTCTGGCTGCCATTTTTGATTTGAGTGCCGGCTTGCTGCTGATCCTTGAAGGCCGGAGCGGGCTCCCTGATGGGCTTCGCTGGCTCCTCAACTGGCTTGCTCGCATCGGAGTGGTGCTCCTTGGGCTCGTGGTGTCCGCTTGTGTGGTGCTTTTCATGGTGCTGAAGGCCGTGGTGTTTGGCGTGCGCCTTCTTCTTCTCCGCTTCAGCTTCCTGCTTGAGCTTCTTCTTCTCGTCATCGTCTTCAGTGCAGTCTTCCATCTCCGCCTCTTCCTCTTCCTGTTGCTCTTCCGCTTTCTTCTTCTGCGCCTCCTGTTCCTTCTTCTCTGCCTCCTTTTTCTTCTTCTCTGCTTCCTTCTCTTCCTCTTTCTCTTCCTCCGTCTGATCCTCCTCTTCGCACTCCTCCTCGTTCTCTTCTGCGGCCGCCGTAGGAGTCTTCACCGTCGCGGGCTTGCTTTCGTGCTTCGCGACCGTCACGTGCTTGGTCTCCTTAACCACGGGATTACTGTAGAGCTCCACAGGCTTGTTGTGCACAGGGTCGAATGTCTTCGGGGCACCTGACTTCGACGAAAGGTGTTCTGCCTCCTCGCCATCGTCATCGTCCTCCTCGCCATACTGGCACTCCGCAACAGGCTCAGCTTTCCCACACTTTCGGTCTGCGTGGATCATACCGGCGGCCATCTCCGCAATACCGTACACGTAGGCGCCAAGCGAGGCAGAAGGTGCGAGGGGTAGAACGGATGCGTCGACGACGCGCAAATTGGAGCAGCCATGCACCTTGAAGTCTGCACCGACGACACCGCCATCCTCTTCAGCTAGGAGGCTGTTGGTCGACGAGGCCTGGTAGCCGGCACGGAGCGGTACGACTGGGCTTCCCTTGATGGGCTGATTGGGCCCCGGCGCCCCCTCTTGGAACCACTTTGCCCATGCCTTACGGCCGCGCACCGAAGACGTGGCGGAGGTTTCTTTTGCGAGAAACTTTTTGAACGTCTTTGTCGAGCTGAGTGTGCGCGCCCACTCGATGCCAGCGATGAGCAGCTCCTCATCCGAAGGGTGAGAGAGGTAGGCCGGATCGATCCTGGGAGCATCGAAGGGATTGCTGCTTGCGATGTTGACATTGCCGCGAGAGAGGGGCGATTGCAGGGAAATGGTAAAGGTGATGAGGTCGTTTGCCGTCTTCATCTTCACGAGTACGGCGGCCTTTGGCTGGCCGCTGAGACCAGTGGTCGCATTCTCGGTCAAGAGCTGGTGCAGCTGTATACTGCCCGTCTTTAGGCATGCTAGCTTGACCGATCCATCCGTGTCGTTGTGATTGTAGTACTTAGTCGACAATTTGTCTGCTCGTGTGATGAAGTCCTCCGCAGCAGCATCGGTGTGTAAGACATCCTTCAGGGAGAGAATGGCCAGTGCAGAGTCGGCGTATCCTGGGACGCTCTTGGCGGAGGGTAGCTTGACTCCCTTCTTGACATGGAATTGGAGAGAGACAAGGAGAGAGTCCTGGAGGTGCTGTCCAACGCCAGAGAGCTCCTTTTTGACGGCGATGCCTCTTTCCTCGAGCACGGGTCGAGGTCCGATGCCAGAGACCTGGAGTAGCTGCGGTGAGCCGATTACGCCAGCGGACACGATGACCTCGCGCTTGGCGGTGATGATGTTTCGACGAGACTGTGAGGCAAGCGCACATGTCAGCAACGATGGTGCCGCCGTCTCTCGTCTCTTCGTGCTCACTCCTTTGCTTGAAGCGCACTCAACTCCAAGCGCGCGTAGATGACCGGGCTCACTTGCCTTGTCCTCAAAAAAGATGCGAGTTACAGTCGTTGTAGTCAGTACCTGCAGATTGTGGCGCTTGTCGCAGACGCTGTCGAGGTACGCTGATCGAGAGTAAGAGCGCAGACTTGTTCCTTTCTCGACGGTGATGGGAGCGATGATGCCTCCAACCTGGTCACCCTGCCATGGCGAGCGCGAGAGAGGCGTGTTGTGAACCTCTTGAAGAGCAGGGAACCAGATCTCCTCGACCGCAAGGCTTGCGTTGGGGTATGTGAGCATGATTGGACCTTTGCCCGTGATCGATCCCGCAGCAATAGCAGCGCTATTGGACGTTTCGTTCTTGGCCACGGCTTGATACGTCACGGAGGAATTCATGGCCCCATCGATCTTTTCCCACGACCACGAATCGAGACCACCCATCTTCTTTGCCAGCATGGCCATGGCGTCGGCCTCCCTACGACCTTGACGGAGGTAGATGAGATCATTGCCGGCCGAGGTACCTCCTAGCGTCTTAAAGAGGGGAAAGTCGAGCTGACGGCCATTCAGATTGTCCTGCTTGGCAGTCTCGTAGTGCCAGTCGAGCTCGCTGCTCTGGAGAGCGTTGTAGTCGATGGAATTGGGCTGCCGAATCCTGTGCAAGCGGAAGACCCAACGTCTGAGCATCACCGTGTTGTGTTCACTGTCGTTATACCCTGCACTCACTGTTTCTGCGCACCTTCGCCACTTTGACCAGCCTCGATGACGAGGACACGGACGCTCGGGTCGTCGCTCAGACGTCGAGCAATCGCCAAGCCAGCAGTACCGCCACCGACTACGATGTAGTCGACCACGTCCTCTGCCTCATCTGCCGAGTCGATCATCGTCTTGGTTTTCTTTTCGTGTCCGCCTTGCGTCCGAATACGTAGGGAAGCCTGGCTGCTGTGCGTCTTGGCAGGGGCGTACCGGTGGCGGTGATTCTGCAAGCTGTAATGCGAGCGCAGAGGCGTCTGAGTGGAGGAAGCTTCGTGGGTGCAAAGGAAGGTCAGAACGATGACGGCCAGCGTCAGGGACAACATCTGCATGGTGGCTGGGTTGAGGTGGTGGGAGGTGGTATCGGCGAGGGGATTGGGGAACACGAGAATGTAGCGATGGTAAAGAAGGCAAGGAAGAGGCGAGACGAAGGGATCGGTGCATCTGCGTCGGCCCGCTCATTAACTTCCGTCTTCGTCTCACGCCAGCAACGGTACCCTGTGCCCATCACGCGCCGCGAGTGCGGCTCCTCGCGGCCATCGAAGGGATGGCGATGGCGCTGTTCCGCGGGCGGATGCCTTCGAGCAAACACATCGGCGGCAGCTACGGAAGGATACAAGCTCGTGATTGGAAGAGAGGAAGGGAAGCGCGCGAGCCTTGTCTACATTGTCCATGTGCATGAGCTAGGCTAAGCTGCTACTGCTCTCGAAGCAATAGTGTGCCGTCGCTGCGATCCGTCTAACTTGACCTTCTCAGAAAAGCTGGCGGGTCCAGATGAGCGACTTTGTCTCTAAGTCTAAATGAGCGCAGCGGTTCCGGTACCAAGCAGCGTGAGGGTCGCGGCCAGCGCGATGTATGAGTGTCCAAGAGAAGCAGAGCCGGCTGCAGCTGATGAGCCGCCAGACTTGGACGTCGAGTTGGTCTGCTGCTTGCTGTCAGACGAGCCCGAAGAATTCGATGAGCCGTTGGCGCCAAGAATAACCGTGTCCCCAGGCGAGACAGCCTTGGTCGAGGCCTTCCATCCCTTCGGCCTCCAACCGGTGGCAATGTTCTTGTCATCGAAGAGGGCGCTGCGTCCCTCAGTACTGCCAAAGACCTCGGCAGCGTCGTGGTCAGCGTCCTCAACAACGACAAGGCGGGTCGAGATGGCGTTGGCAGACATATTCGACCAGTCTGGCAAGTTGGTAAAGTTGCAGGGGAAGCCAGAGAGGTCTTCGTCAGTCCTCGCGAGGCCGTTGACGTACTGGTACCAGCAGAGATTGCGATCACGTCGCTTGTGGCCACCCTGGAGCTCGGCCATGCAGTAAGAGTCGCCTGCGTCCTGCACATCTTGGTAGCCGACGATGCTGATCACGTCGCGGCGAATGTAGGACGCAAAGTACTGCTGAGGGGTGAACTTGCCCGCCGCGGTGCCCGTGAAGTTGTCGTAGCCGTATCGCCAGGTGTTGTAGTATGGGCAGGTCTTGGTCTGAGCGATCTCAGGATCAGTCTCTGGGCGGTCGGTCGTAAAGTACGGGTTCGAGGACGGGTCGCCCATGATGTAGCGGACGTGGAGGTTTGACGGCGGGTCCTTAGCTACTTGGGCGTAGCGAGCGATAAGCTGGCCTCCACCACCATGGCCGACGATGGTCAGATTCTTCATTTGCGGGTACTTAGACGTGTTGGCGAATTCCTGCGCAGAGATGCGGACGCGTAAAGATCAGACTCATGGATATATGCCAGTCTTGAGACACCGCATACTCACATCGACAAAGGCATCGAGGGCATCGATGGACGTCAACTTGGTGCCCGCAGGGTGCGTGGCTGGGTCACCTGCTTGCCAGCCATTGGTATCGCCAAAGGCGAGCTGCTCATCGGTGTATTGGCCCGAGTTGTACTTGGTGCTAAAGAATTGAGGCGCAGTGACGATGTCGTCGGAATGAGCACCCTTGTAGTCGTCTTTGACGGCGCTGTTCAGCGCATCGTCCATCGTCGTCCAGTACTCATTGCCATTTCGGATCTTGCCGTGGATCATTACGTAGGCGTGAGTGGCCGTATCGTTCTTTGGATTCTTCGTCCAGAAGACGGCGACCTCCTCGCCACCGGTACCGACGGGGAGCGACGAAAAGACAGCTCCCTTGGGTACGTCTACCTTGCCGTGCTGCTCGCCCTCATTGTTGGTGCCACCGCTCATCAATGTGCTCGCATCACGCTTCTGGGCGTGGCTACGAAGACTCTGCGAGCCGCTGAGGCCGTGGGCGAAGGCAGACGAGGCTGCCAGAAGGGTAGCACAGGTTACGCCGATTGAGGCGAATGATTTCATGACTGAGATGATGCGATGGTGGGGGGGTTTAATGGGTCGAGAGAGGGCAGAAGAGGATTATGCTGGAAGTGGCGCTACGAGTGAAAGACTGTGATGGAGGCGGTGTTCGCGAGAGCCAAGGGAGAGTAGGGAGGCCGGATGAGGATGGACAAAGATCCCTTTGAAGATCGTGAGGTATAAGAAATCGAATGTTGAGAAGAGAATCAGTCGTGATGAGGGAGAGGACGAGGTTGTGCAAGGAGTCCATGGCTCGAAGGCAGGAAAGGGGACCGAGTCCTGTTAGTCTGGTCTTGGCGGAGACGCACTCGCGGAAGCCACGCCCAAGACTGAGAAGGCGAGCCGCGCCCTGGGACGCCGGACGACGACTCGCTTGCCGCCTCGGCCGGCATCGAAGCCAGAGAACGCCCCGCCCTGCCCCGCCTCGCCTTATACGACCCTTCTCCCTCCCCCTCTCTCCCACTCTCTTTGGTGTGAGCTCTCTGGCCCTATACCATCTTCCACGAATCGCCACGATCTCATATGCCAGTCAGCTGGCTCGCTGCTCGTGTGCTGTCCCTCGTATGCCCCTCCGAGTGAGCCCGCCTCTTGGCGCGCACCACCATGACATTTCATCCTCGAGGGTGATGCACGCAGCCGCGGCATGCAGAAAGCGTCGCCGCCCACTGCCGTCGCTCCGGCTTGACAACAACACCATCGCCCTTTAGCCACGTGGTAAGACGCCGCTCGAGGTATGCACCATCAGCCAGCGGCGTCTTTCAGTTGACGCTGCTCTGTACACTCTAAGCGCGCACCAGTCGGCAGACTTGGCGCCTTTTCGACGAGCGACAAGCCCGCCTAACACCATCGCTCGTGACCCGACTAACTCCCACGATCTGTCCCGTGCTCGTCAGGCAGCGAGGGGAGGGCTCGCGCGAACGAAAAAAAGGTTCTTGCTTGGTGATCAGGGCACTGGTGGGTACAAAGCTGTGCAAGCTAGTACTCAGGACCAGCGTCGAGCTCCCATTTGCTCGTGAGGCGGACCAAGACATGAGTGGTATGACGATCTCCAGCTCCCCGGCTACTTCGGACCGAAGCCCGCAACCTGCAGCAGACCACTTCGCCTGCTCCTGTGTAGAGAGGCCATTTGATCATGGAGCAGTGCGCCCATTTTTGCAGAAGTGAGCTTAGCAACGGGTGAGCGCTGGATGACGTGGATACTAGTAGTCTACCACTGTCCCGGGATATAAAACGACGGATGTGAGTGAGCCCGATGTGATGTGTGCAGGCGTGCAGGCGTGCAGCAGCCATTTACTCTGGACGCTCTGCATCAAATTGACAATGGGAAAGAAAGGGACGGCCGTGGGATGCAGTGAGCCATGATGAATGATCAGCGTCTCCTGCTTCGCGATCGCCCGTCCGTGGGCGGAATGTCCATTTGACGTTCGTCTCATCACACTCTTCCAGGTCCACTCGCCAGCCTATCAATGGGCCGAGACATGCGCTTCCTCCGATCTGTTTGTTTGCTGCGCTGCGTTTCCATGAGCCCAGCCTGCACTGCCTATTGTGCCCGCGCACTGCGCTTCCTCTTTCCTTTCAGGCTACCGGTCAGATGAGCTTCAACGCACACGCTTTGATCGGTGATTTGCCCTCACGTCATTTGTTCGTGGGCCAGGTAGTGGCAGTGGCTTCCTGAGGTCGAACCAGGCAGGTCCGCCCGTTCTTCATTCGCCTGCCTCGCTCGCTCGCTCGCCCGCCCGCTCGCTCCAAAGCGGCCGCCCTCTTCATCTCGAAGAAGGGTCGATGCAGATGCACGCGAGACCAACACCGCCGCCGCCGCCTCCGCCGCTGTCGCCGCTGCCTGCTCTCAATCTTCTTCGACTTGCCCGGCCACTTTCAGAAGGGGCGGCAACGGCAATCGAATTGCTGCTGCTGTCTCTAGCGCAGACAGACGGGCAAAGAGGGACCAACCCCTCCCGGTGTCCCACATTCTTGACCACGGGGCTGATGACGAGGAAAGGGCAGTAGGAGGACCAAGACTTCGGAGCAGCGACGCCTCCAACGACTGCTTGCAGCGGCTGCGTCTTTGGCCCTTGTCGCCCTCGCCAATGACTGCTGAACTACAACACTCGACGTGTGCAGGCGCAGAATGAGCGAGGAGGGTACGCGAAGCAATTATATCAGTGAATGCCGTGCAAGTGCGAGCGCCTTGCGTGTCCCGATGCTGCCAAAAGTGGCACACCTTGGAGCAAAATCTCACAGGCCTATTCAGCCACGACGACATCGACGAGCCTGCTCTTCCCTGTCCTCAGCATCCCACCTTCTGCCTAGACCAGAATCACCCCTCATCATCCAGTCTGGGCCATGACATCTGAAGCACCTCCATGCTAGCACCAGGACATTTTCCAATAGACTGCAACTAGCGCGTTATCATCACTCCCGCCTACTTGACGTGCTTCCTCCCTCAGGTAAGTCTGCAGCGGCTCGTTGTTGGATGAAGTAGATCGAGAGGAGGCGCAGCATCTAAGGTCGGCGAGTGAGACGGTAATCTTGGACCGCCTTCGGTTGCGGAAGAAGATGGTCATACCTCGACTCGCTCTGCCCTCACAAGGAGGGATGCCAGAATGAGGTGCCTCAGGCGAGGAAGGCGACTGGAAAGCTGATTTTGCTCACCTTTTTGACGTCGCACTCAGTCGGCTTCAACGACTTGCGCCCTCGTCGCTTGTCGACTGACCGGAAGTGTGCTGGACTAGTCAGACAATGCGTCATGAGAGCACGAGCAGCGTCCATGGCGACCTGGATGGGGGCAGCTCCTCGGGAGCAACTTCTCACGACGAGACCGCGAGGAGCTCGCCGCAGCGAATGCAGCAATCACTAGGTCCGTCCGTTCAGTGGAATGCGACATACGATGAGGAGCATTTGTTGCATTCGCACGAGGCCTCGGAGGAAGATTTCTATCCTGAATGGGTCAAGACCCAGACCTCACCTCCGGACGCCCAACCGCCTGCGGTCAATCTGCGTGGCCCTGGTCCCTCTAGCTTCGGAAGCAGTCAAGGGTCACTCAACATAAGCCCGTCAGAGTACGACCGCTTGGGACTGACCTTTGACGACACTTTGGGATCAGGCCAGACTGGACAAGGACAATCAGACTTCCTCCCGCAGGATGACTTTAGCGGTCCTTCAGGCTGGCCCTCCGCTGAGGAGACGTCGGCGCTCTTTGCGTCTCTGGAACAGGCAAATCCGCCGTCCTTGCCTTTCTCACACTCCCAAGGCGCTGCCGATCCAGCATGGGCCGTCTCGCAGCCTGGCATGGACCTTGACTGGGATGCTCTACCTGCTGATCCACTCTCGCTGGCGATTTGGCGATCTAATTCACGCGAAGATATGCTGGCGCTGATGGGCGGCGGGACGCAGAGGTTAGAGCAGCTACCAGAGCATACCAGCGCTGACTTCAGCCCGTCAATCAATCTGATCTCGCCATCTTCATCAACAATGAATTTACCGACTGTGAGATCAGCTCGACGGCCATCGCAAGATTCACTGGGCTCTCGCAGACAAAGCCAGCATCTACGAGGGGCGTCCAGTGCTGGGTCCATCGTCTCACCTGGCCGACAACCTGCCTCAACGAGGCGATCCTTTGACACCGGCCATCCATATCCTTCCACGCGGCTTCGCAATGAGCCGTCGATGCGGTCTATCAGCGGCAGCAGTAGCAGTGGCAGCTCAAAGGGGACCAGGTCGAGGGCAATGACATCCCAATCCAGTCGGGATAGCTTTCATGCCACGTCGTTCATGTCTCGCCTCGAATCTTCAGAGGGACAGAAGTCTCAACCAGGCGGCGAACTCCCATCCAGTATGGTGGCCCACTTTCAGTCGCTCGGGCTCGACCTGACTCAGCTATCAAGCAGTCTCCCAGACGTCTCTTCGGGCCATCATCGAGCAACCCAGCAACCAGGAATAACTCCTCACGTCACAGAGCACAGCTTCGTTTCCACGAGCTCGTCCCATCTCGACGCCTCGTCTCTAAGCCTCGACGACTCCCTCCTTGCACCAATCGGTCACGCCCAATCGCGACTCTCACACTCTGGCGAAATGGACGACGACACACCGCTTTCGTCGCCGGCGTTCTCCGCCAACCTATCATTGGGAATGGAGGAGGCAACGGGCGCTTCAGGCTCGAGCATCAGCGGCAGCACGAGAAGTAGCAACGAAAAGGGCAAAGGAAAAGCACACGAAGCACCAATATTGCAGCGGCGCAACAACGTGACAAGCAGTACCTCATCTTGGCCGAGGAACATCAGCCTCCGTGTGAACACTGGCCTGCAACCGCCGCAAGGAGCTTCGCCCGCCTCCCACTCGCCATGGAGTCAGAATCGTGGGCCATCGTCAGCGCCCTTGATGCAGCTCTCGCGCTCAGCGGATCACGCCAGCCAGGCTGCTTCCAGCGGCGACAGTAGAAGCTACGGAACGTCGCCTGGTCAGCACAGCGACGTGCAAGCACGAGCGCCCCCACCTCCCGGGCGTACACTATACCGCAGCCGACCGATCAGTATGGACAATCTTGCCACCGGTAGGAGCGCTCGAGGAGGTGGTCAGCCCCGCGTGAAGTACAATGAGATCACAGCTGCCCTGGACACATTGCGCGCATTTCTGCAGCAGAGAGAGAAGCAAGCAGCTCGCGAAGAGGGTCGCGAAGAGCGAAGAGAATCGTGGAGTTCGGCAGGTCTGCCCTCGTCGTCATCGTCATCGTCGACATCATCGTCGCGTCGCCTGCGTCACAGCGTCGGTCGACTCCCACCACGAGGTTCAGTCCGAATGGAAGGCTTTGCGCCGCCTTCGAACTCATCATCCCGGCCCCTCTCGCCTCATGGGTACATCGACGAAGCGGTCTCGAGGGCCATGAATCGCGAGGGGGCAGCACGTCAGCTTACAGGACGGGACTCGTCTGACGAGCTGACATACTCTGCTCCTCGCTTGAGAACACATCAATCATGGCATCGCACGAGCCTTCCCGTCCTGAACAGCGGAACGAGTAGGGAGCAGGAGCGCCTCGATGCGCTTCAGCATCTCAGCGAAAGGGTTAAGGCTATGCGGAGGCAAAGTCAGCGGGAGGAAGAGCAAGAGCGGCAGCGATATCAGCAGCAGCATCACGATGATGAAGGCATCGCGGAGGAGTGGCAAGAATACCTCGAGACGGATGAGAGTAACGAGAGGGTGTACCGTAGCGCAGCGTGGCGTGGCTCGTACGGCGGACATGAAGCTCGAGACCGCTAGTTGGCATCCTCTTCCCTCAACACCGTGGCCCATCCCCGCGCTCCTGGCATACCACCACAGTCTTTATACCCTTGCACGCGGGTCACTCCTCGTGCACCTCGAGGTCGCATCGAGCTACGCTCGTTAGCTCAGCAAATGCATCACTTGCTAAGATATAGAGCTTCATGCATTTGATTCACTTTCCGTTGGGACGTAGTCCGTTCTGTTCTGGCTCACTTCCTCCTTCTCTTCCCACTCGATGCGCCGACGCCACTACCCGTCGATCCCCCTCCACTCCTTCCCGACCAGTCCATATCCCCCTCCTTGTCCCACGTAGACTCACGCTCCTCAGGCTGCGTCTCCTCCCAGATACGGCGCTCGTCGAGCATAGGCCGCTTGGCCGAAGAGGATGAAGATGAGGGCATCGAGCCAGTAGATGCAGAGGCAGTCACGGTAGGAGTGGAAGGGAAGGCAGGGCCAATCTGCGAATCGCCCATTGGCCCGTCCTTGAGAAGCCACGATGACGAAGAGGAAGAAGGCGCAGCAGCGCTCGACGTCTCCGTGGTCGCGGAGCTGGTGGCGACGCCAACCTCCTCATCTGCGCTCTTCGGGTAGGCCCCCTTCTTCCAGAAGATAGGTTTGTGAGTCTTGAGCGCCCCCCTGATCGGCTTAGCCAAGCTACCCAAGTTCGCTGCACGCTCACGATCTTCATCGCCCGCAGCATCGTAGTAGTACCAATGCTCGAGCGAGTGGCCAGAGGCATCCTTGCCTGCACGATGGATCTGCCCGAACATAGGCTTCGACTGGAGAACGCTCTCGAGCCTCTCGGTCCAGGCACGGCGAGCTGTAGAGGTCCAGCGCTCGGTGGCCGTTGAGGCGGGGAGAGAAGAGAGGAGCTGCGCTGCTCCCCAGCCGGAGACGATCGAACCTTGAGCCAGGTCTGTAGCAGCAGCACTCCCACCTGCTTCACCACGCATGAGGCCCTGCGTTGATGCCAAAACGGAGCGCACGGCCTCACTCGCGCTGATCGTCGCCGTGCGGTGGAAGACGATTGCACCGGCGAGAAGCCCTTCGAGATCGTAAGTGGGAGCGAGGACCGCTACGCACGCACGCGCTTGGTCTCGCAAGGCGTTACGGAATTGCTGAGAGTCGGGTCCTGCGCCAGCGCTAGGAGCCGGCGAGGAGGAGCCACTGGAAGGCCCGCGGGCGGCTGCGGAACCAGTGGCAGTAGCAGAGGCGGGGACTTTGGGTGGAGGCATCATGATCTGGCTGGTGGTGGGCTTGAGGGTGCGAGCACGTGATGCGAAGGGGCCTTGGCTTGCAGCTTGAGCGGCAGGCTTGGGCGTGCTCGACATGGCTGGGGCTGCGGACGCCTCAGAGGATGACGGCAGGGCACGGGGTGCCAGCTCGGGTGATGGCGTGAGGTCGCTCTCAGCACCATCAACAGGCGCAGCCTCAAGCTCGGTGCGGGGCTGCTTGGCAGCGCGCGTGGCGGCCTCATTCTCGACCTCGCCTGGGATTGTGGTGTCGGCAGCATCGGCGTTCTCGCGTTCCGCGGCGCGAGGGACAGCCGGGGTAGCAGAGGAAGGCGTGCCGACCGAGCTGAGGCCGAGGGAGAGGGGCGGCATCGAGAGCTCGAGATCAGCGCGACCTCGTCCCAGACTGGGAGACAAGGGCTCCTCAGCGCCGTCCTCCCCATCGCGGTCGGCACTAGGGCCAGCAGGAGACGAGGTTGCGAAGGGTGCAGGGCTGCTGCTTGGTGGTGAGAGCGGTGCGCCTTGAGCGTTGGACGTCTTGACAAATCTCGACTGCGAGGACAGAGCAGCGCCAAGCAGTTGAGAGACGGCTTCCTGCGAAGCATCTTGAGACTGCTCGAGCTGCCTCATCGACGCGCTCCTCCTAATGCTGTCGCTTGCTGGCCTCTTTGCTGGGCTGCTGCCATCAGCACCTGGCAGGCTGGCTCTTGCAGCCTTCTTTGCCTTGCTCGTGACTGCGTGCATCGGCCTGCTCGCGTCAGGGTGAATCTCGAAGATGGTCTTGACACCAAAGAAGTCGATAGTGCTCTTTCCTGGCTCAAGACGCAGCACATGTCCCTCCCGACGCCTCTTTCCGTCTACAATGAGCCCGTTCTGACCCAGAATGCGCACGACAAAGCCGCCAGAGGGGGTCTTCTTGGCTCTGCTGTCCACAGCTCGAGGCAGAGGCGAGAACGGAAGCCACTCGATGATGGCGTGCCTGCGACTGACATGACGCGCGTGGTTGGGTAGAGGGATATGTTGGGTAGGCTTAGTGCCAACTCCGGGGCTAGCTTGCGGGACAGAATCGTCCGCCTCCGGAGTGTTGGAAGCGGATGACGCGTGGGGCTGGCCGGTCGGCTTGCTACGCCCAAGGAGGAGGGCGTGCGTGAAGGAGCCGAAGAGGACGTATGACGCGTTGTTGACTTGACTAGCTGCAGCGTCGAGCTCCTTGAGCCCCGCAAAGGGGTCAGCCTTGCTCAGCTGCGAGGCAGCGTGGGAGGTGCCGAGGGAAGGACGCGACCTGTATGCGGGCTTGATGGGAGAAGATGCGGCGGGACTGCTCTCGTCGGATCCATCGCGTTGGCGAGTTGGTGACGATGAGAAGATGGCTGTGATTGATGACGATCTCATACCGCGCCCTTCATTGTCTGAAGGCAGGGGCGAGGATGGCGGGGGCGTGTCCACACCTGCATGGGCGTGACGCGTCGCGAAGGATGGCTGGCGTTGCTTTACATTGATGTCTTGCATTTGGAGCGGAGTGGTATTTGCTGTGGCGGAGAACGACCCCGAAAGGCGAGGTTGCGATTTTGATGGCGATGCTGGGATGCGGGCTTGCGATGAAGGCACTACGCGACGATCCTCTTGAGGGACGCGCTCGACGTTCATGATGGTCGCGTAAAGGGGGAGTGAACCGCTTGCCGTTCAGCTAAATCACAAGATGAGGCAGGGCGAAGCAAGGCAAAGGGAGTCCACAATTGCGCAAAGGAGCGCTGGTAGTATGGAGCAAGAGAGGGATGAAGAGGAGGGCCGAGATAGGGTGAGAAATGAATTGGACAAAGGAAGGATGAGAATTCGGACGCGCTTCGCTCCCTCATTCGCGTCCGCACGACTCTTTCGCAGCGGCGGCTCATCTTTCTCGTCTCGAGCGCGAGGACTCGACTCGACTCGACTCCACACGACGGACAGAACAGCGGCCACCAAAATTCGCCGAGGCTCACCACTTTACGGCGAAGGACCTTTTGAAATTGGCTTCCTCGCCATTACTTCCTCGTCGCCTCTCGCCACAATGCCTCGCAAAAGTAGACAGGCGGCATCAAGAGAATCTTCGTCGAGCGAAGACGTCGCGCCAGAGACGAGTCATATCGTGCAGAGTCTCGAGAACTTGGCAGCCAAGGGCCCTATGCCCAAGATGGCCGTCTTCGATCTCGATTATACCCTTTGGCCCCTGTGAGTCCTGCGAGAGATGAGATGGTGACGACAGACTCAGACCGGGTCTGACTGCCCCGCACCACCCACACAGCTGGGTGGACACGCACGTCGATACGCCAATCAAGCGCAAGGGCAACGCGATCAACAAGGTCGTGGATCGACATGGCCAGCCACTCTCCTTCTTCCCCCACGTCCCGTGAGCAAGCAGCCCTGGCTCCCGTTGAATACCACCCCCCGCCAGAAGCACTGATTGTGATCGTCTCGCCCGTTCGTACCCAGCTCCATTCTCTTCTTCTGCCGCCGCCACAACATAGCAATCGCAGCCGCCTCACGCACCTCAGCCCCCTCAGCAGCAAAGCAAGCGCTCAATGGTCTCTACCTAATCGACGACTCCCCACGGTCACCCTCCTCAGAAGCCCTCAAGTCATGGACTCTTTTCAATTTCAACGAGATCTACCCTGGCAGCAAGATAAGCCACTTTCGCCAACTGCATGCAGACTCTGGGATCGTCTACGAGGACATGATCTTCTTTGACGACGAGTATCGCAATTCGGAGGTGGGGACGAAGTTGGGCGTCCATTTCGTCGAGGTCGGGCATCAGGGCTTGGACTTGGGTACCTTTGAGAGGGGGGTGGGAGAGTGGAGAGCGAGAAGAGCTAGTAGGATGGGAAGGGGGGAGGAGGCGGATGTGGGAAGCAAAGTATAGATGAGAGAGCTCAGTGAAGTAGATAAGAGGGCGCAATGAAAGAGCCGATAGGATTACGATGAGGAAGCGGACAGTCGATCGAATACATGAAAAGACGGAAAGATACACTTGCGCTTACTGATCCTTACCGCCTAGAGGTCATCATCCATCGAGTCCGGGATGAGGACCATCTCTCCCGGCTTAAAGGCGGGCAACCCCAAGTAAGGGCATGAGCTGCATCTGAAGGCATCCCCCAATGTACAGCTTCCACAGCTGGACGAGGCTGCACCGGATGTGTCCACTTGGATACGCTTGACAACCCTCGTGACCCCGCGTTCGTCCACAACAGTCTCCGTCACCTCCGTCCTCGGTGGTGCCCCACCCTTACTTCCACCAGGCAGATCCTGATCGCTCGCGTCCAGCCTCACGATTTCTGTGCCGTTCATTCGAGCCAATTCTTCTTCGTCCTCCAATTCGCGCAACCCGCACGTGCAGCCTTTGCACGCCTTCTTCCTTCGTCCGCCGGCGAGGGCAGACTCCAGGTCACAGTCCTCCCGGCGAGCCGCTTGGGGGACGAGGCGGTCTGCTTCGCTAAGAAGGGACTCCGGATTGATCTGAGGAGGGGTGCTTGTGGCCCAAAGCGAGGACTTGGCGGAGCCGTTGGACGAGGAGCCGTTGGCTGCCTTTCGCCTCAATGGGAGGGCAGCAGATGACGAAGAGGATGAAGAAGAGGCACCATTGTTGAGTGAGACGCCGTTGCTGGTGCCGTTGCGCTCCAGGCCCATGGATGCGGCGCTCTGAGCAGGCTTCTGTGCGACGATCTGGCCTCCCTCCTGGACAACTGCCTTTGTGAATCCTGCGAGGATGACCTCGCCTCTTGTCCTCTTGACGCTGCTCTCGTCTGCCTGACCGACAAGCTGGATGGTCATCGAGCCATTGTCTCGCAGACTAGCCAAAAGGGTGGACAGTAGGCCGCCGTTCTGTGCATCAGAAGGTGTGAGGAGGAGGATGGCCATTGCGTAGGTGGAGGGGCTGAGTGTGGTAGCTGTGCGCGCGGGGGAGGGATGGTGTGAGCACGGCAAGACCAGTCGGAAGGTGATGCACTGTGGATGTCGGCTCACCTCCGTCAGTGAGACGATCGGCCATATGCATCTCAACTTGCTTCTCTCCACCCTGACCAGCCTCATGCACAGCCTGCTGGTACTGGCCGCTCTGCGCAGCGGCCATCGATCCAATGACGAGGACGCGATCCTGGCTAGCCTCTCCTGTCACCATTCCGTTGGATTGATGAGGTTGAGGGCCAGCCATGGTGGATGATGACGAGGCAGCAAAGGCCATGTTGACGTCCGGGACCATTGCGGAGGGAGTAGGAGCGAGCGACGATGGGCTTACGACGGTACGAGACGGGAGCTGGAGGAGGGCGAAGCTACGATGATAGCCGTCGTCGAAAGCTGTTCTGGTCTATGAGCGCTAAACGATGAGACGAGGGCCGATTTCAGGCTTAATTGTTGAGGATGGCGGTGATGGTGGGGAAGGAAGATACCTGGCTTGGCTGGCTGAGCGTCGATTTGCAAAGATTAAGAGGCCACTGCGAGTCAAGTCGCGAGCTTTGATTTGCCGCCTCAGTTCATCCGCCCGCCCGCCTGCCCGCCTGCACACACCACAGGCCGCCGCCACACGCCAAGTTCTTGCGGCCGAAGTCAGGCCAAGCAGCCTCGGCCTGGCCTTCCTGAAAGTCGCATTTGAATTTTGGCAACGACCAACGATCAAGGAAGCAGCTCTGTCCGTTCTCCCCTCCATCATCAAACACCTCACGACCACATTGAGCATTGATCGGCGCCCAGCATGAGCAGGCCAGAGCATCTCGCACCGCCCGAGATCTTCTATGGAGACGATGAGGCGGGCAAATACACTGCCAAGTGAGTGCAGATGAAGCTCCCCTCGACCTCGTTCGATGCCTTACTTACGCCCTGGGACTCTGGACGCACCGCTTCTCAGCTCGCGTATCCAGAACATCCAGGCCAGCATGACACATCGAGCCATCGAGCTTCTCAATCTGCCCGCTTGGAAGGCAGAGTCTGGGGCCCTTCTCTTGGACATCGGCTGCGGGTCAGGCCTCTCGGGCGAGATCCTCACAGAGTACGGCCACGAGTGGGTTGGCTTCGACATCAGCCCCTCAATGCTCGAGGTGGCCCTGGACAGGGACGTCGAGGGGGACGTGATGCTCGCAGATGGCGGCCAGGGTGTCCCTTACCGAGCAGGCACATTCGACGGCGCTATCAGTATTTCCGTCCTTCAATGGCTGTGTAACGCCGACTCGACCTCGCACTCCCCTACTGCTCGACTCCTGCAATTCTTCACGACGCTCCACGCCGCCCTCTCCCGTGGGGCGCGAGCCGTCTTCCAGTTCTACCCGCAGGATGACGATCAAGTACGCATGATCATGAATGCTGCTACGCGCGCTGGGTTTGGTGGTGGACTGGTGGTCGACTATCCAAACTCGAAGAAGGCAAAGAAATTCTTCCTCGTCCTGTGGAGCGGTGGAGCGATGACCCGACCAAAGGGGATGGAGGAGTATGGGCAGGACGTGGCCATGAATGAGGACCAAGCGCTGCCGCAGGGCTTGAGGGCGGAACATGAGCAGGACCTCGATGAGGACGGCGCTGGCCCTTCCCGTGCAGGCCCAGCTCAAGCCAAATTCCAGTCGAAGCGAGAGCGAGGTGGCCGATTTGACAAGAAGGGTGGTGGCAAGTCGAAGAAGCAACGCGCCAAAGAAGACAAGTTTGGGATGGAAAAGGGCAGCAAGGAATGGATCATGAGGAAGAAGGAGCTCTATAAGAAGAGGGGGAAGAAGGACGTCCCTGAAAACTCGAAGTACACGGGGAGGAAGAGGAGGCCGCAATTCTAGGGAAGAATGTGGCGTCGCAAAGTGCAAATTGTATTATACCCAAGCCAAGAAGCAACGACGAGAGTGTCGCGTGAGCTACTGTGGTGGCATTGTCGCCCTGGCTCAGTCGAGATCTTCCTCCTCCGGAGCCTCAATAGCCCCCTCCTGCTCCTCCCCCTCTCCCCCGCCTTGTGCCTGTTTCGCTTCCGGCTCAGGCGCCTGCTTGATAGCCAATGCCTGCACCTTCTCCGCCTCCTCTCCTCCAGCACCCCCCGCAATACGACCCTGCCCTGGCTGTGACCCGCCACCACCCATGAGTGAACTGAGCATGTCCTGCATGAAGTTTCCCTGAGGCCTCTGCGCTTGCAGCTGGAAATAGCTAGTCGATACACTGTTGATGGCGTCCCCTGTGCCGGGCTCGTGAACCGCTTCTCCGCCTTCACGCTCGTACTGGCGGACGAGGGAGATCCATGCCTGCTTCAGCCCCTCCGGGACTCTGCTGCTACCGCTGGAGACGGAAGAGATGGCGTGCAGCGTGAGTGCAAGGGCCATTTGGGCGAAGTTTAGGTCCGGATTCCCAGTCACGTAAAGCTGAAGACCCTTGGGGGGCGGTGGAGCTGGTGACGAGGCGGAATCTGCGCCTGCAGGTGTCGTGTAGGGGCGCGGGTTGGGGTTCATGGGGAGGAGAAGGCTCGGATGCTTGGTCATCAGACGTGAGATGAAGATGGATAGGAAGCCTTTCGCTGCGTCGGGAGCTTTAAGGCCGAGGAGGCTGGCGGCGATCACGGGAGGGAACAGGTCAGCGTGGAGACGTGACAGACTATATGCCCTCCTTTGTCAACTCACGGGAGCACAGCTCGCAATGCAAATCGCCCAGACTCTGTCCTCTCAACGACGGCCGCCTCTCTTGACTCTCCTTCCTGCTTGGTCACCTCCTGCGCGAAGCTGCCAAGCCACTCGATCATCATGAGCGCGAACGACTTTGGCGCATGCTCCGGCACGTGAGCCGACGAGCCGGCAGGGGGAGCTACGCAAGCAGCAATATAGTGCCCCTCTGCGGCAAAGTAGCTTCCTTCCTTCGCCAACATATCTGCGATAGCGAGGCGAAGCTGACTGTCTCCTGCCGGGTTGCGTGAAGCCTGCACCGACCATTTGATTGCCGCGTCGATGACCTTCTTCCTCCAGAAATCGTTGGCAGCCAGCGAGATGATTTGTACCAGTCTCTTCCTGCTCTCTTCGTCACACGGCTTGCCTGACTGGGTGTAGATGTCTACGAGGTAGACGGCCAAGTCGCAACCGCTTCCTTGCTCCTTGGCCTCAAGCATCTGCACCGAGCCGTCTCCGATCGTCTTGATTGCATCATCGTAGGCCTTCTTCTTGAGCTGGCGGATCGCCTTTGTGCGCAGTCTCTGGTGGGTATCGTATGCTGACATGGCGGCAGAAGAGGGCAGGTGAGAGTTGCTACCGGGGGGGGAGGGAGGAGAGGAAGATGTCCAGCTACTCCTCGAGCTCCCTTACGGTCCGTGCAGTCGAGCGACCCAACGCCCCACGTGGCGGTTGGCGATCTTGTCCGTCGCTCGACTCGATTTTGGTCGTCGAGGGCGACTTGGCGCGGCGCTGCCCTTTCCGCCACTACCATCATCATTTCGTCCCACTCGCTCATATCATCTCTTCGGCTCTGTAGACGCAAACCTTCGCGCTAGAGCTGTCGAGCTCTAGAGTGCTCTTCATCGTCTTCGTACGCGACCCCGCGCCGCTGTTGCGGCTTTCTCGCGGCCCAAGATGAAGGAGATTGTGTCACACGATGCGCCAAAGAAGATCAAACACATTCAATTTGGCGTCCTCTCTCAGCAGGACATCGTCCAGATCTCAGAGCTGGAATGCATCACTAGGGAGCTGTACAAGATCGGCGAGTCGGAGAAGACGCCCATGAAGGGGGGCGTGTTGGATAGAAGACTGGTAAGTAGGGTAACGACGAGCAAGCAGTGTCGATGAGCGTACGCTCACTCCCTGTGCCCCGTACTCCTCCTCGCTCGCTCAGGGTGTACCTTCGAAAGCCGGCAATTGCGAGACGTGCGGTCTCTCTCAAGTTGACTGCGTAGGTCACTACGGCTACATCCGCCTCGTCTTGCCCGTCTTCCATTGGGGCTTTTTCAAGCATACCGTAGCCATCCTCCAAGTCATCTGCAAGACGTGCGCTACAGTCCTCCTCGACGAGCCTACAAAGCGCAAGCACCTTCGCACCTTCCGCAAGCCCAATCTCGAGAACCTGCAGCGTACAGCTACCTTCAAAGCTGTTAACACACAAGCTCGGAAAGTGCTCCATTGTCCCAAGTGCAATGCCATCAATGGCGTTGTCAAGAAGGCTGGACCCCTCAAGATCGTTCATGAGAAGTTCAGGCAGAAGAAGCTAGCAGATGAGCGAACCGCATTCGACAAGACATTCGACAGGGCTCTCAAGATGTCTGAGCAAGGAGGCGCCTACGACATCAGACCCCATCTTCACAAGGCGCAGGAGGATCTCAACCCGCTCAAGGTCCTCGACCTCTTCAAGCGCATCTCAGATGAGGACTGTGAGCTGCTAGGTCTCAAGCCGGAGCACGGCAGGCCGGAAGAGTACATCTGGCAGTACATTTGTGTTCCTCCTGTCTGCATTCGTCCGACAGTCGAGCAAGATGGAGCGACCAACGAGGACGACTTGACCGTCAAGTTGAGCGAGATCATCTTCACAAACCAAGTCATCAAGACGGGCCTGCAGCAGCGCGGCAAAGCCTCAGCGACAACACAGCTCATGGAGCAGTGGGATTGGCTGCAACTCTCCGTCGCCCTCTACATCAACTCTGAGATGCCCGGTCAACCACTCATACCCCACGACAAGCCGAGAAGAGGCTTCTGTCAACGACTCAAGGGCAAGCAAGGTCGATTCAGAGGCAACCTGTCAGGAAAGCGTGTCGATTTCTCTGGTCGAACCGTCATCTCACCCGACCCCAATCTCAAGATTGACGAGGTCGCCGTGCCGGAGAGGGTGGCCAAGATCCTCACATATCCAGAGCGCGTCTTCGAGCACAACATTGAGTCACTACGCAAGGCCGTCTTGAACGGCTGCGAGACACATCCAGGTGCCAATTACGTCACCGACTCCGAGACGGGGATGAAGAGGTACCTCAAGTTCGGCGGATCCGTCACCATCGCAGCAGAGAAGCTCAAAGTGGGCGACATCGTCGAGCGTCATCTTCGCGACGGCGACATTGTCCTCTTCAATCGGCAGCCTTCCCTCCACAAGCTGTCCATCATGTCGCACAGGGCGAAGATCAGGCCGTGGAGAACATTTCGCCTCAACGAGTGTGCCTGCAACCCGTACAACGCCGACTTTGACGGTGACGAGATGAACATGCACGTACCGCAGACGGAGGAGGCTCGCACGGAGGCGACGGTGCTCATGGGCGTCAAGCACAACTTGGTCACGCCTCGTAACGGAGAGCCGCTCATCGCCGCTATCCAGGACTTCATCACGGCATCCTTCCTCATTTCACGTCGCGACCGCTTCTTCAATCGTGCTCAATTCACACAGGTCTGCTCTTACTTTGCAGACGCCAATCTGCACATCGACATCCCTCCGCCCGCGATCATGAAGCCTCAGCAGCTCTGGACAGGCAAGCAAGTCTTCAGCTGCCTCATCCGTCCCAACAAGGACGCGCCGCAGCTCGTCAACCTCGAGGCGCAGTGCAGGACCTTTGAGAAGCCCAAGGGAAGCTTCATCAAGGATATGAGCCCCAATGATGGCTACCTGGTCATCGTCAACTCGGAGGTCATGTGTGGTGTGATGGACAAGTCGACAGTAGGAGACGGCAAGAAGAACAGTGTCTTCGGAGTCATGCTACGCGACTACGGTCCAGATGCGGCGATTCAAGCCATGAACAGACTGGCAAAGACGTGTGCCCGCTGGCTTGCCAATCAAGGCTTCTCACTAGGTATCAACGACGTCATGCCAGGAGACAATCTGCGCCTCACCAAGGACAGCAAAGTCGAAGCCGCCTACCGCCAGTGTTTGGACCTGATCGGGCAGGCGAAGCTGGGCAAGCTGGAGAACCTACCAGGATGCAACCAAGAGCAGACGCTCGAGAACATGATCTCGGGTGTGTTGAGTGGAGTCCGATCCGATGTAGGAGAGATCTGCATGACGGAGCTGTCGCGTCACAACGCCCCGCTCATCATGGCGGTGTGTGGATCCAAGGGGTCCAAGATCAACGTCGCTCAAATGGTGGCCTGCGTGGGGCAGCAGATTATTTCTGGTTCGCGTGTGCCCAACGGCTTCCAGGATCGATCGTTGCCGCACTTTGCAAAGAAGTCCAAGGATCCGCCTTCCAAGGGTGAGTGGTGCGAACAAGAGGTACCGCGCCATTCACGCTCTCTAACATGTCGTCCTCTCCCTCTTTCGCGCAGGATTCGTGCGCAACAGCTTCTTCTCTGGCCTCACTCCTACCGAATTCCTTTTCCACGCCATCTCAGGTCGTGAAGGTCTGGTCGACACAGCCGTCAAGACAGCCGAGACGGGCTACATGCAGCGTCGTCTAATGAAAGCGCTTGAGGACCTGTCGACGCACTACGATACGTCAGTACGCAACTCTACAGGCGGAGTGGTCCAATTCACCTACGGAGACGACGGACTTGACCCTGCCGAGCTCGAAGGCAACGCTCTTCCCGTGGAGTACCACCGCTCATGGCGCCACTCCAAAGCCGTTGTAGAGCACAAGGTGGAGCGCGGTCTTCTCCCCTACGAGATCAGCGAGATCGTCGAGGCAGAACTGCAGAGCCACAAGTGGACGTCGCTCACGACGGAGAAGTATCGCGAGCAGGTGCGCGAATTCCTCAAAGAGTACGTCGTTGACAAAGCAGGAGCCGTGCGTGAGCACTTCTCCATGTACGGGGCTACGGAGCGTGAGGAAGAGTGGGATGAAGACACAGACTTGACGCTCGGTGCGAATGCAGCGCAGAGGGCTATCGTGGACAACAAGACCAAGGTCAAGAAGAGCGCCATCCACGAGTTCCTCCGACTCTGCTACACCAAGTACCTTCGCGCCAAGATTGAGCCCGGCTCAGCAGTCGGAGCTGTTGGCGCCCAGTCGATTGGTGAGCCGGGAACGCAGATGACGCTCAAGACTTTCCACTTTGCCGGAGTTGCCTCAATGAACGTTACGCTCGGTGTACCGCGCATCAAGGAGATCATCAACGCGGCCAAGAACATCAACACGCCCATCATTGACGCTACCCTCGTCAGCGAGAACAGCGAGCGTGCAGCGCGTATCGTTAAGGGTCGAATCGAGAAGACTTTCCTCGGCGACGTTGCATCCGTGATCGAAGAGGCGTGGGGTTCAGAATATGTTTACATTGGCTTGCACATCGACATGGCTGCGATCCACAAGCTGCAGCTCGAAGTCACTCTCGAGGACATTGGGCGGGCGATCATCAACGCTCCAAAGCTCAAGATCAAGGAGGGAGATGTCACACTTCGCCCTCACAAGAACAGGATCAGGGTGTACATCTCAGCAGACAAAAAGGACGAGGATATCACGGCTATCTACTACCGCTTGAAGCTGCTCAAGCGTCAGTTGCCTCAAATCATCATCAAGGGTATCCCCACGGCGACGCGCGCGGTCATTTCTGACGACAAGGGGAAGCGCAAGCTCCTCGTTGAAGGCTATGGGCTCAAGGAGGTCATGACTACGGATGGGGTTGTGGGCACCCGCACCCAGACGAACCACGTAGACGAGATGTTCCGCCATCTTGGCATCGAGGCTGCGCGCACGTCCATCTATAAGGAGATCGACTACACGATGTCGTCGCACGGTATGAGCATCGATCCGCGTCACGTCATGCTCCTGGCCGACGTCATGACGTACAAGGGCGAGGTGCTTGGTATCACCCGCTTTGGTGTTGCCAAGATGAAGGACAGTGTACTGATGCTGGCCTCCTTTGAGAAGACGACGGACCATCTCTTCGATGCGGCGCTGTATGGCAAGAAGGACGATGTAGCGGGAGTGAGTGAGAGTATCATCATGGGTGGACCGAGCAGGGGTGTGGGGACGGGTATGGTCACCCTAACTAGTTTGAAGCCACCGCTGGCCAAGAGGAGAGAGTTGGTATTTGATGCGGAGAAGAATGAGAAGTAGGCGCGGCGCACACGACGCGATTTCTTTTCAGTCTATCATGACCAATGTAGATTGTCACATTCAAAGCAGCGTGAGCATGACGGCTGTGTGCGCATGACGAAGTGACTACTCTAGAGGCAAGGCAGCGCAAATGCAGATGCAGCGTCGAGTCGTCTCCACTCCGGCCCCTCGTCCACTCGGTCTCGCAGTCTGCGTGTCCGCCCCGCGTCGACTGCCTTTCCGCCGGTTGCGACTCTTTGGACCCCTGGACATCGTAATCTCAGACTCACCTCTTTCCTCTCTACCCTTACCGAACGTTTCTCATCATCACACGGTCATTCACTTCCAATGCCCCTCCCTTCATCTACACAGCATGTCCTCACAACCCTCAGCATAGCCACGACAGCCCTGACAGCAGGCAGCATCTTCACCTTCCCCATCTTTGGTCCTGCCCTCACCCGCGATCTCGGACTCAGCCTAACGCAGACCAATCTATTGTGGGGAGGAGCTGTACTGGGAGAATACCTAACCGCAGCAATATGGGGCGCACTAGCTGATGCCAAGGGGCCAAGATTACTAAGCGGAGCTGCAGCCATCATGTTCTTTGTAGGGTATCAATGCATGGCGTACGCCGATGTCGTTGCGCTCGATGCTCAACGGCAGGCCATCGGCGGGCCTGAGCCAAAGATGGCAAAAGGCTCCTTTCTCGTGACCCTCATTGCTTTCACGGCTATTGGTTCGGGAGTGGCTGCAAGCTACTTCTCTGCCGTGACCGCTTCGACGCGCGTCTTTCGCAGCAGACCAGGACTCGCCATTGCTGGCCCGTTGACGCTATTCAGCCTGTCGAGCTTGTTCCTCACTTCGTTGGGGACGCAATTCTTCTCGGACGAGGCGACGGGGGATCTCGACGCTTCGGGCTTTCTCAGCTTCCTGGGTTGGCTACTGGGAGCGACGAACGCCTTCGCCACCGTCTTCATGAGTACGCCGCCTACGGAGGCTCCGGCCAGCGCTCGGCCTCACGATCGTAGCAGCTCAGAGGAGACACCCCTCCTCCACGGCGACGACACTACCGCATCACCGCAAGCCCTTATCCTGCCAGGCGTCCCCGAATCCCAAAGCATCTTCGCCTTCCTCTCTACGCCTGCAGTCTGGTCTCTCGGCCTCCTCATGGTAGTGGGCGTCGGCGGGGCGGAGATGGTTCTCTCCTCCATCGGCAATGTAGTCGTCGCGCTCCTTGGATCGCAGACGGAGGGACATGCACCAGGAATGCTGGGAATTCTCGCTCGTCCGGGCATCGGACCTGTAGCGCTGGAGATCAGGGCAAGCCAGGTCAAGCTCCTGGCCGCGGCTAATACCGTCGCCAGGCTGCTCGGTGGCATCTTGTCCGACGCCGTTGCGCCCAACCCTAGCGCCGCCACTTCATCATCATCATCATCGTCGTCGTCAGCGTCACGCAGCCGCCTGCCGCGCATCAGCCGCATCACCCTCCTTCTCGTCGCCATGCTCCTCTTGCTCGGCGCATTCACTTTCGCCTCCTTTGGGCTGGACTCCACCGATGGATTGCCAGCATTCAGTCTGCTGGTCGGACTGTCATACGGCCTGATCTTTGTAAGTGCTCCTCACTCTTCCTGCTTCTGCTTTGCGTAGCACGCTCACCTAACCGCCATTGCACTCGCCCGCAGGTCCTCGTCCCCTCAATCACAGTCTCCTCCTTCGGCACAGCCAACTTCGGGCGCAATTGGGGCCTGCTAAGCTATCTCTGCGCAGTAGGCTCCACCGCTTTCTCGCTGCTGTACGCAGCAAACTCAGATCGGGTAGCAGCAGGCGACGGCGAGCACAGACCGGGGAACGGTGCGACGTGCGTGGCAGGGCCGAGCTGCTTTCGCGCGTCATTCCAGGTCGCCATGCTTGGCATGGTCGCTTGCGTCGTTGCCATCATTCCCGTTTGGAGGAGATGGCGCAATCATCTGTAGATAGCATGCAAATAGAAGACGTTTCTGCAGATCCTGCGTGCTCTGGCCACACTGACCAGAAGGGGCGCCAAAAGAAAGCGGGGTCCGCGAGGAGTGTCGCGAACCAAAGAGGATGGAGAAACGGGGAATTGAACCCCGGGCCTCATGCAAATCTTGACGGATTTCTGCTAAGCAAGCGCTCTACCCCTGAGCTATTTCCCCATCTGGGATGATTGCCAGATGTAAACACATATAAAGCCTGTAATGCCTGTCGGCTCGACGTGACCGACCCTTCGCCTCTTGGCCGACGTCAGCCATCTCCTCAGCCCGTCAACTCGTCACGCGCGCACAACCAGCCGTCTACGAGCATTCAAGCGTCCATTGAAGAGAGTCAAAACGATCGTGTAGAGAGAGCGAGACAAAAGACATTCGCCGCCAAGTTCTGCGTCTTGAGAGAGATGAGATGGGAGTAGGGGTTGTTCGTTCAGAGGTGGGGAATGGGAGCGTCGAAGCAGCAAGGAGCGTTACTACGAGAGGAAGGATGGTAGCTTGGAGATGATGGCGCGCCGCCCCGCGCAAATGATGGTAGATATGCACATGGACAAGAAGGGGGATTGATGGTGCGAGGGAAGGAAGGGATGCTCTATGAGACAGGATAGCTAGGGGGTACGGCGTGGATCGTTGCTGCCGCCACCCCGTTTCTGTCGTTGATTCGTCGTGGGCGAGGCTTGCTTGCGTCCACGCTGGATGTCGTCGCGAAGGCTATTGCACCAGGCTGAGCCCTGCAGTCATTGATGCTGCTGCCGCCGTCGGCTAACCGTCTACAAGTTCTTGCAGATGGAGCAGTGCAGGTCGATGGTGTCGCTGAAAATGATCGGCAGCACGATCAACGCCGCAAAGACGGCAAAGCTGAACAAGAACAGGGTGGCGTAGCGTGCAACGATGCTCCTCCTCTGTCGCCTGGCGCGCAGCGAGAAGATGGGCGCGTGGATCTGCCTCGATGGTCGAAGCCAGAAGAGGGCCGTCGAGTGGAGCTTGTCGAAGTACGGGATGAGCAAGGGGATTGACAGACCAAAGAGGAGGATGTGGCAGGTGACAAAGTCGGCCGCAAAGAGAGACATCTCAATGGTCTTGACCATGAACTCTCGTGCCGGCTGAGTGAAGGCGTGGCCACCGCTGCCCATGCGCCAGACCTTGCCCGTCCAGAAGGCCTTGTTGGCCTCGTCATGCTTGAGCTCACGAGAGAGGACGAGGGCAATGAGGATCTTGAAGATGGCGCGCTGAATGGCAATGACGGCGATGATGCCGAGCACGGCGTGCGACGTCTTCCAGAGCTCGAGGAACCACAGGAACTCAAAGGCAACGACCATGCCGACGACGGAGAGAAGATGGGCAATCGCGGCCATGACCGAACCGAACTTGGAGCAGCAGCGGTTGAGAGCTGGACCGAGGAAGATCGACGTGATGAAGACGACGATGAGGATAGCCATGTTCCAGACGATGGGGCCCAAGGCGATGATCGCGATACGGCTGATGGCTCCCATGGGCGGGTCTCCAGCCTCGTGGAGCGACTTGACAAAGGCGTAGGCGACAACGAAGATGACGGCCTGGATGAAGGGGCCGAGGACCTCGGCGAAGAGGATCGTCCTCCAGCCAGCACGAGGGACGTCGCCGGCGAGCTTCTCCGAGGGGTGACCCAAGCGCTTCTTCTTGTAGCCCGTAACCTTGGTCCTCGACAAACGGCAGTAGCCGATCCACGAGTTGGCGTGCGATCGCGAGTTGCCCCTCGACATCCAGCGCAAGAACTCGCGGTAGTCGATGAAGAAGTCGGAGACGGAGAACTGGTGCGGGTTGAAGAGGAAGGGCGCAATGCAGAGGGCGAGAATGGAGATCCAGAAGTAGATGAGGTGAGGCACCCAGAGCGTCAAGGTCACGTAGAGGAGGACGAGGAGCAAGCGCATGCCCGCGTAGATGGACGGTCCAGCAAAGCGCGAGTAGAGGAGCGCAAAGCTCTGGCGAGTCGTGGCGAAACCACGTCCCGTGGCGATGTAGCGAGCTCCACCGAAGGTCAAGTTGGAGATGATGGAGTGCGAGTAGATCATAGTCGAGAAGACCTCGAAGACGGGCGAGAGCGACAGGAAGTGCTTGGAGAGTCGGATGACTGCAGAGAGGGCTCCTCGCTCCGAAAGCTCTTGCAAGAAGAGGGGTAGGAAGGCAATCATGAAAACGAGGAAGATCGAGATGATGGTACGCTTGATCCAGAGGAAGACCGGGTTCAGGTAGTAGCAGCCGCCAACACCGACGATGTACTGGCTGTTGGTGCTCTTGCACACGCGCAGCTCGGAGTTGAGCGTGCCGAGGAAGAGCATGGCAAGCATGAACAACTGCACCGACATGATGACAAGGATGTTGTTGATGTGGAAGCCCGGGTGTCCGTAGTAGAAGGTCAAGAAGCGGTCGATGGGGAGCTGCGTGCCCAGGTAGTAGTACTCGCGTGACAGCATCTGCTCTCCCATACCATTTCCGAGCTTCGTCGTGAAGTTCAAGATGGTACCGAAACCCAGATCACGTCCCTTACCACATTGGTAGTACTCGCAGTGCTTGATACGTCCACCACGGCCAAAGGCAGTCATACCGGCGTAGATGTCCTCGTTGAGATGCAGACCCTTCTGGGCCTTGGACACACCACCACGAGTCGTCATGTAGAGAGCGTTGAGGAAGTCAGGGTGACCGTAGTGCAGCTTGCCGCCAATCTGCGCGAGACCACGACCAGCCATGGTACCGAACGTTTGCTCCTTGCCGGCGGCATTGTCACCGAGGATACCGATGTTCTCTGAGAAGATGTACTCGCGAGATCCGACAATGGCGACGGGCGCCTTGGCGAACTCGGTGTGGCCTCCGCCGTAGGGGTTCTGGTTAGAGACGTTGAAGTTCTCGAATTCGCCCAGGATCGAGCGGATCTTGAGGCACTCTTCAAGGTAGTTGTCCTGGTTGGCGTCGATGAGCTGGAGATACTCGCCGCGATGGAAGATGATGGCGTGATTCTGGTTGTCCGACTTGCCATCTCCGAGAATGGGGTTACCGGGCAGCTCGACACGGAACTTGGGCCTACGCTTGCCGTTGGGGAGAATCTCAGAGTGACCATCGACCAGGGCAGAGAACCAACGAGACTCGCCACCTTCCTTGCGAGGAGCCTCCTCGTCGAGGTACGCAATTTGGAGGTCAGGGTAGGCACGCAGCAGGAACTCGGTGTTCTCGTGCTCCTCCTTGTTGAACTTGGAGTAGCGCTGCATCGAGATGACGAACTTGAACTTGCGGCGACTCATCCTCTCGAGCTCACGCTCGAGCTTCTCGGTGTTGCCGCCGAAGAGCTGAACGACCTCAGGGTTTTCGACACGGTAGAGAAGCTTGATGGCCTTGGCGTAGTTCATGAAACCAGAGACGGTGCGGTAGAGTGTCTGCGCGCGGAGCGAGGACCAGATACGGGTACGGAGCGTGTACTCTGGGGCAGCCGACTTGAAACCAATGCAGTAGAAGGGCAGATCGTCCGTCTTGGCAGTGCCCTTGGAGCCAGCCTTTTCGTCAGAGCCATTGTCACCGCCGAAGGGAGAGCTGCCCAGGCCAGAGGACTCCTCGGCGAGGATCTTCGTGTCCTTGACGAAGTTGTCCCACTCAATGGGATGCAGCTGCTTGAGGTACTCGAGAAGAGTGACACGCGTGTTCTGGTCCTCCTCGCGAATAATCTCACGGAGCGACAGCAAGATCTTTTCCGAGTAGTGAGGCGTGAGAACGGTGAAAGTCGGCATGGCGTCGATGGGCAGAGGCTCAGGCAGCGCGGTGGTGAGCGATTGGGCGAAGAAGGAAATGCGACGCTCGGCCTCGGAGCCCTTGGGGAAAAACTCGGGCTTGATGCCCTTATCCGTCTGGCTGATGAAGAAGGTAGGAGCTCGCAATGTGCGCTTGCCGCCATCGGTCGCAGGGACCTGGTGGTAGAGGAGCTTCTGGACGTGATCAATCGACAGGAGGTGTTCTCGGTACATCGAGATGATGACGGCGTTCCAGACCTGCGATACCAAGACCTTTGGCTTGTACTTGACCTCCATATCGGCCGTGGCCAGGAGCTTGGCGTAGATGCGCTTGGGCAGACGCTGGAAGATGTCACTCCAAGGCGTCCAGATCGAGAGACCCATAGAAAAGGCCCAGCCGATGGAGAAGACGGTGTTCCAGATGACGTACCACAGGAAGGTGTCGAGGAAGAACAGGCAGAGGTCCATGATCATCATCGCCGTAAGCGCAAAGGCGGGCTGGTACGAGCAGAGCTGAGTGCCAAAGTACTTGTCGCCGCATCCCTGGACTCGCATAGTGATCATGACGGCGAGAGGGTCACGGAAGGACAGCGTCAAGAAGAAGTACGACTCCGTGAGCTTGCATCCGAAGATGAGGACCCAGAGCAGAATCGACACGGCTCGGTGACTGCCCTTCAAGGGTGCGTACGAGGCCGTAAACGTCTGGTTGGCGAGGTACTTGCGCGCCTTGCCTGCGACACGGTCACCGAACATGCGGCCAGAGGGCACAAGTCCGAAGAGGGCGGTAATGCAGCCAGACAGGGCCATGTGCACGTAGGCCACGTAGTTGGCGACGTTGGATGACTTGTTGAAGGCTTGCACGTAGACGGCAGGACCGATCGTGATGGCGAGACAGACGAGGAGGAAGATACCACGCCTCATCAGATGGCTCGTGTTGTTCCATGTCGTCGGGATGTAAGAAAATTCGGCGATGGTTGCTGCAATCATGAGCAATGTTGAGACGGCTCCACCAAGCGCTGATCCAGTGAGAAGCTGCGCGAGTGACGGATTGATCTTGGTCTCGTAGACTTTGGGAGCGTTGTATGCCGTGTAGTACCAGAAGACAGAGATGTGGATGATCCAGATGCGATTGAAGTTGACGAGGAGATGAAGGAAGGATCGCTTTTCCTTGTACGTCTTGAAGAAGACGCGGTTCCAGTCAATCTTGTCCAGCTTCATGAATCGCTGATGCGCCGGTACGTCGACCAGCCTCGTCTTGTCGTTGAGCACGATGCGAGCAATGCCCTCGGGGTACCAGAAGAGCTGGTTGACGTCGTCGTAGCCGATGATACGGTCGTGATCTCGCTCCTTCTTGACGAACTTGCCGTCGACGACCTCGAAGACTTGGTCTCGCAGGAATCGATACAGCGGCTTGACGACGGCGCGAAGGTAGAGTCCTTCTGGCACGGGCTCAATGCGGTTCTGACACTCGGGAGAGCGGTAGTAGTCGTCTGCACACTTGAAGATGAAGCAGAGGCACTCTGGCACGAATCGCACTTGTCCACCTTCACCCCAGCAGAGGAGGTAGAGCGCGATCTGACGCAGACGGTCGTAGTCGTTCATGCCTGGGGACAAGCAATCAAAAGGCAGAGTCAGTCACTACATCATCCTCGTCGTCATCGTCGAAGCTGCGCGCGCTCGCCACTCACGGTTCATTGCTTCCCTCCATCTTGATGCTGCGGACTCGAGCGACTTCTGGGCAGCTCCCTGCAGCTTCTGTGCTGCGGAACCGGCACGGCCCTTGCGGTTGGCCATCGACGCAGCACGGCCAAGGCCAGGGTTCTGTGCCTTGCCAATGGCGTCGTCGAGGTCGAGCTGGGCTGCAAAGTACCATTTGCGGTAGTTGGCATGCTCTCCGCCGATGTAGTCTGCGTGCAGCGTGACGAGTGCCTGTGATGGGCTCATCCTGCTTGCTCGCGAGTCGAGAAGGATCATGAGGTGGTCGTACATGTTACGCATGTTGTCGCGCTGGAAGCCGAACTTGTTGGCAAGGTCGATGAAGATGTCCTCGATCTCCTCCTTCGAGAGCGGAATTTGGTGGTCTGCAGTCCAGGCGGGGTAAGGCTCACGTTGCCTGTAGCCTCCACCACCGCCAGCTGTGCCAGGGTAGTCGGTGTGAGGAGACGACATGCCAGAAGGTGCATAGCTGCCAGGCCCGGGACCGAAGCCCCTTGGCGGTCCTCCTGCGCCAGCAGACTCTGCGCTCTGTGCGTACTTGACGTCGTTGTAGCCTCCTTCATACGAGTCACCGTCGTAGTTCTGCGTCGGAATCAGTTCAGCGACGCTGCCTTCTGATTGGTAGGTGTCACGACGATCGCCCGGGGCGAATGAGGCATCGCTGCCACCATCTTCGTAATGGTGAGGCTGGCCGCCAAAGGGGTTGCCCCCGGGCGGGTGGTGATGATGAGACGACGCCATGTCGAGGCGCGCTTAAGATGGGAGAAGTCGAAAAAGAATGTGAGGAAGTAGAAATCGGGTGTTTGCGTGAGGAGACGAAAAAGGCAAGGCTGTGTTGAGCGGGGGGGCGGCGGCGATGCGTGTGCCGTTTGCCACGAATCCTTCGTCGCCCTGGACTGTCACTTGTCGTCCAGAAAAAAAGCGACAAGCTGTGGTCAAGACGCAGAGACGAAGAGAAAAGGGCGACGATCAACTTCGATGAGTTGAAGGGATGGTAATGGGGAAGAAAGGGGGTTTGGCAGGACGACGAGGAGGCGGCGGCGGCGGCGGCGTCGTTTGATCGAAGTCAAGTGTGATCGATGTTGGGCGCCTCTCCTCGCTGCTGCCTGCGCTCAGGGTTTCATTCGCTCTCGCTCACTCAGGAAGGGGCGCGGCAGGCGGCGGCTCAGAAGGCGGCGCCCAGCCAAGTCTGTCTGTCAGCCAAGTCAGCAGCGAGGCCAGCCAGCCAGCCAGCCAGCCATCCACGCCGAGCCAGGAGGGGGGGAGACAGAGGCGCGCCACTCTGAGACGCCGTCAGGGGCAAGCGGGCGGGCACTGCAACGCGAGTGCATTGCTTGCTTCGCTTTGCCTTGCCGGCCTCTGCTCTCGCGCCGGCAGTCAACACGACGACAACGACGACACTGCGACACCACCCAAGCACCTGCTTGCCACGCACCTCGCAGCGCGCGTCCAGCGAACGGCGGCCGCCCCTCCTCTGTCAACGACATCAAATCAAATGGAGTCGAGGGAAGCGCCCTTGGAGAAAGGTCGACGGCAGCGGCAGTAACGGCAGAACAAAGAGCTTCGATAAAATTGCAAGAAGAGAGGGGGCGATAGCCTGGCTGGCGAAGACTGAGGTGACCTTGGCGAAGGCGAGGAGGATGTCGACGAGGACCAAGTCCCAATGGGTGGTAACGTCATTGGCTATGCTTCGCCTTGGCGACGAGAATTTGTCTGACAATAGCATCGTCTGCTGTTGGGGGTCGCTGTGCCGCGGAGTCGTCAATAGCCCACTGTAATCTCATCGTCGCCGTTGCCGTCGCCGTCGTGGCTCATCTCCGTGCTTTGGCTTGCACTTGCACACGCCTCACAGCTTCTCTCGTCGCAGGCGTGGCTCGGTCGCAGGCGTGGCCCGCTCGCACCACACCTCCGTCGGCCTTCCGCGGTTGGCGTTTTGGCTTGGCAGCGGCTCTTTTGGACCCTTCTTCCTCAGCTCACTCGCCTTGCTCACTTCCCTTGGCCCGCTTTGCGCTCACTCTGCAGCAACAGGACGGTCCAAGCAGTGGCAGCCAATCAATGCCTGCCGTACTGTACGATTCGAGGATCGTAAGAGCCTAAGCCAAGTGGGATCGACGCCTTGAGCCCTGAGCAGCTTTCCGCCATCTCTGACGATTTCTGTCTCTGCCTCGCCGGACCAGGTCCGATCAAGCGTCGACAGGCGGTCAGTGTGGCCCGAGCTCACGCTCCTCTCACGCAGGTCCAATCAGCTCACGGGACAAGCTCGCACGGTCGAGACCCACTTCGTTGCACGATTCAAGGACCGTATTGAAATGCTCCGAATCGAACCGATCAAGCGACGTCCATTGTTCCTTGCCATCGTCAACATCATCACCGACGCTTGCTCTTTGCGACTCCATTCGTGTTCCCATCGTACCCAACTCACTTCTGTCCGCTCTCCCGGCCATGGCACGCAGCATCGGCCACTCGGCCATTCTGATCGCCCTCTGCCTCTCACTCCTCCTCGCCCCCCTCGTAGCAGCCATCGACCGCATCTCTGTCCGAGGCAAAAATCTCGTTCGCCCTAATGGCGAGCGCTTCTACCTCAAGGGGCTGGCGTACCAAGAGTCGGCGCCTACCCTTTCCTCAGAGGAAAACGACCAATCCGGTGGCTTTCCCGAGCCAGGCACCTTCGTCGATCCTCTGAGTCTGCCTGCCAATTGCACGAGAGATGTGGCCAATTTCAGAGATCTGGGCATCAATGCCATCCGAGTGTATTCGGTCAATGTAAGTGCGGGATGAAGAGCAAAAGGTGGACGCGTCATGCATTTTGCTCACGTCTCGCTGCCGCCCGCAGTCATCTCTCAACCATGACGAATGCATGAAGACCTTCAGCGATGCCGGCGTGTACGTCATTCTCGATCTTGGCCTGCCGCTCAACGGTAGCATCAATCGAGCGAGCCCTACGTGGGACACGGCATTGCAGACAGAGTACCTCAAGACTCTTGATGCCTTCCTTCCTTACGACAACCTCCTCGCCGTCAGCGTGGGCAATGAGGTCATCGCAAACGACGCAACGACCAGTGCGGCACCCTTCGTCAAAGCGGCGGCGAGGGACATGAAAGCCTACCTCAGGAGCAAGAACAGCGGCGTGTTAGTCACCTACAGCGGCGCAGACGCTCCAGCGGGGGCCAACGGTCGACGCAAGCTTCTGGCAGACTACCTCGCCTGCGGTACTAACGAGACGAGCATTGACTTCTACGGCCACAATTCCTACGCCTGGTGTGGCGACTCTTCTCTAGCCGACAGCGGCTACAGCACTCTCGCGAGCGACTTTGCCGACTACCCCATCCCTATGATCTTCTCCGAAGTCGGCTGTGTCCCCAGCGCTGGAGCCGACTCTCGCCCTTGGACTGAGATTAACGCCATCTTCTCACCGCCCATGACCGATTCCTTCTCTGGCGCTGTGGCGTTCCAGTATTTCCCCAAGGATCCATCCGCAGAGGGCAAAGACTACGGCTTGGTCTCCTTTGAAGGCGGTGACGTCGTCAAGAGGGCAGATTGGGCAACGCTGAAGAGCCAGTTCGCAGGTGTCAATCCCAGCACTGCGGCTTCTACTTCACGGCCTGCTCTCCCTGCCTGCAATGAGCAGGGTACTGGCGCATTCGCTGCCTCTTCTCAGCTGCCTCCCACCCCCGACGTAGCCTACTGCTCCTGCCTCGAATCCACCGCCTGGCCATGCGTTGCGCGCCCCTCGGCACGCGACAATCCCGCCATTCTTGGCCTCCTCACCAACCAAGCATGTGGCTTCCTCGGCCAGGCAGGGTCGAGCTGCTCAGCAATTACGGCCAACGGGTCCACGGGAACGTACGGCAATATCTCCTTCTGCTCGCCCGTACAGCGCCTCGACTGGGCATTCAGCAGCTACTATCAGGCGACGAATAATAACGCTCAGAGCTGCGACTTCAGTGGCAATGCCACGCTCAAGGCTAATGCGAATAGCTCGGCGGCAGGATCGAGACAGGCAGCCGCTGCGTGTGCCTCCCAGAACGCCGTCGGTGTCAAGACGCCTGCTGACCCAGACGAAGCGTCGTCGAGCAGTGATGGTGGTGGTGGAGGCTCATCGACGTCGAGCCAGGATGGCAACGGCGCTACGACCTTGCCAGCGAAGGCTGGTGGCCTCGTCACGACGACGCTCTTGGCACTGGGCCTCCTGCTTGTACTGTGAGCGTCACCGCTTCTCCTCTGACTCCCGGACATCTCGGCCGCTTCTGGACCTTATTTGCTTCTGACTTCCAATCTGTACATTCGCAATGCTGTCTGGAAAAGACGCCTCGAACTCACCCTCTTTCCTCTTGATCGAGGACAATCGTATATCCATCGCGCTAGCGTCTTCTTCGTTGCCCATCGTACGACGCCGTGCGTTCTTCCTTTTGTCAGAGTACTCCACGCTCAGACTGTTGGAGTCAACTAGAGTCTGTGATTTCGAGGGGTACTTCTTCTGGGCTGATCAGGACGGTGGCAGGAAAGAGAAAGATCACAGCCCGGCAGCGAGGGAGAGCATCTCTCGAAGACCATGATATGCCAAGAACACAGGAAGGAAAGGATGCCACGTCTAGTGTGATGACGCTGGCTCTCCAGCCTGCTCGCTGGCCAGCAGACCCTTGGCGTCGCTCGAAGCTGAAAGTTGGAATGACGAGACTGGATTTGACGTTGAGTGACTTGATAGAGGAATGTCGTCGTGGTCTGCAGGAGTCATTCTTCTCTTCTGTGCTTTGCTTGTACAGCTCGTCTTAGGCTGTGCTGCTCCTGACTGTCTTCCGCCGGTTCGTCGGAGACACCTTGCTAGTAGGACGCCTCCTTTGCAGCTTCTGCGCGACAAGTCTCTCCGTTGCCCTCCGAGGTACCTTTGATGCTCACATGGTATCCCCTGTCGGATGATGGTTGCCCTTCTCCTTGTTCTTGCTGAAACTCACCCGTCTGGCCAACCTCTAGCTGCTTGCGTGCCGCTCTGATCGCCGACTCCGCGATTGCGACACTCGTGGGAGACGAACTTGACGCGGGAGCATCGCTGAGGGTCACGGGCGCCGTTGCTGCCTTGCCCGGGCCAGAGGTGGCAGTGTTGACCCTGCACCAAGGTCGATCGGCGGGCACTGAGGCGGCTCGGCCAAGCGTGTCTTGCTGCCCGTGACCCTGAGGGCTGGTCTCACCGCTGACTTGTGTATGGCGAAGGAAGGAAGATGGCGTGCGGAGTTGCTCAGAAAGGCGCGAAAGCTGAGACGCTGCCTCGTCGACCGTGAGCAGCGTCGAAGAAGAGGTTGATGTCGAGGCGAGGTTGATGGTGGAGCGGCGAGGCGCGGTGCCGTCGACTTTAGCCGATGCTCGTCCGGCAGAGCGAGGGGTCACACTGGTTGGACTGCGGCCAAACGGAGTGATGGTGAAATTGCAATCAGGCGAGGAGGCTGCGTCCTTCGCGACCTTCTTAGAAGAGCCACTTTGGTCTGTCTCACTGGCGTCGTCGTCATCGCGCTTGCGCTTAGCCGAGCCGGATTCGTCAGCGCCCGAGACGGCTGCGGCAGTCTCTCCGTTGCTTGCGATCTCTCCATCCCTCGGGCCCTGGGCCCACGATTGCGAGGCTTCGTTGTGTTGAGTGCCTCCGCGTCGCATCTCGGAGTTCGCTGACGACGGTGGCGTGGGGTTGACCTGCCCAGCCCGTTGCTCTTGCTGCGGCACAAAGCTGCCCTCCATACGCGACTGCAGCTCCTGACCTCGGCGTTCCAGCTGTTCCACCTTGTCACGCGTCTGCTTCAGCTCCTCGCGAGTAGCGCTGAGCATCTCTGTAATGTCCTGCAGACGGCCATCGCGATCCGCTTGCCAGCAGGCCGTGGCGAGCTTCTCCTGTTCATTCTTGACCCTCTCTCGCTCCAAAGCGTCGACCCGTGCTACAAGTAGGCCCATCACCGTGAACGTCGCGCTGGCAAGAGAGCTCTGGTCGCGTACATTCTGCAGAGTCTCGAGCGATTTGATGTCCCACGCCGAATCGCCCACGCCGAGAACGCGTTCGATACTGGCGAGGCGCTGGCGATCTTCACTGAGATGAGCCATGGCCTCCCGAGCTGTGTTGCCGCAGCGGTAGTCGCAATACCTCCGGCACCAATCGCGTGACGCGGCCGCCTCGCAGCGCGTTGAGTGGATGATGCGGTCTGCTACACAGCCTACGCAGGTTTGCTGCGTATCATTTGACCTGTGCCCGGTTGGAATGGACTCGCCGTGAGGACCTCTGGGAAGGGCCGGGTCAATCTGTGGAGGGGCAGTGACGAATGACGGGGGGACAGGGTGGAAGGTGGAGGCTGCTATCGAGGCCGTGGCAGTCGCGCTCGCGTTCGAGTGGACGGTTGAGGCGGTGGCGGCGGGTTGCAAGGTTGGCTGACTGGATGCTGTCACGCCCCCAATCTCAGAGCCTCGCTGGCCATTGCGGTCAGCGAGATCTGGGCAGGCTGACGTAGCCGCGGCCGACATCTGGTGAGCGGATCGATAGCAAGGATGGGCAAGAGCGAAAGAGGGTGCGAGCGTGAAGTGTGGGCGGATCTGGTTACGGCCGACGCCATCGTGCGGCTGTCCGCAGAGCGTAGAGGAGGCGCACACGAGCAAATGCCAATTGCCAATCAAGCTGAGCCGCAGGGATACCGAGTCACTGTTCCTCGTGGAAAAAAGGGCGGCATAGTGCGGAGAGACTACGAAGTGATGACGCGGACCACGGCGGCCCGAGATCGACCCCGTCGCGGCTTCGGGAAGAAAGCGGTCAAGGTGCAATCACACGGGCTGGGCATGCGGTAGGGCAGCAAAGTGATGGCATTGCTGGGCAGCGACATCGCGTCCGGATCGCTCAGCCCACTCAAAATAGGGAACGCTCAGGGCTGCGGCGACCTCAAGTTTCGAAGCGCCCTTATCGACCTTCGTCGAGGCGCTCTTTAGCGAGCTCTAGCCATGGAGATCCTGGCGACTGTGCGTGTGCGTTACGCGACGACCTGTCGCTCATTGCCTGCTTGGCTTCGGCGAGCTGAGTTGCCTAATGACGGATACGCTTGTTCTGCCCCCCAACGCGGGCGCTTCGTTCTGCGATCACTGTTGAGCCCCCTTCTCGAGGATCGCAATGCGAGTGTCGACGATATCGAGGCGAGTGCTGTTGGCGCGAAGGACATCCCACGGGCAAGGGGCAGCATCGCGAGCATCGGCGGAGCTGCTCGGTCCATTGCCTCTCATTCGCCGCGTCGGTGTGACGAGCCCGGCAGTGGTCGTCACCATTCATCCAGGTTGAATCGCACGCTGGCTGGCCGTTCAAGCAGCTGCTGCATTGCATCGCCTATCGCGCCAGCTTTCTCTCCGGCTCTCCCCCAATTGCTCGACTGCCAGTCCGTCTTTCAAGTAGTTGCGCATGGGGGGAAAGTGCTCGCCGCCCGGGCCAACACATCGAAGCATCCCTCGCTGCTCTCTGCTGAACTGCCGCCGCCCGCCGCCTCACTGCCGGTCCCGCCCAACTCAACGCTCGCACGCCCGCCGCTGCCGCTCCAGACCCAGTGCTTCTTCTCGGTGGGCCGGTGAACTCCTTGGATTCCTCATCACCACTACCATCGATCCAGCAATGGCATCGCTCTCGACTACGGCGATGCGAGCGCCTATGGTCCTGCCGCGAACAGCAGCGCAACTGCTTCTGCGCAGCGCTGTGGCCTCCTCTTCCTCTCCAGCCTCATCGATCCGCGCTATCTCCTCATCGGCGTCCAACAAGCGTGCCCTCCCTGTCGACCCCAGCGAGCTCCCTCCCGCTGGCCCTGGTCCCGCGTCATCCCAGTCTTCGGCCTCAGCTCCTGTTACTCCTCGAGCACCCGATGGCACCACCCGCCACGACTGGACTCGCAAGGAAGTCTCAGAGATCTACAACTCTCCCCTCCTCGAGCTCGTCTTCCGAGCGGCTACGGTGCACAGGCTCGTTCACCCGAAGAACTCAGTCCAGCTCTGCACTCTCATGAACATCAAGGAGGGAGGCTGCTCCGAGGATTGTGGGTACTGCTCTCAGTCGAGCAAGTACACGACCCCTTCCACTCCCTCTAAGCTCAGTGACGTGGACGAAGTTCTGGTCGAGGCGCGAAAGGCCAAGGCAAACGGGTCGACAAGGTTCTGTATGGGGGCTGCTTGGAGAGAGGTAGGCGGTAGGAAGAGAGGATTCAACAGGATTCTGGAGATGGTCAGCGAGATCCGTGGGATGGGGATGGAGGTGTGCACCACGCTGGGCATGCTCACCAAGGAGCAGGCAGCCGCTCTGAAGAATGCGGGCTTGACGGCGTACAATCACAACCTGGACACCAGTAGGGAGTACTATGGTAAGGTGAGTGCGGGCCCAAGCCCGAATGATTGACCCCTTTGGTAGTCAATCCTGCTGACCTACTTTCCCTATCTCCTCGCGAACGCTCCAGGTCGTCACATCCCGCTCGTACGACGACCGCCTGTCCACCATCGAGAACGTTCGCCAAGCCGGCATCTCCGTCTGCTCCGGCGGAATCCTCGGACTGGGTGAAGAGCACGAGGACCGCGTAGGCCTCATTTACGAGATGTCTCGCCTCCCAGAGCACCCCGAGTCCTTCCCCGTCAACGCCCTTGTCGCTATCCCTGGCACGCCCATGGAGGGCAATGAACCCGTTGACTTCCCCACTATGCTCAGGACGGTCGCGACTGCTCGATTGGTCCTGTGCAAGTCTATCATCCGTCTGGCGGCAGGGCGTCACCTGTTCAGCGAGGGGGAGCAGGCTATGGCTTTCATGGCGGGGGCGAACGCGATCTTTACGGGTGAGAGGATGTTGACCACGCCCACCAGCAGCTGGGATCAGGACAAGGGCATGCTGGAGAGGTGGGGGCTCCGACCTATGGTCTCTTTCGAGGATGAGATCATGGCTCCTCACGCTTCGAACGGGGCCCAGCCCACTCAGAAGGAGGCAGCGGCAAAGGAGGCCCAGGTCTAAGAGAGCAGACTCATGTCGCGGCTTAGCATACTCCGTAGCTATTTCATGTCGAGCAGAGAACAATGCATTCACTCCATCTCCAAATCTTTCTACTCTTAGTCGCCGACTGAGGCGACCGCTCCGCGCCAATGACTGTGACAGGCGGCGCCGGCAGCAGCAGCAGCAGCAGCGGCGGGAAGGGCGATTCATGCTCATGCCACGCACAGCGTCGGTGGCAGCATCGACATCATCGCAGCATCCTTGCATTCGTAGCTTCACGTCGATTTGCTCCTCTCCTCGCTCGTATCAGCTATTGTTCGACTCGCCGGTAGCCCCGAGTCAATTTGGCTGAGACGCGCGCGCCTCGTGGCAGGACAAGGCAGCCAGGCCAGAGGGCGGCAGCAGAGGCGGCGCGGGCGGGGCAGAGAGGCGAGTGGTCCGACTCGCGGCTGCCATCTTTGGGCCTTTGCTCCCTCGCTCCCCATCTCTCGAATCCTCTTTGTCGTCATCACCTTGCTCTGTGCTGTCTTTCATCGACCCTTTGAAAGCAGCATCAGCCCCATCACAGCGGCATTTGCAGGCACTCGTCCACCCTAGCATCCGCGTGGCCCGCCTGTACTGTCGTCCCCAAGGCCTCGCGACGTCCAAGTCCAAGTCGGACGCGCCGCGAAACCTCTTTGGCGATCTCGTGCAACGAGGAACAACGTCGTCCCAGTCCGTGTCCCACGACAACGCCCTGCAGCACAGCTACAGAGGGCGCTCAATACTAGCCAGCCATCTGCACTCCTCGGTCGACCTCAAGCAAGAGCACCTCGAGTCCATTCCGCAAAGCAAAGGATCATATTGCGGTGCGGGGCATCGCATCGCCCGGCCATCTGCCTTCCTACCTTGCTGCCGCTGTACCAAGTCTCACCACAAGATCTCCTACTTGGTCGCCGCTTGACGGCAAGACATCCGCGTGCCATCACCGCCGTCGCCGTCGCCGTCGCCGCGTGAGATAGAGGCATTGACAGGAGCTGCTAGCCGCCCGCATCGGCATAGTCTCTCTCGTCAATCATGCCACCCCGTCGATCCGCTCGCGCCCGCAACGACGATGGAGCAACATCCATGTCTCCGACGATAGGCCAGCTGGATGACAGCCCTCGCAAGCGCAAGCGTACAGCTGATGGGGAGTCGCAGCAGCAGCAGCAGTCTGGCAGCGCATTGACGCCAGAGCCGCAGGCGGACAGCGAAGAAGCAGTCTATGTCAATGGCAATCGGTCGCCCTCAAGAGGCAGGGGAAAAGGCAGAGGAAGGGGAAGACCGCCAAAGAATGGTCATACATCTCAAAGCCGTGGCCAGTCTGCCGGATCTCCCCCGCTGTCCTCGTCTACATCTCCCTCTGGCAAGGGCGCTGCACATGACGCGCGGAGGAGTACAAGGGGTACAAACAACCCGATGGATGGCGCGTCGCCTTCCGCTCTTGAGGCGGAAGATGACGAGATGATGGATGAGCAGACGAGAGCGCTGGCTGAGGGAGCTCTGTCAATAGACGAGGAGCTCCTATTGAGCAAAAGCGATGGGCAGAAGTTGACGGCAGCCTTGGAATGGTAAGTGCAGAAGATCCTATCCCTAGTCGACTGAACGCGTGCTGATGTCTCTTCTTTGCCGCTGTTGCAGCTTTGCACCTGGCCTCCTCGAGCTCCCGCTCGCAGCAGGCAGCACTTTCACCACAGCCGCGACGGGCAAGGCTAAAGCGAAGGCGAAGTCAACGGCCCCCTCTACCCTTGGCGAGGCATTTGACGGACGCACTATTTCGCTACGTCAGATCCGTGCGTACCTCCTGGCCCTGCGCTCGCCTCTCCTCAAGCAAGGAAACCAGAGCGCATCCTCAACTTCATCTTCGCCGACATCTCAGCTGGCGAGCCTGACGCTTGTACTCAATCTTGTCGACGAGATTGCGAGGTCGGCCAACGCTAGCAAGGCAAAGGTGGAAGAGGTTGGCGCGGAGGGTCAAGTGAAAAAGGAGGAAGATGACCAGTTCGCCGCATCACTCGACGCTCTCCTCGAAGGCAAGGTCAAAGCGGCGGCTGCTAACGGCAGCAAGAATGATACCTCACAGCGAGCGTCGCGCAAGTACGCCCTACACATGCGTCTCTCGACGGGCGACTACTTCTCGAAGGCTGTCGAGCTCACGACCGCCGAAGCCCAGAATTTACAAGCAGGAGCGGCCGACCTCGTTCCCATTGAGGTCAAGCCCTCCTCCTTCGCCTCATCTTCCAAGGTCCCCACCCTCGGACAGCGCCTCCACAGACAAGTGTCTCTACGCTACCCAGCACGAAGCCTAGAAGACCTATCTGAGCGCTCGATGGGGAAGATAGTCCGGCCGCTGAACCTCTACTACGGAGCCTATGCATCATCATTGGCGCCAAGCTACGACTCGTCGAATGCGTCTTTGAGTCAGGCGGCAAGTGGACTGGTGTGGAGCACTAAAACGAGCGAAAGGGTCATGGAAGGACGACTCCCTTGGGAGGTGGTATTGGAGGGTGGTGAAGAGGCCGAGGAGGATGAGGTCGCTGCGGCGAACAAGATCATGGAAGCGCCGCCGCCGCCGCCGTCGGCACTGGAGGGACTCTGCGACAACCTCGACCCGTCACTGGATAGCGAGACGCTCAGGGCGGCTATGGCGGTGGAAGACAGCCAAGTCACAGAAGGTCTGGAGCGCTGTGCTACGCTGCTCTTGAAGCTGCAAGCCATGCAGTGGAAAAGACTCCAACGCGGCTTTGCGCGAGTCAAGACGGCGGAGAGAGCTCGGAAAGCAGCGACCGATGGCAAGCCATTCTTGGGCTCATCTGCGCGATCGCATGTGGTAATCGTCGAAGACCAGCCAGGCGAAGCGGAGCAAGCCATCGCCGCTCAAGCGCTCGAAAGCCTCTCCTTCCTCATTCAGTCCACTAGCGGCTCGAGCTCCTCCCTGCTCCTTCCATCACCCGATACTATCCGCTCTCTCTCCTCTCGCCTTCCTCCAGCCATCCTCGACCCAGCCCTTGCCGCTACAGCCTCTTCACCAGCGTGCGATGCACCATACTGGGGCACTCTGGACTCGTCCCTTCACGCTCCTGAAGCCACATCGGGGCTGGCTGGCAAGGTACCTGCGCTGGTACCACAGTTCAGCTCCAATGAGACGGCACGCTATGATGCGGCTGGTGAGCAACGGGCAACCAACAGGAGCTTGAGACAGAGGGGCGTACCGCTCGGCGTGAGCGCTGCAGTCATGCCTTCATCTTCCTCGTCCTCCGGTCAGGGAAACAGTGCCGCAAGCTCGGTGCCTACCACAGGGCAAATGGAGCGCACAATGCAATTTGACGCCGAATCGCGTCGTGTGGGCTCTAGCCTCGCCTTGAACGGCGTAGCGGCCGTTGTGGGAAGCCAGCAGCAGCAGCTGCAAGCCCAGCAAGAGCAACAGCGCCTTCAAGCTCAGCAGCGCCAGCAAGCCACCGCCGCCGCAGCAGCAGCTGCCTCCCCCGCACCGATGGGCTCCTCGCCACCACCAGGAATGTCACCAAGCCCGAGCATGGCCCCCCTCCACGTCGGTGGGGGTTACCCTCCTTACCCTGCCCAATCTCCCGCCTCCATGCACCCGCAGCAACACGCCACGACCCTCCCATACGCTTCACCTCCACCTCAAATGAGGCCAGGAGCAGCCGTCTATGGCGGCTCTCCACCAATGACGCACGCGCAGGTGCCTTTTCCTCTGCAGATGCCGCAGGGTGGGTATTATCCTTTCGCGGCAGGGCAAGGCCCAGGAACGGGGGCGTACCCGGCGCAGCAGCAGGCTCAGCATCAGGGATTCCAAGGGCAGACAAGACGATAAGATTGCGGAAAGGGGTTCTGACGAGCGCAGCCTCCAGCCACAGGTGACGCGTAGAAGGCAAGGATGGGGAAAGAGGTATTCCTGGCTGTTGTATGTCGATAGACGTAGAAGTCTTGAGTCAATGCGACCATCCCTATTCATTGACCAGTCTCAAAGCGATCCAATCTAGCTCAACTCGTGCGCGTGCTGCTCACGCTCAATTGTCTTTCCTGCTTTCAGCATCAAGTCCTGAGAGATTGGAAATGACTATCATTTGAACGGCTCTACATCTCCTCATCCGTATCAATCATATCGTCATCAACGACCCCCCTCTTGGCGGGCCTCGAAGGCGCTGCAGCCTTCTTGCTCTTCTTGCCTGACTTCTTTTTCTCCCTCTTCTCCTTTCGCTTCTTCTTCTCCAGCTTCTGAGCCCTCCTCTCCTCCTTCGCCCCATCATCCTCGCCGTCACTGCCTGCGTTGGAGCTTTGAGCTTCCTCCTCGTCGTCCGAGTCTGGTCCGCCCTCGCTACTACTACTCTCACTGCTCGACTCGGCGTCACTGTCTTTGACGACTCTCTTCTTCCTAGGCTTGCCCTTGGAGCCCTTCTGCTTCTTTGCCGCCCGGGAGGCACGCAGTTCCTCCATCTTCGCCCTCTTCCTGTCTGCGCGACGCTTCTGTCTCTCTTCCTCATCGTACGCGCCTTCGCCTTCACTTTCTCCAGTCAGAGCAGCAAGGTTCTCATCGTCCTCCAGCAAGGCGTCTTGAGCGCGACGCTCCTCCTCGTCCGTCTCCACTTCACTGCTAGCCCCACGTTGCTTGCGGGAGCGCTTTTTGCCCGTCTTCTCACCCCCACCACCCCTCTTCTGCTTGACCTGCACCTCAGGGCTTGGCAGACGATAGGTGAACTCGCGCGCCTCCTCGACCGCACGACGACGACGCTCCTTGACCTCCTCGAGGCGCTTCTCCTCCTCCTCGCGGGCACGCTGCTCTGCCTCCACGCGCTGACGCTCCTTCTCGGCCCGCAGAGCTTTGACAGCCTCAGATCGCTCAGCCACTTCTGCTTCGAAGGCCTCTTGCTCCTGTACAGCCGCTTGGGCCTGACGATCACGCAGCGACTCGCCGAATTGAATGCGTTGCTCCAGAAGCTCGGCAGAGACAAGTCCAAGTTGACCCTGCTGGGCTGCAGGGAGTAGAGTGGTGAAGGTGGAGAGGGAATCGCTGATTCCTTCGATCGCCTGGCGCAGTTCAGGGAGGAGGCGCTCCTCCTTGCGAGTCTCGAGCAGCATCTGCAGAGATTTCTGCTTGATGACAGCAGAATTGTAGTGCGTGAGGCGGATTTCGGCCTCGAGAGAGAGGAGGCGAGGGTTATTGCTCGAAGGCTTGGCGGCGGCGGCGCCATTCTCGCCGTTTGCTGAACCGTTGGTCGTAGCGGGCTCGCCAGCTCCACCTGCGATCTCCTGCTTCTTCTCCTCGAAGATGCTTCTGGCGCGGCTCAAGCGTTCCACGCTGCGCATCAATGTTGGGAAGCTCCTGCTCGACAAGCCGACGTGGTACTCCGCCATTGCCCAGCTGACGAGCACATTTGCGTTGGCATCATCGTAGTATTGTCGCGATGCCACTTCGTACGCCTTTGCGCTCCTCTCCCACTCTTCACGCCTGCCTAGCGCATGACCAAGGCAGACATGTATGGATCCATCGTGCCTGACCTCGCGCAGTTTGCTGAAGACGGACAGGCCCTCATCAACTGCCCTGCGTCGCGCGTCACGCTCAGCCTCCGGGTCCTGGCTCGCAGGCCCCTTGCTCCCAATCAGACCATCATCACACAGAAGGATCCCCAGTCCTTGCGCAGCAACTGCGCAGCGCTGGTCGTTGGCAAGCGCCTGGCCGAAGAACTCCGCCGAGCGAAACATGCAACGCTCCCTCTCTTTCTTATCTCTCGCCTCACGGCCTAGCTGATAGTAAGACCAGCCCATCGCGCTCATGATGAAGGAGTCGCCCGTCGCATCCGTTGCTACTTGCTTGGCAGCTTGGGCGCCGCCAAAGACGCGTGTGGCTTTGGAGTCGTTGGCGCCGAGGAAGAGCTCGGCGAGGGTGTCCTTGATGATGCCCCACTGACCCGGGTAAGGGGAGCAGGGTAGCTCGCCCGCGAGGAAGCAGACGTACGCTGCGCGCGTGTCCAGGTTGGCTGGGTCGGAGGAAAGGGCTTCCTTGAAGTAGGCATTCGCCAGCTGGGTGGCTTTCCCGTTGACGTTGTCCGATGAGGGAAGCGAAGCTACCATGATTGCCAGTCGAACGCGTGCGTCAATATACTCTGGGTGCATGGACAGCAGCGTCTCGTATGTTCGGCGAGCGTCTTCCAGCGAGGAGCTGGATTCTTGCAGGCGAGCGGCATTGTAGAGAATGGTTGTCTTTTCTGACTCGAGGTCTTCGGGTGCAGCGGCATTACGCTCCTCGCTGGAGCGAATGAGGTCGAGAGCGACACGCAGATGCTCGAGAGAGCGTTCTATTAGTGGGTGTTGAGGCTGAGTTGGGCCGCCCTTTGTGACAAAACCGGCGCCTACGACCGACTCGAGGGCTCGGACGCCCAAAATAGCACCCAAATTGGCACGTAAGCGAATTTCCAGCGAAGCTGATGTGTTGGCTATGACGTCGCTTCCCGCCTCGCGCTGTCGAGCGAAGATGTCGAGCGCTGCCTGGTACCGTCTAGCTGCCCGAGGTAGGTCGGCACGGGAGGCGCCTACCTGAAGGAGCTGTGCAAGTTCGACATTGGCCAAGACGTCCTGGCCGAGCGCATGAATCTGTTGCACCGTGGATTGGCCAGCTACTTCGGCCACCAAAGCTTTGCGACTTGCAGCCGTAGACGATGAGCCGCCACGAGAATCCTCGCTAGCAGCATCACAGAGGTTGAGGCTGCGTTCTAGAAGGACTCTAGCCTTGTGACGATCCCGGGCCACCTCTTCTTTGCCTGCTCCGGGATGAGAAGCGGCTCGCAAGCTCGCCTCGAGGAAAGAAGCCTCAACGAGGTGACTGGGTGTCTGATGATGATTGGCGAGGCGCAACACGTCGAGAGTGTGCATAGCCGCGACCACTTCTCCCTGGCCCAGTTGAAGCTGGGCGAGGCTAACTGATGCATGAGCAAAGAGGGGCGAGATGGCCGCATTCGACGAGCCCGGCAGAGGTGCTCGTCCGAGATCCTCGACAATGCGGTTCCAGTGTCTGTTGGCCATAGATCTCATCTCCATCTCATCTAGCGTGCACTTAGATTGAGAGGCGGCATGCATTGCCAAGTGAGCCGCGCGAGCCGTCGCTGCCGTAGCGGCGAGGAGGTCGCTGCGGGCGTCTGCATACTGGAGGGCATGCTCACCGAGCTTAAGAGCTTGGGTGAACTGGGCGGTCGCCTTGAGAACGTCACCCTCTGCGGCGAGGGCTGAGGCTCGACGGGCGAAGTGCTCAGAGAGAGCTACAGCAGTCATTGCACTCTTGTTGTTCAGGGCCCAGGCTGCTTGGATGCTGGCAAGACCTTGCTCGCGTGCCGCCTGTCGTGCTTGCTCCTCCGTTGCTGAGATGCCCACGTCAAAGAGACCCAGAGGCAAAGCAGCCGACTGGCTCGCTGCATTGATGGCTGACAGACCGAGGAGGAGTTTGGGCGCAGACTTGTTTGGATAGATGTCTGCCGATCGCTGCCATGCCCTTCGAGCATCTGAGACCTTGCCCATGCCAGCAAGGCAGAGTCCAATACCGATGCGAGGGTCCGGTCGGGAGAAGTCGCCCTTCTTCTCATATGGGAGCACCAGGGCGAGGGCGTGCTGATAGATGGCGAGAGCCTGAGGGAAGGCGCGTCGTCGCAAGAGGCAGCAGGCTTTGCCAAGGAGCGCGAGCGTATTCTTTGGCTGCTTTGTGGATACGTCGGTGAAGATGCGCTCTGCGTCGTTTGTCATGCCCTTGAGCGCCATGTCGACTGCCCTGGAGAGTTGCGAGTGGACTGCCGCAGGGTCCGACGCAGCGGCGGCATTGGTAAGCTGCGTTGCGTAGGAGAAGTGGGCATGCTTTGCGTGCAGACCCTCTCGACCGGCGAGTGGCTGATACTTTGCCTCTTGAATGATCTGCTTGGGCGAGCTTCTTGCTCGATTGGCATACAGGCCAGCAAGCATCGAGTCGAGGAGAGCTGTACCGCGAGACTTGTTGGGCGTCATGCGCAGAGTGTGACTGCCTCGACCAAGAAATTCGATGGCTGCTGGCTCATTGTCGTGATGACGGAGGTACTCGTATGCCAGAGTTGCCCAGTAGTGAGCAGGTTGAGCATCGGCGGCCAGAAGACCGACGATGTCCTGCACCGACTCTGCATCATTGGGCAGGTCGGCCAGGTCGATGGGTACATCACCCTGCTCCGTCGGAATGGAGAGGATCCTCTCCGTTTCGACTTCCATTGCGGCGAGTGACGAGGGATCAAGGTATGGAGAAGAGAAGAAGGCAATCAACGTCGCCCCGCTCGAGGCGGCCATGCAACGGATGTCGTCGCTCATTCGCTCGTTCGCTCGCTCCGTCCATAGTCCAACGCCTCGTCGCCCATCCGTGCCGCGCCTCAACTGCGCGACCAGTCGAAGCGCGAACAAAGTCGTCGAGGCGGAGACGTTGGGCTCAGCTTTCGACGTCGCTCTGATCATCATTGCACATCGAGGGCCAAGGTCATAATCAAGATGGCCTCCTGGATGAGCTATGTCCACTTCCTCGCATTCATCTTGGCCCTCTATTGGATCCATGTAGGCTTTCAAGCACTTGTAGTCAGGGGGAAGAGGCAGGCATTCAGATTGTGAGCATGCACCACGTCCCATCCATGTCTTGTCTCACCGCGTCTGACCACTGTTTCGCATTGCCATCGCCAACAGAGAGCAACGCAGGCGCGCAGGCATCCCAGACTCGGACAACAGGCCATTTGACATCGCTCAAGCTGATGCGCTGCAGGTCAAGAGGAGGCGAGACCTTGCGCGAAGCAACACGAGCGCCGTTGCTTCTTCGTTTGCCTCTGCCACTGGCTTCGACGCAAGAGCCCTTTTCGGCAGAGGCCTCCCATCCTCAGCCAAAAAGATCTCATCAGCTCTCCCTCGCAGCGGTTCTGCCTCCCCGTACTCGCCTAGAAGACCAAACGTCGTAGCCCCTTCGACGTCTTCCCATCTCTCCCCTGGGCAGAGCTCGCGCTACAACCCGGCATCATATGCTGGAGCTGCGGGCAGAGCATCGCCTGCAGGAGCTACGGCAGGCTACAAACGCTCCATACCAGCTGCGAACGAGGCACGGAGCGAGACGAGTACCGTCCGTCCCGCGATCAGACATCGTCCCTCGAAGCTAGCTCAGCTGCAGCAAGACCAAGATGAGGAAGAAGAGGATGGCGAGACAGGTATGGCATGGGAAGCTACCGAGCTCCCGACGCGTCGAGGAAAAAAGAGAGGAGCAGACGAGGCTCGTAATATAGGAGAGGAGGACAGCGTGATTGGCAGGGCAGGTCGGGCGAAGAAGGGGCGCGCTTACCAGCCCACGGAGATCGGTAGCGCGATGGATGAGGATGACAACGAGTACTTACCGGGAGAGGGGGAAGAGGCGAACGATAGCGAGACGGATCTCGCCTCCCTTGGCCCTCTATCTGAGCTCGACGATGAAGAGATGGACGAGTACGCACCGCCCCAGCGTACGCCTGCTGGATTGCTTCCGTCCACCAGGCGGGCTAAGCACAAGGCTGCCCGCAAGATCCGCCAACCTCGCACTATCAAGGCAGAGCCAAAGGATAGGTCACTTGCCGATGACATGCGGGATCTGAGCGATGTGGATGATGACGTCTCGATGCGTACCACCTCTCGTGCGGGTCGCAACAAAGCTGCCACCACCTCACGAGATGTCCCCGACTCAGAGCGCTCGATCGGCGAAGAATGGCACGACCCTGTCTCGAACTTCCAACATCGGATGGATCTCGACGATGTCTTGACAGACGAGGAAGTCACGCCTGGTCGAAAACGCCGCGTAACTAAACAGCGTCGCGTAAAGCGTCGCTTGACGGTCAAGCTCGAGTGGCGTCCCAAATGGGCCATGCCTGCTGACTCTGAGCACCCGGACAAGGGAGAGATGGTCCCGCATTACGTTCCCGTGTGGTTGAGTGATGCGGAGATTGATGAGAGCCGGAGGAAAGGAGAGTTGGGGGAGCAGGTGGGGGAAAGGGAATTGCAGGCCAGGAGGGCTGCCGAGGCCAAGGCAGCTGCAGGCGCGGGCTCAGCATCGTCCTCGCCGTCGTCTGCGCGACGAGTGGACTCTCTCCTCTACCAGGCGCCACACCGTATTCCGTTGCGCTCCCCACTGTCCAAGTCGAAGCTTGGCCTCGTTGGCGCCTCGCCGCGTACTTCGCCCGGGCTCACCCGCTCACGCTCTGCGACGCCTGACGTTTCTCTGGGTGGTACATCACGCGGAAGCCCAGCAGCCACGTCCACTTCAGCCTCCTCATCGTCCTCAAGAACGAACAGCAGAGGCCGTCTATCTCTCGGCGGGTCGCCCTCTTCGCTTTCTACCGCAGCCGCGGCTGGAGCAACGGGAGCAACAGCTTCACCGCTCCGCAATAGGGCTCTCGACGCCGCGGGCAAAAGAAGGAGGGAGGAGGAGCTCATGAAGAGAATCAGGGAAGCGAGAGAGGATAAGGAAAGGCTGGAGAGGGAAAAGAAGGAGAAGGAAGCCAAGGCGAAAGGTCCTGCTCCACCGGCAGCTGCACCTGTGGCCACGCCTACCCCTTCCTTTGGAACTGCACCTGTTGCTTCCAAGGCTGAGGATGGCCCGAAGCAGCCAGGTGAGGCTGACGCAGGCAAAGCGCCTTTTTCATTCGGCGCACCGGCGACAGCGGCACCATCTGATCCCGCGAAGCCGGCTGCTCCAGCGCCAGCGTCATCAGGTGGCTTCACCTTTGGAGCCCCCTCCTCTTCATCTGCTGCACCCCCACCACAGCCACAGACCAAGACCGAGAGCAAGCCATCGCAGCCATCTTCATCTTCGCCCTTCACCTTTGGAGCAGCGGCCAAGCCGGCAGCGCCTGCCGCTCCCGCCGCATCCTCGTCACCCGCTCCCTTCACTTTCGGCGACAGCAAGCCAGCTGCGGCCACTTCTACTGCCACTACAAGCGCCCAAGCCAATGGCACTGGTGGTAGTACGTCTCCAGCTCCCTTCTCGTTCGGCAAATCAGCTGCGGCCGCCAGCCCGGCTCCAGCAGCCAATGGCTCGTCGTCTTCGTCCACACCCTTCTCCTTTGGCGCTCCTAGCAGCAATGGACCAGCTAGTAAGCCGGCTGATTCAGCCAGCGGCGGCAGCGGGGCTCCGAGCTTCACCTTTGGTGCCTCTTCTTCTGCCTCTCCCGCTCCCGCGGCGCCAGCATCGTCGTCGGCCCCTTTCTCGTTCGGGGCGTCCAAGACGAGTACTCCCAGCGGCCCTAGCAGCGGTACGGGAGGGACTTCCTTCACCTTCGGTGCGCCTGCAGCTCCCGCTGCTGGAGGGAGTGGAAGTGGAACGACTTCTGGTGGCTTCAGCTTCAGCTTTGGGAAGAAGTGAGAGGAAGACGAGGCTGATGGCAGGGGGGCGGTACCGGTGGCCGATGAGCCATGGAGAGAGTCTGGTAATCAGGCATGCCTTTGGAATTGACTCGTCGTGGTTCTTCTTCCAAATTTCAGCCACGAAAGACACTCATGTACCATTTATCAATCTCAACAGCATGCCATCTCACGTCGTCTCACCTCTCTCTCTGTCCACGGTCTCGATGTTGGTGCGAAAGCAGGTCGCGTGTTGCTCTCCCTGGTCTGGCTCGCATGCCTGCGTCGAAGCCGCTCTCTCGTGCTTCTCCGCCTCAGGCCCCGCTCGGTCCAGTCCAACAGCGGACGAGGGAGCGAGGGTAACGAGGCATTTGCTTTGGCTTCTTCCTACCACAGCCACATAACAGCACAGCAAAGAGGGCCACAGCAAAGGGGAAGATAGACTGCGCTCGACGTCCAAGTTGGCCAGCAACATCTCAAGCTCGCATCACTTGAGGTCTCCCTCTGCCTCTCTGCGCCGCCAACATGGCGAGCCTACTCCTCCGCCTCTTTCACAGCGACTACTTCTCTCCTCACCTGGCCCTCTCCTACCTTCGAACCTATGCAGACAACATAGGTATCACCTACTACCTAGTCTACCGACTGCGCACTTCTTTCTCACCGGAAGAGGTAGAGTTCTACTGGCCGCAGCTCTGCCACCTCCTCATCACAAAGCCAAGCGAGTCAAGAGCATTAGAATGCTTTGTGCTGGAGAGATGCGAAGAATCGGTGCATGTGGCTTTGCTCACTTTGTGGTACTTGCAAGCCACACTCTTCGACTTGGGCAGTCAGCCGAATACTGCATCATTCGAGGTTTGCAAACGGGTGTACAATGAGTGCCAGAGGATATTGTACGACGATCCGCTGTCGGACGCCAATGTCTCATTGGTCCCAGCGCAGGCTTCCTCGTCCTCTTCTTCGACATCAACAGCATCAAACTCCCGCTTCAGACGGCTCATATCCTCTTCAGCACGAGCTCGCGAGAAGGTGTCACCTCGCAACACCCGCAGCACTTACGTGGGGATTGGGACGGTCCTGGCTAGTGTGCCGGCGATGCCCTCTTTGGCGGGCTTCAGTGGGCAGATTGCGGTGGAACAGGGAAGGGCCAAGCCAAATGCGGTCAATGCCAAGAAGGGAGAAGGACTGGCAAAGGGAATCGAGAGGATTGGAAAAGGAGAGGGGTCGGATGACGAGGGTGAACTGCCTGGACGCAGAGCCGGGGATGAGTCCGAGGATGATGACGACGAAGACGAGGAGAGCGAGGCAGAAGCGACCCAGCAGACTACTCGTCAACCTGTTACGCCCAAGTCTGCTCCTCTAGCTCAACGACAGAATACTGCTCCGAGCGGCTCTATCTTGGCCAAGGGCAGCGGCAGTAGCGGTCCGTCAGCCACCAGTCCAGACAATCCTTTCGCCAACTTCTCCGCCGGCTTCAGCAAAGCCACGGCGAGCGTAGGCGAAGCCTTTGGCCAGACGTTTGGCGTCACCTTCAACACCCAGCCTCAAGGAGACGCAGGCAAGGATTCCAAAGCTCGTCCAGCGTGGCACCCTCAAAGCCCTGGCAAGGGCAGCAGGAGAGCTCGCAGCAACGAGGTCACCAAGTCCACGCCCAACCTAGCCAACGGCAGTCGCACGAGCTTGTCAGCTTTCGCTTCTACCGCTACGCTCCCTGATAGCAACCATCCAGCATCAATGGACGCCGTCCTAGCGCAATACGACACAGAGGCCCGACGAAGACTGCTTCGATCGAACTACTGTCGCACGCAAACTCAGTTCCTTCTCACTCTCCAGGATATCTCGGCACGTCTACTGCTTCTACCCAAGCCGGCCCGACTCTCTGCACTCCGCGCCGAGCTGACAGCTCTAAACCACAAGCTCCCGTCAGATGTCTGCTTCCCGCTGTGGTGTGCCGCTATCTCTGAGACAGGGACTGCCGGGGAGGACAGTCAGAATGCGATTGAGAATGCGCACAACGTCCCTGGCGCCTCCGCGACCTCCTCGTCATTGCCCTCGACGAGTGTTGGCCGTGGGCAGCAACAGCAACCCAAACCCAAGCGTCGCCCCGGCGAATTGAGGCACCATCGTGTCGTCCGCATCAATCCTTCAGAAGCAGTCGTCCTCAATTCGGCAGATCGGGCCCCCTACCTCCTTCACGTCGAAGTTCTGACAGATGAGTTGGACTTCGATCCTGAACGACGCTCCAACCGCGAATCCCTCAAGAAGTTGGTCGTGGCGGAGGATCTAAGAAGGAGGAAGTTTGCGCTCAGTCGTGCGTTCGGGACTGAGGGTAGCGAGTCCGGTAGTAGGGAGGCATTAGGCGCTGCTGGTTTGCTGAGACGGGATAGTGGACCAGGAGCTGTCGGGATGCTGAGGAGAGACAGCGTCAAGAGTGGTGGCGGTAGTGCGATCGACTCCCCGCGCATCGACTCGTCCGCCTCGACGCCTGGCGCTGCTGCGGTTGAGAGCGGTACTGAGCCTCGCAGCCGCCTTGCAGAGCGGACGGTCAGTTCAAGCTCCGTCTCTTTTGGTCAGTCTGCTGCTGCTAGTACACCTGAACCTGCGCTCAGGCCCGGCGCTGCGGCTGGATCCGACAGTCGTCCCTCGTCTCCCATGCCCGATGAGAGTGGCGAGGAGATCGACCTGACAGAGCAAGCTTTCGGTGCAGACCTGTCTGCCTTCGGGGAGGAGCGTCAGGAAGCCAGCGACGAGGAGGACGACCTCACGGCTATCAATCGACACCACGATGCCGCGGCCTGGACGCAGGCGCGTGGCCGGGCTGGCTCCATTCCCACGAGCTCAGGAGGTGCCGGAGGCGTCGTCTCCCCGCAGTCATCAGGTCATGGACGACAAGGCTCCATCTCTGGCACCTCAGGGCGCCGACGAGACCTTTCCTCGCTGGACGACTACTCAGATCGGATGCGAACTGCAGCGATCATGCTTGCCCAGCTCAACCAGTCGACAAATGCAGCTTCGCAGCCTGCTGTCACCCACAATCCGCACATCAGCGCGACCGCGCAAGGTGGCTGGAGCAGCTGGATCATTGGAACGAGCTGGGCTGCTGGCGGATCGAGCGCGTCTTCGACTGCGGCTAATGGGGCCGGTCCGAAGAGCGAGATTGGTCAAGGGAGTGCGGGCGTCAAAGCGCCCATCAGTGTCGCTGCCGCACCTCCTACCAGCGGGGCAATTGCAGCCGACCCGACCAAGACCGCAGCCAAGTCGAGCAGTGGGCCCAATGGCGCCCCTGCCGCGCCTGTCGTCGCAGGAGGCGGTTCACGTCTCATTCACGCGGACACCGAGATGATCCGAAAGCGCATTATGCAAGAAATGATGGCCCTCGAAGAGGAGCGAATGGAACGCATGAAGTCATCAGGCTCGCGGAAGATCGGCTCTTCCGCAGCATCACGACGTCCCGCCCCTACCTCGGTGGAGGACGAGGCCACGGTGCTCCGTGCAGTGAACAAGGACGATCCATCGGCAGCCATGTTCCGTGAGACGTGGGCGGCCAAGAAGGCGAGGATCAGAGCGGCGAGTCCGTACGGACATTTGCCGTCGTGGGACGTGTTCAGTGTCATCGTAAAGACGGGCGCGGATTTGAGGCAGGAGCAGTTGGCTGTTCAGCTTATCAATGAATTTGGGCGCATTTGGGAGGAGAAGGGATCAAGTGAGTTCTGCGAGCTCACCGCCTCGCTCGAGCTGACCACGATCATCAACTGACCGTCTTCCCTTCCTTGCTCACTGAATTCACTCAGGATTATGGGTGCGCTACTTCCGCATTCTCGTTACCTCTGAGTCATCCGGCTTGATGGAGACGATCACCGACGCGGTGAGCGTGCATTCGATCAAGAAAGAAGCCTACGCTAGGGCGCAGAAGGATGGAGCTGGTGGGCCAGAGGGAGGCAAGATTGCTACATACAGTATCTATGATCATTTCGTTGATGTGAGTTTGAGAGGTATCAGGGTCAAAGTGGTCTGCTGATGATGATGGTGCTGACGCTGATGCTTGATGACGCTACACCCACAGACGTACGGCGACCCCTCATCCGCCCGCTTCAATCGCGCGCGTGACCGCTTCATGGAGTCTCTCGCGGCCTACTCGATCATCAGCTACCTGCTCAGCATCAAGGACAGGCACAATGGAAACATCCTTCTCTCCAGCGATGGTCGAATCATTCGTTCGTATCTCGCGCTTCTTCGCAACCCTCACATTCCTCGGTCTCCTCCCGCTCACCGTCCGCATCGCTCCACTTCGCGCACGCAGACATCGACTTTGGCTTCATGCTGGGTATCTCGCCCGGAGGAGTAGGATTCGAAGCCTGCCCATTCAAGCTGACCCAGGAGTACATTGATGTCTTGGGCGGAATAGGGTCACCGAAGTACGAGGAGTTCAAGAAGTTGATGCGGCAGGGCTTCAAAGATGTGCGCAAAGAGGCGGAGAGGATCATCATGATCGTTGAGTTGATGGCCAAGGACTCCAAGCTGCCCTGCTTCGCCCTTGGAGACTTGACCGCTTCCAATCTGCGGGACCGCTTCGCCTTGGCTCTGTCGGCGCAGCAGGTCGACGACTTTGTGGACAGGCTGATCTTGGCTAGTTGCGCAAGCTCGTACACAAGATTGTACGACACTTTCCAGTAGTGAGTATGACGAAGGAGGAGTGAGGCTGAATGAGGGACTAAACTGACATCTTCTTCTCGTCCGCTACGCAGCTACTCGCAGGGAATCCTCTGATGACAAATTCGGTTGTTGATATTGCTCTGTACACCGTGATCCTGTATCAATACCCGTGACATCAACGTCCTCCTTTGCCAAAGGCATGTTCCGCTCGAGATAGGAGGATGTACGCGTACACGAAGCTATTCAAGATGTGGTGAGGACAGGTAAACGCTTGCCCATTAAATGGTCATTGTGCGCTCGGCCACCAGGGCTCGAGTCTTCTTCTCTACATCATCAAATTCCTCGTCGCCCCTGCTCAGCAGGACGTCTTGGGCTTGAAGTCAAACTTTGCCTTCCAGTTGGTGTCCAGCACTCCCCACCCAGACAACGTATCAGCGTACATGTGCGAGAACCACGCGATCCCACCTTTCGGTCCATTCTTTGCCATCCACGAGCAAGCCAAGTTGTCGAGCATATCAAAGTAGGCCTTCTCCTGCTGCAGCGACGCAACAGCTTTGGCGCTGTTGGGCTTCCAAATATCGGCATTGGAGGGCCACCCAGTCTGAGAGATGATGATCTTCTTGCCCAAACCGTTCTTGACCATGTAGTTGAGGTCGTTCTGTACTTTGCCTGCCGTCGAGTCCGACCCGGCATCTCCGACTGTCCAGTCGAAGAAGGGAAGTGAGTGGGCCATGAGGGTGTCTTGCGCCTTGAATACCTGCGGGGCATTGTTACGGATCTGGTAGCCGTAAGGCATCTCACTGAGCGTGATCTGCATGCCGTCGTCACCCTTGTTTGTCCAGGGTGCGAGCTGGTTCTTGACATTGTAGATCTGAGCAGCGAGATCGTCGGGTGACATGACCGAGTCAAACATGGGCTCACTGCCGACCACGACGCCGCGCACAACGTAGGGAGCCTTGGAATTGCTCTTGATTGCCTTGATGATGTTGTCGCGGCGGGTCTGCCACTTATTGTCGCCGTCGAAGCCGAACCAGATCAGCGGGTAGATCCCTAGACCGGCCTCCCAGCCTGCATTGATCAGCTGATCGGTGAAGCCATCGTTGTCGCAAGTACCATACATGCGGACGTAGCGTGCATTGTACTCTGAACGCATGCGCTTGAAGGACTTGGTAAGTTGCGCGGACGAAGGGCACCAGCTCACATCGTACGAGAAGCCGAGCCAGGCCTGCTCGTCTTGCGTCGAGCACCACCAGTTGTCCACAGAATCGGGGACGTTGGTTGGCATCTTGAAGTCGAGTGCGGGGAAGCAGCTCGACGACGAGTTGCCCTTGTTGCCACCCTCATCACTGTCACTGTCGTTGCTATCGTCGCTGCCACCTGTAGCTTTTGGCGAATTGCTGTGGACAGAGGAGGGAGAGTCCGTCTCCTTGGAGGGATGGGGATGGTCCGTTGTCACGGTTTGTGTCGTCATCGTCGTGGTCCAGGCTGTCGTCGTTGCCTTTCTAGTACAGACGCGTTTCACCTTGGTCGGCGCAGGGTCGCGGCGGTCTACGACGGCGGGTACAACAGCGTCGTCAATACGTCTGCGCCTTCGCCTCGAGCCACTTTTGATCTTGTGGTCGTGACGAGCAGGATGAGCGGCGAAGAAGGGTGCGCCGCTGATCGCGTCACTCAAGTCTTCGGACGACTTCAAAGCCATACCAATTGCGCGAAGGGGCTTGTGCTTGTGCTGGGAGTCACGAGCAGGACCAGCCTGAACGTGAGAAAGCATTGTCGTTGCCAAGGCGAGGGGCAAGGCTGCGGCGGTCAGAGAAAACTTCATGTTGAAAACGTGGACGTGCTGGATGGCGGTGCCTGCTGGAAGAATGTCGTCAAGACTATTCAGTGAGACCGAAAGGGATGCTGCGAGACCAGCTCGCGGGGATAGGATGGATGAGAGAGTGAAGATCGAGGATGAGAAAGCGAATGAAAAGGAACGAGCGTGGGTACTTGACATCTAGCCAGCCAGCCAGTGACTTCGCTTGACGAACAAGGAGAGAAGCGGGGAGAGAGAAGCAAGGGGTCTGCGGCAGGGCGAGACAGGCGAGACAAAGGGAAGCGAAGATGGGTCCCGCAACTTGTTTCACCTTTTTGTTGATCAGTCTCGTCCGATACGAGTTGAGTCAGACCTGAGATGCTTGTCAGGAACCCCGGCGTCTGATCATCGATCATCGTAGACGACTTGCAACGCCGAGCCTTCTGGCTTGGTGTCGCTGCAATGCAGGTCGCGCACAAGGGGAAAGCCAGGCAGGCCGGAGAATACTGAGTGCACTCTCGCAGCAGCTTGCACCTTCTTGCAGACCGGCTTTCAAGCTCGTCAAGCCATCGTCGTCATCATATCGTTGGAATCTGGACCTGCCTCTTTCATCCCCGCTGCCAAGCGCAACGGAGAGTGAGCGACGGACTACTGATGGTGGTGTCGATGGATGAGCCACGTCAGAAATCTACGCTAAGCCACGCCTTGCCCACTTGCGCTCCTCGTCCCGCTCGCAATCCACCGCCGCCTGGTGCCGCGGCCTTCCGACCCGAGGGCAGGTGCGGCGATCAAAGTCAAAAGCCCGATTGCGATCAGCTCACAAGTCGATGACGATGAGCGCACGAAGAACACGATGGTCTTGCGGCAACGAATGGATTGCGAATAGACGCGCCGCCTCCAACCATCTCTATCTCCCGGTTACACATGTGACGCCTGCTGCCTGCCTGCCTGCCGTGAGCCCGTCCTCATCCCTTCCCATTAGCACATCCACTTCACCGCTCACCCTACAAAGCTCAACGATCCACCTCTCCACGATTATCGACCCTACTCCTCTCCCTACTCTTGATACTCGCCCTGTACAAATCCTCCGTGATTGCCCGCTTAACCATTTGCAAATTGCCCTCTTGAACAGCAGCGCTGAAGGCTTCTACGAACCTCACTTTCGCTGCATGGCCTACAGCATTATTCGGTAGAGCCTCCACGGCGGGACCGATCCATGCTAGGCATTCCCGCGGGAAGCCACTGACCAGCACGCGGAAGAGCGTAACGACGAGCTGGATCTGGTCCGGAGGGAAGGTGGTAACCAGTCCCTCGACCAGGGCAGTCACGAGCGGGAAGCCTTGGTCCGAGATGACGCGGCGAATCGCAGTGGCGTACGCGGCTACCTCGGCGTCGCCGTGTGGTCTGTTGCCGTTCTGCCCTACGCCGAGGGTCAGTGGCGTGCCAGGTTGTGAGGGTGTGGGCGTTGAAGCCAGAGAGTCATGACCGATGATAATGCGGATGAACTCGAGGGCTCGCACGATGATCTCCGGCTGGACGAGGCTAAGCGCCGTCACCGCCGTGCGGAATGCGTGGGGGAAGATCGGGGTGAGGACGAGGATTGAAGGGAGCTCTGAGATGAGCGAGGTTGAGACGTCGACGTAGTCCTCCTGCACACGGGCGGAGAAGTTGCTCAGCATAATGCTCGTCAATACGACGTCCTGGCCGCGAAGTACTCACAATGATATCGGGCACCTCCCTCGGCATAGAGTTCTCGAGAACTTGCAGGACCTTACTGCTGGCCTTCTCGTACGCGCTCTGTACAGCCGCCTTGAAGCGGTCATCGCCTGTTCCCGCAAAACCGTCCACCATCCGCCCTATGATCCACAGGTACCCTGAGAAGCCCGTGGCCTGGAACAAGTCCGAAACTCTCTCGAGCAGCGATGGGAGCACGGGCAGTACCAGCGGGCCAAAGAAGATGGTTGCCCTTCTGAAGAGATTGACGCTCGACTGATGAATCCAATACGCGCTGCCATGTTTCGCCAGAAGCCCATCAATGATCTGGTATGCATCCCCCACCGTCTTGCTGCAGGCTGCCTCGTCGAATGTGCCCACGAATCGGTCGCCGATGATGAGCAAGAAGCGTTCCAGCATATCAATACGAATGTTGGCCTTCTTCAAGTCCTGGCGGCTGGCTTCCCCCAAATTGGCAACTTGCGCAATGAGCTCTAGGCAGGGTGTGGAGAATTGCATCATGGCTGCTGTAGCTTCTTGGGAAGGCATCGTCGAGACTATGTGGCCGATGCCCTCGCCCATGGTGATGAGGTCATCCGGCTCAAGGCGGTCTCCTACCGACCCGAGGAAGGCGTAGAGTTGCGGCAAGTACGGGACGAGATGTCGTCTGCAGTCCTGGCATAGGTAGCTCATCGCTTGCCCCGCTGCTGCCGCCACGTCGCCCTCGCTCTCTAGCCCCGCACTGATGTAGCTGAGCAGCGCTGGTATCCTGTCCGGGTGGACGTCGACCCACTCAGTATATCGTGAGATGACGAGCAGTCCGGCGTAACGCATGCGAGGATGCGCCGGGAGATTCGGGATGATATCAATAATCGTGCCCACTACCTCATCCTGCCCATCTGGCCTCGCCTCGGTGCCCATTGCCCTCATCGAGAAAAGCGGAGCCTCTACGTCCTGCCACCTTGGCTCTTGTCCCGCCGACTGAGCTGTTGAGACAATGTCCTGGATCATTTGCAACGAGCGACCTAGACAGTCCTTGAAGCCCAGCACGTAGCAGCAATCCTTGAGCGTGTCGCCCATGTAGTGCCTGAATGAGCGGAACTCATCGCGCTCCGCTGCCGTCTGAGCGTTCTCATTGTCGGGAAAGCGCAGATGCCCGATGATGATATCCAAGAGGCGAGCATAGACTTGTAGGAATGGCGCAATGCTCGGATCCTCCTTGCGCTTTCCCAGCCCGGCAGCGAGCAAGTACCAGAAACGGAAAGTGATCTGCACGATCTCCAGCTCGTGGTATGTTGCGCACTCGATGAGTACTTCGACGATGGGGAAAAAGTCGTCTTGATGTCGATGCAGAAGCGTGTGGTACGTCTCTCCCGCCTGCGCAAACATGCGGCAGATCCCTCTCACTTTGTCCTCATCGTCGCCCGCCTGCGCCAGCTCCTGTCTCATCGGCAGCAACCTCTGCACGATCTGTCCGATGACTGCTTGGTTCTCCTGGAGCTCCTGCGTCTCATGAATGAGGTCGCAGACGACGTCGACTGCTACGTCGAAGAGGTCGTCTGAGCGCAGAGCGTCGAAGGAAAACTGGAAGAGGGGAGTCTCCGCAATCTGCTGAGCTGTAATCTCGCCCGTCTTGAGCCAGCTACGTAAGCATTGGAAGATGGAGGATTGAATCTGCGGTGTGATGCCTACGGACGACCGAGTGTGAAGCTGGTCAGCATTACTCGAGGATCTTCATGACCGCTCCCACTCACCAGGCGCTTGAATGTACATCGTCAACAGCCTCATAATCTCATCAGCCTGACTTGTCAGCAGCGTCTTGATCCTCGCATTGAAATGCTCGTTCTCCACTGGTATCCTTGAGTTTGTCGTCACCTCCTCTGGTAGAACCGTCAAGAATTCGAGCAAGACCCCCACGCTCGCCGGGTCGCTGCCGAATCTCGCCGTCATGCCCTTTACTACCTCTGGCCACTCTTCCTCCGTCATCTGGATAGCTAAGCCCGCCAAAGTGAGGCATAGCTGTGTCTGCACGACACGAGGGCCGGACGAGTAGGCTGCAAGGGCTGTAAGAAGGGTATCGCGGAGGGACTGCCGTGATTCGGCGGGCACCTGGTCGAGGTCGAATGTTGTCTGCAAGAGCGGCCAGCATTAGTCGTAGAGCTCTAATGATCCTTTCCTCGCCATTACTAGCGCACCCACCTTTGTCCTAAACGTCTGCGCAGCAAACAAGCGCGGCTCAAGAGGAAGATCTTGCGCGAGAAGCAACGAATTGGCTGTCTGCCATGCCTCTGGAGTCTTTTGAAAGTCTTGCAGCCACGCATTTGCCTCGTCCTTTGCCTGCTTATCCGGGTTCTTGTACAAAGACTCGAGCGCCTGCATCACTGCCTGAAGGGCAGCGGCAGACTGCGGTGAAGCCGAATCTGCCATGATGGCAGGCGGCGGAGGCGAGGTGAGAAAGAATGAGGGCAAGGGAAGCAGTTGAGAGGTGATGAGAGACGAGGGAGGGCGCTGTGTTGTACGCAAATGCCGTCAAGGGGCTGGTTGATGTACACTGTGGTATCTATGAGAGGATGCAATGCCGATGCGATGGGGTTCACGAGGGATGCTGGAGGTGATGGTGTGGTGGTGATTTGGTCGACGTCGAGTCGTCTGACGTTGATATGCTCTCTGTCGTTGCCCTCTGTCTGGGTCTCAGTCTGTCGTCTCTCTCCCCGTCTCACTCTCTGCGCGGAGTGGGCCACTCGCTCGCTCACCTCTCAGTCCGACTCTGGCTTGAGACTGAGACTGGCCCGTGGCAGCAAGTCAAGGGCGGAGGCTGATGAACAGGACGCACGCACGCACGAACGCACGCACGCATCTCGTGTTGGTTCCTTGGCTTCCCAAGAGCTCCTCGTGTTGCTGCACATCGCCATCACGACCATGAACTACATTCGTGAGTGAGGAAAGCAGCGACAATCCGCGTATACGCTGCTCTGACCACTCACGCTTCCTCCATCAACCCCTGTCTCCACACCGCTAGAGCTCGAGAAGCTGGGGGAGGGCACATATGCGACCGTCTACAAAGGGCGGTCGCGTGTCTCCAACGACATCGTAGCCCTCAAGGAGATTCACCTCGATGCAGAGGAGGGAACTCCTTCAACGGCAATTCGAGAAATCTCCCTCATGAAGGAGCTTCGTCACACCAACATCGTCCGCCTGCACGATGTCATTCACACAGAGTCGAAGCTCATGCTCGTCTTCGAGTTCATGGAGCAAGATCTCAAGAAGTTCATGGACATTCACGGCGACCGAGGAGCACTCGATGCGGCGACTGTGCGCAGCTTCATGTTTCAGCTGCTCAAGGGTACAGCTTTCTGCCACGAGAATCGCGTCCTCCACCGCGACCTCAAGCCGCAGAATCTTCTCATCAACAAGAAGGGTGAGCTCAAGCTGGCCGACTTCGGTCTCGCACGAGCATTCGGTATCCCCGTCAACACCTTCTCAAACGAAGTCGTCACACTATGGTATCGCGCTCCCGATGTACTTCTGGGGAGCCGCACCTACTCAACCAGTATCGACGTCTGGTCCGCCGGCTGCATCATGGCTGAGATGATCAGCGGTGTCCCTCTGTTTCGAGGAAGAGACAACAATGATCAGCTGAATCAGATTCTGCGCATCTTGGGCACACCCGACGAACAGACGATCAAGCGTCTCGTCAACGACTCGCCCGAAATCCAGATTCGACCCTTCCCTCGCATGCCCAAGGTCCCATTTCAACAGCTCTACCCAAAGGCTCATCCGTTGGCTATTGACCTGTTGGAGAAGTTGCTCAAGTTCGACCCGACGCAGCGCATCTCGGCAGAAGATGCCCTCAGACATCCGTACTTCACTACGTCGGCTGCTGTTCAGGGCTCGGCAGGACAGCAGACAGCGTCATCGCAGGGAGGTAGCAATCAGCATCAACAGCAGCAGAATGGATCGGGGTCAGCGCCCTCATCAACTTCCTCTGCTGCGGCGGCTGCGGCGTGGAACTCACAGCAGCAGCAGGCTCAAGCACAACAGAGAGCAGCTCAAGCTCAAGCGCAGGCTCAGGCACAGGCACAGGCACAGGCTCAGGCGCAAGCTGTCGCTCAGGCTCAACAGCAGGTGAGCAAGGGTGATGGCAATGAGTCGCGTCGTAAAGTCTCAAACTAACCAGCTGATCTCGTTCCCCTCCATCACAGGCCGCCGCAATGGCGCAGCAGCAACATGCGCACCACCAGCAACACTACATGTCATGATCTCTCGACCCGGCTGAGCAACCACCACACTAGCCTCCTCCATCATCTCAGCTTCGGCTACCTGCCCGTCACGACGCCACTTCTACCTTCAGCCTCGCACGCCAGAGGCTGGCTCACCCACCACATACATTGAACGACGAAGACGAAGACGATCGCGTGCATGGTAATGAAAATAGCTTCAATTGTAGCAGCAAAGCGAGCGAGGACGGAGCAAAGGATGATGAAAGCGGAAGCGATGTGAGGCCACGAGAGCCAGGATGGGCGTTGTGAAGAATGGCCCGCGGAGTCGCGAGGGGTATGAATGATGAGGGAGTCGTGATAGATGCCGAGAAGAGTAAGGCCGCACCGCTGATCGTGTACGACGGGTGCTGACTGAGTCAAGCAAGGACGTCATGGCCGCTCAATCAGCGCAGCATCCTCCCCGCTCCTCCTGCGCCGCGCCCACTAGCCGCACCACCAGAACCACCCGCTTTCCCACTTCCAGTCGACGAAGCCCCTGCGCCTGCTCCTGCTCCCCCCTTGCCGCCACTTCCCTCCTCCTTCCCACCAAACACCCTCCAGAACTTCAAGTTCTCATCCGTGCCCACCGTCGCCAGAATCTGTCCGTCAGGACTGAGTGCAGTGTGCAGAATACGGCCATCGTGGGCGTTCTTGATCTCCGCAATTCGACTGCAAGCCGGGTGCGACCATAGATTGATGGCGCCACCTGCGCCCTGATCTGTGAGGTGATTGCCGTGCGTGCTGACTATCTCCCTGTAGTGCGTGCTCCAGTGCAGCCCCGTGATCTGGGAGTCGGTCTGGATGCTATGCGTGCGCGTACCAGAGGTGACGTTCCAGAAGTGGATGGCGCGATCTGCTGTACCTCCTCCGGTGGCCAAGACGCTTGAATTCCAAGGACACCACGCGATAGCCTTGACTGATGCCTGGTGATTCTCCTTACGCATCTTCGCCACATTGGTGCGTCGATCCCAGACCTTGACCACATTATCATTTCCACCACTTGCGAGGAGCGCAGAGTCTGCTCGCCACTCGAGGCCGGAGACGTGCCCTACGTGCGCGCCGGGAAGGTCACGCAGAACAGAGTCGCGCTCACGAACGTCGTGCTCGCGGATCAGGCCAGAGGAATAGCCGCAGGAGAAGGTCCCGTCTGGCGCCCAAGCCGAGATATTGACGGAGGCGTTGTCCGCTCCTCCATCTGCGGAGGGCTTGAGTGTGCGCACCCTTTGTGCAGAAGCGACGTCCCAGAGCTGGACGTATCCTCGATCTGTGCCGATAGAGAGATACGCCCCATCGCAGTCCCACCTGACGCTCGTGACCATCCCTCCACCCCCGACGCGCTCTGGCTCTACTTCCAGGTCGCACAGCGTATCCACCTCCCCGGTGTCACCATTCCATACATGCACTACGCTCTGCAAAGCTACCGCAACCAGGTTTGTTGAGCTCCAGTCGATCAGATGGTAGTAGAAGTCATTGATCATCCCCGGTGCATCCAATACCTTCTCCGCCTCGGTGGGGATCTTCCTCCTCCCTCCGCTGAGCAAGGAAGAGGGCACCGTCTTCGGTCGTGCGGCAGCGTAGCGCGATCTGATGTCCGGATTGGCCGAGTTTGGTGGAGCGGCACTGTAAGAGAGGATGCGTTGGTTCATATCGACGTTGCACGCCGACTCGAGCGAGTCTGTATTGCCGGCCACCTCGTTGGGCGCCATCTGTGCTGCGGCGATGTTTGCGGCGATTTGAGACGACTCATCGCCTGAAGAGGAGCAGCTGTTCCCTGCCGAGGCTGAGGAGAGGGTATCACCCCCGCCCTCGTCGAGAAGAGGAGGACCAGAGGGGCCACCTGTGCGACTGGTCGTGATGAAGCGATCTGCTCGCGGACCAAGCCCACTTGGCTTTGAGGAGCGAGTGGAAGCCGCCTTGCCGCCTTCTGGTCCTTCCCAGTCCCGCGTGATCGAGATATCTGACGTGCCAGCTACGGGCAGGCTCTGTAGTCCTTCCTTCTTGCTCAACTTTAGTCGGCCACTCTTCTCGTTGAGAAACCTCGCATTCCCACCCGCTCCACTCGCATTGGACATGTCACCCAGCGGCGAGTCTTGAGCGATGCTTGCACCCGCTCCGCCAGCGGCAGCGAGGTGTTTGTTGAGAGGTCTGCTACGAGTTGGTGTGACCGGATTCATGGTCGTCCGATTGGGGAGATGATGAGGATGTCGAGAAGGGAAGATTGATGAGGAAGAAAGCAAAGTGTGAAATGAGCGGCCTTGGCTCTGCGTGGACCCTCGTCCAACACAAGCTCTGTTGAGCCGAGACCAACTCGGACGCGCCACGCGACCCGGGGCCGTTGCGAGATGGGCCTGAGGGAATCCGGTGCCATCGCTCAACAAATCGACCAACAGCAACAAGATAAGAGGATCAAGCCTGGCAGGGATGAGTGATGCTCCTATTCAATGAAGAGGGCAACGTATTCGCGCTGGGCTTGCCAACAGGCCTGAGGCTCTGAGCAGGATGGTATAGGCCAAACTCGTGCTGAGCTTGGGCGGCCAGCTTGTGCCGCTTGGTAGCCCACGATTTCAGACAAAGAAGAGCTGCCTTCGGAGCAATGACTCGAGCAATCGATACTAAGGCACCAATGGTGCATCCGCCGTAGGGCCCGACGGCGCCGGAGATCAGGGGATCATCTGCCCTGCGGGCGCCATCACATCCGCATCATCGTCCGCATCACCTCCGCCAGGGCAGGCCAATCACGACGTTCGGATCGTCCGTCAGACCGCCCGCGGGTGCAAAGCACTCTTTGTGTCACCCTGCTCATCGTGCTCGACCTGGCTAGGAAACAGAGGTTTGCAAGCAAAGCCACGCTTGCATCCGCCCATCGGCGGCCTTTGACTCAGAAGAATCTCAATAGGAGGATGTCGTTCATTTGTGAAGCGGGTCGCTGCGTGGGCGTCGCAAGGCCGCTGTGCTCCAGCACAAACGGCGTCGTCGCCGAGCTCGTCTCCTTCTTCAGGCTGATGCTGCGTCGACGAATCTTGACTTACTATTTTCGCTTCCAATTCCTCTCCTACCCAGTCTCATCCTGTACATCCACCGACCTATCGACTCCCTCGACCCCATCCTCGAAAGCCCTTTCACCCCTGTAGCACCCCCATCTGACTACTTCTTCACCACCGCCTCGCTTGAGGCGAAATACTCCGTTCAGAGCTCTCGTGCAGTGCGGTGCGCAGCCAAGGCATGGAAAGCGTATCACAGGGCGTCGCCCCTCACACGACTGCCTGAGCAGCAAGTGCTGGCCCGTCAACCTCGTTTTTGCGCAGTACAGCCAGGCTGCCTCCCAGCATGTCTTCGTCAAAGCTATCGGCCACGGCCCCGGCCTTTGCTTGCCCCAAAGCCTGCGCCGATCATACCCACGCTCAAGAGTACCATCAATCCCTGCAGCCTAGCTTCGAGGATGAGCAAGCCGTCATCGAGCTCCTCGCCTCGCCTTCCCCTCGCACTTCGACTTTGCCCACCGGCCTCGTTTCTCCTCACTCAGCCAAGCAAGCGGCTCAAGCACTCGAGAGGCTCGAGACTGCCAGCCTTCCCTCAATTTGGTCACACCACTCAGCAAGTGCATCAACAGGCAGCTTTGACACCAGCGCAAGCCCAGCGACTCCGTGTTCCAGCCCGATCATCTCGCCAGCCTCGAGTCGCTACCCCTCAGCCAGCTGGGGCATCCCGCCCATTGCTCATACTGCACTCAGCGATCAGCGCCATTCCTACGGCACGAGCAATCCGAGCAGGCTCGGAGGTGGTGCAAAATCACTCAGCACACCTTCTCTCCTTCCTGACGTCAGCTCTCCGCCGCCCTCTCGCCGCGCCTTTGCGCGCACCTCACGCTCTTCGATTGACCAGCTCCCTAGCTTGCCTACACAGGTAAGTCGGTAAAGATGAGGGCTACCTTGCCACGGATCTCTGATTGTGATGCAAAAATTCCCACCATTCGCCCCCCAGCACCATGCAATCCACAGCAGTCCGACACCTGCCCCACCACAGCGCGTTCTCCCGTCGCAAGCTGCGCCTTACGGTGTCGGGGTGCTTCCCAAGCCGCGATCCTTCTTCAGCGCCTTTAGCCGCTCAGCAGCTTGGCAACCTATCCGTCCTGTGCTTCCCGAGCGTATGGGTCCTCCCCAGCCCCCGAACTTCAACTCTCACGAGCGCCTCATCAGCTCGTCCCGCTCCTCCTTCGATGCGGGGCCGCAGCAAACAAGCCTTTCAGGCCTCCTCGAGTCACCCTTCCCCGACTCATCGCCAAGTGAGACCAGCGAAGCGCCTGGAAGTAGAGTCGCGCGCCCTCGTCGCGAGACGCTTTACAAGACGGAGCTCTGCCGAGGCTGGGAGGAGAGGGGACGATGCGAATACGGTGAGAAGTGGTGAGTGCGCGCAGGGGACGTATGCCCGACTGAGCATCACAGCTGACAAGTCGTCCCGACGTCTGCTTGCTCACAGTCAATTTGCTCATGGCCCTTCAGAGCTTCGAAACATCACTCGCCACCCCAAGTGGAAGACAGAGCTTTGCAGGACCTACTGGTCGGAGGGGAGCTGCCCATACGCCAAGCGATGCTGCTTCGTAAGTTACACTCGCACCTCCTCCTTCCCTCCTCTGTGCGCCTTTCACTCACGCTCATCTGCTTTTTGCGCACCCCGCGTAGATCCATGAGCTCCATGAACAACGCACAGGCTCAGCTTCCCCAACTCTCGAGATGAATCGTCCGCCCCTCTTAGCAAGAGTGCGAGGCTCCCAGGATGAGGCTTGTCACTATCACCCGCACAGCGGACCCACAAGCTCTCTCATGGCTGAACGAGATACGAAGAGCTTCGACCTTGACCTCTTGGGCGGCCTCAGTTCTAGCGCCGCCAGCGCGAGCAGCAGCATCAAATTCACTAACCCCTTCAGTGGGGCAGACAGAAGAGCAAATGCCAGTGGAGACATCATCATAGGCCAGCGTCCTGCATCGCCTATGACCATGGTCCCTCCTTTGCCTCGTAAGAAGGCATAAGTGCCAGCACATCATGACGGCTCCGAGGCTACTGCAAGCGCCATGTCACAAGATCAGCAAGATCGGATGGCTTCTCCGGCCCGACTTCACCGCGACAAACCGTAGATCCACCAAGCGCGACATGCTCTCGCTGCTTCTCACTCTGCTACTCTTCCCTTCCTCCAATGTAGGGAGTGTGCATCCTCATCACGCTTTCCTGCCATTGACGAAAAGAAGGCACGAAATGATGCACTGATGCTCTTTTCCCTCTGCACGCCTCTTTATCTCTTTATTCGCTCCTCTCTTTATTCAGTTCCATGATCATGACCAGCCCACGTCACTCTCCTACAGGCGGCAACTCGCCCAAAGGCAGCTTTCGCCACGGTGGATCATCGACGAGGTCCGCAGGCGGTGAAGCTAGCAACTCAACCTTCTCTATCTCTCACCTAGTGTAGCCTCTACCAACATAAAGACGAGCAGACACGATCGCAACAGCCTCCTTGTCCCTCCTCGCTCTCTAATCATTCCCTATCGCGGCCCGTCGCTGTCTTCCTCACTTCTCTTCCCCAACAGCTCCCCTGAAGATGTTCATTTGAGCTCGCTCGTAACCGTCATCGATAATTCAATGTCACTTCGCCTCTTTGTGACCGGTAGTGAAGACGAGTAAGCGAAGAAGTAGGAGAAAGGTGATGGCGATGATTACGATTACTTTCGAGACTCAGAGTACTGAGAGAGAGTGCAGTGAACGCTCGTGGAACGGCCGATTGCTTATATACGGATCTGCCCCATTCGCCTACCACGTAGTTGGCCCAACAACCTCGGCCCACCCCGCCCTACCCTTGGTCAATCGAGCAGCCCCTTCTGACTGATCTCGTAGATGATCCTCCTTCGCATGTACGGCATATCGTCCTGGCTGAAGTTCCACTGATAGCCCGACGAGAAGCTCGGAGCCGTGCCGCCATTCCCATGCCCATTGAAGCCCAAGTCATCTCCTTCATCGTCTTCCCAGCTATCCTCGTCCTCATCTTCTTCCTCTGGGTCCTCATCAAAGGGGTAGTGCGGATCTCTGCGACTCAGCTGCTCCAGCGTCGAGCACACAAAGACTCCACAGTCATACCCATTGCGCTGCTGTGGGCTCTTCTCCCCTCCGTAGTACTCGCCAAATTCCTCGGGCACCACATCAACTGTCCCTTCCTTCTTCTTGTCCTTCAGCTCTCTCCTCAGATAGTCCTTCAGCGCCGCCACTACTCGCCCATTACGCCCGCCCATGGAGTCGTAGTACTCCACGCGCTTACGCCTGAAGTTGATGGCGGCGCAGGTCCAGTGGGAGTTGCCTAGGTTGCAAGGAATGAGGATCAAGTCTTGGGCAAAGACATCGATGCGACGCGTCCAGCGGGAAACGGATTGGTAACCTTCCGTGTCTAGCTTGGCCCAGAAGTAGGAGTTGAAGCAGTGCACTCTGTAAAAAGCGCCCCACTTCTTCCTGTCCGCAGGCGTCTTGGCTGCTGTCCGTTCCGCTGCTGCCTTCTTGGACCGCTCGTTGATCATCGTCATGTAGAAGGTGATAGTTTCGTCGTTCATCCATTGTCGAGGGCGGAGCATGCTCACGTCACGGTTCGTGGCCGTCGCGCCGGGAATAGAGATTTTCCATGATCCGTCGGAGAGAATGCGCTGCACAGCAGCTTCTTGCTCCGCCTCCAACGCCGAAGGTAGAGGAGGGCGACCGAGGATGCCACGACGCCTGCGCTCTCGCTCCTTCTCCTCGCGACGCAGTCGGAGGAGCTCCTTGCTTGGCGGGACGGAGATGCGAGACTTGGCATAGCGTGATTTCTGGAGAAGAAGCTCCAGATTACGGAGACGGGCAGAGTCTCGGGGCTGGCGGGGCTTGAGGCCTCCAACTGCGGCTGGTCGCGGCTGTATGGCCGGCGTCGAAGGGCCAAGCGCTGTGGCCAGATGCTGCCTGTAACGGGCAAGACTGGTTGCATCGTCGACATTGGTGTCATGATTGCGGAACGCGTGCAGATGCGGATGCAGCGGACGCGCTGATGAACTTGAAGAGGGAGAGCCGGCGGTGAGTCCGACATTGCTTCGTCGAGCTTGCTGGAGGTGACGCTTGTGGTCCCTCTCTCCGATATGGGCACGTTTGGGACGAATGCGACTGCCGCCTATCGAGCTGCCGCCGAAGGAGACGTCACCACGTAGCTCGCTTTGCGACCGCGCAGAGGCAACCGAGGGAGTATAGCGACGATCCAAGGAGATGCGGCCCATTTGACGGATGACTTGCGTAGCGTCTCCGGAACCCTCGCCCTGACTAATAGCGGCAGAACCGAGACCTCGCTGGGAGGCCGCAGAGGAGAAGCTGCGAATCCCAGGGGTGTTTTGGGCGGCCAAAGGGCCTCGGAGGAAGCCAGAGGATGGCCGTTGTTGATAGACATCCGGAGCGGGCAACTTGGACTTGCGTACATCGGCAATGAGGATCTCTTCGTCGTCTGAAGAGTCGGAGGAGTCGTCGCCGGTGAAGTCGATGACTTCGATGGGGCGAATTCCTGACGGAGCGGCGGCTGCGATGAGCGCTTCTTGTTCGAGAGAAGGTGTGAAAACCGCGTCGCCCTCATTCTGCGCTTCGCCATCGCCTCTAGTCTCGCCGTTGACTGGCATAATCACGTCCTCTGGCTCTCCTGTCTCGATGCTCGTCACGGCGATGGCAGGCTGAGACAGGAGCTGCCCACTCTGCTCTTCCATCGGCTCTCGCATCTGCCCCTCTTCTCTCGCCTGAGCCTTCTGCGACCCTACTCCCGGCTCTTCGACGGGCGGCGCGGCCATCTCGTCGTGATCATCGGCGCTTGACTTCAGCCCCTCTGCCTCTCCAGCCAGGACCTCCGCCTCAACAGGCAGGACGTCTTCCGTCAAGGCGTCACCGCTAGGCTGAGATACATCCATAGCCAATGCGTCTTCAGCCGAAGATAGTGGTGGAAGGGCAGGATAGAGTCCGACAGGCGTTTGATCAATCGATGCTTGCGCTGGCTCTTCCTCAGCAGAGGCGTTTGACTCCAGCTGACCATTCACTGATGCAGTAACTTCCTCGACCGCAGGATTGGCATCGTCGGTGTCTTGCACCGTCGATGTCTCCCCGTTGATCGGCCGAGGGGCGATAGGATCTTCCTCTATTCTTTCGACCTCGTCAACGTCGTCTGCTGCGCTGATTGGCGCCAGCTGCTCTTCCTCGTTCGTACTCGCAGCCGCCGGCGCTCCGTTGATCGTCTCATCTGCCCGCTCCTCGATGTCCATCGCGTCGTGGGGCGCTTCCTCAGCCTGCGCTTCAGGATCGAAGGCGGATGGCTGAAAGCCGTTGATGTGAAGCTCACCCTCGCTCTCATTGGCCTGCAGGTGCTCATGAATGGCAGGTTGGCCCTCGTCTTCTTTGACCGCGGTTTCGTCGTCTGCCTTTTGCTTGCCTTTGCGTCGCGATGATCGGCGAGTGGGCGTGGGCGATGCGGCGCGGGGAGAAGAAGGAGGTCGTAGCTCGCCAGCCTGAGCCTCTGATGATGCCTCTTTCTGTTGTTGCTTGCTGTCGTTCGGCGAGCCTGCGTCTGGCAAACGTGATGACCCAGCCTGAGGTTGCGAAGGCTCACCGCCAAGTACGTCTTCTATTTCCTCATCGTCTCTCATCTCCTCCGCCGGATCCAGTACGCGTGGCCGCACGATGGTAGCTACGGCGTCTGATTCGAGCCTGTCTACCATATCCGAGTCGTACTCTGGCTGCTCCTCGTCGTGGAGAAGCGCAAAGAGGCGGCGGCTCTCTTCTCTGCCCAGCGAGTCGGGCGCGTCGATTCTTGCGCGCTTCTTTGCCGGTGAGGGTGTTGTGATGAGCGGCTCAGTGACGACGAGTTCGTTTGCTACTCGCTGGGCTTTGCGCTTGCCTCGAGGTGTAAGGGAGGAAAAGAAGCCGGATGCTGACTTGCGGAGCGAGGAGAAGACGCGGGAGGGAGTTGACGATGTAGTAGAGGAGGAAGAAGAAGAGGAGGAAGGGTCAGAGGATGTTGCCGCAGCTGCCGTCGAGGCCTTTCTTTTTGAAGATGATGGCATCGAGGCGGTGTCGAGTCGATGTCTATCTCAGCAGCTCAAGCTAATGGACATTGAGGCCAAAGATGATGGTGAGGTGACAAGGACGGAAATGGACCAGACGGAGAGAAGAGAGCACAATCAAGTCGATCGCGTCGCCCTTGAAGTCGTCCGTCGCTCCACCCGTCCACCTTTCTCTCAGATCTCCATTGTCCCCGCCGCTCACAATTACACCGGCACGCCATCACCTCAGTACCACATATCTCAATACTCGCTCATCATGGCAGCCGCACTGTACAACATGGCTCTTCGTCAGGCCTCGTCCATTGGCTCAGACCTCACCCGCCTTGAGAGCGAACCGCCGTCATCCTCGTCCTGCGTCGCCCTCCAAGGCCAAATCGCAGCCTCCCTTTCAGCCTTCGCTCGAACAGTCGACGATTACGAGAGCATGTCGAGGCGAGAGATGAACGAGACGAAGCGCGATAAGGCAATGGCTCGAGTCAAGAAGTTCAGAGAAGATGACAAGGAGATGCGCAGCAATTTGGCCCGCATCAAGAATCGTGATCCAGCATCCTTCGTTCAAAGCAATGGCAACGGCGCATCTTCTTCCTCGTCATCGTCAACAGCCTTTGCTTCAACTTCTGCTGCATCAAGAATGCCCGCCGCCAATCTTGAGTCCCCCTTTTCCCTTCACGCCCGCAACAACACCACAGCGATGCACAACTCCTCCCAAGGTGGTCTATCATCAGACCCGCTGGCAGCATACAAGATGAACGCATCCACGCAAGCTATGTTCGGAGACTCATTGTCGGCTCGCGAGAACCATGCTCTTCGCGAGCACTCCTTTATTCAGAACACCGAACAGCAGCTGGACGCATTCATTGCGCAGGGCAAAGAGGTGTGGACCAATCTGACAGAGCAGCGCGATATCCTCAAGGGGACGAGGCGTAAGCTCCTCGACGCTGCGAATACGATGGGGCTGAGTAGGAATGTGATCAACATGATTGAGAGGAGGTCCACACAGGATAACGCAATCTTCGCTGTTGGGGCTCTCTTCACTCTGGTGTGCTTTTGTGAGTAGGCGTGGGGTGAGGTGGCATTGCAAGCAGAGACGAAGGTGCCCTAACGCTTCATCCTTCTCCCCTGCCCCTCGCCAGACTACATATACAAATGGTTCGGATGATTATCCCCTTCCCTACTGTACATACAGAGCTGCTGATTTCAGTTCCTGCTGCCCATGTCACTTTGATACCATCATGCCCTCTCGCGCGCTTGTGGCACTGCCTAATTGAGTCGAGTCCCGTGGATGAAGAGCAGGCCTCCCTCACTCAAGGCGTGCTGCGATCCTTCTCTCAATCCTTTTGGCTCCTCGCCGAGAAGCTGATGCTCTCGTCGAGGGCAATGAGGGACTGGCGAGACAGAGCAAGAGACTGCAAAAGAGCTGCCTCTCGTAGACCTCACCGTCAGCCTCTGGATCGATTGGTGAAAAGGAAGAAGAAGCGGCCCTCAGGCGGGCGGGCTTGGCTTCGAGGCCGGCGGCGGGACGAGCCACGCGCGCGGGCTGGCCAAAGTGTTGGTTGAGGCGGAGCAGCGGCGAGGCGTCGAGATGACGGCGATGAGGTGCGACCTCGACCAACACTCCTGATTCACGACCATTCCGTCCCATCTCGTCTCGATACCCATTGATAGCTCGTACTCTATCGATCGCAGCAGCCGACGCCCGTCATGCCGGTACCCGTGTCGATGGCAAAGGCGCCAGGGGACTGGTCTCCCTCTGCTTACCGCACCGTCGCCGCTGAGATGACATCGTCGTTAGATCTGGGGCCCAGCGCATCAGAGGCAATCGACAGCCTCGTCTACATCCACTATTCGGCCTACTCGGCAGCCGAGAGGCTACATCGACGGCAAGGAAAGAAGATTCACCTGGGTCCTCGTTACTTCTTGGACATGATCAACCACTACGTCGCCCTGAGCAATGAGAAGCGCGGCAACCTCGAGGAGGAGCAGAGACATCTCAATGTCGGTCTCGATAAGCTACAGGAGACGGTTACAGCAGTGTCAGATCTACAGAAGAGCCTCGCGGTCAAGCGTACGCAGCTGACAGCAAAGGACAAGGAGGCAAACGAGAAGCTGCAGAACATGGTTGCCGGGCAGAAGCAGACCGAGGAGCAGAAGCAGGCGTCCATTCAGCTTCAGGCCAACCTCGAGAGACAGGAGACGGAGATCTCAGAGCGAAGAGAGGTGGTCATGGCAGATCTCGCAGATGCAGAGCCAGCTGTGCAAGAAGCTCAGGCATCAGTTAGCAACATCAAGAAGCAGCACCTCACCGAGGTTAGGTCCATGGGCAACCCGCCAGCCCCAGTAAAGAACGCAATGGAGTCCGTCTGCATTGCTTTGGGTCACAAGGTCGACAGCTGGAAGACGGTACAGGGCATCATTCGTCGAGATGACTTCATTGCTTCGATCGTCAATTTCGACACAGACCGTCAGATGACGCGGGCTATTCGCGAGAAGATGAAGAAGGACTATCTGTCCAAGCCGGGCTACGACTTCCAGACCATCGACCGCGCATCCAAGGCGTGCGGACCCCTCGCCAAGTGGGTCATTGCTCAAGTCCATTTCTCAGAGATCCTCGATCGTGTCGGTCCCCTGCGAGACGAAGTCGACTCCCTCGAGCAACAGGCTGAGCAGACTAAGCAGCAGGCTGTCCACCTCACGCAGATGGTCAAGGAGCTCGAGGCCGACATCGAGCGCTACAAGAACGAATATGCAGCGCTGATCAGCGAGACGCAGGCCATCAAGATGGAGATGGAGAGGGTGCAGAAACGTGTAGACAGATCTATCCAGTTGCTGGATAGCTTGGGCAGCGAGAAGCAGCGCTGGGACGCCTCAAGCCGCTCTTTCGAGAGCCAGATGAGCACCATCCCCGGCGACGCCCTGTTATGCGCGGCTTTCCTGACCTATGCCGGCTTCTTCGATCAAGGTTACCGCGAGATGATGTGGTCAGGCTGGAAGGAGCACATCGGCAAGGTAGGCCTCAAGTTCAAGTCAGAAATTTCACCCGTCGACTACCTTTCTGTAGCGGAGGACAGGCTTCGTTGGCAGCAGATGGGCCTTCCTAACGACTCTTTGGCAATGGAGAACGTCATCATTCTGCAGCGCTGTCGGCGAACCGCGCTGGTGATCGACCCATCGGGCCAGGCAAAGAGCTTCCTCCTGCAGCTCTACAAGGACCGCAAGATCAATCAAACCTCCTTTCTCGACTCGGCTGCCTTTGTCAAATCACTCGAGTCTGCGCTGCGTTTCGGCTCTCCAATGCTCGTGACGGATGCAGAGCACTTTGATCCCATCCTGAATCCTGTCCTCAATGGCGAGTTCCGCAAGACGGGAGGGCGAGTTCTCATCAGACTGGGAGCGGCAGAGATAGATTACAACGCCAACTTCCACCTCACGATGACGACGCGTTCCTCTGACCATGAATGGACGCCGGACGTCTGTTCCAAGGTCACCTTCTGCAACTTCACCACCACTAGGGCGTCGCTGCAGAACCAGTGCCTGGACGCAATCCTGAAAGCTGAAAGACCAGACACGGACAAGAAGCGCACCGACCTCATGAAGCTGCAGGGAGAGTTCAGGCTGCGACTTCGTCACTTGGAGAAGTCCCTGCTTAACGCGCTCAACGAGTCGCAGGGCAACATTCTCGATGACGACAAAGTCATTGATACATTGGAGACGCTCAAGAAGGAGGCTGCAGAAGTGACAGCCAAGGTCGAAGAGACAGAAAGCATCATGTCGGAAGTTGAGCAAGTCACCTCGGCCTACATCCCACTCGCCAAGGCCTGCTCCTCCCTCTTCTTCATCCTCGACCAACTCAGCCTCATCTCTCACTTCTACCAGTTCTCGCTGCGCTTTTTTCTTGACGTATTCGACTTCGTCTTACTCAAGAATCCCAGACTGGCAGGAGTTTCAGAGGGGGCTAGAAGGATGGAAATCCTGAGGCAGGACCTATTCGTGCATATTTTTAAGCGCACGAGTCGAGCACTCGCGCATAGAGACCATGTGTTGTTGGGCATGCTGCTTGCGCAGGTTTGGGCCAGGGAGAGTGAGGAAGGTGAGGCATTCGAGGGGGAGGAGTTTGGGATGCTGCTTGAGGGAGGGGATGGAGTTGGGCAGACGCCTGTTGATTTGGGCGCGGCCAACGCCTTTATTGACGCTGACTTGAGGAGTAGGCTGGCAGCCTTCACTCGCCTCGGAGCCCTCGCTGTCCTTCCTCGCCACATCAAGGAACACGCCGACGAGTGGAAGGCCTTTCAACACTTTACAGAGCCGGAGGCGTGCGTGCCTGCCTTTTTCGACGCCAGCGAGGTCTCCACTTTGCGGGCGCGCGTCCTCAATCTCCTGGTCATCAAGTGTCTCCGCCCAGACCGCGTCGATGCCGGCATGGTTCAGCTGGTCACGTCTGCCTTCGGCGGGCTGGAACTTCTCTCCCTCTCCCCCTATGACCTCCAATCTGTGGTAACGTCCGAGGTCAATCCGACCTCACCAATTACCCTTTGCTCCGTGGCCGGCTTTGACGCTAGCTTCCGCGTCGAAGCTCTCGTCAAAGCCACAGGGGCGCAGAGTACCTCCATCGCCATGGGATCACAAGAGGGATTTACCCTCGCCGATCAAGCCATCACTTCCGCTGCTCGATCAGGGCGTTGGGTGCTCTTGAAGAACGTGCATCTTGCTCCCTCTTGGCTGTCTCAGCTCGAGAAGAAACTTCTCGGCCTCAACCCTCACAAAGATTTCAGGCTCTTCCTCACCTGCGAGACCAATCCAGTCATACCCGCAGACTTCCTCCGCTCAAGCCGCATCTTGATGAACGAGCCGCCGCCGGGACTCAAGGCCGCCATACTGGACATGCTTCGTGCTCTTCCGCCCACACGCCTCCAACGGAGCCCCGGCGAGGCAGTGCGCTTGTTCTTCCTCCTCGCTTTCTTTCACGCCACCGTCACCGAACGATTACGCTACACGCCTCTTGGGTGGAGCAAAGCCTTCGAGTTCAACGACTCCGACGCCGAGGCTGCCTTGAATACCATCGAGGCATGGCTGGCGCGTGTAGCAAAGGGCAGAAGCAACGTCGACCCAGCCTCTATTCCCTGGGAAGCCCTGCGCTCCCTGATCCGCGAAGCAATCTATGGTGGCAAGATCGACAACGATGCAGATCAACTGCTGCTCGACTCCTTCGTCGAAGCCATCTTCACCCCGCAAGCATACGAGGCAGCCTTCCAGCTCGTGGCTGACGATGAGAAGCCTCTCGCTGCACCGGATGGGATCAAAATGGAGCATTTCCTTGAGTGGGCGACGGGCTTGCCTGAGCAGCAGCCTCCGCAATGGCTGGGGTTGCCAGGCACCGCGGAAAGGGTCATTGCTACAGCGCAGGGGAGGGAGTTGCTCGGGAAGCTGGTGAGGATGAGGTCTCTGGCTGATGAGGATGACGCGGCTGGAGGCGCTGTGACCGAGCTGCTCAATGGCCAAACGAACGGTGCGCAGGAGCAGGAGAAGCAGGCCAATGGCAACGGCGAGTCAAGCACCGACTCTCAACAGCAACCAGCATGGATGCGTACCCTCCTTCTCTCCGCCCAGGAATGGCGTTCCCTCCTCCCCTCAGGCCTCACGCCCCTCTCTGTCCCCAGCTCTTCCACATCGTCTAGCCTCACCGACCCTCTCTATCGCTTCTGGTCGCGTGAACATCGCGCCGCCTCCTCCCTCCTCCGTACCGTACTAAGCGACATCGACGAGGTAATCTCCGTCTGTCGTGGCCAAGCACGTCAAACGAACCACAACCGTGCCCTGCTCCGTGACTTGCCCAAGGGCAAAGCACCTCAGGCATGGAGACAGGACTATGTCTCCCCGAAGGAGGGAGGGGGCATGAGCTTGAGCCTTAGCGCCTGGGTTGGAGATCTGGCGAGGAGGCTGGGCCAGGTAGAGGAGGTCGCTAAGCAGAGTGGTGCAGCGGGTGGGGCTGGAGGGTTCGAGGGGATGGCCGTCACGCTCGGCCTGGTCTTCTCGCCGGGAGCGTATCTGACTGCGACGAGGCAGGCTGTAGCCCACCGTAATGGGGTCAGTCTGGACAGGCTCGACCTCGAGCTCAAGCTGAGCGGGCCAGAAGGGCAGCGGTCCGGCCAAATGGCCGGCACCGAGGGTGGCTTTGTGCTGCACGGCCTCAAGTTGGATGGAGCGACATGGGATGACAGTGGACAGCTGGCACTCAATGACGGCTCGACAGTTGCACTGGGGCCATCGACGCTACTATGGGTGCCCCGTGACAGCGCCGCTGCCAACGGCAGGGCATCAGCGTCGACGGTGCCTGTGACGATGTATCTCAACGGGGATCGCTCCGTCTCCCTCTTCACGACGAGACTGCCGGCCCAACCCGGATTGACGACGGGCAAGGCGGCTCAGAGGGCTGTCGCGCTTCGAGCTGCATAGCGGGAGTTGCTGATGATCGACATGTATTCGTAAAGGAGGATGCTAGACGTGATATGCTGCGGCTGCCCGTTTCCCAATGATATCAAAAGCCAAACTGCAAACCACAACCAGCCCGAAGCCTGCGCCCGACTCAATCCTGCCCATGTTGTGACTGCTGTGAACCGCATTCGAAGCCAGCTGCATTTAAGCACCATCGCCTCCTGTTCGCCCCCGGCTACCGGTCTCAGTGCTTGCCCTTCCTCTTTGCCATCGTGTCTTTGTGCTTCTTGAGATTCTTGCTCTTCTCCCTCAAACTCGCCTTCCCCTTCTTCCTAACATTCCAACTCTTCTTGACCATCGCGAAATTCTTGCCCTTTGCCTTTTGCTCATTCGTAGAACTAGACTTGGATTGATCTCTCTTGCCCTTCTTTGAGCCAAACTTCTCACGATCCTCCCTTCCCTTTGCGATGCTCGCGAGGCGCGCCTCCTTATCGTCTTTGGCCTTCTTTCGCGGGCCGAGGATGGCATATTCGTCAATGAAGGCGAGGTCGTCTTCGTGGGCTCCCTGATCTTGCGTGGCGCGTTTTCGCGACTGAAGCTCGGCCAGCTCACGCTTGGCAGTTGCGCCGGCGCGTCCGCCAGTCGCAACAGCCGCTTCGGCTGCCTTGAGGCGGAGCTCATTGAGCTTGGCGAAGTCTGCCGGTGTGAGGATGCGAGTCGTTGCCAGACGGGACATGCTTGCCGCTTCGCTGGCTACAGCAGCTTCAGCGGCCGCAGCTGCGGATGAGGGGGCGGTGGCCGTCGAACGGGCATCGCCGTCCTCTCCGTCCTCGGAGTCGCTGCCCTTATCGTCACCATTCTCGCTGCTGCTCTCCTCCAGCTCCACACCGTTCGCCTTGGCCTCAGCCTGTGCCCTCGCTTTGCGGCGCTGCTGCCTTCGTTTTTCGCGACGAGCAGCCGCCTTCTCCTTCGGCGTCTTCTCTTCCTTGCCCTCTTCCTTTTCCTCGTCGCTGTCACTGTAGTCGATGTCGAGGTCATCTTCGCCTTCAGAGTCGACATTGATCCACCCACCCGAACTATCGCTGTCGTCGCTATCGTCCGAGTCGCTCTCCAGCTCCCAATCTTTCCACCCTTCCTCCTCATCGTCAATCTCCTCCGCATCACTGCCCATCTCCTCGTCTCTCTTGGCGTAGTGCTCCTCAAGCAGGTCGAGTCCCTGAATGCCCTGCGTACCAGTTTGCGCAACGCCAAATCCACGAGGACCTGAGTGCTCGCCGGCCTGTAATGCCATACTTCCGCTCTTTCCTCGCTCCTTGCGCGGCAGCAGCGCAGGATTGACCTCACGATAAAGCTGAAGCAGACCGCGCGAAGCAGCTGCGACTCCCTTATCCTTCGACTTCCGATATCCGATCAGATCCTCGAGCAGGCTCTCCTCCATACACCAAGGCTGTCGCTTCGCAATCTCCCTCACCGAGTTGATGCCTGCGGCTACCACCTCCGGCCCCACGCCAGGGTGGACAAAGGAGTCCGAGATCTTCCGCAGCACGGGGGTGAGGACGTCTGGTGGCGTTTGCTCGTGCACCGACTGGGCGAGCGAAACGAGGATCAAGGTAATGTGATGCTGATGCGGGGCCAGGTACTTGACGATGAAGCTGTAAAAGGAGAGGACGCAAAGCTTGTGTGCACCCATGACACGGCTGAGGAGCTGCATGAGGCGGACCTTGACTTCGATGGGGTGACGCTTGTCGCCCTTGCTGAGGTTCTCGAAGAGCTTCTCGCCAAACGTCTGCGGATCGTTGAGCAGGTATAACGCTGCAAAGTTGGCAGCTCCCTCATCGCCCTTGGCCGCCTTGTCCTTGTTTCGCTTCTTGGCCAAAGCGGCGGCTGCGCGAACTTTACGGTCATTGGAGCGCGTCTTCTTCTTGACCTTGCGCTGATGTACGAGCTTGGAGACGTCTGGAATGACGGGCTCATCATCTGAATCTGACTCGCTCTCCTCTGCTCCGTCTTCTGCGTGATGGAGGTCGTTGAGGAAGAAGCGAACGGCTGACGTCTGCACTTTCGGGTGAGGGTGAAAACAAGCGAGCGCGAGGAGAGAGACTGTCTTGGCGTCGTTCCAGATATTCTTGCGCCAGAGGTCTGCGGCGAGACGGACGGCCCAGAGGGCTTGAGATTTGCCCTTTGGTTCGGCGGTGGGGCGTCCTCGTGAGTCGAGGGTCGAGTCCTTCATGCCTTGCTCGACAACGCCGAAGAGGAGGCCCTGGACGACGCGATTGAGGCGGTGGTTCTTCGTCTTGAGATTGGCACTCTTGACATCGCTGAGGATAGTTGACTGGATGAGAGAGCGCAAGCTTGACGAGGTGGAGATTGACAGGAGGGGGAACAGTGTGCGCAACATCTCCTCGCTGTCGATTACGTCGCGGTTGCGCAGGAGGACCAAGCTACGGACGGCTGAGTGGCGCAGGTCGGGGCTGAGGCTGGCATGATGCTTGAGGAGAAGGTCGGCCAGGTCCTTTGAGAAGCCAGCGGTGATGGTTGGGTAGGAGGGGACGAGCTGAGTGACAAAGGCGAGGAGCTCGCGGAACCTGTCCTCGTGCTCCTTTGCGAGGCGACTGCCCGTAGCTGCTGCTGTACTACTACCAGAGGGACCAAATGCATCTGCTGCTCCTATGTTGGCGGCGTAGATGGCTCTTATGCTCTGATAATGATTCCATTGCTGCTTGAATTCCTCGGTATATGCGTCTGGGTCACGCTTGAGGAGATTCTGCAAAGCAGGCAGATTCGACGTGTTGAGGAGACCTCGAGCCTGAGAGCGATGGCGAAGACCGCCTTCCTCGACGATGGCGGATGGACGAGGCGGATCACCTGCTTTTCCCTTTGCCATGTTGGAGGAGGCGTAGAGATGAGCGAGATGTGGTGATGATGAGGTGCGAAGCTGACACCTCTCCGTGGTCAAGGCGGACTCGAGGAAATTCTCTCCAGAGGCCAGGCACAATTTTTTGGGCGGACTGGCAGCTCATCGACTGACTGCCTCGCAACTTTCAACTTTGCTTCGTAGACACTCTCCATTAAGCCAAGTAGCAAACATGGACGGCGACGATGGGCTGATGCTCAACTTCGCGGCATCAAGCTCAACCAAGCCGCAGCAGCAGCATAAGGGCAAGCGATCAGCCCCTTCTCAACAGCCAGCAGCCTCGTCCTCTTCATCTAAGCGCTCAAAGGTAGAAAGCGGCAGCTCAGCTCCCATCAAAAAGGCTCCTCGACCTTCAAACGATGGTCGTCAGACGCATGGGCCCTCTTCATCGGCATCATCATCACGCGCCAAGCCCACAACATTCATCTCCTCCCTCTTCTCCAAAGTGCCTCAGGCTGACACCCTCCAAACGGACGAAGATGCCGAAGAGGAGCGCAGAGCACGTAACAAGGCCAAGCCCACAAACGCTCCAGGGAGCGATGCGTCTACATTCTCCGGTCTCGGGCTCGACCCTTTGCTCGTAGCTCATTTGGAGAGCAAGCGCATGTCCATTGGCTCACGGCCTACTGGCATTCAACGCGCCGCTTTGCCCACCTTGCTGCAGGACGACGATTCGAGGGATGCCCTCGTTCATGCCCAGACCGGGTCAGGCAAGACGTTGACGTACCTTCTGCCTATTATCCAGTCGCTTCTACCGCTTTGCACAGAGACATGGATCGACCGCAGCGTTGGCACCCTGGCCATCATTCTGGCACCTACGCGCGAGCTGGCAAGACAGATCTACGAGGTGGCCGAGAAGCTTTGTCAGTTGCATCTGTCCCTTCGAGAGCAGGCAGAGGAAGACGGTGACGAGGCTTCCGCAGCAAGGCGAACACGGTGGCTCGTTCCCGGTCTCCTCTCCGGCGGCTCGACCAAGAACCATGAGAAGTCCCGGCTGCGAAAGGGCATCCCACTCCTCGTTGCCACCCCCGGTCGTCTTCTAGACCACCTGCAGAATACCAGCAGCTTCGACGTAGGCAAGTGTCGCTGGCTCGTCCTCGACGAAGCTGACAGGCTGCTCGAGATGGGCTTCAAAGAGACATTGGAGGGCATTTTGAAGGCGATGGATGGTAGGAGAAGATTGGCCTGCAACACGGCAATGGAGGCTATGCAGGAGACGATGGGCTCAGATGCGCGCATCGCGTACGAGGATGTCGAGGATGGCACAGGCGTCAAGTGGTGGGCAAAGCCGAGAAAAGTCGTGTTGTGCAGTGCCACGCTGGATGAGAATGTGCAGACTCTCGCGGGTACGCACCTTCGTCGGCCACAAGTGTTGCGAGGTAGTGGAGAGATGCCAGACACGGCGCCAGCGACTGAGCAGGCGGACCCCGCTACTTCAGCCAATGGCATCGACCCAGGATCTTCTCTCTACCCTCGCCTCGCCGCCCCTGCGCAGCTGAGGCAAAACGCCGTGGTCGTCCCACCGAAGCTGCGCCTCGTCACCCTCATTGCACTGCTGCGCTCAGCTCTCTCACGAAACAGCTCCGTCGTCAACGCTGACGCCCGAAGAGTCATCGTCTTCGTCAGCTGTACGGATAGCGTAGAGTTCCTCTGGCACGCTTTGGGTGGGGTGAAGATGGGCGAAGATGATGAGGCTGGTGGAGATGACGGTGATGAAAATTCGGACAACGAAGAAGAGAAGGCGTCCAAAGGCAAGCCGAAGATAGCAAAGGAATGCGAGCTCTTCCCCTCGACTCCCATCTACAGGCTACATGGTTCTCTCCCCCAATCAGATCGCATTGCCTCTCTCAAGGGCTTCTCGGCAGGCATGGGCAAGAAGACCAAGACGCCATCCTCATCCTCGAATGATGGAGCCATCCTGCTCTGCACGTCAGTCGCAGCGCGTGGTCTCGATCTCCCCTCCGTCGGGTGCGTGATCCAGCTCGACCCGCCAACGGAGGGTGGCGTGGACGAATACCTCCATCGAATCGGAAGGACGGCCAGAGTTGGAAAGGAGGGAGAGAGTTGGATCATGTTTCTGCCGCACGAGCGGGAGGCGAGGGAGAGGTTGGAAGGGGCAATGCAGCAAGATGACAAGGCTGCTGCGAAATCATCCTCAGTCATCTCCGAGGTGGGCGCGGACTATATCCTGAAGCGCGGCTTCGGCGGGCGAGGCGACGAGTACGAGTCGCGTGCCACGGAGGTCCAACTAGCATTCGAGCGCTGGGTGCTTCGCACCTCCACCTCGTCCCCGACCTCTGCTGCCACACTAGCCCGTAAAGCTTTCCTCTCGCATATCCGAGCGTACGCCACGCATCCGTCGAACGAGAAGGACCTCTTCCATGTGCGATTCCTCCATCTGGGCCACCTGGCAAAGAGCTTCGCCTTGAGGGAGGCGCCGGAAGTCATCAAGAGCAATGCAAGGAAAGAAGCAGCGAAGGGGGCAGCTGCTGCCGTTGCGGCGAATAGGGATAGGCGAGTGAAGCCTGACAAGAAGGAGAGGTTGGAGGCGCGAGCAGGCAAAGCCAATGGCACTGCTGCCACAGATGGCAAGGCGGACGGCGTCGACGATGATGACGAGGATGCCGACCTGCCACGCACGGCCATCAAGGCGGACATCCCCTCGCGCTCCTCTCGTGGCGCAAAGGACAACATCCTGGAGGACGTCAGCCGCGGCAGCAAGAATGCCGACGCCGAGGCGCGAATGTACGCGAAGGTCCGCGCCTTGGGCAAGCAGTCGAAGAAGGGAGGTATGCTCGGGTCGTATGGCGCTGATGAGTTCCAGATTGCCTAGCCAGAGGCGAGTGACTGTTGCCTTTGCGCCAAAGTTGCAGCAATGAGATCTTTGAGCATGGCGACACATGCTGCATTGTTGTGTGGCTGATTGTCAGGGGGCACGTGGACGAAGAGGACTGGCGTGGCGGCCTGCTGATCAGAGGTACGCTTATGGGCCTCTACGAGACTGCAATAGTAGGTGAAGTCGCAGAGAAAGTGGCCTGCATTTGATGAAGCTGCCACGGGTCCGTGACCTCGAGCTTGAAGATGAGAGACGAGAGCGTTGACGTCGAGGGTCGTAAAGGCCTCATCCGGGCATTCTTCGTATCCCGGACCGAAGCCACGCTCCGCATGCTGGTCCACGCCGGACAACAGGCTTTGTATCCTGGCCCAGAGAGCACTGCGCCACTTTGACGGCAGGACAAGGCCGACGGTCCGCCCAAGCAGATACAGTGGGGCGAAGACCCGGCAGCACAAGCACCACCCAAAGAAGCGGCGGAGGCGGCTTGGAGCGCTCATCGAAGGCGGGAGCTTCGAAAATGCATCTCTCGACCTGTAGCCGCGCTTGTGCCCAAGAGTCTCTAGCTTGAAGGCTCCACTAGCTCCGACGCCTACATGAATGACCGCAGCCCATCCTCGCGCAGGCAAAGCCAGCCCATCATACCCTTCTGGCAGGGATCGCCCATCTCCCTGAGATCCATCCCGTGGTCCTCGCTCATCGAAACCAGGCTGGGCGTATGGCGAGCTAGGCAGGTTGCCATGCAGACGCGGGACAGTATCTAGCGTGGCACTGTAAACCACGGGTAGATTGATGCATTGTACTGTGGCCGGGATGGAGCCGAACGAGGACAGAGTGGTGCCCTGCAGCTGCTTGACTGCCTCCCATGACGGATTGGAGGATTCGTGCCCCTTGAAGAGCCCGAAGCCAGTCAGCAGGACCTGGTGGGAACGATCCTCAAAGTCCAGAATGGTGTCTTGGCGTGGTCTTACCTTCTCATCACTCGTGTCTACGGACGCTCGAGTTGGCGCCATGATGCCAGTCGTCGTAGCGTTGTAAAGATGGCCTGGTGGTGATAAGCATCGTCTCTCGTGAGGCATCGAGTGCCGGCCCGCCGGCTCGGACATGCGCCCCGACTTGTCAATTGTCCCGTCTCAGCGAGCGGAGCGGGAGGCCAAGCGCGCGCTCGAACAAAAAGTCGGTCGAGACGCGGCCACACCGTCTTCCTTTCTCTTCTCATCATATCCCAGAGATGCGCAAAGGACCGCTGCTGCAGCCACCCGGGTGTCACTTCCTCTGAGAGGTTGACGCGGGATCAACCATTGCTCTTCGTGAGCTCTGGTGTCCGGGAAAAGCTGTAGGGAAAGTCCCCGGACGCGTGAGGTCCATGCGAAATGCCTGGCTCTATCATCCACACGGCCTAGCTTGCAGGCAGCCATCATCATCAATAAGTCTCTCCTCGCCGGTCCGAACCCACCCGATGCCTCGTTCCAGGGACTGCACCGAAGGAAGCAAAGCCGGCAAGAGATGCTCATGTCCCCGTCAGTCAGCTCGCATACCTAGTCTCGCGCCCGTCAGCGGCCGGGGCTCTGTTCAGCTCCGTGTGCTGCGTTATCGCACGCTCTGCGTCGGAAAGCGTCTCCCTCTCCAATGACCCAAGGTCAGAGAGAACAGAGCGTAGAGCTGGGCAGTCAGGACGACTTGACTCGACAGGGCTTGAGCGGGAGGCTTTGCGTCCGCAGTCACTCAACCTGGGCGAGGCAGCTTGAGGGTGTCTTGGTTTGGGAGGCGAGTAGCAGAGCACGGAATTGTGCATGGAGCTCTGGTCTTGATGACGGCTCGTCGTTCGATGCCGAGTTCTTCAACGCCTGCCACTCTCCGGAGTCGGCATTCCGTTTTCACCACAGCCAGGCTAGGCGTACAGGGCGACATCGGCGTGCTGCCTCGAGAAGCTCGGTAGACCTTACGCGAAGAAGTCCCTCTCCTCGATTCGTCGTGGAGGGAGTGGGACGAGCGATGGTCTTGCCCCTCTCTGGACCTTTGATGGTCAATGGCGCAATTCTGATCCGTCCACCTCGCCGCTCGCTACGTTGGCTTCACTGTTCGTCACTCCTCCAAGGGCGCGCTCAGGCGTTGCTCTTCGATCCATAGTCATGCGGTCGCCGAGTCGTCTTCGTGCGACGCGGTAACTCAACGGGGCTTACTCTTGTCGTCGTCTCTGGGACCCACACACCAGTCTTAGCAGTTGCGCTGCAAGGGAGAGGAGCTTGAGCATGATCTGCGCTTCGAGGGCGTCTTGATTGCCCCCCTCGTCAAGTGCGGCTCGAGCTCGAGCCTCCTACTTCTCCTTCTGGCGGCCTCTGCTTTGATCTTTTTCTGAACCACTTTTTCATCTCAGTCGATCAATGACGTTGCGCCTGGCACGTCCCGCTGCTCCTTGCCCCACATTCGGATGATCCTCGTACCTCCTCCGTCTGCAATGCGAATGCTCTGAACAAGCTATAAGCTCTGATACCAAACTTGGTAGTGACGTCGTGACGATGGAGAGAGAAGCGCCTCTTCAATCTTCGTCCTCCCCACTCCTCTGCGGTCGTGCTCCTCAACACTTTATCTGGGGTTCGCAGCCTTCGCTTCTCGGCAATCGGCAAAATGTGGTGCAACGACACTGCGACTCTTTGGCCGCGGCCGTGTGTGCGTCTCCGTGTGTGTGTGTCTTCTTTGGACGATGCAAGGGCCGAGAGCGACCCGGCGCCCGTTGACCTGGCTCGACAGTGGCCTGAGCTTAGCCTTTGGCTTGCCCGCACGCCTCTTGCCTTGGCGCCAAATGAAGTGCGAGGTCGACGAACCTCCGCTTTTGCCGCCTTAGGGTCAGACGCCAGACGCCGACGACACGACGAGACGAAAGCTCGACTCGACTAGGCTGCACTCGGAGATGGGTAGGCAGCCTAATCTCAATCTTACCGCTCCCTCCTCATTACCACGTTAGAAAGCAGACGATAGCGACGCCTCCCCATCTTGATCATTACGACCAACCGCTAGATGGAGGCAAAGGGACGCAGCGAGCCTTGATTACCCCAGCGCTCGTTCTTTCCTCCCTTCCTCCCCTTATCCCCCAGTCAACGATCACCACAACCACCAAGAGGCCGCCCGCTGCTTCTCTCCCACCTCCATTTTCTTTCCTCATCGTTGGCGCTTCTCCGCAGCAGCAACCAAAAGAGGCAAGAGGCGGGAGCAAAGCAAGCGGCCCCACACCATCATCGGGGCCTGGGCGCACATCAGTCAACTCGCGTCATCGTCTATCTCGCGGTCTCGTCTGACGTCGGTCCCTCGGCGACGAGATTAGGATCGAACTATCCATAGGCATCCCTCGTCGTTATTACTGCTCTCCATCCGGCGACAGATCTGCCGTCGCCATCGCCAAGAGGAATCGAGAGGAAAGGAGGCGTCGTCGTCCGAGCTCACAATCAGCAGACTCAGTTCTTGCTCCTGACACCCGCTACTGCCTGCAGTATATCTTTGCGTCACCTCCCTTCAGCATCATAACCAATCTCGAAGCACGACCGGCACCTCCTTCCCCCTCCGGAGCTTTATCTAGCGTCTTCAGCCCACTCCACCCTCCACCCACGCCTTATCGGGCATGTCCTTCTCGTGGAAGGGCTTCCTGGGCGTTGGCTCCTCTTCGTCCTCTTCCTCTACTGCGAACAACGCGTCCACCAGCTCTGCGCCAAACGGACAAGCTGCCAATGCGTCGACGTGGGGAGCAGATGATTTAGAGGATGACGTACCGCTGTGGGGTCTAGAGAACGTGAGTATATGCGCTCCTTCTCGAGCTCGATGGATGTCGTGTGCTGACTGAAACCTCGCTGGACACCTCTACGTCGCTTCGTCCAGTTCGGGAACACTTGGTGAGGACCGTCGAGCCAAGCGCCGCGAGACCGTTCAGTCGCTCATTCTTCGCCCTGCCCTCTCGCCCAGCTACGCCAACTCGATTGTTCAGGCTCTCTACTTCTGCCGACCGCTTCGCGATGCCATCCTCAGCGCAGCGATAGAGTCTCAACCCTCGGCTGATCGCAAAGCAGCGTCCCCTCCAGCTCGACCGAGCACCGCAAGCGTTGTCAGACCAGCGGGCCCGTCAAGAGCATCGACTGGGCTTGCAAAGAGCAGGCCGAGCAGCTCAGATGGCAGAAGAGGGTCAAATCCAGCATCGCCCACCCTATCCTCGGCGAAGCAGCAGCCGCCGGCCGAGCCCGACTCTGTTTATATCACACTGCAGAAGCTCTTTGCCTCCATCAGCAAAGCCTCGGACGACCATGTAGCAGCTGCGAGCGAAGAAGCTGCGGCCGCAGCGGCCGCATCCTCAGGAACGTTCTCCAAGCCATCAGCTCTGGCCCGCGGATCAAAAGCGGCGAAGGCATCGAAAGCGAAAGCTCCAGCTCGTCCAACAACGGCCGCTTCCACCAACACTATCACCCCCGTGCAAGCTGGCAAAAAGAAGGACATGGGTATCAGCGCAGGCCCCGTAGACGCGATAGTAGTCAAGAGCTTCCTCGCCGCCATTCGCAGGCAGAACACTCTTTTTGATACCAATGCCCACCAAGATGCGCACGAGTTTCTCAACATCCTACTCAACTGCTTAGGCGACGATATCGAAGAGGCGCAGCGCAAGTCATCGTCCACAGCCCGAGATGCTGTGGCGACGTCTTCAAATGGCTGCGGGAAGACGGTGATCCATAAGCTTTTCGAGGGTGTCCTGACCAACGAGACTCGCTGCCTCACCTGCGAAGCCGTCAGTTCGCGAGACGAGTGTTTCCTCGACCTCTCCATCGACATAGAGCACAACTCCTCCATCACCTCCTGCCTCCGCCAATTCAGCGCGAGCGAGACACTGCGGAGCCGCAACAAATTCTTTTGCGACACCTGCTCCGGGCTACAAGAGGCCGAGAAGAGAATGAAGATTCGTAAGCTGCCCGCGGTGCTTGCACTGCATATGAAACGCTTCAAGTACGAGGAGTCGAAGCAGCGCTTCGTAAAGCTGGCATATAGAGTGCTGTTCCCCTTTGAGCTACGCCTCTTCAACACAGCGGACGATGCAGAGGATCCGGATCGGCTGTACGAGCTGTTCGGTATCGTGGTGCACATAGGGGCCGGGCCACACCATGGGCATTATGTCTCCATCATCAAGGTGGGGGCCAAGTGGGCAATCTTCGACGATGAGGCTGTCCACATCATTGAACAGCTGGACATCAGCAAGTACTTTGGTGGCACGCCGGGAATGGGCAGCGCGTACGTGCTGTTCTACCAGGCGGTGGATCTTGACCGTGAAGCATTGGGCTTGCCAACGCTCGAGCCCTCAAGGGCGGCGTTGGAGGCAATGCGGGCTAAAATGATGGCACAGGCTGCCTCAGCGCCGCACGCCTACGCCAATGGCGTTTCGCCGCAGCAGCATGTCGTTCGATCTCCCACCGCAAGCGAGCACTCCTCGCCCAAGGGCCTGCACTTGCCCCTGTCCCGCAGCCCAGCAGACAGCGTCTCATCGTCTGGCCCGGGTGTGGAACAGCAACGATCCGGAAGCTCAACGACGAGTCGACCCTTGACTGCAAGCCCGCTGCCCACTACCAGTCCAGGTGCAGATACTCCCAGTGGCGGAGGCGGCTTCTTTTCGCGCTTCCGCAGCGAGAGTACGAGCATCAACAGCAGCGGTAACAACAACAGCTTGACGCAAGCTCTCGAAAGCAGTCGAGGCGCAGTAGATGCGGCTGTAGCTGGCAGCGGAGGCGGCAGCGGCAGCAGTGCGGGCGGTGCGATAGAAGGCGGTAGAGATAGAAAGGGCAGCCTCATCCAATCCTCTGGGCCTCCAGGCAGCAGCGGCGGTGGCGGCTGGCGCAGCCCATTCCGTTCTAGGCAGACGAAGCGTTCAGGCAGTGTCTCTGAGACAGGATCCGCCTTGGTTGGTCAAGCTCCTGGAGCGAACCCCTCCGCTTCTTCCTCGACCAATTGGCTAGGCAAGATGTCCGACTCAATGCACTCGGCGGACAGTCGGCAGCAGCATGCCAGTACCGCAAGACTGGCCAGTCCGACGAGGTCGAAGACGGAGCATGACATTGACAACGACGAGACGGGCTCGGCGTCAACCCACGGGTCTTCTGCCATTAGTCGGGGTGGCGTCAGGACGAGCACAGCCGCGGGCAAGATTACAAGATCTGAGAGATCGCCTTCCAGGCTGGGGCCGGGCTCCGCTGGAGCAGCAATGACGCCAGGTGCTTCGCCTCCAATGCCTGGTCCCTCGCCCGGGCAGAGCAATGGGCTTCTGTCAGCTGCGGCCGCAGCGCAGCCAGCAGCGACTTGTATGTCGCCCTCCTCCTCTCAGCAGCACAACTCGCCGTCAAATGGGGACGGGTCTGACCAAGCAGCAGCGACGGCAGCGACAGCGCCCTCACCGCCCAAGACCTCGGCACCGCAACCAGCACCATCAATGCAGTCTCCCTCATCTCCGAGTCATCTCGCCACCTCACCTCCAGCATCTGCCGCACCGCCGCCGACCACGACCGCCAGCCAAGAAGGCGCGACGCCCGAGACGTCGAACGTTGCGGCCGTCGAGAACGCGACACACCTTCCGCCGTCCCCAACCTCACAAGCCTATGTCCAAACAGGCGCCTTCGCCCCGGTCCTCGACCGCCCGTTGACAAAGAAGGAGCAACAGCGTATCGCGAAGGAGAGTCGAAGGATCAGCGCGACTTCCGGCTTCCCTGGCGCGGGTTTCGATGCGTCGGCAGGCGCAGGTGCAGCTCCAGCGGGAATGGTGTCGAGCATCTCCACCAAGGCTGCGGATGGAAGGATGGGCCTGGGCAAGGGCCTCCCCCCGCCGTCAGGAGAGTCGCCGGTCAAGCAGCCTTCAGGTCAGACGCCAAAGAGACGAAGCACATTGAGTCGAGCACTTGGGTTTGGAAAGAACAAGGGCTGAGGGCGAAGAGGAAAGGAAGGTTGCTCGCAATTACCTCAACTACCTCGTCTTGTTGTTCTTCAACTCGCGCTGACACACGCACGCACGCGTACTGCTAGAAATCCCCATCATCATTGTATCATCGCCACTTTCCCTGTGTGCTCACCAATCTGCACCAAGCGCCTCCCTCAGCCTTCCTCCTGCGCCTCTCGTCTTGAGCCACCCTTCAATCTTACTCATATCATTCCTCCAACCCCCACGCATAGCCTCCTTGCCTCCCACCTCCTCTGTACCCGTGATCTCCCTCATATCCTCAAAGGCGCGCGTGACGCCCTCCTCTCGCAGAGTCTCGCTGACCTTCTTGTGGCCAGAAGGGATATCGCCCCAAGAGGTGGACTTGATCGAGGACCAGTAGCTGTCGATTGTCTGCGTGGCCGCCAGCAGCGAGGTTGAGCTCGGCCTCGGTGTGGCTTGACCTTCTTCGACCGGCGAAGAAGGGGAGGGAAGCGGGCATTCCAACACCACCAAGCCCGGCTTGCCTGCCAGCACGAAGCCTGTCAGAGGCCAGGCCTGTGATGGTGAAGACGGATCGGGCTTATGACGCACCGCTTGAGCGTAGGAGACTAGGTCGTCACGCTTTTCTTTGGTGGATAGAGAAGGGAGATGATGCCAGGTTCGGAGGACGTACCGAGGCAGAGAGGCTTGCGCTCCAGAGGTGCTGAAGGGGCTGCTTTGCTTGCTTTCGTCTGCGCTGCTTGTGGCGGCGCTCATTGAGGGTGAGCTTAGCACCGCTTCAGAGAGATCTTCGACCGCAGCCATGACTCGCGAAGCGCCGTCCTCTTCCTCATCGTCGGCTTCGGCAGAGGCTTTTAATCGGCGGGACAGCTCGTCTTGGTCAGATCGGGAGAGCCACGTTGCTGTTCGTAATGAGAGACGGGGTCGTCTTGCTGTGTCGCCTTTGCTCGTACTGCTCTCTGCTTCTGCCCTTCGCAGGGGCAGCATCACGTCAAGTGTAAGCTTGCGCTCCTTGGCTTGCCTGGCTGCGTCGTCCCCCGCAAATGGGTCGACGACGATCGCAAAGGCGACGCTTGCTGGCAGGGAGTCTTTCACCGCCTGGGACTGCGCATCACCGAGCGTATTGACAGGAAGGGTGAGGTACTTGGCGAGTGATTGAATGGCATTCGAATTGACTTCGTCAATGATCAATTCTTCATCGCCGCTCCACATGGCGAAGAGGACTTCCAGCGTTTGGCTGTGCGCTGCTAGATCCTCGGGTGAGAGCAAGGGGCCCTTTGCGTTCGGGGAAGAAGCCATGATGTGCAATGTTGGATGGCTTTGCGGTTGCGGCTGTGAGTTGGTCGGCCTTCTATGCTCCTTGACTGCCCCGAATCTTGGTCTTCTTGGTGGCAGTTGCGTATCTGGCCGGCTGTCCGGGCAGGATGTTGATGCTTTGAATAGAACTCAACCTTCTTCCCAGATGACGCACAGGAGAATGTCGGAGAGCGGAGCGAGTCGAGCGGAGAAGCGAGTTGAGTTGAGCAAGCAAACACCGCCCGCTTCGCTGCTCAGACAATCCCTTTGCCAAGCCTCCTTTCCCCTGACTCGAAGCGATTTATCCTTTGCTACCCTCCTCACTAATTCGAGCAATCGCCTCGTCGTCGCCGCCATCGTTGCCCCTCTAATATCAGCAGCAACGCTACCACTCTTTCAACAAAGCGCTCGACTGCCCCACACTCATTACGATCACCAGCCAGCTCCTGTTCCAACTTCCCCACGGCGCCCCGTCACACGACCTAGACCCTCACCTGCATGGTCTTCCTCAAAAACCACCTGCGTGCGGTGCAAGACGAATACCAAGCCGCATATGGCTCTGGCAACGGCGATGACCAAGGTCACAGCCCCAATCGCCCATCGCTCTCTTCCTCCCACCGCCCCCTCGCGGCCAACAACGCCGCCAATCAGGGCGGCACCCGTCTAGTCAGCGCATACGACGTAACCCTCCTCGTCCGATCAAGAGACCCAGTAGCAGATGCCCACGACCCGGACTTGGAACGACATGACATTCCATCACACCATGTTCCATCGCTCGTTTCAGTAGCCACAAAGCGCATGAGGCAGCGCTCCCGCACCACCGAAGGCCGCAAGCGGGACAGAGCCAAAGCCAAAGCCATTCGAGCAGCCGAAGCGGTCAAGTCGAGCAGCGGACTACCACCACCCCTACGCAGGGCAGCAGGCAGCAAGCGCTTTGCACAACCAGCAGCATCTCAGCGAGACTTCTCCAGCTCCGCACTCCCTCTCCTCAGCTTCCAAAACCCATGGGACTCCTTCAAGCCCCCGACCCTTCTCAACGTCTGGTCCGGCCTGAAATGGGGTCTCCCCGAGGAATACGAGGAGGGAGGTCACTCAAAGTATCGCGGCTCAGGACGAAGGGCCAAAGAGGCTGTAGCCGAGTATCGGGCTGCGGAGGCTGAACTTGGCAAGGATTGGGCAGACGTACACGTTCAGACGCCCAATTGGGGATGGGTAGAGAGCGAGCGACAGACTTGGTTGGAGGGGCCGAATGTCGAGCGCGAAAAGAAAGAGGAGTTGGAAGGAATCGCAAATGGGCAGCCGGCTGCGGAAGAGAATTTTGGAAAGCGAAAGGAGTGGCAAGATCCCAGAGCGGAGGAGGCTATGGATCATGCGAGGGTGACCTGGCTTGGACACGCCTCGACGTTGCTGCAGCTCCCTCCTCTCGCCGATCCCGTCACTACCGCCTCCTCGAGCGTAGAGAATATTCCGGGCGATCAGGCGGGCGGAATCGACGATTCGCTCGATGAAGATCAAGCACGCCAGCTGATTCGTGGCGTATCAAATCTCGACGTCAATGCTCAAGCCAAGGCGGGAGAAAAGACGCCACAAAAGCGATCCATCGTCATCAAGGCGGACTCGCCTGGCAAGGCTGCGATTCGTCGTGAGAAGAGTCGCACGCAGCAGCAGGGAGAGAGGAGCCAGCCTCAGCATCAGGAGCGACTCGCACCCCCGCCAACCTCAGACGCACCTACGAACAGTAGCGCCGGCGGCGGCAGTGCCACTGGCAGTGCGAGGCCAACTCCCACGACGGAAGACGCATTCCCCGTGATCGATAACGTCCGAGATCGGTCCGTGAACCTCCTTTTTGACCCCATCTTCAGCAAGCGCTGCTCCCCCTCACAGAACATGGGCCCGGCTCGCTTCACCGAGATCCCCTGCTCCGTCGAGGACCTTCCGCCCATCGACATCATCTTGCTCTCGCACGATCACTACGACCACTCGGATGCGGAGTCACTCCGCAAGATCAGGAAGATCCGTGGCGATGCCGTGCACGTGTTCGTTGGACTGGGAAACAGGGAATGGCTCTGCTCTGCTGCGGGGTTCAAGAAGAGCCAGGTATCTGAGTTGGATTGGTGGGACGAGGCTGTCTTGACGGCGAGTGGGACCTCCCCGGCCAAGCAAGGGGACCCGGCCCGCTCGGCATTGAGGATCATCTGTACGCCGGCGCAGCATGGCAGCGGCCGAGTGCCAGGTGGGAAGGACTCGACACTTTGGTGCTCGTGGGTTGTAGAGCAGATTTCCCCGCAGGAGCCATCTGGCATCCAGCCGCCGTCCGAAGTCAAGGCCAAGGGTTCCATCCAAGCATCCAGCTCATCTCCTCCCGGCCCCCCTACGCCATCCCCCTCACCTTCCACCCGCAAAAGATGGCGCGCCTTCTTCGCGGGCGACACTGGTCTCCGCAGGCATGGCGAAAAAGCTACGAATCGCAGATCACCAGTCTGCCCCGCCTTTGAGGAAATTGCTCGCAAATTTGGCACTCCACACCTCTTCCTCCTACCCATCTCAATCGGCTCGTCACTCTCCTACCTTCGATCGAAGGACCCTTTCCCGCGCAGATACTCCCCGTTCCCTAGAGTGAGCGAGGCGCTCACTAGCTGCATTCACATGGACGCGGAGGATGCGGTGCAGATGATGGAAATCATGACTGGATATGCCGCCAAAGGGAAGGAGGATGGTGGAAGGGATGATGGGCTGGGAAAGAGTGGCGGTCCGCTTGCTTTGGCAGTGCATTTCGGGACCTTTGTCAGGAACGCGGAGCAAACCAAGGCGGACGTGAGGAATCTGAGGGCTGCGTGTCGTAGGCACGGAGTTGGCTTTGGGAGAACAAGGGAGGGGCGATTCGAGATGGCGTCCAAGGGTGGTGGCGATAATGGACAAAGCAGTGGAGGTACTTCAGCGGGGCAGCGTGGTGGTGGTACCTCGGGCGGTCGAACAATGTCCACGCTGACGACTACGGCGGGTACGGCTACGGGCTCTGGCTCTGCGGACACGGCCGTGCACACGAATGGCAGCGCAGACCCGGCGGCAGGCGGTGCATCCGAGAGGAAGGGCACGAAGACAGACATGGGCAAGGGGAAGTTCCTTGTCGCTGATCAGGGGGAGACCGTCTGGATCAAGATGGCAACAGATCTCGCGGAGGGTGCTGCAAAGAGCAAGGAAAAGGAGGAGACTAGCTAGATGACTGGCAGCCGACATAGACTGTAGACGGCAAGACGTACGAGCAGATACCCCATCCTCTGGTCTCCCCGCCCACATTTTCTCCTTTGAGATCGACTCGCTATTACCTTTTCATAGAAGCAATCAGTATCGCATATTCCCGTCACGCATCTCATCATTTGAATTTCGCTTCTTCCCTCGCGATGCTGAGCTCGCTCCCCCGCGTGCGTTCACTTCGGTCGAGCGTAGGTAAGACGGCGAGTGTGTAGCCGGGGCAGAGCGTGAGCCGGTGTCATTACGTGCTCGCTCGAGCTATGACCAATTCGGCTTGATCGAGGGTCCAGGACTCACGCTCACCGCTTTCACTTCTTCTGGGTCTCTCCGGCTTCTGGCCACATCCCCTCATTACTTCGAGACATGCGCAAGCGGCAACTTGATCACCACTATCTGCCTTATAGCGATGCCTTGACACCTCGGCTGCTCATTTCGTCGGCAAGCCCGGTGACCCAGGATCAAGAGGCCATGGGAATCACGGGAGAGATAGTGGTCGCATTGCTCTACCTTGCTCCTACTTGCCCGCCTCTGCCGAAGCCGTCCTGCCAGCCGCTTTCAGAACGACAGTCGAAGAGCAGAAATTGATGTCTTGGACGCTCGAGTGTCCAATATCGCTGAGAGGAGCGTGGGCCCGCTCGCTCGTGTTTTCCTCGCCGTCGGGCTTGTCTCCCGTCGCCCCCTGTGACCCACTGCTTTAATTGCCGTACTCAAAAGGAGCCCGCCGTTGCGCCGCCGCTGCTCCTGACCTCGTTCAAGCTTGGCACGTTGAGCGAGGGCAAAGCCCATCTGGCGGCCCGCTTATGCGCCCGAGCCCACTTCACCGCCTCCCGTCCATCCTGTGCAGCCGCCTGCCGCCTTCGCTTGAAATTCGCTCCAAGCCACGGATTGTGACTAGGCAGCACGCACGCTCAATAAGTCGCCGCGTTCGCGGGCCAGGCTCGAAATCTCCGGGTCAATCTCACAGGCGTTCCCACTCCCCTCCTTTCTCTTCTCAACATCAACTTCTCATCCCTTCATCACTCGTCGTCTGCCGCCGTCGTTAACCTCGCTCCTTTGACCGAGCCGGTCCTCATCGTCGTTGACATTGACAACGATGGAGAGGCATGGCAAGGGTGATCACGTCTACTCGCTGCCTAGCTCGCGGCATCGAACGTCGATGAGCGCGGGTAGCGCGTCGTCATCGTCGACTCAGCAACAACAAACCGCACCGCCACCAGCACCACGATACACAGCTGCCCACTGGCATATCCTATCGCTCAAGCGTACCACATCTGGCCCGCGATCAGTGCCAAACTCACCTTCGACTCAGCATCCGCCCTCCCTGTCCCCCCCTCCACCGACGTCCTTCCTTATCGTGACCCTGCTGCATATACCCACGCGAGTCATCTACGCCTGGCCGATTGCTCTCACGGGCAGCTCTGGCGGCAAATGCATGGTCACTCGGCCCTACGAGCCGGCACTGGGCGCAGAATCTTACAGCTCAGAACGAGTCCTTTCGGAGAGCGTCAAGATTCTCGCAGATGTGATCCAGGCATGGATCAAGACGTCGCCCATGAGGGAGTCGCTCCGTAGAAAAGAGAGCAAGCGCGAGAAGGGAGCAAGGAAGATAGGGGAGAGCGAGCAAGATGCCATCTGGCTCAATGAGGGTCTCGCCCTCGCCACACTTGACAGCACCACCAGGCAAGAGGCTATGCAGCGATCGCTCCTTGAGCATGGGGAGCCAACGACTCCACCGTCACGATCTCCCATCACCTCGCCCAGGCAGAGCATCTCGGTACCAGCGACCCATCGCACCCAGGACTCCATTGCGTCCACAATCTCTCAACGAAGCATCGCTAACACAAGCGCAAGCACGCCAGAGTCTATCACCCGGCCTCAGACGCCACGCATTGAGATCTCTGCGCCGGATTTCTTCGGCTCATCGGCGTCTACATCTGCGCCACCAGAAGTTCTCCAAGCCGCTATCGAGCGCGTTGGCCAGCAGCAGGATGCCGTCGAGGCCGAGATCAACCAATGGATGAGCAAAGCCACCCTCTCTGAGTTCACTCGCCCTCGCCCTCCCAGCACTCCAGGCTCGCCTACGGTCGGACGAGCAGGAGCTGCGGCATCCTCTCCTACATCTTCACCGATGTCGTCGCCATCTATGTCCCCCATGTCCTCACCGACGCCGGCCTCGGCCTCATCTGCTCCGCCCTCCCGCACCGCCAGTCCAGTCTACTTCAAGACTGGCTCCGCTCGCAAGACGGTCACCTTCTCCGAGCCTGCCGCATTACCCTCGGTCATGGCTCGTCCTTCTCCCTCGTATCTACCTGCCTTTGCCCCTCACGTGCAGCTGTCCCCGTGCGCCTCTGAGGAAGATCTTTTCTCGGAGGACACGGTATCAGGGCCAAGAGGTAAGGTGCCCAGCTCTCCGGCCAAATCGGTAGCTCCACTCTCAATGCCTCCTCCCATCATTGCTCCCACGCCCGTCTCCTCTCGTGGCCAGCAGGGACTCAACAATGCCGCGCCCATGGCTCGAACCACGTCAAACACCTCGACGAAGAGCTTGCCTTCATCCTCACCCACACTCTCACCCACCTCGCCGAGGACGTCGCATTCGCACTCTCGCTCTCGCAACTCTTCGAAGCTTTCGCAGGAGGTTTCGCCCTCTGAGCTCGCGGGCGTCCTCGACACCGGCGCCGCTTCGAGTAGCAGCGGCCGCTCCTCCAAGAGCACATCGCCGGTCAGCTCCTTCAGCGATTTGAGGCAGGCGCTACGATCGTCCTTCAAACCCAAAGGCTCCAAAGCAAAAGTCTCGCCCGTTTGAGGATCACACTTCCTCTTTCCCACTCAGCATAGACATTTTCCTTTAACTTGATCACCTTTCATCATCCGCCATCCCCTAGACAAGTCACGCTCGCTCTCCTGTGCATAGACTCGACCTAGATTCCGGCCTTTCATTCAACCACTCGTGTCACCTTTGCCTCTTTTCTTGCAATATCATGCTCCGAAGATGCCCTCTTGTGCGACGAGATTGATTGCGATGCGCTTCAACAATTGATTGACGGCCAACGTCGGCGTCGCCATCGTGATAAAGGCGCATCATTCAATGGCAGACAGCGAGATAGAGCCAATCGGCGGCGCCTTTCATGTCTGTTGTGAGTGAATGAGGCACAGCACCTCGGCCGAGGGCTTCCGCTTACGTTCCGCCCGCTCGAGGTCCGTCGTCTGGCTCGTCGAGGCCATCCTCATCGACGACGGACCTCCGCATCGCATCGCTACCATCCTCATCGATCACGATCAGCAACACGGCGCCAAAGCTTCTCAGCTATATCGTCTTTCAGTCAGTGGAACACTCGCAAAGGTGAGTACTCGTTGTGGGATGAACCAAGTTGCTAGAGAGGAGCAAGGCAGAGTCGCGTCGGCTCGTGTATGCTCGTTGTGCGTGCATACAACGACGCCGCAAAGTCGATCGCCCGCCTTCATCCACGGCTACAGATGGTCGCAATGACTACAAACGAGCCGTGAGGTCGTCGTCGTCAAGGGCAACACGGCAGTACCTTGGCCCGCCAAGACGGGAATTGCCCCGCTCTGCCCTGTCCCGTCTTGAGTCGCGCCTCTCTCTCCACCCGTCATCAATGCAACCTTCCTCTCATTCCCTTCCTTCACACCACCCACCCCGCTTCTTCAGACCCATCCGCCTCTTTGATCACTCCTCTACTTCCCCATCGCGAGACCCGCCTCCGCCGCTACCCACTTGTGGACCAACGGACACGCCTCACTAATACTCTCTTTCATCTCCAACCCCATGGCAGAGACGACGAAGCGCGATCGATCCACCTCTCCCGAACGAGTAGAGGCCGACCGACCGGAGTCGAAGCGACCAAAGGAGGAGACTACCGCGAAGATGGCAGACACAGAAGGCAACAAGGCGGCGGCGGCGTCAGAGGAGCAGAACGCAGTTGACCTTGACTCGGGCGCAAACGTCGATGACCACGCCGAATCCAAGCCCTCAACCTCAGTCAGCAACGGCGGCGCCGCTGCAGATGACGCTGGTGATACCAGCCAACCCATGAGTGGCGTCGAATCATCTGCCCAGTCTGGTGCCGCTGGAGGCGACTCGGAGCTGCAGCCGCAGAACATTTCGATGAAGGCTCTCATCGTTACGGGCGACGCCAGCATCATCATCGGCAAGCAGGGGAAGCACATCAATGAGATTCGTGACAAGAGTGGGGCCAGACTCACTATCAGCGAGTCCATCCCGGGCAACCCTGAGCGTATCATGACTGTGCAGGGTCAGCTGGACGCTGTGAGCAAGGCATTTGGACTCATCGTGCGCAGAATCAACGACGAGCCGTTCGACCAGGCATCCGTGCCAGGAAGCAGGGCTGTCACCATCCGCTTCATTGTCCCTCACACTCGCATGGGATCCGTCATTGGGAAGGGAGGCGCCAAGATCAAGGAGATTCAGGAGGCTAGTGGTGCGAGGTTGAATGCGGGCGAGCAGATGCTGCCGGGTAGCACTGAGGTGAGTGCGAGAGAGCGAGACAAGCAGCAACGACCCAATAATTAACAGATTGCTGACGCTCTTTCCTCTCCCCCGTCGTCTTCTCACAGCGAGTCTTGAGCATCTCTGGCGTCGCAGATGCAGTCCATATTGCCGTCTACTACGTAGGCACCATCCTCATCGAGCACCCCGAGCGCAATGCCAATCACCTCCCTTACCGCCCGAGTCCGGCAGGTTCCGGCCCCGCCGGCGTCCCCTTTGCAGGGCGAGGAGGCCCTGGCGGTCCTGGTGGCCCTGGTGCACCAGCATCAGCGTACGGTGGCTACGCGGGTGCAGCAGGCCCCAGCGGGTTCGGCGGCTCCCCTCCCCCACCCGGTGCCGGTGCTCCAGGAGGAAACATGCCCGCCAACTCACAAACCCAACAAATCTTCATCCCCAACGACCTCGTAGGCTGCATCATTGGCAAGGGCGGGTCGAAGATCAATGAGATTCGCCAAATGTCGGCGTCCCATATCAAGATCATGGAGCCCGGAGCTGGGGCCCTCGCGGGTGGTGGAGCAAATGAGAGGTTGGTGACGATTACGGGACCGCCTCAGAATATCCAGGTGGCAGTGCAGCTGCTCTACCAGAGGTTGGAGCAGGAGAAGATGAGGCTCGCTACGCAGGGAGGGGCTGGCTCACCCGCTGGAGGGGCCGGGAGCGCTGGTCCGGCTGGAATGTGATTCGGGGGAGAAACTGAAGAAGGCAGGAATTGGTCAAGAGAGAAATCCAGCAGAGGCGCATCACGTATGAGCAGGCGAAAGGGGGTTGCACGTAGACTGTGGTGCAGTACGATGCATCAGCCAGAGCCTCTGTTGCGAGCTGCGAGAGTAACCCAATGTACCGCGAACGATTGGTTGATCGAGAGATATCTACCCAGAATTTGAAGACAAGTTTTCGACCAGGAGACTGACGATCTTGAAAGCGTGAGCAGTAAGAATGAGATGCAGCGAGGGCGAGATGTTCCACTCGCAAAAGCGGCGCCGTGAATGCCTCGTACCTGTTGCCTCAGTCCGTTCCGTTCCGTTCGCCGCCCCCGGCCTGCGAGTGGGCAGGTTGTGATCGCCAATCGACGTCGCCTACCGTCCACCCACCAATCGTGTCTCCATCTCACTTCATCAAATATGGCAGAGGGCAACGTCGCATCGCTCGAGGAGTGCCAGGCCGCTCGTCTGCCTCTTGGCTGGAGGGACAACTGCTCTGCGTGAGTGTCGTGGATAGTGGGGTGAGCTGGCATTATGGGCAGGGACGTCGAGAGATGCAAAGAATGCGCAACAACTCGTCGGACCATATGTTCCAGCAGGCAATCGAGTTCGCGGACGCCTATAGGTCAAGAGCATCTTGCATCTCTTATCCCCTCTCGTAGTCTGCCTGTAGCGCAGCCAGAAAGCTGACCAGTCCGCCTTGTCCTTTGCTGGTCCCACAGGCTCGCCATCCCCCTCAACAAATGCAGGGCTAGGGAGCTCTACCTTCCCTGGAAGTGCGAGGATGAGCGCCACAGCTACGAGAAGTGCCAGTACGAGGAGTGAGTAGATGGTCTGCGCTCAGAGATCGCTGCCGTGGCATCGGCCGGCTGACTTACCTTGTGCCCGCTCCATCGCCCTCTTGCAGCTTCCTCCGCCGCCAGAAGGCTCTCTCTGCCCAGGTTATGGCCAAGAGGGACGACGAGGCTTTGTAGAGAGTCAAGGGGCATGGACAAGCCTTATTGTTAGGCTACGCTGTATGCCAGCTGCAACCTTGGCTTCGGAGATGAAGGCGAGCCAGTATCGCCGATCAATCTCAGCATCCTCTCATTCACCTAGCCAGCCGGCTACGACTGGGTTTGAGCAGTGTATGTGGCTGTGATTAATAATGGAGCGAGTGACTGCGCGAGAGCGCGCTTCAGGATAGATTGAGGGAGCTGTCGACGAGAAGAGCGCCAGGATCGACCATGCGACGACAAGACAGAGAGAACGCACTGAGCATTTACCACCTGATCTTCTCCCCTTCGCTTTCCCCAACAGCACGACGCAGATTCAGAGATGGAGGAGAGGGCCGACGTGAATCAGGGCGACAGAGAGACAGGAAGAGAAGAGCGTTATAGCAGGCGACCAGCGCCTTGGCAGGTTTACTGCGCTTGAGCAGTCATCGTCGTCGTCGTCATCGGGGCCAGAGCGTGTCTACTGGTGAGGCACAGGCCCGATCCAGCCCCACGAGATGTCCAAGATCCCCTTCTCCTTCGGTCCCAACTGATCAAAAGCCGCAGGACTCAGGTCGAGATGAACATCCTCGCAGCTACCACACTGGTCGGTAATCTCGACAGTGACAGCGACCTTGCCATTGGACACTTTGAGCTTGTGACCACAAACGATGTTGCCATTGGTGATGGTGCCGCCGAGCTTGTTCCAGAGGCCAATGGGCAAGGCGGCAACTAAGTCAGTCTCCTTCCTAGTCCAGCCGCAGGCGCCCATGCCAGGGCCCCAGAATGTCGCTTTGCCGTTGGTGACCACACCTGAGCAGCCGCTGAGGAGGTCGGAGCCCGACGACGACGACGACGAAGAAGAGGAAGACGACGACGAGGGGGAGGACGAGGACGAAGATGAAGACGAGGGGGAGGAGGAGCAGTTGGTAGAGGGCGGCGTTGTCGACGATGGCTCGTTCTTGGACGGGTTCGAGCTGCTACCGTCATTCACACAATTTTGCTGCGGATTAGCGGTCTCTGGGGTGGAGGAGGAGGAGGAGGAGTTGGTAGAGGGAGTCGTCGAAGATGGCTTGCTGATGGACGGGGTCGAGCTGCCATCGCCATTCGTGCCGTCCTGGTGCGGTTGAGCGGTCTCTGGGGTGGAAGAGGAAGAGGAGGAGTTGGTAGAGGGAGTCGTCGAAGATGGCTTACTGACGGAAGGGGTCGAGCTGCCATCGCCATTCGTACCGTCCTGGTGCGGTTGAGCGATCTCTGGGGTGGAAGAGGAGGAATTGGTGTAGGGCGTCGACGACGATGGCGGGCTGCCACCATCAGTCGTACCGTTCTGCGGCGGTTGAGCGGTCTCTGGGGAGGAGGACGATGGCGTCGAGGAGGACGACGAAGAAGGACCCGACGAGCCCAGGCCACTGTCATCATGATGGTGATGGTGATGCTTCTTCTTCTTAGGCTTGCACTTTTTGGACCCGGAGTCACGGGCCTTGAAGCCGTCAAAGCTCCCCGTACTGACGCGTTCGCCCGTGGTCTTTGGCGTCGTACTCGACTTCGAACCAGAGCGTGAAGGCTCACGAGTCTCGGCAATGGCGGAGGAGGAAGAGCTGCGGCTCTCGATCTGGCGTGCCGCTTCCTCATGCTGGCTCTGGGTAGCACGCTTGTGCTGCAAGTGCTTGCCGTGGCCACGAACCATGAAGTGCACGCTGCGCTGGCCGCGAGCATGGTGCTTGTACTGCGAGACGACGGCTTCCTCGCGCTCACGCAGAGCAGCGACGTCGTTGTTAAGTCGGGCTCCGTCCAGCGAAGCCATCGCGAGGGTGGAAAGAGCCAAGGTGGCGAGGACGAAGACGGGGCGCATGGCGTTTGTAGGTTGGTCGGGTGGACGATGGAAGGGGCGTAGCTAGCAGTGGGCCTTGACGCAGTCAAAAGGGTGAACGCTCAAGGATCAACCTCGAGAAGCGAGCAGTAAAGTTGGATGAGGAAGGAGAAGAGGGTAGGAAGCTCACCTCGCTCCTCTTTTATGCCATGCTGTCCCGCCCCTTGGCCCATCGCTTTCTCGTCGCCCTTGCTCTCATTCTCTCCTTCGATATCGATGCGGTAAGACTGACATATTGGCCGCCGCCATCGAAGAGGCATCGATCTCAAGAGCCGCCGCGGTCTTGAAGCGATTTAGAGGGGCTAGCGGCGGCAGGAGGTCGAGCGGAGGACGCAGATGAGTACGCGCATGCCATACAGGCAAGGTCAATCTTCAGTGAGCCCCTCGGCGGCAAAGCCAGGCAGTCTGAAATGTCCTTCTCGCGTCTTTACTGCCAGGTCGTCAGAGGCGCCTATGACTACGGATCAGACGTCGGTGACTACCTTCTGATGGAGGTGTCGAAGGCCGGATCTTGCGCCACGCCCTGCCGCACCGCCTTTGCGCCTCGCGCTCACCCGACATCGCAGCTGACTGATGATAGCTGAGCACGCCATTTAGGAGCCCGAGCAAAGCAAACGTCTGCATTGTCAATCTGTTCTGACAGCGATGACAGTCTGTGTCCTCCACGATCGCCATTGGTGGCCTGTCAAGGTTTGGCAATGGGTGAATGGCCGGTGGTTTTATTGAAGCCGCCGAAGGCTGCGCGTGATCGAGAGAGCGAGAGGTGCCGCCGGCGATCTTCTGATCTTCCCGACTTCACTTCACGACAAGACACCACGGTACAGCTCTCAAGTCGAGTTTGCGCAAGAGCAAGCCAGAAGAAAGACCGGCGAGAATCTTCAAGATCGCTCATCGTCATGGTCCTCTTCTTCGAATCGAGGGCTCTCGACCCGCCGGTCACGATCTATATGGGCATCGACAAATTTGAGAACGAGGATCTGCTCAAGTATGCTTTCGAGGAGGACGTGTGGTTCCACGTCAGTAGTTAGGCGAGGCTGAAGATAACACTCTCGACTGAATGACAGCTTCTGAATGCTTCTTCTCTGACAGGTTGACAAGCTATCCAGCGCACACGTCTACCTGCGCATGCCTCAGGGCATGACGTGGGAGGCCATACCGGCAGCCTTACTTGAGGATCTCGGGCAGCTGACCAAGGCAAACTCGATACAGGGGAACAAGGAGAAGAACACACAGTGAATAGAGTCATATGTAGCTGCCGGATCCGCAGAAAAGCTGACGCTTCTCACAGGATCATCTACACGCCTGCGGCCAATGTGATGAAGCGGGGCGACTTTGCCACGGGAACGGTGTCCTTTCATAGCCAGCACAAGGTCAAGCGCTATCTCGTCAAAGAGCGTGAAAATGCTATAGTCAATCGGCTCAACAAGACGAAGAAGACTGTTCAAGTCGATCATGAGGCTGTTAGACAAGATAGAGAAAGGCAGAAGGGACGTGAAAAGAAGGCAAAGGCTACGGAAGAGGTGAATTCGAAACGTAGAGCATGCCCGTTTCTTGTTGATCGTCGCTGACCTTGTCTTACAACCTAGCGTAACGCTCGTCTTGCAGAGGAGAGGCAGCGCGATGCCGACCGTAAAGCACGCGACTACTCAAGCTGTAAGTGGCCACGCCTACTCGCGAGCTACCGTAACGTGCACTCCGCTCATAGCTCTCTCGCGCCGTCACTTCTCACCCAGTGTATTCGAGCGAGGCAATTGAGGAGAGCAAGGCAGCCAAGCGGTACGAGAAGGATCGTGCAGCGCGAGCCAAGGCGGAAGCTAAGGCGGCCGGAGATACGGCGGCAGATGATGAGGAAGACGAGGGTGATGAGAGTGACGATAGCGCAGGATCATTCATGTAGCGACTGAGGCGACTTTGAACAACTCAGCATTGCCCGTGCGACACGCTCTCGCCTTTAAGTCACTGTAGAATCATACCACATGCCGGACAGCAGCCCCTTCACCTCGGTCACTGTCACGCCAATCGTAGCGCAAGTCCTGGACAGGATGGAGCTCAATCCCAAACTCTTCAACACCGTAACACTCGATGGCGTGAGCGACGCTACTGTCGACTGGTCATCCAAGCTACGCTTCATGGCCCCCATCGGCAGGCGCGTCAAAGGCGACATAGTCGAGTTCATTCAACCGTGGGCGAAGACGAAGCTGCCCGAGCTCGCAAGGATCGAGATCGTTGATGAGAAGGACGAGACGCTCCGCGTGAGAGGTGTCGTGCGGGCTACGGACATCTTGGGGCCGCGAGCGAGAGAGAATGAGCTGCTCCTTACGCGTGAGTCTGATGTGATTTACGCGGAGTCCTGTACGATGACCTGAACCTGGTGCTCAGCCTGCGTGCAAGATATCGGCGCTTTAGACATTATCAACCTCCTTGACCCCTCGTCTTACATCCTCCGGCGCGAGCATGATGAGAACATTGGTCCCTACTTTAGCCATCTTGGCCACGAATCGCCCTCCAAGCCCACAATCCTCACGCTCCACCAGTACGACTTCGTCTACCTGTTGCCCGACGAGCGACCTGGCCCATTCCTCATCTGCCGCATCGAGGCGCTGAAGCAGAAGTGCGAGCGTACCATTGCCCGCCTCCAGCCCTTCGCAAGTGACTCAAGTCACCGAATAAGACCGCGCGGACAAGCGTTCACCTGCGTGGACTTGCAGAAAGAAGCGGTGAACAAGTGCACCGTTGTGCTCGCCGAATGGGCAACACCGCCCGTCGAGGTTATCAAGGGACTCGTCACTATCTTCTGGGCAACTCGAGGCGACGTGCCAATGAATTGTTCGATCTGCGACAAGGACAGCGAGCTGCAACGCAACGCAGCCGCGGAAAGGCCGTCCCTCAAGAGTCTGGACCTCTGCTGCGGCGCAGGCGGTCTGTCACAGGGCTTGCACCTCGCTGCTGGACAGAGACCGCGCATCAAGAGTGAGCGGACGTGGCAACGGCCTTGATTGGGCTTGCTGACCTCCTTGATCCTACCCTATCTGCAGCCAAGTGGGCAGTAGAAACCGACACTGCAGCCTTGCAGACCCTTCTCAATGCCTTTGGCGCAGAAAGGCTCCGCGTCTACGAGTGCGACGTGGCCAATCTCCTGCCCGAGCTCCTTGAACTGCCCGCATCCCACCGACCCCGCCCAGACATCGTCACAGCCGGCACTCCCTGTCAAGGCTTCTCAGCAATGAACCGCAGACGAGATCCAGAGGACCCGCGCAACTTTCTGGTCTTCAGTGTGCTGAGCTATGTTGAGGTTCTACGCCCGTCGTATTTTGTGCTGGAGAATGTCGAGGGGATGATATCTCCAACAATGAGTGTGGGCAAGGAGCGACAGGGCTTTTTGAAGGTGCTGGTGATGACGCTGCTTGAGCTGGGATACGGTGTACGGGTGTCGCATGTCCAGGCTGCGAGGTGCGGTGCAGCCACGATGCGCGATCGCATCATTCTGATGGCTAGCAGAGAGGGGCTGCCACTGCCTCGCCATCCTACGGCGACAAATGTGCTACCTTCCACCACCATTGAGAAGGTAACTTTGGAGCCGACACCTGCGGCTCCTCGACAGTACCGCTGCTTCACCGACGAGGAGTTTGCAGAGGGTTGCGCACCCCATCCTGCCCTCACAGTTGCGTCTGCGTTGAGCGACCTGCCGATTTGGGACTGGCAAGACCCGCACTCCGCTATTCAGGAGACCCAGCAGGACCAGGAGCTTGCGAGGCGAAGAAAGCAAGGTATCCCCGTCTATGCCGGCGACTCGCAGCGCCCGCTCATTGGCCCACGCTTGCAATCGTACTCGTCGCCGCCGAAAAATGTCTTTCAAGCGCTGATGCGATGGGGCAGCGCCGGCCGTGTGACGCAGCACCAAACTCTCCGCTTCAGTTCTCTGGAAATCGAGCGCGTGGTGCAGCTACCCTTCAGACGAGGCGCTAATCATGAAAGCTGGGCGAGCGCGTACGTCGGCCGGCCGCACCTCACGCCTGGCCGACTCGAGTCGCAGAGCGCCTTTTCTCCCGCCGGTGGTAGCGCCGGCGGCGGATGGGGAGACGGCACGACGCCGATGGACAGGGCTGAACGGCTCCGCATCCGTGACGAGGTGCGTCGCGCTGACCGGTCGTACCGCAGAATCGAGGCGGACAAGCCCTGCCCTATGCTGTTCACGACTGCTGCGCCTGGAGCGTACAATGGGCCGTGCATACATCACAATGCTGCGCGAGCGCTAACTTTGCGCGAAAGGATGCGCGTGCAAGGCTTCCCTGACTCTGTGTCCTTCTACGGGACGCCGGATGAGGTGCAGCAGCAGGTCGGAAACGCGGTGCCGGTGCCCCTGGGTATGGCTATTGGGAGATGTCTCCTCGAGAGCTGGGACTCGCAAGGCAGTTCTGCTGGTGAGAAGAGCGAGCGTCGCGGCGAAAAGCGCAAGGCAGGGGCCATGTAGCGCGCATGAGTAGGCGACGGAACGACATGTGCTAGACTTTGATTGCATTCATCCACCCCATCTTCTCCTGCCCGGCCCTGTCGGTGGTGTGCTATAGTTCGTCGTCGATCTGCTGCTCGGCCCCGTCGACGGTGTGGCTGCGGCTGGGTACGGCCCTTGTCTCCTGTCCCACCGCGATGTGGTCGGCGTGGACGACGCGGCAGCATGAAGAGCAGGTGCTCTAGGCGGCGGACCAGGCGGTGGTGGGCGCGCTGATGGCCACCTTGAGTCCTCGCTGCTACGTGGCGCAGCCGGCGGCCTACCCGGCGGATCAGTACGAGGCCAGCGTGATCTCGGATCTGGCTCTGTCGCTGGCGGCGCCGCTCTAGCCCATCTCGCCTGCCTCTCCTCTCTTTCTAATCTCCTCTTCTCTGCTTCTTCTGCCGCCGCGGCCGCCGCAGCTGCTGCGGCCTCTTCCTCTTCTCTCTTACGCTTCTCTTCCTCTAACCTGGCTGCCGCTGCCGCTTGTTCCTCTTCCTCTAATCTTCGCTGCTCATGCAGCTTCTCTGAGCCCCACCATCGTTCCTCTTCTTCCTCCTTCCACGCCACCAAGTCATCCTCGTTGAGATCCGATGTCGTCTCCCAGAGCTCCTCAAACTGAATCTCGTGCACGTCGGCGAGGGTGGCGGTGAGGTCGCCCGCTAGAGTCGTTTCCACAGATGGGTCTGACACTGTTGTTGCTGACTCTGCATCGCCGGAACCGTCTTTGACTCGCTGTCGCTTTGTCGCCGAGTATGACGCAGCGGCGGACGACGGAGAAGCGCCACGACGCTTGCTATCTCGCGCAGCATCGACGTAGGACTTCGGTGGTAGGACCCAGAGCTTCTCACGGATTCGCTTGTGCCTTTCCCTATCCTCCTCTATCCTTCTCATGACCTCATCCTTCGTCAAAGTCAAGCCATTGCTTTCCGCCTCACCCGGGTCGTGATGCTCCTCTGCTGCCTTGCGTTTTCTCTCCTCAATCGTCTCGAGGAGCTCAGCTATGTGCTCCTGCGGGAAGAGGCGCTTGAGCCTCCACGAAGTGAGGACCTGGATCGTCACCGCTGAATTGAGTTTGATGCCCTGCCAGCTGTCTGAGGGCACTACAGCGTCAATGAGAGCAGGCAGGTCCCTTTGCGCCAAGGAGCGGAAGTTGGAGAGAAGCAGAGCTCGAGATGCGCTCTGGCTGTTGTGTGACGATGCATAGTCGGTGAAGAGGGCGTCGAGGAGGAAGAGGATGTTCAAGCGTGAAGAGAGACTGGCTTTGCCACACTCGGAGAGGAGGCAGTCCCAGATATCACCCGATGATTTGGCGGCATGGCGATCTGCGAAGGCTAGGACCTTATGGATCGACTGCTGCGAGGCGTTGAGGCGGCGCAGCAGCGACACAAAGTCGAGGCGCACTTGAAAGGTGTCCTCCATAGCCGCCGGCTATCCGGACAATGTGCTGATGCTGTATCAAGGAGTCTCGTTGCCTATGTTGATGCTGTTGTCATGAGGAATGTGGTGCTGAGGAAAGGCGCGGCAAGCAACGGACGGAAGAGCTGAAGAGGCGACGTCGCTGCTCAAATTGGCTCCTCGACGCGTGTTTCCGCACATCGAGACAATTCGGCGAAGGTGGCTGGCCTTGATGGCGACGAGAGCTGGCGAAGGGACACCATTACGCCAAGATAAGCAAGGACGGGGCTGGCGAGTCGACGGTATTGCTGCTTCGGAATGACGACTCTACTCAGTGGAATCACTCTCTCAGATAGGGGCTCTTTCATGGCCAGCACCGTCCTCAAACTTCGAAATGTTGCGATACTGATGGACGCCCCTCATGAGGGCCTGTAATGAAAATCCAGTCACGCGAAGGGCCTATGCGCTGCCTTCTAAGAAGAATGCAGTCTGCTTGATGGCCACAATGACATGACCTCTGTAGAGCTCAAAGCTGGGCGCCCGGCCAAACGCGTCGCGCCTCGCGCCCATTTGGTCCGTTTCGACACTCTGTCCGTCCAACACCGGACTTGACTTGCAACCTCATTCTCACCTTCGATCCGATCTAGTCCTTCATCCCTCAGCATCGCGCCATCATGGCCGCCGCAACAGCAGCATCAGCGTCCACTTTAGCATCATCGTCGTCCTCTACGAGAACACTACCACCGGCTATCCGCAGACTAGTGCTCCAGACCTTCACCAAGAAGTACTCGCTGCAGCTGCACGCATCTGCCCTCACTTTCATCGCTGCGACCCTCGACGAGCACGAGCTTCTTCACGTCACACCAGGCGACGATGAGCTTGAAGCGGCACAGAGAGAAGCCGTAGAGGTCCTCGCCAAAGGTTGCCTTGACCTCGGAGTGCTGGAAGAGGCAGGCGGAGGAGCCAGCAGCATCGTGACGGCCAAGCAGCTTCAGCACGTGTACTCGCAGCTCGTCGCTGATGGGCAGCAGGCCGGGTCTGGCTCGTCTACGGGTGTTGCTGCTGCAGTGCTCGATCCTGATATCAGCAGGACGCAGTATGAATCAATTCTGAATGAGGAGGGAGCTCCGGCCCCGGATCGATGGTTCGACGTCGTCGACTCCTTCGCCATGCCGAGGGTGCAGTGGGATTCGGTGGCCAAGACCTTTGTCAAGTGAGAAAAGCCACAGCTACCGGCATCCTAGCTCATCGGCCGCTAGACTTATCATTCTCTTCGCTCCCGCAGACTTCCGCAACAAGCCTCCATTCTGCCCCCACCCCTCTCCAAGCCCCTCGCAATCCGCAATCGTCTGCAAGCCCTACGTGCCTTGGTTCTACGCAACGAGAACTTCTGTCCCCCCTTGCCCGGCTCAATCCGAGCCCGCAGCAGCGACTCGTGGATGAAGCTGACCTCGACCTCAAACCTGTTGGGGAGACCCAATGGTCGCTTCCTCCTCTTCGGCGTTCTTACCACCACACCAGACGGCAGGTGGTGCCTGGAAGATGAGGACGGGCGGGTGGAGCTGGATATGTCCCAGGCGATTCCTGGCGAGGGGATCTTCACGCTCGGCGCTCTTGTACTCGTTGAGGGCCGATATTCAGATGAGGACGGCGAAAAGCTGCACGTTCACGCCATCGGCCACCCACCGAGCGAGCCCCGCGCTCGCGCACGCGAGATGTACGGACACATCGACTGGACAGGCAAGGGGGTCCTCTCACTCAAGGAAGAACAGTCCCTCTCCCACTCTCTGCAGCGGCATCACCGCGACTTGTCATTTATTGTCCTGTCGGACGTGCACTTGGACCTGCCTCGCACCTTTCACTCTCTCAAGGCGGTGCTGCGCGGTTACATTGATGCAGACTTCGTTCCCTTCTGTCTGGTCTTCTGTGGCAACTTCCTTTCGGAGGAGGGGAGAAGAAAGGCGGACGGAGGGCTGACCAAGTATCAGGAGGCGTTCAATGGCTTTGCTGACTTGTTGGCGTCTTTCCCGACTCTCTTTGCCACAAGTCACTTCCTCTTGGTCCCAGGGCCGTCAGACCCATTCGCCACGCCGCTCCTCCCGCGCAAGGCCCTGCCCTCGCTCATATCGGATCCCTTCCATGCTCGCCTGTCCAGCAAGCTCAACTTGTCAAGGACCAAGGTGCAGGAACGTGTTCACTTTGTCTCGAACCCGTGCAGAGTGCGCTTCTGGGGCAAGGACGTGGTCGTATTCAGGGATGATTTGCTAGAAAGGATGAGGAGAAACGGCGTGGCCGTGGGAGAGGGGAAGGAGATCAAGGAGGGCGGGATGAAGAAGTTTGTGAGTGCAGTCCGTTCACAGAAGCCGACCTTGACAAGGTCACGAAGCTAATATCCTCCCTTGTTTCCCGCCGCAGCTCGTCTCCACCCTCCTCGACCAGGCTCACCTCTCGCCGCTCAATCAACAGGCGCGTCCCGTCCTCTGGGAGCATGACCATACGCTCCGCCTCTACCCAATGCCCTCAGCTCTCATCCTGGCAGACTCGTCGGAACACTACGAGCTCACTTATGAGTCGTGCCACGTCTTTAATCCAGGCTCGTTCAACGCTGCCGCCGTCTCGACGTCCGCGGCGGCTATGGCGGGAGGGGATGACAGACTAGGGGTAAGTGGTGCGGGGTGGACGACGTATTACCCAGCGACGGGGAGGGGGGAGAGGAGTGAGCTGGCTAGAGCGTGAGAAAGGCGCAACACGCAGATCCGTGTGGCATCGGCTTTGTTCTTGCATTGAGATCTCTACTTGCCAAGCGCTCGTTGTACCTCGCGCCGGATCAAGCGTACAAGTGCATCGTCCTCGCCTGCAGCAGCTTGGCCATTTGGATCGTCTGATGCGCGCATCGCTGAGGATGCTGAGATTTCGATGGATCGGGAGACGTACTTGCCCACCATCTGCGTTCGTGTGTGAAGGTAGAGGACGATTGTCAGCGTAATTCACCCCATTCCCCTCTTCTCACCAACCCTCGCTCGCACTCACGTCAAGCTCGACGTTGACCGTCTCCCCCGCCTTCTTCTTGCTGAGCCCGATGACATCTTGCGTGTGGCTGATAAGCATGACGCTGAACTCGACAATCTCAGCCTGATTCGCTTGGCCTGCGGCTTCGTCCTTCTCGCCCTCGCTCGCGGGTAGCCTGCCGCCGGCCGGCGGACTGACATCGATAAGGGTGAGGGAGGCGCCATCGAGCGTGACGTATCCCTTTGGAATGATGTAAGGCGAAAGGGTCGAAGGAAGCGGCAGCGTACCCGGCGCGTGGTTGAGTCGCAGCGTGAGCGTCAACGCACTGCCATTGGGCACGACGGACCGCAGAGTGGCCGTCGTATCGACGTGTCCTTGAACAAAGTGCCCACCAAATCGCTTCTCCCCCTTCATTGCCCTCTCACAGTTGACCCTGTCCCCGATCTTGAGCTCGCCCAGGTTCGTCTTCTTGAGTGTCTCAGGCGCAGCGCCGATTTTGAAGCTATCCTTATCGAATTCTGTCACAGTGAGGCAAGCCCCATTGACTGCGATCGAGTCACCGATTGTGCAGTCGTCGAGGATTGGGCCTGCCTGTCCGATGGCGATGGAATAGCCGCCGCCACCTGAGGTCGAAGCGTCGAGCGGCTGTACGTCGGTAATTGTGCAGAGGAGCTCGACGAGACCTGTGAACATGGCGGGCGATGCTGGTGGTGAGGTGGAGAAGAAGAAGTAGCAGCGGACCGCTTACGGCTAGCCAGTCCGGTCCAAAAGTCGCCGTCCGTGCTGAGTTGCAAAGCGCGTGGATGCTCATGGGCTGGGCTGAGGCTGCAAGCGGTCAGAGGCAAGCGGCGGCTGGACCGACCAGAGAGACGTGGACCAAATTGCACTTTTGAACCTCCTTGGCGTTTGACCCCCTCACGCCCCATTTCACCATCTCCATCGAATCCACCCAACATAGCGTAGCAGAGGCGAGGTAGACGCTCGTGCTAGTAGATTGCGCTCTCATCCGCACCGCACAACATGCCCTTTCCCTACTCGGCATCCCCTCTGATGACTGCGTCTAAGCCATCACCGCCACCCACGCCGCACCGCAACGTCCCCTCTACCTCCTCCTCATCTCACGATGCAACTTGGTTCCAGTCATCATCAGCATCGCCCGCGACAAATGCTTCCAAAGGACTGATGGGCTGGCAGAGCTCGCCAGCAGTCCAATGGGGCTCGACTCCTTCGCTCTTGCCAGCCTCGGTGCAGTGGGGATCGAATACCTCATTCGGCGGGTCAGCATACGCATCTACCTCTCATCAACCACTTGAGTCACCATCGCACGTACTGTCGCCGCCCGACAAATTCCGCAAGTCGGAGAGCAAGCGAAAACGTTTCGAGGATGAGGACGAAGATGAAGAGATGGGCGGTCTCAGCATCAGGGGAAGCCCGTCGAGGGACCGAGACACACCAACTGCCGAGGGGCGCGCCATGGCTGGTCGCAGTCTGGTGCCCAAGAGGATCAGGGCTGGACCTGGGGCAGTGACGGGAGTCGATGTACCCGGAGGCTCTAGCTCCAGCTCAGGCTTGACGTCAGCATGGCACAAGGGCGATGACCTTCCCAGCGCTAACGCGACCTCATCAGCTACCCCAGCATCAGCCACCGCTTCATTCTCTCCGTCATCGAGCAACATCGACTTGGGCAAGCTCCTCACCTCCTTGGACAAGGCCAATCTCCTTTCTCTCCTCTCCTCCCTCCTCTCGCTCCGACCCGAACTCTCCTCGACCATTCACTCACTCCTACCCATTCCGACCCTCGAATCAGTGAATCAGTCCCTCGACGCCTACGAAAGCGACATCAAGCAGGCTCTTCCCTTTGGCTCCGGATCTGTACGCGCCGAGTACGCCTGGAATCGCCTCAGAAGCCCAGTGGCGGACATGGTTGCGGGCATTCAGGGATGGATGGAGTTCTTCCGCGCTAAGCAGGAAGAGACGAGTGCTCAGAATGAGGGCGTGCACCCCAGTACGATGTTCAGCTTGCTGCTGAGTATTACGATCAGGACGATCAAGATTCAGCGAGATTTGCTGCCGGCGGTCCCCTCTACGGCTCTGGGCATGTTCAGTGGCAGCGGCGAGCAAGCACGTACGGCGTGGTCATCGTCTTCTCCCTCGACCTTCCTCAGCGCTCTGCCCGCTTCGCTTTCCTCCCCTCACTCGCCAAACCTCATCGTCACCACACTGCTTCCTCTACTTCTTGGCGCGTGGGACGCTCTCCTCGGCCGCATCTCCCACGACATTAACGTAGAGAGTAAGATGCTCGGGCGAGAGGTCGTCGTGTCGTGGTTCAGGGGGATCGAGCAGTTACTGGCCGAGTGCGAAGCGAGCAAGCAGCAGCAGCAGCAGCAGCATGGTGACAGGTCGGCGGGAGCCGCAGAGCAGGGATCATCGGAGGGGGCCGAAGCCTTGCGGGCCATTCAGGGTAGTGTTCAGAAGTTGGGCACACAGCTCAAGAGCGAGATTGGGTGGACCATCGGGCTCTACTGATGCGTTGTCGCGTTAGATGCTGGTCAGCTCCTCTTCGGCGGGCCGGCTGCAGACTCTCCCTCTTTCCATTTCCGGCCTTTCGCTCTCTCTCTATATGAACATCGCGAGGCCCACGTGCCGCCTTATACCCCCCACGCTACCATCTACTACATCAATGCGAGTTTCTTCTGATCCTTTGTCTGTTTATTTGGATTGCTCCCTGCTTGGGGCCACGGTCACAGCGGGTGGACAGGGCCGATCTAAGAGCGCAAGAAGGTCACGAGGTCTTCCACGCCAAGGAGCTGCGCGTTGCTTACTATCCTCAGACTGACCCGCAAGTCGCCTCTTGACGAGAGCTCAACCGCACGACGACCACGCCTTTGTCCTTGTCCCGCTAACGAAGTGTTAATTGAAGGTCGCCTATTGAATGAGGGAAGCCTGGAAAAAGGAGGCCCCTCGCCGCCGTGTTTCCCAGCCTCAGCCCAGTTCCCTCTTTCTTCTCTCGGTCAATTTCGCCCTGCTGGTCCCGAAGTCGGACGACGTCTTGCTGCATGAGAAGAGCCAGTCGAGATGTGCGGGGGTGGCTCGAGCGTGCGGCGGATAGGCCGTGTGGCAGGCGAGTTGGGCGGCATTCGATCCTTGCTCGCGAGCCCGTCGAAGGCACCAAGGGGCTTTTGCTCCGCTCGCTGGCTTGCCTTCGAGCCAGCCACTCTCTGTTACTCCTGTTGCACTCGCCATCAGCATTACTCCTGTGCCCCTCTTTAGAAGAGCTCGATTGTCATCACGAGCTCGCATCTCCATACAGTCAGACTTTCGTCACTCTTTCATTCGTCTCTCATCTTCAAATCACTCCCTCACCTCACATCCCACGACGCGCGCGGATTGCCGCGACCCGACACTCCCTCACTCAAGGCTCTCGGACGGCTCTGAAGTGCAACGCCTTGGTCTTTGGCTTTGCACTATTTTGCGGGCCGCCAACAGCAATCTCGTCTGGCCATCTCATACCGCAATTAGCTTTGCCCACCCGCTCGCCCTCTCCCTCGCTCCTTCCCCCCGCGCCCTCGTTCGATCACCCTCCCTCGCTCATCGCAATTGTCTCTCTTTCGGCCCGTGTCCCGTCGTAGATCGAGATGCGCTTCTCCCTTCTCGCACTGCCTTCGGGCTTGAGCGCTTTGGCCGCTCTTGTCCTCCTGACCTCGTCGCCATCCCCCGTCAACGCCGGACTCAAGCATTCCGACAACATCGTCTTTCAGCAACTCGCTGACTTGACTCGACCTGACTCGCTCAAGCATCACCCTGGTCAGCCCTTTGGTTCCATCGAGCAAAGCAGTCAGGATCTGCCGCCTCAGGTGCAGGGCGTCGATTGGAAGGTGACCAAGACGCAGTTCGTGGGTCGCCAGCCGCCTGGCTCTGTCAATAGGCAATATCAGGGCAATAGCCTACCTCTCGCTGGACTCGCACCCATCTTCTCTAACGGTCAGACTGAGCAGGAGGTGAGCACGAGTGGGCGTGCCATGATGCTCGCTACCAAAGACTAATTTGCTCCTCTTGCTCACCTCATCTCGCCCGTCAGGCCAACATCGGTGGAGCCCTTGACAAGCTACGCAAGCAAGTCATGAAGGCCATCAACAGCTTCCAACAAGCACTCGAGGGCAAGAAGGAGGCCGGCAAGGGCACCTTCACCCCCATCGCACCTCCTAGTCTTCCCCTCGCCGTCAAGGGCCCCTACATCAGCGCTTGGCTCCCCACAGGCGGCAACCTCAACGCCACGCCTCCCAACGCGGCAGGCAATGGCGGCCTCCTCGCTGGTCAAGACCCCGCCTTCTGGACCACCGGCTACGGCGCCAATGGTGACTACCGTCTGGGATGGCACGGACTCATTCGCGTAGACAACACGACTTACCAATGGATGGGCAACGCCTTTGGCACCACCATTGCCAAAGGTCCCAATGCCGAGCAGCTCTCTGCAGAGTACACGGCGACGCGCACCATCTTCAAGTTCAATGCCAACGGAGTCCTCTTCACGGTTACCTTCATGACGCCCGTCTGGCCCAACGACCTCGTCCGCCAGTCGATTCCGCTCAGCTACTTGCACGTCGAAATCGACAGCAAGTCGGCGCAAAACCACTACGTGCAGCTCTACGCCGATATTGATGAGAGGTGGGTCACGGCTCACGTTGAGGAGTTCGAGACGTACCCGTATCACCAGGAGTTCAAAGACTTGAAGGGCGTAGCGCGCTACTATCTCTCGCGCGACAAGCCCCAGGTCTACACCGAGTTCAGGCAGCGCGCCGAGTGGGGGCAGGTGACTTGGGCCGCTAGGGACAGGCCTGCCATCTACGCTCGAAACAACAACAACGTTGTCACACAGAAGGAGTTCCTCGACACGGGAATCCTCACCAATACCCGCGACCGAGTTGCAGGTGACAACAATGCCTTTGCCTACGCCGTCGACTTCGACAGCCATCAGGGCAACTGGGACGCCCTCTTCGCCATTGGTCAGTTCCGCGACCCCTACGTCAACTACATTCGCGCCAAAAACCCGGGCACGAACAGCACGAGCAGTTACCAAGAGGACCGCTACGGGCTGTGGGCGGCCAACTTCACCATGGACGAGGCCACGACCTTCTTCATTGACGACTTTGAGAACGCTCAGAAGCAATGCATCAAGCTCGATGAGCAGGTTGCGAGCGACTCCAAGGCCGTCGTCGGAGGTGGAGACACGGGCGATCACTATGCTGCGATCACGACCCTCTCTGTTCGCCAGTCGCTCGCTACGCTTGAGCTCACCATCTCCAAGGACAAGAAGGGCAACTATAACGCCAATGACACGCTCATCTTCCTCAAGGAGATCAGTAGTAACGGTGACATGTCGACGGTCGACGTCTTCTTCCCGCAGTTCCCTCTCCTCACATACCTCAACCCAGAGTTCCTCCGCTTGGTCATGCTGCCCATCTTCGAGTACACCGAGAGCGGCCTGTACCCGAACAAGTGGTGTGTGCACGACCTCGGCGTCTACCCCAATGCATTCGGGCACAACGACGGTAATGATGAGCCCATGCAGGTCGAGGAGAGTGGCAACATGTGAGTGCAAGCTGAACAGCGCAGGGGGAGCAGTGGCTCGGTGACTGACGAACCTCTTGGTCTCCTGCTCCTCTGTCAGGATTCTCATGACGCTGCACTGGGCTCAACTCGTGGGCAAAAAGGTGGCCGTCCCCTTCCTCCGCAAGCACTACCGCATCATGCGCCAATGGGCCGAGTTCCTCATCGAGGACTCGCTCATCCCCTCCTCCCAGCTCTCGACGGACGACTTCGCTGGTGTGCTCGCCAACCAGACCAACCTCGCCATCAAAGGCATCGAGGGCATTGCCGCCATGGGCGTGATCGCGGAGTGGATCGGCGAGACGAAGAATGCGACCAACTACCGCAACATTTCGACGGAGTACGTTAAGAAATGGCAAAAGCTCGCCGTAGACAAGAAGAAGACGCACCTTAAGCTCGCTTACCAGGACGACAAGTCGTGGGGCACGCTCTACAACTTGATTGGTGATCGCATCCTCAACTTGCAGCTGGTGCCCAAGTCGGTGTACGACCTGCAGGACAAGTACTACCCAACCGTGGCACAGAAGTACGGCGTCCCTCTCGACTCGCGCCACAACTGGACCAAGTCTGACTGGGAGATGTGGGCCTCTAGCATTGCCACCTCAGACAAGACGCGCAACCTCTTCATCGACCGGCTGTTCAATTTCTACTCGGACGCACAGACTGACGCCCCCATGACGGACCTGTACGAGTCGACTACGGGCGACTTCCCCAAGCAGGTGAGTATAGGCGCAGCAAGATGTGCATGCGCTGCAGCTCCGTACTGACGGCCCTTCACGCTTCGCGCCATGAAATCAATCCAGCCATTCGACCCTTTGATCTACTTCATTGCTCGTCCAGTGGTCGGTGGTCATTTCATGCACCTGGCGATACAGAAGGCGGACAAGGCCAACAAGATCAGTTCGTCCAATCCCTACAAGTACGGGCCAAAGAGCAACGACGTACTCGGCGGCGGAGCCAACGTGACCGGGACCGACCTGGCGCTCAGTCAAGACGAACTCTTCAAGAAGGAGTCCGCCAAGCCCAAGCCCAACGACGCCGCTGTTCAAGCCAAGCTGAAGCACTGGGATGAGCACAAGAACGATGCTCCTCCGAGCTCTCCGCCTTCGAAGCAGAAGGTCTTGGACGCCCACAAGACGAAGCAGAGGGCCAGCCTCTCCCAGCAGCTCTTTAGCGTGCCGAGGAGCGGCGAAGACTGCGAAGGCGTGGCGTGCTGGGAGCCTTTGAAGGCTATGGGGTTCAAGAAGAAGCATAGCAAGGGGCCCGATGAGTAGAGTGGAGCCGCTGGCACGTCATCACCCGTGGACCACCTTCCGTCTCTTTGATTCTTCCCTCCCACTCGACTGCAGCTGGTTCGCAGCTAGAGGCTGAGATAGATCCACGATCTTCCTCTCGCTTTCCACTTCTTGATTCTCATGTATGATGCTCCTGTTTCTCGGTCTTCTCGATCTCACATCATCATCATCCTTTCTCTAATTCAATCGAATAATCTTGATCATCACCGTCGCGAGCTCGATGTTACCTCAGCGGCGAGTCATACAAATCAATCGCTGCAACTCATTAGCGCATTCAAGTCTAGCAAGCCACTACTCCTCTCCATTGGCCCGCTTCGCCCTGTCCCTGTCCCTCTCTCTCCTCTCCCTGGCGTTTGCCCTCTGCTCCCTTCCCACTCTCGCGGCTTGTTCAGCCTCCCTCTTTAGGTCCTCCTCATCACCGGCTTTGGCTAGACCCTTCGGTCCCTGACCCCATCGTCCCGCGCGCGGTCCCCAATCGGCAACCATTCCCCAGACGTGCACCGGCGAAATACGAGGGGGACCGCCTTCTTCATCGCGACTCGGAGGAGGGGCGGATCGTTCCCCTTCGTAGGCGACCTGCTGCGCCCCAGCGTCGGCATCCAGGTCGCGCGGGGGCGAGCGTCCAAAGGCAGTGCTGGGCATGTTGTGCGCTACGGGTCCACCTTTCATTGCTGATGGTCGACCACCTGAAGCGACGCTGGCGAGATCATCGTCGCGATACGCTGATGTCCTCCCTGGGAAAGTCGATGCCTCATACGACGCCTCGTCCGCAAAATCGGTCATGCCCGCCAAGGTTGGATGGGCCTCCCTCGACGAATGGCCAGTGGGGCCCGCACGGCTCGCAGAGCTGCCCGGGGCCTCTTCGCCCTCCCTCCCCTCACGCACCCCCCAAAGCATCAATTCGCTCTCCAGAAGAGGAGCCCATCTCTTCCTCCTTCGCCAGACCTCGTCGTTGCTCATCTCGTGTAGACGACTCACCGCCCTCGCGTAAGAGAATCGCTCGTCTGCGCCTGAGAATATGGCCAGGTCAGGGAATCCCACAACCACTTCTTCGCGGGCGCGAGCGGCTTCTTTGGCGAGACGACGGGCTTCTCTCTCCTGAGCAGCGGTGCGCTGTGGTGGCGCGGAGGAAGAGGAGGAGGCGGCTTCGGGTGACACCTCGTCCACGTAAGAGGAAATGTTGGGTCTGAACCCTTCCTCCACGTCCTGCCTTGCTTCGGAGAGGGTTTCGCTCTGAATCAGATCGGACGAGTCGAGATCGTAGTACTCTTCCTCTTCCTCCCGCCCGTCCCGCTGTGCTCTCCTAGCCGCGAGCTCTTCCTCTTCCGGGTACCCCTGCCCTGCCTTGGGAGTCAAGAAGGGGCTTCGCGCCCCTCGAGCGGACATGTCCACCACATCATCAGGCTCAGCCTGCCCCTGGCCCAGGCCCCTCCTACTCTGTCCCCCGGCAGTGCCTCGGGAACGGTTCTCCCTCCTCTCTCCCCTTGCATCGGGGAAGAAGAGCTCGTCCGGCTCACTGTCCGCCAGCACGAGTAGACGCGTCCCACCCTCGTATGCAGCGTCAATGAAAGTGATCCATCTTCTCGCAAGGTTCTTGTTGACCAGCAGCAATTGCGGCACGTCACGTACCACTATCTCCTCGAAGTGGGAGACGATGGTAAGGTAGTCGGCCGGGCCGAGTGGCGAGTCGCAGAGCTCATGGAAGGTGAAGATTGCGACGGAGGGCGAGGAGGAAGTGGGTGGGTAGGCGAGGGGGATGTGCAGGGGTCGGTTGTATACTTTGAGCGTGGTAGGAGTTGATTGACGATGGTCGATGAGCGCGTTGAGCCGCTGCTGGAAAGCCGACTCCTGGGAGCGGAGATAGTACGCTGTGCGTGCCAGTGAGTGGGAGCTTGCCGGACCTTCGTCGACCTTGGCTTTCGCCTTGTCCTCATCGAGCCCAAGGGAGGTCCAAAACTCGACTGCGCCCGGGGAACGACGGAAGTCGCGCTCGCTCTTCATCTCGTGGACGGGGCAGCGATTCTTGAGGGCTTCAAAGAATTGGACCAGTCTGGCGGCAGGGGCGAGGGGAGGGGACTGATGGTCAGCATACGGCCAGGAGAGTGCGGCTTCGCGCGGGCACTTACTGCTGCTGCTGCACGCCATTGTTGTAGAGGTCCTCCGGCAAGCGGTTCGACGACCCAACGACGACCCCACCAAGCATCCAGTACGCCTCCAGAGTGCGCTTGAGTAGGCCTGCCGAGGCAATGTCGACCAGCTGCACCTCGTCGAAGAGCATCACGGGCCCGTAGTTGAGGAACATTTGGGCCGCCGCATGCAATGGCAGTGTCGTGGTGCTGGCTGTAGCCACATTAGCCGTGGCCTCTGCATACATGCGCTCTTGCTCCTCGAGATGAGCTTGAGCCCCATCTGAGTCAGAGAGGGAGTCTGGGCGAAAGAAGGGCATGCCTTGCAGTACGCGCCTCCAACCTGATCCTTTGCCGTCTGGGCGTAAGCCGTGCTCTCCTCCTCGTTTCCATACTACCCCGGTCCCGCGCGAGGGCAGGACAGTGTTTCTCCTGGGCCCACTGGACACATGCTGACCCCACTCGAGGTCCTTTTCACTTGTGGCTTGCGGTGTTGGAGGAGCTCCTCCCCTCAATGCCTGCCTGCGCTTCTCTGCCTCTACCCAAATGATGCGGTAGATGGTAAGGAGGAGGTGATGATAGTGCCTACGGAATTTTCCTCTCGTGGGGAGCGAGTCGAACCAGATGTCCAACACCATCGACTTGCCTGTACCTGGTGGACCGGTGATGAGAAGCCCACGAGGAGTGTCGAGGTCGGCGAGCGTTTGTTGCGTGGTGAGATAGCGCACGAGCTGTTGCTGCTGCTGTTGCTGCTGTTGCTGGGCAGTCCCACTCGCTGATGTCTCTCCCTGGGAGTCAGTGAGTGAGCGTCCCTGCCCGCCGTTGAGGATTCCCAGCAAGTGAGCAGGCGGTGTATAGTCTTGCAGTCTTCTTGATAAGTTGCGGAGCTTGACCAATGCTTTGACCTGCTCTTGATCCTCATCGAGCTCGCCCCTAGCTACTTTTGCTTGATAGATTGCCAATGGATCGGTGATCTGCAGCTCGTTGGCTGACTCTGCTGAGGGCCAGCTTCGAGTCCCGTGATGCAGCGCATAGCGTGGTGATGTCGCTCGCAAGTAGACGAGTCGGCGAGCTTGAGTGGGTATCATGGTGATAGGCTGGGGATCAAAGGAAAAGGAGTGCGAGTATCACTTTCCCCGCACGCAATGCCTTGGAGGAGCATTGCTGAGGCCATCAAGTCATGCACGTCGGACTGACGTCGCCTCCACTCCTCGGGCGGACCACGACGACGGCAGAGACGCGGCTTCAACTTTTTCCGACTTCTTCTCAACCTCGAGGCCCAATCAAGAGAGCAGGCTACCTAGCAAAGAGGGCAAAGATGCTACAAAGGGCGTCAGCAAGACATGCGGCGACTTCAAGCAGGCAGCTGTCCATTGCTGTGTCCCTCAGGGCATGTCCCGCCGGTATGGCCAGGTCCGCTCAAAGCCTTGGACCGCGCATGACGATGACCAAGACTCTTCAACCACGATCCCCTGCTATGCGCCGCTGCTTCTCCTCCTCCGCACCGCTACTCTCAACACCACACGAGGTCCCTCTCTCCGCCATTCGCAACATCTCCGCTTGGGGACACATAGATGCAGGCAAGACTACACTCACCGAACGTCTCCTCTACCACACAGGCGGGCAAGCCAGTGCACCTGACTCGGTCCACTCTGCAGCCAATTCAGCATTGCCGGGCGACGTCGATTCCGGATCGACGGTCACCGACTACCTTGAGCAAGAAAGAGAAAGAGGCATCACAATACAAAGTGCAGCCGTCGGCCCACTATGGTGGAAATCGCAGAGCAGCAAGGATAACCCTTCGGCAGCTATCACCCTTGTTGACACGCCAGGCCATATCGACTTTACCATCGAAGTCGAGCGCGCCCTCCGTGTCGCCGATGGGTGCATCGTAGTGATGGATAGCGTAGAGGGAGTCGAGGCCCAGACGGAAGGCAACTGGAAGATCGGCAGCCGATATGGGATCAAGTCGAATGTCCTCTTCTTGAACAAGCTCGACAGGCCCGGAGCATCTATTGCGAGATGCTTGCGGTCATTTGTTCAGCGGGGTCTTCACGCAAGACCATTGCTACTGCAGCTGCCCATCTTGCCGTCGGGATCAGGAGGAACAGAAATTGACGGCGGTATAGCTGGAGTCATCGACCTTCTCACCAAGGAAGAGCTGCGCTTCGAAGGCAGAGCGGGCGAGCAGGTAGTCCGCACTCCTTCTTCATCACCAGAGATAGGGCCCGCCCGTCACTCATTGATCGAGTCCCTCGCTTCCCTCGACGAGGTCCTCATGGAAGAGCTCTTCAGCATCGAGTCGGACGATCCTCACCAGAGCATCTCAGCCCAATCCCTGCGTCAAAGCATCCGTCGACTCACGATCGCCGGCAAGATTGTCCCTACCCTCCTCGGCTCGGCAGCCAAGCATGTCGGGGTACAGCCTGTACTGGACGCTGTGGTCGATTACTTGCCCTCGCCGGGCGAAGCGGGCGATGTACGTGATGAGCTAGGGATGGGCAAGGGCACAGTCCATGGTACGAGTGAGCGCGCCCGTGAGGTCGGGCGAGGAGGATCGCGCAAGCCCAAGGTACAGGGCAAGGCTACTCCACCGTCCAAAGAGGCGAGCGAGAAGAAGGAAAGCGCTGCAGCCGCTTCAGACGGGCCTCGTCTGACAGGCGAAGACGATGCGGTCGCCGCAGCCGAAGACGCCAACCGTGTCTCGATCAACGTACAAGACCCGACCCTCTCCTGCCTGGCATTTAAAGTCGTCTGGGACAAGCGTCGGGGGCCAATGACATTCGTGCGGGTCTACTCGGGCACGCTGAGTCGTACTACCACGCTCTTCAATACCTCCACGGGCACGAGGGAACGACTCAGTCGCCTCCTCTTGCCTTTCGGGTCTACGTATACCGAAGTAGAGAAGCTTGGCGGGGGACAAGTGGGCGTCCTGCTCGGCCTCAAGGACACAAGAACGGGTGACACGCTCGTTGACGCTAGGCCTGCAGGAGGCAAAGCGGCTACAATGGATCCTACGCTCCGCCTGCGACCGGTGGACGTCCCCCCACCAGTATTCAGCGTAAGCGTCGATGCCCACTCCAAATCCGACGAAGAAGCTGTGAACGAAGCGCTAGCCATGCTAGTCCGTACCGACCCCTCCCTCCGACTCGATTCTGGATCGGGGGACGACGCAGGCGGAGGGTCAGCTTTCGGTGCCGCAGGCACCAATCAGACCATCCTGAGCGGCATGGGCGAGCTTCACCTGGATATCGCAAAAGATAGGCTGAAAAATGAGTTCGGGGTGAAAGCGCGCATCGGTGGAGTCAGAGTCGCTTTCAGAGAGACGGTCGACGAGCAGCTGCGCGGCGTCAATGCAGAGCCTCATGTCGTAGAGGACGTTCTGGAGCGCGATATGGGCGGTAAGCGGGTCAAGGCAGGGGCTCGCGTGACCGTGCAGGCCCTGGCAGAGAACGAGGAAGGAGACCCCGCCTACGGAGATAATATCGTTGAGGTTCGCCTGGGTGGCGAAGAGGGCCAGAAGGGCAACATTGAATCTCGCTCCGAGGCCAAGAGTCGTACAGCTCGAGGCAATAAGGGTGATCCCGCATCTGGCGTGTCAAACCTCAATGCTGAGCAGAGGCAGGCTCGTCGGGAGGGAAGCAAGGGAGCCACTCCTGCCGGATCAGACGAGACCGGTACCGTAGGCATCGACGCAGACTCTCTGCGGCGCTCTGTTCTTTCGGGGGTGACGGCTTGCCTCTCGCGCGGCCCTCTGGCTTCACAGCCCTTGACGAAGCTGCACATTCGTGTCACCGATGTGCAGACCTTTGGACCCGAGCAGAGTCCCCCTCGCGCGGTGGGCGCGATCATCCAGAGCCTTGTGCGCCGTGCGGTGCGTGAGGCAGGGGCACGCATTGCGGAGCCTGTCATGCGGGTGAGGATCGAGACGGAGGAGGGACATATGGGGCGAGTGGTGAGCGATGTCACGACCGATCAAGGCGGGGATATCGTTGAGGTGGAGCATGAAGGGGCAGCGCAGGAGGGGACGGAAAGGAGGCCGGTGGATGTGTATCTTCCACCGGAGTCGCAAGGAGAAGGTGGAGAGGCAGAGGGAGCCATTCCTGGCGCGAGACAGAAGACGACCATTGTCGCTCTCGTTCCGCTGACGAAGCTCGTCTCCTACTCATCGCGCCTCCGAGCTTTGACGGCGGGCACAGGCACCTTTACTATGCGCCTCGAGGGGTTCAGAAAGGTGAGCGATGAGCGGCAAAAGCAGATCTTGGAGGAGCTGGGACGCGTTTGAGCAAGAACATATGCACGGCGTAGAATGTCATTGTACTCAGCGCTCTTTACGATCATCTATGTACTGGTATCAGCTCCTCGAGTAATGAAGCGGGCCACTTGGTCTGGCCTGAAGCTTCTCGCTCGTCTTGCTGGGCTTTCAGGCTTTCCAGCGTGGTAAGGAGGTCCTTCCACGCCCGATGCTGCACGCGCATGGAACTGAGGGAGAGATCCTCGCTTTCCTCGCCCTCGGTGCCGTTTGCCGCCTTGTCGCCATCTGACTTCGATGTGGGTTGCTGAGGCTGCTGCAGATCGGCGAGGTGAGCTGGCATGGCTGCTCGGCCAGCTCTGGCTGCGTTGGATCCTCCGCCGGCAACGAGAGCGTGTGAGGCGGTCAGGACAGGAGGATGTTGGGCGAGAACGAGGAAGCGAATGGCTTTGCGAAGGGTGAGTTGAATGTCCTGTCGAGCGCGAGAATGTCAGACCATACGTCCATAGGCATACTGTAATTTCGCCCTGCCAATGGACTCACATGAACGCTGGCAAGCCAATCCTGAAGCAGGTCCTCATAGTCACTCATGGCGATTGGCTCTTGCTCCTCCCCGTCGTGATTCGCACTCTGCGCTGTTGCTTCCTGAGATTTGTCAATAAGCGATGCGAGAGCATCTGCCATTTGGGTGAGGAGGAGGGCGAGGCGCTGCGAGGAGATCGATCTTGTCAGAAAGGATGGCAGCTCAATCATTGATGCCTTGCCCGACTCACGCCATCCCCAGCTGCTAGTCTTTGCGCCAGCCTCTCGGCCTGATGCGCTTTGTCCTGCCTTGACGGGCCAGCTACAGCTGCTCCATTCTGCGGCTTGGCCTCTCCTTGAGCCTCCATTGTGAGTCCTTGGTGATGCGGATGAACGGATGGCAAGGAAAGAGTGCAGTCCGGTCGACGCACGGGCTTCTCTCTTTTGTTTTCGTGCCTTCGCGCCTGTGCAGCGACCAACACCTTTTCCTCTTCTCCTTAGCTCATCCCCACACTCGGGCTCGTCATCGTATGTCCCTCGACCTTGACTGGTCGCTCCTAGATGCGCAACTAGCCGACTCGCTCCTCGCAAAGCTCAATGCGTCCCTCAGCAAGGCCCCCCGTCCAGACTTCATCGGGCCCATCTCTCTGACGTCCCTCGACTTCGGGCAGGACCCGCCGGATGTGACGCTCACCCATCTGGGAGATGTGTGGAGAGAGCTCAGCGATGAGGCTACGGCGGCCGCCTCGCAGCAGCAGGCAGCTACCGAGACTACTGCGGTGAGGCATGTGGCTGCGCAGGCCTTTGAGGATGAGGCGGAGGATGACGAGGGAGACGTCATTGCGCCAGGGGAGCAGGGATACAGAGGCCAAGGGCCGCAGCCGATGCGCAAGAGATTGCAGCCTGGAGATCATCTCGCTAGGCTAGCAGAGCATTCCTTACCATTCACAGGGCCAGGTGTTGTCGGTCCCCGCCTGCAGACGTTCCGTCAGTACACGCCGAGCGATATCCAACAAGTCCATGGCGGTGCGGCTGGATCTATGGCGAGTTTCCCAGCATCGATACCGCAATGGGCCAATGGTGGTCCAGGATCAGCATCAGGCAGCGGTCTGACTACACCTGCTTGGGGAGCGGGATTAGGTACCCGTCCATGGCCACAGCGATCGCAAACGGGGAGCGGAGGTGTCGTCCCACCGAGTCCGTACTACAGTGGCATGCACACTCCCAATACGTCCGGGTACTTCGGTCATTGGCCCGGCGCATTACCACCAAATCATCAGCAACAGCAGCCATATCGACGTCCAACTTACTGGCGAGCATCTCAGAGCGGCCTGTCGGCAAGCAGGTCACCACCTGCCTGGGGTCCTTCGACTGGAGATCCTTCACCTGCCGATACGCCGGGAGGATCTAAAGGGCCGCAAGACCCTTCGTCGTCGTCGTCAACATCCCAACTACCCTCTATGCAAATGCAATTCTCCGTCGTCTGGTCGACCAACACGCTCAAGCTAGGCATCAATACTTCCCTCGTCATCAACCACCCAACACCCGCGTTCATGCAACTGCCACTCAGCGTGTCGGTCATTGGTTTGGGCGTGCAGGCGGGCGTGGTAGTGGCATTTGAGGAGGGAGACGAGGATAGAGGAACAATGAGAAGGGTCCATGTCTCCCTGGTAGAGGACGAGAGCGGCATTGGAACGGACGAGGGGAGTGATGATGTGGACGATGATGAGCTGGAGGGCGGATCGAGGCGTCGTGAGGGGACCAGTGATACCATCATCGCATCGGGTCAGGCGACGACAACAGCAGCGGCAGCTACATCAGCACGAGGGCTTCGCACGCCGCCGCAATACGGGTCACGGCGCACCAGTCACACCCAGCCTCCTCCGCCTATCCACCCACATCAACAGCGACCCCCAACAGTAGGTGAGCGTCTCCTCCCTCACGTCACGCTCGAGTCTTCGGTTGGACAAGTGGATAAGCATGGGCTGCGCAATGTGGGAAAGGTGGAGAAGTTTATCGTCGAGGTGCTCAGGAAGGCAGTGGAGGACGAGCTCGTCTGGCCCAACTTCTATACCATTGCGCTGCCTGCGAGTGCGCCGGCGGGGCCTAAGCGGGAGGAGAGGACGAGAAGACGGCCATCGTCGCCATCGTTGTCAAATGGGTCGCTCTAATATCATTACGCATAAAGTCGTGGTCAGAGATTGCGAGCTAGTGTGAAGGTCAAGATAGGCAAGCGGCGGAGCTCGACGCGTGAATGCAAATGGCCCATGCGGCGCCGGACAGACGTCGAGAGAGCAGCGAGACCAACTCTTCTCTGTCTACCTTCTTGTCCCATTCCCCTCTCTGTCATCGCACACGATAATGGCAACGAAAGCCTACTCCCTTTGGATCTACGATAGACACTGCACTTTGATCTATCACCATGACTGGACCGTTGCCTCCTCCCCTTCTTCCTCCACTCCCTCACCATCACGCCCGCTGCTCAATCCTGGCCCTGACCTCCTCCCCGGGGTGAGCAGGTGTGTCACGACGTCAAGTACAGCAGCGAGAGATGGGGCTAGCAGTGTGGGTCAGGGCTATCCAAATGGTGGATCATCGTCTTCAAGACCAAATTCGACCCCATCCGCTCCATCGGGCCAGCTCCCCCTCACCGAGCACGCCAAGCTCATCTATGGCCTCGTCTACTCGCTACGTAATATGCTCTCAAAGCTTTCCCCTTCCTCTGGCGATTCGAATCCATCACGGCAGCAATCACTGCCCTCAGCATTCAATACCTATACGACACCCACGTATTCCCTCTCCCACCTCCAAACGGCGAGCATGTACACCTTCGTCTTGCTGACTGACCCTGTTCAGCCTCCATCGCGCGGGCTTGGGGTGGCTCCTCCTCCTACGAGGCCTGCTTCTGCTCTACTAGGAGTGGGAGGAGGGTCAGACCCAATGAGCGGTGGAGCTCCTACTGGCGGGGGAATCCCTGGGTCTGGGGGCATGTCATTGCCAGGTGTGCTGAAGCAGATTGTCGGGGGACCGTGGTTAGAGTGGGTGGTTCGCAACCCCGCAACAACGGCTATGCTATCAGGATCAGGGCTGGGAGAGGGGCAACAGCAGCAGCAACTGGGGACGGGCGGATTGGAGTGGGAGGAGATGGACGATGTGGAGCTGGGAGAGGACGGAGATGGCCAGGCAGACGGAGTGACGGATGGCGAGGGAAGCGGGGTGAAGGGTAGCATTGCGAGGGCCACGAGGTCAAGAGGTGTGGACTCGGATGGTTTCAGGAGTGGAGTTGAGGCAGGTGAGTTGCTCCTCGAACTACATTGTGCGGACATTTCAGGCGCTCACGCCAATGACCCTCTCATCCTTCGCGCTCACAGTCCTCGCTCAGAACAAGCTCTCGACGGTATTTTGATGGATCTTCGTGATGCTCTTGCCATCATGGTCCAGGTAATGCCAAGTCATTGTGCAGCAGCGCTACCACTTCCATATACCGCGGCTCTTCCTGCACAGTCACGATCCCGTGCCTGACCAAGAAATCTATGACCACTAGGGCACAGTTGGGTTTGAACTCCCCCTTGCCCATCCGTTGCAACACCTCGTCCACCTCCATCAATCTGAAATCTTCTGCCTCCCCGTCCTCTGGCCTCAACCTCACGTCCGCTGGAAGGGGCAGATCGTACGTATACTCCACCTCGGGCTGCAAATAGCCCTCCGGCGTACGATACACATAGGTGATGACGCCCGTCTGGCGCAGGTGCTGACGAACTAGGTCGGCCGGCAAACCAGCCTCTTCCCAGCATTCTCGTACCATGCTTTCATACGGAGAGTCTCCCGATGTGATGCCGCCTGCGACGGAGTTGTCGAGGTAGGAGGGCCAGGTCGCCTTTGTGGGGGAGCGACGTGGGGTCCAAAGGCGAAGACCTTCTGTGCTGCCTGCATTGCCTGATTTTGATGCTGAGCTGCCGTCGACATAAGCTGTCATATGCACTCCAAACGTCGCGAGCCCAAATAAGGCGCACGCCGCCCGCTCCAGCTCAAATGCTCTCTCATTCGGCACTGTCTCCTTGTTCTCCCATGTGCGATAAGGGTAGGAAGGAGATGAGTAGATGCCATACATCTCGTCGCGCCAGCCGTCTAAAGCTGAGCTGAAAAGCCCCTCCTCATGCCATGCCCCTACAACGTCTGCTAGGGCTTTGCTCCGTTTCTCGAATGTATTCAGCCGGGCGTGCAGCCCTATGCGACTCCAACGCCCGTCGTGAACGAAGACTGTCGTCTCCGCATTGTCATTGCGAGCCTTGATTGCATCGAGGACATTGGCCGGGATGAAGCCGATCTGCGCTGTTGGCTTTGGGTCGAGGTGCAGGTGGAAGGGGACGTACTCGTCTGTCGTGGGTGACGAGAAGAGAGGGTGAGGGTGGTTGTGGCAAGTGAGGATGGTGGAGAGCAACGAGGCCGAAGACGCTTTCCCTTGAGAGGTGGACGAAGCGATCATCGCTAATGGCGAGGACGGCGAGCTGACTGGTGCTGCTGAAGAAGCTCGATGTCGCCGTCGATCTCAAACCTTGATTGCCATTTCTTCCGCTCGCGCTCAATCAGGCATGGCCCCTGCACCAGGCGAACTCCACTTGGCCAGTCAAATCGCCCGCCGGGACTCGAGATGCGCAGCAGCATCGATTACGTATTGAGACTGGTCGATTCAGGGTCCACGACTGAGATGAGCTGACCTTCAACTTCAGCTTCAACTTGACCTCCTCGACTGAGCTTCTCTTTCCTCCTCCCCTTCATCCGCTCTTCCCCCCCTCAATCCATCCACCATGCCCCTCCTCCCTCTAACAGCAGGGCTCAAAGCTCTTGCCCCGACAGTCGGCTTCATCTACGGAGTCCAGGCAGCCTGCGCATCAATCGCCGTGCCAAAGAAGACGGAAAAGTACTACGATCTCTGCGGATCACTGGGCTTCATCTCTGCTGTGGGCTTCTCCCTCTACTACCCTAGCTTGAAGGCCAAGTACTTGATGGGAAGCACGGCAGCCTTGCCTGCCATCACAGCCTTCGCTCCGCGCCAGCTTATCATGAGCGGATTAACTATGCTTTGGGCTGGTCGATTGGGAAGCTTCCTCTTTGCTGTGAGTATGCGCTGCAGCTCTCCATCGAACACACTGCTAATACTCAATGATCCTCCGCCCCATCCCACTCTGCGCCCCCGCAGCGTATCCAAAAGCACGGCGGCGACTCCCGTTTCGACGACATCAAGCCGAACCCTCTCAAGTTCTTCGGCGCATGGATGATGCAGGCAACCTGGATCACCCTGACCGCTCTCCCAGTCTGGCTAGTCAACACGACGCCTCGCGTCCTCCAACCCGGTCTCCGTCCCCTCGACTTCCTCGGCCTTACAGTCTGGGCCCTCGGCATGGGGCTCGAGGTCATCGCCGACCGCGAGAAGTCGGCCTGGCGCGAGGAGAAGTCTCAAGGAAAGCACAATGAGCAATTCATCTCCCGCGGCACCTGGAGCTGGACGCGTCACCCCAACTACTTTGGTGAAGTCTCCCTCTGGACGGGGCAGTACATCCTCTCCCTCTCTGCCCTCTCCGCTGCCGCTTCTACCACGGGCGCGGTCGTCTCCTCTGCTCCTTGGTACCCTTCGTGGATTACCTTTGCGGCAGCCGCATCGCCTGTGCTCGAGTACTGCTTGATTAGGTATATCTCCGGTGTGCCGATGTTGGAGAAGTCGATTGACAAGAAGTTGGGCGATGATCCTAAGTGGAAGAAGTACAAGGAGGAAACGCCCGCCTTCATTCCTTTCATCGGGCCCAAGAACTGATTGCGACGTGAAGAGAAGTCCAGGGTGGTCCTCAATAGGCCCGAAAGGGATCGATGACTATGCAAAGCATCTACGTTACCCTACTTTCTTGTTGCCGTTTGCTTTCTGACTAGCAGCTTTGCCGTTTGCTTTCTGACTAGCAGCTGTGAACCGCTCAACGTCGGTTGGCGTGATAAGCCAGCCGGCTAGGGGAGCGGCATCGGTGCTGTGTTGCGCGTCCCCAGCTTTCTCGCCATCACTCGCCTCTTCTTGCTGCTGATGAGCTCTCAGCCAAGCCTCAACCCTGTCCCAGGCCGCAGCCCCCTCACCATCGCTGCCCCTCATTCGACATTTGCGCTCACGGTAGGCGACCACGCCGGCGCCTTCGAGAGCTTCGAGCTCCTTGCCCTTGACAGCGGCGTATGTTTGCCGCTCGAGGTTTGTATCCACCAATCCGCAACGCTCGAGCAGCATGAGATAGTCGAGCTTGCAAAGCCGACTACGTGCCTTCTCCCTCAGCGGTCCGTCGCTCGGACTGCGTCTTAGCGAGCCTCCTTGCTTGATACCGCCTACGACGATCTCGATGTCTTTCGCTCTACCGTCCGTCGCGGAAGGCATGATCCACGAGCTGGACGTCCATGACGGGATGAGATCGGTAGTTGGAGGGTAGAGCGGGGCGAGGACTTCTTGTGAGTGGTCAAAGAGGCGATCACTTATGATGACTACTGGTGGTGGCTTGACGTCGACCGACTCAGCCTGGCATGCTGACATTCTCAGGCGCACATCGAGCCCTCTCTGTACCTCAGCCGCAATGAGGTCTTGGTGATCCCTGACTGGGCTGGAGACTACGAGAGCGTCGATCCCGATGGGGTCAATCCAGTGCGACAGAGCGGCGCCTTGCCAGCCGACCTGAGACCAGAAGAGGAGCTTGTCTGTACATGAATGAGAAATTGAAGGCAGAGAGTCCCATCGCCCAGGGACAGTGCGCAGCTCCGGAGGGGCCGTATTGTCCGCGAGTAGATTATGACGTCCTCGTACCACGCTGAGACTGGAGCCTGCGCTCGCATCTGGGGAAACGACTGCTGCTGTATCCTGACATTCGGCAGTGGCAGCCACGGCCAGCTTGTCCTGTTCTTGACGCCGGCGCATCAAAGAGGGCGAAGAGCATTCACCGCAAGGTAGCGTGGAAACGTACCACCAGCACTCGACATCTTTGCGCAATCCGACTCGCCCGGTCTGCTCGTCCCGCTGAAGTAGCAGGGGTAAGCCATCAATCTCCGTCAGGCTTAACTTCCTCGCAGTACTCTCGGCCGCGATCCGTTTGGCAAGCCACGTCCTCGCCGCCCTCCGAGCCATCACCTCTGCATGGCAGTCGTGCAGCACATCTCCCAGCGCAGGGTGGCGTAGCTTGGAGAAAGGGAGCGTCTTCGTTCCTGTGCCGAGCGCGATCGGCGTGGCTTTGATGACCCCGCTCGGAGAGACGAGACAGACGGCTGCCAGTATCGTCCATTCGATTACTTGCCCCGTTGCGGAGGAGGAAGAAGAGGACTGGAGGCGATGACTTCTTGCCAGGCTCGCCCTGTAGCGAGAGAAGACAGCCTCGACTACTTGGTCTGCGGTGACGTCGCTCCCATCTCGAGCTGTCATTTCCTCGCTTTTTTGAACCTGCGTTTGTTGCGCTACCTCGAGGCAGACATCGTGAATTGAGACCTGACAGCGTGGTGGGAAAGCGGACAAGAAGTTCTCGCACGAAAATTGAAAAGCTCTCACGCCCAGTCGGATGGGACGCACGCACAAGCCAGCGCCTTTTTGAGCAATTCGTTGCTTGCCTTCGCACCTCACGCGAATTGCAAAGCATGGTAGGCAGCAGAATCGTTGCCACTGGCTGTACCAGTGGGCTTGTGAGTACAGAGTGTATGACTCACTGTAACTGGCACGCTCTAAGTCCCGATGCTCGCCGCTCGCCACAGGGTCTTCACGCGCTTTGGCAGCTAATCAAGACAGCTCCAGCTACCTTGCCCCCGCCTTACCACATCTACCTCCTGGCAAGAGATCCAAAGGCTGCACACTCCCTACGGGCAAGAGATGAGCTTCAGGCTCTGTCTAGAGCGCTCGGAGGTGAAATAGAGAGCGATATTGAGCTGCGAGAGGCGGTGAGCTGGGCGATGTGAGCTGACCATGCTCAAGAGGAAATGCTGACATCAGAAGCACCTCACGTAGAACCTTTCCTCCTTGAGCTCTGTCCGATCAGCAGCCAAGACCATCTCCTCTGATATTGCGACAGCTCAGACAGCTGCAGCGAAGCACATCTCGCCAGGTCGCATCGACGTCTTCCTGCTGAATGCAGGCATTGCAGCCACTTCGAAGAGGCTGGTGCAGGATCGCGATGCCGACCTGGCAGGAGAAGAGGGGCTGCGAGATGACTCTGGACGATACGAGGAAACGGCATGTGTGAACCATGTCTCACAGCAGCTTTTGCTGGCAATGCTTCTGCCGCAGCTGCTGAATCGAGAGCCGTCTCGGGGCAGGCCGGTACGAGTCGTCTTCACTGGGTCGGCATTGCATCGCAAGCTCAGGACTATCGGTGAGTCCACTGAGTAAGCTTGAGTGACTTGCTATTGAAACGATGCCTCTAATTCCACCGTGTCCAACAGACGATCTGCAGACCTTCTTTGACCCACGACGCGAAGCCTCCTCTTCATGGGACATGATGCGGTCCTACGGAGCCTCCAAGTTCCTACAGCTGCTTGGCGCACAGCACCTGGTAAAGGTGATACAGGAGGGTGAGAGTCGCGGTGGAAGCTCAGGATCAATCGTGGAAGTGATTGTCGTCCAACCAGGTGAGCGTCTCTACCCTGCCCTCCTTCTCATCGAGCTCCCCTCATCTGACCGCTGCATGCCCTCGTCCCTGGCCTGGAAGGCTTCTCCCCCAACACTGGGCTCAGTCGGGAGTCGAGCCTACTCGGCCGCACATTCATGCAATATGTCCTTCCTCGCCTGCCTTTCAGCTTCATCACCTCACCCGAAGAAGGGGGTGCCAACATCGCTGAAGCGTGCTATCGCCCTCTGGAGGCATTCCCGCTTGTCAGGTCGGCAGACGCTGACCAGGACACGCCCTCGTCACCATGGCTGGAGGAGGGAGCTCCACCGCATCATGGAGTGCGCAAGGTGCTGGTTGCGAAGGGAGGAGAGAGGGAGGCACCGGACACGAGAAGTGAGGATGCAGAGCTGGCGAGGAAGTGGTGGCCAAGTGTGGTGGAGCGTGAGTGGGAGGCTGCTCGTCGTGGCTCCCAGATGTAAGCATGCTGTCCTGCATGTCATCTGCCTGTCTGCTGCACTTGTGTATACTATTCATTTTGCTCTCCTCTCCGCATCACAAGCCTCCACCCTGCGCTGCCCGTCTCGCGGCTGCTCTCCTTCTCTCTCCCTCGAGAACTTTGCACACTCTCTCCCAACTCCTTGCCTTTGCCTTTGCCCTCGATACGTCTTCCCCCTGAGGGAGATCCGCCTGGCTGATCTTTTCGTCATCCGCAGCCAGTCGCTCCAAGAGGCTCTGAGAGTAACGGGGAACGCGTAATGACGGCAAATCGTAAGGCTCTGCGAGCATCATTTCGTCCATGATGACTATTTGGGTTTGGTGCCAGCGACAGGGCATTCTGCGGGTATGAGACGGATGGTGGACGTCAATGTCAATACTCGTACTCGTCACCGACGGTTGGCATGACAATGCGCGCGGACTTACGTCTTGCTCAACCCTTCAAAGATCTCCTGCGCAAATTCTGTGACGCCCACACCGATCTTACTCGCCCTCAATTGGGCCTCCCTCGAAGCAGCTGCCTCACGACGTTCCGCGATGGATGCATCGATAGGTGTGATCGGTGAGAGAGTCTTGGCGAAGATGACGTCGGATGCGACGGGGGCATTCTGTGATGATGCCGATGAAGGAGCGCCATTGACCGGCTTGGAAGACGCTGCGGCCGCCTCTGCTGTGGTGTTTGGCAGCACTTCGACACTCTTGATGCATCGCTCCTTTATCAACTTGAATCCCGTCGGCTCCCTGCTCGAGCTGCCGCCCTGCGCCGCAATGACCGCGTTGGTCCTTTGGCTGCTGGGCGCAGCGGCAGCCGTAGCCGGATAGGGAGGGGGAGCAGCAGGGTTGTAGCCCGTCTCGAGTACTACGAGACCCGTTTGGACATCGTGTGAGAAGAGGAGCCCGGAGACTTGGGTATTAGGTGGTGAGGAGAGGGTGAGGCGAAGTGGGAGGCCAAGATACGAGGTGAGGTCTTGTTTTGCTGAGGCTGGAGAAGGTGATGATGGGCCTGTAGCAGGCGAAGAGGATCCTGCAGGAGGACCGGACTGCCGTGTTGCTGGTGTGGCCATGATCGAGTGGGGATGGAGCGTATTACTTCGTCGAGTGTGTTGAACTGACTACTTCGTTGGTTGCCTTGGATGCGGGGACGCATTCAAGGGCGCCTCATCTTCCCGCCCGCCCGCTCGCACGCCCTCATCGTCGTCGTCGTTGCCGGCCGGACCGGAACCTGGCTCATCGACTCGAGGCGGACCAGCAATGGCGGGGCGAGCGAGCGAGTGTGTGTGTGTGTGTGTGACCAATCGACGAACCGCACCTCGCTCGCTACCACAAACCCCTCCATCTCTTCGACTCGACGCCATCATGATGCGATCAATGCTCACACCATCCCTCGCTTTGCGTGGTGCTTCCCTCGCATCTTCTTCGATGCCCCCCGTCGCTCGTCGGGGCTTCAGCGTCTCTGCACTGCGATGCGACGTCTCCACCAAGTCCAGCTCTGTCCCCACGCCGGCAACAAACTCATCCGCCTCAGGCAGTGGAGAGGAGAGGAACCTGCCTACTGAGCAGAGGGAGAGGAATGACACTGCTGTTGAGGCCCACATCGTCAGCGATGCGCCTGGTGAGTATGGCGTGACGCAAGCAATCACCTTCATTCTTTGAACCTTCCTCTGACAACACCTTCTTCTTCTCCTCTCGGCCCCTTCCCCCACTAGCTGAGCTTCATCAGCGCACAGTTCGTATCTACAAGCCCGCGAAGACAGCCAACTCCTCAGGTCGAGCCGGTATCGCCCACTGGCGCGTCAACTTCGACCTCATTCAATCCTCAGACCGATGGGAGAACCCACTCATGGGATGGGCTTCCACGGCAGACTATGTTCACAACCTTAACATGCAGTTCAAGACCAAGGAGGATGCGATTCACTTTGTTGAGAAGCAAGGATGGAACTACTTCGTGCAGGAGCCCAAGAGTGCCAGGATCAGGCCAAAGAACTACGCCAGCAACTACTCATACGATGCGAGGAAGTTGAGGATTCACCACACAAAGTAGGCGCGCAGATAGTAGGGACCAGGAGCCTGTAGGGCGCTCCTGAGCGCTCTACGCGGATGCTAGAATGATACACTTTGTCGTCGACCAAGCAGAGTGAAGTAGAAGGGTCCTGTTACCTCACCACATCTCCCTCCCGTAGCATCCCAACCTCCCATCGCTTGCCTTGCCAGAGCACCGTACCCCCGCTCTCGTCTACATCGAGATCAGAGGCGAAATGCGTGACGACGACGTCAGAGCTGATGAGCGAGTAGGGGCCGAAAGGAGAGGCTAGTGGCGAGTCGGAGCGCTCGAGACGCCGCTGCCATGAGGGAGTACCCGGATACGGCGAGGGGTGGTAGAGGTAGCCTGATTGACTGCAAGACGAGAGGTGATGAGGGTAAGTTCATCGACGCTCCTCATCCTCTGCGTACCCCTTCCTCGCTTGCCACTCACGAGCACACCTTGAGCTTGTCGACCTGAAACGGCATCGTCCGATCTCCTCCCCACGTCAAGCTACCTTGCCCTCCATCCTGATCGTTCTCACTTTCTTGTGTGGGCGCAACCAGCCCTCGAAACACAACTGGCGTCCCGTGCTCATCGTCGACATTTACAAAGTTCCACTCTCCTTGGCATTCTGATATCCACCCGTAGCCCTGCTCACGAGCTAAGGACAGAATGCTTGACTGTCGAGGGGATGGGAGCGAGGAGAGAAAGGTGGAATCCTCGTGCCATTCTGATGGTGGCGATTGCTGATGGCCATTGCTTGCTGCATCTGGAGCCGCCCCTGACTGCTTGACACGGTCGAAGAAGAAGTTGAGGAAGCGCGGATCTTTGAAGCCTGGTGGGCGAGGGAGCGAACGAGCGAGCTTCTTATGGTCAGAGAAGACGTCCGTCGAGGCTTCGTCTCTTGTTCACTCACAGCTCGTCAGATTCTTGGGCACCGTATCGTAGAGGAAGAGCTGGCCATGCACATCGACAACGTAGCGGTACATGCGGGGCAGCTCATCGCTTTCGCCACCTTTCGCCGGGCCAGAGCATTTTGCTGTTGTAGCGAAGCCTCGCCGTGAAGGTCTGGCTATTGTGGGAGTGAAAGTGGGGTGTGTTCGCTGCCACCTTGAAGTCCCAATGCCGGATTGTAGTCGTATCCTCATAGTCCTCGGCGATGCTTGGTCATGGTCAGTTGACAAGTTGAAATGCCGGTGGCCCGGGCTCAAAGGCGCCTCAGACGCGTCAGTCCGCTGCTTCTCCACAGCGTCGTCCGACTCGTCGAATCGAGGCGCCCCTGCATCACATCTTTGGCTCCCCAACCATCACTGCCATCTACCGCGCCACCATCAAACATGGCTTCTCTGGACAATGAGCCAGGCGAAGGTCGCTGTGTCATGCGCGGAGACTGCGGCAAGGCCAGTCTATTCTCCCCCTCACTCCCCTGCGCCGTCGACCACGTCCCCGCCAGCGCCCCTGACGCAGCATTGCGCTCGCAGATCGAAGCCGTCTGCGGGCCCGACCTCGCCCAAGGAGACGTATGCTGTACCTCTTCGCAAGTAGAAGCATTATCTGCCAATCTCCAACAAGCAGAGGCACTCATCTCCTCTTGCCCTGCCTGTCGGAACAATTTCCGCAACTTCTTCTGCTCTTTCACCTGCTCACCCAATCAGGCCCAATTCCTCGACGTTTCGCGTACGCAGAAGACGTCGAATCCGGGACCGGACGGGGACATTGCAGTGAAGAGTGTCGAGTACTGGGTATCAGACGCCTTCCGCAGCGGCTTCTTCGATAGCTGCAAGGACGTCAAGTTTGGAGCGTCCAATGGGTTTGCGATGGACTTGCTCGGGGGAGGAGCAAAAGAAGCGGATGGGTTCCTCAAATTCATGGGAGATGAGAAGCCCCTCGTCGGGTCGCCCTTCCAGATCAACTTCCCACACGGCAATGAGTCGAGCTTTGATCCCCCGCCAAGGGCGTGCTCGGATGAGGATCTGGCCTCGAGATGCGCCTGCGTAGACTGCCCAGATGTGTGCACCGTGCTGCCTCACGTCGATCCCCCGCAGAGGGGAGATAGGTGCACGGTGGGTGCTATCTCGTGCTATAGCTTTGCGCTCATCATCGTCTATGCCCTGGCGCTCCTCGCCACCATGGTGGGATACGGTGCAGGCAAGTCGAGGAAGAAGAGGCGAAGGCGCATGGGCATCACGCATCGAGCCAGCGGGATTAGCGTGGCAAGCGAGGGCAGTGGGTACGAGCGAGTCAGGCTTAGCGGCGAAGAGGAAGGCACTCCGAGCGAGGGCGGCAGCCTCGGGCCAAGCTCAGATGGTGCATCGTCAGAACGATCAGGTGGCGGAGGCCTACTTGGCGCCACTGGCCTCGGGCGCTGGGGCAGCGATGCGACCCTCTCCCGCGGCCTCGCCTCGGGCCCCATGGACGCCACGCAACCGCGCTCCTACGCTCTTGCCAATTTCCTCAACTCCGCCTTCTACAAGCTCGGCATTTTCGTCACCCACGCTCCCCTTCTCACCTTCGCCGGAGGGCTCATCCTCGTCGCGCTGTGCAATATCGGCTGGTCGAGTTTCGTGGTCGAAACGGACCCGGTACGCCTTTGGGTGGCGCCCAACTCGGAGTCGAAGGTGAGGAAAGAATACTTCGATGAGCATTTTGGACCCTTCTACCGGACGCAGCAGATCTTCGTCATGGATGCGGAGGCGAAGGCCTTTGTGCAGAGCCCGGATCATCTGCAGAGGCTGAATGAGGTGGGACAGCTTCCGCAAGCGTTGGACTTTGAGCGACTTCGGTGGTTGCAAGACGTCGAGGCTGCTGTCGGCCAGTTACGCTCAGAGCCGGATGGCTACACGCTGGAAGACGTTTGCTTCTCGCCGACTGGACCAGGCATTTGCGTTGTCCAGTCACCGCTGGGCTACTTTCAAGACGACCTCGACGGGTCAGGCATCGACGAGACAAATTGGGCAGATCGACTGAACCGCTGCGCCCAAGCCCCCGCCGAGTGCCTGCCCCCCTTCGGCGCCCCCCTCAAGTCGAATGTCATCCTAGGCGGTATACCGTCGACTATTACCAACGGAAGCACGGAAGACGGCCGCCCCGGCCAACCGTCAGATGCTCGCTCCGCCGTCGTCACTTACGTCGTCAACAACTCGCTCAATGCAACCGAGGTAGCCAAGGCGCAGCAGTGGGAGCGCACTCTCGAGAACTTCCTGTTCGGCGTCGCAGGCGGAATCCATGGCGTGCCCGAGAATGATCTCGGACGACGTCGCCGCGAACTCGACCTCGAGGTCTCAATCAGTACGGAGAGTAGCCTGCAGCAAGAGCTCGGCAGCTCTTCCAACACCGATGGGCCCACCATTGTCGCGTCGTACCTCCTCATGTTCATCTACGCTGCTTTGACCCTCGGTGGAGGCGGTCATCGCCCTGTAGGCGGCAATTCTCAGGGCAACAAGTGGCTCAGCTTCCTCCCTACACGGCATCGCCTGCTCGTCCGCTCCAAGTTCACGCTGGGACTCTTTGGCATCATCATGGTCCTCGCGTCCGTCTCCTCTGCCATTGGCCTGCTCTCCGCCATTGGTGTGAGCACGACGCTGATCATCGCAGAGGTGCTGCCCTTCCTCGTGCTCGCGGTCGGGGTGGACAACATCTTCCTCTTGTCTAACGAGATGGACCGCCAGTCCACGCTGGCTAGCACGGCGAACCCGTACTCTTCTGCTAGCCTGGCGCGCAGCGGGGCTTTGCCCTCTATGCCAGACTTCGACTTCGAGAACGGGGACGATGATGACGAGGAGTACAGCGGCGCAATGCAGCCCACTTACCACCTCTCATCCAACGAACGAGCAGCGCGCTCTCTAGGACGTATGGGCCCGTCAATCCTTCTCTCTGCCAGCACGCAGATCTCGGCCTTCCTCATCGGCGCGCTCGTCCCCATGCCAGCCGTGCGCAATTTTGCGCTGTACGCGGCACTGAGCATGTTCATCGTCGTCTTTCTGCAGTGCACCTGCTTCGTCGCAGCTATGAAGCTCGACGCCGATCGCACGGAGAGTAGCAGGATTGACTGCTTGCCCTGTCTCAAATTGCCCGGCGCCATCGCTCTCGGCTCAGGCAGCATGGTACCGCACGCAAGCGAGGGAGTGCTGGGTCGCTTCATTCGTCGCACATACGCCTCGACACTGGTCAAGCCTTTTGTCAAGAAGCTCGTTCTGGTGGCATTCAGTGCCCTCTTTGTCCTCTCCCTCATCGGAGCGCACAAGGTAGAGATGGGTCTAGATCAGCGTCTGGCCCTGCCTGCCGACTCGTACCTTCGCGACTACTTCAATTCGCTAGACGCCTTCCTCGATGTGGGTCCACCGGCCTATTTTGTCTCGCAAGCAGACGTGACGCACCGTCCAGGCCAGCAAGAGTTGTGCGGACGATTCACAACATGCGCTGACCTTTCAGTTGCAAACGTCCTCGAAGGGGAGCGCAAGCGCCCTGACGTCTCCTTCATTGCCGAGCCAGCTTCGTCGTGGCTGGACGACTTCCTTACTTACCTGAATCCTGTACTCGAGTCTTGCTGTCGAGTACGCAAGGCCAACCCCTCCCAATTCTGCCTGCCAAGCGACCCAGACTTCCGCTGCAAGCCGTGCTTCGAGGGTCGTGAGCCGCCCTGGAACATCACGCTGGACGGCATGCCCGAGGATGGGGAGTTCATGCGCTACTTGGGACATTGGCTGCAGAGCCCAACAAATGAAGACTGCCCCCTGGGAGGACAGGCGTCCTACAGCTCTGCGGTAGACATCAATGCTGAGGGCAAGGAGGTCACAGCAAGCCACTTCAGGACGTACCATACGCCCTTGCGGTCCCAAGCCGACTTCATCGATGCCTTGCGCTCAGCGGAGAGAATAGTCGAGTCTATCAATGAGGCGAACCCGTCGCAGACCACCTTCCACTATAGCATCTTTGCCATCTTCTTCGACCAGTACCTGCACCTACGCACGACTGCCGCTTTGGTCCTCAGCAGCGCCGGGCTCGCAATCTTCCTCATCACCTGGGTCCTGCTCGGCTCCTGGCGTACATCAGCTGTAGTAGTCGCGTGCGTCATCTCAGCCGTCACAGGCGTGGTGGGCTTCATGGGCGCTGCCGGCATTGGGTTCAACGCCCTCACCTTGGTCAACCTGACGGTCTGCTCAGCCATCTGCGTCGAGTTCCAAGCACATGTAGCCAAGGCATTCATGAAGGCTCCGTCCAGCCTGCCCCGCTCCCACCCTATGGCGGGGAAGGAGAGAGACGAGAGAGCCTGGGCCGCTCTGGTCGATGTGGGCGGATCAGTCCTCTCGGGCATTACGGGAACCAAGCTGGTGGGCATCTCCGTCCTCGCCCTCACCAAGTCTGAGCTTCTCAAGCTCTACTATGCCAAGATGTGGGCAGCGCTTATTCTGCTTGGAGCATTGCACGGTCTTGTGCTCCTGCCCGTGCTGTTGAGCTACTATGGTGGGAGTGGGTATGCGAGCGATGAGGAGGAAAGTGAAGTGAGGAGAAGGTTATTGAGAGCGCAGGATGCCGCGGAATATCGACCTTTTACAGCAGAAGAGGACGACGACGAGGAAGACGACGAGGAGGGAGGCAGCATTGGCAGCGGGGGCAGTCGCTGAGCCGGAAGTGCTGTAGGTATCAATGACTTTCGCTTTCGCATTTGTGGCCGCCTGGCCCTTTTGACCGGAATTAGTATCTTCTCTTTCGTCTATTGGCTGCCCATACTCCTTCTCTCCTCGCCTTGTCGATCACTCTCTTCCGCCTCTTTCAATCTTCTTGCCACGCCTGCCCTCCTCTCAAGGATAGCCAAGCCAGCTGTGAGGGCAGTAAAAGGAGGGCAAAGCCACTGAGCCAACCACCACAGGGTGCCCACCAGGCCAGAGTAGCTTCGTTGCCATCTTCGCACCATGTCGGTCACCTGTGCCTCCAACGCTTCCGAGGCACGGCCTGTACGCCCGCTGCTACTCTCGCTGCCAGATATGGCAGACGAATTATCCAGAACGATATCTGCGTAGGGCAATTTCTTGGAAAGGGGCCATTGTGAGGCGAGGCGGGAGCGGGCATCGTCCTCGGTCAAGCCTTGTGGTCCATCGCGGCTTAGCATGCGGGAAAGCTGGTCCTCGGGAGAGCTAGTGGGAGGAGAGGAAACGTCGCATCGTCAGCCATGCTGGACGATGGCAGTTGACCTTGATCCTTTTCTGCTTACCACCAGACAAGAACTGCAGCCCCGAACCACTTCCAGAGTCCTGCCTCGACCAGCAACGGTGTATCCACGACTGTCACCTTGACGCCGCTCACCCAATTCCAGAACAAGAGCCAGGCCATTCTCTTCCTGATGGCAGAGTGCGTAATCCTGTTGAGAACCTTTCGCGATTCCTCATTGCCATCGCCAAATGCCAGACGACCAAGCGCGGGACGATTGAGCGTGCCGTCTTCTTGATTGATGATGGCTGGTCCGAAGTGAGCCACAAGTTGGGAGAGGGCGCCTGAGGGGTCGTTGGGCTGGACTACTTGCCGGGCTAGGAGGTCGAGGTCTATTAGCGGAATCTGATGCTTTGAGCTGAGGAGGTGAGAGACTGTGGATTTGCCTGCGGTGCGAGAGGGGAAAGGGCTGGTGAGGAGGCGGACGTACGAGGTTGGGCGAGGAGTGTCGCCCAAGGTGCTCACCTGAGGCAATGCCACCGGTCAAGCCGACGACTTTCGATCGTCATCAGAGGCAGAGAACGTTAGATTGGAGATGAAGTACTCCTGCCTGTCGTTTGCCGTCCAGCTCACCAAGCATCGCAGCGACTGATGACGGAGAAAAGGAACGAGGGGCAAGAAAGCCAAGAAGATGCGCACGGACTCGCCCGCATCGGACTGGCGGCAACGATGGCGGGACTGGCGTGAATTGAGCGAGCTCCTTCGTTGGCCCGGATCCCCGTGGCCATGCTTGAGTTCTTGAAGACCGTCAAGGCTGTGACAGAGTACACTCTGGGTTATGCGCTGCGTCGCTGACCGTGCTCCAATGGCATCCGTCAGCGACTCAAGGCCTGCCGTGAGGAGATTGTTCCTCTCACGCATCTCCCACACGTTCACACAAGGCTTCCGGTACAGCCGGCTATGATAGGATGTACCTCGACATGGTGTTCCAAGTGAGACCCACATGAAGCTCCGTCTTCGTCTGCTCGCTGAGTTGCCATCACATGGACCCCACCTTTTGGAGCTAGTTTGTGGCACTGCCTTTCATGCGAAGGAGCGAGAATCGCATGACCCAACTTGTCCCTCCCGGCGATCAAAGATGACGATGCGCTAGGCTAAGCTGCAGCGATGGCGGCGTTCGATCAGTAATCGCGGACGATCAATCTTGTGATTCTCATGGCCGAGACGAGATGCTTTTACGTCCCCGTAGTGGGGATGCTCCCCTTTTTCCCCTTCACAACGGGCTGCTCCTCATCTCCTGCTACCCCGCATTTTTGTCGTGGGCAGCAGCGAGCGAGGTGAGATCCGCGAGCGTGCGAAGAAGGGGGGCCAAGCAGCGCGGCACAAGCGGGCAGATTGGCTGAGCAAAAAGCGGGCAGCGCCCTCCGCGCCCATCGAGACCGACTCTCGAGCACACCGAAGCGCGCTCTGGAGAAAGGGGAGGCGGCGGGCGAGGCGAGAAAGCGATGGCGATGGATTGCGGATCTTCTTGGACCTCCCTTTGCCTCTGCCCTGCCCCACTCTTCTTCTCTTTTTCTTCTCATATGCTCAACACCCTTTCGCGGGTGACAATCACAACCTCGAGAGCGACAAGAACTTCATCACTCGCTCAGAGAGCATTGCTCGCACCTTCTTGCCTCGCTGCACCACGCTTCTCGTTGCCTCATCCACCTTTCATCACCTCGTCACCCAACGTCATCGCCGTCAGAATGGCTTCGTCCTCTTCTGCCAGCGGGCGCTCACCGTCGTCCTCTCGCCAGCCACAGCTTCGCCTTCAGCCCACGCGCCTCGCCCTCGTCCAGCTAGGCCAGACCTCCCGCGACAAGGGCTTCAACATCTCCCATGCTCGCGAAGCCATCAAAAGGGCAGCCACGCAGGACGGAGGCGCAGATATGGTCGTCCTGCCTGAATGCTGGAATTCACCTTACGGCGTGCACTTCTTCAATGACTACGCAGAGGATTTCGGTGGGCTTTGGGAGAGGATCAAACGTTCCATCGATCGCAGAGGTTCGCGATCCCGTGATAGGGATGAGGAGGGCGATGGTCAGGCTGAGGAAGCTCTCCTTCAGCGTTGGGGCGTTGATGGACTCGGCGGGGCGGCACTCGAGATTGATACCGAAGCGTGCAAGAGCGAGTCGATCAAGTTCATGAGTGGGATTGCTAGGGAGCTGGGCATCGTGCTTGTCGGTGGGTCCATCCCTGAGAGGGTGGCCAAGGATGGCAAGCTCTTCAATACCGCCACCGTCTTTGATCAGAAGGGACGCCTCATCTCGATTCACAGAAAGGTAAGAGGAAGTCGCGGATATGCCAACGAGGACCTTGGCAGCTCACTGACACATCTGCTCCTCATGCTCGCTCAGGTGCACCTCTTCGACATCGACATCCCAGGCAAGATGACCTTCCAAGAGTCCGTCACACTCACAGGGGGTGACCGTGTTACCGTCTTTGAGTGCTCCCTCGGTCGATTTGGTCTCGCAATCTGCTACGACATGCGCTTCCCCGAGCTCGCTTCCATTGCTTCCCGCATGGGAGCAGGCGTCATGATCTACCCAGGTGCATTCAATACCACCACTGGGCCACGCCACTGGGAGCTCCTGCAGCGATGCAGGGCAATGGACAATCAAATGTACGTCGCCGCTTGCTCGCCGGCGAGAGCGTCGCAGGAGGCTATTGAGAAGGAGAAGGCGTACCCTGCGTGGGGCCACTCGACTGTCACTGATCCCTGGGCGAAGGTGGTGGCTACGACTGAGGAGCAGGAGACGATCGTTCGGTGGAAGCTCGACCCAAAGGAGGTCATGGAAGTGCGCACAGGCATTCCAATTACTAGGCAGCGTAAGTATCGCGGCTATCCACCAGAAATTAAAGGCTGCGCAAGCTAACCTTTTCAACGTCTCTCCAATGCAGGACGCTACGATGTGTACAATGACCCCGCTATGTGATCAGAGGAGCCGCAGTTATACGCTACGCTAATGCGGAACGGCCATCTGCTAATACATGATGCGCAAATGGACATTACTCTACTCCTGCATATACGGATTCAATGGTAGTCATGAGAGTGAATTCGTGTTAATGAGATAGTGAGAGAGTCAGAGCAATAGGGTATCAAAGAGTCGACAAGACAGGGAATGTAGAAGAAGTCCAGTTGTGGCCCTCCGTCTCCAGCAGCCGCACGAGAGCGCCTTTCTTCAATAGCAGCGCCTTGACTCAATCCCACACCACGACATCCCTCGCCCTGATCTCCATCTTCCTCCTCAGATCAGCAACAAGACTCCTCCTCCTCTGCCCCTCGCGTCGCTCCACCTCCATAGGCCTCACCTCAAAAGGCTGGCCGACGAGGTCTGGCGGCAGCTGTGGAAGGCCGGAGAGCTTGAGAAGTGAACCAAGATCAAGAGAGCGCAGGGCACGGTCGTCGGTGAGTGCTTGTTGCTCGCCATTGTCGGCCGTGAGGAAGACCTCGCCTTCTGAGTTGAGGTCATCCGGCTGAACGCCGCGCCCATTGATGGCACGACGTACCGCCCGAAGGACGCCTCGGCGCAGCAAAGCTCGTGCCCGCTGGGCGCGACTCGAGCTGTACGCCTCATCGTCGTTGTCCTCCTCGGGCTCAGTATCTGACGCCTCGGCCAGAGACCGCTTGGCTCTTCTCGGCTTTTCGTGAACTCCGTCCATCAGCCTCGCCTCATCCTCAAACTGCCTCCTCCAGCTGACTGGCGCACCAAACCACATACGACGCACCCCGTCCGCCACGAGTCGACGGGCACGATCTCGTCCCTCTGCCGCGGAGCGGATGGCGAGGAAAGGCTCGCGCGAGTCGGCCGTCGCCCCTGGTGGGGGAACGGGCTGCGTGAATGGGCGAGGGGCTTTTTTGGTGGAAGCGGTGCCTTCCTCGGAGGAGGAGCGACGAGAGTCGAGACTGCTACGACGTGAAGAGGTGGAAGATCCGGCGTTAGGGTCGGGAACTTGCAGGAAGCCGTGGCCCGATGAGCTTCTCTCCATTGGAGCAGCGGTCGAGCCTGCTGAGGCAGCCGATCCCTTACGGTTGCGTCCCAATACGAGCTGAATTGGTTTACGACTAGCCGCAGCCGCCGCCTTGGCGAAGGCAGCCGGTACGACGGCAGGGCTAGGTCCAGGTGTAGGCAGGGGCGTATTGACAGCGCTATGCACATCTGGGGCCCCAAACCCATTGAAGGCCTGGCCCGCCACGTTCGCAAAGGCATTGGCCTCCTTCTCTCTCTCCGCTCTCGCCGCCATCTTGCGCTTGTGCATGCGACGGCGAACGCTGAGCGCGCACTTGTACCCCCACCAGAGGTGCATGGGGAGAGTGACGATGAGGGATGTCGCGACGCCCCATGAGCCGTCGATGTGCGGAGCAGAGCGGCCGTGCGGTGTAATTGAAGATGCGAGGAGAGCGATGTGAAGGAAGATACGCGTGACGAAGAAAGTCGAGGTAAAGGCGACGTTGCTGCGAAGTGGTGGGTGGATTGAGGCAATTCCCATTATGAAGGTGGGAAGCTGTGCGCGTGGGATTAGGCGTGAGGATTAGCGGCTAGTGCTGGAGTCGAACTGTCTCGTCTCCATCTTCTGCTCACCTCAAAGATGCACGCCGCAACGACAATGTGCCCCCACCCTCTGTGGACCCACCAGCTGAAGAAGCCCAAGTACACCGTATGATGAATCCATCCCGAGCTCAAGTTGATCAACTTCCTGTAGTAAATACTGCCAAGCCCCAAGTCGCTCATGAGGTAGACTAGGAAGAAGGCGCACACACTATTCGCGAACCGGGTTCTCAGCCTGATAGCGTGCAGATCGAAACCGCTAGCCAGAAGGTCCCACAGAAAGGGTACGGCGGCGAGCGAAGTGACTAGGCCATTGAGGGTTGTCAAAATCCAGGCGCGTCTCTTCTGTTGGGCGAGGTCGGGACCTGCGAGTATGGTGCGTGAGAGCAGGTGGAAGAGACCGTGCTGGATGATGAGGGAGGCACAGAGAGCGTAGGTGAAGAGAGGCTCGTTGAGGGCCGAGTCCGCTGGGAGGAGGTGGGTGAAGAGCATCGTGGACGCGGTTTTGGCGCGTAGTCTGGGCAGGGCGAGTCAATGTCTTCCTCTAATCGAGTCGTGCTAGTTGGCTGCTCAGGTGTCGTTGAGCCCGTGTAGGCGACGGCAGCCAGCGGTGGCCTCTAGATGCTGGCCACTAGATGACAGTAGATGGAGGAGAGAAAGGGCGTTGCAAATCCAAATCACGCCCAGGCTAGACTTTGTGGGTGCTCCACCATCTTGGAGTCACTTTAGCGCCCCGGCAATCAACAGGAGGCGCGGTATGTGGGTCAGTGTGTGCTTGCAAGCGGAAGCGGGGACACGAGGCTGGCGACCGTGGCAACGTGCAGGAAAGGGTCAGGGCGACCCCTGGAACTCGCCGTCCCCGCCGCCGCCACTGACACGCCACCGACAAGCGGGGGACCAGAGTCGAGACGGGTCGGAGTCGCGGGCAGACGGGATGTGATCGTACGATGCGTGCGATCCGTGGTTGATTCATGAGCGAGACAAAGAAGTGATGCGCGAGGATTGGAGCAGAGGTACGCGTCAACATTCGATGCGCTGGAAATGGCTTGTATTACCAGCTGCGGTTGGGAAAGCAAGGAAGACATTAGGCGGTCCTGTTCGAGAATAGAGGAGGAGGAGGAGGAGGAGGAGGAGGAGGAGGAGGAGGAAAGAGTGTTTCGGTGACGAATGCTGGCTGATGACGTGTATATAGAAAGCGTGGATGGGTGGGTGGGCCGGGAGCGTGGATGGTATGACCCTCCAATGCCGAGCAACTGAGAACAAATAAAACAGAAGGCGTGCACAGGAAATCCCGGCGCTCGCACGTCGAGACCGTTTGTTGGGGCCGACTAGATGATCAAGCCGCAACAGCTGGCGTGCTACCTTCCTCGCTAGATTCGAAGACGGAGGAGGTAGGTGAAGACCCGTCCTCGACCTCCTCTAGTTTCGACGCTGGCGCGTCCTTACTGCCGACAACCGCAGCGACAGCACTGACTGCGGTGGATGCGACGGCGGCGACGATGGGTGGCGCGATGGCAGCTCCGCTCCTGAAAGTGTCCATCTCATCTGCGCTCCTGGCCAGCTCTGCAAGGCCAGCACAAGCCCTTTGACGATAATCGAGGAGCGTCTCGAAGGATGCTAGGACATTCGCCAAAGAGCCCGAGCCGGCGGGTCGTGCCGCCGAAGAAGCTCGCTCGACCGCTTGTGAGGACGCTTCAGTGGCTGTAGTATCTACGCTGCTGTCTGCCGCTTCCTCCTCCTTTACGACAAAGGATACACGGCGATCCTTTCCCTTGGCGCTAGCGGCGTCTGCCGCAGTGAATCGTCGCTTCTTGTTGGCGTCGGATGCGGTAAGAAGCTCGTTATTGGACTCGCCGTCTTCATCGCTATCGTTCGCACGACGCTTGGCCGCTGCTTTCCCGTTTTTTCGACCAGCCGAGAATAGCCTGTCAGAGGCCACGGTATGCCGGCGTCGTTGCAGCGCCAGAGCCTGACCAGCCCAGTCTCTGCGGCTTTGCTCTTGGACGTGGAACATTTGAGCAAGAGAGGAGGCGGAAGAGAGAAAGTCGGAGGACGAGAAGGCTTGCTCCCATGCTGGGTCACGTTGTGGCTGAGAAGATGTAGAGGCGACGCTGCCTTCTTCGGCCTTCGTCTGAGCAGCTTGGCCCATGGCGCTCTTGACTGCTTCGTCTAGAACAATGCTCTGTGCTCGAGCGATCCTGAGACTGCTGGTGCCCACCGCCGCAAGACTGGCTTGTTCTGCCAGAAGGGCTAGCTGAGCTCGCCTTGAGCTAGACGTACTCAAAGCTGGAAGCGAGGGCCTGTGTGTCGCAAGTTGAGTCATATTGGGTGCTATGTCGGCCGCAAAGGAGACAGATTTGCTGCGTCTGACGGTCTTGGTTGGAGAAGATGGCGCGATGGGGCCTAATTGAGGAGATGGCGTTGGCTGGGTGATCGAGATGGATAGGTGGGGAGCTAGAGTCTGTTGAGAGATGAAGGTGGTGGCTAAGAGGGATGGTGAAGTCGCTTCGACAGAAGGACCTTCTGCGTGAGCGTCAATGGACATGATCAGCAACTTTGCCCCGGACCTGCCCCGGGAACTGGGCTCGACAACCACACGCCGTACTGCTAATGGCAGATTCTTGACAAGGCCTCGGGGCTCGAGGCCGTCGATGTCACTCGCCGTGCGGTCTGAAAGATCTGGACTTTGGCGGCGGCGACGACGACGACGACGAAGGCGGGTGCGACGCCAATTGAAAGGACGCGAGATCTGGCTGGGCTGAGTTGGGTCGAGGTTAAGCTCGTAGACCTCGGGCGTCGAGGTCGAGGAGCGGCAAGTGCAGACGGGCTTGCTGCAACAGTCTACGGCGTTTGGAGATGAGCAGCCCTCAAGTGGGTGAATGTCGAGGTGATTGAGGGAGTGAGGATGGGGAAGTGAGGAGCTAGGCTTCACTCCGTGGCTGCGTGCGTGAGTGTATGGGGGGGGGCAGAGAAGGCTAGACTTTGAACGGCTTCGAGCCCGCGGGTCTGGCCTCGCCCAACCGGCCTCGCCACTGGTCCGTCCCGCCTGCGAGCCAGCGGCGAGTGGAAATTATTTTCCGTCCTCACAGCTCTTGAGCTACTAAGGCGATAGCGGCGACAGCGGTCACAGCGGCAACGATGACAAGGTCTGGAACTCTTCACGAAGTAGTGAAGAACGGATCTATTTGTAGCTCCTAGGGTGAAGTGAGGCTGCCAAGGTGGACAGGTTCCTGTAGCGGTGACGAAGCGCTCCTCTCATTCTGCCGGCGACCACCCGATGGTAGCGCTGGGCGATGATAGCAGTCACAAGATGCCATTAAACGGTAGTCTCTCCAGCCTCGCGTTGATGACCATCAAACATCAATGGCATTTGCCAATATGCGTCGTCTGTGCTATCGAGCGAAAGATTGCAAGTGGCTGCCTATCGTGAAGCCGGAACGGGCGGCAACGAGAGTTGACTGCAGGGCGGCGAGACGGGCCCGGGGGGCGCGGCCTGGTGGCTGATGGCTGGTGCTCCTCATCTCGGCCGCCAACTGACCCCGCATCAACTTGGACGACGCTCAATCGAAAGCTGCAGGCACCAGCTCGTAGAGATCAGTGCTTCGCTCTGATTACCACGACGACATCTCCTTCACCGACCGACTGGTCTGGCTCCTACGATGGTGTTTCAGCTGGCGTAGTCGCCTCACACCCTAGCAGCTCTCTCCTCATCATCGCGTCGTGGAGCCATGAGCATATATCGATCGTCGTCGTCAGGGGGCGGCGTCGGAGTGGTCTCGCCCTTGGCCGGCCCCTCTTCGTCTCGCATCAATGCCAGCACCACACACTCTAGCCCCAACTACCAACATCAGCGATATGGCATGGGCAGCCCTTTGGCCGAGTCTCGCGAGACATTGCCTCCTTCGCAGCAAGCGTCGACGTCCAGCCTACCTCCGACTGTGTCCAAAGCGGCGACTACTTCGATCATCAGCATCCCGCTTCCCAACAATGCACGAATTGCACTGCAAAGACTCGAGATAGACGAAGAAGCCAAGGCAGCCCAGCTTCTTCAGCAGCTCAAAGCCCTGACTAGCTACGAGAGCTCATACGCTGCGAGACGATGGGCACTTTCAGAAGGTGCACACGCAAAGGGTAAAGGCCGAGCAGCGGCCTGGCACGAGGTTACCGGATGGCCTTCAGAGATCCTACACCACACCCTCTGGCATTTTGGCGCTGAACAGAAGTATGAAGCTCCTGCATCAGCCGGCGAGGACAACACATCCTCAACGGCGCAGAAGACGTGCTACCTCTTCACCTTCTTCAAAATTCAAGACCTTCCTCATCGATCGCAGCACTTGGCCCCGGCAAAGCGATCAGCAGAGGACGATCTGTGGGGCGAGTCACCAGCTGCTACTTCGCCCGAATGGGGGAACGAGGACGGCAAGGCATTGGCAGAGCTGGCGGAGCGCATAGAAGTTGCAAAGAGCAGCCTTGCTAATTTGCTCAGTCGACTTCCTGAGGAGTCGTGCAGCAGTTGCTCGCTGGTAGACACGACCACATCCTCACAAGACGGCGCACTGCAACGCAAGTTTTGTCAAGCTGTACAGGCAAGCTTAGCCAATACATTCGTATGGCGCTCAAGAGCGCACACTGAGCGCCAGCTGTTCGCCAGTGCGGTGCAAGGAGGAGTCGAGGACTTCAAAGATTGCAAAGACGAGCAGATGGAGGAGGATGAAGACGGCGAGATCAAGACGGAGGAGGTCGCCACAGCCGCAGCATCATCAGATGATAGACGGCCAACTTTGTGCCCTCGTCGTGCCGTTCGGGCGGGCAGTGGCTTCTTCATGGCTCCATACGCCCAGAGACGAGTACTGACAGAGGCAGACCGCATTGCGTTTGGGGAATTCCAGGTCACAATTTCACCGCGCTTACAATCGGACGAGCTAGACGGCTCGGAGGGCCAGCCCGTCCTCTTTGCAAATTTGACTCTGGATCAAACGACGCTCGCGACGCTCGACCATCATCACGTCGCTGGAGGGTCAGTCGAACTCGCCCCTACAAGACGGAAAGCGTACAGCCGCGGGCCTCCGCCAGAGACTGGCACGAGGGACGAGTCGACCCGTGCTGCGTATCAGCAGCTTTGCGCCGTACTTGAGATTCAGACTGGAATTGCCGCTGATCAGCTGATGGAAGGAGGCTGGCTCGTTGTTCAAGGCGGCGAAGACGACGCACTTACCTTCTTGTGGCCTCGACAGCTTTGTTTCAGCAAGAGAGATGCCGTCAGCTCTCACACAGCCAGTACTTTACGCAATACCGCAATGGCGGATCTCCTCGAAGCTACGACTGAGGTGCTCGCTGAACAGAAGAAGCCCGCATCGCAAGAGTCACCGTCTAGTCCAGCTCGACCCGCTATCGTCGTCGATGAGGCCCAAGAGGAAGAAGGCGACATCACTCTCAAAGGTGACAAAGCAGACGCCATGGACGAGGACGTCACTGGCGGCGACGACGGCGACGATGGCGATGGCGACGATGGCGACCTCTTTGGCTCCGACGACGGCGACGCCGACGCCGACGGCGTAGAGTCGACTGCCGACCGCGGTCCATCGCCAGCACTCCTGGTTAGCAGAAGCGGCGGAAGTGATCCGAGCATGTCGCGTCGCCCTTCAAGAGGAGAAGTAGACGACTCGATGTACGGATTGGTAACCGAAGATGACTTTGCCTTTTTCGACGACATTGACGGGGATGATGAGGCTGATGCGGGGGTCACGGCACCTGCGGCCCCGTCCGCTGCGGAGAAGCTGCCGGATACCGGCACGGAAGCCCATGCGCCTACGATCAGCGATCAGACGCAGATCATGGACGAAGACATTGCTACGACGCACGTTCTCTCGCGACTGGGCCGCGAGGTGAACACATCCACCTCCAGCACGAGCGGCATCCCCTCGGACCCATCTTCGCTTCCAGGCTTCACTCCGGGCAGCTACACCGACAGCTCACCCGCCACAGGTGGCCCTCACGACCAGACGCCAAGAACACCGACTAGCCCGTACTACGATGTCAGACCGATTCCCACCGTCGACGGTTGGACACCGCATCAAGATGCGGAAAGCACTCCTCGCTCAGCAGCCCAGATGTCCATCGCTCCCCACGCTTTCGCTACGGCTGAGGGAGCAAGTCACGACGACGCCGAGCCTGACTCTAATCGCAAACTCAAAGACTTGCGAGACAAATACAGCTCAGGGAAGTTTGCGCTTCCGAACGGGCTCGCCAATGGCGGCAGCGGCGGCGGCGGTGGAGCCACGCGCCTTTCTCGTATCGCTCGAGCTGCAGAAGGCCAGTCGGACACCGCAAAGGCAAATGCAACGACGCGCCGCCAGCTGCGTTTGGTGCCGAGGACAGACGACGAGATGTCTGACGTGGGCACACATGATGGCTCAAGCGACGAAGAAAGTGGCGATAGCGATGAGGAAGACGAGTACAGCAGCGACATGCGCGACAACGAAGCTCAACGCCCCGGCGAGGCCATCGCTGAAGTGGGCCGCATGCTCGATGCCTCGATGGCATTGATCCGCTCCATCCCGGCAGCGGCAAAAGCTCCTCGAGAGGCGGCGATCGCATCGAGCGTGGTTGACGACAGCGCTGAGCAAATGGCCACTCGACAGACACTGATCGACTGGCTACTCGACAATCCCTTTCTACGCGCTGAAGTCCACGGATCATCGTCTCGGGGTTTCGATGATGCCGACAGCATCCTGCCGCTCCTCGAAATCACCGACTCGGCGTGCCAGGCACAATTTGACGTCGAGCTTCTCGAGGCCCCCTCGGTCTTTGTGGGATGTCAAGGCAGCATCACCGAGATGGCACCTTCAGCCCTTCGCTTCTGGGAGAAATTGGGCCTATCAGCAGCAGGAGGGCAGCGTAGAATTGTCGGAATCGTGCTTCACCATTCCAGCTGCAGCCCAGCCTGGAGGGCAGAGCTGTCACAGTGGCTCAGTCGATTGTCCACGCTCTTCTCCTCGCTCGGTCTTGGCTCTCATGAGGCAGCGCACGACGCATTGATTGAGCTCGGCGAATCCCCTACTTCAGACCTCGATCGAGCCATCGAAGACATCTTCGCCAGCGCTGACCAGCGGGAAGACACTGTGCGCTCTCTTGTGTCACGCTTCGCTGAGGCTCTCGGCCCAGATCGCCACGTCGTGCTGTACGCCGTTGGAGCTACACCTACTTCCTCCCTGGTTGCTCTTCAGCGCGATCTTCGCGTTATTGGCGCAGAAAAGGCGGGCCTCTGGTCCCAGCATATTCACGTACGACCTCTTCCTTGGTCAAGCATCAAGCAACAATCGGTCAAGGAGTCGGTTTCGGCGCTCAAAGTGCATGCCTTGGCACTCTACAATACTCTGCGAGTTGCCGTCGAGTTTCGACCCGTGCGCTCTACCCTCCCGACCAAGATGGACCTTCGCAGCTTCCCAGCTTTCACTTTGGCAGCCCCGTGCTCGTTGCTGCCCTCGACATCGCAGTTTACGCTGAGCGATCAGCCTCACCCCGCCGTCTTCACCCGTCAAGGCTGGCTGCACGTCTGCTATCACGCTGGCCAGGCAGGAGAGCTGAGCTTCTTGAGCATCATGGACGGGGAAGGCAAGGATCGAGCGCTCAAGAGCCATTGTAGCAGCAGCAACGTCGATATCGTACGATGGGTCAGCCAGCAGACACAAGACTACATGCGCCGGCGTGGATCATTGTGGCACGTCGCCATCTTCAAGAAGGGTAGCTTTACTGCCGGCGAGGCTACAGCATGGGACAAGGCTGTGCTTCATGCGAAATTGCGGTGCGAAAGCGTGTCAATCCTCAGCTACCAAGACAACAAGCCGTTCTTTGCCACCCATAAGGCGGCCTCTGAGTCGATTGCCGCTGCGCCAGCTTCTGCTGTCCTCGTCGATTCTTCGCAAGTGTCTCACGCAATCTATCCGGACCGACAGATGCTCATGACTGGCACTTCCGACGATATCGACGACAATGAAGACGCTTTGATGAGCCTACAATCATCCATCGTCAACTCCACAGCTCGAGCAGGGCGCACTCATTCTGCATGGATCCACCTCGTCCGCTATCGTCAAGCAACAGACGGCAAAATACAGACCAATGCTCCGCCCAAGCTCATTCGACTAATCACTCAGTCGCTAATGGGTCTGCGAATCGTGTCCTCAGAGCATCATCTGGGTCTATCGCCTTGGCCAATGGCGGCTATTGAGGCGGTCGACGCCGCACTGCGACACTACTCCTTGGCCTTGAGCGCGCCTGTGGCCACGCCAGCTACAGCGGCGGACGTCGATGGCGAGCGCTCATCGAGTGAGGACGTCATGGCATGACGTACGGTAACGGCCCGCATCAACGGCTCGCGATGAGCATTCTCAGAGGGAAGAGACTTCTCATCCACGTTCTTCAAAGTCATGACAGCCAGACGGCAGCGGCGGCGGCGGCGGCGGTGTCTGCTCGCAGCGTCATACCATTTGTAGCATCAATCCATTCCGTCCCGTCTTCATCAAAGCTCCACTCTCTCAGCATTCCTGTATTCATACCCATCTATTTCTCCGCGGCAGTCTGCCTCTGCAGTTCAATTTGTACTGCTCTTCACATTACCGTCCGTGGCGGTCCGCGATGGCGGTCGTGGTGGTGGTGACGGCGACGAGCCCCGCGACGGTACCCGATGTCGCTCCGCTCATCTGCGCTCCTTTCCATTGCCGTGAGAGGTAATTCTTCAATCGCCAATAAAAAGCCGCTGCCAGATACCGTCGTCCCGTCCAAGCGTCAATTCGGCACAGCCCCTCGCAGTGCGTGCGTGCCGCCCCTCTTCCTGGGTGCTTGAGGAGAGGGGCGGATAGTGGTATGGCCCGCTCTGGCCGCGTCAGGAGGCGGCGGCCCCTCACCATGGCGAAGACGTACAAAAGGAGAGGGGTGCCAATGAATCTCACGTCCGCCATCGCTGTGCTCCTCCTTAGCGTCTCCCCTCATCCTCGTCCTCGTCACCCTCATCGTAATCCAACTTCGCCGCATCCTCACCACTGCGCATCCACGATGAGGTTCGACAGTCAATTCCTCGCCTTTGTCGCCACGGCAATTGCCATCGGCAGCATCGCCTCAGCTGTGCCCATCGCCGTACCTGCTGGTGACCACACGATCAAGGACTGGATCTCTGCAGGCGGTGACAAGGTCTCTTGCATGAACGACAACTACGATCCCACCGCAGTCGGAGGCTCTTGGGACCCCGCTTTGATCAACAATCCTTGCGTCAAGATCCTCGAGACCAATCAGCACAATCAGCGTCGCAATCTTGGAGGCGCTGGTTTCAATGCCAACGCCGGCCTCGATGCCATCCTCAACATGATTCTTGGAGATGGCGGCCTCATGGCCAAGGCTACTGGCACGGCAGTCGCCAACGCCAAGGCTGGTCCGATTGGCCCCATCCTCAAGAAGCCTTGCCCCGACGACAAGGACAAGGGAGCGCCCGAGAAGACGCCTCCCACTGGCACCGCCCCCCATCCCAAACCCCACCCTCATCCTGTCGCTGACAAACCTAAGCCTCATCCCGGCATGGATAAGCCCAAGCCTGAGCCTAAGCCCGAGGGCAAGCCCAAGCCTATGCCTACGCCCAAGCCTGAGCACAGTGATGACGAGGGCAACAAGGACCCTCCCTCTGTCGGCGGCGGGATCTTCGGCCCCATCTTTGGTGCGCACGGTGCCGCAGGAGGCGCGGGCGGCATCGATGCTGGTATTGGGGGCATCAACGCCGGGGGTAAGGCTGGTGGCGAAGGCAACCTTCACCTCGGCTGGCCCTTCATTGAAATCGGGAAGGGCGGACACTCTCTCGAGCGCCGTACTCAGGGTGGCGGTGAGGTGATCATTTCTCCGCTCTTCCCTGTGCTCAGCGCTCATGGTGCTGCTGGCGCGGCAGGCGGTTTGGACGCCGGCCTCACGGGTATCGACGCTGCAGGCAAAGCTGCCGCCGGTGGTAACATGCACCTCGGCTGGCCCTTCGTGGAAGTCTTCGATGGTAACTGGAACCCTCTTCAGCGTCGAGACGCGCACCCTGCCCCCAAGATGTCGAAGGCTACCGCTGCCAAGATGGACAAGATCCGCACCGAGCTCCGAGCCGTCGCTGCGGCCGAGCTCAAGAAGCACCACGGTGACGTTGCGGCTGCTAAGAAGGAGATTGAAGAGCTCTGGAACACGGTCATGCAGGAGTACGCTGCTGATCGCCACAATGAGGACACCTCTGCCAACAAGCCTCCCACTGCTCGCAAACTCGCAGACGAGGACCAGAACCTCAAGTCAATCCGAGGTATCGCCATGCAGATTGCTGCTCTCGTCCCCGTCCAGATGAAGGAGTTTCAGCTGCAGGCCGACGCCGTAGTCAAGAAGATAAGGGAGGATCTCAGCAGCGGCGTGTCTGCACCGTCTACCATGGAGCGTCGCGTCAAGGAATCTGAGATGAGCAAAGAGGATCGCGATCGCCAGGGTCTCACCAACCAGGCCATTGCCATGATCCCCGCCATTGCTAAGCAGGCTGAACTTCAGTACGAGGCCGTCAAGAGCCACATCGACGACTGGGGCAGCATGACGTTTGGCCGCCGCGATAGTGCTCCTCAACTGCCTAGCTTCGACGACCTCGCAAAGCAAGCCGCCGACGCCGCGGCCAAGACGCAGGACCTCGCCAGCAAGGTCGACTGGGATGACACCGAGAAGGCCGTAGCTTCGGGCGTCAAAGCCTTCCTCGCCTCCTCTCCTGACCTCGCCAAGGCTATCGCTGGCTCCTTTACGGGCATCAATGTCCCCGACTACATCGCCTTTGCTTCGAAGCTTGCCTCGGACCCAAACACGGCTGCCGCTCTCGCCAGCTTCGTCAAGGCTTTCCCTAGCTACGAGAAGGCCTTCGCCGATGGGCTCGCCGCTGTAGGCAAGGGACTGCCCGACATTACCAAGTCATTCCCCGGCGGTGCAGGCTTTGGACCCGCAACTCCTCCCGCCCTCGCTGAGTACCATGCCGTAGCTGCCCATGCGGCGAAGCGCCTTCGCGCCCACAAGCATTGATCCATCGATCGAGCCGCGCTAGGACCCCGCCATCGCCACTTCGAACCGCTTTACCATGTCATATCTCTGAGCGTAGCGGCGTTGATCGTTTAGCTAGCTGCTGTTGCTTCCGCCTCATCTCATCTCGTCTCATCTTGTCACGCTCTAATTGATATGTTGTCCGCTCTCACGTGGTGGGTCCTGATTGCTGTGCTCTCGTTTCGTTGCAGGCTGGGACTCGCGAGCCTCGCGGGACCTGTGCTTCTCATCTAGGCGTGATGAATGATCTAGCGAGTGTGGCTTGCATCATGGAGATTCAGCGATGCCGTAGATGAAAGGTGATAGCGTGAGAGGATCAAAGCCACACAGGCACAGGATTGACTAACTTGCTCATTGGAAGAGAGCGGTAAGTGGTTGCAGCCGCCGCCGTCGGCTTTGCGGCTAGACCTGTTACTGATCGTGACTGGTATCATCAAGCCTTGCCTCATGATGAATTTGATCTTGACACTCAGCCGCCTGTCTCTATGCCAAGGAAGTGTCCATCCTCGAGCCATCTAGAGTAGACTAGCCCATTTTGTCGGAGTGTGGTACAAACAAATAACTCAGGAGGGACAGTCCTCGTTCACACCGCCACCGGCATCTCAGCAGCGCATATCGTCGACCCCAGATTACTCGGCCAGACCCTGAGGCGAAGTGACACGAGCGAGGCTCTCTGGTCTGACCCGAATTGCAGTAGCGCCGGCGGAGAGGAACAAAGGACTAGGATCAGTCACAGCGGCGACGAAAAGAGGTCTGACCGCTCAAATGATGCCGACAGAGGAGGACAAAGCGCTGATCAGATGGTCTTGGCCGCATCTTGACGCCCTCTTCAGGAGCAAGTACGCAGGGGCGAGGTAAAAGGAGCGAGTATATCTCATTTGTCCTGACGGCGGCAACGAATGGCATCGCCATCTCTTGCTTGCTTCAACAACTCCTTACAACTCCTCATCATTGAGCTACATCGATATGCGCCTTTTCCGCCGACAACGCACTGAGAGTCGGCCGGACAGGGTGCCCAGCCCGCTAGGCAGCGGCAGCGCTGCGGGATCACGGCCAAGCTTGGACTTCCGCAGCCTGAGCAGCCTGTCGGCCCACTCAACCAAGCAAAGCACTGGTGGGCCTAGCGAAGACGATGGAGATGACACGGTCGAAATCATTCACACGCCGCAGAAGATGTCGCCGTCTTCGACGCCGACGTCAACGCTCCGTTTAGGACCACAGCTGCGCAAGGCGGGCACTCTGTCCGACATCTCAAAGCTCCTCATGAATCAAAGCGACAGCGACATTGCCACGACGTCTCGCAAAGGCAACGATATCGAGCGCTTTGAGCCATGTCGAACTGGTCTGTCGCTGGAGCGAAGCCAGCCCAATCTGCGAGAAGAGTCACCATCATCCAATCGCGAGACGACGACAACAACGCATTTCCTCGCGCGCCACCGCACCGCCAATCGAACTCGCAAGAGTGGTCGGCCCGCTACGGCAGACGGCGCCATTGGCCAACAGCGGCAGCCCTTCAAACGGCCAGCAAGTTTCGCAACCTGCTCTCCCTCCTCGTCGAAGCAGCAGGTTACTGTGCTGTCTTCGAAATTCGTCCAGCCGCAGTCTCCTGCGGAGAAGTGTCGCAGCGAGAGCGAAGAAAGGGACACAGCCAGCGTGGTGACGCACATATTGCCGAGGCCATTCGGCTTCGCAGAGGACGCATTTGAGGAGCGTGTGGACCTCGTCAAGGGGCTGGTGTCGTGCTATGCTGAGGCAGAGACGCCCACCACGACGTCTTCATCATCCAAGAATCGTCGGCTGCACAGCCCAGGATCCGGCGCTCGACACATTGTAGAGCGCGTAGAGAGGAGAACGGAGAGGATGCTGGTTGAGCTGTTGGCTGTAGATCGTGTGGATCGCCAGGTGAGTCGACGTTGCGGCGGACTGGAAGTCGCTGACATCGCGGGCTGACGTGTGGATCTCTCTGCAGTCAATCATCGAGCTACGACTTCCGCTCGCCTTTGCCCTCGCGAGGCAACAATGCGGTCTCGACCCAGCGCAAAGCATATTTAAGCCCTTTGAGAGTGAGGCAGAGGCCGGTGCACTCAGCCTTGGCTCGCCAATCGTATATCCAGGCTTCGGCGCCATCCGGTCCCTGAGCGAGGTCATTGAACCTCATGGCAGGCAGGAGTCTGGACTTGTCTTCTTTGGCAACGAGCCGGAGCCTATCATGCCTTCCCTCTCTCCTCCGCCACGCGCACCAAGACCTCGCCCGCGTAGACCCACGACGGCGCCGACTACGCCGACGAGGTCTGCCTTCGGGGCTCTTGGGTCGCCCGACCTAGCGTCTTCGAAACGGATGACGATGGTGGCTACGCCGCCAAGACGTTCCTCGAGGCGCATCGCCCCTGTCATGCCATTGATGGTGCCGAAGACTTCGCATTATCTAGATGTCACGTCGCGAGAGGAGCTCCCTTGGACGCCTACCTGGTCTACCCACGCCGCCTCCGCTCAGCAGATTGGCTTTCCCGAGGGAGGCGCAGAGCACGACGACGGACCCTCTCTGCCCGGACTCTCGCCGTCGTCGCGCCAGGCTGCTCTCTCCTTGACATCTTCGGTGCGACCTAAGAGTCGGGATGCCTCATCCTCCACAAAGTCGTCCTTCACGCATGGGAGCAGCCAGGGACACGATAGCTCTGCGCGCGTAAGCTTCTCGACGTCTGCGACGAGCTCGCCCAACATCTCCTTTACAGCGACGAAGAGCTTGTTCACTTGAGTCACGGTCTCTCTCTGTATTGAAGTCTTGAGGTGTTTGCGCGAAACCACTTGTATTCTTGTCACCATCTCTGTCGCCTTGCTAATCAATGCCCCTTGTCGCTGAGCCTGGCCATTGTCGCGTGGCGCGTGGTAGAGTGGAGCCGGCAGTGCAACCGCCTCCCGGTCTATCCAAGATTTCGCGGCGTGGATTTTTGAGTGAGAAAAGTGGATGCAGCAGAACGGGCGGGCAGACGGGCAGACGGGCAGACGGAAACGAGGTCAAGTCGAGTTGGTCCAGAGTCGCCCTCAACTGGCTTGCCATCCTTTCCCATCTCCCCTTTCCTTCTACCCACACTTCCCCTCTTCCTTTCATCGTCACCATGGGCAAGAAGGACAAGTCAACAAAGGTCGCTGCCGCTGCTACACCTGCCGCTGCTGAGCCCGTCAAGGCTAAGAAGAGCTCCAAGAAGGAGGCTGTCGCTGCCCCCGTCAAGGAGGACAAGAAGGACAAGAAGAGCAAGAAGTCAAAGAAGGAGCCCACCCCTGAGCCTGAGAGCAGCTCCAGCTCTGAGAGTGAGGAGGACTCGGACGACGACTCCAGCGACGACTCGAGCGAGGACGAGGTGAGCGCCCATGAGCGCGGACAGTGCATGATTGCACACCTTTTGACGATGATCCTTCCTTCTCTCGCTGCAGGCTCCCGCCAAGACCAACGGCGCCGCCGCCGCCGCCGCCGCCAAGGAGGCCGACTCTGACTCTGACTCTGACTCTGACTCTGATTCTTTGGACGACAGCTCTGATGACGAGGAGGAGGCGAAGCCTGCCGCCGCCGCCGCTGCCAAGACGAATGGTGCTACGAAGGACGACTCCGACTCCAGCGATGACAGCTCGGACGACTCCAGCGATGACGATGAGGAGATGAAGCCCGCCGCAGCTGATGCCAAGGTCAAGGCTGAGGACTCGAGCGACGACAGCTCTGACGACTCATCGGACTCCGACTCCGACTCTGACGAGGAGGAGAAGCCCGCCGCCGCCACTGACTCCAAGAAGCGCAAGGCTGAGGACGACGATGTCTCCGCCAAGAAGGCCAAGGTCGAGGCCGACACATCCGCCGCGGGCGATGACGCTGGCGCGACCTGCAACATCTTCGTGGGTCGTCTCTCGTGGAACGTCGACGACGAGTGGCTCGCTTCCGAGTTCAAGGAGTTCGGTGAAGTCATCCGCGCAAAGGTCATGACCGACCGCGACTCTGGCCGCTCCAAGGGATTCGGATACGTCGAGTTCACCACGCCCGAGGCTGCCAAGGCTGCTTTGTCTGCAAAGGACCGCGAGATCGATGGGCGACCTATCAACGTTGACCTCAGCCAGCCGCGCCCCGCTCGCGACGTCAACGATGCTCGCGCTAAGAAGTTCAACGACAAGCGCTCCGAGAAGAGCCCCATCCTCTGGGCTGGTGGACTCGCCTTCTCGCTGACGGAGGACGACCTCTGGGAGGCCTTTGGCGCCTACGGTGAAGTGTCGCGCGTCACCCTCCCCAAGGACTTTGAGACCGGGCGCCCCAAGGGCTTCGCGTACATCGAGTACAGCGCCCAGGATGCGGCAGACAAGGCTATCGAGGCCCTCGCTGGCCAGGAGCTTGGCGGGCGTGCCGTGCGCCTCGACTACGCGCCTCCGCGTGACCCTAACCAGAGCGGAGGTGGTGGTCGCGGTGGAGGACGTGGCGGATTTGGTGGTGGACGCGGCGGTGGAGGACGTGGTGGTGGACGTGGCGGAGGATTCGGAGGCGGTCGTGGCGGCGGTCGTGGCGGTGGACGTGGAGGAGGACGCGGTGGCGGTGACTCCGGATGGGGTGGACGCGGCGGTCGTGGTGGTGCCAGGACGGGCGCTATCGCCTCCGGCTCAGGCACCAAGGTCTCCTTCGACTAAGCGTGCTCTGCGCGTCCCCAAAAGAGACGAGGCCTCGGCGCCCCTCTCAATGCTATTTTCACGCATCATCTCACCCATTCCTTCATCGACTTGTCATATCTTACCACGATCATCTCGTCTTTGCTCCTGACTCGTAATTCTCATGCATTGAAACGTCGCGATAAAAGATGTGAAGCCTGAGCATTTGGGTATGAACGACAGCGGATCGGCGAAGCAGTTGTCAGATGTACAAAGGGTAAGAAGGAGCCTTGCCTACACGCCCAGCGACGCGACCTCACGCAGCCGCAGGCGGGGCAGCCTGAGCTGTTCCAGTGCCAGACGAGGACCTCTGTCGCTCGTTCGAAATGGAACTCGCCCCCGTCGCGACCGTCTTGGTCTCAAAGCGACCCGAAAGCGCCCTTGCGCGATCCTTGACGTCGGCGTCCGGGGATGTCAGGAGAGAGCGCAGCACTCCATCGAAGCCATAGCGCCTCAGTCTTCCGACAGCCTCTCGCTCTACGTCGAATGGCGTCGAGTCATCGACGTCGGCTGCTTCCTGCCCTGCACCCTCTGTCTGCATAGCTGCCGCAGAACTCGCTGCCGCCTGCTGCTGCTGCGCTGCTGATACGCCCTGCGTGAGATTCATGACGCACCATAATCCCGCGACCTTGACCTCTGCCCTGGGATGACCAGCAAAGTACACAATCGCGTCCAGGCAATTGTTCCGACGCAGCAGTGCCCTCCTATGCGACACGTCCCCCGTGGCCACATTGACCAAGACGTACGCCGCCTGCTCCGTCACCAGATCCGATTGGCGCTGCCAAATGACGTGCTCGATCAGCTCAAAGAACCTGGTAGCGCCACCAAAGCCGGAGAGGGTGAAGGCAATGTCACCTGCTCGGGATGAGGTGAGGTTGCGGATGATATTGAGAGAGTTCTCTTGGAGGGCAAGCGAATTTTCGTTGCTCGGCGACAAGGAGGAGGGAAGAGCTTCGTCCCTGCCTCGCTCGTTACTGGTCGAAGAGGAGGGACCCCGAGCCAGTGCCTCGAGAGTGTCGAAGCCTAGCTTGGACATGACCGTGCGCTTCACCTCCAGCTCGCTGGCATACAGCACATTCTTCATAGCCCAGAGCGCGTTGAGCTTCGTAGGGCCATGGGTGCACGTCTTGGCCAGAGAGACTAGTCGATCCAGCCCGCCATTGTCCAGCAGGGTCTGCCTCATGGGCGCAAAGGAGAGCACCAAGTTGCAGATGCTAGCGGTGGCCTGCGTCCTTAATTCGTCGTCTTCTCCATCCTCTCCAAGAGTCTCGTCCTTGATCATCTCAACAAGCTTCTCTGCCACCCCTGCATCAACGAGGCTAGTGCGCAACACGCCTATGCTTCGACTGAGGGCGCGTACCAAGCGGCAGGCGGCGACGCGGGTACCGAGAGAGGAGGAACTGAGACAGCTTACGACGATAGGTAGCAGAGAGGGGGTGGTGCCATCGACTATCTGGCGGCGGATCTCGTCACGCGTGAAGGAGAGCGCTGCGAGCGCTGTGAGGACAGCTTCACGCAGACGGTGTGCCATTTCTTGGTTGCGCGCTGATGTTGCCATTGAAGGCACGGTGAGCTTGGCCTTGCTGGTGCTGCTGCCGTTGCCCTCGGTAAGAGTCTTTGTCGCCTGATCGAGCAGACCTCCCAGCTTTTCCACGCAGTGATACCCAAAGGGACCCTGCGTGCACGCAACCGCCTGCATCCTTGGGTCATCCTCGACCACCTTGGCGATAGCAAAAGCTGCGGCGACTTGCACCTCGCCACCTCCCTGACTTGACTCGTCGAGCAGATCGACAAGTACAGCCAGCACTCGCTCACTTGTCTTTGCAGTGAAGGGATGCACCTTGATCAGGTTGGCCATGCATGAGAATGCGGCCAGCCTGACGGCCACGCTAGGATCATTGCGGAGCGCTAGGAGCATGGAGGTGGGCAAGAGGCCAGAGGGGGTCTGATGCCGGAAGAGTTGCACTGACGTATCGGCATTATCCCGAACGAGCTCGCAGAGTAGCCAGAGTGCCGACTCTTGTGCCTTCGGATAGCCAGATTCGGCAGCCGCGAGAAGGATGCTGAGGAAAGACGGCGTTGCGATTGGCTCTGCTTCTGTGTCTTGCAGATTGACTTCAATTGCTTGGAAGGGAGACCCAGAGGCATTGAAGTCGATGAGGTGGCGACGGCGCGTGGCTATCTCCTGCGCCGGTGAGGCGAATGACGCCGACGACGACCCTGACTTGCCCGCCTTTGAGGCTAAGATACCCGGGCCAGGTAGGCCTAGACATGCCGAAAATATGCCAGCAACCATTTCGACGATGGTGAGAGCTTGCTTGCGTAGCGCCATTGACCCGTCACCCATTTGGGCGTCCATATCCATTCGACTGCTGCTAGCGACCGATGCTGTCTCCATATCCTGGCCGCGCGAGCTGCTGTTCATCACGACTGCAGCGTACGCTGGCGTAGTGGGACGTGAGTTTGCCGCCGCCTTAGCTTCTCGCAGCGTCTCGTGCACCCGCTCATGACGAGGGATGGGCGCAAGGAAGAGGGGGCCGAGGAGGAAGGGGAGGACCTCGGGGCTGAGGATATGGTCTATGGCTGAGCGACCGAGCAAAACAAGGTTTGAGGAGGAGCTAGTATCGTCGCTGTGCTTCTTGAAGGAAGTTCGCAGGTCGGAAGAGGAGCCTGATGCCATTTTGACGTCGGCTGATGCGGTATACCACCCTGCAGGCTCACGAGAAATCTTAGCCCTTAGCATCGAGGCGCTCTTGCCTGCTGCGGCTCGGCCTGGCCCCAAACCAAGTCGCGGACTGGGAGCAATCTCTGATGCGATGGCGACGTAGATGGATCGAAGGGCTCTGACGAGGGATTCGATGGCTTTGAGTCGCTCTCCATCCTGCAGGGCGTTGAGGGATGCCACATCGGCGAGAGCGGTGGTCAAGGCTTGAGGTGCTTCTGCTGTAAGAATGCATAACAGCGTGGGCGATGAGGACGAATTGGCAAGGGAGCCCAAGATGGTAGCAGATAGACTGCGAACCTGAAGCGCAGTTGGGTTGGCAATGGGCGTGGCGAGGAGCTCGACGAGGTGAGGCACTTTGCCCTCGACGACGAACTCTGCCTTTTTGGTTCGGCTGCCAATGACAGCATTGCGCAGCCTGATCAGTTCCTGAAGCTGACCTTCGACATCATCGCTTGTACGCCGAAGCTGTGGCAGCGTCATGATGGGGCGATGATTGCTAGTCGAGTTGATTGGTTGGGTTGAGAGCCAAAGTCGACGTTGAAGTCAAGGGTCGTGTGTGAAGTCGCCCCCGCCTCGACTCTCCACCGAGGCGTCAAGGCGGGGACGATCAGACTTGCGCCGCGGCGATGAATTTGGTCGTGGCTTCTTGCTTTCTCCCTTTGTGCATTTCGCCATCGCCATGGCCATCATGCCGCCATCGCCGTCAACAGAGGCATCATCACCTGATGCATACTCTGACCAAGATCTCTCCTGGCTCAATGCCTTGCCGCATCAGTCAGCATTTGCCTCTTCCTCTTCCTCTGGCCCCGCTGGTCACCTCGCCCTTCGTGGGTCAGACGCCCTCGTCGCCCTCGATGGTCAGCTGCGCATCTTCAGCTTGAGCTCGCTCAAGCATGCAAATGATAGCCTGGCCTCAGAATACAAGGTTCTCTCCAATCCCCTCATCGCCGAAGCCCTCGCCCAGGAGCATACACTCGCCCTCAACCCTCTCAAGACGCTCCTCGTCATCCAATCTGAAACCTCCCTCGTCCTCATCATTCTTCCACGCACGACATCACTAGCGTCAGACTCGTTGAGCATTCCAGTCAAGGCACACAAAGTAGGTGCCTTCTATCACAATTCCCGCTCGCCTCGCGAGGAGCAAATTGTTCAAGTCAAATGGCATCCATGGAGCAAGCGAGGGACGTCGCTGCTGGTCCTGTCCAACAATGGCTGCCTCGAGGAATACGATGTAGCTAGGGATCTTCATGAGCCCCAGCAAGCGATCAGGCTACTGCCTCAGGCCTCACAGCCATCGCCATCACGAGTGAAATCAGGTCGCAGCCGTAGCACAATGTCTCCGATGCCAGGCGCGAGCCATCATCAAGACCTCGATGCAGATCCAGCTCATCAAGCGGCCGCCTTCACCCTCGCCATAGGGGCAGAGACGTCAACAGCATGGACGACTCTCACCATCTACCTGCTCACCACTGCCGGCCAGATCTTTGCTGCAGCGCCCTTCCTACCGCGGCACGCCCGCCTTCCCTCTTCCTTCCTGCATAGCCTCGCCGCCTACGCCCAGCTAACCTCAGAGACCAAATCCGCGGCATCGAGGCAGCGAGATGTTGCGCTGCGCTTTGTTTCCCACCTCCTTAAGCAGGCGCGCAGCTATCAGGCAAGCAAGGCGGCAGAGGAGTCACAGGATGGCCTGCCGGGTCGCAGATCGAGAGCTACAACGCCCGCCGACGTGCTGGCAAGAGGCTCAACGCCCGTACTGAGCGGCGGCATGCATAAATCACAGTCGCTCATGTCAATCGATACGCCAGCCGCGACGACCGATCGCGACTTGATAGGTGGTGAAGACGACGCGCAGGAGTTCGTCGAGGTACAATGTCCGGATCATGCAGTCGTACCAGGACCAATTCTGCCTCAAGGTCCGTTTTCACTGCAGCCGGCACCACAGCCATCAAATGAACAGGGCGATCGTCGAGGCAGTGATCTCGTATTCCGCAAAAGTAATGGAGTGGAGCTGCTCTTCATCAGCAAGACCGACGGCGGAGTGGACATTGCGGTGCTGAATGTGGCAGGCAAGATCGCTCCACGTTGGCAGCTTTCTTCACCGCCTTCACTACTGCATCGGGGAAGCAGCACGAGGAGCGGAAGGATGCCGCGGGAGTCAGGCAGTTACAGCACGAGAAGTAGCAGGGACAGTCAAGTCAGGAAGTCTGGACGGTTTGGCCTCGACGACTCCTCATCCGAGGAGGACGAGACGGATGAAGAAGATGCTCTGGACGGGGAGGAGAGCTTCAGCCTTGGTGCCTCGACTTCAACACTCACCTCACCAACTCTCTTCATCTACGAGTCCCTCTCCCTTGCCCTCCCCGCGATGTCCCATTTGCGCATTACGCTCGATCCAGTCTACTCGGACACATTTTATGTCCACCACGATTTTGGAGTGCACATGGCCTGCACCTCAGCATGGGATAGGCGCCTCTCAGAGCTATTGGACACGGAGGATGCGCAAGGTATGCAGCGCTTCTTGCACTCGAACGTGCAGAGCGATCTCAGGTGTATTGTGAAGATTCAAGGCGTCACGGAGACGCGAGCGGAAATGCGACGCGTGAGCTCGGTGGAAGTAATCGACGACGTCTATTTAGGCTACTCGATAATCGTTATGATGGGAGACGGAGAGAGTCTTGGGCTGGAGATGAGTCTACGCGCCAACGCGCAGGGAAACAGCAGTACAGAAGCCGCAACCCCCGAAGCCGTATCATCTCCCACGCAGCGGCAACACTACACCTCCCTCCTCGGCGGCTCGCCCTTCGTCCCTCCGGCCCCCTTCAACGCCAACGACACAGCGGCCACCTTCCCGACTCTTCGCCTCAAAACGTCCGACCCGCAAGCGGCAAAGCGAGAGCTCACTGTCACGCCCGAATCTCTGCGCCTGTTGGGGACTACGGTGCAGGACCTGCGCGGACAGGTGCGCGAAGTCGTTCAGGGAGGGAATGCAATCCAGCGCCGCTTGGAGTTGCAGATGAAGGAGCTTCAGCGACAAGTGGGGAAGCTGAACGAGATGCGCGCGCGCATTGAGCGTCATCAAGGCGAAGCGGGGCACAAGGATCGCATTGAGCGAATTGCGGCCAACCAGCGCAAGCTCATCGAGCGGGTGGATCGAGTACTTCAAGGTACGATGGATGCCTCTGACTCTGGTGTCAGTCAGTATGAGGAGGCTTGGATGAAAGAAATGGAAGTCATGGAGCGCAGCATGGGAAAAAACGAAAGCGAGGGATTGAAGGGCAAGGTGAATAAGCTGCAGGGTCAGCTTGAGTACCTGAAGCCGGATTTGACGCTACTTGTCGGTAGTGCAAGGGACAAGGCAACTCCTACAGACAATGGCGGCGGGAAGCTGGGCATGCGACAGCTCGACAGAATCCTCACTGCGCTGGGCGTTGAGTCTGATAAGCTAGTTGAGGCGAAGGATAAAGTGCACCGCTTGAATAGGTCGCTACCCAAGGGAGCGACCGAGCATGCGTTGCGTTAGAGGCAATGCCATCATCTTTCGTGCTTGCCTTGTATGCCTGAGCCTCTTCTACTCATCGGTCGTTGTATCGAGCTCGATGACTGATCGTGATGGTTCTGACTTGCAATTCTCCGCTCGACTCCATTTGCCGCTGCTCCGGCTTGGCGTCCTAGACTCTCTCTCCCACTCCCGACCTCCCACTGCCCCGCTTTTTGGCCGTCGCCGCCGCCGCGCTCATCGTCGATTGTTCATCCGACCCTCTTTCCCCCTCTTTTCCGCTCACCGACCTCGCTTCCCTTTGATACCCTAGAGCGTCTCTCACGCCCTCGACACCTTCTCTATAATCAGCTACGCCCCTGATTTGATCATCATCATTCGCCATGGCCGACGAGCGCTTTGCAGCAGAAGGAGGAGCTGCAGCTGGCCCGTCATCGCCACCTCACCCTCCCTCCTCCTCAGCAGACGTCTCCTCGACCGAGGTGAGACGTCAGGAGCCGGCACGATCACCAGCAGCATATGGAGGCCAGGTCGGACCCGTCTCCAGCAGTGGTGCAAGCACCTCTGGCGCAGTGACCGCGGCGCCCACTGCTGCTCACAGCGACAACGCCGAACAAGGTGATGTCAATCACGCACGCCGTCGCAAGAAACAGAAGCCAGTGGGTCGCGTCAATCGAGGAGCTGCTGGGCTTAACTCTCTTGGTCTTGACAACGCTCAAGGCTCAGAAAAAGCAGCCAGCGAGCAGGAGCAACGGAGCGAGAGCAACGGCGGCGATGAGCCCGCCTTCCCTGAATTCGCGGGCGATCTGGCTTGGAGCCAGCGCACTTGGCTGTACGAGTTGATGCCGTTTCGTGGCATGTGGTACGACGTCAGAAGGAGGCTGCCGTACTATGGAAGTGACTGGACGGAGGCCTTCCACCCGAGGAACTGGTGGACGGTTGCACAGGCCGTTGTCCGGATCTACTTTATCAAGTGAGTGGTGCGCTAGGATTAAACAGGACGATAGCATGCAAGCAGCTGATTACCTTTCATTGCGTCAATTGACCGCCTCGTCCAGCCTGATGCCCGCCATCGCCTACGTTCTGGACATGTACCATCGCACCAATGGAGCGTATGGCGTCAACGAGGTCATTCTGGCCTCTGCGCTCGCTGCCATCGTCTTTCCCATCTTCTCGGTGCAACCATTGACCTTTGTGGGGGTCACTGGTCTGATCAATCTGGTGAGTACCGCAATCAAGGTAACGCATTGGAAGGCCAAGGTCGTGCCTCGATTGATTGCTGCCTCTGGTAGCTGCACGCTCCTCAGTCCAAAATCTGCTTTTGTTGCGTTTCGCTGCGTCGTAGAAGTCGTCGGTCGTCTGCAACGGCGCGAATCGACGTCACTGCTTGCGAGGCACTTGAGGCACGGGTCCAGTGATCAGTCGTCGACAGGCTGGGGCTGCATCGATGTGCAGCCTGCGTCATCCAGAGGCCGCGGCCAGGCGGAGGGCGGACTAGCGAGCTGCCTCGACTCTCCCCCTCGACCCGAGCGACCTCTACCTGCCCCTTTCGAGGACATACGTCGAGCTCACACACCACCCACCTTACTCTTCTCCCTTTGCCACCTCATCCTCATCTCCAACCTCTTCTACTCATTCATCGTCACGCGCGCGCAGGTCAACTACACTCAATACGACATTGTAGTCGAGTACTACGGACTCAGTCAGATGGATTACCTGCGCGTTCAGGCCTGGTCCCTCATCTGGGCGTGAGTAACGGCGAGAGTGTTGCTGCATCGTGTCGCGTCGATTCCTTGATCTCACATTTCTCTGCCGTCCTTTCACCCTCACAGCGCCGGGTTCCACTTCATCGCCGCCATTTTCAACCTCTGCGACTTCTCCCGCTTCATTACTGACATGACGTCGACGACATTCGGCTTCTACGTCGGCATCGTATACATCCAAAAGGGCATCGAGCTCCTCATCCTCGAGTACGAGCCTGCCCCTCTGGACAACGCCACTGGCTGGCTATCCGTGACCATCGCGTCGCTCTTCGTCGTATCCGTCTACCTCGTCTCGGCCATCGGTCGCACCTCCTACCTACCCTACCGCGCTCGCACATTCATTGCATCCTTCGCCTTTGCGGCAGGCTGCATCTTCTGGACGGGCTTCTCCCACTTCCCCAAGAACTCTTTGGAGCGAGTCCCGATTGAGAGGCTGCCCATCACGCGCTCCTTCTTCCCGACTATGGACCGCTCCTGGTTCATCGATTTCTGGAACATCGAAGCCAAGTGGGCTTTCGTTGGGGCTCCCCTGGGATTCCTCATTACCTTGCTCTTCTGGTTCGACCACAACGTCTCCAGCATCATGGCTCAGGCGCGACAGTTCCCCGTCAAGCGCCCTGCTGGCTTTCACTGGGACTTCTTCCTGCTCGGTATCACGACGCTGGTGTCTGGCTTCCTCGGCCTGCCAGCTCCCAACGGGCTCGTTCCTCAGTGCCCCTGGCACACCGAGGCGCTCTCCGTCTTCAAGCAGGTCAAGCTGCCAAAGGAAGATGAGGACGAGGAGAGCAAGGGCGAGGGCAAGAACAAGTCGAATCGTTACGCAGGCAAGGTACGCAAGCAGCCATCGGTCCCTGCCCGCGAGCACATTGTCAACACGCGTGTCGTCGAGCAGCGAGCCTCGCACCTGCTCATCGGCGGCATCACCCTCGCCACCATGACGCGTCCCTTCCTCGTCGCCCTCGGTACGATGCCTCGCGCCGTCTTTGCTGGCATCTTCCTCCTCGTCGGCTGGGGGTCCATCGAGGGCAACATCATCACGACGCGCACCCTCGCCGTCTTCCGCGATCGAGCTTTGGCTCCCGCCGACGACCCGCTCAACCAAATCCGCCGTTCCAAGATCGCCCTCTTTGTCGCGATCCAATGGTTCTTCTTCGCCATCACCTTTGCCATCTCTCAGACCATCGCGGGCATTGGCTTCCCTGTTCTCATCACCCTGCTTATCCCCTTCCGCTACTGGGTTGTGCCCAAGTGGTTTAGCCCGCTTGAGCTGCGCGTTCTCGATGCGCCCACGGCCGACGCAAACGTCGTGATGGCTTCCATCGGACACGAAAGCGAGCGATGCACAGGCCAAGGCGTCAAAATTGCTGAGGACACCAAGATCGCTGGCACCGAATACTACGACGATGAGAACAGCTACAGCGACAGCGACAGCGAAGACGATGATGCCATTCAGCCTTACAGCATCGGTGCTGAGGACGAGCAACGCCAGCGAGCAGAGCGCGCCTCTTCGCCGCCGACGAAGAAGGCTGCCCCCCGCGCGTCGCCCCCGAATCAGCATCGTCGCCAAAGCTCTGTTCCCGCGGTACAGGAGTCTCCCTTTGGCGCGACGCACACCATGACTTTCCTCGACGGCCCCGCAGTTGCCTTCCTCAACGCGCCTGCCGAGGGCCAGACGAAGCACAAACGCCGAAGCATCATCAGCCGCATCCTGGGCCGATCTAACGATGCCGGCCAAGCTTCGCACACGGCTACCGGGACATCCTCAACCTCCTCCGCCGTTGCCGCAGACATGCCTGCTGTTCCCAAATCCAAAGCCGACTCGAACCTCATCTCTGGCCACCCAGCTGCACGCGACACTGCTGAGTATGCCAAGGAGCAGGAAGAGCTTGCCCACCCAAAGCCTTCGACTATTTCCCTATCCGGAGCCCCGGCTGCTCGGGAGGTGTCTGAGCACACTTCACCCTCGAGCGCTGACCCGGTAAAGGACAAGTCGGATGCCACAGTGCCTAGTCAAGCTGCTGCACCCGCCGCGGCAGCTGCAACTAAGAGCTCCACGGCTGCAAAACCTGAGGAGTCGGCCGTCCCCGCAGGCGCTTTGGCTACTGGAGGAGCCGCTGCTGGCGGTGCCGGAATCGCCGCTGCGGCGCTCAAGCAGTCCAAAACGGACGAGGGCCCTGCCGCCGCACCTGCCGCCGCACCTGCTCCGACCAGCGCTGCGCAGAGTGGTTCCACAACGAAAGAAGCTGCTCAGCCTACCGCAGCAAAGGACGTCGCTCAGCCTGCTCCGGCTCTCCCTAGCGTCGCTGCAGCTTCGACTGCCTCACAGCCAGCCGCCGGCAACACCAACACCGCACAGCCACAGGCCGCCGACCCCGCCGTAACCACTAGCACCAGCGCCAATGACGGTAAGACGACCGCGGAGATCGCCGCAGCAGCTGGTGTAGCAGGTGGCACCGCCGCAGCCGGTCTCGCGATGGCCGCCGGCAAGAAGCAAGCGACCGACGTCGAAAAGGCAGAAGCTCAGCGTCAAGCCGCAGCAGAGACGCTCGCCAAGGCGGAGGAGCGCAAGAAGGCTCTGGATGAGGAGAAAAAGAACAAACGATCCAACTCGGTCCGCGTTAAAGAGGAGAAAGCCCTTGAGAAGAAGCGCGCAGCTGAGGCTAAGAAGCAGCTGAAGGAGGCCGAGAAGCAGAAGAAGGAGGCCGAGAAGGAGAGCAGGCGCCAGGCTGTCCTCGCAGCGCAGAAGAACAAGCGCGAGAAGGAGGAGCAGGACCGCAAGGACGCTGAGGCTGCTAAGCGCAAGAAGAGAGAGGATGAGGAGGCTGCGAAGAAGAAGAAGAAAGACGATGAAGAGGCTGCGAAGAAGCGAAAGAAGGAGGAAGCGGCGGCCGCTGCTGCCGCTGCTTCTGCTGCCGCTGCTGCTGAGAAGGCGAAGAAGGACCAAGAGGCCGCCGACAAGAAGAAGCGCGATGAAGAAGCCAAGAAGCTCAAGGAAGCGACTGCTGCTCGGGAGAAGGAGGAGAAGGCTGCTGCTGACGCTCACAAGGAGGCAGAGAAGGCCAAGAAGGAGGCCGAAGCTGCCACGAAAAAGCAAAAGGAGGACGAGGCTAAAGCGAAGAAGGCTACTGACGCTGCTCACAAGAAGCAGGAAACCGAGGAGAAGCACACCAAGGAGGCCACCGAGAAGCGCAAAGCTGAAGAAGCCGCTGCTGCCGCCGCCGCCGGTGCTACTGCTGCCGCTGTCGCTGAGCTCGAGCGCGAGAAAAAGAAGCGCGAGGAGGCCGAAGAGGCGCGCAAAGCCGCGGAGAAGGCGCAACATGACGCTGAGGAGCAGAGCAAGCGTGAAGCCGAGGCCAAGGCGAAGCGCGAGGCCGAAGAGAAGAAGGAACAGGAGGCTCAAGCGAAGGCCAAGCAGGAGGCTGAAGCTAAGGCACAGAAGGAAGCCGATGAGCGGAAGAAGAAGGAAGAGGCCGAGGCCGCCGCCGCCGCTGCTGCTGCTGCCGCCGCTCTCAAGAAGAAGGACGAGGAGGTGGCCGCGGCCAAGGCTCAGCTCGAGGAGGAGCACAAAGCCCGCCTTGCAGCAGAAAAGCAAGCCCAGGAAAATGCGGCTGCCCTTCAGGCCAAGCTGGACGAGGAGCACAAGGCGCGGGAGGCGGCCGAAAAGAAGGCAAAAGAGGACGCCAAGGCTGCCCAGGCCAAGTTTGATGAGGAGCACAAAGCTCGCGAGGCATCCGAAAAGAAGGGCAAAGCTGAAGCTGCCGCTGCTGCCGCTGCCCTCGAGAAGGAGCACAAGGCTCGAGAGAAGGCCGAGAAAAAGGCGGAGGATGACGCTGCTAAGGCTAAGGCGAAGCTCGATAAGGAGCACAAGGCTCGTGAAGAGGCAGAGAAGAAGGCCAAGGACGATGCGAAAGCAGCTAAGAGCAAGCTCGACGATGAGCACAAGGCCCGTGAGGACGGCGAGAAGAAGTCCAAGGCCGAAGCTGCCGCCGCTGCTGCTGCCGCCGCCGCTTCCTTGGAGAAAGAGCACAAGGCCCGCATCGATGCTGAGAAGAAGGCAGAAGACGATGCTAAGGCAGCCAAGGCTTCGCTCGATGAGGAACACAAGGCTCGCGAGAAGGCTGAAGCTGAGGCCAAGGCGGAGCACCAGAAGCGCCTCGACGCAGAGGAGCAAGCTCGATCTTCCAAGTCGATTGGCGGTGATGACTCTGCCTCTGCCGTAACGAAGCCGACTCGCCAGCAGGAGGAGCACGACGCCGAGCTCGCTGGCCTCGCGGCCACTGCCGCTGCCGTTGTGGGATCTCACGAGGCCGGCAAGAGCGACTCTTCCGCCTCCGTGGACGCCAAGAAGGCTGACGCTATGTGGAAGGATGCTGCCGGTGAAGAGAGCTCCGCTACCCGCGGAGACGCTGTCAATAGCGGCGCTGCTGCTCCTGCCACAGCCGCTGCTATGCAGAAGACGCCCTCCAAAGACAAGGACAAGGACAAAGACTCGCACAGCGGTACAGGCTTTTTGAAGCGCATTTTCACTACCCGTCGCGCCTCGACCAAGTCAGCCCACGAAGACGCTGCTGCGCACTCTTCCGCCAAAGACAAGGAAGCGGCGCCTGCCCTGCCTACCAAGCAAACCAGCAAGGCCGAGCGAAAGCCATCCGTCTCAAAGAAGGACATCTCTGCTCCCATCACTCAGGAGAGCATCGCCGCCCCTGCTGACAAGGACGCTAGCACGAAGGAGCGACCTGCTTCTTTCGTCAAGACAGGTGGCCGCAAGCTTTTCGCGAATGAGCCGTCGCTGATTTCCAGGCAGTCTTCCACATCGGTCAAGTCTTCGCCTAAGGACAAGGGCAAGGGCAAGGCAAAGGAGGAGGCGTCCGTCGCCGCTGTTGCCGCCTCTGCAAAGACGTCCGAAGATGACAAGGAGGTCCCCTCGGCCGCTGCCGCTGCCACGCCCGCAGCTCAGGAGACGCCTGCCGGTGCCGCTTCTCCCAAGAAGAGCGCCTCCACCGCTCCCGCGCCGGCCCCCGCAGTTGACCTCGAGCAGTCCTCGAAGCCCACGCGCAACACCTCGACCAAGTCTGCTGTCAAGCGATCGAGCAGTAGCAGCAAGAAGCCCACCAGCAGCGGCGGCGAGTCCGACGTGCCCACACCGGCCAAGCGTCCCGCCGACCTGTCCAAGCAGTCGCGCTTCAGCTCTATCTTCACTTCTGGGCTCGGTCTCTCCACCGGAGGATACGCTGCTCATCAGAAGAAGGGCGACAGCCCGAAGGAGTCGGCTTCCGGTTCCAAGGAGGCTGACAAGTCGTCTTCCTCCCCCGCTGCGGCTTCACCTGTGCAGTCCGCCGCGTCTCCCCGCAAGTCGACTCAGAGCCAGCGTCGCAGCCGTGATGTAGCCACGGGCTCAGCGGCAGCGCCCACTTCCTCCTCGGCATCCCCGCCCGCCTCGTCTGCTGGTGGCGCAACTAAAAAGGAGCGAGAGAAGAAGTCCGCCGATGACGGGCTGACGCGTGAGATTGAGGAAGACGGCAAGAAGTTTATCGAGCACATCAATCCGCGATTTGCCAACCTCGCCAAGGAGCAAGCTGCGACCTCGTCAAAGGGGAAGAAGGGAAAAAAGACCGGAAGTGGAACGCCTGCTAAGACTGCGGCTGCTGTTCAGTGGCGCTCCTAGTTGACTGGGAATCAAAAGGAAGGCATGGAGATTGTCTCGCTCTGGAATACCACACACTATCTTTCAATCATGGTCTTGCGAGGGGGAGCCGAGTCCGCTCGATTCCAGCTTCGGCCGTACTGTTTCAGATTTCTCCCGTGAAATTCAAGCTTTTTTATTCGACCTTGGTCCAGCTCGCTCTACGTAACTCGTAGCGCCCTGACTGCCTTGACTTCACTTGCGCTCAGTCTCCACGAGAAGCCACTCGTAGCCCCTGCCTCGTAGATGCCGTCGCTGCCATGCTTTTCGTCTCCCGCTGCAGCAGCCGTAGCGCCCATAGCCTCATCGTCCTCATCCTCATCGAGGCAAAGGACGTACGCAATCTGAGCGATGCGTGCAAACTTGTCTCGGACCGCAGCCGCACCACCACCTCCTTTCGTCTGTTCGCCCACATGCGCAGCAACGGCGCGCCAGTCCTTATCGAAGCGGAGGGCTCCTAGCTCAGTAAAGCGGGTGAAGGCCGGCAGGGACGATGACGCATTGCCTGCGCCAACCATGGCCTTTTCCCACGGCCGCACGAACGCCTCCACTGCCAGTCCAACGTACTCGTCATAGTTATCCTCATCGAACGTCTCCCTGAAGGGTGCAGCCACTATTGCATCCCAACCCCTAGCGAAACGACGTCTTACCCAGTCCTTGTCCTCTGCTGCGGCGTATTCCTCCTCTGTGCGTACATCGTAGCGCACCTCGCGGAAGACGTCAGCAAAGAGCAAAGTGCGGAGGCGGGGTCGAGTGACGTGCTGGAAGAGGTGCTCGAGCTCGGTGCGTTGCGCCGAGCGCAGGCGAGAGGGGAGGGCGGAGAGGTGCGTAGTCAGGTGGTGTCGAGCTAGGCCCTTGTCGTTGCGAGGGAGATCGGAAGGCACGTTTGCCGCATCCTCTTCTTCCTCATCATCGTCGTCATCGCCTCCGGGGAAAAGCGACTCCAAGTGCGCTTCGCTTCCCAAGTCGGCCAGGATTCTCTCTGCGTACCGAACCGAAACGCCCAACACATTGAGATAGCGCACAAAATGCGCCCTCATCTCCCTTGTCGCCGTCTCCTTCCTGGGCCCATCAGGCCCTGCCAATGCACCTCCAACGGAGCGCCAGACGGCCTCCATCCTCCTCACGAGCACCTGTGCGTAGTCATCATCGGCGACGATGCGGACGCCGCGCAGCGCCGTGCCAATTGTAGCAGGGTGACAGGTGGAAAGAATCCGTGTCGCCGAGGCTCGCAGTAGGAAGAAGGCATCGTCCAGGACGGAGGAGGTGAGGGGTCGGGTGGACGGGTCGCATGTGTCGATGCGGTGGGCCTTCTCGAGACTAGAGCGAAGGTACCATCGTTCGAGTGGGCAGTAGACGTCTGAGAGGAGGGAGTCGAGACGGTGCGCTAGGGCAGAGGTGCTCAGTAGCTTTGAGGCCGTGACGATGTCCGCCTTGATCGTGGCCGCGGCAGTCGAGTCGTGTTTGCTTGCGCCAGCAACAGCAGCCGCGATGGCGGATCCATCAATGCTGGATCGGCGATGGAAATCCTTGAAGCCTCCAGCATCAGCTGCAATTGCGTCCTGCTTTGCGTCGACCCGCTCGCTCGTGAGGCGCCCCTTCAAGAAGCGTCGATAGGTGGCCCAGCGCGCAGCCAAAGATGTCAGCTCATGAAGCAAGCGATCCACCTCTCGCCCATCTGGCATCTGTGGCTCGTCCATGCTTGCTCGTGCCCCACCTGCAGCGGGTGTGCCTGGTCGGCCAAGCGGGGTCGAAGGGCGGCCTGGAATACCAAACTTATTTGCACCACCACCGCCGCTCGAGCTCGATGCAGTCGAAGCGCCGGCGGCGCCCAGATTAGCCAGGTATGAGAACTTGTACGCCCGCGCCTCTGTCAGTCTTCTCATGACTTGCGTCGTTTCTACCCAGCCTTCAACGATCTTGAGGCCGATCTCGTCGCACTCGTCCTGCAAGCCAGGCATGACCCCAGCTGCAAAATTGCCATCTCCATAATGCCTGTCCACGACTGCCTGATGCGTATCGATGAGCAGAGCTAGCTGCTCAAAGAGGGCCGTAAGGAGCTGCGCATGTGGCACATTGCCGCGATGAGCAGCAGTGAGGATTGCTTTCCCCTTTTCTCTGATCATGCCCCTGGCGAAAGTGGAGTAGGCATCCAATCCCTCACTGCGCCATCCCACGAGGGGAAAGAGTCGGAAGAAACGACTGGCCTCCGCCTCATCCCTGCTCTCCATCGTGGCATGATGAAAGCGTTGCGTGAAAACAGCCAGCAGCTTTTCTCTCAGCTCGAGGAGCGTTTGTGCGGGTGTCAAGGGCTGCTCGGTGGAGGGAACAACGCGAGCCGCAAACTCGCTATTGATGACCTCTGGCGGGACGCTCATTGCCTTTTGCGCATGGCGGGTTGCTAGCTCCCAGTCGCCCTGATCGATGGCAGTGGACAGCGTGGAGAGACTAGCCTTCAAGTCTTGTGTCGCCGTAAGCCATGCTCGGGCGATGGCGAGACGTTTCTTCTCATCGTCGAGCACTCTGACCGCCCCCGTTATCCTGTCTGATGTTCTCGCGGCGTCGACGAGGCGGGAGCGAAGGACGTTCGCCTCTTCGCTGAGGAGGTCGATCTGAGGTGCGAGAGAAGAGATGGACTGCTGTGAGGTGGTGATGCGTTGAAGGGATGAGGAGACTGTGCGGGAGAGGTCATCGTCGACTTGTTGAGAGTGGGCGTTGAGCTGTGTGAGGGCACGGCGGACGGCCCCTGGAGTCAGAAGCTTGGCAGGGTCGGTGGAAGATGGTGGCGGGCGAGAAGAAGCATGCCGCAGCTTTGATGGGCCTGCTTCGGCGCTGCTGCCGGTGTTGAGGTCCACAGCCATCCTCTAAGCTGGCTATATGCTACCGTCGGGAGGAGAAGAAGCCTGCCTGGCTGCATCGGTCCTCTCGGCCGGCGTCGACTGAGAGCGTGACCCCGCACGAGCCACGCAGCCAAGGTGCGTTTCTTCCCCGCTTTCTTCTTGCTTTCTTCCTCACACGGTTCTCTTCAACCCGTCTCACACGACACACACGCAGTCATGACCAAGTCCGCCCAGCCCTATACAGTCAATGTCCGCGAGGCTACCGAGGCGGACACAGAGACGATCATCTGGCTGATCAAGGAGCTCGCCATTTACGAGAAGGAGCCGCAGGAAGCAAAGGCAACGCCCGCCCTGGTTCGTAAAAGCAGCCCCCGCTCCCCCTCCTCGTTCATCACTTCAGGCTGATTTTGTAGCTCTCCGCTCGCAGGTGAAGGAGAACATCTTCGAAAAGAAGTACGCAAATTGCATCATCGCCGAGTCTGAAGGAGAGGACGGCAAGCTCGCACCCGTAGGCCTGGCAATCTACTTCTTCTCCTTTTCAACTTGGACTTGCAAGCCCAGCCTGTACCTTGAAGATCTCTTTGTGCTCGAGTCGGTCAGGAACAGAGGCGTAGGCAAAGCGTGAATACGAGACATGCAGAGGCTAAAAGAAAGAGCGAGGCAATTGCTGATGTTGATGTCGCTGCTCCGCACAGGCTCTTCCGCAACCTGGGGAGGATCGCAAAGGAGAAGGGCTGCGGCAGGGTGGACTGGAGCGTCTTGGACTGGAATGCTCCGTCCATTGCCTTCTACAAGCAGGTGTTGGGTGCCAAGGTGAGCCCGAAAAGCAAGAAGAACAGCTTGAGAATGATCGACATGCTGACCCGAGGCGTCACTCTCGTACGCAGCCCATGGACGGCTGGACGGGGATGCGTCTGGAAGGCCAAGAAGCGATTGAAAGGCTCGTCACGCTTGGTCAGTAAATAGCGGCGACAGGGAGACGCCATCATGGCAAAATGGATGGATCTACAGCAATAGATGAGCATTCCTTGCACCCAAAGTGTGCCATTGATGAAAGAGAGACTAGTGATGAAAGGAGCGTGATGTCAAGTAGTTGGGACTTTTGCAATGATGAGGCGAGGCGAAAGGGTACTAGTGAGGCCAGGAGGGGAGGCGAGAGGCAGCGGACCAGCCAGTGACTGCTTCGTAGCTGCGCTGCGCTGCCTCAACCGCTTCGGCGGTGTCTATGGGGTCCGACAAATGATGCGAAAGTGAGGATAGGGGGTGGCATTTACAGGTTGTGTCACCAGCGCTGGTGGAAGCTGCCGGCGATGAGAGGGAGGGGCCCGTCAAGGGCGCATTTCCTAGAGGTAAGTGTCCTTGCAGTGGTCGGAGAGTGATGGTATTTGCTATGCTCTAATGCTGCGATGCGTCCTCCTACTCGTCCCTAATCGCATGGCGCTGAGCGTGTCGTCGCATGATCTGCCTCTTGCTGAGCTGCGGCACAGCCGTCGACCTCGGAAGGGGATGTGCTCGCTCCTCAACGACCCTCGCAGTAGCCCACACGTCGCCATTGTCATCGCGCTCAACGCTCTCGCGGGCAGCGACAACAGCGGCGACGGGCGTAGGCTCACTGCGCTGCATGATGTGAGTCCCACCAAAGTCGCCCTTATTGATCGACCCCGGGTTCCCATTATCGTTGGATGCCTTGCCCTCTCGCCAGATCACGATGCCAATGACCGCTGCGATGATCAACACCCCACCCAGGCCGGAGAGCCACAAGCTCAACTTGCGACGTGTAATAGCCTTCTCCGTGTATCGCCGGGAGGTCATTTCCATCTTGTCATTCGGGTTTGCATGGCGTTGCGCCTCATTGAAGCGTCGCCAGAAGTTGGCGCCAGCGCCATTCACGTCCCACTCATCGCCCTTGTGCCCGCCGCCGAGGTATTGGCTGCGACGAGAGATCATCTCCTTCTCATTGTCGAATCCGCGGTTGCGCGGTGGGGCGTGGTTCTCCTCGAGGGGCTCAGGTGCGGGTGCTGGAGCGGGGGCAGGCTTGCCGCTCAGGAAGGCCATGGAGCGGCGGAAGATGCTCTGGCGCTTGTTCCCGCCAGGACCCTGCTGGTAGCCTTGCTGCTGCTGCTGCTGCTGTTGCTGCTGCTGCCATGAAGGTTCGCCACCGCCGCCAGTGACGAAGGCCATGCTGCGACGGAATACGGACTGACGCTTCTGAGGCGGTGCTTGCTGAGAGAAGCCCGGACCAGGAGCAGGCTGAGGTCGGGGCATGGCCATGGGAGAAACATCGTTGCCGTTTCGCAAGATGGGCTGCGGAGGACCGCGATTGTAACCTTGCTGCTGGGCGATCAGCGGTGCCTCTGGACGCATCGGCGACGTGGGAGATCGAGGACCGTATCCCTGAGGGCCAGGGCCAGCTACAAGCATGCGACCAGGAGGTGAATCTCCGCTGCCGAAGGGATTTGTCTTCTCGGTGGGGCTCGAGGCTCCGAAGGACGAAGATGAGGACGGGGGCCCACGGACCATGGCCGCTTGTGGTGAGCGCGGCGTTGTGTTGAAGGGGTCATCCCTTGACAGTTCGACCTCGTGATTGCCACCGTTGCCCCTCGCTGAGAAGTAATCACCCTGAGGGCCATTTGAAGGGCTCGCAGGCTTACTCGGCAGGGGCGTGTCAAGGCCGAGCTGGGCAGTCAATGCTTTGCGAGGGTTGGAGGCGCTTGAGGGTTGGAGGCCGTTGTTCACTGCACGCGGTGGCGAGACTGGGCCTCGAGCTGGCTGCTGCTGCTGCATCTGACGCGACTGCGATTGCGGTGGAACTTGAGATTGCACGACGGGCGCGCCTCCAAAGCCATCGCTGCCCTGGCCGGTGAAGTCGATGGTGCTGCCAACCCTGGAACCGCCGTCACCGTACTCGCTGACGCTTTGCTCGTTGATGCCGTGACGAGCGACTGGCTGAGCGCGAGGCTCATTGACCTCGGAAAGCATCTCGAATGCTGGGCTTGGAGCGCGTTCTCGCTGGTACGACGGCGACACAAGGGTAGCTGGACCATTATTGGGTCGACCCAGAGGTTGCCCACCTTCACGCTGACTTTTGAGGCCAAGCAGCTTGAGAGTGGGCGGGTTCTGAGAAGCACTGTCCGGAGGCCTCTCTCCCACAGCCTGGGCCCTTGCGCTCCAGCTCTCCCTCACGGCTCCCCTCTGCTGTGAAGCCCCGGCGCGGTCAGGCCTAGGGGCCTCGTTGTCTGAGTCGTCCGAGTCAGAGTACTCGTCCATGAGTGCGCCGAAGCCCTCATAGGCAGAGCCAGTCGAATTGCGCGGCTTCCCGTTGGCGTTGGCGTTGCTGCTAGGTCCATCGCCCTTGGTACCTTGTGCGAAGCCCACGGCGCTCTGACGCTTCTTTGCTGCGGACGGCATTCTGTTGTGTTGTTGACGCTGAGAGTGTTTGCGAGCGAGTTGGCGAATTACAGGATCAGTGGACTGGAGGTCCTTAGGGTCGTAGAGGTCTGTTGGCGCGTTAGGGTGGGTGGTCAGCTACTACGCCTTACAGCCTCGCCGCGACTTGCACACTCACACTTTTCGTAGATGGAGTGAATGCGAGACTCTCGCTGAGGCTGGTCGTTTGAGGGTTGAAAGGCTGACGCCGTGGATGTGGATGATCCTGCGACGCGATGCCCTTGAAACATGGAGCAATGTCAAGGCCAGACTCGATAGAGACGTCCTTGCTGTTAGGCAGCTAAAGGGACGACGGGTCGAGGACGTTGAGGAGAGGAAGTGGTGGAGTGGTGCAGGAGGCCCAGTGAGAGAATGGGGAATTAAAGTGAGCAGATTGAGAGACCAAGGGGGACAGGGGCCTTTGAGTGCGAGAGGGTGGCCAAGGAATGAAGGTGGTGAGCTAAAGTCGAGCGCTCGCTGTGATGTGATGAAGGAATGAGAGGAGAGGTGATGCGCAAATGAAGAGCTTGATGGGATCGAGGGTCGTCGTCGCTAGGAGACGTTGATGGTTGTGGTATGGAGCGGCAGAGGAAACGAAGTGAAAGCGAGTGAGTGAGTGAGTGAGTGAGTCAATGAGTGAGTGTGAGGGGAACTGAGACGGCTTCGAGATCCAAGCGTGAGTGAGTAGTGTGTCTGGCGGAGGAGGGAGGGGGGCGTCGAAGCGCTGATTCGATGAGGCAAGGAGGGGCGGCGAGAGGGGCGAGCACTGTGCATTGAAGCGCAGTGAGGCGGCAAGGCAGTTACAAGCTACGCTACGAGGGCCGTGTGGCGCGGGCGACTCATCTGTTGGTTGGCGGCCTCCGTGCAGCGCACAGCAGACGCCTCAATCGAAGGCCAGGCGCGTCGTTTCCCCCGAGTGCCTATTCAGGCAGGCCCAGCGCGAGATGCGCGGCATTCGATGTGCAGCGCAGCCGGCCAAGACTACGACGACGACCATGGACAAATGAGGATCAGCGATCAGACTTAGAGCCAAGGACGAAGGTAGTCCGACGCAATAGCAACGAAGCCCCAATTGTGCGGCAGCGGTAATGGGCAAGGCAATGTCCGCGCCGGGCTCACAGCTTGGATGAGGTGAGTCGGCATGGTGGGACAGAGGCGTTGTCACTCGTGAGCGTCATCATCGTCATCGGCAGCCAAGTTCAAACCAGGCTGATTGGCCGAAGACGAAGGGTCAGCCCGGTGGCGAGTCTTTGTTTGTCGGTCGGCGAAAATCCGCACAACGCTCTGCCAAGCTAGACGAGAATACACGCACGTAGCGTTCGTAGGCGACAACGGTAGCGAGGGCAGCCGGCGTGCGTGAGCGAGAGAGAGAGCGAGCGTAGAGCGTTTTAATTTGGGCCGTCAATCACGACCGGCGAGCTGCGAGCGAAACCTTCGTTGCAGCCCGCTTCTTGTGAGCACGGCTACGCCCTTCATCGTCGCTGCCATTGGCACAAAAGTGATTTCGCAGACTACAGCATCCTTGACTTGGTCCAGACTTCACAACAATGTTGCACGCGCTCGAGAGCTCTATCTAATCTGGGGGAAAGGGTGGGGAGATGCGAGAAAGCCGAGGTCAAGAAAGCGCTCGCTCCGCGACGTCGCAGTCATGGTAACGCTGTCGAATGGGCTTGCACATGCAACGTGCAAGGCCGCTTGGCTGATGTCAAGACCTCTCTGCTAATCAATCCATCTGGCTGATCATCGTCGTATTGAAGCGGTGCCATACAATCAATCGTAGGAGGCATGGGTGGCTCTCGATGAGGACCGCACGAGGTAGTCTCACTTAGGACAAGTCGGCTCTTGGAGCTCATGCTATTCCTTTTGCTGTTTGTAGCATCCATCCGTCGCTATGCGCCCGTGATCAGTCGATCTCACATTCACCTTGGTGTGGTGACCATGGCGCCCAGCGGAAGGTCTCGCCGGCGGGAGGGAGCGCGTGCCACGCGACCGTGGTCCCGTCTCGTCGCGGCGCGAAGTTGAGTGGACGACGGACGGGAGGAGCGAGTTGAGTGGCAGCATCCATTCGTTCGTTCCAATCCACGAACCACACTACGCTTCCCTCATTGTCACCATTGCCGACCCGCCGCTGCGATGGACCGCCCACGTCGCTCGCAGCGCGTCCTCACGGGCATCGATACGCCCGCAGACTCGTCACGAGGTGGCTCGCAGATGCCTCAAGATGGTCGAGGAGGCGCAGGCGCATCCTCATCGGCGCACGCTAGCCAACCCGCAAAGAAGGAGCGTCGCCTCAAGCCTTATCACGTCGTCCCACCCAACGCACAGCAATTACCTCCCAACTACGGCAGCTCATGGCCTTTGGCACGCTCTCCAGCTCCAGCGCCCCCGGGCGCACCCCTTGGCCCAGGGCAGGCCTTGCACACCACGTTCGCCAGCCGCATGAAGCTAGGCGTTTCCACCCTTATGCAGCCTCTCCCCCCGCAAGGTGACTTCTCAGATCCAGTCTACGGGCGCGGGGGTCACTCTGAGCTCGCTGCCCTTCCTGGCGTGACGCGCAGCGGTCGGTCGACAAGGACAACGCGCTACTACGAGGAAGAGGAGGACGACGATGATGACGAGGAGAGCGATGATGAGATGAACCTCATGCGCAAAGGGGCGTCACAGCGCGCCAGTGCTCGAGGGACACCGCAAGGGCATCAGCAGTCACCCCGTCCCCCACCTCCGCAGCAAGTCGTCGAGCCTCCCGAGCTGCCGGGCCAACGGCTCGGCCAGCCTCCGCCAGGCAACAAGGTCATCGTGAGGCGAGCACGTAAAACGCCGCACGTCTACTACTCGGAGGCAGACGCAGCTCGCGCGGCTGAGCATCGTGAGGCATTGATACCCATCAAGATTGAGCTAGAGACGGACACACATCGCATCAAGGATCACTTTGTCTGGAATCTTCACGAGCGCCTTGTTGGCGTGAGTGACTTTATTCGCGTGTTCCTGCAGGACCTTGATCTCCCCATGGAGCCATATGCACATCAATTGGAGAGTTCCATCCACCAGCAGATCGAAGAGTGGACCGCTTTAGCGGGCATCGATCTCTCACCTGCCAAGGGCGGAGTCTGGGCGAACAGCGAGTCGGAGGAGAAGGCGAGGAGAGCGCAGGTTGCTGGTGCGGTCAAGGGTGCAGAGAAGGGCAAAGAGGCGCGCAGCTGGAAGTGGGGCATTGAGGAGGAGTTCAAGAAGCGGATGAGAGAGACAAAAGGCGGAGCCAAGAGAAGAAAGATTGAGGGGCAGACAAAGGGTGGCGAGGAGTACATCGAAGGGCAGGACGGCGAATGGGAGGATGATATGCGTGTTATCCTCAGCGTAAGTGCCGCTCTCTCAAAGTTTCGCCTGACTCGCATTGCTGACCTTTCACACCTCTCTTGCTACAGTACGACGTCCAGATCCTGCATCACTCCCTTCGCGACCGCCTCGAGTGGGACCTTGCCTCTCCACTCACCCCGGAAGCCTTCGCGACCCAACTCTCCAAAGATCTCTGTCTCTCAGGCGAAGCCCTGCCGCTCATCTCGGCAGCTGTGCGCGAGGCGCTTCTGAACCACAAGCGGGCCGTCGGCGAGCTTGGGCTGATCGGAATGGGCGAGATGTGGGGCAAAGCGCAGCAGGAGGAAGACCAGGCGAGGCGCGATCTGGAAGAAGAGAAGAGGAAGAGGAAGCGAAGGAGGGAAGAGGCTAAGCGCGAGCCCACCACGGTGTTGTCAGAAGGAGCTGGTGGACTGCTCCAGCCCCCGTCTGCAACGTCTGGTCTGTTGACCCCTGGCGGAATGACCTCCGGAACAGGCACGCCCATCCCGCAGTCGAACCCATCGCGCGCTTCTACTCCCCCAATCGAGTATGCAAGCGACAACGAAGATGCCGAGGGCGATGAGGACGACCCAGATTCGTCGACAAACACAGCCGCGGCCGAAGCGGCAGCACACGCTCTGCTTCCCGCTTCGGAGCGTCTGGCACAAGCCTTAGCCACGAAAGCCGACCTAGTCGCCCGCGGGCCCCGCCAACTCGTAGGCGCGTACCGAGACTGGTTCGAGAGCAAGGAGTTCGGACCTCTTCTGGAGTATCTCGGGGACGTCGAGATTGAAAGGAGAGAGACCGAGGCGCTTCGTGCATTGAGGAGGAACAGAAGGGAGATTGGTAGGGACGGGGCGGCGCCTGAAAGGTACCGGGCGAGGTGAGGTGAGAAGGCTCAGGGGTTCCTGCAACAATGCGATGCTCCATTACTAGAGAGATATGGGCTGAGGTCGGCCGCGTTGCGAACATCAATGCTTGCTCAAGTTCACACTGCTCCTCTGGTAGGCTTCTGGATCGTACTTGATGATCCATGGGTGACGAAGCACGTCTTTGAGGGGCAGACGCTTCTCTGGCTCCTTGCGAATGAGCTGCAGTGAGCGAGCACGTAATGGAATGGTCAGTCTTGCTGCCGCTCGTTGTCGATGCGACTCAGCTCAGCTCACCCGTCGTACAAGATCCCGCAGCTCAGGGCTGAAGCGATCTGGCAGCCGGAGGTCGACGTTCGAGATGCGCGTGTACGTGTCTGCAAGGGAGTACGGATTGTGAGCACCCTCGTCTACGCAAGATTCTCCTCACCATGCCGCGCCACACTCACACTGCTGGCTATCAATCTCCTCAAATGGCGGAGCGCCCTCGCAGAATTCGTACGTGAGCACACCCAATGCCCAAAGGTCTACTCCTTCCCCATGCGGAAGACAGTCCACCATCTCCGGCGGGAGGTAATCGAGGGTCCTGAGCGGCCGCAAATGATGATGTTCAGTCTACACGTCTCTTCTTCCGAATCGCACCGCGCTTGCACTGCTACTCACCCGCACATCGTCGTTCTTCTGTTTCCTGGCGCATGGACCGACCAACCAAAGTCGCCAATCTTGAGCTCGCCGTAGATTCCCAAGAGTAGGTTCTCCGGCTTGATGTCGCGGTGAATGATATGCTTGCTGTGCAGGTATGCGAGGGCATCTGTCATCTGTGCGATGTACTGCGGTGAGCGAAGGAAAGTGGGCCAGCGTGAGTCAAAGGCAGGCGAGGGTAGGGGGGGAGCCCAGCTGTGTTCGTGTACTCACCAGCGCTGCCTGCTTTTCTGGGAAACGACGATATGGGACCTTGTTCATGTACTTGTACATCTCGCCCTACCAGCGCGACGCGCCCTTTCTGTCAGCATGATTCGCCCTCTCTACGCTTGATCTTGGCGCCAGCTCACCTTGGCCGCAAACTCTAACATCAAGAAGATTCTCCCCGTATCATGGAAGTAGCCATGTAACCGCAAGATATGGGGATGCCTCAAGTTCATTTGGATCTCGATTTCTCTCCTGACCTGCTTCTCCAGTTTCCCTTCAACGAGCTCCTTCTTGTACATGCATTTCAGCGCAATGATATAAGCCGGGTTCGGTGGGCGAGTACGGGCCATGTAGACTCGGCCGAATTTGCCCTTGCCTAGCGCTTTGCCTAGGTCAAAGTCTTTGAGGCGCCAGGAGCGGGTAGGAGGATGGGAGGCTCTTTGGGAGCGAGAACGGGGTGGAATGGTGGTCAGACCGGTGTGACAAATGCTGCGCTACTACGCCGTACTCACCCAGCTGCAGCCGAATCGATGTTGAGTACGTCTGGATGATCCCCCGTTCTCCTCCCCTTGCGCTCATCCCTTTCCAGCCCTCCGTCGTACCTTCCCACATCAACTTGCGGTGCCGATGGCGGCGCCATAACCTTTGCCGCGGTCACTGAGCTCATCTTGTCGATGCTAGCCTTACGTATGACGCCCGCCTGCGCCGTGTTTGTTATGCCGCCTCCCACGATGCGACCTTGGTGCATTGTTGGCTTGGAGCCTGATGTTGAGGAAGCGGATGCAGAGGCGGAGGATGACGGGGCTGTACTGCCGCCAAAATAAGATGTCGAAGAGGCGGCCAGCCCTCCTCGTGATGCAGCGCCTGCTCCTGATCCGGGGATGAAGGGCTTGTTGTTGTTCTGTGTTGATGCTGCGCCGTACGGCCGTGAGGACGACGCTGAGCCGGTCGGCGCATGGCCCTTGAGCTTGCTGCTACCTGCCAAGCTCATTCGATCGAGGCGTGTGTCGAGATCTTTGTCTGTGTCCATCTTCGTAGTGCAGTGATGGTGACGGCGATGAGAAGAGAGGATGAGTGGTGGGAAAGAGGCCGTGTTGGTCTGCACCTCAAAGCAAAGCAACAAGCGGCGGACCAACTCGCCGCCCGCTTCAAACGCGTCGAGCCAGTCCGCCTCACACGCGCTTGAGCATCTCAACACTCGTTGGCTCGCACTGAGCCATCGTGACCACGACGAGCACTTCGCAGAGGCTATTCTGCAAAGCAATCAATCGAAATGCATCGGTAAGATAGAAAAGGTGATGGAGCGCCGACACGCTCAGCTCTCCATGTTGGTGCGCACGACTAGCTCGAGCACGAAGGCATATTTCTCTCCAAAGGCGTGCCCACCTCACACAACCTCCTCTCCTCTTCGAGCACCTCCTCACTCTTACCGTCCCTCGCCGATCCCCACTCCTCGTACGGATGCAAGCACATCTCCAAGACCCTCTGCAGGAAAGCAGTATCGTGCTTCTCCTCGAGACGCTGCACCACCTCCTGCCCGACCCAATTGCGGAGCACGAAGCGCGGGCAATGCGCAGCCATTCCTGCTGAGCGGGCTGTGCCCCACCCTGCTGCTTTCACCCCGTCATCGCCCAAGTCCCTCAAAGTCCTCTGCGCGAAGCTGGTGAGCCATTTGACCGCTTGCTCCCGCTTGTCGTCCTTGAGGTACTCGAGCACGCGCGTCCCATCATACCACGTAGGTACAAACGAGTCCACGGCCTTTTGAATCCCTTCCTCCTGATCCGCCGCCCCTTGAACGCTTTCCTCGAGCACAGGCAGGAAGTCCTTCAACTTGCGCTGAGTCAACGTAAAATCTAGTCCCTCGAGCACCTCTAGCAAAGGATCGAGAAGGGCGCTCTTCTCGTCTTGCTCCTCCTTCTCCAGCGCTAGCTTGTTGCGGAAGAGGCGCTTCCATTCGCGCATCGTCTCATCGACGAAGGTCTGATCCACATCGGCCCGCACAAGCGCTTCCCCTGCTTCGGAAAGCTCCTCGAGGTCTTCGGGCTTCATGCTCACAAGCTCGCCAGGGCTAGGAGCACGGCCGTGCTTATCCTCGAATCCTAGGATGGGGCTGAGCGAGGTAGCGAGGTGCTTGATAGCGAACAGCACCATGCTGGGCTGCATCTTGTAAGAGTAGCGGGCCATGTCGTCCGAGTGGTTAGGCGTGGCCTCTTGGTCAAATATATCGAGGAAGCCGTACGGACCATAGTCGATCGTAAGACCAAGAATGGAGATATTGTCCGTGTTGAGCACACCGTGCGTCCAGCCTACGCTTTGCCAGCCGGCGGCCATACGTGCATTGCGACGGGCAGCTTCCAGTAGGAGCTTCTTCGCCCAGGGCTGGCGCTGTACATCGCTCTCCTGCGATTCGGGGACTCCGTCAAAACGAAACAGTACGCGTGAGACATACTCTCCCATCAAACGGACGGCTTCCCAGTCTGCTCTTGATGCTGGTAGCTGAAAGGAGCCGATGCGAATCCACGACTGAGCGAGGCGGGTCGTGATAGCAGCAGGGTTCCTTCGCTCCCTCATCACGTCGACGTCTGGCAGTGAGACGACAGCGAGCGCTCGACTGGTCGGAATTCCCATGGCTGCTATGATCTCGCTGCCCAGATACTCTCGCACACTGCTGGCAAGGACGGCGAGCCCGTCGGCAAACCGGGAGTAAGGCGTGCGACCTGCCCCCTTCAGCTGTACTTCCCATCTCTCGGGCGGGTCGACGGTATTGTTGAGCGTCTCAAAGAGGGTGATGGCGCGCCCGTCCCCTAGCTGTCCTGCCCAGCTTCCGAACTGATGGCCGGCATATGCTTGTGACCAGCCGGCGTAGCTAGACTGTTGACGCCGTGTGGCTAGCTCGCGCTTTCTCCTCTCCCAACGTTGCACAGCATCCTCCTTCTTCCAGTCGTCCGCGACTTTGCGCGCATAGACTCCACAGCCTGAGAAATCGTCGAGCTCTGCCTCATTGGAAGGGAGGACGGCAGGCCAAGCTCTGCCTCCCAGCACGTCGGAAAGCTGATAGCGAGCCTTGCCCTCGTCGCTGGTGGGCTGCTGAGCCATGGGACCTGAGCTGTACGTGTCCGGCCCATCACGCCCCGTCGTCTTTGCGATGAAGTCGAATGAATCGCCCACGTCGAGCTCAGGGAGGCAGTCCTCGAGAGCGGCAGGGCTAATACCGAGGAGGCGGGCTGATGGGTAGGATTGGGACTGCTTGCCTACTGCGACGTAACCAGCCAGTCCATCTTTGCTTTTCGCTGGGTATGCGGGTGCTGCAAGATCAGATGGCGCCACCTCGTAGCGTCGCAGCACCCCCTCAACCTGATTCATCTGTCTCTCGTACTGCTGTTCCGCGCTCTCCTCGCCAATCCCCTCCTTGCCACCATTCTGAGTAGCGGCATTGGCGGCCTTGACCTCTTCCTTTGGGAACTCATAGGGGAAGGGTAGCGTCAGAGGGCTGACATAGGAAAAGGCTGCTCCGTGCGGTACAGGTCTTGAACGCCTGATCAAGCTGGGTGTCGAGTCCTGCGTCGAGATGAGTGACGTGGGCGAAGGGGTGTATCCGTCTGGGAGGAGCTGGTGGGTGACCCTCTGCGAGAGTGGGGGCAGGGGCAGTGAAAGCAAAGGTAGCATCCGCTTCGGTGATGATGACGATGCCGTCATTCTGAACATGAACCTGAACCTGAACCTGATGGGGATGTGGCGACTAGGATGTCGAGAACATACAGGCGGCAAGAGCCAGAGGCCGAAGCCGTATCATATGCAGCAGCTCGAGTGGAGGCGAGTTGAGCGGAACGGGAGAGGGCAGAGACGGAGAGAGATGAGCACCTCAAGCCTCTTGACATTCTTGAAGCTGCTTTCAGAAGCATTGCAATGTCTAGCAGCAACAGCGCCAGCACAGTAGCAGGTCCATCATCGTCCAAGCGGAAGGCAGACGGCAATGTCAATGGCACCGCTGTAGCGTCAACATCCTCATCGTCAGCGAAAAAGGTCAAACCCAGCGCAACAGATGAAGACGACGAGTGGGCCCTCTTTCAAAAAGAGGTCCTCTCAGCCGCCGATGCAGACAAGGGAGGGTCATTGAGCGAGGAAGTACCCTCAAGACCTGTAGCGTCAGCCGCCAAAAGCGGCCCGTCGACAGCAAATCCACCCTCTCCGACATACGCCATCGCGACAATTGAGGTAGCCCCGCAGCTCCGCAATGGCGACCAAGGCGGGCAAGGCAAAGAGGGTGCAGTCAGCGACGCCCAAGAAGAGGAGACAGAAGAGCAGAAGAGGCGCAGGAAGCTGCGCGAGGAGAAAGAGGAGATCTACTCGCGCATCGAAGAAGAGCAGCGATTGCAGGATGAGGCGCAGGACAGGTAAGTCTGCTCGGCGAGCCCTCGGTATGCCCTACATCTGCAGACCCACTGACCAGCTCATAACATTCTCGCATTGCAGGCTAGCCATGCTTAAAGCTCGCAGAGAGAGGATACGAGCGATGAGGGAGGCAAAGTCCAATCGACCGGCGAGCGACGCTAGCAAGGCTGATGGAACAGGGAAGTGACCTTTTCTGACGCAGCAGGAATTTGCCAGGCTTGCGATGGCGCTCTTCCATGGTTTGTCTCCTTTCTTAGTCAATCTCATGTTGTATGCTCAATCCTTTCATTTTCCTCGTACGGTGCACGCATCGGCATCCTCTCCCTCGTGTTCCAAGGCGACAGTCTGCCTCACCGAAAATAGGTGGCCCCTGCACGCTCGAGGCAGAGCCCTTGAGGTCGGTCCAATCATTGCTGCCCGCCACCCCTTGCCATCCTCCCTATCGCATCCGTTACCTACCATCGTCTGAAGAGCCATCGCAGCAAACCAGCTGCATCGTTGCTGGTCGTCTAGACCAAGCGATTGGTAGACGCCGTCATTGTCAGCCTCGCAAGCCAGCCTGCTCCCACCCACCCTCATCCTGCTGACCTTGAGCCATCAAGGAGCTCGTATCTCCCTCGCATCCCCTCCTTGCACACACAACATGGGTATGCGCCACCCCACCTTCCTCCTCTCTCACAAACGAGTGTATGGCTGTGGGACCTGCCACTCTCACCTGTCCACCGAGGAGTGCATCGTCTCCCGCCAGTTCAATGGTCAACACGGCAAGGCTTACCTGTTCGATCAGGTTGTCAATGTGTACTTTGGGGATGCGGAGGACAGGCATATGACGACTGGGATGCACACAGTCAGAGACATCAGGTGTAGGAAGTGCGCAGCCGTGTTAGGGTGGAAGTATGTGAGTACCGGAGGGCAGGAGATGGATGTCGTTGAGCGGTCGATTGACGCTGACCATCTCCATTGCCTCGCCGGCTGACAGGACCGAGCTTTCGTTCAGACGGAGAAGTACAAGGAGGGCAAGTTCATCCTTGAGAAGAACATCATGGTCGATGTGCAGTAGACGGTGTGCGCTCGTCTCCACTCTGTTCCCTACTTCTTGTGGCCAACATCCATCTCTACTTGATTCTCAGCCTCACATCTGCCCGCACCTTGACTGACTCCTATTGAGCGTGTGGTATTACAGATGAAGACGAAACCGAATCGAGACCCTTTCCTCAGCTATCATCCCTACAACCCCTCCGCGATCGTCGCCGGCACATCCGCAGCGTACAGCCTGGTATACATGCTACACATGCTTCCATATGCCACCTGATCCCCCGTTCGATAGACGGTCGCTGCATCCACATTCAGTGGGCTATCAGGCTCCGGCGAGTCCAGCAGCGCTATCACGGCCGTGCAAGCAGAGGAGAGCTGCCATGCGGGAGACCATTGCGAGGCGAGTACGTCTAAACAGATCTCGCCCGTCTTCCAGGAAATGTTCGGATGCCATATCTTTGTTTTGAAGCGCATCGTGGGCGGCTTCGAAGGGTAGGTTGGAGGGATGAGGATTGTGAGCTCGAAGATGCCGCCTGAGCGCAGGGGGAGGGAGAGGGACGATGTGTGAGCTCGAAGGCAGGAACGTTGTAGCCTCGCGGCATTCACCCTCGTAGTTGCCGCCCTTGGGTCCCTTGATGACCGCATACCACTCGAAGAGATCCTCCCCATCAGCGTCCCACGGCCTAAGCTCCAACAGATCCGGATTGCCAGTTGCTACCTCGATCAATGGTGAAGAGCCTCCACTGCCGCGCCTTCTTGCCCTTCCGATATCTTTGCGTATTGACTCAAACTCCTTCATGAGACGTCGAAGCGTCTGTGGTGACGCCTCGCCGTTATTCGCTGCCATGATTTGGAATGCTGAGAATGCAATGGTCGCAAGCCCAGATGCGATTGATCGAGGTCGCAGTCCGTCCACCGGGCAACCGGCTCCCGCAACGCCGGACCGGTGACCTCATATCGCTGACTTCCTTCCTCCCGTTCCTCAGTGAAGCCAGCAATCATGCACATCAGCAGCTCACACAAAACGAAGGATGGCGCCAGCATAGCCTATAAGATTCACGGAAGCAACACTGGCCTCCCGCCCTTGGTCCTCATCATGGGCCTCTCGGGCATAATGGAGGACTGGTCTCCCCTCGTCGAAGAGCTGGGCCTCTCTCGTCGAGTGCTCATCTTCGACCATCGCGGAATCGGCAAGAGCACCGTCCCCGAGGACTGGGACTACGACCTCTCCTTCGACATCATGGCTGACGACTTGCTTAGTCTGCTGGCAGAGCTGGGTCCGGCCTGGAAGACGGTGGATATGTTGGGCTTCTCAATGGGAGGGCACATTTTGCAGCATTTGGTTACAAGAGAAGGGACGAGTGTTACGAGCAGGGGGATTGTGGATACTGGAAAGGAGGGAATCGCTGTGAGAAAGCTGATTCTGGCGGCTACCATGACGAAAATGCCCAGGGGAGATTTGAATCTTGATCAGATGCAGCAGGAGTGAGTGCCGGCGGTAAAGACTGTAGCTGTTCACGCTCACCAGTCCCACGCGAAAACAGGGCCAACAAGATTGAGAACAACGAGCAACGCAAGCAGTGGACGATCGAAGAGCTCCTCAAGTACCAATACGATGCCGACTCTCTCGCCGCCTCCCAAGCCCTAAGGGAACGTCTACTTCTCCGCATCTCAGTCAGCTCCGTCACCCGTCGCCCGCAGCAGATCGTAGGGGTGCAAGCAATGGCCATCTCACAGGTGCGACTGACGGAGAGTGACCTTTCCAAGATCCCGGCTAGTGTGCCCGTGCTAGTCATTCATGGTAAGAAGGACCGGATGGTGCACTATGCTGAGAGTGAGAAGCATGCTGGGTGGATCAAGCATGCCAAGAGGGTGGATTTGAGTGACGGGTCCAAGGAGGCAAAAGAGGGCCACTATGGACACTTTGTGAGTCAAGAGTATTGCGAATATGATGAGCGAATGGCTCATCAGCTCCCATTCCTCTCGCGCAGTGGTATGATTACTTCGGTGCTGATTACTGGGCGAGGAAAATCAATGGCTGGCTCGATGAGAAGGTCGCCAAGCTCTGACGTGTCTGCGTGTGTTAGGGCCCAATGCAATCTGATCGCAGCGATTGGCTAATGTGCAGCGAGATCGTCGATCCGTCGTTGTACGCAAGCAGCACCCCGACCCGTGACCACCGGATCGCTAATCTTTCTTCGTCGGCCTATGTGCATGTCGCGATGAGGTTTTCATTCTTTGCCTTCGACTGCCCTCCACCGCGTCGTCGTCGTCGTCGTCGTCGTTGTCGTGGGATAGTGCTTCGTCGTCGTTGCTCACTGGCTCGTGTCGACGTGTCCCAGTGGAAGTGCTGGAAGCGTCGGTGCCCCTGGACCCTCGCAGGTTACTCTCGTAGCCCGTCCCTCGCTCACGCCCGCTAGGCCGGGTGTCACACAGCTAAGCTTAGTGCTCAGTCGAGTCGAGTCATTGTAAGGCCGAAAGAGCTGCATCTCGCCGTGCCGTCGCGGGCACTGCGTGAGTCACTCGCCCGCCCAAGTCGCCTTAGACGCGGGCGGGCGCGGACCATCTCAGGCGGCATTGGGCCGGACGGATCTGCTCGCCCGCTCACCCGCTCTCAAACCCCCCTCATTATCTTGCTGCCATCAACAAGGACCAGAAGAGGGGGCCAGATCAACTCATCAATTCTCTCCTCTTGACCACCACCACCATCACCCTCCGAACCCCACCCCCGTATGTCATCGCTGTTCGACACCAGCACATTCGACGCCCTCACGCCACCCGACAAGGGTCTGGCATCCGCCCTCAACCTCCAACCTCGTCCAGCTGAGACGTTGTGCGACGCCTGGACTGCCATCCAGGACGCCTTCTCTTCGACGGCTTCACCCTTTGAGAGCCCCCTTGGTGTCTCGTCCATCGGCTCTCCCAACTCGTCGCGAGACTTTGACGAGTCGCCTTTGCTGCCCTTTGACAGCGACTTCACAGTCGGCCAGGCTACCAGCGACAAGTCGCTTGCCAACTTTCCTCTCTTTGAGACCACCACGCCCGCTCAGCTCCCATACCAGCAGCAGCAGCAGCAGCAGCAACAGCCTCCTGGCTACACCACAGAGTACGAGGACTGGCAGCAGATTCTGCACCAGCTCTACCTCAAGCATCAGGCGGAGCAGCAGGCCGCATCCGCCGTTGCTGACCCCCAAAGCGCCAACCAGACGCTGATTGGCCAGTTCGCCAATCCCTCGTCCTGCCCCCTCGAGGCTACTAAGATGGGCTCCACCTTCGCCTCCCTCGCGGACATTGCTCCTGCCAACAAGCCTTGGGAGCTCCCCTTCGCCACTGCCGACCTCACGCGCGGCAAGAGTATGGCCGAAAGCGTCGTGAGCAGCCAAGAGAGCCTCAATGGCAAATCTTCGCCCTCCGCGACGACCGATTTCGTCTTCTCGGACATTGGTACCCCATTCTCCAGCCAGGGAAGCGCCGTCTCGCCTGCCAATGGCACCGAGAGCATCTCACAGCTTGCCGACATCTTCGTCCGCGAGTACGCCCGTACGCGCAACAGCGAGGACACCACAGTCCTACTCCGAGCCCTCAACGTCGCCGGCATCGCCGTCTCTGACAATGTCCTCGCCGATGTTGGTGTGAGTAGCCCCGAAGTTACTTCCACCTCGGTAGCCTCGCCCACCAAGGAGGACTTTACGACCTACAGCGAGAACGGCAGTGCGTCCTCGATCTTCGACCACTACTTCGTTGGTCATCTGCCACACCAGCAGCAGCAATCGTACTCCCCTCCTGCTACGGATGTGTCCGCTTCCAAGATGCGCTCTTCGGCCCAGCACACCGCCAAGCACAGTGCCCTCGGTGGCACAACGCCTCCTCTTCAGCACCACGGCGACGCACATGCCCACTTCATCAACGGCAAGCGTCTTTTTGAGTGCGACGTCTGCCACAAGACATTCGACCGCGCCTTCAACATGAAGACGCACCGCACCATTCATGAGGACACGCGTGAATACCCCTTCACCTGCCCTTTCGCAGACTGTGGCAAGGCATTCGCCCGCAAGGCTGACTGCAACCGTCACACCAAGTCGGTTCATCTCAAGCGGGGTGAGAGACTCAATACGGGTCCCGCTAGGGCCGACCTTGGCTGATCCCAGCGAGGGTCACCGCCTTTCAAAGGGTTCGTAGAAAGCTCTACAGGCCCTCGTCTATGTTTCGTTCGTCGTGCTCACCGATCCTCTCCCCTCTTCCCATCACTTCTGATCTTTCTAGATGACATCTGTGCATCACCCCATCACAACACCGAGTCGTTGGACCGGCAATTTGCAGCCACCAGCGTCGCTTGTCGCCGCCGCCACCGTCGTCGACAACGCAACTCACAACTCAACCCCCAACCTCTTGTATCAAATCCAAGACGCAGCCTAGCGTCGGGCCCGGACTTTGCATCTCGAGTACCACATCTCCCCCACCCTCCACTGCCGCCACAACTTGCCCGCCGACACTTCGTCCACCGCTCTCTGCTCTTCTCAACCTCACTCACGAGCGTGCGTGAAGGTGCAACTTCTATCAGACGAAGCACACGTAAGCAAGCAAGCAAGCAACAGCGGCACTAAGGGAGAGGCTACCAGTCCCGTAAGTCTCCGCTACTTGCGTCGAGCAGGACTTTCCTAGCTTCGGTATCTCTTCGAGTCGGTCCGCGACTTTGCCCATCCTCTTCTCCTTTTCACATCGACATTTAAAGCCCAGGTCGTCACGGTAATTTTCCTTCACCGACCTTCAAGCCTGTCTTTGGGACGCTCGCCTCAGTGCGAGTTGATTGGAGTTGAGGCTTTCCAAGGCAACCGCACCTTCCCCCATCTCGTTTCCCTCCCACCTTCCTCACCAACAATCCCAAACTTCCCTCTTTCCCCTCCTCACGATCTGGTTGATCCGCGCTCTTTGCCCTATTTCAACGAAAACGACCAACAAAAAAAAAGGTTCATCTCCTCTGTCCTGGCGATCAGAAACAACCCAAGTAGCTTCATGCCGTGGCTTGAATCAACAGTCCTTTCATCCTCTGCCGTGTCTACTGATCGAGCGTGTGATTTCGAGATTGAGAATGTCTGATGGTACAAAGTTGTTGGCTCTTTATGTGTGCTGCGCCGCGCGTCGGACCAGCCGTAGGTGCTGCTATGAGGAAGACGGCCCAGAAGGAGGGCCCATCTCAACATCATGGCTTGCCCCAACAGCGGCTTGGCCACGGTCCCCTCCTACGGCACCGCTGTCTTGCTCTTCCATCTTCAACCCCTCCACCTGGCCGTCAGGTCGCGTCCTCTGCGCCTCATGTTCCCTCTGTGCCTTCACTCCAACAACCTCCTCCAGCTCGGGGAACAGCTTGCCCACCCTCCCAGCCAGCTGTTCCCTGTAGCGCTCAATGGCCCAGCGCTGGCCTGCCAACTGCTGATTGTCAGAGACGAGACGGGCCATCCGGTTCTTGGACCAAGCGTCAGGGTTGCGTCCTTCGTCTATCTGTTCTAGAAGTTCTTCTGGTATGAGAGGCAAGGTATCGGATCCATCGGCGTTGCGATTGGAGGCTGAGGATGAGAGGGAGGAGAGGTGCGTGATGACTTCGTTGCTGCGCACGTAGAGTGATGTCAGCATAGTCTCCCTCGCTCCTCTCCGCTGACGCACACTCACACTTTCATCCCGATGATGTCCTCCCTCCCCACCTGAACATCCGCAGCACATACTGCCAGCTGGTAAAGGCTGTCGATGACGTTGCGAGTGCAATCCTCTGCTCGTTGCCTGTACGGCTCATTTGGATCTTCTTCCAGGGGCAGGGCGTGGTGGAAAGGGGTCTGTCCTGGGACGCCAGAATAGGTGGAGCGCCCCGAGTTGTTTCCAGGTCCCAGCGCAGAGGGCAGAAGACCGCCTGAGGATGAGCTGGAGGCTGGGTTGTTATTGGCGTTGAGGGCATTGTGTCCACCGAGGAGATTGTTGGCATCTATCCTCGTCGATTCGCTCGACGGCTCCGGTGACGGTGAAGGGGATGTGGGCGTAGGCTGACGTGCAGCTCGCCCACCTGGCGTTGCGCCTCCGCCTCTGCCGTTGCGCGAGGCCATCTCCTGGTGATGGTGATGGGATGAGTTGAAGGTTGCTGCGCAGGGTCTCGCCGAAAGGCGGCCGCCATCTGTGTGAGGGCGGAGGCGGGAGTGGAGACGCGGGAGGAGAGACGGCCGAGTCGAGCGACAGATCACGGCAGTGCAGCGGTCCGGCCGACGAGCCTGTTGCCTTTTCTACTCATCACTCCCTTACCATCTCCTTCACTCTATGCCAGCATCAAGAAGACTATAGCCCTTAGTCTAGACGCTCGCAATCATGGCTCGGACTAGCCAGGAGCAGCAGCAGCCGCTCATGGCTTCGGCTAGCGGCGTTGAGCATGACATCGTCCTTGCCAATGGCAGACGGAGACCCCTCAAAGCGACGGAGAAGATGTGGTGAGTAGGCGCAATGCTATCATCGTTATCCTGAACGTATTGCTGACCTGCCTTTGTCTGCCAGGATCATCGCTACGATCACGCTCATATCCTTCCTGGCCTATTCCTCGCAATTCTTCATCCTCATCCCCTACTGGCTCTCTACTCCGGGCGTTTCCCTCACAACAATGGCCCTCTACCTCGTCCCATTCAACATAGGCGTAGCTTTCATCTTCTACAACTACTACCTCGTCGTCTTCACCTCCCCTGGTGACGTTCCTCCAGCCTGGGAGCCAGACTGGGACTCCCTGGGCGGAGTAGAGGTAAAAGCTTCCACAGGGTCGCCGCGCTACTGCAAAGTGTGCAGGTCCTACAAGCCACCCAGAGCGCATCACTGTCGAGTATGTAAACGATGCGTGCTCAGGATGGATCATCATTGCCCCTGGGTGGCCAACTGCGTGGGCTACGCAAATTATGGGCATTTCCTTCGCTTCCTTTACAGCGTCGACATCACCATGAGCATGCACGTCGGCCTGCTTGCCCTGCGCGTCGCAGACTGGTGGAGCCCTTACGTCCACTGGCGTGAACCCTCCACTGCGGCTATGGTGGTAATGGTCCTCAATTTCGCGCAGGGAATCCCGGTCCTGCTGATGGTGGGCATCTTCTCCCTCTACCACACTTATGCGCTCTGCATCAATACTACAACGATCGAGAGCTGGGAGAAGGACAAGGTGGCAACGCTTGTCAGGAGGGGAAAGATTGAGGAGGTCAAATATCCGTACGATTTGGGACTGAAGCGTAACATCCAGGCGGTTCTGGGACGCAGGATCATCTACTGGTGCTGGCCCGGCCAAGGCCCACTGGGGAATGGACTGGACTACACCCTCGCAGAGGGGCATGGTGCGTCTTCTCAGTCGTCGCGGCGTGTGCTTAGAACATACGACATCGCAGATGGGACATGGGGCGGCAGCAGGAGTGGCGCAGCAGGGTCATCAACGGCTGGCGAGGGCGCCTCGAGAGGCCAGTCTGCCCACTCGCGTCTGGTCGCCAACTTGAGGAGCGGCAATCCAGGTGTCGATGCGCTTGCGCGTGCTGTTGCCGCAGGCGCTGGTCGAGCGTCAATGGACGAGGACCGGGATGATAGCGATGAAGGGAGGAGGAGACGGCGAGACCAAGAGTTGGACAGGATGGCCTAAATCGCGCCTTCACGACTTCATTTTCGGATGCATCGCAATGCTACGCCAGTCATGCTCACGCAGCCTGCCTTTCTCTTTTCGTGTGCGCTTTCAGACCATCGTGAGCAATTCTTCTGGCCTCCACGAGATCCAGCTAGGCCGCAGGGCCGCTCGAATGCCGGCGAGCGAAGGAGGCAACAGCAACTGCGGGAGGATGCCGCTTCTGCTTTCACGTATGGCGAGGGGGGCTTCAATCCCGCACTTCGGCCGTCAAATGCGGCGAAAGCAGCCGCTAGCATGGAGAATGGGCAAGGAGAGGAGGCCACAGGACGTCCTGCGAGCTTGCGCAGAAGGGCCTCGCCTGGACCGGTGGGACCGGTGGATGACGGAGCTATCTGGAGTAGTGTCCCGCCATACCACCCGGACTACGGTCGGCCTCACGCACGTCGTTCCTCTTCTTCCTCCTCAGCGTCGTCGGGCTCTTCTTCCGCAGCAGAAGAAGCCGGTGTCGTCAACGCAGGGTGCATCCCACCAGGCACGATCCCCGGCTCGGGAGTCAGGCCGGGTGATGCGCGCCCCAATCCCAACAGGGCTAGGAGACGGGCGGGCGACGATGCTTCGAGCGACATGGAAGAGCACGAGCTACTCGATGCGGCTGAGCGACGCCGATGGGGTGCGCATAGCGGAGAGATTTTTCCTCGCCTCTTCGCCGAAAATGAAGACGACTCAGCGAGTGACCTTGGCTCCGAGGGCTACGGAGACGAGGGTGACAGCAGCGATGATCAAGAGGACCAGCGGCGCCAGCTGCACAGTCGTGTTCGTCGCGGCTCAGAGGGGTACGAGGTGCGGCCGATGATGTACGACGAGGCGTACGCGGCTAATGCGGCCGAGGAGGAGGAGAGGCTGAGGAGCTTTATCATGGCGGAGAGGGAGCGTTTGGGACGTGTTTGGGATCCAGATGCTGAGTACGCGCAAGGAGTCGTCGAGATGGGCGGCGATGCCGACGATGACGAGTGGGGAGACAGAAGATAGAAGAGATATGGACAATCTGTATTGCTTGACAAAGATGACAATGCTTCGAAGTGTCGAGGGAGAAAACCCGCCCGCGTAAACTGCGCTACTCTCCGCCTGCGTCCGCCGCCGCGAGCACGGGCCGCCATTTCAATGGAATGGATCGGCGCTCGAGGCTCGAGTGAGCTGCATCAAACCAATCACTCACCGTCATATCCTACCTCTCCAAGGCCACATTCACTAATCGCAATGCTACCCGACAGATAAAGCGCAGCCATCGCTTCAGCTAGCTAGCGCATCTCGTCATTCTTGGCTCGTCTATGGTCCCTCGCCCTCGGCCATCGCCATGAACTCCTCCTCATCCTCGACACCCTCCGCCCTCGACTGGCCTCTGCCCCTTGCCCCACCTGCAGCCCCGCCAGAGCTAGACGACCTGCTCGGCCGACTGAGCGTCGAACAGAAGATTGCAAACGGGGCAGAACATCTCCTCTCGCTGTTCGATCGTGACAACAAGCAAGCGGACAATGAGGTGCTGAAAAGGCAGGTCGAGTCTGAGCTTGCGAATGCCAATGAGAGCATTAGGGAGCTGCAGGCTGCTATTGAGGGGCTGAAGAGAAGTTATGCGGAAGCGTATCGGGAGAAGAGTGGTGAGTACACGAGAGAGGAAGTGGCTCATCCGGATTCCATCACCTGACCTGATCTGGACTCGCCCTCAGCATCCCCCATTCCAACTGCCTCCGACTTCGCCTCGACATCAGCGCTCGGTTTGGACGTCGAATCTACTTCAGCCGATACTCGAGAATGGCTTGAGGGCTCAACGTATCGCAACTCCAGCTCCTACCTGGGCGACTCGACCTTCTCGCCCTCGACCAGCGCCCTCGATATCATGGGCAAAGCTCCTAGTCGGCAAGACGGCGAGAGGACAAATGACCAGGCATACAGGCGACAAGCATTGACTCTGCTCGATTTGCTTCATACCATAGCCTCTCAGACGAGCAATACAATCAGCGCAGAGCCGACCATCGATGCTAAGTCGCCCTTTGCTGCCATGGGCCCGCCAACGACGCCCTCGAGCACGCGGACAGCTCAGAAAGTACGGGCTGCCTCGCGCAATCGAGCCGCCCAAGCAGCTCGCAGTCCAAACGACAGCTCAGCTAGCGCAGATGGTATGGATTCTTCATCATCCGAAGATGGCCAGCGCAAGATTGAGATCATGGACAGTCTTGTCGGCGTATTGCGTCGCAGCGTGCGCGTGAGGTACGAGCTTACAGCGGAGAGGGTGCTCATGGCCACCTTGCCATGCTTGACGGAATGGGCGGGAATGGAGACAAGGGCTGCAGCATGGAGATTATTGCGGCATTCCCTCGTCCCGCTGGATATGGATCTCGCAGAGAGCTGGCGGGTGCACAACGTCGACCTTTATCTCATTCGCACGTTGCTGCGAGATCGCAAGGCCGTAGTAGAGAAGGAACAGGCGCTCAAGCTTATCCGAGCCGTACTCGAGCTCAATCATAAGAGCGTCAATAGCGGTGGTGGCGCAGCGCGCTACGAACACCGCATCTTGGGCGACGGAGTGGTGCGAGCCCTTGTCGCGGCCTCTGAGCCCGTGGACGAGCCAATGCGCAACGTCTACATCGAGACGCTAGCTGAGATGGCAATCATGGATCTGCCGCTGCTTTGCAGAGGCGGAGGGTTGAGTGCGGTCATTCATTCGCTCGCCGATGGGCCTCACGAGATTGCCCCAGAAGTGGCAAAGGTTCTCCTCTTCCTAGCCGATGGGCCCACGACTCGCGCCTTGTTCCGGCCGAGCGTCGACCTCGAGTATGCCCTTTCGACACTCACGGATATGCCGGTCCAAGATGCGCCTCACCAGCAAGCAGAAGTTCTCACCACGTCCGCGCGAGTGGTCAGCGTCATGCTACGTACGTGGACGGGGCTCATCTACCTCTGCATGAACCAGAGGAGGGCCATCGTGTCGCTCGTCACAGCGATGAAGGTCAGCGGAAAAGACGTGCAGGAGACCATACTGAGGCATATCATTGAGGTGTTTGATGTGGGGCTGGGGATTGAGAGGCAGAAGCAAAGGGCTCAGGCGAAGCTGCAAAGCGATCTCCCCGAGCTGGAGACTGCTGAGGGACGTGAGTGCAGCGCGAAGTGGCTGTGTCGATCCAAGTTGACCATCTTGCTCCCCGTCTACAGGCAGCTTCCCGTCGCGAGCCGCTCGTGAAATGTCACGCGAACAGCGCGAGCGGAATCGCCATCGCATCACGCTCATCGACCAGTATCTTTCGCTCCTCCTCGTCGTCTTCATCGAGTCGGGCATCATCGATGCTCTTGTCCATATCCTTCAGTCGACGACGGAAACGAGCCGCAGTGCGACGTTGCTCATGGGCACACTGCTTCAGTTTGGCAATCGCGTTCTGCCTCACAACTACAACCTCATGGTCAACCAGCTGCCAGACCTCTTTGCTTCGGCGTCGCAGTTCCACAAGTACGAGAGTCGTGGAAAGGCAGCCACTGCTCTTTCTGCCGTTGAGAAGGCGTCGTCAGTCGTGCGCACGCAGGCTAGCGCGACAAAATCGATCGGCCGACCGCGAGGGGATTCATCTGTTGCGGGCGGTGGGGCCGGTGGTAGTACCAGCGAGGATACGCCCCTTCGTCGACCAGTCGACAAGGCGAAGATCCTTCAAGGCATCAATGTCGACGACAATACGTTCCGCAACCAGATCATCGAGACGCAGGTCCTGAGCACGAGGGACCAGACAAAGTGGAATGTCGACATCATGATGGACCTTCTACAGGGGCCGCTACTCAGTCCAAGACGTCTTGAGGAGGCAATGCGAGGGACGAAGCTACTAAAGCGACTCCTCGCCTTCTTCCATCCCTTTGCGTTGCGCTTCTCCGACTTGCCAGCTACACCGCCAAATCGCGTCTACATCCGCCTAGCAACAACGCTCCTCAACACCCTCCTCACCCTGTCGGAAGGCATCAAGTTCCTGGCAGAAGATCGCCTCCTCAAAGAAGTTCGTGACGCCTTCTCCCAAATCGACCCTACCTCCTCCGCACCCTCCTCAGATCCCATCTTCGCCAAGTCCCGCATTACCTCGACCCTCTCGCAGGGCTACCTCGAGATGATTGGCACACTCAGCGCGTCGACCGAAGGATCCAAGCTGCTTGGCCGATTTGGCATCTGGTCCGCCCTGTACCGCTTATGCCAGCAGCAGACGCGAGACGACATCGTACGGGTGATGATTGAGAAGCTCGACTACAGCTTAGACAGTCATCCGAGAATCTTGCTTGCTTGGGTGCTGACAAGCGCGAGTAGGCCGTTACGCAAGTCTGCGACGGAGCTCCTCACGAGGCTTATACGCCGTTCCCCGAATCCAAGGGAATGGATGACCTCTCTGCTTTTGGCGCAGCTGTGCGACCCCGTCTCCTCGATACGCGACATAGCCGTGACGATGGTCAAGGACGTGTGCTCCTGGCCCAGAGCCCTGGAGATGGTCGTCTCCCTTCGCCCTACGCTCGACCATTTGGGCGAGACCGGCCACGAGCTGCTGCTTCGCTTTCTCTCCACCCCGGGAGGGGTGCGCTACCTCCTCGAAGGGGACTACATTTATCGCGAGATGGACGAGTGGCTCAATGAGCGCTCTCACCGCTACGCGGTGCAGATCGAAGTCAATCTGACGCGCGCGCTCAGTATCTACAGGAACAAGGACGATCCAGACCTCGAAGCCGAATTTGACGGGACAGCCCCTCCTCACTTCTACGGCGAGCTCGTCAAGACGCCAGAAGGCTGTCAGGTGCTCAACCAGAAGGGTCATTTCCTCGAATTTGCTCACTTCATCCGACAGCACGGCATGGAGGGCAGTGACGGGGAGATACTCGCGAAGCTGAAGAGCATCCTGTGGACCGTGGCCAACATCGGTGCTACGACGGGCGGGTTTCCCTTTCTCGAAGCACACGGAACAGTCGCTTGTATCGTGGACATTGCTGAGCGATCCCCTGTGCTCTCCGTGCGCGGGACATGCTTCTATGTCATTGGTCTCATCTCGACGACCAGGCAGGGAGCAGAGTCACTGCACGACCACGGATGGCAAAGCGTCTGTACGACGTTTGGTGCGCCGATTGGAATCTGCCTGCCCGTTCAGCTCGACGACTTTGTCTATCTGCCGGCATGGGAGTATGAGGAGCGCTCCGCTGCCCAGCCGAGCACGTCTACTGTACTGCAACCTCCCGCGAGTACGCTGCATCGCTCCATTCTCGCGTCGATCTCCAATTTGGGCAACTCTATCCTTGCCAACAAGGCAGCAAAGACGCTCTCGCGGCTCAAGACGAGGCATCGCAGTGCTTTCCGAGACCTGTCACTGTTCGTGCGTGCGCTCGAGGTGCTTGATGGGTACAAGCTCAGGCAGGCTGTGAGACGCTTCATCTGGGACTTGTTCGAGGTGAACCTCGACGAGGGTACGGTTGAGCGCATAGCGGCAAAGAGGAGGCAGATGATGGCGTCGACGGCAAGCACGGGGCGACGCGGGGCTATGAACGGGGGCACGCACAGCAATGGCGGTGCGGTGCCTCGCTCCGTGACGCTGCCAGCGATGTCATCTCCTGCCGTGGGATCGCAGACTCGCCGTATGTCAAGCGCGCTGCCCGTCCGTTCGATGCGGCGGAATGACCTGCGACCCAACCCGATTGAGGACGCAGCGTACGCGGATGGTGTCGGTGAGGAAGATTGGGAAGAGGCTGACGAGCTTGGTCATCATGACGGAGGCGAGGACGCAAGCAGCGGCGAGGAGGAAGAGAGCGCGGATGCGAGCGGATCTGAGGATGAGGAAGACGAGGATGAGACGGAGCAAGGCGAGCAGGGCGAACAGGACGACGCTGATGAGCGGCTTCGTGACGGCGGTCTTGGTCTAGGCCTGAGCCTTCACGGAGCTGGGAATGGCCAGGCGCCCAAACGACGAAGCCTCTCTTCATCAGCCGCCCTCGGTCGACACGGAGCTAGCACGACTGCCTTAGGAGCTATGCGCGGCGCAGCCAACACTCCGGCTTTCCCCGCGCACGAATCCCTGGTTGTCATCGACGGCTTTGGAGAGCATCGCAGCAGTCGTCTGGTTGATCCACCCAGGTACGCCCCCGCCCCTGGGGTGAGGATCATTGGTGGATTTGGAACTGCGGGCGCGGCGGGTGAGTCAGACTTTCTATCTGGCGGGGCCGGGGGCCCGGCCGGGGGTGGGGTCACTGCGGTGTCGGTTGCTGATGAGATGTGAGTGCGACGTGGTGTCATGTAGTGCGATGATGCAGAGTATTGGATTCGAGTTCAATCAAAAGCTCAAATATTCTCGCGCGTGTGTCGCCTCGACTGTCGAGCGAGTCGTATGTCGCGCAGCTAGGTGTGAAGCTGGCAACGATCGAGTACGGCGTGTAATTCGCGCCGAAGCCCTCGCGCGCTTAGCCTAACGGTAAGGTGGGGAGTTGGGTGTGACGGTAGCATCCCTTCTTTGGGTTCCGTAGTCGCTGTGACCTCAGTGGTGTCCCACGGCGCCGCAGACTGGTAGCGACGGTCAACCACGTTGGAGGTGGCAGTCGGTTCGACTCCGGCATCTCCCCTTGCATCATTTCTTTTGCCTCGGGCGGTACCGCGTGCGGATCAAGACGCTTGTGACACGGACAGGCTGTTCCCTTGCAGCGCACTCGGTATTCTGATCGTCGCATCGTCGTCGTCGTCGCGTTGGCGCGCTCTTGCCTCCTTTGTATTTTACGACGCTGATCGCCGCGCCGCTCACTGGCACAGCCTACTCGGCCCTGCCGCTGCGAGACGAAAGAAGTTTCATCGCACACACATGCGCTGTGCGCCAATTGTCGCCTGCCTTGCCGGCCAGACTCGCTGAGCCAATCATAGCCTGCCTCCAAGCCTCTAGCGAGCGAGTGCAGATATTCGCGCCGCTATGTCGCTGCGACGATCAAAGGAAAACCGAGTGGGCATTCGCATCGCAATGCAATAGAGGAACACCGTGGGCGCTCGGTTGGAGGAGAGGGGGGGGGGGGGGGGAGATGCGTTGGCCATCAGAGCGGGGTGGGCGATGTAGGGCGCAAAGGGCCAGGAGAGGAAAGAGAGGGGCGCCAGGCGTCCCCTCAGTCTTGGCAGTCACGCGTGCGCATGCGTGTGCTTTATGCTTGAAATGGGTCAACGTGAGCCGCCGCGCCGGGCTGAGATGCCAGGATGCTCCCTTGTCACTCGTTACGTTGCCGCGATGCTGCGCTGCACCGCGCCGCACCGCGCCGCACCCTTTGTCGCCGGTCTGTCGATCTGTTGTTGATTTTTGCGCTGGCCGCGGCATCCGAGCAGAGGCGTCGGCGGACTTACGGCACTTGACCACGACGACGCGACGCCCCGAGCACCCTCGCCTCCTGGGCCCCTCTTGCCTCTGCCTCAGCTGCCTGCAGACTGCGAATCCTGCGAAGCCCCTTGCCGCCTCAGCCACCGTGGCACCGAGCTAGCCAGCTGGCCATGGACAAGCGCCCTCCTTTCATCAACGCAGCCGTCGCCTTCTCTGTTTCTTTCTTCACTACCATTGCCTCTTCTCGCTCTCTCTCTCTCTCCCCTCATCTCTCTTCCTCCTCCCAACACAACTCTCGACGCGTGCGTCTCCTGCATCTGCTGCGCAGATCCTCCTCCTCCTTCTAGTCCACCCTCGACACTCTCGACACTCTCATCAATCGACCTTTGCTCGTATTCTCAACCTCCCTTCCTCCTCGACACCTTTGCCCACCACATTCACTAGCCCGCCATGGCACCCATCGCAAAGACCTTTTCCCTCGCCCTCCTGGCACTTGCTGCCACCTCTTTTGCCCCCCAGCCCGTTGCTGCTGACCGTGGCCTCGCTGCTCGCAGCTACGGCTTCGGCCACGGCGACTCCGGCGCCCACGCTATGCACCGCATGCACCGTCGACGGGCCATCTCTCGTCGCAACGACAATTCCACAGACACCGACTCACAGACCAACGACACCCCAAAGATCGTCGAGGGTACCCAGGTCAGCGGTCACGATAACAAGGAAGACTCGTCTTCAGGCTCAAAGTCCGATGATGCTTCGTCGTCGCAGTCGGATGAATCCAAGACGAGCCAGGCCGCTCAATCTACATCAAAGTCAGACTCGTCCTCGTCTGCCTCTGCCACCTCCAGCAAGGCGGACTCCTCCAAGTCCTCTTCGTCATCGTCGGCCTCCCCTTCCTCGACCAAGAGCGACGATGACGACAAGAAGTCGGCCTCGAGCTCCTCGGCTTCCAAGTCTTCATCCGCCGGTGACTCCGTCGAGACGGACAATCTGACCGTCGCCTCGTCTTCGGACAAGGAGAAGGGCATCTACTACTGGAACTCCAAGGGCCAGCCTCTGGACAAGGAGAAGAAGCTTGTCAAGCTGTCCAACAACTCTAGTTCTAGCGCCAGTTCCAGCGCCTCGTCCGCCTCCAAGACCAACTCTGACGCCTCCTCTACTACCAAGAGCGACTCGAGCTCCAAGGCCTCGAGCACTGCCTCGTCATCTAGCTCCGCCAGCAAGTCGGCCTCATCGACCGACGCTGCCAAGAGCTCGCACTCGCACTCACACTCGCACCACCACAAGAGCAGCAGCACTCAGGCATCGTCTTCGACGGCCGCTCCCTCGTCATCAAGCTCGACGCACTCGGCCAAGAAGGCCGCTGCTACCGCTCAAGCCGCTGCCGAAGACGACGAGGACTGTGACGACGAGGATGACGCCAGCTCTCCGTCATCGTCCAGCGCCCCTGCAGCTTCCTCTTCGTCCGACAACTCGAGCTCCACCGCCAACACCGGGTCGTCCAAGGCTGCCTCCAACAGCGGCTCGTCATCGTCTTCTGACAGTGGCAGCTCCGGCGCCAAGGTCGCCAACACCGGCTCATCCAAAGCCGCCACTAGCTCCGACAACAACGGCTCCTCAGATGCTTCGTCATCCAACGACGACGACGCAGAGGACTGCGACGAGGAGGAGGACGATGATGATGATGACGACGACGATGAGGACTGCGACGAAGAGGATGTCGAGGACAGCAGCAGCTCCGATGCCTCCAAGGCGTCGGCATCGTCGAGCGCCACTGCCTCTGCTACCCCCGCCCAGATCAAGAAGGTAGACAACTCCAAGAGCTCGTCTTCATCTTCGTCGGCTACCCCCTCGTCGTCCTCGGCAAGCAAGAAAGCTTCTTCCACGGCTTCCTCCTCGTCTGCCAAGGCCACCTCCTCGTCTTCTTCGTCGTCCAACAGCGGCGGCAAGACGTACTCGGGAGGCATTGCCACGTTCTACTCGCAGAATGGCAACGCTGGCTCGTGCGGCAACTACAACTCCGATAATGCGATGATTGTCGCCGTCGATTCCGCCATCATGAACTCTGCCCTCTGCGGCAAGAAGGTGCAGATCACCAACAAATCCAATGGCAAGACAGCTACCGCTACCGTCGCCGACACTTGCCCCACGTGCAACAACGCTAACTCTCTTGACATGAGCAAAGCACTCTTCGGTGCTCTCACGGACAACAACTACGGCCTGGGCATCTTCAACATCGAGTGGCACTTCGTCTAAGCCAGTACAGCATAGCGAAAGTTGGCGCACTCGACTTCCAACCATCCGTTTAGCAACGTTCGCACACACTGCAGCGAAGAGGGCGCACGCATCTGGCATGCATTCTCCTCTCTCTGCACTCCCTCACCACGACGTCACGTCAATGAGGCTTCTAGCTGGTCTCTACTAGCCTCGCCCTTCTCTCCATGGTCACGGTCTCTCACACATACTTTCTCTTCTCTCTCACGTCCTTTCGCCATGACTTCTCTTGATCCTTCTCTCGCCCGGCCGAACAGGCCCTTCTTCTCTCCTTGAGTCTGGTTACTCTGCGAGGGAACAGGTGGTTCTAGCATCCTTTGCTTTTTCATCGCTTTCGCGTGCTCTTTGTATTCTTTGACAGCTTCTGGGAATGCAAATCGAACCGCGGCGCAAGGACTAGTTCCACTGCGGGGTATGAGAGTTCATTACAACGCATCGTCTACAGTTGATTGCTGGCTACCACCACAGACCGCTTCGTCCAGTCGATCAGGCGTCGCCGTCGTCGCTGCCATAGATGAGCTCACCGACGACGAGAGCGCGTCGGCAAGCATCCATAGTGCTGCCCAATGCAGCCGTGACTACTGACGCCACGTCCTCGGCCCCATTCTGCTTCTCGCCTTGCTCCCTCGCAAGGCGTAAAACCTCTTCTGTCTGAGCGAGGACCTTTCCTAGTACACCCATCATTCTTTTTGCCTTGGCCTCCCTTTCCTCTGCCGTCGCTCCCCCATTCTTCCCCGCAGATGCCCCTCCCGCGTCTTGCTCCTCTGCCTTTAGAGCCATCTCGTCTTCCGTATCTGGAGGGCACACGGCGTGCCAGAAGTGTCGCAGAACCTCCGTAGCCGATCCGTGTGCGTCGAGCAGCTTCTTGCGTAGCGACTCGGGTTCGACCGCGGTAGTGAGGTCCGTGAGGCCGCGTGAGCGACGCGCTACTAGCAGCGAGACGAGGGATGCTTCGACTGTCAACCCTGAATCGCCCTGATCGCGAGGTGTCTGCTTTTTGCTGCCGCCAAGAAAGTCGAGCTCTACTATGCCTGCCGTGCCCATGTGGCCGAGCGTTGTCGACATGGAGCTCAGTACTTGGCCACGGTCGAGTGCAACCGGTTCCGAAGACGTCTCTTTAGAAGTAGCCGCCTCTGCCCTTCGCCTTCTACCTGCCGCGCCTCGCCTCGTCCCACCTCCCCGCGCACTGTCCTCATCGCCGATGTTGAGCTCGAGAGGTACAGCGATACGCTGCCTCCTCTCCTCGAGGTCCTCAATGACAATTTCCTCCTCGTACCGCCTAGCATGTGCAGCGTGATCATCAAGCTCTACGCCACTCTCGCCCTCTGTGCGGGCCTTCTTGCGCGGTCGTCTTCCCACCTGCTCCGCGTCCTGCGCCTCCCTACCCATGGTGTGGCTAGTCTGTTCCACTCCACCACTGCCCAATGCTGCGCTTAACACTCGCCCGGAGTGTTCATTGAAGCGGCGCATGAGGGGAAGCACGCCCTTTTCTACACCGCCGCGCATCGTCCAGTCCTTTGCATTGCCCGTCGGAGCATGGTCACTTTCTGTAGCACCCAGGTCAACGAGGCGGTTGCGAGGGGCTGAGTCTCCATCGCCGCCCTCGGATGGTTCGAGGGTATCGGCGTAGCGTGCCTGGACAAGGGGCAGGTAGCTGTCGAAAATTTCGTCTGGCTTGACGCCCGCCGAGAGGGAGGAGCTCGGGAGTTGGGTTCCTCCAGCGGCGGAACGTGAGTTGTTGAGGAGCGATGACGAGCGGCTAGAGGTGCGCAAAACGTGATAGAGTGATGAAGTGAAGTAGCGCTGCCAAAACGAGGCTTCGTCCATCTGTGAGCGCGAGAGGCCCAAGAGGTGGGAAGCTGATTAGCATGGCGGGCTTCGCAGCTTGAGTCTCGCACTTCAGCCCACCTTTTCTGGCACATTCTCCGACCAGGCTAGCCTCAACACATCGTTCTGCTGCAAGAGATCCTTGCGATCTTCATCCGTGATCTCGAGTTTGAGCTCTCCGTTTTTGCCGACGGTGAATCTTGGGTCGACGATACGGGCATTGCGACCTTTCTGCTGACTTGCGGCCTGCCTGGCCGCTCGCAGCATGGCCTGCCTCGTTGGGTGGGACCAGAACTCCGAGTCCGGAATGATGTTGGCCATGACAGTTTGACGATGCAAGGCGGCGAGGGCTGGATTGGATTTGAGGAGCGAGATACGCAGCTCAAGTTCCGTAGGCCCCGCCGATGACGAGGTTGCTGAAGTGGTCCCAACCTTGCCTCGAGGTGGTGCGACACTTGCCCTAGGAGAGGGAGCAGCAGATGTTGGCGTACCACTCTCTGGCGGGCCGGCTGTAGCTGGAGAAGCTGGGCCGGTGGACGCCGCATCGGTGCCCTTTCTAGCTCGATTGTCTGCGATTACGACGACGAGGCGCTCCTTGAACGCCTCTCGCTGCTCTTCTGCCTTCTTCTGATCACCCTGTATGCCGCCTGTAAAAGTGAAGAGCGCTTTCGCCTTTGCTATGCCTGTAGCTTTGATGCCATTCTCGTCGAATGCGACTTGAAGGGCCACCGTAGCTGATCCTGCCTTGGACATGCTCAGCCCAGAGACTGAGTTGAGGGGCAGACGCAATTGCGATGCCGACGTCGACGACGAAGATGAGGGGGTCCAAGAGAGGGCATCATGGCTTAATGCGATTGTACCTGGTAGCTTTTGATACGATGCTGCAGAGTGCAGCGTTTCAGTCGACGATGCCATCAATTATGTGGATTGAGAGAGAATGGGGAGAGAGGAACAAAAAGATGCGGCGAGCAGACGCTTCCGTCCCCTTGGTCGTGTGGCCTGAGCGCGACCAGGGTCCCACTTGGCAGCCTCGCGACCTACACCCTCTTTTCTCATCGAGATGCCGCCACACCCTAACATATGGTCTAATGGAGTTGAAAGGATGGCCTCTCAAGGCGGCCTGCTCGAAGATGATCCACGCAAGCTCTACGAGGGAATGACGTCCGATTCGCTCGTGGCGACTTTGAAGAAGGAGGAATCACGTACGTCCCCTCCGGTCCTTATCGTCCGCGACACATGGTATCGAGGCTCTCGTTGATCTCGACATCCACCTTGCTTCCCCTGTGCAGAGTATATATTCAGCCAGTTCGATGCACGAGCTGCGCAGATGATTGGCACTGCCCTGCTCACCACCTGGTATGATGACAGGGCCAAGTCCAACGACGACGGCATCGCCATCTCAATCACTCTGTTCAGCGGCGTAACCCTGTATGCCTCCATGATCGGGGATAACGTGACTGCCGACAATTTTGAATGGGCCAGGCGAAAGACAAATACGGTCAAACGTTTCGGTACGAGCTCCTTCTGTCGGGGTCAATCCCGATTGGCCAAGGGAAAGCCGGCTGACGACCCTCTACTCGGGGCAGACTATGCGGTCAGCTGGCTTTGATTGACGTGCACAACGCTCGAGATGCTTCTGCTGACACGGCAATCCTCGACGTCCGCAGGCTCACGGAGGAGCTTTTCCTGTTCGCATCCAAGTGAGCACGGAAGAGGCGTCACCTATGGCGGGCCTTTGACTGAAGCGACTCTGCCCTCCGTCGTCACAGGGCTGTCCACACCCGGTTGGGGCTATTGCTGTCTCGGGTCTCACGCAGGTAGAGGACCATGCGTACATCATCGCTGTGCTCAAGCGCTACTGGCGTTGTATCGTCTCAACGAGGGTCGGGGAAAGCAGAACTACTTCAAGCTCTTTGGAAGTCAATGGTAGATGACAATGCATCGTAGTCACCATGTAATCGGGCTCCTCCGCTCACACTCCTCAGCTGTACGTCGACGGAATGCAAGGATGAGCGAAGAGGCACAAATCGAAGAGCCAACTTTTGGAATATTGTTTGAAGCTTGAAAGCATCGTACAACATTGAGACTTCCGATGGCTTGCGCTGGTGGGAGAGGTTGGGGTTGCGGGGGCGCATTCCTACTCCACTCGCCAATGTCGAGTCGAATGAGCGGCTGGCCTGCCGGCTTGAACTGGCGCGAGGCGCGAGCGGGAGCCGTGTTCTGGCCGCCGCTCATCTCGACTCTCACTTCCGTTTGCTTGCCAACCAATCCATCAACCAACCAAATCATCTCCTCCGATTTCTGGTCTTCGAGCCCCACTGGAGGGCCACTCAGCTTGTCTGCTGCTCTGCTCCTTTCCTATCGTGATTGTCAGAGCACGCTACGTCCAGCTTAAACAGTCACGTCGACACAGACGCCGGCCTCGTGTGCCTTGGCTATCACCATCGCCCTCGTCGATCCCTCAACCTTGTCAACCCGTTGCTTGGCTCCTACTGACCCCCACTGTATTCCAGCGCAATTGAGCGCAGCGTGAATCCTGCTTAGCTGGCCATGTCGCTTGCTCTTGGTCCAGCAGCCAATGGGACGCCCAATGTGACTGCACCCGGCGGCAAATGGCTAGGCGTCACGCCCCCCATCGCACTCAGTGGACCAACGCAGAGGGAGAAGGAGGTCACCATCTCCTTGGAGGCTGAGCTCAGGGAACAGAAGATGTTCGAGTCAGAGGCAGAGGCAAAAGTTCGGTCAGTAGTGCTACGACGAGGTGGCCCTCGTTCGCTCCCTTCCTAACCTACTCACGAACAAAGCATCCCTCTCCTCTTGCATTGCTCACACATATAGTGAGGTCGTCTTGGGTAAAGTCGATGCAATGGTAAAGGACTTTGTCTATCGAGCATCCATCGCGCACGGCATGTCTGACTCAATAGCTCGTCAGGCTGGCGGCAAGATCTTCACCTTTGGATCCTACCGACTAGGCGTTCATGGGCCAGGATCCGACATCGATACTCTCTGCGTCGTACCAAAGCACATTACACGGGAGGACTTTTTCCACATCTTCCTCGACATGCTGAGGCAGAGGGAAGAGGCCACCGACGTCGTCCCCGTCTCAGAAGCTTACGTGCCCGTCATCCAAACCAACTTCATGGGCATTTCCATCGACTTCCTCTTTGCCCGTACCGCACTCCCTCGCGTCGACCAGAGCCTCGACCTATCCAATGATCAAATGCTCAAGAATCTCGATGAGAGGGATGTGCGCAGCATGGGCGGATCCAGGGTCACCGACGAGATTCTCCGCCTCGTACCTGACGTACACGTCTTTCGTCTGGCCCTGCGCTGTATCAAGCTCTGGGCTCAGCGTCGAGCCATCTACTCAAACGTCATGGGCTTCCTCGGCGGTGTAGCATGGGCTATGCTCGTGGCTCGCATCTGTCAATTGTATCCCAACGAGGCAGCAGGCGCCATTGTCAGCCGTTTCTTTGTCATCCTCTACCAATGGCAATGGCCTCAGCCCGTGCTGCTCAAGCCCATCGAAGAGGGCCCCTTGGCTGTACGAGTCTGGAACCCCAAGCTCTACCCACAAGATCGTCTTCATCGTATGCCCATCATCACACCCGCCTATCCTTCGATGTGTGAGCAGGCGCGCTCGTATGTTCATGTATTGATACGTCGCCCCAGGCTTAGACACCCTCCTCCTCCTCCTCCTCCTCCTCCTCATGTCGCAGGTTCGACTCACAATGTGACTGGATCGACACAGATGATCATGTCGCAGGAATTCAAGATTGCGGCAGAGATCGTCGACAAGATCATAGTGGGCAAAACGACTTGGAAAGAGTGAGTATGCGAGCGACACGGACCAGCGAGATGATCATTGACCACTTCCTTCTTCTCGCCGCAGACTCTTCAAGAAGCACGACTTTTTCCACAAGTACAAGTACTACCTTCAGATCGTTGCCTCGTCCGGATCAGCAGACCTTCAGCTCAAGTGGGAGGGTACGGTGGAGAGCAAGGTTCGTCAGCTCGTCGGCAAGCTCGAGAACGTGCCCACCCTCGTGTGCGCGCATCCGTTCACGAAGGGTTTCGAGCAGATCAGCAAGTGTCACAACGATGACGAGGTGCGAATGGTGGCCACGGGCGATATCCCAGAAGAAGTGGCCGCACGAACCAAGCTCGAGGATCTGCCCAAGAAGGACGAGGCGGCCAAAGAGCAAGACGCTGTAGTGCAAGCGCAAGACGCTCAACAAGAGGGGCACCGCACCATCTACACTACGACCTTCTACATTGGACTCTGCGTTGAGCCGAAGCAGGCCAATGCGACGGGCCCACGCAAGCTCGATATCTCGTACCCGACAAACGATTTCACGCGCCTCGTCAAGCAGTGGGAGCAATATGACGATTCGTCGATGGGCATTGTGGTCCGGCACATCAAGTGCTCACAGCTGCCTTCTTACGTCTTCGATGGCGATGAACGCCCACCGCCCAAGCAGCTGAAGAGGCCAAAGAAGGGGGCTGCTGGGGCAGCAACAGCCGGAGTGGCAGGCGCGGCAGAGGGCACCGGCGCCGGCGCCGGCGTTGGAGACGGCTCGGAAACAACCAATGCAGTGGTTGATGTGTCGACGCCGCCGTCGAAGAAGAGGAAGTCGTCACCATCCTCGTCGTCTGTGGGCATCGGCGGCGGCGCAGGCGAGAATGGCGCAGCGGAGACTCATGGTGTATAGCCGCCCGCAGCTGGCTCAGCGACTGAAACATGACCACGGAGCGGGGCCGCGCTACCGTATGGCTCTGCGCAATGAGAAGCAGGACCAGGATCTCGTGTAAGCGTGCCGTGGCGCGGGTCCTTGCAGCTGACGCCGAGTCGCGTGGATCCGCAGAGCGTTTATTCTCACCTTTTCTGTCTCTTCTTCCCTAGCAACAATCAACTGACTCGGCAGCTTTGGCAATCAGCAGGTCACCTCGATCTTACGTGGCACTCATTCTTCTTCCCTTCCCTCTGCAAATCATCACTCTCCGCTCCCCCAATTTTACCCCATTCGGACTTCTTTCCTTCTCATCTGTACGTTCTTTGACCCCGCACTTCAGATAAGCAATTCCAAAAAGACACGCGTCGTCGCGAAGAAGCGTAGAGAGGCAACCTAGAGAAAGGTAGAGTGAGGAAGGCAGGCCAATCCTCTATGCCGCCTATCTGAGGGATTGAACCAAGGTTGGCGCTTTCTGCAGGGCTGCGTCGTGGAGCAGATCCAGAGCAATCGCCTGCTCGAGGAAGAAGCTGGGTCTCGTGACCTCTTCTGCCGATGGAAGACTCGTTGGCCCAGCACGAGGGATAATCCTGTAGGAGCGAGGCCGACGGCGATCTGCTCGCTTGTGCAAACGTGCGCACGAGCCTACCGAAGCGAAGCCGGCTTTCTCTCGTCAAGGTCATGATGATCCTGCGAAGCAACCTTGCTCATCCATCCTCTTGAGTCAGCACAGGAGAGGAAGAGCTACCACCTCGTGCAAGTCTGCAGATCAGTGAAGGCAGGGCCCCGCACAACCTGTCGAGCCCAGTCCTAGTCTATCATCCTGCAACTGCTGGCTAGCCTGGGTCGCCGCTAGTCATGCCTGCCTACTTAAATGCCCTCGCCGGCGAGGAAGTAGCTTCGATTGCATCGCACACGTTCTTATCCTCAACCTTCAACTTGACCATGGGAGGCTTCGCTCGCCAGACGGTCGTCCTCTCGCTAGCCGCGCTGCAGCTCGTTAGCGGCTTCGTTGTCCCAGATACGTCTCCCTTTGAGATCCTCGCTGCCAACGCTAATGTCAATGCTTCGGCTTCAAAGGCCTCGTCTGCACATTGGTCGAGCAGCCTTCAAATGGCCGTCGACTACTATCCCTCGCAATGGGACGCCAAGACGTACTGGGAGGATGATGCCGCGAAGATGCGCCAGGCCAACATCACTCACGTTCGCATTGGCGAGTTCGATTGGGCTCTCTTCGAGCCAGAAGATGGGCGCTACGACTGGTCAATCCTGGACCGCTCCTTCGACCTCCTCCATCGCCATGGTCTCAAGGTCATTCTCGGCACGCCTTCAGAGACGCCCCCGCTTTGGGCCGTCAAGAAGTACGACATTCTCGGTTGGGACGCCAACAGACGTCCGAGGCTCTTTGGCTCTCGTCATCACTTTTCCTTCTCTTCTCAGGACTACCGTAAGCTCAATAGGCGCATCACCCAGGCTCTAGCTCGCCGCTACGGACGGCATCCTGCCCTCAGTGCATGGCAATTGTCCAATGAGTACGGCTGCCACTCGACGACTCGCGACTATTCGCCCTCGGCTAAGAAGGCGTTCCAGAAGTGGCTCAAGGAGAAGTACGGCAACATCGAGGCGCTCAATAAGAGGCAGGGAAGGGTATTCTGGAGTAGCCAATTTGACTCCTTCGAGTCGATTGACGTGCCGACGCAAGAAGTCACCGAGTCCAACCCCGCGCTGCGGCTTGACTTTTTCACATTCTCCTCCGACCAGGTCATCTCCTTCGCCAAAGAGACTGTAGACGCGATTCGACAATACTCTAATCAGCCCATCACCACCAATTTTATGGGTGGATTCGTTGACTTTGGTGAGTATGACAGTGTGAGACCCGATCATTGGTCGTAGACGGCGGCGCCGCTGACCGCGTCATGTGCTACACAGACCTCTTCAAGTTCCAACAGGTGAATCAGCTTGACTTCTCGTGCTTAGACAGCTATCCACTCGGTAATGAGCAGTCTCAGCCGTGGGAGAGCGATGATAACAAGGCCAAGTACCTTCGCACGGGCTCTCCCGACTTCCAGGCCCTACACTTTGAGCTCATGAGGGAGATGGGCAACGGCGGCAAGTGGGGGGTCATGGAGCAGCAGCCTGGCCCCGTCAATTGGGCAGCGGTGAATCCGTCCCCTCTCGCCGGCATGGTCCGCCTGTGGATCCATGAGATGTTCGCCCATGGCGCCTCGCTCGCCAACATCTTCCGATGGCGTGAGGTGCCCTTTGCAGAGGAACAGATGCACGCTGGCATGCTGCGCTACGACAACGAAGAGGATTTGGCCTTCAAGGAGCAGCAAGAGGTGATTGCTGAGCTGAATCAGATGCAAGAAGCTGGCCTGCTCGACGCTGGCGAGGGCAATAGCAGCGCTCCAACATGGGCCAAGGACAGTGGGAGGGGCCACTCTGATATCGCTCTCCTCTACGACTTTACCGCCCCCTGGGTCATTGAGGCCAACCCGCAAGGCGGCACTTGGGACACCAACACGTTCACCGACTTCACCTTTGTCTTCTTCCAGTGAGTCAGCGCAGCTGGCCGAAGAAAGCACTAAGGTCGTAATTGATCACTCGCCACCTCTTCCACCTCGTACAGGCTCCTGTCAAACTGGCACTCCGCTATTCGACGTCTCGGCCTCGATATCGACGTCGTTGGCCCTTGGAGTGACCTGTCCAAGTACAAGCTCATTGTTGCGCCTACCTTACCCCTCATTGGCTCTGAGCTGGAACAGCGCCTCAAGAAGTACAATGGTTCTCTCATCGTTGGACCGCGGACCGCTTCGAAGGAGGGCACTCTCAGCATCGCCGCGGGCTTGCCACCTTCAGCCGGGGCGCTGCGTGAGCGCATCCCCATGAAGATAGTCCGAGTCGAATCTTTGCCTACGAGCACAACTGATCAGGTGACGAATCAAGTTGACGGCTCGTCGCACAACGTCACGGCCTGGTCAGAATGGCTTGAATGCTCGCGAGATGGTGAAAAAGCCAACGGTGGCGTTGACTTTGTCTTCAAGGGATATCGCGACGGCTCACCGGCATCATGCAAGCATACCACCGATGACGGCCGTCAGACGACATACATTGGGTGGTTTGCACAGCAGGATGCCATGCTCCCCCTTTTTGCCAAGGCGGCTGCAGACGTGGGCATCAAGACGCTCGTTGGTACGACTCCATCCGCTACGGATCTCGACCTCGGCGACTCTGTGCGCATGATTCGTCATGGGCGAGCGCTTTATGCAGTCAACTATTCGCCGAACGAGCACGACGTCAAGAATCTTCCCGCCGAAGCTAGCCTGATCTTTGGCGGTGTCGATGGCGACGCAGCGAAGATTGCACCTGCTGGAGTGAATCTATACAAGCTCTGAGCTACGACGTTCGCTCGCGCTTTGCTTGATAGCGCTGCTTCTTTTGCGAACAAACTTATGCGACGATGGATTAATGCAATTTGCGACGACTTCGGTGGACTCTGAGTGTGCCGCACGATTCAGCCAGTAGCTTTGACAATCTTGTCATCATTTGATAGCATCCCGTCTCTGGGCGCAGGCCGGCCCTGGGCGAGCCCACGCCCCGAGCCCCGAGCCCCAAGCCTGAGCGAGCCTCCTCGTCTATTTGTGGGCGCTCGTCCCGGCAGCCATTTACCTCCTTTTCCCGGCCGCCCGGCGTGGGCCACCTTACTTCGCTCGAGCCTCCTCGCTTGACTCGCGCTGTAGGGAGGCAGCGACGATGAGGAAGAAGGGGAGAGGAGAGAAGACGGAATCGACCAAGAGTAGGATCCCAAGGACGAGAGAAGCAACGGGGGCAGTGAGGAGTAGGGAGCACACGCCGACCCTCCTGCCAGGTCAACGTGGTCGCGAGTGGCTGGCTGCCCTGTTCAATTTCTCATTTTGGCCGCTCGCTCAGTACGAGGGCGCATGCTACTTACTACCCCATGTGACTGTCGGATGGCCCTTCATCATGGCCGACGATCTCAAGAAGGCGGTCGTATTTGCTATCAGTGTTGACGCCGCCAAGACTCGCGACAAGGAAGTAGAATCCGATCATCGTGGTTGGTGTGGCATAGGCAGGGTCCGCTGCGCCTTGATCTCGCGGCGAAGACGCCCTGTTTCATTGGTCTCAGAGGGGCGTCGTCGCCTGGATCTGTCGCGTCTGAGGCGGGCGGCGAGCCAGTGGAGCGCGGCTTGATGCAACGGAAGGGGAGACGAGACTGCGACGAGCAGACGAGGGGAGAGGCGAGGGGTTTCCTTCACTCACCATTCTCATCCTCATTTGATTCTCTCTGTATTGCTCGTGGCCGCAAAGGCAAAGCGGGCACTACACAACGTGCCCCATCGTCGCAAGATCAGCGGCGACGGCGACGGCGACGGCGACGGCGCGGCGATCACGACGACATTGACATCGACATCATCGACGACAACGAGGGCAGCCGTTGTAGTCGCATAGCGGTGCCTCTGCTGGACCCTCGCCCTCTTCATTGACTGGTCCATTGCAAGTCATGTCGTCCGTATTCAGCAGTGGTGCGTCACAACCTCTTCATTCTGCCTCTGCATCTTCCTCATCATCTCACCCTCCTCCACGAGGCCATCCAGGCGCCTTCGAGATGGACCTTGCTGCGAACCATCGCGCCACCTCTCGTGATTATAATGATCAAGGCAGCAGCAAGGCGAGAGACGTCGATGACGATGATACTCGTAGCCTGCTCTCTCTCTTGACCTCGGACGTCATGCCTGGCAAGGGAACGGGCGCAATGGCATTCCCTATGCCTCCTTCCACTCTTCCCATTCCCTCGTCGGCTGCTCATGCACTCGCTCCCTTTGCTTCATCGTCCGACTACTCTGATGGTGCAGCCTCTTCTGATACCGACGCATCACATATCAATAGCCTCTCGAGTGATGCAGAGGCTGGGCCCTTTACACCCTTGACGCCCAATACACCCGGCGCAGCGCCGAGGACGAGGAGAAGCAGGACGTCGAGCGACGGCGCCGCTGTCACTCGTGGGCGAGGGCCTTCTTCGTCTTCCTGGACGGTTACCACGAGCACCTCGATCCCTGGCTCAGCCCCTATGAGCAGCTCAACGAGCAATCCTTGGCGCCCACGTCAACTGCAACTGGTACATCGCAGAGAACGCCAAGGCCCAACGTCACCCTCGCTGTCTCCTTGGGCTGCTTCAGAGTCATCGATTCGATCTAACACGTCGAGTGCTCCTTCGACTTCGGCGCCCTCAAATTCCATGGGACTTGGTATTCAGCTTCCCAAATCACCCGCGATAGGTTCAAATTTCCCTGTCATGGGTCCCGGACGACCTGACAAGGCGGCTCCTTCTGCAGCTGTCAAGACTGCAAAGAGTCGCAAAAAGCTTGGGGGAAAGGGACAAGGACTCAAAAAGCTGGCATTAGCTACCAGCAGCAGCGGCTCGACGAGCCCTCTCCTCGCTACAGACAGTCGTTCGCCAACGCCCAGCTCTCATCTCCTCGGCTCGCCTTGGCAGAGGGATCACGCCAGCGAAGGCGAATTACTTTCTTCTCGCCCTTCATCCCCGGCCTTTGCCGCTGGCGGCTGGACTCCGCGATCTCGACAAGCTTCTGCCGATTCGGCCAACAAGTCGCCTCTATCCGTCTTGCCACGCACACCGACTTTTGCGACATCGGGCGCTGATTCCTTGAGTTGGGCACGAGAGCAAGAGGAGCGAGCGCAGAGGGGAACAACGATACCCCCGCCGCCTCGAGCACAAGAGGATATCGTCGAGGTGACCGCGCCCGGCTGCTCGTCCGTTCCTTCACTAGACTCTGAACGTCATCACAGGTCCGACTCCATGACCTCGAGACAGTCGACCTCGCCCTCTCGCAGACGCAAGAAGCCTCCAACGCCGCTTATTCTTCTGCCCAATGGCCGACAAGCAAGTCTCGCCTCTTCAAGTGGACTGCTCAGCGCTTCTAGCTCAGATAAGTCGCCCACTCCATCTCCTACACTTCTCCCGCCACTGCCTTCAACTGCCAAATCCACCTTCTCAGCATCACGTTCGACTGCCGACCATCTCGATGCCTCTGGATTGGCGCCAGCTACTTCTCTCCTTAGCCCTGCTGGCACCGATTTGACAGAGAGCTTTCGAACGCCGACATTCTCTCCGCCGTCAGCGAAAGCGGCGCAGCTCGACCAAAAGACAGAGGGCGGTGGTGATATTGTCTCTACATTGAAGCCGATACAGGCAACTTCGGATGCGCTCGCCCTGCCCTGCGCCAAACGTGCGTCGACGCCATTAAAGACTGCCTACTTCGATCCTGAGGAGGCAGATGCCAGTTCGCCCAGTGACTATGGCGATGGTGAGGGTGAGGATGAAGCAGAAGAGACGGCCGTGTCGTCATCGTACTCGACCGCAACAGCGCCTGCAAAAGCGCTAGAGGACAATGTCCCCCTGATCTTCCGGCGCATGATGAAGAACTTTAGATCAAGCACTCCTCCTGACCAAAGGGAGCCCAATGGCTCGCAAGCCATTCTCTCGCAGTCGACCTCCGACACTCTCCCCTCCCTTCCTTCACTTGCTTCTCTGCTGGGATCCTCTTCATCGACTTCTTCGCTGCTCGACAGCAAGGGGCAAAGCGAAACGGCCGATACCGCTAGCACAAAGCTCACATCGTACGATGACGTGCGTGAACATGAGATGGCAGAGATGGACTGCGAAGAGGACGAGAGCGAGTTGTTCGTCGGTGTCAACGTCGAGAGCAGAGCTCAAGAAGCTGCATCGTCTCGAGGCGAGAGTCCCCCGGTGGAAGACGAGCAGATGCCGCAACTTGGTCTCGGTATCGGCATTGCCGATACATCGCAGGCAGGCTCGACCTACTCTGATCTGCATCTCCCGGCCGCCGACATTTTCCCAGACAGCAATGGCCAGTCAAACTCGCCGTCCCCGGCTGATCAGTCCACGTGTCGCAGCGCCTTCGAATTCGACTTGATAGGCGAGAGCGAGCGTGCTGTGCTAGCTTCGCCTGCCTCGGACCAAAGCCTGAATGCAGATGTATCAGAGCCATCGCGCTACTCAATGCCTTCGGCCGTTCAAGACGAAGCGATAACCGTCGACTTCAAGGGGAGCCAAAATGAGCAGCCGCCGGAGCTGCCGAAGCAGCAACCCAGAGAGCGCAGCTCTCCTCACGCCGGGCCCTCCTCGGTGTTGCCGGATTCTGAGGTGACGGTCACGCAAGGGCAACTACCAGTGGCGTCGTCTGACCGTCTGGCAGCGCCCGTGACTCCGTCAGTGCAGCCATATCAGTCTCCGGCCTTGGGTGAGCCCCCTCACTTCAACACGAGTATCTTCCGTGCCCCGCCTACGCCGCGGCGCAAGGATTTCGACGAGGATTTGGTGGCGCCAAAGGAGAGTGGTCCTTCCATGCCGTCGAGTCAATCCATTGAATCGCTGCAAGAGCCACTTCTTCCAGCGTCGGCAGCCAACGTCGACTTTTACCAGCAGCAAGCAAGGCCAGGCGTTCGCCGCCCGACGTCCACGCTCCACATGCAGCCACTGCACCTGCTCTCTTCCTCTGCTGCTTCAAAGTTGTCAAATGGTGGTACGAATGCATTGCCATCATCGCCAGGAGATGGCAAGCCTCAGCTCTGGCTCAACACCCTCGCGCCGCCAGTCTCGCTGCGGCCTCCACAAGCTCAGAAGATGCTACCAGTCCCGTCGCCGACGGCTGCATTCTTCCCTCAGTCGACTACGCCTTCATTGTCCCCTGCGTCGACGCCTCACAGCAGTTGCCTTGCCTCAGGCCAAACGCCGCCCATGTCTTCACAGGCCAGCCGCTCGCAGATGTATTTTGTTGCCCCTCGGTCGGCTCCTCTTCCTCAAGGCGCCTTCTCTCCAGCGATATCTGCCACTCCGAACGTGAATCAGAGGTCTGTCTTTGAGGACTGGGACGACGACGTGGTGTCGACAAAGGCGCAGAATGGTGGTCTTACCAGCAGGTGGTCCAGCGGCTCCGAGTCTGAAGTCGAGGCAACGACTGCAAAGCGGTCCTCTTCCAAAAGTCGCAAGTCGGCGAGCAAGAAGCGCTCAAGCTCAGCAGCGCCATCTGCAAGGAACAGTGTATCCAGTCAGGCGGGGGGTGCCGCAGCAGGCAGCAGCACCGCAGCCCTCTCGAATGTCCGTCCAGGTGCGGCGCAGCTGCCCAAGGGGAAAAGCTTCTTGCACTCTCTTGGCCTGCGCAAGAAGAGCATGCCCAACCTGCGCGACTCGGCTGTGGCAACTGCGACGACTCGTTCGAATTCTCCTGCGACGCCTGGCCTAGACAGCCCCGCTCTGCCTCGTGTCAGCACAGCGGAAGGCTTTCCCTTCCCCGGCATGCTCCCGGGTGCGCCAAATAGCAAGACGACTGAAATGACTGCAGTGCCTCCGCGGCCGCCATCATATCAATCGCGATCATCGACGACTACCTCAGCTCACAAGAAGCAGAGCCCTTCGATCTTCAGCCAGCTCTCTGCGCCCTTGAACCACAAGCGTAGTACAGCGAGTCTCAAATCGGAGGCCGCCGGCAGCCGAGGAGGCGTCGGCCATCGCTCTGCTCTCAGCATCAACGAAGTCAATGAGCCTCCAGCTACGCCCACGATGGCGCAAGGAGCGCACTCGCCGCGATTGAGTCCCAAAAAGGAGAAGACGTCGAGCGCGACATCGGGTGGCACGGGAAATCTACACGCTCGCAAGAGAAGTGGGACGTTGATTGCGCCTATGGATGTCGCAGGGTCTCGCTCTTCCTTGAAGCACCTCTCAAAGTCTGCCACCGACCTTCCCTTGAGCTTGCGTCAAGCTTCGGTGGACATGCTCAGAAGTCAGACTGCTGGTGAAGCTTGCTCGCCTTCGCCGGAGGAGGAAGCGACGCCTAGGGTGGCCTACATTGGCCTTGCCGATCACGACGCTAAGGAACCAAATGGCGACGTCGACGCTGTGAATCCTGGGACTGCTCCAAGAGCTGGTGATGACGAGCAAGACTCACAAGCTTTCATGGCCATCGGCCAGGGCTTTGTCGACTCATGCTTCTCTCCTGACGCCGAGGCCGTGGATCCCCTTTCTACACTGCGAGCCAGCGGTGTTCAAGGCCACTCGCTCAGGAAGCGCCTGCCTCGGCGCTTGGCAAAGGCTCGCAAAGCAGCACGACTCGCTCGAGGGCAGGACGTGACTGCTCACTATCCATCCTGGTCAAAGGAGGGACAGTATTGGCTGAGAGAGCAGAACCTCGACTCAGCCGAGGGACTGTATGTCATTGCAGCAAGCCGAGAGCAGGACTCAGGCGTCGCTGACTACAGAGGCTTCAGCGACGGGAGTCAGAAAGCGGACAAAGACGATGACGACAGCGCAGATGAATATGGCAGCGGAGATGACTACGCCGGGGCAGGTCCGTCTAAGGGAGGTGGTGGCGGTAACGGCGGTGATGGTGGCGATGGTGGCGACAGTCGAGGCAATGGACGTGAGGACGACGGCGACGGCAACCGTCGCTACGAAGTTGCAAAAGAAAGCGATGCGAGCACGTCTGAAGACTCTGAGGATGACTACGGCGAGGATCAAGACTCTGATGACCAGCCGCTCGGGCACAATGTCGGCGATATCGGCACCCTTCAGCGCCGACTGCAGCGTCAAGGCAAACAGCGGCGTGAGCACGGGGAGCGATCCAGCCGCACCAATGCAGCACAGTCGCAAGGCAAGCTCATTCGTGGCGCCCTAGACGGCGGCGAGCTCGCCAATCGCTTGACCAGCCTCTCGCTGCGCCGCCAGCAGAGCCAAGCCTCGAGGGCCGCGCCGCGGGCCAGCGCTGTGGACGATGCCAGGGCCGAGCGTATCAGTCGAGCCCGGTCGCTGGCCAACAGAGTCCGCCCTCGACTCAGCTCGGAGACGGCACCCCCACCTGCACCGCGATCGCGACGAGGCTCAGATGCTGCCCAACGAGGCGGTCAATCCGGCCTCACTTTACCTCCGATCAAGACCATGCCGATGGTCTCCGCTCAAGCTGCTGCGATGCAAGGCTCCCTCTCGGCGGGGGCAGTGAGCAACACCGCTGCCGTCCACCAGGCTGCAATTGCTGTCGCGTCAAAGGCCGCTCGGGATGGTCGCATTCCGCCGGAAGCCGTTCCTGCGCAGGCCCAATTTTTTGCAGCGCAAGCACTCGCTGCTCGCTCCCTCTCTTCACCGTCTCCTAGCAGCGAGTCTTCGCCGCCCACGCGGACTGTGCATCGCAAGCCTCCTCCAAGGGCGCAAGGCACCCTCGACGCAGGGTCATCGCTAGCAAATGGAGCTCAACGACGACCGTCTGTCAGCTCAGCCACAAGCGATGTCTCTCGACGCGCGCGACCGACAGGCCTCGATGTGCGAGTGACGGCGCCAATGTCTTTGGACTCCCCTGCCAGCGATGCGTACGAAGACGCGCTTTCGCCTCGCAATGGCGAGAGAGATGGCCGCAACTCGGAGCGATCGTCTGCGGTCGAGCGACGCGTGCAAGAGCATCGCGTCTACATCGTTACTCGACAGCGTTATTCGCACTGCGAGGTGCCCATCCACGGTCGTGCTCGCGACGTCGTTCTCGACGTTCTGGAGAGGGAGACGGTACAAGCCTTACCTGGTCGCGGCGGTTGGGCGCTGTTTGACGTTTCACCGGGGCTGGGTACCGAGCGGCCTCTGCGCGAGTACGAGGTGGTTTCAGCTGTTGCTGAAGCTCGTCCGGACGCTCAGAATGACTTTTTCCTCCTCAAGCAGACGGAGCTGTCCATCTACGCTTCCATTCGGGCGGTACCCAATGTCTCGCCTTCACTTGCCGGCAACGTCTATTTGCAAGACAAGCGGGGCAAGTGGAACAAGCGCTGGCTCGAGTTGCGAGATCACGCCCTCTACCACGCCAAGTCGGATAAGGGCAAAGACGAGGCGTTCCTCTGCCATCTCTCGGCCTTTGACGTTTACCTGTGCGCGGACGGTTTCAAGGCGCCGAAGGCGTACTCTTTCGCGCTAAGGAGTCAAGATTCGATTGAATTATTCGAGGACAAGGCCGACTATGTGCACTACCTGTCGCTATCTGACCCATCTGCCCACCGCGACTGGGTGCGCGCCATCATCAATGCGCGCACGTACGTGTTGAGGCAGGAGAATTCTGCCCTTTTCACAACATTTGCCGCGGTGCAGCAGCAAAGCGGCTCGTCTCTTTCACGGCGCAACACGGCGAATGCGGGACAGCAGCCATCGCAAGCGCCGCCAGCATCCACGCTCATCTCCCGCCATGCCCTCGCCGATGGGCCATTCGAGAAGGGATCGCTTTTGGCAGCTCAGCCTACGGTGGGCGCCGCGGATCTGTCGATGCACGAGCGCACTCGCGCCAGATTGGAGGAGGAAAGGAGGAGGGCCGACGTTGCGCAGCGTCAGAGGAAGGCGCTGCAAGATGGTCAGCCGCTCATCAGCGTTGCAGCGCCCGGCTTGAGGCGGTGAGGCTGGTCAAGTCGGGGTCGGCAGTGGTGCATCGTCATTCGACGACTTGAAAGGGATCGCAGTGAAAGCCTGGGCTCGTCTATGTGTATTTATCTCTATGAATCGTCACCTGATCAAGTCTGCAGCGCGTCCTCGTAGCTATGGGGCTGTCATTCAGGTTTCGGTATAGGGTCGACACAGGCACAATGTCGTACAGCTCACAGGCCCTCGAGATCTTCGTCGTTATCCTGGCAGTCATCCCTACTGCGCCTCTTACGCTCCTCTTTGGCGTCATCGTGTGACTGCTCATCGATGTGGGACGGTACCTCGAAATCGTCAAACCCACCAGCAGCCGCATCGGCCCGGCGCTGCTTCTCTTCCTCTGTCATTTCCTCTAGCATCGGCGAGGCAAATGATCCTCTGCGGTTGCTGTTGCCGTTGCCGTGGTCGCTGCCCGCTACGTTCGAGGACATTGACTGTCCTCGACGATGCGAGGTGCGTTTGCGGTGCTCTCGATACGATGTCTTGCCTCCACTGCCTGTGCTGCTACTCGCCACCTCGCTGCTTGCGGCGGGGGTGGAGGCGTTGTGGTGGTGACGGGGCATGAGATACTTTGAGCGCCCTTCGCCTCCTGACGATGAAGAGCCTTGCGGCCAGCCTCGACGTCCAGTCCCGGAGCTCGATCCGTCGTGTGATGCGCTGCCGCCGCTGTGACTCGTGCCGCCCTTGCTTCTTTTGCGGCGAGAGCTGAGACCCAACCCGGCGATGTCGGCTTCGTCCTCTTCCTCTTCTGGCTCCTCTGCTGGCTGTGGTGGTCCTCGAGGCGTCTCGTCGGCGTCTTCTACGATGTGGCAAGTCTGGGAGACTGGTTGCTCTGAGTAATCGGGCCCCTGTCCTTCTTGATCATCAAAGTAGTAGTGATGGTGATGTACGACGCCTTGCTCGCCCGCATCCTCGTATTGGCCGCCGAGCTGCTCGCCAGGTAGGTCTTCGCCGTGGTCATCCACGTCTGCGATTCCGAAGCCTCCAGCAGCAGCCTCCGCCTCGGCCTCGATAGCCCTTCGTTTTGCCGCCTTTCTCTCTGCTCTGTGGCGAGCTCTGACGATGGCTGCCTCTTCCTCTTGGGCCAGCGCTGCTTCTTCTGCGGCCTGTTCAGCCGCTACATCCTCTGCGGGCGCCTCCTGCGGCATTGATACAGGGTCTCGTGCGAGTCTATGGATGGCTTCTTCGCCCAGGGATCCAGCATCGCTTTCTCCCCCCAATGACCCACCCGACGCCGAGCTGTCTGCGCTTTGGGACCTAGAGTGTCGGCGAGATGGTGGTGCCTGCTGTACACTACTTGCTGGTCTACCCCACAGCCCACACGCCAACAGCCGACTGGCAAAGTCACCCATGCCTAGCAGCCCGCTCTGCCTAGCCCGAGCTCGTGCTCTTCTACGAGCTTTGCTTGAGCGGCCATCCCGATCAGCGATGTTGGAGAGGAGGGAAATGGCGTCCGAGTCGTCGTAGGAGAGGAGGCGAGAGGTCTCATCGCCCTGTCGTTGCAGGAACGTGTGAAAGGATGGGGCCGAAGGGCCATCGTCTCGTCGAGATGAGGGCAGGCAAGCGGCAAAGGGCGCCATCAGCGTCGAGGTCATGGAGCGAGATTGCTCGATGCCATCTGGCCGTCGTGCCATGAGGCCTAGCGTGCAGGCAAGCTTGCGTGCGTGCGAAGGGAGTTGTTGGGTGGTGGTGGAGAGGAAAGAGCTGCGAGGCGAGTTCTCTCACGCGGGGTTCGCATTTTGGCTCGTGCAGCCGAGAGCAACACGCCGCGGCGTGGGCAAAGAAAGGCTCAAATCAAGGGATGAAGCTGAGAGATCATGACAGTGCAAAGTAGCGTTCCTCGCAGGATAGACAGACGATAGTGGACACACATACCCAGTCTGTGCCCTCGCACTGCACATCCTGCCTGCCTCACACCTGGAGCTTGCACCGCAAAGCATAGCACTCTAAGCTGCCTGCCGGAACCGCGCAGACATCGACGGCTCCCTCGTTCTGGGCCTTGACGTGATGTGCGTAGCTTGACATGCGGCGTAAGCTTGCCCAAAGGTGCACGGCCTGTCGGTGTTGGGTTCTATGTACAGCTGGCAGCGCACGCCGCAGTCGCTGTGGACACGAGACTTTGTCGACGCAGCAAATGAAGCGCGGTGGTGCTCAACTTCCTTCAGTGCTTAGCGCGGCGGAATGAGCTGATCACCGCATCGAAAGTCGTTCTTATCAACGTCCGTCATGCGACGCTACTCAGCTCGCCACAGCTGAGCTAGATGTCGCGCACTGTACACAAATGACAGTGATTGCGGCGCTCAGCTGTCCACCAGTAGGTGATGGTATGATCAAACTCGTGAGTCACTACTAGCTTTTGCTCACATCCTCGGGACACAGACCACAGCACGCAAAGGCGCAGCTCTCTCTCCGCCACATTAGCACTGCACTCTGCCTGCTGGTGCACCCATGAAGGCTGTTATGGGAACAAGACTCGCTATCGCGCGCTGCGGCAGGGTATCTCAGCTCCATGTCCGGGCAATCGGGCTCAATTCAATTGAAACTGCTTGAGCGCTGTGCACAGCAGCACCGTGAGCGCACCGCTGCTGGGAAAGCAAGCAAGCATTTGGCTCAACGCAGAGGATGAAGAGCCGAGGCCAATCCAAAAGGTCTCTGCAAAACTGAATTGAGAGGCGCTGCGGTGCGCAGCAGGGGAACATCATCGCTTCTTTGAGCCGACTGCCGTGCTTTGTGTAGCGCTGAGCGCTGGTTCTAGCTCTGTTACTACGCGGCGTTCGCCGCGCACTCCTTGTTGGAGCAAGCGAAAGGACGGCTGGTGGCGGCGCGCCCTGCAAAGTGCGTAACGCTGCGAGAGGCGCGCTCCAGCCCACGACCTTAACGCACATCAGCCAGTGCCCCAATCAGCAATCCAGAAAGAACAATCATGACAGATCTGTACATACGACATATATGGCCGCGAGCACATCAAATGCTGTAACAAGTCAGAACTTTTTCCCGACGGCAGCAAGCTTTGTCGTGACGCCGAGTAAATATCAATGGATGTATCATATGTACGCGTCCTGCAGAGCTGCGCTGCGCCTAAATTCGCGATCAAGAACTCGAGGGCGCACTCGGTACCTGCTGTGCTTTTGTGTTATGGTAAAAGTGGGCTCGCCCTTACTCGTTCTGCGCCGTCATGAAGCTCCACGTCTCGCCATCAATGCCAATGCATCGCGCACGGCGTCCCATCCAGTGTGCGCCCACCGCTGATCGCTGCGTCTTAGCCGCCACACTGCCCAGTCAACATCAACGTCCAGCTCTTGCCCCTCTGCAGCGCCTTGTAGGATGGGTAGTAAGGGTGCGAGCAGTAGCTGCGGTGTGACATACTGGTACGCTTCCGTGTCCTGCTTGGCGCGCTTACGTGCTGTGGAGTCATCGTGATCGTCGTCTGCGTCGTGTAGCGGCATTGACACGTCAGCCCACTGCGGCGCGCGAGATGACGCGAAATCCGCCTTGGAGAGCTGCGCGAGTAGCTTACGCTGGTGTCGCGTCCGCTTCACCTTTGCCGCCCACGACTCGCCGCACGGCGCTTGATGCCCGCCGTCGAAGGGCCAGGTCGCCTCCTCGTCCGCAATGGCGATGACGCCGTCCTGTATGAGTTGCCGGATGCACCACTCGAAGAGACGCCGTACCTTGTCTTGACGAGGCTCACGAGAGCTGGTTGCGTGCGAGGACGACGAGCGAGCGGGACGCGGCGCCGCCTTGGTATCTCGCTGGTTGAAGAGCTGCTCCACTACTCTGTCGGCGAGGTCGCAAAGGGATTTCACCCGCATAAGAAACGCCAGCGAGAAGGCTGGTGGTAGCGAGGAGATTTCGTCACCTTCAGCGGCCTGCCACCTTCGTTGGCAGTGGTCACGGAGGAATTTCTGGACGTAGAGGCGAAAAGCGTGCTGCGTGCACTGCGAGGCTTTGAGCTTGGACGGCGTACGTAGCTGGCGGACGCTCGTTGATGATGGTGGTGGCGGCGGGGTGAGCGCAGGCGTGGGTGCGTTTACTGGGTCCGGCCAGCGGGGTGCCCTGAACTCGCAAAGCTGCGACTCCTTCGTTGACGGGCTTATCGGTGGCCTCGTGCTCGCTCTGTTAGCCCTTGCCATTCGTTCACGCTCGCGTTCCGCCTTGGGTATCCGTCGAAAGGGCAGAAGCGTGTTATGTGCAACCTTGCGCTCTTTGCCATCGTCATCGTCGTCCTCGTCGTCATCGAGCCCGCCTAGACGTCTCAAATCGTAGCTGAAACGCTCCTCCAACCTTTCTCTCTCCTGCTCTCGGTGTGGCAGCTGAATGTGGATGACACCAAGAGCCTCGACAGGCGCATCAAAGGGCTTTGAGTACCTTTCGCTGAAGAGCCGGTGCGCTTCGAGATTGTGGCGCGCCTCTGCCGTTGGGTCGCCGTTGAGCAAGGCAGCATCGTGAGCGTCTAGTCCGACTCTGTAGCGGGGCCGTCGCTTGTCCGTCGACATGGGCTGCCTCCAGATCTTGCCAGTCACTCGCATCAGGTCGCCAACATTGAGGGTGGGCACGATCCGACTTGGCTGGGCTTCTAACGTCACTCTAGATGACGTGGGTCCATATCGAGCTCGCGCCGCCACCGCCGCTGGTATGTTGCGCTCATGTATGCTAACGTCGACAACGCAGCTCCCATCGTCCACAAGGTAATCCCATCGGTGATCCTTTTCAGATACGCCAACGATGATGCCGGCAATGGTTGCATATAGGCAGGGACGCTGCCCGTGTTGATAGATGGGCAGGCCAGCAGCAGCAGCATGTCCTCCGAATAGAGCGATATTGGCTAGATGAGTGTTCCTCAGCACGACGGCGTTGGATGGTCGATCTGCCCAGGTGTAAATCTGCGAGGCGACGTCTGGAGGAAATGCGCGGGTGGTTTCCGCCAGCGACGGCCTCGTTCTGATCATGAAGGGCGTAGCAGCATGTTTGATCACTGACGTTGGGACGGCCTCGCAAGGCAAGACGACGAAGAGAGATGGCGGCGAGAGAGAAAGGCAAGAAAGGCTCACTTCCTTTGTTAGAGCAACACGGCCTCGCAACAATGGCTGCAACGGCGCGGACTGAGCCATGTGGGACGCGGACTGAGATTTCCAAGTTGCACTTTGCTAGCTACTCTTGTTGCACTCTTTCTCAACACTGTTCACAGACATCCATCCTCCTCCACCTGCAACGCCGCCGATGGGCAAGAAGGGCAACTCGGCGGGCAAAGCAGCAGCAAAGGCAGCCAAGCGAGACAAGCAGGAGAAGCTAGCATCACGAAAGGCCAACAAGGATGACAAGAAGAAGAATGCTCGAGCACCTCCACCAACCACAAAGGCAAAGGGAAAAGGCAAGAAAGCTGCAGCTCCGGCAGAGGAAGAGGACCTCGATGCGCTGCTTAAGCAATTCGACAAAGAGTGGCAAGAGGCTCACGCAGTAAATGAAGAGACCGTAGGAGGTCCGCCCACGAGGAGAGCGAACGCCACTCTTACGCCTTGTCCTGGAGGCAACGATCTCTGGCTCTTTGGCGGAGAATACTTCGACGGCGATCGAGCTACCTTCTACGCAGACCTCTACCGATACACTCCCCCCACCACGCTTCCATCTCGCTCATTGATCACCCAAGAAGACGGTACCACAGCAGCAGACCCGTCATTATCATCGTCTTCGAATGCCGCCGCTGGCACTTGGCGCCTCTACTCGTCACCAAACCAGCCCGGTCCGCGTAGTGCCCACCAAGTCGTCGCAGATCCTCGCGCCGGTGGCTTGCTCTGGCTCTTCGGCGGCGAATTTGCTTCACCAAAGCAGACTTCATTCCATCACTATCGCGACCTCTGGGTCTTCTCCATAAGCTCAAAGACGTGGGAGCGCGTAGACACTAAGACGAGGCCCAGCGCCAGAAGTGGTCACCGCATGGCCCTCTGGCGTCAATACCTCGTCCTCTTTGGAGGCTTCGTCGATACAGGTGCTAGGACAACGTACCTTCAAGACTTGTGGCTCTTTGATACGAGTCAGTACAAATGGTTCGAGATTTCTCAGAATGATCTCAAGAGACCACCAGCCAGATCCGGCTTCTCCCTCATCTCTACGCCCGAAGGCGTCATACTTCATGGTGGTTACTGCAAGCGCTACGTCAAGGGCCAGAGAACGCAAGGTGTCGCCCTCGAGGACACCTGGATGCTCAAGCTCACACCGCAGGCCGATGGCTCACTCCTGCCAGCTAACACGGCCCAAGGCGGCAAGATCGAATGGGAGAAGAGGCGCAAAATAGGCTACGCACCTGGCGCTCGCTCTGGCTGTACCATGGCCCTGTGGGGAAACAAGAGCATGGGCGTCCTCTTTGGTGGCGTTATGGACCGCGAAGACGACGAGGAGAGCATGGAGAGCGTCCTCTTTAACGACTTGTTCGGCTACAACATCCCTGGCGCGGGGCGATGGATCTCGCTCAATCTTCGCAAAAAGAAGAAGCAACAGGCCGCGGGCGGGAAGAAGAAGAGGGAGAAGGCAGCAGCAGCCGCTGCTGCAGCTGCGGCCAAGACTGCAGAGATTGAGGCGCGAGAGCGTGAAAAGGAGGAAGAGGAGCGACAGCTCGAGCACGATGACAGTGACAGCGGCAGCGAAAGCGGGAGCGACAAGGACGGGGCTGAACGCGGCGAGCAAGGCCGAGAAGGGGAAGGCAGAGAAAAGACAACCGAGGTGCAAAATGGCACCATCACCGGCGCTGGCGGCGCCGCTAGAGCAGCGCCTGTCGTGGCGCCCGCAGACTTCGATGAAGACGACCCAGAGCTCACACGGCCCTACACGCGCTTCAACACCATGCTTGCAATCCAACGCAACACGCTCTACCTCTATGGCGGCATCCACGAGACGGCAGAGAGAGAGTATACACTCGACGATTTCCACGTCTTGCAGCTCGACAAGCTGGAGCGCTGGATCAGTCTGCGTGACTGCAAGATCGAGGGCCTCGAATGGAACGAGAGCGACGAGGAGAGCGAAGATGAAAATGACAGCGACGACAGTGAAAGTGAGTCATCCTCGTCAGACGAAGACGGAGGGGCGCAAGAGGGCGTCGAGGTGGCTTCTCTTCACTCCCACTCAGAAGACGAGGAGGCCGACGAGCAGCTTGACTCAGCGCAAGCTGAAGAGCGTCGTCGTGAGAGAGAGGCCATCAAGCGGAAAGCCAAGGCGGCCTGGGGCGTCGTCAAGGGTAGTGGAGCAGGCGCTGGATCGGAGGGCGAGGCGGTGAATAGCGAAGACCGCAAGTCGACGCCGAACCCTGGCGAGACGCTGCGCATGTTCTTTGATCGTACGCGCGACTTCTGGTCCAGCCGCGCTTTCGAGGTGACGCGAGGCGAGGCGAGGGGCAAGGAGATGAGGACAAAGGGCTTCGAGCTGGCAGAGGCGCGCTATGAGGAGTACAAGCCGGTACTGAGGGAGGTGGAGAAGATCCAGGCAGAGGCTGGGCTTGACGAAGCCGATATGAGGGCGGCGGCGCAGAGGGCAGCACATGGGCCCTTGGGTGGTGGCGTGGGTGTTGAAAGCAGAAATCGTAGATGATCGACACGTCGATGGAATGCAAAGCAGTTCAAAGTACCCAATCAGGACTCGTTGACTTCTGCGCTCGCCTCACGAAGGCTTCATTTCCCGGCGCCATCTATCCATCCATGTCTCCTCAGAGCCGCCACTGTAGCACACTGCATCAGCTCTCCGTAACACTTCACTGATTGCCTTCATGCTGTCGAGAAAGACGAGGATGTGCGATGAAGCGTCCTTGTTGCTGCTGATGCCTTGTTGCTGTGCGAGTGCAGTCGCAAAGGCAGCAGCTTGAGATGCGGGCAGAGGCTGTATCGGTCTGGCATCCTGGGAAGCCCATCTCAGGGACTGCCGTGGTAGTCAGCAATCAGTGTGAAGCCCTTGTCGGCCTCGACATTCGCACCTTGATCTTTTGGGCAACGTCGCACAGTCGCTCTTGTGCGTCATCCTGTGTCGCCGTAAGTAAGACTATACCTGGATAGCCGCGCTTGACCAGGCCAACGAGGGCAAGCTGCTTTGTCCAAGTTCGCAGATGGGCTTGCTTGGATTGTGCAAGGATATGATGCGTCGCAAAGAGATAATACCGAGCAGGAGTGGTCATGTCATGTCATGCCAGATGGTTTGAAGGGAAGGTAGAGAAACACGAAGCACGCACACACGCACGAGCCACTCTCTCATCCAAAGTCGCCCCCGGTCCGCCGGCGACCAACTTTGCTCGACGCCACACGCGGCTCTTGTTTCCGCTTCAGTTGTTCAGTTTCTTCCACTCCAAGACTTCCGTCAAGATGGTGCCCATGACGACGAGATTGCACCTGAGGCATGCATCATCGAGAGCAATACCTTTGCATCTCGCGGGACGTACATCTGTCTCATCCTCGTCACCATCATGCTGCCGCTTAGCATCAACGGCGTCGGATACGTCCAAGGCAGCTGCCCAGATGAAGCGCTTCTGGAAGCATGTGGCGCTTCACTCGGAGCCATCGTCCCATCATGAGATCAGGCTCGACAATCGCAGTCTTCACACACCAGATGGTCAGCTACTCAAAGTGCCCTGGAATAACAGCCTCCTCGCTACTCTGGTCGCACACGAATGGAATGAGCAGAGCAAAGTCATCAAGAGCCATGCCCTTCCCATGGTGAGACAATATGCATCTCGTTGACATCTGCTCATCGCAGAGACTGATCAAGACCTTTGGCCCATAGACATCCCTCGTTGCTCGCTCCATCGACGCCTTCTCATCCCCAGCCCCTCGTTCTCAAGCCATCAACGACATGCTCAAGTACGCCAACACCGATACCGTCTGCTTCCACGAGTCCGACCCCAAGGCTCTCGTTCGCCTTCAAGCAGAACACTGGGATCCGCTCCTCGACTGGGTCCAAGAACGCTTTGGCACTCGTCCCAGCGTCGCCTTTGACACTCTCGCAACTTCACAGCCGCCGAAGCTCATGGATGCGCTCAAGAGCCACCTCCACGAGCTCACACCCCTCGAGCTCGCCGCCCTCGAGAAGAGCCTGCACCTGACAAAGAGCATCTTCCTTTCATTGGCGCTCTTGCACGGCAGGATGACCGTTGCAGAGGCAATGGACGCTGCATGGGTCGAGACAAAGGCACAGATCGAGACGTGGGGCGAGGTAGAGGACAGTCACGATGTGGGATGGGCAGAGCTCGGCAGGGAGCTCGGTGCGGTCAGGATGGCAGCTGTGCGTAGCGATGAGACGAAGTCGTCAGCATGATAAGGGTGGCACAATGAGTATCACATTGCCGCTCCGCCTTGCGTTGAATGTGCTACGACGTCGGGATGACCTGCCATAGGAAGACGAGGTCTGCAAACTCATCGTCGCTCAACTCGTCCCCAATGGCCGCTTCGCAAATCTTCAGGCTAGTCTTTGCCCTCCAACTCTTCTCTGCCGCCTTCCTCAGAGCCATCATGACAGCCTCCATGCTGCTCGTCGCCTGCGCAGCCGCCTCATTTTGCCAGAAGCGCCTGAGCATCCTCGCCTTGACGTCGAGAACTCGTACGAGGACGAGCCAGCAGATGAAAGTCTGAGTGTGGAGGAGCGAAAGATCAAAAGATGAGGCCAGGAGTAGATGGACGGTGCGCATCATCGTCTCGGCAGCTCCTTCGATGGGGCCGCGCCCGTACTCGGACTGCGCATTCAATCCCGCGCCTACGAAATGCTGATGAAGTGTGATGCGTGCGACGCAAGTATTTGCCTCTGCTACGATCCAGTCGACATCGACGCCTTGACGCTTGGGGAATGATTTGAAAAAGTCGCGAATGCTGCTGTCGACGTCTAGGAGCTCCTGCGGCGGTTGAGGCAAGCGCTGCAGCTCGGGCCCACGTCGACTGGTGATGGTACGCGCCTTCTTGAGAAGACAGGCGCTCTTGACGTGCAGGCAGAATGTGTCGGTGTGACCTCGGCGGAAGAGGTCGGCGCCGCTCTTGAGCGTCTGGTCGCTCAGGCGTAGCTGCGTCTCGTCGGCGACGTCGTCCATGAGCACCGGTAGCGAAGTAGTGATCTGCTCCTTCTCGTCGGCAAGGCAAGGCTCGTAGAATTTTGGAGGGCCTCCGCCATAGATGTCGATGATGTACACGTGCCAGAGGGCGATTCTCTGCTCATACTCGATGATGGAGCTCGTGGGCAATTCGATGATGGCCCGGTTCCACGAAGCGTGACTGCGATCGTTGGGCATCTTGTCGAAGCCAGCAGGCGCCAGCGAGCGGACGATCAAAGAGGCAATGAAGAAACACTCCATGATGCGACATCGATCGAAGAGGCACCAAAAGATGAGGATGCCTGCCTGTAGCCACTCGAGAGGTCGTTGATTCTGCGTGAGGAGGGCGACTTCGACCTCGCGTCGGGCCTTGCCAAGGTGGAATTCGCCAAAAGAAATGCCACGTCCAGCACGTTCGAGCTCGGGACGAGGCGTCTCAAAGGGGTTTGAGAGACCTACGAAGCCACGGCCCATGGCTTCCAGGTCCGAGGCCGAGACAGGCTGACCATCGCCCCCAGTCATGGAGCCGTTTGGGCCTGCGCGTGGGTCTGTCTCCCTGCGAAGAGTAAGGAGAGGCAAGAATCATCAATCAGCTGCTGCATAGGCATTGCGCCCCATGCAGGCACACTGCTCACCTCATTTTGGGTAGGAGTGGTGAAAAGGGCTCAGCGGCAGCCAGGATTGCGTGTATGAGCGAAGAGTGTGGGCGAAGAGGGTGATTAGGGGGAAGCATCAAGCGAGCCATCATCGTCGGCTTGCAGAAAAGATGGCGACAGGGGTGTTTGGCAAAGACTGCGGGACAGGCGGAACAGGCGCGTCAAGGAAAGAGAGGTCAGCAAAGCGGGTCAAGTGTGGGCATTGTTACACCATGAATGGCTCACAGAGCTCGGCCATATGCCTGATCGTGTTAGGAGTAGGGAGATCGGGACTGATCTCTGGCCAAATCTGGCGCAGTAACAGGTCGACCTGGGGGAGATCGGCATCGGACTGGTTTGGCGCATCGGTACCATCCGTCGACGTGACGCCATGGTTTGATGCAACCATGTGATCGACTAGATTATTGAGATTCATTCCTGGATGACTAAAGTCTTGTCCTTCTGAGCGATGACTGTTGCCCGAAGAATAGAAGCGGCGGACCCTTGATGGCCCGCCCGAGGACGATGATTGTACCTCGATGACGAGCCTTTGAGTCTTTGAGTCGGACGGTGCTTCATCTTCATGCGATGCAAGCGAGGGACCAGAATGGGAGCTAGCGCTAGTTTGCCCGTCGTCATCTACGCCGTAGCCACTCTTGTCTGAGGGGGGCGTCCTCTTCTGCTTCTTTGTCGGGCGAGTGGGAGGTGAGGCGGCTGCTGCTGCTGCTGAGGAGGAGGAGGGGCCGCCTGGCTGAGCGGACTCGTCATCTGGGTAGGTGCAAGGGCCGGGTGGCACCTCTGCAGTCAAGGCATGACCTCGAGCTGCTCTGGCTTGAGATCGAGAGCATGCTCCACAGATTGGTCTGACGGCATCGCAGCGAGTCTGTGAAAGCTAGGTCAGTGTATGCGTATGGAATGGCAGCCTCTCTCGTCGCCGCGACAGACCTTTCGTCTTTTGCAGGTGAGGCAAGCTTGCTGCTTTTTGAGGTGAGGTTGGGCAGGAGCTTTTGATCCGAGTGCTGCAGGTGCTGTATCATTCGGAGTAGAGGTAGCTGCTCCCTGTGACTCGCTCTGTCGCCTGTCAATTGGCCCTTGGTGATCCGACAGAGCAGGCGAGCCAGCAGGCGGTGTGATGGGCGCGAGCTGGAACCCAGGAGGAGCGCTGATGTGGTAATTGTGAAGGCCACTCTGCCCAGATGAGGGTACAAGGGTAGGTGGGTGCATAGATGATGATGACGACGATGACGATGACGAGATCGAGTCGCGTGCAATTGGCGCTGGCTGGAAATAGTGATAACGTTCTTGGCCGAGGGGAGAGTCAAGAGAGCCAAAGTGATGACCACTCGGCCCTGATTGCCTGCGAGAAGGTCCAGAGGCGCTGCTGCCCCTGGGCAGCGAGGCGAGGAGGGGATCGTCTTCGAGTCGCTGAGCATCGTCGTCGTATGGATGGCTTGGCTGCTGCAGAGCCACTATAGGCAGATTGTGATTTGACGGCTCCATGCTGATGCGGGCCGACGGACGACGTGGTATCAAGAGGAGGAGGAGAGGTGAGCGAAAAGAATGGTGGTACCTTGTCCCGTGTTCAAGACCCTCGGCATTGGTCAAGAAACGTCGATAGCGGATGCGGGGTTGACGTCAAGGAGGGTGTGAGATGCGGAGCTCAAGAGGGGGGACCCGGCTGTGGACTGCCTCGTCTGCCCATGCATGCATGCACGAGCAAAGATGGTTGGGCAGCGAAGCGACGGCTTTCAGGCATCTCAATCCCTCTCTCCCTTTCAAGGCTGGCGTGGCGTGGCGCGCAATGGGCGTGGTAGCATTCAAGACGTCGGACAATCTGGATTCTCGCGGCCAAGGTCCGTCATCATTGTATTCTTCTCTGCTGAACAAGGGGTCGTTGACGCTTGTAGAGTGTGGCCGGAAATGAATCGATGGCGGCTGACCCGCACGCAGGCAACGCTCCACTGCCTTGTGGGAGGCCAGGGGCATGGACGAGGAAAGTCATCTTTCGGATGCAATGAAACTGTTACTGCCTAGAGAATGGACAATGGCCAACTCCTTGCCTTCCTTCTAATCACTTCGTCAACTCGTAGCCGCCCGCTTGCTACCTCGCTACCTCGTTACCTCGCCAATCAACTGAGGCCCCACGCTGGCTTCGTCAATCCTTGGACACTCGCGGGAGACTGCCTCGTACAAACCCGCATTGGTCTCAATCGCCGTCATTAGTGGTGGTAGTACGGACGCAAAGGATGTCACCGTCGACTGACGCAGCCATTGGAGCCATTCGGTGCTGAGGTGGTGTTGTACCTCCAAGCTTTTGCTCGCCCCCAGCCAGGTCACGGCACCACCTGAACATATCGATTCGCCTTCTTTTGGTCATCATTCCCTCGCCATCATGTCCGAGACGTACAGATCGCCAGACAACAGCCGCAAATTGGATCAAAGTTGGATCTTGATCGACGACGATCAGCAACAGATCAAGGCGGCCTCGACGGAGCATCGTCACTCGTTGTCGTCCAAGGATGCATATATGGCCGTCAGTCAACCTCTCGATGTCGCCGTCTGCCACAAAGATGTGCAGCGCCGTGCCAACAGACATCGATCCATCTCGTCACCCGTCGCCCTGGTAGGCCTCGAGCCAGAATCTCGCTGGTCCATTTCGACGTCGAGCTCAGACTCAAAGGCAAAGAGGAGTGCCACCCAACACAGCGGAACAGTCGGCATCGATGAGCCGCTCCAGGGCGATGTTGCGAGTGATGCACCATCAACGGCAGTACTTCACTGCATCGCTCTCAACGACGAGCCTAGCTCATCGACGGCACTGTCTAGTTCCCTCGCTTCATATGTGCATCTCTCAGTACCGCCAGGAAGAGCGCTCCAAGGCAGCAATCCTCCCTCGCCCACTCCAGTACAGACCGCTTCTCCCTGCACGACGCCCGATCAGTCTATCAGCGCTTCTTCGCATTCGTCTCACAGTCTACTACCTGCTTCTATCTCGGACGAGAGTCAACCCAACCCGCCTCGCGCTGAAGCGGCTCGTGCTCAAGTGCAAGATCGAGCTCGCAGGCTCAAGCAGAGTACCAGCGCAAGCTATCGTCAGCGAATGGCTAGCGGCTCGTCGAAGGCATCACGAGGTGCTACGGCCAGCATGAAAGAGATGGAGGAGATTCTCAGTGGGCCATGGATGTCAGACTCGAGCGACGAGGATGACCATCGCTCGCGACAGTTGGAAGCCTCGTCATCGAATTGCAGTCACAACAATGGCAATGCGCTTCCATCCGCTGCTAAGCTCAAGGACCGCACCTTCTTTATGCAGGGCATCGCCATAGGTGGCAGCGGCGCTCTACAGAAGGCCAACAAGAGGCCAACCAACATTGCCTACCTGCATCGTCATCACCGCTGGCCGTCCACCAGCAGCAGCGCTGGGAGCAATTCCTTGTCCGCTAGCATGTCTCAGGCATCACTCTCATCATCTTCTCAAGCCGCAGTGGGACATCGAAGCCATGCACGCAATGGCTCAACATCGTCCTCACCATTGTCACCGAGGGCACACAGCGCTGGACGTACAGTGAGCACGGAGCGAACATGGCTTCCGTCATCGCCTTCGCCTAGCTACTCGTCGTCCCTGACTGGCGCCGCCGCTCTCGGCTCAACCCTAGCAACGTCTGTCATCCCGGTCCCAGGGTCGACGCAGCTCTTACGGTACAGAGAAGAATCGTGCACCGCTAGTCTGAGCCAGCCGAAGTCCTCTCTCACATCATCCAGGCTTCAGCATGCCAGCAGTCACCCCACGCTTTCCGAGGCAGGAGGCGAGCGAGCAGGGGTCTCTATCAAGGAGCAAGCTCAAGCTGAGAACGGCAGCGAAGGGGGAACTCACGTCCTGCAGTCAATCGCAGCAGGCCTGTCGAAAAGGCTGCGGAGATGGAAGAGGGGCAACGAGGGAAAGGAGGTGAGAAAAGGTCGTCTGCTCGCAGTCAAGAGGACTTCAACAGATGGCAGCAGGCTTCGGACGGCAGCGCCAATGATCATCACAGAAAGCCTCACAACGGTAGAAGATGCATCGCCGGCTGCATCGACTACGCCAACGGGTCCTCGCCTGAACTCTCCTCCTCACAGACTCTTTGGACCACAGCCCTTCTCCAACCGATCGATGCCAACGCTCTCTTTTATGGGAACAACGTCGCTAGATGACGTAACTCCATCACCGACGGTGTCCTCTCGAGCCGACCGGCCGGCGTCCCCGCTAGGGTTGACCCGAGATCTTCAGCTCGAGGACAGAGGAGCAGGCTTTTGGCGGCCACGACGGCCTACGCTGAGGAGGAAGGAGGATCATCATCTGGCCTGTTGAACAGGTACACCCACGGTCATTGTCCTCCATCGTTCTGGTGTGCCTGCGCATACGTGCTCATCTATATGCGTCACTGTCAATTGAAGCTTCAGAGTATCCCTCGCTGTCAATCTACTGGCCCACGAGACTGCTAATCGCTGTCCTCTATGTAGCATGTCATCAGACCTTGCCTACCCTCAGTCGAGATCCGCCAGCCCATCGCTCTCCCTTTGAGGCTTGACAGGAGGTGCTGACGGCGCCGACTGCTGAGATGGTGCTGCAGTAGCGGCAGCAGATGGCTTGTCCGCGCTTGCCGCCGTACCAGCTGATGGCGTGGAACTCGCTTGCGAGTCGCCCGTTGATGCTGCTGCCTCGTTCTTGGATGCCGTTGCCGCCGATGCTGGCCCCTTGGGTGGCTTTGCTGCCTTCTTTGGAGGCGGAGGCAAGTCCCATTCCCACAGAGGAATGAAGGAGTCGACGAAGCCGACATCAGCAAAGAGATTGGGGAAGAGCCAGAAGCCCTTGCCGATGATGGCGCTACCTGCCCAGAGAATGAGTCGGATGATGGCGAGGATAAAGAATGCTCCAATGAGGCCGAGTAGACCAATTGAGAGGTACCAGACGCCCAACCGCATCATGGGTGGCCATAGGGGAAACATGACGCCAGCGAGGAGAAGGGCGACCATGCCGAGGCCCATGAGTTGGAGTCGTAGCTGCGAGCCTTCGTAAAACCAAGCAAAGTGCTGCGCAGGGGGAGGATTCCAGGGTCAGGTGCGAATCAGCTTCTGCATATAGTCTGAAATGCTAAGTAGCGCCACGCACCATCTCCTTCTTGAACATCTGCTGCTGTACAATCTTGAGCTCCCTCATTCTCTCCGTTGTGGCCCCATCTGGCTTCTTTGTTCCGCCGACCTGGTTTCCCCTCTCGACGCGCAGGAAAAAGGCGAATGGCAGTGTACCATGCAATATCTGCTCTGCCTCCTCTTGAGTCTTTGGTACGGGAAGAGGAGGCTTGTTCTTCGCTGCTAGCTTGGCATAGGCTGGCGAAAGGAGGGCAGCGACAGCTCGAGTGCCGTGGAAGTAAGGGTAGCGAGTGCCGCCGAGGATGCCATTCCTGAGCGGGATCTGTGACGATGAACGGAGGAAGTTGACGATGGCCCTTGCCTCTGGTGGGGCATTGGCCTGCTGCTCCATCTGTGCTGCTGCTGCTGCTGCTGCTGCTGCTGCTGCTGCTAACAAGGACGAGGGTGGATTGATGAGAGCAAACTCAAGGAAGGACAAACGTCTCTGTCCCGACAGAGTCGCCCTTCTGCTTCGACGTCGACGTGTGCACTGGCCGCCGCCCCGCGCGTTCCGTCCTGAGCGCTCGACCGTTGGTTGCATCTGCACTTTGGCTTTCCGTCGTCGACTCCTCCTCGTATTGTCTTGCCTTTCATCCAAGGCTGCTGCTGCTGTTGCTGCTGCTCCAGGAGCCATGGCTGGCCGACCTCGATCACCTCGTCATCGCGAGTATCCGTCTTATGAACACGACGGCAGATACACCAGCTCCTCATCAAAGTCACGCCCAGAGACCAGGATGATGGACATCGACGATGACGGCGACGTCGATGCCATGCGAGGGAGCGACAGCCACCAATCTTCTCATTATCGACATCGACATCAGCAAGGCGGCCACCATCATCATCATCATCGTCATCATAACCAGCGAACACGCGAAGACTACGACGACTATCGACGACGACAAAGTCACAATCGATCAGATCGACAAGGGCGTGACGACGGACATCGCCGCTCACCAGATCGATGGTATCCTACCTCGTCCTCAGCTACCCATGATCGTGAATCTCGTCCACGTCGCGACTCTCGTGACTACTGGACACCCACATCGGCATCATCTGAGCGGCAACGGGAGAGGAATCGAGACTCCCATCACTCCTCTGCGTCAAGGGACGACGAAAGCCGCCGCAGACGACCCTCGCCCTCGCGCGTACCGTCATCTCCGTCACGTAGGCATAGCATCGATGAGGAAGCGCCGCGGAGCCGAAATGACCAACATCGCCACAGCAGAGATGACAAAGAAGCCACCGATTCGCGGCGACGCAGCCGCGAGAGATCTACTTCTTCATCACAGCCAAAGAGGCGAGAGCTCTTGCCCGATCGACCGTCGGAGTCGTCATCTTCGTCCTCGGGACTTTCTATTAAGGGCTCTTCCAAATCGAGCATGTCCATCAAGGGTGCCAGCAGTAACACCGACGCATACAGCCAACCGGAATTCGCATCTCCACCTCCAGAGAAGCCTTTGAGGCAAGGTCCCAATCGTGTCTTCGACGTTGCCATGTCCAGTCTCGCCTCGGCCTCGACCCTTGACCGCGCTGACGTTACGTCCCCGCCGCGTGGAAGGAAGTCAATTCATCATGGACACGAGAGACGCGATGGTGAACGGCAGTCTCCGCAGGAGCAGCCGCTCAAAGAGGAGCAAAGTCGACATGGGAGCGGGACCAAAGATGATAGAGAGGTCAAGCATGAGAGTCGTCGCAGCCCACCATCGCCAGATGCTAGTGGCAGTAGGTCCTCCAGCCCGCCAAAGAAGATGCAACGTAAGCTTCTCGACAAGGACGCCATTACCAATGGCTCCAACGGCAAGGAAGCACATCCAAGCGATACTGCGGCCGCTCGGCCGTCCGAGAAGCCACACGAGCAGGCAAAGACGAGCAAAATGCCAGACTTGCAGCCGTCAGAGCCCTCTGCGCAGTCTCTCATGGCGCCACCGATGGATGATCAGGACTCACGTGGCAGCCCAGCGAAGAGTACAGTACAACCAATCGCGGCGCTCGCCGAGGTCAAGCCGCCACCAGTAGCAGAGTCATCTCAGAATAGCGAGGTTTTGCCCCCTCCCCCGATCAGCAACAAGACTCTCACCCCGCCGCCACCAGCTGAGGAGCCCCCTCCCGCCGAAGTGGCGCCTACCCCGCCGCCTCCTCAGCTGCAATCATATAGCACTGCCGCCGAGCGACGTCTGGCGATCCGATCGCGACTCAAGCCACTCGCCGAACGTACCTTCGTTGGGAGCAGCCAAACCTCGGCGTACCGCAAAGTCGACGATAGTGAGGGTGGACTACTAGGCGTGGGCACCTTTGGCGAAGTGTCACGAGCTCGCCACATCGAGACGGGCGCAGACGTCGCGCTCAAGAAGATCAAATTTCAAGCCAATGACGCCTCCAATGGAATGCCCATCACAGCCATTCGCGAGATCAAGCTGCTCAAGAGACTTGCACACCCCAATGTGTGTCCCGTCATTGACATGGTCTATGAACCAGCAAGCTCGCCAACAGGGGCAGGGACAGTCTACATGGTCCTGCCCTACATGCAGCACGATCTCAATGGCCTCCTCGAGCGGCTCGACAGCGAAGACAAGCCCTTTACTCCGGCCCAAATCAAGCTCTACATGAAGCAGCTTCTCGAAGGTACCCTTTATCTGCATCAGAACAAAATCTTGCACCGAGACATTAAGGCGGCCAACATCCTCATCTCCAATGACGGCTCGTTGCGCATTGCAGACTTCGGCTTGGCTAGAGCCTACCATGACCCGGGAGACGACACGCAAGGGGGCATACCCGCGTGGAAGATGGACGCCCGCACAGGTCAGTCGGGTTGGAAGGGCGGAGACGTAAATTACACAGGCATGGTCGTCACTCGATGGTACCGCCCGCCAGAATTGCTCGCCGGAGAGCGCAAGTACGGACCCGCCGTTGACATGTGGGGCATGGGCTGTCTGCTGGCCGAGATGATCTTGCGCCGCCCCCTGTTCAAAGGCTCGTGCGAAGTCAACCAGCTCGAGCTCATCGCCGATCTCTGCGGCTCACCGGATGATGCTACTTACCCAGGCTGGACCTCTCTGCCCGGCGTCAAGAACTTCGACCACAACGGCAAGAGCACAGACGAGCGCGGTCGCGTCGACTTTGGTCGCAAGCGCCGAATGGTCAGAGAACGCTTCCAAGGCATGGTACGCACAGAGCTGGCAGACCTCATTGACAAGCTGCTCATCCTCGATCCACGTCAACGTCTCACGGCGGAGGGTGCGCTCCGTCACCCTTGGTTCGATGTCGAGCCCCTGCCTGCCGACCCGGCGAGTCTGCCTCAGTATCCAGAGAGTAGGGAGTCAACAAAAGTCGGACGTCCCGCGGTGAGGCCAACTCAGGGCGTCGCCGGTTCGGCGGTGCCGTCGCAGCAACCGCATTCTCAGCAGGGAAGGCCACCGTACGTTCCAGGTGGGTTTCACGGCGCCGGCCCGGCGATGATGCAGGCTCCGCCGCCGTCAGGCCCAATCTTCAACGGGCAGCAGCCGCCGAGGGGACCCGCAGCAGGAGGCATGATGCCCTATGGTCCTCCTGGTGGCATGCACGGAGGTCCTGGCCCGCGCCCGCCCTTCAATCCCTACGCGCAGCACAACAACCCGTACGCAGGTGGTGCAATGGGAGGGCCGGGAGGCATGAGGCGGTGAGGAGTAGGCTAGTGATGATGATGCCAATTTTAAGCCTTCAAGACCGCAGGCTCGATCCTAGACTGAGGTAACGCATCTTCACATTGCTTGTACACTTTGGCTTTTATTGCATTGCTCACCCTTTGGAGATGAACGGCGACGCGTGGACACATGGTCGACTGCATTTGCGCCGAAGCTTTCGATCCTCGCTTCCCTGGTCTCAGAAGAAAGACTTGGCGCGCACGAGGGCAAAGCGCCTTAAGCGTCCTGTATCCACGACTGGATGGTTCCCTTCCTGGACCCGACTTTCCGCCAAGGATTCAGGTCGACACGCAGTGGGCAAGGCCGCAGAACTTCTGCTAGTGAAAGCTTCTGGTCGCCATTCATGAAGAGAGGCCTGTCCCAGAAGGCCATCTGCTCCGGGCCGAGTGCCGATGCTGCTACTGTGCCTGCATCACGAGTCGCAACGTCGATGCGTACAGGTAGGATCTCCTCGCCATCATCGCCAAAGACTCGCGGCCCAGGAGAGTCGAAGCGACGGAGGGGTCGAGGCGGCAGCGATGGTAGCTGTGGCGAGGCATTCTTCGGCTTGTCATCGAGGGCGGGGACCGGTCGACAAATCAAGCCGTCGATCCCCTTGGCGACTAGCTCGCGACGCTGCTGCTCAACAAGCTCTGCGAGTTCGCTTGGGAGTCTCGCTACGCGCTGGCCTTGCACAGCGTCAAAAGTGAGGTGCTCCCGAAAGGCGTCAGCCCACGTCAAAATCGTGACGCTCTCGAGCCTTGTCCTTGGACTGCCCGGCACATCCGACTCCGGCCGCCACGCTCTGAGGATCTCGAGCGCTTGTTCGAATCTCCACGCCTCTCTCCTGCCGTGATAGGTATCCGACCATCTCGTCTGCGACTGCTCTACGTCATCCGAGTCTTCCGTGTCGGCTGCCACAGCATTGATCGGGTGCGCGTCGCGACATATCCAGCGAAAGAAGATGCGTAGCCTCTGCAACAGCGACGGAGGCTCCTCAATCTGGTATCGCAGCAGACGAATAGTGAGGCGTTTGAGGCGCGGTACAATGCTGCGTAGCTCACTAGCCTCTTCGGCTGAGAGGGCGAAGCAGGAGATCTCGAGGTCTTCGAGGTCCTCAAAGATGGGCAGATCCAAGAAGCGTACCATGGCGAGCTCCGTGCGCAAGGACGTGATGCGCGGCCCGCAGTCGAGGTAGTTATCGTAGCTGCCACGATAGAGGGCGGCCATGCCATGCACGTCGAGGGATAGCTGGCGCACTTCCGTCGAAGCGATGAGGACATGTTTGAGGAAGAAGCCGATGATCAATGGATTGGCCATGGGCATTGACATGCAGCCCGTTCTCCTATCAAAGATGTCGGCCGCTACTGTAAGGCGATTGACATGTTTTGCGAGGGAAGGATAGGTTGTGAGAAGGCTCGAGAGACGAACGAGCTGCCTCTCGGTAGTGATGGTGAGAGATGAGTAGAAGCGAGGCTGCAAAGCTCGGTGATACCCAGACGAGACCATCAGTGGGGTGAAGTTCAGGCGATGAGCCGTGGTGGGACAGTCTTCGCATGCTAGCTTGAGAATCTTGAGCACAAGCTCGCTAGGTAGACCAGCGAAAGGGCTGGGGTTGGGCCGAAGCTTGATGCCAGCAAGAACTCTACGAGGTCGAAAGTGGGGCAATAGGCACGCGTCAGCTTGAGCTACGATACCGCATCCAGGCAGAGCGAGTGCTCACCTAGCTTCAAGCCAGAGGATCCTGCATGCCTTGCGAATTCTCAGAGCTGAACCGATGCTTATCAGTTGGACGATGGTGAGAAGTATCTTCGTCCACTCCATTGCGAAGACGAAGGTGGCGCAGGCGTCGCGGACCATCGCCTGGAAGACGGCAACGACAATGACCCAGATGATGAAGCCGACGAGCTTGGTATTGTCGACATAGCATTGCAGCGTAGCCACGAGGCCAGACTTGTCTTTGGTATCTGCAGTGCTCATGCCGGTGAGCCACGGAGGATAAGAGGTTGTGGTCAGGAGGAGAAAAGACGCACTCGGTGCCGTCCAAAAGGAGGCAGCTCGGAGGCAGCTCGTTACGGTTGCCGGGTGGCGTACAATGACAAGGCCGAGACCCGGAGACGCCAAACACACAGTCGCAAGGTCTGACATGAAGCTCCTAAAGACGCGGTTTGACTTGGTCTCACTGAGAGCCACGGGCTGGACCTGCTGTACGCCCGCGGCTACGGGTGCGAGACGCGCATCTGATGTCACGCATAGAATGAGTGAGACGCATGAAAGAGACATCGTATCGGATTCAAAATCAAATGAGATGAGACGGACGCAACACCATGAGAGTCGAAGGGCCCGTTCTTGGTGGACAGAGACAAGAGGAAGACATCAGACGACTTGATTGGACTTGTGCCGGGGCGTGAAAGCACGTGAGAAATTTGGATCGAATCCGAGATCGATTCGGGTGTTTGCAGAAGCCGTGGCCGACAGCCATAGGGCATAGAGATATCCAAGGACGGCGAGCAGTGCGCCAGCATATCCTTGATCGAGTGAGACCGCGAGTTGTTTGTGCGTCCTCGTGCGGCCGAGACAGCGTCTGTTGCTGACGGGGCCAAATTTTGACTGATCCGAGTGCGTTATCTTGGTCTGCGCAAGAAGTTCGCCAGCTACATTCTCGCGGACTGGTAGTCATTGTCCTCCTCTCGGCGCGGAGCATTGACGTGCAAGGTGACGATCATGCCTGCAATGCCGAGTCCGATGGCTACGATGGCGGGGACGAGAATGCCGGCGATCTTGATGTAGCGGTCCTCCTGGGGAGTGATGCCGCTGGTGTTGGTCGTAGCTGCCGGCGGAGGAGGGCACGCAGATGCGGACGTTGTCGCCGCACTCGGCTGCGCAGCCTTGCTGCTCCCGGCCCCTGCTCCCTCTACAACATTGCCCGCCTGCCAGTCATCGGGTGCTATGGCTTGGCCTGTCCCGCCGCCGCCAATGGAGAAGGGCGACGAGGGAATCTGAGCACTGGGCGCAGCTCGAGGAACAAAGGCTTCGACGATGGTATCAGGCGCATCTAGTACCTCGCCGGCTTTGTCCGGCCCAATGTCGACGGCACGTACAGCGATGACGGTGAGGAGGATGAAGAGGACATGAATGGCAGCGCCGTGGCTGAGCGAGCCGAACGCGGAAGGGCAGAGACAGAGAGTCATAGTGTCATTCAGGCTCTGAGATTCATTCTAGTGGATGGATGGCACGAGAGGCACTCACTCTGCGATCCCGATTTGCATGATGGCAGCACGAGAGGTGATGAAGCTACAACGATGTAGAGCAGCAAATTCGATGCTGAGGGCGACGGCAGCGACGGCGGCTGTTAGCGGGAAGGAAGACGAGGCGTGGGGTGTTTGCAGGATGGTAGGAAGAGAAGAGGATGGATGCAGCAACTTCGACTGCTTAAGAAGGCTTACGCCGACGACTGAGCGCTGCGATGGCGGACTGAGGAACGCGTCTTCGTCGATGAACAAGCTCTCCTGCCCGAGGGTAGAGGCAGTGATGAGCTAACTTAGCTCCACGAGAGGACCTGAAGCTCGATTGATCATGGCAGCTATTCGGCCCTGGCTGCCGCGGAGCCATTGATGAGCCCTTTGCTCAGGCGATGAGGGGAAAAGCCGGACGGAGGAACCTGGGTCCTTCAGCGAAGCTAGGCGGCGGATTCAGCCGCCAGCGGATGATGTGCCATCCGCTTGTGAGGGCAGGTAAAAAAAGGCAGTGCAGTGCAAGCCGGGCGGAATCGGTGAGTATGCCTCGAGTCAACTTCGTCTATGCAAGAGCTTTTGTCGCCCTACTCTCTCAAGGTAGGAAAGGGAAGTGGACGCGTACGAGCTTCAACTCCTCTCCTCTTTCCGTCCGCCTCGCGATTCCAGACCCCGCCCGCACGCACGCACCCTCGGTCGCTCGTGTTGGACTCACAGCCACGAAGGGGCAGCGGAAGTGGCCGTCCATGGCGTCGACGAGCCCAAATCGATGCTGAGCTCGCCATGGCAACGAGACCTGCATGAGAGGCTGTGCCAACGAGACGATCAAGGTTTGCAAAGTGCTTTGAGCGCTGGGAATACTGCGCGAGGTCGAGCCGGAAGCGCTTGGCTGTCGGCGTATGGTTGGCTTCACCAGCAGCGGTCAGGCAGAGTGAGATGGTACAATTTGACAATGAGATTTTGATCGAGCGATGATGAATGACAGACAGTCAGGAGGGGCACGATATCAGATCGACAGAGGGTGATATAACGCAGCGTAAGGGATAGCGAGAAATTAAGATCGAGCTGCGAAAGACCGGTAGACGATTAGCTATCCATCGAGGTGTCCTAGGGGCGGGAGAAGATCGAGCGATGGTGAGTATTGATAGCGGAAGATCTCCCTTGTTTGAGCGCCCACTCACCCCCTTGAATTCCTGATCCTCATCTTCATCATCGGCGCTCTGGTCCGGGTCGAAGCCAGCTGCCTTCTGCGCCTCCTCGCTCGAGTAGTCGATGGGCTTGCGGCTGCGCGTGGGACGGTTGCCGATGCCAGGAGCGGAGATGTTGGTGGGGTCGACTTCATCTGGCTCGATGTCCTGTGGTGGAGATAAGAAGTTGTCAGAGAGGCTAGCTCGTTTGCATCATCGTGGGTCTGTAGCATGCCTGCCCACCTCATCGTCCTCATCATCGTCCTCATCGTCATCGGAGTCGTCGTCGTCATCATCGTCATCTTCGTCGTCATTGTCATTCTCCTCCTCGACGGCTTTGCCCTTCCCCTTGGACGACGAAGAGACCGTCTCAGCGGCAACCTCCTTCGTCGAGGGGTCCTGGCCAGCAGCGGCGACAGAGGCGCCGGTGGAAACGTCGGTGGGGCTGCGTGTGGCGTGCGCAAGGAATACTTGCCGTCAGTAGCTGCTCAATTGATCGACGCTCGATGCAGAGCAACTCACGCTGCAGCGTCAGACATTGTGGCTTTGTAAAGAAAGATGCGGTGTGCTGATGGAAAGGAAAGCAAGCAAGAAGGACACGCCAGAGCTTGGTTCCGCTCCCTCGACGAACAGGCAGCCCGACGGCGCAGACCCAGGCGGACCAACCAATTTGACCTCAGCCACGCGACGCGTCGGTCAAGGCAAGGAAGTCGGATCGATTCGAGGAGGGATAAGCCTTGGTGGCTACCGCTACGGCAGAGACCACGATCCAGCTATTACAAGGGATCCTGCGGCGTCACTGACCCGCCTTTGACGCTACTTTCACCGCTTTCAGAGGCCAATCCTGCCGCATGATTGGCCGCACTCCCCGTCGCTGCAGGCGATCTCCCTGCGTCATCTCTGCCCGTCAAAACGGCCCTCAAAGCGTGCGCGGCTGCCAGGAAGACGGCCCTGCCCTCCCATAAAGGATAGATGCCAACGGTGAGAAATCCCAAGAAAGCCCATGTGATCGATACGGCAACCCAACCAGTAAAGAAAGAGCGCGTGAAGATGTAGTCTCGATAGAGACTCAGGGGCCATATCAGCATGAAGACGGCAAAGACCACGACCGACGCAACCGCCGATACATAGAGCCACTTCTTGAGACTCTTCGGGCTGAAGCGCTCGTCATTCTCAATGATCTTCACCTCTTCCTCGTCGTCGGCGTTCTTGTAGCGATCGTCCCAAATAGAGCTCCAGTCAAAGTGCAAGGGCGTGAACAAGGATCCAAAGGTGCAGAGGAGGATGCCTGTAGCAATCGTTGTAGTGAAAGCGTAGAGGTTGACGTCGACGGCGCCCAGGGCGGTGATGTTGACGGCGCCCTCCAAGCGTTTGGCCAGGCTGAGCCACACTGCCAAGCCTGCGCCAAAGCCGATCCAGATGCCCGGAAAGACGGCCCATCTGGGAAGATGACTGCCAAAGAAGGAGAAGCAGATGTGGGGCAGAGCTGCCGTAGACCACAAGCCGGTGATGTTGTAGAGGAAACTCCTGCACACGATGAGACAGATCAGCTTGAATTGGCCCTCTCGCAAGACGTTTAGTGCGGTCCGTCTACTCACAAGTCGACCCCGACTCCGTGCAGTAGACTGTTGATTGAGAAGCGCGTAGCAGGCAGGTCAGCCTCAAGGTGCCCCTGTGGTCTTTGCCTCCTGTCAAGAGCGACTCACCAACCGAAAGCTGCCATGAAGAGCGAGAATCCAATGACCACTCCCTGCTGGACGCGGAGGATCTGATGTTCCTTGGCGCTCCTATTGACATACGCTGAGGGGGCGACGAGAGGGGATCAGCTGGAGCCGCAGTCAAGCTAGCCCACCAAACACCACCCACTCTTGTAGACGTCGTAGCCGCCGATGGAAGCGACAGCGATGAGCTGCGCTGAGATGGCAGAAGTAGACGACATAAACATCAACAAGAGCACGCCAGCGCTCCCACCCTTGCCCAAGATTGCCTGCGCTGCGTAGGGAAGCACAAGGCCGGCAGACACCTCCTCGTTGCTCATTTTATTGGGAAAGGTGGGGAAAGCAGATGAAGTCTGCTCAAGCGCCAAAGCTACCAGACCGGCAGTCGTGGCTAGGGCCCAAGGCAGACTGAACCAGCTGAGACTGCCCAACACGTAGCCTGGCACTGCTGCAGACGGATTGGCGGCGATTCCCTTTTGGTGGAAGCTGGCATCGTTGAAGACCTGTGCGACGGGGCAGGTAGACAGCATCAACGCACGGCACTCCTCTGGCAAGCATCGCTACGGCACTCACCACGCCCGTGTACTCGAGGAAGGAGAGCCAGCCAAACTTGATTGCTCCCCTGGACTTGAGCGTCAGCCAGCTACCCTCGTAGTTCGGGCTTGGGTTGGCCCGAGCAGCGGCCACTAAAAGGTCGTACATCTTTCCTGGAGAGCCGACGAGGTCGCTCGTGGCGTAGGCCTTGAAGAAGAGAGCGAAGAGAACCGCAAAGATGACGACGGTGTGAAGGTAGTCGGCAAGAATCGTCGATCTGAGGCCGCCCCGAAGAGTATAAGCGGTTACTGCAAGAGGCAAAAGAAACAGAGACGCATATGTGTTGACACCAGTGATGGACTCGATGGCGGCGGCTGCTCCGACGAGTACAGAGGACACGACGAGGATGTTGGTAGCCAGGGCAAAGAAGAGGAAGGTGAGATGCCCCGCTGTACCGTAGCGAAGACGCAGTAGCTCGAGGTGGGTATGCAGAAAGGGTGCTCGACGCTTCATCTGGATAGCGATGAGTGAGAAGAGAGTAATCTGACTCATATTTCCGGCGCCATATATGAGGGCGCCAGCGACACCATACTGATAGGCAGTCGAGCACGAGCTGAGGAGCGTGACGGACCCTTGAGGTACGGCACATCGAGGCGTGAGATCAGCTGGACAGCTTGATCGAGGGAACTGACGGCCATCGCAGGAGTACTCACAGGTCCAAGCGGATACAGCAGCTGCGGCAGTCAGGCCAGTGCCGAGGGACCGCGAAGCAACGGCATACTCGCTGGCGGTGCGTGAGATGTCGCCAAAACGCTGCACTGCCTTGGCCAATCCGATGACAATCTGTGTGACGGTGGGTGATTTTCGCTCTCAGTCGCCGCTCATATCCACCGAGCAATCGAGGCGCGCTTCACCTACAATGGCAAAGAAGGCGCCGAGGCCGATGATGACGCCGTAGCCAGTCCCTTGGCTCAATGGTGCCAGGGTCGAGGGTGACATCTGCGTCGTCTGAGAAGATGCTGAAGTTACAATGAAAAGAAAGAACAGAGGTCCTCATGAGGACTTTGGCCTTCCTGCGAAGCCTTTGCTGGGCTTGAGGGCACTTTGGAGCAGTCGCGACATGATGGCACCATCCTGCCTCGGCTAGCGGGTATCATCGCGACGGCGCATGGCACCATCGATGCACGAGGAGCAGAGAGACGTGGTGTCATCACCAGTCCACTCGCACGAGCGATTGCGCATGTCGCACTGTCATCAGACGTGGACCTTGCAAGATGGAAAGAAGTGCAGGCGCGGGGCTTGGGCGGATGGGCATCGACGGTCGAAGGATCGAATGTTTGACCTGACGTTCTACGTGCGGCCTTTCGAAACGATCAAGTGATTATATTGGTATTCGAAGGTATCAAGCCACGGACGTAGGATTTCGCATCGTTACCATCAGCCCCGGACGCACCTGCATTTGCGTCTCCTTGAGTCATCGGCCTCGATGCGCACGCAATCCATCCCCTCTGTCTCCAACATTGATCCCTCAAGCCCTCTTCTTCTTGCCCTTTGCAGCAGCTGAAGGGCCTCCAGTCTTCTTCTTGGACGAAGCAGTGGCCAGCATGATGCCAGCGGTCGCGCCGATGATGAGCAGGAAAATCGGGACTATGTTCTCTGCAGCGCGTGGGTGCCAAGGTATTGTCAGCTGAGGACCAAGGTGCGGTTCAATGCAGTACTCACGGAAGATGCCACGAATGACGTTCTCGATCAAAGACCAGGTATCGACGACGACCTCCTCACTGACGTGAATGACGCCACGCAAAGTGCCAACGACGAGGTCAAAGATGTGACGGACGACAGCCAGGACCGACTCGAGCAGACCCTCGACGACGTTGGCCGCGCCAGAGAAGATGGATTCGACCGAGGATGTCAATGAAGCCATGACGAGCGCTATGAAGAGAGTATCGGATGCAAAGAGGGTGTAGGTGTAGAAGGGGAAGAAAGCGAGAGCGTATGCGGATGCGGATGCGACACCAACACCCAACAGAGTTGAGCTAGGCTCCACGAATCCTCGTCGACGCTGGTCTATTCAAATCGGACCCCGCCACTGCCTGTCAATCGGGCGCCACGACTCGACTCACAGCGGGTGGCGGACAGATCGAGCGATCCGTCCACCAAAATAGCTGACGCCCAGGTCGACTGCGCGCTGGCCAGCATTATTGCCCCTTGACGACCAACTCCGGTTGCACAGTAGTGAGATGCTGGTGAGCTGCATTCACACACCAGCATGGAGGCTAGCGTAGGGGACCCTCATGTCGAGAGGGACTGGTCTGATGGGCACCTCCTACACGCAGTCTCGCGCCTCCGCTCGTCAGCTCCTCAATTGGCCGGCCTTTAGAAGATCCCGTCTCCTCTTGATCTCTGTTTTGATACCTTGGCATACTGACTCAACGAGAGGCATCACCCCTTCATTCAATCTCTCGAGATCCTTGCTTCCCTCCACTGGCTCCAGCTGCTATTCACCGGTTCGCAGAATTTCGGCATCCTTACGAGCCGGCCGGCGATGAAATCAAGATTTGTCCCGCAACGTTGAGAGCCCAGGGCGTGTGCCTGTTTTGGACTGCGTGCAACTGCAGGCGGCATCGGACTCGCTTGCCGCGTTGCGCCGAAGTCGCATGCTCGCTCGTGAAGAGCACCTGTAGTCATCGTTTGCGAAGACGAGGGGGAGGATCTGCTTCAACTACACGCATTGACTTGATCTTGTGACCTTCCCACATTAGAGCCAACGACAACGCCCATTCAGAGATATAGCCGTTATGGTACCGTCGGAAGTCCAAGCGACCCCGCCGGACGAGTATCATGATGCAGCTCCTCACTGGCAGGCCCCAACGCCTCCTCACGCGATGACCGAGGCTTCTACGGCAGTCAATACCCCTCGACCATCCTTTTCTTACTTCACCTCAAAGCCACTACCAAAGGCGTCATCGTCATCATCATCACAACATCATCGCGACACCGAGATGCGTCGGGGCAGTAGCGCCACCGCGCTCGCCGCCGCCGAGGACGAGGACGAGAAGGCTCGGGCGCAGGCAGCTTCCCAGGGTGAGGCAAAGCATGGTCAGAAGCATCCTGCTTTGCATGCCTCGTCACGGTCGCCCTCCGTCATTGTCGTGGGCTTCGAAGGAGAAGACGATCCCCTCGACCCTCACAATGAGCCGGCGTGGAAGAAATACGCATGCACCCTTACTATCGCCGTCAATGCCTTCTTGATCAGTTGCTTCGCCTCAGCGTACCTCTTTGTCAGCCCCGACATTGAGGTCGCATTTGGCGCGAGTCACGAAGTCGTCATCGTAGGATTCGTCACCTACGTCGTCATGTGGGGCCCGGGTCCCCTGCTCTGGGCCCCCTTGTCATCAACCATCGGCCGCAAGCCCGTCTACGTAGGCGCAGTCGCCTTGTGGACTCTATTCAACATCGGGTGCGCGAGAGCGCAAAGCATAGGTGTTCTCATTGGTTGTCGCCTCCTTGCTGGTTTCTTTGGGAGCGGCTGTTTGTGCAATGGCGGGGCAAGTTCAACCGACATGTACCAGAACCATGCTCGTATCAAGGCGACGACGTCGTATTCCTTCGTCGTCTTCTTGGGTCCAGTGTGAGTCGCGGTAATAGGGCCGGGCTGGCGCGAAGAACCTCTGCTTACTAACGTCGTCTTTCCTTGGTGTAGCTTCGGGCCCCTCATTGGCGGCGCTGTACAGGAGTATGCACCCAAGACGGCGGACGGAGGCTGGCGCTGGGTCTTCTACGGCGGTATCGCGGCGGGCACGCTCGTGACTATCGCGCACTGCCTGGTCATCGAGACGAACCACAACATTCGTCTACGCAGGAGAGTGAAGCAGTTACAGAAGGCGCAGGAAGCTACCGAGGCTGGTGACAACAAAGCCGCAGAAGATGGGAGCGTGACCGCTAAACACGTCCGCTACACGACTGAGGCAGATGAGCATGGCCTGACCATCCAAGCTCAAGTGTTCCAGGTTGCCGGCAGTGCCGCTCGCATGATTGCTGAGGAGCCCATCATCCTCTTCATCTCCCTCTGGCAGACGACGGTCATGGCTGTGCTATACCTGTTCTTCGAGGCCTATCCAGTCGTCTTTGGAGAGGGTCATGGCTTCAACTCCTTCCAGACTGGCTTGACTTTCATTGGCGTCGGTTGCGGTATGACGTCTGCTTGCATCTGGGCTGTCACAGGGGAGCTGAGACTGTGGGACAGGAGACGAGCGAAGAAAGGTGGACAGGCAAAGCCCGAGATGAGGGTCCCGCAAGGGCTAGTAGGCGCCGTTCTGACCGTCATTGGATTGTTCTGGTGAGCATGCGCGCCTTCAAAGCCAGCAAGAAGCGGTTCATGCTCACACCATCCCGACTACCCCCGCAGGTACGGCTATACTTCGTACCCACGCATCCACTGGATCGTTCCTGTCATAGGCTCGGCAGTCTACGGAGTCGGAGCAATCAGCGTCATGCTCTCCACCTTCTCCTATCTCGTCGACACTTTCGCCTACAGAGCAGGCTCAGCATTTGCCGCCGTTGGCCTCATCCGTTCAGTGGTGACGGCCGTCCTGCCTCTCGGAGGGACGCAGATGTTCGAGAACCTCAACCCACGAAACGCTTCACTGATCCTTGCACTGCTGGCCTGCGTGCAAATCGCCACGCCGCTGTTGGCGATCAGGTATGGGGAGAAGTTGAGAATGAGGAGCCGCTTCGCACCCAGGGTCGGAGCGGGCAAAGGACAGCACTAGCGTCCTTGGGAGCGCACTGTAGAGTACATCAGCATTGAAATAGAGTGTCACAATGCAGCATACCATAAAGATAGAGTAGGACGATGTCGTTTCTCAGCTGCCGTCTCAGGCCGCAATTATCGTCAAACCCTGTATCCTCCCTCCTTCTCTAAAGGGCGTAAGAGTCAATAGTGAGGGCGGTCGATCTGACTCATCATCTACGGCCTGCGCGGCGGTACTGGCCGCGCGCGCGAAACCCAGCTTGCTGTGATTCGAAGCATTGAGCGCTACTGCCAGACGACCGAGGAGCAGAGCGTGCGGGTCGAGAGCCTCTTCCGGAGCGGCGTTGACAGAGACGCCATTCAGGCTTTGTACAAGGCCTCGGAGGATTGTGAGGTCAGTAGCCAGAGATGTAGGCTGATGAGCACCTTGCTCTTTGAGAGCTCCTACGGACTCGCGATGAATGTCGGCAAGTACATCCCGGATGAAGTCGGCTTCTCGATACCTCTGATCGCTTCTGCCTGCTGCGACGCCCCCCAAGGGAGGAAGCACCTCGTCACTCGCCTCCTCGAGTATGCAAAGAGCTTGTATGAGACGAGGTGAAGGGCTCTCCCTCATTGTCCCTGACGAGGAGGAGCCGCCTGCATCTCCTGCCTGACGCTCACGTGTCAAGATGGAAACTGCCTTCCGAACCACGTCAGTCTTCCATGCTCCGTTCAAAATCTCTCGCCTCTTCTCCATCAGCTGGTCACTGGCCTGCCTGACCTCCTCGCTTCGTCCACCCACCTGCTCGACGACCTTGGCGTACCGTGGGACGAAGAGAAGCGCCCGCACCAATCTTGTCAGCAGCATGAGTTGGTCATTTTGGCCGCTTCGCTCGTCGACGAGGCGATTGAGAGAGGTGAGAAGGAACGTCCACCCGGATGTGGCGATGAAGACGAGGGTTTGCAGCTCCTCTACCTCCTCATCCGCATCACCTTGATGGTTCGCGACGGCGCTCTGGTAACGTTCTAGCGTGCGTGCGAGCTGCACCCACTCTCGTATTGTGGGTGCGAGAAGTGACTGGACCTGCGACATCTTGCCCTCTAGTAAGTCTTGCAAGTGCGCCTTGGACGTCGCTGCTCCCTGTGTCGAGGCGGCAGCGGCCGTGCCCTGATATCTCTTGGCCGTAGCTAGCTTCGGCTGGACGGGCAGCGAATCGATGAGGAAGAGCTCCGCGTACAGGCCTCCTTCGTCCTCTCTGCCGCTCTGGTGCAGTCGCATCTCCCTCTGGTCCGTCTCGACGCTGGCAAGGGCGCCAACGACTCGATGTAGAGCGTCATTGCGCCATCGCTGGATGTCTTGACGCCACAGTGCCTCAGTGCGGGCTGCTAGGCGGGCTGTTGAGCTCTCAAAGGCTTTGGACAAAGTAGGGAGTACGGAGGATTCGTCACCACTGAGGTTGTGCACCTTTGCATGCCGCTTGAAGGCTGAGTCTAGCCGATGACGCGCACGCCCGACAGAGTGAATGCTGGAGAATGAGTCGATGAGCGCAGGAACCCACTCGTCGAAAAGGGCAGCGGTTACATCGTCCATCCAGGATTGAATTGCGCGTGGATCAATCGACGGCGACGGATCGGATACCTCGAGATGCCAAGAGAGTAAAGGGGAGGCCGAAAGCATCGTGGACAGGATGCGTTCTGCGGAGGGCAGAGTGGCGATTGAATCCAAGGGAGTCGGAGGAAGCAACGCCGAGGAGGGAGGTGGCTGTTGTGTGGCACCCTGGGCCGCTGCCATCTGCTCGAGAATAGAGTTGAACAGTGTCTTGGCGAAGATACGCTCATATAGACCGCAAGTCTCTGCAATACTGGCATGAGCCACATCAAGGATCTTATTTGGGTCGATGTTACCTCCTGCTGCCGTGACCCACTGCTTGAGGGTTTCCTTCCTCGATTGCAACAGATACGCCTCGGCCTCAGCAGGAGCCAGATACTGCAGCTTGACTAGAGCGACAAGACTGATCGTTGTCGTTCGAAAACCAGCCTCGAGGGCAGCATGAAGCGTCGCTGCTGAGATCCGCGAGGTAGTCATCGCTTTGTCGGACGTTAACGTGACGTCGGACCGGCCGATCACGTTCTGGATGGCAGCTTGCAGTTCGACCTTGAGAGAGGTGAGCGTGGCTATGTGAGTAGATACTGGATGAGGGAACAGATCCTTGACATCCTTGTCATTGCCTGGAATCCGCATAGTCAACAGCTCCTGACCAGCGATGCGGACAGCCTCGAAGAGACTCGAGGCAAGAGCGAGGCGACGAGCTGTACGCAAGCATGACTTGGCCTCGACAAGCACGCGCGATGCTGCATCTTCCTCGCCGCCGCCATTGGATCCTTTGCTTGCTGCCTTAGCAGCGTCCAGGATTCTCCAGATCTCCTCTGGCCCTTCGTGAAGAATGAGGAGGAGAGCGGCTACATGACGAATCTGCGACTCAGTCGAATGCGTCTTGTCCTCGCCCGCACCAGATGTAGTCTGCTCCTCCTCATTGCCGTCTGCAATACCTCGCCTCAGCCCCTTTGCTACCTCGTCAAGGGCGCCAGTCAGAAGCGTCGAGCTGCTCCTCATGGCAGAGATGGTGTTGCCCACCGCCAGGACATCCTGATAACGACTATTGATCAAAGCTCTGAGCTCCGAGTCGTACGTCTGAAGCTGCACCTTGACCGCAGCTAGATGATTGGCAATCTCAGCGGGGGTATATTGGACGAAGAGATCATCTGCCGTGATATCTGGTTGCAAGAGTGGATTGAGGCTGCCGTTGACATTTTTGGAGGATGGTCGAATCATCGTCGTCGTCGCAGGGCCAAAGGACAGGCTATCGATGCTTCCTCGACTGCTGCCAGCACCACCTCCGACGACGGCAGAGGTACGTGTGTGTCGTCGAGGAGTGCGAGAAGAAGAAGGCGAGGCGGGCCCCGCTGACGAGGAGGGCATCTCACGAGATGTGGTACTTGTACTACTGGGTGAAAGGGACGGACGAGTCGAGGTCGAGTAGTCGACCTCAACACGGACCACCGCAAAACGCCAGATTGAGTCGCTTGCTTCCTTTTTCCCTCCTCCCATCGAGATGTCTACCGACACTCGAGGCGTCACCTTTCAGACAACGCAGGGCAACTTTGCCTTTGAGCTCTACTGGGACCATGCACCCAAGACGTGCGACAACTTCTGGCAGCTGAGCAAGAGAGGTTACTACGACGGTCTCGTCTTCCACCGCATCATTGCTGACTTCATGATTCAGGGAGGCGATCCGACGGGGACGGGCAGGGGGGGGAGCAGCATATATGGGGCAAAGGTGAGCCGTACTACTACCATGCACCTTGAGGAAACTCATTTTGACGCCGGCTCATCCACACACACGCAGTTTGCCGATGAGATCAGCCCTGCTCTGCGTTTCACGGGGGCAGGCATCTTGGCAATGGCGAATTCAGGACCCAACACCAATGGGTCGCAGTTCTTCATGAGCCTCGCGCCGACGCCGCACCTCGATCGCAAGCATACCATCTTTGGCAGGGTATTGCAGGGCATGGAGGTCGTGAGGAGGATGGGCCTCGTAGCTACTGATGCCGACGATAGGTCAGTCTTGCGTTGAGAGACCTTGGGACCATGAACGCCGAGCTGACTTGCTGATCCCGCTCACAGACCACGAGAAGAGGTCAAGATCATCAAGGCAACAGCAACGCAATGAAACAAGTCCACAGCCTTCTTCATTCTTGTACCATTCTCTTCTGGCGGTATTAGCATTGCATATGCTGCGTGTAGTCTACTCTATGCTGGCTGGCTCATCATATCCTCTCACCCTCAAGCGCCCTCACCCCAACTTCAAAGCTTCCCAAAAACACTGCGCCACCCAAGCCAATCCAGACGATTCTGGGCAACACTCCGCGATAAAGGCCCTTGATCCCGTCTGTCTCCCAAACGTGCAGCAGCGTCGGTAGGAAACGCTGATTGACCCCAGGTCTAGCTCGAGGTGGCCCACCCGCCACGACTCCCTTGACTGGCTGTCCTCCTTGCTCTCTACTTCTCTCAGCAAGCATCAATCTCGTCTTGACAACGTCAAGAGGCGTCGTAGTGCCTGCTGCAATGGCTCCTGAGAAGGAACCGACGAGAGCGGCTTGATAGGGTGGGAGGGAGGTGGCATCTGGGTTCGAGATGCGATATCGTTCGAGAAGGACGAGCTTAAGGCGCTCATAGAGGGGGAATTGGATGCAGGTGAAGGGAATCTATGAGAGGGGGCAGAAATACATGTCAATCGGCGTGACGCTTCCTTTCTTGGTTGGGTCGTGGGCTCCCCCACTCACCTCTCGTGCTACCGTCGTACCGTAACCCTTCCACAAACCTCTCGGGCCCTCCCTGGCTAGGATCTTGGAAATCGCGCTGGCTACATTGATGTCCTTGCCGTACACTCCAGCCTGAAATCGACTCTTGACTACCTCTGTGGGCACTCTGACAAGGCAAGCCGCCACCTCTCCTGCGCTGGCCGCCATCATGTGTGCAGCACCTGAGCTCAGCGACTCTGTACCAAGGAGCTCCTTCTTGAGGCTCTCATAAGTGACAAAGAAGATGGCCGCTCCTGGCGCACTGCCAGCTGCTACGCTTGAGATCCCTTGGTATACGCCCTTGAATCCTCCCGACGCCCAGAACCCCTTAGACGACTGGAGGCGAGTCTTTAGCGTGTCGAGAGGGTAGAGGGAGAGGTCGACGCTCAGACCAGCCAAGGCGCCTGATGCTAGAGAGGTCAGGTAGTGAGGCGGTGGTCGAGCTTGCCCATTGCTGCTGCCGCTATTGATACTGTTGTTGACATTCGACAAGGACGATGAAGACAACGTCGCATCGTCCATTCTTGGAGTGTAAGTGCGAGGACGAGAAGGTTGGTGGCTCGGTCCGTCACTTGGTCGTGTGCCAGGTCTGTGCGGGAGGCAGCTTTCAAGTCGTCATGGACGGCGGACTGGCGGACTGGCGGACTGGCAGACCGTCTGCCGTCTGAGCCTCTCATTGCTTAGTCTCGCTCCCGCCGCCCCGCCCCGCACATGCTCTCGTCGGATCCAACGCCGAGTCGGAGAGGCTGGGCCCCATTGTCGCCTCCTGACATTGACAGCGATTCGCACCGACGACGGCTCAACAGCTTCGAGGTCATCAACGCTATCAGCGACCACGACTGCTCTTGATTCCACGTTTCTCCAGCCTCGCCTTTCTAGCCCTCTCCCCTTGCGCCCTCGTGAGCTGAGGACTCGAGCCTCACCTCACAGCCTCCACGCCACGCCCCGCCCTGCCTGGCCAGGCCACGCCAACGTCCAGAGAGACCAACACTCTCTCATCCCGGCCAACCAAGGGGAACCGCCCAACGACATCCGCAGCCAACCGATCATCCGACTGCCCATCATCACGCTGCTGTGACCAGGAGCTTCCTCAGTCGTGGATCTCATCATCGCTTCGTCATCTATATCGCTGCCAACCGACCGTACCCAACTTAGGGACGACATAAATCGTGATGCCTAGGAGCCTCGTCCACCTCGTACGAGAGCGTGAGCATCAAGGTTGAAGCCGTCATCTCTGAATGCGTGAGCTGACATCTTGTCTCGCTGCCACCCGTCGCCAGGCTACCTCACATCGATTCGCTCTGTCCAGCCTCCGTCAAGATGGAAAGTCCTCGTTGTCGACAGCTTCACGCAGTCGCTCCTCAACTCGGTCCTCAAACTCAATGACATCTTGCAGCAGAACGTCTCCACGGTTGAGAATATCGAGCATAACCGCAGCCCTCAATCGAGCTTTGAGGCTTGTTATCTCCTCACTCCAACCAGTGCCAACGTGGATCGCCTCATCCGCGATCTCTCACCGCCACCACCGGGCAAGCAGCCACAATATGCTGCAGGTCACATCTTCTTTGTCGATAGCCTCTCAGATGTGCTACTGCAGCGATTGACGACGTCGTCTGCTGAGCCTCAATTACGCCAGCTCATCGAGATGTTCAACAATTTCTGGCCAATCGAGGCTCAGGCCTTCTCCCTCAAGAGCCCGCAGTCCTTCTTCACCCTCTTTCAGCCCATTGGAGGAGCATATGGGCCAGATCAGTCGGAGGCAATGTCTGCCATCGAGGGAGACCTCTTCTTTGCCACGCAGACGCTTCTCAACGTCTGCGTCACCCTCAACGAGTTCCCTTTGATTCGCTACTACAACCCGCAGCATCCTGCGCTGGGACCGCTAGCTCCCATCGCCAGCAACCAGGGTACCATGAATAGCGCATACTCTGGCAGTGCCCGACTGGCCAGACTTGGCGGAGGAGGCTCATCAAGAGAAGCTGCGTCGACGGGCGAGCACTTTACCCGCAAGCTCGCTTTTCGTCTGCAACAGGCCATTGACGACTACGTGAGGGACAATGAGCCAAAGTCAGATCCAGGCAGACCGCGGGGCATCCTCTTCATCACCGATCGTACCATGGACACCATTGCTCCTCTACTGCACGAATTCAGCTACCAGGCAATGGCAAATGACCTTCTGCCAATCGAAGACGGAAATCGATACCACTACCGCTTCTACACTTCCGATGGCAAGCGCGAGGACAAGGACGCTACGCTGAGCGACGATGATGCCGTATGGACGGGCATTCGCCACCTGCACATCGCAGAAGCCATTGACCGCCTTTCCCGCGACTTCCAAGCTCACGCGGGTGAGGCGGGAGCGTACACGGACAATGCCTCCAGTCTCAATGACATGCGCGACATGCTCGCCAGCTTACCACATATGCAAGAGACAAAGGACAAGCTCAGCTTGCACCTGACGCTAGCTCAAGACTGCATGTCCCGCTTTGAGAAGACTCGCCTCCCTCAACAGGCCATGGTTGAGCAGAATTGCGCTACTCGCCTCACACCAGAGGGTCAGAAGCCCCGCACCCTCGTCGAGGAAATGGTGCCCCTTCTAGATGATCGGTCTGTATCCAATGCGGACAAGGTGCGCATCATCGCGTTGTACATCATGTACTGCGAAGGTGTCAACGACGAGGACCGCAAACGCCTCTTCCAGCATGCGCGCCTTTCACTCCACGAGATGGACGCCGTCAACAACCTCGTGCACCTGGGCGCACAAGTAGTGAAAGATCCCAGCACGTCATCAGCGTGGGATGGCTGGTTCAGAAAGGGGAAGCGCAAGCAACAGCCAGGCGAGAACGAGTACGAGCTTAGCCGCTATCAGCCATTGTTAAAGTTGATGATCGAGGATCACTTTGCGGGCAAGTTGGATCAGACGACGTACCCATATGTGAGGGACGCCCCGCCTGAGATGCCGACTGGGGCGGCCAGCTACTTATCTGCTGGACTGGCATCCGGCGGCAGAGATTCGCCTCTGGCCAGGGTGGCTGGTCAGCTGGGCGGGTCAGGAGGCAGTGGCAGCGGTGGCAGCTCAGCGAGGCCCACCGGGGCACCGTCATCATTACGCAGTGCCAAGCCGACCTGGCATCAAAAACCCCGAGGCGCAGGCGGGGCAGCGGGAGGCGGCGGTGGCGGCGGCAGCGGAGGTAGTGGCGATCGCTACGGCATGAATGGCGGCAGCGCGGGTGCGGGCGGAATGGGTGGCGGCTCCGGTGGTAGCGGCGCTTCGATGCGCGACGAGACACGGCAGCGTGTCCTGGTCTTCGTGGCAGGGGGCATGACCTATTCGGAGATGAGGTCCATTTACCAGATCAGCAACAAGATGCACAAGGATGGCTACATCGGGTCAACGGACGTCTTCACGCCCGAGAGCTTCCTGAATGCGCTCAAGACATTTGGGAAGGCGGGAAACAGTGGGCCTTTGGGTCGAGGAGGGCCCGTTGGGGCGTCAAATGGCCACGGAGGTGGCCTTCCAAGTGGGGCGAGCGTGTTATCGCCGCCGTCGAATGAAGTTTCTGGCCTCAGATCAAAGGCGAGGCAGGCTCAGCACCAGCAACCATCTCCGCCGCAGCCTGATCAGAGCCATTTTGAGCAGAGCAACTACGACAGGCGCTTCGGTGGTGCTTCGAGCACCGCAACACGTCCTGCGGCGCAACATCATCACACGCACACCGGCGCCACTCCAGGCCACCAGCAGCAGAGCTATGGCAGATATGGCGGCGGCGAAGGAGGGGCCGGATCATCAAGAGATGGCTATGGAGGTGGAGCGGTTCCTTCGCACGTCCAATCCTTCAATGGCGCTATTGGCCCCTCAACATCGCAGGCTTCTCTGGGCAGGGCTTCTCTTGCCAGCTCGACGGCGTCTGGAAGAGATGAGAAGGCGAAGAAGAAGAGGAACGTCTTCGGCTTCAAGAAGAGCGATAAAAGTGGCAGTTGAGCGAGAGAGGGAGCGAGCGGGCATGTAGAGTGAGACGAGTAGCAAAGCGCTCGTATTTCTTATTTCGTTGCCGGATGCAATGCTGCAGTAGAGAGGCGCCTTATCATCGTCGTCGTCATCATCAAATCGGAGATCATGAGCACGAATGAGAAGTGCAGGCGGAGAGAGGAGGGCAGCGGACGGCCAGAAGTGACGGCGAGAGCAGAGCCTGGCTCAATTGCGGCTTTTCCTCGAGGTGCTCGCCCGTCCCTTGGCAGGCGTGGTAGCAGCACCTGTTGTTGAATCTTCCGCCGCGGCGACTGGCCTTCTCTGGATAAGAGCGGCGAGTTGCTCCATTTCCCCCGTCTTGCCGACCTCTTCGCCCTCCATCCCTCCCTCAGACGAGTGCAGCGGCACGCTCGGCCTGCCCTTGGACGCTGCCGCAGACGAGTTGTCATCCCCAGCCCCAGCGAGGGCGCTCTTCCTCTTGCGTGAGCCTTTGCGGTCCTGGTACGATGCGTCGCCCGCGCTTATGACATCGCCGCTGCCTTCTTCAGTACTACTCTCTACACTCGCTCCTATCGACCTTTGCGAGGAGGAGAGCATGCGCTCCGTCTGCCATCGTAGGTAGCCCTCCCTCCCCGAGCTCCAAGGCTGATCAGCTGTCTGTCCTGCCTTTGGTTTTGTCTCGGCTGCTGCCTCGTCCATGGATCCAAGGGAAGACGTCGAGTGAATGAGTGCCTCACCCAAGGGGTCAAGATTGCGCAATTTGTCGATACCTGCCAACAAGGGCGCACGATTTGCCTTGATGACGCTGACGGCGTGACCGAGGCGGGTAGTGGCTTCTGCAATGGATGACGGGTGTTGTTCCTTGTCTTCCCCTTGTGATAAACTGCTCGCTTGAGGTCCTAGCAGCGTCAAAGCTAGTGCGTGCACCCCTCTGATTCGAGTGAGACGACGCTGTGACGCTTGAAGAGCTAGGGTCAAAGCGTGCGAGGTGGCCCTCGCTGCGCTGATTTTGCGATTGAGGACGCGTTGTCGCTGGCTGAGCTCTGTACTTTCGCTTTGTGCTGTGTTCGACGTTGCTGCGTGGCTTTGCCCTCTTGAGCGCAAGTCGAGGCCGGCGTGGTGAGGTAGGACGATGTGGGATGCCTGGCGTGTTGTGAGGCCGAAGACGGATTGGAGCGAATAGAGCTCCAGGGTATCAAAGACGTGGTCGAGGGCATTTTCCAGCAGAGTCATAATTGAGTGAGTTGCCTGACGGGCGGTTTAAGGGGCAAATGAAAGATGTATGTTGGTCAGCAATGGGTCGAGGGCATCGCAGTGCTGCTCCTGACGAAGACGTCGATGGGCCTCACCTTCTCTGCCTCTCTCTCTGCGTCATGCTCTGGCATTCCCGTGTCAACGAGGAACTGCATGGCCTTTGGTTCGAAGTCTTCCCCTAGCCTGTAGAGGGCTTCATTGGCGACGTATACGAGTGCATCGATGAATGCTCGGGGATTGAAGGTCAATTGCTCGACGAGGAGGCCGAGATGAGCATCGGCGGTTGGGATGTCGGCCTTGGATGGAGGCCTCGATGAAATGACCGTCGTTTTATCTGCGGGCAGATTCTTCCTCTCGCGTTTCTTTGAGGTTGACGAAGAAGAAGACGGTCCTGCTGCCAGCGATGACGATGACATTGCGGGCCACGAGCTTGGTGTGAGGACGGAGTGAGGAGCAGTGAGGAAAGCGTTAACGCCTGTTGGTGTTGCACGTCGACGGCCAAAAGACGCGTCGAGAGAGGCGCAGGGCGGAAGGGGACGACGGAGGCGCAGGACAAACAGGCCCGCGGGGCAGGGCAGGGCAGGCAGGCAGGCGTCCGCCGTACAACAACACCTCATGCCTCGAGACTTGCTTCTCTGCTTCTCTCCGTCTTTGGTCATCACCACCCATCGCCCACCATCATGGACGATGATTCGCCTTTCATCGCTCATACGGGGGCAGGGCTCATTCGCTTCGATCTATCCGCAGAGCTCGTAGCCCTTGACACTACCTCACCTGCCTCGTACGATGTATCCAATGACGAGACGGACCTCTCGCAGCTTCAACTCGACCAACAGAATGCACACCTCAACAACCTCATCGACCAGCTAGCGCTCATCAGTCCGGACCAACTCCCTCGCGAGCAGCAGCTTTGGGACGACCTCCGTACGCATCTCAAACACTTTGACAGTCTCCAAGACGGGGCGAGGAGCAAAATAGCAGATGGCATCGTATCCAGCCTCTCCCACCTCGTCGCAACCATCGATCGAGACATCAAGGGCAGCACATTGAGGGGTCCACGCAGTCGCTTTGTGAACGACGACGACGACGACGACGACGAAGATGCTGCTGACGGCAGTTTCCGCTCATCCAGTAGCCCCGAAGAGCTGAGGCGAACATACAACCAAGCACTCGAGATGTGGGCATTCCTCGTCAATTGGCTCATCTACGTCGCAGACCGTGTCGCCAACTCGTCATCCGCGGGAGGAGGCAGCAGTACAGCAGCAGGGCCGACGACTACCAAGGGCAGAGGGAAGGGCAAAAAGACTGCCGGAGCAGCTTCATCATCTTCAGTCTCCTCTGGCTCAGGCTTCCCCTGGACGGCAACGATTCTCCCTTCGCTCCTCTCTACCATCTCAAAGCTCCTCCAAAGTTTTCCCTCGGCGCTCTTCTACCCGCTATCTACCCCTCGTGATGCATTTTTGTCAACCTTGCTCCGCCCTTCGCTCCATCTCCTCGAGCGCGAGTCCAATCTCAAGACGAGCAGCAACATCACCGCTCACGTTTACGCCGTCACCTGTCTAGCCGTCAAGAGGCACGGCCAATCACAAACGGCGCAGACGATGCTCCTTCAAATGCTGCAGTACTATGAGCACCTCCCAGAAGCCATTGCGCAGCTTCTCACCACCCTGCGCCTCGAGTTCGACTCGCCCAGACTAGCAGAGGAGATTCTCGTCGAGATTGCCAATCGCGATTTCGCCTCGTCAAGCAACAGTGGCGCAGCATTCGCCATGACGGCCAGCCAAGAGAACAAGGTGCCTCGCGTCTTTGCCCGTTTCCTCGTCGCTTTCACCGACGCCAATCCGCGAACGACGCTCAAGCAGATCTCGCTGTTACAGAAGCTCATCGACAGTGATGCCTACCCGATTCGCAACGCGCTCGTCGAAGTCTTCGGCCTGCTCATTCGCGATCTTGTTGTCACCGACGATCAGATTGCGCCTCAGGCAGCTGACGAGACGGTCAATGCGGATGACACGATGAGAGAAACTTCAGCGGAGAGCAGGAAGAAGCAGATGGAGAGTTTTTGGGCCATCCTGTTCGAGCGCTTCCTCGACGTCAATTCGTACGTCCGGGTGAAAGTGTTGAGCGTCTGCACACGGCTCTGCGAGTGAGTATCGCGGCAAAGGAATGGGCGAGTGAGGATATGAGCTGACAATCACATCCTACACAGGCTGCCGGCCAAGTTCCCAGCTCAACGCATCAAGTTACTCGCTCTGACCCAACGCGGCCTCAAGGACAAGTCCTCTTCAGCTCGCAAGGCATCAATCACGCTCTTGACTCGCCTTGTCCTTACCCACCCATACGGTCTGATGCACGGTGGCGAGCTCGACGAGAAAGTCTGGCAGGCCCGCGTCGATGAGGTTCAGAAGAAGATGCATGAGCTCAGCGGTGGCTTGGAACTGCCGGAGAACCTCGAAGACGAAGGGGACCAAAAAGAAGAGGACGGTGACGATGACGATGACGGGGATGATCAAGAGGACAACCACAGTATCGTGCGTCGACCCAAGACTCGCAAGTCGATCAACACCGCAGAGCTCTCGGCGCGTCTGTCTCCTCAGGTCGTGGAAACTCTCAACCGCCTCAAACTCACACATCGTTACTACATCGACGGTCTTTCCTTCATCAGAGCGTTGGCCAACTCCATGCCAGACCTAGAAGAGCTCCTCTACTCATCTAGCAAGGCCGAAGCGCTCGAGGCCATGGATTTCTTCCGCATTGCTGCCGAGTACAAGCTGCCTGGAGCTGAGCGTGGCATGCGCAAGATGATTCACCTCGTCTGGACCAAGGACAACGCTATGGTCGAACCTACGGCGGGAGGTGTGACGGGCGCAGCCAATCCAGAGGATCGTGAGCTCAATGCAGGCAGCAGCGGCTCAACGACTCGCTCCATCAAGGGTCGACTTATCGAGGTGTACACCAGCCTCTACTTCACTCCCCTTGATCACCTCAGTCACAAGGGAAATGTTGGACTGATCGCGCGCAACCTCGTGCAGAGGACAAAGGGCGCCTCTCTCGCTGAGCTCACATCACTTGAGGAGCTCCTATCAGCAATGAGCGCCGACAACATCATTCACGATGATGTCATCGATAAGCTTTGGTCGGTCTACGCCACACCGTCCCGTCGCAACATCGAGAGGTCGCAGCGACGCGGCGCCATCGTAGTTCTCAGCATGTTGGCGGCATCTCGCCGACAGATCGTCCAAGACAAAATCGACGTCCTCCTCAGCGTCGGGCTCGGACCGCTCGGTGCGTCCGACCCCGTCTTGGCGAAGTGGAGTGTGGTCGCTTTAGGCCGTATAGGAGGATCGACGAAGAAGGTCAAGGGAGCCCTCTCCGACCGCCGCGTGCGCTTCCCCATGTCTCACCCAATGTTTAGCAAGCTGCGCTCTGCGGTCCTCAGTGCGGGCCTGGCGCAGAAGACTGGTGGGGAACAGGCAAAGGGCGAGTGGTTCAGCTTGGCCGAGAATTGCATTCAGGTCATCTATGAGCTCGGCGAGCAACCTGATCGTCTCTGCGGCGATATCGTGCGGTGGTTTCTGGCGCAGGTCTTTACGGCAAAGGAAGGCAGTGCAGCTGACTCGCCACTGCAGCAGAGCAAGTCGCCGCGTATGAACGGCGGCGGCTTCAATGAGACGCAGACCCCGTCGCAATCGCCGTCAAAGGGCCTCAAAGAAGCCACAGCATCTGCGACAGCCAACCATTCTGGCCTGGCCAAGACTGCCTCTGCCTTTCAATTGGCACAGCTCGTATTCGTCGCAGGCCACGTTGCGTTGAAGCAGATTGTCTACCTCGAGAACGTCGAGCGAGAGTACAAGCGACGTAAGGCTGAGGCTGAACGGGTCGCGAAGGAAGATGGAGGCAAAGATGCGAAGGGACGCGGCGGCAAGAAGGGCGCTGCCGGAAACACGGCTGCTGCCAAGGGAGGCAAGAAGGGCTCCAAGGATGCCAACGAGGACGAAGGCGACGAGCTTGAGCAAGTTGCAGGCAACGTCGAGGATGAGATTGGTGAGGTCATTGGCGAGGTGCGAGAGAAGGAGCTCCTCTATGGCGGACGCAGCCTCCTCGGCCTTTTTGGGCCTCTGGTCGTACACATCGCCAGCAATCCGAAGAGCTACTCCTCGGACCACGTCCGCAAAGCCGCGGTGCTCACGCTGTGCAAGTTCATGTGCGTCTCCTCGACCTTCTGCGAGACCAATCTCTCCTTGCTCCTGCACATCCTCTCGACGTCGTCCGACGCCACGACTCGATCCAACGTCGTCATCGCTTTGGGCGACATAGCCGTCTCTTTTGGCAACCTCGTCGACGAGAACTCGGACCGCCTCTACGCTGGGCTGAATGACCGCGATTTGGGCGTCAAGAAGCACACCCTCATGGTGCTCACACACTTGATCCTCAATGGAATGATCAAGGTCAAGGGCCAGCTAGGGGAAATGGCCAAATGTCTCGAAGATCCCGAAGCGCGCGTGTCGGACCTGGCCAAACTCTTCTTCTCCGAGCTGGCTACCAAGGAGAATGCAGTCTACAACAACCTGCCGGATATCATCTCACATCTGAGCGTAGGAAAGCACGCCGTCGACGAGGAGACGTTTGAGCGCACGATGAAGTTCATCTTCACCTTTGTGGACAAGGAGAAGCAGGCAGAAAATGTCGTGGAGAAGCTCTGTCAACGCTTCAGGCTTACCTCGGCAGAGAGACAGTGGCGCGATATTGCGTACTGCCTGTCGTTGTTGCCTTACAAGTCGGAGAGGTCGGTCAAGAAGTTGATCGATGGGCTGCCCTTCTATCAGGACAAGCTACACGACGAGACGGTGTACCGGCGCTTCGTCGACATCGTGGCGAAAGCGAGGTCGGCGAGGGGTTCGGGTGGATCGAGCGCCAAAGCTGCAGCGGCAGCTACCGTCGGAGGTGGTGGTGAGGCAGAATTGCAGGACTTTGAGCAGTTGATTGAGGGCTTCCACTCGAAGGGCGAGGAGGAGGTGCAGCTTGAGAGGGGTACGGCGGCCAAAGTGGCGAAAGCTCAGGCCAGCCTTGCGCGTGGTAGTAGAGGTGGACGAGGTGGCGCTCGGGGAGGAGGAGCCGCACGAGTCGGAGGAGGGCGTGGGGGCGGACGCGGACGAGGCAAGAGCGCTGGGAAGAGCGAAGAGAGTGAGGAAGAGGACGACGATGATGGCGATGACTCGGATCGTGAAGCTGTGGCTCCTGCGCCAGGTCGGTCAAGACGGACAGCAGCGGCCCCAGCAGCGGCCCCAGCAGCGAAAGCGAAGAAGCCGTCTCACCGTGGAGCAGCGAGTCGAGGTGTGCGCAGAAAGGCCGTGGTGGAGAGCAGTGAGGAGGATGAGGGCGAGGATGTCGTCGTCGACGACGAGTCGTTCTAGACTTTGATCTTGTAGTGGCCAATGTTGTTTCAATAACACGCAGTGCAAAGGCAGTGTCCCTCTTGTTGGCGGACCGGGGCGCGTGGCCGCGTGACCGCGTGGCCACGCCGAGGCAAAAGGCATGGGCCGTGCAGGCTTGCATGAAGTTGTGACGCTGGGTGGTGCCTGACTAGTGGGGGAGAAAGGGGAGCCGAGTGCACCTAGAGTAGAGTAGAGCGTCGAATCTTGACTTTGCATCTCATCATCCTCTTGCTCCTCCTCGCCGCCTCGCCGCCTCGCCGCCTCGCCGCCTCGCCGCCTATCCAAGAGGCCCGCGCTGGGCACGGCCAACCAACGTCATCACTTGCTCGCTCGCTCGCTCGCTACACGTCGAGCTCTTGTAGCCTCAGGACCTTCAGCCTCCCCCTCAGCCGCTAGCCAATATTGTCGCCCTCGACCAACTCCTCGTGCCCGGAGCGTCGTCGCCATCCCTAGCATCCCCAGCATCACCCCCTGCCGACAGCATCCCCATGACTCCCCTGCAGCATTCAACTCGCCTCTCTTCAACATCCGTCGACTCGCTCGTCTCGGCAGGATCCTCTGCTAGGTCATCATCTCTCGATGGTTTCTCTAGTTCAGCTTCATCGACGACCTCGCGACGTCATCGCTTCCGCATTCCAAGGCTCGACGGTCGGCCAGCGAGGAGGACAAGGAGCCAACGATCGGCGAGCGAAGCCAGTCATGGAGACGATGACGACGAGGAGACGGGCAGACGACGCGCAGCCAAGCCTCCTCCGGCTGCTTCGCCTCTGGTCAGTTTGGGACTCGTGTCTGGAGATGGATTGATGCTCTTCATTACTTGCTTTGCATCGCTTGGCGTCTTCTTGTTCGGATACGATCAGGGTGTCATGGTGAGGGCGCAGCGCGAGTATGGCAGTCCAGTTCAGGCCGCATGCTGACCTCGATGGATTCCTTTGGTTCAGTCCGGCATCATCACGACGCCCCACTTCAGTGCGTGATACACAGCCATCAGCATCACCCACCAAGCTTTATCCTCGCCCGCTGACATTGCTCCAAACACTTGCTCTCTCTTGTCCGCGCTCGCGCAGAATCCTACTTCGAAAACCCTTCGCCAGCAGAAATAGGCACAATGGTCGCCGTCCTCGAGATTGGAGCCTTCGCCACATCCCTCGCCTGTGGTACCCTCGCAGACGTCTTTGGCCGTAAAGCCGTCCTCTTCTGGGGCGCTCTCATCTTCTCCATCGGCGGAGCAATCCAGACCCTAACTACAGGCTTTACAATCATGGTCCTCGGCAGGGTAACGGCAGGCTTAGGGGTGGGGGTGATGAGCATGGTGGTGCCTACGTACCAGTCCGAGATTAGCCCTGCAGAGAATCGCGGCAAGTTGGCTTGCATCGAATTTACGGGCAACATCTTGGGATACTCGGCTTCAGTGTGGATTGGTGAGCGCGCGCCGCAATGACATGATATGCGATGTGCTGCCGCTTACCAGTGGCTGGACCTACTCTTCCCCTCTCACCCGTCAGGCTACATCTTCTCCTACCTTCCGTCGGACCTCTCCTGGCGCCTACCCCTCTCTTTTCAATCCATCATCGGCATCACCCTAGCGCTGGGCTCTCTCCTCCTTCCAGAATCTCCGCGTTGGCTGGTAGATCACGACAAGGACGAGGAAGCCATGCGCGTGCTTGCCGACCTCCATGGCCGTGGAGATCCTAGAAGCAGAAAGGCTCGCCGAGAATTTAGGGATATCAAAGAGTCGGTACTGACGCTCAGAGATGAAGAAAAGGAGAAGGGAAGAGGCTACGGCGAGCTGTTCAGGCGGTACAAGAGGAGGACCTTCATCGCGTGCTCGGCGCAGATGGGAGCCCAGCTCAACGGCATCAAGTAAGACGCGCGAGTTGATGTCAAGCGCTTGTTGTGCACGCTAACATGTCTTCGATTTCCCTCGTACAGCGTCATCTCATACTACGCACCCAACGTCTTTCTGGAAGCAGGTTGGGTCGGCCGTGACGCGATCCTTATGGCAGGGTTCAACTCCATCTCCTACGTCCTCGCGACAATACCCACTTGGTTCCTCGTCGACTCGTGGGGACGAAGACCCATCCTTCTCGTCGGGGCCCTCTTTTGTGCCCTTTTCCTGACGGGCATGGGGGCATTCATCCGTCTCGAAGGAGCATATACGGCACAAGCCGTCGTAGGGTGCGTGGTCATGTTTGATGTGAGCCATGGAATGGCCTGGGGTGCCATCCCATGGTTGTTGGCGCCGGAAGTCATGCCATTGAGCTTCCGTGCCAAGGGAGCGAGTCTAGCCACGGCGACGAATTGGGTGAGTAGCCGGCCAGCAGGTAGGCTGTCTTCACACATATCCTTCTGACCCGTCCAGCATGCGCCTCACACCTTGCCTTCGCAGCTTTTCAATTACATTGTTGGGGAAGGTACACCCATCCTCATGGAACAAATAGGGTATCGCCTCTACCTCATGCACGCAGGTTTCTGTCTTTGCTCCTTCTTGCTCGTCTACTACTGCTACCCAGAGACGGCAGGCAAGAGTCTCGAGGAAATGGACGTCGTCTTCGGGGATGCGCTGCCTTTGGAGGATGAAGAAGATGATAGCGACGATGAGGACGAGGATGATCAGGAGGAAGCGGGGAGGGGCGGGGGGCCAGGTGGAAATGCCGCTCGACCGCTCATGATTGGGCCAGGCGCTGATGCTGGGTCTACGTCTGGTAGCGGACGCGGGTGGGGATCCAGCGGCGCCAAGAGCCAATATCAACAAGTTCAGCAGACCGAGTAAGCATACTGGCGGTCGGCGCGAGTATCATTGGAGACGCAGACGTCTCGCTCTCGCTCTCGCCTCGAAGCGACGATCCCAATCTCGTAATGAAATGCAAACATTGACGAAGTACGCCTCGTGAGTGCACCTTTGGGAACTGACGGTGAGGATGATTTGGTGGCTCTATGGATACAAGTGTCGCAGTGTGGGAAGGTGAGGAACGCTGAATGGGCAAGAAGATGTGAGAGAGAAGCTCGCGGCGGAGCGAGATGCTTACGCAGAGGCAGCCACAGTAGGCCCACCCCTCCATGATGCCCCCTTGTTACCAGCTGCAGCCGAAGCGGCCGTAGCGGGCATGTCTTTGCGTGGATTGTGCTGGGGCAGCAAGCTGGGGCTGGCGCGCCTAGCCATGGTTGGCCTGGGACTCGAGGGCGTAGAGGGGCGCGACGACGGCGTGTACCCGCCCGTCCAATTGTTGGACAGGGTCACGTCGTTTGCCGCTGAGGAGCGGAGACCCCAAGCCGATGATGTGGAGGCCTGCTGCGAATGGTCGGCGTTGGCGGGAACGGCGACGTTCTGCAGAGCCTCGAGGATCTTGGCCACGTCTGACTGGCTGAGCTGCTTAGCCTGGAGCGTTTTGACCTCTTCCTCGAGCTTCTTATTCTGAAGAGAGAGCTGCGACATCTGAGAGCGAAGAGACGAGATGATGGCGTCTCGGTCCGAGATCTCACCCTCGAGATGACCAATGTACTCTTTCCTTCGCTCCCTGAAGTTGCGAGCGCTGATTTTATTTCTAAGCTGCCTCTTCTCCTTGCTGCTGAGGGCGCGATACTCCTCGGCAGTGGGCTTGAGGTTAGCTGCTGCTGAGTCGCGGATGCTGGGTGGCACGCCAGCGTTGCCGAAACCGGGCTCCTCGCTACCTCGAGAGGAGCTGGCAGTGCTGTTGGCGCGGTCGCTTCCGCCAAAGCGCAAAGACGAAATAAGAGGGGCGAGGCTATCCTTGCTGTCCTCTTCTTGCTGCTCGAAAGAGGCACCTCCATCTTCGGCAGCTTGGTGACCGTCTTCCGACATGGCGTCACCTGCTTCCTCATCTGCTTGTTGTGCCTCGGCGAGGGGGATACTGCCCCTGAAGGAGACGTACTGCGGGTCAATGTTCTCAAAGACTGGCGCAGCAGGAGGCGCGGCGATGTCATCGAAGGCCGCGGGGACCTTGAAGGGCTGAGGCTGTGGCTGAGGAGACGTCGAGGCGAGGGCAGTGACGGGGGCAATGGGTGATGAGGTGACGGCTTCGGAGACTGGCGAGGTGTAGCGAAGCTCATCCTTGACGAATGGCGTGGGGGCTGGCGCAGGCTTGGCGGCAATCGAGGCCGGAGTGGTAGCCTTGCCAGTGTCCATCGCCTTGAGGAAGGTGCCATAGTGCTGAGCAACGTGCCTGTCGATGGTGGCGTCGTCGGCTGGAGAGCCCATCTTTTTAAGCTCGAGCTTGAGATAGTAGCGGAAGACGACTTCAGGGGCTGAGCCCGGCGGTGGTGGCGTCGATGGTACAGCAACGGCACAGTCGGCTGCCGCGCTTGTAGTTGCCACTGGCTTCGACGTCGATGCCGAAGAAGATGGGCGTGGGTTGGTGGCATTGGCGACTGCCATCCTTGCAAGAGGAGAAGGAGCAGGGTGCGCCGAAGCCAGAGAGGGGCTCGAGGGCAAGTCGAGGTAATCGTTCAATTGGAGCGACTCAGCTGAGCGCGAGAGCGGCGAGGCCTTGATGGCGTCGAGGCCAGGCGACAGCGCCATTGACATCGTGTCAGTTGCTGCTGCCATGTGAGTGCGTATATGCGTGGTTGTGTGTGTGCGAGAGGAATTGATTTGGTGGTGATGATGACAACAAGGAGGACAAGGGCTTGGTACGGACGCACGCTGAGGCCGCTCGCAGTGTTGCACTTGATTAGCCTGAAAGCTCAGCTCAGCGTGCGGCCCGCGTCAGCCACGCACCCACGCACCACGACCCTCAACCGCTCCGACCTCGTCCTCGACCTTCGAGGGGCGGAAGGAACCACGCTACGCTCTCTGGACCACCCGCAACCACCTTGTCCTTTAACATCGTGCAACGAGCAGCTCGATGCCCACGCCACTGACAATGCCAGCGCAAAGCATGCGCATGCACTCTCTCACTCATTGGCATCATCATGATCATTATCATCGTCTATCTCGCAAAGGGGAATGGTCGTACCGCTGCCGTGCTGCTGACTTGTGGCTGAGCACCTCCATTCTCGAAGCATTCTCGGCTAGGAGCAGCAAAGGGTCCAATCACTGTGTTACCACTGGATTCCTCTCTGTCGTGCTCTTCCCGCATGAGCCCAGGTGCGGTCCGGACGGGAATACAATGATCTCTCTCTCTGTCATGCTCCTCCTCGTGCAATTGGCCTAGCTTACGCCTGGACCTCTGCTCTCGCTGGGGCCGCCCAAAGTGGAGCAGCTGCTCCTTCCGGGCCGGCTCCCACTTCCGCCTTCGAGATGCGCTGCATTTTGACATTGTCGCATTCGATGCCATCGCGACGCCCATCGCGCTGATGGCTAGGACAAAGCGCAAGAGGCGCACTTCCGACGAAGGTGCAGCAGCTCAGGCTGAAGCACAAGAAGAAGCATTGCCAGGATCTGAATGGCGATCCAAGGCAATCACCAAGATGAGCCAGATGCCAAAGGACATGGTCAAATGTAAGATTTGCGTCTTACCCAGCCGCACAGGATGGCCCGCTCTCGAAGCTCACTTTTCAGAACTATGCCTTACGCTCCCAGACTGGTACTCTCGGCATCGTCTTTTCTCGCGATACGACGAGGGTATCCTCCTCGACCGCGAGTCGTGGTTCTCCGTCACCCCCGAAGCAATCGCAGCCCGCATCGCCGAGCGTTGTCGCTGCAACGTCGTCCTTGACCTCTTCTGCGGCGCAGGGGGCAATGCCATCCAATTTGCAATGACGTGCAACAAGGTCATCGCTATCGACGTCGACCCAATCAAGATCGAGATGGCAAGACACAACGCAGCCATCTATGGTGTACAGGACAGGATCACCTTTCTCGTGGGGGACGCAGTGGAGTTTTGTAGGGATTGGACAGAGGGTCGCGAGGGAGTGGCTTCGAGCTCGAAGATCTCGGGCAAGTGGAAGGGTACCGAGCTGGTGGACATCGACGTTGTCTTTCTTTCGCCTCCCTGGGGAGGGACAGACTACCAGAAGGGGCAAGCAGACTCTGAACCCCCCGCACCGCCGCTAGCTGCCTCGCTCCTCGACGAGTCCTTCGATGCCAGCGCCACAGGTCTGCCAATTTCTTTTGCTTCGCCGGCAATGCTCCAAGAGAAACGCAAGCAGAGCGCCGATGCACATACCAAGTCACGCTACACTCACTACCCACTCTCGGCCCTCTCGCCCCTCTCCGGCCAAGACCTTTACGCCATGGCCTCCAAGATAACGCCAGAGGTCGTCATGTTCCTACCACGAAGCTGTGACCTTGATGAGCTGTCTCGCCTGCCGCTGAGACACAGTGACCAAGACACCGACAGCGAGGGCGAGAACGAAAGGCCCATCCTAAGCATCGAAGAGCAGTTTCTGGGCTCGTCATTCAAGGCATTGAGCGTCTATTTTGGTTCATTGGCTACAGATTGGGATGATGATCGAGAGACGGGCTACGCCTAAGTCTCTGGCAGCACCATCGCCCGCGATGATCGCTCTACGGTACACGGCAGGTTGCGTTGCCACGTGGTTGTGCCGAAATCAACACGAGTCGCGAGCCTAACCGGCGGCTTCGCGTTGAAACTCCGCGCCGGACAGGGGGTGGATGTTCGTCTGTCGCCCCTAAATGACCGAGGTCGAGGCGCTTTGTATTTGCTTTTGTCCCTCGCTCTCCCATCTGGCTTCAATCGTTTTGTCTCACTCATCAAGGATCGGCGACCAAGGTCCGTTTTCAGTCACTCAGTCACTCACCCACTTTCATCCACTCTCTTGTGTCGCTCGAGGACAAGGCAGACGTCTCCTCGCAGCTTCGCATATTTGAAGGCACACTTCCCCTTGAACTCAGCTTCACGTCTCACCTCATTCACTGTCATCATCGTCATGCCCATTCAACGCAAGGCAGTACCTCGACCGGGTCAGACACATGACGAGGCCGACTCTTCTCTGCTGGCTAGTCAAACGCCAGCGTACTCTCAGGACCAGCATTACGACGACGCTTATCCCGACTACCCCGCAGACGGTTATTACGACGATGGTGGCCTCGATGCGCCAGCCCACGGCCACGCCGCTCAGCTGAGCCAAAGCTTCTACAACGAGGCAGCCGCCGCTCTCGACCACAGCAATGCCCCGATGCCTGCCCCTTACTCGGCAGCTCCTACGGCGCATCTACCTACCCTCCTGTCGAGCCCCTACGACCAGCCGCCTGCCGAGACTGAGGAGGGCGGCTACCACTACAATGGTGATGTGGGCGGCTATGATGGTGTACCTCGCGACGAGGGCTCTCCACGGTCGAGCTATGAGGACAAGACCGAAGTCAATTTCACACCGGCGCCGAACCAATACGGAACAAGAGCATACGCCGCAGTCGACGAGGGCCACGGTGGGGACTACTACGATGAGAAGGGTGGGTACTACTCCGACGACGGCGACTTCGATGAACGCGACGATTGGGAAGGGGATGAAGAGGGCGGCTTTGGCCAGCATGCAGCCTTGGACACACAGCACTTTGGTCCTGCTCCTCAGCAGCTCCTGAGGCGGCACAAGACCAAGAAGAAGGTCGTCCTCACTCAAGGAAACCTCGTCCTCGATTGCCCCGTACCGAGCAAGCTCAAGGGCTTCCTGAGTCGACGCGGAGAAGAGGAGTTCGAGTCGATGCGCTACACCGCCGTCACTTGCGAGCCGGACGATTTCCCCTCGTCGAACTATTCGTTGCGACCTCAGCTACTTGATCGTCACACGGAGCTCTTCATTGCCGTCACGCTCTACAATGAGGACGAAGTGCTTCTCACTCGCACGCTACACGGCGTCTTCAAGAATATTGCGCACTTGTGCTCGAGGACCAAGTCTCGCACCTGGGGAGTCGACGGCTGGAAGAAGGTGAGGCCTCACTCGTGCAGACGTGCCCACGGACATCAATTGCTGACATCGCTTCCCGCCGCAGGTCGTCGTCTGCATCATCGCCGACGGTCGTAAGAAGATGCATCCTCGTGTTCTCGACTGTCTGGCTGCCTTGGGCGTCTACCAGGAAGGAGTGGCTAAGAACGTCGTCAACGGCAAGCGCGTTGAAGCTCACTTGTACGAGTACACGACGCAACTCAGCATCGACAGCAATCTGCAGTTCAAGGGAGCCGAGCGTGGCTTGGTGCCCATCCAGGTGCTGCTCTGCATCAAGGAACGCAATGCCAAGAAGATTAACTCGCACAAGTGAGTCGCGGCCATGGGGCGCAGATGGAACAGAGCATATGCTGACCCAGCCCTCTCTGCGCAGGTGGTTCTTCAATGCCTTTGGCCCTGTCCTGCAGCCGAACGTCTGCGTGCTCCTCGACGCCGGTACTCGCCCGGAGGCAAAGTCGATTTACTACCTCTGGAAATCCTTCGACCTACACTCCAACGTCGCTGGTGCCTGTGGTGAGATCTGCGCCGACACTAAAGGCCGCTGGGGCGTAGGCAAGGCGTTGCTCAACCCGCTCGTTGCAGCGCAAAACTTCGAGTACAAGATGAGCAACATCCTCGACAAGCCTACAGAGTCGATCTTCGGGTACATCTCAGTGCTACCTGGGGCCTTCTCTGCGTACAGGTATCTGGCGCTGCAGAACGACGAGTATGGGCGAGGCCCGCTTGCATCTTACTTCAAGGGTGAGGCGTTGCTTGGCGCAGACGCCGACGTCTTCTCGTCCAACATGTACCTGGCAGAAGACCGCATTCTCTGCTTTGAGCTGGCAGCCAAGCGAGGAGAGCGATGGGTTCTCAAGTACATCAAGCAAGCACGAGGTGTTACCGACGTGCCCGACCAGCTTCCAGAGTTCATCTCACAGCGACGTCGCTGGCTCAACGGAAGCTTGTTCGCGGCTTTGTACGCTTTGGTACATACTCGCCAATTCCTTGAGTCGGATCATGGCTTCTGGCGCAAGGTGATGCTGATGATTGAGTCCTTTTACTCATTCATCAACGTCTGCTTTGCCTGGTTCGGCGTGGCCAACTTCTACATCTTCTTCCGCATCCTCACCACCTCACTCGAGAGCCCCACGTTCCACCTCAAGGGCATCGTCTTCATCAATACTGTGGCGCAGTACCTCTACCTAGGCACGCTGGCTGCTTGCTTCGTCTTCTCGCTCGGTAACAGGCCACAAGGAAGCAGGTGGAAGTACATGGCTGCTACGCTCATCTTTGCTGTGCTGACCCTGTACATGATGATTGTGAGCAACGGCGAAGGCGTACGAGAAGCATCGACGCGCTTACTGACCACAGCTTCGCCCTCTTCTTTTCATTGCTCGCAGGGTGCCATCTTCTGCCTCGTCCGAGCAGTCCACAACGTTCACGACGCAATCTACGCCCAGATGATTGTCTCCCTCCTGGCGACCTACGGCGTCTACCTCATTTCCTCCATCATCGCATTGGACCCTCTGCATCTCGCAACCTCCTTCATCCAGTACCTCCTCCTCTCTCCGACGTTTATCAACATCCTTCAAGTGTACGCCATGGCCAATATCCACGACTTTTCGTGGGGAACAAAGGGCGCCGACTCGGTCGAGAACGATTTGGGCACCGTCACATCTACCGGGCAGGGTACGGTGGAGATTACGCTGCCTACGAGTCAAGTGGACATTGATCAGGGGTACGACGAGGCGCTTCACAATCTGCGCACGCGTCCGATGATCATCAAAGGCGAGGCGCCCTCCGCGGAGAAGGAGCTGGCACGCAAAGACTACTATGCGGGTGTGAGGACGAATGTGCTCCTCCTCTGGATCTTGAGCAATGGTTGCTTGGCGGCAATCATTCTAGGGACAGACACGAGTTCAACTTTCGATGCTGGGTCGGGCACCACAAGAAGCAAGGTCTACATGGTGCTCGTGCTCGTCTTCGTAGCCATGATGTCCTGCATCAGGCTTATTGGCTCGACAATCTACACCCTCATCCGCCTGGTGGCTGGGTGAGCACGGCTCTCAGCAGTCCACTTCTTCTCTCCCCTCTCTCCACGGACATTCCTCGCGCACTTTCTCGCACATCTACGAACATTTCCTTTGCTCCTCGATCATGTATCAATAGGCTTCGTCTCACGCGGTATTAGACATCAACAGTCTTGATCAGCCAATGCTAGCCTGATCTCGGACGCTATGTGTGCAGCAGTACGTTTGACATTGTCCATTTGCAGGTAGAGGGCGACGACGAGACAAGACGAGACGGGACGAATCGACTCATGTAGGGTAGGTGGGGAGCAACCACATCAGGTGACGTCGAGACGGGCGGGCGGGCAGGAAGAATGAGGCTCAAACGACGCCATTTATGTCAGATAGCCCATATTCCTCGCCTTGATCTTGGCCACCATCTTCTTTACCTCCTGCGCCCTCGCCCTCGTCGTGACGAGTAGCACCTCCTGCGTATCCACGACAACCACATCATCTACGCCCAAGCAGGCGATGGGTCTGCCGCCAGCCGGCACGACGAGCCCACCGGCCTGGCCCTCGGTGATGACCAGCTTCGACTCTCCCAAGACGCGAGCCTCGCCCTTCTCTGCTGGCAGCAGGTCAGCCAGCGACGAGAAGTCTCCCACGTCGTCCCAACCAAATGTGGCGGGAATGACAGCTACCTGTCCGGCTCTAGCCGCAGGCTCGGCAACAGCATGATCGATGGCGATCTTGTCCAGCGTGGGCCAGACCTCGTGCAGCACGCTCTGTCGATCGGCCGTGTCCCATGCTGCAGCGATCCTGTCCAGTCCTTCGTGAAGGGAGGGCATGCTCTTCTTGAGCAGGCTCATCAACACAGCAGCCTTGACGACGAACATGCCTCCGTTCCACCTGTAGTCACCTGTGGCCAGGTACGCCGAGGCAGTCCGCGCGTCAGGCTTTTCCTTGAAATCAATGACCTTGCGAGCGTTTGGGGCGGACGAGACGCGAAGGTTCTCTCCGAGTTTGATGTATCCGAAGCCCGTAGAAGGGTGTGAGGGGGCAATTCCGATGGTGACGAGGAAGCCGGCTTTAGCTACTGCAACTGCCTCGGTTACGGCAGACTCAAAGGCGTCGCGACCTGAGATGATGTGATCAGCGGCAAAGGAGCCCAGGACAGCCTCTGGGTCACGACGTTGGAGGACTGCGGCGGCGAGACCAATGGCTGCCATACTTTCCTTGGGCGATGGCTCTGCGAAGACGTTTGACTCTTCGAGCTCGGGCAATTGGCCCATCACGGGGTCTGTGTGTGCTGAGCCTGTGACTACCATGAGTTGCTTGGCGCCGGCGAGGGGCAGGAGACGATCCCAGGTGCTCTGGAGGAGGGTACGGCCTGAGCCAGTGAGGTCGAGGAGGAACTTTGGGTAGTTCTCCCTGCTCAAGGGCCAGAGCCTGGTGCCTGCTCCTCCGGCGGGGACGACGCACCAGAGGCCGAGGTCTGGCTGCTTTGCCAAGATGGGGGCTGGTTGCGACTCTGCAGTGCCCAGTTGGGTAATGTGAGGAGGTAGAGCGCGGCTCCCCTTGTCTGGCGAGCCTAGGCGCGGAGTACCATTTGTGTACGAGTTGAAGCGCGAGATGGGCAAAGGGCGTGAGAGGGGCGAGTAGGAGCCTGACATGTCTGGCGCTTCCATGGCATCCAGACGTCGGTTCAGGCGGGTCAGCTGCGTGTGCATAGGGAGGAGCAGCGAAGGGTGAGCATATACTCGACGTTGTTTTCGCCTGCGCGCTCACCTCTTTTTGCATGTCCTGAATCCCGCTGAGCACCTGCATCATCATCGACTGGTCATTGAGTCCTCCTGCTGCTGCTGCTGTTGCTGCTGCTGGTGGTGCATCTTGTGTAGCCGGATGCGACGTCGATGGCTTCACATTCGTGTCGAGGCCAAGACCTCCGACATTGCCATTTGAGGGTGGCATAGCGAGTGGTGTACGTGGTGAGCCTGACATTTCTGGGAAGGCCAACGAGTTGGTGGTAATTTTAAGGGAGGGTTTGGTTGGATGATGCCGCCTTTGAGCCAAAGAGAAGTTGATTCCGGGCGACGAAGAAGATGACGACGCCGGTGTTGTGACGGGAACTACCGGCAGCGGTTGAGAGGGTACGACGGGAGGGACCAGGAGTGGGGATTCTGAGGAGGCGGCAGTCGTATTGACGTCGTCGAGTGCGAGCTGTGCTGAAAGGCGACGAGGGGCGGTAGCAGCATCGTGAGACATGGCAGAGACAAAGGTGCGGAGGGTGAGGGATGTAGACAACGGAGTCAGTTGGATGTTGTCTCGGACCGACTGAGCGCGGAGGACGGCAATTCATACCACCACTAAGGGCAGTCTCTCGGAGCGCAGACGCCAAAGCTCATCTCGGGACTGATCGTCGCATGGATCGCCTCTGGATGCTCAGGCACGCTAGCTTCAAGGGACTGGACTCACCTGACGAAGATGGAGCGACGGTGTGGACAAGAGAGACCGGAAGCTTCTACTGTACCCCAAACCGAGGGTTCACCTGAATCGTGGCGCGAAGCTGAAGTGGTGATTGTGTGGTGGTACGTACGCACGGGGCTAGATGCGTGATGGTTGAGGAGGCTGAGACTTGATGATCAGTTGAAGGTAGGACAAGGAGGGAGAGAAACAGCGAGCAAGACAAGCTGCGAGGGCCTCTTGTGTGTTTGTCGTCGCGGTGTTGGGCTAAGCTCAGAAGTTGTGATGCTCGGACGGGGGCGGACGAGGTTGCAGGAGCCGTGTGTGTCGTCCTCGTGCTGTACTCGTCGTCTCGGAAGTTAACCTGGCTGGCTTGAAGGGCCGAGATGCGCTGCTGCCGCCGCCAAGTGTTGCTTGCGTTGCCGCGCCTTTGGGACCTGGCCCGTGGGCCGAGAATGCGGTCGGCATCAAGGCGCATCAGCCAGTAGTCCCGTTAGTCCCCTGCTGGTCCCCCCCCTCGAGCCAAACACAGCGGCGGCACAGATGCAATGCAGCAAAGACCACGCCGCCCCGTCGTCCGTCTCGGAACTGGGATCACCTCGACGTGCGACATGGAAGCGTGTGTGGGGGAGGCACGAGGCGGCGCGTAGCCTGAGCAGACATACTTACCAGGCAAGTCGGAAAAGAAGCTTTGATCGATGAGCTTGTTGATTACACGAGACTTGGAGGAAAAAGGGGGCTTGGGAATGAGTCTATATCGAGAGGAAAAGGAGAGGGGTACGCGCAGTCTACGGTACGCGCGGGTCGTGGATCGCAGATCTCAGAGCTCAATGCGGCGCTCCCGCTGGATGTCGTCCCACACCGAAGCAACCTTAAACATGGCACCGACCTCTGTAGGATCCAGGACGCCGAGCGAGACGAGGAAGCCCGCGACCCATCGGCCAGTGGTCAACAGACCGATCCACAGAAGGCTGCGACGGACGACGCGGATCCTGAGGCGCTCTCGTGGCTTGGGTCTGCCGAGCAGGGCCTGCTCTAGGAGGATGAGGAGACCTTGCGAGACGAAGAAGCCTTGGAGGGACGGATTGAGGAGAAGCCAGAAGGCGTGACCCATCGTCGGTGGAGTGGCCTTGAAGCGCGAAAATACGAGGCTATGTTCCATCGCGCTCACGCTGAACGTCCACAACGCCAACAAAGTCTTGCTCTCTCTGCTTCCCGGTAAGAGCTTGGCCAACGTCGTGAAGTCCTTTCGCAAGAATTGATGCCATCGCCGGCTCCAGAAGTCCGTCGGCCCGCTCGCTACCATAGGTCGCTGAAATGCTGGGATGAGAGCCGTAGCTGGGAAGCGCAGAGCATAGAGAAGCGGGCCGAGAATGTACTCGAGGGGCGAGAAGGTGAATGCGACGAGAGCGCCGAGTGAGAAGGTGAGAGCGTATTGGTGGACGAGGGGAAGAGAATAGAAGTCATACGGCCCCTTGCTGGCTTTCAAGTCGAGGTAGAAGATGAATCGTGTCGCGCCGTAGAGCATGGCAGCTTGTATGAGGACGCCGAGCCAGCCGTACTCGAGCTGGCCGAACCAAATGGGGGCGCTCTCTCTGATCCGAGCAGCCTCCTTTGCGTCGCCTGCTGCCGCGGCACGCTCGTAGACGGCGGCTGAGCGAATCATGGGCTTGTATGCCCATTCCATTGCTCGCTGCTCGCCGGGAAAGAGGAGAGAGGTGCCTGGTCGACGCATAGCGAAGTTGTCGAGCGCCCAGACGAGACGGCGAAAGGAGAGTAGGGGAGGATGAGGAACGATGTACCACGTCGCAGGCAGATCGAAGCGTCGTGCAACGGTTGCGTGAGGCTTCTGGAGCTTGCCATTACCCTGCTGAGATTGCTGCTCGTCGTCCTCGATCTTGACTGCGCCCTCCCACTTGTGCGCCTGACTCTCCGGTACGATCCACCTCGGAGCCCTCTCTTTGTCGCCGTCCCAAATGGTCACCAAGCACACCTTGATGGCTTCTGCCAACACGAGCCAGATAGCCGATGGGATAGCCACGTCACGGAAGTCGCCACCGAGGCTGAACCTCTCTCGATCTAGCGCGCAGGTGACGGAGACGGCGACGATCCAGGGGAGGGCAAAGAGGCGCAGCATTGAAACAGTTGGGCTTGAGTTGGGCAGAGTGACATGACAGCCGATGATGAAGACAAGTAACCAGCCTAGTGTTGTGGCCAGGGTTGCTACGCCTGAGGCATGAAAGAGGTAGCCACGAGCGAGCCTGGCGGGTGGGTCGAGGAGGACATGGTGGGCGTACTCGTAGTGCGACGCCAGTAGCTGGCCGATGACGTTCATTATGGCGACAAAGAGGGACGAGAAAAGGAGGAATGACAAGTAGGGTATCGTCGAGCGAGCAGCCTTGAATTCATCTCATTGCGAAAGGGAGTGTGAGTACAAGAGTTATGCGTTACACCGAAGCGAAGGCGCAAAGTGAGTCCTGATGATGACCAAGAGGGCCGAGTGGAGCTTCGAAGGGCCAAGCCAGTCCGTCTTTTGGGACTGCTCCTCGGTGCGGGCTGGCCCGCGTGTTTGCCGGCTGCTAAAAATCTCTTGTCGGCCAGTCGTCGCGGGCTGTCAGGCTTGGCTGCGAAGGGAGGAGGAGGCGGCGGCGGCGGCACCCTGACGTCGGTCGCTCATCGACTCCGCAGAGAGAGAAGAGACAAGGCCTGGGCTACCATTCTCCTCACACGATCCCCACCTCCTTCTCATCACCTCGATCCATACGCACGACTCGACACCTCGCCATCGTAGATCACAGCAACCACCCTCTCTCTCTCTCTCTTAGACTACAAGGCTCGTGGTCCAGAGTCTTTCCCTCGCCACTGCGCCTGATCAACAACTTCGTGCACATCTCTATTCGTCACTTTCTCTCACTTGGGGAGAACTTCTCGTCGCCCCCTCTTCGCCCAGCATTCCACCGAGGGCGATCCCTGATCTACGACTTCAGTCTGCCGCTAGGCAGCTCTCCAACCCCTTGAGGTGCGCAACTCAAGGAATGCTGTGCTTTGACCTCGAAGAAAACTGCTCACTCTGCTCCCTTTTGTCGGCTTCAGGCCTCCCTAAGGACCCTTATTCCCCTCTAGATCGGTGAGGCGCATCGTTTCACCTCCTTCAGCCTTCATCCAGTCCCACGGCCGCCGGTCTCCTTGCTGGCGACCCATCCCTCGCTCGACTCGTCTTTTCATCTGAGAAGCTCTGCGGCGCTTGTGAGTATAAAGACTCAAGAGAAAAAAGGCAAACGCTGTGACGGTTGGGTCAAAGGGCGTCGGTCATTGGGGGAAACGGCGGGGCAAGATTGATTGATGCAGGCGTGCTTCGGCATGCCGAGATGGTCGTTGTCCTTTGCAAAGACGAGCTGTGACGATGGGCAAAGGGCATCGATTGAGAGCCACGCGGGGCGCGCGCACCCACCCATACACGAGTGGATGTCCGTCGCCCTGTCGCCCACGCACGCGCCTTTGCTCGAGGGCGAGTAGAGACATTGATGAAACGACGAAGCATCTCAGTCTCACCTTGTCATTCATTCCAGCGACCAGCCCGCTGACCCACTTCTACCATGAACGGCATGGCACCCCTGTTCGCAGCCCTTTGCCCAGGCCACGCCAACGGTTACGCCAAGGAACTCTCTTCGTGAGCCAGAAAACTGCCACTTGAGCCACAAAGGTGAGCAACGGGGACATTTCGCGGCCACTAGTCAAATACCTACCTCTCACAATATCCGATCCACCCCAATCTACCATCTCTTCCCCTTCTTGTTCTTCTTCTTCGCCGTCACATCTCTTCGCCTCTCACGCCCATCTCAAACATGGCACTCGTCCTCGACCCCATGCCACCGGATCACATGCGTCTTCGTTCTCGTCCTCCTACCTCGCTACGTCTACGCCTGCGCTCTCTGATCCCTCACCCACACAGCTCAAGACATTTTCTCCGGACTACGTCGATGGTAGACCTCGCGCGCTACCTACCCGCGCCGGTAGAAGCAGTAGCAGTCCCGCCTCTCACTGCGCCTCCCTCGCCAGAGTCGCTGCCCTCGTACCACTCCGGTCGCAGCGATGAAGACGTCTCTTCCCTCGAGCTCAAAGATGGCGACGCTGCCAATGCCAACTACATCAAGGCGCCTGGCTCCGCCCAGCCAATCTTCTTTGGGTCGGTAGAGCAGCAGCTCCGGACTGTGCTCGCCAATGTAGACGTCGACAACTGCGACGCCAATGGAGAGAATGTGAGTGCGCGTAGGCACGTAAGTAAGCACACGTATTGACACTCCGCAACCCTCTTCCTCTTTCGACAGGCCTTCTTTGTCGCCGATCTATCCGAGATCTACCGCCAGCACCTCCGCTGGTTGCGCGCCCTTCCGCGCATCGTCCCCTTCTACGCCGTCAAGTGCAACCCGGACCCGCACGTCCTCCGCCTCCTCGCCGCCCTAGGCACGGGATTTGACTGTGCATCCAATGGCGAGATCCAGTCGGTCCTCGACCTAGGCGTCTCGCCCTCTCGCATCATCTATGCCAACCCTTGCAAGGCAGCCTCTTTCGTCCGCAATGCTGCGGCCAACAATGTGTCGCTCACCACCTTCGACAACGTCGATGAGCTTCACAAGATGAAGCGCTTCCATCCTTCTTGCAAGCTCGTGGTGCGCATCCTCACTGACGACTCCAAGTCGGCCTGCCAGCTGGGCCTCAAGTTCGGTGCGCCACTGGACGTGGTACCGCGCCTCCTTGCAAAGGCAAGGGAGCTCGACCTCGATGTCGTAGGCGTCTCCTTCCACGTCGGTTCAGGATGCTACGACCCAAATTCCTTCGCCGACGCCGTCGCCCGCGCTCGCAAAGCCTTTGAGTACGGTCGCGAAGCAGGATACGTCTTCGATCTCCTCGACGTCGGTGGAGGGTACGATCACGACAACTTTGAGACCATTGCCGATGTTCTCAGGCCGGCCATTGATGAGCATTTCCCCGACGCCCTCTTCGCCCCTGGAGGAAGCAACGTCGAAGGCAAGCCGCACGGGCTACGCATCATTGGCGAGCCAGGTCGCTACTACGTGCAAAAGTCCTTCACCCTCGCCTGCAACATCATTGCCAAGCGCAGTGAGGAAGTTGTCGAACCGGAGGAAGCTGGCGAGGAGGGGAGTCAGTTGACCCCATCCATGATGCTCTACCAAAATGATGGCGTCTATGGCGCCTTCAACAACATCATGTTCGACCACCAGCATCCCACCCCGCGCGTCCTCACGCTCGACCGACACTTCGTGTACCGCAAGGACGGGTCGGACCCTACTCATCTTCCCAGCTCTCCGCAGCACGCCCTCCGTCAGGCGCCATGCAGCATCTGGGGCCCCACTTGCGACAGCATCGACCTCATCACGAACAAGGCCCGCCTTCCCCAGGAGCTCCAGGTGGGAGACTGGCTAGTGTACGAGGACATGGGCGCTTATACCATCTGTGCTGCGAGCACATTCAACGGATTGCAGCGCAGCGAGGTGAGGTACACTGTGGGCAAGGGGAGCTACGGTGAGAAGGGCGACGCGGAGAGAGTGAGGGACTTGATGAGTGTGTAGGTGATGAGGAAGCCACGGAAGGTGGCGGCCAAGGTCTCTCGCGTTGGTGAGGACAGACACTCTTTCCCCTCGGATGTGGCCTACTCTATGCTGCGCGTGACCCGACACTTGATCAAATGGACATCGTTTCTTCGTTCTTCTGACCCAATGCCTGCTCTCGTCTTGTGCTCGATGGCGGCAGCCGGTGACGATTTTGATTGCACAGCGCGGGACCCTCCAGTGCTCTGTCGACGATACGCGATCGCTACTCTTCTTCCTCCTCGTCGGGGTCTACGGTGACGTCTGTCATTGCTGACGGCGCGGCTGCGGCTTCCTCTTGTCCAGCCGTGGAGGACGCAGCACCTTCTCCTACCCCTGGCGGCTTCTTTGGTACCTTCTTCTTTTTCTTCTTCTTCTTCGCCGCACCGCTGTTGCCCTCCTTGCCTGGCACTACTACCAGATCTCCACCCTGCGCCTCATGCTGATGATCCGCACCTCCCTCACCCTGAATCATATCCTGCGCACTGAGAGCAAATCTCAGGTCCCTCAATTCCTCGTTCAACTCCCTCTGCTCTGCTTTGGCGCGCTCCGCTTCGAGATTCGCACGCTCTTCTCGCTCATTGGCAGCTTGCAGCTTTGCGAGGAGGCCTCGCGTGACGAGTCGCTCAGCTTCGAGGTCTTTCCTTGCTTTCACCAAGTCCGTGACATGCTTTTGCACTTTGCCCTCCAGCTGCTTCGTTCTCGCACTCACTGCGTCCATCTCTGCTTGCCAGCTCGCCCTCTCCGCCTCAACTGCTAGGAGAGCCTTCTCCTGCTCTTCCTTTGCACTCCCGCTGCCGCCGTTGGCGAGGGCTGAGTCGAGACGAGATTGGACGTTGCGTACCTGCTCTTCGTAGTACGAACGTTGGGACTCCAGCTGGGAGAGAAGAAGGTACTGGTACTCGAGGGAGATGGCTTCTAATTGGGAAGAGCGAGTGCCGAGCTTGCCGCCGTGCTGTTTGTCCTTGGCTTTGTCGTCGTCGTCGTCGTCTTCATCTTCGTCGTACTCATCCTCATCGTATACTGAAGAGGTTTCGTCCGGTTGATCGCGGCCAGTCTCGCCTGCTCTTCGTGACGAGCCAGCCGCAGCGCTCTGGGCCTCCTCTTGCTCAGCATGGCGTCGACTACTTCTCCTTCCCCTCCTCCGTCTAGCAGGCGAGCCCTCTGCGCCACCTCCCTGCCCAGCAGCCCCATCAAGCTCGACCAGCTTGCCATCAGCGCGATTTTGAATCAGGCGATGCACGTACCCATCGTGCACGTAGTCCCATACGCGGGCCGTCTCTAGCTCCAGACTGTACAGATGATTAGACTGCGTAAAGTGCCGCGCAGCACATCCTGCTTTGTAGCGGCCACAGCCAACCGCGGCGCAGATGAGGCAGACCCAGAGATCGTCGGTAGCCCCGCAGGAGGCACAACAGGTGGCGGCGGAGTCGTCTTCGTCATCATCTGCGCTGGGTTCATCTTCTTGCGTCCCGCGAGGACATTCGTCGGCCACTAGGCTCAGATCGCTGCTAGGCTCTCGCTCTTCGCTTCTCCTCGCTCGTCCAGCTTGTGCCCCGGCCCGCATTAGAAGCGATGCCGCCGCCTGTCCCTTTGCCGCCCTGTTCTGGCTATATCGACAGACTGGGCAGCGGCCATCTGCCCAGCGCGACAGACACTCGCAGTGGAAGGAGTGCTGACAGCTGACGGTCATGATGCCCGTGACGGCTGAGTCCATTCTCTCGAGGCAAACTGGACATGTTGGCAGCTCGTTGGCTAAAGAGAGAGCGAGACGTGTTGCCGGCGTGACGGTGGATGAGCTGGCATCGTCGGTCTTGTCTTCCATCATGCTTGGCGTCGCTGAATCTACGGTGCTTTTTGTGGGCGCAAGAGGCCATGGATCTGAGTTTGCTAGCTGAGGGTAGACGTAAGGCAAATGTGGGCTGGTGGACACGGTCACTTGGGTGACGTAGACGATCTGCGCCGAGGTCAACGTTGGCATTGACGATGAAGGCGTAAGGGACGCCAGGGAGGTTGACGCCGATGGCCCTGCTGCTGTCGAGGCCTGCCCAGTGGTCGCTGAAGGAGCTGAAGAGGAAGAATTCGCCGTGAATGGCAGCGGCTGCCCATTGTAGAGCTTGTAGAACTCTTCCGCGTCGCTTGGATCTCTAAACTTGATAAGGACGGCGGTACGATTGGTGGGATGGCCTTGTCGAATCATTCTCATCTTCTCAACGCTACTGATAGCGGGTTCTACCCATGCGAGAAAGTCGGCTGCCGTCATTTGGCCTGGAAGGCCCAGCAGGGCGAGGACGGTTGCGGAATCGTCATCAAGGGCTACGGAGGCCTTGGAGGAGGATGAAGCGGGAACGCTGCCAGCTCCATCACGAAAGAGATGAAGGATGCCGAATGACACTTCAGAGGATGCGTGGCCGTCGTCGACGGTAAAAGAGCTGCTCTTGTTGAACTGACATCGCCAAGATGGCGCTGTGCCGCCGCCGGGTGATTGTATGCTGCTGCTGCTGCTGCTGAGGCCGTCATCGCCGCCGCCGCCGGTGTTTCTGCTCGATGCTGCCGTCGGCATGTCGAGCGCAAAGACGGACAATGGCCGCAGACGAGGGTCAAAAGGGTTCGAAGGATGCGCGCTTGCTGATGGAGGGCGAGTGATGGTCGAAGGGAGAGAGGACCCGTCGTCGTCGTCGTCGTCGAAGAGTGAAAGATAGGGCGAAGGTGCTTGGTCAGGCGACGACAGCAGCGTGATATGGATGCAATGTCTACCAGCGAAAGGCATGGGTGCGTGAGCTCGAAACTCGAGGTAGCATCGTCCCCGAGATGGTGTTGATGGATTACGAGTGAAGCTGAGTCGGGCAGGAGGCTCCGTCCCATCCGTCTGGGATCGCAGACGACATCGAGTGGGATTCATCTCCGCGTCCGCGCCTCTGTTCCGTCAAGATTGAGCTCAACTCGAGAGCGCTCTGCAGGGTCCAAGCAAGTCGACGACGCAAGGGCATGAGCGAGGCACATCGTCCTGCTGTCTTACCGTAACGACTGTCGATCGCTCGATCGATCGCAAGGGCAAGCCGAAAGGGAGCAAAAGGACATGCTGGGATTACGGCGCGCTCCTTGTATCCTGACCTCTGTACCTAGCCGTCTCAGCGGTACCTCCCAAGGACGCATACACGCACCCCTCGCTCTCTTCTCACCTCGTCGCTCCTTTCACTCCTACGTACCCCTACTCCAGATACAACGTCAGCACCACCGCCACCACTGCCGCCCCTCCACATCGCCCAGCATGGTCCTCGCCGCCGTCACACAGCTCACTTCGGGACCCAATCCCCTCGAGAATGCAGATACTGCCGTCGATCTTATCCAGCGAGCCGCAAAGGCAGGCGCAAAAGTAATCTTCCTGCCCGAGGCGACAGACTTCATCTCCTCGCCAGATCGGGTTGGCGAGCTCACCTACTGCAAAGACAATCGCATCTTTGTTGATCGAATGCTGCAAGCTGCCAAGGAGAACAACGTCTTTGTGTCTGTGGGCATTCACGAGCCGGCCGAAGAGGAAGAGGCAAAGAGGGCCGAGGAGAGGAGATGCTATAATACTCAGCTGCTGATTAATGACAAGGGAGACGACGTCGGAAGATACAGGAAGACACATATGTTTGATGTCGAGGTCGCAGATTTGAAGATCAAGGAGAGGTGAGCTCGACGAAACAGCAGTCGGCACCCTTTCTTCATTCCCCCCCACCACTGACAATGACTCGCATCCCTCGCCCAGCAACACCACCGTCCCTGGTCGCTCCCTCCTCCCCCCGGTGCCAACCCCGATCGGCAATCTGGGCCCGCTGATCTGCTACGACGTCCGCTTCCCGGAGCCTGCTCTGCATCTACGCACGCTCGGAGCGCAGGTCATCAGCTACCCCTCAGCCTTTGTGGTCAGAACAGGACCAGCACACTGGGAGCCGCTGCTGCGGGCGCGAGCCATAGAGACACAGTGTTGGATCATGGCTTCGGCACAGGTCGGCAAGCACCCGGGGACGGACAGGGTCAGCTGGGGTCACGCGATGATCGTCGATGCCTTTGGGAGCGTCGTCGCCCAGTGCGGAGACTTGCAACCTCATAGGCCGTGCTTCGCTGTGGCAGAGGTAGTGAGTGATCGCTGCGTCGAGGAGGCGGTGACGGTGGAGATGGAGGAAAGAGAGATGGCAATACTGACCACGAACTTGCTTTTGTCTTCGCCAGGATCTCGACAATCTCGACAACCTGCGCAAGCACATGCCCCTCTGGGAGCAGCGACGCAATGATGGGCCTGACGCTCTCTACCCTGTCATCTGATGAGAGACGACGTCAAGACATAGATTGATACCTCATAGGTTCGCCCCATCTCGTACCGCTACTATCGGTCAAGACAATCGTCCGTTCTTTGTTCTAATGTGTCGCAGTCGCACAATTGATGATTCCAGAATAGTCTCTGGGATCGCACACGCTCAACGTTGATTGATGATATTTGTCTGATCAGGCTGTGAAGGAGCGAGGGCGAGGAGAAGGTACAGTTCAGTCGATCCTCGTCTACTGTGCCGCACGCGTCCCGCGTCGTTGCTGCTCACCTAGGATGAAACAAGATACGAAGAAAAGAACAGAGGGGCATGCTGATGGACCTGTGCAGGTCGATGAGGGAGCCATTGAAAGGAAAGGTGGGTTTGAGAGGGTCGAAGCAATTGATTGGATGTCCTGCCCTACGTGGTCATTCGCTGCAGACTTGATCGGACGAGGTGAAAGGTGGTGAAGAGTGGGGCCGTCGTGGTGTGAGAGGGGTCCCGGGAGGTTGAGCGGGCTGAAAGTAGGAGGCGACTCGCTCCGAGGAGCTGATAGTGAACTTCGCATTGCTCATCGAACTACCTCGTATCTATGCTCGCTTCCGTGACCTCCTACTCCTATGTCCATCCCTTCACCTAAGCTCTGCGGGTAGCATTCTCCTTCTCAGCCTGCTTGAGACGCTCCTCAAGTGTCTTGGACTTGTGAAGCTGCGAGGCCGTGAGCCTGTCGCGCTCGCCCTCACGGTCGGCGAGACGGTCCGAGTAGCGGATGCCATCGGCCACGGAGCCGTGGTACGAGGACGTGGTGCGCTGCAGCTCGTTGTTGGCACCCTTGCCCGAGCGGTTCGTGTCGGTGCGCTTCATCTCCTTGCCGCCCTGCGATGAGGAGGTGACGAGGGGCGAAGAGGGGCGAAGAAATGTGTCAGTCTTGACGGTCTCAGTAGTTATCTGCCAGCCACGTTCCTGCGCTGCTTTAAGCACTCACCTTTCCACCGGACATTGCTGACATGCAGGATCCCTGGGGCAGGAACAAGAGGAAGATTTGATGATAGTCAGCGTCGACGCTGGTGCAAGGCAGGCTGCGTGAAAACCACTCCATCGCAGGCCTCCCTGCCATGTTGAGGAAGCGCTGTGACGGGTGGGTGGAGGGGGGGCATGCGCAAGGTGGATACTCACCATTTTCGCTAAGCTTTAAGGATGGTTGTTGGCGAGGTAGAGTGAGGTTGTGTAGATTGGGGTGTTGCTGTGATTTCAAGACTGATCGGCAGATGATCGTTCTCGATATTGCTCGGCGGTGTCTGTGGTGTGGTATCGACGAGAGGATTAGATGTCAAGGAACGAGCGTCGAGTCCAGCCGTCGTCTCTCGCATTGGCAACCGAGTCCCAAGTCAGCTATGGGCGACGTTGAGTGTGGCCGGCCGGCCGCCGTCGCCGTCCGCCCTCTCGTCGTTGCCTTGGCCTTTCGCCCCTTTGCGGTGCGAGGTTGAGCGAGTTGCAGGGCCAAGCAAGCTCAGTATGTAGACCGTCGACGCAACCGAGCGCAGCCAGGCGCGAAGCAGTTGGCTGAGGTCACGGCACAGGGCCAGAGGAGGCCAGGCGCAAGGCAGCGCCCCTAATCCGACGACGTCGAGAGCAGGAGCGCCGTGTCTCCGCTCTGCTCTCTCAGCTATTCCTTGGCTCGCTCAAACAACCCAGCGGCCAATCCAACCAAGCCACATGAGGATACAGACGGGAGACGGAGAATATCATGACGATGGCGACCGGAGCTCAGCGTGCGTCAAGGAAGGGAGAAATGCTGGTTCTCTACAAATGATGCCCATAATGCTGATAATAATGATAGAGCGAAGAATGGCAGGCGCTGAGGGCGAGGACCAAGTGTCGGCCCGATTGATGGCTGTTGCTGGTCTATGGTACGGAGCCTGGACAAGGCATGAGCATCATCGGCGGTGGGATTGCTTCGTAGCATGGACGATTGTCTCTCGATCTCTGTTCATCGATGATCCTCTTTCATTGCCGTGACTGTCCTCGTCCCCGCTACCATCAACTCTCGAGATGGGCGGCGGGTCATGGTGTTGATGCTGGGGCGCCGTCTTCACTCCACGTGGCCCTCGACAACAACACATCCTCCGCGCCTTGGGACAGGGACCGAGCGCAAGGGCGTCCGTCCGCCGTCGACTTGGAGAGTTGCTAGCCTCGCGTTACTCCTTGCTTTGCCCTGTCTGTTTGCTTGGGTTGCTTTCGACCTCGTCATCGTCATCAAGTCACGACTGCCTCCTTCGCTCAAGCTCATCTTCATTCAAAAAAGCATACAAGCCTAGCAAATCGTTACCATGTCTACCGGCACTTTCGACCCGAATCAGGCGCAGAACCTGCCCGAAATCGAGAAGCAGATGGCAGTGAAGTGTGCGTAGACATGCCAACAGCAGCAGCGGCAACAGCAGCAGCAGCAGCGGCAGCTCATCTGACCGTGCTCCACCCTTCTCTTCCCCGCCAGGCGTCGAGCATGCGCAAGCCACCTGGAACCTCTACGAAAAGGTCCTCCCCTCGACGCTCAAGCTATCCAAGCACGACGACGAGATCATGGCCGACTTTGAGGACAAGTTCCCCGAGCTGGCCAAGGACGAGGCCAAGATTCGAAAGATCGATGAAGAGGCAATGAAGAGTCCGCAGGGCAAGGAGGCTTGGAGAAACTTCATCAACAAGTACGAGGGCAAGGGTGCGTTGCGGCGGGGCGCGGCGGGGCAAAGGAAAGGCAGGTGCGACTGCGTGCGTAGCTGACTTGGACCTCAATCTCGCAATGACAGTGGCCGACTTCAACTTCGGAACCCTCATCCGAACGGACAGCTCAGACGAGTACACGCAGTTCAACACGACCTTTGGTGAGCGTCAGCGTACTACGCTACCTTCTGGCCTGCCGCCTTACTGACCGTCTTACGTCTGCTCCACCGCCTTGCAGTGACAAGACTACAATTTTACGTCTACGAGATCGCTCGCAACAGGAGAGGACTCAACGACTGGTCAGTGCACGCACTGCGCTGAAGGGATTTCCATAGGGCAAAACCATGCTGACCAGTCCACGTCTCTTCTCCACTTCGCTCTTTTTGCCTACAGGATCTACGAGAAGGCCAAGCAGGAGGCGGCGGAGAAGAAGAAGGAGAAGGGCTCCAAGAAGTGAGAGGGAGGAGCTCGAGCTGCGCTGTACTAGTATCTTCTCTCGGAGCCAGCAACGAGGAGCAGAGGCTCGCAGGCGACCCTTTTCTACGCAGGCTCTTGCACAGTACGAGCGGTATTGCAGTAGGCGCGGGAAGTCCAGCGAACAACCTCTCGCCCATGGTCATCAGACCAATTTCATCCAACAATGTCGCCAATGAGCACCTTCAATCGGATTGAAAGGCGCAGATGGAACAGAGAATAAGGTACACTTGTTATCCCTTCGCATTAGTCGAGTCTGCTCTACCTGAAGCCCTACCCCAAAGCCTCGCACATCGCACGTCTAACCTCTCATTTGCTCCCACCGCCGCTGACCCCACTGACCGCTCCAGCCTCAACCGCCATGCTATAGAAGATTGAATCCCTTTTGCTCAGCAAGTCCTTCGGGCTTGCAAACTCAGCCAGCGCTCCGTCCTTGAGCACAAGCACCCGATCGCTCTCCAGGATAGTCGGCAGTCTGTGCGCAACAGTAATCGTCGTTCCATGGAACTGCTCGCGCACAATCTTCTGGATGTACTCGTCCGTCTCCAAGTCGATGGAGGATGTGGCTTCATCCAACACCAGCACCTTGGCGCCTCGCAGCAAGGCACGGGCAATACAGATGAGCTGCCTTTGCCCGGCAGAGAAGTTGCTCGCTCCCTCGGAGAGCTCGGCGTCTAGCTGTCCCTTCATTGACTGGACGTGGTCTTTGAGCTTGGCCTGTTCCAGAGCACGCCAGAGAGCTTGGTCCGTCGATGCGCCTGTGGGGTCGAGGTTGTCTCTGAGGGAACCGCCCCAAAGACAGGCGTCTTGCGGAATGATGGCAATCGAGGAACGCAGCTCCTTGAGGCCGATGGTGCTCGTGTCTACTCCGTCGAGAACGATTGAGCCCCCGGTCGCCTCGATGATGCGGAACAAGGCGAGCGTAAGGGACGATTTGCCAGCGCCTGTTCGGCCGACGACGCCAATCCTCTCTCCGGGCTTGATGCTCAGGGAGAGCTTCTTGAGCACGAGCGGCAAGTGCTCACGATAGCGCGTGCTGTAGTCCTTGAACTCGATGGCTCCCTCTGTCGGCCACTCGCGAGGTGGCGCATTGTCCGGTCCAGATTCGTAGGGTGCCTCAGGGGACAGCTCGGCGTATTGAATCGCTCGTTCCACCGAGACAATGTTCTGCTCGACCTCACTGGCTGAGCGCACCACCCAGTTGAGGGCCTGAGTAGTCGAGAGAGCCTGGCTCATCATCAGCCCCACGAGCCCAGCATCAATGCCAGAGATATTGCGCGTGATGAGCGCGACGGCGAGCGACGAGGCCGTGAGGATGACCATTGCTCCCATGAACTCGATGCGAACCGCCAACCAGCGGTTGGTTGAGACCGAGGGAAAGTAGGCCTGCTGGTTACGGTCCACGCGCGTCTCATTTGTTGCGATAAAGCGCTCCGACTGACCAAAGGCGCGAATCGTCGAGAGGCCGCCAAGGGATTCTTGGAACCAGGAGAAGATCGGAGACTTGCTGACTGCATCGAGACGCTTGAGCTCGCGAGAGGTGGCGAGATAGTAGCGTAGGATGGCGCGGTAGGCAAAGTAGAGCGGGATGATCGCGATGAGGAATGGCGGAACCGATGCGCTAATGACGATCAGCACGCCAGCGACAACGACGAGCGTGCGGAAGAAGCCGTGCAGGACACGCGGCAACGTTTCGTCGATGGCGTTGACGTCTTTGGAGAAGCGATTGAGACTGACACCCACAGGTGTAGCCTCGAACCACTGCAGCGGGGAGCGCAGCACAGCATGGAACATGCTGTCGTGCCAGTGACGAGCGCTGGCAATGACGAGGTAGACGTAGAGAATGAAAGGCCCGATGCACACTGCGATGCTGGCGCCGATGCCGACGACGGCGTAGATGGAGAGGTAGAAGCGGGCGTCACCTGGTGTGCCGCCTTGGTGCGTGTCATTGTAGCTGCCCCACTGCTTGAGGACGATGTCTCGGCCGACTTGTAGGACTTGCGTGCCGATATGCGCGGCAAAGTAGCCAAAGAGAGCGAGACCAGATGCGGAGGCTGAAGAGGCGTAGCGCTTGTACACGTCCCATGAGACACTACCTTGAGCATTGGCCTCCTTGGCGGGTCGCAACGAGGCCTCTCGAAGCTGACGCATCGTCTCCTGCTTGACTTGCTTACGCGTGAGTGTCTTGGGTCGATGCATACTGGCCGAGGACATCCTGCGGGAGAGCTTGAGCTCGAGCTCCTCTTCGCTACTGCCGCGCAGCGTGTCGGAGTCGCCCTGACTGGACGGAGTCTTCGCGCCGGCCTCGACGTCCTCGTTGCCATTGCCCTGCTCCGTCTCCTGTTGACGACGATCTGACTGCTTGCCCAACCCAGTGATCAAGGCGTAGAGGTCGCCCTTCCTCGCCATGACCTCGTCATAGGTGCCCCGCTCATCCATCAAGATACCGCGGCGGAACGAGACAATTTGGTCGACCTGAGGTAGGAACGAGACCATGTTGGTCGTCAAAATTCGAGCCTTGCTCTTCAGCATGCCCTCCGGACCAATGACATGCTTGAATATGTGAGCACCAACGTGCGCGTCTACGGCCGCCAACGGGTCGTCGAGGAGGTAGATGTCTGCGCGTGCGTAGCAAGCTCGAGCAAGAGCCACCCGAGCTCGCTGTCCACCGCTGAGCGAGACTCCCTTCTCTCCAATCTCTGTCTGGTCTCCATCCTGCATGATTGCAAAGTCAGGCTCGAGGGCGCACGCCTTGATGACACGCTGGTAGAACTCCTCCTCATAGCGCAGACCGAAGAGGATGTTGTCACGAATCGTGGCACCCATGGCCCAGCCGCCTTGTGTAAAGTAGGCTGTGCGGCCGCGTACGTAGCACTGCCCGTCGCTGCGGTACATCTCACCCAAGATGGCGCTGAGCAGTGAAGACTTGCCGTCACCAACCTTACCCAGTACGGCAAGCAGCTCGCCCTTGCGTACAGACAGGTTGAGGTCCTGTAGTGTTGGCATTGGTGCATCTGCGGCCCATTTGAAGTCGGCGTCCTTCAGCTCGACCAGAGGCTGGCTGTATCGTTGGGCAGAAGTCGGTGGCTCAGCGACGGCGTTCGGGTCCTCCTCGTGCTCGTTGACCTCGACGACGCGGGCGTTCTCATCCAGCTCGCCAGCGTCGAGGAAGCTGGCCAGACGTCGAGCGGACACTAAGGCCTGAATCCAGGCGGTCACGATGCCTGCAAACATGGCGAGCGGGAACTGGAGCAGCTGGTAGAGAGACAGAGCCGGGAAGATGACATCTGCGGTGAGAGGCTTGTCCGACGTGATCGAGTAGGTGATAAAGGTAGCAAGCGATACGAAGAAGGGGATGGCCGACCAGAAGAAGTTGAAGAAAGCATTGACCGCTCCAGCCCAGCGAAGGAGCTTCAATTCCTCTCCGTTGCGTACCTCGAAGAGCTTCTTTGTAAAGGCCTCCTCCCATGCAAAGAGCTTGATTGACTTGATGTTGGTGAGGATCTCGTTCATCATCTTCGTGCGCTTGTCCTTAACTTTCATGTTGCGCTCGGCGAGAGAGCGCATGTACTTGGCAAGCATGGTATTCAGAGGGATGCTGAAGACCATGACGAGGACACCGGCGAACGCAGGCCAGCCCAGAAGGTTGTAGAGGGAGATGAAGGCGAGGAGCATCTGGAAGACACTGGACCAGATGATATGGCCGTAGGTGCACAGGTCCTGAAGGCGGGTGGCATCGACGGACATGAGGTTGACGATCTCGCCCGTGCTGCGCGTGCCGCGCTCGTCATTGCTCAGGCGCAGCGATTTCTTGTAGATGGCCGAGATGAGGCCAGCTCGGACACGCATACCCGTGACGAAGCAGCGTTGGAAGTAATTGTGAAGTACGGCCGTCTGCGTGACTGCGACGAAAAAGAGGCCGAAGGTGATGATGAACCCGCGACCAGCAGGCTCGGCGGTCACGTCTTCGGTACGGCGAGCGTCGTCCCAAGTTGAGACGAACTGAAGCAAGCGCCTCAGCAGCTGCGGCTGGATGAAAGCGAGCGAGTCCTGTACAGCCTTTAAGATACCAGCGATGACGTACGTGCCGCCAAAGGAGTACGTGAGGGCGGTCCAGAATTTTGGCGCGCCGTCCGAGGTGCGCTTCGTCTTGTAGTAGTGATCAAACTTGTCGCCCAAGCTCTCAGAGTCTTCGCCAGGTGGCAATGACCACAGGTCATTCTCGGTGAGGTACTTGGAAGCTCCCAGCTTCATCATTGGGTTCATCCACCAGAAGCTGAGGCGACTGAAGATGTTGGCTGTGTTCTCTGGGCACTCCTTATCGAGACCCGTCGAGTATGCAACTTTGGCCTCGGGGTCTGCGCCGACGTCGCCGAATGCAGAGCCATTATTCTCGCCGCCATTGCTACCACCGAGGCCGTTGATGGCAGAGCCTTCTCGCACCTGGTGAGATACGGGGTTCACCTTGCCATCCCCCTTCTTCTGCCCGACTTCAACTCCCGCACATTCGATGGCAAAGACTATGGCAATGATGACGCTGCGAGCGATGAAGAGAGCGAGAAGCGACTTGCCTCCGAGCGTCTCCTTGTACGGCGACGAGCGGTTGAGGTAGGTGCGCACCCATGCTGCGGCGAAGGCGGTATGGGCAAGCCAGTAAAAGAGAAGAATAGTCGACGACGATCGGGTACGAGTGTGGTTGTATCCTTGCAGAGGAATCGCTAGAAGGTAGCCTACCAGCGTGACGATACCAGCATACAGGGAGATCGTGTGACTGTGGAGGCCGACGATGATGGAGGGCAGAGTGGCAATCGCAGCCACGATGACGAGTGCATGCTTGAGGCCCAGAAGTATGCGGGAGAGGGGTGTTAATGTCCTCTCTGGCTTGCGTGAGAGGCGCGAGAGCTCAAAGGATGCGCAGAAGGAGAGAACGAGTGCTGAGCCGATCCACAGGGTGAGCTGCTGGAAGCAAGGCGACAGGTCGAAGCTGCGGACCGGGCTGAAGGGACCCCAGCCTTCCTTGTCTGGGCAGAGAGACGAAAGTGGGCGACCGCCATCGTTGGCACCCTTCTTGAAAGCCCAGAAGATGTCATTGGGCGTTGTCGAGGCGTGATGACTATCGGCAGGCATTGTCGTGTGAGGCGGCTCGATCCAGAGCGAGGCGCCATCGGGTGACCAGAGGCCTTGCAGCAGCCCCCTCAAGGCGCCGGTGTGCCATGATTCCATCTCTTCCAGTCAGCTCGACAGAGTCTGGGAAGATGATGAGAATTTGTGAGCGCTGAAGAGAGCAAGATCGGGGGGATCGGTGGAAGGAAGAGGAGCACAAAGACGGCGGGCTGCTCAGCTTAGGCTCATTTGATTTCCCTCGCCGCCGCTGCAGGGGCGGACGGACGCGCCGCCCTCCATCGGCGCAAGATCGAGAAGTCAAGGCAGTCCACGGGCGTAAGGAATTGAGAGAGATCGCATTATAGAGCAACGACAAGGACTGAAAGAAGGCTCGTCGTGGTGCGTATTATGATGATGATGATGATGATGATGATGATGATGACGACGACGATGGTGATGACGATGATGATGATGGTATAGATGACTCTAATGACGTTGCTCGCTCTCTCCTCTCTCCTCCCTCACACCTCCTCTTTCACCCTCAACCCTGCTCCTCCCTCACACCTCCCACGGCGGCACGAGCTGAGCAGCCTCGAGGTCGGCAGCCACTGCCTTTAGGAACTCTTCGTCGTCTTGCTTCCGCTTCTTGCGGATCTGTGTAGCGGCGACTTCAGGGTCCTTTGGCTGCGTGCGGTCATAGCATACGCCCTCGTAGACCGGGATGCCTGAGGTGGGCGTCGCAGGCGGGCAGAGTGAGGAGCAGAATGATGTATCAGAGGGGCTGCACGAGTGCTGTGTGCTTTTGACGTCTACTCACGGGGCGTGCCGTCTTGGAACAATCCGCTGCAACGGTACTTGACAAGGACGCCCTTCTCGGGCAAGTCGTTCCCCAAGTGCATCGACTCGGTCATGCCCATCCCAATCTAGAATGCGATCGCGCCACGGGGCCACAATGGAGATCAGCAAAGGTCCCAACCCTCTACAAAGCCGCGAAGGTACGCACATCGACGGCCTTGCCCGAAGCCATGCGGACGCGCAGAGACTCATGGCGGTGGCTCCGGGCGCCGACGCCGCGATTGGTTCCCTCCATCACTCCCTCTCCATCGTCCCTGCAGAGGGAATGAGAGCATAATCTGGGTCAGCGAGGTACAGAGCCACTGGCCGTAGGTCCGTCCTCTTACTCACCACCTCTTGACCTTGCGACAGTGCATCGAGCGCCTACGGATGATTGTCGAGGTGCAGCAGGGACGGCGGTCAGCTCGCACTACTCGAGTCAGATGATCAGATCCGCTCACCTCCTCTCGTAGGGGCTATTGCGCCTGCGCAGCATCGCACCCTCCCCCGCCTGCAACATGATGGCGTCAACATATCTGTCCAGGTGAGCCTGCCCCTCGCACGCAATGAAAGGCAGAGTTGCCACCTTGCCACCAAACCTCCCTCTCAGCGCCTCGTCTGGGGTCAATTCCCCATCAGGCACTCGCTTCCTTGCCTCCTCCATCCTCTTCTCGAACGGCGCCTCGACGTCGGGCGCATCGAAGACGAAGAAGTTGATCGTCGACCAAGCCCGAGTGTCCTGCGAGGGGTGGCGTATGGGTCAGCTCTGCCGTCTGAGGCACGCCAGCGTTTCCAAGCGCTATATAAGGATGCTCACGGCCCTCTGACACATGCCGCTCAAGACCTCAAACCCGTCCCTCTCGCGCCAGAGCTCCCCGTCCAAGGCAAAGCCTTTCGGCAGTTTCTCGATGAACCAATGAGGAGCTTTCCAATCCAGATTGGTACGAGAGACGAGCCGATCTCCCGTCCAATACGCTCGAACGCCATCGAGCTTCTCGCTCATCCACCAGCCTGTAGGATCCAGCTTTGTATCCCACTTCTCGGCCTGCATGATGGCAATGGCGCTCGTAGGGTCGAAATCCTTTCTGATAGCGCGACCGTTGAAGCTGCCGAGGTGATGTTAGAGGCGGACGTCAGTCTCCACTTCATTGTAAGAGCAGCGAGCAGGTGATACGCACGTGCAATTACCCCTCCAGTCCGTCTCGTACCCCTCCCCTAGGGATGTGCCCTTTGGGCCGAGCATGGACCTGTTGCTGCTGCTGCCGCTGCTGCCGCTGCTGCTGCTCGTGCCCGCCTGCTGCTCCTCTCGCACCCGTTCTCGAGCGGCGACGTATTCCTCCCAGTCGAAGGGCGCTGCTTCCTTCTTTTGGCGCTTTGACTCTGCGTACGTAGGTGCCGTCGCGTCGGTAGGACCCTGAGACGGCAAAGAGAGCAAGCATAAGCTCCTCTTCGCGCTTTACTGAGCCGCACGCAATACCTTGGACTTACCGCAGCGCGCTGTCGGGCGGCCTCGTATTCCTTGCCGAGAATCTTTGCGAGGTGAGGACAGGACCGAGCGGCGACGGACGAGGCACCCTGAGCGTTCTGAAAGGAGGAGCATGTACAGGTGTAGTGTCCCTTGACGGTTCTGCGCATGAGGGGAGGAGCGTGAGCTCTGTAACAGAAGCACCCAAGTCGAAGCATAGATTAGGGCGACTGACCTCTTGATTCGGTACGGTCGCTTGCCCGAGCCTTGGACCTCGACTACCTCTCCTACTGCGAGCAGCCGGCTCGGCTTCACCCCACCGACCTCCGCCGTCGTGGGGTCCATGATGTTGTGCTAGGAAGCGAGGCAGCTTACTTCATGAGCGATCGAGAATTGGCAAGCAAAGATGTCGTAAGGCGTTGGAGGTAGCCTTAGGCTCAAAGAAGGGGGGGGGATGAGCGAATGGTAGAATGGTAGCAGAGGAAAGCAGCCTCCTTGCTCTCAATCAACACTTTCGCTCCCAGTCCGCCCTAAGAACCCAATTTACGCGTCTCCCTTTCCGTTGCCCCTCGTCGCGTGGTTTGGTGTCGCAATGAGTGACGCGAGGGGACATGCATTACTCGAGAAAGAATATGATGGAGAGACGGCCTCGCTGAGACAGAGAGGGTACTATAGGAGCTGTAGAAAGATGTCGAGCGATGATTATGAAGGAGACGCGATGCAAGATTAGCGTGTGACGAAGTAGAAACTAGTGGCATCGTAGGAGGAGAAGCAGTAGTAGGTGCGGTATAGCGAAGGAAAGAGATGCCGCGATCAGCAGTGGGAAAGGCTATGACAGTCGAGTAGCCGCAACTGCCGTTTACAGGAGATTATCGCGCAGTGACCGTGTCAAAATGGTGTCGGTTACCGACGCCATGACGATCTTGAGCAGTGCTGGGTCCGTCGCGTTGGTGAAGCTGCAGTACACGTCCTTGGTTTGCGATCTGTTCAGCTGCAAGAACCTCGTCCGAATGTACGACTTTGCTGCCTCGATGTCTCCGTCCTCACCCTCGTAGTCCGGAAACCAGACACGGATGGGAGACTTGCTTGCTTTGTCCTCGAAGATGTCCACCTTGTTGAGGAAGAGGATGAAGGAGGTGCGCAGAAACCACTTGCTGTTGCAGATCGAGTCAAAAAGCATGAGAGCTTCGTACATCTGGTTGGAGCGTTGATCTTCAACGAGGCAGCAGTCATACCCGCTGAGGGCGACGATGAAGAGGACGGCCGTGACATTTTCGAAGCAGTGGATCCCTTTTGAAGGAAAACAAGAGAAGAAGAGTCTGGAGTCAGTTGCTGGAGTCAAGAAAGCTCGCTCCGGTCTTGCGCCTCACACTTCTTGCGCTCCGAGCGTTGACCGCCGACGTCAAAAATGCGGTATACGTGCTCCCTCAATGGAAAGATCGTCTCGATGATTCCCGTCGTCTTGTTCCTGCAGTGAAGGATGTCGGCGTCTGTCGGCATGTAGTCGCGATCGAAGAGACGATCAAGCTGGGCGTAGAAGTACGGGAGGCTGCGCAGAACGGGTGAGAGAGGGATGAACAAGCTGCAGACGAGCGGCTGTACGGGACCAGACGTATACATACTTGTCGGGCAAGGCAAACTCGGGCCCTCTGCTGTGAGCTTCTTGCACGCCCGTGTCTTTCCACAGGAGCTGTAGAGGCTCGAGGTAAGATGCTGGAAAGGCCTCTCCTTCAGCAATGTCCGGCAGAGTGACGAAGAGTGAGAAGAACAACTGCGCAAAGCGAAGAAGATCTGGGTCAGCATGCGAACAGCCTCGACAGCTTGCAGCACAAATGTAGCTCATTGGACTAACCTCATAGTCTCTGTGCTCTAGCTTCTGCTCAAGCTCCTCCATGATCTCGAGCAGCTGCTTCATCCCGGTGCAGACGTTCTGGAAGACTTGCCGACGATAGCTTTCCCTCTCTTGAACAGTGAAATCGATGCTGTGGATCAGACGCATGGACTGCAGCGGCGGAGCAGCGCAGCTAAGGTCAGAATCATTTCCGCAGCATCCTCGCACAAGCCGGATCTTACCTTGAGGATTGTCGACTTGCCCGACTCTCCAGCCCCCAGCAGCAGAAGCTTGACCTCTCTCGCTTGCCGTCTCTCATCGTCCTTGATGAGTCTGTCGAGCTCTCTGCTCCTGGCTACGTCCGAGGAGCCTGCCCCGATACCATCCGCAGCGGTCGTTGCGGATGAGCAGCAGGCGCCCATTTCGGGGCGTGAAGATGGCTGGGATGCTGCTGCTGCGGTCGAGCTGGACAAAGGGAGGCCGCGGGCGTTGAGGATTGGTCGCCACTTTCAAGGCCTGCCTTTAAGCTTCAGAACCTGCCCGAACTGCAGCGGACCCACAAGGGAGTGTAATGCCCACGACACAAAGTCGCAGCGGGGACCCGGCAAAGGTCGTGGAAGCCTGCTGTTTCCGCGTTGAACTTGATCAGTGACGAGGCGAGCAGGCGGCGACTCGAGGTGTGCGCTACGTGAGATTGCCGCTTAACCTATCCTCCGTCTTTTTCTCGAGGAAGCAAGGCGATTTGACGAGCTTGAGAGCTCAAGCGGGAACTCGAGCAAAGGCAATTGAGTCAGGCGCGGCCGAGAAAGAGGGGACGGATCTTTCGTTGCTTGCTGCCTGCCCGCCTGCCTTACGCCCTGAGTCGAGGGAGATGAGTCGTTCCGGCGTGCTCTCGGCCAGTCAACTGGTCACTGGCTTTGACATGGGCTTGGGCTTGGACTTCAAGTCGAGAGTCGGACGATGATGCGGTGATGGATGGCATCGAAGACGCGAAGCAAGCGAACATGGCTTTCCCCATGCTAGCCGCCCGGCGGCTCAACGCATCCAATAATGACCGCTTCATGCACGAGCGGACAGAGACGAGGCCGAGCGAGAATCGAATGTGCGACGTCCGCCCGCCTCGCATGAGGCCGCTCCCGCCCGCGTGGCAGAGGGCGAATGGGGCAGAGCAGGAGCCTGCCGGCCTCTCCAACGGCTCGACTCCTCCTCGCGACGTCAGAGAGCGGCTCTACATCGATCGTCAAGATACGCCCTCGCCTTCGAGGATCACCGCAATACAGCTTACCGGTACAGAAGGCAAAGAGGAGGTCAAGAAGGGCACGCCGGCCGGCTCGCGAGATCAGCCCTGATCGGCAGGCTGTTGACCGGTGCAGCGCTGAAAGGTACGGAGCCTGACCGCTCCCAAGGCAGCCAGAGGTCACGGTCTGATTTTGTCGGCGCCGAACCACTGACACAGTGATGGGCCCGGGCCAGATTGCGACAGCTGTGCGGCATGAAGGCATGCTCTACTCGCCCTATCACTCAGAGCTGGAACTCCCGACAATCGCGGCCTTGATCGAAAAAGAGCTCTCAGAGCCCTACATCATCTACACGTACCGGTACTTCTTGAATCAGTGGCCCCAACTCTGTTGGCTCGCACGTGATGCTGCCACCAATACACCAACAGGCGTGATAGTATGCAAGCTCGATCGCCACCTGAAGGGGGAACGCAAGATGCGAGGCTACATTGCCATGCTCAGCGTTCATCCTGATTGGAGGGGTAAAGGGATCGCCTCGCACCTTGTGAAGCTGGCGATGGCTGCCATGATCCCAATGGGGGCGGACGAGGTTGTGCTGGAGACAGAGGTGGACAATGTGGCTAGCTTGGCGCTTTACGAGCGTTTGGGTTTCATCAGAGAGAAGAGGATGTACAGCTTTTACCTCAATGGTGAGAGACCTAGTACCCTCAGATTGGAGTCCGCGAGCTGACAGAGGACCCTACGACCTTCGCATGATCGCTCGCACAGGCAAGGACTGCTTTCGTCTGGTTCTCTCCCTCCCTAATAAGGTCAAGCATCTGATCCTCGCATCAGTGGAGCTCCCTGCAGCCGCGAAACCCGCAGAGACGAGACCATCACTAGGCGGTGCTTCTCACTCCTTGAGATTTGGAGACTCGATAGGTGGCATTCTGTAGGATACGAAGGTGGGACGCACGAGGAAGTAGAGACAATGTAGAACAACAGCGTGGCCGAGCCTGGGCTGGAGACGATGACTTGCGATGCCGTCCGCCCGTCACCGTACGACAGCCAGCTCCCTAGCCGCCAGTCTTGGAGAGCGCGACCCTGCGCGACGCCCTGATGCTCCATCGGGAGGCGAAAGGTTCTCCGCGCCCCTGCCTCCGACTGCTAGATTGCCCCCACCATCGGGCGTCGAGGGAAAGCTACTGACACTGTCCCTTGCCAATGGGCTGGACTGAAAGGGTTGAGCAGTCAAAGCAGCCGCCAAGGGGCCAGACGGGGCAGCTACACCTCCAACCCCACCTCCCGCTCCCCCGCTTGCCCCAGCACTGTTGCCACTTCCGTTCGTCTTGACTGGGGTCTGCTGCTCCGGACTCTTGCCGGATCGACGTGTCGTAGAGCTCGACGATCCATTCATCGGCTCAACGGCGCTGCCGTTGCTCGCATGAGCCGTAAGAGGTATGGGCGATGCACCTCGAGAGATGGGCCGGCGCACCCTGCCATTTGAGCTCGTGGACCCTGTTGCCCCAGGTACCGTGAGAAGATCGCCGCTCCCTGACCCGTGGATGCTGTCAGGCCCCACACTACCATTCACGCTGCGTGCCACGGAGCTGCCCCTGCTACCATGACCGCGTCGGTTCTCCCCAGCCACCGCCTTGCCCCCTCGAGCGCTCTTTCTCGTGGCCGGTGTGCCCACCGCGCTCGTTGAAGCTGAAGCGTTGCCGGCAGGATACGGGCTTTCGCTCCTCTTGACGGAGTCCCTGGCGCGCTTCCCCATCTTCTCGCCCACACCCAGCCTGACCAGCTCGTCCTTCTCGCGTTGTCGCTTCTCCGCCTCACGCCTCGCTGCGAGGGCTTGCTTGGCTGCCGCTTCGCGTGCTTTGAAGAGTGCCGTCCCTGGTGCGCCGGGGTATCGGGTATTGTAGGGCGCGAGGAGATGCTCGGACTCTTTCGTGCTGCTGGTGTCGAGAAGCTGGAAGAGGGCCACGGGAGTTGGGTAGGGACTGTAGCGCGGGCTACTGGATGAGGACGAGGAGCCGGCGGCAGTCGGGCGAGCGGAGCTGTCGCCTCCCTCGCCGGTGCTGCGCCCAGCTGCGTTGCTGTTACCATCTGACGAGGCAAGAGGAGAGCGAAATGCGCCGACTTTTCGAGGCCGTCGAGGCTGAGGCTGTTGAATGGTGTTGGAAGGCAGGGCCGGTAGGATGGACATGGCCGGCGAGGTCGAGCGAGAGGTTACCATACTGGACGAGGGGCGGAGGTGGGGCGGCGGGCCGGGCAACAGCTGCGACTATATGCAGCCAAATGTGGCGAGCTGGAACGAGATCGAGTCGAGCAGAATCTCAGGGGCAGAAGGAGGAACAGCGAAGACAACGACGCGATTTGGTGGTGAGATAGGACGAGTGGATCGGGATGAGACTTTGGCCTCTCATTCCCCCTCCCTTGCCTTGCCCCCCGGCCGTCGATCGGCCTTGATTTCGATTTGGACTCGTCCCCCCGCGCTTGCTTTCGTGTCAAGGCAAGCAGCCGCTGCTTCCGCCTCCTCTGCTTTGATGCCGTCCCACGCCGCGGCAGCTGCAGCGTCGACGGACAAAGGCGCAACATGGTGGAGGCAGCGCAGCGCAGAGCAGAGAGCAGAGCAAGTCGGCGGCCGGCGAGCTGGGCTGACTGAGGACAGAGCGGGGCGTCAAGCGGGCGTGGTACTCGATGGCGGAGGAAGTGGTGGGCGAGAGAGGGTACCGTGAGACTGGCATTGGTACGACCATGGGCGAGCCGGAACAGGAAATATATATGAACATGCAGAAGAAGGCCTAGTCGCTACGACTGGTAGGCAAGCCCTCGTACTTTCCCTTGGAGTCCTTGCCTCCCCACCAGCCCTGTCGGTGGCCGACATACGCCAACATGAAGAAGGAACCAAACACAAAGAAGACCACGACGAGCGTCTCGAGTAGGCTCATGTCTCCGGGTGACTGCCAATGTTCGAGCTTGTGCGAGGTAGCAGCGGCCGCTGCCGATGACTGAATTTCTGCAATCTTGTGGGCAATCTCCTGCAGCGAGCCCTCTTGATTGATCGGCGTCGTGCCCACTGGTCCAACCTCTACGCCAGCGATGGGTTGGATGGCGGGTGCAGGCTGTGACGGCGGCCAGAGAGCGAGTAGTAGAAGTGTCAGATTGACTTTTGCATTGCAACTGAAGACATTTTGACCCCCCGCCCCTCTCCCTCCTATCGCAGCCCTCCTCCTATCCGTCCTCATCCTCCTCGACCTGCTCCCTTCGATGCAATCAGAGCTCCTCGTGACCGCCACGCACCGCTGCAGCTTCGGCGGCAGTCAGCTCGCCGCTCTTCTTGATCTTGACGTCTTCCGAAGGCTTGTCTCCGAAACTCTTGGGGACGCTCTCGATGTACTTGACGACGTCCATTCCAGAGAGGACGCGGCCGAAGACGACGTGCTTGCCATCAAGCCATCCAGTCTTGACAGTGCAGATGAAGAATTGCGAGCCATTGGTGTCACGGCCTGCGTTGGCCATCGACAGGACACCTGGCCCCTCGTGTTTGAGGTCGAAGTTCTCATCCGCGAAACGGCTTCCGTAGATTGACTTGCCTCCGCGGCCGTTGCCATCCGTGAAGTCACCACCCTGAATCATGAAGTTGTTGATGACGCTGAGCATGGCGTTGTGAGACTCGTCGTCAGCAAGGGACAGGGGCTAGGACAGCTTATTCGCGACTGCGCTCGCTCACCGGTGGAAGATGGATCCCTCGTAGCCAAAGCCAGGCTTGCCGGTGGCCAGCTGCACAAAGTTCTCGACGGTCTTGGGGACGACCTTGCCGTACATGCACATGGTGATCTGCAGGCAGAGAAGTATCGAGAAGGTCAGCTTGAGTCGCATGCCCATCACTACGCCTTCGACTGCAACTTACTCGTCCTACATCCTTGGAGCCGTGAGCAATGTCAAAGTAGACGGTATTTGTGCACGTCGTGTCCGGAGCAGCCTGCACTGATGAGGTGGACAGGGCAAGAATGATTGCCACCGCTGAGACGACGAGGCTGAGAAGATGTGATGCAGCCCTCATGATGACGAAGAAATGAGATGGTGATGGGGGGAAGTAGGAAGGAGCGAGCGGGCGAGCCAGAGGGCGGACGGACGGCCTCCTAGGCGCCCACGCAGCAAAGCCATCCCCGCTTGCCGCTGGCGGCGGCGGGCCAGAGGGCGCTTGTTCTGCGCGCCCGCGATGCCAAGCGAGTCCAACAGGGCTCAAACGCTCTATGGTACGTAGTCTGGACGGCTACAACAACGATGCACGACCATAGCTGCGACAAGAGAATCCAACAATCAATGGCCATCAGTGTTGCGAGGTCGCATCTCCATTCGCTCTTGCTGGCAAGCACTATCGCTGGCTCTCAGGAGGCGATGCGCGAGGCCGACTCGCACGTCGGGACCTGAGGGTGGGCGAGGGCGCGGCAATTGCCATGGGAGCATTGTAGCGGCCCGACGGATTGTCGATGCCGTACTGTGGATCGCCGTGCATTGCCACAGGCCCATCCAGAGTAGATATCTCACTGCCCTGTGACTGTTCTCTTCCTTCTGTCATCCGCTCGCTCGCCTTTGGCCTCAGGCTGCCAGCCGCCGCCCAGGATGAGCGCCAACATCACTGACACGCCTACGATCGTCCCAGACGATAGTGCTAAGCAGGTCCATGCACTGACCGTTTCGACCGAAGCTTTGGCCATCGTCCTCGTGAGAAGTCAATCCTCGTCCGCTGTGGGCTCTGCCACTAATCTCTAGCATTCTGTCTCCTGCCCATCGCAGGGAGTTGTTGGCTGCGTTGGCGCCTTCTGTATCCTCTTTGCAGTCATGCACCGGTTGGTGGGTGACAATGAATTGAGCGGCCCGTCAAGCACAGGTTGCTGACTCACGTTGCTGCTCTTCCTCGACATTCTCGACATTAGTCCCAGCGCGACTTCGAAGCAGGAGATATCGATGTCCCTGACTTGGTTCCTCGACGACGCACTGGCGCAGGCGACGATGCCGGGTCGCAGTCAGCTCAATCTCGGGGCATCGCGACATCTGTACGTAAAACGTCTTCTACTCGACGGAGCCTCGGCCTTGCGCTGAGCCTACTCGGCCGTACCTTCTCGCCTGTCCAGATACTCGCAACCTTTCCTACTTTCGTCTGGCGTGCGCCTCAAAGCACTGCACCCCGCGAGATCGAGGATCAAGTTGGAGACACAGAAGCAGTCGAGATGAGCAATGCCATCGTCAAGACCGACGATGACACAGGTATTGCCGCTCGTCGAGCTGCTTCCGTTGACTTCATGACAGCACGTCGCCACCCCTTGACCGCTCATCGAGCTCGGAGCTTTCCTACGCCCCTGTGTACATCTGGGGTTGGTCACGACGAGGGCAGCAATCGTTCTAATAGCTGTGGAGGTTCGCCTCATCGCCTGAAGCGCAAAACGGCAGCTTCTCTCGAGTCTATTCAGTCTACGCTCGCCTCTCAGACGACTTGCCCCATCTGCACCGACGACTTTGGTGACGGCGAGATCGTAAGTGGCCTACGCGCATTCAGGAATCAATCTGGCTGACTGTTCGCCGTGCTCGTCCTCGCAGCTTCGTCATCTACCCTGCACGGGGAACCATCTTTATCACGCGACCTGCATTGATGAATGGCTCTCGCAGCATCGCAGCTGCCCGCTCTGCCGACAGGACCTCCAGCCTGAGAACAATGACGCCCAAGACGAGCTCGATCAGCCTGCGGCCAGCACCAGTGCGTCTCAGCAGTCGGGTCTCATCGCAACTCAAGCACAAGCATCGACCCAGAGCAGCGACTTGGTCGGCGTCAGCGGGTCGCTGCAGCTACCCTCGCGCTCCACAGCTGGCAGTAGGCCTTCCACCTCGACCTCGTGGAGGCGTCTGATCCTCAGCCAGAGGTTTGAGGAGTACCAAGCCCGCAAGAGAGCCCGGCGCCAGCAGCTGCTTGAGGCCAGGGACACAGGCAATGGCATTGAGCAGGTACCGAGCGCACTGACGACTGCGGCCGTCCCTCACGCCACGTACATCGTCGAGTCTTCCGGACAGCGTGCCACAACAGACAGCAACACCTCTCATCCAAACCGTCGTCTCCGCCTCCTACGACGTCTTCGAAACGAGTCACTGCCTATTCGCCCGCGACGCCCTCTTACGGCCTTGGGCACAGACCAGAATTCTCGTCACCCACGTCCCCGCCCCGGCACCTCCCCTTCCACTGCCAGCCGTGACTACGCGCCTCGCATCCCCCTCTCCGAGTCAGGCTTTGGTGCCGTTGATGAGTATGGGGGAATTCGGTTCATGCCCTTCATCTAGTCACGATACGTGAGGGCGGTGGGAAGAGTGAAACGAGCGAGCAATCAGCATGCCCCTTCCCTGTGTTTCCTTAATTGTCACCGAACCTGAAATTTGATTCGTCCATCATCCTCTCACGGCGATACGTCGGAGAGCTGCTGCGCTGTTGCCTTCGCGTTAAGGCCGCTCGCAGCTGATGAGCGGGAGCGCTGGCGATTCATCATGCTCACTCGTGATCATAAGATGAACGTCTTCGTCGACCTCATTGGCACTCAACTTCACCGAATGTAGCCTGCGTACATCTCATTCAATGAGACCTTCCTCTACCCAGCCCAGTGAGCGCAGAGTGCCAAAGGGAAGAAGGGAGGCGCTACATACGCGAGGTGGACGCCACTTCCTGCCGCGCAGACGGGGAAGGAGGATGACGATGATGACGACGATGACGACGATGACGATGACGATAGAAGTTTGATCGACGACTTGACAACGGAGTATCTCGACATCTCTGGCTTTGCAATCTTTCGATGGCCAAAAGAGGAGGAAGACGAGCTGCAGCGAAGGGACGCTGCGGCGCGTCCTCATGATCGTGTCGTTCAGACTCTTACGAAGCGAAAGAGATTGATCGACGCGAGCGGTGAAGCCTCAACAGCGGGGCTGCTCCCTGTCCAGGGCAAGCTTCGAGCTAAGGTCTCGTCGCCGGCCCCTGAGCAAGCTGCTACTAGGGCGGCACCGCATCAGTCAGGCGATCCTGTCTGGCGCCCTTGGTCAACGTCACTGGACATCGACGACAAGCCAGCTAGAGGAGAATCATCGACAGCCGTCGCCTCATCTGGCCCTCCAAAGTCCCGCAGACCAATGGCACGTCGGTCCAAGCCTTGGGTGCCTAGATCAGGTGAGATGACTCGAAGTGCGTTGGCGAGCAGGGCAAGAGGAAGCATATTGACAGCGTGGTGCATTGGTGAACCAGGACGTGCGACTCATTCAGGCAGCGACAAGGCGATTCAGCAGGCGCGTGAAGGTAGACACCAGGCAGCGATGCCCGTTCGCGGAGGTCACGGGCCTACGATGGGGGCGAGGGGCTTGCCGAAACCGCGGACTTAGCATCAGCGATAACGTACGCACTGCGTAATTGGGCTTGAACCCGCCGTCTGACGGCAGCGCAGCTCCTATCATGTCGGTACGTTGTTCAAATTGGTCGGTCTTGGGTTTCAGCCGCAATGATCACGCAGAAAGTCAGCTGCTCGGTTCAATCGTAACATGAAATCTTTTTCTCGCTCTCACTGGTAGGGCTGAAGGGTTCTTGCACCTGCTGTGTCGAGACTGGTACTTCGAGCCAAAGCTTACCTCTGTTCCGCCGCACTGCCTTCCTCTACCTACCTACTGTCAGCCATCATGCTGCTCAGAAATCTCGTGTCTGCTTTTCTGATGAAGGGGAACCTTTCGAGCGCTCTCCCTAATGAGGCGTGGCCGCTGCGCTGCAGCACGGTCTTCTCACGCCAGCACCCTCTCCCTCCAACAGGCAATGCGAGCCCGGACTACGGGACGATCTGTTCCCTAGGCGTGCAAGGCTGCATCTTGTCAGTACGCGGTGATGTCAGTTCCACACGTCCCAAAAGCCTTCGAACCCTTTTGCTTGGTGCCTCCTTGCCGCAGTGTCGGCCGCACAATACGAATTTCTGGCGTCGGCATCAACACCTCCGGTCCCATTCCCGGCACATACATCACAGCGTACGTTCTTGACCATCGTGGCCACGGCAATGTGACTGGATGTGGCTTTGAGGCGGCGTGGGACTGGAACTGGAGTGAGGACGGGGTGACTACCTACGACGGCAGCGGAGAGAATCGAGGAATACTGGGGTTCTTTACCATGGACCAGGACAACGTGGTGAGTGTCAGAAGGGCGATGTATGTGTTGTAGCGTTGATCGAGCGCCATTCATTTGCCTACGCACAGGTCGAGGACAATAAGCTCTCTTCCAGGCGAGCAGAGGATGACCTGGCGCTTTACTGCTCACCGCTAACTCCGCCCGTGAAGAGTGTAGCCGCCGAAGACAAGGCAACGCTGGCGCTTTGGCTCGACTCGTGGTCAGCCCACGCCCAATAGATTCCGTACGGCAACGTCAGATCGTGTCCCCTCACACGCATGACTTCTCTTGGCGAAGCCCTGGTCACAGGCGAGCTAAGCGGATGATGATGCGATGGTGGGGGCGAGGTACGCTTTGAAAGCGGCGAGAGATTGCACGTCACCCTGTACCCTCGCCGACGTCTAATCTTGGCCAGTATCACTGCAGAGCAAAAAAGAGGCCTCCCTTCCGTCCCTCGTCCTTGCTCGTGCCTCACGCAACCAAGAAGTCCATTCGACCAGGAGCCAGCCCGTCGCGCCATGTCCATGCTTCTTTTCGCCTACCTCGTGTTCGCCTCGCCAGCAATCTCGGGCTTCTTGAGCTCGGGTGCGCGCCGTACTCTTCACATTCGCCGCTACTCGCTACTGGCTGACAGCGTGTCTGTTCCTCCTCTGCAGCTGCCGACCCAGCTGGATGGGACGACTGTCTCAGCGCTGGGACACAGTGTATCCAGTGAGTATCTCACCGTCGCTCTCCCCTCACACTTGTGCTGATCCCCAACCTCGTAGAACGGCACCCGGGATCAGCGTGACGGGTGCAGAATACCAAGGACGTACCAACGGCTCTGATCTTACGAACTGGATCGTGGCTCCCAATGGAGCAAGTGGTGTTATCAAGGGATGTTATGGCGAGGCAACGTGGTCGTCACAGGAGATGGGCGATACCGTCTTTGATGGAACGAAGCAGGGCAGGGGAAGGCTTCAGGTGCGCAGCGATCATGTCGATTGGATGGCCCAAATTGACTGACAAGCTGAGCACGACCCTCGCCCGTCTACAGGCGTGGTTTAGTCTCTCACCAGGTGACAAAGTCAGAGCCGTCTTGTGTCTGCTGAAGTTTTGCAGTCCCTCATGCTCTCTCCCACTTATTGGCCGTACCTGCAGGTTACCAACGCCGTGATCCGCTCTTCCATGAGTGGAGACGACCTCACAGTGATCTGTGTACGTACGAGAGGTGGAAGAGCCTCGAGGATTGAGCTGACTAAGTGCGAGCCTTCTTCGTCCACAGGAAGATCCCCCGCGCGAAGGCTCCCCGCATGAGGCAGAGCTGATGGAAGATACCTTGCTGGAAGGCTTATGAGGTGGGAAGGCCCTGTGCCCTACTGGTTTACCCCTTCGCACGGTGCTGCTACTTTCCGCCGGCGTGATTGTAGCCTCGTCTGTGGCGCGCTGAGGTGTCTGTATGAGTCTCGATGCAATGACACAGCCCATTGCACCTCACGGACGTCCGTGTCGTTTGCATCCGACCCGCACCCTGTGCCCTCTGCGGAAAGATACGAGCGAGGCTGTCAGCCGCCTTTGCTTGCAGCTTCAAGAGTGTCGTGACCTCAGCGATGCACTCTTATCGTGCCCTTCCCTTCTGACCCTTCGCGTGCCGCTTCGACCCCTCCTGTCCCAGTATGCTCGCCTTTGCCTGTATCGCCTTCGCCTCGACGGCGCTGACGGCCATTTTCAACGCGGGTGAGCGTTTGCGTGACGGTCGATCACCACTCTTTACTGACTGAGTCGCACCTACCGTCCAGCCGCGGCCGAAGACTGTGGTAGTGCCGCGGTGCTCTGCCTCCAGTGAGCCTCAGACCTCTCCTACAGCTTCCTTCCTTGCCATTCTTCTTACTCACCTTCGCTCATCCTCACGTCTGTAGAACCGCCCCTGGCATTACAGTCACGGGCGCTGAAAAACAAGGCCTCATCCCCGGATCGACCCTGACTGGCTGGTTTGTGCCCCCCAATGGCTCGCGAGGGGATATCAATGGGTGTAATAGTAAGGCTACGTGGACTAGCTACGAGATGGGAAACACCACCTTTGACGGCTCGGGTCAGACGAATGGGAGGCTCCAGGTAAGCTCCGGGAGGGGGAACCGTCTCCTTGCACTCGAGTGGCGACTGACTGATCTACGCTACGATGCCTGACAATAGGCTTGGTTCAGCCTGACTCCGAACCACAAGGTGAGTACGAGTGCAGATCCCTACTGCTGATTTTCATGAGTGTCCGCTCTGACTTGGCGATTGCGGGACGCTGTTGCAGGTGATCAAAGGCGTGATTACCACGGATCAAGGCGGCGATGACTTGACGGTCGTCTGTGTGAGTAATACCCTAGACTTGCACGACAGGCCAGCGCAAAGATCAGTTGACGTTTCGTGCCTAGCAGGCCAATCCTTGAACGACGTGCGACAATGGCCGAGGATCCACATGCCGAGCTTCCTAGCATTCTCGCCGCTCAGCGCCATCCTGTGTCGAATGAACTCCGCTTGGCTTCTTCCTCTTCCTGCTCATTTCAATTCGTATGCTTCTTCTTGATCTGACCGTCGTGACCCTTGCTCAATGGCTTCGCTCGCCGGCAGCCTCTCGTTGAATGTTGTCAAGTCAAAGGAAGGAAGAGAGCCAAGAGTTGCGCCGCACTTTGTGTGGAGTCGTGCTGCGAGCGCATGGGCCATCCACCCGGGCCATGCGAGTCGATGCGGCAAAGGCTGAGCGTGGCGCAACGGCGTCGCGGACTTGTCCTCCTTACCACCACTTCCACGAACATGGCGGCCAGCGTTCATCAGACTCCACTGCTGTGGATTCCGCTCAAACAGACAGAAGAAGTCGACGTTGCCACACCAGTTCGCTCCCTCATCTCCTCTTCCTATGGCGAGGATCCAAAACGCTACTCGTCGGCGTTGGGTGCATTGGCAAGGGCGAGGACGGATGCATTGAGAGGATCACCCGGTAGTGATAGGACGGCCAGAGACCTACTTTACAAGTGGTTTCACATCTTGGAGATGCTCGAAGTCCGCTTTCCTGAGCTCAGAGTGCCCTTCACTTGGAAGGATGTGAGTCAGGCGTCATGCCGTGCGCGGGAGAGGATCTCACCGATGCTGATTCTCATACTTTGGTCACTCGTTCTCAGGCCTTCACTACAAAACCGATCAGCCAATTCTCGCTCGCCTACGAAAAGGCTAGCGTCATATTCAACATCGGCGCCACTCTTAGCGCAATGGCATCGACTACCACGCGGCTGGGAGGAGCAGGCGGCGAGGCAGACGCAAAGGCCAATGTCACCTCGCCCTCTGCCTCGTCGGCATCCCTCGCCTCTGCTTCAGAAGGCGATGGCACAAAGAGAGCGTACACAGCTCTGCGTCAAGCTGCTGGCTTCCTCACCTACATCAATGACAACTTCCTTCACGCCCCTTCGACGGACATGTCTCGTAACCTACTCCGCTTTCTCGTACCACTGCTCCTCACTCAAGCCAACGAGGTCTTTCTCGAGAAGACACTCAATGGCAAGAGCAGCCCTGGGCTCATCGCAAAGCTGGCTAGCGGCGTCGCAGCGGGCTACACGACGGCTGCGGAAGAGGCAAAGGAGTGGGTGTCGAAGGAGACCATCGACCGCATCTGGGGTCTTCTCATCGCGGCCAAGGCCAAGCACTACTCTTCGCTGGCTCAGTACTACAAGTCGCAGACCGACGCATCAGCCTCGCAGCACGGCCACGCTCTCGTCCGCTTGACGATGGCAGAGACCCTTTCCAAAGAGGCACTCAAGCTCTCCAACCAATTCTCGTCCAATCACTCCTCTTCTGGCCCATCAGCTTCGGCGGCTACCACCTTTGGCTACACCAGCATCACCTCCAGCGCGTACACGATGCCCAACGATGCCGGCCCTGCAATCATCAGCATCGTCTCCACTCACCTGTCCATCGTGTCAGAGAAGCGCGCCCAAGCAGTGAAGGACAACGACTTCATCTACCACGACATCCTCCCTTCCGAAACGTCCTTGCCCGCCATCGATGCCACGAAGCCTGCGCAGCTCATCACAATTCAGGAGGTCTATTCCAGTCCAGAGGTACAGCGCGCTGTAGGCCCCGACCTGTTTGCTAAGCTTGTGCCCCTCGGCGTGCACGAGCGCGCTTCCATGTATTCCGAGGAGAAGGCCAAGCTTGCGAGAGCAGAGGCCGAGAGGTGTGATGTAGCCGAAGGCGAGCGGGTGGCGACGCTTGATGGCATGGGCTTGCCTGCTGCGCTGGAGCGATTCCGATTGGCAGTCAAGATCGGTGCAAACAGCGGCGAAGGCGCGGGCTTCGAGTCGCTTGTCGACCCAGGCACCCAGGTCATGACTTGGTCGCAGGAAGAAGCTGCCGGCGGAGGGGCAAGGGGTGCGGACGGTCTCTCCGCCCCAGGCTCAGCAGGCATCGAAGATGCACTACGCCGGATTACCTCCCTCCGTCAGACGGCGAACAGCGACCTCGGCACGGCGTCTGACTTGCTGGATGAGGAGTCCCGTCTCTGCGAGAAGGCCAGAGCGAAGCATGGCCTGAATTGGTCGCAGGAGCCCTCGGGGGCGCAGGCGAAAGTGAAGGATCTGCGCGCCGAAATCAAAAGCAACCGTGAAGCGCTCAGGCAGGCTGAGGAGAATGATCGGCGGATCGAGGCCAAGTGGCGGGACTACGAGAAGGATATCGGGCTGCTGGTGCAGGGGAGAGGAGCTTTGGAGCAAGCATTTGCCGAGGCGCTCAGCGGCAGCAGCGGCGCTGGCGGGCCTGGTGCTTCGAACAGCGGAGGCATGTCCCTCCTTGACCTCTCCGAGAGTGACGAGCAGGCAAGCACAGACGCGATTTCTAAGCTCCGCAGCGATGTGGAAGCGCTGGACTCCCACCTGGTCAAGCTCTCCAAAGTCAAGCGCGAACGGGACTCCCTGCTGGCCGAACTACGCGAAAAGCTGCAAACCGACGACATCGGACATCTTCTCATCTTGTCTCATCGCGGAGGGGGCAAGAAGTCGTCTTCCTCGTCCTCTGGAGGCGAGAGTAGTGAAGACGCAGGCGGAGCAGGCGAGAACCCCAATCAGGCGGCACAGGAAGCTGCTCTGTTTCGTCAGGAATTAGACAAGTTCCGGCCCTGGCAGCAGAGGATTTCACAGGCTTTGGCAACGCAAGGGCACCTTCTCTCGGAAATCACACGGCTGTGGAACGGGATCAACTCTTCTCCCGAAGGGTCGCGCATCGCGAAGCAATGGGAAGAGAAGAGTCGAGCCCGTGAGGCGCTTGTCAGCAGGTTGTCGGCCGCAAAGGGGGCGAGTGCTGAAGTTCGCGCCGCATTAGGAAAAGGCCTTCAGTTCTATGAGGAGGCTGGGGACATTGCCAGGGGTCTGAAGGTGGGGTCGAAAGAGTGGCATGAGACTAGGGGAAGGGAGAGACAGAAGTTAGAGGGAGAGGCGGAGTGGCAGGGGAAGCTTGACGGTGCCGGGAGAAGCGACAGCAGCAGTGGCTTGGAAGGGAGTATGAGTAGGATGGGCTTGGGTGGTTCAGCAGGTGGACCACCGCCCCCACCTCTGCCTAACGCTACGACGAGGCAGGCATCATATGGAGCGTACGGCGCATCACCTAGCCCTTCGCCTGCACAGCATCACGCGCCGCCTCCACCATCGGCAACGGCATCGTTCCAGCACGGGCAAAGCACCCAACACTACCCACTTCCGCCCTCATCCTCATCCTCAATCAGCTCTCCGACCTCTCCTGGCCTTCCACCTCCTCCAGCGCGGCCATCGTACTCTTCGTTTCCTCCGCCTCCTCCACCACAGCAGCAGCAGCGAAATAGCAGCGCAGCCTCGCCGTACAACTTTGGCCCTGCTACGTCCGGGCCTTTTGCTAGTGCTTCGAGTCCTGCGCCGCCTCCACCTCCTCAGCAGCAACATCAGCATCAGCCACAAAGGCAGGGAAGCTACGGCTATTCCTCGCCCGCACCACCTCCAGCGCCACAGCAGCAGCCGCAGCCGCAATACAGCCATCCCACTTACAGCGCTTACCAGCCGCCTTCCTCGGCAGCGTCCTCATCTCCCTACTATCCGGCTCCTCCAGCCCAGCCATCAGGTGCAGGATTAGTGGGAGGATACCCCGCCCCGCCCTCGACGGCACCCGTCCCTCCCTCATCAGGCTACGGCGGTTACGGAGTCCCGAGCAGCGCCTATGGGAGCAGGCCGCCACCCCCACCGCCTCAGTCTTCGACTCCCGGAGCGGGCTACTACGGCGGTGCACCTCCGCCGCCTCCCCAGCACCAGGGGCAGTATGGAGGCGCCTCTCAACAGCAGAGTGGCGGGGCAGGCTATGGACAAGGCGGGCATTATGGACAGCAGGGCCAGCAGCCATGGCGCGGTTATTGAGGTCAATAGCGTACTGGACTGAGGAGAAGAGGTGTCGCACGACCGAGGCAAGCAGTGAGCTGATGTCATGCATACGATGATGATCAATGGAACGCTGAAAAAGGGTGACACAACAAGTAAGGATGGTATACGACTGCCGCTCGTGTTTTCCTCCGCATCGCCTCTCCTCCCGTTCCTACCACAGCACATCAATCAGTTCGTCCTCCTCCAACTCCTCGACATCGCCCACTGCTCCGTCCAGCTTCATCGTCTCGCCATCCCAGACCATTCTTGCCTTCTTGATGATACTGGCAGCCGTCATGCCAGCCTTGCGCGCCGTACCGTCCTTTTCTGCCGTCGAGGCAAAATGCTCCAACATCCTTCTAAACGTGGTGGTCCGGCGCACGTTGACACTCAGTGTAGAGCCGGTGGAGGAACGCAGAGTCAGGCGAATGCGATCTCCTTCGCCAGCTGCATTTGCTTGGGTATCAGGAGGCGCAGCAGTGGTGGTGAAGGACGAAAGGGAGGTGGGGGCATCGACGAAGAGAGGCCCTCCTCTGGCGTCTTCGTCCTCCGTGTCTGAGTCGATAAGGTTGATGGGTTCGGGAGAAGGCTTGCTTTTCTTGGCTTGCATGGCGCTCGCGTCCGATTTGCGGCTGGCCTTGCGCTTCGTCTCTTCGGTGTCTGACGATTCAACGAGGATGACGCCATCGCTCTCTGCATCCTCGTCCTCTTCGACCCTCTGTAAGCCCTGCGGCTGCGTCTTCTCCCTTTCTTCCTTCTCCTTGCGCGCCCTCTCGCGCTCCTCCTGTTCAGCTCTCGCCCTGGCCCTCATGCTAGGCGCCTGCGAGCCTCTCAGGTATGGCGCAAGGTCTGGGTGGATGGAAGGGGCAGGTGCATTCGCTGAGCTTGCGCGATTCTGTGACCCTCCTCGGACGTTTCGATCCGAGGCGCTCGCACTTGAGCGTGGAAAGGGTCGTCGAGAGGAGCCGACGCCGATGCTGCTTGACCTGCCATTTGCGCCGCCGGGACCATAGACCATGTCGACGTCTCTTTCGGCATCGTGACTGTATGCTTCGCCCACTAGATCGCCATCCTCATCATCATCGCTGTCGGCCGTACGCGCAAGGGAGGGCGGGAGAGGGTGCTTGGCGTCGAGGATCTCCCTGATGCGAGAGATGTCTGCAACGTGATCGAGAAGAGTGTCACATGGTCAGCTCCTCACGTGATATATCGTGACCTATTTCATGCTGTCACTCACGCTCTTGAGCCAACTCGGGCGGCGGTGTCAAGCTGACGCTGCTGCGTTGGCCCTCCTGCCTCTTCTTCTTGCTCCTACGTCTCTGCGTACCTCCTTCGCCCTCCTTCCCTTGACTAGAAGCCCACCACTCTTGACTACTCGCATCACTACCACTGCCGCTGCCCGAGCTACGGCGGCGACGGCGACGTCCGTTGCTCGGCCCAGCTTCGGCTTGATCCTCGTCGTCGTCTTCTTCGACAATCTTTCCCCGTCGCGTCCAACTCGGCAGGCGTCCCCCTATCCTGTGCTTCTTGGGCCTGCCAGGACCTCGGCGCTTCCTTGACGAGCTCGATGAGGATGATGAGGAGGCATCGTCTGAGCCAGGGGAGGCGTCACTCTCCTGCCCTTCACCGGCGCGAGCACCAGCACTCAGTCGCCCCGTACTACTGCCGTTGCGCTCAGCAGCACCTGCGGCGCCGGAGTGTGTGAATGAGGCAGAGCTGCGCGAGATGGGACGACGTCGCATGAAGAAATCGTCGTAGTCATCGTCGTCTTGAGCACGTCCGGCTGAGGGAGGCAGGGCGATGGACCCTGTGGCCTCGACGGAGGGAGAGGGGCGGCCGAGAGTCTTTCGGGGGAAGGCGGATGGTCGATCCTTGGCAGCAATGGCACGAGCGGCAGGACCGTCCGAGTCCAGCTCGTCCGTCTCACTACTCAGGAGCTCAACAGTCTTGTGCACCTTCAGACTTGCGCCTGAAGATGCGTGAGCAGGCTTCGTCGGAGATGGCCCCTTCTTGGATGGCGGGGGGCGAGTGGCTGGTGAGTGCGCTGTGCGTTGCTTCTTTGATGCCGTCTTTTGCGGAACATCATCGTCGTCCGAGTCTATTATGACGACGAGGGGGGCTGCTGATGCTGATTCTGATGTTGTCGCTTTGCGATTTGTCGAGGATGAGGCTGACGTCGAAGCCGAGGCAGAGGCAGCCGTTTGAGCCCGTGTACTTCGTCGAGGCGGCATGCTGGCGTGGAAGCAGCGAGCGTATGATGCTCGAGAGGGTTCGCCAAGCCCTGATCACGCTTCCAGGCGTGACAGAGCGAAGCGCTGGCTGTATGCGGCGGAGCTGGTGATGATGATGGAAATTGATAGCGAGGGAATCGACGGCAAGAGACAATCGTTCAGACCCGACGGACGGAAGCGGAGACGAGACGCAGCGGAATGCCAGTCGTGGCGCGTCGGGATCGAAGGCCCCCCCGCATCATGACAGCCACGGCTCAGACTACCGTACAATGGCTCGAGGATATCTGTATGCTAGTCGGCGCGCAATCTATTTCATCGAGCCGCTACTGTCGCGCTAGTCGCTCCAGTCACCTTGATCGGGCTCGTCGGCGATGAAGGCCCAACAGCAGCAGCAGCAGCGACGCCAGGCGCAGCTCCACTTCCTCCTGTCCCTGCCCCTCCTCCCACCGACGCTATATGCGAATTCGGAGGGAAGCCGGCATTCAATGCATACGCCGGGCTCCTATGCGTAGATGTCGACCCGCCCCTGGCCTTTTGCTGCAAATGCCCTGCCTCATCATCCTCGGCCCCTTCGTTGTCCATCGCTCGCCCTCTCACCTCATCATCCATGGCCAGGAGAGACGACGGTGCCTTCGCATTGAGCTGGCTCCTCGCAAGGGACGCCTCTCGTCTTGTCAGGGTCGACGTCGCCGAGGAGGAGGAGGCGTACGGCGCTCGTACCGGCACATGCATGGGATGCGGTCGATCGATGGGCGAGTACTCATCGAGGATGGGGATCTGTAGAACGTTCATCTTGGGTGTGACAATGATCATCGTGTTGGTGGGGACTTCCATCCAGTCAGCTAGCGACGATGCAGAGCAATGTCAGCCAAGTTGCATCCCCTGAACACACCTGTTTTGCCGGCTCACCCTTTTCAAAAGTCAATGGCTCGCTCGCCACGACCACAATATTCTGCCTCCTGTCCTCTTTGCGCATTCGGAACCTGCCCTTCTCCCGCTCGTAGAAGCTTGTGCCCGAGGAAAAGTACAGGGAAGCAGCCTCATCGTGCAAGGAGGAGACGTAGCGCGTGCAGACGATGGACTGGCCATCGGTCACACAGAAGTTCATGAGGGAGGGCTGGCGGGGGCGAGCGAAGAGGCAATGTCAGTAATCATGAGCGCAGGGCTCGCTCTGCTGTTCGCGCTCCTCGCGCTTACCTCCTCGACGCCCTTTTCCCTCGCCCATCTATTCAGGTCAGCAATTGTCCTCTCCATGGCCCCCTTGAGCTCTCCCCACGCGAAAGTTTCCTCTCTTCCTGGCCTATCCAAATGGCTCAGAAACAGCGCAAAAGCCCACTCCGAGTCGGTCTGACCCTGCGGGAAGTTCAACAACTCGTCATCCAGTGAAGCCAATAGCGTGCGCTTCAGCAGACCAAAAGAAGAAATTTGACCGTTGTGCATCCACATAAGGCGACCGTACCGCCAAGGGTGGCAATTGGTCTCGGACAAAGCTCCGGCCGTGGAGGCGCGAATGTGGGCAAAAACGAGGGGCGAGCGGATCTTCTCACAGAGACGTTGAAGGTTCTGATTGTTCCATGCTGGTGTGACGGAGGTGAAGATGCAGGGTGCAGAGGGGTGTGGGTGATCCTTGCTCGATGATGGTGATGATGATGATGAGGACGAGGATGCGATGGGCGCAGTATCGGGGTGATCATCGAGGGGGGCGACGTACGCTAAGGAAGTGGATGAGGAGGCAGAGGCCTCGGCGTCGTACCATCCTAGACCAAAGCCATCTCCATTGACTGATCTGGTTGCATCGAGGCGAAGGCGAGCGTCGAAGGCTTGGTTGATGATGGAGTGGGCGGGCTTGGTCACGAGGTTAGAGAGGGTGATGGGCTCGATGCCCTTGAAGACTGCCGAGGGACGAGAAGTGAGGCGGTCAGCAGGCTGAGGCGCAATTCAGGCGAGCTCTTAAAGCTGCTCACCAAGCAAACGACACATCGACCGCCCGTCACGTAGCAGGTAAATAGCAGTCAAGAGGGAGAAGCAAGGAGGATAGGGACGCAAATCAAAGGCCATGAATGCAATCAAGGCGGGCCGCACAGATTGACGCCATCGACTCGTCCCCTTTCCGCCTTGCATGAAAGCGCCACTTGAGCCCATCAAGTCGCGTGAGCGTTCCGTCGAAAAGAAAAGGCAATGATACAGTACGATGAAGACGCAACGCAATGACATTGACGGCAATCGACGGTGATGTACGCTGGTCTCTTCGCCTCATGCCCCTGCGCCTACGGCCCCCGCGGCTCTGAACTCTTTCACCTCCTCTCCCGAGTAGCCCAACTCCTGCAGCACTTCGGACGAGTGCTGGCCTAACACAGGGGGCGGCCGTGAGATCTGCGTGCGGCGAGAAGCAGATTGTGAGCCAAACATCACCTTGCACCAGGACACGCTCTTCCTTACTCACAGGCATTCTCCCCTCGCCATAATGCACCGCCGGGCTGGTCACTTTCACCTTGCCAATTCTCGGGTGGTCCAGCTCTGTGACGACCCCTCTTGCCTTGCTCTGCGGGTGCTCCTCGAATGTCTGCCTGATGTTGCGAATCGGCGCGACAGGCAACTTACCCTCCAGCCGCTGCATCCAGTAGTCAATCGGTTGTTCATCAAAGATAGACTGCAGCAATGGCTCCAACGCTTGTCGATTCTTGACTCTGTCGGAGTTCGTCCTGAACAAGGGGTCCGTAGCCAGCTCAGGTCGGCCCATGGCCTCTACTAGCGTCTTGTATTGTCTATCATTTCCTCCTCCGATCATGATGGGTGAGTCCTTCGTCTCGAAGACCTTGTATGGCACGATTGAAGGATGAGCACTACCGTGTCTGCCTCCCTCTGTTCCAGCAACGAGGAAGGAGGAAGCCACATTCGCCAAGGAAGCGATTTGCGACTCGAAGAGGGAGGCATCGATATGGACTCCTTTGCCTGTCTGGGATCGCCCGATGAGAGCAGCCATGATTGCACCATGGATATACAGGCCCGTCGTGAGGTCGGTCATTGCGACGCCAATCTTGACTGGAGGTCGGTCGGCTTCACCCGTGCTAGCGAAGAAAGGGAAGAAAGATCGTGGTCAGCTCACTTCCAGACGGTCAAGAGGGGTATGCATCTGCACCCACATATGCATCAACCCAGCATCCGCAGCAATGATCACGTCGTACCCCGGACTGGTACTGTACGGCCCCGATTGCCCATACCCCGTCAAGCTAGCATAAATGATGTCCGGCTTGATCGCCTTGACCTGCTCGTATCCCAAGCCGAATTTGGCAAGCTTGCCCGGCAGGTAATTCTCGACGACGACGTCCGACTCGCGAATCAACCGCTGAATGATATCCTGGGCCCCTCTCTGCCTCAAGTCAAGCGTAAGAGATCTCTTCCCCCTGTTGACGCTGAGAAAGTAGGCTGACTCTGGCGGTAGTTCGAGCCATCTTTGCGCCTCCTCTTGCGCCAGGCCTTTAGGGAAATGCTGTGGATCCAGAGTGGGAGCAGCCGGGGGCAGCCAGCTGCGTGTCCCGTCCCCGCCCTGTGGGTCTTCTACTTTGATGACATCAGCGCCGAGATCGGAGAGTAGCATGGTACAGTAGGGACCAGCGAGGATGCGCGTCAAGTCGAGGACACGGATGCCCTTGAGAGGCGGGGGTATTGAGGCTACGGGGAAGGGGGACGACGAGACCGGGATCGAGTACGAGCGACGCTGTTCCAGCTGCAGTCGTGAAGAAGAGGCGACAAGGCATCTTGATGATTGCCTCGCAGTGAGCGCCGATCGACGCAGCGGTATTGACCAGCTTGCCATGAGGTGCTGCTGGGATGGAAGATGGAAGGTGGAGAAGGAGAAAAGAGGCTGCAGGGTCGCAAGCCGCAAGTCAAACACCGGCAAAGGGCGGCAACAGACCAACGCCGACCCGGCGGAGCCCCACAAGACGCAGCCGAGCCGGACTGGCGTTGCTCCTTGATCCAACTTCACCATCTTGCGTCGTGTGGTCTCGCAGGAGTGTTAGCAGCGACGACGACCAAGGGGCTCGCAGCAGTGAGCCTCATTCACTCGGCTTTCTCTACCGGCATCAATCGATAGTCGAGGGAGAATAGTATTGTCTTTGGTGGGCGACAGCGCCGCTTGTCTCACCACCGTGTGTGTGCACCTCGATGTCGCCAAACCCGTTGGCCGGTCACCGGTAAGTATGGTCGGCAGGCCAAGCTTCAAATAGAAGCAAGGATCGCCTTCTCCACAGGCTTGCACCAGCTGAGTCGAGAGGGCAAGGGCAGCTACGGAGGCGAGGAAAAGGGCCAGGTGCATGGTGGTACTGATGTCGTGGGGAACTGATATCGCGGTAAGGAGAGATGCTGCAATCGACTTGCTATTTACCGAGCAGGTATTGCTGCTTGCTTGACGCTTCTTACTTGGCACTAACCTCCCGTGCCCTCTCGCCCACGCTCGACTGGGCGCACTCAATACTGGCTCGATGCCGGCGAGCGAGAGGGCATTGCCCACAAGAAAGCAGTCCAACGTGCGCTCTCCCTGAAGCCTCGACTAACGCTACCGCAGAGATCTCAAGCGATGCCATCTTCCTTCCCTTTTACTGACAAGACAGTGCTCGCCTCAAGCTAACGGGACTGGCCTGCGCCCTAGTCTTCACGGCCCACCTCATTCCCCTTGTCCTGACCTGAGGAACAAAGCTAGACTCTTGCCTCTACGTGAAGGCAGATATGGTCGTCGACCCTTCTGCGCCTTCCAAGCCTGTCGAACAGTATGGCAACATCGAGATGCAGGCCCACAACGATGGCCGATCGCGACGTATCATGGGCTGTCTCTCTGGAACTGGAATCGGATTTTGCGATGACAAGGGGGGGCGCCGTCTCTACCGGCGCAATCAACAAGATGGAATTCCGTGTGGGCGTGAGCGGCGCGTGGGGAGAAGGCAGCGCTGATATGAATGGGTATGAAAGTGTTGGGTTCAGGTGCAGGTGAGGGCGCTGAGAGAGATTGGCGGGTACCACCGCGGCCAGGTGGTCGGTGATACCAGTGGCACGAAGCAAATATCTCTCTCGCCCGCAGGCGTCTCAGTCCCTACGCTGTCACTCGCCGTGCCACCGTTGCATCACCGCCGTATACTCGCACTCTCATTACGCTGCGACCGACGAAGCATACTGCCGTCGCCCGGTATAGCCTCTGCTGATGATTGCCTTGAGTAGGTGAAGCCTTGAAAGCAGAGAAGGGGCGCGTTGGTGGAAATCAAGCTCGGAGCTGCACGCCGAGCTGCAAGAGACGCCCATGCGCGTGAGAAAGTGGAGGGATCGATTGAAGTGAAGGTTTAGCCCTAGTCCGTCCATTCTTTTCTTGAGTCCTTTTTTGTTTTCTCGTGTCTCCCTGATCATCACTGTCCCTCGACGCTCTCTCCCATCTCGTCACACCCGTACCGTCTCTCTAGATGTCAGGCTTCGTGACTGCGGTGCCCGTCGCCGTGGGCAGGTCCGTCTTGGCGCCTCTGTCTCTACTCCCCAGCCGCTACCAGGCGACGGACGTCCGTGTTGGTCAAGAGGCGTCGGAGTCCTCGCCATCCCCATCGTCCGAGAAAGTTCCACCTCAATTCACTCGCGAGCCCCTCACTGAGCTTCTCAAGAGCGTGTCCAGCCTCAACTCGTACGCGCCTCACCCTCTGATCCCTTTTGGCCACCTGCAGACCATCTACTCTGCCGTCGCCGATACCGTCAACGTCGACGTCGTCCATTACAAACGCCATGTGCTCCTCCTACCTGATGGAGGGACAGTGGCCGTGGATATCTCGCCTCCGGAATGGGACGACCCTTCGAGCCCCGAGGAGCAGAATAGACCTACCGTTGTCCTCAATCATGGCTTGACAGGCGGCTGCCACGAGACCTAGTGAGCTGAGCAGAGCCTCGCAAGTGCCGCTCATTTGAAACGCTGATCGCTTTGATCTCCCCTCGCACTCACAGTGTTCGCCACGTCATCCCACCTCTCATCGAAAGTGGATACCGCTGCGCAGTAGTCAATTTCCGCGGCTGTGGACAAACGCCCGTCACCTCCCCTCAGATGTACTCAGCAGCCAAGACGGATGATCTACGCACCGGCCTCCTCTGGATGCTCCAGCGCTGGAAGCAGACCGAATTTGCATTGATTGGCTTCTCACTGGGCGCCAATGTCGTAGCCAAGTATTTGGGAGAGGAAGGAGACTCCACGCCAGTCCGAGGTGGACTCGTACTTGCCACACCCTTCGATCTGAAGATGGGCAGCGACAGCCTCGAGGGAAGCAAGCTTTACGACCACAAGATGGCGGGCAACCTCGCCCAGCGAATCGGCACAGCTGCTGGCGCCCTAAGCCTCGACCCAAAGCTCAGAGCACCCCTACGTCGGCTCCTCGACCCACAAGGATACGCGAAGGCCCATCCGGACGAAGTGGCGCAGCGTAAAGTCAAGCCAGGCTCCCTCAAATGGGTTGACGACTCCATCACGCGTTTTGCCGGCGGCTACTCAAAGCCATACGGCACCTTCCCGTTCGACTCAGCAGACGACTACTATAATGCGAATGGAAGCATTCATTTCCTGCACAACGTAGCACGACCGCTGCTCTGCATCAATTCGGACGACGATCCCATTGTTCCTTACCACATTCTGGAGGCTACCTGGGAGGCCAGCAAGAGCAATCCGAACGTCGCTCTGGCTGCAACGCGTGGTGGGGGACATCTAGGCTGGTGGGAAGCAAAGGGACTCAAGGGGGCGAAGAAGCCAACTAGGTGGCTGGGTCCCGTAGCCAAGCAGTGGGTTGAGCAGGTGTTCCAGAGCCCGATCAGGAGTGGCGATGCGGAGGGGTACAAGACGCGAAACAACCCGTGGCTGCAGGGAGACGTAGAGACGGTTGAGGAGGTTCAGTACGAGTTGCTCAGCGAGGACGAGGTGCTCGACTTTGACTTTGAGGGAGGCGCCGAGGCGGCAAAGGCTGCCGACGAGGCTGACGCCAAGCTCAAGGCTGAGCTACCTGCGATTCTTCCCGAGGTCAACGCCGAGCAAGACGGCGACGCAGCTGCGCCCACCGTGCAAGATTCCATGGCTCGCCCACGTCACGCCTGGCTCCTCACGCCGCTGCTGTCGCAAGACGTCGCGCCCCTTCTTCACCCAACTCACCACCCCAAGTTCACCGCCCTCAAGCAGCCCAGCGAACGCTCCTTGATCACCACAGGCACAATGTACCGCTGCCGCTCCCGCCCCCACGTTGGCTTCATGGAGCTTGACGCAGACTCGCGCGTCGCAGGGTGCGGTCTGACCTTTCAGGGTGGTAAAGCCATTCCAGGGCAGAGCACCGATACCAAAGGCGACAGGATCGATGCGAAGGGCAAGAAGGAAGGGTGGAGGAGGGGGAAGAAGTCGACGATGGGTGGGCTTTGAGAAGCCAACGAACCATAGCATGGCCGACGGCGATACTATAAACGGCGGCAAGACGCTTGCGCCTTCCCTCACCTCTTCTAGAACATAGATCGCACGTAGATCTCCCTCCTCGTAGATAGACAGCCAGCATCAAATAACATCCCCTCTCACGATCATAAGAAACCACAATTCACATCACGTTGAGAGTCTATAATTAAGAGCGAGCTCCCGCACGCGAGCAGTACTGTCCATTTCCCTGTCTTATCTACAGCTCAGCATACTCTGGCCGCGTGCTCAACACGTATGCGTCACACCCCTTGCCCTCCCACTAAACAGCTCCGCAAGAGCTTGTCCAACAGATACGATGAGAACCACAGTGCCAAAGAGGGCGCAACCGACAGCCAGCGGCTTGGTGGAGAGCCACCAGGTGTACCAATGCTTGGCCTCATTCGGTCTCCGAGCGCGTATCGAAGCGCCAGGAGCGAGAGGCAGCTGGACCTCGTCGATGGAGATATCAGCGCGGTTGCTGGAGGACTGCCTCCCTCCTCGCGGGCCGTGTGACGCTTCGAGCTCGGCGAGAGAATCGTCCTCGTCTTCATCGCCTTGTACGCCATTTCCGTTGTCCGAAGCCGACACAGGCGCGTAATCCCCTCCACCTCCTCCCCTTCTCACCGACCCTACACCAAGAGCCTTGCCTTCCCCCTCGGCCGCCAGCTTCAGAAAGCACACTGCGGGGAAAATGAACGCCAGAGCCGTAGCGCTCAACCCGCCCGTCAGCTCTAGCACGATGCCCAAATCGCATGTGAGGAGCGAGACCACCAGACTCGCCAGGACAAGCGAAGTCGTGATAGTAATGTGAAGTCGGACGCTGTACTGGTTGGGAAAGAAGTACGTTTCCAACACCTCACGGCATACGAAGGCCTCGAGGGGAAAAGTGGTGAACATGTTCACTCCAAAAGCGAAGCGGGCGATGTTGACAAAGGTGTCATTCTCCGGGAAGTTGTTAAGTACGTTGCCCAGAGTCTTCTCCTCGAACGTCCAGTACCCGGCTATGCTCATTGCCGTCAAGCACGCGCAGGCGATTGTGGTCGAGTAATGGGTGACTTTGCTGAACTTGTCCATCGAAGGCTCCTTGAGCGAGGCGTAGATCAGGAGCGAGTTGTGGTGACAGACGAAGGCGAAGGAGATGACTGAGATGCTTGAGACTAGGTGCGAGGGATTGACTACTGTAAACCTCAGCGAGGGGTCGCCTTTGAGCTCGGCGGGCATGGCAGGGCCGCGGAAGACGACGGTGAGGACGATGAGGAGCATGCTAACCATGGCTACCGCGCTTGCTTTTGAGAGGTTCTCAATGTCCCTGTAGAGGCTCAGCGGGTAGCTGATCAAGAGCGTTGTGAAGGTGATGACGAATGACCTGCTGACCAAGAAGGAAAAGAAGGACTCGCCCGGTGCCAAGGAGGGAAAGACAGCGGCAAGGACGTGAGGAATCGTATCTCCTATAACGACGCAGAAAGCGCACATCCCTCCGAACGCAAAGGCGAATTGGAAGAGACTGACTGCAGCTTTCCCCTTGCGACCGAAGCAGTGGTCCATGATCTCGATGTAGGTCTGCCGGCCAGAGAGCTTCGAATTGAGGATGATGAGGCGGATCGTCCAGTCTGTGAGCATGGCGAGGCCAACGAGGAGGACCACGCCCGCTACGAAGCCTGACTGGCGCATAGAGTAGGGCAAGCCCACAATACCCGCACCCAAAATGGAGTTGGCCATGTTCGTCGTGGCATCAAATACTCCTGCACCGCGCTTCAACCAGTCGGGAAGCTCTCCATTGTCTGCGCTCAACCCAGTCGAGCGACCTACTTGGTCTACTCCTTCCATGACGCTTCGCCTGAATTCGGACATGTTGGAGCCGAAGACATCGACTGATTGGCGGATTGATGAAGGCAATGGTACAGTCTTGTTGCGTGACGAGGAGCGGCCCATCATTGCTCTCGTCGACGACTCTGCATCATCCATTATCGCCTGGTCGTCCTCTGAAAGAGTGTCCGAGGCTGCGTCGAATTCTGCCTCCCGACTCGGTATTGTGCTCTTCAGTCCGTATGTGGCGCCCGAAGAGGAGGATGATGAGGAGGCCGCCCATGAGGGGCCGTATCGGTGTGCGTCGTCGCCGTCGTCGTCATTGTCGTCAACTGCAGCATCGTCGTCTCCGTCGATGGAGAATAGCGTCCCTCTGGCTGGCAGTTCCTGTCGCTCTGGGTTGTCTGCGAACCGCACAGACTTGGAGCCAGACGCCTTGGCCGATGCAGACGCTTCAGAGAGGTCCATCGGTGAGAAATGATGGTGAAGAGATGCCTCTGTGAGGCCTGCCAGGATAGCAGGAAGTTGCGAATCTCGAATCGTCGTCAACGACTTTGGCTGCCTTTGCTGCGCTACGCTCATCGACGACACACGCACCTCCGCTTTCCGTCGATCCGCCGCGGCTCCACACCGCCGCCGCCCACGACGTGCTCCTCTCACACAAACGCCACGGACGGCAGCGAGAAGCACAGCACGGCTCGTCTCGCTATGGCTACAACTTTGCCTGCGATTTCGATGTAGAATAGTGACCGGCAAGCTGTCTTGCGCTCATCACGCAACGTCTTTGCACGGCATCTGGCCTACAGGTGTCACTCATCCACCAGCCGATGGCAATGCCATAGCGCAGATGCAGGCGTCACTGATGGTGAGAGGGCACTAACATATTGACATGTGGCTCCGCATCCACCTACGATCAGGGCGAGAAGGTGACGGTGGTGGGAAATTCTGAGACAGCAGACTCTCACGCCTTGCTCGACATCGTGTCGAGACCGACCCTGGTTTCAAGACTTCCATCGCCCCGACAAGACTTCCATCGCCCTGACAAGCAAATACGATGAGGTACCGTTCCTTGAACTTAGCATGCCCTGTCCGTGTGCTGCTGCTTCCTCTCGCTCCATTCTCCCCCTCGCTGCTCATCGTTGTCGAGAATCCCCGTGCCATCAAATGATCGAGGTGACCCGGCATTGCGAGTCGAGTCGCGAGACGCGCCCAAGCCAGGGCGGGACTGCGTCGGCCGCGGGGAGGGCGAGACGAGGCGGCGCTCAGGCTATGCCCTCGTTGGGCCGCGCTCACCATCATCACGCTTTCTTCGCTACCAACCTCATCCTTCTGCTCGCCGATCCTCACACCATCACACTCGAGCACGACCTTCCTTGACATTGTCACATATTCATCAGCGCATCAGCAGAGTAGCATCAGAATGTCGTCAAAGAAGGCCGGAAACAAGGGAGGCGTAGTCGCAAACGTCGTTGGCGCCGTTACTGGCAGCAGCAGCGGCGACAGGAAGAAGGCGACGGCTGTCACTCAGAGCTCGAGGGCTGGTCTTCAGGTAAGCATCTGCGCGCGCAGGAGACTGGATGGATCAGAGGGTTGGCAGGGTGAAGGGTTGAGGGGAGCTGTGGGAGGAGAGAGGTCGCCGCGTCGAGGATGGGGTGGACGGATGAACGGATGGATGGATGGATGGATGGCATGAGAAGGAATGTACAACAGACTGGCGCCATAGCCTACCTGTCATTGCCAACTTTGGCATCTGATCAGGCCATCACCAGCTCTCCGTCATCATCTCTGTGCATGGTCACTGACACCTCTCCCCAACCTCCCGATCGCCCGCAGTTCCCCGTCGGCCGTGTCCACCGTCAACTCAAGGGCAAGACGGCCAACAACGTCCGAATCGGCGCCAAGGCTGCTGTCTACACCTGCGCTATTCTCGAGTACCTCACCGCCGAGCTCCTCGAGCTGGCAGGAAACGCATCCAAGGACCTGCGCGTCAAGCGTATCACTCCCCGTCACTTGCAGCTCGCCATCCGCGGTGACGAGGAGCTCGACTCTTTGGTTAGGGCTGTCATTGCGGGCGGTGGTGTGCTGCCGCACATCCACAAGAGCTTGATCAAGCCGAAGGCGGGCAAGAAGAGCGAGTAAGCGCGCCTGCGCGTCTGAGGGAATGACGATGCGATTGGGTCAGAGCGAGGAAGTGGGGTCGTCGTGGTACCAAAATCGCCGAAAGGCTGCATGCCATGGAGCCGCCTTTCATTGGTTACTGGATGCAAGACGCTCTTGGAATCTCAGGCAGGGCGACAGGACCTCACACGTCCATCCACATAAGCGCCTCCCATCATCATTCGTCCTTGTTGACCTTCACCGCCTCACCCCCCCCTCCGGCATGAGGAGACAAGCGCAGAGAGCCGGCTCCCAATGCTCGGCCCCCTGCCTCCTTACCCTCTCCTCACCAATCCACCAAACCTTTTGTGCCTCGCTTCTCCTTGTATTCCTATCCTCTCTGCCGATCTCAGAATCCGAATCTAGCCTCCGATTACGACTCGACAACATCCTACTTCGCCTGCCTGTGAAGATGAAACTTGAATCTCTCGATGCCCTTGGCTGTCTAGGAAGGCGTGTGTGTATATTACAGCGACGAAGCACGCTCGCAAAATAGTAGTAGTAGTGAAGAAAAGCCAGCCTCGCCGTCCTCCAGCAAGAGGCTTTGGCGAGGGAAGTGTAAAGTAGCCGCGGTCACCAGTCGCAGCAGTGAGGTTGACGACGTCTCTCGCGCGCACGTCTAGTCCACAGGATCCGCCTCAATGCGTGCGTAGTGGGCCTGAGCATTATACGCCTGACCCGAAGGAATGGCCGTCTCCGCCGTATCGCTGCGGAAGAAGTCGTCGGTCCTGAGCGGCCGTGTGTTGAGCTTGGCCGCTCCTCCGATTGACTGCGTTGATGCTGGTGAGGTCGAGCCATTCGCTGCTCCGTTTGCCTTTGCTCCCACTACGTCTGATGATGCAGAACCATTCACAGCAGCAGCAGCAGCAGCCCCGCTCCTCGCCCGACTCATACTCTCCCTCCCCTCCCTGCTCCTCAAGAACTCCCTCACAGGGACCATGGCCGCATTCCTGCATGCCTCCTTCAGATCCGAGCCGCTCATGCCCTGACTTTTCCTGACAATCTCCCCCAGTCGGAAGTTCTTGTCTAGACGAGCGTCGCGGAGCATGATGCGGAGGATCTTTTCTCTTTGCTCGACGTTGGGCAGCGAGACGGCGTAGCGCTTGGGCATTCGGCGTAGGATGGCCGCATCGATGTCGTTTGGTCGATTTGTGGCACCAAGAATCATAATGCGGTCTGAGGAGGAGGTGAGACCATCCCACAGTCTGGCGATGGAGCGAGCGTAAGCGGAGAGTAGCGTCAGCGTGACGACGAGCGTACAGGTAGGGAGGGTTCAGGTGGTGGAGCGTTGAACTCACGTCATGAACTCTGCCTTCATCATGCCGGTCACCTCGTGATCGCCTCCTTGCCTTTCCCTCATGAAGCTATCGATCTCATCAATGAACACAATACTGGGCTGCAGCTTCCTCGCCAAGCTGAACAATGCCGCCACAAGCTTATTGCTCTCTCCAAACCACTTGTTCGTCAAAGTTGACACGTGCATGTTAATGAACGTCGCCCCACTCTCCTTCGCAAGGGCTTTTGCAAGCATTGTTTTGCCCGTGCCGGGAGGGCCGTAAAGGAGAACTCCCTTAGGGGCGCCGAGAAGGGAGCCCGAGGATTGGAAGAGGTCTGGGAAGCAAAGGGGGGCGATTACAGATTCTTGGAGGGAGGAGATGATGCTTTCGAGTCCGCCGATGGAGGCAAAGTCGACTTCTATTTGTGAGGGAAGGATTAGCTCGGTAGCAATTTGTTCTGGCGCAACAAGGCGAGGAAAGTTGTGCAACGAGTCAGTTCGTGATGCTCCTTGTATGCGGGTTTGGCTTCTTGCGTACACCCACCCTCGTACTCGTTGAGGTTGAGTTTTACGCTCTCCTTTCCTAGTTTGCCCAGCTTTTCCTCGCTCTGCTTCTTTGCGTCCAGACGCTTCTGGCGATTGGGATCGACAGAAGCCATGATGTACTGCGAGGGAGCGAGCAATGACGGTGGAGAAGGTCCGAGGGTTAGTGGAGAGGGCGATGAGCAAGGAGGGAGCGAGGATGGTTACCTTAAAAGCGTAATAGAATGCAATCTGCGAGCAGGCAAAGACGGCCACATCTGTGACCATCTTCCTTGTTGCCTCCTTCATCTTGGCGAGGTAGCTTCGAAGATTGGTTGGTTAGTGGTTGAAATCGCACTGCATCGCCGCCGCGACGATCTCACGGACAAGCCGCCGTCCATCTCGACTCGTGGAGCGGAGCCGGTCTGCACGCGTGGCCTTGACATTGAGTCGACGACGACGACGACGACGACGACTGAGGCCCGTGCTCAGCTTGCCCTTTCGTTCTCGCCATCGCCATCCTCTCATCATCCGAAAGGATTCTTGCCCAGCATGTCGATCATGGTGAGCAGTCATCGCCACCTATCTGGTTCGGGCATGGACGACTGACCTTATCGCGCCCCAACTCCACCTCAGGAATACAATGGCGGGTCGGTAATCGCCATGAAGGGCAAGAACTGCGTGGCCATCGCCACGGATACAAGACTCGGTTCACAAGCTCTCACAGTGGCATGCAATTTCGATAAGGTGTTCCCTGTAACAGAGAAGACGTACATTGGGCTTGCGGGATTGGCGACGGATGTCGATACGCTCAAGGCCAAGTTTCGTGAGTATGCGACGCCGTCGGATTGAACAAACGCCAAGGCTGACCTCTTCTCGTTCATGCCTGCGCTTCAGGATATCGCATGAAGATCTACGAGATGAAGGAAGAGCGAACAATGGAGCCAGAGACGTTTGCTCACCTCGTCTCCTCGACCCTCTACGAGAGGAGGTAAGCGTCGCAGCCCTTCCTCGTACAATTCCTGTCGTCCCCCGGCTCACGTCTCCTTTCCCGTCCCTCACTTTAACTACTCAACTCCCCAGATTTGGTCCCTATTTCGTCGAGCCCGTCATCGCTGGCATCAGCAGCAAGGACGAGCCCTTCATTGCGGGAGCGGACTTGATTGGCTGCCTCAACTTCGCAAAGGACGTAGTGGTGGCCGGTACGGCGAGTGACAAGCTCTTTGGTATGGCAGAGGGGCTTTGGGAGCCAGACATGGTGAGTCCGAGGCCCTTTCCTGGACCACTATGAGCCACAAGGTGGGAGAGCAGTGAGCTGACCTACAAGTCCAACCTTGTCCTACCTCGCCTACTCCCGCACAGAACGAGGAGCAGCTGTTCGAATGCATCTCACAGTCACTCTTGGGAGCACTGGAGAGGGATGCACTTTCTGGGTGGGGAGCAGTTGTGAGGGTTATCACGCCGACAAAGGTGATCGAGAGGAGGCTCAAGGCGAGGATGGATTGATGCGCCGCGAGCGCCAGAGAGGGAAAGGAGGGGTTTCAACGGGGCAGGGGAGCAATGTCATTCCATTCAGTCAGCACATTCAGAGCTGGTAGAAGTGGCCGAGTGTCAGTGAGCGAACCCAAGTTGTCGATCATCACACAATCATGCCTTAGACAATGATGATGGCAAAGACGGATCGCGTGGGCCTCGTCAGCTCGCTCCCTCCGCCTTCCGTCATTGCCGGCCCGTGCGAAAGTGAGGCAAAGCTTCTCGCGCTCTTTCCACCTCAACTCCATGATGGCTTGAATGGCTTTCTGATTCGCTCATCTCCTCTCCTTATCCGCAACACCAGCATATAGCATGCCCACTCAACACTCCTCCAACATCGGCCCATCGGGTCCCCTCTGCCCACGTCTTCGGCACATCCTCACGGGCACCTTTAATTCCAACTTCCTCCACCTGCTCCGCTTCGACTCGCTCACAAAGTCACTTACTCTCCTCCTGTCTGTGCCTGCACTGGGACCGCATCAGTATCTTGCGGCTCTTCCAGGGGACGCGGGAAAGGGAGAGCGTATCGTGTATGCCACCACTTGGGCTGAGCAGTCCAGCATAAGCGCTTGGAGGGTGACCGGCCTGCTTGGGAACGGAGGGATGGCGAGTGGGGAGCCAAAGGTGGAGCTTATCAACTCACGACCGATCATAAGTGCAGGTAGCTACTTGAGCGTGCGTGAGCAACAAGCAGCGTCCTCGACTTCCCGTGCTTTTCTGTATCAAGCAGGCGGTCCCACGGGTGAGGTCTTCGCCCTCGACACTCCTAGCGGGGCGATCGGGGATCGAGTGCAGGACCTCATCTTTGTCAAAGACATGCCAGATGAGGGGCCACAAGAAGGGCAAAGAGGCTCAGTAGCAGCAGAAAGAATACGCCGGGACTCTTCTGTAGACAAGACGCGCAAAGGCCTCAGGTATGGCGCTCATAGTGTCGAGTTCGACGACGTTCACAGCCTGGCGTACGTTGCGCACCTGTGAGTGCCCGCCTCATCCTCATCCGCATGCTCCAATCCTGGAGTCAGCTCACCGTCCTTCTCATTGCCAGCGGCCGCAATTCCATCCTTGTCTACTCAGTGGATCCCCGGTCAGGCCAGCTCACTCTACAGAGTGAAGCTCACTCTCCAGAAGCAGGCGACGGACCTCGACATGCAGTCGCGTCGAGGGATGGGAAATGGGTCTTCGCTGTCACAGAGCATAGTGAGGTGCAGTTGTGTGCGCCTGCTCAACACTGCCCCCAGACTGACTTACCTTCCTCCCGTCCCTCCCCGCCAGCATCTTACGTCGACGCCTATCGCCTCTCTCCCGCTACCACAACCTCTACACCTACCCTTCGACACGCGCAGCGCCTCACCATCCTTCCTCCCACGGCGGAAGCACATTCTTATCGAGGAGATACGATTCGTCTCTCACCCTCTGGGCGATACCTGGTGGCTACCACTCGTGGCGGCAAGCCAGAAGTCAAGGGGTGGGTCAGAGCGTGGAAGCTTCGCCAGAGCAGCGACGACGGTGATGGAGAAGTGGCGAAGGGGCAGGGGCCCCCTCTCGACGATAGCTGGTCGTGGGCATGTCAGACACCTACGAGTGGGGGAAAGGCTAATGCTTGGGAGTGGGCGGCGAAGCAGCCTCAACCCCAAAAGCTCAACGCTGCTGCGCGGGAAGACGGGCAGGAGAAGGACAAAAACGACGACGACGACGATCTTGCAGTTCTGACAGACGATGAGCGGGGGTATGTGAGCGTGATGCGCTTTTCACCTAGCAGAGAGCGGAGTGCAGGGATCAGGGAAGTGGCAAGGGCGCAACTTCCCGGGGGCAAGGTCGACGATGAGGACCGGGGTGGTAGCTGCGACCTGGTAGAGCCGTCCGCTCAGATCCCACTGTCAGCGCACAACGGCGTCACGAGCGAGTACGAAGGGGCGAGCCACGCAATTTGGCTGGACTAGCCGCACAAAGGGATTGGGGCGTCTATGTGGTGATATCGTATTGCCCGCCTCGCTTGTCCGTCTGGAGAAGAGACCGCACGTCGCAGCTTCATGTGCGGCAGTTCTGTGGTCGAGATGAAATCGAACGTCAGCCTCCTAGAGTCGCAAGCTTTTCTCTCTCCAACGCCACGCCCACTCACGTCAAGCGCCAGCGTAAAGATGTCAGTTGCTCCGACCTCTCCCAATCTGTCCATGACGGTCGCCACGTCACCTTTCTTGACCATTGCACTGATAGCGCTCCACTCCTTGTCTCCGAGCGGTGTAACCGTAGCCGCCCTCCTGCCTGGGGTGACCTTGATCGCTTCCTGCAGGTCATTTTGGTGGATATTGTACTGGCAGAGGACGTACTGCGATGCTGCGATGACTCCTTTGATACGTGAAGTGATGAGGCGAATCAAGGATTGGTTGGAGCGGGCGTGAGGGGTGACTGGACGGATGAGGACAGCTTGCGAGGCGAGGAGCGTCCCAATTGCGTGGAGACCGCAGGCACGCATAGTTTCGCCTGATTCGACGAGGTCCACTGAGGGTGGGAAGTGAGATGATGGTCAGCATGCGCGCTCTTCTATTGCTCTCAGCCCCTGCCCACTCACCGATGCCATCGGCCACGCCCAAGGCGCATGCCGCCTCGACTGACCCTCCCACGTACTCGATCTGCGTCTTCTTGGGCTCTTTGCCCCCATTGGCTGCGTTGACCTGCTCATCCAGCTGTGCAAAATACTCCTGTGCCAATTTGTCAAAGCTGGTCGCCACCTTTCTCCCTACCAGATCCTTTGGCTCCTTGAGACTGGCATCCGCCTCCGGTACCTGAACCTGCAGGCTACACTTGCCAAATCCAAGCTCCAGCTCCTCAGCGACCAAGCGGCTCACATCTTCGCCAGCTTCGGCGACCATATCCTGCCCTGTGATTCCCAAGTCGACATTTCCCTCACCAACGAATCGTGGGATATCAGCTGCCGGGAGGAAGACGAGGGCCATTGGGTGGTTGTGAACCAATGCTACATCGAGGCGATTTTGCCTGCGGAACTGGATGTCTGCGCCTGAAAGGAGCTCGACACACTTGTCGTAGAGTCGTCCCTTCTTCGGAATTGCGAAGAGCATCCGGCCTTGGAGGGCGTCCTTGTTGAAGAGGTGAGACATGGTTGCGATGAAGGTCGTGATGGGGCTAGGCTAAATGAGAAGAAGTGAATCGAGGACCCTCGCTCAATTCACCCTTGCAATTGACTCGCGGCAGCCGAGACGGACCGCGGCGTCAGAGGTCATCGAGGGACGAACAAAGTGGCTGCCTCTGCTTGTGGCCTCTCCGTCCGACCTTCAATCTTGCATTACGACGGCAATTCACCACGTCCAGTCACTACTCGAGATGCCACGACAAAGCATCTTCAGGTCGCTCTTCGCTGCAAGCAGCTCCAGTCGGGCAGCACTTGCGTCCAAGCCTCGTATCACGCCTCCGTCGGGTCAAGTGGCTGCCGGACCTTCGTCAACGCCCTCGTCATCTCACACGCCAAGAGCTTCCCCAGCTTTCCGCTCAACACCAGCCTCTCGCCCCTTGTACGGTCCCGTCACCTCTCTGCTCTTCTCCTCTCGCATCAAAACATCAGCGTCACGCAGCGTCTCCTCACCTCTAGCCTCCCTCATCGCTGCACCCTCACAACCCCACGCCTTGGGCGCGATCCGCTGGACAACGTATGGCTCCGAGTACCAACCGTCGCAGCGCAAGAGGAAGAGGAAGCATGGGTTCCTTGCGAGATTGAGGTGCAGGAATGGGAGGAAGACGCTGCTCAGAAGGAAGAAGCAGGGGCGAAGGTTCTTGAGTCATTGAGATGGGAGCGAGAGAGAGATGGGGGTCAGGATGGAGGGAATTCGACCAGCCGAGGTTGGAAGTAGGACAGGGAGCGAGACATCGGTAGCGTAGCAAGTAGAGCGGAGGAGGTACTCTCAAGGCATACAATCGCACTCCGGGCCTTCGCGGGGGGCAATGACGAGGAGCAGCGACTGCATATATTCACGGTACATCGAGCCCGATGTGCTCGCCTCACAACGAATGCGTTGACTTTGGTCACCTACTCCTCCCTCTGTGCCGCCTCCCTTTCTCTCGCCCTCTGCACCGTCGTGGTAGTCCACGCCTTCTTCTTCGTCGTCCCTTCTCCCCTCCTGACTCTATACTCCACCTTGACAGGCGGATCCTCGTACATGCCCAGCTCCACTTTTCTGAAATGCTCCCAATCCTCGCCCCATCTCTTCTCCCAGTAAACGCCGAGCAAGCTGCCCCTTCCCCTCCTCTCTGCTTGCAGCTTCGTGGCTTTACCCATCCTCACAGCCCAGGGTCCGAGCTGCGTGACCAGGAGCTTGCGTTCTTCGCTGCTGAGCCTAAGCGGGCCAGCAATGGAGCTCAGGTAAGCTACGGGAAGGCCAAAATGTGCCGCCTCAAATATCTTGACGACCGTCTCGCCGAGAGAAGAGACGGGCATTGAGCAGACGAGGTGGAAGAAGTCGTGACACTCTCTGTACCGCTGCATCACGTAGGCGCATTCGGGATCGCTGATGTATTGAACCTACGCGGCAAAGGAGCATGTCAGCGTCGCTTAATCACACATTACCTTGACATCGTCTCTGATGCTCTCTCGGGCCTCACCTTCGCCCTGGTATCCGGCCCCACCCTACACCACTCCAACCAATCCGCATACGCCCTCCCTGTCGTCCCCCTCTCCATCCGCTGCAAAGCACCCATATCCACCGTCTTCGTATTGAGACTGGGCCTCTCCCAAAGCAACCGTCTTCCCTCGTCTCCCTTGAGCATCTCGTCTCGTAAGCGAGGCAAGTATCGTTCACCCGATACTTCAGAGAGTAGGGCAATCATGTCCCCGCGGGCAGGATTGAGTAGAGAGGCGAGGGACGAACCAAAAGTGAGGAGGGCCTTCTGCCAGGCGTAGAGCGGTATATGGGTTGAGTACTCTTGCGGAGGTGTCGGGGGTAGCGGTCTTGAGCTCGAGGGGGATGCTGAGGAAGAGGAAGAAGAGGAAGAGGCGCATTGGGTGGCGCAGCAGGCGAAAGCGCGATGGTGAGATGGACACACGGCTGCAGTCAGGTTGACGTGCTGTGAGGGACGGCTGAGGGTTTTCAGCACGCCTTTTGCTGCCGAAATACTGGCGAACGATGAGCTTGCCATCGCGGGCAATCAAGGAAAGCTCAACTTGGACGGGATATTGCTGAAATGGAAAGCAAGTCAAGAAAGTCGACGCCAATCCTCGGCTCGTTTCCGTGGCGCACGGACGGGCGGACAGAGCGAGGCGCCTCCTACCTTTCATTCAGTCCTGAGTCAGAGGCCGCACCGTGACTCGCATTGATATGATGAAAACAAGAGAAATGGTATCGAGGAGAGAATGTCAAAGAGGAAGGGCAAGGAAAGGGAGGCAAACAGCTAAAGAGAAGGGAAATCAAGCAAGGCCAGCCCCTTGATGCCCGGAATCGCGTCCGTTTCGCTACCCGCGCATGGTCATACCACAACCCAAGGCCCATCGCCGTTCTTGCCCATCCCCAAACCTCCCTTGTCACCCACACCTCGAGCCTGCACATCTTGCTTACCAGCCCTCTGCAGCTTCTCTGCCTCAGCCTTCTGGCGCTGCTGCATCTCAAGCGTTTCCCCTCTCCATCCCTCAAACGTCTCCTTGCTCGTCTCGAGGATGACCCCTGTATGCGTGCCAAGCAGCATGGCTTTGAGCGCTAGAAAGTCGGAATGAGCAGGATTCAGAAGATGAAGGGATGAGCCCGTAGGGTAGGTGCGGGTCAATGGCAGCGGTTGGTGTCTGGTTTGTTGGGCCTTTGTGTGGGTTGGGGCAGAGGGAGCTTGCGTGGCTGTCGCTTCGTCACCAACACCGGTCGGTATCATCGAAAAGCGGGTATCATCTTCTTCCTCTCCCTCCCCTCGCGTCCTTCCTTGCAGCTGAGCAGCAGCCTCATTCAGCCTCTTGGCCCTGGCCTTCTCCCTCGCCTCCACTGCAGGCGTAATATTCGCTCGAGGCAAATCCGGTGTCCAGATAGCGAGAGGCCATCGTCCTTCCATCTGCGCACGCGAGGGCACTACGTCTTGCACTCCGAGGAGAAGACGTGGGTCCGGGTCGGCAGGGTCAAATTGTTCTTCGTCGTCTTCACTCTCGTCGTCATGGCCATGTGTGGTGGACGCTGCGCCTTCTCCCACATGTCCGCCGCTACTTTGAGAGCCCGACCTGCCAGGCCCGCGCTTGTGTGTCGGCCGCGCAAAGAGGGGCGCCGTGTGCTCGACTGCACTACTTCCATGGCTCTGCTGAGAAGAAGAGTAAAGGCTGTCCCTGTCTCGGCGTCGATCGTCCATGGGGCTGTCCCGGAGTTGCTCCGTCTCTTCCCCGGCAGGAGCATTCCTGCCACCGACTTGATGCAAGTTCGAAGAGTAGGAGCGACGACTTTTGATCCTGATGAGCTTGACTGCTGCAGTATCGTCAGTATCATCGTCGTATGGCGTCTGCGGCTGCTCGCCTCCTCCTGTCGTTGGGCGACCGCCATTGTCGAAGCCAATCCAGCCCCATTGCTCCGTAGGCGGATTACTACCCTTACTTCCCCGCTTCTGCTGTCTCGCCTCCAAGCCATCCACCACCTCCTGCCAGCCGCGCTGCACGCCCCTCCTTGCCGCTTCGAGCTGGTGGACGGTAAGGCCATCAGCGCGGGCAATGATAGGAAGAACGGGCACGAGCGGCAGGAGATGCGAAAGGACGATCTTCTGAGAGGGGGAGAGAGTCGGAAGGTATGAAGACTCGTCGTCCTCATCATCGTCGACGAAATCGCCATCATGTCCTGCCTGCGGATCATCGGCCGCCTGCCCTGCTTGCGACTGGGCGAGATTGGGACCGCCATTGCTGTCCGACGTCTTGACGTCGGTGGCGTCGTCCGTTGAAGCGGCAGCGCTCTTGTTCTCTGTGAGCTGACCAGCCTGACTCCTTCTTGGGGGGAGAGGGGCATCAGCCGAGCCGATTTTGAGGTCTTGGAACATCCCCTTGAGAGAATTGGCGCGCTTTCTGCCGCCAGTGCCACCCGCAGTACTGCCATCATTTGCGGTTGCCGAGCCTCTGTTGAGGCGCGAGGACGACTTTTGCGAGGCGCTGCCCAGAGAGGTCGCAGAGGAAGGTCGTCCTGGCGTGGACAGAGTACGGCGACGCTGCGGCCCATCGGGCTTTGCATTAGCTGCCTTGCCCCCATCTCGGGCTAATCCTTGTGTCTGTGACTGTGCAAGCTCTAAGTCCTTCTCCTGCGCAGCCCTGAGCTGCTCAACCTTCTTTCTCTCAGCCTCCTGTCTGGCCTTCTCCCTCTGTTCGCGACGCTCCCACCGAATCCTCTCCTGCTCCTCCCGCCACCACGTCCTGCCCCCCTCAAGGATCTCACTGGGCTGGACAAACCACACGACTACGTGCACGTGCTCACTGTCCCCGCCGCTCGTCTTGCTGGGTACACGGCGAAGTTTGGTCTCCTCTTTCAGCGTGCGGACGTATCGCGAGACGATCTCATCGACGATTGGACGAAGGAAAGCCGGTGTGGGGCCGTTTGCAGCGCTGTTGAGCGTAGACTGAGGCAGTACGGAGGGCAGACCAGGTGTGTCGATCAGGTTCAGGGAGAGGCGGTTGGGCGGCGCTGCTGAACCGAGGAAGCTCATGGAGGCAGAGAGGCGAGAAGTGTTGGAGCCACGACGTTGGCGCCTTTGCCCTCTGGTTGAGGGAACTACACTATTCGAGCTGGCGTTGCGGCGTAGCGATGGTCTCTGAGGAGACTGGGCCAGCTCCTCTTCGTCACAGAGACCGCTGAGCAGCACGTCCTGGTCGGGAACAAGCTCAATGCCTTCGACTGTCTGAATTTGCTTCGTCCTACCTGGCCGTCCGCGAGCATTAAGTCCAAAGGACTGAAGTAGGTCTTTGGCATCGCCCGAAATTGTAGCCAACGGCTCCTCGCTATCAGACATGCCATCTTCCCCACCCGCGCCAAGCATACTCTGAAGTAGACTGCGCAGGAAGATCGTCTTGCCCGTTGCTGCCTCGCCAACGACCATCACGTTCAGTCGCGTCGGAGCTCGACTCTTGCGAAGTGTCTTTGCCCTCGCACTCTCAACCATGGTCCTCCTCGCCTGCGGACTAGGCTGGGGCTGCGCAGCTGCGTGTGCTGCAGGGGAGATGCGGAAGTCGGAGGCCATGTTGTAGCCTGAGGCGGCAAATGCCGAAGGGGGAGGACCACGATCCCGCTTGCGAGGGGAGATGGCGCTCGTTGCCTTTGCTGCGCCAGTCTTTGCTGGCGATACCTGCTGCGGCGCGGGCGCGGTGGAGATGGAGTTGTTCGATACTCCGAGAGGTCTGTGATACTGAGGCGGAGAGGTGGGCATGGCGACACGTTCGCCGTCGCTGCCAGCGGTTGGTGCGGACTTCTTTGCATTGGAAGGCGTGGTAGGTCTCGAGTAGTTGACTGGTCGCGCAGCATTCGCGCCCGTAGTATTTGACCTTGAGTGGCCCGATGAAACTATGTCGTCCATTGCCGCTGCTGAGCTGAGAGAGGGCGAGCTAAACGTGGGGCGCATACTGCCTGGTCGATAGTTAACATCACCCGTCACTGCTACTGGCGTCCTGCCGGCTGATCGAGACCATGTGCCAGGAGCCGGCGGCTGAGTGCCTGCTGGCAAGTTCACTGGCATATCTACACCTTCTGGCAGCTGCACGGTGTTGGTATCATTGGTCCCTTGGTCAGATGGAAATGTAGCTACGCGGGCCGTAGCCTGAGGTCCTGGCTGCGATGTCTCAACGTGCGCGTCTGAGCTAGTGATGTCTCTGTCTTTGGCTGGCGCGTACATGTCACGAAGCGTCGTCAAGCTCATGCTCTGTCTGGCACTCGCGACATTGGGTAGCTGAGGCGGGCCAGAGGGCGCGTCCTCTGGCCTCCTTGACCTCCGTCTCCACAGCGGCATGGCGGCCCGCGATCGCTTTGCGTTGCTTTGCGTGCGCGGCGAGACCTGCTCACTAGCCAGCCCAAGTAGATGGCAATGTGTGAAGATGAGGCGTGTAGATGAGATAGAAGGAAAGAGGGGAAGGGAGGGCAGCGCGGGCGCTCCGGCCGCTCATCGACGTACCACGGGCTCGCGGATCAAAGGAAGCGGGCTGCACTTGGCGATTGCCCCGCACTGGCCTGCAGCAGGCGCGCAGGCGCAGGCGCAGGCGCAGACGCGAGCCTGCACGTCGGCGTCGAGGAACAAGCACAAGCCAAGGCAAGGAACACGGAAGGCTGTGATCGAGGGCGAGAACGGCAACGAGGTCAAGACAAGAGAGCATCGTATTGAGATTCGACGTGGTGTGCCACGCATATGACAACAAGAAGAGACCTCGATGACAGCATATGGTGGACAACAGCAAGCAGATAGAAACGAGATGAGCAGGTGAAACGCTGGATGGTGGGGTAGTTGTGGCCCCATTCACAGAGCCCCAGTAGCGAGCTCAGCATGAACGCGACGACGTCCGCTAGGCGAAATCGTCAAGAGGGACCGACGGACGATGTCCCTTGTCGACCCTTCAAAGAGGGCATCGATGCGCTCCAAGGGCACGCCTTGCGTCTCAGGAAGGCAAAAGACGACGAAGAGGCAACCAAGAGCCGTCATCGTGCCGAAGAAGAGGAAGGTGCCCTGCGAGTGCGGGCAGTGCGAGACGATGTCAGCGTGGCTAGTCGTGGCAGTACCACCGGCACAATGACTCACATACTTCAAGTCCTGCAGCATGAGAGGCACAATCTTGCTTATCACCGTCGTGAACAGCCACTGGATGATGGTCGCGAAGGCCCACGAAACGGACCTGAGCTCGGCGTTGCAGGGCGCCAACTCAGAAGAGAAGGCGGAAGCTACACTGGCCCAGCCAATGCCGAAGAAGAAGGCAAACAGGTAGCTGTGCGGCGAAGAGGCAAGAATGCGTGAGCAGTGCAGATACCAGCAATTGCGATCTGCGACTTACACCATTATGACCGTCATCCAACCGGCGGCGCTTATGGTCGTGCTCTTCCCCTCGACGGACGGGTGGATGCGCAGGTAGATGCCTAACGGAGGGCGAAGCAGAACGAGCATGGGTGAGCAGTCGACTTGTGAGGCACGACGCTGCGCCGGTACTGACCAATCCAATACATGGCTGTCACCTGCCCAACGGAACCAATGATGTTGCACCACTTTCTGCCCAAACCCTCGATGCCGACCAGTAGGAGGAAGATGGCACCGCAGACCTTGACGATACCATAGACGCCCGTGGCCAAAAGCTCGACATTGCCAAGCCCCAGAGACGAGAAGATCTGTGGCGAGTAGTAGTTGAGACTGCATGGTTCGGCGACGGCGATGCGAAGAAGGGCCACTTCAGCTTGTTGGGCCGCTTTGCTCTCCTAATCGTAGCCCACTCACGCGTTCGTTCCGGTCCACTGCTGTATCATCATCATGAAGCCGCCGAGAAACAGCCGGAAGACAGTCTTGCGGTCCTTGAAGACCAAGCGCCACTTGACGCGATGCGAAGCACGAGGGGCAACATCTGTCAAGGTGCCATCCGAAGATGTCGAGACATCTCTAGCCATTTTGCCAAAGTCGTGGTTCATGTGACGGATACTGGCATGGATCTCTGCAATGGTCTCGTTGATACGCGGGTCGTGCGGGTCACCATTGTATACCTTGGCGAGCGAGCGGCGAGCGGCTTTCTCGTCTCCGCGCTTCTCGATGAGCCAACGAGGAGAGTTGGGTATGAAGACAATTGCAAGCATGAAGACGGCGCCGGGGAGGGTCTGGAGACCAAAGGGGATGCGCCAGACGCGCGTGTCATGGGCATCGTAGCCGTCTCTTTGGACACCATAGTTGACCCAGAAGGAGAGCGCGATGCCGATGACTGCATTCAGGGCGCCGAGGACATGTAGACGACCTCGTATAGCGGAAGGGGCCACCTCATTGTGGTAAGGGACAAGAGCGGAGGCGCAGAGTCCGATGCCCATGCCACTGATGAAGCGTCCCACCATGAGCTGCCTGACGGCCCGGTCCTGAGACTCGGCGGTGATAGTCGCAGGCGTGATTCCAAATTCATGCGGGTGGCAAAAAGTCTGGATAATGGCTCCCGTCTGCAACAGCAAGCTTCCCACCGCAATGACCTTGCGGTGCCCAAAGCGTGCAGGAAAGTAGAAGCCACCGAAGCCGCCAGCCATGCAGCCTGCGTTGAGGACGGAGACGATATTGCCTTGCTTCTGCGAAATGTAGTGGCTGGACTGGTCGACGTTTGGCTCGAGGCCGAAGGAGCGCTTGAAGGAGGCAGTGCGAAGGATACCGCCGATGAGGCCCGTGTCCCAGCCAAGGACCATCTGTGCGAGACGAGAAGGAGGATGGAGCGTAAGAGGCATGGCTTGGCAGGGTAGATGCCATCAGACTCTGTACACACGCCCATGAAGCTGAGAAGGCCAAAGAGCACGTAGGCGCGCCAGTACATCTGGAGTTCGTCGTAACCACGGACCCAGAACCAGCGAGAGCGCGTGGGGAGGGTTTCGACTCGCTTTTCCATCTTGGCAAGCTTTACTGGTAGAGAGGCTTTGAGGGTAAGGGTGGTAGAAGGTTGGTGAGAGCCAGAATGAGGGTGGAGCGAGGAGGTGTTGGTAAGGGGAGGGGAAAAGGGTCGAGTTGCCTTCTTGACCTGAGAAGCGCATCATCCAACCACGCATCATATAGTCTGTAAGCCATCCAATCACATGTCCAACCAGCCCATGCCTTTGCGCCCACTGGCGTTATCCTTGCCGTTCGCCGCTCGGCATCCGGGTGAGACGGGCCGTCCATCAGATGCCGTTCTCCAGCGACGCCGCTGTTGCCGCCGCCGCCGCCGCCGCAGCCGCGAAAAGGATGAGCCGTCGCTGCTGAGATGCCGTGTGAGATACGAGGGCAAGGGGTCAGGTGCAACGATCGGAGGTCGCGCTCGACCCCGCGGCACTTCAATTTGCGAGCCTACGCCCGCCAAGAGCAATCAAGCTGTGCCGCTCATCAACTCTTCGGAGATGCGGGACCGTGAGTACGAGCATCACTCACGATGACAATCTCATGAGCAGGCAATTGGCCAATGACATTGCTGATGCGAAAACGACGATGTTGCCAAGGAGAGGATGTGATTAAGCAGGGAATTGCGGGGCTAGGAGTCGCACCTTTGCGATCGCGTCCACGGCATCGCGGCTAATGCGGCGCATCCTCATCCTCGTTGAAGTGCGCGCTAGCCCACGGGCTCGCCTCGCGGAGCAGATGACCCTTCTTCCAGAAGAAGAACGTGATCGGAACGAGCGGCAGTGAGAGAAAGGCAATCAAGCTGGTTGCCCAGTGATTGCCCAGATTCTGGAACTGGTACCCAGCAAAGAGCGGGAAGACTGCCCCCAAGATGTTACGAATGAGGATGGCGGCCCCCAGCGCCGAGGCGGAGTAGGTTGTGTACGAGTCAGTCACGTAGGTGAGGATACCGTAGAGAACCCAGTAGAATCCAATGCCAAAGATGGCTGCGCCTATCATGGGAACGATCCAGTGCACTTTGCCTGGATAGCAGGTCCACGCAGTGATGAATAGGCCAATGGGGAGGAGGATGGATCCGAAGAGACCCATGTAGAGGCGCGCCTCTGGCACTGACTCGCCACGCTGCTTGATAACGCGCTGGTAGTGCGGCTCAGAAGTGAAGCGATGGCTCAAGAAGCCAATGGTGCAGCCGACAATCAAGCTGATGAAGGACAGCTGCGACAAGCCAGCATTGAAGCCGTACCCGTTTTCGCCCCAGATCTCAATGAAGGCCGTGTTGAAGAGGAAGATGAGTCCGTATAGAAACCCATTCCATGCTGCGGCAAAGGCCGTGATTGGCTCGGTGAAGAGGAATCGAAATGGTCGAGTCAGAGCGATGTATAGGCTAGTACGCAGCGACTTCTTCTCCGTGGCGTGCACAGAGACGAAGCGATCCGAGCCAGTTGACTTGCGTAGGCGCGCGGCCTTGCGCTCGAGGATGATGTTGTGGCGCGTTTCGGGAAGGAAGAAGTAGATGATGGGCCAGTGGCAGCCCATTGCGAGCAGGGACGTGAAGTAAAAGATATATCGCCATGAACCCATCTTGGGCGCGATGTACGCCGCATAGACATTCCCTACTGCTGGGCCGATCGTTGAGCCCCAGGTATATATGGCCATGTACGGCCCAGCAGCATCGCGGGCAATGACGTCGGATACCACACCACCTGTGTTGGCGAGGGGAGGAGAAGAGAAGAGCCCTTGAAGGAAGCGAGTGATGGCTACGCCGGCAAAGGTGGGTGAGAAGGCGGGGCCGAAGGCGAAGAGGACAAATAGGGCCCAGCAGACCAAGTAGACTGGGCGACGCCCGAACTGTGAACGGCGTCGGGGGGCCAAGTCAGCATTCAGGTCACTGCGTCTTCTCGCCACAGCTACTCACCTGCTCGGACAACGGCGCGACCAAGGGAGGCCCGATCGCAAAGCCAAGCACGTAAAGGCTCAGTCCGATCGTGGATAGCTCTTTACTGATCCCAAAGTCCTCTTGCACTCCATCTTCTCCCGTCGAATAAGCCGACGCCTGACTGGCCACCAGCACATTGATGTACGAGCAGAAGGTGACCAAGAAGTATTTCTTGGCCTTGCTCCAATTACGCGGGTTCTCAGGATCCCCATCCTCGAAGCCGACGAGAACGTATCCGCTAGCCTCGAGATCCTCGACCTTGTGCCGGACCGAAGGTGCCTTGGCTGCGGACTCCGCGTGAGCATTTGCTGCTGCGCCGTCAACCGTGGTAGCATCGGCGATTTTGTCCTTCTCCCTGGACTCGTGCTCGTGCATGGCACCCGCGGGGGTGCCATCGATGTAGTCCTGGTGAGTGTGGGAGGACGAGTCCGTCGAGACGGCGGATGCGTCTGCCTGACCGTGAGCCTGCCCTGCTGTAGGGCTTCCTGCGGCACTCGACATCTTGATGAAAAGAAAATGAGAAAGGTGTGTGGAGCAAACGAAAGAATCACCAAGCAGAGAAGAAGAGGGAGCTAGGGCGCGCTCTTGTCGTCGAGGTCACACGAGCTCGTCTTGCGCGGGAGAGGGCCCCACACGGCAGGAAAGGCAAGCCGCACGGCGTTGGTGTGGTGTGGGAGGATGTGTGGACGAACGACGATGCAGACGATGGGGCCACAAGTTCACCCGCACCGCAAGACCGTACCTGTAGCTGTAGCCTCTCCGTCTCGACTTCTTTGCAGGACCCCGGCGGAGAGGCTTTGCAGCGGCGGCGTCCATTCATTGTCTGAGCGCTCGGCTGCCCTAGGCATTTGATTGCCGGCGGGCGGGCGGCACGGCGGCACAGCGGCGTTAAGCAGAGCAGAGAGATCGACGATGACGCATCTTGGTCCGGACAGAGGGGTCAGGGCCACACCGCGTGTAATGCAAGCGGGGAGGTGGAAATGACGGCTGCACATTTCTAAGCTTTTTTTTCTGCGCTCCAGCATGACCAGAAGCATGGGCAGCGCTGGGGGCGACGCTATTGACTTTTGGGCTCCAAGGTGACGGGCGACGATCTCGCAGCTGCTCAAGATAAGTACGAGGACGCGATTGCCGACGAGAATGGTGCGATATTCGGTGTCAATTGCATGTTGCGGGTGTTGTGAGTGTGCGTGTATGCGTACGCGTGCGAGTGCGCGGGGCTGTAAAAGATCGTAGCATTGGAGACCCACCTCTACGCCCAGCCCTTCCTCGCTCGCCCGCTCCTTCTGCCTTCTCCATTCCTCATCTCTCTACTCCTCGGCCCTCTTCCTCTTTAAAGCAGCGCAGCAATCCTCGCCCCTCCTCGTCTGAATCAAGGCCTCGAGGCTGCTCACCACCCTGGCGCCCTGAGTCTGCATAGCGCAGAAGCTGTGCGGCCCTTTGCCTTGACCCTCGCCCAAGTGATGCCAGTCCTGACTATGGGAGATGGTCGACACTAGGCTTGCCAGCAGCGACTCGCCATGATGCGTCCACAAGCTGGCGACGAGAGGCCGATGCAGTGAGGGTGGGAGGGCGCGGCCTGCTATCAAAACGGGAGAGATGATGTTGGCTAGGCGACGAGCAGCTTCGACTGCCGGGTCCTCGGCCGTAGCTACGCTCGCCGCATCACCCGGAGAACGGTTGTCTTCTGTTCCAGCCTCATCATTCTCAGCTCCCTCCTCTTCCCCGTCGTCCGCATCCGCATCTCCCGACCCGTCTGCCTCATCATGGTAGTTCCCCTGGTACTCGCCCGCCTGGTCCAGCAATCGTGAGATTAGGCGGAGGGCGTCGCAGACTTGGTAGGAGAGCGAGAGGGCTAGCATGGACGTGGTGACGCGGATGGGCTCAACAAGAGACCCCTTGCCGAGGGCGTACATGCGCTCCTTGATCGTGACTGTCGCTGTCGGAATCGTGCCGCCTCCGACTCGCTCATGATTGTGGCCGCAGCCCAATGCCACAGGACGATCGGCATTGCTGGCGCTGCTGCTGCTGCTGCTGGCACCATTCGCCTCTCCTTCGGTGGACGACGACGATGCTTCTGGTCGAGGGTCCGAAGCGATGAGTGCTTCAACCTCCTTCATGCGCGCAGCCCCGAGCCTGTTGATCTCGCGCCACACGTCATCTGCCTCGACGAGGAGCATGAGCAGCTTGCGCTCTGCCTCGACCCTACGTCGACGAGCTTGCCGCCTGGTGAGACCACTGCCCAAGATGCGGTCGATGTCGCAGTCATCAAGCGCGGTAGACAGGCCAGCAGAGATGGCTGATAGGCGGATCTCGAGGTTGCTGGGACGGAAATCGGCGAGGGAGGCTGCTGATGTTGATCCGCACGAGTGAGGAGCTGCAGCTGCAGCTTTCGACGTGGGTTTTGCGGGCGCGGTCGATGATGCGTTGATGGGGGATGCCGCCAAGTTTGCCCTCATTGAAGGGGAAGGGGCTTGGGGCGTGGGACCTCCACGCGACTGGTGCGATTGTCGTCCATCGTCCCTGCCGTCGAAGGACATGGTGGAGTTTATGCGGGTGAGTTTGGGCATCGTCGACTCAGCAGGAGGCGGTGGGCTGCTTTGCATTGTCGTCTGGTTCGACATGCCCGTTGTAGCTTCTAGCGTACGAGGTGTCGCGTGGAGCGCTGGGTGGCATCCCATAAAAGCAGTAGGGTCGCCTCCGAGGCCGCCGAGGTTGATGCCAGCACCGACATTGAAGCTGCTGAGTCCTGCCCCGTTGTGCGACGCGCTGTGGTTCTGGTCCATGCCTGGCGTATTTGTCGTCGAGGTAGGGCCCAAGCTACGGAACCAATCTTCCCAAGGTGCAGCACCAAAGTCTGGTGTGGCAGGTGGATCTGGCCAGCGGAAGAAGTCTGTCCACTCTTCGTTGTTGACGCCGTTTGCCGCACGCTGCTGCTGTTGACCGTGGTGCTGCTGCTGCTGCTGCTGCTGCCTCTGAGGGTATTGGGGAGGGGGAGGAGGAGCGAGGCTGCTGTCGCCGAGTAGCGCTTGTGGTGCTGGTGGGCTGCCGTGAGAGGGCACAGCCATGGTTGGTGCGGCGCCTGCGAATGGCTGGTGATGAGTGAGGAAGGCCATTGATGATGACGATGATGACGAATTGTTGACGTTGACGTTGGCGTTCGCGCTGTTGGCATTGGCAGGCTGAGGTGGCGATGGCAGAGATCGCTCACCCATGCTTGCCTTCCTCCTCTTCCTCTTGATGACCTTGATTTTGGGCGAATAGACGCAATGCAATCCCAGACGGTGGCATCGTCTGCAGGTAGGCGGTGCATTGGGCCCGTCGAGGGATGAAGAGGTCGACGACGTAGATCCCTCTGGCATAGGGTCACATCGCACCTTGATCGACTGGCACTCGTCGCACGTCTTGCGCAGCTCAGTCAAGGCGCCATTGGACATTGGTGGCCTCGTCTCCATGACCATGTGCGATCGAGAAGGGCGGGGAGAGTTGCGATTGGGATGATAGTAATGACGAGAAAGGCGAGAAACGTCAGATTTGTGTGGGGTCGAGATGAGAGTCACAAAAAGAAGGCGCTCTCCCCGTCCTGGCCGCCTCGCTCTTTGTCGCCGTCCCCGTCGAGCTCCTCTGTCTCTTGCTCTCTCTCTCCTTTGCCCGGCTGCCCGGCTGCCGTCCGTGTCCCTTTCCCTCGCTCGCAGCCTGCGTGTCGACGTTGCCGCTGCCCTGAACCAACCAACCCCACTCTGGTCCCAATCTCACTACGCAGGCGGCAGGCGGCTGGGCGGCTGGCGGCTAGGCAGGCTAAGCAGAGTGAGCAATCTCGCGGCGCCCGATGTGGTACTACTGCTGCTAGCCTGCTTAGCCTGCTTTGAGCCTACTTGCCATGCTTGCTTGCTCGCAGTCCTCGCACGGCACGGCGCTCTGCCCATCTGCACTGCGTGAGGGTGGCTTGGCGGGCGAGAAAGACGGGCTGAGGGGGCTGTCTGAGAGGCGCTAATGACCCGGAGCCGACGCCGAAAGGGCGAGTCCCACGGGGCCTGTTCGAGTCGCCAGTCGAGTCCGAGGCCACGAGTTGTCGTCGCTTTGTGAGCTGAGCTTGAGTGGGTGGCCTTTCCGCCATGCCGAGGTTGAGCCTCGATTGAGCCTCGACCACAGCACAGCTTGACGGCACGGACGGGACGATCACTATTATCGAACACCGCAACTTCGTCGACCGCTCGTTATCACGTCGACAGCTTCACCAACGCTACCGACCTTGACCGTCCTGCTATCGTAATGGCAGACAGAGGAGGCAGAGGTGGTGCAGCCCCACGTGGAGGACCGCGTGGTGGTGGCGCTTCAAACAGAGGAGGAGGGCGAGGAGGAGCCAGACCAAGCTCAGGCAATGGTGGAGGGCAAGGATCTTCCAAGCAACAGAAGTCAGAGGGAGGGCAACCGCAGCGCGAGGAGAGGAAGAAGGAAGTCATCCTTGACCTCGCCAAATTCGTTGACAAGAGGATCAGGGTCAAGTTCCAAGGAGGGAGAGAGGGTGAGTTGGTCGCCGACGCGGGGTGGATGATGAAACGATGCTGCGTCGTAGAAGGCAGAATGCGCTCCTCTAGAAGCGGTAAGACAGAAGCTGAATACTGCTCCACAACCTCCTCGACGCACCAGTTCAAGGCATTCTGAAAGGCTACGACCAGCTCATGAACCTAGTGATGGACGACGTGACTGAGTACCTCGCTCCAGTCGACGAGGACTCATCAACAGCTGGAGGAGAGAGGAAGACGCGTCAATTGGGTCTGGCAGTACTGAGGGGCACGGCGTTGACTATTATCAGTCCGGCGGATGGGTTTGAGCAGATTGCCAAGTGAGTAGATGCGCGGTCAGGCCGATCGCGGGGGGGAAACGACGAGCAAGTTGAGCTGACCGGCTACCCTTTCGCATTGACAGCCCATTCGTGAGCGCCGAGTAGATGAGATGACAACATCAAACAAAAGGGGTGGGCACTATCCGCTGCTTGTGCTGCAATCCACATCACAGACTTGCACTCCCATTCAGATGATGATGGTGATGATGCTTAGATTGCTTTATCGCCACAGAAGGAGCAATTTTGACGTTCAACTTGATTCTCCCCGCTACTCATCATTCTCTTCCCCTTCCACGCTCCCGCACCTCCCTGTGGTATCGTTTTTGCTCACTTGGCAGCCGTCGTGACAGGCGCATTGGTCCCAGCAGCTCCGGACGCTCCCCCTCTCTTCCTCTCGTCCGCGATCCTCTTTGCCTCCTCGTGCACATCACTGACGCTCTTCGTTGTCTTGGTGTACAGATCATGGATACGCGGCTGGTTCATCAAAGAGTTGTAGTAGTCGGTCATCTTCGCCCAGACAAAGTCGGTGCGACTCTTGACCTCGGGGCGGTCAAGCTGGCTCTGCACTTGGGCTTGGACGTGGCGGATGAGCGAGGGCTGCTGAGCCGTGCCCGCTGTGGCAGCTGCTTCCCCTGCAGAGTCTGGTGCGGGGACAGTGGTGGTGAACTTGTCCTCTTGCCCAGCGGTAGTGCCAGGCAGAGGCGTGGCAGTCGCGTCCTTCTCTGCTGCGGAGCTGGCAGCAGCTGGGCCAGAGGGCGTACCTTCAGTCTTGGTTGTAGTGGGCTCCTTGGACGAGCCCTTGACCACTCGCTCGCCCAATTGACGGTCCAGTGTGGAGAGGTAAGACTTGAAGCGCTCAGACAGACCATGCTGGTTGTCGAGTGCGATTGCGCGTGAGGTCACCTCGTCGGAGACGTGGTATCCATGAGCGAGGATCTCGGCCACAATGGCGGTGCGGGGCTTGTCTTCCTGTCCCATCGAATTGGTGGGAGTAGTGGACCCAGGAGCGGCCGTCCCTGCTGCAGTGGCCGAGGGAGCAGTAGCGGATGCTGCGCCGGGGGCGTGAACGGTGAGGGGAGAGCCGTCAAGAGACCCGCCGTGCAGCATGGCGGCAGTGCTGGCCGCGGACTCCTTGGCGAAGGTAATGGTTGCTTTTTGCTTGTCGCCATCGGGTGAGACGTCGATGCTGTTGACAGAGCCGCAGAAGCTGAAGAAGTCTGCGGGCGATGAAGGGTAGCGGGCAGAGTCAGAGGCATTAGCAGGTGGACGAGAGTGAAGCGCGGTAGTAGTGATGGGCCGCTCGTCAACTCACCCTCGATGGACTTCTTTGCCGTGTTGGCAGAGATGTTGGTAACGGTGACGGTGGTCGACATGATTGGTTGGGAATTAATTGGTGTGGACGAGAAGTAAGAAACAATGACAGCACGAAGAGCGGCGAAGTCCAGAGTAGGGGTCGAATATGCCTCCACCGCCCAGCCCTGCACCGCAACGGACGCATCGACAGCGTGGAGAGGAGCGACGACGACGACGACGGCGGCGCCGCACGAAGCCCACCTGCCGCACTGCCACGGCGGGCAAGCAAGCTCATATCAGCCTTCTTTCAGACCCGGGTGAAGACGATGCGGTTTGGCGCACTACAGAGGCAACGATACATAGAAGGAGAGACAGATGAGACAGACATCAATTGTCGGGTATGCGGCTGCAAGAGGCGCGCGAGGGGAAAAGACAAGGTCAGCGTCTTGCTCGGAGATCTTCGTATCTCTGCCGCCAGCTGAGCTGCTCACTAAAGGACTGCCTCTTGCTGCTTGAAGTACCGCCTGTTCTCGTCGTCTACCAGTACCAGGTTGAGGCTGTGCGTGGGTGCGAGGGCGAAGGCGCACTTGTGAGCATAGCCATTCCCCACCAGCACTTGCGCTTTCCTTACTCACTAGTACCTCGTCGAGAACCTCTTGGCCACATCCCTGAACGTCGGCGTCAAGTCGAAGCCGCCCAAGAAGAGTCGAATGGGAATCGTCTCTCCTCGTACGGGCGCTCCATCCATGATCTCGAATTTGGTAATCGTTTCTGACTCGTTGTACTGATTCGGCGCTGCGGGCGGGGGAGGAATGATGAGGGGAGCATTCAGGTGAGGGCGCGAGGCGAGGACTTGCACTTTGCATTGCATACGCACGAGTACCCGTCGTCTCCCTTCGAATGATGCTGAGCTCCATATGCTTGATCTTGATTCGTACGAGGAGGAAGTAGATCTTGCCTACGATGACGTCCTTGAGGTGATACCTGGGGGTAAGACGGCCAAGGCGATTAGCATGAATTTCAGTGTGATCGTCGCCCTCGCCTCACTTACTTGCTCTTGTTGTACTCAAACTCGATATGCAGACAATCCTCAATGCCCACCTCCATCTTCAAGGCATTGTTTACCTCCGGCGCAATCCTGTAACTCTGTACAAAGATCTCCTTCTCCTTGATCAGATCCCCACCGCTGGCCATTCTCCTGTTCATGGTGATGCGTAGAAAGTAGCGTAGCCGTACATTGATGCCATGGTAGGATTCGTAGGGTTTCTCTACGTTGGGAAAGGAGAAGGGTAGAACGACGGAGGGCGCATTTGAGGGGGTTGGGGGTGCAAGAGACCGTGAGAGGGATTGGAAGGGGTGGTGCTGATTTCTGTCGTAGAAGAGCTCTGCGAGTGAAAGGTCGTGTCAGAAGAAGCAGGTCCGTAGCAATGCATTATCAAGCTAAATGCCGCTGCAGCCTACCCACCTATCCCCCCGACCAACTCAATTCTGATCCCATCATGTGCCCACTTCTTGCCATCTCTGCTCCTGATGACCACTTCTCCTTGCACAGTCTCGCCATCAAAGTAGACGGGGCAAATCTCCTTTCGGTCCTTTTCGATTTTGACCTCGACCTGCTTGCGCGTCTCGTCCGTCGAGACGTTGCCGTCTAGTAGGCGCACATCGACGTCGAGGGACGAAGTGAGAAGGGGTGTAAGCCACGACGCCATGCCTGCGATGGCGAGCGAGCGATGGCGACGACGGCGACGGCGACTTTGTCAGACGTAAGGTACGTCGTCAAGGCGGAGCTGAAGGCGAGGACGGGGAAGGAAAGGAGGAGGTCAAAGCGTCGCTCGATGCGCTCTCGACTCGACCCCGCGTGGCTGAGGGCTCGCTCACTCACCTCTCGAGTGTTGGTCTCCGCTCCCGTTCCGCTGCCACTCGATGCTGGCCGCCTGCATGACGGACGGGGACAAAGGGAGCATTACACGACACTCCCCGCCATGAAAGCATGATATCTTTCATCTTGACCATTCAAAAGGCATGTCACGAGGGCTGTTGTCGAGCAGAGGTCTCTTCCTCCCGCTCAACGGGCTGAGCTGCCTTGCAGCGCCATCCAGTGCGGCTAAGCCCAGCTTCTTCAGACCGAGCCATTCCTGGCAATTCAGCAGCGGTCAACCTCTTCATGCTGCCTCATCCTCGCCCATTCTCGAAGCCCTGCAGCGCTTCAGTCTCGCGTCGAGGATAAGCAGGTCACCTGCGCCACAGAAGCCTTCATCATCCAGGCGCGTTCCTTTGCCTTCGTCTTCCCAATCGCATATCCCTCCACGACCCACCAGCAGCAGCCCTTCCCCGCGCCCACCACGGTCCTCTGGCGGCAACGGCAACGGTGGTAGCTTCCTTGCCTTCTCGAACAGATACCAGACCTCTTTGGTCGTAGGTGGCCTCATCCTCATCAACATTGCCGTCTTTCTCGCATGGCAGTACGCGACCTATTCCTGGACAGACTACAAGGATCCGCGTCCGTACCTCTGGATGGAACGCAACTTCCTTGCTGGGCGGCCTAACTTGGATGGCGGGAGGTGGTGGACGTTGATCACTTGCGCCTTCAGTCAGAGCCACCTCGAGTAAGTATGGTCAAGGGCGGCCGAAGTAGTGGACCGCTGCAAATGTATGCTGACCTCTCGTCGCCACGCACTGCCGCAGCCACTTCTTCCTCAACATGTTCACCCTCACAGCAATGGCTCCGATAGTCGCACAGCTCATAGGCCCACCAGCTCTCCTCTGTCTCTATTTTGGTGCCGGACTTTCTACTTCGCTCACATCCATCCTCTGGCACGAAGCCCGCCAGAGCAAGGGACCCCACATGTCTCACGGTGCAAGCGGGGCCGTCTATTCTATTCTGACTACCTTTGCCTGCTTGAGGCCAAGGATGGACCTCTATCTCTTCTTTGTCATGCCCGTGCCCGCCTGGCTGGCCATGACGGGTATCTTTGCTTGGGACTTCTACCAGGCTGTTTATGAGGGAGGAGGAAAGACGGACAACGCTGGACGTGAGTGCGAGCGGCCTCGGAGGCAGGAGTGGCGTCCTGTGATGGCTGATGATGATGGCTAACCCCTGCTTTTGCACGCTGACCCCGTTTCAGATGTCGGAGGCGTACTGACTGGTTTGGCCTACTACTTTCTGCGATTGCGAGGCCGGGGCATCTGAGGAGACACACGCTCACCACTTCAGAAAGCGCGACAACGCAGCGAATAGCCGCAGAAGCGCCTGCAAAACTCCCCTTTGAGGTCAAGACTCGGCGCTACAATGCTCGCCATTTTCGATCGCTGCTAGCGACGTGTCGCCGGCGGGTCAATCGCGCCATGAGATCCCTACGTGGAGCAACGAGCTGTGGCTGGCCAGTCTACTCTGGTCTTCGATTGACAACACGATTCATTCCGCGACATCTTCCGCTGGCTCACGGACGCCGCGGCGCAATGGATGGAGTCGTCTTGCGCACCGACAAGTCTAGCTGGAGCTCACGGCAGGCGGCGCCTGACCACTCCGAGCAGACGGCAAGAGGCAGGGCAGCGAGGCGAAAGGGTGCAGGCGAGAGACGATGCGGTAACGGAACGCATATAAATACGAGGTAGTGTCTGTGATACAAAGATGACCGTTCGAGGCGAGAGACCCTCCGAAGAGACCGCTGAGAAGCTAGGATGATCGGCGCGCAAGGCTACGACGGCATTTACAGGAACAACACACCGCCCATGAGACCGGCGAGCCCCACGCAGGCAGCGAGGCCGACGTGAGCAGCCGTGGCGGACGAAACGAAGGAGTGTGGGCCGTTTGCCTGCGTCGTCGTGGGCGTGTTTGCAGCTACGCGGTTGCCGCCGTCGCTGGACGAAGGGCGAGCGGTCGTCATCGAGGAAGTCGACGACGAGGTACTGGTGGACGTGGTGGACGAGGAAGTCGTGGGCGAAGTGCTCGAGCTGGACGAGGACGACGAAGAGCTAGACGGCTGGTTGCTGCTCGATGACGCCGTGTTGGTGTTTCCTGCCGATCCGCCGAAGGGGTTGGCTCCCAAATCACCATAAAGCTGGTTGCCCGGAGTCTGCGAGCACATGCTCGACTGTGGCGGGGCATGAGGAGCCGGAACCTGCGCGCCCGTCTTGGTCATGTCCTGAGCAAAGTAAGACCCGTCGTAGAAGGCGATATCCTCAGCGTCATTCGAGTCGCACGTCTCAAAGTAACCGGTGGGATAGTTGGCGGGCATATTGAAGCCACAGCCCAGCACATCGTACGTGTGGCGGCAGAGAGACGTGGCACGATCACCGTCGTAGCAACCGCGGATGCAGAATTCCGAGTCGGAGAGGAACTCCATCCATTCGTGAAGCTGGTTGCATTTGCCGTTGGAGCAGTGGAAGAGGAGACCGCCCTGCGCGTGAGAGAGACGACGGTGGAGATGGTCAGCTTGCGGGCTACTATAGACGTCGACGAGCCGCGCACTCACCTTAGGGTTGCCAGTGCCGTCTGCTCCGTGCGGGTCAAGCTCTCCTCCAGCGTCACCAGGCGTGACATTGATCTTGGTGAAATCACCATGGCCCGTCACCTGAACGTAGTGGGGCGCATACACAAAGCTCGCACCGGTAATTGTTCCCTCAGGGATCAATCGCGTGCCACGTCCAGACTTGGTGCAGTAAGAGACAGCGTCCCCCTCGTGATCACTGACGCTCCCCGGCACAGGCGGGCCAAAGAGGCAAAAATCGGTGAGAGAGTTGATGTAGGCGTTTTGGCACTGCGAGTTGGCATTGCTCCCCGTACCGCACTTGTTTGTACCGGTCTGCGGTCCCTCAGTCTTGTCTGGCAGGCCGGAGGGGGAGGCGACGTACGAGGCAGAGTACTGGGCTGAAGACTTGGATGAGAGGAGGGCGAGAGCGGCCGCTGTCGCCAGAGTGAATGTCGATGGGTTGAACATGGCGGATCAGAGCAGAGCAGACCGGAGCAGAGGAGAGCGTTGAGAGTGGATGACGAGAGCGGTTAGACCTTGGGAGACAGGGGCCGCTGGCTGGAAGAAGAGTGCTGCACTGGTTTTTCTAAAGTAGTTGAGCAGCGGAGGCGACGGCGTCAATTGAGGGCCGAGGTGGAAGCTGATTTGGGATCGGGTGTAAAGAGGGCCTTGGGACTCGTGACGGGGGTGCGGCGGCTTGATATATGGCCCGTCTTACGGCAACGTAACGTAGCTGAAGCTGTCGGCAGGTTGCGCTTCGACGACTGAGATCCGACGGCAGCAAGAGGAGCCAGCCTACGGCCAGTCTATGTCCAGCGGCAAACACGACGGAACGAATGACCCTGAGCTTAGTGAGCCTTTTGCGAATTGGGTCGTCGATGAGCAAAGCAGCTGGCCATCGTAGTGCCCTCTCTCTTCGTCGTCGGACTTGCTGCGCAGACGGAAAATCGACCTCGCCTCGCAGTCAAATCGCGGCAACAGATGCAGATGCAGACGGACGGACGGACGTGAGAGAACGATCAACATGCAGAGCAAAGCGCGGGCGACAGCGGAGACAGAGCCCTGGAGCAGTGGGGCCCAGGGCGATGGATGCGGCGGATGATTGAACCAGGCACATGCCGAAGCAAGATGCGCCACTAAGAATGGTCGACAGCGAAGAAGAAGGGCGGTCAGTAGCTCAGACACACCAGACAAGCTCGGTACGACAGGTCAAGCGCGGAGACGTGGTAGCCATCGGCATCGTCCGCTGATCGCCGAGGTGATGCAAACACGTCAACGATGGCCGCCGTAGGCTAGAGACGGCACCGTAGGACGGCATCACAAGACGGCATCATAGGACGGCATCGTCGGATCAGACCAGAGCAACATACCGCCGTTGCCGTAGGCTCGCGCCAGTCATTCCAAATTGCAAGAGATGATAGAGAAAGCTACAGATTGTGTGCTGGCTGGGCTGATCCTGACGCTCCCCCTTGCTCTTCCGCATGCTTTACCCTTTCCCATCGACGCCGCACGCTCACCCGGGCAGGGCCCAAAGCAGCTTGCTTACCCCAGACAGGTTGCGAATATGTAAAGGCAGACGCTCTTGGGTATACTCGAACAGTGGTATCCTGTAGCCTCCCATCTCCACACCGGCAGTCAAGTCGACCTGCAGGTAAATCTGACCCCGTTCAGCTAAGAATGCCCTCACCAGCTGGTCCAGTCTTTGGCCTAGAGTAACGAGGCATTGCCCACTTGCCTGACCGGGATTGCTCGGCCCTGAGCCTGGAGAGACGCGCAGGGCAGCCCCCTCTGACCACTTCATGGATGCGCTTCCAAAAGGCTTGCCCTTGTACCTCGCAATAAAGGACAGCGACGTGAGGTCGATCGGCACCATGAGCGGGTTTGAGATGGCAAAGACGCACTCCACCGCGTTGGCTGTAAGCACCTTGGCCCCCAGCGTGATCTCGATGCTGGCAATGAGCATTCGATCGACGAGGGGCTTGAGGTCGAAAGACAGACGCAGCGACGATAAGGCGGGTCGCATAGCTTCGACCTCTGTCGACTCCTCGTCGCCGCGGATCTCAAGGTTGGTGACCTTGCCCGAGAGGAAATTCGCGGGGAGCTGGCGAACGGCCTTTTCTTCTGTCTCTTTGGGGTAGTAAAAGAACTCGACATTCTTGAAGGCGCAGGGCCCCGAAGTTAGGCTGAATGGCCCACTGTCTCCGCCAACGTACGCTCGTCCTACAAACGCGCCACGGTAAAAGGCAGCGAAGCTCAGGCCTGTGTCGGGCAGCTTGAACATGACGTTCTTGCTCGGGTTGTTCAGGAAGAGATCGAAAGTGACCTTGAGCCTCTCCGGCGTGCCATCGACGACTTGCAAGCCCGTATAGTCTGTGGGCGAGGTGCGCAGGGCCCGCATCCCTTTCATACGCAGCTTGTGCTCTGCACCGAGGTCGACGTGGCATGGCATGATGCCCAGCGCCGTCCTGACTCGTACATGAGCGACGCCGAGCAGAGAGATGCGGTCCGACTCGTCGCTCTCAAAGACGTGTTTGATCATACGTGAGAAGGCATCGCTGCTCGTCTGGACTTCGAAGCTGGACAGGGACAGCTTCAAGATGCCAGTCGCAAACTCGACTTCGCTGTCCGATCGTGAGTCTTTGCGTCGGCGCGATCCGGCCCTCTCTTGTGACTCGAGGACTTGAGATTCAGCTGCCGTGCCTTTACCGACCACAGTACCGTCGAGCAAGATGGTTACGTCTGCTTGAACGTGCTCTATGGCGACGTCGATTGGGAAGGGGACCTCGTACTTGACCAAGATGGCTCCCACCTCGAGTTGCGGCTCACCGTGACGGGGGAAGGCAGCAGTGAGAGTCTCGAGCTCGATTCTCTGCACAACGTCGTGAGGTCCGTGTCGAATGGTCACCCCCAGACGCAAATTCCTCAGCGCAGCATTAAGCCACTCGACGGATGGATGGGCTTCGCGATGGCTGCCCATCGAGGCACTTCTTGCCATACTACCCTTTTGCGCTGGCAATCGACCGACCACCGCACTCTGCCCTCTGACAGCGAGCTGAACGCTCTTGTTGGCCAAGAGATCGGACGCCAAGCTGCCGAGTCGCTCCATATCTGGAATGGCGTAGATGAAGCCCTTGACCCGGACTGTGGTACTCTGCCCACGCGCGAGGAGCACGTCTCGCATTGTGATCTGACCGATCACAAGCTCGTCCACGAGAAGCTCGGCTTTCAGTTTGGCGAGGAAGAGGGTGATGTCGCTCATATTAGGCAAGGTCACCGTAGCCTTGAAGCCCAACGACATAGCGTCGGTGCGTAGACCTGTCTGGGCAGCCATCGAGGGCGAAAGAGGCTCCTCGCCGAGGATGTCAAAGTCCTCTGCCGCTACATCCGGGAAGTTGCCAAAGCCTCTCAGGGTGATCTGCTTCGACAGATGTGGGTGGAAGTCGGAGCCTCCAGCAGAGACTCTGATACTGGGTGCTTCGAGAAGCCAGGTCGACGTCTCTTCTTCAAGTAGAGCGCCGACAAAGGCAGCAAAGTCGTCTACGGATGATTGTCCGTGCGCGGGCACGATGTTCACCTCTCTGACCTCTTCGCACGTTTTGCCAGGCTGGATCTGAAGCGGCCCATTGACGTAGAATAGTGCCGCTGTATGGCCCTTACGCTCCCCGTGGGTCCAGACGAAAGCAAGACCGTATTCTAAGCTGACCTCAGCTGCTATCGGCCCGAAATTGGACAACTTCAGTGCGGCTGTCGCTACCATACCGTTAGCGGTCAGATCGTGCACATCGATGGCGCCAACTTGTATGTTGCCAGCTTCTACGAGCTCGCTGACCAAAGGCGCACCCACGCGAGGGACGATCCAAGCCGCTGTAGCCCCTGTGATGGTGATGGCGAGGGACCGTTGTGTAAAGTCGATTCCGGAAGGAATTGTGTAGCCGCCAATGGATACATCTTCGATGCTGACCACGGCGCTGACGCTCAAGTTGGAAAGCGCCTGCGTGAGGAGAGGGGCAAAGTCCTTTGTTGGCGCGTCGCGCGGTCCTCCCGAGGGCACCGTCTCCCGACGATCAGCAAGATCGAGCACCCTGTTGAATTCCTCGCCTAGTTCGACGCCCTCTTTGCGAGCCGAAGCCCTCAGCAGCCTGATCAAGACGACGGGGTCCTCGTTGAGGTCAAAGGGCAGCGTCACTGGAACGTGATCGTTCGGTTGAAGTACGATGCCCTCCCAATTGTCCGGCGTGATGATCCGGCCAAGCTCTGCAGCTCCATTAGTATGATCGCCATCTTCCTCGCATGCCCTGACCCTGAGCTTCCGTACGTGGATGGCCGCGCCAAAGCTATTGCGAAGCGTTGTGCGGATGTACGTAGAGTCGCGAGCGCTTTCGACTTGGTGGGAGCCAATGGAGTCTGAGCGACTGCGAGACGTATTCGAGTTGCCGCCGTGAATGGACAGCTCATTCTCTGCTTTGAGCTGAGCACCGTCCAAAAGGCGAGCCTTGTCGCCAAGAGGCGGGAGCGTGGCCCAAATCGCGGCTCCTCGGAAAGCCTCTGCCATCCACGGCGCGTCAGAGAGGGGTATTGACTCGGTCTCCATCGCTACAATGGTGCTGGGCTCATTCTGCAAGAGCGAAGTGAAGAGGCCTGCACATGCCTTGGCCTCACGAGAATCTGGCTGCAAGTTGGTAGGTATCCGTATGACTCCCTTTGCCTGGACCTCATTGTTGCAGCCAATTTTGAGCAGTGTGTCCGCTAGCGAGAGATGTCCGACGGAAATGTAGGGATTGCTAGTACCACCTGTCGGGAGGCACAGAGCAAAGCGCAACTCGCCGATCTGGACACTCAAGGGAGGCAGGCCCTTGACGGCTTTGGGTATGTTGAGGTTTACAGTAGCTGTGATGAAAATGCCTTGCTCGGGATCGCCGCCGATGATGTCGAGGTTGCTGGCGATCAGAGTGCCAGGCAGGCGCCGGGTCTCTCCGTTGCTGTCCACCTTGAAGTTCCTTGAGCGGTAACGAGCCAGAAAACCTCGCGGCTCGTAGGACGACGCTTGTGACGGCGTTTTGAGCAGAGGTGCTCCAAATTCGGGGTATCGTAGGGCATCGCCCATGTTGCCAAGTCCACCGAGAGGCACGACCTTTTCCATCTCCAGCCCAGAAAAGGTGAAGCCGTATGCCTTGATCTGGACGCCATTGGCTCTGAGGATGATGGGAAACATTTGGTCCACCGGCGCTTGTATCAAGGCGCGTGCGAAGGCGCCTACCTGAGACACCGCAGCTGGGCTATTATCAAGGCTCAGGGTTGTGGCGCCTGCGCTGACTGCTGGTGCACAGGGCGTGACTTTGAGGTCTCCGAGAGAAGCCGTCGCGATCACCTCGCCCGCTCTTGATTGCGCCTTCGCCGACGAGACCGCAGACAGCTTGCTCAGTGGCGAATCGGAGGGCCAACAGAGCTCGGTGACGCCCTTGAACTTGAGCTTCGCTTTGAGTGGTAAAGGGCCAGTGCTCAGCTCGGAGACCCTGAGATGGACAGAGGCCGTAAGACCTTCGGAAGACAGCGGCTGCTTCACGTCGAGAACGGTCAGGTCGAGAGTCGCAGAGTCAATGAGTCTCGTGACAATTTTGCGTACGAATGGCAGCCGTGAGAGGCCCTTGCTCTTGGACCGATGCGAAGGGCCCGATGGTCCCTCGCCGAGATCAGCGGCCACGCCATTGCCATTTTGCTCGTACGAGTCGGGTTGCAACGCGGCCATCGCGGGCGCGAATGGTCGGGGAGAGGAGGATAGATGTGCGGATGAAGGAAGAGGGAGGAGGATGTGAGCGGGAGAAAGGTAAGATGTGGTGCGCAGCAGAGCAGACCGCTCCCCTCGAGCTCTCGCTGAGCTTTCCGGGTCTAGGTCGTCGTCTTCGTGGAGTGCGGAGAGAAAAGAAGCTTCAGGGCAAGACGCAGTCGAGGAGCTGTCCCTCCGTCTTTGCGAGCCGCAAGGATGGCGTCAAAGCGCTGCAGGAAGCTTGGTCTCCATCGTGCGGGGCGGGCGGCACGCCAGTGCGTGCGAGTACAGCGGCGTCCAGGACTTTGTTCACTCGAGCCCCTTTCTCACGCGCTCAGACAGTGAAATGGGGCAGGCTGCACTCCACAAAAAGACGAGCTCCTCAAGCGCTCGCTCAAGGCGAGGCCTTTGCTCGCTCCATGATCATCGTCGATGCGTGGGAAAGCAGCCGAGCAGTGTGGAGACCTGGGTCCCACGCTCAGTCAGTCACATTTCATTGCATCGCGGTGTGACGGCGGCAAGAGCTCTTGCGTGCGTCATGCCTGCCTTGATTTGATAGAAGCAGAGAAGCCTCGGCGAGAACGGGCGGGCGGGACGATCACACGACATGCTCCTGCGCAGAGTCAGTGGGCGTCCATTCAGAGGGGGGGGGGGGGGGGAATCTGTAGTCGCTGGTAGCCTTGAATCAAGTCCGTACTCCATCCCTTCATCTTCCCGCCTCTCGTAATGCAGGCCATTTCTATACCCATGTCCCTCGTTGTGTTCCTGAGCATCGACCCGATTGAATGAGACCGGCCGGCAATGGCGGCGATAGACTGGCCCCTCCACGCACCGACCGAACAGATCCGACGATGGCCCTTTTCTCTGCGAGATGGCCGAGATGCCTTACCGCAAGCAAACTAGTCAAGTCGACCTGGTAAGAGCGCGAGCAATCAGTTCAAGGGGGTCGAGCGATCTTGGCTCTGCTTTGCTTTGAAAGCTTGCCGTCACTGCCACCACGCATGAGTCATCAAGATGGCCGCGCTGCAACACCAGCAGCATGCGGATGTCGAGACGCCCGCCACAGAGAAGCCGACTGAGGGAGGGGCCAGTGGTGGTGGTGGTGGTGGTGGTGGTGGTGTTGAGAGCCAAGATGGTAGCGCCAACACCCATCACGTCTCAGGCGCTACGACGCCCACGATCGTTGCGGACAATGACCCTGTGCGGGGCTTCAATGCGCAAACGAACTACCTGCCTCGCCGCAACATCATCATCGTCTTTCTCGCGTTGGCCATTGTCATCCTCACGGTCCTCATGGATCAGACGACCTTGGCAGTCTCTGCACCTATCATCGGGTCAGATCTGAATGCTGGCAGCCGCACGTCCTTCATCTCAGACAGCTATTTCATTACAGCGACCGCTTTCCAGCTCATCTACGGCCGCGTCTCCGACTTCACAGGGCGCAAGCCGCTCCTGCTCTTACTACTCGCCATCTTCTTCATCGGATCGCTCGGCTCGTCGCTCAGCCCGGAAATCATCTCCCTCGTCGTCTTCCGAGCGTTCACGGGCATAGCAGGAGGTGGCGTCATCACCGTATCACAGATCATCATCTCGGACGTTGTCTCGTTGCGAGAGCGTGGCAAATACCAAGGCGTGCTCGGCGCAGTCGTTCTCGTAGGCAACGGTCTCGGGCCCATCGTTGGCGCCGTTCTTGCTCAGAAAGCGACGTGGCGAGACCAGTATCGCATCATGCTGCCCCTCTCAGCAGTAGCGGGGGCGATAGCGTGGCGATTTCTGCCTCTCAAGAAGGTAGAAGGAGACTGGAAGCGCAAGGTACGCGCAATAGACTGGACCGGCGCTGCCCTGTCGCTTGTGGCCACGCTCCTCGTCGTGCTGGGCTTGAGCTGGGTTGGCGCATACACTTGGGTCAGCACTCACGTCCTGGTGCCGCTGTGTATCGGCGTCGTCGTAGCTGCGGTCTTTGTCCTTTGGCAATGGAAGGGTTGCACCGAGGACCGCCCGCCGCTGATGCCCCTCTCGATGTACAAGAACTCCATCGTCGTTGGAGCGTCGATTACGCAGACGATCAATGGGTGGATCCTATACTCGCAGCTCTTCTACCTTCCACAGTTCTACCAGCTTGCGTATGCATATACGCCAATCCCGGCCGCAGCTCTAACCATCCCACTCCTTTGCATCCAAGCCTTCTCCTCAACGGTATCAGGCTTCATCGTCTCGCGTACAGGGCGATACCGAGAGGTGCTCTTGGCCGGCTGGATCTTCTGGGCCGTTGGGCTCGGCCTCATCTCGACGCTGAACGAGACCTCCGGCAAGGGCAAGCAAATCGGCTTTGCCATCCTCACAGGCGCAGGCAGTGGTGCGACGCTCCAGGTCGGCTTGGTAGCCCTTCAAGGCGCCGTGCCTCGCAAGCAGATGGCCGTGGTGACTGCTACACGCAACTTTCAGCGCAACCTAGGGGGAGCGCTTGGCCTGGCCATTGGAGCCTCGATCATTAGCACTACGGCAAAGCACGATCTGAAGCCGCTAGGATGGACAAGTGCTATGATCAAGTCTGCGTTGGACAATCCTGCTCAAATCTCCTCGTCAGCCTCTGCCAATCGCATCGACCCGGCGCGGATTGAGCAGCTACGGCGGGCTTACGTGCGAGGCTTCCACATCCTCTTCGATCTCTTTGCAGCACTGGCAGCTGTGGCCTTCTTTGCTACGCTGTTCTTGCTACGACACAAGAGCGTGGACCGCGATGATGATAAGCAGCTCAAGGAGGACGCCAAGGCGGCGATACGGCAGGCCAAAGAGAAGGACAAGGGAACGAGCGACCCTCCTGCTTCAGCTGCTGTCAGGGCGAAAGATACGTGAGATAGATCCTTCAATGCATCATAGATGAAAGATTTCGAGTTGCGTACGTGCGTGCGTGCGTGCGTGCGTGCGTGAGTGCTTGCGCCCGTGCGTGCCTGTTTGCAGCCTCGGAGTGATATCGATTTGGGACTGGATCTCGTCGTGTGAAAGGTGATGAAGACCCTCTTATCGCCGACGCCGCTGACGCCGACGACACTGCTGCTTCGATGACTGTCAAGGGAGAAGAAGCCTTCACTTAGCCTGAAGTGGAATTCAAGAGGCGCCTGTCAAGGGTGGTGACCGAAAGCGGTGGCTTGTGGACGCTGTGGTCCCGAGATTGAGCGGCGGCAATGGTCGCAATCACGAGCGCCTTCCGAAGCAGCAGCCCAAAGGTCATGACGGCATCATGTCACATTCATCGAATCGCACAACCTTGCATACTGTCCGAGCCACTCGGACCTCGCTCCGACTCTCTTTCCTCGGCGTTGCTATGTGTGGAAATCGAGCAACCCGAGGGTAGCTGCTGCTGATCTCTTTTTACATGGCCGCCCGTGGCCATCGGGCGTTTTCATACGCGGACTGACGAGCGAGCGAGAGTGCGACGAAGGGGGGCGCGAGGTCAGCAATGCGTGGCCGCCGCTTTCAGCACGCTCGAAAGAATTGTCTGACCTGAGATGGCGAGTAGTGCGATAGCGACGACGTCGACACCCTTGTCGTCACCGAGACGGGGGTTTGAATGCGACGACAACAACTTCTCTCATCTGTCCATATCATCATTACCACTACCTTGCGTCTCATTACGCCAGCGTCTTCTTCTTGTTGCTCAATTTTTTCACACGGCGGAACAGCGAGCAGCGAGCTTTCCCCAGAGCCAATCAAGCAGACGTCGGTCGTCGTCTTGCCGCACAGCCAGGCCTCCGCACCCCGCCGCCGCCGCCGCCAGTCGCCGCGAGTCCCAGTCCCACGGCAGCCAGCAGCCGCAAAGCCAAAGGCCACTAAGGCGAAGCACACGCACATAAACTGCACTCGCCCCGCCTGCTTAGACAGCCCAAGGACAAGGACAAGGACAAGGGAGAAGGGGTTCAAGCTCTCTCTGGCTCATCAGCGGCTTGGCAACCCCACTACCAGCTTCAGCTTTAGCGCGCCCTTGGGCACTTCTCCGAAAGCGTAGCTGCCTAGCCATCTTGTGACGTCGTCTACGAGCTCATCTTCATCCTCGTCTTCCGGCATCATTTTGCTACTTGGCCATAAGCTGGTCAGACGCTGCGTAGCACCGTCCAGTACCTGCATCCATTCGTTCATCGCAACTGCCTCGCTCTATTGCGAGGGTGCCGAGAAGGCGACGAGTAGAAGCAGCAACCTACGCAAGCTACGCCGTCGTCCAAGGCAAGCAAGGTTTCTCTTCTCAACCTTACTACTAGGCTACGTCACATTCTTTCATCTTCTTCCCTTGGACCTTGCCTCATCTACCCCGCACTCTGCTCGCAGTTTCAGGGCAGACGAGACGTCAGTGCCTGCCTCATTGCGGCCCGCAAGCCCCCCTTCGCCCTCAGACTTTGACGTCGGTTTCAGACGCCCAAGACCTGTGAAAGGCGCGCGACATTCGGCAGCAAAGAGGGCTTAGCTTACGCTAGTAGCGTGCAATCTTCAACTGCTCCTCGCTACCACCGACGCTCATTGACAATATGGCGCAGCAGGGCGAGACCAGTCGACGGCAGAGCAGCAAGACGCCCGAGGCCACTTCCTCTTCAAGAGGCTCTCCGTGGTCTCGAGCAATGGAGAGGCAGGAATCATTGACAGAGGAAGAGGCAATGTGGATGAGAACGAGGGAAGAGCAACATCACGATGCGCCCAGCGAGGCGCCGACACCTGCGGCTACCGACGTTCCAGAGACGCCACTACCTTTGCCTGGGATGGAGGGGTCTTCAACACCAGCTGGGAGAGCAACGAATCTCGATGCAGAGGACGAAGATGTGAGGATAGCAATCATGGCGCTTGGAGCCATGAAGCATCTGGATGGGAGGAGCGGGGGAGATCCAGCAGGAGGAGCAGGAGGATCGCATCATCAGCAGCAGCATCGTGCAGCAACGCGGCAAAGAGATGGTAGCAACGCCTGTGAGTATGAGAGGCGTCTTCATCGAGAGATCAGGGCTGTAGACTGACTCACGGCGCACCTTTTCACAGCCCACACTGCAGGCTCATCCATTGTGTCGACGTCGTCCGTGAACTCGACCGCCATCTCGTCGCCCATCTCTACACCGCTCACCGAGTCGATCACCACTCCAGACTGCAGCGTCACCTCTCAAGCACACTTTGGCGGCGGCAGCAGCAGCAGCAGCGTAGCCGGGGCCAGCACAAGCAGCAATGCCGGCGCTGATGCAACACAGTCCTTCAAAAGGGCGGCTACTCTCGCCGACTTGCCGCCTGACTTTGAATTTCCTGCCATCATCCAGGACGAAGATGGGAATGAGGTAGAGGTGGATCGCGAGATGATGAAGGATGCGGATTTCCTCAATAGGGTCAGCCACCTGCCAATGGTCAGGGGAACGTTGCGCGCCTACGAGATTGGCAAGCAGAAGAGCAAGATTGTAAAGGTGAGTGCACGAGAAGCGGCGAGATCATGTGCGCAATGAGCTCACATGAAAGCCTGCCTCATTATGCGCGCTCGCAGTACGGAGGCGACCTCGTCGAATCCTCAGTCAAGGCCATCTCACGCCCCGTCGTAGACCGGCTGGGCGCATCGCTAGGCGGCAAGGGCAAGGAACAGCTCGACGACTTTGCTTGTCGCCAGCTAGACCGCCTTTATCCACCAGGCAATGCTGCAGAGAAGCAAGTTATGGCCGAGTTGGACGAGCGAGAGCGGACAGAGTGGGCGCACATGGACGACGAGGAGAGGATGAAGCGTCGTAAAGCGTATTGGGCACTGCATATGGAGGAGAAGGAGAGGGAGATGGTCGTCAACGAGCTGCGGCAGCGCAAGGGGAAGGGAAGGGCTGAAGGGAGCGAATCGACGCTCCAACCGCAGACGTCGCTCTCGTCATCAAGCGCCCTCGCTTCAACATCGGCTCCACTCACCGGCGCTTCAGCAACGCGTTCCTCCGTCGACGACGGCCGGGCCGCTTCGGGTCGTGCCCTCGTGGAGCAGGCCACAAAGAATGGCACAGGAAGCAGGTGGGGCTCAATGCTAGTCGAGGCAGGCGCGACGGCCGGCGGCCTCTCAGCGGCAATGAGTGAGGAAAGCATGAAGTCACTCAAGTACTGCCTGCAGTGGTTGCAATACGCAACAGCGCACATCGAGCACCAGATTACCGTGCTCCGCGACCTCATCGTCAAGCTTAATCACGGAGAGCTCGAGCTTACGTCCCCGGCGGCGCAAAACTTGTCCCAGATCAAGGGGGACGTGGTCACGACCATCAGGAGCGTGGTGGATGTAGTGGGCAGGTACGCGGGAGGAGCACTGCCAGAGCCGGCGCGCGTTAGCGTCAAAGCCTTCATTCTCAGCCTGCCAGCGAGGTGGGCAACGGTCAACCGCGCTCCAGCGACGAGCTCGTTTGGGGGCAGCCCGGCAAGTCCCTCCTTCTCGCCCGCGCATGGGACGCCTCGAAGCGGCAGCAACGGCGGCCCATCGTCCACTCCATCGGCATCGCAGGACCTCACATCCGCCGCCGCCACAGCTCAAGCTGCAAATCGCGTACTCACCCTCGCAGTCGAGTCGCTGGACATCTTGCGCTCCGTGACAGTCGTCGTCGGAGAGTCGCTCGATCGGGCTGATCTCTGGGTTGAGCGCCTGCGAATGTTGGGCCTACAGAGGAAGCGTCAGCACGAGCACGAGGTGACTGGAGGTGCGCCTCACAGCATCGAGGCTCCTGGAGGAAGTGCCCCGCATTGGGAGAGTGCGAGGGGCTTGTCGAGCTACCGCCGGGGCTCTGTCGGTGCGGGATCAGATTTGTCCATGGACACGTCTGCTTCGACGAAGAGGAGGAGGATGCGCGCAATCGAGGGGGGCGCTGGGCCTGTGATGGAAGAGGGCGCTCACCATTCGCAGCTGGCTGGCACGCCCATCGCAGGAGCGGGGAGCGCCATGGGTGCAGGGAGCACTTCTGTAGCGTACAAGAGCGGCGGCGCGGGAGCAGGTTCGACGAATACGGCGGCCAGTCGAAGGCGCAGGGGTGTTCCAATGGCTTCGCAGAGGAGCTCCGGTGGGCCAACGCAGGGTGGGGGCGCTTCGACGCCGAGTTTCGAGTTCAGGCGGGAGCTGCCTTGACCGAGGGATCACATCCTGGGAGGTGTACCTCTTTCTTTCGTTCGCTTTGCTTGTGTGTGTACCATTATGCAGAAGACAGGCTGGCTGAATTCATATCCAGTATCATGATGAGAAGAGTTGCTCCCGCCTGGCCAGTCCGCCCTTGGCCGTCCGTGCGCCGCGTTGCGTTGCTTTTGCTTTCCTGCTTTCCTTCCTCGCCATCGTCTATTTGGCCGAGAATGGCGTCGATGATGCTCGCCGGGACATCGGGAGGCCTTTTCAGGCGATCAATAACCTCGCCAAGGTGCTTGACTGTCATCTCGAGTCCAAGACCAGCTGCATATAGTCGAGAGCGGCCGCCTACGACCTCATCCGGCTTCCACAGCAGCGCCGTCGCCTTTTCCTCCTCCTCCTCCTCCTCCTCCTCCTCACCACCACCACTACCGCCGGCATCATCATGGACTGACTCCATACTCAGCCTGATGGACCCAGTCGTACCATATATACACGCTCTGCCTGACTATCTCCACCTTTCCGGTCCACACAGCTACGCCCTCAGCATTGTCCTCCTCACATTCGTGCTGCGAAGCACAGTCACGCTCCCCTTCCAATTGTGGGCACGACGCCGGCAAGCAAGGCTGCAGGAGGAAGTCATGCCAAGATGGAATGTGCTGAAGGGTAGAGAAGGACTGCCCTTGACGAGGATGAAGTTGGCGAGGAGGGAGGGAAAGAGTTTTGAGGTGTACAAGGCGGAGTTAGAGGAGGAGTTGCGAGAACGACTTCGCGCTTTGATCAAAGAGTGCGTAAGTGGCAGCAGAGAGGCCAAGAGATGATCGAGCTGACGCTGCCGCCTTCGTACTTCCCCCGCTCACCTCGCTCGCTTCACTCACCTCGTACAGACATCGCTGCGAGCAATGGAAGACGCTCCTGATCCCTATATCCGTCTCTCTACCCCTCTTTGTCGCCACAACCATGGCGCTGCGGCAAGGATGCCTTCCTCCCTCGCCCCTACTGGGTGAAATCTTGCCATGGTGGTCCCCACCCGACGACTCCCTTGTGCGCTCTTTTGAGACCTCAGCACAGATGCTCCGCGACCGCGGGATGGACCCAGAGGCTCTAGCTGCGCTCAGCAAGCCAACGGGGCCTACGCTGGGCGACAGGGATTCAACTGTGTTGGGACCTGTAGCTGTGGGGATGCTGAGCATGTTGAATGTTGAAATTGGAGCGAGAGCTAGAAGGAAAGGCTTGGAGGACGCCAAGGCAAAGAGGGAGGGTCAAGGGAAGGAAGAGGGCAAGGAGAGTCTGGGCGATGTAGCGATGAGGGTGGAAAAGGCTGAGCTGGTCTCTAACGCGATCGCGACGGGGATGAGGGGTTTCTCCATCCTGTTCATCCCCATCAGCTTGAATGCACCCGGGGTGAGTGGCTATTCTTCGCGGCTGCAGCTTCCACTTTCCGAAGCTGAGCCTACATCTCCCTTCCTCATCCACGCGCAGGCCCTTCTCATCTATTGGCTCTCCTCCATCAGCTACTCACTAGGCTACAATGTCATTACCTCCCTCCTCTCGGCCCGACAAAGGAAGCTGCGTCTCGAGGGCTCGGCGCAAGAAGCCGAGTCTTCGCGCGTGGCTGGGATCGAGGAGCAGGTGAGGAGTGAGCTGCGCGAGATGGAGGAGAAGTCGAAGCTGCAGTTGAGCGGGGATGTGATGGGTGGCCAACCCGCTCCGCAAGCGGTGAATACTGCCACGGCGAAGGATGCAACGGCAGGAATGCATGATGGCGCAAACACTGCTGGCCCAACTCGACCTCCGGCGAGCAAAAACTCAATAAGGCCACCGCCTGCCGTAGCCAAGCCCAATCCATCGGCCACTTTCACTTTCCCTCAAGCACCGGAGCGAGCAGCAGCAAAGAGGAAAAGAAGATGAGCGGAGAGAAGAAAGATGAAAATTGAAGACATTGGTATAGATGATGTGACCAGAGATGAGTGTAATGTAATGATACAAGATGCGATGATGTCAGGTTCATGAACGGGCGACTTCACTTGCGCCTGGGAATGAAGAGGCTCGGCGTGGAGCCTGCACCCCCGCCAGTCATCGGAGGGCTGCCCGCTTTGCCGTTGTTGCTGCGCTGTTGCTGGGAATGCTGCGGTGCTGGCCTCGCAACGGGACGAGAAGCTCCATTTCCACCATTGAGTACGCGTGTTCCAGACGAAACGACGACCGTGCTGCTGCTTGCGGGCTGAGCAGACGATACAGCTGTGCCCACTGTCGGTGCAGCGCTTCCACCGGCTTTACCAGTGCCTGTCGCCACTGAATTTGCAGCTGCGCTCGTACTGTTTGCGACTCTTTTCGCGTCGCTCCATGGCGTCTTCCCCTTTTCATTCTCCAGTTTCCACTTCACCAGATCCAAGCTAGCCTTCGCATCCTCTAGACTCGAATGCCCATCCGTACTCATGCCCGCCTGAATTGTTCTCCCCAGCAAGCGATACGCCAGATCCTTCAGCTTCTGCCTGTAAGGAAAGCCCTTGATCGGATGAGGGAAGAGCAGGGCCGTATCACACAGCAGCGGATGCAGGAGGCGCAGAGCTCGAAGGTCATTCTCGAGGCCGTGTCCCACCAGTAGGGTGGTGGGGCTGATGTAATGGGTGAGGGTTTGGCGGATGACGGGAAGGGAGGGGATGGTGGGATCTTGAAGTTGAGCTGTGGTCACCCCGGAGAATTGCAGATTCGTGTCGACGAGTGTGGTGCGAGGACGACAGAGAGAGTCGTAGATTGCTTTGCCTCCTTGGTCAATGAGCGTCACTCGCGTGAGGGATAGCCCACCGGTCGTGTAGCCAAGTTCACAGTCCAATGCCACAATCTCAAGGCGGGTGCTCTTGGCTTCTTGCCGCTCCTCGTTGCTGAGCTGTTCATCCAGCTCCTGCGTGCTCACAAAGCCCTCACGACGATGCAGCTGTGCGACGTCTTCCTCCTTGAAAACGTGTGGTCCCACGCAGCAGGTGCGATCTCCCTCTACACTTTGTGATGGCCCGCCACCAAAGGATGCAAGCTGAGACAAGGTGATGCCAGAACTAAGCGGCGCCTCCACGCCGCGCCCACAGCACGTCCAGACCTGAACACGATGGCGCACCCCGGCGGTGGGGTCCCGTTCAAAAGTCTTCTTGCCCCAATGGTAGTGGCAGGCGTGCATGTCTTGGCCTGTCGTGGAATCTGAGGGGCCGCCTTGGCCGACGATGAAGGGCTTGCGACAGCGATCGCATTCTTTCTGTTGCCCGTGGGCTGAAAGTTCGGAGGAGCCAGCACCCCATGCTGCATCGGCGGAGGTGGACGATTGTGCCGCTGCGGCCTCTTGCTTGCCATCTCTGGTGGGCACCACGTCGAAGCCAAATTCGGCCAGGCGCCTGTCTGGGCAGATGAGGTCTGCGTCTTTCAGCTTGGTAACGCTCAGCTCCGTCTTGATACGACGCTCCTCACTGCGGCGCTTCTCGTCCACCGCAGCGTTCGTTCCCACCTCGGTGCACAGCGAACGCAGCCGGGTCGCCAAGGCTGTAGCAAGCTCGGTATGGTCGTTGGCATCGCCGTTTGGCAAAATGGAGAGCGCCTCGCTCAAGCAGCGTTTGACGGCCTCAACGTCCCTCTTCTTGATGCCTACTGCCATTGTCACGATGCTCGAGCGGTAGCTCATCTTGGTCGCCCTGGTCCAAACATCGCGCTCCTGTTGTAAAGCATCCTGCGAGGCGAGGAGATGCCCCGCATCTTTCACTTTTGGGTCTGCGGACTCGAGGAGCGGAGCATAGGCGATGCAGAAGTGGTCGTGGAGCGTTTTGAGACAGGTATTGCGAGAGGTGAGGAGGATGGGCGAGGTGCGCGAATGCTGAGCTGGGCTGATCGTAGGGGGTCGGCGGCTGATGGTGGTCGATGAGGCGGTGGCGGAGGCAGAGGAGGATGACGCAGCGGCTGTCTTCGATGAGGAGGTGTCTGAGCTTGCAGATAGGGCTGAAGTTGTCTTGTTGACTCGCTTGTGACTGACAGTCGTCCACCCCTCGTCGTCTTCGCCATCTACGCTCACTTTGGTAGGCATAGTCGTGGGTTTAGCTTCCTGGCGCGCTGCCCTATCACCAGGTTGATACGCATTGACCCTCTGCCTCTTGCCCAACAATTGTGAGCTCAGCGATCCAAGCTGCGACGACGAGGACGAGGACGATGATGCTGATGTATGCTGCGACGCTCTGCGAGGCGGTGAGATGGATCTCTGCCTCTTTGCCTTGAGCGCCTTCTCCGAGTGATCAAAGGGGCACTCAGTCCTGCGCGAAGTGCACAACCCTTGTTGATCGTCGGGACAAGGAACGTCGCTCAGCAGGCCTAAAGGCCGAAACATGTCGCGTTGAGAGGGAAGGGAAGGAAAGGAGTGCAAGTAAGTGTCAGACGATCGCTTGGTTGGCCCGGCTGAGTGAAATTGGTGGGCGGATGGCGGATGGCGGACTGAAGCGACAAAGAGGGAGCGGACGGGCCATCGAGGCGCATTGCCAATGACCTGTCAAGAGCTCACGAGACGAAGCTCACAGCTTGATGCCGTCCGTCTTCTCAGTAAAAGTACATTGCAAGTGGTGTGTGTATGTATCGACGAGTGTATGCGCCCAGATCCATCCCTAGTATCGCCTCCTGTTGTTCCTCCTTTCCCTCGAGGCCAAAGCCCTCTGCTTCTTGGCCTCGGCCTCGTCCTGCTTACGCCTCAACTCCCTACGCATCGAGGCCAAGCTCATTTCGTTGTCCGGCGACGAACCCCTGTTGCCGGACGAAGCATTGTCCTCCTCGAAAAGACTACCACCCTTGACGGCCTTGCCACCCGCCGGACCCTCCGGCTTGAACCACTTCTCGTACGCATTCTCTTGCTTGCTGAGCGGCGTACCAGCCTTGAGTCCAGGGGAGGCAAGGTACTGCTCCTGCTGGCCATTGACGGGCTGCTGGCTCTGATAGCCGGCAGAGACGGCCTCGGCAAAGGTCATCCTCCTCCTGTCCCTCGTGCTTGAAGTGGTGGGGACTGCAGCGGCCATCTTCTTCTTGTCCGGCAGATCGTAATAGCGACGCAAGGCCGGGATCTGAAGTAGGGCAAGCTGCAGCAGACTGGACGCCGCACTGGTCATCCAGTAGACAAAGACTGCCGCTGGCAAGCTCTTGACGAAGAAGGGCAATACAACGAAGACACCACGCATGATCCATCGCGTGTACTTCTGCGGTCCATCCTTGGCCGTCGCCGCCGCCCCCATTTCTGCTCCCGTCTCCATAACGGCCAGCGTAAAGACCGACGACATGATAGGCAGAGTCCAGCCCGTAGGGTCAGCCATGGTCAAGTCCGGGAACCAGAAGAGCCCGCCCGCCTTCATAGTGTCGAGGTTCTGCTCGGCCAAGGCGCGAAGAGCAAAAAAGAAGCTGGCGAAGATTGGCATCTGGACGGCGGGCAGCTTGAAGGCAGCAAAGGGGCGGAGATCGTTGTCCTTCATGAACTTTTGAGCCTTCATCTGTGACTCCTGCAGAGCAATGTTGTCTCGTCTCCTCGAAGCGTCTTGGACGTCAGCCATGTGCTCTTGAAGCTGCGGGTTGAAGTGCGCCAGGCGCATGGACTGGGCTTGACCTTTCGCGGCAAAAGGAAAGAGGAGGACACGCACCGACAGGGTGACACCAATGATAATGGCCCACCAGGGAGCGCCAGTAGTCTCGACGAGCCAGTCGAGGCCGTATTCTGTGATGCGGACGTTGGGCCACGACGAGAGGGTGACGTCGGAGAAGGATCTGACGACTTCCGGAGTGACAGCGTCAACGAGGTTGGAAGCAGCGTCTGCTGCGGAGGAGGCGGTTTCCTTTGCGGAGTCGACGGCCGAGGAGACGGCATTGCCTGCTTGAGCAGAGGTCGAAGACGCGGCTGAGGCGGCTGAATCAGCAGCTTCTTGGAGCTGATTTGACGATGAGGCGGCCGTGTCTTTGAGGTCATCAGTCGTCGATTGAGAGCCGGTATTGCTCGAGGAAAAGATGGCACGGCTCGGAGACGAAGAGGCGAAAGCGTATGCTGGCGAAGAGGAGAATTGACGGCTGGAAGTGATGCTAGGTGAGAAAGTGGAAGGATCAAAGGATCTTCTCGAGAGCGGCCTCATCATCGATGCTGCCATGAAGGGTGAATGCGACGCAGCAGCAGCGGCTCGTGACGGCCCAGCAGCCACAGCCGACACCCTCGCAAAGGGCCTTGCCCCCAGGCGAGCAAAGGACATGATGTCTATGAAGCGAAGTTGATGTGGGACGACGATGAGTAGAGGAGGAGAAGGAGGATCGTCATCGAGATCGCGAGCTGCAACTTTTCTTGACTTGACTGCCTGCCTGCCCGCCCGCCTGCCTGCCTGCCCGCTTGCCCGCCTCCCGGCCTCAGTGTGTGTCGCTTCCTTCCTTTCCTCCCCGCGCGGCTTGGAACGCTCAATCCATTCTTGTTGCCGGCTTCGCTTGGGCCTCCCCTCGACCTTGGGAGCCGGCCTGACTGCCTTTCCATCGTCTCGTCAACTCGTCTTCTCGGCCAAACCTGGCAGCTCAGAGAGAAGTCGGGATCCCTCACTCCTGACCGCTATAGTCGTCAGCCAAGCCGACGACACTTCTTCGCCTTTTATCCATCACCCTCTCAACGCCGCCGCGTCGTCGCAACCGTGCTACGAATTGCTCTCCAACACAGGCGGTAAAGAAGAGAGTGTGCGAGGCCTCTCCAAAACTCCGCCCAGGACAAGGACTCGAGTCGACGACGGACGACGGACGACGGACGGACGCACGGCTACTCGGATTCGCGACTACAGTTAGCCATGCCTCTTGCCTCTATTCTTCCAGATTCAGCGTCGGCGGCAACGAGCAAAGATCAGGGCCCATCGCCGCCATCATCATCGCAGCAAAAACTGAGCAGCAGCAGCAGTCATAGCAGCAGCGGCAGCCAAGGGAGGGGCGGAGCCAACGGAGATCTCAGCCTCTCGCAGCTCCACCTCTCGTCCTCGCCGCCCAACAGTGACTCGCAGCTGAGCAGCCACATCAACGACCATCAGCAACCACACGGCAGAAGAGCGGCTTCAGGCTCCTCGTCGTCAGCTACTTCGGCCTCTTCCAGGCCCGCGCCGTTCACAGCTAATAGTAGGGACAGTCTCAATACGGCCGCCTACTTCTCTGCGGAGGAAGACATTGCGGACGAGAGAGTCCTTGAGAGTGTCGATCATTCGACGACTTCAGAGACGCCCGCTACTTCTACATCGCACTCTCAAGAGGGTGCGTCGTCCCCACCATCAGCAGCAGCAGCAGCGAAAAAGAAGAAGCGCAGAAAGTCGGGCAAATCGCGACAGAAGGACATCCCACCGCCCCCAACTGTCAGCCCGCGAAGAACGTCCCTTGGCAAGGCATCCCTTCTGCACCAAGCTTCGCGCAGCGCCGCCAACGAAGAAGCGTCGTCATTCAAAGCTGCAGCAGCAGGAGGAGATCTGTCGGAGCACTCGTCAACGTTTGGTTCTGCGGGATTGGCCATCGGAGCACCCTTAGCTGCGGCAGCAGGAGCCTCGTCTGTCCAGACTTTGCCGAGGAAGACGAGCGTATCGAGCTCAGGGAGACGCACGCCCACAGGGCTGGGCCTTCCGATGAGCAACCACAATGATGTGGCGCCAACGCTGAGCCAAGAAGTTGTCGAGAAGCGTCTGCTGCAGCGATGGATCCTGTCGATCGGCGTCGTCAACTTCGACCTGGAGAAGGGTCCCGACCTCGAGACGCTCTCCCCGCCTCTCGACATCAGCAGAGAGGAGCGAGACAACATCGCATTCTCGTCATTTCCCGACACGTCCATCTTTGATGTGGGAGACACGACGTTCAGCTTCAGAGCAAGAGAGGTGCCACTCGATGCGTCCGTCTCTTCGCCGCCTCACTTCGCGACGCTACATCCACCGCGTTTAGCATCTGCTGTAAACGATTGCCGTGGACGAGAAGCATCAGAGCCAGGTGGACTCCTTTCCTCTCAAGGAGGAGCAGCATCCAACAGCTCGTCAGCATCATCCATCATCCCACCGCACGATCAGCAACAGACAGCAAGCAAGAGCATCCAGCGCTCAGCCAGCGTGAGTGACTTTGGGAGCACCAGCGCTAGCACCGTAGCCCCCGCAACACCGCAAGCAAGCAGCGCGCGAGGAGTTGCAGCTCCTGCAAGCAGCACCAAGATTTCGAACAGCTCCTCCTCGTCCTACATCTACGGCTACGTGTTTTTTCGACAGAAACGCGATCCTGCAATTCGAAGAGGGTACTTCCAGAAGTCCCTCGTCATCCTCTCGCACCTGCCCTATGTGGCCCTCTTTACCGACATCGTGACCAAGCTCGGCCCGCTCTACTTTGAGCACGGAGACCCAATACTCGAGGCCTTCAGCGGTGCGGTGACCAAGTGGCCCAATCCCGCGCCTGGAGCTACGCTGCCTCTGCCACTGTTTGGGGCGCAGCTTTGGGTTGCGTTACCGCTGGGTAGGCAGGGACAAAGTGCAGCAAGTGATGCGAGCCAGCCAGGATTGTCGAGCAGCGCTTCGTCTGCTTCGCTACGGGAGCGAGCTGCGACGCCTACCTTGCCAAGGTCAGCGACTACCACCGCTGCCAGTAGCAGTGGCGGCAGCAACAGCAGCAATGCCGGCGGCGAGCCCGGATCAAGCGAAGAGTCACCAATTTTGGCCTCCATCCCCTCCACCCCGCTCATCTCCGTCTTCAAAGAAGCCCTCGCCGACCTCTGGCTCATATGGGAATGTGTCCTCCTCGCCGAGCCCATCCTCGTCATAGGCCCTTCCCCACAGATCTGCAGCGAGGCAGTCTGGCATCTCTTGGACATCTGTCGCCCTATCCCTCATGCGGGGGATTTCAGGCCCTTCTTCACTATCCACGACTATGACTTCAAGAATCTGGCGACGCGCAAGCAACCACCTGCGGGCACGATCATTGGATGCACGAACCCTTTCCTTGCGCAGGCGTGTGCGCATTGGCCTCACGTCTTGAGAGTGGGAAAGGCGGCTGTCAAGCTAGGCACGGCGGGCAAGTACGGGAAGGCGGGCGATGTCAAGCCTCCCATGGGCGGAGGCGTCGCGGGAGGCACGGGCGCAGGAGGTGGGGGGCCGCAGCATTTGCCCGGCTTCGAGACGAAGAAGAAGCGGAGGGTCAGCAAGGACAGGCCAATGCTTAAGCGGGTTCTCGAGTTGGTCGACAAGGAGGACAACCCGCAGCTCGCTAATACGGTGCTGCGTCGCTATCTTGCAGACATCACGGAGCGCTTCCTCGCCCCGCTGAATCGGTACGTCTCGTCCCTCATCCCGGCAACTCAGCGTCCGGTGGACCGATCGCAAATCAAGCCCTTCAACACGGACGATTTCCTTGCGTCTCTGAAGGCTCATGGTACGCCACTTTTGCTGAGGAGCAGGTCGCTGCCCACGGGAGCAGGGGTGAGGCAAGGGCTTTACCTGGACTTCTTGAGGAGCCCCAACTTTAGCTACTACTTGACGGAGAGGATCACCTACTTTTGTACTTTGAATCCTGTTCCGTCGAGTAGGAAGACGAGATTTGAGGAGGGAGGACGAGGCTAGAGGACTAAGAATGGGCAGCCATGGCGCTGTGGGTACAACAACACCTTTCGATGGCAACCTCGTTCGATTGGACTCCTCTCGAGATGCTACGTTTCACCTCTCCTCCGCGAATCTTTCCCTCCTCCTTCATCTACTCGTGTCCCGTCTAATTCAAATTGATACCATCGAGCGCGCGTGCAAGTGTGCGAACGGTCGACGATCGCTCCAGTTGCTATCATCACACTTCGGCTGATACGCAGGGATATTGGGTTGATTGCATTCTCTCTACGACGCGGCACGGCTACTTCATCTCTCCCTCGGGCACGTTCTCCTCTGCCATGTTGAAGTAAGTCCACTGTCCAGGCGCCGGAGCGTGCTCCAGAGGCTCGTGTCTTCGTGGGTTGGAAGGGAGGGAAGAGGTCAGCGTGTGGCGCCACAATAATGAAGCTTGTTTTGGGATTGCCAACTCACGCCTGCCACTCGAGCATCTTGGCCACCAGCTTCTGCTCATGCTCCGCCTGACTCAGCACCTCCTCTACCAATCCCTGGTCCACCTTGTCCTCGAACTTGGCAATTGCCTCCTCGTTATCCGCGTTTCTGCCTTGTGCCTTCTCCTGGTCCTTGATCTGCTTGATCACCGCCAGACGATACTCTGTTACAGCAGATGTGGCATTGCGATAGACGGACTCTTGCGGGAGGGTGTTGAGGAGGGAGAGGGTGGAATCGTACACCTTCTCCAATGCAGCGAGCGGGGCCGGGTGGACGGGTACGCCCGTAATGTGCGTGGAAGCGCGAGTACGAGCAGCTGAAGCTAGGTTAGTTGAGGCGGAAGCTGTGCTGCGTCCTACTTGGACTGAAGAAGAGGCCGCTCGGCGGACGATGGAGCCGAACATGATTGGCGAAGGGGCGGTGAGGGGTTGGTCGGTAGTGAGGTGGGGAAGCAACGTCGCTCATCGTAGGCTGCGATTGGTCACCCACTAGAAGAGTCGGAGCGGAGGGCTAATCATCCCCTTTGCTCACGTGGCGAGCTCGTCGTGTCTCACCGTCTCTGTCCGCGAGCTCAAACGACGGGAGTGGGTCGATGGGCGGCGGACGAGCGCATCGACGGAGCAGAGTGTCGAGTGTCGAGCGTGGAGATGAGAGCGGAGCGACGGCCGACTGACTGAGTTGATGCGCCCGAGAGAGCATGAGAGAGGGACGAGCCCTTTCATTCTCACTTCATCCTCACCACCATCAGCGCCAGATCCCAGACTAGCTAGCACCGATATAGCTCTTCTATCACTCTCATACGGACTCCTCGCTGCTACCACCGCCCGCGACGATGGAGATGGCAGCGTCTCCTGGCTCATCGCGAGCCCCGCACCAGCTTCAACCTCACCATCATCCTCATCACGCAGCTGGCTCGGCCAGTCTGCCACCACCTCCTCAGCATGCCCACGCAGCAGCAGCAGGGCCGCATCCCTACGACATGTACCCAACATCATCATCTCCACCGCGGGCAGGTGGTGGGCCACTACCTCAGCAGCAGCAGCCGCGCCAGGGCTCATCGCAACCTCAGCCTCATCCTTCTCCTGCCTCGGCCAAACAATATGAACGAGAACGCGAGCGTGAACGCGCCCATGCGCACGCGTATCCGCAGCAGCATGCCCCCAATGGCGGCGGATACTACCAGTCCCCTCAGCATGGCGCACCACCGCCGCCGCCTAGTCATCATGCCGGCGCTGTGCCGCGCTCTCCACCTGTGGGTCATCAGCAGGCTGCCTTGGGGTCCGGATATCCAGCTAGTGGGCCTAGCAGGCATGGTGAGTGCGACGTGGCGCAATCAGTAGCGTACAGAGATCTTAACCCTGACACTATTAACTTCACTCTCTAGCGTATCCAGCCGACGCCTATGGCCCGGCCCCACCTCATCCAGCCGCAATGGGTCAACAGCTGCCTCCGCCGCCGCAGGGCTACCCACATCACCTCCCTCCACCGCATCACATGGGATACTACGAGGGTGAAATGATGGACATCGACGCCCACTATGCTCACCAACAGCAGCAACACGCGGCTGCTGCGGCTGCTGCTGCCGGGTATCCACCTCACCCCCCACCTCCAGGGATGCCTTACCCCATCCCGCCTGCCGCTGCAGGCCATCCACAAATGTACGGCGCCGAGCCTCACCAGCAGCCGATGATGTCCGCAGCCCCTGCCGCTGCTCCTTCAGCAGCTGCCGCTCCCAAGCCACCCAAGACCAAGACGAAGAGCACGACAAAGAAGGACGGCACAGCCAAGGGCAAAGAGAAGGCCGGGCGTGCCAAGGCAGCTACCGCCGAGAAGGCTCAAGCTGCCAAAGCGGAAGCAGCCGCTCAGGCCAAAGAGGCGGCAGCTGCTACGACGAGCGAGAGCAAGAAGGACAAGAAGCGGCGCGAAGTCATCGATCGTGTGCATCGTGTGCATTGGGATACTGTAGAGAACAGAGAGGAGTATGTACCAGCGACCCCGCATATATGCTGCCAAGGATCGAGTCCTCTGACGTCCCCCTCCGTCCCCTCACGCAGACTCTACGCCCATCTCCAGCATCGCTTCATCTCGGAACACACGACACTCCTCACCTCTCCTCTCCTCTCACGAGAGTACCAGCTTAACCTCTCCTACCTTACCCTCGCACGCGAAGCATCCCTCCGTAAAGTGGCTCTTCTTCACGCCCACCAAGTAGATGGTGCCCGCAAGGCCTACGAGGCGGAGCGCGCCAAGATTGAGGACGAGGCACGGCATGCACGCAAGGTGGTCCGGGATAGGCTGACGGCTGCAGTGGATGATAGGAGGAAGAAGTTGAAGGAGGAGAAAGAGGGAGCGGAAGGTGGACTAGACTCGTTGTTGGATGCCTCGACTAGACCGCACGCGACCCGCAAGTTGCGCAACAAACAGGCCGCAGCCGCAGCGGCTGGCGGGAACATCTCTTCTCGCCGGCTTGCCGCGCTCGCAGCCAGTGACTTTGAATCGGGCGACGAGTCCAGCGGCGGCGGACCAAACGGCAATGGCGCTGGTGTCTCAAGTCAAGGCAAGGACGGCGCCGGCGGATCAGGGAGCGGCAGCAAGCACAAGGATCGCAACGGTCATGCCAACGGCAGCGGCGAGGGGTCCACGCTCCTCTCCTCTGGCTTGGGCTACCTAGTAGGCAACAAAGGCATGGAAGGCACCGCTCCGACGCTCGGTCTTGGCGGGCTACCCGACCTCGCCCTCATCGAATCGAGCTTGCGTGCCTTTGACGACGGGAGCTCCAAGAAAGCCACGACGGCGAATGGGAAGCGCAAGGGTCCAAAGGGGAAGAAGCGTCGTGCAGCTGCAGCACCGCAGCTCACCGAGGAGGAAAGGCGCGCAGAAGAAGAAGAGGCAAGCTTGAGTAAGAGGGCGAGGAGGAAGTTGGAGCAAGACCGGCTCGCTTTCATCGCGTTGGCAGCCTCATCATTACCGCCAAGCTTGACGGGGGGAGGAGGGGCGGGCTCAAGTAGCTCGAGCTCCAACTTCGGCGCAGGAGCAGGTGGAGCAGGCTCAGGGGCGAACGGTGCTGCCTCCTCCTCCGCAGCGGGCGCAGCTACCTCCTCCGGCTCAGCCGGCCTTGCAACACTGCCCGGCGGACTGGGCGGATATGGTCCCGGCCGCACCGTACGATGGGAGCCTGGCCGTTCGGTATTCCAGTTGACGGGCGCAAAGGATTATGAGACGGAGAGTGATCTGATTCGTATACGGGGTGGCGTTGGGTCAGGAAAGAGGAGAAGAGGGGCTGCAGCGGCAGCAGCTGCAGCCGCCGCCGCGGCTTCGGTCGTGGCGTGAGGGGGTGAAGAGCGGAGAGTTCGATTGTACTACCTCATGGCCTGCCGCGTCGCAGGCAGTGTTCAATTAAGTCACAGAATGCTTCCCGTCGATGAATAGCTTGCAGGTCGTCGAGGCATGGTTGCTTGGGCTGATGGCGGCGGTAAGAGCGAGTCAGTGCAGGTTGAGAACGTAGCCGCGATCACGCTGCGGCAGACCGGCGCTCGCTATCGGCCAGGCACGGAATTGGAATCGCGGCTACAAGCTCATTGACCGACTGCTCGTGGCGGAGAAGCTGGTACCTGAGACGCCTAAGCCGCACTTGACCTCGCTGAGAGCGGCTCTCGCTCACGGCTGGCCATCGGTGGTCTGCTTCCTGCTTCCCTGTCCTCCGTCACTTCTCCAGGTCATCCACCGTCTCACCTCGGCCTCCTCGCCACGGTTCACACATCATTCAGCGATATCCTTCTGGCTACCAACGTAGGTTGGCCCGCTGCTTCCATCGTCACGATCACCTCCATGAGCGCCGCATCCACGCCTCGTCGTCACTTCCTTTCTGCCTTGCTCTGCTCGCTGTGACCTTCAGTCACGCGTCTTACGTGGCTGGCGACCTCGATGGAGCACTGGGAAGTAGGTGTCATAATCCACCCACTCGTCTTGGTCTTGCAGCCCGCCTTCTCGCTGTCATTGGCTCTGCCTGCCCTTCACTGGACCTCATATGGCAAGTTCTCACAATTGACAGAGCATTAGAGGGCAAAGGTGCCTCGCTGCCTCGATCGACACACTCCAGCTCTCTCTTCATCGGCCCACATATCAAAGGTATCGACTCGTAGACTCGTCGTAGCGTGGACGCGCTGGCTGCGACCAAACATAACAACCACGTGGCCGTTACTCGGCTGTCGTCATCTAATCTTTCGACAGCGGCTGCCGGCGAAATTAGCCAAGAATCAAGTGCCCGAGAGCCCAAGAAAAGACGCCGCATCTGTCCGTCTATCCGTCCGCCCTCTGCAGTGCATGAATTGTTTCCGGCTAGCTGTGCTGGTCATCGTGCTCTTCCTACTCAGCCTGGAACGGCGTGAAGCTCTCTGCAACAAGCAGGCCAAGGCACGCGCGGCCCAACCTTTGCATTGACCTCACGATTCTTCAGCCTCTCTGCGCCTACTCGTACCTCGCACCGGCTCATCGCTGCGTGTTGCTCTCGTTCAGCCTCGACCTTTGTCCTACACCTTGACATCGCCCTCGACCCTCTCGACTTAGAGCCGCCTGCTGCCGCTACTGCCGTCGCTCCTGCTCCTGCCCTTGATCGACCAAGCAGCAGCCCGGCCAAGCCGAGCAAGCCCCATCGAAGCAAGCAGCACGCACATCAATAGGGAACGGAACAGCCGGACCCTTGCCTAGTCTCCGGCGCAGACGACTTCCCTGTTCCTCTTTTTCTGCGCAGCCGATACCTCCTGACGGTCTCGCCCCTCAATACACACACTCAACCTTAGCCGGGACCCCGTGGAGCCTCCTTTTGTTTTCTTCTTCTACCCCATCGCTCCCTACCCCTTTCCCCCTCTCCCTCCCTTCTCTTCGACTCTCCCCACCGCCACCATGGTCCTCAAGCAAACGAGTATCCACACTTCCTTCTTCCCCTCGTCCAAGACGGCCACGCAGGACGCCACCACCGACCCTTCAGGCAATGTCGACGTGGCAGGCCCTGCCGCTGAAGGAGAGGAGACACCTCGCGACCCAAGTGCCGACGGCGTCAAGCGCAGCGGCAGCCTCAAGGGCGGCGAGCAGGGCAATGTCATCCTCGTCGACTGGGATGGACCGGATGACCCGCTCAACCCGCTCAACTGGTCAAGCGCCAAGAAGAGCACCATCACCTTCCTCCTCTCCATCATGTGTCTGTTCATCGGTCTGGCGACCGCGGGCTTCTCGAGCGGTCTCACCGTGAGTGCGGCTGCACCAGCGACCCGTCTCGTACCAGCCGCTTTACTGACTGTGATCTCAACACACTCTTCACGACTCTAGGACATGGTTGATGAGCTGAATTCGTCTGCCGAAGTCGGAAGAGTTGGATTCCTCGTCTTCAACGGCGCCTTTGCTTTCGTGAGTAGCGCGGTCCGGCCATGCTGTCGCTCTACTCGGACTGTGCTGACCTCAAAGCCAACTCTTGTCCGCAGGTCCCACTCATCCTCGGCCCTCTCTCCGAGTTCGTAGGAAGCCGCATCGTCTACCTCGTATCACTCTTCTTCTTTGTCATCTGGTTCATTGGCATCGCGCTGGCGCCCAACATCGCCTCAGTGCTCGTATTCCGCTTCCTGTCAGGATGCTCTGGAGCTGCAGGAGTTACCATCATCCCAGGCACACTCGCCAACATGTACCAGACAAAGGACAGGGCTATTCCCGTAGCTTGCTTCTCGCTTGTCGCCGTTCTGGGTACGGTCGCCGCCCCGCTCTACTGCGGATTCATCGATGCGGCCCTCGGCTGGCGCTGGATCGAGTGGGTGCAACTCATTGCCAACGGAATCGTCTTCATCCTTCTCGTCATCTTCCTCCGTGAGAACCGTGGATCTGTCCTCCTCACCAACCGTGCCAAGAAGCTGCGCAAGGAGACGGGAGACGACAGATACCGCAGCGCTGCCGAGCTTGAGACGCCGAGCCTCAAGGCCCTCCTCTACGCGTCCACGGTCAAGGCGGCTGTTCTCCTGATCAAGGAGCCCGTTGTTCTGGTCTTCTCGCTCTGGTTGGCCTACTGCTGGGCGCTCATCTTTGCTTCGTTCAGCCTTATTCCGATCGTGTATGGCGAGGGAGGCTTCGGATGGAGCTCTGGCGTCGTCGGACTGTCCTACATCGGACCCATCATCGGGTGAGCTCTGCAGATGAGAGGGCGCGCTTGACGCGTTCAATGCTGACCTGATTCTCCCGCGCGCTCCTTCCGCAATTGCTCAGCTGCTTCATCGCCTTCGGCATGAGCTTCTACTGGAAGAAGCTCTACGATGATGCCCAGCGCAAGAACAACGGCGTCGCTGTCCCCGAGGCTCGCCTTTATGGTGGTGCCTTTGGTGGTGTCATTGCGCCCATTGGTCTGCTCATCGTCTCATTCACATCGTACAACTACCTCTTCTGGTTTGGCCCCCAGGTCGGTCTCTGCCTCCTTCTCATTGGTATCTACCAGATCTTCGAGTCGGTCCAGGCCTACTTGTCCGACGCCTACGGCTCCAATGCGGCCTCGGCTATCGCTGGACAGGGCTTTGTGCGAAATGCTCTCGCAGCCAGTTTCGTGAGTCGCGCCTCGCTTCCTCTATTTCCATCGATTTTTTTCCGCACTCACCTTCCTTCGCCTCTCGTCGCGCACACACAGCCGCTCTTCTCCACTCAGCTCTTCACCAACCTCCACGTATGGGGCGGTGGGCTCCTTCTCTCCTGCCTCCTCATCATCGCCATCCCTCTCCCATTCATCCTCATCCGCTACGGAGAGCAGATCCGCTCTCGCTCCCCATACGCTGCGGGCGAGACTGGCCTTGCCAACGTGCCTGGCGCAGAGCCTTCCGCTGAGACCGAAAAGAAGGGCAGCGAGAACGATATTGAGCGCGGGATGCCCGAGTCGGGCGCCCAGACCAGGGTACAGACGCCTGAGCCTGCTGTCGTCAAGGACGACGAGGCGAAGCCGGAGGGGCATGCGCAGGTCAGGACCGAGTGAGCGAAGAGAGATGTGTAGGAGGACATAGAGGAGATAGCAGAGGATAATTTGCTGCGGGCCGCTGCAACGGCATAGACAATAGACGGGTGCGCAGACGTTATGCGACCGCGCACCCATACCAGCATCACTCATCATAGACAATAGATCATTCCCATCATCTCTGTATTGCATGCTTGTGCTGGGCGCTATGATACATAAGAGCGTTGCGTGCGGTAGGAGATGCGGGTGGACGAAGTCTATGGTCTTGTCGGGAGGGAAGCACCATTCCTTCGCACGCTAGTACGCCGCCAGAGCAAAGGTCAAGAGCGCCAGGGCGCCAGCCATCCCCGCGGAGCCAGGCATCGTTCGTCCCGCCGCATTGCTTCCATTGCCCTCCCCATTCATTGCCGTCGTGCTACCATCTCCCCCAGTGTACGGCGCCGCCTGCTGCTCTGCCGTATTCTGCACCCACTGAGGCTTGCCCACAGGCGGTGAGTACGGGTTGGCAGGCGTCGAGTTATCTTCCACACCATCCCAGCAGTACGTTGTCATGCAGTCATTGCACTCCTGAGGTCTCGCGACGCCCGATCGCTCGAAGGAGCGTTGCAGCATTCCGCAGGCGAGACATTGCGACCAGGTGGCGTTGCTGCCGCCCAGGGTGGCGAGCTCTACACCGTTGTCGAGCATTGCCTGTGACTCTGCGGCTTCGTACTTGAGCTGGAAGGTCGAGAAGTTGGTGAGCGAGGTCCAAGGGTAGTTGGGGATGTAGGCGACGATTGGAGCTGGCTGGCCGTGCGCCGCCGTCTGTGCGTTGGTTGCATTGGAAGCGTCGCAGCCAAAGAAGACTGGGCGAGTGTTGAGGCCGCGGTTGACAAAGGTGGCTGGGGGAGGGAAGTAGGGAACAGCCGCTTCCTTGAAGAGATCGCCGTTTGATGTGGCTCGGAGATGCGACTGATACAGAGAGGAGCCGTTGGGCCAGGACGTGGCATCGGCGCTGGCGTCAAGAGCGAGAATGAAGTCGACCTGGCGTGCAGGCTGGAAGAGCGGTTGGAGAGGCACGTTGTTATTGTCCTCGCCACCGTCGACGAGACTGATGTATTGCGCCGAGGAGGTGCCATCATTCTGGCCGTTGTCGAAGCCCATGAAAGGATTAGGGACTTGGCTGATGTCGTTGTCCTGCGAGGCGACGGCGCCAGCGACCTTCAAGATGGCATCCTTGATGATTGACGAGCCGTCCGACTGGATCAAGCTCGTGAAGAGGCCGTTGAAAAGAGTCGAGGACGTGCCGACTGTCCACCCGAAGTTGTCGTAGCCTTCGACGCACTGCTCGATATTGCCATTGGTGATGTTGGAGCCCAGAACCTCGATGGGAACAAAGGCTTTCACGCGGTTCCAAGTCCCGAACTCGTAAGGCGTGAACTCGAAGATGGACCCTGGCGAGCAGAGGAGCAAAGAAAGAGGTCAGCACGTCTCACGAGATCATCCTCGTTACTGCTCCATGTACACACCATTCTGGTAGATGAGCACCTCGCCGGGTTCGCGCTGGTCAGCGATGACGATGGGGAAAGGGTAGGCTGCGTTCTTGAAGTTGGTCACATTGACAATGTCGCTCCACGTCGTCGCCTGTCCCTCATCGTTGTACATCGTCTGGTTCAGCAGGTGATAGGAAAGGGCGCGGCCCCAATAGTCGGTGATAGCGGTCGGGAAGTCCTCGTCGCGCTTGTCCTTGACGTCCGAGACAAGGTCGGCATAGAAGCTAATCGTGTCATCGCTCGGCAGGACGAGGTTATTCGTCAAGTCGAAGACTTGATCATTGAGCGCTTGCGTCGTCGGCCAGTCGTTGATGGCGAGGGCGCCTGTGAGCCATGACCCGCCAGAGAGACCGGAGAAGTAGTCTGCACGCTGCAAGATCCCGCCCGTACCTCGCTGGTTGGCCGTGTCATTGCGCGAATCCCAGCCCTGCACCACACCGGCGCCGTACAGCATAGCACGGTAGCCACCACCGCTGACGGCGATGCCTACACGGGGAAGATTGCTGATGGTATTGGTGTAGTTCTCGACGCCGCCCGGGATGCTATTGAGGTTGGGGCCAGGCGAGTTAGAGGAAAGCCAGCTACGCCAGCTCGACTGCATCGAGGTGCGGTGGCGCTGGATGTAGTCGGCTTCCTGGGCGTTGATCTCTTGCGACGTGGCGTTGCGCAGGTAGCCGATGCCGCCGCCAGTCTGATTGGTAGGTGCTGGAGGGCAGGAGGGGAGCTTGGTAGGTCCGTAGGAGCCATTGGGGTTGGATCGCTTGCGGGTGGCTGCGACGTGAAGCTCAAAGACGGCACGGGCATCCTCCTCGCTGAGTGAACCTTTGCCTCGCGCTACGAGCTCATCATTAACAGCTCTGGCATAAAGGAGACCCTCTAGTAATTCACGCTTATGTACGGGTTTAGATGCTGCAAGATCGCCTTGAGTCCAGGGCGAGGGAGCGGCTTGGACGGTGGTGAATGCTGCGAGGCAGGCTGCGAGAAGAAGGAACCAACATGAGGCAAAGCGTGCCATGCTGGGCGGCAATGATAGATGAGCAAGGTCGGATGGTGAGGAGGAGAAAGTGATGGCCTAGCTATGCGACTCTCTTATGTCGATCGGACCGAGACGAGGAGAGCGAGGAATGCGGTGTGCCCCTGCTCACACGAGGTTGCGGCTACGACATGCTGCATGGGTGGAGCATTTTTCTTGCCTGTGCCGTCGTTTCGGACGCAAAGAGCCGCCTGCAGTCCGCCCACTCGCCGGCGCGCTGGACCCTTGATGCCTACGTCCGATGCACCTGTGCCTGGCCGTCGTCAATCGCGCTCATCACCTTCGCTGGCCTCGCTCCTTGCCCTTGTGTGTGGCTGTGACTGCAATCAACTCAATCAGGCGAATCGCAGAAGGCGCCGGGGATGAAGATCCGATGAGAGTGCATGGCCGCGAAGATGTCAACGCGCAAGGCGATCGTCCTTGGCACCTTCGGACGTGAAGGCCGACGATGGCAGACCGAAAAGAGCGCTACATACAGTGCAGCGACTTGTTCTTCTTGCTTTGAGCAAATCATCATGTCCTATGTAAAGCCTCACAGCGAAAGAGCGGACGAGTAGCGCGGTGACTTTCCAGTCTTGGCTCAGTTGACCACGCAAAGGCATCGAGGGAGCAGCGAGCTCAAGGCAGTGTCGTAAGGGCGTGATGACAAGCGGTTGATGGGACTGGCTGAAGAGACTCGTAGGTGCACCGCAAGTGGCAGGCAAGAAGCAGGAAAGAGTCTCTCAGATGGCGTCTCAGCCCTTTGTGGAATGGAAGCCCTCGCGCATGCTTACTTGCCGCACAGGCGGACTCGTGTGGTAGCCTCGATATCTGACTTCCTTGTGCTCCTGCTGTGAAGTTCGCGAAATGGATCAAGCTGCGCTTGATGATACTGCGGCGATCCTGCCGGCCTATCGGCGGTACAGGACTGTGGAAGGAGGCACGAGATGAACCTGACCTGAGATTGTGTGGGTCTATTGAATGACCTTACGCGTATCAGAACACATGACCTCCTCGAACGAGTCTTGCACGGTTATGAGACTTCTCTCGATGAAGCGCTCAATCGGAGATTCTCCGTCACCATCTCATTATCGACGATCAGACCCTTTGCCCTGCTTCGTTCATCACCGGCGTAGCTAGCTGCAGTTGCTTCCTCTTTTCTTTCAACCGGCTCGGCGCTCTGGCTCCCCCACAGCTTTTTCGAGCTTCGCCGACCGAACCGGGCGGGCGGCCTTTCCTGTCTCTGTCCGAGGGCGGAGGCAGGTGCGTCGGCGCAGCTTGCGCAGAGCAACAGCCAACACACGCCAACACACGCCTTGACTTCCCTCTCATTCATCATCAACACAGCGGTGGGCAATCCTTCCATACAATGTCGTCGTCATCTTCCTCAACATCAGCAGCGCGGCGCATGGCGAGGAGACCGCCGCCCAACCTGACGGACAAGACTCTTGGCTGCTTCTCTCATGTCAAGCCCAGCCCGATGCTGGACCATCTCATTCGCTTCTTGTCCACCTGGAGTGGGACGGACAAGGTGCGTGCAAGCGCCCAATAATGGCGTAAGGTTGCCTTTGATCTGATCTCATCCTTACCCCTTTTGCTCGCCAGGCCCTCATGTTCACGCAATACTCGAGCAAGCTCATTATCCCCCTTCTTACTCTTCAACACGCTGTTCGACTGAGGCTCGCGGGCACAAAGGTGTACCACGCCTCCAATGGCGGGTCAGCCAACGCACGCCGCCTCGAAAAACTCTACAATCTCATCGGCGATGCGCGTGTCCTGTTCCGTATCTGGGGTATCCTGCCGATGATAAAATGGGTGCGTACGAGGGAGCAATATTTCTTTCATCGCCGCTTGACTGACCTCGCTGCTGCTGCTGCTCCTCCTCGCACGCCGTACTCTCAATAGATGATTGCATTGGAGCGCGATCCACCCCCTACCCGCCCGCTCCATACAATCGAGCGCATCCAAGGCTGGTCCATGCTAGCGTACTGCCCCATGGAGGCGGTGGCCTACCTTGCCTCGCATGGGATCTTGCCCGTCTCCACGGCAAACCAGAACCGCCTCTGGCTCTGGTCGTGCCGCTGCTGGGCCGTCTACGTTGGACTGCAGCTACTTCACCTCGTAGAGGACAATAGGTTGCTCAGACTGAGGGCAAGGGCGCTCGAGAGGAGCAGAGGTCACCCTGTCCCTGCGGCGGCTGTTCGTTCATCTGCCGCGGACGATGAGAAGAAGTCCTTCTCCGCTGCGTCCAAGGACGAGCTGAGCGAGGAGCAAGCTGTCACACGCAAGCTCTGGGATGATCTCGACGAGCGCAAGCAGGCCATATTGAGCGAGCTGTGGGTCAATTTGGGGTACCTGCCCCTCACGATTCACTGGTCGTGCCCGAGTGGCATCTTCAACTCGGACGTATGGGTCGGCATATTTGGTACGGTCGCGGCGGTCAGTGGCTTCAGGCCGGGATGGAAGGCGACTGCTGCGTGAGGGCGTGGCCAAGGCGAGGGGAGAAGAGGCGCGAGACATACACGACGACGGAGCTACCTACTATCCTGCGAACATACCTCGAGTTACGGCTGTTGCAATGCGCAGAGATTCACGCTGATCGCACCCCTTCTCACGCTGAAGAAACGTCCCGATTCGATTCCAGATGCGCCTGCCCCTGCTTGATGGTCCCTCAATCCACAATGGTCAATTCTTTTCTCCGATGCACAGCGTACGAATCCTTCCACGTATCCCAAATCTCGTTCAACTCGGCGATGTACTGCTTTTGCACCTCGTCGATATGCTCCTTGCTCGGGTTGGAATCTTGCCTTACGTGGATTGGGCGGCCGACGACGCTGACGATGGGATGTCGATAGGGTAGGAAGCCAAAGTTGTAGTTGAAGACGCCGCGACCATGGAAGAGGGGGAGAGTGAAGCCAAAGATTGCTTGGAAGCGCTTCTGTATCGAGTAGACGCGCGTGCCCTTTTCATTGGCCAACTGCTCGTAGATGTCATTCTCCCCGAAGGCAAAGCTACCAGGAGGGGCCAGAGAGAGGGTCAGCGACTACTGCCAGGCGCCAGGCTTGGGACAGCGCGCTCGCTCTCACTCACACCGGCACAAGATCCGCTCCTGCGCGAATGGCAATCTTGATGAATCCCAGCCTACGTTTCAGAACCAGGTCTGCCGTACCAGGATGAGCATTCAAGCTCTCCGCCGCTCCTCCTACTACGATGGTGATACTCGACCCTTTGCCCCGCCTCAGCGCTCTCTCACAGCTCCTCTTGCTGACGCTACAGATGCCCATGGCGAGCAGAATATCGCGGTAGATGGGCAGTTTGAAGTTGCTCGACAGGGTGAGTAATCTTGGAGTGATGCCGGGGAAGGTGTCCGAGAACTCGAGAGCCTCTGTCGCAAAGGTAGCTACCGCGCCCATGCCTATGATGCCGTGTGGGTGGTAGCCAAAGATGTACGGACGATCAGAGGGGAGGTCGGCAGTCTGCGGACGTGAGTTGGTGGAGCAAGAGGTCAGATTATAGCTAGGCAGACTGCGCATGCTCTCCCGCCCGCTCACCTTGATCATGCTGATCTGGAGGCGCGCACACAGTGAAGGAGGTCAGCATATATGCTGCGCGAATACGCCATATATCCCGGCCGGACTCACCGGAAAGTACTGAGCAAAGTACTTGAAGACCGAGAGGCGCCTGATGTACTCGACTCTCCTGCCGCCACTCTCGTGCGCATCGTCGAACCACATCCATATGAGGTAGACGGTAATGAGAGGCCATAGCGGTGGGATAGAGCTGCGAGGGAGGGAAGTTCAGCAGGGTCCGGTCTCGTCTCCAGGCTTTCGAATAAAGCACACTCACAGCAGGATGAAGAAGGTCGCGAGGGCAGAGGGCAGCAAGATCTCCCAAAAGAGGACCGAGGCCGTCTGAAGGCGTCGTTGACGGGGTACGGAGAGCGGTGCGAAGCTGGAAAGAGGGGATCAAGGGATGAAGTCAGCAATCGCTCAGATCCCTAGCCCGGAAAATCGCTCTCCGTCTCACCGCCACGACTGCTCCGGCAGCTTCTTGGACTTGTCATTGAGCGAGTCGACTGTAATCTCGCGTCCATGCTCATCCACGATGATGGCAGGCTGAGCGTGTCCATCTCCGATCGAGTCGGACGGCGACGATTGCCTCTCATCCTTGACAGTATCAGCATCTTCCTCAGGAGGCCTGTCGCGACTACCATCGACGTCGGCACGTGCCATTGTGAAGAGGCAGAGGAGGAGGAGGAGATGATGGCCGTCGTGGTGTGGAGCAGATGATTGAATGGCGACTCGAGGGCCTTTGCTCTACCCCGCCCTCGGCCTCGCTCACTGATCGTTGATCGACTCGACGCTCGAGCCAAGTGCGAGAACCCCGCGTGACGGCCATTGCCGCGGCGCGACTGGCTGAGCTGGAGAGGGCGTCAAGAGATTTTTGGCAGCGAGTGTGACCTGACCGTCGGCCTTCCTTTGCACCTGTTCATCCTATCGCCACTTACCGCTCTCTTCTTCGTCACGCGCCACGCCACGATGGCCGAGCCAGCCAGAGTCTACGCCCTTTCAGGCGCAGGCGCACCTGGTGACCAGGCATCGGCCAATTCTTCTTCCCTGCCTGACTTGCTACGAAGGCATGGCCGCTCGAATAAACGCATGAAGCGTCGCCCTTCGTCCAAGTCATCGGGTGCAATCAACGCCCAGCTTGATCGAATCGAGTTGATCCAAGACTACGAGTTCCCAGAGGCGAGCAACAAGATCAAGAGCACCCGAGATGGGTCTCACTTGGTGGCGACGGGCACGTATAAGCCGCATATACGCGTGTGGGAGCTCGATCAGCTCAGCCTGAAGTTTGAGAGGCACACGATATCAGAGAATATCGACTTCACTGTGAGTAGGTGCGCGCCAAAGCAAATTCCTTCGTTCTCGCCGGCTGCTACGATGAGCATCATCATTACAACCTTATCTACATTATCTGTAGGACAGCTTCATGCGGGGCTGTCTCGTTGAGGAAGCAAACAATCTGAGCACAAAGCGAAAGGGCGGAGGGCTCACAGCATGATCATCTTGCATTCCCATGCCTGCAATACTGACTCTGTCACTGCAACCCCACAGCTCCTCTCAGACGACTGGACCAAGCAGCTCCACCTGCAAACCGACCGCACACTCGAGCTGCATTCGCAAGGCGGCTTCCACCACCGCGTCAGGATACCCAAGTTCGGTCGAGCGCTGGGCTACCACTTCCCTTCAGCAGAAGCCGTCGTCGGCGCAGCAGGCAGCGAGGTGTATCGCCTCAACCTCGAGCAAGGCCGTTTCATGGCTCCATACCAGCTCGGAGACGGCTTGACGCAGGGAAAAGTGACGGGATGCAATGCTATTGACGTCAATCCGGCGCATGGACTTATGTCCTTTGGGCCCGAGGGTGCGGGGGTGGTCGAGTTGTGGGATCAGAGAGCGAGACGGAGAGCTGGCGCGCTCAATATTGCGACACCACTCATCATGGACGCGGCGTTATCGACGGCCCGCAGAGGGCTGACGGGATTGGTCCTGCCTGGTGAAGACGCCAACGAGATGGCCTTGACGGGGGCAATGAACAGCTTGAGCGTATCGGCATTGAGCTCAGCGGCGGACGGGCTCAATCTCGCCGTCGGCACATCGACGGGCCACGTCCTGCTCTACGACTTGCGCATGGATCAGCCCTACTCGACAAAAGATCAGGGATTCAGTCTGCCAATCAAGAGCCTCTCGTGGCCAGGCGATACGCCTTCGCAACACGCCTCATCTGAAGCAGAGGATACTGTTCTGTCAGCGGACGCGCGTGGCATCAAGATTTGGCCCAAGAACGATCCTACCTCAAATCTCGTATCCATCTCGCCCGAGTCCGGCTCAGACCTCAATGATGTCCACCACTTGCCGGGGTCTGGCTTGATATTCGCCGCCGTGGAAGCGACGCAACTCGCAGCGTGGTATGTACCCACCCTTGGGCCTGCGCCGCGCTGGTGCTCCTTCCTGGACCGCATTACAGACGAGATCGACGAGGAGCAGACTTCCGGCGGGAAGCGAGGCGTGTACGAAGACTTCAAGTTCGTCGACAAGGAAGAGCTCGAGCGTCTCGATATGGCCCATCTCATCGGCAGCGATGCGTTGCGTCCCTACCTCCACGGCTATTTCGTTGCGCTGCCCATTTACGAGCGTGCAAGGTTGCTGGCGAACCCAACGGCCTACTCCGATGCGCGCGAGAAAGCCATCAAGGCCAAGCTGGAGAAGAAGGCAGAGTCGCGTATCAGGAGCAGTGGCGCTAAACGTGCGCTGGAGGGACTCAATGTGCAGGTCAACAAGGGGCTCGCCGATCGTGCTGCCAAAGAGCAGGCCAGGGAAGAGGCCAAAGAGGCGGCGCAATTGCAGCGAGAACAGGGCGAGGCGGTGGTCGATGGGCAGGCCAGCGACAAGCCCAAGAAGGCAAGCAAAGCCTCCTTGCTGTCAGACGACCGTTTCAAGGAACTCTTCACCAACCCTGCTTTCGAAGTCGACGAGCGCAGTCGCGAGTTCCAGCTTCTCAACCCCAGCACAGCCGTCACTGGCAGCGGCTCTGGTTCGGCGGCTGCTCGCAAGCGTACGGCCGTGGAGGAGGAGGAAGACGAGAGCGACCGCGAGTCCCTCGATCCGGACCAGGAGGAAGCACGAGATCGGGAGGACGAAGAGAGCAGCGACGACGAGGGCGACTTGCAGCAGTTTGACCCTCGTAACCATGCGCCGGGCGTTCGTAGGTTCGAGCTGGAGAGGGATGCGAGAAGGGAGCAGAAGAAAGGAAGAGGGGCTCGACTCGTCGACGACGACGATGACGATGATGCTAGTGCGGGCGATAACGATGAAGATGGACGCGGCCGCAGGGACAAGCGCAAGCAAACCTTTGAGGGAAGGTTGCGCACTGCGAAGAAGGGCCGTAAGACTCGCTACGCCGGCGACGAGGACGACGATGAAGACGGCTTTTCGGGCGGCCAGTCGATGTCCTTTATTCCATCCGGCGACAAGGATGCGAGCCAGGATGCGTCTTCAGCGCCCAAGAAGGCCAAGAAGCGCGAAACGTTTGGCGCTGGTCTTTCAAAGGGCTCAGACGCGCACGACATCGAGTCGATGGCAGAGGCGGATCGCTTTGGCAGGAAGAAGAGGAGGGACGTCTCGAGAAGTGCGAGCAGAAATCAGATGCGACAGCGACAGTAGGCGGCAGCGTTACGGTGTACATTCCTTCCATCACCATCTTCGAGCATATTTTCTTTTCTGCAATTGTACCATTATCCAGAAGAAAGAAGGAGCCCTCTCATCGGCGTCAAGCTCCCCCCACAACCCCGCAAAAAGCCGCCAGGCCTTTGTGATGCCGGCGCGTCTTTCTGCTCTCACAGCCCAATTTCGCCCTCTCTCTCCAGCCATTCTGGCTCGCTCGCGGCGCGGCTTCATGCCGTTGACGAGGGCCGGCGGTCCGGCAATCTTGGAGTCCTGATTGAGTTGAGAGCGCGAGGGCTGAGGTGAAGCGAATGAACAGACGGAGAGAGCCCAGAGCCCACAGTCGCTTGCTAGGTCACGCAGAGCCCAGGTCCATCGACCCCGCCGCGGGAGGGAGGGGACTTGGACCTCGTCCGCCCAAATTTTGTGGAGACGATGCGATATGGTGGCGCACGCAGCGAGAGCCCAATGGGCTCGGCGTCGGCGTGTCAAGAGGCTTTTCCCAGAACCCTGCCTTTGGCTCATCTTGTTCCTTGCCGCCCATCTACGCCCCACACTCGGTCCCCTCTCGCCCTCGTAGTCATCCATTCTCCTTATCGCGGCTCCTTGTACCGAAGAACCCGCGCCCTCTTTGAAAGTGGGCTTCGGTTGCCAATTCCTATAAGACGACACCATCCATTCCAGTCACGCCTTCGCCCCGACCTTCTTTTCGAGATGTCTACCTCCCTCTTCCAGCGAACAGCAAGACCTCTTCGCTCAACCATCCTCACGACAAGAATGGCCCCCTCAGCATCCTTTACGACCTCGACGCCCGCGCCCGCAGCGGCCTCTGACATGGCCGCCTTTGGCTCAGAGCACGTCGCTCGCGGCGTCTCCCGTCTTACAAGCAACGTTCTCAAGAAGGGCTCTGGCAGCTATGTCTGGAACGACCAGGGTCGCAAGCTACTCGACCTCACGTGTGGCATCGGCGTCACCAACCTCGGTCACTGCCACCCGCGGGTATCGCAGGCGGCCCACGAGCAGATTGACGAGCTCGTCCACGCACAATGCGCCATCGGGTACGGAGAGAAGTACCTCCAACTCATCCAAGCAATGCTCCCCACCTTCGCTAAGATCGACCCGCGCCTGGACTCGATGTTCTTTTGGAACTCGGGAAGTGAGGCCGTCGAGGCATCTATCAAGCTGGCGCGCGAGGTGACAGGCAAGAACAATGTGATCGTGGTTCAGGGGTCGTATCACGGCCGAACCTACGGAGCTATGGCATTGACGAAGAGCAAGACCATCTACTCCGAGCGTCAAGGACCTCTCATGCCTGGCGTCTTTGTCACGTCTTTCCCTTACTACTCGCAGCTTGGCCTGCCCCAATCCACGCCCACCAAGGACCTCGTAGCCCAGTCGCTGCACCAGCTCCGCCTGCTCCTCGCTCAGCAGACGGCACCTAGCGAGACGGCTGCGATCCTCCTTGAGCCCGTGATGGGCGAGGGTGGTTATGTGCCTGCCCCGCCCGAGTTCCTGCAGGGTCTGCGCAAGATCTCGGAGGACAATGGGATCCTGTTGATCCACGACGAGGTGCAGTCTGGCGCTGGTAGGACCGGCGACTTCTGGGCGACGGAGCAGAGTGGCGTGAAGCCGGATATCATGGTCTTCGCCAAGGGGATCGCCAACGGATTCCCGCTCAGTGGCATCGTCTCGCGCAAGGAGATCATGGACCAGCAGAAGCCTGGAACCATGGGCGGCACCTACGCCGGTAACGCCGTCTCATGCGCCGCGGGCTTGGCTGTCCTCGAGACCTTCAACAAGGAGAAGGTCCTGGACAATGTTGCCGCTCGCTCGAAGCAGCTCTTCTCCTTCCTCGAGGATCTCAAGACATCATCTCCTGCCGGCCACCTCATCGAGGAAGTGCGCGGACGTGGTCTCATGGTCGGGCTTCAATTCAAGCGCGACGCTGTCAGCGGTGACTCGGATCATGCGGCTACTCACGCGGCATGGCTCGTAGATGGGCAGAAGCGCGAGCAATTGGCGCCCAAGATCAGCAAGAAGTGTGCTGAGCGTGGGATGCTGATCCTCAGCACGAGTGTGTTTGATGTCATGCGCTTCATTCCTGCGCTGAATATCACGGAGGGGGAGCTGGATGAGGGATGCAAGATCTTCAGGGAGAGCTTTGAGGAGGTAGCTCGCGAGATGAAGCTTGTTGCGTAGGACCGCGCTCGAGCCAGCGTCCGCGCCGGCGTTGTCGCTCTCGTCTGATTTGGGTACTCATGTGGATATCTCATTGCTCGTCGTGTTATGCAATTGTACTATAGCTACTTGGCAAGTTTAAAGAAGGTCAGGCCATCGCGGATGTGAGAGGCTGGCTGGGTGAGAAGGATCGGAACGGGCTGGCTCGTTCGCGGGCGGGCGGGCGGGCGCCACTGCCCTGGACGTGTTTGGGCGTTGGGCCCAAAGTCAACATCGGGCTAGGCGAGGCGAGTTGCTCGAGGGCTGAGAGCAACACTCTCCCGCCCGAGGACAACTTTGCCTCCTCTCCATTCCTCTCGTCAACCCTTCTTGCACCTCGTCGAGACGTCACTGCAGCACGGTATGCTGTTTTGAAGCTGCTTCATACCCACTCGATAGCATTCGGCAAGCAGAGCATAACATCGATCACCGGTAGCCAATAGCATCACGAGCAACGCTGAGCCGTACGACAGACGAACACACCAAGGTTCACCCATACCCTCGTCCTCACGAGCAGGACTGCAATACCCGGCACATCGAAGCGATACGCAAGCAATGGCATTGACGATGACGACACCTTCCAACAACCCAATGTCAACTCCCAGCTCATCTTCGGCGGCAGGTCAGATACCCATCGCACTTCAGCATTCACCCTCTCCGCCGCCCATGGTACGCAGCCACTCGTATCTGCGCCAGCAGCAGCAGCGGCGAGAGCGAGAGCGGGAGGAGTCGACGAGGAGAGGGAGTATAGCGAGTGCCAATGAGACATCGCCTCGAGCTCCGAGCGTCAAGAGAGGGAGCATCAGCGCGACGTCCGGAGCAGGGGACGGCTTGCATACACTCGCCGAGAAGATGACGCAAAAGGACGAGGTCAGAAAGGTGAGCATCGCGGGCCAGAGGAAGCGCAGGGAGCGCTTCAGAACGAGACCTGACCGGCGTTTCTGCCCCCCATCCAGCTGGCCAATCGTCTAGCCACTCGTCTCCAGTACGCTGCATTCAAAGTGGAGCGAGGATGGGTGAGTGGAGTGCCCGGCGAGCCGGAATGCGCGAGATTGATCTGCTCACATCACACATCTTTGAACCTGTCATTCAGACCCGGCATTCGCTTCCCGAAGTCGAGAACCTCTACTGGCGAGCCACAAGACCCACGTCAACAGCATCAGCGGCGCCGAGCAATACTCGCCGACCCAGTGGCGGCAGCCCGCCTCGCTCTGGGCTCCTTCCTGCCATCTCGTCCTACACCTCGTCGCAACCAACTGCAAAGCGGAGCAGACGGTCAGGTGGAAGCACAGCAGATGACGAAGAAGGAGGCGATGGCGATGTGTTCGGCGGTGGAGGATTTCGGGTACCGAGCGGCAGCTCGACCAAGCCGTCTTCCTCGCAGCAGCAGTCTCGGCGTGCGCCACCGAGCGGGGTCATTATTGGGGCCAATGGCCAGCCTACGCCTCCTCCCTCGGCAGGCACGGACCATCTCTCCTCTTCGTCATCATCGGCCGTTCCACACTCTCTGGACCCCTCAGCGCTTCGCGCCAGTCCTACGAGGACGATTCAGGCTCTACGAGCCGCGCAAGCCGCGAAAGGAGGAGACGCCTCGGCGAGCAGCAGCGGCGTCGGAGCCTCGTATGCTGACTTTTGGAGCAAGCTTGGCCAGTCATCATCGAGTCGAGCTGGCCTGCCATCCGCATCAACGGCACCGGCGACCTCGCAAGACGCTGAAGTGCTCCAAAGAGGCAAGAAGAGGCCTCGTGAGAGCGATGCAGTGCCTCGCGACGGGGCATAGGGGACGGCAGGATCGCGTGCGCTCGTTGCTCTTCTCCGTCATACGCAATGGTCGGCCGTTCGCCCCCAAGGCTCCCTCTCATACTCATTTGATTCACCAGCAACTTGACCTCCTCACTGTCCTTCACAAGCGTACCGGATCGCTCTTGCATTGAGCCCAATATTCTCCCGTCGTCGCAACACAATGCACAAAGCATGCTTTCGAACCTCGTCTTGACTCCAGATTCCTGGCTCTCGATTGTGACGGTGTAAGATTGAACGGGTAAAAGCGGCGTGTATACGTCTATGCGTGGGTTGGCTGGGTAGCAGCGGTCCTCCTACAGTCTCTTACAGTCATTGCGACTCTTCATCCTCCTCGTCTTCGTCCTCTTCGTCGTCCTCACCGTCCTCAGCCTCCCTCCATCCCGTTACCTCAACAACCTGGTCGTCCGCGCGATAGCCACGCATCATGCCCCGCAAGCCGTACTTTCTCGCCATACTCGGCGGAATGAACCTCCCGCCCAAGAAGTGGCGCTGCGGCTGCCCTCCCTCCCCTCTTTGCCCAGCTGTTCTTTGGAAGCGACGCATGCCCGTCTTGGGGGCCGTGAGAGAGATGACCACCTCCGGGTGGAAGGAGAGCTCTGGCGCTTCTTCTTGCTCTGAGGAAGAGGTGGTCGGCGCATCCACTGGCCAGCCTGAGGGGATGTCCACTGATACGACGGGTGGGCGGGTGACGCGATCGACGAATTCGAGACGAGACTCGTCGCGTAGTGTCTCGAGGGCCGAAGCGAAGGGTGGGCGCGGCGGACCTTTGAAAGAGAAGCCTGTGGGGGCGAGAGGGTAGGGGATCGGAGGATCAGCTACAAGCCGTTCTCAGCGCATGTCGCCTTCGAACTCACCGAAGATGGAGTCAAGCACGACGTCGGCCTGCGCAAATGCGTCATCAAAGTCGTCTGCGTCTACGAAGTCGATGTCGAATGCCTCGAGCTGATCCCGGAGCGCCTGAAAGAGCTCTCCCTTTGCCTGCTTCGGGTACCACACCCTAACATCGTATCCCCAGAGCACCGCATGTCTCGCCGCAACGAGCCCATCTCCACCTTGATTGCCCGGCCCCGCAGCCACTAGGAGCTGCGGGAAGGACGTCGGTGGATAAGATCGCGCGAGTGCCTGTGCGCATGCCAGCCCTGCGATCTCCATGAGCTGAGGGAGCATGTACCCACATCCGCCCTCTGAATGCGGTGCCATGAGCTCCTCATCGATTGCAGCTGCCTCTGAAGCGGAGATGTACCGCAGCGCGTGATCTGTTGAGCTGGAGCCGGCGGAGGTAGAAGATAGTCTGCGATCTTGTCGTGTGGCTTCTTCGTAGGACGTCGCCGGTGGTTGCTGCCCGTCGACACTACCTGAGGCCGAGGCCGCTGCTTGAGGCAAACGAGGGTCGGCCCATGTTGTGCTCTTGGTGTTATGGTCGACAAAGTAGATGCGATTCGAAGGAGTCATTCGTGCCTCCCAGCCTGGTGGGAGGTCCCCAAGACGTTTGAGGTTGGCAATCATCTCTGCCACTGAATCTGGCGAGGACGACATTGCGGCTTGTCGAAGATGGATTAGAGTGAGACGAGGTGATTGGATGCGATGACAGCGAAGCAAAGAGCAACGAGAAGCAATGCTGCGCCTTGAGAGCATCCAGAGAGCAAACTCGAAGGTCGTCGCGAAGGTCCCGAGTGCAAGCTGCACCTACTATCGTCGCCCGAAGCTGGGTCCGCTGGTCCCTCGGCGCGGATCTGTAGCGCAACGATGACGAAAGCTGGCAGCAGGCCCAGGGACTGTGTGCATGCACGCCTGCGACCAAGGAGTGGAGCATCGACGGGGCTCACGGACCCTTTCAACGAGGGCACGACGCAGCGCAACGTGAGGCTGAAGGGAGCACGGCGTCTTCTTTTTCTCTCTCCTCATCCCAACTCTTCCTTGCTGCTCACCATGGCCGTGAGCGACTTTGACGTGAGTACGCGATAGCCGTGCCAATGGTCGAGACGCATGCTAATCACTCTGCCGTCGCACCGCGCGCAGTACTTTGGCATCATCTCAGCCGTCTATCAGCTGATCCAAATCATCATCTCCTGGGCTTTCTCCCCTCTCCCTCCTCAAGATCATGAACAACAGAAGCCCCTCGGCCGTGTCGCCATCATAGGCGCCGGTATCACTGGCATTTCGTCAGCGGCTCATCTGATCGGCGCCGGCTTCGAGGTCACCATCTTCGACGATGCGGAGACAATTGGTGGCATCTGGAGCAAGGTCAACAAGACGAGCGGCCTCCAGATCAGTAGCCTGATGTACCGCTGGTTCCCCGCCGTCAAGTACACGCGTGGGTACCCTCGTCGCGACGAAATCCTCGAGAACGTCAAGAACATCTGGAAGCTCTATCAGCTTGATCAGCGCACACGCCTCAAGACGCGCGTTAAGTCGGTAACCCGCCACCAGTCGTCGACGGATCCTGCGAAAGGTGGACACTCGCGCTGGGTCATCAATGGTGACCAGAGCGAGGTCTACGACGGTCTTGTCGTGGCTACGGGAACGTGCGGCAAGCCCAAGATGATTGATCTGCCCAACCAAGAGAAGTTCATGGGCAAGATCGTCCACTCGTCGCACCTCGACGGCGTTGAGCTTAAGAACAAGAACGTACTCATCGTAGGCGGTGGAGCCAGCGGCATTGAAGCTCTCGAGCTGGCTGTAGCCAAGGGAGCAAAGAAGCCCACGATCCTCGCAAGATCGGACAAGTGGATCATCCCCCGCCTCACCCTCGTCGACGTGGCCCTTTCCCTCAACCCGCTGGGACGTGAGACTTTCCTGTCCAAAATCCCCGAATTCCTTCTCGCCAAATTGCACTATCGCGACTTGGAAGAGAAGATGGCTCCGACGGGACCGTTCTACGCTGGCACGCCGATTGTCAACTCATCGGCGCTGCAGGACATTCGGGAGGGCAAGGCAGACTATTTGCGCGGCGACGTCCTCGAGCTGACGAGCAAGTCGATTCGCTTCAACAAGCGTACGCGAGGGACCAAGCCCGAGTCAAAGGGACGAGAGATGAACCTCGATGCCGACGTGATTGTCATCGCGACGGGCTTCGATGTTCCCTCGCTCGACTTTTTGCCCAAGGACCTCTTCCCTGAAGACTACCAGCGTCCCAACCTCTACTTGCACCACTTCTCTGTCAAGGACACAAGCGTCGTATGCACCAACGCTGCTTTTGTCGGTGCGGTCGGCACCGTGGGGCATGTGCACATCGGTGTATACGCCCGTATCCTAGCCATGTTCCTCCTAGAGCCCTCTACTCGCCCTTCGACGAAGGACGCTCGTCTCTGGGTCGACTTCATCCGTTGGTTCAAGGCAAATGCTCCGGGAGGTGCTCTGTCCCACTTTTCGTACATGGAGATGTGCATCTGGATGGTCTCGTTCCCCTTCTTCCGCCCATCGCGCTTGCCTTACCTCTTCTTCTGCCTGTTTGGTTTGGGATATTGGCACGTCGAGGGACCGCAGGACAAGGCGGTCTTCCATTGGTCGGTGACGAAGCTGATCCCTCACTTTAGGGCCAAGAGCTCTCGCATCCGTAAGCAGAGGATTGGAGGTCCGGACGCCGTCAAGGTGAATGGGGCGTGACCGCGACTTGACGTGACCGCGACGTGACGTGCCCGATATCCCATTCTTCGCTTGTGCTCTTTCTTTGCGACGAATCGAGAATTCTCATGCATCATAGAGGACACAATTGCTAATGCGATTTGGATGTTCCGTCGTAGCAGTGGTAGCGGTGAAGTCCCATCGCAGCCTGCCCGGTGCTTGGCCGCCACGCCGCCCCTCCGCCTTTGCTGCCCGCTGATGTGGCTCGTGCTTGCTTGGGACTTGCAAGGGCAGTGCGCGCCAGCACAGTCGACGGGTGTGACGCCGCCTCCCGCGCCGCGAGAGCTTCCCATCGTCTTCCCTTTCCAACATCATCAATCTGCAGCGACTACCATTCAGCGTCGCTCTCACATCCCTACCTACATCTTCCGCGGTCGCCTTCATTACCGCACAGAGCTCATTGATCTGAGCCCGCACACGCTTCACGACATCGCCTTAGGCGTCAGCGCCCGCATATAATCATCCCGGCCTCGGCCTTCTCCACCCTTCTCCTCCTACCCCGCGCCCCCTCACTCCCCGTCGAGTCGCAGCAGCCATGGCAGACACACCCATCGTCTTCAATGAGCACTGTGTGCTGACGGCATTGGGCATTGCGCAGGAGGCAATCAGCTTTGCGTCATGTACCATGGAGAGTGAGCGCTTCGTCTGCGTGAGGGAACAGGTCAGCGGCAACAACAGTGTTGCCATTGTTGGCATCGACGAGGCCTCCCCGAGCGTGTGAGTAGGTGCAGACCCGAGAGCTCAGCTGATATCCCGCTCGCTATACTGACACGGCTCTTGCCCTCGCAATCCTCAGTATGCGCCGCCCTATCACAGCCGACTCTGCCATCATGAACCCAGCGTCCAAGATCCTCGCCCTCAAATCTGGCCGTCAGCTCCAAGTCTTCAACCTCGACACAAAGCAAAAGGTCAAATCTCACATGAGCGACACCGACGTCATCTTCTGGAAGTGGATCTCGACGACTGCTCTTGGCCTTGTCACCGAGACTGCCGTCTACCACTGGAGCATCGAGGGCGAGTCTGGTCCGCAAAAGATCTTTGATCGACACGCCAGCTTGCAGGGCAGCCAGATCATCAACTACCGCATCACCGAAGACGAGAAGTGGTGTGTGCTCGTTGGTATCTCGGCCAACAATGCGCCCAACGCCTTCCGAGTAAAGGGTGCGATGCAACTCTACAGCAGGGATCGAGGCGTCTCGCAGCCCATCGAGGGTCACGCTGCTGCCTTCGCAGAGGTCAAGACGGACTCGGCGCCTTCACCGTTCAAGCTCTTTACCTTTGCCGTCCGCACTGCAACCGGCGCCAAGCTGCACATCGTAGAGATTGACCACCAGCAGGGCAACCCGACGTACACCAAAAAGGCCGTCGATGTCTTCTTCCCCTCCGAAGCGCCCAACGACTTTCCCGTCGCCATGCAGGTGTCGAAGCGCTACGGCATCGTCTACCTTGTCACCAAGTTCGGCTTCATCCACCTCTACGACCTCGAGAGCGGCACGTGCATCTACATGAACCGCATCTCGGGCGAGACGATCTTCACTACGGCAGAGCACGAAGCGACGAGTGGTATTATCGGCATCAATAGAAAGGGCCAGGTCCTCTCGGTCTCCGTCGACGAAAGCAAGGTCATCCCGTACATTCTCGGTACGCTCAACAACTCGGAGCTGGCCTTCAAGCTGGCGTCACGAGGTGACTTGCCAGGCGCCGACGACTTGTACATGCAGCAATTCCACTCGCTCTTCAGCACCGGCCAGTACGGCGAGGCAGCCAAAATCGCTGCCAACTCACCGCGAGGCATCCTTCGCACGACGCAGACCATCGAGCAGTTCAAGCAGGTGCCCAACCAGCCCGGCACGCTCTCGCCCATTCTGCAATACTTTGGCATTCTCCTCGAGCGCGGAACACTCAACAAATACGAATCGCTCGAGCTTGCCAAGCCAGTGCTGGTGCAGGGCCGCAAGCACCTCCTTGAAAAGTGGCTCAAGGAGAACAAGATTGAGTGCTCTGAAGAGCTGGGAGATATCGTTCGTCAGCACGACATGAATCTGGCGCTGAGCGTGTACCTGCGCGCAAATGTCCCCAACAAGGTCGTCGCCTGCTTCGCCGAGACGGGTCAGTTCAACAAGATTGTCCTCTACGCCAAGAAGGTGGGCTACACGCCCGACTACGCGGCATTGCTCCAGCACATTGTCCGCATCAACCCGGAGCAAGGAGCAGAATTTGCTAGCAGCTTGGTGGGCGACGAGTCTGGGCCGTTGGTCGACGTTGAGCGCGTGACGGACATTTTCATGAGCCAGAACATGATCCAGCAGGCGACGAGCTTCTTGTTGGATGCTCTGAAGGACAACAAGCCGGAGCAGGCTCACCTGCAGACGCGATTGCTGGAGATGAACCTGGTCAACGCCCCGCAGGTGGCAGATGCGATCCTGGGCAACGAGATGTGAGTTGGCGCCGAGGCACTTCCGCCCAGCACAAAGCTGACCTACTTTACCCGTGTTCGCCCGCCAGGTTCACTCACTACGACCGCCCACGCATCGCCAACTTGTGCGAGAAGGCTGGCCTCCTGCAGCGAGCACTGGAGCACTACGAGGACAACGCCGACATCAAGCGTGTCGTTGTCCACTCGAACTTGCTCAATGCCGAGTGGCTGGTTGGTTACTTTGGCCGCCTCACTGTCGAGCAGTCTCTCGAATGCCTCAAGGAGATGCTCAAGGTCAACATCCGCCAAAATCTGCAAGTCGTCGTGCAGATCGCCACAAAGTACTCTGACCTCCTGGGCCCCGTCAAACTCATCGAGATGTTCGAGTCATTCAAGTCATTTGAGGGCTTGTACTACTACTTGGGCTCCGTCGTCAACTTGTCGACCGACTCGGAGGTGCACTTCAAGTACATCCAGGCGGCCACACGCACCGGTCAGATCCGTGAGGTCGAGCGCATCTGCCGCGAGTCCAACTACTACAACCCAGAGAAGGTCAAGAACTTTCTCAAGGAAGCCAAGCTGTCTGACCAGCTCCCGCTCATCATCGTCTGCGACCGCTACGACTTTGTCCACGACCTCGTCCTCTACCTCTACCAGAACATGCTCGTCAACTTCATTGAGGTCTACGTGCAGCGCGTCAACTCGTCGCGAACGCCACAGGTCATCGGCGGCTTGCTCGACGTCGACTGCGACGAGGGCGTGATCAAGAATCTGCTTGGCTCTGTGACTGGCCCTATCCCCGTCGACGAGCTCGTCGAAGAGGTTGAGAAGCGCAACCGCCTCAAGCTCATCCTCCCGTGGATCCAGTCCAAGATCGACGCCGGCTCGCAAGACCAGGCGCTCTACAATGCAGTTGCCAAGATCTACATCGACTCGAACAACAACCCAGAGTCGTTCTTGAAGGACAATACGCTCTACGAGCCCCGCGTTGTCGGCAAGTACTGCGAGAAGCGCGACCCGTACCTTGCCTACATTGCCTACGCCAAGGGCTTCTGCGACGAGGAGCTCGTTGCGATTACGAACGAGAATTCGATGTTCAAACACCAGGCTCGCTACCTCGTTATGCGCCGTCAGCTCGATCTGTGGTCGCAAGTGCTGCACCCGGACAATGTCCATCGCCGCCAGCTCGTCGATCAGGTCGTGACTACGGCTGTTCCCGAATCGACAAACCCAGACGACGTCTCGGTGACCGTCAAGGCCTTTATGAATGCGGATCTGCCTCACGAGCTCATCGAGTTGCTTGAGAAGATCGTCCTTGAGACGTCGTCGTTTGGCGACAACCGCAGCCTGCAGAACTTGCTCATGCTCACGGCTATCCGCACCGACAAGGGCAAGGTGATGAACTACATCGACCGCATGAAGGGCTACGACGTGGCTGAGATTGCCAAGATTGCCATCGACCACGGCCTGTACGAGGAGGCCTTCCGCATTTACTCGAAAGCCGAGCAACACGGCGATGCGATGAACGTTTTGGTCGAGCACATCGTCTCGATTGACCGCGGTCAGCAGTACGCGAACAAGCTCAACAAGCCTGAGATCTGGTCGCGACTCGGAAAGGCTCAGCTCGATGGTCTGCGCGTCAAGGATGCCATCGACTCGTACGTCAAGGCGGAGGACCCATCGAACTTTGCCGAGGTTATTGAGATTGCAGAGCACGCTGGGCGCGAAGAAGAGTTGATCCGCTTCCTGCAGATGGCCCGCAAGAAGGCAAGGGAGCCGCAGATTGACACCGAGTACGCGTACTGCCTCGCGAAGGCGAACCGACTCGGCGACATGGAGGAGTTCCTGGGCATGACCAACGTGGCCGACATCTTGAGCGTAGGAGAGAAGTGCTTCAACGACGAGCTGTACAACGCCGCCAAGCTCCTCTTCAGCAGCGTATCGAACCACGCTCGTCTCGCCACCACGCTCGTGTACCTGGGCGATTACCAGGGCGCAGTCGAGGCTGCTCGCAAGGCAGGCAACACATCGGTGTGGAAGCAAGTCCACGCCGCGTGCTTGGCCAAGGGCGAGTTCAAGCTGGCGCAGATCTGTGGTCTCGCGGTGGTACCGCACGCCGAGGAGCTGCCCTCGCTCATTCGCTCGTACGAGAGGCTGGGCCGCTTCGACGAGTTGCTCAACCTCTTCGAGTCGGCGCTGGGTCTCGAGCGCGCGCACATGGGCGTCTTCACTCAAGCCGGTATCGCGCTGGCAAAGTACCGCCCCGAGCGTCTCATGGAGCATCTCAAGCTCTACTGGTCTCGCTCGAACCTCCCGCAGCTCATCAAGGTCGCTCAGTCGTGCCATCTGTGGTCGGAGCTCGTCTACCTCTACATCAAGTATGACGAGATGGACAACGCGGCGCTCACGGTCATGGAGCATCCGGCGGACTCGTGGGACCACGACCAGTTCAAGACGATCCTGCCCAAGGTTGCCAACATTGAAATCTACTATCGCTCCCTCTCCTTCTACCTGCAGCAGCACCCGCTTCTCCTCACCGACCTCCTCACCGTCCTCGCCGCCCGCATCGACCATGCTCGTGTGGTCCGCATGTTCAGGCGCGCAGACAACGACAATGTGCCGCTGATCCGCTCGTACCTCATGTCGGTGCAGCACCACAACCTCGAGGCGGTCAACGAAGCGTACATGGACCTGCTCATCGAGGAGGAGGACTTTGAGACTCTTCGCGTCTCCATCGACGGGTACGACAACTTTGACTCTCTCGCCCTCGCATCGCGACTGCAGTCGCACGACCTCCTCGAGTTCCGTCGTCTCGCCGCGCATCTCTACAAGAAGAGCGAGCGATGGGAGGAGAGCATCGCGCTCAGCAAGGCGGACAAGCTGTTCAAGGACGCCATCGAGACGGCTGCAGTGAGCAAGAGTGTCGAGGTTGCAGAGGAGTTGCTCAGCTACTGGGTCGACATTGGTCACAAGGAGTGCGTCACTGCCACGCTCTACGCCTGCTTTGACATTGTTCGACCCGACGTGGTAGAGGAGATGAGCTGGAGGCACGGACTGAATGACTTTGTCATGCCGTGGCGACTGCAGTGGCAGCGCGAGCAGGCTACGCGTGTGAAAGCGCTTGAGCAGGCCGTGCGCGACTTGTCGACGAAGCAGAGCAAGAAGGAAGAAGAGGAGGACGACCAGCCCATCATTGGGCCTGGTGGTCTGGGAGGGCAGAAATTGTTGACTTCAGGGCCGACGGGGGCGACGTGGGGTGCAAATGGAGGCGGTGGTTACATGGCGCCGGCTGCGACGGGGATGTTCTAGATCGCCTGCCTCCCCTCGTTGTCATCAGCCCACGCTCCCCTCTGTTCCTACGATATTTGTGCCTTGTCTCGCGGATCCATGAAAACCCAAATCGACGTCAAAATAGCGCGCCACGCACGCATGGCCTGAAGGAAGTGTTGAGTGTTGCTCCAGCTCGTCGAGATGCCGGACCTCGGCAAGTCCGCTGCCGCGCCACGCCACCGGCCGGAGGCTGTGGCTGTGAATAGAGAGCGAGTCGTCGGTGTTCCTTCTTGGCAATCGAGTCCTCCTTTCCACCACTCTTCTTTGTCATCGTCGAACGCTAGCCTGGTGCTGCTCAGACGTCTTTGCTTCTCAAACTCTCTCCTCTAACTACTCCGTACGACTACAAGCAATGGCGCCGGCGTCGATGCTGTCTTGTACCACCTTTGTCTCTGCCCTCGCAGCAGCTGCCATTGTCGCCCTTTCGACGAGCAGCGAGGCCGCCTCCCTCCCTTCGTCCCTCACCTCTCGCGCTACCACCTGCAATGGACATTCGGAGCTTTGCGAGCGACTCTACTCCAATGTCACCTACATTGGTGCCCACAACTCCTACGGCATCGCCCAGGGAACGTCCAACAGCTTCGCCAACCAAGCGCAGCCCATCACCACGCAGCTCAACGATGGTATTCGCCTCCTTCAAGCTCAGGCGCATAAGAGCTCCAACGAGTCCGCTATGGGTGCAGGCATTGACTTGTGCCACACTAATTGCCAACTCTTCCAGGGAGGAGCCCTTGAGTACTGGCTGGGTCAGATCAAGACCTGGGTCGACTCGAACCCCAACGAGGTCTTGTCGCTTCTCATTGTAAATTCAGACGACCTCCCTGCCTCGACGTATGCTCAAGCTTTCGAGTCTACAGGGCTGATCAACAAGATGTACGCGCCTACCTCGCCCTCCTCTTCCGGCGGGGTAAGCAAGTCCTCCTGGCCCACTCTGGGCTCTATGATCGACTCGGGCAAGACAGTCGTCGCATACCTAGACAATGGCGCCGACGTCTCGTCCGTCCCCTACCTTCTGCCAGAATTCAGCAATATGTGGGAGAATCCCTACGACCAGACGAGTGTGCCCTTCAACTGCTCGATCGATCGCTCAGGCAACGGAGAGGACACATCGAACCAGATGTACCTCATCAACCATAACCTCGACAGCGAACTCTTAGGCGGGCTGGGCACCTATCCCAACGTTGGGGCGCTGTACTCTACGAACAGCAAGGCGAGCGTGCTCCAAGACGCAGACAATTGCGCCTCGATGCATCAGAGCGCCTACCCGACCTTCGTCCTCGTCGACTATTACGACCGACCAAGGAATGACGTCTTCGCCGCCGCCGCTAGCATGAATGGGGTCAGCTTCTCCAACTCGAGCGCCTCGGGCTCAAGCTCCTCTTCATCGAGCAGCGGAAGTAATGGGAGCTCTTCGGGAGCGATGATGGGCGTTATCGCGCCTGGATGGGCGACGAGCTTGGGATTGGCGTCACTCTTGGCGGGTGGGATGGCTTTGTTGGCTTGCTAGAGAAGAGGCGTCTCTGCGCAACGCGTTGTACATACACATTTCTACGGACATCAGCTCTCGGCCCCTCCTTCTCGACTGCCTTCCACTTTGGACCCTGTAAGTAGCCTTGTCCCCACCCTCACATGTGCAATACTATTCCACCTTCTTGCGTTCGCCTCGCTCTACCATCTTCTCAGAGCGCTCGCGGGTTATCGCGGTACGATGGGTTTTACGACCGCGGATTTTTGCGCGAAGTCAGGGAGTTCAGCAGTATTGCGCGTACAGAAAGAAGGTATGCGGCTTCAATGGCTCCGAACGAGGCTCAAAAGAAAGAGGACGATGTGGGTATATAAAGAGGACGACGCTAGGGCTGCGGAGAGGCTGGCCCTTCATCAATGGATCGGATATTGGCCTCGTGCATGTCGATGACGCGCCTCATGGTAGCGACGTCAGCACGGTACTGCCTGATTGCCGGTCCACTGTCCAAGGGAGTGTTTTCGAAGCACAGACGGCGGGCGAATCGTTGCACTCCTCCCCGCAAAGGCATCGTCGAGAGGTCGAATCCGGGAAGATGAGGTGTCGGAGTGCTCGAGTGGGGCTGCGAGTGAGAAGATGCCCGGGAAGGACTCCCGAGCGAAGACGTAGAAGATGGAAAGACGCCCTCCGCGCTGCCTTCAGCAGGAGCGATCTGCGGCGGCGGCCAAGGCAGACTCGACCCCGTGCTCTCGTGTATGACGCGCGGGGTGAGCGGCAGTGGGCGCAGATCTTGATGAGGGAGTGAAGAGGGCGACGTGGCGGGAGGTTGAGCAGAGCCTGATGACGACGCGAGGTGACGAGGAGTGACGAGGGCCGACGTTGGAGAAGAGAGCAGAGGAGTTGACGATGCCGAAGATGTGAGTTGTTGGCGAGGAGCAGCCAGAGGAGGATTGCTGGAGAATTGACGCAGAACCGAAAAGACCGAAGTTGAGTCGCGAGGGAGAGGAAGATTGAGCTGTTGAGGCGCTCGAGCCGAGAGTGCCGAAGTCGATGCGCCAGGGACTTGCGAGCTGAAGACAGGAGGCTGAGTGGCTGCGGAGTCGACGCGCTGAGAAGAGGAGAAGATGGGACGACTTGAGGAGCCCGGAGAAGAGGAAACCGCTGAGCTCCCGAAAGGAGACGAGAGGAAGGAGCCCGCGCCAGCGCTGACGACTCGCTTGGTGCGAGGAGGAGGAGGGATTGAAGAACGGCGACGTGCCACTGGCGCGTCGGGAGGGCTGTCTGAAGAGTCTCCCGCCGCCGCCGCCGTCGCCACCACCGACACACCGAGAGAGCGAAAGAGATCGACCGCCCCCGTGACGCGAGTGTCGTCGAGGGTGGCAGCGGGAGGAGCAAGGCGACGAGCAGGAAAGGGAGGGTGCCAGGACAAAGAAGGGACCATCGCCGGGAAGGAGGTGCTGGAAGCCATGCCGGGAAGCCGCGGAAGAGGAGCTTGCGACCTCAGCGCCGGAAAGGAAGGGTCGAAGAGGGGAGGACGAGGGAGAGAAAGAGGAGCGCCGGGTTGCGCGAACGGAGGAGGCAAAGGCTGACGAGGGCGAAGGAGGGGAGCGCCAGGAGCAAAGGAGTTGGTGGGGAGGCGGCGCCCGCTCGCCTGCTGCGCCAGAAAATGGGGGCGAATGTTGCTGCTACTGCCGGTGCTGCTGCTGCTGCTCAAGGCGTGAGGAGCAGGAGCACTGGCCGTGACGGGTGCGGGCGCGGGCGCGGGCGCAGGCGCGGGCGCGGAGGGGGCCAACCTCTTGCGCGGCGACTGCGAGCGGCGGTCTCGCTGAACGCCCGTCTCCTCCTCCTGCTCTACGACGTCCGGCGAGGCGCTGCGGCCCCTCTTTGCAGACCTTGATGGCCCAGCCGCCACAGATGAAACCGCTTGCGAGGTGGTGCTCGCAGACGAGGCATTCGATGCGCCGTCGTCGTTGTCGTCGTCCTCCTCCATGAGCTCCGTCTGAGGAACGTCGAGCGCCCGGTCAGGGTCCTCGAAGTTTGCCATCCAGCCGTCCCACTCCAACTCCTTCTGCGCCGAGGCTTCGTCCTCGGGGCACTGCCATCTCTCGCGCTGCAGCTCGCAGAATTTGGACAGCGCCGTGGCATGCCCCTTGGTGAGAGCTCGAGGGAGGGCGCTGATGGGTGCGACCTCGCCGGTCACAGCAAAGGACTTGCCATGGCATCCGATGTAGATGCGCTGCTGTAGCGTATAGCCCTGATAGAAGGGCACTGAAGGAATGAAACGTCCAGGCTCATCGTCAGCAATGTGTCCGTCATCAGATTCGCCCTCTCGCTCACCTCGCTTGCCCCAATTGCACCGTCCCTCCTTTGCAATTCTACACTGCGTACACGGCCGCCCTCGTTGGCCGATGCAGACCTTCCGTTTCTTGTGGCAGCGGTAGCATGGGCGCGAGGCCGCTGCAATCCTCCGACGTCGAAGTCTCTTGCGAAGGCGGGCGCTCGGATTGCCGTGATAGGCTGCACCCTTGCTGTGACTGGGTACATTCGGATCGACGGCTGCCTGCCAGGTCGTGGTCTGCGTGAGTGTGCTTGCAGCCTCCTCTCATTGGTCGTTCGATCCTGAGTGCAGGAGGCCGACAAAGCAACATGGTCAGGCCTGACCTGCAAAATTGGCGGAGAGGCATCTCACTATCACCGCTTCACTACCCAGATAATTCGCGTTGCTATCCAGGCTCGCACTCCCTACGGCCGCCCGATTCCCGCTAGACGTTCTGGCTTGAATCTCTTGGGGGTGCTGAAGCGAAGTCTGCCTCGCTTTGTTGTCGTCGTGTATTGGCGGGCGTTTTCCGTCGATGCCCAGGTACGCTTTGCGCGAGCTAGGCTCGACGCGAGGCGTCTTGGGCTTGATTGTGATGTGTGCTGTGCTCTGTGTGAAAGTGGCTGGAGGTCGGTTGAGAATGTAAGTGGGGTGGGGAGGGAAGTTCGAGAGCGGTGTCGGCCACCTTTTTATATCTTCAACTGGCGACGGAGCGTCGACAGGTACTCGTCGCTCTCAGCCCAACATCGGTACTTGATGAATACTCACCCGCGTTCTTCGAACATTGGTGCCTGGCGAGGCTGTATCCAGCTCACTTTGTGCCTGCGAAGAGCGCACGGCGAGCGGGTGATCATAAAGCGACATGATGGCTCGAAGCAGGGGCTGGGCAACGAACGTCGCTTGTCGCTCGCCGTGCGAGCGAGCGTGGGTCAGCCAAGCAGCGTTGTGCTCGAGCAGCAGTCGGTCTTTCATCGTCAGGGAAGCCAGCCAGGCCCCTGCGCTCACTGCTTGCTTCGTTCGTCAATGCATCATTTCCTTTTGCTGCGTCTCGTACAACAAGATTCAAGTCGCCTCGCTCGCAACCCCTCACAACACCGCTGTTTCATCGATCCCGACCGGCAGGCACTTCAAATCTGCCAACAATCTCTCGCCCACCTCACTCCACTCCTCCAACTCCCTCTTTGCCTGCTTCGCACTCACGACATTCATCCTCTTCGACCCCCTCACAAGCCCAGCCTCGTAGCTTGACCAGTATCGCAGGGATGACGCAAGATCGCGTGGGGTGAGGGAAGGGTAGACGAGAACGTGTGCTGCTCGCGGCTTGAGGTGCTCTGCAGCTTGAAGAGCCACGCTGATTTCGCTGCGATCCCCGCGGGCGTCCGGGCCTACGAGTACGTAGACGTCCGAGGACAAAACGACGAGGGACACACCAGCTTGCGGAATTTTGCTGGCTGTCCAGCTGCCTGAGATCTCCTCCAGGTCGCCCGTACCTGCGCGCACGAGCAGCAGACGAGGTGCCGTGCTACTGAGCAGTGCCTCCGCCCTTCGTCTCCTGTGATGCCAGGCGCCAGCGTACGATCCACGGCCGAGCACGTCGTGCCACAATCCCTTCTCGGCGCCCTCCTCCATCTCTTGCACCTTGCCACTCGTCAAGTTCTCAGCGAAGCGGCGGGCAGCCTCGCGCTCCGAGTCGAAGGCGCCGCGGCCGTGCCAGACGAGCACCGTGCCAGCGACGGAGAGGACGAAAGAGCTCGCCGAGCTGAGCGAGGAGGCGTGCAGCTCGACTTGGTCGACAAAGGTGGCCGCGCCCGAGCAGCTGACGCGGGAGAGCATCGAGTCCCCCTTATCCCAGGCAGAGCGTTTGGCCCCCTGCCTGGTCTCCAAGATGGCATCAGGGAAGAGGGCTGCAAGCTCCTCACTCTCCTTGCCCTGCCTCGCGTCCGTCACCTGCGCTCCATATCGCTTTGCCAGCTCCTGCAGCTTGCGTCCTTCCCTCCCCGACTCGCCCTCGCGCACGTATCCCGACCGGGCTCCAGCGCGAGCGTACACGCGTGTCTGGACCTCCTCTGCCCCGCGGGAGGGTTTAAAGCGGTGGACTATCGCTTGCGTTTCGCCTTCATGCAGAATGTGAGCGTCCGAGGGAGGGAGAGTGGACGTCGAGCCATCTGATTGGATGAGGATGACTTCCGACGAGAGAGTGTTGATGGTGGGCAACTGTGGGGTTGAGCGGCGTGCGAGAAGCTGCTGAGCGTTGCGGGACAGCTTCGCAAAGGTAGCGCTGTCCCCGGCTCGCTTGAGCGGCACCATGCGGCTTTTAGCTGGAGTCGGGATTAGCGCCACACTTTCCCCATCCTCGATGCGCTTGAGCACAACGCGGGTGGCCTCAACAATCAACTCATGCTCAACGCTATGCATCCTCTCCTCCAAGTCCTCGAGCGTCTCTCCCTTGCGAATGGGCACCTCTCTCACCAGCACAGGTGCGCCGCGATCAACCTCGGCGACCACTTCATGCACCATGATTCCCGTCTTGTCCACCTCACCGCGTTGGAACGCCTCATAAGCACGCGGAATGGCGTTGGCCCCGTCGAACGCGTGGGGAAGGGCTGGATGAAGGTTGATGATGGGAACTGGGCGCGAAGGACGCCAGGCGGGGGCACCAGAGTTTGGCAGCTCGGTGTCGTGGCCGAGGGCGCGAAGGAAGACGGGAGAGACGATATGCATGAACCCGGCAAGAACGATCAAGTCTGGCTTCCCGCCTTCGAGCACCGCGCGCGCGAGAACCTCGTCGTATTGCTCCCTCGTTCCGCCGGGGTTGCGGTTCTGCCATGTCTTGAGCGCGAGGATCTCGGTTGGAATTGGCGGGTTGGAGGTGGAAGCGCGGGTGAGTCCGTACGCTGCTTTGCGGTTCGAGAGGACAAAGGAGATCTGCGCGTGAGCTAGCGGGCCAGAGGGAGTGTGCGTAGCGTCGATGAGGGCTTGCAAATTGGAGCCAGAGCCAGAGATGAGGACGGCTATGCGAGGGCCGGCGGTGCTACGCAATGGCGCGGGTGCGGCGGCGGGCGTGGTGGCTGGTGCAGCGGCGGGCTCGACTACCTCCACTGCGCTGGGCTTGCCCTCGACGACCGCAGGTGCCTCTGCTTTGCTCTGCGGCTCAGGCGCAGCTCCTCCGCGTGCTGATCTCTTTGCCGGACCCCTCGCCCTGCTTGCCGTGAGGTGTTCAAGCGGCTTTGCCTCCGCACCGCCATCATCGCTCGCCACCTTTGTCGGACTGGCAGCTCGCCCACCTGAAGCCCCGAATGGACTAGCTGCTCCTCCCATGCCCGGTAAGCGGACAGGCGGTGCGTCGTTGCGCTCGGCCTCGCGTACAGGCGAAGGGGAGCGGAAAGCATTGGAGTTAGATGTACCACTGGATGTCGGTCGCGAAAGGCCAGGCAAAGCATTCCCGCTGCGTTGCCACTTCCTCTCTGAAGAGGGCGAAGTCGATGATCGTGCGGGAGATGACGTCGTGTCTACCGCACCCCACTTGGATGGGCTTTGCGGCTGCGATCGAGGGATCGTGATTCGACCGGGCACGATCGCACTGCCGCTGCCGCTCGCGCTGTCACTCGAAGCCGCCTCTCGATCTTTTGCCTCCTTCAACCTCTGGCCGACCATTCCCTTTCCCTTCAATCTTGTTAGACTCGCCGTGGGCATGCGGTCCGATGAATTGGCGCGCTGCAGTTGCGCAAAAGCTGGGCTCATGGCAGCCGAGGCTGGGCCGGGCGACCCTGCTGGTGTTGCGCTAGGCGTGATACTCTTTACGCCGGGCTCATCAAATTTGATCGGTGACGTGGCTGCATGCTTCATTTCGGCGTTGGAAGACAAGGCGCGCTCGTATCCTGGGCGAGGGACGGAGATGGGCGCAGCTGAGGGAGCGGAGAGTTTGGTGGGAGAGGCGGGCTTCGACGGGGAAGTTGACCTACGGACGGGTGAGTGCCGTGTTGGAGCTGCGGCAGGTTCGGTGTAGCCGCGAGTGGGAGAAGTAGCGCGCGCAGTCGTTCGAGGTGACGAAGGTGTAAACGATGCCGCAGCCGCCGCAGGACTCGTAGCCGTTTCCCTGCCTGTAGCTCTCGCGTCCAAGAAGCTTGCCAAGCTTCGTCCACCGGGCGAGGCTCCAGTGGGACTCATACCAGGCAATGCTACTCCTCTGCGGATTCGACTATCGTCAATCATGTCTGCCTCTGGTGGGGCTGATCTGCCATCTCCTGCCAACTTGCCCAATCGCGGTCCTGCCGCTCTTCCGCCCATGAAGGAGGCGAGCGAGACGGGTGATGAGCCAGAACCAGCATTTGCTGTTCCTGTAGGACCCGCTTGACCGCCGTATCGCGCCAAGAGAGCCGCGCCTCGAGCAGATGGTACCGCAGAAGCTGAGTCGTGAGAGAAGGCCGACGACGACGTAGGGCGTGAAGCATCGCTCGATGGAGCTGCGCGGTCGGGGTTGTCAAGTCAGCAATCGAAGTACCACTACTTGAAGGGTGCGCTCGCCTCACCATCATAAGTTTCCGCCCTCTCGAATCCACTGATGCCCTGGCCACTCAACCTCTTCTTTCTCTGCTGCCTGTTCAATCTCGACTGTCGTACTTCCTCCTCAAAGTCCGTGGTAGCAGCTCCTCCTGGAACAGGCGAGTTGACTTGCGAGCCAGAACGAACCCGATTGACCCAGTCGGAGAGTTCGCCCGTTGCCATTCCTGCTGCTTGTGGTGTGCCCGAATGCGTCGGTGAGAGGGGCGTGCTTGACATCGCCATGTCGTTGTGAGGATGTCGTGGGAATGAGGAAGGTGTTGGTTGGTCCGCCAAGCTGCCCGCCCTTGGACTTCAGGGGGCCGAGGCAGCTGGCGTCTGGCGTCTGGCGTCGTGAAGCCGTCTTGGCTCGCGTGGCGCCAGAATGAGGCGGACAGAGCCAGTGTCAGTCGTGACGGCCGACTTCAAATTTCAGAGGAGGGCGGACTGAGAACGAGGCCAAGCAAGGCCTTGTCACCCTCGTTCTCACTTCCACTTCCACCTCGTACTCGCTGCCAGCATGGGTCTCGCTGGTCCCAAGCGCAAGCAACGTCTAGTCGGTGCCGCATCTTCACGCAATGCCAACTGGATAGGCGACGCCACTTTGCCTGGCCAAAGGCTCCTCTCCCAGATGGGCTGGCAGGAGGGCCAACATCTGGGCACCGAAGCCTCCAATGGCAGGACAGAGGCGGTGAAAGCCATGTTTAAGATGGACAACAAGGGGATTGGAAGCCATCGCGCTGAGAAGGAGGCTAGAGCAAAGGGTTTGCCTGGCCCAGGGATGGACAGGTGGATTGGCGGTGGGGGCGAGTTGGGCGGATTGTTTGACAGGCTGAATGCTGGCGCTAGTACAAGTGCAAGTCCCGTCCCAGAGGCAATTGTCGCCGTTGAGACGGCGCCCTCAGCAGGGGAGAAGAAGGAGCGCAAGAGCAAGAAGGACAAGAAGAGGAAGCGCGATGAAAGGGCAGCCACTTCGTCCAGCTCATCGAGCGAGGATGAAGACGAGACGCCAAAGAAGGCAAAGAAGTCCAAGTCCTCTGGTGACGACGGCGAGCGCAAGGCCAAGAAGGAGCGCAAGCGCGCAGAAAAGGAGGAGAAACGTGCAAGAAAAGAGGCAAAGAAGAGAGCAAAGGCAGAGGCGCTAGAAGAGGTCAAGGCGGCTCCTACACCGGCGGTGATACGCAATGCGTGAGTGCGGGATCTCCTATCGCAGCCTGATGAGCTGCTTGAGCTGACTTCTCGCTCGCTACTCACCTGATCTATCAGCTCACGAGCCAAGTATCTTCGGGCCAAGTCTCAACTCCGAGGCGACATGATCAGCATGAACGAGATTCTCGGCATCTCAGCAAGTAATAGCCCCGCAGCTTCACCATCCCCAGCGCCGATAGCATCCCCAGCCGCAGATAGCCCGGCGCTTACTCCGGTCGTGGAGCCCACTGACGAGGCATTGTCCGCCAGGAAGGAGGAAAAGAAGAAGGCCAAAGAGGCGGACAAGGCTGCAGCGAAAGAGGAGAAGCGTGTGGCAAGGAAGGCGGCCAAGGAAACGAACAAGAAAGCCTCTAAAACAGCTGCTGAGGGTGATGCCGAAGCAAAGCAACCTGCACCATCATTCAACACCGTCTCCTCCCTCTCGGTGCACGAGTACCTCACTCGCCGCCTCATGCTGCGCAAAGCTCAGGTCGCACGGGCGAAGAAGGCGGATCAGGAGGCGGTCTGGGGCCGCTTGAATGGAGGGCAGGGAGTCGGAGTGATGGTAGAGTGATGCAATGAAGTCAAAGTGTATTATCTGGCGGACTTGTCACGGAAAAGCATTTGCATAGCCTTCCCCGCTTGCTTGAGCGAGCATCGCACGCGCTGCTTTTGTGTTGCTCTCGCCTGTCCGCCGTCCCATCTCGCAGTCCTCCGCCCTTTGACTTTTCGCCCTCCTTTCGCATCATTGCTTTTGCGCATCCTCAACACCTCTCGCACGACTGCCAGAGAGGTGGACCACGACCCTCGTCGAAGCGTCTGACGAGGCACAGTGCAAGCATGGCCGACGATGGACCCGGCACCTCATCATCGGCCTCCTCCATCTCCGTAGCCTCGGCGCGTTCCGCTTCGCCGCCCTCGTCTTCCGCCTCTTCATCATCCAAACGACCAGGGCGCCAGCAGCAATCTCTCTTTCGCTCGTCATCGCCGATACGCCAGCGAGAAGGGTCATGGACGGCTTCAGACAGCAGTGCTGGCGGGGAGGACGGCGATGATAACGGCAGCGAATATCAGCGGAACCCACACGCCCGGATGGCGAGGAGGCAGGATAGCTGGTCTGCTTCCTCTTCTTCGGACGACCAGTCACAGAGAGCCGAATCGTCTGCCGGCAGTAGTGACGAACAAGACGTGGCTAGCACACTGAAGCGCAAGATGCTACCGAGTCGACGGCAGGCGGACTGTAGAAGCGTCGCATCCGCAGCCTCTGACGCCGGTCAGAGCGTCCACACGACATCGGCTACCCTCGCACTTGAACACCTCATGCCCTTGAGCCTAATCCACGCCATCAACTCCTCGTCCTCCAGCTCATCTACAACAGGAATCGCCTTCGCCCGTCCCTACTTCGAAGGAGCGTTACGCGCCTCTCTCCAGACCAAGAGACAGCAGGAAGCCAAGAACCGCGCTCGTGTGATGCGCAAAGTCGAGCGGAGGAGATTTCAGGAGAAGAGAGGGAGGGAGAAGAAGCAAGCAGAGGCTGAGAAGGCAAAGCAGAAGAAGAGTGGAAGGGTGCATGATGCTGCCGCTGCGGCGGATAGCGCAGGGGACGCCCTGGAGGGGCTGGATGAGGAAGAAGACAGCAAAGAGACAAGGGAATTGCTGGACGCATTGGCTGCGCAGATGCTGGCAAAGAGCACCATTGAGGAGGAGGCAGAAGCGTGGCTCCAGCTCATCGAGCGCGAGCAAGCAGCTTCAAGCAACCAAGGCGGTGCAAAGAAGATGAAGCTCAGTACGAGCCAGAGGAGCAGATAGCGGTCCTGTTTGCTACGTGACAGGCAACACTGGCTCAAGCACGGTCCTCTCCTCCAACCAGTCCATCCACCTCTCCAGGTACCCGCCCTTGCCACCAGCGCGAATAGTCTCCGAATCTCCCACAACGACTAGCTGTCTTCTCGCGCGGGTCATGGCTACATTCAATCTGCGCTCTTCTGCCAAGAAGCCTACGCGATCTGCCTCGCCCTCGACCCCTCGTTGCTCCTCGGAGCTACGTACGAGCGAAATGATAACCACATCCTGCTCGCGTCCTTGTAGCGCGTCGATGGTGCCGATTTCCATACCGGGCCAGTCGGAGGCGGGAAAAGCGGTGCTGAGGGCGCTGACTTGCGCCGAGTAGGGCGCCAGGAGGGTGATTGAAGAGGGTGGGAACTTGTGCGTCTTGCAGAGGAGGGAAAGGTGAGAACGAATGATTTCGACCTCGTGGGGATTGGACTTGGAGCTACTCTTGAGAGTCGAGGCGGAATTGTCATCATTTGATGACTCGTACACTGCGCGAGAAAGACGATGGTGTATGTCAGTGGGCGTACGAGGTCAAGCGTCCTTGTACCGTTACACAACTCACTCTCAGCTCCCGCTGTGTCGTAGAACACTACGCGTCCTCCAACTAGCCCCTCGCCTTCGACGACGTGGATTCCCTCTCCCTTCTCCACGGTCCAACCTCCAGCAACCCCTCCATCCCCAACCCACCTATCCTTGCAGCTGTCGTGTGCCTCAAGCTTACCGCCGTACATCTCTTTGTTCGGAAATTCCATGATCACCTCGTTCATGCGATACTGTACGGTCAGGAGGGATTTGATGCTTGCACCTGAGCCGTAAGTCCTGAGGAGGCGGGTAAAGAGGGTTTGCGTAAGGGAGCGTGGTGGCAGAAGTCTGCTCGGTCGGCCTTGGCGTGGCTTGGCGATGACCGGTGCGACTTCAGCGGTGTCGTCGTTGTCATCATCGTCGCCGCTGTCCTCTTGCTCTTCATCCTCGGCCAGCGCATTGGCGGCGGTGGCGGCGGCGGCGGCGGCGTCATCGACCTTGAGCGACTCTTTGGCCTTCTCCGCAAGATTGATGTCCCCCTCGGCCTCGTCCTCCTTCTCCTTCTTGACCGACCCCTTCTTCCCCTTTTCCTTGCCTTCACCCTTCTTCTTTGTCTTCTTCCCTGGCAGACCGGACTCGCTCTTCACCACCGGTCCCAGCTGCTTATCATCGCCGGCCAAGATCAGCCTCGCCCCCTTTTCCTCTTCAAATGTATCCAGCACAGCTCCCCACGTACTGGCCTCAATAGCCTGACACGCCTCATCGATCACGATGGTGTCGAAGCGACTACTCTTTTTCTTCTCCGCAGCATCTCCTTCGGCCGCTGGACTCGAGCGACGCATTGCTCTCTCCAGCACACCTCCAGCCGCACCATGCAGCGTCGAGAGCACGACATTGGCGTCATGTAGCGTATCGGTGAACAAGCCACGCTCACGCTGCTTCAATTCCTTGCGAAGTTCCCTCACCTCATCCCAGACCTTGCGCCTCTCGCTTCCCGTGAGCCGCTTGTTGTTCACGCTACTCGTGCCGCGACGGGAGGTGGACTTGTTTCCCGCCGCGCCGGATGTGGTCGCGGAGGAAGAAGAAGCTGGGGAAAGGGAAGAATAGGCTGCCGCGAGCTCGGAGCGGACGTCCGACAGGAGCTCGCCGTTGGACGAAGTTGTTGCCAGGTGGTCGAGAGTGTGCGGTTGGAGACTGGAGAGGATACGGGCGGGGTCTGCGAGGATGACAGGAGCAGACACAGGGTCAGCATCGGACTCAGCTTGATGACACCACACCGCTACTCACGACCGATGCGACAGCACTTCAAGTTGGGGCTGCCCTTGCTCGACGCCTTGCTACTGCTACCTGCCGCCGCTGCAAACGCGACCAATCTCGCCCCCAGATTATCCACAGCAAGATTGGAGCTTCCCGCCACCAAGACCCGCTCTCCTCTGCCCAAGACTAGCTGGAGCACCAGCTCTACCAGTAGCGTCGTCTTTCCCGTACCTGGAGGCCCGTGTATCAGGTGCAGGTGCTTCGTTGTGAGAGCGCGGGAAAGGGCGAGGCGTTGTGGCTCATTGAGGGATGGATTGTAAAGGGGCAGCGGTGGCGCATCCAGTTGCGCCGGCAGAGGTGCGGGAGGTGAGAGGGAGAGGAGGATGCGTAGAAGATCGGGCAGATGCGGGACCGTATCTGGAGGCGACGGGAGGGGGATGGCCGACTTGACTGCTTGCGAGGAAGATTCGGTGCGCTTGGGCCCGTCGTCATCGCTCTCCTCGTCATCCGACTGCGATCGTTGACCCTGCAATCCCCCACCCCTTATCCCTCGACTCGTACGTACAGGCACGTCGACCTTAATGGCAAGTCGTCGCAGATTGTTCTCCATCCTTTCCCAAGTCACCTCATTCGCGACCTTGATCAGCCGGCATCGCGTGGGAAGTGGCTCTTCTTCTGCGTCCTGCCCCTTGCTTCTTCGCTGCGATATTGCTACCACTATTTTGGTGTCCATGACTCGCACGACGACCCCGTCTGTCTGTGCTGGCTCTTTGCTATTCTTCGCGGCCGCTTTGCCCTTTGCACCCTTGGCTCCTCCTCCTCCTTCCGCGGCAGCCGCCTCATCCACGATCGCAACGACGTCCCCACTTCTGAAGGCGTTGGGCGGCAAATGCGCGTCATTATGGTACGCAGTCGGCCTGTGGAGTTCCACAAGCCTCTTTCCACCTATGCCTACACTGGTGCTCAGCACGCCGAGCCTGGTGAGCGCTAAGCCATTGGCCTCGAGAACTTTTGGTGACACAGAAGAGAGGAGGAGCCGCGACTCTTCCAACTCGGCTTGGCGCTCCTTGAAGAGGCGATCGAGATGTCCCTGAATGAAACGCTGAATAGCGAGGGGCGTTGGCGGGACGGTCTTCCTGATCTCATCGTCGCCGTGATTGGACGGCATTGTCGGTATGGTGCCAAGATTGAAACAAGCCGCTTTTGCGCAAAGTTGCCCTCAAGCGTCCCAGTCCGCCGACCGCGAGAGCAACACTCGACTCCACTTGATGGGCCGGTCCGCGTCTGCCGTCTGTTCCTTTGCTCCTTTCTCCCTCATCTCCTTGGCCCCACTTGCGCCGGTCGCCAGGATGGATCCCACCCGCGACTTCTACTCCTTCATTAAGCTCACCGACCTCCCCGGAAATGTCACCCTGAACCTCCGAATCGCCTCTTTGCAAGGCAACGTCGAACGCTCGCGCCCCCTCGACCTGCTCGAGCATCCCGAGAAGAGACAATGGGGCATCAACGTAGAGGAATTTCCGCCCTTTTACCTCGTTGTCAGGCTCTACTCGAACAACAAGCCGTTGACGCCACCGCAGCGCACGCCCTTTAAGGCCTTCAAAAAGGCGTGGGTGTGGAATCAGACTGTGGATCTGGGATTTCCATTGAGGGATTTGCCCCTGGATGCTCAGCTCGGGGTGACGATTTGGGATGCGGGCCGTGCGACGAGCGAGGGAAGCAGTCGCGATGGAGCATGTCAGGACCGCATCGTCGGCGGCACCACGTTGCGGCTCTTTGGCAGCAAGGGTACGCTCAAGAAGGCGCAGCAGAGATGTCATGTTCACTTAGGCGTCCAGGCAGATGGTAGCGTCAACAGCTCGACTGATTCAAAGGCGTCGACGGATGATGGGTCAGAGATGACAAGGCTAGAGAAAGTGAGGGCGTGCAGACGTAGCGTAGAAGCTGCGCGCCATGCTCACTCCCCTCACCTTTGCACCCACAGCTGATCAAACGACACGAACGCCTAGACATCCCGCACCTCAAGTGGCTTGACAAGCAGACATACCGCGTAATCGAAGGCATCCACACCAAGGAGACTGAGACGCTCACCAATCGTCTTTGGCTCTATCTGGACCTGCCGCGCTTCGAATGGCCTGTGGTCTGGTGCGAAGAAGAGGTCGCAACAGCTCGATCAGACCATCGCGGCTTCGGTGGGCCTGAGATCTCGACGCACCTCGCTAGCGCCGTCAACTCTACGACGGGGCCGCAGGCGCAACCTTCAACTTCCACAAGCGGCGTGAGTGCGCAAGGCTCCCTCGTTCGCCCACAGGCCGCCGCCCCGCTTCTCGATCGCAGTCTCTTCACGCTCCCTGACCCTGAGTCACAACGCGAAAATCCCATCGAGGCCAAACATCGTCGCCTAGTACGAGCGCAGCGGTCTCGACGCCAAGCAGGTGGGGCAGGCGGCGGAGTGGCAGGCGGGCTAGCCAACCTCACCATCGCTCGCAACCTCAAGCCAGACAAGAAGGCGCGTGATGAGATCGAGGCCATTCTTGCTAGCCCTCCCACCAAGGAGCTCAGCGACAAGGAATCAGACCTGCTATGGACGTATCGCTTCTACCTGACCAAGACGCCGCGCGGCTTGACCAAATTCCTGAAAGCGGTAAGCTGGAATGATCAGGTCGAGAGCCGCATGGCTGTTGATCAGGTGCTGCCCCTTTGGGCTGGTGAGGCGGGGACGCTCGGTGCGGTGGGGATCGGAGATGTACTAGAGTTGCTGGGCCCTTCTTGCCGGATGATGCACAAGGCTGTGCGGAGGTGGGCGGTGGACAGATTGGCGGAGCGCGATGACGAGGAGCTGGGTCTCTACCTGCTGCAATTGGTTCAGGCGTTGAAGCTAGATGAGAGGGAGGGAGAAGGCGACGAGGCTGCGTCGACGACGACGACGACCGCGGCACAGAGCAAAAAGAAGGATGCCGTTGGAGCAAGAGCAACATCATCGAGTGGCGCCTCGCTGGGCCCTTTGACGGATCTTCTCGTATCACGCTCGCTCGCCTCTCCGACTTCCCTCCTCTTCACCTTCTGGTGGTATCTCAGCGTCGAATGTTCTGACGACAGGTGGGGATCCCTCTACAAGCGCATCCGACGTCGCCTTGAGCGCAGCCTCGACGCGAACACACTGGGGATCATCAGACGACAGGAGAAGATGGTCGCCAAGCTCGGTGAGACGGCGCGGGCGCTCAGGGCTAGCAAAGATGCGAGGCCAAAGAAGATTGATAAATTGAGAGAGACACTGAAGGATCAAGGGGCAGTAGGTCTGGGAGCGGTAGGCGACGAAGCGGGCGAGATGGCCTTGCTCCCACTGCCTCTCGATCCGAGCGTGCTCGCCCGTCGTGTCATTCCGGAGAAGTGTTCAGTCTTCAAGTCGAACCTCTACCCTTTGCTCGTCCACTACCAGACGGAGCCGAACGGAGAAGACTCCATGGAAGGACCGGGCGACTATGCTCTCATCTTCAAGTCAGGGGACGATCTTCGACAAGACCAGCTGGTCCTACAACTCTTCCAACTCATGGATCGTCTCCTCCTCAACGAGAATCTAGACCTCAAGATGACGCCATACCGTGTTCTCGCCACTTCAGCGCGCGAAGGGATGGTGCAGTTTGTTCCCAGTCGTACCCTCGCCAATATCGTGGGCGAGTACGGATCGCTTGCCGCCTACCTCAAGCTCGACGCTGCGGGCAACGAGGCGACGGACGTGATGGACACCTTTGTCCGCTCCTGTGCGGGATACTGCGTGGTTACCTACTTGCTCGGCGTAGGGGATCGCCACCTAGACAATCTTCTTCTCACCCCGACGGGTCGATTCTTCCACGTCGACTTTGGATACATCTTGAATCGCGACCCGAAACCTTTCCCTCCCCCGGTCAAGGTCTCGAAGGAAATGGTCGACTGCATGGGCGGAACGACCTCCACGCATTATGCTCGTTTCAGGCAGTTGTGCTTCACTGCATTCAGCATCCTCAGGAAGAATTCGGGTCTGATCCTGAACTTGATCGGATTGATGGTCGACGCGAATGTGGGCGATATCAAGGTGGAGCCGGACAGGGCTGTGGCGAAGGTGAGCATGACGAGCGTGAGGCTGGGTGACTACGAAAAGTTGACCTCTTTTCCCCTCGTGTCACTCCGCAGGTCCTCGAGAAATTCCGCCTCGACCTTACCGAGAGCGAAGCGCGGGAGTACTTCGATGAGCTCTTGCAACAGAGCAGCTATCTGACCGTCGTGTTTGATCGATTGCACGATGCGGCGCAGTTCTTCCGCTCGTAGCGCGGTGTGGGATAGAATAGCAATGATACCCTAGAGGCGATGGTGAGAAAAGTTTATTACCCTGATCCAGACGTAGAGGCGATGATGAAGAGAACAAGGAGACGAGCAGAGAGGAAATCAGAGGTGGAGGAGCGGGCGGACCAGCTCGGCGGCGACACGGACGTCCGTGCGCAATCAAGGTCCGATCTCGCATTTCGCATGCCTGCGTCTGTCAGGTCGCCGGACTTGGATCCTTCTCTTATCACCGCATCCTCTTCTTCTCGAAGCCTTCGTCCGGGGACTCGGATGCGACAGTCTCCGATTGCCTTCGCGGATACCGGAGAGTAGCGAGGCGATGAGTCTGCTTTGGGGTTGCGACTGTCCGCGTGGGCAACCTTGGTCGGAGGAAGCGTCGAAGGCGATTCGCGCTTTGTCGTCCGTCTTTTCTTCGTTACCATCAACTTCATTCCCCCCATACGAGGCGGCTGGTCCGCCCTCGTTGTACATCTTGACAGCTCACCACCAGCAGCTGGTCTGCTAGGGTGTACCGTTCCCGCACCCCCCACCCCTCGAACACTCGATGGATTACTCGCAAGCGCAAAGCTATGAGCAGCGCTTTCATAGCATCCTGAGCGCTGCAGAGGATTTGTGGCAGGATGTTCAGCCGGAGCTGCCAGTGAGGGGAAGTGACTGGCCCTGGGATGATGACCCATTCAGCGGGAGCTTTTGGTCTAGCGGCGTCACGCAGGACACGATGAGAACGGCGACCTCAGATACGTACGACCAGTCAGCATCGCCATACGATGTCACATCGAACTTTGCCCCTTCCAATCGACAATGGACTGTAACTAGCGATTCGGCCACTTCGACATACAGCAAAGCCTTTCTTGCTACTGCCGCGTCCTCTGACTCTTCTTTGCTGGCGGTCACTTCGGCTCAGCCTACGCTGGCGCCCTCGTCGTTGTCGACCTCTTCCTCATCTCTCTCAGCACCATCTGCTTCTACGTCCTCAGACAGGAGCTCTTTACTTTCCTCGCCAGCCCCTTCCAGGTCGACGTCGGATGGCCATGCTCCTCACTCCATCCCACCCCTCTCCACGCCTGCCATCATCGGCATCGCAGCCGGCGCGGGCCTTGCGCTCCTCCTCCTCCTCATCGCATTGGTATGGATCTGCTGCACACGACGCCGAAAGCGGGGCAGCGATGGCAGCAAGGACGGCGTACAGATTGACCAGACTTGGCGCTCCGACCAGGCTTCAATGAGCGACGCAGGCATCGCAGGCGCGAGTTGGAGTGAGGTCGTTACACCTTACACTTTCGCTGCGCTCGGCCGTGGAGGGCAAGGCATGGGCGGGGATGGGGCGTCGCCATTTGATGGAGTGTACGGCGGCGTTGAGCAGCAGATTGGCGTAGCGTTTGGGCGTGAGGCCCCAGCTAGCGGGGCGATGCAACCGAATGTGCCACCCCCTGTCAGGTCTCTCGTCGACGAGCAGGCGCAGCAGCTTGCACCTGCCCGCGTTAGCAGCAGTCTGATGGGCCGTCCTACTCATACACGAGGAGGCAGCGGGAACAACATTTCGAGCTCGACCTTTGACTCGAGCGCGAGCGGCCAGACGGGCAGCACGGCTGTCGCGAGCTCGAAATGCGACGCGCAAGTGAAGGGAGTCTCGCCAATCACGACGACAAGCACAGCCAATGTCCCTCCTGCGACGCTTTTCAAGAAGTGCTCCGCAGCAATCGCGCCTACTGCAGCTACTCAGCCTCCTTCTTCGCCGCGTCACGATCCGCGGAGCCGTCTCCGCTACCTCTCCTCGATCTCCACAGCCTCGACATCTTCCAGCAGCTCGTTCACCCACACAGATGCCCATACTCTTCCAGCATACCAGCCTGCGGTCGCCTCTACGTCGCAGCCACGCCAGCTCTCTGGACCCGTCAAGGCGCTCGGAGCTCTGCGTGATGAGCGAAGTGCCTTCCTAGATGCGGATCCTTTTGCTGGCAGGTCGTCCAGGGTCAGACCAGCTGAGGACGATGATATGGCGAGCGTGTACAGCCGTGCATCGATGGAAGAAGTGGACCGATCTGCGCTGCGTGAGACATTTTCTGATCCGTTTAGATCTCGGGGGGAGTGGGCGTTCCCCATTCCAATCGATTGTTAAGGGGATGCAATGCAATCTCTCGCACTGCTGCTTTTCTTCTTCATTGCCGTCCATCGCAAGACTGTTGTCGCTCATTAGCATCCGGATCGCCCCGCGCTAGCGTAGGCGTCGATGGTAGTGTTGGACTCAGGGGTCTCTCGTCCCGAGGCAAAGTAAGCACTTGTGGCTGTGACGACACACGAGAGGAAGCGAGGCCACGCACTTCCTCCGACGTCCGTCCGCCCGCTTTGCCGTCCGCGGGTGCGGGTCTCATGCAGGTTGGCGGCGTCGGAGGCGCAGGCGGTGTCGATGTTCACAAAATCAAGGCCATCGTGCCTTGATTCTCCCTCCCGCCCCCTCCTCATCATCTCTCATTCTCTGCGCAGCATTACATCGCATCGCCCCTGGCTTGACGGCGAGACGACTTCATTCATCTTTCTCGCCGCACTCTCGCCGCTCAATACCCATCGCTGCTAACTCGTATCGAGCGCGCCTCGTCTCTGCGCAGCTCCTCCTTCCCCTATCCTTGTCTTCGTCCTCCTCCTCATTAGCGCGCCTATATGCCGCCTCGATATATGACTCCGCCGCCGGGTGGCGTACCGCCTTCTTCGTCTCAACATGGTGGCTACCCGACGTACGACTACCAAGATGACTACGATGTCCAGACTACTCCTAATCCTCACACACAGGGCCCGAGCGTCTCTTTCATGAACCCTCATTCTGGCCCGCACGCTGCCCCCGCAGGCAACCCAGCTCCTTATCCACCTGGCATAGCAGACACGCCGGGAGATAACCGCCGCGACTCTGATCCCTTCAATAGCTCACACGGACACGGTGTTGTGGGTTATCCCCCACGCTACAACGGCGCGAGTGGGCATGGACACGGCCTATCCATGTCGCAGTCTCACGATCCTTACACCTATGGCGAGACCGACGATGGCGATCATCCGCTTCTACCCAACGATGGCTCGCAGTACCACTACGCCCCCGCTTCAGCATTTACGCCAGATGGCCGCCTAGTCGCAGGCGCGGGTGGCGTCTCCCCTTGGCCTGATGCGCAGGGGGTCGAGGATGGTGACGATGTAGCGGGCATGGCTCGCGGTCGAAAGCTCACAATGGACGAAGCTGGTGTCGGGAGTGATGATGACTTGCCAGGCGGATGGGCGCCGCACCTCAATCGAGTGGAAGACGGCACAGGCGGCATTCGATACGGTCGTATCCCGCAGCGAGTCCCGCGCCGCTACAAGACGCTTAAGCGCGTCGAGCTCTACCATGGCAACCTGGTTCTGGACTGCCCTGTACCTTCTCGCCTCCTCGAACGACTCAATGACCGCGAGTCTCGCGAGTTCACCCACATGCGATATACGGCCGCCACCTGCGACCCGGATGATTTCAAAGACGAGCGCTACACGCTGCGGCAAGTCCTCTTCGATCCGCCACGCCGGACTGAACTCTTCATCGTTCTCACAATGTACAATGAAGATGAGGAGCTCTTCTGTCGCACCCTGCACGGTGTGATGAGCAATATCGCGCACCTGTGTACGCGAGAGCGGTCAAAGACGTGGGGCAAGGATGGCTGGAAGAAGGTCGTCGTCTGCATTGTGTCGGATGGGCGTATGAAGATCAATGCGCGCGTCCTGTCCGTGCTTGCAGCCATGGGCGTGTATCAAGAGGGAGTGGGCAAGAATGTAGTCAACGGCAAGCCGGTGACAGCGCACATCTACGAGTACACGACGCAGCTGAGCGTGGATCCCGATCTCAAGTTCAGAGGGAGGGAGAAGGTGCGGCGCGGCGTGGCGCCAAGATTGTGTTGTCGAATCACTTACTGACATCCATCTTCCCCTCTCTGGCGCAACAGGGCATCATGCCGGTGCAGATCCTCTTCTGCCTCAAGGAACGCAATCAAAAGAAGATCAACTCGCATCGCTGGTTCTTCAATGCCTTTGGCCAGATCTTGCAACCCAACGTCTGCGTCCTCCTCGACGTGGGAACCATGCCGAGGTCCAAGAGTATCTACCATCTGTGGAAGGCCTTTGATATCAACTCGAATGTCGCGGGCGCTTGTGGAGAGATTGTAGCCCTCAAGGGAAAGCTGTGGACTGGGTTGTTGAACCCGCTCGTCGCTGCGCAGAATTTCGAGTACAAGTGCGTGCGTGAGCGACGTCGAGACGAGGCAGAGCGCTGACATCTGCCCCTACCTTCCTCCCGCCCCGCACCAGGATGTCGAACATCTTGGACAAGCCACTCGAATCCGTCTTTGGCTACATCACCGTCCTGCCCGGCGCCTTCTCCGCCTACCGCTACATCGCTCTGCAAAACGACTCGGTGGGACAAGGTCCGCTCGCTTCCTACTTCAAGGGAGAGACTCTGCACGGCGGCTCGACGGACGCCGACATCTTTACGAGCAATATGTACCTCGCAGAGGACCGTATTTTGTGCTGGGAGCTGTGCTCGAAGCGCGACTGCGCCTGGATCCTCCACTACGTCAAGAGCGCCCAAGCCGTCACCGACGTGCCCGATGCGGTCCCCGAGCTCATCAGCCAGCGACGTCGTTGGTTGAACGGATCCTTCTTTGCTGGTATCCATTCGATTGTAAAGTTCGGCTACCTCTACCGGTCGAGCCACTCGTTTGGTCGCAAGTTTGCGATGCACATCGAGCTGCTCTACCAAGCCATCACCCTCATCTTCAGCTGGTTTGGCATGGCCAACTTCTTCATCGCCTTCTCCATCCTCTCGTCCGCCCTCGCTGGCGAAGTGAGCGCGCTTCGCATCCCAGGCATCGTCCTCTCATACGTCTACGTGGCTCTGGTCCTCTTCAACTTCCTCCTCGCCATGGGTAATCGTCCCGCAGGCTCCAAGTGGGCGTACGTCTTCTCCATGTTCATGTTCGCTCTCCTCACCCTCTACATGACGGCCGCAGCTGTCCTCCTTGCAGTGAATTCGATCGTCAAGGCCAAGAACAGCGGCGACGGCGCAAAAGAGCTGGTCACCGACTCTACCTTTATCAACATCGTCATTTCCCTCGCGGCCACGTATGGCGTGTGGCTGCTCAGCTCCCTCCTCTTCTTCGAGCCCTGGCACATGTTCACCAGCATCATCCAGTATCTCCTCATGGCCCCGTCGTTTGTCAACGTCATCTCTATTTACGCATTTGCCAATATCCACGATGTTTCGTGGGGAACAAAGGGCAGCGACACCGTATCGACGGATTTGGGTGTCGTAGCTGGCGGGTCCGGGGAGAACAAGAACCAGGTCGAGGTGGCCATCCCGACGGAGGCGAAGGATATTGACCAGAATTACGACGATGCGGTTCATATGCTTGCGACCAAGGCGCCAAAGGAGGAGAAGAAGGTCGATCTGGATCAGAAGCAAAAGGATTACTACGCTACAGTGAGGACCAACGTCGTCACCGTGTGGGCCATCAGCAACGCCGCGCTCGGAGTTGCCATCTTGAACATCGGCAGCGAGGGCGTCAAGAAGAACTATATGGGCTTCCTGCTGTACAGCGTGGCGGGCTTGGCGGCCTTCAGGTGCATTGGAAGTATCGTCTACCTCTGCAAGCGTCTCTTCTCCGGAAGCTAGGCATGCTGCGAAGGTATCCGTTTCGCGCGGCCCTCTTTGCGCCCCTCTCGATCTAGCACGCGTCGCGCCCTCCGCGCACGGACCCGCTTTTCCTTCTCCGCTCCCGCGCTCGCTCTACTCCGCTTTCTCTCGATATCCTCACGTTGTAAATGACACGATCTTGCGGACCGCTCACGATGCGCACGCACGCGCTTGTATGATGCAATGAAGAAGCTTGAAATGATGATCTTGTGTTGCGATGAAGACACTGCAATTATCCACTGCTGCTCGCTATCAACTTGGCGACAATTATCGGGACAGCAGCGGTGCTCGTGACCAAGAGCGGCAAAATGTTTGAGCGCGAGGAGCGCGAGGGATGAGGCAGGAGATGTATTCATATGTGCTGCGTATGCTTGATACATACGGTATGTCCCCACGCCGTCGGCGGCGAAGACGGTGTCGATTCTATTGATTATCGTTACCAGATGTTCACCTTGCCGGGGCGGGCTGCTATGTTGCGTCCACAGCGAGCCGTGTTTGCTAATAGATGAGGTTTCCGTACTTGGTGGCCTCGACGCCAGCGGCCAATTGATTGGCCGTCATCCTGTCGATCCACAAGTTTGCGGTGCTTGGCGAGCATATCGCAGTTGCGTGCAACTTCAGCGATTGTATTTCGATTGTACGACGTTGGCGAGATTGCGACGTCCGGTCTTGAGGACGACGGTCCTCTAGTGGAGCGCAGGAGCATACAGAAGACGGCGGCGTCGATGAGGACGGCCACGAGCAGAGCAACGCACTTACCTCCTGACCATGACCTGTCTTCGAGTAGCCAGAGACGTTTCGAAGAGCAGGCGGGAGCGCCAGATCGGCTTCGCGCCATGGCAGAAGGCAGAGGCTGTGATTGATGAAGATGGGGCGAGAACTGGATGAAGGACGTGGTGAGAGTGACGAATGCTGAGCGCCACAGCGCGGTCAGAGTCGCACGGGAGGTCGATTACGTCGTCGTAAGGGTGAGCCTGGAAGAGTAATTTCGGGGCGAGTAGGGGATGGACGAAAGGGAGACGATAGAGGGAGGCATTGAAAGGTGAGATGCTCAAAGCGAGGTGGAAAAGGCAGATGGGATGATGTGGTGGCGAGTCGAGCTGTAGAGGTGTCGGGCTGTGCTGTGTCCCTGAGCGGATGAGGTCGCGCTCGCGGCAGGGGTTAGAAAGGGCGACGTTGGCGCCAGAGCAATCACACCAAAAGGCGGCAGAGCGATCAGCAGCAGGCCAAGGAATTGCAATTTGACTGAACGAGTTGCTGCGATCCGCCATTGCTCCTTAGAGCTTGCCACACTCCCTCCTCTTGAACCTCCTCGACCCCACGTCCTCCCCGACTGCAGCATCAACATGTCGCCTCACATAGGCACCACCGCTCAAAATTCCCTCCGGGTCCCACTTCGCTCTCGTCTCCGTCCACTCTTTCCAGTGGGGATACAAGCCTTCGAGCTCCTTGGCCCCACACGTATGCGTCTTAGCCCAGTGCGGCCGGCCGGCAAAGTGCCGCATGATCGTCTCGAAGCGTGCGAACAAGACGCGATAGGGCACAGGAAGGTCATACGGCCTATACTGCACCAAGCCAATATAAGTCGTCCGTCTGCCCGAAGTAGGGCTCAACCACAGCCCGTCGGGCGCAGAGAAACGAATCTCAATGGGGAAATGGAAGCGGACGCCCGTCCTCGAAGCCTGCTCGGCGCTCAACCAGTCGCGCATGACGCGGAGAACGGCAGCGGTGTGCTCGTAGGGTATCGCCCATTCCGTCGTATATTGAGGAAATAGGCAGTCCATGTTGAAGATCTTCCACGAGTCGTCTACGCTGCGGCTGTGCGGGTGGGTAGGGCGGAGTGGCTGAAGGAGGGTGGAAGAGGGGCGCCATGGTGATGAGATGGTATTGGATGCGGCGAGCGTTCGGAAGTTGTCGTAATCACTGCCGAGGTCAGAGGAGACGAGAGACTCCGATGTTGCGCCTACTGCAGAGCCTGCTGCCGCAGCTGGCTCGCGCTGCTCGCGCTGCTCGCCCTGCTCGCCCTGCGCCTTCGCCCGCAGTTCCGTAGGGTACGCCGGGTGCGTCAGGCGGTGAACTATCCTCGCCACACGCTCAGGCAGCGCCGGGTGATATCTGGCGGCAAATAGCAACGCCTGCTCCATGTGGTATCCCACGAGCGAGTGGTAGAGCCTTTGCCCCCACGTCGGTCCCACAGCGGGCTCCAGCGTTCTGTCTGCACGACTGAGAGTGACCATGCCGACGTGCGGGAACCACCAGATGCGCGCGTGCTGGCAAGACTGCGCTATGGAGTCGATACGCGACTGGGCTTGGCGGGTGACCTCATCGTCCTCGTCGTCCATGAACGCAGGGCTGGAGCGTCGCAGTTGCTCGTCGTCTGTGGACTCGGTGGGAAAGATGATGGAGGGTGAAGATTGCCGCGCTCTGGGTCGGTAGCGATCCTTTGCTGGCGGGAGAGACTCGCCTGCAGCTACAAGGTGGCCGAGAGGCACGCGGCCTTGGTTTTGCGTGGCACCTTCGACATCGTAGCTCTCGCGCTGAATGGAGGGATAGCCCGTCGGAGACCCAAAGATGTAGTTAAAGTCCACCTCCTCGACCAAGTGGCTCAGTCTGAACGCAGGCTCCACTTGAATCTTGACAGCCACAATGATACCCGTCGCCCCGATACCACACAGCGTCGCATTGAACAGATCCGCATTCTGTTCCCGACTACATCTCACCACCTGAACTCCGCCTCGCGCGGGCGGCAGAGGGACAGCGACGTCCAGATGTTGCACCAGCGCAGAAACGGCCGGGAAATGATATCCAGAGCCGTGTGTGGCGGTAGCGAGAAGCCCGCCAATCGTCTGCTCTGAGATGGATCCTAAGGAAGTCATAGCAAGTGGTGGCGAATGCGAGGCGAGGATGTTGTTGATGTCCGAGATGAGGGTTCCGCCCAGGAATGTAGCAGATGGCAGCCCCGCACCATTCTCGTCCGTCGCTGCATCAATCTCTAACGTCCCTTCCAGCCCCTCCATCCGTATAGACCACTGATCGCTCATCATCAAATCACTAGGGCTATGTGCTTTCCCTACCGCCCGGACCTTCTGACCGCTCCGTCGGGCTAGCTCGAGGATGGCGCAGCATTGCTCTACTGTGGTGGGTTGGAAGACGCGGGTGGGACGTGAGGTGAAAGAGCCGCCCCAATTTGTAATGGTGGCTCGACGTGACCGCGGAGATAGGGTGACGGACGTGAGGAGGGACTCGAGATGGTTTGTGCTTTGACGGTGAGAAGCAATGGAGGGTGGGCGTGCACGAGCGGCCGCTGAAGAAGGGGAGGAAACCACCGACGTCGAGGTGGACGGGTCAGGAGCGGCAGGGGAGACCATGACTAAGAGTGAGTGAGAGAGAACGCTTCCGCCGAAGAAAAGATGACGAGTGAATGAAGAGAGGAGTAGAAGAAAAGAGCAGCTTCCGAGCACAAGAAGAAGAGGAGATGTGGTGTATGGTTGGAAGGATCGCAGCACGTCCGGACAAAATCCTGACCTGATCAACGCACGCAGCGCCACCTCCATCTCTCTTTCCGCCCTCGCCGGTCTGCTGACTCAGCAAAACACGCTTGCCGACGGCTATCGTCAATTTCATCACTAAAATGTCGCCGTTTTCAATTGAGAGGTGTCATGCATGCTATGGTGCCGCTGCCAACGTCGCTGCCAATCTATCTATTTTGATGTGAATCCGCCCCTTATTCTCCACTAGAAGTCGCGAGGGTCCACGTCGATTCTTCCGCGCCCGCGACCGCTCTCCTCTCCCTTGCTCTGCCCCTCATTCTCGAGCTCGTAGTTGTCATTAGAGAAGCTGTGCTGCTACTGCGCTCTCTCCACTCTTCGACCTTATCGCTCGATGTCTTGCCCGAAGTGGAGTCCTCGAGGCTCGCCACCTCGTTGTGCGTTAGTGAAGCCGTGCCCGTAGTGGAGGCGATCGAGGCTTGCCGTTGGCGTCGATGCAATACTTGCTCTTCGCTCTGCTGGTCCTTGCCCTTCACGTTCTGGTCTTCAATGCTGAGCGCATCTGCTCCTGTCTGGTTGGATCCATTCCACTCCTTCATGACGCGCATGAGCAGCCGCCAGCTAAAGGGGACAAAGTACGGCATAGCTCCTTGGAGGGCTTCGACTGTGCTTGACAGGATGACAGAAGACGTTGTCGTCGGTCCTTCGCCGCCTGAAGATGGCCCGCATAGATGCAGAAAGGCGTGACGGATTGCCCCTTGAAGTGTAGGGTTGCTGAGGTGATGCTCATCCGATGAGAGCGGGTCGTTCGAAGTGGGGAGTTGCACATTGGACCAATCTGCTGTCGCCAGCTCCAGAATGGGATTGTGCGTCGCCTCAATCTCCTTCTGCTCGCCATCGATGTCTTCCACAATGCGTCCGTCGATCAGCTCGCGGAATCCTGCTGCCGGTGCGGGATACTCTCTTTCATGGTCGAAGCCTGCCTGCCATGGGCGATGCATCTGACTCGCCCGCTCCTGCTCCTCTTGCGATACTGCCAGTGGTCCCTGATCCTCGAGCACGCAATCCAGCACATCATTGTCGACATCAAAGAGGCGAGCAAGTAGCCGCGTTGCCTTCTGGCGTTTGCTGAGGCTGCTGTTCGGAGGTGGTGCAGCTGACTGTGCTGGCGCGACCCGCCTCGACGATGAAGATGAGGAGGATGCCTTCTTCCTGCTGACGATGGGCGCGTTAGATCCGCAGTAGCTCTCGCTCCGCCTGCTCTTACTACTCCTCACGCTCCCCTTGTCGTCGTCGGCGAGATGCTGACGACGATGCCTGCGCTTGAAGCCCGCGGAGGCCTGGCTGCCGCTAATCTCGGAGGTTGCCGTCGAGCTTTGCAAACGACGAGGGCGGCGTGGATGCAGGCCAGCGGAGATGGCAAAAGGCGCAGCCGCTAGGTCCGCCTCGTATCTTGAGTCGTCCTGTGGGGAAGAAGCCTTGCCTTGCTGGCGATATGCTGGTCCTGCGTCGTCGTTCTCAGAATCAGAGTCGAAAAAGACGGGTCGATTGCTGCGGTCTGTGATGGCGGATGACGACGCGAGTACCCTGCTGTTACCGTCTTCTTGCCACGACCATTCAGGACTGAGAGCGTTGCTATCCCCGCCAAAGAACTCGCGCTGGTCAAATGGCGGACTCGATAGTGCTGCCGACGAGCTGTGACTGAAGTTGCGGCTGCGGCTGCGAGTGACACTACTGCTGCTTTGCTCCCTTGCACTGGATGTGCCGAGCGACGGCGGTGTAGCAGATGACTCGGCGTCTTCGTCGTTCTCGAAGTAGAGATCCGATTGGGCGTCGTCGTCGAGTAGGAGGGCAGACTCGAATGTCTCGACGCGGCTTGAGGACGGTGCGCCGGCGTCGACGTCGCCGAATGATCCAGTACCGTCGTGGAGAGGAGCAAGCGTCGCCGACGAAGCGGCACGAGCGATAGTGGAGCGCTGAACAGCAGTCGGCTGATCGTCTTCGCCCTCATCTTGGCCCTGATGTGGGCTGGAAGACTGCTTGCGAGCGTTACTCTCATCTTTTACTCTGCCCGGAAATACAATGCTCCAATCAGCATCACGGTCAGTGGTGGCGATCGATGCCGATAAGGTTGCTGGTGCCTCATGCCCACGAGGAGCAGCAGCGGAGTTTCGAGTGCTGCGTCTCGGGCCTTGTTGGATGAAGGCCATCGCGACGTGGTTGCAGGAGCGTAGGCGACCGGGTGATATAGAGGAAGGAGTCGTCGAGATGTGGTGAGGAGGGACAAAGAGTCAAGAGTGGAAAGCGGCGATTGGGTTGCGGTCCCCCTCGCCTCGCCATCCGCGTCGAGCGACTCGAGCAACGACGGACGGAGGCATGCGGGTAATTGGACACTGCTCTCGTGCCTGCCGCATGCATGCTGATGCACTCCAAGTTGTGCAGGGGCCACCTCGGCGATCCTCAAACACAGAGATGAGATCGATGAAGGAGGAGGGGGCGGCCCTCGGTATCGCAAACGAGTCTATTGTACAGGTGGGCCAGAGGCTTCTCCCACAGCTCACGACAGGGCGAGACGCGCATCACTTTGCGTGACGCACCGCGAACCCTCTCCTGCCCAAACTCTTCTCGAGCTCACGCCTCTCTTCCTCGTCTTCTCTTCCCTCGTAGCCCAGCACGTACTCCTTGAGCTGCCTCCTTTCTTGCAACTCCTGCAGCTGTTTCTCGCGTGTAGTGACGGCGATCGCAGAGTCGGAAGGCAAGTGCAAAGTGTGCGCTTGGTGCTTGTTGCCGCGCTTGGACAAAAGCTCGAAGCGCATCTGCCCGTCCTGCGTTGCGGGCGAGGACTCGTTGCCGCTTTCCTCACGAGCAGCCTTCTTGATGAAGGGAAGGCCTTGGTCAAAGATTCCGCGGCCATGATGTGCCACACCGCGATTTGTACCCCCGCCAGTGTTGCTCGCAACGTTCGTCTCTGCCATCATCTTGGCCAGCTCGCGCTCGAATTCCTGCTCGGCTTCGCGGTCCTCTTCGCTCTGTTGAGATCGCCTGATGACGAGATCTTCCTCGACCTCGTCGTCGTCGAGAGTAGCCTCCTCGCCATCGTCGTCCGTCTGTTCCTCGTCGCTGCTGCTAGTGCTGCTGCCATCGCCATGCTCGCTACCGCTAAGCCGCCTGGCCCTCCCGCCGCGCGCCCTTGTACCGCTCTCTGACCCGCTCGCATCGTCATCGTCGCTGCTGCTGTCGTCGTCTTCTGCCTCCTCTTCGATCTCTGCTTCCATCTTTTTTCCACCGCCTGGAGTCGCAGTCGCCGCCGCCGCCGGCTGTGCTGCTCTGTGCGCCGCCATGATGTCATTCACAGCTTGCGCGGCCTCTGCCCAATCCTTCTTGAGCACCCAGCCCGGTCGTACCGCCTCGATGGTATCTTGTAGCATAAAATCGATATCCATGGGCAAGGGTTGCTCCTTGCTCAGCACGTACAGATTCAAGAATGCCAGATATTCGTCGAGTCGCTTGCGCAAGCTACCCTTGTTGAAGCAAGCCCCGCACGTATCTAGCAGCGTACAAGCTAGTCTGAGCCGGAAGAAGTCGTCTGGCGCGTCAAGATTGCACACCTGCCCGGGCAAAGGCTGCCCATTGGGATGTCCAAAGGTGACAAAGCTCCACAGCTGATCGAATACGATGCCCGAGTTGACCAAGCGGTAGATGTAGAGCTGTCCCAGGTAAAGCACGATGGCCATGCGCCGCTGGTTATGCTTAAACAAGTTCGTCTCCATACCAAGGCGCGTCTCCTCGATGACAGCGTCAATGACCGCGATGACAAAGTCGGGGTGATGTGGTTGAAGGTCAGCAAGGAGAAGGGCAAGGAGGTGGACGTGTCCGTACTTGACGCGCCAGACGCGGAGGAAGACTTCGTGAAGCGTGGTCAACACCTCCTCATCGCTCCAAGGAAGCTTGCGCAACATCTTGAGGACGCGCTCGAATGTCTTGCGCGTGAGGACATCGTAGATCAGATGGCGCACGTAGAGTTCCAAATGGGAGCGGGGCTTGGCTACCACTGCCTTGCCCTCGGGCGGGTTGCATTGATAGTAAGCATTGTCCAGAAGTAGTACGTTGCGATGATCGAGATTCGACACCATTCTCTTACGCCGCAGCAGCTCAAGTAAGCCCCGCATACGCTCCGTGGTTGCCTCGATGCGCAAAAGAAATCGCCCGCACGTCTCGAGGAGTGTGGCGAGGATCTCGATGTTGAAGGAGGAGAAGTCGTCCAGACACACTTTGAAGCAGTGGAAGATGGTGTGGAGCGGCGTTACCCGGAACTTTGTTAGCTCAGCGATGAAGCGGGCATTCTTGGCGCGCGTCTCGCCCATCTCGGCCAGGCGCTTGCGCTGCAAATAGCGAAACTCGTCGTCCAGGATCTCGAGGACTCCCTTGCCTACGTCGGGCATGTGGGGATGTAAGGTGGCGATGAGACGGGCGTAGTAGGGGATAAGGTCGAGTCTGTTGCGTGGGATGGAGGTGAGGTGCTTGACTAGACGTCGCCGTGCTGCCTTGGAATTGAGAAAGGCAAAGTCGACTGCGGCGCTGTCGATCATGGTGCGATTGGTCTGCTCTGGTAGCCGTGCCAGGAGGGCGCTCAATTGCGCTGCTGGACCTGCTGAGATTTGCTCGTCCGCAGCGCCTTCAGCGTCCGTCTTTGCCGGCGTTAAGGTCGGGGAAAGGGCAACCGGGGTCTTGCTTGCGCCCTCGTCCGACTGGGAAGGCTCCATCTCCTGCGACTCTGCAACCTTGCTCTCCTCCTCTTGAGGCTGCTCTGTAGTTTCTTTCGCTGCTGCCGTTGCCGCCACCGACCCCAGTATTGAAGCCGGCACCATGTCGCGCAAATCAACGATATCCTCGTAGAAACGCTTCGTATCCTCGTCCTCCCACGGCGACTTTCCCGTCGCAAAGTCCTCATCTGACCTATCATTCGCGAGTGTCGACCTTGAATCGAGATTGACCGCCAGGCCAATGTCTGATGCCCTGCCCAAATCTGTCAGTTGCGGCATCGCGACGCCTAGCAACTCAGAGAGGGCTTTGCCATTTTCGTTGACGCGCTCGAACGATTTCGTCATTTTCTCGTAGCGCTGCTGTCGGTCCTCGAATATGTCGCCGGACTTGATGTAGGCTTCATGATTCTTGCGATCCTGCTCTTGCAGGCGCTGGTGCTCTGTCACGATGCGTTTCGAGAGCGTCGTGAAGTACGTCTCGCAGAGTTTGCGAAACTTTGCCGATGTAGCGGGAGGAAGGATGAGCTCCTCGTGCGCGGCCTCGCCTGCCTCTGGATCTTCGCTGGGACGGCCAACGAGCTGCGGGCCAAGAGCTTTAAGGAGTGTGATGAGAATGGGGACATTGACATGTTCGCGGTCCGTTGAGAGCTGTGGGAAGGAGCGAGCATGAGTTGGCGTTTCTATCGAACGGCACAACGCTCACTCTCACCAGATCTCTGAGTATATGGAAGAGCCAATCTTGACCAGGCAGCTCCTGCGTACTCGAACCGTCTCGCGCCCTAATCACCTCGACGAGTGCCAGCTCTGCGGCGATTCGCAGCATGACTTTCTGCCTCGACACACGATTTGCTTCCTCTCTCTCCTTCTGCTCGGCCTGCATAGCTTGCAGTTGAGCTTTGTTTGGAGGAGCCAGCGCCGATGAGAGTGCCACAGCGAGTGGCTGGGCGAAGACGGGCGGATCAAATCTGGCATGGAGCTCGGTGACAATCTGGAGGCGTCAAAATGAGTTGCTGAGTGAGCCGCCAACCTGACGTTCCTCTCCACTCCTCGTCTGCTCACCTCGGCCGCTGCTATGCAGTCTTTTGCCAGCGTACACTTGCTCAATCCCTCTGGGATAGCCTGTGTGAGCTCCTCAACGTACTTGTCGAGATTCAGCGTAGCCGTCTCCTTGATGAGCTGCGGCTTGGCATCGACGCCAAGACCCTGCCGCACACGCTTGATGAAGCCCGTGTTCTTCTTCATGTTGCTATCGAGCGAGCCCGAGGGCGGGGAAGGCCCATCTTGCCAGGTCGCGAGGTTGCGTTGTCGCAGGGCTATCCTCTTGCGATCTCTCTCGAGAGCCAGCTTCGGGTTGCTCGTCCCTCCAACGACGGCCGCAACCGGGCCTGCGCCATTGGTCATGTCCTGCTGCTGCGGATGAGCATGACTGCTGCTGTGCATGCCGGTGAGGGCAAATTCTCCCGTGTATCTCGATGGTGGATGAGGGTGGAACAAAGGCAAAAGCGAGAAAAGTGTTGCTTTGCCGCCTCTTCCGCTCCTCGGTGCTCGATCTGCTCCTCGGCCGTCGCACTCTGCTTTTGCTTGGACCCGTCTGTGTCTGTGGGCCTGTGCGTCGTGCGATGCGTCGTGCGTCGTCGGGGGGCGATTCGCGTCTTTTGCCCTCTGGCCCCCTTTCTCTCTTTCCAATCATCCGCTCTTCACTTGTCCGCCTACCGATTGCATCAGCCAGCGGTAGCTGAGCTCTGCTCCTCATCTCCCCACAAACATCCATCGCCATGGTCGAGGCGGCTTCTCGCAGAGATGCATCTGCACTCACGTCCTTTGGCTTCCTTGGCGACGACGACGAAGCGCAGCAATCGGGCTACGGCTTTGGCAATCTCTTGACTAGCCTCAAGACCGTCTTCTCCTCGTCTCACGATTCTGCACCATCAATATACCCAGAAGCGGGGCCTTCGAGGGCCTCATCGCGCAATACATCGTCCACCGTTGCAAGGAAACAGGATGACCACTCAGAAAGCGGCGCAAGTCGCGTTGAACGCCCTCAGCCACCAACCCGAGGAGATACGGGCAGCAATAGCATACCAGCCTCTACCACAGTCTCTTCGTTTTCGAGCTCGATCAAGCCGCCTGCCATGCTGCCAGGAGCTGTCAAGACGGCAGCACCTGCACCGGCCGTCCTATCCACAATCCCTACGCACGTCCTTGCCGGCCTGCCACGAACGAGAAAGGACTCCGATGCTCGCTCCACCACGATGGACACCGGATATGAGGACGATGCGCTAGGGGAGCTCGGCCTACACAAAGCTACACCTCCTCTCCATCATCGAGACTCGCGCTCACCTTGGGCGTCCGTACCGGGCTTTCCCCTACCTCAAGATATTCTCGCAGATGACGCTCAATCCATTCGAACCGCCTCCTCGCATCTGCCAGCATCAGATGGAGCTTCGGGAGATCTCGAGCTGGGCAATTCGGCATCGACGTCGCTTCAGATGAGCGCAGAGGCCTTTCGTCGCCTCATGATGAGTGGTGGCGCAGCTCAGTCAAAGGAGTGGTGGATGCCCGACGCCTCTGCAAAGGAGTGCTCATCCTGCGGCTCGGCCTTTACCATTGCACGGCGCAGGCATCATTGCCGTTGCTGCGGTCAGATCTTTTGTGCCAAATGCGCCTCAAACCTCCTCCCCGGCGCCAAGCTCGGTCTAAGGGACGTTGTACGGGTATGCAACTTTTGCACAAAGATGCTTCGCGACTACGAGAGGGCAAGGGCAGGCCAACAAGTAGTCAACAGTCGCGCCGGTGGGTCAAGACATAACAGTGAGGCTGGGAGGGTGAGGGCAGAGATGATCTCTGCGCCACTCGAGGCTGCCGTTGAGAATGCGCCGCAGGGCAAATTTGCCGCCAATGCTCTTTTCGGGGCTTCCGCTCTCGGGCGAAGCATCACGGCGTCGGCAGAGAGCTCGCCCCAGCTCCATCGTTCGTCCAGTCTAGAGCAATTCGATGATGAGAACTTTATGGCGGCGAAGGAACGTAGCAACGATTCACACCCTCATGAGACCCACGGTCAGGCGCCATTCAGGAGAGACCTCGCAGAAGAAGATCGCGTCGTCGCCGCGGCTGAGGGGTCGACGGCGGATGGCACTACACGGGCGCATGGCTTAGGCATCGACTCTCCGACGGCATCCCCGATCCTGCGCGATGAACACGATGAAGAGGTAGAGAAGGGGGGCACAGACGCTCCCAAGTCGGCAGCCAGCAAGTCTTCTGTCGCCTTTCCGACAGCATCAGCCGGCGACGATGGCCAGAGTGAAGACATCCACTCTCGCACAGACGCACGCCACGTCCTCGATGAGGCCCGCGCTCGACTGGCCAGCGATACCACTCTCAGCCACGACAACAGAGCCAAGCTCGTTAGCGAAGCAGCTCTGCGCGCCTTTAGGCGATCGCGGCTGCGGTCAAGAGTCACGCTCGAGGAGCTGCGCAATGATGAGGATCTGGATATTCGCCCTTCCTCGAGGTTAGGCGGCGGTGCTCACGAGCTCAGCATCGACAGCTACCACTATCTGCGTCGCCTCTGCGCCCAGTCACTTGAGAAGGCCAAAGTGGTCGATGCTGATCAGTGGCTCGACTGCATTGTCCCGCTTACACTGAAGGTTGTCCAACACATTCGTCCCGTCGCCCACACCAACGGCAACAGCATGGGCGTACGCCGCTACGTCAAGATCAAGCGTATTCCGGGCGGCGCGCTCGAAGACTGTCACCTGGCCAGCGGATATATCTGCGCTCACAACGTTGCTTCCAAGGCCATGCTCCGTCGCTTGCCCCTCAAGAATGCTCGAGTACTTCTACTCAGCTTCAGTCTTACCGCAGTCAAGGGCGAAGGGCAGTACGTATCACTCGACGCCCTTTCCGCATCGGAGCGGGAATACACTCGCATTCTCGTCGCTCGCGTCCTCTCCTTGCGTCCTCACCTCCTCGTTGTGAGGGATCAAGTCTCGCGCCTTGCCCTCGAGCTGCTCGAGCATGCCGGAGTCATCGTGGTCTGGAAGGTGCCCGAGAGCTCGATGGCAGCAATCGCCCGCGTCACCCAAGCCGACATCGTCTCTTCGGTCGACCGCCTCGCTCTACGTCCACGATTGGGTCGCTGCGGCACCTTTGCGGTCGACACATTCCACTCCGGGTCCTCCCTGTCCAAGCGGCGCAGCTTCCTGCGTTTTGGCGGGACAGCCAAGCAGCTGGGCTGTAGCATCGTGCTGCGAGGCGGCAACAAGCAGGAACTGGGCAAAGTCAAGACCATTCTTGAGCTTATGCTCCTTGCGGCGCACAATCTACGCCTGGAGGAATCGATGCGTGAGACCACGTTGTCCTTGCTTCCTGCGCCCAAGGCTAAGATTGAGCAGCCTACTCGCACTGCAAGGGTCGATGCGAACGAAGAGGGGCAGGCCGCGGAGGCATATCCGCAGAGCCTTGACTCGACCGTCTCCAGCGCTTTGAAAGAGTTTGACACGACGCTGCTTAGTATCTCGGCCGCCATTACCGTGCCAGCACCTTACCCGTTGGTGAGGCTGCAGAAGGAGGCGACGCAGCTTGAGCAATTGGAAAAGGAGGTGGGTGGGGGGCAGGAGGAGGAGGAAGAGGAGGAGGAGGAGCAGAACTGCACTGATCCGTCGGCGACTACCGAAAAAGAGGACGTCGGGGCCCAGCGCACGGCGGGGAAACCAGACGGTGATGACAAGGAGCAGCTTGACGAGAAAGAGGAGCCAGAGGCGAGCATTCAGGCACCAAAGACCCCGATAGATCCGGAGAAACAAGACGACGACGACAACATCCAATGCTCGCTCGACACTTCATCTGACATCGGCCCGCAACTTGCTTCCATTCTACCATCCAAAGGCAAGCTCGACCTCAAGACCCGTCACGCCCTCGCCCGCTCCCGTCACGACTACGACGCTAAGTATATCCTACGCACCCTGAACGACGACGCGCTCAAGACGCCATTTGCCCACCAGAAGCTCTCTGTCCTGCACGTCGTCGTCAGCTCGGCGACCATGCGACCCTGCTTCGGTCCCCAAGTCGAGCAGATCGAGTTCTACGGGCCAACGGATAGCACACTTGCTGACTACCTGGACGCCAAGTGCGCGGAGAGTAGCCTGGCGTGTAAGTCCAAGGGATGCAGCTTGCAGCGCATCTTGCACTACGAATCTTTCGTGCACTACGACGTGCGCGTTCAGGTGTTCTGCGAGCGCTTCGTCTGCCCGATTGCGGGGCAGGAAAACTCGGTGCTGACTTGGGAGTATTGCAAGCGTGAGTAGCCGCGTGAGGGATTTGTGACTGGGAACTGTCTCCTGACACACCTCCCTGACGCGCACGCAGAATGTGAGGCTGCGACGCCCGTCTCTGTCGTCCATGAGGAGGCAAAGGCCTACAGCTGGGCCAAGTTCCTCGAGGCTCACTTCTACACGCTTCACACCGTTTCGGAGTGCTCACACGACCGGCTGACTGAGCGCATTCGCTACTTTGCCTACAAGGTGACATGACATTGAACAGAAGGTGAGATAAGAACGCTTGGCTGACCCCAACCGCGCCCGCAGAACCTCGCCTTTCGCATCCACGTCGAGGAGCTACGCCCTTTCGAAGTCGTTGTGCCTGGTCTTCGACTCTTCACTCGCCCGGACATCCAAGCCGGATTGCGATCGGAAGAGGCGCTGGGTCTTGCAGGCCGGGCAGACAGCTACTTCCACTCGGTCGCCGCACGTCTGAAAGCCCTCGAGCACGAGATAAGTCTCGGCCGCGAAGGTATGGCTCACGTTGAGCGCTTTCGCCCTCACCTCGAAGAGATTCGCCAAGAGGCTCTCAATGGTCGCAAGCAGGTCAATCGTCTCTTCGTCTCTGTCGTCAAGTCGAGCACGGATCACGACACGCTCTGCCTCAATCAGGTACGTCGCCTCCTGCAAGACCTAGTCGTCACGGTGGACCGCATGTTTGCGAGCCTAGAAAAGAGCGCATTGCCCAAGGAGCGGGACGTGCGCAGGCTAACGGCTAGTCACTTGAGCCGCCTTTTTGCTGAAAAGGAGACTATGGAGGGACACAAGGCCAGCGCCAGCATGACCGAGCCTTCCACTCCTGCGCTGCCGCCTGCCGCAGAGGTCGACGAGACGGCCATTGCGCAAGCGCTGCCCAGTCAGCGCTCCGAAAACTCCGTGGCAGCGCTGGCCCAGCTGGCAGAGAGCGCTGCCCTGGGACTGGCGCCACAGCTGGGTCTCGGTATCGAAGACTACTCCTCGCCCGTTAGCGGCGCATCGACTCCCATGGGTGCCATTCGACACGGGTCTGAGCGCTCCTCTCGCCAGGCCTCAAGGCAAACGTCAGCCCTGCCGACGCCGACGAAGGAGCTCAGCGAGGCGGCTGCGACATTGTCCTCATCGCCGGAGCATGTTGTGAAGAAGGCGGTCGAAGGCCCAGCACGAGAGGACTCTGACGGCAACTCGTCGCCTACCACTCGTCTGAGGCCTACTCTGAGAAGCAAGCACTCAGGCAAATCGGTCAGCGGCTCTGGATCATCACTCAAGGCGGATGCTCGACCGAAGACGTGGAGAACAACCCCCTCTGCCATTACGGACTCATCTTGCACCGAGGCAGGCGATGTCACGGATAGTTCCGCGCTCGTGTCGTCCTTGATCAGTCGATTCGACCCAAAGACCAAGGTACGAGGCACAGCTTCGAGGGCAGCGGAGACTCAGTCGTCTTCGTCTTCTTCACAGGTCCGCCGTCCGCAGCGAGTCCTTTCAGACGGTGGCGGTCCTCGCAACCCGCCTAGTCGACCTACGTCGCCAGGACAAGTACAAAGGCCTTCTCGCGCCAATCTGCGTGCCCTTCATTCGTCTAGCAGCACCTCGACCGTCCCGACATTGGAACGAGCACCCTCCGCCTCCAGTCGTCGCGCAGGCTCTACTTCTCGGGGCCCTCCATCAAGCTATCGGCCCCCGATAGTCAGGCCTGCACCTACGTACGCGGGCCGTGGAGCGAGCGAGTCTGAGTCTGACGCGGCCAACGGCCTTGCAAGCAGGCGACAATTCGGGATGACGTCGATCAATAGCCCTCGGACTCGCCCCAGCATGTCTCGTCGCACATCGGCCAAGAGTGATAGTGGCAATGAGTCGAGTGCCCAGCAGCAGCATCAGCAGCGTACGCTTCGTCGTCGAGTCGCGAGTCCTGGCCCATCGGGAGTCGCCACACCTCGCACGCCGCTCTACGGCGCCGCCGCTGTCGCAAGTCGTCTACCCATGCCAACTGGCACTCAAGCTGGGAAGAGCCGCGTCTCCACCATTGCTCGCCACTTCGATCGCATCAATCGCGAGGCGGAGAGGGAGCGAGAGAAGCAACGTAGGGCGATGGCGCTTCGCGCGAGGCGAGCGCTTCCCATCTCAGCATCCACTGCAAGGGTGGCGCAGTATTCTTCCGTCACTGCTGCGGTCGAGTCGGACGACGAAAGCTCCGATGGCAATGACAACGATGACGACGATGACGAAGAGGGAGGGGAACGTACTCAATCCGAGGGCGGTGGAGAGGCAGACTCCGAGCCGGAGGAAGCAGCAGAGGGTGCAGAGTCTATCAGTCCGGAGTCGAGGCTGAGGGGCAAGAGCGCGACCGTTGGAGGAGGGCACACAAAGGGCGAATCGGAGGCCACAATCAAGGGTGAGGCAGTCACGCCGCCAGCCACCGGTACGCTCAAAGCATCCAACGCTCCGCCCCTCGATGCCGTCGCTTCCCCAGCTGCTGCGGCAGAGCAGCCCAGTAGCAAGCTCATTGAGACGCGCCACCCACTCTCGACGCCGTCCATGAGCGAGTCCTTTGCGACTGAAAAGGGTTCTCTACTCAAGACTATCAGTTCTCTCTGGGCTTCGCGACCCGGAGCGTCCCTCCCGCTGCTGGAATATCCTTTGACGGGAGAGCAGCACCTCTTTGCTGACTCCCCGTTGCTCCTCCGCGAAGACGAGCCTTCTTCCACAATCGCTTTCACTCTCGTCTCCTCGCAATACCAAGAGCGACTCGGAACGCTTCGCGCCGCAACCTCAAGCGCCGCACCGGACACCTCACAGGTAGAGGCCTCGCTCCGTCGCCAAGAGGGCGTCCACCTGCGCTTCGACTTTGAATCAGGCGCGTCCCGTTTCCACTGCCGTATTCTCTTTGCGGAACAATTTGACGCCCTACGACGCTGCTGCGGGTGCCAGTCCACGCTCATCTCATCACTAGCACGCTGCGTAAAGTGGGACAGTTCCGGCGGCAAGTCAGGCATGACCTTCCTCAAAACCCGCGATGACCGGCTGGTCCTCAAACAACTCTCCGCATCTGAGCTCACAGGCTTTTCCACCTTCGCTCCGCACTACTTTGCACACATGGCCGAGTGTCTCATGCACGGCAAACCTACTACGCTCGCCAAGATCTTCGGCCTCTACCGCATCTCGATGCGCAATCAGGCGACGGGGCGAAGCTACAAGTTGGACGTATTGGTGATGGAGAACCTCTTCTACGGGCGAAAGTGCAGCCGCATCTTCGATCTCAAGGGCTCGATGCGCAACCGCTACGTCAAAGAAACAGGAGCTGCAGGTGAGGTTTTGCTGGACGAGAATCTAGTGGAGATCTCCCTGCAGCGACCACTCTACATTCGCGAGTCGAGCAAAGTGCTCATCCGGCAGGCTCTCAAGCATGACTCGGACTTCTTGGCTGCGATGAACATCATGGACTACAGTGTTATCGTGGGGTTGGACACGGAGGACGACGAGAATCGCGAACTCGTCGTGGGGATCATCGATTTCCTGCGCAGCTACACGTGGGACAAGAGGGTAGAGACATTCGTGAAGGAGCAGTCCAGTCTCCTCGTTGCGGCAGGAGGGAGCAAAGGTGAGCTGCCGACGGTGATAACACCCAAGCAGTACGCCAATCGCTTCTTGAGCTTCTTGGATGGAATACTGTTGCTCTCACCTGATTCGTGGTACAAGGGAGCCGTGGGTGGTGGTGGAGGGATGATGGGCGGGACTGAGGAGCAGGAGAGGCAGGCGCACGAGGGGCAGAAGTTGGTAGAGAGGCAGGAGAAGCAGCAGAGAGAGGATTGATGGCGAGCGCGTCTTGGCTCGCCTTGTATATCATGTCGATACCATTCTGTACAAAATCCATGACTCTGATCGCGCCCGAGAGCGAGCGGTTGAGGCAAGGCGGACTGGCCTGACCTCAGCTCGCCTCCATCTCTGCTCGAGCCAGGCGATTTTTCTTCCTTCCTTTCCTCCATCTCCATCCTCCATCTCCTCTCCTTCCTCGCGACCTTCAGCGCTAATGGTGCTCCGAGCCTCAAAGTCTCGCCTCCCAGCGGCGAAGCACATCGTTCCGCCTCGAAGTTCTTCATCCTCGCCATCGACTCTTTGGACGCCGACGTCAGCGCTCAAGGCTGAGCCGTCTTCTCGGCGTGGCCCATCGCGCCCTTCTTGCTCGCGCCGCTTCACAACGTCAATACCCGTCCTACACCCACGTCCATCTGCTGCGAACGCAACGTCTGCGTCCTCTTCGTTATCAGCCTCGGAGCTTCCCATCGAGCATACAGATGTGGCCATTCTCGGAGGCGGAGTAGTCGGTCTCGCCCTTGCCGCCTCCCTCGCCTCATCGCAACGCTCGTCGGGCAGCAATGGCGATTCTCCCCTGCGTATTGTCCTCCTAGAAGCGTCAGACCTCAATCGTCTACGAGAATGGGCGGCAAAGGCAGGGCCGCAGCAGTCTTCTGCGCAGGGCCACGACGGCATACAGTGGGAGAATCGCGTCGTCAGCCTGACGATGGAGAATTGGACTTGGCTCGAGTCGATGGGCATTACAGAGTACATTGTTCAGGAGCGCATCAAGCCCATCACGGCGATGCATGTCACAGATGGCCTGTCCGGAGCAACGCTCGATCTTGGCGAAGCAGTAGGCGGCGCTGCCTCCTCGTCCTCGTCCTCGTCGCAGCAGCAGCTCAGCAACATGGTCGAGCTCTCCAATCTTCAGCAAGCTCTACTGCGCTACATTGACGAGAAAGCGAGCCAGGGAGCAGTACAGGTCGAGATTTGGGACAAGACCAAAGTAGAAGATGTAGCGCCGGACATGGGATCCGCAGCCGAAGGAGCTTACATCGACGCCTGGCCTCTTATGTCCCTCTCGAGCTCCTCGCAGCAGCGTCAGCTACGCCCGCGCCTCCTCGTCGGAGCAGATGGTCCTTCCTCTCCTGTGCGCAAGTATGCCGGCATTGCCAAATCCGGTTGGCCATACGATCGTCGCGGCCTCGTAGGCACGCTGCGCTTCGACGAATCCGAGTCGCAGCAGAGAGGTCACACCATTGCCTATCAACGCTTCTTGCCCAGCGGGACAATTGCTTGGCTACCACTTTCGACAAGTAGCGCGAGCATGGTCTGGACGCTGCCGCCAGAAATAGCTCAGGCCCTCACAGAGATGCACAAAGCGACCTCTGCCTCGTCAGACGGGCATTCTTCACGCTCCGTCCTCGCCGATCTCGTCACAGCAGCCTGGCGTCTTCCCTGGTCCTCACTCTCCCGCCTCTTCTCCCTCATCACATCTTCTGGCCCTTCGCTCAACCCACAGCTACTGCGATCAGAAATTGCGGCTCACCTCGCCGAGGCAGCCCAGTCAGGTAGAGCCGTGCCAGAGGACGAGTGCCCACCACCGATAGACGTAGATATCGATGCAAGGAGCGTTGCGAGCTTCCCATTGCAGGTTGCACACGCGGAGGCGTACCTAGGCAGCTCACTGCTGGCAAAGCAGGCAACGAGCTCTCCCGTGGTGCCGGACGTGGCCAGCTTGGTACGAGATGTAGGAGCTTGGACCACGCGCCTCGCGGCCAGCTTCGGTGCCACTCAACCGGCTGCGACTGAGGCGCTCTCCCCTACTCCCCGCGCTCGTACGGTCCTAATTGGCGATGCGGCTCACTCTGTCCACCCTCTCGCTGGTCAAGGTCTCAATCTGGGTGTAGCAGATGTTCGCTCCCTTACCTCTGTCCTACATTCCGCCTTACAAGTCGGAGAAGACGTTGGCTCGCACGAGGCCCTTCGCCCTTATGAAGAGGAGCGATGGTGGCGCAATGCGGCTATGCTCCTGGCGGTGGACCGTCTGCACTTCATCTATGGTGCGCCTGTGCCAAAGCGTCTTCTTGGGGGCAGCGTGGGCGAGGCAGAGGGCAGACCGGCAGTCCTTGATGCCTTTTATGAGGCAAAGGTGTGGGCTAGAAGTACGGGCGTGGAGGTGCTGAATGAGCTGGATTTGGTGAAGGGTGTGATGCAGCGATTTGCGGGCAGCAAGGGCAATGGAGCCTCGATGCCTGGCAAAGCTGCGACGACAACGAAGCCTTGGCCGACGTCGAAGGTGAGGACGAGCGGAGTGGACCCTCAGGCACGATCGCCTGCTGATGCTGCGAGGTAGGGGAACACGACGTAGAGGAGCGCAAAGAGGATCAGGTCGGTCATCATATGTACATTTTCGTGTCTCCCTCCCACCAAATAGCACATCGGGGACGAGGTCAGCACCAAGAGATGACCGAGGGTGAAGAGGCAGGAGAAGGAGAGGCGGGAAAAGACCTGGGCCGGCTCTCTTGATGAGGACTTATCGCATCGTGACTCTGTGTGTGTGTGAGGGAGAGGAAGAGGGAGTTTGCTCTGCCTGCGAGCTTCTATACGAGACCGTCGTACTGCGAGCGAAAGGATAAGGTGTGAGAACGTCGGATGGCCTGGTATGGCGTCATCCTCGCCAACTCACCAGAGTGAGAGCGCTGATGATCGTCGGGTCTGCCTTTGATCCCTCCTGGAATTCTTCGAAGGAAACTGCGGGAGACAAGAGCAAGCGGATGTGAGATGAGCTCAAAGCAGGTGAGTCGAAAGTCTTGGGGCTGATTGGACTCACGCTGGGCATTCTTGTCCTTGTCCATCATCTTGAAAAGCTTGTCAACGCGCTGCGGTAAGAAAAGACATGGCGTGATCAGCAAATTGTTCGCAGCGACGTTCATAGCAGCCTCGGTTGTGCGCACCTTCTCTGGGGTGTCTTCGTCCTCTGGTAGCTTGACCATCTGGCCGGTCATTTTGTAGATACTCCTGACAATGGCTGCGAAGAGCAAAAGGGCGAGGCGTGAGCGTCTCGAGGGGATGGCGCAGGAAAGAATGTATGCGGGACTCTACTTACTGAGCATCTCATTGTAGGTGATCGTTCCATCGCCGTCCACTACAGCGTGCGCATGCTGGTCAGCACCAAGAGACTCTTCATCTGTTCGGCCCCTGCGCTCGTACTCACAATCATACAGCTGGAACGCCCACCTCAGCTTCTCGTCTAGCCTGCCCCTCGATGTAACGCTCAGCGCACAGATGAACTCCTTGAAGTCGATTGTGCCATTCTTGTTCTCGTCGAAGACGTTGAAGACGAATTCTGCGAAAGTTGATGGATCGCCAAAGGGGAAGAACTGCTTGTAGATGCGCGAGAACTCGGCCTTGTCCAGAACACCAGAAGGGCAGTCCTTGAGGAAGCCTTTGTACCTGTTTGCGTGATGTGGTGTGTGAGAGAGAGCGACATGGTGAGCTTGTGCCCAGGAGTGATGCCAGCTACTCTCGCAACGCCAACTCACCACTGCTGAAGCTCCTTGCGGTCGACTGATAGCGTGAACCGCGATATTGGAGAAGGTATCGCGTGAGTGGAGGCCCTTGCCAACTTTCTTTCCCAACACAACCCCCGGCCTGCTTGGACTCACAATATGTGCTCTTCTGCAGATCGACGAGCTGCTCAGGCGTGAGCTTGGACTGATTCTTGCCCATGATGAGGTGCGGTATGAAGGGAGAGAAGTCTCGTTTGCTGTTACAGGGTCAAGGTCGATCGAGGGTCGAGAGAGAGGAGCAATTGACAAGTTGCGATGCGCCCGAGCCGCTCGCCTCTGGCCGCTGCTGCCTCTCTCGTGGCTTTGAATCACGTCTGCCCACCTCGTCCCCGTGCGTGCGGACTTGATTCCTTGGCGCAACACAGCCGCCGCCGGTTCAAGGTCCTTGGCTTGACTGTCCGTCCACGCGAGCGAGCAGCAGCGTGCGTGCTCGTATGCATTTCGCATCGTGACTCGTAGCTACCATCGAGTCTGCGATCGCTCGTCGCACAATGTTTCGCGCGACTTATCATCATGCGGCCCCGCAAGAGGGGGCCGGCGGCGACAAAGGGCGCCCGCAATGGTGATCGTGACGGCAATGCCGCCGCCGCCGCCGCCGCCGCCAGGGGACGCTGCCGCTCATTCGGAATGATGGGTAGATGATACGGCAGCATTCATTGATACCCTTCGCTGCCATCGATGCCTCTTCCTCGTCTGAGCAAGATGACCTGGCTCTCTGACTTCATTGCTCCTTCGCACTGCGAGCGTCGGGTTCCCCCGTACGCCATTCTCATCGTGCCGTACATTGTCCCGCTCCTTCAGTCATGGCTGCTCTTCCACGCCCCCGTTGCACACAAGTGCATCCCTCGTTGGGCCTTGCGACACCACGCTCAAACCCTGCGCTTGGCGCTACTCCCGGTGCAGATCCTCCTCTGCCTGCATATCTCATTTGCCTACTCGGGATGGGGGCTGACATTCGTCTTTGCTGTGGCGCTGTCCCTCGCGGCAAAGAGCATTGCTGCTGCCACTCGACGTCAACCACCCTCACTGGCACACGCGGACGAAGCCAAGGGACGACCTGCTCGCCTCTTCTACTTCCCGCACACCAAGCTCCCCCTCTTCGTCGACTATGTCACCTCCTGGCGCGGCGCAGGTTGGGAAAGCGGCATCCACAGCGAGGCAGGCTACGGTCGGCCTGACAGCAAGGGCGATCACAAGAGTCCGCCCCAAACACTCACTGACCCTCGGACCATTGCTTTCCTCATATCGCGCCTCAAGACCTTCCTCTGCTCCGCTGGTCTGGTTGCCTTTGCCCTTGAGGTCATGCGCCACCCCCTCTTCGCCGCCGTGTTCGACGCCCATCCTTCCATCCTCTCGCCCGTCAACCCTCTTAGCAGCATCAGCCCCACGCGCCGCGTTCTCGTGCAAACTCTCTTCCTCCTCGCCCAAGGCATCAGCATCCCGCATCCAATCCAAGCAACATTTTCCCTCCTGTCAATTATCTCCACCCTCATCAGCCCGCAAACGCAGACGTGGTGGACTCCCCTACCCTTCGACTCGCCTCATCTCTCTACGTCGCTGCACGACTTTTGGGGGAAGAGATGACACTCCTTCTTCAGCAGTACGTACCAGACATTGGGGTATCGCCCTGCGGCCAAGATAGCAAGATGGGGAGGGGCGAGAGAGGCTATGGTGCGATACGTCGCCGTGATAGGTGCTTTCGTCGCCTCAGGCCTTCTTCATGAGATCGGGCAGCATAATCTGCGCCGCTCACTGGCCGAAGTCGAGGCTGAGGATGGCTCCCTAATCATCGTAGATCGGACGGCCCTGCGTGACGAATACGGGAGCTGCTACCCACTCAACGCAACTGCTTCAGGCTTCGGAGCGAATCGTTACGCCACGCTCCTCTTCTTTGTGACTCAAGCTGGTGGCTTCCTCCTCGAAGAGCAGGTGAGGCGACTCACAGGTCGCAAGGTAAGCGGCTGGCCAGGCCGCATCTGGACAGTGTGCTTCATTGGCTTGACGTCGAGAGCGATGATCCGTTCGTGGGTGCAGCACGGCTTCCAAGAAGGCTTTGAGCGAGTATCGCTGCTGGAGAGACCGGCTACGTTGCTTTTGAAGGGGACATTGCTCTTCTTTGGTGGGGTGAGGGTGTAATGCAAGCCTGGCGGGAAAAGGCTCCGACTTGTCGCTCCCCGCCTCTACAAAGCTCGCTCGGCGTTTGGGCTCTCGGCCTCGTGCATAAGGCGATGGATGTCGTGTGCCATCTTAGTTTCTCATCGCAATCCATCCTCATCCCTTCATCGTCATGTCCTCGTCTTTCAAAGGTCGCTGCAACTGTGGCAAGTTTGCCTTCACCGCTCCCCAACACAAGGGCGTGGCCGCCTGCTTCTGCAAGTGCTGCGTTCGTGGGGGAGGCTCCCTGTGCTCTCTCAATGCCGTCATCCCCGCGGGCAAGGATGGGTTGACCTTCACCGGTGACGCAAAGGAGGGCGATCTGAACGTGTACCTGGACAAGGAGACGTCTAGCGGAAAGCCGATGCAGAGGAAGTTCTGCGGGTCGTGCGGGAGTCCCCTTTTGAGCGTGCCGGAGGACAGCGAGATTGCGTGAGTAGCGGCGCGACGCAGCAAGATCGAAGCTGAAGTTGAGCTGACCCTGCCTTCTTCCACTCGCACAGCTACTTCAAGTACTCTCTCCTTGAGGACTCGGACGCCTACCTTGCCTCCAAGGGTCCGGACATGGTCATCTTCACTAAAAGGGCGCCCGAGTGGGCCAAACCAGGAGATGCGCAGGACGCTACGAAGAACGGGCTGCAGTGGCCCAAGAAGGATGAGACGCAATTTTCAGCGTAGAACGAGCGAGCGATAAGTAGGGAAAAGTCGTATTAATGGAGGCTTGCAGTGGTCCTCATCGTCGAAGTCGAAGGAGTGGTAATGACATAATCGAGGCAATTGTCATGGCTGGCCGGACGTAAAGGTCCGCAGCTTCGTAGAGTAGCAGCATCCCCCGCCTCGCGCAGTATTCTCTCACGCTTTGAGCAGCTCATCGCCCAACCTGTAGAGAGGCCAGCTCGTGCGATCGCTGAATTTCCCCTTGCCAAAGTACGCCCCAGCACCGTATATGCCGCGCATTCCTCCCTCAAACTCAAGCTCCGTGACGGTAGTGAGGGAATTATTCTTCAACTCAGGCCTGGTGAACTTCTTGTACGTGGCCGTCTTCCACCCGTCCGTCGACCTGAATGAGATGACATCAGGCGCGTTGGTCACTACCAGCCTGTCCCCCGTGCCGTCGAGCGAGGCGATGAGGTTGATCTTTTCAGCGTGAGACCACTTGATTGGTGAGCCTTGAATTTGAACTGCATTCGCCTTGCTGGGCGTGGAGGAATTGAGATCGAAGCGGGTAAGGAGGCGCGGCCCGCCGTAGGCTACCAGCTGATGGGAGGTGGGTATGTACGCGATGCCGGTGTAGCCTGTGCGATTGGGGATGATTGAAGCGGGAGGCTCGAAGCCTGCACAGAGGAAGGCCCGAGGAGGTCAGATGAGAAGGGCAACGGCGGCCACGCTACCACGCCTACACTCACTGAAAGGCTCGGCTTTGGTTCCATCAGGTCCCACCTTTGCGATGGCGGGAGCCCCGAGCGCGAAGACGATGTACGAGTTGCCTGCCTCGTCCTGTGCCGAGTCCACAGGAGCAAATGGCCAGGTGCCATGCTCTTGCTCGATCTGACCCTGCACCGGGTGTAAGTCGAGGTTGTACACGGGCTTCGATGAGCTGGAGAGGGGTAGGTCAAATGCTACAAAGGCATTGGGCCCTCGCACGCTTTGCTTGGGACCGAATGTGAAGGCAGAGTGGTCCTTGGCAACACCGTATAGCCGGGTGGGCTTGTCTGCCTTGTCAAGGGACAGGCCTGCGAGCTCATAGCGTGTTATGGCTTCGTCCGAGGAGATGCCAGGGATGTACGCGTCTGTTGGCAATACCGGTCAGGCAAACAGTCAAAGTCGTCTCTGTACGCAAGTGCGGCTCGGCGCTCACCAAACATGTGTCCGGACTTGGTATTGCTCACGGCCACCTTGGCGCGGTAGAGATTCGACTGGTACAAGAGCTTGCGATCCTTGTCGAAGACGGCATCCTCCGGGTCGAGGTGCGCTATCTTGATCTCGTAGATGTCTGGTATTGTGGCTCGACTATTTAAAGCATCATCTGGCGGGGATGCCAAGGCAGCAGAAGATGCTACGAGGTTGATAATGGCAAGGAGGGGAGCAAAAAGCATGTCGTCGCGGATGATGCCTGGGGAACGAGATGCTATTGAGAAGAGCGGTAGGAAGCACAGATTGGCCTCGACGCCGTACGCAGCGCTCTTTGCATTGCTGTGCTGCCGCCATCGTCCATCCGTTTCAGAGCAATCGGATGACCGTCATGGGCCTTTGACAATACCATCAAGAGCCGCTTTGGCGCAGGCGCTGCTCCCGTGGCGGCCATTGGCGGGCCGTCACAAATTTGCCTTGACGCGGCGGGAGAAGGTCGCCGCCGTCTTCTTCACCCACCCGTCAAGAGCCGGCAAGGAGAAGAAGGCTCGGCCATGCCATCTCAAGATCAAGTCGATGCAGCAGCCCTTCAGCTAGCCATCTCGGCGAGGGAGCTCCTCGGTTTGCCAGTCGAGGCCCACGAGGATGGCGGCTTCTCGTCATCGGCGCCGACCTTGCCATATCACCCACCAGAGGTCCCTGCCTCATCCATCACACCGCTTTCCTTCGCACAGAAGCTAGCATGCCCGAGCCCGCTTCTCATCCGAGGCGCCCTGCAGGATCGCAAAGCTCTTCAGCAATGGAAGGAGCCTGGCTACCTCGTGGCAAAGATGGGCAACAAGAAGGTCAAGGTGTCGGTTACGCCTGACGGGCGGGCCGATGATTTGAAGCCGCTGGCTGGGCCAGGTGGCCAGGAGAAGACAGTATTTGCTCTGCCTGCTGAGGCTGAGATGTGAGGGATGGCAGACAAGAAAGGTCAGAGAGCAAGGCTGATGACTGATCTCTCCTTCATTGCTTTCAGGACCTTTGCCGAGCTCATGAGCAAGGTCACAACCCAATCCTCACAGCCATCGTCATCACACGACCCCTCGCCCGTCTACTATCTCCAATCTCAAGACTCCAATCTGACAGACTCATCGACAGGAGCTGGCGACCTCAGCCCCTTGCTGCAAGACCTGCTCGACTCGGAGGGCCGCAGCGATATCTCTTGGGCGAGTGAGGCAATCGGGTCAAAACCGGAAGCGGTCAACGTTTGGCTGGGAGGATCGAAAAGTCAGAGTAGCATGCATCGGTGCGTTGCCCCGCTTCCAGTTTTGTAGCTAGAGGAAGGGATTCGCTGACTCTGGGCGCGGGCTTGTCTCTCGCAGCGACCATTACGAGAACCTCTTCTTCACCGTACGGGGCCGTAAGACGTTCACCGTCTTCCCACCTTTCGAGGCTCACTTCCTTTGCGAGGATCCAAGGCGCCCCTTTGACGTACATCGGCACTCTGCTGACCTGCCGCACAACCTCAGCGCTACACCGGAAGAAGGTACTCCGGCCACGCCATGGATCCCCATCGACCCAACATTACCGCCTGATGCGGCGAGGAACAGGCCCAACAGGCGATATGCCAAGGGATTGAAGCCGCTGAGCATCGAGGTCTCTGAAGGGGAGATGTTGTTCTTACCTGCGGGGTGAGTGGGTGTGACACTGCGATACCAGGAGTGAAGCTGACATGGACCGCGTCCCCCACACGCACGCACGCAGCTGGTATCACCACGTGTCGCAGCAGGCTGATGATCGCACCGAACGAGTCTGCATAGCCGTCAATTGGTGGTACGAGAGCCAAGCTGCCTTTGGCCCACAGTGGGCTATGCTAGACTTCATCAAGGCGATGGGCGACGGCGTGCACGACGACGACGACGACGACGATGGGGAGTCAAGATGAGTCAGGTAGCGTGCAGTGAAGTCAAAATCGTGATATTACCGTGTGCGCGGCGCGCATAGCATCGAGCGTGACGAAACAAGAAAGAGAAAACGATGCGTGCCCTTAGTTGTCGGCAATGACCTGCCTCTGGGAGTCGCTCTTGGGCGGACCAAAGGCCATGTCCCTCTTGATTGCGGCAATAGCCTTTGCCGGGTTGAGACCCTTGGGGCATGTCTTGGAGCAGTTGAAGATGGTGTGGCATCGGTAGAGACTGAAGGAGTTCTCCAGCTTCTGCCTTCGCTCTTCACCGTGCGTGTCGCGCGAGTCTGCCATCCATCGGTATGCCTGCATCAAGACGGCGGGGCCGAGGTACTCGTCCTGGTTCCACCAGTACGAGGGGCACGAAGTCGAGCAGCAGGCGCAGAGAATGCACTCGTAGAGACCGTCCAGCCTGCGACGCTCCTCGGGTGACTGAAGGTGCTCGCCCTCCTTGGGAGTATTGTCTGACTTGAGGAAGGGCTCGATGGAGCGGTACTGCTTGTAGAACTGCGTGAGGTCCGGAACCAAGTCCTTGACGATGTACATGTGCGGCAAGGGGTAGATCTTGGAGTCGCCGCCGGCGCGCTCGATACGGCAGAGGCAAGCCAAGGTGTTGACACCATCAATGTTCATGGCGCACGAGCCGCAGATGCCCTCACGGCACGAGCGACGGAATGTGAGCGTCGGGTCCATTTCGTTCTTAATCTTGATGAGAGCGTCAAGAACCATGGGTCCAGTCTGATTGAGATCGAGAGTGTACGACTGCATTTGCGGCCTACGCGTAGGAGAGGGGAGGAGGGAGGAGGTCAGCACCCCTTGTATCGAAAGTGTGAATGCTTCACTGTGGCGTGCATCCCACTTACTTCTCTGTTGGGAGATCCGGGTTCCACCTGTAAATCTTGAATTCCTTCATGTGCTGGGGCTTCGACGATGCTGGCTGTGATGACGACAAGTCTCCAGCTGGTGTGGCCAGGGCGCGAGGAGCAGAGGTCGACAAAGCACGTCGAGCCAAGGACGAAGGGCCAGCGACGGCCGTTGCCCTGCGGAGTGATGATGATGCTGAGTTCATGAGCGACATGTTTAGGAGGACGGTGTTCAAGGTGGCGGTGGCGATCGAGATGGTAGTGATGGCGAGAAAGGCTAAAAGCTATGAGTTGAAAGGCGCGGGGTAATCAGGAGGGGGCCTGGGCTGAAGCTCTGGTGGCGGCTGTCAGGCTGCTTGGTGCCGTCTCAGGCTCTCGCGGCTGCCTCTTGCTTAACAATAGACGACTGTCGGCCCAAGCCGGAGAAAGCCAAGCGCGCATCAGCTTCGTCAGCCGGCTCGACGGACCACGTGGCAACACGTTAGCCGCCGGGATGGCCGCCAGTCCGAACGGCCGCGAGCGGGGCAACGAGCGGCGAGTCGAGCTTCCAGTCAAGCACAAACCAGCTTCAACGCATGCCCTCACGCACGCATTCACTCAGAGCTGCAGTCGTTGTTGGAAGGCCACGGTCACGCTGAAAATCTCGTCAAAGATGCCTCGATACCTCGTAGGACGGTGAGCAGGCGTGCACGATGCTCACCACTCGGAATGAGGTCAGTCGCTCACCCTTGTCTCATCGTCCATCGCAGCATCTCCGACCCCCTCTTGGGCATCTCGACCGGCGTCCTCGCCTACATTCTGTGGGAGAACGATGGCCGCAACGCAGCCCATCGCCCGGAAGGCAGGATGCTCTCTGACCTAGTCAAGCGTAGATGGAGCGGAGAGGCTCCCCCTCCTGCCCCTGCGGCATTGAGAGCTGCGAGCGCTGCTGCAAATTCGGGCTCCACGCCTGGCGCTGCGCAGACGCGTATGGTCTGAGAGCGAACAGATGAGTTTTGAGCAAGGTCATAGCAGGGCTGCCGCCATCCTCACATCGCATCGCGCTCGTGGACTGCACACGAAGAGAGACAAACAGCTTTTCCGGTTTAAAGGAGCGAAGCGTAAGGGGTGAGAAGCAACGAAGGGGTAAGCAACAACGAGGCAGCAACAACACCACTACGCAGATCTCTAGGGTTGCCGCGGAGCCGGCGCGTATCGAGCTATGCTACCGCTCGCCGAGATTCAAGGGGGTGGAGCGACGACCACTCAAGGCTCGCGGGCAAACGCAAAGTGGTCGAGGTCGAAGCGATGGGTAAAGTAGCAAAGAGACAAGAGGGCCACCTTCGCTCGAGGAGCCAGCCTCGAGGTGAGCAGCCGCGGCTGTACAGCCACGAAGTGCACGAGGAGGAGGCGAGAAGGACAAGTGGGTTGGTTTGGGATGGAGTGGGAAGTCGAATCGGTCGTGACGCGCCTAGTGCCCGCTCTTGGCGAGCACGCGGTAATGCACATCCTTGATATCCCCCACATCGAGCGGCGCCAGCGCTTTGAACGTGCTGGGGCTAACATCGAGGTGGTGATCCTCGCAGTCTTGGCACCAGTCGACAATCTTGGCCTTGACCGTCTTTCCGTTGTGAAGGATCAGCAAATGGTGGCCGCACTTGGACGCCAGCATCTTCGGCACCGCAGCGACGTAGTCATTCTCGCTAGGCCTAGCCCCGCCGCAGGCTGGGGCGTCCATCGAGTGGCCCGCGTACCAGGTGACACGGCCGTGCGAGGCGAAGTAAGAGCCGTCACCGAGGGGAAGCATGCCGCGCTTTACGAGGCGCTCGAAGGAGCTGATGACGTCGCGCTCTACTGTCCCTCCAGAGCGAGGGGTACTGTCCTCGAAGCGCTCGTTGTGAACAGATTTATGATCATGAGCAGGGGCCTTGCCGCCAATGATGGCCATAGCGTCTGTCGTGCGCTTGTGCCCCCCATCGATAGGCAGGCCAGGCCAAATGAAGCCCAAGGCTGTGCGCTTGTGACCTCCGTCGATGGGCAGGCCAGGTACGGGAGCGCCAGGGTTGATAAAGGTCGTAGGGGTGGTACGCTTGTCCCCACCGTCGATGGGCTCGCGGGCTGTGAAGCCGCCGATAGTGGTGCCCTCGTCGTTGTGCATAGTAGCAGGACCAGACTCTACCTCAACGCCACCTTGTGTGCGCTTCCCATTGATAGAAAGAGGAGGCCCAGTGACGACTTCGCCTCCGCCTTGAGTGCGCCTGCTATGGCTGACGTCGCTGTCGAGGTCTCGAGCAGGATTGACGTACCTGGCTGCTTCATTCGAGGAGCCATGCTCGACCGTACCTCCTTGCGTCCGCTTCCAGTGACCAGTGTTACCGCCGTCTCCCTTGCTGTTGTCCGAACCAGGACTGACGGAGGAGCGAGCCACTTCGACTTCGTAGCCACGCTCAATTGCAGGTGCAGAAACGGCGGGAATGACCATGTCTGCTGCAGTGGCCATGCGCTTGTGATTGTCGAGCGCTTGCTTGTGGGCCAGGCCGACCGAAGAGCTGCGGCGGACCAGACGAATAAGACGCAAGTCCGAGGATTGCACCATAGTCGCGCTTGCGAGCAGGAGGCCGAGAGGCACACAGCTGGTGAGAAGCTTGATGTTGAGCATCTTGAAGGGCAAGGTGGGATACGAGAAAGTGACCTGCACATCCAGGCCAAGTGACGCAGCGGCAGGCCAAGGGGATTTGGGGGGAAAGGGTGCGTGGGAGCAAGACGGTGGGCGAGTGGGTTGAGGGTGTGGGCCGATGCAGCGGCAAGGTGAGGAGCGAGGTGAGGAGCGAGCGGGACGTGAGCGATGCGAACGGCATTTGCGGGAAGCCCGCGGTCGCTCACCTTGGGTAGCGTATTCAATTACGGGTAGCCCTAGCGTTTGTAAACGTGACGGGGCGGCAGAGGCAGGAGGGGATGTACAGCTTCTGTAGTAGGCGAGGAAGGCGCAAAAGCCGCTCAACGTGCTTCACCAGGAAGGACGCGTCGAAACAGGTGAGTCGTATCGTAGGGGCAGAGGAGGTGGGAGAGGAAAGAAATGCAAGAACGGGGCACGCTTATACCATGGTCGGCGAAGTCTTTCTCGTCTGATGTTTTGGAGGTCCAGCAGGCAGCCGCGCATTTGCAGCCAATCGTTCAGCCCCGCGCCTAGCCGAGCACAGGTGGGTAATTACAGAGTTAAGCCCCATTGTAATTAGGAACGAGGTGTCATTAGAGAGAAAGCAGCTCTTCGTACCTTATTGATCCGTGCGTCATGTCTGCGGATGATGAGAGCCGGGTCATAATGTCGCTAGTCGTGGCGTATCTTCCGCTCGCTCGCAATGTAATCGACGGGTCACACCTCGCTTCATTTGAGCTGCCGCAATCGCTTTTCGGCCCGCCCTTCGCCGATGCCGATCATCAATGCCCCTCGCCGTCATTGCTGACAATCCCATGCTCGACAAAGGCCAACCAGCGCTTCTTGGAAATGACTCCCTTGAGCTTACCGCTCGCGTCCACCACAACGAGGTATCGCACGCCCAGCCGGACAAAGAGGCTGTGGCAGAGCTCGAGAGGGGAGGAGATGTTGACAGTGATGGGTGCCTTGTCCACGTATCGGCTCAGGTCTTGAGGATCCGTCGTAGAGAGGAAGACTGAGTCGCGTACGATGGACTCCTCTTCATCAACGTCTGCGGCTCGCAGCGCCTCATTCACCTGCGGCAGGTAGCTGAACGTGCAAATGGCCGTGTTCTCATCCATGTCCGGCCTGACCCGCACCAGCTCGTTCAGGCCATACTCGAGCTCAGGCGCCGCAATGTACCCTACCATACGCACGGTCTTGCCCTTTCCCATCACGATGGGAAATCCTCCATCAGCCTGCCCGTCGCCGAGAGGGAGGTTGTCAATCTTGCGTCGAAGCTGAGCGATCGTGACGTCTTCCTCTAGCACGAGACGCTCCACATCGCTCTCCATAACGTCGCGTATCGTGACGCCCCGCCAGGTATAGGCAGCTTTCGGGTCGAGGTACGGCAGTCCCGACAGCTCGATTACCAGGTCGTAGATGCCTTTAGGCTCGAGAGCATCAGCGAGGGTCTTGGCGACTAGGATTGCGATCATGACTGGGATGCCTACGGGCGTCGTGCGAGAAGAGGGGAATGTCAGAGCCACGCCCCTTATAACGCTTCCTGCCGCTCTCGACCCTGCACCCACTGTATGTCAACGTCCCCGTCAGCTCGAACATGATGACTGCCAGACTGATCGTCGTCCTTGTCACGCCGCTCAGTGTAGCAGCCGCGCCCACCATGGCGTAGATGCCCGGCACGATGCAGGCGCCATCAGACGAGTCAGAGCACCATGCGAAGAAGCTGAGCTCGGGTCGAGTCCACTGGACGTATTGGACGAGGAGTCCGATGATGCGGCCAAAGCACGCTCCGACGGCGAGCGAAGGGATGAAGATGCCTGCGGGTAGCTTAATGCCGAAGGTGACGATGGTGAGGACGCCCTGCGACGCGGCGTGAGGGACGCAATCAGATTATGTGTCCTCGGCAACCCGCTGCCTCGCGCACTTACCTTGGCAATCATCGTCCAGGCCACAGAGCTAATGAGCGGCCCGATTTGACCAGGCCCCTTGATGCACAGCCCGTCCAAGCTCTGGTGCTCGTGACACTCGCTGAACAGATCCGTGATCAGCTCTGGCCCACCCATGCGCGTGTAGCCATTCAAAAAGGAGATGGCTACCGTGACCAGCGTGACGGCGATCACTTCCCACAAGGGATGTCTTGCCATCCACGTCTTTGCTCGCACTTCCTTGCTCCACATGAGGTTGAGACGAGTGAACAGAGCGCCGTAGATGCCACCAAAGGCGCCAATGATGACGAAGAAGGGTAGTTCATGGAACGCCCAATCCTTGTCGTACGAGACTTGGAAGAGGACGATCTTACCCGTCCCGAAGGGGTCAATGAAACGCAGTCCGGCAGCAGCAATCATAGCACAGAAGAAGCTGCGGAACATGACCTTAGCGCTGAAGTAGTATGAGACTTCCTCGAGCGAAAAGAGGACCCCACCCACTGGTGCCCCGAAAGCTACAGCTACGCCCGCAGCACAGGCGCAAGAGAGGATCTCGCGGCGCTTGGACTCGTTGTGCTCGTACTTGGGGAAGAGTCGACACACGATGTTGCCTACGCACGAGGCGATGTGTACAAAGGGGCCTTCCTTGCCTAGGGAGAGGCCGGAAGCCACGGATAGGGCGAGGCCGACTGACTTGGTAAAGAGGGTGCGGTACCCTAGGTAGCCACGGATGACGAAGCCGGAGAGGACGACCTGCGCGAGAGCACCAGGTGCAACAGAGACTGTCAGTACGCGCGGCCTACGGCTTCTTCTCCCCGCTGTCTGCCCACCTTGATCTCTGAGATACCACTCCCACTGCCAAAGTAGAGGATCTTCCTCGGAGCGTTAGCAGCTTGAGCTCGTACCTGATTCGCGTTGCGCGTAACTGAAGGCGTGCCGTATCGCTTCCCGTTAGACGAAGACGCTGCAGCACCAGGGTCGATGAGCGGTGTCCGTTCATTCGCATCTCCCGAGTCAGAGACTTGGCTGCTCTTGGCCGAAGGCACGTCTTTGCGGGAGAGGAACAGCTCCGATGAAGTGAGGTAGATGGTCATGATCGAGGCGAGGGAGGCCCAGAGGATGGCCACGAGGATGTAGACGGCATAATCTGCCCACCAATAGTCTTTGCCCTCTGGACTCAAGACTTCGCTCCATTCTCTCCAGCCGGGGCAATTCTCGCTCTCTATGCCAGCTTTGAGGGTCGACCAGCGCGGAGAGCCAGCAACAGGGGCTGCCCAGCCAGCAAGGAAGCCATTGCCCCGCGTCACGAAACCATCGCGATCCCAGTCTTGATCGCCGCCATAAGGGCAGCAGAAGCGCTTGGCCAGCTTCCAGTCCTTGGAGCAGTATCCATCCTTGAGATCGAACAAGACTGCCTCTGACTCAACGATTGCACCTGCGATGAGCGCGGTAATCACGCCGGCGATGAGGACGATGATCCAGCCTTGGAGGCGGTCCCACGCATTGATGACGAGGCCGCGCAGGCCCTTGATGTTGCGCAGGCGACGTATGCGTGAATGCTCCTTGATGTCGTCGTGCACCCAGTCGATGCTGCGAGCAAGGAGCGATGAGAGCAGAATACTCAGCGCGGCTCTTGGCTTACTGATACCCCTCGCGCACGCACCTCGTATAGCTACCGTACCACACCCTCACGCCATTAGCAGATTGAGGCTCCTGAGGCGGGCCATCGCCGGACGTTGACCTCTGCGGCGAGCTATCATCCTCGTCATCGTAAGCTGTAGAATGCTCTTGATTCGCCCAAGACAATCGCTTCGAAGCCCTCCTGATCCCTTCTGCCGATGTCGCAGCCACAGCGTCGAGGAGATTGCGGCTGTCGTCAAAGAGGTGAGCCGAAGAGGCAGATGCAATTGCAGCGCCGGCGAAGGGAGCATGGCGAGCGAGAGGCGAAGAAGCAAAGGGTGAAGCGGGAAGGTGCAGATTAAGGGAGAGGTGGCGATGTAGGAGTGGGGTTGTTGGGTGTTTGAAGGGGAAGGACGAGTAGTGCGGGGAGAAATCGGCCGTAGATGATGAGGCAGAAGAGGACGCAGGGAGATGGATGGCGTGGTTTACATCATCGCGAGAAGCATCAGTGTCAGTGTCGGTGTCGGCGTCGTATTCATCGTTAGGCGGCGGGAGGTGAAAGGTGACCAATTTGGGGCGAGGCGGATTAGGAGGGCGGGGCATGGTATCGTAGTGAGCGAGCGAGCGATCGAGATTCATAGCTGCAGCCACCACCTCTTGCTTCTTTTCAACTACTCACCGAGGACGACTCGGGGGAGGGTCAGGGTTCGCAGCATTGTCGGCCATGATGGCACGAGAGAAAGAGACGCGCCGGCTCGAGCGGCAGCAAAAGGGTGGGAGAAGTGGTGATAAGGAGGCGCAATTGCGACGTTGGATGTATGCTGGTCAAGCGCTTGGCATGCTTCGAGAATTGATAGCAAAGATGCTCTGTCGGCCGACCGGCAGTGACAGTGTTGAAGTCGAGGAGGAAAGGATGGATGGACGGGCGGGTTCAAGGTCCATTTCAGGGGCTCAGCCAGTCGGGTCAAGAGGCAAGTGTTGGTCTCAGCCGTGGGCGTCACACCCACTCTCAGCCCGCCGACTCCACCCCCGCATTCCAACGACTCCGCGGCCTTGGAGGCGGTGAGCTCTCTCACAACTTCGTCGCACCGCAGCGTGGCAATGACAGCAACTCTCATTTGGCTAAGGGCGCTCTCTACTTTGTTCCCGTAGCAATCAAGAATGGGAAATTCCCCTCACTCCCATCCTCCTTCTTCTTAGGCAGGTCGAAGCTGTGCTCCACCTTCACGTTCTTGAAACCAGCCTTCTGCAGCATGCCCTCGATCTCTGAACCTACGACGCCGTGTCGCTCCACATCGTGATGCTTGTGCTTCGGGTGAAAGTCCTCGCTCGTCGAGCTGGCCTCGAAGTCGGACAAGACGATGTGCCCGCCCGGGGCTAGGGTAGCAGCTAGGCATTGGATTGAGGCAAACATGTCCGGCTGCGAGGATGAGGAGCACGAGTGTGAGAGGACAGCACAGCGCAGCGCTTGGTCGCGGTCGCAGCAGAACTCACAATATGATGCAACGTCAGATGCGAAAAGGCGTAGTCCACAGGCTTCCCACTCAGATGCGGCGTTTCCGGATCCTCGAGCAACTCAGCGACGGGCTTGACCTGCGGCATGTCCTTGATCTTCGTCTTGAGAACGTCGATCATCCCCTGCGAAGGGTCAAAGGCCACATACTCTCCCAGCAGAGGAGCAAGATGCATGCTCAGTAGCCCTGTACCACATCCTATCTCGAGTGCCCGCTTGCTCTTCTCTTGACCCTGGGCGAGGGAGGGGAAGCGCGACTGGATAGCCTCGAAGAAGAGGCGGGAGGATTGCACTGTTGTCGGATTGGACTGCGTGCGAGCGGGCGAGCGAGAGCAAGTGGGTCAGCGGCCTCGGACCCTGCTATTGTGGGCGGTAGATTGGTGTCACGGCACAAACATCCCTGTCGTACGAGACGTGTTGGTCAGCCAGCCGCCGCACGGATCAAATGGTACCGCTGCCTCAGACGCCCACGCACCAATTCTTGGCCTCGTCGTCAAAGCGGTTATGCTTAGCTGGCGGCGCAGTGTCTGCCATGGTGTTCCGATGCTCGGGGAACGAGAGTGGGTGGTGAGGAGGGCAATGCGGGTGGAGGCGAACAGCTCTCGTAGCTGGCTACTCTCGACCCTTTGCCGCCGGCAAGCCGCCTGCTGCTTCCGCCTCTTTGGACGCCCTTTCTCCGTCGTCGAGGAGATTTTGCAGTTCTTGACTTTCCTCCGCAGCCGCATTACCCCTTTGACGCGCCTGCCCTGGAATATTGGTGGCCAAACGTCGATTACCGGTCGTTGCAGAAACGCAATCCGCCGTCTGCTCCGGCCACTATATTCCGACTCTCTTAGCCCATTGTCATTGTAGTGCGCCGAAAGCCCGTTGCCGGGCCTCTTGCACCTCTTTCTTCCTCTCCCTTGCCATTTGTCAGGATACACGACATCCTCCTTGGGGACTCGGCGACACTCACTCCATCTTCGCTTGCCAGAAGAGAAGCCGGGCCGTACGACCACTCTGCTTGGCAGGGACGAGCTGGCTCTCGTCTGTCTTTGCTTCACATCTCCTCTGCTAGGCTGGGGCTGGCTGGACTGGATCATTCCGGAGCGTAGAGGTCTCTACACGTAGGACAGTTTACATACACGCAGGAGGTGTCGTCGCCTCTTCGGGATCACTTCACTCCTCATCGTCACAACTGCCTGCTCCTTCAGCATGGACGTTACGACTCTAGATGACCTACAGACGAGGGAATACTGGGACTCGCGGTACGCCCAGGAGGTGAGCCAGCCTACAAGAGGACCGGTAGAAGCTGTTTATCTAGCGCTGACATCTCGCTCACCATCTCCCGCTAGGGTGCTCAAATGACGTACGACTGGTTCAAGAGCTGGCCAGAGCTCGAGTCTCATCTTCTCCCCCACATAGGAGACAAGAGCGCTCGTGTTCTGGAGCTAGGCTGCGGCAACTCCACCATCACTCCTGCACTCTACTCTCTGGGCTTTCATCAAGTCACCTCGCTCGATTTCTCTTCCACCGTAATCGAACAGATGCGGGGCAAGCATCCTGAGATCAACTGGGTCGAGATGGACATACGAGAGATGATCGAAAAGGACGGAGAGCTGGGGGGAGCTGCGAGCTGGGACGTTGTGCTGGACAAGGGGACTCTGGATGCTCTGGTGGCTGAGAAGGGAAGCGTGTGGGATCCTAGTGAACGGGTCAGGGAGAACGCGAGGAGGGAAATCGATGCCGTGCTGCAGTGAGTGCGCGAGAGGGAGGGTGCAGAAGTCTCGAGAGATGAGCACCGCTGACGGCTTTCTCGCCGCCCTCTTCACCCAGTCTCCTTCGTCCAGGCGGTCGCTTTCTATACATGACCTGGATGAGCAGGCCTCTGCGCATGCCCTTCCTCGAGAGAGCCGAGTGGAAGATTGAAGTCTTGCCCGTCAATGATGGCAATGGCCTCGACTACTACCTCTACGTCTGCACTAAGCACGGGGAGGCTTCGGTGGCGGACGCAGCAGCAGCTGGCGAGGGTACCCCGTAATAAAGCATCTTGCTACGACTATCTCACTTCCCGGGCCTCTCACTGCCTTCGTCATGTGTCACGCGGTCTGCCTCGCCTCCTGGTGTCTGGTAATGGTCATAAGATTCGAGTCATTGCGGATGCCGCGCCTCGCGCCGATCCCTGCACTGCATCTGATCAAAAGTGTACAATCACATGTGTGTTGGCTGCTGCTGCTGCTGCTGTTTTTACTGTTTAGAGCTTCTTGGCGATGAGGCCCTTCATCGTCTCGGCGTCCTCGGCGAACTTGTAGATGCCCTGGTGGAGCTTGTCGAAGGCCATCTGGTCCTGGAGGAGCTGCCACTGGAACTCGGCCTGGTCGTCGACGAACGAGACCTTGTCCATCTTGTCGGCGGACTTGGCCGACTCGGGGGTGAGCTTGCGCTCGAGGCTGCCCTGCTCGTTCTGGAGCTTCTCGAGGAGGCCGGGCGAGATGGTCAGGAAGTCGCAACCAGCGAGGTTCTTGATCTCGTCGGTGGTACGGAACGAGGCACCCATGACGATGGTCTTGTAGCCGTGCTGCTTGTAGTAGTTGTAGATCTTCTGCACCGACTGAACTCCGGGGTCGTTGGCGCCGTCGTAGTTGCCGTCGGGCTTGTTCTGCTTGAACCAGTCCAGGATACGGCCGACGAAGGGCGAGATGAGGGTGACACCAGCCTCTGCGCAGGCAACGGCTTGGCAGAAACCGAAGAGGAGGGTGAGGTTGCAGTGGATGCCCTCCTTCTCGAGGTCACGTGCAGCCTGGATACCCTGGAAGGTCGAGGCAATCTTGATGAGGATGCGCTCCTTCTCGATGCCAATCTCCTTGTACATGGCAATGATGGAACGAGCCTTGGCCTTGGTAGCCTCAGAGTCGAACGAGAGACGGGCGTCGACCTCAGTCGAGACACGGCCAGGGACAATGTTGAGGATCTCCTTGCCGAATTGGACGAGGAGCTGGTCCGAGGCGACGGAGACCTGCTGTTCCTTGTCACCACCCTGCTTCTTGGCATACTCGACGGCAACGTCAACGAGCTTAGCGTATGACGGCTCCTTGATGGCGGCCAGGATCAGCGAGGGGTTCTGTAAAGCGGGTCAAAGATTGAAGTATGATGTTCCCGTCAGTCTTCATCATTCGCATACACTCGCTATCGTCGATCTCGCCGCTGCTGCCGCTGCTCACAGTGGTGGCATCCTGGGGCTTGTACTGCTTGAGCTGCTCGAAGGCGCCCGAGTCGGCGACGACGGTGGTGTACTGCTTGAGCGAGTCGAGGACGGTGGACATGTTTGCTAGAGTAGTGTGTGGTGTGTGGGTTCTGGAGGAAGAAAGGAAGAGAAGACGCAGAAAAAGCAGGAGGCGGGTCGAGGGGTCAGTGGCTGCTGTCTCCACCTTGTCGTGGTCCGCCGCCTCGTCGCTGTGCCGCCTCTTCGTGACCGGATTTCTCTCAGCCAGCCAGCCAGCCAGCCAGCGTGGCTGCGAGGGCTGCTCAGCTCGTGGTCCCGCCCCATTCTTCATCTTGCCGTCCTGCAGCAAAGCAAGGCAGGGCGAGAAGATCGGGTCCACGTCTGCGCCCTCGCCCTCTCCCCTGCCCACGCCCACGCCCACGTCCACGATGGAGGGAATTCAAGGGCTGGGAATATGGCAGACACCGGTGACGTTGAGAGCAACAGCTGCTACTCACATGAGGCACGAGACAAGTGGTATATGATGAAGAGAAAGGAGGAATGGGCCGGCGACGACAAGCTCGCAAGACATTTATACCTCACACGCCCGACATCCTGAGGGATCTTTCTTTCGAGCCCAGCCCCTAGTTCCCGGTCAACAACAGCATGATGGCGATGCACCTCAACGACCCAACGACGACATCCTGCCTCGCCATCGTCGCCCCCTAATGCTCCTCGCACCCTCTCGCACAAATTCTTTCTGTCGAGCCAGGCGATGCTGCATCTGGCTGCGTTCGTTCTTCGGTCCGGTCGTTCACGCCCGCCCGCTCCTCTGCAAGTCCGCTCCAGGGTCTGCGCAATTCTTCGCGCTGCTGCGTGACGTCACGCACAAACCGCATTTCTTCTCGTCGCCCTCCCGCTATAGAGTAGAGTAGACCAACATCGACGATACTGCGAGTGCGATACGGCATGCACGCAAGCAAGGCCGAGCCATTTTGAGCGAGTGGAGCGGAGCCACTCAACGAACTTTTGAGATATTCCGAAGTGAGATATGGGCTCCGGCTTTGTACTCTGTCATGTACCACGAGGCGACTTGGCGACGCACCACAGTGGGCATTGGCTCGCTGTCAAGCGACGTCAATGACCCTGCCGTGCAGATGAGAGAGATGAACACACGGCGCCTCGACGATCGTGCGCATCTCCTGACTGCAACGACAGCTCGCTCGTGTAGCGTTGGCACTCGAACCTGTGCACGTGTACTGAATGGTATTGGCAGATGACAGAGCTGAACAAAGCGCAACAATTGCCTCGCCTCACGCGTACAACGCCTCCCCAGGCGCGCACCTCCTCTCAGCCTCCGCAATCGATGCCCTTGGCACCTTGAGTACCGTCAACAGCTTCTCGAATGCCGCCCACCTCTCCTTGTACCCACTGGGATCCTCACAGAGGCGATCCTCTGCTTCTTTCCTCTTGCGCTCATCCGTCTCGTCCAGGTCCACGAGGCCAAAGCACTCCATCGCCAGGCGCTCGAGTAGCCTGGCGTCAGAGGCTTCGCTGCGCGTCAGGCCCGTGAGGAGCTCACACATGCGAGTCCAGGCGGTGGGGCCGAGAAGAGTGCGTACATCGTCCAGATCAGCGGCCGCCGTGTCGAGTAGAGACGAAAGAGCCTGACCCCGCGAGTGAGAGGCGCGTGGGCTGAGAGGGAAGATGAGGTGGGGGGATTGCGGGGACGAGGAGGCCAGTTGCTGGTGCTTCTGGCTGGGCGACCACGGAGGTGATAAGGGGCTACGCATGCTGGGCGAGGTGGAAGATGCCGCACCTCTTGCTGTTGGCGTGTGCTGGTGCTTCTCAGGCTCAACGAACTTGCGCAGATCCTCCTCGCACTGCTCATCACCAAAGTCGATACCCATATCGCCGTCTGGCCTGTCGTCACGGTCTCGCGACAGTGGATGCTCAGCGAGAGCGGAGCGGTTGGCGGAGGAGGTCGTAGGCGCTTGTTCGCCGTCTCCCTCTTGTTTGCTGTCGTCCTCAATGTCGCTGCCTGCCTTGCTGCTACCAGCAGCGCTGCACGGCTTCAAGCCACTTGGACTCGGGCACGTAGGGCTCAAACCCAGGGATGCCCGCATAGCAGCCACGGCTGAAGCGTCCTGAGGAGTACCAGCAGAAGGATGTCTCGTCCTCCCGTCTTTGAGCACACCGAGGCTAGGCGGCTTTTCGCTTCCTTCGGCCTCAAGCTTGGCCGCCTCTTCGTACGGTGTGATGTCCGCTTCCTTGCCTGCGTCGAGGCGGTTGAGCTCCCGCGAGGAGAGGTAGTGCGTCATGCTGTACGCCTTTGGTCGGCCAGAGGAGCGAGCGTTCATCATTGTAGGGCCCTCGAAGGTGCGAGCAAAGCTGTATTGGCTTCGCTGAGGGGTGAGAGCTTCGCTGTCGTCTTGCGCTGCCGTGGAGATGATGGGTCGATGAAAGCGGAGGGAGCGCCATCGCTCTTGGTTGCCCTCGGTCGGTGAGGCAGGAGCCGCTCGCTCATCATCGATCATGGGTTGATGACGGTGGGATTGGCCCACTGCGGAGGGCCGTAGCGCAGGTATGGGAGCGAGGGCAGTAAGTGGAGCTAGTTTGGTAGTGCCCAGGTTGAAGCTGCTCGAGCTAGGCGTTGAAAGGTCAGAAGTCGAGCCATCGTCCATGCTTCTCCCGTCATCGCCGCCGTCTTGCACCGAGCCGTCTGTGCTCAGTGGCGTGAGAGCGTCAGCTCCGAGGGCTAAGGCGAGTGAGGCCCAGAGGTCCGGCACATCCTTGACCAAAGCGTGGCGAAGCGTAGTCGCCCACCGATCATCGCCCATCTGGCTACGGTCTACGGTAGTGAGTGTATTCAGGAAGTCATGGCCGGCTTGGCCACGACTGGCAGCCCAGCGCTCGAGGCGTGAGGCGAGCTTTGCATTAGCAGGCGTTTCGAAGATGAGGTTTCTCACTTCTTCGGGGCGATCGAGAAAGGGCAGCAGAGTGATGCCGTCCTCGATGAGACGTCCAGAGACGGAGCGCGACCTGCCATGACTGTGAGACTTGGCTAGCTTGGCATCAGCGTCGAAGTTGGGGCAGGACAGTCTGAAGAGGGATATCGACGGTCGACGAGGTTTGCGATTGGCTGGTGACGACGACTCGCTGGCGGGCGAGTAGCCACCCTGCTTTGCTGAGGAGGCGACGATGGCGTCGAGACTTGGGCCACGGTGGTGGCGAGGCCAGGTGCTGTGGGCGGTCATGAGCAGCTGTGGTACTGTCGCGGACGATGTGACGAGATGAAACAAGTGTAGAGAAGGGGAAAGGACGTCCGAGCAAATATAGAGGGGCTGAGACTAGCCGGCAGCGGGTCCACCTAATGGCTTGCTCGCTCGCTTAGTTGCTTGGCTGGATGTCCGCGGTGGGTCACGATGTCGATGTCAACGAGGGCGAACGATGGTGTGGAACAGAATGAAGCGTGCGCGTGTGTACCTGATTGCTAGGCAGCAAGCCGAATATATCTCGTCGACCCTGAGAACGCTACTCAACACCTACCACTAGCTCTCTACAACGTCTGCGCGCCTTTTGCTCTCTGGCCCTTGGCAGCGAATCTTCGGGAAAAGCGGGCTGCTGCTGAGGAGCGTGTACGCTCAGGATCAGGGTCCTCATGCGCCTTGGTGCCTTGCGTTGCCCTTTCCCCGCAATCGAGCCTCGACTCGACGCTGCCGAGACAACAAGGCTCCCCTCTCTCCGGATGGCGTGCCACGAAATCCAATCTCACACTGCCTCATTTGGCTTGCCGTGAAGGCGTGGGACAACAGCAGCCACGACGGCTCATTCATCCTCGTCGTCAATAAAATTAGCCAGGTCTCCTGAGTAGCGCATGTATTTCCTCTCCTTGGCCGCCGCGGCCTGCACCGCATCATCAATCAACCATCGCCCCATCCTCTCTGCCTCGAGCCGGAGCTGGAGCTGGAGCAAGCAAGATTTGACGCAAGCTCCAGGAAGAACGGAGAGAGAGCGGGCGGCCCGCGCTGCTCCTACACCGCCCGGCGACGTCGAGTGTCAAGCGTGAGGTCATGGGACAACGAACGCAGAAGGGGAGGCGGTCAGAGCGGCTGCTCAATTCTCATCAGAGAATGGGCCGTCTAGATGAAGGCCTCGACTGTTAAACAAAAGGCCACGGCGACTAGTGTCTGAGATGCTATGATTGGGCGGGCTAGCGAGCGACTGGAAGAGAAAGCGTCGTCTCGCAAAGCGCGGGCACACATATCATGATATCTCGCCATCTCTATCAAAAGGAGGGAAGGGGAGCGCCAGTCGACGCGCGATTGAAGAGGATGTCCTTCAGGCTGTGCGAGCGACGAGCAGCAAGGGTAAGGGCAATCAGCTTCTGTACCGTCGGCGAAGTACGGCAATCGCAGAGAACAACTCACACTTGCGTCATCAAACCATGCTGAGCTTCGGTCGAGAGTTTGGATCTAGCGGGGAACAGGGTGCAGGGGAGGCAGGGTGCAGCGCGCCAACTCAATCAGCCCTCGTGCTCATTGTCGATATGCTTGGCGCCTAGCGTCAACGCCTACTCACCCGTCCCTCACTACCTTGTTCAGCGGTGTCTCGTCCTCGCGCTTACGCACGTCATTTGCCATCTTCGCTGCGTTCTCCGCAGCCGCTTCAGCCGACGACGTAGACGCTACAGCAGGCGGCTGTGAGGTCGAGCCGGACTTGGAGGAAGACCCTCCTCTGTCGTCGCCCGAACTGCTGCCGGGCACGATGCTGTTACCTCCTCCGCCGCCGCCGCCCCCACCCTTGCCTACAGGCTGTGTGGTGATGCTTCTGCCCTGGGCGGAGCGGCGTGTCTGAGCAAGCTTCTCTGCGAGGTCTTTGGTCTGGCCAGTCCTGCGAGTGCGAACAGTAGGGACAAGGACAGTCAGTGCCTGGATATCACCGTAAATACGATCCGCGCGCAGCTCACATGTAGTCGCGATTGACGACCAAGGGGCTCTGCGACAAGGTTGCGATCCAATACTTCTCCCAGAGCATGCCCAAGAGCTTCTCATCGAGCGAAGACTTGAAGTGCTCGACCTTGAGCGGGTAGTATGAGTTGGCGTGCACTCCCTGCGCAGTGGGGAATGAGGTCAGCTTCAGGGCGACGTCTTTCGCATTGAGCGCTGCTCTCGCTCACAAAGTCCTCGATCTTATCCAGCGGGATGGACTGATACTCGGAGGAGGATGCGTTGGGAGGTGTATAGTCCTTGGGGTACGTCCTGAAGGCGCCGATGTCGACTCTACCAGCTGATATGGTACGATTGGGGTCGATGACGACCGCCACAAAGGGGTCCTGCCGAGGGCGATAATGCGCAATGTGAGCTCGCGCAAGCGCACAAGCAGCTCGCCCTGTCTCACCTGAAATTGCTGATTCGTCATTTGCGTGTTGACATCGATGCCCGATAGCCAGCATCCGTATCCGGGATGCGAATGGTACCAACCGATGGCATTCTCAAGCCTTCCAACCTGCGTGGACGAGGATGAGGCTCAGTCGTCATTGGCCTTCCTCTCGCCGTCACTTCTTTCACCGCTCACCTGCTTGCTGCTCTCGAGGTACTCCACCATGTACTCGTACGCCTCATTCTGAGCGTTGACTCGCGTTTCAGTTCCCTGCACAGGGAGCGCAAAGGCATCCATGACCCAGAGAGTCCTGTTGGGAATGTCGATTTTGCCTTGCATCAGGCCCATGATCTCGTAGATGCCGCCCGAGCGAGCATGCATGACCATCTTGATGAGAGCAACTGCTGAGATGCGGACAGTCTGGAAGAAGTGCGGGCTGCAGGGGCGAGAGAACGAAGGTGAGCGGAAGCTTGTGTGCTATCATGAGGACTGACACTCACTCCTTCTTCCAGGGCGCAGCATTTAACGCCTGCTTCTGCTGGTCATTGTCAAAGTGGAAAATGGCGTCCTTTGCCGGGTCAAGATCGATCATGTCATTGTTGAGCTCGAAATTTGCCCTCGCCATGGATGCCGATGAAGAGGATCCCGAGGGCCCTGCGTTCGCCATGATGTAGTCTCTCGTGGTGGTAATGATGACGAAGCCATCTTCGACGGACTCGACGACTCGACACGCCCGTCCTCGACGGAGCACGGGCCACAGTCGCCCGACTCGAAACGGAGCGGAAGGCGGCGACGGAGGCGGGTCAAGCTCTGGGCGGGCCAGGACGCGCCCGCGGAGATCGAGGCGTGTTTGGTGACGAGACTCGAGACTCTACGCAGCCAGACGAGGAAAGGCAGCGTTCCTCTGAAGCCTGCCTACCTTCTCATCCCTCCATCCCATCTCCCATCACTCGCAGGAATTCGCGACTGACCGCGTCGTTTCGTCGTCGTCGTCAAGTCTTCGGCGTGCTTTGTCCTCGTCAACACTCGGTCCTCGTCTCCCCTTCTCGCTGTCATCTCCCTTCTTGCCGCCATCCTCGGTCAGCAGCAGCACTTGAGCCAGCCTCCCTCATCTCAACCAGCAACGCTCGCTCCTACACGTCTCGAAAGAGGCTAGACGCAGATCGCGATATCAGCCAGCTAGACCCTCGTCTGCAACAGCCTCACGTCATTTGTATCCTCTTACCTCGTGACGCGCGCAAGGCTATCATCAAACGCCTGACCAGTTGAGTAACAGGCCCTTGTCAACGTGAGTATCTGGCCCGGACGCGATTGGAGGATCGCGACCTATTGAGGGGTTCTTGATTGCATTTGATGGCGGCCGAGCATTCTTGCATTGCTGGTCAAAGGTCACGCAGCTCGCGATTACTATTTCGCGCTCCATCGCGCCTCCATCGCGACTCGTAGATGTCCCCGTATGCGCAAGTCCAGACGTGCTGACGTCGCGCCTCTTTATTCCTCTCTCAGCGATCGTGTAGCTCTGCAACTCCCTTCGCTTACCACACAACATCCACAGCATGGCTAGCGTGAGTTCTACATCGCGTCTACATCACCACACCAGCGCGTCTTACTCACCGCGTCCTTCTCATCGCGCAGAACGCTCGCCGACCACCTCTCAGGACACGCACAACTGGCAGCGTAGCAGGCAGCACCTCCAATGTCCCCCGAGCCGTCAAGAAGGACGCTGCGGCTACCGGCACCGATGATGCTGCGTCTGGGACGTCATCAAGGGCCGCGTCAGGCGCCTCCTCCAGCACGCTTGGGACGCGCAAACGAGCTGCCCTTGGCGACCTCACAAATGCCAACAGGAGCAAGTCTGCCGGCGTAGCAGGGTCAGTTAGGGGCAGCGCGACTGACGACAAGGATGGCAAGGGTGGACTCGCGACACGGTCAAAGAGCGCGTCAGTCGCCGGTGCAGCTGGTTCAAAGGTGCCTCGCGCCGAGTCCAGCGCCATGGCTGGCAGGCGTACGACGGCTTCTTCTGCGACGACGGCGCCTGCTTCACGCGTACCATCGCGACGCACCACTACGACTACCACCACGGCGTCAAGGACGGTGGCCAACGGAGGTGCCGCGTCTAGACCAACAGCTGCCTCTCGCGCGCGTCAAGCAGCTCAACAGAAGCAGCAGCAGCAGCAGCAGTCTCAAGAAGAGGAAGTCGAAGACGGCCGCGACCATAAGCGCGTCAAGGTCAACGACGATGGCGAGGACGTAGAGAACCAAGATGCGACAGTCAAGACTGTCGGCGCTGATGATGCGACGGGCGAGGCCAAGGACCAAGGATGGGAAGACCTCGATGCTGAGGACGCCGACGACCCCCTCATGGTCGCAGAGTACGTGAACGAGATCTTCGCCTACATGAAGGACCTCGAGATGACGACGATGCCCAACGGCAGCTACATGGATACGCAGGGCGAAATCGACTGGGGCATGCGCGGTGTCCTCGTCGACTGGCTCATTGACACGCACTCCAAATTCCGCATGCTGCCCGAGACGCTGTTCCTTGCCCTCAACGTTGTGGACCGGTTCCTCACCACGCGCGCCATCTCGCTCAACAAGCTGCAGCTCGTCGGCCTCACCGCCATGTTCATCGCAGCCAAGTACGAGGAGGTCCTTTGCCCTAGCGTGAGCAACTTCCTCTACCTTGCAGACGGCGGCTACGACACCGAGGAGATCCTAAAAGCGGAGCGCTACATGCTCAAAGTCCTCGGCTTCAATCTCAGCTATGCCAACCCGATGAACTTCCTACGCCGTATTTCCAAGGCAGACAACTACGATATTCAGACGCGCACCGTAGCCAAGTACTTCATGGAGATCTCTCTCGTCGACTACCGCCTCCTCGAGCATCCGCCTTCTCTCATCGCTGCCGCCTCAATCTGGATGGCGCGCAAAGTCCTTGAGCGTGGGCCCTGGACTCCCACCTTGGTTCACTACTCGTCTTACTCCGAGTATGAGCTCTTGGGCACCGCGGAGATCATGCTCGACTACACGCTGCGCCCCATTGCGCACCCGCAGTTCCACAAGAAGTACGCCGCAAAGAAGTTCATGCGCGCATCCAACTACGTAGTGGAGTGGGCCCGCACCACCTACCCTGACGCGGTTGTACCAGAGTCGGACATCGACCAGCAGGACTTGGGGCAATTGAGGGTCGACCTATTTGGGCAGGAGGGCTTGGTCAGGCCGACCAGCGAGTCGTGCGCACCGAGCGAGATTGATGGCGCGGATGAGAGGGAGGAGTCACCGCTCTGAGACACCGTTGACGCCGTAGTACACAGCACCCATCTCGATCCTTTTCTTCACGCAAAGCACGCGACGACGATGCCACCACCACCATCACCACCCACCACCTTCTCACGAACCACGCAGCATCAACGATACGATCCCCTGAATCGCAATGTTCCCTCTTTGCTTCCTTCATCACCTTTTCCTACATCATCCTCCCTGGATGGTTGTGGGCACGCACGATTTCTTGGCGTGCCCACCTGCCCCCTTTTTGTCTTTGCCTACTCATAGCAGTTGGCCAAGTCAGCCAGTCTTCATCACGCTCTTCTTCATCTCATTTAGTCAATACAAGCACATAGCAACGCAACTTGTCTGATTGTGTGATCGTTTGACTGCGTTGGTCGTAACCAAAAGGAGCCATCGACCGTAGCTGGGCGCTGCGCCTGTTCTTCGACGCGTCCTGGCCGGCCGAAGAAGCTCAATCGCAGACGTTGGCACCACGAAAGGCGCATTGACGTGACACCTTCCACATTGAGGGCCATACGATCAAGCGCCAGTTGGCGACGAATCAAATCAAATGCCTTGCTGGGCCTCCACACTCACCTTCTCCATCGCGTATCGCGTTGCCACGCCCGCCCACACTCGCGATGCCCGTTCGCTGACTTGCCGCCGCCCTCGCCGCTGGTGCCGGACTCTCCGCGCTCGCTCTTGTTCTTCGCTGCTTTTTGTGGTCGACGTGCGGAACAACGCCTCGCTCTTCTGTGGGGCAGCGAGCCCCTTGCCGCTGAGAATAAGGCGACAGAGAGAAAGATACGACAGGTTGGGCGAAATTTGGTGAGCGGCCAGGCACACGACCATGAGATCATTTCGAGCATGGTCATGAGGGCAATGTTGCCATCATCAACATCGTGGCAGACCAGCCCGATTGCTTCCTTTGTCCTCGAGATCCCGCGTTGTGGAAGTCGTGGACCCTCTTTGCTGACTGGCTGTGGCTTCTCGAGCCCTCAACTCTCTCAACTAGGCAGCCCCGCCCGACTGCCCGCGCTCGACCGCGTCGAAGCCGGTGAGAGGCCAGAGGCCCAAGCCCGCCTGTCTGTCTCGACGCCTGACGCCGAGGGCAATCTTACCTTTGTCCCCAAATCATTCCCTCTGCGACGTCTGATCGCAGTGCAGCCTAGACCACCATCTCGCTGCTTGACAGACAGTTCGACGCAGAGTGTACCGCACTCAACGATTTGACACATAGGGTCTCGACCGGCGGGGAGCTCTATTGGTAATTGCCATCGACGAGCGAGGCAAAGGGAGAAAGAGAGAGGCGAGAGGGACAGAGACCGAGGATTCTATTGGCATCTGCGTCACCTGCTACCCTCTTTTCCAGACTCTCACTTCGATTTCACCATCTTCATCGACATCATCATATCGCATCGCATCGCTCAAGCCTCTCGCCGTCATCATGGGACAGCTTCATGCTGAGCCCCAAGTCAGGAGCAAGGCGGGCTCGGCGTCATCGTCCTCGGACCTGCGCTCCCTTTCGCAGTCGTGGCCACGCACCTTGATCCGCACATTGGCACATCGAGCGACCCGCAACCCGATTGAGGTCATTGTGACCGTCTTCATCATCGTCACACTAGCGTACTTCCAGCTCCTCAAGGCCGTCGCCCACTCCGACTTCTTTGAGCCACTCAAGCGCGATGCTGTCCAGCTCGCCGCCGCCTCTTCGACTTCGAACCGCACACCACCAACGTCGACGGGCGCCATTGAGAGTCAGACGACGACTTTCTTCAGAGAAGCAGGAGGAAAGGCGGCCTGGCAGCCACTTGCAGACGACGCCGCGCTGCATCCCAAGGACGCCACGACACTCATCATAGAGCCAGTCATTCTCGCCGACTCGGAGAAGGGGAGTACTTCGCCATCAGCGGCAGCTCGTCAGGGAACGTGAGTCGGTGAGGAGCTCTCACTCGAAAAAGAATTGCCCACTGACCTCCTTGCTCGCCCGCACAGCGTGCCTCTCAAGGACGCCTACTTGCCTGCCGTCGCAGAGCAGCTCTACTCTGAGCTCTCTCAAAATTGCACTGAGCTCGCCACCCCGACAAAGATCTATGATGCCATTGGCGATCTCAACGCCTACAGCTTCGGTCGAGTGTTTCAGGAGGGGAGCTTCGTCTCACCTCGCAAGGCTCTCCTCGAGGTAGCAAGCGACTCGGCCATTTTGGCCTCGATCGTGGACAACGCCTCGCGATCCGTAGAAGCCGGCAAGCAACGCGCTCGGGGTCCCGCAGCAGCTGCAGACGCTAAGCTGCTCACTCAGAAGGATCGACAGCTCAATCTCATCTCCGTCATCTCCGATTCTGATCTGGAGCAGTACACCCCCGGAGGACGTAGAAAGTCCGGTGCAACCGAGGAGTTGCGCAACATTCGCTGGCTTGCCTACACGATCCGGGCCTTTGTGATCCGTTTTTGGGCTTTGCTGCAAAAGGCTGACTCGGCAGATATCGGCGTCATGCTGTTGGCCTATGTCATGATGCACGGCACCTTTGTCAACCTGTTCCTGTCGATGCGCAAGTTTGGCAGTAACTTCTGGCTGGGTGAGCACCGCGAGAGATCCGACGTTGGGAGATCATTGCGAGAGCTGATCATCCTACTTCGCCCCACCCCTCACAGGCACCTGCGTCCTCGCCTCCTGCATCTTCGCCTTCCTCTGTGCCCTCACTGCAGCATCCGTCCTTGGAGTCGTCGTCGACCCCATCTGCCTCTCCGAGGCTTTGCCCTTCCTCGTCATCATCGTCGGCTTTGAGAAGCCCTTCCTTCTTACCCGCGCCGTCTTCACCCACCCAGAGATTGCGCCCGAGCCGGTCGACTCGCAAGTGACGCCAAGGGGCGATGATGCTATGGCCTCAGACCTCGGCAGCAGCCAGGACCTCGCCGGATTGACGAGCGAAGACCCGCAGATGTCACAAGAGGAGTCTTTTGTTCGAGCGCTCACCGCTCGTCTGAAGTCAGAGCCAAAGCTGCGCTGGTCATCGCCTACACCGCTTCCAGCACCCGACGTGGTCAGCAGCGCAGTCGAGGAAGTAGGCCCGCAGCTGGCTCGCGACTACGCCATCGAGATTGCCGTACTCCTCGTCGGTGCAACGAGCGGTCTCAGCGGCCTGCGGGAGTTTTGCCAGCTGGCCGCCCTCATTCTGGCATTCGACTGCGCCTTCCTTATGATCTTCTTCGTCGCGATCCTCACCGTCATGGTCGAGGTGCACCGCATCAAGGTCATGCGAGGGCTGCGCGCCCCGAGGCCCAGGCCTAGCACCCCGCCCAACGTCGATTCAGACGAGCCCGTCTCCAATGTCACGACGCCGACGTCCATCCGAAGTGACGAAAGCGCCGCTGCCCTTCGTCAGGTTTCACCTGACAGGAAGAAGGCTGCTCGTCCCCTCTGGCGTCGTGTGCTGAAGTTGCTGCTGGGCAAGGTGCCGTTCGAGCGCAGCCGCAGCGGCAAGGAGAACCCGGTGGCTCGCCTCAAGCTGCTCCTCATCACAGCCTTCCTCACCATGCACTCGCTTAACCTCGTCTCGACCCTGACGGCTCAGTCGGCCATTTCTCGCCATCAATCGATCGAGGAGCTCAATCTTTTCGACGCCCTCTCGACGTCATCGCCTCTCTTCGCCCCCGTCACGGACTCGCCCACTCTGTCGCCCATTTTGTCCAGCATTGCTTTGTCGCAGGGCAAGGAACGCGACGTCATTGTCAAAGTCGCCAATCCGGTCATCTTTGTTCTCATTGACGGCGCTCCCGAGGCCGACGAGGACCGGAGCCAGCTTGCCGATGCTGCTCTGAACGCTTCAGGCGGCGCCGGCTCATCTGTCCGCCACTCCTCGTCATCCAACAACGTCGCAAGCTCGGTCAAGGCCTCCTTTGGCAGGGGAGGCGGCTCGCTAGCCGTCCTCGACAGCTTCATGACCGGCTGGTCAATCATCGTTGGTGACCCGGTCATCTCCAAGTGGATGTCACTCGCCCTGGCCATCAGCATCTTCCTCAACGCTCATCTCCTCAAGGGCATCGCGTCAGGCAACGCTGCCGTGACGCAGGGCAACGCAGCCGGCGCTGCAGTCTTCGCCGCAGCTCGCATGCTTGGCGCTCACTTCGATCAGGAGCGAGACTTGAAGACGACCAGCCCTAAGCCCCCTTACTACCGCTCAAGATCTCATCCGCCAGTTGCCAAGGCTGGTCGACCCGCGACCGAGTCGGCTGAGCTGACGCAGTATCACCAGAAGCTGGCAGAGCAAGCTACGAAGCAGGGAGGCAGGAAGCAGCTCGATAAGCTGCCGAGGCCGCAGAAGGATCAACAGCCTACCGTCGATTCGAACACCAGTGCCACTTCGTCTTCAGCCACCACTGCCATTCCCGCGGTCGCCATCAGCCAAGATGCTGGAGACGCGCTGCGAGAGCTCAAGAAGCCCGATATCCCCGCCAGCTCGGAGGGCGAAGGAGCAATGGGTATGCCCGACGAGCGCAGGAGTGGCCTGCGATTGCAGCCTACCAGCCACATTGGACGCGATGGACGCACAGAGACGCGCCCCTTCGAGCAGCTGCTGGACATCTACGCCGGTGGAGGAGGTGTGTTCCGCCTCAACGATGAGGAGATTACCATCCTTGCGCAAAAGGGGAAGATTGCGCCGTACGCACTCGAGAAGACGCTGCAGGACCCGGCGAGGGCGGTCAGGGTGCGAAGAGCGCTCGTCTCTCGCGCATCGTTTTCCGGCACGCTCGAGTCATCGCTCCTCCCGCACTTGGGCTACGACTACAGCCAAGTCATGGGCGCCTGCTGCGAGAATGTCGTTGGCTTTATGCCGATCCCGGTGGGCATTGCTGGGCCGCTCAACATCGACGGCCAGGTGACACCGATTCCTATGGCGACAACAGAGGGAACGCTCGTCGCCTCAACTTCGCGAGGCTGCAAAGCCCTCAACGCCGGTGGTGGTGTGACGACTGTCCTCACTCAGGACGCCATGACGCGCGGCCCCGCCATCGAGTTCCCGAGCATCGTCTCTGCGGCCAAGTGCAAGCGCTGGATCGACTCAGCCGAGGGCGCGAAAGCTATCAAAGCTTCCTTCGACTCGACGTCACGCTTCGCCCGCCTCGCATCCTTGCGCTCCGTGATGGCTGGGCGCACTCTCTATGTCCGCTTCGCCACGGCGACGGGAGATGCCATGGGGATGAACATGATTTCAAAGGGCGTAGAGAAGGCGTTGGGCATGCTCATCGAGGACCACTTCCCCGAGGCGGTCATTCTGTCCCTGTCGGGCAACTACTGCACCGACAAGAAGCCCGCAGCGATCAACTGGATCGAGGGCAGAGGAAAGAGCGTGGTGGCAGAAGCGGTCGTGCCGGGCAAGGTGGTCAAGACGGTCCTCAAGACTACCACCGAGGCTCTTGTGAGGTTGAACACGCGCAAGAACCTCGTCGGGTCTGCTATGGCCGGCTCCGTAGGTGGCTTCAATGCGCACGCAGCCAACATCCTCACGGCCATCTACCTCGCCACCGGGCAGGACCCAGCACAGAACGTTGAGTCGTCCAACTGCATTACCCTCATGGAGGCCTTGCCGTCCAAGAGCGGCGATGAGGATGAGGATGACGACCTACTGATCACCTGCAGCATGCCCAGCATCGAGGTGGGCACCGTTGGTGGTGGCACTGGTCTCTCACCTCAGCGTGCGATGCTGGAGCTGCTGGGTGTGGCCGGTGCGAACTCGACGACGCCCGGTGCCAATGCTCAGCGCTTGGCCCGCATCATCGTTGCGTCGGTCATGGCTGGTGAACTCTCCCTCATGTCGGCTCTCGCGGCCGGTCATCTCATCAGAGCACACATGGCACACAACCGCTCAGCGCCGCCTACTGCTCCTGCCACGCCCGGAGCCATGACGCCGGCGCTGAGCTCGGAGGGTTCCAACAACAACTTGCCTGGCTTGTCGATCATGACCCCGCTCGTGGCTACGCCTGTGCAGAGTAGGCAATCTCCTGCGGCTGAAGGAGGGCCGGGACCCAGCAATGGGAGTGCGAGGAAGGCGAGGTCTGGTAGTGGCGGTTCTGTAGCCGGTGGGCATGGGAAGGCGGCCACGACGGGATGAGGGGACGACGACCCCACGATTAGACGATTGGACAATACTCTCGATACCGATACCGGGGTGACCCGCGACACAAGAGGACGCCCCTGCAACGCACCGTCTTCACTTTTCCCTCCCAACTCCTCCCTCTCCACCTCGGCCAGCATACGTCGCATGCACATAAGTCAGCGAGCACCCAGCATCATCTCCCGGCTCGCTAACCATCCTCGCAGTCTTTTCCTTCCTCCCTCGTCGTACTCTACTTCATTTTCTCGCTCAACCGCCTGCCACGAGCCGCTCCGCTTCGCTTCGTTGATCGTCTCTTCGTCGTTGTTGTCGTTAGTTGCTAGTCGTCAGTCGCACTTCGTTTATCGCCCTCTTCTTTTAGTTTCCAGCCCAACTTGTACTTATTCTAGTAGTTGAAGTGAACAAGCAAGCAAGAAAGCAATTGAAAAGCAGCTCTGCTTTGTGAGAGAGACTGAGTCTACGCATTTGAGATGCCCAGTCCCAAACTGTAGCAGAGCAAGTGGAGCTTTGTAAAGTCTTCTAACGGGTCATCTTGGGTATTCTTTCATCTGCCATCAGTCCCACTGTGAAGAGCAATGTCAGCATACGCCTCCCCAATCTCTTGGGGACCCCCTCCATCAACTCACCCTCCTAATCTCCTCATCTGCGGCCTGACCTCCGCGCTCCTGCGCAGCACTCGTCCCACCGCTTCTCTGCTGCTCCTTGAGCTTTCTCGCCAGATCTCCCTCGGTGCCTCTTCCCCCAGTGCCTCTTGCTTGATGCGCAGCAAGACGGCGCTCTGCTGCTTGGGCACGAGCTTCACGATCGTCTGCCGCGGAGGCTGCTGGAGGTCCGGCTGTCGATGAGGAGCCAAGTCTATTAGCGTGAGCGGGTGAAGATGATGATGAGGAGGAGCGTGAGAGGCAAGACCCCATGATGGGCGAGGCTGGGGAAGGTGAGGATGGGATGCCAAGATCATTCGGCCTTGAGGGGAGGCACAGCCGCATCCAACGCCTCGAGTCTGCGAGGCGTCTGCGCGTCTCCGCCAGGTTGCGCCTTGACCACTCGCTTTTCCGGCGAGGGCGACTCCGTTCGCGTTTGCTTTCCTTCTTGCTACAGACAAATGCTCTCGCCGACACTCAACGGTGGCAACGATGCCGCATTAGACGCAGCAGGTCCTTCTGCGCCACCATCTTCAGCGCAGCGAGGAGCAGGAGCACACCCCTTCTCACTCAAAGTTCGCTCCATCCTCACCCGTCCGCCTTCCAGTCGCGATGATGAACTCGTCGCCAAGGGGCTGAGGGCTTTGGAGGGTCGATATGCATTGGGCGGGCAGGCGACGCAATCTTGGAAGAACAACAAGGCTGTCAAACAACGCAAGAGCGCATACAGACTACTCGCAGACTCGAGTGACGAAGAAGACGGACTCGATTTTCCCACCTCGTCCTCGCACCCCGCCGCAAGCGTACAGCTCTCGCACATCAAGTCCCACCTCACCCAAGATGCCCACGCCGACCTCCTCACCTCTACGACACAGTACCTTGCCCACCTCGACACCGTCACCGACCACCTCGACAGCATACACGACCGTCTCGCCTCCATGCGCGCCACCTGCGACAGCGTAGATTCCTCCCTCTCTCACTCAAACGACTCAGTTCGCTACCTTCTCGAACAGTCAGCAGGGCTAGAGCGACAACGTGGTGCAACAAAACAGCAAGCTCTCCTCGCTCGCCTCTTCTTGGAGCGCTTCACCTTGCCACCTGCGGAGCGCGAAGCAATCGAACGTCGCGACTCCCCCGTTGGACACGAGTTGTTCGCTGCAATGGACCGCCTCGCAGTAATGAGGCAGGACTGTCTCGCCCTGCTGGAAGGAGGCGGAGAAGCGGGTGGTGGGACAAGGGCAGGGACGGACGTGATGGCTTCTACGGGTCAACTATTGGATTTGGCCCACGAGAAGCTAGGACGCTTTCTCAACTTTGAGTTTCGGCAGGCACCGAAAGAGGGCTTGGACGTAGGGCCTATACTGAGGGACAGTGTAAGACGGTTGGTAGAGGCAGAAGCAGGGAAAGGGGAAGAGGTGCTTGCTCCGGCGCTGGGTATTCTTGCAGGTATGAGGAGCACCTACCTGGCTGGCGCTTTCCAGCAGGCTCTGCAGCGAGGAAGTGGAGAGGGGTCCTCAGCAGCAAACACGCCCAGTTTCTCTCGGCCCATCGAAATGCACGCCCACGATCCCTTGCGGTACGTCGGCGATATGCTAGCATGGGTGCACCAGGCCGTTGCAGGGGAGCGAGAGTTCTTAGGCCAGCTCTTCGGCGAGAAAGAAGGCGAAGGAGGCAGGAGGGTAGGGGAAAGGAGAAGGGGGATCGAAGGGAGTATTGATTGGGGAAGGAGAGGCAGCCAGATGCCAGAGGCGACTCAAGCTACAGCAACGGAGGCTACGACTCGTCGCCTGCACTACGTGAGGGATACGCTAAACCGCAGCCTTGAAGGGTGCTCTCGACCTCTCAGCGTACGAGTCGAGCAGACCATCGACGTCCAGTCTTCCCCACTTGTGGCGCTTCGCCTGGCCCACTTGGTTGACTTTTACCGACAGGTCATGCTCGATACGCTCGGGAGCAAGGCGACTCTATCGAAGGTGCTCGACGACCTCAACAAGACGGCGTGGACAGCTTTCGGTGATGCGGTCAAGAGGCAAGCGAGAGAGCTAGACAATCAAGGCGGTGAAGTCCCAGCAATGAGGGGTGATGGAGAAGAGCTTGGCCTACCAGCGAGCTTGCTGAGCGCTCTCTCTTCTGTCAAGGAGCTTATGGAGGAGCACGGTCACCAGGCGCCGTCCTCTGCGAGTGATACTGCTGCAGAGTCCGTCCTGGTCGCAGCGGATCAGCAGAGCAAGGAGTCTGAAGGCCAGGCAGACGAGACGACTTCCTTTGCCTCGGTCCTGTCGACACTTCTCGATGCTATGCTCCGCCAAGTCGACACTACACAAGGCCTCATTGTCGAAGCCGCCCAAGTCCCATCGCCGGCCAAGGGGAGCAAATCGCCAAGCAAGAGCGATGACCCAGATTCCGCAGCAACGGCACATGCACAAGGCCTCGTCTTCCGGCTCAATTGTCTTGAGCGGATCGTCACAACACTCGAAAGGAGCAGCAGCGCAGCTTCCTCGTCTCCGCTTCTTGCGCCTCCGCGCACTGCCCTCACTGCAACGCATCGAGACCTAGTCGACTCCACCTACGCCCACGTCCTGGTGACCAGCGGGCTCTCTCCAGCACTCTCCGAATCATCCTCTGCGGCAACTCTTGAATGCCTCCAATCATTCAGCGCTCGCCTGTCCTCCCCTTCGGGCTCACTTTCCCTCGCTACGCCTCCCTCCTGGCTCAGCCGCGTTCAGGCGCCGAGACAGAGGAGTGAGGTGCACGCAGAGGCCATGCGCCGATTGGTCGAGGGGTACGAAGGAGCGATGAAGCGCTGCGAGGCTGTAGAAGGGCTGAGGAGTGCAGAAGAAGCAAGAATGTTACTGGGCGTGTAAATGAGATGACTGACACTCAATTGCACGCACAAGCAACGACAGTGAGCAAAAGATGGATGGATGAGTGGTATGATCTCCTCCCTACTCTCTCCTTCTCCCGATCCTCTCCCTCTTGACCGTCCCGTAAATCTCCTCCGGCACAGGATTCGCCCTCGGACATCGTCTCTCCCTCTCCTTGCGCAGCTCCTCCGCCTCCAGCCTCTCCCTCTCCTCACGAGCTGCAGCACGCTCCGCTTCGACCAGAGCGTCACGAGCGCGGCGGGACGTCTCCCACGCACGACGAGATTCGAGGCGTTGCGACAGAGCTGAGGGGGGTGCAGGAGCTGGGGCAGCTGTGCGAGATGAGCTGCTGGAACCTTTGGGGCCCATGAGTGCTGGAGGAAGGTGAGCAAAGCGACTAGAGCTCCCACGAGCGCCAGAGCGCGCAAGCTCGTCCCTCCTCGCCTTCTCGATGCGGCGTGCAAGTTCGTCGTCTACTTCGCGTTGCACCTCTTCCCTCCTACGCGCCAGGTAGGCAGGCACATCGCCCGCCCCGAGCGCCCTGGACGAGGAGGAGGTGGCGCTGGCCTCCGTTGCAGACAATAGGGAGGAGAAATGCGCTGCTGATGGGGTGTAGCTGACCGAGGACGCAACAGGTGCTGTGCGACGCGTCCTGCTGCTCGCGCTCGGAACAGTGGCAGTACTGGAGGCAGCAGTGGGTACAAGTTGACCAGTGGACGTGACACGATATCCTGCTGGGACGTCGAGGTCGGTAGGCGTCGACTGATTGGCAGATCCAGCTCGCGATGCAGTCTGGCGTTGGGTCCCGGCCTTGCCTTTTCCCAGTGCTGCTCGACCGGCTGTTCGACGTGTAGGCTTCGCATCGATGGCTTCCTCCTTTGCCGCAGGCAGAGCCACGGCACTGCGCGTCACCTTTGTTCTCTTGGCCGGCGAAGAAGAGCCGATTATCGCCTTGCTCATGTCAGCAGATGCCGACAATGTTGCAGGTCGCGCAACTTCTCTCGCTTCCTCCGCCGCTGCCGCCGCCGCTGCCGCCGCCTTCCTCTCCCTGTATACCCGCGTCGCCTTCGACTCTGCAACCGCCAGCTTGGCGTCGCGTGCTGCAATGGCTTGACGTGATGATTTGCCGCCAGTGGACGCGCTGTGGGTCATGCTGCTTCGCGTCCGGCGGGTTGCTGGTGGCTTGGACGTCGCGACGGCTGCGCTCTCGATGGCCACCTTCGTCTCGGCTTGGGAGAGCGCTGTTGCAAGGTCGTTCGTGCTGGCCGAGCCGGTCAGGGCCGATGAGGAGAGCCGACTGCTTCTGCGGCGAGGACGAGAGCTCGCAGGTGTTCCGATGATAGCGGCAGCGGGGGAGGGCACCTCCTCGATGCCTGCGGCAGCAGGCTCTTGCTGCGGAACAGCGAATGGCACATGCACGTCATCTTCGACGTGTTCATCGAATTGCTCAGCCTTGACGTCCAGTTCTTGCTCGGCTTCCTCGGCGTCACCGTGGATCGAAGTTCGTTCCCCTCCTTCCTGCTCGTCAATGGCTTCTTCTGCAGTCATGTCGTCTTTGACCTCGAGATCGTCCTGCTCTTGAGCCTCAGAGGTGGCATCCAATTCCATCTCGACCTCTGCCAGCTCAGCTCCCTCTAGCACCGCGGCAGTCTCCTGCTCAACAACCTCTTCCACCTCTTCGATGTCCTCTTCGATTCGGTGATGCTCCTTCTCGTCCTCAGCGATGTCCGAAAATCTCTCTACGGCTGCAGTTGGCTCGGCTGCCGCTGACGCTGTCGTTCTTGCCACACCAGCTGTCGCATGCTTCTGCGGGCTCGAAGTTTTGCCCATCAGGCTCAGCAAATCGCTGCTCCTCTCTGGCCCCTGTCGCTTCTCCTTACGGCGAAGGGGTGACGAGGACATCAAGTCCGACGACGACGATGCTGTTGCAGCGCGGTCCAGGTTGCCTACCGGTACGGGGGCGATATTCTTCCCCTTGCTCGGCGAGAAGGACAGGAGCGAGGTGAGCTTACGTTTGGGTGGAGAGCTTGGAGCGGGTGAGGAGGACGCTGCATTGGCTTGGTGTGTTGAACCGGTAGCTGCAGTGGCAGGGGGAACGTCAAGACCTAGTCGCTTGCGTCGCTCTTCCCGACCTTCCTTCTTCTCTTGCTGTTGATGCTGGCTTGACGATGAGGATGAAGAAGAGGACGAGGCCTTAGCAGCCCTTGCTCCGGCGACGAGGGCGGCGATGCTTGTTGCTCGAGGCTTTGCTCTCGTTGGAAGCTTTGATGCTGGAGGTGGCAGTGCTTGAGACACTGACGCTACATGTGCCACTGGTGCCGGCCTCTTCACCGGCTCAGGCAGTGGAGCATTCGCAGCAGCAAGCGTCTCGTCTGCTGCTAGGTCATCATGGCTCGACCAACCCTCTGTGTCGAACTTCGGCGTGGCTGTTTTCCTCGGTGATCGTTTACGGCGGACTTCGACATTGGGTGAGAATGCGGCAAGCGGCAGATCCTGAGCTTGAGACCCGGCAGGGCTAGAAAAGGGCGAATGCACCTGCTCGTGCTTAGCAGCGGTCCCTTCTTGCGGACCGGAGCTGGCCGCCTCTCCCCATGCTAGGCGGGAGAGCTCTGCGTCATCCAGGTCGTCCAACTGTCCCTGCTTCTCCTCGTTCTGCTGAAATGACTTCCTCTTCTGCGGCATCAGACCCTTCCTGGCCCTCTTTCCACCCTTGACCGGCGAGAAGCGCAGCGATTGGTCCATGAGCATCGTCATGCTACCGTCCCCAATAGCGGGTCCATCCCCATCTGGCAGTAGTGACATGTCCACGTCCGCTGCCGCTGCCATCGTGCGACGCTTCGAGCGAGTGGCTGGCATGGCAACACGCCAGGCAATGTAGGATGCGAGAGAGCAGATGTGATGTGAGGGGATGCCGAGGGATGCGCGGGAGGAAACGAGGACAAAGTGTTGGTTGTGGTTCCGCCCTCCCGAAGCCAAAACAACACGCGCCGTCCCGCCTCCACGCTGCGCGCCTTGGGTCTGCTGCACCACACTTTCTCGTCACATCTCTCTGAATTGATGCTGCGCTGGTCCTACAATGTCGTTTCGCCGTCACAGATATCATTGCGCATATCAATCCCTACCCTCCCTCTCTCTCCTCTTCCAGTCCTCGAAGAACTCAGTAATGGCGCTCTCATCCACCATCCGTCCCTCACGCGCGAACGGCCTAAGATGCTCATAAAGGGCGTCCTTCAACCGCGAGTAGCCCTGCATCGCTTCGAGAGTCTGAGCACGCGGAAGAGAAGAAAGAGCGCTCATTGCCATGTCGTACGAAGAGCTCGTTGAGCTAGTTGCGTCGTCGTCCGGCGAACCAGCATGCTCGAGCTGCTGAGCTAAAGCGCGAGGGCTTGAGGGAGGCTCGTAGGTTTCCTCTTCTTGAAGAATGCCGGCTAGGTGGCGATAAGAGGTGAGCTCGGCCACGCAGGTGGAGCAGCGACAGAGGCGCTTGCGCCAGCCCTTGATGGCACTGCTGCTGCTCTCTCCAAGCGCTCCTTCTTCCTCGTCCTGGCCCTCGTCAAGGAACACATCCAACCTGCACTGCGTACTCTGCCTGTTCCCAGGATTGTACGAGTCGTCTTCGTAGAGGCCTGTCGTCGGCAGAGGCTGCCTCAGCAGTCGCTCGACAAGGGGTGCGATGGGTGGGCGACGACATGAGGGTGAGCGCGGCCGCTCCAAATTGCGGCGGGCAGCTTCGGTCGCTTCCCAAGGGTAAGTGCGAGAGGCGAAACGCGGCTCTTCTGTCCTGATGTGGCCTCTCCAACCAGGTGGAAGAGGAGTGGCAGGTCGATAGTGGATGATGCCAGGCGAGCAACCCCCGTCGTTGGAGTCTTCGACTTTGGCGCGCTTGCTGCCGGGACCAGCTTCATCGTCACCAGCTCTTTCAACAATGGGCGACAAGCTACGCTTCATGTTCGCCCGCATACGAGCGCTTTCGGCATCCGACTGGGCAATCAGCTCTGCCTCCCTGGCTTTGCGAGATTTCATCTCCTCTTGCTCCTCCGTGTTGGCGGGGAGACCCACAACGAGGTATTTGCGTGGTTGTTGGCCTTCCGCCTCGACGAGCATCTCTGTTGAGGAGCCTTCCCATCCCTCAGCGCGCGACGGGTGGAATGATGATGATGCTTCCTTGTCCTTCTCCTCGTTCTCCTCTTCCTTTACCCCGTCGGGCATCTCCAAACAAGCGCCCCACCCCTCTTTCCCGACGTAATGCAGCAACGGCCTGTTCTCCCTCACGCACGCGTCGCAGATGAACGAATCGAACGATTCGTGGGCAATGAGTGGAGCCTGTCGCTCGATGACATGCCCTCTACCTGGGTCGACATCATTCGTCGTCAGGCTCGTGCACGACTCATGAAACCAGTCCTCGCAGACAAGACATTGAAACATCGTCTCCTCTTCCTCGAGCGGGTCGTAGGTGTAGCCCTTCTCACAGTAGCAAAAGTGCCCGTGGTGGTTGCGCGAGTAGACGTTACGAGTGTTGGCGTCGATCAAGTGCTGCGGTGGAGCTCGTAGCTTGCAAGGGTGCAAGTGAGGCTCTCCCTGATCGCTTGGCATCATCCCGCAGTCGCACCGAGCATCGCGTTTGGCGAAGAGCTCGACGAGCTCGTGGTCGGCATGACAGCCAATAGAGCAGCCGGCGCATACATTGATGGGTACGTCTTCCTCGTCGTTGAGGTGGGCGCAAGTCTTACAAGCCCACAACGGTTGGCGTATGTAGCCCTTCTCATAAGTGCAAGAAGCACGAGTGTAGGAAAAGGGAATGGCTTCCCGTGCTTGTTGCTCGAGGAGGGATTGGTGAGCAATGAGGTCGGAGGCGGTGAGGCCCCGATCTGAGGCGGAAGGCAATGGGGCGTTGGCTGTATCTGCTGAGGCAGAGCGTGCGCGACGTGAATGCGATGTAGCTAATGGTGACACCGGCGGTTGCCGTGATGATGAGGGGTGACCATCCGCCATGATGGGCAGTCAGAGGACGGCAAAGAAGGGAGCAAAGATGCATGCACCCTCCAACTCGTGTGCCGTCTTCGATCCTCTGTTCCGTCCAGTCAGTCGACGCTCGGACCAACAACGGCAAACGGGCGACGGCGGCGCTCAGCCTTCCTCTCCACGGCCTCCTCTATCCACACCCTTCCTCATCATCACTCCTTGATGCCATCAGCATCCGACCCGCCAGAGGACGGGGGCATCTCCCTCAGTCTCGACGATGACGCGCAGCATCGCAAGCCCGACATCACAGACTACGCTGATCTCAACCTCGACGACGAGAAGGGCGACGAAGCTGTCGCCAAGATACCAACAAATGAGGCCGACGTCGACAACGCTGAGCCTGCGACTGGAGACATATCCGGCGCAGAGTGGTCAACAACAATCACTCCCGCAGACGAACAGCAGCAGCCTGACTTCAGCGCTACAAGACATCGCCGCATCGACTCACTGCCCCCTCAGCGATTTGAAGAGGAGACGGTTCAGTGGTCTCGCCGACCGAGTGCGATGGATGCAGGCTCACACCGTATCGACGAGTCAGCAGAGGACATGGGCAATGACTCGCATACCTCTGAATTTGAGCGTGCCGGTCTTGACTTTGTTGACATCAATCTGGGCGGAGATCGCAGAGGCGCCGATGGAGCCAGGAGTCCTGGGCTGAATGCCGTGTACGGCCCAGGAGGAGCGCCCTCGTCCAAATCTCGGACCAGTCTGGAGATACGTACAGATTCAATCAGTAGCGAGTTCAAGGGACCCACGTCTTCCGAGACGCCATCGTCATCCACTACTTCGTCGAAGCTGGCATTTTGGAAGAGAAAGGGTACGCAGGAGTCCGCAGCCATAGCGAGTCCCGTCGGTCCTACCGAGCAGCCAACGGCTGAGGTCACGATGCTCGTGGCTAATGACGAAGGCGATATACATCGCGCCGCTTCGCCTGCTGAGCAGCAAGCGCAAGAAACTGAGGCGTCGCCTTCTCAGGAGGGTCAGCTTCATCCGCCAGAGCCCAAGGCCACGACCAACGACTCGCAGGTTGCGCTCGATGTCAAGGATCATGAGCGAGCGGGACAAGAAGCTGCAGTCAAAGTTGAACAAGGCCGGGCTTCAAACTCCTCAACATCACAGGCGGCGGCCGTCAGCGCTGGCCGATCCGCGGGACCGTCGGGATACAGCGAAGCAGACGCTGAAGCTGCGCAGTCAGATGTCAGACCAGAGTCGTCCGCAGAAGCTGCGGCTCGTGCAGCAGCCGCTGGTATGGCATCGGCAGGTGGACGCTCAGCAGGTCCTGCCGTTCCCACTTTGAGCGTCTCATCAGGCACAGCCCCTACTCTAGCCATCTCAACCTCGGCCGCAGCAAAGTCAGGAGGTCGGTCTTCCGGCCCATTTACCTCCCCTTCATCCGCAGCAGCCGGTCCCTCCTCCCCACCATCCTCATCACACGTTCGCAAACCCTCAGGCGGCCCCTCTGCCCTGGAGCGCTACATGTCTCGCACGCGTCAGGCCACCCTCCCGCCCAAGACCCGCAAAGAGGACCAACGTCATCTGCAGGACTTTGAGTCAATGATGAAGAGCTTCCAAGCTCTTGAGGCGAAGCGACTTAAGGAGGACCAGGACAGACAGAGAAGGCGTGAAGAGGAGCTTGCTGCTGCTACGAAGGTGTGGGAGAGCGAGATCCTACGCGGGGATTGGAGGGCAGCGAGAGTCAAGGGGAGCAGGTTGAGACTTGTTTGGTGGAAGGGTTGCCCGCCGAGTCTGAGAGGAAGAGCGTGGCTGCTCGCGATTGGGAATGTCAGAATGCTACCACGCAACCTGGCGACTACCACAAAAGCCAGAGTAAAGGAGATGAAGGCGAGAGAGGGGGCTTGGCCGCCGAGGAATGTACTGAACGAACAGGATACCGATGCGGAGGAGGCGATGGAGGAGGATATTGAGAGGACCCTGCCTAGCCTCAAGCTCTTCCAACGGGACGGTGGAGTGCTGTACGACGACCTCAAGGAAACACTGGAGTGCCTCGTGTTGCTTCGCGCAGAGCAGGCAGCCGAAATCCATCAGGAGCGACAAAGACGTCCAGAAGGTGTACGGGTACGCCCTCCAGCTGCAACAGCCGCCACCTCATCCGCTTCCTCATCGACACCGCGCCCGAACCTCTACGAGCCCGGCCTATCTCCTCTCGCTGCCCTTTTGCTGCTCAACCTCTCACCAAGCGAGACCCTCTTGTCTCTACTCAACCTCCTAGCCACCCGCCCATGGCTGCGCTCCCTCTACTCAATGGACCCTACGCACCTCGCCCAATCCTCTGCATTCGAACGAGTCCTCAACACCCTCCTCTCCGACCAGCTCCCCAAAGTTTATGCGAATCTACAACACTGCGGTGTGGACCCCTCGCAGTACGCTCGCAGCTGGGTTAAGACTATGTTCATCCCCTTGCTGCCGCTGGAGACGGTCTGTAGGCTGTGGGACCAAATTTTGCTCGAGGAGGCGGAGGATGAGATCGACTCCATGGTCTTCCGAGCCTGCTTGGCCCTCGTTGGGTTGTTGAGCTCTCGACTTCATACCGGCGAGGCGAAAGAACTGCAGAGCATTCTGACTGGTCGGAATCGAGCCGCTTTGAGCGTATGGTACAGGTTCGTCGGGCAGACGGCGCAGCTAGGAAGTGGTGGGCCGGCTTTGGCCGCAGCGCAGGGGGCTTCGGGGCAGGCAGCCGCTTCGGCGCAGGCAGTCGCCAGCTTGCCGCCAGACTCGCCTTTGAAGAGGAGGGAGAGTGAAGCAGGTGGTAGTGGGCCCGGCCAGGCGGAGATGCGGGCATTGTCCTCGTCAAGTTCTGCCGGAGCGAACGGATCAGCGATTGCCGAGGAGTCCGAAGACGAGAGCGAAGAGAGCGAGGACAAGGCAAAAGCGAATGGGCAAGAAGAGCCAAGCACACCAGCCTCAGCAAGCAACGGTGTATCCCCACCTCAGCCGTCTGACCCCGACCCCTCTTCGATCGAAGCCCCACTCTCCTGGGTGCCGCGCGACTCCCTCTTCAGCATCTACGCCATCGTGGAGACGAACCTATTTCGCGCTCTAGAGGAACAAGTTGGGGATGACCTATCTAGCAGCGATGCTAGCCTCGCGGGCGGTGACGCCGGTAGTAAGGGTTCGGCTACACCGCCGGCTTCAGCAGGGGTGGGTGTCTCAGCTGGTGGTGGGGGCCAGTGGAGCAGGGGCGATGGGTGGTGGAGAGATAGTACATTGAAGAGGCTTGTAGAGCGAGAGCTGGGTGGATGAGAGTGTGCGGCTGCCAAAAGAGGACCGATTGAATCGAAGAAGAAAGAATCCAGATACCTATAGCAGAGCTGGCCCACGTAGCTGAGACTGCCGCATCGCCCTGGCAGAAGTCGTACGCTACGCAGGCTGAAGAGATGACGATGGAATAGGCATGACCTCAATCCGCCGATGAGGCCGATCGACTTCGACTGTCATGTGTGCATCTCGTGACAGCTCGCCAAGCTCAGCGTCCGGGAGATCTCCGGCGAGATGCGGGGAGGAGAGACGAGCATCTCGTGGAGGCGAGCGCACAGACCCCCGCACCTTCTTGGCTTCCTTTCCCCCAAACCACCATCACAAAGTCAGCATCCTTTCAACCCCCCGCTAGCATTGCAGACTCACAATGACCGCCACGCGTGCTTCTCTGCTCTTCGACACAAAGGAGAAGCTGGCCTCGCTCACACTCGAAGAAAAGATCGCCCTCACTGCGGGGCAGGACATCTGGCGCACCTTTGCTTCAGCTTCTAAAGGCATCCCCTACGCCAAGCTCACAGATGGGCCAAATGGGGCTCGCGGCGGAGGCAACTTCAACGACTCGGTCCCTGCTGCTCTATTCCCATCTCCCTCATGCCTAGCATCGACATTCGACGTGGACCTCGCCCACGAGATGGGCAAAGGTATTGCCCTCGACTCGCGCAGCAAACAGTGTCATGTGAGCTTGGCTCCTACTGTCAATATGACTAGAGACCAGCGATGCGGAAGGGCATTTGAGAATTATGGCGAGGACCCTGTGCTTACAGGCCATATTGGTGCGAGCTGGACGATTGGCTGCCAGAGTACGGGAGTGGCTGCTACGCCCAAGCATTTTGTCACGAATGAGGTGAGTGGGAGCGGCACTCCAGCCCGTCGCAACACGAGACTGACTTGACCAACTTTTGCATCTTATCCGCAGGCCGAAGCAGATCGCCGCTTCAGCAACTCGATCCTCGACGAGCGCACCCTGCGCGAGATCTATCTCGAGCCGTTTCGCATCATCTTCAAAGAGGTAGCCAAAGCGCACGCCGCTGGCAAGGACGGGCCCAAGGGTCAAGCATTTGGCGGCCAGCCCGCTTGCATCATGACTGCATACAACCAAATCAATGGTACCTCAGCCAGCGAGTGCAAGCATACCCTTATCGACGTCTTGCGCAAGGAGTGGGGGTTCAACGGAATGGTCATGTCTGACTGGTTTGCACTTCACGGCTGTGGCATGGGAGGTGGGTGTGACTTGGAGATGCCGGGGCCGGCCTTTCAGCGAAGATTGGAAATCGTCAAGGAGCATCTCCAAAAAGGAGAATGCACCGAGCAGGATATAGATGAGAGGGCTATTCGTGTATTGGACATGCTCAACAAAGTGGCGCAGCTCGGCTTTGAGAAGTCGCCGCAGGATGAAAAGGAAGAGAGCGTCGTTGATCAGGGGCGAGAGAAGGTCATCCGCCGGATTGCGGCGGAGGGGGCCGTGCTGCTCAAGAATGAGGCGGACATCCTACCTCTCAAGGTAGACTCGGTCAAGCGCATCGCCCTCATCGGCAAGCCATGGACGCAGCCCATCCAGAGCGGCGGTGGGAGCGCCAACTTGACACCGCAGCAAGCTCCTAAGGCCATAGACGCTCTCAAGGCCGCTTTGCCCAGCAATGTCGAGCTCGTGCACCACGATGGTTGCGACATCCATCCCTTCCCCGCTTCACCTGTCACGAAGACGACAGTCGAATTCCTTTCCCGCGACAACGGCAAGACAGTCGCGAATAGCACGCTCGAAAAAACGGCGCTGGGTGTTCTCGATCCAAAGCCAGAGGAGTGCCAGCCCAACAACTTTATCATGCGCGTCTCTTTTGACATCCATGCTAGCACGGCCGGAGCTCACACGCTTGGCCTCACGATCCTCGGCAAGGCACACCTCAAGGCGCATCGTCAGGACGGCTCCGTTGCCCTCGACTGGAAAGTGCAAGGCGAGACCGATACGTTTGAGTACCTTCTCAACGAGTTCAAGACAGCCCAGCAGAAGGAGATCAGCATGGCCGCAGGCGAGCTCGTGAGCGTCGTCCTTGAATACGAGCCACAGCAACAAGATGGGGCCATTGCGGCAATGAAGCCTGCAGGTTTCACAGTCGGCTTCGAGGAGGAGAAGGATCACCATGGCCTGCTGAAGGACGCAGCGAGTGTCGCAAGCCAATGTGACTTGGCCCTCGTCATGACTGGCCTGGGCCCCAAGTGGGAAGCAGAGGGATTCGATCGCCCCAACCTGCTTTTGCCGCGCCTGCAGAACAACCTGATTGCGCAAGTTGCCGAAAAGCAGAGTCGTACGGCTGTCATTACAGTCTGCGGATCAGCGGTGGAGATGCCTTGGCTTGACGACGTAGCCGGTGTCCTACAAACATGGTACGGAGGTCAAGAAGCGGCCGAGGCTCTCGTTGACTGCTTGCTCGCGCGAGGGGATGCACCTGCGTCTGGGCGTCTCTGCACTACCTGGCCGCGCTCGGTCAAGGATCAGTGTACGGCTGGAGAGTCGCACTCATTTCCGGGAGTAGACAAGACGGGACGTGGTCATCCGGATGTGTACTACGATGAGGGGCGACTCGTTGGGTACAAGTGGTACGAAGCAAAGGGCGCAAGCCCTTTGTTCTGGTTTGGTGGGGGTCTTGGCGGGTACACGACATTTGAGAGGGAGTTGAAGGATGTGAGGGTGGAAGAAGGCCAACAGAAGATCGATGTCGGCGTTGACGTTGAGGTCAAAAATGTGGGGGAGCGATCGGGGAAGGATGTGGTGCAGGTGTATCTCGCACCTGGGAAGGGAGAAGAGGATGAACCTGTCAAGAAGGTAAGCCGCGCTGACCAGTGGGTACGACGCAGATTGCTGATCATCAAGACCTGCCCTTCTCGCAGCTCGTCGCCTTCTGTACCACCCAGCTCGATCCTCAGAGGAAAGCAGCTCAGCTTACCCTCAACTTCGACGAGGACGCCTTCTCGCAATGGGACGACAAGTCATCGCAGTGGCAGGTCAAGGCGGGCCAGTACGTTGTTATTCTCGCATCCTCTGCTAGCCCGCAGGACGAGATCGCCCGCAAGGACATCGAGATCCACCAGGGATGGACTTGGAAGGGAATAGGCAGAGTCTAAATTGCGCAAATGTATGACCCAAAGCAAAGCATGGCGAGTCATTCATCTCGTCTTAAAGCATTCAACGAATCTACCTTGGTCTGCGCGCTCGGAGGATATCGTCGACCGTCGGGGTGAGATGAGATGTCGCCCGAGAAAACGCAGGCGCCTTTGGCTTGTGAAGGTTCGTCCGCCGCCAACCCGCCGCCGCCCCTTGTTTCGACTGTCTCAACGCTTGGCGCGATCGAAAAGTGGAGTGGAGCGAGTTGCGTGTGCTTTTGAGCTCGCTCACGAAGCTACGAAAGCGCCTCCTCCGTTTGTGTCATCCTACCATCCCGATCTTCTTGCTGCGCTGTCTCATAGACTTCTTCTTCCTCACTTCATCTTCGTTTTTACGGATCATTAATCTTTTACAACCTGGTCACGCCACCCAGGCATACCCGCAGTAGAGCTAGACTCGCTGCCTCTTCCTCAACTCAGCAGCTCGCAGAGAAGCATCGCTGCGCCTCTCTTTTCTTCATCCCTCTTCAGCTCTTTTCAACGCCTCTCCAGCTTTTCAATCGCTGCGCATGTTACAATGACTTCTCGAGAGCCTCACCCGCCACGAGCCAATCAAGGGCTTGTCGGCAAAGCAGCAGCAGCAGACACGCCTGGCCAGGGGGCAAACGCAGCACCCCAAGTCAATGGGGCGCAGGACCGTGTCAGCCACGCTTTCTCATCACAAGAGACGCCGCCGCTGCCGCCAATCGGTGATGGTCAACGTCATCGTCCCCACCTGCCTAATCTCAGGGGCGGCAGTGAATGCAGGGTCGGATATAGCACCGGCGGCGTCGTGGGCGGCGAATACGTTGACGGCGACGACGGCGACGACGGCGACGACGATGCCATACGATCGAATCATCATCAAGCTGAAGTCGCACCTCCGCGATGGTCAGCTGCTTCACCGATGAGCATCTCACCAGACCTTCCACCTCGCTCATTTGCACCTGTTAGCAAGGCCAACACGGCTGCCCCTGCCGCCACTTCTACCTCCTCTTTGGAGCCGCCCATTGTACCCTCGTCCCAGTCGACAAGCTCATCGGCATCCTCCAGCAGCATGGAGACGTCGACCCTGATACCCTCATTTCCGACGACGTCCTCTTCCTTCACTCCTTCATCATCTTCTTCTTCAAAGGTCCTCCCTGGCCTTGTGTCTAGTGGTGGCTCTTCTGCAGCAAGCATGATTCGAGCAGCTTCCCAGGCTGGACTGCATTCTGTCAGCTCGGCTTTGGCGACACAGGCTGCTCAGATCCAGGCTGGCATGAGCGAGAGCGAGAGCCCGCCTGTCAATGGCAACAGAGCTACGATTACCGCAAGTGGCAGCAGCGACTCCTTTAGGCCTCGAAGCTCGCCTCATCGCAGCGACGCCTTGCCGTTTCAGCAAGAACGCCGTCCATCGAGCAACGCCGAATACTCTGCGGCTATGAAAGCGCATCTCACCAGCGCGTTGCGAGGGGCCGAGCAGCTTTCGCTCGCTTCAACGTCGACCTCAAACACGTCGCTGACAGGGGCAGGCTCCCACAGTTGCGGACCGCCTTCGATGGCTGTGCAGACGCAGATGGCGGAGATTGCTACCAGAACAGCTGCTGAGGAGGCAGAGAGACAACTGAGGGTGCAAGCACTGCTTCGAGTAGCGCGAGCGAATGGGGGCAGCAACGACGATGATGAGCACTCGACATCGTCCTTGTCTGCGCCTTCTTCTGGGCCATCCCGCCTCGAAGCAGTCGGTCTCGGCCACATAGCGCTCCCGTCTCAAGGGCTGGAGCAATCGTGGGGTCGGATGTCAGGACGAGGTGCGGAAGACGATGTCAAAGACGTCAAGACCGCAGCATCGGGTCGCCGACAGAATGGTGCCGGGGTTCACCGTCCTGCACGCTTTTACGATGCGACAGATGCGATGGCGGGAGTGCCCAGCTTACCATGTGAGTAGGATGCAGGATTGGAGACATTCGGCGCTCTGTTCCACTGACCGTTCTGCTTCTTCTTTCCTCCGGCGTAGTGATGCCGAGCCCAGCTCCTGCTCTGATGGACGCCCCTTCTTCACCGATGCTCGATCGCCTCAATCTGCCGTATCCTCACAAGCATAGAGCGTCCTCATCGCCGATCTCGCCACCGCCACCACCGCCGCCGCTGGCGCAGGACAAGGCAGGTGCAGTCTCTAATGAGCCGAGGATCCTATCTTTCGAAGTCGTGCAGACGCCGGGAGGAACAGCCCAAGCTGGTTGGTGGTTGGCATCAGACGAAGGAGACGGCCGGCCAGGCGAAGCGTCTGCCGAGCCCTCTGCATCCTCAGGACCACCAGCCTCCTCATCGTCTTCGGTGTATTTCAAACCTGGGTGAGTACCAGTAGAAGGCGCCATCGATACTCTGCTCCTGCCCCGCTCCTCCCTCGCATCACCACCCATTGTCACCCGCATCGTCGCCGGCGCCCCGCCGTAGCCCAGAAACGAGTCCTCAGAGCAAACAGAGAAGAGCTGACCGCTTCATCTCTTTACCCCATGCGCCCACCATCCCCTTTCGTCCGCCTCCGCCCCCGCCTCGGCTGATTGAACTCACTCTCGCCATCACATCCTCATCACGTCGTCTGCCCCGCACTTCTACATCGCACAACCATCACCACACACCGAACCTCACACGCATCGCTTTGGTCGGCTCGTTGCGTCTCTTTCCTGCATGCTCATCTCTGCCCCTGATCCTCACAACCACGACGGCACCACACGCGACCCTGTATCCACGCCTACGCCTCTGGATGGATCTCTAAACCCGATCCCCGTTCCCTGCGATTCGACGGACAGCTACACCCTAGACGGGCAAGCCTACGCTGCTCTGGCCACGCAGGCAGCCTATGCGACGTCGCTCTTGACCACAACCGTCGCTCCTCAACCTCTGCCACCTGCTCAAGTCGGTCCCCAGCCAGTAAAGCAACTAGGCGGCGGCGGCGAAGACGACGACGACAGCCAGCAAGCTGGCGGGCCTTCCGCTGCGTGGCAGCCACTCGAACCTGCTCAGCAAGAGGCTATCGCGTCTCAGCTCCGAGCTTGGGCTGGGCTGCAAGGACCACAAAAGCAAGCTGAAGCAAGGCAGTCTCTTGAGGACAGACAGCGACACCTGGCTAGCCAGCGTCAAAGCCCGATTGCAGGGGCTGCAGCTACTGCGGCCGACCCAAACGAGGCATCGCAAGCAGACTCCTTCTTCCCGCCCGACTTTGCCAGCCACTACAGGGCGCAACTGCAAAGCTTGGCTCAAGGCTACTACCAACAGCTTCACCTCGACGGCCTCAACAAGAGCCACTACGCTCAAGGAGCAGGGGATCAGCACGAAGTCGGCTCGAGCAGCGGCGGTGCCCGCCAGCGTCGTCGCACTTCGCACGCTACCGTGGACGCCAGGGAAGCAGACATTGCTCAGCTATCGGCAGCAGTCGCAGCTCGCACAAAGACGCTCGGCGTACCAGCAGACTCGGTCGCAGCAGTCCTCACCAACGCCGCAGAGCCGCCACCGCCCGTGCCCGCCCAAGGCGCTCAGGATCCCATGCAGCTCTTGACAGCAGCCTCACAGGCAGCTGGCGTCGATGCTCGCGCAGGCGTGGTTCTCGACCAGCTGTTGCGCTTTGCCCACGCGCTTTACCAGACTGGCAATCAATCGATCAAAAAGCCAGACGGTTCGACCGCCACTCAGCTTCACCCCACACTCCTGCCTTTGCTGCACACTCTTCACAACCTTCACCCTCACCACCTCCCCACGCTCCTTCTCCTCTCCTGCGCCTACTACTCGGCAGGTGACCTGCCGGCCTCGCTCTACTGGAATGACCAGATCCTCAGCATCGATCCTCACTACGTAGAGGCCATGAGCAACATTGGCACCACTCTTCGCTCCCTGGGTCGATGGAAGGAGGCAGAGAGCTGGTGGCACAAGGCGATCCGTCTTCGACCTGGCTACTACGATGCGGCAGAGAATCTCCTCGGTGTTCTATGCAGCCCAGCCAAAGGAGGTCCAGAGGGGAGTGGCAAGGGCGGCCCACGCTGGGATGAAGCGCTCAAGCTATGCGAGCATGTCGAGTCGCATGTGCTCGCGCTCCGCCCTTCGTCGTCGGATGATCGACTGCACAAGCTGCCTAACACCAATGGCAGCACCATCAGGAAAGGCGATGAGCCGCTACACCTGCCGCGTAGCTTGAATGTGGGCAATTTGCCTCGCCTGCAGGGAATCCTGTATGCCAAGGGAAACCTCAAATTCGCGCTGATGGAGAGTGGCATACCGGCTGCCCGAGACTACATGAGGGCGGTCGAGCTGGTGAGTACGAGCGTGGACGAAGACGGAAGCCAATCACCTAATTGACCATACCTGCCCCACTCTCGCAGGTCGTCTCTACCTCTGAGTCCCGTGCCTACAGCTGTCGCGACCTCGTCACCGCCACCTGCGTCGCAGGCATTGTCTCGACAGGCGTCATGCTACCAGGATCTGCAGCAGCAAGCGCGGCCGTCGAGATGATGCACGCCCTCGCTCTTGACCCAAGTGATCCACAGACGACACAGCTGGCTACCTCGGGACAATGGTCGAGGATTGCGCCGGGAGGGCTACTTGCGCTCGTACACAGCGCGGGCGACAATCTGGTCAAGACGATGCTGCGACTCGGCGGTGGGCAACTTCCCATGGTCATGCTTCTCCCGGAGCCCGCCATGAAGATCACTCATCATCTCTTTGACGAGTACCAGGGCAGATTGCCGTCCCTCGTCGCTGCTCGCCGAAATCACGGCGAGGCGCACAATCCCAAGGCAGTCCAGCAATGTGTGCAGACGACGAGCACCATCTTCCTCACTCTTTCGAAGCTATTTCAAGACGCGACTGCCAACCCTGCGCCATCGCAGCACGGTGTGCTCACCCTGGGCGGCATCCCACCGTCGACCTCCCTCCTGCTGCCTCTTTACTACCTTGCCCTAGCCCTCAACCCCTCTGCGTCAACCTGCAACAACCTGGGCATCCTCCTCAGCGGCCTTCCCGTCGTAACTGTCATCGCCAACCCTGCCGGACAGCCGCAGACGGTTAATGGACAGGGGCTCGCCATGTGCTACTACCAAGCTGGCATTTCCATGGACAACACACATCCTCATTTGTACACCAATCTGGGCTCACTTCTCAAGGATCTCGGCCACCTGAAGGAGGCCATTCAGAACTACGAGAAGGCGGTGCATCTGCATCCAACCTTTGATGTTGCGCTCGCGAATCTAGGAAACAGTCTGCGCGATGCGAGTAGGACGGAGGAGGCGCTCCCGTACTATCGCCGTGCGTTGGCTGCCAATCCTTCTGCGCAGATGCCGGAGGCCATGTGCGGCTTGCTCAATGGTTTGCTCTCACTCAGCGACTGGGACGAGGCCTTTGCCAAGCCGAACGGGCTACTCTACCAGACTGCTGCCCTCGTGGAGAAGCAGCTAAGTGATGGTGCTCGCTATGGGTCTGGGGCATTGCAAGCTTCTAATTCGCTGCAGAACTGGCTGCGCGTCATCCTTGTCTCGATCGGAGATGGGCGCGAGGAGGTTGCGGCCAAGTGGGCACAGCAACTCAAGACCTTTTTTGGCCCGCTGGACCGCAGCAAACTGCAGATCAACGAAGGTGGCTTCGTCATCCGCCTGATCGAGCACCTGCACAAGCGCAGTCAGCGCAGGTGGTATCGGGAGCATTATGGGCAAGTGAGCAGCGCCACTTCACAGCAGCCTCGCATCCAACCCACGCAGGGAGATGTCGCTCGCTACCCGAAGATCAACCTCCCCTCGGCCCTCGTCACGCCCATGGTACCGACGGTCCTACCATTTCACACCTTCTCCTACGGCATCGAAGGCATCATGTCCGCCCGCGCCATCCGCCTCATCTCGCATCGCAACGGCTTGCGCATCTCCCAGACGAGCTTGAGTCAGCCGTGGCTACCTCCCCACGTTTATCCACCTCCTCCACCCCCTGCACCCAAGATCCGCGTTGGATACGTCTCGAGCGACTTCAACAATCACCCGCTCGCCCACCTGATGCAATCCGTCTTTGGGTTTCACGATGCGAAGCGCTTCGAAGTCTTCCTGTACGCGACGACGGCCAGCGACAGTTCGCCGTACCGCAAGAAGATTGAGGGAGAGGCGCAGCACTTCTATGATGTGTCGGCATACTCGACGAGTCAGATCATCGATCGAGTGCTTCACGATGGGATCCACATCCTCATGAACCTGAATGGGTACACCAAGGGGGCGCGCAACGAAGTTTTCGCGGCCAGGCCGTGCCCGGTTCAGATGCAGTTCATGGGCTTCGCGGGCGGGATGGCCAGCAGTTGGACCGACTACACGGTTGCGGACGAGATCGTCTGCCCGCCCGAAGTCACCGCTGCGGAGCAGTGGAGGCAGAGGCTTACGAGCGAAGGAGGAGTGCGCCCCACCGACTTGCCCGGCGACATCGACCCCGAGGAGTCCAGCAATGCGTGGATGTACACTGAACGCTTCATCTACATGCCCCACTCCTATTTTGTCAACGACCACAAGCAAGGCTTCCGTGAGCCGGAGCTTCGTCGCTCTGACCTTCACGGTGGAGTCGTGCGCCCACACGAGATGTCTCACACCGAGGCTTGGGCTGAGGAGGAGGAGCGTCGCTGGAAGGCGCGCAAGGAGTTGTTCCCTGGCTTGCCGGACGACTTCGTCGTGTTTGCCACCTTCAACCAGATCTACAAGATCGAACCAGTCGTCTTCCGCGCTTGGCTTGACGTCCTGCAGCGAGTGCCCAACTCGATTCTGTGGCTCCTTCGCTTCCCAGCTGCGGGAGAGCCCAACATCCTGCGCACGGCGAGGGAGTGGGCGGGGGATGAGGTCTGCTCTCGCATCGTCTTTACGGACGTGGCGCCCAAGGAGGAGCACATCCGCCGCGGTAGGGTTGCGGACCTTTTCCTCGACACGTTTGAGGTCAACGCGCACACGACGGCATGTGACTGCCTGTGGAGCGGTACGCCCATCTTGACTTTGCCCAAGTGGAAGGCCAAGCAGGCTAGCTTGGTGGCAGCGAGTATCGCGAGGGCGACGGGGTATGGGGAGCAGATGATTGTGGGTAGTGTAGAGGAGTATGTGACCAGGGCGGTCGAGCTTGCGCAGTCGGTGCGCTACGAGTATGTAGGGGCCGAGGGCGAGAAGCTGGAGGAAATAGCCGAGGCAGGAGCAAGCATTGCGGCCTCGGAGCTGACGAGGGTAGGGGCGAGTGCACAGCTGGCTGCCCAGGCTCAACAGCAGGCTCAGGCGCAAGCTCAAGCCCAAGCCCAAGCTCAGGCTCAGTCCCGTGCTACCAACGGAGGCTCGTCCGCAGAGGCGCCTGTACCAGCTCCCGTATCCGCCGCCCCACAGAAGGTCAACGATACAGCCAAGCTCGTGGCGGCAGCCGTCGCTCCCTCCCGCGAGTCCATCCGCCTGCCCATCGGTCCTCAAGCTCCCAGTAGCACATTCACTCGCCGCGGCTCAGGCCAGCTACTCGAGCTGCGTCGCAATCTCTTCCTCCATCGGGACACAATGCCCTTGTTCGATACGGAAGGATGGGTGCGCGATTTGGAACGCGGCTACGAGGAGGCGTGGCGACGCTGGGCTTTGGGCACGGACGTGGAAGAAAGTCAAGAGTGGGATGCGCTGCAGAGTGAGGATGAGCGAGCAGCCAGCAGCGGTCACATCTTTGTTGGGCAGCTGGGCAGTGCGTGAGAGCGGGAGAGAGAGAGACGATGTTGTACACGTAGCTGCTCCATTCTTTGCCTCGCGTGTACCCCGATCGCAACCTGCAATGCCGAAGCCCGATCAGCAAGTAGAAGAAGGGATGGTCTCATAAGACGTGGTGTTGGTCTCTCCCTGTCTCTCCCCCTCTAACTTTGGCGTGGCGGCGCGTTGCTCCCGCCTTTGCCTGTCCGTCCGTCCGTCCGCCCGCGGTCCGTTGATGCGGCGATCTTCGATTGAGTCTCGTAGATTTCCTCCCTCGCTCGCAACACCTCCTCCTCCTCCTCCTCCAACACCACACTCTCTTCACGCCGGGCATGCCACTCCCCGCACATCTCGAGCATGTGCCGGGTCCTCCGCTGCCCGTACCATCGTGGGTACCAAAGGGATTCTTGAGCGTCCTCGTTGCTGCGATCCTCAATGCAGCTACCCGCCTAGAGACGTCGACGTCCGTCTCCCTCTCCCTTGCCCGCTTCAAAGCCTGGTTGCCTACCACGACACGCAAAGAGCGCTTCAAATTCGCCATCATGATCACAATTGCCCTCTTCTCCATGTTTATCATGGGCAGTCCAGGCTTTCCGCTCAAGCTGGCCATCCCTGCGCTTTACATTACGGCCATTCTTCTGCCCATCACATCTCAATTCTTCTTGCCGGCTTCGCCCATCTTTTTGTGGCTACTCTTCTACTACTCGTCTGGATTCTTGTCACCGTCCACTCGCCCTCACATCTGGGTGAGCGTGCTTCCTACGCTGGAGACTATCTGGTATGGGGCCAACATTTCGGACATCCTGACTCGAGCCGGGCATCCTGTTTTGGACGTCCTTGCGTGGATTCCGTACGGCATCGTGCATTTTGCTGGGCCTTTCTTTGTTGCTGCTTTCCTCTTCGTCTTTGGACCGCCGGGCAGCGTCAAGTTCTTTGGGTCGGCTTTTGGGTTCCTGAACCTGGTGGGAGTCATTATTCAGGTGACGTTCCCTACTGCGCCGCCTTGGTACGAGTTGAGAGAGGGATTGACGCCAGCCAACTACAGCATGAAGGGTGAGTGCGGCGAGCGTGACAAGCTAGGCATGGTGGTGTCAAAGCTGACCCTTTGCCTTCTTGGTGGTACGCTCTAGGCTCCCCGGCCGGCCTCGCACGCATCGACGCCCTCTTTGGCGGGCACGGCTACACGCTCACATTCACCAATGCTCCAGTCCCCTTTGGCGCATTCCCCTCGCTCCACGCCGGGAGCGCAACGATGGAAGCGCTCTTCTGCAGCTACTTTTTCCCTATTCAGCTCTCACTCGGTGATGGTAGCGGGCGAGGGCTACTGGGCCGCTGGCTAGGCAAGGGCAACAAGTTGGCAATCGACGTGCGCATTTTCTACTGGATGTACGCCTTTTGGCTCTACTGGTGCACCATGTACCTCCAGCACCACTACCTCGTCGACCTGGTCGGAGGAGGATGCCTGGCAACGCTGAGCTTCTATCTGTTCCTCGACGACACGCAGAGACACTACATGGAGGAGTACTACCCAACGAATCCATCTGCTCCTGCGCCTTTTACTACATTAATGCAGGCGTCGCAGTCGCAGCTGCACTTGGAGAGGCGGTCAGAGGATGTCGCAATGAGTGCGCTGCCACGCAGAAGCAGTGATGTTGAGGCGGCTGCGAGAGGGAGCAACGGCGCTGCGGTCAAGGGGAGAGAGGACTCTGAGACGCTGTTCGCGGTCACGGAGGAGGGGGAAGAGGTTGCTAGCAGATCAGCGACGCCAAAGCCCGTACCTGGCAAGGAGGCGACAAAGGCGAAGGAGTCATCACGGCAAGACGCAGAGAGGGACTCATTTGACGATTGGGGGGCGTAGAAGTGTGGACACGAAGGATCGAATTCTTGACGATGCAGCCCTTTCGACATCTCACTGCTGCTGTAATGACAATCACTTTCTCGTCACGAGGAGGTCACTACGCTACCGCCGGCTGTCAATCGGGGCCTGAGTGGGCGAGTGAACAGGCAGGTCCATGCTTGGCGGAATGGGGGTCACGTCGCCTTCAATCTTATGCGCGAGAGTCGAGGTCGAATAAAATTCGCCGACGCAGGCGTGTAGGGAGATGACGTATATGGTACGACAGGCGAGCTTGCTCCCATTTACGGATTCGGTGGGGCTCGTCGGCGACGAGAAGTGTGAGAATTCATCACGGCCTGGTTCCAGCTTTGGTTAAGCAAACTTCATGACGAGGGCCATGACGAGGGCCGTGACGAGGGCCGGGCGAGACCATGCTATGTTATGCTATGCTCTGGGCCGCAGATGCCGGCGACGTGAGTTGAGGCGCCGCTTTGTCTGCGGGTCTGTGGAGGGCTGTGTGTGGGTGGCCCTTTGTCGCCGCGAGTCGCGGAAAGCGGCGGCCGTCGCACAAGGGGAAATCGAGGCATGGGCGATCCAGCCTCGCCGCCGCCGTGCAGCAGTGCGTCGTGCGTCATCGGTCGAGCGGAGCGGCCATCCGTTCGTATAAGGGACAAGAAAATGCGACGCTTCCTCAATCACGTCTCTTTTCCTCTGCATCCATTCTGCAACAACCGCCCGCCACCACCAAGCTACCTACCTACCTAGCTACCTCCCACGCACAGCATGGTCGACTTTTCCTCGCACGTCCGCAGGGGCCACCCCATCACCTTTGGCGTCCTCGTCTTCATCTCCCTCGTCGTTGCCATCATCGCTTCGGTCTTGACGCACGACTACAATGCTGTGCGTGTGGCGCGGCCTGGCCGAGTTCCAAAGAGTTGAGAGGCTGACTCTTCCAATCGCACGCACGCGCAGAACTACTTCCAGGGCGATGAGCTCCACGACCAGCCGCTGGTCAACCGCGTTCACTTCTGGGTCTTTACCGGATGGTGGACCTTCCTCTTCTCCATCGCCTACGTGAGTGCGGCGTGTCAATGAAGCGGACTCAATGCGGGACAGCTAGAGACTGACTGCTTCCCCTTACCTCCTCCCTCGCGTAGACTGCCCTCTTCCTGACCGGTGTCGGTGGAGTCGTCACCTCGATTGCAGGGCACGGCATCTGGCTGTTCCTCACCTGGATCTTCTGGCTCGCAGGCTCGGCCTCGCTCGCCAACCGCATTGGCACTGACTGCTCCAACCACGGCTACTACTACTGCAATTCCCTCCGCGCTCTCGAGGCGTTTGGCTGGATCGGATGGGCTCTCCTCACCATCATGCTCGCTGTCGTTGCCGCTATTGGCGGCGGCGCTTTCCGTGGTGGGCGTGGGCTCAAGGACGGCCTGAGCGAGGCGTAAAAAGACGTACCCCACACTTCCACCACGTTGCGTTACGGGAACCAGCAGGTCGTGCGCCGAGGTGACTCGGTAGCATCAGGCACAGCCTCGTCACTTGGTGCACGCCCACGATACCCTTTCCTCTCCGCAGCGTCGAAGACAAACATCCACACCTCTACCTAATCCTCTCGAACGACCTTCTACACTCCCCTCATCCCCACACGTTCGTCTTCTTGATACTCTATTCCTTGCTGTTCGTCTTTGCCCTCTCAATCGATCAGTATTCTCTGCCCACCCTTGCCCTGACGCGTCCGCCGTCACACCCAGTCTGCACCGCGTAGCCGCAAGTCCTTGCGTCCTTCAACAGGACAGGATCCGAGGTCATCGTAGGCACGCTCATCTTCAAGCTGTGGGGCTCGAGCATCTTCTTAAGGTCAAGTAGGTATGCAAGAAGCGCGCCTTGGCGACAATTCTGCACAGGGTCACGACAGAGCACTCGAATCGATCGAATTGCTTGACATGCGTTGTGATCCCTCTCAAGATCAGGCGCAGTACAGCCACAAGTCATCGCCCTTGGAGTAGGACTTGACCTCATCGTGGGTCACCTTGACGGCCGAGTTACTGGCAAAGAAGCCCTGCGCAGTGGCGAGTGACACTCGGAGACGTGGTCAGCGTTACGGAATCGGTACCCCAGCCACCTTGCGTTGCAGACGTACGGATAGCTTTCCATTGACCTGCTGCGTCTTTCCATTGAAGTAGGCATCCTTGTCTTTGCCTGCGTAGTCAAAGCCCCAAGCTCCTTGACCGCCGCAGCCCAGGATGTCGCCATTACCCCCAGCCGGGTCAATGACGTAGAGGGTGCCTTGCACATTCCTACCGAGGGGGCCAGAGGCGGTGATGTTCTTGCCTGTAACGGTGATGCCCTTTCCGGCGCTGCGGATGGCGAAGTCTGATGAGCATTGCCTCGACCGTGCTGTTGCTTTCGCACTCACATGATGCAAGACAGCTCAGGGTCCGTGGTACACGTCAGCGCAGCGCTGGCATGAGCCGTCGTAGCGGCGGTAGCAATGACAACAAGGAGGTAAGCGGCGAACATGCTGTCAGCACAGGATGCTGTCGTATGAGGAGGCAAGAGGGGGGAGAAGACGTCGTTGACGTGCTCGAGCGACGATATTCACTGCCGGCACGTTGCCCAGTGAGCCCGCTACCCTTTACGGACAGGAGTGTGCGGCGCACGAGCCTCTCATTGCATTCAGCATTGTGCAGGCAGCGAAAGATATAGTCGGCGGGAATCGAGCATCGCCTTACAACCTATCGCAAGGGTCAAAGCAAGTTGAGCGTCACGAGGGAGACGGCCAAACTGTCCATCGACGCAGTCTCTCGAAACAGTCTGTATCGACCCCATAAGCGCATTTGTCTCTAACAACTTGTCGGCACTGGTGCTGCGGCAAGGTTGCGAGAGGAACGGCGGAAGTCAAGGGAGGAGATTGGATTTCTCTAAAGGAGGAAGTACTCTTTCGCGTTCTGATATACGAACTTGTCTTCTTCAGGAGCGCTCGCCTGCGCTGAGCTCGAAAGCTGTGCCGTCGTATGTAGCACAAGGAGCCTAAGGCAGCAAAGATAAGTCCCTTGTCGTCAGATTCCCCCGAAAACTTTGGAGCTCATGGCACAGTAGACAGTCATGTCGTCCCCCTTCGTGACGGACTTGACTTCGTCGCGCGTCACCATCATCGTAGGATTGCTGTTGAAGAAGCCCTGCGGATTCAATGTAAGGGTGTCAGCCATAGCACACGGTGAAAGCTTGGCCACGCTGACTCACACTGAGTTTGCCGTTGACCTGCTGCATCTTGCCACTGAAGGAAGCCTCCTTGCTTTCGCCAGTGTAATCGAAGAGCCAGGTGGCCTGGCCCTGACAGCCCGTGATATTGCCAGATCCGCCAGCCTTGTCAATCAGATGGACCATACCCGGCAATCCCGGACCAGGGGCTACAGAGCTAGCAATACCCTTACCCGTAACATTGATTCCGGCAGCAGCGCTGCGTGGGAGCACGGCAAGAAGGAAGAGGCAACCCGGCTCAGCGACTGGCAGCAACTCGACCTGCAGCGATACTCACAAGATGCACGACTGCTCCAAGTCCGTAGTGCACTGGAGCGCGGGATCGATCTGAGCTTCGCCCTCAGCGCGGGCGATAGCGAGGGCGACAGCCACGGCGATGAGAAGATAGGCCTTGGTGAACATGCTGCGATACGAGAGGGGCAACGGGGGTCTCAATGGCTGAAAGAAAGAGGCTCGGCCAAAGCTGAAGGATCTTCGCCCCTTTCAGTACTTCGTCCGGTGCCCCGCTGCCCTTTGGTCAACCCTCTGCCTTTCGTCAATTGGCTGGGCAGCAGGGTTCATGGTATGCCGCTCGCGCGACACATCTCGCCAGCAGACGACGTCACGGCGCGCAGAATGTGGTCAAATGCGTACGAGCCCATGAGAGAACGGGCACTATGTACCCCGCGCGAAAGGAGTTGGAAGGCTACTTGGAAGAATACATTGATACGGCAATAGAGACGTTGGCGGCAGTGTGCCCTCCATCTAGGCCTGAAAGTGCGTGGCGATTATAAGCGTGCCAGTCAGGACGCGTATGCGCTGCGGACTCACTGTGCAGAAGATTGATAGATCATCGCCAACGGACCTCGATCTGATCTCGCCGTGCGTCGTACCGTTGCTCTGATCGCTGCTGAAGAAAGCCTGTGAGGCAGTCGTGGCAGGGCCGTCATTCTCGGGAGACCTCCCGACCTCAGAGACCAGGCCACGCTCACCGAAAGCTTTCCGTTCACCTGCTGTGTCTTGCCGCTGAAGTATGCGTCCCTGCTCTTCCCACGAAAGTCGAACCCCCACCACCCTTGCCCGTCGCAGCCAAGGGTGGATCCCCAGCCACCGACCTTGTCGATGAGGTAAAGTGTGCCAGTGGAGCCGCCGCCAATTGGGCCAGAGCCGATGATCCCAGTGCCTTTCACGATGACACCTTGGCCGGCGCTGCGGGAAGACAATCTATCAGTGCGCTAGATCAGCCTACTTACCGGGACCACACAAGCTCACAAAATGCAAGACTGTTCTGCGTCAATCGAGCAGAGGAACGCCGTTCTGATCTGCGTTGTGGCCATGCGGTCTGCGAAGGCCAGAGCAGTAACGATGAACAAGAGGCGCCTGACGAGCATGGCGACGAAGCGCAGAGTCGACTGAGAGATGAAGGAAGAGGACTGTCATATATGGTCTGAATCAAGGCTGCGCTCGTGCACTGCAAGTTCAGGGACAATCGGCAAATACGTTTCCGCTTGAGCTGGACCGTAGCCCGCGTGCGCAGTGAGATTGCTTGCACGGCAGCGGTCGGAACGCTGTCCGCTGAAAGAGCGGTCCGTCGCCTTCATCAGAAGGCAAGTAGAAGCGGTATGAGCACTGTACCGGCAAGAAATGAGCGGGTGATTGGTAGGGTGAGAGGTGGGGAGGGAAGCGAGCCGTCTCGAACGCGTCGCCGCTGAATCCGACGTCGTTTTCTGTGAGTCGTTTTGGGTTGAGAATATATTCTGCTTTTGCGTCAAGATTGACAAAGGCCGGCGTAGCCCAATGGTAGGGCGTTGCTTTCCTAAGTTTGTCATAATCGCAAATCAAGCAGAGGTTGCGGGTTCGAGTCCCGCCGTTGGTTTTTTGCCGCGTTCTTTTGGCCGTTTTCCTCGGCCTGGACACACTGTGTGGTGTTCGTTTGATCTGCATTGGATAGTTCATATCCCAGAGCAGGTCTTCTAGCGGCTTGGTGGTGCTGCACGCACTCTGCGCTGAGTGGTGCTCGTTACCGTCGCGACCTCCGAAGCTCATGGTGCCCGCGGCGCCTGCGAGGGGCCCGAGGGTAGGGACGACGTGTGAGGCATACGAGGACTGTGGGAGCTCTACCAGCTCGGGAGATGAAGGGCAGGTACACAGTAGCGCAGCACAAGTAGGCATGTATCCTCTTGAACGTGCCCGGTGACCGTACTCTAACGTCATTCTTCCTCTGACACTCTCCTATGCTCGCTTCGCCTCTTCCGTTGATGGGCGAGGGAGTCAAAGCGGGGCGCGGCTGCAAGGTTGCTCTCTCCGCCGGTTGGACGAGCTTTCTTTCACTTCATTTCTTCCTATCACCAACGCTCGCAGCGACATCGTCTTCGACATGAGCGGTGGCAAGAGCAGCGACCAGACTGCAACGGCGTCAACGTCGTCATCACCACCTCACACTCTGGACACATTCCGGCCTCTACTCAAGTCGCTGATCCTCTCAATCCCCATTCCGGGCATTCCTTCCACCTCGTCTTCCTCCTCTGCTCCTCCCGGTCTGGACGAAGCTTCTCTCCGCCACCTCTTCGACCACCTCTCCGACCCCGAATTCACCTCCAATCATGCACACCACGCACAATTGGGCTCCACACTGAGCGGCATGCGCCTTGGCGGGCTGGACGTTCGGCCAGAGACGCTGCTCGTCGCGAGTCAGACCTTCCTTGCGAAATGCATTGCTGTAGAATCGCAGGACGAGGTGTGTAGCTTGACGACGAAGGGCGAGGCGCAGAGGCGGCTACAGCAGGAGGCAGGCTGGGTCACGTCCGATGTCAGCGAGGCCGACCTGCTCGCCCGCCTGACAGCATACAATGGGACGCTGGACCTCGTAGGGACAGGCGGAGATGGCCAGGATACATTCAACGTCTCTACTACGGCAGCAATGGTCGCCTCAGGTGTGCCCGGCGTGAGAAGCTGCAAGCACGGCGCCAAAGCCTCGTCGTCTACTTCGGGAAGCGCAGACCTGCTCCTCTCCCTCGGTATCCCGCTCCTCTCCCTCACACCCGCAACGCTCAGCCCTCTGGTTGCGACTTGCTCCTTCGTATTCCTCTTTGCGCAACTCTTCCACCCATCGCTCGCGCCCCTCGGACCGATCAGGAGAGCGCTGGGCCATCCGACGATCTTCAATGTACTAGGTCCGCTCATCAACCCGGCAAGACCGAGACGGTGCATCCTTGGCGTGCACTCAGCTTATCTGGGCAATATCTTTGCCGAAGCGCTCAGGAAGCGGGGCTGTGAGAGGGCTTGGGTAGTGTGTGGCAAGGAAGGGCTGGATGAAATTAGTATAGAGGGCGAGACGGATGTGAGTCGGCGCCGGGATGCAGGTCTCTTTACGGCGAGGGGGAGCTGACCTTGCCCCCCCCTCCCTCTCTTGCTCTTCTCACGCAGGTCTGGGAGCTCGACGGCAACGATATTCGTCACATCACCATTTCACCGCAAGACTTTGGTCTGCAATCCTACCCGCTCACGCAAGTCGCGAGTTACACCTCGGACGAGAACGCAGCCATCGTCCTCCGCCTCCTCGGTGCACGAGACTATCCAGACTCGACCGACCCGCCATCTCTCGCCTCGTCCGTACCTTCCGCAGCCAACCTCGAGGCAATCGAGGCTTACACCATCCTTCAAGCCTCGGCCCTCCTCTATGTAGGCGGGCACGCAAACTCATACACAGAGGCAAGCAGACTAGCGCGACAGAGCATGAAGAGCGGAGCTGCTCTGCGGTCCCTGCGCGAGTTCAGGGCAAAGGCGAAGGAGGCAGTCATGCAAAGGGAGAAAGAGATTGCAGCTGCCGGTGAAGAGGAGAAGAGGCGGAGGGAGCGAGAGGAGCAAGATGCGCGGGCGAGCGTGGCTCATGATAGAAAGACAGGAGACGACGGATTCTTCTATGCGCCGGCGCCTTCGAGGAGTGTGGGGGTGGGGACGGAGGACGCATAGTCGGTGCGAGGATAGAGCATGTCAAGCCTTCTCATCTAATGCGCATTGCTTCTTGCGCCTTCTGCTCCGTCTCGATGGAGATAGAGTGAGCACACGCTCCGCATCAGGCCTCTCGTCCGAGATGTGTACAATGGGTTGGTCTTGGGCTCGTTGATGGGTCGCACCTGGCAATGATAATGGAAAGGGCGGGGCCACAGTGTGCCCAATTTGATTTCTTCATCGACCTCCCCTCCCAGCCACCACACCCACCACCTTGCCCAGCAAGCCTTGATCTGCATTGCCCCTCTGCCCTCCCATCTCTTCCAACCCCACGCAAGTCACTACTACCGCTCCCAGGTAAAGCACCATCACCACCGCGCCGACGAAGCTCGAAGCATGCATCGTCTGCATAGACAGGTTGACCAGCCCGGTGAGCAGGTTGGCGACCAGGAAAGCGCGTAGCGAGTGGGTATTGAGGGTTGAGAGCAGGAGTGGAGTGGTTGGTAGCGGTCGAGGGAGGGCGACGTCCAAGGAGGTGGTGCCATTGCTGCTGGTGTAGGGCGAGTCGAAGGAGGAGCTTGAAGGTGATGCGGCCAGCCCGTCCCCGGCGTCGCCATCGGCGCTTGACTGTCTCCCGGAGCGTCCCCGCTGCGATTGCGGCGTCGCATACTCAACGTCGAGCAGCAGAGCCCGATAGACACAGGCATACGCGGCAAGAAAGCTCGCATTGAACGCTGCGACCCACAGCACGTACGGCGCGTTGGCCAATCGTCGACTGACGACACGAGTGAGCGTGTTCGTCGCCCCCACCACCGCAATGCCCGGCTCCGCTCGCCGATAACCATCCTGCAGAAGGAATGACAAGGCCCAGGCGCTGAGCGCGAGCACGACCCAGTATATGATGGCCCACGAGCTCAGGATGGCGCAAAGGCTGCTGAGACGCTTGAGCTGAGTGCGACGCGCGCTCGTCAAAGCAGCCTTGATGTCGATGCGACCGTCGCTGCCTGTGCGCGTGTGGCCGTGCGATGGTGCCGCGATGACTGGTTCCTTTGGCTCTGCATCGTCTTCGCCTTCCTCATCGCTCCCTTCTCGCCTATCACCGTTCATTTTGACCCTCCTGAAGGCCTGATACGGATCCACCTTCGGCAGGACGTAAAGCCCCATATCCGTCGCGAGGAGCATGATGGCCAAGTAGCCAGGTAAGGAGCAAATCCCTTCCCTGTTGGCCGCGAACAACGACGCCTGCCTGTCCACCTTCTCGTCGAGCACGTACCTCTGCATCCCACCCCACCTCAGTGCGACTTGATGCATCGCGGCTATCCCCAATCCCCAGGTGCTCCACCTGCCCTTGCCCGCGAAGCCCATCTCCCTCACAAATGCGACGAGCGTCTTGAGTGGTGGAAGCGCGGAGAGGGTGAGAAAGAAGCTCCAATGCGCTCCGTACTCGGTGATGTGCTCAGGGTAAGCCGTGAGGCGGACGCTGACTGCTCGAATGAGGCCTAGAGCGAGCAACGGCAAGCACTTTCCCATATCCTTGCGCAGCCCCTCCAAAAGAGTACGCAAGGCCGAATTGGTCGACGGTGAATCCAGCGCCTTGAGCTGAGCTCCCGCTCCCACCAGCCCCAGCGAGAAGACAAAGCTGCCCACTCCCAGATCCATCAAACTGGCGCCCCACGTCTCGCACTTCCCTAGCGCGCGAGGGAAGAGGGGGAAATCCACCGCAAGGATGCAAGCGCAAGTGATGAGCATCATGTGCGCGCGATATACGGTGAGAAAGGGGTCGTGCGCGTGACTGCGGGGGGCTGGGGAAGAGGTTGTCGAGGGAAGTCGCATTGGTGGAGTGAGACCCAGACCGAGACCTAGACCGAGGCCTCGTCGTGATGAGCTGCCTGATCGACTCATTGAGACAGGACTGCCGGTGCGGCTCCCTTCTCCTTGTCGTGCAGAGGGGTCGACCCACGCTTCTGGCGGGTGAGCTTCGCCATGTGCTTGGTCTGCGGCTGATTCTATCGATACGCGGATCCCTCCGTTCTCTTCGCCATCAACATCGCTTTGGATTCGCGGTCTTGGCTTGGCAGCAGCACGCCTCGCCTCTCTCCGCTCAATCTCCTCCAACTCTCGCTCTTCGTCGTCTGACTCCCAGTGTGAGCGCGCTTGGCGCTTGCGTCTACGAGCTACTGCGCTTTCCAATGGGATGGCATCTCCTATGGTGTCGTCATCTGATCCTGTCTGCCTTGCGATTCGCCGTCTCTGCTTGGAGTCTGGGCGCACATCGTAGCTCGATTGACTGTACAGGGCGCTCGCTTCGTCCTCATCGTCTTCATTATCCGATGCTGCAGCCTGCTTTCCCTTACCATCGACAGCTCTCCCACGAGCTATCGACAATGCTGCCTGCTCCAGTATTCGAGCCTGACGATAGAGTCCCGCAGCCAAGGCACAGATGAGGGCTGAGAGGGTGAGCGCAGCGCCCGTGCTTGAGGAGACAGTGATGCTGAGGAGGAGTGGCACGACGGTTGTGCCAAACTCGATGGCAACGACTGTGAAGCGGGCTTGCCTGACTGAAGGTGAAGATGAGGAAGAGGATCGATCCTGGGCTTGCCTGTAGAGGTGGGTGAGGGAGTGGAGGGCCGCGGACAGCCGGGTAGGGATCGGTGACAGGTAGTCGCGCCGGCGTGCTGATGCTCCGGCCCCATTACCAGCTGAATAGCGCTCGTGCGCAGCTAGTAGTCGTAGAGTCGCAGCGTAGAGGGCATACGTGGCAATGGACGTCGATGAGATTGCGTTTACCCGCGTCAGTGAGTCGCCCAAGTTGTTGGAGACGAATAAGACTTTGGCGTCGGCGTACGTCGATGAGGCGGCCGAGGTGGATGCCATGCTGGATGTGGTGATGGCGGTGATGCTGAGTATTTTACGCTGAAAGAGTAAGAGCTATGGAGCAGGCATTTTTTGATATGTCAATTGGTCTATGGGGATGCAAAGCAAGTAGTGACAGTGGGCCACTGAGTCGAGGTCTGTGGCCGACGCGTGCGCCGGACTGGCCTCGCTCGTCGTGCTCCGTCGGTGCTCGGGCCCCTCCTTTGACCCACTCGGGACTCGGTTGCCTTGAGCGCAGCGATCACTCAACCCCACCTTCCTTCCTTCCTTACCACCAAGTCCCCTCCGCCGCTTCCCACAATGGCGTCCTCTTCCTCCTCGGGCTCAACCTCAACAGCCCGGGGCTCAGGCGCCCGGGACCAACACCTCATCGTCGTCTCTAATCGCCTCCCCGTAACAATCAAGGCAGACAGCAGTGTACCCGGAGGCTACACCTTCTCCCTTTCCTCTGGCGGACTCGTATCCGCACTTTCGGGCGCCAAGAAGAGCATGTCTTTTACTTGGATTGGCTGGCCTGGCCTATCGGTTCCAACAGCCGACGAAGCCTACATCGCAGAGAAGCTCAAGCACGACTACTCGTGCGAGCCAGTATGGCTCGACGATGATGTAGCTGATGCCCACTATAATGGCTTCTCCAACTCGATCCTGTGGCCCTTGTTCCACTATCATCCGGGAGAGATGGAGTTTGATGAGCATCACTGGCTTGCATATAGGGAGGCGAATTTGAGCTTTGCCGAAAAGGTGCGAGAGGTCGTCAGGCAGGGCGATATGGTTTGGGTACAGGTGAGTGCAGCGACGACATCAAGCATGGTGAGAGAAGACTCGGCCTGACCTGCTCAACCGCTCCTCCTCACGCAGGACTATCACCTCATGCTGCTCCCCCTCATGCTCCGCACTCTAATCGAGGGCTCTTCAAATCAAGGCGCCCACTCGCAACGAGAGCTAGACCATGTCCGGCACGGCTTGGACGGCACGTCCTTCCTTCAAGGTAGTGAGGACCTCGCCCCTGCTCCTGCGTCTGCCAAGATCCAGCAAGCGCGCGGCAATGGCAAGGGAACGGCCGACGGCTCTTCGCGCCGAGGAGCAATCAAGATTGGCTTCTTTCTGCACACTCCCTTCCCCTCTAGCGAGATCTATCGTATCCTCCCTGTGAGGAGAGAGATCTTGCTAGGCATCTTGCACTGCGACTTGATCGGCTTCCACACCTACGATTATGCCCGTCATTTCCTCTCCGCGTGTACACGCATCCTCGGTATCCCCACCATGCCCAACGGAGCAGAGTTCGAGGGACGATACGTGCACGTCGGTACATTCCCCATTGGTATCGAGCCGGCAACCTTCCAAGACGGGCTCAATCGCGAAGCAGTACAGCAGCGTATCAAGAGCCTGCAGCGTCGATTCGAAGGAGTCAAGATCATCGTGGGCGTAGATCGGCTGGACTACATCAAGGGCGTGCCACAAAAGCTCTACGGACTCGAGCAATTCCTTTCGGACCACCCGGAGTGGGTTGGCAAAGTCGTGCTAGTACAGGTGGCCGTCCCCTCCCGACAGGACGTGGAGGAGTATCAGAACTTGAGAGCAATCGTCAACGAGGCCGTGGGGAGGATCAACGGCCGCTTTGGAACGGTGGAGAGCATGCCGATTCACTTCCTGCACAGGAGCGTCAGTTTCGATGAGCTCTGCGCGCTCTACGCTATCAGTGATGCGTGTCTCGTAACCAGCACCCGTGATGGGATGAATTTGGTGAGCACGCGCAGCTCCTTCACGTCCCAAAGGTCTGGCTGGCACTCACCTCCTTGCACCCCTGCCGCGCACAGGTATCCTACGAATACATCGCCTGCCAAGAATCCCGCAACGGGGTCATGATCCTTTCCGAATTTGCAGGCGCAGCCCAGTCTCTGAATGGGTCACTCATCGTTAACCCTTGGGACAAGTTCGCCGTGGCCGACGCAATTCAAGAGGCCTTGACTATGCCCTCTGAGACGAGGAAGGCCAACTTTGAGAAGTTGAGCAGTGAGTAGGCGCAAAGACGATGATCGGGCGGTAGACGTTGAGCTGACTTGCGTTCCGCCCTCCCTCCCCACCAGGATATGTCGGCAAGCACACGGCGAGCTGGTGGGGATCAAGCTTCGTCAAGGAGCTGCGCGATCTCAAGGTTACTGCGAGAGCAGGAGGGGATGGTACAAGTGTCGACGAAGGGGGAGATGGTTGCGAGGTGGATCACGAACGGTAGCCGAGTGAGGGCGAGAAGGATGCAGAAGGTGTATTCATGTCATGGGGGACGAAAGTGTAACACAGTATGTATATCGCATGACTCCTCGTGCTGGATATCGCTCATCGTGACCTAGCCTCAGAGGCACTGCCCGCCGAGGAGCTCGTGTCGCTCTCATCCTCTTCAGGACCGAAGCCGTCCTCGTCTTCATCATTGTCCCAGGGCGAACGCGGTCCAATAGATCCACGCCCGCCGCTCCAGTCCCGAGGGTGAGCTGGGCCGTACGGAGACGACGGGGCGCCGCCGCGGGTGTGGTGGAAGCGGTATGCTGAATTGCGTCGCGGGCGGGAGGAGGACGGGGGGGCGACGCTATCGGTCGATGACGTGGCTGGCAGCGTGGCAGCTCCATGCTCGTTGCCAACTACCGCTGCTACCCCACCGCCCTGGCTGCTGTTCTGCCTCGAGCGTCGCCTGGGATGATGTCCACTGCTGCTCCCTTCGCGATGATGGTGTCGGTGGCCCACGCTAGGCGAGAGGGCCGCAGCCGTAAGTGCCACGCCGCGAGCCGGGCTAGCACCCATTGCCGCATTGGCCTCTTCCTGGTCAGCATGCGCCGCCAGCCTTTCTCCCCTAGCCTCGAGCAGTTCAATCCCATGATTTGTGCTTGCCTCCCGCCCGCCCGTAGCCCGATCCCCACCCGCAGTGAGCGACTCATCTGCCCCCGTCTCCCCACCTGCTGCACCATGAGCTCCAGAGACCATCGTCTCATCTGCGTCCACGTCTGCATCATGCTCTAGGTCCTCGTCGATCTCATCCGCGTCGCGCCCGCTTGCCTCCTCCATGTAGGCGGAGCGAGCACGGAGTTGACGTGGAAGCTCGCCGGGCGTATTGGGCATGCTGCTCTCCGATCCACGGACACCAAGCCCTGTGCCGTTGCCGACGTCCGCTGGTGTGTTGAGCCCAGAGGCGGTACTTCCGGGAGTCATGGCGGAAAAGCCCATCTTGCCCGCTCCGAGTCGCGGATGGAAGTAATCGCCGCTGGGCAGAGTGTAGGTCGCTTCACCGTCCGTATCCGAAGGTGCGGCGGGCGTGAAGGCCCCTCCTCCGCCTCCGTGACCAGAAGCATCTGTGCCGCTGTCTTGGTGAGGCTCGCCCCATCCCGCGTTGGACGAGCCCGCCGTACTGGGAGGAGCGACAGCATTCGCATACGCGCCTCTGACTGCCTGCTGATTTTGCGCCTGCTGCTCGCGCCTCTGCTTGAGCCTCAACTCCTGCCTACAGCTCCTCCTCCCCCTCTCCACGGCCCGCTCCAGCCTCATACGATTCTCAATCATATGCAGCTTGGGCCAGGTAGCTCTCTGTCCCACCTTCATCATCCTTCCCAACTCTGTACGGTCCGGATCGCTCAGAATCCTCACAAAATCCCAGATGCGGGAGCGCGGATAGATCGTGACGGCCCCGCCAAATCGTTGGAGGAAAACGCCTGACCAATCTGTTCCGAGGAGACGGGGAAGAAGATCTAGATCGCGGATGATCTTGAAGTTGACGGCAAGGTGCAGCTTGAGGACGTGCTCCGAGGCAGAGAGGAGGAACCCGCCACGCCACCCTTTGCCGCGACGGTGAGCCACCGGACGACCAGGGTTGCCAGTGGGGGCGAAGAAGAAGCTGTGCAGAGCGGAAGGTGGAGTGAGTGTCAGTCACTGCGGTCGGCATCGCTCTTCGTCTCGCGGCGCACTTACAGATGAACGTGCGGGTTAACCTGCGACACAATCGGATAGTTGACATGGAACATCGAGTGCAAATCTTGAAGCGGGATGTCCACTCTCAAGCTTCCATCTTTGAAGCGATGACCCCAGTTCCACGGCACGTACTCCCCCTTTCTCGTCTTCTGCATCAAGCAGACGGGCGGCAGCAGACCAGGGACGGCTGCCGAGGCCAGGAGGGCTGACCAAATGACACAGCGTGGTGCCGTGAGGTAATTGAGCAGCTTGACTGGGCTGTTCCTCTCTGACGGGATGACGGATACGTTCAATGTCTTGCCCGTACGCTCGTAGGCTTCCTTGAATGTGAGGCTGCCCAGGGTGAAGAAGCCGGCCTTGTCTGCCCATTGACCAGGATCAAAGCGCGCACCCGTCTGCCATGCTCGCTTCGCCCAGATGCGCAAAGGCTCCTCGCAGGCGGTGATACGGTCGGCGAGCTCTGGTACAAGGAGACGGGAAAGCTCCTCGTCTGTGCGCGTACACGTCAGAGCAGCGATGAGACCGCCGGCGCTGGTGCCAGAAACGATCTTGGGCAGAAGGCCGGCATCCAGGAGTGCTTTGACGAGACCGATGTGGTAGTAGCCGAATGAGCCGCCACCGGAGAGGCACAGTCCTGAGCGCCCTAGATTCTTTGAGACGGCACGGAAGAAGGTGCGCTTCTGCTCTACGGTGATGGTGTCCGTCTTGGTAATGTATTCGAGACCGCGCTCCACTTCGTTGAGGTATTCCTGATGGCGAACGAGCAGGAAGCAAGGTGTCAGTCGCGCTCAGATGAGGGAGCTCGCCGTCCTGGCGCCTTCTCACCTCAATCAAGTACTTGGTACCAAAGTAAGTCTCGCTGTACAAGCGAAAGTTCTCCGTCCCCGCAAAGTTGTTCCTACAACACAAGTCGAGCACAGCCATCAACTCATTGTCGTCGCCCAATTCTCTGAACGTTTTGAGTGAGTGGAGCACTTTCTTGACCAAGATCCAATCATACATCCCTGAGCTGTCCTGCCTCTTCCACCTCTCATGGTCCATGAATTCATCCAACTCCAGCGCCGTGTCCGTCCACTGTGCGAACTCCGTCGCCTTCCTCATCTTGCGGCGCAAGACGCCCTTACGCCCGCGATGAGCTACGAGCCACTCGACGACATTCACTATTTGGCGCGTGAGGACGTAGGCGAAGAATTCAAGGCCGATGGTGAGGAAGATGAAAATGAGGAGAGGCCATCGGAGAAGAGCGTAGACGAAGCCTTCCCTTCGGCCAGAGTCTTTGGTGGTTCGCTCACGGACGGGGGCAAAGTCGGATACGGCAGCGATTTTGCCTACGCGACGGATGGGTGGCTGAGTCGGGATCGTCTGCGTCGGAACAGCGTCGGAGCTATTGTTCGTCGGTGATGTAGGGCCAGTTGGGGAGCGCAGAGAGGGAAGGCCGAGCTTCGCCCAGGCATTTGCTGAGGACGAGGCCGATGCGGGTGGCGGCTCCTGATGACCCTGATCCTCTGCAAGTGCTTCGACGAAGGCCTTTACTGCGGTCGGATCAGAGTAGGTGGCTACGAGGAGAGGATCAAGCTCCTCCGAGGGCTCTGATCGCGGCGATAGAAAGGACGAAAAGCGACGGCGCTCCCGCTCAGCAGAGGGTGGCAGAGGTGAGAGGGATGCCGAGGTGGACGATGCTCCTCCGTTGCCTTCTTGTCGATTATTGGCAGCCTTGCGCTTCCACAAGAGGCCTGACAATGAGAGTCGAGCGGCTCGTCGTTGTCTCAAAGTAGGCTTGGGAGTCGACATCGACGACGACGAGGGAGGCGGCGAGGCTGATGAGGAGGATGCTGAAGGTGACGGCCTCGCCATGTTAGCAGGCCAAGAGGCGGTCGTAGCTGGCGGCGGGTATTATGATGATGTTGACGATCGTAGTCAAGCGAGCTTCGATGCCATTAGAGGAGAGCGAGATGTAGCGATGATAGTACTGTCGGATATCGTCTTGGGGTGCGGGAAGAGGTAGAGATGGATCGAATGGATCGCAAATGCGGTTTTGGCCCCTTTGCCATTCACCGATTTCCCATCTCCGCTGCCCGGACGAGACACGGGAGCGGCGGAGTGGAGGAGAGCGAGCAGCGACGGATGGATGGGGCGATGAGCGAGCGAAACGCGGGGAGGGTGAAAGCGGGCCTCTTCTTCCAAACTCAAGCGCTATTCATTGCCAGACGTCGTCAGCAATTGCGATTGGTATTTTGATATTCAAAGCAATCAAGGATAAGACAGACTGATAACAGTTCCACCATCATATCTCGCTCTTCTTACATCCTGCTGTCATGCACTCGATTAGAGCTCCTCGTGAGCAGCCGACACGGCCGACGAAGCAGAAGCAGAAGCAGCGCTCAGAGCAGATGAGACCGAGGCCGATGCACCAGCAGAGTGACCCTGGCCCACGGCGTCGTGTGCGCCAACGACGACATTGCGGACGCCGTCCTTGAGCTGGTCGAGGAAGCTCTTCTGGGGCACGAAGCGTGCGCGCATCTCACGCTCAAGACCTTCCCTGGTGCTGGGCACGCGGTTGAGGCCCGTAGCCTTGAGGTACTCCTTGAGCTTGGCGTCGCTCCACGAGGTGTAGCTGCGGGCTGAGTCTGCCAGCCACTGGCCGTTGTCTTGCGCCAGCTTCAGAAGCTCGTCACGCTTTGCCTCGACATCTGACTTGAGGTAGCCGTTGGCAACGAGCCCTGTGCGTCCAAGGGAGATTGATTTCAGATCAGTCAGTACCGCCTATCCTCCGAGATCTCTGGATGTGGAACCCACAGTTGCGGAGGTCCGAGTCAGTCCACGTCTTCCAGTAGGCCGACGTGTCCGTGACCGAGTTCCAGTTGTCAGTAACGAGCTTGAGGTACTCATCACGCTTGGCCTCGTAGTCGCTCTTGATGACGTCGTTTGAAATGAGCCACTTGCGAAGGTCAGAGCTGTGAGAGAGAGGCGGCCAGGGTGTTGATCAGTCAGGAGCAACGTGCATACGTAACCTCATGTTCGCGCCCGCCGCACTCACTCCTTCCACGAAGAGAAGACGTAGTCCTTGTTGGCGTCAAAAGTCTTGGTGGCCTGAGCCAGAGCCGACGAAGCCGACTTGGAGGCCTCGGAGGCAGCCGACTCAGCGCTCTTGCTCAACGCAGTTGCCCCAGCCGTAGCATCCTTGCTGGCCGAAGAGGCGGCGCTGCCACCAGCCTTGGACACGCTGGATGCACTCGAAGAAGCCTGAGACGCCAGCGAAGATGCGGCCGAAGGTAAGTCTGAGGCGATGTTGGACGAGAGGCTCGACGCCTGAGCACGTACGACAGACTCGACGGATGAGGCGAGAGAGTAGGCAGACTGAGCAGCCTCAGATGCCTGGGCATTTGCTCCGGCAGTGGCAGAGACGGCACTCTTGGAGAGGGCAGAATAGTCTTGCTTGGCCATTACGATGAGCTGCTCGCGGGTCGACGAGGGCGAGAGGATACCGCGCTCCAAGAGGTAGCTGCGGAGATCCGACCTGTCGAATAAAGGGGGAGAGGACGAAGATTGGCGTCAGCTAAACAAGCCCCACCGTGTATCCTCGCTGCAGGTACGCACTCGGTCCAGGTGTCAAAGGCGGCCTGGAAAACTCGCTGGCCACCAGCCTGAGCATCGTCAATCCAGTTGGCCTGAGCAGGCTGAGCAGCCAGAGCCAGGCAGACGGCAACGAGACCGACGGACAGGAAGCGCTTGGCGATCATGGTGGTGAGGAGGACGAAAGGAGAGACTGAGAAGAAGTGAAGTGTAGTGTGTGTGCGTGTGTGTGTGAGCGCGCGAGGTGGCGAGTGGTGAGGAGAAGAGAGAGAAGAAAGGGGACGTGCGTAAATGAGTTGAGGCTTTGACTTTGCTGCGCTGTTCCCTCATTGGGCCAGGCCAACATCGTTCAGGGCAGGGCAGGAGGCCAGGCCCAGTGGCTTCCCTCGTCCCCTCCTCTCGCGAAGCGCGACGTCATTGAGCTTCGTGGCTTCTCACGGGCCACGCCCCGTCTCCTCACTCTGCTGCTGCAGGGTCTGGCGACGACCGATTCTCTTGACCGACGTGGAGGTTGACCGACCGACCTCCATTTCAACACTCGACACAGACGCAGCCGAGGGAAAAGCGACAGAGCGACGTGGAGCGACGTGGCAAGAGAAGCCGCGCTACGAGCCGGTCAATCTAATTGCGGAGTAACAACGCCAACGCCAGAGGGACAAAGACGATACCGATCAGAGAGCCAATCGACATTGACCTGCGAAGACGCGTCAACTCGACTGCATGGGAAGCGACAGCGTGACCACTCTGGACTTGTTCGGCTTGGAACGCAGTTGTACCTGCCAGCGTGGCGTGATAGAAGCTTGGTCGTCTCTACCATCACTGATCAATCATCATGACGACCCCCAAATCAACGTATTGGCTCGCAGACTTGAAGCGGCAGGGATTGGTGCGTCGTCTCTAAGACGCAACATGATGCGAATGCGACCGTCTACTAACCAGTGGATACGCCCCTCTTCTCCGCAGTCCCCTTACCACTCCAACCCAACCCAATACCCCGTCTTCCGCAGCGTCAAGGACTATGGCGCCAAAGGTGACGGCGTCACGGACGACACAGATGCAATCAACCTCGCCATCAGCACCGGCGGACGGACCGGTGGCGGAGGTCCAGGTATGGACAGCTCTACCATTGCCCCCGCCCTAGTCTACTTCCCCTCCGGCATCTATCGGGTCACCAAGCCCATCATCAGCTACTATTACACTTCCCTCGTCGGTGACGCTACCAATCGCCCAACGCTCAAGGCCGACCCCTCTTTCCAGGGTCTCGCGGTGATTGATGAGAATCCCTATCTTGCCGGCGGAGCAAATTGGTATACGAATCAGAACAACTTTTTCCGCTCTACGAGCCACTTCATCGTTGATTTGACGCAGGTGGTAGAGTGCTCCGGCATTCATCACCAGGTGGCACAGGCTACAACCCTGCGCGACGTACATTTTGAAATGCCTTTGGGAAACAATAGGTGCAAGGGCATCTTCATGGAGAATGGGAGTGGCGGGCATCTGACCGGGTATGTAGGCGGAGGAGCAGAGTGCCTCAACGCGGCGACTTTGCACTGACCCTCTTACTCATCGCGGCAGCCTCACCTTTCGTGGCGGCATGGTAGGAGCCTGGCTGGGCAATCAGCAGTTCACAGTCCAAGACTGCTCCTTCGAAAAATGCCAGATCGCAATCGACGCCTTCTGGTGCTGGACCTTCGTCTACCACCGTATCGCCATCAAGGACTGCCAGACCGCTATCCGGGTCACCGCAGCGATGGTCGACGGGAAAGGAGAGACCGCGCAGGCTGTCTCCTCTATCGCCTGTCTGGACTGGGACGTGCAAAGTACCCCGGTGGCTGTCGACATCATCTCCGACGATACTGGCGCAAGAGGTAGCGTGGTGCTCTCCAACTTCAAGACGGCCAACGTGGACAGCATCGTCGTTCGCTCGGTAAAGAGTGGCCAAACAGTGCTGCTCGCCCCTCCCGACGCTGGATCAACGAGTACAAATTGGTCTTGGCAAGGAGACAATCCGCCTACAAAGTCGACTGATCCGGCTACGGGACCCCTAACGCTGCCTCGCCCGACTTCCATGCTCGATAGCAGTGGGCAATGGCACGTTCAGCCGCGTCCCGACTATCTAGACCTTACCGCGAGCGAATTTCTCTCTGCGCGAGACTACGGCGCTGCAGGTGATGGCGTGCATGACGATACGGCTGCGCTGCAAGCGGTGCTACGTGACTCTGCTGGGTCAGGAAAGGTTGTCTGGCTGCCCCACGGCGACTACGTCATCACCGACACGCTGATCATCCCGCCTGGCTCGCGCATTGTCGGGGAGGTCTTCCCTGTGCTCCTCGGTACAGGCTCCAAGTTCGAAGATGCCAGCGCACCCCGCCCCGTCATTCAAGTAGGGGAGCAGGATGGCCAAGCAGGTCAAGTCGAGATTTCAGATTGCATCTTCTCAACCAAGGGCCCCACGCCAGGTGCAATCGTTCTGCGATGGTGCCTCGCCGGCGGTCCAACCTCCGGGATGTGGGACACGCACATCCGCTTGGGAGGGTGCGCAGGTACCAACCTCGACGACGAGCGCTTCGATGCTGAAAAGCCCATTGACACCACAAACGCCTCGGCAGCCTTCATGGCGTGGCACATCACTCCTCGGGCAAGCGGATGCTTCGTCAACAATTGGGTCTGGCTGGCGGACCATCTCCTCGACACTTCAGGAGGTCGCAACGCGGGCAAACAGTTGTCCCTCCTCGCTGGTCGCGGCATCTTCATCGAGTCCAACCCAGGCCCCGTATGGCTCTGGGGTGGGGCGAGCGAGCATTTCCTGCTTTACCAGTATCAGATGTTCAAGGCACAGAACGTGTTCATTGGCCACGCCCAGACGGAGACTCCATACTTCCTAGGCGAGGGGGTTGCGCTTCCCACCCAGCTCGCGAAGCCCATTACGACGGGTGCGCCGTGGTATGATCCTGACTGGAAGAACACTCCTCCCCCGCAAGCGGGCGATACGGGAACCTTCAACGTCCGATCGTGGGGGATGCGCGTTATTCAGTCGTGGTCTGTCCATATCTACGGGCCGGGGCTCTACTCCTTCTTCGACGCCTATAGCCAGGATCGCCTGCCTGAGAGACGCTGTCAGCGCGGCTTGTTGAGCATCGAAGGGAGCAACGAGCAGGACGTTGTGCTGGTCAACCTCAACACGATTGGTGTGCGCAGCATGATCGATGTTGACGGGGTGGAGAAGGAGGATGAGAAGGATCACCGCAATGGTCTCCCGAGCACCTTGGGTTATTAGCGCGCGGCTGCTGCGCGGCCATACTCTCGCTGTGATACCGATCAATGCTGTTTGATTCACTTCTCAGCCTGTTCCGCCTGCTTTCCCATCCTCTCCCTCACGACTTCGAGTCCAACCTTGGTTCCACCGCCCACCGTCCCGAAGAATGCGTCCCTGATCCTCGAGCTCCTCTCGTCGAGCTGCAAGAAGCTGACTACGTGGCTTGACCCGATTTGCAGATTATCGCGCAAGGGCGCATTGCCATCCACGTTGTCCCTCGGCTGAACAGATGGTGGAAGAGATGATCGAGCTGTTCGTGAGAGGAACTCGAGGCGCGCTGAGATCGATGGTGGGGAAGAAGATGATGATGATGCGATGGACGAGCTGCTCGCTGAGGACAGTGGCGCCCTGGTGTACCCCTCCGTCTCCGCAGTCGCGCCTCTCGGGGCAGGCTGTGCCCTCATCCCTTGCCCAATGTAATGTGCTGCAATGCTGCCAAACGCCGAACCATCGTTGTGGTGATCACGCATCGTCGGTGCGCCATCCCTCGGTCCTTGCGAGACTGCTTGGTATCGTCTGGCGAAGAGGTTGCCCCACTCGAGGAAAAACGGAGGTTGTGCGATGATGTTCTGAGAGGACTCCTTGATTTTTTGCGGGAAGTAGAGGTCTTCTCGAATCGTGTGGTCTATCAGGTCGTCGAGGGATTCTTGTGAGGACGAAGCGGCCGCTGAGGTAGAGGCGGCCGTCGGATAGAAGAGGGGCGTGAGGTGGTAAAGATTGATTGCGTTGCGTAGCCGGGCATCACGCTTTGCTTGCGCTGAGAGGTGGCGGTTCATCGCCGTCTTGATGGCCGGCATCGTGGGTGGTGGTGGTGGTGGTGATGAGCTCTTGAAAAGGGAGAATGAGTAGCGGGAGGAGCGACTCGAGCAGGAAGAAGGCGGACTGCACACGGGAGCACCGGATCGGAAGATGAGGTCGGTGCCCAGCCAGGGCTCGAGGGCGGACTGGCGGCAAAACGTGAGCGTGGACCGCGTCGTGAACAACACTCGCTCCTCGAGAGCGGGCGCTTCCTGTTCAACGACCGCTCCTCAATCCCCTACCCCTCTCACTCGCTGCGCAACCCCTCATCTCCAGCTTCAGCTCAGCATCACCCTTGTCCGCACCACCACATGCCTCTCGAGCTCTCAGCTCACCGTCATCCGAGCGGTAGTGGGGGTCTTGGTAGTATTCGAGGCCCGTTGTCAGAGTCGACAACAAACAACAACAACACGGCTGGCAGCCGAATGCCCAGCATGAATGGCGGGACCAATGCTTTGCGCAAGGCGAGTGCAATGGCATCCAAGTCAAAAGGCTCGTCTTCGTCGTCCTTCGACATGGATGACGAAGAAGATACCGCACCGCGTCGTCCATCCAACAGACCTCGAGTCTCACTCAACGGGTCTCGAGCCGCTTCCTCAGCGCAACAGCGAAGCTCATCACGCCCGGACCCCTCGTCCTCATCCGACGCGCCCGGTCCCTCATCCTCGTCACGGCAGGCTTCGTCTTCTCATACCAACCGCAGTGGTATGAGCACACTGGCCCGCGCAAACGCAAGACGAGTCAGTATGGCTCCAGCAGGCGGTCTCGCAGCCGTCCCAGCCCCGGCGCAGAAGTTGAACGTCGATTCCACGAGCTTTGAAGAGTGGATGAAGATGTGAGTAATGCGAAGTAATGCGGCGCAGCCAGACTGGATGGCCGTGAGCAATCGCTGACGATACTCTCTCTCTCCTCTGTCTCCTCGCAGGGCAACGGATAACAAGATCAACTCAACCAACACCTTCAGCATTGCACTCATCGACTACTTCCACGACATGTCTCTGCTTCGCTCCGATTCCGGTGATGGAACTATCAACTTCCAGAAGGCCTCCTGTACGCTCGACGGCTGCGTCAAAGTGTGGACCTCTCGTGTCGACTCCGTAGTGAGCGAGACGGGCAAGCTCCTCAATGGCCTCGTTGGGGATGGCAGCAAGGGAAGCAAAGCGGGAGAGGATGACGAGGAAGGCGACCTCGATGGAGAGATCGATGGCGAGGGAGCAGCTGGTGGCGGGAAGGGAGGGCGCAAGAAGAAGACCAAAGCCAAGGAGGCAACCCTGGTCAAGAATTTCTCAGCTATTGCGGTCAAGAAGCTCGACCTCGAATATACGGTGGACCCGCTCTTCAAAAAGACCAGCGCAGACTTCGATGAGGGAGGCGCAGGTGGTCTGCTCATGAATCACCTCGGCGTAGACGATAAGATGCGGGTCGTTTTTGATGCTGGTGAGGCAGAGGGGCTGCCCGAAGGAGAGGAAGATGATGCCAGCGACGACGAAGAGGGGGAAGACGACGAAGAGGAAGCAGCCAAGAAGCAGGCAGCGGATACGATCGACCTCTCCCGCATGCAAGCCAAGCTCTTCAGCCTCGCTCCTCTCTCCCTCTGGGCAAGCTCAGCAGATCCAATTGCCACGCTCCTGAACGGGCGGCTCGTCTGCCCATCATTGGCACGCTTCTCCTTTGCCCCGGATCAAGAGGGTGACTTGTTCGGCCAAGCAGATGACGACGGCGGAGACGACGATGCCAACGCGCATGACGACGGCACTTCGCCTTTCGACCTGGGCTACATGAATCCCGCAATCACTGCTACCCCGTGGGGTGGGGATGATGATGGACCCGCCTTTGGGTACGGGGACGAGGACGAGGACAGCAACGCAGATCTGTTTGGTGTGCCAGCCGACCTCGATAGGGACGGGGAGGTCTTCGGCTTACCGCCTGAGCGACCTGCGGGAATGCACTCCCAGATGGACGAGCACGATGGAGGAGATGGTGGCGGATTCGATTTCATGGATGGCGGCGGCGGGGATAATGACGAACCGGATATGGACATGGGCAATGGCGAGGATGGTGGAGCTCCCGTCCGCTGGGATCCGAGACAAGGGCCATCGCAGCATGACCTGCTTCTCGCGTTCAAGGGCGTGTCAGGGAACGATGATGAAGGACGAGAAGGAGGTGCCGACGGTGGAGCTGCAGGGAGCGGCGGACTTTTCGACTACTTCGACCAGCGGCTGATGAAGAGCTGGGCCGGCCCTGAGCATTGGAAGATGCGTAGTCGTCTTGCTGGATTTGGCGGATTGGCGCAACAGCAGCAGCAGCAGCAAGCAAACGCAGCCAATGGCGAGACAGGCGCAGATGGTACGCCGACAGGCAAGAAGAAGCGCACCGCCAAGGATCCCTTTGTCATCGACTTCCTCAACGCCGAGCCGCCCTCATCCAAAGAACTCTTTGAGCCACCAAAGACGGCAAGCAGCATTCTCCTCCCCAAGATGCGGCATCAGCCCGAAGCCTTTTTGCTTCCAGAGGATCGCCACTTCTCTTCGAGGATGCTGCTCAGGCTGTTCAGCAAGCCACGGGCGGTGCTCAACATCCGCACGAGGAGAGGTGGCCTGAGATTTGGTGCCAACCCTGGGCTGGGTGGCTTTGGCGCTGGCGCAGGCGATGGAGAGCTCGACGAAGCCTTCTGGGCGCAGCAACAAGCCGCCCGCGAAGCTGAGAATGGCGCAGGGCTAGACGGAGGCGACGGCGTCGACTTTGCCCTCAACGACGAGGCCCCGATGCCCCTGGACACCCAGTTCTACCACGACGGCGACGACGAGGGCGCATTCGAGCTTGCCTCTTCTCTTCCACCCACGCAGACCAACCCCAACTCCGCAGCAGACGTCGACGTGGCCGACTTCGAAGAGGAAGACTTGGCTGCTCAGGCTGCTGCCTTGAAGCGTGTCAGGCCAGAGTATGTCAACTATGCGAAGAAGGCGAAGCGGGTCGATGTCAGGCGGTTGAAGGAGAATATCTGGAAGGAGCTCGCCATCGAGGTGGGAGCAGATACTGCGGCGCTGCAGGATGATGGCGACGAGACGGCCGAGTCTACCGCCACGACGACTTCAGCAGAGCCCAAGACGTTCCGCTCGGTCCTCTCAGGTCTACGCAAGGCATATCCCAAGGAGAAGATGGACGAGATCAGCACGTCCTTCTGCTTCATTTGCCTTCTGCACCTGGCCAACGAGGAGGGCCTGGAGATCAAAATCGGGCAGCGAGGCCAAGCTGCGCAAGAGGCGGCCGTGCGCAACGCTATGCTCGGGGCTATGACTCCAGGTGGGAGGGTGATTGCGGAGGATGAGGAAGATGAGAGTGAGGAGGACGAAGACGGACTGAGTGTAAAGGGTAAGCTTCATGGTCGTCGAAGGGTCGGCGACGACAGTGATGACGATGATGTCGAGGAGGCCAAGTCAGCGCTTACGGTGGGTAGACTGGAGTACCTGCGTATCAAAAAGGACCCGAAAGCTGGAAGGAGCGCCTGATTTGGTAGTGGCGGTGCCGGCTCGCATTTATTGCATCGTGTACGGACTCGACTCTTGTGTACACCATTTCGTTGCGTTGTTCCTTTGCAATGGGACTGTACCATTTTCGCGAGTTGCTCGTAGCTCGTCTCGTCTCCGACGCTTTGCCTTTCACGTCGACAGGGCTAGTCGTAGCGTCGTTCTTGCCTGCAGCTTGTGAGGCTGCAAGCAGCTGCGGGTGGACCCAGGTTCGTCCTTCTCGACGGGGCGGGCGTAGAGTAGTGGAGGCCAAATGGCAAGGGCGGGGCGAGGGGCGATGAGTGATCAAGTTGTGATGGCAATAGCTGTCTCCTCCCATTCTTTCCCTAGCCAAACCGCCACCATGTCATTCGTCAATTCTCTCCAGACTGCACTCAGCGATACCGCACTCACCTTTCGCGCGCCCACATGGGACGTCGAAGCAGCTTTGCGAGAGTTGGAGGAGCAGCAAGCCAAGGATCCTTCGAAGAGGAACAAAGTGGCCGTCCTGACTGGTGGATCAGCGGGCATTGGTACAGAGATTCTCAAGGGATTGGCCAGGGGTTGTGAAAGGGTGTGAGTTTGCGCGAGAGAGGGCGAGAGGCGCACGAAGCTGATGCTGATGAGAGTTGGGAACGTCCTCGCAGCTACATCTTCGGTCGCTCCCCCTCGCGCAATCAGGCGGCAATCGACGCTCTCCCCACCGCTGAGCAACGCGCACGATGCCAGAGCATTGAGTGTGACCTGTCCTCGCTGGCCTCCATTCGTCAGAGCGCTGGCCTGTTCTTTGATGCTGAGAAAAGCAGACAGGGAGGAGGTAGTGTGCATATCGACGTTTTCGTGGGCAACGCAGGATTGATGAATTACGATACCAAGCAGAAGACGAAGGATGGATGGGAGTCGATGTGGGGGACGTGAGTTTAGCGAGGATTGAGATATCGTAGAACAAGACGAGTGCTGATTGACTTCTCTCACGTCTTGGCCCCGCAGCAATGCTCTCGGTCACCACGCGCTCATCCATCACCTCCTCCCAGCCTTTGCAGCTCGCCCTTCCTCCGCCGAGCCACCTCGCATCGTGCTCCTCTCCTCGGGCGCACACGCTGCAATCTACTCGGCAGAGTCCAACTTCTATCCCTTGAAGGACCGCCTCGCCTCTGATCTCGGCAAGGGCTCCTTTGCCCTCTACGGGCGAAGCAAGGCGGCTAACATCCTCGACCAAAAGGGATGGGAGCGCTACTTCACCGAGGAAGCTGCGTCCACATCCTCTTCCTCTCCCAAGCCAATCATCGTATCTGTCCATCCCGGCGCTATCCGCTCAGAGCTTGGTCGCTCCTACGAGCCTTACAGATTGCTCCGTTACGCTCGCATCACGATGCATCGCCTCATATGCTGGCCTGCTGCACCTTACGGCTCCACCAACACGCTCTGGGCTGCCATGTTCGCCACGAGGGCAGAAGTCGACGGCAAGTATGTGCAGCCCTGGTGCGACACACGCGTGGAGCCTACGCTGCTTTGTAAGGATGAGAGGTTGGCGAGGGAGCATTGGCACTTCATGGAAGAGCTGGTCAAAGCCGAGCAGGCTGGCGCTTCGTAGCTCGGTAGAGTGAGTGAAAAGACAATCGCAATCATATTCGAGATGACCTTTGTGGGTGAGGATAGAAAGCTAGAGCTCGGACGCGACGCGACAAGGTGACTACAGTAGAGGAGGAAGCGAGAAGCCAGGCGGCGGGTATACGCCGTCGACGACGAGGCGGAGGGGTAAGCAGGTTACAATATGGCTAAAAAGGGGGGAAAGGTCGTAAAGTAGGGACATTCGGGTCGTAGATAGAAGATGAGGTGACGCATGCGTGTGAGTGGTGGTAGACGCCCGCCCAGTCGATCCGGCCTCGTGGAATCGGAGACCGGCGCCAGCTTCGTGTAAAACGACTTGCGCGTCTGCGGTCCTCTTCGGCACAAGCTTACTGCGCAGCTCGAACTACGGACTCGGCCATGTGAGCATCGACCTGGTAGAGGGGTTCGATGGTAGCCGACTTGTTCCAGAGTACGTAGCGCTTGAACCAGTAGGGGAGCGTCTTGGTGACTTGGTAGCGCATGAAGACGCGGGTGGGCACCGAGAATGTCTGGTCGAGCTCTTCCAGCGTGCGATTCTTGGTTTCGGGCGCGAAGAGGAACAAGAGTAGCCACGCCACCAGGTTGAAACCTGCATAGAGGCCAAAGGTGCCAATGGATCCAAGGGCTCCGAGGATGCGGAAGAGGGTAAGCCCAAGAATGGAGGCGAAGAAGAGGTTGGTAGCCACACCGAAGGACATGCCCTGCTCGCGCTGCGCGATGGGGAACACTTCGGCAGTGTAGGCGAATGGCACGGGTCCAGCGGAGAAGGCGTAGAAGACCGCAAAGAGGAAGATGAAGAAGGCGATGCTGCCTACGCGAGCCGTCTTGTGGGACTCGTCGATGAGGAAGCAGAGAGCTGCGGCCAAGAGAGACCAGAACATCTGCGGGAACATGACCAAGTTGAGCCAACGGCGACCGACGCGGTCGATAGCGTAGTTGGCGCCAAAGGTGAAGACCCAGCTGAGGGCACCAAAGCCGATGGAGACGTAGAGGGCTTGGAGCTCAGTGAAGCCGGCTTGAACGAAGATGGTCGCCGAGTAAAAGGCGATACTGAGCGGGAGAGGAGGGAAGGGGGGCAGTGTCAGCAAAGACAGCGATGTCGTTACTGAGAGTAGGCGCGCACTCACATGTTGATACCACAGAGCTGCTGGCTGAGCATGGTAACAAAGGCAGCCAACGTAGCGCGTCGGACACGCGGGATGGTGAAGAGCTCCTGGAATCGGTTGATCCATGAGTTGCTGCCCTTGAGCTCATTCTCGACCTGCATGAGCGAATGTGCGTAGTAGAGCTCGCGCGCGGCCTGAACGTCGGTGTGGTTATGCTTGCGGAAGGCAGAATAGGCCTCGACGTAGCGACCGCGAGCCATGAGCCAGCGGGGTGATTCGGGGCACATGTAGATGAAGAGGATCAAGGGGATCGCGGGGATGAAGGCACTTCCGAGTTGCAGGCGCCAGGCGATCGCGCCCGTACGGGCTACCACGGCGTTGGCTGAGTAGCCGACTGAAGGGGGCCGGATGGGGTGAAGTTAGTAATGAAAGATGGTCCGCGTTTCGCGTCGCGCTCACTCACTGAAAAGACCGAAGGCGACCCATGTCTGCCAGAGGGAGGTGAGACCGGCTCGCACACGCGTGGGAGCGTGCTCAGTAGCAAAGACTGGGCTAGTTGATCCTTTCAATCCCATGCCTACGCCCATGATGATACGGCATCCGAGGAGGGAAGGCCAGTTATGCGTAAAAGCGGATGCGAGCGGGGAGACGAAGAGGAGGATACCAGAGATGAAGATACAGCCGCGACGCCCTACGAGGTCGTTGCAGGGCTTGGTGAGCCAGACACCCAGAAGGGCAGCAGAGAGGTAAGGGATCGAGTTGATGAAGCCCACGATCCATTGGTCTCGCTCCCAGTTGGCTGTGCCCTTGGCGGCGGCGATGCCGAACTCCTGAGGGAAGGAGAGGTTAGCAGCGTTGGATCCGGTCTGATCCCATCCTTGGACCATGGCGCCGACGGAAGCGATGGCAATGGTGAGGTAGAGACGCCTGGGAAGGTCCCACCTGTTTTTGGCCTCGCGACGCAAGGCTACCTTGTCCTCCTCGTCGAGTTCGGCCATGGACTCGAAGCTTGCGGGTTCTTGAGCTACGAGGGCTCCCTTGTGGAAGGCGGATGCATGCTCCTTGAGGCCCGAGTCGGCGAGAAAATGGTCAACCTGGGTGCGCAGCTGCTCCTTGGAGATGCCGGCGAGAGGGTTACGGATGCGGGCCGTGACATTGTTGGCTAGGTCGAGATGCTCAGTCGAGTGAGCCGCCTCGTGGTCGCTGCTCTTCTCGTCGTACGTGAGGGTCTTGCTGATCTCGCCCGGGGGCGTGCCGCCCTTTTCATTAGGGGATGCGCTCATGATATGTTGGTACGCGGCTCAAGGTTTGGAGGTCTTGGTAGCGAGCAAAGATGTGAAGGCAGTGATGAGTAGTGGGGAATGTGGGGAGAGGGGCAGTGACGGCAGAAAGATGTGTGCCTGGCTGAGGGGGCGTGAGCGCGGTCACAGGGGGCGCTGCCATCTGCACTTTATAGCGTGTGATTAATTGAGAGTGCGGTGAGAGTGCGGGGAAAATGGCCAATGGCGGGGCTCAACCGCCGGGGAGCTACGGCACTTGGGTTGAGCCGCCTTTGTCAATGCGGGCGCAGGCACAAGCCGTCTTCAGGCGAGCGAATAGATTGATCTGGCGAGGCAGAGAAGCCGAGCCGTGCGACCAGAGGGCAGAGGAGATGCCCTGCAGGACCTGCGGCTCGAAAGCAACACTACACACCTGGGTGCCGCAGGGCAGGCAGCGGCAAGCGCCGACGAGCAGCTTGTGAACCCGGCCCTCGCTCGTCGCGCTCATACGCACCACTCCTTCCATCAACGTCTCGCACCTTCGTCAGCACTTCATGGTCGACTATAGGTGCCACCGGTGAGCCTCACCTGCCTCTTGGAGTCGAGGCTAGTCGAGATCAAGGTGCCCCAATACCCCGCCATGTCGGGCCCTCCCGAGTCGGAGATGAAGAACTAGGGCAGCGATCACTTGATCACTGCGGGGCACCACGGGCCGTGAGCGGGGTATTGATGACACGGTCGAGAGGTTGCAAAATGTCGCAGCGGTCTCGTCAGGAGCGTTTCGGCCAGGGGTTGACCTTATTCTGTTCCCGCTCTGTGGCTGACGCTAGCCTGAAATCGGAGGATGAGAGACGATGAGTAGGACAAAGGACCCGGCGGTGCGGCGGCGAAGCTTCAAGCCCACTGCATGCGCGCCACACTCAAGGTGGGTCCCGTTCGATCCGAGGGGGGGAGCAGGCCAATGCGTAGTTTCTGGGAGTGAAGATGGAGAGGCAAGTGTGGGAGCGCGAAGACGCTGAGCAGGAACCGCAAGAAGCTGACGCCAGCTCGATGAGGTAGAATGACAAGGCAGATTTCGTCATACGCTTCGAGCAAATGAGGAGATTCATTCGAGCCGGGCTACACGAGGGGACTGTGCAGTATGGGGAGATAATGACGAAGTGGGTGCGAGACATTGGATCGTGCTCATCCCTCTTGCCCCCGTCTCACTTCGCGGCCCCCGCCTGCTGCGACTCGGTAATCCTCAGTCCCAGCACATGCCTCACATCCTGCGCGAACCTCAACGAGTCCAGCACAGGCAACAAATCAAGCAACCCCTCATCAGCAGCATCGTGCGTCCAGCCCTCCACCGGAATCCCATTCGACGGATTCAGGTGGTAGCTTGCGGGCGAGTTGTCCACCAAACAAACCCTCGATAGATCCCCGTCGACGATACTCAGGTTCTTGAGGTAGGAGCCATTCTTGTAGGTGCATGCGTCGCGGAAGAGACGACCGGCTATGAGCCCTCGACCTTGGTCGAGCCAGTCAATGACCGGGTCTGCGTATTCTTGGACAGAGGCGGTAAAGATGACGACGTGGTACCAACTGGCAACCTTGCGCAGGAACACGTCGACGTAAGGTCGTTTGTAGACGTGGTAAATCACCGAGCGGCCGTCTAGCACTACCTCAACCATGTGCGGGCGGACGCTGCTGAATTTGGAAGAAGCAGAGCCGCTGCCCGTCAAGCCGAGCAGGCCACCCAAGCCGTCCAAGCCGAGGAGCGAGCCGCCCGTTGAGACTGCTGATCGAGCAGCTGCTTCTGCTTTGGACGAGTGCTGATTGCGCAACGCCGTCCAGGTTGGCGATCGCGACGTCGAATGGATGAGTGTCTCGTCCAGGTCGAGAACGAGGATCTTGGGCGTGTGGTGGATGACGGCCGCCGTGCGAGGCACGGTGGGTGGTGTTGCTGCAGGGCGCCAGGCTTGGAAAGATTGCGATTTCTCGGGAAGCTCGCCCGTCACCTTTCTCGCTTTGGGCTCGTGTACTAGCATCGGGTCGACCGAGTGCGGGTTGGGTAGTAGGCGTGATGCACGAGATGGCGATGCTGATTGATCTGAAGAGGGGTCAGTGCATGCCTGGCCCTCAGCCTTTTCCTGGGCCTGATCTTCTGTCACAACATCGTCCAGACTCTCTTGCGCCCTACATTCTGGCTTTGGAGTCGGTCTTCGCTTGATCGAGCCACGCTTCTCCGTCTTGCCCGGGCTTGCTTCGTCTCTGAACTTGAGCGATGCTTTCGCACTTATAGGCGAAGGCGAAGACGGCGAGGCTGCGCTGACGGTGACGGCTGTGAGCTTTTGCTTGCCTTTGCCGGCCTGTGAGCCGCGAGAGGAGAAGATGAAGGTGACTGCATCCACTGGTGCTAGTAGAATGGCAAGAATGGCGCGTCGTAAGAAGGCCAAAATTCTGCGGGCCAGTGATGGGCGTGGAGCCGCAGGCGGTGTTGTCTTCGTCTTCTCCTCATCCGCCTCCACACGCCCAGCTGCTTCCGTATACGGCGGCGGTGGAGCCTTACGCTGCTCCTCCTCAAGGCTCGCCCGCTGCGATAGCTCTTCATCCTTGAGCTCTGCACTGACCTCTCTCGATTCGCGCATCCCACCATGCCCATCGCTGCTAGAGCTAGAGTCTTCCGTCGTCTCCATCCTCTTTTGCTCCCTCTCTACAGCGCGAGGGCCAAAGTAGTCGTCTCTATCTGGGTGGGAACGACGTCGTTTGTTATCATGCTCTGCAGCTGTGGGCGTAGATACGGTTGCGTGACGTTTGAGTCGACCCGAGGCTGCCGGGGGCGTAATGGCCTTGTCCAAGGCCGCCGTTGCTGCTGCTGCCGCCGCCGCCTCTGTGGCATCATCAATCTCCGTATCGCTCTCACCGCCCTCAAAATCGACGGTCTGCACGTCTTCCATTCCGCCCAGTCCAGCCGTAGCAGCGCCTACTTCTGACGGCAAATTTGGGACAGAGGCTGTTAGGGACGGATGGTGGAACGGAGTGAAGATGCGGTTGGCGAAGAGGAGCCTGCCCGAGATATCCAGGCGTGATGGTCGGCGGACGAGTGTCGAAGACGATGACGAAGAAGGGCCAGCCTCCCGTGAAGAAGAGGTCGACGATGTCGAGGCTGTCGTCCCAATTGAAGTGTCGCTCTCATGTCCATCTGCGCCGGCCCGTGCTTCAACGCCATTCTGCTCATTTGCCCGCTGCTCTGCCTCACGCTTTGCTCTACGTGCTCTCCTTCGCTCTCTTCTCTGCTGTCTTCGCTCCTCTTCATCATCCAAGCTCTCCCCGGGTGCATATAGGGACGACCCTGATCGTCTCCGATGCCCTCCTCGCCTCTCGCCCTGTGGATCAAGCCACGATCCCAGCCCCCACAATGAAGAGCTCCAGCTCGGGGGAGATGATGTATCTCTGTCGAGGTGTTGAGATGCTGGGATCGAGCCAGACCTCCGCAGCCGCCCGCCTTCTGAGAATGATTTACCATGTCGAGGTCGATCCTCGTCTTGACCATCCTCTACCCTATCCACCTGCTGCCCTCGCCTTTTGCCCACATCGCCGTCATCTGCGGCAGACGTCATGCCAAAGCCGAGGGCAAATCGCTCTGATCTCTTGAGGCGATTGCGGCTCGTTGACAGGACATGGTCCGAATTGCGCCTGGGCATGCGAGACGAGGAGGAAGACGAGGCTGCATGCTGAGCGCTGTCATCGTCTTGCGCGAGGGCTTCGTCCTCGGCTGCCGCGGATGTTGATGATGATGATGCCGGTGAGCTTCGCCTCCCGCCGCTAACACTGCTGTTGGGGGTCGTCGGGGGCGAGTCGGGTGGGGAAGGACTGCGCGGGGTGGCGCTGAGGGAGCGTGAGAGGAACGAATCGAGGAGTGTGAGGGAATTCATGGTGATGATGAGGGGTAAATAGGGATGGTGATGCTTGGTGCCTGCTTAGTCTCCGCCCTCGTCTAGACCAAGGAGCCTCCGCGCAAGAGCAGCCAAGCTGCGTTTCTTAAAGTTGGGGCCGGGTTGAGGAGCAATGGATGGAGGCAGGAGGAATCATCAAAGTTGTTGGCGGGCTGGCTGCAGCCGCTAGTCGACGTCAAGACAAGCCCGTGCCCCAGTCCTCCGACTGCCGGGCCATCGATGACGCAGCCGCGGCAAAGGCGGAGCGAGCGAGCGAGCCAACGAGGCGCCTCTCTGTCCCTCGACAATCTCACGACAATCTCACATTATTGGTGCGTGTCACAAGCTCGATGGAATTGAGGGAGAGGAAGAAAAGAGAGAGAGTACAAGACTTGGTAGTCACAGCCATGACGACTGCGCCGCCGGCCGGCTTTCGTGGAACGGGTATCGGTGTTGGTGGTGTGAGGATCAACCCGCCCCGCGCGCCATGATCAAGACAACGACTGGGAGGACAATGGGGAAAGGAGGAAGACTAATACAAGACTGAACGAAAGATGGGGTTGTGAATGGAAAAGGAGCAAGCTGCTCCCTCGCTGGTGCTCATGGATTTGTACAGATGGAAAGCTCTCTCTCTCGCTGAGTGGATGATGGGGGGGTGAAAGACGCCTCGTTTGTTGGCGACAGATGCTCGAAGTCGGCCATGTGCTTGCACGGCCAAGTCGAACGGGTGACGCTGATTAGAGGAGCCAATTTGATGTGAAAGAGGAGAGAGCTAGCTGGCCAGCTGCTCGCCTTTCGGGGAATGGGTGTGTGTCGAGAGCCGTCTATGTGTGGTGAACATGAGCCTGAGAATTGCCCGTCTACGTTGGTGGTGGAACCCGTCGCTGAGTCGTCGTCGTCATTAGTCGTCTCTGCGTCGAGCTGCTGATCGTCAAGTCTTGCTGCTGAATGCTATGGTGATGCGCGCGCGGCTTACCACCACGATGGCGAGGTGCTTCCGCCTCCGTAGCTGCCGCCGACGTTGCCCATGGGAGGAGCGCCGCTCATGCCTCCGCCGCCGTACGCAGGGGCGTTGCTGAAACCGCCCATACGACCGCCTCCTCCTCCGCCGAAGCCACCTCCGAAGCCGCCGCCGCCGCTCATGCGAGCATCACGGCCACCGAAGGAAGAGCCACCGCGAGAGCCGCCACGACCGCCACGACCTCCACGACCGCCACGGCCGCCGCCACCACCAAAGGCAGACTCACGCGAGACGGCCTCGAGGAATGAGGGGACCTCCTGGTTGGCCTCTTTGAGCAAGTCGACGAGCTCACGGACGATGTTGCGGTTGCCACGGTTGAAGAAGGCCGTAGCGTGACCGACGTTACCAGCGCGACCGGTACGACCGATGCGGTGGACGTAGTCGTCGACATCGCTGGGCAAGTCGTAGTTGATGACGTGGGTGACGTTTGGAATGTCGAGACCACGAGCAGCAACGGCAGTGGCGACCATGATGGGGGTGCGGCCAGTACGGAAGAGCTCCAGAGCACGCTCTCGCTCTCGCTGGGTGCGGTCACCGTGAATCGACGTGGCGCCAATGTTAGAGCGGAGAAGGAAGTCCGAGAGCATGTCGGCCATGCGCTTCGTCTCAACAAAGATGAGGGTCAGGCCACCCTGAGGCATCGAAGCCAAGACGTCGAGAAGAACAGACTGCTTGTCATAGTCCTCGACGTACTCGATCTTCTGGGTGATGTTCTCCGAGGTGGAACCGACACGGCCGACGGAGAGGAAGAGGTATTCCTTGAGGAAGTCGCGTGCAAGCATCTGGATGTCCTTGGGGAAAGTAGCGGAGAACATGAGCGTCTGACGGTCCATGACGCCAGGCATGTCCTCTCCCTCGACGATGCGCCTGATCTGGGGCTCGAAACCCATGTCAAGCATACGGTCAGCCTCATCGAGGACGAGGAAGCGGACGTTGGCGAGAGAGATGCGGCCGCGCTCGATGAGGTCCACCAGACGACCTGGGGTGGCGCTCAGGAGGTCGCAGCCTCGCTCAATCTGACGCAGCTGGTTGCCAATCTCGGCACCACCGTATACGACGGCAGGCTTGACCCAAGAGCGGTAGGTGAACTTGCGGGCCTCGTCGTGGATCTGAGAGACAAGCTCACGGGTGGGAGCAAGGACGAGAGCTGCAGGGAAAGCCTTGCGGCGACCATAGCCGCCGTGAGCCATCTCAGCGGGAGGAGGGGGAGGGCCGTGGGTGAAGAGGGCCGACAGGATGGGGAAGAGGAAACCGCCCGTCTTTCCGGAACCAGTCTGAGCACATCCCATGAGGTCACGGCCGAGGGCTACGATGGGCAGAGAGTACTTCTGAACCGGGGTCGGGGTGACGTAGTTGGCGAGCTTGATGTTGTCGAGGAGGTGCGGGTCGATGGGTGGCGATGTGAACTCAGTGACGGCCTCGGGGGCGTCGTTGCCTGAAACTTCAACGGGGATGTCGCCGTACTTGTCAAAGTTGATGCCCGTGTTCATCTTGCCAACGTCTTCGCCGAAAAGCTCCTTCTGAATGCGGGCGTTGTGTGCACCAGGGATATGTTGACCGTCACGCCACTGACCATGGCCCGCCACCATGCCGCCAGGGCCTGCTCCACCGCTAGCAGGGCGCCCACCGTATCCACCGCCGTGGCCGCCACCACCACCACCTGCGTAGGGGGCATCCCATCCGCCGCCACCGCCGTTACGCGAGGCGAGTCCACCAGCGCGAGGAGGTGCCCCACCACCAAAGGCACCATTGCCGAAGTTGCCCTGCTGAGGAGGTCCGGCAGAGCGGTTCTGGAATGCTGGGGGTGCTGCAGAGGGTGCGGGCCCACGAGGGGCAAAGGGCTGAGCGCCAGAGGACATGCCGCCAGTCGAGCGCATATGAGGAGGGACATAGGCCTTGCGAGGAGCGCTGCCGTTGGAGCCAGAGTCAGAGCTGCCGTTGACGTTCATGTTCGCTGCGAAAAGGGTGAGCACATGAATGAACAGCGGTCAGCATGACGATCGGTGTGCAGGGAATGCTATCGCCACACGCCTGCACGCGCACATCTGCTGCGCCCCCTTTGTGCACCGGTGCCAAATCTCGCGCAATTTACTCACCAAGCTTGGCCTCGAGGCCGTTGGCAGCGTTACCGTTGCCATTCTGAGCGTGACCATTCTCTTGAGTCATTCTTTTGTGTATGTCAAGTGAGGGAGGGAAAGGAGGGAGGGGAGGTTGATTGGGATAAGGGGTAAAGGGCAGAAAGGCAGCGTTGCGGCGCCTCCAAGTTGAGATTTTTCTCCTCCCTCGCACGCGGCGCGGACTCATGAAACGACGCCAGGTCAAACCACGTGGTGAAACAAGCGCGACTCAGCACAAGGCCCAGAACAATCGGAGCCCAGCGAGATGCAGCGAGCGAGGTGACGACGCTGCTGCTGGTTGTGACGTTGTCCGAGGAGTCACGCAGATCAACAGGTCAAACTCAACGGCAAAGCACCGAATGTGCATTCGCGATGGTATTCGTTCGAGGCGCCGGCTGCAGAGCCTCGTGCGTATCGCCCTAACGTGTACTGCCAGCGGCACAATGCTGTTTATATATTGTCATTTTGGCCGGCTCCCGTCAGCGGTCGCATAGCTCAGTTGGAAGAGTGCTACCTTAACACCTTACTGGTGGAGGTCGGTAATGGTCGACGGTTCGAACCCGCCTGCGATCAGCTTTTCTTTTGTCCCCCCTCATACCGGCTCTGTTTTGGCGATTGGAGCACCTTTGGCTTCAGCTTACCTGCTTTGACACTTCTGCAACGCTTGTTGTCGTTTCAAGCTTCTGGTTTCTAGGCCTCCGCACGCGCAGACGCGGTGCTCCTCAAGACGCAATTAGCTTGTTCATCGCTTGGAAGCGCAAGAGATTCCGCTAGGCTGTCATTGCCTCTCCGTTGAGTGATGGCTCGTCATTGCCGAAGATCCCGGTCTTGACGAGTCGTCGCCTTTTGTCGACTCGCTTGCTTGATCCTGTCGCTGTCGGCGATGGGCGCTGGCTGGTGCCAGTGTCTGTGTCTGTGTCTGCGCTTTGCGGCGCCGCCGCACAGGCGAGGGAAAACGACGGCGTGTGGGTGCCGCCCTTCTTCTCGAGGTAGACCCGCTGCAGCCACAACTTGAGTTGGCTTTGAGTCGAATTGAGTTGAGTTGAGTTGGTCCGGGCGAATGCCTGAGCGTCGTGCGGCGTCGAGCAAGTTGAGGCCGAGGAGCGCGGAGAGGAGACGAGACGGGACGACAGACGTCAGACGGCCAACGTCGATGCATGCCTCGATCTCCTTGTTGTCATCATCCTTCCTTCAAACAATCATCTCCTCCCTCATCCTCCTTCTTTTCCATCCAGGTAGCCCAACGCTGCCCTCCTCGTCTTTCCTCGACGCTGCTGCCGCTGCCGGTCGTGCTGCTTGCTGCCTGCCTGCCTGCCGTCCGCTTTAGCCCCTCGTCACAATCCTCTAATTCTCCGAGGCCCACAACACCATACCAGCCATCTGTAAACAGGCCTGCAAAACTCTGACGATCCGCACAAACGGTGACGAGATCATCATCTGCGACGACGGAGGTGTCATTTGAGCGCCGATATCCGCCATATTGCCCTCGACATCCGGCCTTTGCGAGGACTGCGATAGCGCTCGCCGTTCTTCTCCATCGCGGATCGACGACACAACACGCAGCAAGACGACATTGGGCAGCAGAAGGCAGAGACGCCGCGCTCCTCTCACGCCGCCGCATCCACGTCTGATTCTTGAGCCATTGCCTCATCCACCTCATCCACCTCATCCCAATCATCCCACAGCAAGACCTCCCACACCATCCTCTGCGCGCTGGACGCGCCCCTGGCAACCTCGCAGCCGGCGCCATCTTTGACCCTTGGTCCCTTTGCCTTGCTCCCGCCTCTGCGGCGTCTGCTTTCATCCACCAGCCTCAGCTTTCCGACAACGACCGCTAGCATCGACGCAACGCAGCACGAAGAGCATCATCAGTTCCAGTCCTCGCTGCAGCCACCGCCGCCGTCATGGGGGCGTGTCTCTCGTCTAGCGAGGAAAAGGGGGCAAAGGAGAGGAGCATTGCCATTGACAAGGCGATTGAGGAGGACAGTCGCAAGTTCAAGAAAGAGTGCAAGATTTTGCTGCTTGGTGGGTGCGAGGGTCGAGGGAGGGCGGAGATGAGGTGATGGCTACCAATGGGCGAGGCATATACTGACGTCTACGCTCCCTCCCTTCTGTCTCGCCTCATTCAGGGTCGGGAGAGTCAGGCAAGTCGACGATTGTTAAACAGATGAAGATCATTCATCAGAATGTGCGCATCACTGAGACTCAGAGTCCGGCGCTGTTCTGCCTCACCATTTCAGCTCATCGACCCTACTCCTCTTCTGCTTCTCACAGGGCTACACGCGCGACGAGCTCCTCGTCTACCGCCTCACTGTCCTCAAGAACGTTGTAGACTCAGCGCAGGCCATCGTCCTCGCACTACGCAAATTTGAGCTCGAGCCAGCCAACATCGAGAATCGAGAAATCTGTGACAAGGTTTTGCAATACAGGATAGACGCGGATCCAAATGCGACGTGAGCCCCAGTAAAGGCGCAGAGGGGTCTTGACCACCGAGGCTGACTCGCATCCTTCTCCATCCCCTTCTCTTCACAGACTCGACTCGGATATGACTGACAGCATCGAATCGCTCTGGTCGGATCCCGTCATCCCCTCGATAGTAGATCGCAGCAGCGAGTTCTACCTGATGGACTCGGCCCCCTACTTCTTCGAGAACGTCCGGCGCATCGGCTCCCAAGACTATGTTCCCAACGAGGATGATGTGTTGCGTGCAAGAAGCAAGACGACGGGAATTGCCGAGACGCGATTCAATATGGGGCAGCTGAGCATTCATTTGTTCGACGTGGGCGGGCAAAGGAGCGAGAGGAAGAAGTGGATCCACTGCTTCGAGGCAGTGACGAGCATCATCTTCTGCGTGGCGCTGAGCGAGTATGACCAGGTGCTGCTGGAGGAGAGTGGTCAAAATCGTAAGTGCAAGAGCGGTCTCGGTCAAGGCGAAACTTATCCGCAGTCGTTGACCCGTTTCACGCTCTCCTCACCGCCAGGCATGGCCGAAAGTCTCGTCCTCTTCGAGAGCGTCGTGAACTCAAGATGGTTCTTGCGGACGTCGTGAGTGGCTCCTACATCCTGTCAGAGCTTCTCTTCCTGCGCTCTACTTACGTGTCTCCGTCCTCCCCTTTCTAGCATCATCCTCTTCCTCAACAAGATCGACATCTTCAAGCAGAAGATCCCTCGCATCCCGCTATCGGACTTCTTTCCCGAATATTCAGGCGGAGCCGACGTCAACAAAGCGGCCAAGTACATTCTCTGGCGCTTCACGCAAACAAACAGGGCAAGATTGTCCATCTTCCCGCATCTGACGCAGGCCACTGACACGGGCAATATCAGACTGGTCTTTGCAGCCGTCAAGGAGACGATCCTGCAAAATGCGCTGAGAGATAGTGGGATTCTTTGAGCGGGCAAGAGGCAAGAAAGGAAGGAAGGGAGGGAGGGAGAGACCTGACGAGAGCAGCGGTAGCTCGTCAGAGATTCATACGGGCAGGAAGAGGGAAACTTGTGTGAGCGAACAGCGAGAGATCATCACAAGCAGCACCATCAACAGCAGCAGCAGCAGCAGCGACGCAATACCGTAGGCAGCAAGACTCGACCAGATCAGTTCCCGCCCAACTACTTTCCCCCTTCGCCCTCGCCTTTCTATCATGCACGTCCATCAGCTAAGTTATCGTTGGCCATCAATGTGGCCCGCAATCGTGCAGACAAGCGGAACAATGTCTATTCTCCTTCTTCATCTCTCTCTCCCCCTCACCTCAACGCAGGCTCGCATCGTCCACCGACGATAATTTCCTTCCACACACAAACGTCATCGGCCTTTCACTTCATTTTCATCCCCCTTGTTCGACCTCCTTGTTTCGTCCGCTCGCACAAATTTTCCCCCCCTCCATCCCCGTCATGACCATCTTCCTGCTTCTTGTTGCTTTCTCCACTGCTGCACACTGCTGTCAATATCATTGCTGCCACTGCCGCGAACCAGCGAGCCCGTGATCTCAAGCCGTCAGAAGTCACGAGTCGTGCAAGAGGAGACGACGTCATGGTGATTGCAGTCTGCCTCTTTCCTTTGACACGGCGAGGTAGCCGTGTTGAGTCCTCGGCCTCTTTGACGCGAGCGAACCCATCCCGCGCGACGAGTCGACACTGCCACGGCGACGACTTTGCTACGCATTCGCCTTCCTCTCCCGCTACACCGCAGCTTTGCTCACCCCTCGTGTACCATGTGATGCCCGGCTCCCCTGAACGATATCCACGCTCCTAATCGTTGAGATGCTTCGTCTGCGCAAAGAGGTTCTTGAAGCTGTGTAGAGACGTGGTCAATTGAGGTCAGTCAGACCCGTCACAAGCACTCTGATCGCACTGCTGCGGACTCGCTCATACTCACACAAACGCCTCGCTCAACAGCAGCTCAGCATCTTTGTCCGACCAGGACTGCGTCGGAAGTGATTGCAGGAACATTATGCAGCCCTGAGAGCGAGTGAAGGGATGAGTAATGAGGATTGCGCCATAGTACCGTCATTGCTGGCTGCATTCGCTCGCTCACCTGGAAATCTAACTCTCTCAACTCCGCACTCCACTTACACAAGAAGACACAGCAGACATAGCAGTGGAAATCACTGAACGCCTCTGCCCCCTCGGCCAGGTACGTATCCCACAGACGAACCACATTCTTTGTGCTCATCTCCCTCATCAGCAAGCAATTCATCCAGCGAAAGGCGAATTGCATATACTCCACCCCTTCGGCCTTGAGGTGGGAGTGAAGTGGTGCATCTATCCGGGAAACGAGGGATTCGAGGCGCCTGACGGAGCGAAGAATGCCGGGTTGGTGGGGGATGTAGTTTGATTGGATGCCGGAAAGGAGCGAGGAGAGCGAGTGATAGACGTCTGCTTCCAGTGCGAGGCGAGCGCTTAGAGGTAGGACGTGAGGGTTGAAAGATTGACTGCGAGTGAGGACGTTGGGGGGAGAGGTCAGGAAGGGAAGGATGGAGTGGAGAGGTGAGATGAGGGCGGCACTCACGGATCCATGCCTGTTGGCTCGTCGAGATCACCATCGCCGAACATGGGACCCTCCGGAGCTTGCCGCAGGTAGTTAGACAAGAAGACTCTGCGCGTGCAAAGCTGGTAGGTCAGCCCCTTTCTTTCCTGGCCTCTCCTCAGATCACGCGCCTACCCACTCATAAAAAGGCGTAGCTAGATCGCTCATACCCTGGACATATCCCGTAGCATGATGTCCCACAGCCCAGACGTACAACAGCCTCTCCAATGCTCGCTGTGTACCCTTGCGCTGCCAAAGTGGCGTACCCGGGTTTGTACGGGGCACGTCGATGGTGATCTGATGCCATATCTTCTCTTCTGGGCCTGAGCGGCGCGAAGAGTGGTGGGAGAGAGGGGTGCGTCGCCCTGATTCAAGATCGTCGGTGGGATGACGCTGTTGAGGCGTGCTTGGCCGATCGTTGGTGCTGATGATAGAAGCGGGCGCACTCTTGGGCACCTTGTGCTCCTCTACTCCGCCCGCGACACCCTCCCCAGCCTGCGGCCCGTCCACCTCGCCCTCAGCAAAGGGGTCAAAGCCAAATGCCAGCGTCACAGCACGACGGTACTCCTGTCGCTTCTTGGCGAGTGCGGCCGCCCTGACTGATGAGTTCGGGGACACGTAGCCCAGCAGGAGGGGCCATACGATGGGGCGAAGCTCAGAGGGGATGCCGTTCCAGGAAAGCTCACGCAGCTTGGGAAGGTCCACTGAGGAGGAGTTCGGGGGTTGAAGGCAGCGTAGGAACTCCCGCCAGCGTCGTTTCGTCCGGACAGAGGTGGCGCGGCGTAGTTGTGGCAGTGAAGGTGGGGCGAGGCTTCTGCTCGTACCAGGGGTCATCGTGTAGGTAGAAGCGGCTGATGCTGGTGGTGAGAGAGGTTCGAGCGATGCCTCCTTGATCGTCGTGTCTCCCTCTTCCTCTGCTTGATCCTCTCCCTCAATCTGGTCTAGGCTCGAGCTCGAGCTGCCAAAGGCGCCGCTTCCCATGATGAGCCCATCTCCGCCCATCGTGACAGGGTCAAAATGCGCCGCCTCCCTTGGCACGCGCGATTGCCTGCGCGATGTTGAGGTCGATGACGGCCCAGGACTAGGCAGAGGGCTCTCAATGCCTGGTGTAGGCAGGTCCGCCTCTGCAGCCAAGGCGTCGAGAGCTGCAAAGGGGTCGCGAACCACGCCTGGCAGGTCTGGTCGCATGGCCCGAATGAAGGATGAGGATTCGCGACTCTTGCTGCGAGTGAGCTTGATGCTCGGATGTGATGCTGACTGCGGATGTGCTGATGTTGATGAAGCGAAGCTGCCAGTCGTTGCCGCCTTGATGACGGCCTCTGCTGCAGTGGACCCCACGTCCGCCGGCGAGGACCCGGCAAGGGAGGTGGAACTCGCCTCCTCAGCAGGTGGTACGGACGTCGAGCTCTTTATCGAGGCCGCAGACTGTGATTTACCTTCCACCATGGTCCAGCTCGACAGTGCCGGCGAAGACGAGACGGTCCTCTGATTATGTCCTGCCTGCGGGATAGGAAAAGGATGAGGCCTTGCAGGCGGAGCATGCCTCCTCGACCCAGAGGACCCAGTCGAAGAAGCAGATGATGTCGTCTGTACGCTGCTTGTGCTCACTGACCGTGAATTGGTGCCACCTGCGGCCATTGGGCGAGTGAGCTTTGGCTGCTGGCTGCGGAGGAAGGACGTCAAGCCGGGCGAGGTTGTATGCTGTCGATTCGTCGTCGTCTCATCATCCGAGTCCGCCGCCCATGCATCACCGTCGTCGTCGCCTTCATCGTTGAAGGAGAGACGGGAGAAGGACGAGTGAGAGATGTGCGGACGGGACATGATTGGGATGAGGACAATGAGAGGCAAATGGCGAGAGCGGCCATTTGGCTCGACGCTCGCTCCTCTCCATTCTCGTCGAGATGGAGTGACACGGGCCACTCCAGACACGCTCCCCCCACGTGGTTGAAGGAAATAGCAAAGGCCCGTCCGCCAGTCAGGCTCGTCGGACGATCGTTGTTCGTCGCTTTCCTCTGCCAACCAACCAACACAACAATCCTCTGCTCACCCGCCAAGATGGCAGAGCAGACACTCCTCCTCGATTCTGCGATACGCAACTGGGTACTGCTGCCCATCACAATTGTCATTCTCCTCGTTGGGCTCGTGAGGCATAACATCATCATGCTCATTTCCAACCCGCCGAAGAAGATGACCGACTTGCAGCTCAGAGAGCAGAGGATCATGGCAAAGTCGGGGGCCTTGAGAACCAACCACGCCCAGTGAGTACACGCTCTCACTATTCATAGCCACAAGGATTGCTGACCACCCGTCATTGTGTGCAGAATTCCCCCTGCCGCCTTCAAGGTCAAACGCGAAAAGCTCCTCACCGACTTGGGAAGCGGCAAGTTCCTCGCTGAGCCTCCAAAGCCCCCACCAGCACAAGGCAGCGAGCCAGAGATGCCCGCCAACCCGCTGAGCGACCCTTCAGCCATGGAGGGGATGATGGAGCCGATGAAAAAGTCAATGGTCATGATGATTCCGCAGACGCTGATTATGGTGGGCAGACACAAGAAGATTGGTATACGTCTGGTGAGCTAGTCAGCTGATATATACATCTGCATTCGCTCGCAGGGTTGGATCTCCTTCTTCTTCTCAGGCTTCATCGTCGCCTCGGTACCCATCCCGATGCCCTTCCCCCTCGACTACTTCAAGGGCTGGCTTCAGCGCGGCTTGGCCAGCGAGGACATCTCCATCAATTGGGTGTCGAGCTTGAGCTGGTACTTCCTTGTGGCCTTTTTTGGCCTCAACGCGGTCTACCGCGTGCTGCTGGGAGATGACAACGCTGCAGACTCGACGAGGGACATGATGGGTCCGCTAGGGGGTGGAGCAGGACAGCAGCAGCAACAGCCGCAGATGGCAAAGACGGTGAGCCGCGCTACCCCAGGTCTCGATTGTACGACCTGACACTGACACTGACACTGACTCGCACCTGATCTCCTTTTCCTTTGCTCCTCGACAGGACTTTTCCAAGCTCCACGCAACAGAGCGCGACACCCTTGACCGCGTGGGCAAGGAGCTCATCGAAGCCCCTCCTCCGCCGAATCGCGACGTCGTATCGGGAAAGGCGCTCAGTGGATTTGGCAAGAAGGCTGGCGCAGCAGGGGGATCCAGTGCGAACAGAGGTGGGAAGCGTTGGGTCGGAGACGGGGTAGAGGAGAGGGTATTGAGGAGGTACGGGAGGGTGGTATGAGCGAGGGAAGGGAAGAAGGAATGGCGAACGAGGCTGTGAGGAGAGTTGCAAGAGCCCGGCCAGCAGACGGTGTTCATTCTGCAGTGCGGGCCTCATAATGAAGAGAAACGTAGATTGGACGACAAGAAGGTCTACAAATCTTGAGAGATTCCTTCCTGATCGATGCGCGACGCACCGGATCGCGTCACTGACTTCGCTCACGCCTCTGATTGCCAAGTCGATGTCGCTTGACCTCGGCGATCTCGATACTGGCAGAGCGGCATGCCGAGCATTCTTCAGAGCATCGAAGCTGGCAACGGTGATGCAGCCGCCCACCAAGAGACCTTCTTTGTCCCTCTCAACTTGACGTCTTTAGCTCTCGCCAGACGAGCCTACAGCGTTAACACAGTCTTCGAGCCTTCGCTGAACGTGCGACGCCGCAAATACGCACCACATCCGTTTAGTGAAGCGAACGCTGGGCGTTGACGTGAGGACCCTTGGCAGGCAGGCAGGTGAACCCAGGCGAGCGCGGAAACGGCATGAAGAGGCCGAGCGATCAGTTCGACGAGACTGACTCGCGGCCGCTGCGTTGGTGGCTGTCCTGCTGCAGGTCAACGGAGGGTCAGGCTCTGGACCCTGTGCGGGGAGGCGGCGAGGCGGCGAGGCGGCGAGGCGGGGAGGCGAGCAGCGACCGAGGTCAGAGCGAACGAGCGGCGACTGGTCGGCCGGCGTCAGTTAGCCGCCATGAACTATTCCCACCTGCCAGGACTCAATTTGCGAATGAAGCAAGCATGTGCGCGGCCGGCTTTCAGTCAGCGAAGAGTGGTAGGATGGGATCAGACGAGGTGACATCGCTCTTAACATTGTTTCTCCCTTCCTATTAACATCCTCGTACGACAACTTCTTTCTGCGCCGTGCACGTCCTTTTCACATCGCACGTCCCGAGCACTGGGTGAAACCAGGTCCCACACCAAGATACGAAGTCCGCTCACAAGCTCGAGCATCCACTCAACAGGGACCCGCGTCTTGGCCTTTCTCGCCTCTTCATCCACTCGCCCTAGCTTCAAACCCAATCCACCACCTGTCCACCGTGATCACCGCCCATCATGCCCTCTTCTCCTGTAATCGCAAAGGCCAACATGCGCCTGTACGAGTCCTACATCACCACGTCCCCCAGGGCACACATGGTCTTTAAGGCTCCTTTGAACAAGCTGCGACAAAGGACAGCAGAGCTCGTTGATCAGATCACAGGAGCCACTCTGCCTCCGGAGGTGGTGCAGCAGGAGTCTGCCATCAAGGAAGAGAAGCGCAAGTGGAAATGTAGAGCTTGTAGGGTGGCATTTGCGGGGGATAGGGAATTGCAGAGGGTGAGCTACGAAGATGCTTCGATCACTTGGCGAGTTGTCGTTTGCTGACATTCATTCGTCCCCTTGCTCTTCGCTCGACAGCACTTCCATCTCTTCCCGGCGCACCTCGAAGTCATCGAAGCCCGGCGGCAAGGACGCCCTGTAGTACGACACTCGGCATCAGCGGACGCGGGGCTCATGCTCGCCAAGACTCCCGACGCCAGCAAGAAGAAGCAGATCAGCAGCAGCAGCAGCAGCAGCACCAGGGGCGGTAGCAGCTCCAAACCCCGCTCTTCACGACCGCATCGTAGCCGCACAGCTTCAGCCGACGTCTATGCCGGTATCGGAGAGCCAGTCTCCGTACCAGGGCAGTACGAAGCCAACCAAGAGCAGCAATTCACCGTCGTCGGGCCGATCTCGCATCGCAGTATCCCCGGTGGCCATACGCATCCCTCAGACGCGGCTCGACGCCCTCGTAGGCGAGGCAGCCAGCGTCGCCGTGGCTCATCCCCCTCTATCAGTTCGGTCGCGCCCAATGCCAATGAAGAGCAGGGTCGCCGCAGCGTGCAGCGCGTTGAGGAGGAGAGGAGGTTGGCCAAGGTGGCAAAGGCCGCTCACGAGGCGAAGATGGAGGCTGTCGCTGCCAGGCGGAATAGTGGGCTTGGAAGGCGACCGAGGGAGGTCGAGAAGGAGAATACCGAAGGAGCCAATGGAGAAGATGTTGGTCGGTTGAGGAGGAGGAGCTTCAGTGAGGGACTTGTGTCCGTGCTCAAGAGGCCGAGCTCCTCCATGTCTCTGAGGGGCAAGGCGGCTATGCAGGAGCAGCAACAGGCCGGAACGTCAAGGGCGTCACTGGACCAAGGGTCTAGTACTGCGACGTTCCCTCAGCCCGCCGTGGGCGAGCTCGTACCGAACGTCCGGTGGGATTCCGCCACACGGAGAGCCAAGAGCCACGGGGACGTCTTCTTCGACGCCGAGACGGGCGAGATGGGCAGCGACTTTGCAGGCGATGATGACGGAGAGACAGCCTTCTCCTCTGTACATGGAGAGACGGCCGCTGTAGCTCATGCTGCGCCAATCGGGTCGTCGATGTTGGTCAATCTCCCGGGCGCAAATGGGTCCAGCTCCTCTTTAGGGTTGGGCTTGGGCAGCGGCGGAAGGCGTCGCTCTAGCGTGTCGTCGATCCAGCGGAAGGCTGCCCCCAAGCCGTCCGTGGACGAGTTGAGGGCCGCGTACGCTACTACGTCCATGGATCCCGCTTCGCCCCCGCCTCAATCGCAGGCTACACGACCTCCTCTCCCAGCACGTCCATCGGCAGCACTCTCTCGTGACCCCTTTGCAGAGTCTGAGCCAAATCGCAGCAATGTGGAATGGGTCCCATCTTCTCGTCCATTGCCCACTGTGCCAAATCAGAGCAGGCGGATGTCCGGCAACTTCACCACAGCGAGCCCGCGCTCCTCCTTCTCGCTCGCACCTGCTATGGCCGCGGCGACGACGAGTGCGGCAGTGGCGGGTGACAAGTCAGCCCCGTTGCTACCACCAATCGACACGTCCGACTCCCTCTTGGCGCTGCTGAGCGACCGGAGGGGCAGTGGCTCGTCTGCGGCAGCAAGGCCAACTGTTCTGGGCTCGCCTCTCGGAGGGGTGCGTATAGCCAGCCCGCGGCCTCAGTCGCCTCCGCCTGCCACCGTGACTCAACAGCATCCCGTCTCACCTCCGCCCATGTTGAGGACGAGGCGAAGCACGAACCCCTTTCTGCCAGAGGACGCAGGCCAAGTCGCGACGCGCACCTCGTCGGATTTGCCATACCTGGCAAGGCAAGCCACCGGCGGCGCCTCGTACAGTCCGACGGTCTACACAGCCTCACCGCAGACGCCCGTGACGCCCGGATTTGCCTCTTTGCCAGCGAGGGACCGAACCAAATCATCTGGCGCATTCTTCGGCGCAGGTGATACTGCAGGCGGACCAAGCTACGGTTATGGCCCGAGCTTCCCTCCTCAACAGCAGCAGCAGCCGTACGGTGTTTCACCCTCTTCGCCCTCGTCACCTCCTCCGCCGAGGTACAGCACGATCGTGCCCTCTGCATCGGCAGGCGGTGTTGCTGCTCCCGCTGGTCCACGGTCTCCGCCTCTGCCGCCGCTGCTACAACAGCAGCAGCAGCAGCAGCAGAATCAGACCGGACGTCCAGGATACCATCAGCACCAGCGCGCAAGCACAATGCCCATGGCTATGGCAAGCGGCATGGCTCCGCCGATGTCTCCGCCAGCGCATCTTGCCTCCCACTATGCAGCAGCACCGGCTCCGGCTGGGACTCCTGTTCCTCAAAGTAACTACGCCTATCACCACCAGCCCTACGCAACCTACTCGCCTCGTAGCGCAGCACCGGCCCCCATGCCAACCTCACCGATGTCACCGCGCAACCCATACTTTGCTGAGCTACACGGTGATGTCACGGGTGGCAGCGCTATGACCCCTGGCTCGCCCTTCCCTGCCGCCGTCGACTCGCCGTCATCTCCATCTTCGCCCGCCTTCAGGCCGGCGGCAAGGACGAGGGCGTACAGCAGCAATAATCCTTTTGCTCGGCAGGCGTTCGTGGAGCAGAGCCAATACCAGCAGCAGCGGCAGCGGTAGAGCCGGCAGCAGCGAGCTTAGCTGTTGAAAGGAGTCGCATGAGTCTTGCCAAGCAGGATCGCGAGCCTGGTCCAGGGCCGCGGGCGAGGACGATTACGGATCGTGCGCGCAAAGAGGGTCGGTTGAGGTAAGATTGGGAAGGTAAATCGTCGTCCTTTTTCTCGTCTACGATTGTTGCTTTGTTCTTGTGATTGAAATTGATGCCGATGCCTGCTCGAATGTCAAGACTCCTGAGGGAGTTCGAGTGAACCTGCGGTCGTCGCAATCGCGCTTCCTCTTCAAATGGTCCGCAATTCTCGAAGACACGCTGCGCTAGTAGACGAGCCTGCCGCACGCATTGTATTGCTTGAGCAGCTCATGGCCGTTAGCTTTGACCTCGCAGCTGGCTTAGCTTCGATCGAAGACGTCCGTCTTTGATACGGTACACATCGAGTAATCTCAATGCCCGTGTCATGCCACTCCCACGGTACTCTCCGTCATCACTCATCATTTTCCCTTTTTCCTCGGGCGCGTCAAGCAGCGTCGTCCTCCTTCTTTACCCTACCGACGAACAAGTGGGAGGAAGTCGGATCCTCGCTGCCGCCTTTGCCCTGTCATTGAAGCAATTCATGGGAAGAAGCGGGCATTCTGTCGCTCCTGAGCGGGACAACATTGAATAGGGTCAAAAAGCATTGAATCGTGCGTGGGAGTCTTGCTTTCCCCTCGGAGGAAAGACAGCGAGATTTCAGAGTCCGAGTAGATCGCTCCCATCGGGCGGTGCATGGTCGCAGGACACAGTCGTCTTGTCCCATCCCACCACTCTGGTCCTTCTCGTCTCATGGAGACTGCGCTCATCGACACCACTTTGCTGCTTCATTACACCTCCTCTCTTAGCGCTTTACCCTGGCCGCCGCGCCCACTAGCGTGGTGTCATCTTGATTGACGCGAGTCGTACAGTAGTGCGCCCCGGGCCAAGGAGGGTAGCGTGGTGAGCAATCCGGAGAATCCGCCGCGCCGAGCAACGAAGTGACAGACGGGCGAGGTGCGTGGGGAACGACTTTCCAATTCCTTGGGCTGGAGACGATGGCATCTGGGTGTTGAGCTCGAGGTGAGGGGGCCGAAGAGAGCGGCGCAGCAAGGACGCAGCTCCCAGCCAGGGGGTACGACGGGAGGCAGCCGCTCGAAGACGATGCACCAACGTGTCAGCAATCAGCAACTGCAAGCAAGTGATTCTCGATTGGCTCACGATTCGGACCGGCTCATTGCTCTGCGTGAGAAGGCGCAGCAAGCATTAGGGTGATCCTCGAGTACGGGGCAACGCATTCTCGCAGCGATGCAATAGCGCAGCCACGCTCTCTTGCCATCTATAACGGCCAATGTCGAGAGATGAAGCATTTCTTTGCAGCAACGTCAGGTCATAACCCGCCACATCTGCATCGACGACCGCCTGCGGCTTCGACCGGCTCAGCGGGCGTCGGTATGAGCGACAGAGTGAGCGAGCTACGCTATGCGTTCCAGTTCTGTACTTAGCCTCCTGTCTTGAATTGATGATACGCCACGGCGCAGCAGCAGCTCGTTTCTTGGTTTCGTTTCAGCCCGTCTCTCGCCAGCGGCCAGCTTTGCAGCCTGCAAGCTGCCCTTCTCCTCGGCTCGTTCGAGCGAGAAGAGCATCGACATCTCGCAAAAAGGAGAGGCGGCAGCGGCAGCGGCGACGGCGGCGTTGAACGGTTTTGGTGGGGACGGTTGTTGTGCCAAGGACGTCGACGGCTGCTAAGGGGAATAAAGCAAAGTGACGGCGGCGGTCGGGCAGCGGCAGTCAAGTGGTGTGGCACTTAGTAGCGAAGGCGGGCAGCCTCCGGCGCTGTGGCTATGGGCCAATATCGAGCATCCCCCAAATTGGATCACACTACGTAGGCCTTGTTGCGCTCGGAGGCCCGCCGTTCTTCTCCGCCTTCACAATTGCTGCGACGCCGTATCAGTGGTCCATCCTCGTCTGCCTGAACCCCCTTCCTCCCACCGCCGCCTTTGCAAGCTCGAAGCTCGGTCTCGGTCTTGTGGTCCTGAACTGCTGTGCAGTCGTCGACGGTTTTAAGCCTAGCTCGCCGGTCAGTCAAGACCTCGGGCCTCTGCCCCGCTCCCGCAACACCCGCCTGGGTGTCTCTTTCGTCCCATGCGGGCCGGCCATTGATCATCTGGGGGGTCACATCCAATCGCTACCAAACCTGGTTCATCGCCCAGCGACAGCCCAGCAGCAACCAATCCCTCGCCGACGACTCAGCCATCATCTTGACCACTCACTCCGATATCACGACGCAACGACTCATCCCAACAACAGCATCACTCGATACGCAGCGTCACGCGTAACAGAGCAGCAGCATTGTTAGTCGAGCATCGCATCCTCACCATCAGTCGTCCTCGTCTTTAACGTCGTCGTAGTCATTCGCACCATCTTCCCACCTCGACACTATTTGCCTAGAGTGCGCGTCGAAGTAGCGGCACCGACAGCGTATCAAAGGGCAGCACTAGGCCACGACGACGCAGCATCGTCGTTGTCCCTCGCTGCGCCTTCGCCACCATGGTGTTAGCGCCACGTCGGAGGCACGGGACAAGGCTCCTCTTCATGTCCTTGGCCGCTCTTATCACCTGCCTCGCTCTCTTGCCATCTACAACGCTTGCCAGCTCCAACACCAACCCCAAGCATGACAACATCTTCCTCCACGTCTCGCCCGAAGAGGGACATCGTGTCCTCATCAGCATCATCTACACGTCCTTCTGGCTTGGCGCTCTTGGATGGGACGTTTTCAGCACCATCCACTTTGATTACCGTGTCCTCAAAGAGACCAACTATCGCAGCGCTTTCTCCATCTTCAACTCACTGGCCTATTTCATTTCGAGGTATGTCACCTTTACCTGGGTCCTGCGAGTCCTCCTCGATGGCATCACAATGAGCGACGACTGCGCGAGTCGATTCCAAGTGTCTGCTGCCATGTACTCAATCAGCGTCTGCGGTAGTGAGTAGCATACACTGTGCGCAGCAGCCGTGGTCCATGATTGACTGACCATCATTGGCCCTCACCCCCGCTTTCGCACTGCCAGCCTACTTTGTCTTCCTGCTGCGCACCGTCAACCTCTGGAGGATGGACTACCGAGCCGTTGTTCCCCTGATGATCAGCATGACCATTATGATCGGCCTCTGCGCTCCTCTTCCCTACGTCTCCAAGCCCATCATCCTCCAAGGAGGACCCTACTGCAACTACAGAGTCGGCAGCCACCTCTCGTACGGCGTTCTTGCGTCTTGCGCCCTCTTCGACATCATCAACTTCACCCTCCTCTACCTCAAGCTAGTCAAGTCCGGACAAGGTCTCAGAGGCCTTCTTCGCTCGCTGGCACCAATGACGAAGGCAGCTTACGATCACGAAGAGGTCGCTCGCATGCTCTTGCAGAAGACCTTCATCTTCATCGCCGCACAATTCGGCATCCTCATCTCCCTGGCCATCCTCTACGCCACTACGACGGAGCAGAACTTCCAGCTGATGCAGGTCGCCGCCTTCCAAGCGGTCTCAACGATGATCTGCGGCCGTATCTTCCGCAAGGCTTGGAAGCTGACGAGGGAGCAGTCGCCTGCCAACATCGCCCTGCCGCCCGACTACTCGCCCGACTGGGCAAGAGTCGTGGAGCGAGATGCGTCAGTAGCTGGAGGAGCCCAAGGGAGTGAAGGTCTAGGTGGCATTGATGGCACTCCAGTCCTCGTCAAGAAGGAGTCGAAGAGCCTACGCGACGATGCGTCCTACATCGAGGGTGAGATCAACTACTCGATCAAGGAATCTAAATCGTCTATTTTGCCCAGGACTCAAGATCGTAATGGCAGCATTGCTCACAGCCACATGAGCCGCAGGTCCATGGCGGACGATTCTTCTCAGAGATCTCAACCTCAAAGTCAGTCGGGCGTGGCCATCGAGATGGGAGACGTGCCAATGCCAGCAGCATCAGCAACAGCAGCATCAGCCTCGCCACTTGCTGTGCCTTCCAAGAAGATCGGCGGCATAGGACGCAACAGCCGCGACAAGCGTCGAGCCGTGACATCGCACGGTGCTAGCTCTTCGTCCTCACCGGACATTGGCGGGAGCAGCAGTCGACAACGCCCCTCGACGTCATACACCCCGACGATCTCCGCGCCCGTGCAGATCATCTCGCCAGGTGCGGATGCCAACTCGTCGTCCGCCTTCATCTCCAGCAAAGGTGATGGCACGACGCCGTACTCCACAACCCCGCGCAATGGCAGCAGCGTCAAAGCATCGGTGTCGTCGCAGACGCTCACGCCTGCCATTGCGGCCCTTGCGTCCCCGTCACGACAGGCGGGCAAATCTTCGTCGAGGGCGAATGTCGGAGAGATGCAAACGGCGGGACGTCCGCGCTCCAGTAGCAGCGTCGTCTCATCAACCTCATCCTCCTCATTCCCGCCAACCGCTATCACCGCCGATCAGCAACCGCGTCGAGGCTCCGCAACACCATTGAGAACCACCTTCGTAGCCTCGCCACCCATGACAGCCGCCTCGACGCTCGCCCCTGCGACTCTCACAGTTGGTCCCTCTTCATCTAGCAAAAAGACCGTCACACCAACCCTCAGCCGTCGTCCCAGCGCCGTCGATGCCGAACAGTCCGCGGGGTCCCCCGACCCACTCGATGCATTCCGCAGCGCCGTCCACGCAGACGAGGCGCGGCACGCCAGTGGCAGCAGTGGTCTCGATGTCGGCGGGCGGCCTACTACGAGTCGCGGCGGACCTGTTGCACCCTTTGGCTCTCGGGAGAGGACAAGAAGTCACTCCACTGACAAGACCGTGACTGGCGTGAGCGTTGGCTCGGCGGTAGCAGCAAGGCCCTCATCGTCTGTGCGCCCTGTCAGCCCCGCTCGCCCCGGCACGTCTCATGGTCCAGCTAGCGCTGCTCCTGCTGGATCTTTCGTCCGTCTCCGCGCGCCACCGCCTTCGACTGCGGCTGCAGGAGCCTCGGGCTCTGTGTCCTCATCGCAGCGACCTGGCACGGCCAGTGATGCGCCGACCAGCAAGCCTCCGCCCTTCGCCTCCACCACACCACTCTCAGCCCCCGTCTCGCCCAAATCGAGCAGCCATGCGCCGCTACCCGTCAACGCCAGTGCGACCGCCGAGCCACCAGCCTCCGCCTCCTCCGCAATCGACGAGGCATACCGTGAGCTCGAGGAGATGGCCTCGCTCAGCCGCACGAACAGTATCGCTACTACGTCGGCGCACACAGCTACTACCGTTGACACCTCTGAAGGTGGTGGCCACGATTGAAACTCCCGCTTCTGAGCCGCTGCCGCCCCCCCTCCTCCCACTCGAATCCCCCCTCTGCCATCCCCCTCGTCATATCAGCATCTCTCCCCACTTTTCTTGTCCTATAATCTCTCGACCATGCCTCTCGTTTACTCATCATACCACCGGCACCAGCACCACGCGTGCACCAAACGACGCCAAAGCACGCACAACACTCGTACGTACCTCTTATCAGACGCTATATTCTCTCGTTCCACCGCCTCAATCATCTCGTTGTTACATCATCGTCGCCATCGCGATCTGACCTTGTCAATGCGAACTATCATCGTGATCCTGCGCCCGCTCAACGAAATGTGTGATTGGTGGATTGAAGGCCTCGAGATGAATAAAAGTACAGCAAAAAAGATGTGTGACATACGTCGCTCCTCGTCGCTCCTGCCAGCTCAAACGCCCGCCATTCTCAAATTCGCCAGCGCATCCACAATGGTCCTATCCCCCTCCCTCTCGACGGTCTCCTTATCCAGCCTCAACGCGTCTAATCCCTTCATCCTCCTCCAGAAGTTTGTCCTCCTAACCATACCCCTATCCAACAACGGGAGGTATTTTTGCGCCCAATATTCGCTCATCTCCCAGCTCTCCGGGTCCATCGGGTCGTCTCCGTGCAGCGTAAAGACGTGCCCTTCACCGGAGCATTCGAACGGCTTGCCGATCAGGTCACACTTGAGCGTATGGTTGTCCACTACGCCCAGCTCGAGGAGACGGATCAGACCGTCGCGGACAGAGGGCCAGGGGAGAGTATCGATGATGATGGAGTGGGGACGTGAAAGCTGGAGAGCTGTTGGGTACATGTTGGGCGCCTCTCGTAGGCGGGTCAGGCGACGATCCTCGTCCACGCGCGAGAGAGAGACGGGGATCTGCCAAGGGGACTTGCCTATTGATGTCGAGGTGCCGGGCATCTGGGTGAGTGAAAGTGGCGAGACTGTCCCGTCTTCTGCGCGCCCTATAGCGCCTCCTGCAACGAGGGACGTGCTGTTGCTCCCCATCTGAACAAAGGGTAGTGACCTCTGAGTCCACACCTCACTGATGTTGCTGTGCGTCGCGCACTTCCTCAAATCGTCGTCCAAGAACCCCAAGCAAACTGCATTGTGGAAGAAGGCTTTGGCCATCGCATGCTTCTCGTTGAAGACGACGCCGCGTCGCGGGTCGAGGATGGAGCGGCGGAGGTGCTCGAGGGAGGGCGACTCGAGGAGGAGGAGAACTACGGCTAGCATGCCCCTTTCGTTTGTTATGGTCTCTATCATCTGCCATTGGTTGAAGCCGGCGAACCAGTCGTGAGTATGGGTGGGACAGAGAGAGGAGGAGGAGGAGGAGGCGTTCTGAGCAGCAGCAGGCTGTGGTTGAGACTGCGGCTGTGATGGGAGTAGACTGGGGTCGCCGCGTTGCTGCTGAGTTGGCCCAGAAAGCAAGCTGGGAGTGGACGGTCCAGCGACGCCAAAGTCGGCCAAGATTCGATCGAGGACGCTGTGCGGCTGGTCTGCCGCAATCTTTTGCTGCTGTGGCTGCTGATGCTGTCTTTGACGCTGAAGATTGGTCTGCTGTTGCTGTAGTCGCCTCATCTCCTCTTGCTCCTGCTCTGCCTCTCTCATCACCGAGGCAAAGAACTGCACCTCGTTGTCGACGGACATGGCCGCGCTGCTGCTGACGATGTCGCCAAGGTGATCATCGTAGGAGGCAAAGGTGGTGCGAGACGATGGAGCAGGATTCTCAGCTGAGGGCGCTGCGCTGACGATTGCAGCTGATGGTGACAGGCCAAAGTCAAAGAAGGGGGCCTCAGACGGCTTGGCTGGTGACGGGTACGAGAAGGTGGGCTGCTCCGCCGAGCTGGATTGCTGGCCTGGTAGGCTGGCAAAGTAGGAGGTCGGCGATGTGCTGCTCGAAGCCTCTGATGCTGACGAGGGCGACGTCGATGAGAATGCCGTTGAGGGGCTGCTGGCCTTGTCCGACTCGCCAGGTGACATGCTGTTGGCATCGCCTTTGCTGCCACTGCCGAAGCTGCTTCTTGAGCTGCTGTTGCTGATGCTGCCACCCCCAATGAAGTTGACTTCTTGGTTGTTAGCGTGCTGCTGCGACTCATCTGAGCGTCTGCGCTTCGTGGCGATGCTCTTGGCGGCTGCCTGATGATGCGTCGAGGGGCTAGCGGCAGCGGCTTCTGCTGCTTGTTGAGCCAGCTTCTTCTGCCTGAAGCGGGCTTGAGCTTGACGATTTTGAGCTCGTCGTCTCTCCAGAAGGGCAACGGCATCCTCGTTGGCGTCGCGGGCTGGCATTTTGATGATGGCCTGAGCTGTGTGTATGCGGTGAGCCGTGGGTTGAGGAGCAAGCGAATCTCAAGCCTCAGCGAACGTTATGTAGGCCTGGCCTTAACCTCGTTGGTGGAATTGATGGTGAGTGGTAGGGAGCCAAGAAAGAAGGACTATCTTTGGCATCGATTACAGCAACACTGAGTGGATCTGATCCGCTGAGCATTCATCCGCTGATCGATGAGCACGAGGGGCTGAAAGGTCTATCGGGCCCTTTCGTCGCATCGCAGCGCAGAGGCCACTTGATTGCTGCAGCAGCCGTCCATCGGTGGCGCCCAGGAAGCTGCAGCAAGGCACGAGATCCGCGACGAGCGACCGTCAACCTCCGCCCGCTCACGCATAGAGCATAGAGCGCAGGCGCAGGTTCCAACGAGGGCGGCGGGGCGGGATGGACCAGAGTAAGCTGACTTTGGCCTCTCACCCTCACTGCACCGACGTGACCGTGGCTCTTTGTCGAGTCATCGAAACGGAGCATGCTCAGTCAAGCAAGAACACATTCTTTCCGTAGCAGCGAGAAAGAGGTCGGGAGCGGGGTAATCTGACCAGCGCTGGTTCGTACCATTGTTGAGTAAGCCAGTCTGCCTGCTCACCCGCCTGCCTGCCTGTCTCGCGTGTCATGGTTGTCTCCTTTCTCGATGTAGCCAGACGAAGGAAACCCACGCGATCAGCGATCTGAGAATCATGGTTGATGAACAGAGATGGCATTCAAAAAGATTAGGACGAGGAGAAGACGAGTCGCACAGCGCTCGAGTCGAAGGTTCAGGAGTGTATTGACAGGGAGGAAATCGAGAACTCGAAGAAAGAAAGTACTACGACGACGAGACAGGCTCGCTCTTGATGAAGTTGGACAGGAAGAAGTTGTCAAGACCAGGTAGGCTATCGTCCGGTCCTTCCTGCGGCTTGTCGCTGGTGAGCAACTTGTTGTGAGGCACGTCAATGTCGACGCTCAGGTCCAGGCCGAGGTCCAGGCCGAGAGCCTCGTAGTCCCATGCCGTCGTCGAAGGACTGGCGCTCGTGACGCTCAGATCGTCACTCTGATGGTACTCTGCCGCGGTGCTAGCCTCGCTGTTGCTGCCCGCCGCCGTCGCATCTGCCATGTTAAAGATGCTGGCCATGATCTCGTCTTGCTCCTCGACGCTTGGAGGTGTCAGAGCCACGTCCTGCTGTGTCTGCCTCAATCCAAAGTCGAAGACTGCCTGTACACCGCCCTGACCTTGCTCCTCTGCCTTGATTTCGTCATTTTTCCCCGTCAGCATCGCCTGGGCCGGGGCCGAAAGACGACCCTGACTCTGAGCCGCCTCGAGGTTGCGCTCGCCAAAGATGACTGCGAGTAGCTGACCGGCAAGGCTGTGATTGGCTTCGCCCATGTCGTCTGCGCCGTAGCTGCTGCCATTGCTGTCGCCTTGGATCGTGCAGCCCTGTTTGCCTCCCTGCCTCTCAGCCACTTCATCTGCGGCTGACCCCTCACACCCACCAACCTGCCCGACGACTCGCGCGACTGCATCCTCCCCAACGACCGACACCTCTGCCTCTTCTCCCTGCGCCCCTGCTCCACTCCCAGTCCCGCCCGCTGCTGCTGCTGCTCCCTCGTACGCTGAAAGCTGCTCAATGATGCTGCTGCCTTGATGACAGGTCTCTGCCTCAACTCTTCTCCTCTTACGCCCACCTCGTCCACCTCGCAAGCCTGCGACGTCCGCTGTAGGGAAGTCGCCATCGCTGTTGGATGGCGAACGTCTTGGCTTTTGTGCGAGGGAGACTCGGTGAGAGACGGGAGGATGAGAGAGGGAGGAGCGACGGATGTCGGCGCTGCAAGTGAGCTGCTTTCGAGCGATGTCGAGGAGGAGCTGCAGTGGCGGGAGGACGAGGAGGAAGAAGAGAAGGAGGAAGGAGAGGACGAGAGGAGGGTCGTCGGGAGGGATGGGGCGGAGGAGTGGGAGGCAATAGATGAGAGGTCAGAGAGGAAGGGCGACCGAGCCAGATGTTGGACGAAAGCTTGAGGGCTCAAAGGGTCGGCGAGCGCTTCGACGCTGGCTGCTGGTACTGATGCTGCTTGTGAAGTTGACGGCTGGTCGGCGTCGGTCGTTGGCTGCGACTTCATGAGGATCTTGACGACGTCCATGAGAGCGCTGAGCTCCTTGCCCATGTCGCTGACCCTACCCTCGAGCTCAAGATTGCGTTGACGCAGCTCGACGACTTCGGTCTCGAGCTGTTCTCGCTCTGCCTTCTTGCGATTGCGAGAGTTCTGGGCGGATTGGCGGTTGCGCACTTGGCGTGCTGCGAGGCGGGCCTGCCGCGCTGGATCCATGGGCTTCTTGTTTGGCGTCGAGGATGATGAAGAGGGCGACGAAGCTGATGGAGAGAGCATGTCTGATGGCGCTGATGAACCTGCGCGACTGAATGCAGACATGCTGGCGTTTCGGTGGAGTTGATGGGTGGCAAGGCGAGTCGTGACAATAGGGGGCGTGGTAGTGGACGTGACGGAGACTAGAGGACGAGCGACGAAAGGACAGTGAGGTTTTTTCTTCGAGACGATATGATGTGGACGTGAGGAAGTCGACGTGGCAGGCACCCCACCCAATACGACTGTAAGAGGAGGGCCGCCGTTGAAGACGGTGGGGATAGGGTCGTGGAAGCGGAGGGAAAGCAAACAGAGCTCAGTGGCTCAGCCCCTTCCACGTCGACAGGCTGCACCGCCCGCTCCAAGCCTAATCTGGTTCCGCGAGGCCCGCTGCCCTAGTTCCGCCTCCGCCTTCGACTCCTCCGGTACGGCTCGGGCCGCAAGCACACGTACACCGATGGCTACCACATCGCTCGGCGAATGTTTGGTCTCGGGCTAGGTGTATGATTCATTGGCTCGCGCCTGATGCGAGACAAACGGTACAGACAGTGACAAGGATAACAGAAGAGGAGAGGGGTGAGACAGAATCAAGAGTGAGCAAGAGCCGGCATAGGAGAAGTAGTAGCCTGGACGCTTTCGTCCGGCGAGTCGCTCTCAGCGCCCTTCTCAGCAGCGTGCACACTCGAGGGTGAAGAAGCCATGTCGCCAGCCATTTTGGTGGTCGGACGAGCCTCGGCCGCCCCTTCGACGTCGATGTCGTCCGAAGAGTGCCATGCCGAGTCGAGGAGCACGTAAGCCGGCTCGCCTACCTGCGCCAGATCCATCCCAACAGCCTCGTCCTCGTCTGAAGCGCGGAAGTGACAGCCCGGGATGCGATCGATGGCGAAGAGGAGGATCATGGTGACAACAAAGGACCAGCCGAGCGTGAAGGCCGAGTCTGCCAGCTGGTAGCCAAGCTGAACCCAGTGGTGGTTGATCCAGCCCCCGGCGATGGGAGCCGATCCGTCGAAGGAAGCGACACGGCTGTCGGCGAAGAAGGCTGTGAGGATGTTGCCCGTGAGTCCGCCGATGGCGTGAGCTGCAAAAGCGTCGACTGTGTCGTCGATGGCAAGCAGACCCTTGATCGCCGTAGCCCAATTGGAGGCTGTGGCTCCTACAACACCAAAGGCGACGGCAGCTGGTGCACCGACATAACCGGACCCAGGCGTAATAGCGACGAGCCCCGCAATGGCACCACTGCAGAAGCCAACGGCGGACCAGCGTCGCTCGAGACGGTAGTCCCAGAGCATCCAGGTGAGGCCGCCTACGGAGGCCGAGATGTTGGTAACAGTCATGGCCATGACAGCTCGCAAGTTGGCGCCGATTGCGCTTCCACCATTGAAGCCGTTCCATCCGAACCAGAGGAGCGCTGTGCCGAGCACGACGTAGGTGACGTTGTGCGGGCGGTAAGCCAACGCCTCAGTCCCGTATCCCTTGCGACGTCCGAGGAAGATGGAGATGGCGAGTGCTGCCGTACCGCTCGAGATGTGCACTGGGCTCCCACCTGCAAAATCCAGCCCACCGAGGTTGTTCATCCAGCCATGGCCCACGTTCCAAGTGCCGTACGCAATGGGGTTGTAGACGATCGTCGACCAGCAGAAGACGAAGATCATGACGGGCAGCATGCGAGCACGATCGGCGAATGCGCCGCAGGCGATTACGGGAGTGATGGCGGCGAACATGCCCTGGTAGAGGGCGTAGAGGAGCTGAGGAATGGTGGCTCCGCCCGAAGAGGGCTCGATGTCTACGTTCATGAAGCCGAAATAGGCGAGGTTGCCGATGAAGCTGTTGCTTGATGTCTGCGAGAAGCTCAGAGAGAAGCCTGAGAGCGAGAGGGGGCGTGGGGGCAGGTGTCAGTTGCTTTCTCTTGTTCGTGTGCTACATTCGCGCCTGCTTACCCCAGAAGAACCACTGGAAGAAGACGATGGACGACACGACGAGGGACATCCAGAGCATGCTGAGGGCGTTTTTGCGTCGCAGGAGACCGCCGTAGAAGAAGCCTAGTCCAGGGATCATGATCCAGACGAGAGCTGTAGCAGTGATGACCCACGCCATGTCACCAAGGTCTGCGAGGGCGCGATAGAGAGAGCGTGAGCAAGCGTGCATTTGTGTTGCGAAGTGGCTGGCCGGCTACTCACTGTAGATGACCTCGGTGCCATCCGAGGTGGTGGTGGAGATATCATGGCTCGCAACTGTGTAGGTGACGTTGACCATGTTGGGCGACGAGTACAAGGGAGAGAGGTATGGCGATGGAGGAAAGGGAAGACCGACACGGCCACGTACGGGACATCGTCTCCTTATACGGCGACGACGGTACGGGCGAGGCTCGGGATTGAGCGCCTCTCAGGACCTCGATAAGCGTCGCGAGCGGGCCGTAGCGCACCGGACGGCTTGGCCATTGTGACGCCGCGGCGGGATCCCACGACATGCCAACCCTTGGCCCTGGCTGCTCCTCGTCTCTCGCTGCCCATCTGCCACTCCCTTCCCCATCTAAGCTTCATCAAGACCTGCTTCGTTGCTTTGGCATCGTTCCTGACTCTCGACCGAGAGAGAGATGTCAAGGCTTCGCCCGATTGCCGTGCTCGACTCGAGACTCGAGTCGCGTCTCACTCTCGCCTGGTGCCCCCACTTTGATCGGACCCCGCACGAGGCTCCGTCAGGAACGCGAAAGATAAGAGCTTCGACCCCCCTTCATCGACTCCGCTCGCTCAAGGGGGAGAAGTAAGGTGTCGAACTCGTCTGATGCACACGAAGAGCTGCTGGCGAGCGACATCGGAGGGATATGGGAGAGGCGAGACAACGACCCCACTTTCTCAGAGTGCGAGCTTTGAAGATAAGGGTCGCGCTCAGACACGACGCGCTTTCAGCGTCGACACGGGGAGCTGAACGACCGGCTAGTATTTACAATGCTATCACGAGTGAGCGCTGCCGCCCTTCGCCTCGTGGTCGCTGGAGGGGCTTGCCGGCGAGTCACCTTCGTCAGCCGTGGTATCTCCCGCCTCGAGCTCGGCCTGCCGACTCCCCTCCTCTGCCTGCTCCTCCAACTCACGATCTTCCTCCTCCAGAGGGAGGATCGCGTTCGCCACCAGCCCTACAACAGCACAGATGACAAATGGCGTCTCTACAATAATCTCAATCGAGTCCATGAATCCCCTGAGAGCCGCATTTGGCCCGTTCGCAGGGTAGGTGAACACGCTTCCAAACCACGTCGGGACGAGCAAGTTGCCTAGCCCGACACCGGCGCTCAGTGTGAGCAGGAAGCGCGCTCGCCTTGTAAAGCGGACAGAGGAAATGATGCGAAGACCGGAGACAGCTACGCTGCTGAAGAGGATGGTCGTCACGCCTCCAAGGACGGGTTTGGGGATCGAGAGGATCGCGCCGGAGATCTTGCCGAGGACACCGAAGATGATCAGCCAGACGCAGCACCAGTAGCCTGCTCGGCGGTTTGCGATGCGCGTTATGCTGATGACGCCTGGAGCGGCGCGCAAGGGGGAGAGGTATGAGCTGCAGTTAAGGCGGTCTACACGTAGACATGAGGCTACTCACCATTGTTCTGCGCGAACACCGACATAGGCGTGATGGTGAAGAGTGACGAGAGGAGCCCGCCTAGCCCATCTGACAGCACGCCGCCTTGGATACGTTTGTCGAACTGACGTGATGTTACCGACAGGCGCGAGACCTCGCTCGTCGCCGTGATGTCTCCAATAGCCTCGCACATGAGCGAGAGATAAACGGCCAACAGGGGTAGAATGGCCGGCGCGTAGATCTTGAGGGGGAAAGTGTGTACCCAGAGAAAGGTGATCGGCTTAGCGGCATCGATATTGGTCCGGGAGATGTAGCCGGTAGGCCCCGCCACGATGAGCGGCAGGAGCAATCCTAGCACGATCGAGGCATTCCGCATCGCAGGCGAGCCGAAAATTTCGACCAGCACCACTGTCATGAACGACAAGAAGCCCAGACCAATGTATCGCCCTGACCCCCACTGATATCCGTGAGGGTCGAAACAGCTCGCGACTGGGTCGGGCCCACAGGCACTTCCACCACCCCAGTCAGGAAAGCCTGAGCTCTTGATCAGCGAGACGCCAATGAGGAAGACGACTGGACCGGTGATGATAGGAGGAAGGGCGCGCTTGATTAGTCGCACAGGCACAAAGGAGAGGCCCATCTCCAGGAGGGAGCAAAGCGCTGCAGTGCCCAGAATGTAGCCGTACGCCTCTGGGCAGGCTTGCTTGACCCCGCCTTCTGTACGACAGGTGCCATTGCCGTACATGTGCTCAATGATCGCACTCGCTGTGGACAAAGTTGCGAAGCTGGTCCCCACGACGCTGAGCAAGCCCGTCCCGAGCTGATAGCCCTTGAAGAGGGGTATGCGACTCATCTGTACGGCGGAGAGGATGCCTGCTGAGATGAGCGAGGCAGAGACGAGATATGCCTGCTGGTCTGCAGGCAGGGCCAAGGCGGACGAGAGGATGACGGGTGGTGTGATCAGCCCTGCCAGCATGGCTAGAGCGTGCTGTAGCCCAGCTACGGCTGCGAGCAGGATAGGAAGGTTGTCATCGAGCCCGTAAAAGGGAGTCTCGGTCGCTGCATTCTTCTGCCGTGAGTAAGGGTTCCATCGCAGCTTGAAGAGAGACGACCAATCGTAGTCGCCCAGCCAGGTATCTCGATGCGTGAGGGAGGCAGCGCGGTCGCGTAGTGAGCGAGGTACTGACGCACGAGGAGTGGTGGTAGCGCCGGCTGGAGGATGGTAAGGGCTGTCCGTTGCGGTTGCCTTGGCATCGTGGCTGCTGCTCGACATGGCGCGGATAGGTCACAAGGAGGAGAAGAGGATGATGAATGGGCGAGCTTCGTCACTTTGCGACAACCATTTGAGGCGTCTCGCATCGCTATCTCTCCCACGCCAGCCGGCTGCAGCGGCACACCCTAGCCTTATCTTGACTTCGAACCGTTCCCACAGTCTCGGGACAGATCCATGGCTGCGAGCTAGTTACTGAGCCTACGTACGGAGTCGTCGATGTGTCGCGAGATGACCAATACTCATCAATGCTGGCTGATGTTGTTGAGACGGGCGAGGTGCAGCCGCCATTGAAGATGCGTCGCTGCTTGAGGGAGGCGGCCAACATGCTTAGTCAGCAACCCTTCCCCACTTCCGTCCAGTAGTCGTGCGACATGCCGCCACATCTCCAACCTCTTGCACTCTCGTCCGTCTTAACCCTCGACAGTCATGGGCCGTAAACCAAGCAACAAGACAAGGGCCGACTTCACATCAGCAGAAAGGCAGTGGGTGCACGATAGGTGGGGTGTCAAGAAGGCGAGAATAGGCGGGGAGAGCTTGAAGAGCTTCGATCAATGCAACCTCTGCCTCGATGAGGTGCGCAGCCCCATGGTGAGTGCGACGAGGCGATAGGCGGCAGAAGCATAGCAGAGATCTCGAGCTTACACTGTCTCCATCTGCATTGCCTCTGAAGGCATGCAAAGAGGGCCACATCTTCTGCAAGGAATGCGTCCTCACATCTATCCTCGAACAAAAGTCTAGCATCGCAGCAACCAAGGCCAGCCTGGCTAAGCTGGCTGCGCAGCAGGAGGAGGAGAGAGAACAGGCCAGAGAGAAAGCCAGGAGGAAGGTCTTGGAAGACTTTGAGAGGGGCATCGGTTTCGGCCATCTCATTGATGACAGGAGGAAGACAGGCGCTGAGGACAATGCAGTGGCAGGTCCTTCATCCACAGCCGCCGGCTTCAAGAGGAAGGAGACCACCTCTTCCAGCCCCGACCTCTCCTCCTCGACCTCTTCCCTTTCTAGAATCCCTGCCAAAGCTCAGTCCCTCGCAGCCGCCGCAGAGCAACGCGCCCTGTCCGAGCTCGAGGAGGCACAACGCTCTTCACGCAAGTCCAAGCTCCCGTCCTTCTGGCTCCCCTCTCTGATGCCCAGCGAGCGCGAAGGTGACGTCGACTTGCGGGCGGTCAGCGAGGAGATGGGCGTACGATGTCGCGTAGGAAACGAGCGTGGTCACCCCTTGACGATCAAGGGACTCGTGGAAGTCAAATTCGCAGAGGCTGCTGGGGGCGGCGATGATGCAGGAAAGGCAAAGGCGTGCCCCACCTGCTCAAAGCAGCTTAGCAACAACACCAAGCTCCTCCTCATGCGTTCTTGCTGCGGGACGGTCATGTGCGGGCGATGCTTTGAGCAGCTGGTGGAAAAGCCGGCGAAGAAGGAGGGCAAAGAGAGCGGGGAGTGTCCGGCGTGTATGGGGAAGCTCAAGGATATCAAGAAGGATGTGGTGGCATTGCAGAGAGAGGGGACGGGCTTTGCTGGTGGCGGTGGGACTTCTGAAGTGACAAAGAAGGGTTCGAGTAGCTTTCAGGGCTGAAGTCGAGATCAGGTCAAGCATTTCTGCCTTTCCTGCTCGTACCAGTGTGCGGGGAACACTTGAAGTCCAGCCCTGGCCATCGGTGTCTGCCAATCAAGTGGCTTGGCGGCAAATTTCTTCTTCTGTCTCCCTTGGAGCTGAAAGATGTGAGTCGTCGTCCCACTTGCCTCACATTGACGGCTAGAGTGCGGGCCGAAGTGCCTAGCTCGTCCTCGTCGACGGGCCGCGGCGGACGACCGGAATCATGTGCGCGAAGGGGGCTGCCGAAGCGAGACGGTCAAAGAGAAGCTGCCTCTGGAGATGCGCCCTAGTCCTAATACCCCCGATGCCTGCTTGCCTGTGGTAACGAGATGCGTCTCGCCGCTAGCGTTTGATATCCTTGACATTTCATCCTCATATCCCTCATCCACCTCATCCTTAACCGCACCACCCTTGTGATATCTCAAGGCCTCTTTCAGTCGTCCGACACTTAATTTGTTTGCGGCGTTCAACTGAGTTCGCTGCCGCACGCCCGAACGGACCAAGATTCTCCTCCCTCTGTCGTTCCAACCTGTCACTTCCCCGCTTCGCCTTACCACAACACAAACTTACCTTCAACGCTACCTTCAACGCCGCCGCGGCTGCCATCTTCCGTCGCTGAAGACGGCGTGTACGGCTTCTGCGAGGCGTTGCAAGCATGCACACGATGGAGCTACAGCTGCAGCGACAGCAGCAGCAGCAGCAGCAGCAGCGACGCTGCCTTTCTTCCGACAGCTCAGCCTCAGAGAGCACGGCACCTACCCTCTCGACGCCGCCACCCTTCTCGCCAATCCCGTACCATCAGCGCAACATCTACGTCGATCGTTGGGAGCCATGCACAGGCAATCTGTCCATTGCTGAGTTCCTCACAGGGACTTTCCTAGTCAACTGCCCATCCTTTGGCGCTTGCCACAAGAGATGGGCAGCCCTCGGATTCCCCGACATCGACGTCTCCCACTGGCCGCGATTCGACTCTGCTCTCTTCCCTACAAACTTCAACGAGCTCCTTCCCGCTTACAATCAAGCGACTGCCTTGTTCCTCGACCGGGTTTCGTCGTTTTGGCATGGACGTCCAACGCCGGAGATGACACTGCAGCAGATGGCTCCCTTCGTCCTGCTCGAAGTGGTGTGCACTGCAGACCTCACAGTAGCAGAGAGAGAGCAAGAGCATGGCGCCCTCAATGAGCAGGCAAGGCTCTTTCTTTGGGAGCAGACTGTTAGCCATCGCATCTCGCTGCTTGCGCATCAGACCCGCTGGGTGATAGATCAATGCGTGCATCGGGCAAGTGAAACTTGCATCCTGCGGGTGTCCTTTGGTGAGGTACACGACAACCAGTCCTACTGCGAAAGGCATTTCTGCGACCTCATCCAGTCGCTGCAGCTCCGAATGCCGAACTTCAGGACAAAGACGATCGATGCTGCTCATGCGGAAGGCCCGCTCTCCTGGTATCTGCCTACATTCGACTTGCCCATTCGACAGGAGCAGCTGCAGTCTGGCCCAGCCATGGCGTCGCGCAAGCGCAAGAGAGTTTCGCTGGGTGGCTGGCAAACGGACATTAGTCATCGCTCACCAAAGCGATCAGAGCACGTCGAGGTCATTCATCGGCCGAGTCGCGTCGATCTCTTTGATATGCTGAGCAATGCAGCAGGGATGACGACGTCGACACGCTTCGCCGAAATTCATGACGGGGACATGCCGCCCACATTGCTGCCCAGTACCGTGGCCAACTGGTCTTCGCCCATCCTGGGTCCGCCGGGAGCTTCTTGGCCGCCTTCACCGCCAGACGTTGCTACACTCCCCGTAACCCTCGGCCAGCCGACCCCCGGGATTGGACTCCCAGAGACATCCATGCCGTCCATTGTGTCTCTTCCGGCCGTCCCACTGGAGCCCAACCCCTTGCCCTTCTTCCCTTCAGCCGCAATGACAGAAGCAGAAGACGTCAAGCCTTTGCTGGCCGCAGCTTCTGGCTCAGTCGTAGCGATGGCAATGCCATTGCCGACACCAGCAGCCACTGTCACTGCCACGCCTACGTCTACTCCTCCCCCGCCACCGTCAACAGCAAAAGCCCGCGCAGAGCAATCTCGCCTCAAGATGCAACGCTATGCCGCTAGGGTTAAGAAGCAGCGCGAGGCCCTTGTGACCGTCTACGAGGACATGGAAAATGCTCTGCAACGCATGCCAGGGGCGGCTGCGCTTCTCAGTCAGCTGTCGTCGACGAATGGGACGTCGAACTCCTCCTCTTCCTCGGCCTCGCCTGAACAGGTCACCTTTGCGTCTGCGGCCGAGAAGCTCAACTACCAGAAACGCCAGTCCAAAGCACGCAAGAGGGCGGGAGAGTCGACGCACGTAGACTCGATCTCTTTGCGCTCGAAGCAAGCCTTGCAGCTGCCCTTTGTCCATCCAATGCGGAGAGCGATTGAGGACGCGCTGGTCAGACATAGGGAGACGTGGATTGATTTGATCGAGGCGGAGAAGAGATTGAAGTCGGGTGGGGCTGCGGCCATTACAGCCAGCAAGAGGCAGAAGAAGAGCGGAGGTGGTGTCGTAGCTAAGGAAGGGGGACGGGAGCTAGATGAGGGGCAGAGGGAGGGCGAGGGAACGCCAGTCAGGGATTTGATCCAGATGCTAGAGGGGGGACCGCAGCCTGGCTGGACGGCGTGACGGTGGGTGGGCGCGCACGATTCTGGCGCGTACGATTCTTCATCTGCATGAGCTCTTCTTTGACCTTGGTCACCTTCTTGTACACTAGTAAGTCATACCCTATATTACCTTGAACTTGACTGTTTCCATTCGTGTGTTCAAGAAGACTCTGCTCGCCCTTGCTTGCCAACTGGCTCGCGTGGCATCTCATTGACCTGGCGGCAGCGGAGCGCGGCGGAGGGGCGGCGGACGGGCCTCTCACTCGAGTCGACGTCAAGTCCGCGGCGAGCGACGGCGGCGCCAACACCTCGTCGTCGTCCTCCTCTTCCTCCATCTCACTGCCATTGCTTCGACGACGTTGACAAAGATCCGTCCCATCTTGCTACTGCTTCTCGACAGCATTCTGGGACACCGATACCATCTTGACGACGTCGCCCGTGGACACCAATTCCACTGAGCCTTAGCATTGACCGCTGCCAAGACGACGGTGAATACTTCGACATCCGACGCATTTCCTTCCTCTTCACCCTCTTCTTCTTCCTCTCCTTCATCGCCACTCTCTCCACCAACTCGTCCTCTATCTCCTGCTCCTTCTTCTGACATCTCATCTCCACGCGCACCCGCACCGAGTCACCCGCTCCCGGCACCACCTCATCAACTCGCGCGCATCCAATCGCCTTCGCCCTCTTCTGAACCACGTACTCCATCCTCTGCGGCACTCGATTCCGACTTGGCCTCGATTGTCGTCGACTTGCCTCCCGACTCGGACGATCTCGACTGTACAGGCTCTACTCGCGGCAACGGCATCCTCAGCTCCTTTACTTCTTCGGACACCGCAGCTGTCCCAAACGCAGCAACTCGCCCAAGCCGCGCCGGATCCTTCTCTCGTAGCCCCCGACAGTCAATCCGGGGAGTAGGCACCGGTAGTAGCAATAATCGCAGTCACAGTCGCGAGAGTCGACCGCTCAGTCGAATACCAGTAGCTCTAGCAGCCTCGGGACCCGCCTTAGGTCCTGCTTCAGCGTCAGCTTCAGCTTCATCGCCTGGCAATACCGTAACTTCGGCCCCTTGGCCAAAGTCCCTCTTCACGCCCTGGGAAGACCTGCGCTCACCTTCACCCAACGCAGACGTCATCGATCCTGACGCCGTAGAAGACGACGACTTCACGCAAGCCTCAGCTGGATCCAAAAGGCGTCGCTTCAACGCGGATCTTCAAATCGGCGCAGCACCAGCAACAATCACATCGATTCAGGAGCTTCCTAGGCCTGCAACAGCGCTAGGAAGTCCTTCCAAACCGCGCAAAGCTCTCATCTCGACCTCGTCTCCCAGACCCTCCTCTTCCATCACCAACTCCAACATCGCACCCAGTATGCCGTGGTACGGCAACACGCTGCAGAGGCAGCAAGGTTTCGGCGGCACACCCATGGCCTCAACGCCCTCAGGTCCCGGTGGATCAAGCGGAGGAGCAGGCGGTGCAAACGGCAATGGGACCAATGGCGTCGGTCCTTATCATGGACCCGCAAATGGCGGAGCGGGATCCCAAGGCAACGACTCGAATGGCAACGGCAACAACGGCCTCGTCTGGCCTGCCCTCCATCTCCACCCAGTAAACGACACCTTTGCCCCCAAGCAGATCTCTCTTTCTCCTCCCGGCCCGCAGAACAAGGTCAAGATTGGACGCCAGACCAACGCCAAGACGGTCCCTCACCCCTCAAATGGGTACTTTGACTCTAAAGTCCTCTCTCGCATGCACGCAGAGGTATGGTGCCAAGATGGCAAGATGTTCATCAAGGATGTCAAGTCCTCTAACGGGACCTTCATCAATGGGGAGCGACTCAGTCCTGAAGCGCAGGAGAGTGACGTGTTTGAGCTGCACAACGAGGACCTGGTCGAGTTCGGTATTGACATCGTTGGTGATGACAACAAGACCATTATCCATCACAAGGTGGCCTGCAGGATCTACCTCGTCCTCACGGCGGATGACGCCCAAGCTATGCGCAACGATTTTGGCAACCTATACCGCTCTGCCGCGTCTGGTCACGGCGGACACGGGCCCATCTCCGGCGGCGGTGGAGGAGCTGGAGCAGGCATGGGAGCAGGAGGTGGGATGGGTCCAGGAGCCGAAGGTGGGCTGAGAAGAGGCAAGGGAACGATGAGCTTTGATCATATTCTGGGCAAGTTGCAGATGGAGCTGGCCCGCAGTCGCGAGCAAGGGCAGGAGATGAATACCCTCAACTCAACGATTGGAGAGATTCAAGAGTCGCTCGGTGGTGGTCTGCCACCGATGCAGGAGCCGCCCTTCCAGCAAGTCGTCCCCCCTCCACAGCCCAACGGGGCCGACACCGCCGCAGTCGGCTCTTCCTCCTCCCCATCCTCCTCTCGCGATGGAAGCGGCGGTGATTCAGCAGCCATCGTGGCTGCCCTGCAAGCCCAGCTGGCCGAAACTCAGTCCTCACTCTCTGGTCAACAAGATAAGATGCGCGCACTTGAGTCTTTGCTTGCCGAGCACGAGACAGTCAAGATGGAGGTGGGCACGATTAAGATGAGGATGGAGGAGGCGCAGAGAGAACTCAATGAGATGGCACAGCATAAGCGATCCCTTCTCGCTTCTGCTGCGAGCGCTGGCGCGCAGTCGAGCAGCAGCGAAGAAGAAGGAGAGGACTTCGATGATGGTGCTAGTGTGGCTTCGATGGACACGGTCACTCCTGGAGAAGACGACAGCGAGGGGAGAAGGGCGAACAGTGATGACACCGAAGAGGCTGAGGATCACGAGGACGGCCAAGTAGGTCCACGCGCTCCACCTGATCTCCCGCCAGGTCTAGCAGCCGCCACTGCGGCTGCAGCGGCGGCGGCTTCTGCCCTCAAGACCAGCGGTGACTCTACTTCGCCGACCTCATCCAAAGACGGCATGGACGATTCCGCTACCTCCAAGTCCGCTCCCGCACCGCCCTCAGCTCCCACCGAGGACGCTGCCCTGGCAGCGCAGAATCGCGCCCTCTCCACACGCCTGGACGACCTCGAAGCACAACTGATCGAGGCCCTTTCCTTCGGTCGAGCACTGCAGACACAGCACAACTTGGCCACGCAAACCGTAAAAGCATTGGAGGAGAAGGTGACCAGCTTGGAGGAGAAGGTAGCTGCTTCCACCTCCACTCCCGCTCCTGCTCCAGCTACTGCTGCGGCCGAGCCCACTCCTGCGGCCAACAGCGCCGAAATGCAGGGCCAAATCGCCTCGGCTGTAGAAGGTGCCTTGGAAGGCCGCTTCGCGCAGTGGAAGAGCACGATTGAGGCTGGATGGGAGAAGGACAGGCAGGACTGGCGCGCTGAGCGTGAGAGGTTGAAGGAGGTCATTGAGGCTTGGGATATGGCAAATGGGAAGTTGGAGGAGCAGGCTGTCAACCAGGTGGCGGGAGGAGGGAACAAAAGCTTCGACTCCGCTTCGACATCGTCTACTGACATTGCTGCGGGTGGCGGGCCGGCAGGAAGTAGCGCGAGCAGCACGACAAGTAGCACGCCTGGCGGCGGCGGTGGGCGTCGTCGCTCGAGCAAGGCTGCAAAACGACGCGCGGCGAAGCGTCACCTCAACCCCGCACTCAGGGCATTGCTGTATCGCGACAGTCATCAGGACGACTTCCTGCTAGACGGCGAAGGGGCTGAGGACGACTTCGCTTTAGCATCAAGCGGGGAGGAGGACGCCGGCGGCACGCAAAGGGGAGGCGATGGTTCATCGACTTCGTCACGGGCCGCGAAGGGAATGGCCTCCTCCCTCTTCTCGTCGTCATCCGATGCCGCCTCAAGCGGAGGCAAGCGGACCCCCTGGACGTCACCGGAAGGCTCGATAGCCGGCTCCTCCGCGAAAGACCCTCATCAGCAGCAACAGCACGGTATACCAGGTATCAGCACCGCTAGACAACGCGCAGGCGGTGGAGGGCGTGGGGGCCCTCTGGATAACAGCACGCACACCATCACGGCCTTATCAGCCGCTGCTGTGATAGTGGGCGTGGCGGCTTATGCTGTCATTGGTGGAGGGGGTAGGGATGCGGCGCATGGCGCGGGTGGATGGGCGACTGGTGGGTAGCACAGCGAAATGGATGGGATTGGAGAGGTGGTGAGTACAGGGAGAGATGGGCGTGCTTGACGATACGGTACGGGAGGATCTTGCTGATGTACAGCCAAGAACCGCCTGGGCCCCCTTCATATTTTCCAATCCTCCTCCTTCGTGGTTGATTCTGTCCTGCACTCTTCTCCGTCCTGCTCACTGTAGTCGAAACAACGATCATCATGTCTCATCAGCGATTCTTCAATTTGACGACAATCATTGCCACCATCACTTCTCGGCTGGTAGAGACGAGTGACGAGAGGTCCTATGGTGTGTTCGCACCGCACCTTCTCTTTGCCATCACGCAACGTAGCCACTCTCTGACACATTCAGTCGTTGCTCGCTGTGTGGTTTGGTGATGTGTATTGCCAAGCCCCCCCGCAGCCTCGTCTGGGCGAGCGGGAGGGGGGTGTCGTAGCACTGTGTGAGATGCTGATGACAGATGAGAGTGTGTAGTACAAGGTAGAACGACGAGAGCACAAGAGAAGAGACGGTCCACGGTCTGCGAGTGGCTGTCGTCCGTTTACTTCTTCTTGGGGTCCGAAGCGCCCTTCTTCGCGGTACCGCGCGACTTCTTGGCACGGTTCTTTCGCTCCTTGCGCAGCTTCCTCGAAGGCTTCTCGATCTTCTTGGCGAGGCCGACCTGAGAGTGAGAAGGGAATGGGAAGGATATCGAGTCAGTCGATGGTGCTCGCAGGATAGAAAGTGATGCCGCATAGAGATGCGGGCGAGGCGGGCGGGTAGACGAGAGGTAGTAAGTGGCGTGGCACCGGAGACAGGGCCCGCAGAGGTGTCTGTTCTCGATGTGCGGCTCTAGCCGGCGCATCTGCTTCGACTGGTGGCGATGACAGAGTGCGCGGCAGCATCTTCGAGGGCAGTCGTGACCTCAGCTTCTCCTATCGCTGTGTGCCCATGCCCCTGCTCAACAGCTCAACAGCCCACTGTGGTGCCACCCACTGCCCGCCTCCTATGCCACACCCGCCAACTTCGTCTCTTTCCTTCCATCCCAAAGTGATGATACTCACGCGAACGAGACGGTGCCTGGGCTCGAACTTCATCGACTCCCTCGAGTCGTAGATGAGAGCAAAGCCAGTGGAGCGGCCACCACCGAACTTGGTGCGCATGCCGAAGACGACGACCTGCTCCTTGTTGGCCTTGTACATGGAGGCGAGCTTCTCCGAGAGCTCAGCCTTGGAGACGTTGGCGCGCGACGGGTGGATGACGTCGAGGACGCACTGCCTGCGCTGGAGGAGGCGGTTAGTGATGAACTTGCGCGTACGCAGAGTGACGGGGGCGGAGGCGTCCTGCAGAGATGGCATGACCATGACGAGAGAGTGGCGAGGATGGAGAGGAGAAGATGCGAATGGAGGATGATGATGATGATGGAGCGGGGCGTAGGTGCGAAGGTGAGGAATGAGGCGAGAAGGAGGGAGGTCTTGGTCAGCATCACCACCGTCGTTGTCGTCTGGTCACAAGTCTCCCCCGCCAACAGCATCTCGAGATGACTAGCACCGTCTTCTCCTCCATAACCACGGAGACAATGCTGTCCCCCTTTCTATGCACTGTTGTGCATGTGTGAACCACTCTGCTGCTGCTACTCACCATCTTGAAGGTCGGTGTTGGCGTGAGGAACAGAGAGCAAGCAGCGCTCAAGTGAGCCTCGTCGTCCATCTCGAATCCCACTGAGGCCGCTCGCCCGCCCCCTCGCTGCTGACCTCCTCCGAGTCGATTGTCCCTCCTCTCTCGCCTGGTTCGCTCTGCTCTGGCCGCCCCGCTCTGGCTCTGGACCTCAGCTCGAATGCGCGGCCAGAAAATTGGCGGATCTGCCAGCCAGCCAAAAAACGTGGCAGATCAGCAAGCAGGGCAGCCTGTAGTGCTGCGCGCGCTCGGCCCCGAGTTGAGGGCGGGCTAGAAACGAGAGCGAGAGCGAGAGCCAGATTGAGGGCCGGGCACGACTGGACGGCCCAACGACCCATCGAGAGTTGACAAGAGTCGAGAGCTTCTTGTTACCACCACCAACCCCCGCCCTACCTCACACAAAGATGGTGAGCATCGCTTAGTTGGCACGATGCCCGACGCGATCCTCTCAGACAGTGTCGTCAGGCATCAGTCAGGGCATCGACTACGCTTATCACGACAAGCAGACAGAGGCTAATGCAGCTCGGTCCTTCTTCCTCCCTTCTCCGTAGTCGAAGCGCACTGTCAAGGTCGGCATCACCGGAAAGTACGGTACCCGTTACGGTGAGTATCAGGCTAGCATGGCTCACAAAGGGATCATCTAGGCTAGTGGTACGGGCAGGGGTCAGAGATTGCAATTGGACGATGGATTGGCAGTGGGGGACGTCACACCGCTGCATGAAGAAGGAGTCGCAGCGGAGGACGTCAGCCTTGGGACATTGGGGGCAAGTGAAGGAGCATAGCTACTAGGCTATCAACGCTCGTGTCGTTGAGGTTGCACTAGGAACCAGAGAGAATTCGCGCTGCGCATCTTGGCTGGAGGTGCACACGGTCGATGCTCCCCTGAGGTTGGGAAAGGGCAGTGGGCACGGGAAAGGAATTCATGCGTGGCGATGACTGCACTGCTACTCTACTCGGCCAGCGCCATCAACGTCGTGGTCGCTGATCATCACCCACTGCTCAATCGCTACTCAGGTTCCTCGCTGCGTCGCTCGGTCAAGAAGATCGAAATCTCGCAGCACTCGCGCTACACCTGCACCTTCTGCGGCAAGGACTCGGTCAAGCGCACCGCTGTCGGCATCTGGGAGTGCAAGGCCTGCAACAAGGTCATTGCTGGTGGTGCTTGGGCCCTCTCGACCACGGCCGCCGCTACCGTCCGATCGTGAGTTGGCTCGCCCTACACCCTTTGACGCCAGCATGCGGTTAGGCCGGAAGCTGATCATCTACGTCCCTGATACCCGCGATGCCACAGGACCATCCGTCGTCTGCGTGACCTCACCGAGGCCTAAGCATATCATGGCGATCCTCGCTTGACTGCTTCTTCCTCAGCATCGCATTCGGTCCCTCACACCCGTGTATTTTCATCACCTCACACAGTGCTGCTTCGGCAGCATGGGTTAGCGGCAGCAGACTAGCGTCAAAGACGTACTGCTCCTTTGCAATCCAACAGCTACATCACACAGACAACGGGCGGACGCCATGAGAGATGTGCGACCGGTTGAGATAGGAGGCTGCCTGCGTTGCCTGCGTACGAACCCCGCGTCTCACAATGCTCGAGCCTCGTGGTGCTTGGGCGGCGAGAGGCTTTGATTCGTGCTGCTCAAGGAGCCACGATTCAGGCAGCGAAACGGTCCAGCCTCTGGGCCGAGAGAAGGCCCGAGCGATGGGCTCGAGCGCCTGCGACGCCACCCTGTGCCTGACCGCTTGTTGTCCGTCGAGGCTTCCTTTGTTCTTGTTCAGCCCTCATGTTGACGCCAGCAGCCCCAGTTGCTCTGGCCTCTTTCGTTGCTTCGTGTGTGTGTCGGTTGGCAAGAGCAAACAGGAGGCTGTCTTACCTGGCTGAAGCGCAGACGTGTCGTGCCCTCATCTCATCATTGTCCGATCGTGTCAGAGGTCGCGTCGTGTCAACATCTCATCTTCACCGACTCCAGCAGAAAGATGGAAGTGGGGCGATGATGGACGGCACACAGGAGATTGAGAGAGAGAGCTTGGCAGCGTCGAGCTATAAGACGCACGAAGTGATCCCTCTCCCTCATCAAGTACTCCACCCTCGTAACACCTGCATCCTCGTGGGCCATGAACGCTGCCACTCCCACCCGCCTTAGCTTTGCGAGCCTCTCTTCATCGACCGTCTTTGGTCCTGCGACCGTTTTCCTCGCCCCGCCTCCCACTCGTGGTGAGGGATCTCCCTGCCGCACCCCTGCTCATCACCGCCGCTGCCTCCGAGTCTTTACTCGTCAGCACGCTGAGCGTGAGCAGGTCACCGCCGACGATGCTTCGGACGCCGGATCCAATGCAACCCTTATAGGAGATGCTGAGCCCAAGGTCAAGGCAGGAGAGGTGAGCAGCGCGCACACAAGCATCTAAAGAAGAGATAGACGCTGACTTCTCCTCCTATGATGCATTCAGTCGCCTACTGCAGCCCACTCCATGAACAACATTGAGTCCCACCTCCCGCACCTCAATTTCGCACACATCCGCCAGCTCGAAGCCCGTCGTCGCCAGAAGGACATTCACGCCTCGTGGCTCCATCACGCCGGCCTGGATGTCGACGATGAAAGCAAGAGTGGGCTGCGACCTCACTGCACCGTCGAGGAGCTAAGAGCCGGCCTGGACGACTTCTTTGGCAGACCAGCGGCGCCTCGCTCACGAGTCGAGAAGGCGAAGCAGCCTCGGGATGATGACAAAGTCAAGGGCGACAAGCGTAAGCTGAAGCTCATTCGCAAGGTCAAGAGCCTGCACTGGATGGTCTGATGCCGCAGATCCGTCCAGACCGAACTTTTACGATCGTAACGTCATCATCATCGAGCAACAGCTGACCGCAAGCCGGCGTCCGACCCGACTCTGTCACCCAGAAGTCGTCGTCGTCGTCTCGTCATGACTTGCTCCCCTTCACTACCTTGCTGTCCCCGTCTTTGTCATCTCTCAAACTGTAAATTCATGAACATCCCCCTCCTTTCTCGTGATAATCGACGAATCATCTCCAAAATGCCCCGCTGCCGTGACCGAGGCTCCTTGCTTTTGCCGACCGAGCTTGGACGTGGGCGTGGAAGTGGGCGTGGAAGTGGGCGTGCAGCTCGCCGAAGCGCAACAAAGAAAAGGACTTTGAGCGGCGAGCTTGGCGCGTTGCGTGCACTCTGCCTACGCCTGTTGTTACTTTCCCTCGATCCCTGCATAGAATCGCCCTTGCTCCTTACCCTACGCCATCGCCACGCTTGGTATCACCTGCGCGTCCGCACCCGCCCTTGAGTGCTTGTCGCGCGATCGTTGTCGTCCTCGCATCGATTGTTGTTGCCGTCGTCGATTTCATCACTTTGTGACGATTCGTGTTGCGCCGCCCACCAACCCACCCGCATTTCTCTAGTCTCTTGCATGAAGTGAAGCCCAAGGTATGCATCACGACCCCCATTGACTGATCACTACGCCTGCGCCGGGCCAGAGGCGAGCTGCGGCTGACTATGTAGCTTGTCTTACGCCCTACGTACCGTTGCGTCGGGTGAAGCCGCGTGAAGCCTTGTTTACTGGGCGACATCCCCATCTCACCTGCCAAGCTCCAGGCTGACCAAGCCGGCCGTATGCCTGATTTGTATTCATCGATCCTTGGTTGCACCAGCTCCCTGGTATCTCTCTCGTCCTTGACTAGCTTCGCGGCATTTGAAACTGGACGGAATGCTCAAGTGTAGCCCACCGGCCGCCGCTGCCAACTCTACAGGCGAAAGCCGCGTGCCGGCTGCTGCTGCCGCTACTGCGCTGCTCACGCATGCAACTGCGCCCTCGCTACCAGCATGAACATTAAGCGGGACGCCGCCAACGCGCCGTTGTAGAGGCTGCTTCCGCCGCCGCCGCACAAACTGGGAGCCGGGCCTGCCGCTCCTTCCTCAGCCATACTCCTGTCAAGACGGCAGCTAGGCAATCAGTTGCCTCGCAGCGGCGTCGCTAGCGAGCATGGTACAGGTGAGGATGTATGCAGCGATCTAGGGTTCTACTTGCTCACAGCACATCGCAAGGCGGCAGCTTTGGGCGTTGAGTGACAGGCATGCTAGATGAGAGCAGCTAGGCATAAGGAGGGTTTCGCCAACGGTGGTTGGCCCCTGCCCTACCTTCGCATCGCCATCGTCGGTTGTCTGAATGAGCCTCTACACAGGAAGGTTTGGGTAGCTTGGAAGCGGGTCGGAGTACGGTCAAACGCTACCAAGTCCCCGGCCGGTCGATTAAAGCGGGACGGGTAGCTGATCAGTCGCTGGTGCTCGCACCAGTGTTGGACCGGTGCGATGACTTAGCTCTGATCGAGGCACTAGCTTGTCATGGTAGGCTCGGCATTCGCCGCAACTCCCTGCGTTTTTGAGCTTCCGTGCTTTCGCTCTCCTCTCGGGTGGCCGAGGCGTGGGACCCTCGTCTTGTCTCGCCTCGATGACCGACTGATCCGCCTGATCCGCACTTGATGCCAAAAGAGCGTCGTCCTCTTTCACAAAGTGAGAGAGGTACTTGTCGCCAATCACTTGGACATCACGTTTCTTGGTCTCCCGAGGTTGCTCTCTTGACTCTGCAACTTCCACTACCATCCTCGAGTCCAGCCAACATCGACCCGTGCTGCTGGTACTTCAAGTCGAGCTCGCAGCTCCACTCTTGTCATTTGCCCTCCGCATCGTCCTCTTACTCCGCCGCCAGCCCCATCTCAAACGTCCAGCATCTGACAGTGCATCGCAGCGCCTGACAGCTGTGGCACCGACCACACCCATCTACCCATTCTACAACGTCCCCCTTACGTCTTTGTCGAAAAGTGTGTCGAGACCACCCTGCTCTAGCTCTCTATCAGCTCCGACGCAGGCGGTGATTGCTCGGCCTCCCACACCTCTACTCTTTCTTGCCCTCGCCCGCTCTCATCGTCGACGTCTCCCTCCGCTGTGAGGCCCGACGGCTCAACCGGTGCCCAAGTGATTCCAGCCTCCGTCCAACCTCCGCATCGGCCCTTGGACGCACCAACGCAGCCATCCAGTGACCACGCACCCAACTTTGCGTGAAGCACCGCGCAGAGAGCACAGCGTCGTATCACATCGCACGACGAAGGTGGCATTAGAGTCGCACGACGTCGTACCACACATCGGAAAATCATCATCATCGCGCACAAACATATCGCGGGTTGACGGGCTCAAGACCGAGCCTCGAACGAAAAAGCAAGACTAGGACTAGCAGCCAGACAGGCAGCAAGCCTTGGGCGGCGTGCCGGGTCGGAGTGCCGAGACGTGCACGGACGAGCAACAACGCGACTCTCTGGCGCATCTTTCTTCCCAACTTTCTTCTCGCTCATACGCTCATCCACAAATTCATCTACGACTGGGAGCTTCGGATAGCGGACTGCGGCGGCTCTCTACTCTCTCACATTCGGCTTCGGGGGGCGCAGCGTGAACCATTGGACTGGTTCGATTGTCGACTGCAAGATCGGACGGACCATCAGGAACCAAAGGAAGGTCTAGCGAGGCGGACGAACAGGAGGACCAAGGGTCGAGCCTCGCTCAGCTGTAGCGTAAGCGACGTACGGTGAGTTTCTTCCGACTTTGAAGTCAAAGCCGCATTTGCGGGTCACCTTGGAACATTGTGTCCACGGTAACCCATGCCCTTTGCCGGTGCCTCCCCTCGCCATGCTCATAGCAATCACTTCGAGCGGCCCGCTAGAGGGCGCTTCCGAGGGCTGGCCCTCTCTTTTCTTTGATTGCCTCTATGTGGCGGAATCTGGGGCGGCTAATCAGCGCGACCGGGAGGCAAGCAAAAAGGAGGGAGGAGTCGTCAGGGCAATGGTAGCAGGGCGAAGCCGAGTGTTGCCTAACTTGGCGGCGGTACCCCCTTTACGACCCATCCATTTCCTCTGGCTGCATCGTGACTGACCCTCCTCATCGTATCATGATGCCGCTCCAGTCTACGTTCACGGGCATCTCGGAGTCGACTCCTCTCGACCATCTACCGGTTGCAGCATTCGATACAGAGGGACAACCAGGTTCGCCATCAAGCAGTCGCAACTCAACTTCGTCTCCCGGGACGACGTGGCGCTGCGATCGTAGCGACGCCCGATCTCTCGTTGCTGTCGCCATCGCAGCCAAACAACAAGCCAGCACGTCGCCGACGCAGGCCCGAGCTGCCAACGCCAACGTCAAAGCCAACGCCGCAATCAACATCAACGCCATTGCTTCCCAGTCGTCCTTGGCGACACTGCCCAGCCTCGAATCGATAAGCGCGACCTGGCCAGAGAAGGTCAAGTCTACGCCGAAGCTTCTACCGCTTTTGCCTGCATCTTCGTCGTGGGCGGCTAAGCCATTTCTCCACGCTTCATCGACGACGATGAGCAACTGGAAACGGCCGCACGAGGACGAAGATGAAGAGCATGCAAGTCAGCAACCGCCGGCCACCAAGCCTCGATCGATGACGGGCCTCTCCGTGGCGGATCTTCTTACTACACCCTCGACGTCGGCAACGAGGCCGAAGTCGCGTTCCCTCGGGGAGAATCCAGCGAGTGCTCGACCCTTCGCATCCACGTCTTTCGCCACGCCGCCACCTCCTCCTACGCGTAGCTCAGGCAAGGCTTCTTCCGCGTCTACGCCACCTTCGTCGAAGAACTCTCATTCACCGCCCTCGAGAAGGCCAACTGGCTTGAGCGATGGGTACGGAGCTGCGGTCGCATCCACTTCCAAGGCGACGCTGGATGGTCCTGCCGCAAGCACGGCTTCGTCTACACACGAGGTCGACGAGACGCCTGCCTACCAGTATGCCCCAGTGCAACAGATCGTGGAGGGTAGAGAGAACATCGAATACATCCTCAATATCCGCGAGCAGCCCAAGCAGTCTCGCATGTGTGGGGTTGGCGAGAAGGCAGACCGCCGGCCAATCGACCCGGCTCCCATCATCCAACTCCGCGTCGTTACCCACCCTCGCCCCGTCTCCAGCCAAAAGCAGTCCATCAAGACTAGCTCGTCCTCCAAGTCGGCAAAAGCACTTCCTCAGCTACGTCGAGGCGAGCCAGTCGTCACGCAGTACGGGCAAGGCTGGGAGGACAAGGCGTGGTACCTCGAGAACCCGTACTACTTCATGTGCGCCATGCTCGCAGACGCGGACAAGGACGAAGAGCTGCACTTGCTCTCGGACGGCAAGACGCGATACACAACGGGCAGTTGCGTTTCATGCCTGTATCACCTCAAGGACATCGATGGCTCGCACCAGGGCTTCTTTGTGTTTCCGGACCTCAGCATTCGCATCGAGGGTAAATATCGACTCAAGTTGTGCCTGTTTGAGACGATTGGGACGGAGGTGCACCACTGCAGGAGCATCTACTCTGATCCATTCATGGTATACACGGCGAAGCGGTTTCCAGGCATGGAGGAGTCCACGCGCTTATCGCGCACATTTGCCGACCAGGGGCTCAAAGTTCGCGTTCGCAAGAATCCTCGAGGACGCCGCAGCAAGAGGGAGCGCTCAGGTGCTGGTGGAGGGCCAGGTGGCGGCAGTGAGGAGGACGAATTATCGTTTAGGCCGCCACCACCGGGAGCAATGGTGGCCTACTCACAGCCCAAGCGCCTCCGCAGCGACAGTTGGCTGAGCTCCGGTTCAGCCGAGTACCCTGGCGCACCTGCATGGGGCTCGCCCACTGCTATGTCACCGCAAGCATCTTGGAGCGGCGGACCAACACCTGTGGCGGCGGCAGGCTCGCCAGCATCTCATCATGGCCACTGGCAGCAAGCGCCGATTGGCGCTTCGCACGACCCACGTCGCACCTCTCTGCCGACCCAATCTGCCGCTGATGATCGGTACGGGCGACCAATGCGCACGCCTCCTCCTTGGCCCCCTGTCAACCAGATGCCTCCTCCTCCCGACCCATCCCAAGTCACTGCTTCGACTGGCGGCTACTCTTCACGCGGCGCTGGTCCCTCTGCATTGCACGCTCCGCCGCCACAGACGCTCTCGCCCGCTCGCGGCGATCTAGTCTCCTCGCGTCAACGGTCCTCTTCGAGTGCAGCGGCATTCGCACCCCGCCCTTGGGAGTCGCGAGGCCACGCAACGGTAGCGAGTCGATCTGCGCTAGGCGCTCAAGCTCCCGTCCTACCTTTGTCTGCAGGCACAGACCGCCGAGGTGGGCAAGCGAATGCATTCTTGCATCAGAGGGAACGAAGTTTGTCCGACCCCCGCAGGATGATGATGCCGCCTATGCCGTCGTCGCAGTCATTGCCGCGGCTGCCACCGCCGCCTTCGACGCTCTCTGCTCGCGATGATCGGGAGCGCGTCGTCTTACCCCCGCTGGGGAGTAGTAGCAGTACCAGCCCCATGAAGACGGCGGCAGAGCATGCAAGGCAGAGCTACGGCGGCGGTGGTGGAGGAGCCTACCATTCCACGGCCGCCGCACCTGGCGGCAGAATGATACCGTCCGGCTTGAGCGGACCGCCCCCATCAGGGCAGGTCTCCTCGCCAGCAGCGAGTCAATATTATCAAGGGCACGGCGGACCAGCTGGACGCGGACATCAGTACCAAGGTGACGGGGCCGAGCAGGATGAGTACTTCCATTATCAACAACAGCAGGCGCAACAACGCCATCAGCAGAAGGGCCAGCTCCCTCCTCCTGGCCATCATCATCAGCAAGCCTACCCTTCCGACCATCGTCAAGGCTACGCACCCGCACCCTCTCGCCATCAATATCAACAGCCACACGCGCCATACAACGAGCAGTCGCATCACCACCAACGTCAACAGCACCACCAACAGGAGCAAACCTATCCGCATCACCAGCATCACCAACATTACGCAGCGCAGCCTGGCGGGCCGGAGCATCACCAGCAGTATCGTGATCTTCCACCTGGCCAACATCCGTACCAGCCGCACCCGCACTCGCACGATGGAGTGGGCAGGGCAGATGATCGTCGCAATGAGCCTCACCCACTATATCGACGGGCTTCGTAAGGGGCTCTGTAGGGGTTGCAGGGACTGAGAGGAGAAGGCCATGATTTGTTGTGCCTGTTCGCTGAAAATCTTCGAAGAGCTCTCTCTTTCGGACCACCTTCGCTATTTGGCGCTGTAATCCTGACCTACCTCCTCACCCTTGTCACACGTCTTCAACTTTGGGCCTCTTTGATGACTCATAATCGAAAATCACGTCGATACCTCTGCATTGTCCTGCCTGATCGACTGCGCCTAACATGCTTTCCTTGGTATTCTCAAGCTGTTATCACCGCCTATAATCTCGCTCGCGTATGTACATCTGCTCCGCGCTCACTCCATACTCTGTCTTCGATGAAAGTCCACCCCACCGATCATCCTCCCCTTTACATATACTCGTGCCAAATTGCGATCATCAGCCGTAAACAGGAACTTTTCGACCAGATCGGCCAACGGCTCCCCGTCGTCAACGAAACAAGATGGGTTGCCTCTGTACGGCTTGCGTCCGTTGTCGTCCTCATCCTCTGGCTCAACTAAGCGGACCAGAAGGGCATCGAAGTCTTTCCCAACCTCAAGCGAGCCGGTGCGATCATCCACGCTGGCTACTTGAGCGCCTCCAACCGTTGCGAGCCAGAGGAGGGTGGCGGGGAGGAGAGGACGGGAGAGGAAGTCGTAACCACCGATGGGAGCGATGATGTCCCCGTCATTCCCCTCCCCACCATCTACCTTCGTAGCCGCCTCCTTGCCACCAAACTGCACCACCTTCGCAACACAGCTTGCCTCCCTCACTGCGCTCAGCATGCCCAGCGAGAACCCGCCGCTCACATCAGTGCCCAATCCGCACTTGATCCCGCGATTCAGCATCTCGCCCACGCGCATCGTCCCGCTCCTTAGATTCAAGTTGGAATTGGGACAATGCGCGATTCCGCATCCCCTTTCCTTGACCAGCTTCATCTCACTTTCGTCGAGATGTACCGCATGGGCCAGAACAGTTCTGGGGCCCAGAAGGCCAAAGTGATCGTACATCGCCGTGTAGGTGGGCGCAGAAGGGAAGAGGGAACGCGTAAAGGCGATCTCGCCTAGTGATTCGGAGAGGTGCGTTTGCAGTCGCAGAGAAGGGTCCCGGGAGAGGACGGCCGAGATGGAGGTGAGGAGGGAGTCGGTACAGGCTATTCCGAAGCGAGGGGTCAGGATTGGTTGGACCAGGGCGGAAGAGAGGGGTACAGAGGATGAGCAGGGGGATGCGCAGGCTGCAGAAGGCGTGGTGGGCGCCGCCGCGGTGGACGCGTCGTTCGTTTCACTCTGCGCCATCGAGGTAGAGCGGGCTGGCGCTGCTTCCGGGGTCGCCTCTGCGACCTCGTCCAGGGTCTTGCTCAATTTGGCCACGCTCTGCGACATGAGAATGGCGTCCTCCTCAGGGTCCGAGAGTGGAGAGGCGAGCGACTCATCGTCGGAGGGAGAAGTTCCTTCAGAGGTAGCTGACGACGTGGAGGAGGAGATAGAGGTAGCCCTCGTCATCCTGCTGGTGGAGGTGTCCGCTCCTGGTCCAAGCTGAGCCAGCTGCTCACAGTACCTGATGAAAGCCTTGGTATCCTCAATCGATTGTGCAGCACTTGGCTCGACGTAGTAGTCCGGCGCGTTGCGATCCATCTGACACTTGCCCACAAAGGCTCTCTGCCCCCTCTTGTTGGCTACCTCGGCCAAGATCTTTGTTGCGTCCAAGTGCAGAGTAGCATAGTAGCAGGCGGTGGTGGTCCCGCAATCTATGGTGCGCTGAACCACGGACTCGTAAGTCTTGCGGGCGTAGTCGTCTGAGCTGAAACGTGCTTCACGAGGGAAGGTTACGTGGTTGAGCCAATCGAGGAGCTCGTACTGCTGTCCAAGGCCGATGTTGGGTACTTGACAGGCGTGCTGATGCGTGTCGATGAGGCCGGGTGTGAGGAATGATCCGTAGGGAAGGACGGTGAGATGGCATTCATGAAAGTTCCAAGCTCGATGAGAAGCGGACAGGTATGTCTGTATGCAGCGGCGTTGACGTGGAGGGAGTGGGTCCTGAGTCGGCGTGGGTCTCGTCTTGATGTGGAGCGCGCCTCGCTCAAGAGAGCGGGCTCGAGGTGTTGAGTGACCATCGTCGCCCTCGTCGTTCTGGATATCGGGCAGCTTGCTCAGGTCCTCGACGAATGCGATTGTGCCGTCGTTATCAACGCCGAGGAGGCCAGAGTGGAGGAGGGTCAGCTCAATCTGCGATGCTGGGGTGACGATGCCTCCTACAAAGAGGAGGCGCGTCGGAGGGGAGCTCATGCTCATGGGGGCTGGTAGAGATGCGGGTGATGGTTGCAAAGGCAAGTGCACGACATCATGGGCGGAGCCACTAATCACCAGGGGGGCAAAGGCAAGCGGCGGCGGCCCGCGATTGCGGACTCGCCTAGGGTGCTGATAAGCGCTGCACCTCCACGTGGTTGGCGAGAGATTGCGGGGAAGTCGCTCCCCATGCGCCGCCTGATTGACAATCTTGTCGAAGAGGATGGCGACGAGGAATGGGCAGCACTGCCGGTCGTAGAGCAATGAGGGCCAGAGCTGCCATCATGCATAACTAGACCGCCGCCTTCACGTTTACGTGTGTGCGCCAAGAGTGCTACAATAAGCAAGGCTCTGGGAAGTGAAGGACGGTAGGAGGTCAGCTCACTGACTGGTGGTCAAGATTTGATGGGGACGAAGCATGATCCCGACGAGTGGTCATTCGAGGACGACGACGAGTTAGAGCAAGAGTCAAGAAGAAACGTGAGAAGGAAATCGCACCATGCCGCCAGAGCTCATCGGCTTCGATGCCTTCTCACACTCGGCGTAGGCTCGTCACTTGATCTATGGTATTGTCTCATCTCTGTCCCTCTTCTCTCGCTCTCACCAGAATGAAGGTAGTGACGTTATCGTCTCTATCCTGTACGCCCGCTCTCGCTACCTTCAATCCCTCGTAGATACCTTTTGTCGCGCAGATATCTGAGGCGAGCGCAGCAACCATGGTGCCGGAGTCGTCCTTGGCTATCATTGAGGCGGCCAACGCTGTGCTTGAGACGTTGATGCGGCCGTCTTGGGATGAAGTGAGCGGGAGGTGCGAGTCTAGAAAGTGGCGACATTGGCCAAGGGCCTGAGGAGAAGGAGAGTTCAGATGATGAATGACGAGAATGGGTTGCGGGGCAAAGACGCACCTGCTCGTGGGAGTAGACCTTCTCTATTGACTTTAGCGCTTCGTCGCTGAGAGGACGGTCGCTATCCTTGACTTGCTGTAGCCTCTCATACGTCTTGCTGTTGACCAGCAATGCATGCCTGACAGCGAGCTCCACCGTCTTGATCGTCTCTACGGGCACTGGGCTGCTCGCGAGAAATTCCTCCGTCTCCTTGACGATGCCATGCGTCGAGTTCTTCAAGGGTAACAACGCCAAGCGCCGAGGTGCCGAGGCACTTAAGATAGAAGCGGCAGTTTGCGTGATAGTGTCATAGGGTATTAGGGTGACCTTTGAGCTGGAGGCTTGGTTGTCACGGTAGTCAGGATAGAGCCCAAGGGCCACTTGGTGCGAATAGGTGCCTGGTGGGCCGAGATAGGCCACCTCGAATGCTGCTTGACCAGGTCGCGTGGTGGACATGCTTACGGCAAGCTGATTTTACTGCCTGGCGATTCCTGTCTGGTCGCTCTTCAGCGCTACCAAGTTTGTCGCTCTACAGCTTGCTTTTATTCAGAAGATCTGCGGCGAAGAGCGGCAGGCGGGCAAGCGGGAAGGCGGAGTCTGGTCTGGCCGACCCAACGGGTGGTGAGTCTTGCCGTGGGAGCGATTTCTGAGGCCCTGCAATGATCGCTCTCTTGCAGTTGCAGGAGACAGTCGACGAGCGGCGAAGGAGGGTCCAGCCGCGAGGAGCACATGCGGAGCTCCAGGAGGCGATTCGATTTGCGAGGGCAACGCAGCCTGAGATCATCTCGTTCAGCCAGGGCGGGCACACGTCGCAGCTCAACGTTGAATCGAGCCTTTCTTCTCCCGTTCGCACCACCATTTCTCCTGCCCTCCTTTAACATTGATTGCTCCGTTCCCCATTTGAGCACCACAAGATGGCATCGAAGATCTTCGAGAGCCTGGGTGCTCGACGTCAACAACCCAAGTCGGACCGTCCTGGCACCGACTCGGACGGCCGCAAGACGCCGACTCAGGACGACAATGACTCGCTTGCCCAGACGACCGAGTCGCTGAGCATCAACATCCCTGGCCAGGACAGCAAGAGCGAGACGATGCCAAAGAAGAAGAAGTCTGGCGCCGGTCGATCGTACAACTTACCCGTAAGTCGCTGCGATGCATTTGCTGCCAGGGAAGATCGGCGATACCGTGTTGGCCGCTCCTTTGCTGATACGCTCACCCACGTTCATTGCGGCCCCTTTCAGTCGTCAAATGGCCACAGCAACGGAAGGCCTCGTCATCGCTCCCGCAGCAGTTTCAGCTCAGGCTACGACCGACATTCCCGCGATTTCGGCATGAGCGAGATGGATGAATCTCACGGCAGGGGCCCCACGGCGCACATGGACGAGGGTTTCACCAAGATGCAGTCGGCTGAGCCTCAGTGGGAGACAAAGGAGGAGAAGCGATTGAAAGAGGATGAGCACAAGCTCAAGTACTGGAGGCGATGGGGGCCGTACCTCTCGGAGCGTCAATGGGTGTGTACTAGCGCCGTAAGAGTCGCATCATGAGCTCGAGGCTAACCTGTTCATCGCTCTCCGCCAGGCTACTGTTCGCGAAGACTACAGTGCCGAGGGAGACCCGTGGAATCACTTCCCTCACGAAATTGCCCGCAGCCGTGTCTATCGATGGGGTGAGGATGGTATCGCGGGTATCTCTGACAATCACTGCCGCATGGCATTCAGCTTGGCATTCTGGAACGGCCAGGACCGTATGCTCAAGGAGCGCCTCTTCGGCCTGGCCAACAACCAGGGAAACCACGGCGAGGACGTCAAGGAGCTCTACTACTACCTCGACAACACGCCCTCACACTCGTACATGAAGATGCTCTACAAGTACCCGCAGCAGGCCTACCCCTACGAGCAGCTTGTTCGCGAATCCCAGATGAGGGGCCGAGATGTCACCGAGTTTGAGATTACGGACACTGACCTCTTTGACGAGAGCAAGTACTGGGACGTGAGTGGGCGATGCAGCGACCCCAGAGAAGTGACGTCCCGCTCACCTCTCGTTTTGGTGCCCGCAGATTTTCATCGAGTACGCCAAGGACGACGAAGATGAGAATGCCATCTCCGTCCGCATCAGCGCCTACAACCGCGGTCCTGAGCCCGCCGACCTGCACATCCTGCCTCAGCTCTTCTTCAAAAACTACTGGTCCTGGCCCATGCACACGCCCGAGAAGCCCACGCTGCGCCAAGTGGCTGAGGGCGTCGTCCAGGCTGACCACCCGGAGCTGGCTCGCAAGTACATGTACTGCTCGTCCAGCCCTGCCCCCAGCGCTCCCCCGCCTAAGCGTGGTCAGGCTCCTGAGCCAGTATCGGATGAGGAGGTTCAGCCGCAGCTCCTCTTCACCGAGAACGAGACCAACTTCGAGCGCCTCTATGGCGGTAAGAATACCAGCACATACGCAAAGGACGCTTTCCACGACCAGATCATTCCCACCCACCGACTTGAGAAGTGCGTGCAGCGGTGCTGCGTGACCACAATGCAGACTGGGCTGACCATAGGACCCCCCCTTTGCGCTCACAGAGACCGCCCACAGCTTGTCCGCAAGACGCGTCCCATCAAGCGACAAATCGTCAAGACGGTCAAGAAGCCTGGCAACCTTACGCGTGCCACAGCGGCCAAAGAGGGCAATGCGCCTGGTGACAGCACCCCTGTCACTATGAACGAGGCTGAGATCGAACATCAGTGGGTCGAGGAGGAGGTCGTCGAGGAGATCGAAGAGGAGGAAGAGTACTTTGAGCAGCCGGAGGACATGAGCCCGCGTCGTCACTACGTCAATCCGGAGAAGGTCGGTACCAAGGCTGGCGCCCACTACAAGTTCGAGAAGGTGCCCGCCAATGGAGGTTGCGCCGTCGTCCGCCTGAAGCTCACTTCGCAGACGCCAGACCAAGACCCGACGATCGATGATGACGAGCAATTCGACAACCTCGTTGAGGCCCGTCGCTCCGAGGCCGATGAGTTCTACACCCGCATCGGCACCGGCGCGATCGGCGACGACATGAAGAGCATCATGCGCCAGGCCCTCGCAGGCATGCTTTGGAACAAGCAATACTACTGTTTCATCCAGTCCGAGTGGATTGCTGGCGACCCAGGCCAACCACCACCGCCTCCCGAGCGCAAGTACGTGCGTAACCAGACGTGGCGCCACCTGCATATGGAGGACATCCTCTCGATGCCGGACAAGTGGGAATATCCTTTCCCTTGCGTTTGGGACACGGCCTTCCATACCATTCCGCTGGCCATCATCGACCCCTGGTACGCAAAGAAGCAGCTCGACCTCTTCACACGCGAGTGGTACATGAAGCCCGATGGATCTCTGCCCTCGTATGAGTGGAACTTCGGCGACCTCAACCCGCCTGTTCACGCATGGGCAGTCTTCCGCGTTTTCAAGATCGAGCGCAAGATGTACGGACGCGAGGACCTCGACTTCCTTGAGCGCCTCTTCCAGAAGCTCCTGCTCTGCTTCACCCAATTTGTCAACAAGTTCGAGAACGGTTTCCTTGGGCTAGACAACATCGCTCCCTTCAATCGCTCTGAGCAGCTGCCCGTACCCGGCAAGCTGAGGCAGATCGACGGGCTGAGCTGGATGGCCTTCTTCTCGCTGCAGATGCTCAACATGTCTCTCGAGCTCGCCAAGCACAACCACATCTACGAGGCCATGGCGTCAAAGTTCTTTGAGCACTTCATCTGGCTGAGCGAGGAGATCAATCCTAGCCCAGACAGCGAGGACATCAGCTGCTGGGACGAAGAAGACGGCTTTTACTACGACACGCTGCAGCACGGCCCGAACAGCTCACAGATCATTAAAGTACGATCGCTCGTTGGCCTCATGTCCCTCTTCCCCGTCCTCGCCATCGAGCCATGGGTCTTCAAGCGCTTCCCTAGCTTTGCAGCCCGCTTCCAATGGTTCGTACAGAACAGACCCGCCCTCGCTGCGCGAAACGTCATGACCACCAGCGGTAAGCGTGAGCGTCGCCTGCTCAGCGTCGTCTCCAAGGAGCGCCTCGAGCGCATCTTGCGCCGCATGCTCGACGAAACTGAGTTCCTCTCGAGCTACGGTGTGCGCTCGCTCTCCAAATTCCACCAGAGCAACCCCTTCCAAGCCTTCGGGGACGAGTTCTCCGTCGGATACTGGCCGGGCGATTCGCGCTCACCCATGTTCGGAGGCAATTCCAACTGGCGTGGCCCCATTTGGGTTGCGCCCAACTTGCTCCTCATCGAATCGCTGCAGCGCTTCTACCAGTACTACGGGCCAGAGGACCTCAAGGTGGAGTGCCCTGCGGGCTCAGGCGACTATCTGGATCTCGCACAGATTGCTGAGGAGCTGCAGCACCGCATCATCTCCATGTTCACGCGCGATGCCCGTGGTCAGCGTCCTTGCAATGGCGGCGTGGCCATGCTGGACCACGACCCGCACTTCAGAGACCTTGTTCCCTTCCACGAATTCTTCCACGCCGACACTGGCGCAGGGCTGGGCGCATCGCACCAGTGCGGCTGGACGGGCTGCGTAGCTGCAATGATCTTGCAGAGTGGGTTGACCTACGGCGTGAGGACGCCAAGGACTCCCAGGTCGACGGCTGCGCATTACTTCGATGAGCAGCTGACCGAGGCGGACACGAAGAGCGACGCTGGGAGCACGTCGACCATGCCTTGGTCTGCTGCTATCTCAAGACCGCCGAGCCCAGATGAGTTGTAAACGTAGACGAAGGAGAGGGAGAGGCGGTTCGCGATGCTGTTATTAGAGCTAGGAGGTCGATTTCTTTGGTCAATGTTCCTCGCCAATTTTTGCTTTAAATGCTATGATACACTTGTGGCCACACGTGTTGACTGGGTATCCGAGTCTACATCTCCTTCGCAATGCGCTTGAGCTCCTGATCTTGCGCAGCTTCCAGCTCATCCTCGTCTGCCTCGCCTGCCCCCGGTCGTTTCCTCTTCGGAGAAGGCGTCTGTCCAGCACGAGGGCTGAAGAAGGCGTCCAACCGACGTTGCTTACTATCAGCGGCTGCGGCTGCCAGGCCTCCCCTTCGCGGGCGGGTGAGTCCAGCGAGATGGGGCGTCCAGTTAGCTCGCATCAGGCGGAGGGTCAATGGAGCGCTGCCCGCCGCAGCACCAGCATCACCATCGACGCTGTTCGGCCGCGCGCCAATCACCTCAAGCAAGTACATTCCCGTATTCTCTGCAAAAGGGATAGGCGCATCAGCCGCCATCTCCGGCCCCGCCTGAGGCGCTAGTATCCTCAGCGCGGTGGATATGAACAGACCGTGCGTCACGACGAGCAGCGTAGGCGGTACTCCCTCTTTGGGCGGCGAGGTACGGACAAGCTTGCCGATCCAGAGGCGCATGCTCCGCCGTACCCGGTTCGTGAATTGCTCCTTCGATTCGCGCTTCGCTGTGGCTGAGGGTCGAGGAAAGGAGGGGCCAGCATGGATCCCCCGGCGGGTGCATTCTAGGGGGCCGAAATCCTTTTCTTGGAGATCGATGCTTGGGTATAGGGGCGGAGCGGTATTGATCGAGCTGGAAATCGAGGTTGAGGCAGTATTGCTGCCTAACCCCCTGTGTGCAGCTTCCTCCGCTTGAATTGGTTCAACAACCTCAGCTCCGAAGCCCCTTACTCGCTGCCTCTCCCTCTCCCTCTCCCTTCTTCTCCCCACGACCTCTCCCACTCGTCTCGCCAGCCTAGCGCAACGCTCCAGTGGGCTATGCGCGATCATCATTGGCAGGTCGTGCACCTCCCATCCACCACCATCCTCGACGTCCTGCTCGAGCAAGGTACACAGCCGATCCTGCTGTCGCTCTCCATGCTCTGTGAGAGGAGAATCTGTCGACCCTTGCAGGACGCCAGCTGCGTTGGCTTCTGTGTTTGGGTGGCGTAAGAGAATCAGGCGGCCGAGGACGACGGGGCCCGCGCTTGAGGATGGTGCGGCGGTCAAGGATGAGCTGGTCGTCCATGGTCGGGCGGACGATGACAACGATGCCATCGTAGCCAGGATGCCCGTTCTATTGCTGGGTATCCTGGCTGCGAGCTTGCGTGAGAGATCTTGATGCGGAGCGTGAGGAGAGGAGACAAGGAGCGGAAGGCGGACTGGCATGCCTCCACTCGATGGACAAGCGGACAGAGAGGTGCAGCCAAGCTCGTACGAGCGTCACGGTGATGAGAAATCGACAGGCTGTAGTAGTGAGGGCAATATTCATTGGTGTACAACAAGATCCGATGCTCATGCATCGCCCTGCCCAGTGGGTTTCTGAGGCATCGGCCACTCCTCCTCGTGCTGGTTTTGCCACCTCACTTCTTGATCGTAAACTTGGGCGAAGCATTTCCACTGTCGCCGAGCAGCACGACGATATAATTCTTCCTCTCTTTCAAGCCCTTAGGAACCGTAAAGTCGATCTTGTGTGCCATGAGCGGGAAGCCATCCGCCAGTGTCACGTCGAGGTGCTCATTGGGGCTGCCCGCATCCTTGTACCCCAAGTACAGAGTCGAAGTAGCATTCTTCAGCGAAGCCGGGATCCCCTTGGTCGACCAAGTGACCGTCTGCTTGCTGCCAACCTTCCAGACGGAAGACTTGGTCGGGCTGGTGATGTGCGGATTGTAGACGATGCGTTCACCGAGCACTTGCAGGTCCGTACGCTCGTTGAGAGGAGCAGACGAGCCCAGTGAGGCCAGCGTGGCGACGAGGGTGGCGAGAAGGGGGAGTTGCATGACTGCGAGACGAGGGAGGGAGATGGTGCGTCAAGGGTAGTAAGATGGCTCAGAGAATGGCGGTGAACAACTTCGGTGATACTCTCACTGCGTTTGGCGACCGGCGCTAGACTGTCAAGGGAGCGAAGAAGGTCGGAATTCTACGGTGGACGGAATTGGGCTTCAAGAGGACCTGCTCTTGTTCAAGGATTAGACTGTGCGATGTGGTGACGATTGGCTGTTGAGGAGAAAGTGACAACATGTCTTCGAAGGCCCCATATTTCAAGGGTCCAGCTAGCTCGTAGCCGCCGGCAATAGAGATCTGGGCATAGTGGACAAGGCTCATTGGGAAGTTGTGCGAGGCGTCGATCGTCACTCAACGCATCTCGCCTTGCCTTGCGGGGTAACAGGGAAGTGAGGCGTCACGAGTTGAGCGCAATACTGTAGATTGAGGCGTCATCCGGCTTCACCACAGACGTCATCGCCATGAGTTGGACTTGCCTCTTTGATGGCGAGCAAGCAGCGTGGAGCATGATGGAGCATGACGCTGGTCAGCGGCCGGCGCTCAGTACTGCTACCCTTCGCTGACGTGCGAGACATCCAGACTGGCGTTCTGCGATGTCGCAGCACGTTCACACACTACCACCGCCTTCCCGTTCGTACCGACGCGTGCGCGCTGAACCAACACAGAAGACCAACACTACTAGCCCTTGACGGCTCGTATTCAAGCTCACTCCACAGGACGGGACGATGTCGCGCGCACATCCCTCTCTCTCTGTCGGCTCGACGTCTGCCCATCTGCGCAGACCAATCTCACGAGAGCAAGTGGTGACGAGTCTGACGAACGTCTTTATTGCTGGCTCGCTACTGCGACGACGTGTGAGAGACCACCGTCGGCTTGGGTCTCCAAGACGACAGCGTCAGGATGCTCGACGGCCGTCGTATGCCGCCTAGTCTGCCCGCTCTGTGCTCTACGTTGGTTGGCGCGTTGGAGCTTGCGCATTGCCTTGCGCCTGTGAGCTTGAACATATCATATTCTGGCCGGTTGCGATGCTCGATGCTCGCTGCTTGCTGCATGCCAGGTGGCTTGCTCTTTCTCCGCTCGACGCGCCCACCACGCGCTCGTCGCCTGCCTGCCTGCCTGCCCGCCTTCGTGCTCGTCCGCCTGTCCGCCGCCCGCGGTGATGCTCGAGCCTCGACGTCGAGTGTGTGCGTCCCCCCTGGACCCCTCCTGCCTCCTCTGACGCCTCATTCATTTCGCCGCCCGTCGTCGCCGCTGCTCAACACACAACTGGACCTCGTCATAGTAGCGGCAATCGTCGATTAGCTGTCGTGGCTGTCACTGGCCCCTTGCTTCTTCATCGATTCGCATCGCAGCCCGCCGGTCTTGTCGTGTAGGCCGACGAGCGAGCAAACGCAACGCAACGCAGGAGCCACGCAGCCTCGATGACTTTGGCTTTTCGAGTCTCGCATTCGGACGTAGCGTGGCATGATCGCGAGCGGCCATCGAAGGGACGAAGAGAGCCAAGCTCGAGGTACTCATCGAATCGAGCCGCGAGCAGGTCAGCAAGCGTGTGTGTGTGTGTGTGTGTGTCTGGTGTAGGCCCCACTAGCTGATCCCCTCTTTGCTCCTCACCATCACCACCACTGGCTCATTCCCCTCTCCATCTCCGTGCCCTTCCCCCATCCCCCTATCCCCCTCCTCACTCACTATCACCCCTGTCGTCCGCAACCACACTCACTTGATCTCCTATCTCCTCCAGCAGCGACATCTTCCCTCTGTCATCCTCGACCCCTCGCACACGGTTGTCCTCCTATCCCAAGTCTAGACGTAGCTCGAGGTGCCCTCCATACCCATCAAACCCCTTCGCCCTCGCAGTCTGACCCGACAGCCACCAATCATAGCCCTCACCATCATCACCATCACGATCATCTCGTAACATCCTCCTGCATCCTCTTCGCCGCCGCTAATCGTTGCGGCGATGTCCTCCAACCGCTCCCCCACGATGGCGCCGCCGTCGTCATCCGCAGCTCGAGGAGCCGGCGTCAACCCTCTGCAATCTCGACATGCGCCCAACAATCAGTACGGCGTCAGAACGACCACGGCGGCTAACGGCAAGGTAGCCTCATCAGCCACAGCTGCCTCGTCCTCAAAAGCATACCATGGATCAGCGCAGCCTAGCACGCGCGCTCATCCTGCACGTCAAGCGCCGAGGCCTCCTCAACAACAACAGCAGCAGCAGGCGCCAGCTTCACAGCCAGCAGCATCGCAGCCTCGTCCACAGCCACAGTCACGTCTCGAGAGAGAAAAGAAGAAGGACTACAAGGACCCGCCCAACATCGGGCCCTGGCAGCTGGGCAAGCTCATCGGGCAGGGAGCTAGTGGTCGTGTCAGGCTGGCACAGCATGCTCAGACGGGTCAGCAGGCAGCAGTCAAGATTGTGCCCCGTCAGCTCCTGGCAAGCTCGAGGATGAGCTTGGGAGAGATGAGCCAGAAGCAGGACAAGCTGACGTTGGGCATTGAGCGAGAGATCGTCATCATGAAGTTGATTGAGCACCCAAATCTTTTGGGTCTGTGGGACGTCTACGAGACAAGCAAGGAGCTGTGAGTGGGCTCACTTGCACCAATCTAGCTTTATTGCCGTGGCGTGCTCACCTCCTTCCCACTTTCTCGCACGGACAGCTTCCTCGTCATGGAGTACGTCGCTGGAGGAGAGCTCTTCGACCACCTCGTCGCAAAGGGCAGGCTGCGTCCTCACGAGGCTCGCGCTTACTTCCGCCAGATCATTTTCGGCGTCGATTACTGCCACCGCTTTAACATCTGCCACCGTGATCTTAAGCCTGAGAACCTCCTCCTCGACGGGTCTAAGCGTGTCGTCAAGGTCGCAGACTTCGGCATGGCAGCTCTCCAGCCCGTAGAGAGGATGCTCGAGACGAGCTGTGGTAGCCCTCACTACGCCAGCCCAGAGATCGTCTCCGGTAAGAGCTACAAGGGCTCAGCCTCTGACATCTGGTCGTGCGGTATCATCCTCTTTGCCCTCCTGTGCGGTCGCCTTCCCTTCGACGACCCCAACATCACTCGCCTGCTGCACAAGGTTCGTGACGGTCGTTTCGATATGCCTGACGCCCTCGAGCCAGCAGCAAAGGACCTGATTTGGCGCATGCTCGAGGTCGACCCGGAGAAGCGCTACAAGATGTCCGACATCATAAGGCACCCTTGGTTCACCAACAATGGCGCAGAGTCATCGGTCAATCCGTCCGGTCCTGGAGAGGCGATGCTTGGTGTAGAGGCTCAGCTGCGAGAGTCAGAGATCGACGTCGAGATTCTCAAGAACCTCAAGTCCCTTTGGCCCGAGAATTCGACTCGATCCATCGTCAAGTCATTGACTTCGCCTGGATCTAACTGGCAAAAGACATTCTACTCCCTGCTCTGCCAGCACCGCGACAACCATAGCATGGACGATGAGAGTGATGAGGAAGAAGAGGAAAGCGAGGGCGAGGCAGAAGTGACCACGGCTTACAAGCAGAACGTCCAGCAGCAGCAACAGCAGCAGTCGAGGCCAGCCGCAGGTGGCAACAGCTTGGGTCTCTCCCTCGGTATCGTCCCGAACGCCTCAAAGCCTGCTGCTCCTACTCAGACGATCAAGATCCAAGAGCCCGCTTCGACTCGCACCGCTGTGCCTTCGGGAGCACTCGCAGGCACTCCTGTCAAGCCTGTCCTGCTGCGAGCTGCCACCGATGTACCAACGGGCTCGCCTCGCACCAACGCCAACACTTCTGCGCGTGCTGCCGTCTTCCAACAGCCTGCAGCAGCCCATACTCCCACGCGACCCTCTGCTTCTCGCGCACACAGCCACGATGCTCCTCGCTCTCCCTCGCCTGCCGGACCTCGCCCTGTACCTGGCTCGCCCAATGCTGAGGCTCGCAATCGCACCAGCTTCGATACTGCTCGTGCTCACTTCAACGGTGCTGCACCCGCAAGTCCTCAACAGCCGCCAGCTGGCGCCAACCTGTCACGCCGAATCACCTCGCCCAGCCACCGCGATGGCAAGCCTACGAGGCCAGCCACGGGCGACGTGCAGGCGACGCCTACTCGCAAGTCTTCGCTCTCCGGTAGCAGCCGAGGAGACTCGCAGCAGCGACCAGGCGCAACACCGGGCTCTGCAGGCCGTCGTCCCGTCAGCGTACACGCGCCGGCGATTACGGTGCCCCAGGTTGGCGACGCTACGGTGCAGCGCTTCTTCCAGGAGATCGCCGCCGAGCTGGCGAGCATCCGTGCCGCTTCGCCCGTTCAAGCTCACCTGACTCAGTACCAGCAGCGAGCGGAGCAGGCTTACCAGCAGCTTCAGCAACAGCAGCAGCAGGCTCAGCAGCAGCAGAGCCAGGGATCGTCTCAGCAGGGCCAGCAACAGTCGAGGCGCCGATCCGTCGAAGTGGAGCGCAGCAGCATGACGGCGCAGCCCGCGGTCCGCCTTGCTCCGTCGCCAATCAATGCTCCCACCCCTCAGCTTTCGGCAGGCAACGAGTTCAACCAGTTCGAGGATGCGGACGAGGACCCGCTGTCGGGTGGCCTAGAATACGACCAAGGCTCGGTGCGCTCATCCCGCGTAGGCAGCGAAGTCAATGCTGGATCGTCACCCTACACGCCTACTTCGCCGCTGCCCCCTCAGCTGCCTGGCTTCAGCCCGGTCATGACGCAGCCGCTCAGCATCTCGGACAAGTCGGCCGCACCGGGCGGCGTGATGATCAATGGTCGCCTCTCCAGCCGTCCCGCTCCTGGTCCATTCGCTACCAGGCCTATCAGCCCTGCTCCTTCGACGCGACCTCCCTCGAGCCACAGGAGCAGCGCTCGCGAACCGTCATCGGCCTCGACTGCCTCCTCCTCGTCGGCTGGCTCTTCGTCTGTGGCACAATCCCCTCAGATGCCCTCCGGCGGTGGCTTCCTCGGTAAGCGTCGCTCCATCCTGGGCATGCGCAGTAAGCACCGCGAGCCCGCCCAACAGCAGCAGGACGAGAACAATGCGCCTACACCCCTACAAGCTCGACTGGCCCAGAATGCGACTGCTCAGCCTACGCGTCTTCAGCAGCGCAACCCTGGTCTTGGTCTCGACTTGGCCTCCTCCTCCTCGCCCAGCCGTCGTCAGCAAAACGCCTCTGCGCCAGCCAGTGCTGCTTCTCCCAGAATCGTCGCAGCGCCCCTGCCCAGCCCGACGATCAGCGTCAGCTCAACCCCTGCCACGCCGCGCACCCCGTCAGGCAGCTCTGCTGGAACGGGCACTGCCTCAGCAGCAGGCCCCGGTGCGAAGCAGAGCTGGTTCGCCGGTCTGTTCAACTGGAAGCCTCTCTCCCTCTCGCTCCACTCTTACGAGGGATTCATCGCCACTCAGATGGAGGTCAAGCGCCTGCTCCTCACCTCGGGGGCGAAGGTGTTCATCGAGGACTCGGAGAGCTTGGGGATGTGGAGATGCTCGCTCAAGGACAACAACAGTAAGACTCTGCGATTCCGCATCGAGTTCACCGTCGGTGGCGGCAGCACTGCGGCAAGTCCACAAAATATGCTCGCTTCGCCTGCGCTGAGCGTTCCCGGAACACCCCTGCTCGGTCTGGGCAACCAGGCGCAGCCCTTGCTGTCCCCCGCCCTCTCTTCGCACTCGCGCTCCTCAGCAGAGTCAGTTGTCGTCAAGAACACCAATGCCAATGCGGGCGGCCAGGCTGTGTACTCGACGAAGATCACCTTCCACCTGGAGAAGGGTTCCAACCAGACGTTCAAGAACATGTACAACCATATGGCCAGGGATTGGCATATGGATGTGCGATCTGCCAACGCTGGTGGGCAGTCACCTGCTCTTGGCGGACAGCGCGCTGGTGTCGTTGGCCTGGGCGTCAACGTCTGAGAGAGAGTGAATGGCTCTTTCTGCCTTCTCTGCCTCTTTCGATCCTCTTCTCCGGACTCTCCCTTACGACCACGATCCATCCGTAGCTCGATAATACCTCCCTCATTCCTTCTTTCATCTTTGACTTCATCCTCTCTTTCTCTTGTTTCGTCTTTCATCTTCACGCTTCGTAGCCTCTCTCACTACACACAGACTCTCACTGTCTCCCACACTCATTCATCTACGTCAGGACTCGCTCACTCACTCACTCATCGTGCCGCAATGCTCATGGCTTTGAACTTGCTTGCCATCGCGAGATGGTTGTGGATAACTGGTATGAAGTTGATGAAAAGAAGCAGCATGTACAAGATCGTCGCGGCCAGAGGTGCGCGCCCAATCGTCTTAAGCTGCGACTGATGTCTGGCCCCCTCCTCCCTCCTCGCCGCTGCTCTTCCATAGCTCCCTCACCACCTGCTTTGGCTCCTTCTTGCCCGCCGCCGTCTCCTCCGCACCCACTTTGCCCGCGGCGGGCGGGATGGTTGTAGCCTCAAGCAAGGCGGCAATTGCGCGTCGAAAGATGTCGACATTCTGCTCTACAAGGGCTTCTGCGTCTGATGCTGTTGCTGCTGCTGCCTCTGTTTGGATCGTCTTCGCTGCAGCGTCTTCAATGGCGCTGCCGCTGGGTATCGTCGTTTTATCACCGTCATCGCCCCCTCTCTCCTTTTCTTCTTCCTCCTCACCCTCCTGCTCGCTGGCCCTGCTCGTCGGTCGACTGCTCATCGTCGTGACACTGCCTCTGTGCTTGCTCGACATGCCGACCTGTTGCTGCTGCTGAGCAGATATGACGCCTACGAGGGCAAGACGTTGGTCCAGTTGCCAGAAGCAGAGTCGCAGCTCTTCCTCCGTGGGTGCTGCTGGTCCGGCTGGTTCAGCCTTGCTCACGCCTCCCACTGCGGAGAGGCTGGGACTGCCTGGCACATCTTCGCCGCCTTCGCCTGGTGCGGCGACAGAGCCAGCTCCTCCTACTACTGACGGTCCGGCGGCAGCAGCATTCATCGACGCCAGCCTGAGCGTGCTGGAACCCCATCTCTTCTTGTTACCCGTGACATCCTCGGCCATCTTCGCCCCACCTTGATGCTTCAGATTGGCAAAGAGGCCACTCAAGTTGACGAGGAATCCCAGGTAGTCACAGACGACTTGAAAAGTCGTCTTATCGAATGGACTTGAGTCGGAGGCCAAATAAGTGCGTGTGGGCAGGTCGAGGAGGTAGAGCTTTTCGACGAGGACATTGTTGGTCGACTGAGCTGCCGTGGGAGCGATACCGACCGTAGAGGCTGCAAGATCCTTAGCGAGGCTTCCTTGACCCGGCGATGAATGCTGCGGAATCCCTGCTCCCTCTCCATCGTCCTGGTCATCAGCTCTAGGCGCGCATGAGTCGACGAAGCCGTCAATCAAGCGATTGAGCGCCCCGCGGAGTATGTTGCCCGGCGAAGCTAGGACGAGGTCCTGCAGTACGCGGGAGAAGGCGACAAAGAGGGACGAGTCGAAGATGCTGGTCTGGTGGAGGGAGAGGCGTACCTCTGACTCGAGGGCGACCATGCCTGACCCAGAGACGCCGTGCCCGTTGGTAGAGGATTTTGCTGATGAAGGACGTCTGCGACGGAAGGATCCCGTGGGCTGATCGCGACTTCTTGATGTCGATGCTGCTGCTGCTGCTGCTGACGACGGCGTGGCAGAGGCTTCATCTGAGCTGCTGGCGGCCCCTGTAGCTCGATCCACGGCTTTACGCTCCAGCCTCGTCCAATCGACCTTGTCCCCTTCAGCGTCGTCATCATCGAGAACTGCCCCCTCACTGTCCCTCCTCGGCCCGCTTACACCCCTGGCAAATTGAAAGCTGCTACTGGCATCGGTGAGATCGTCCTCGATCCTCTTCTCGACATCCGTCTGCGTATCATCCCTGTAATCCTCGCTCAAGCCGTCCATCTTGTGGAGGAAGACGTGGACGTGGACGCGAGGGTTGTTTGCATATGCGACTAAGATGAGGGAATGGAGCTGGGAGAGGGAGAGCAAGTAGTCGTCTTGAGCGTCGAGCACCCAGATGATGGAGGAGATGCTGTTCCAGGATAACGGCCCGCCTCCATTTGGGAGGGATACATCGGGGAGAACGTTACCGTCTTTTGCTGCGTGCGTGAGTGGAGCTTGTGGTGTGATGCCATCCCAGATGGTGACGGGTGACCAAGGACGGAGGGTTGTGGCATAAGGACGCAATGTTGAATCAAGGTAGAGGGTATCGTTTGGTGGCAGGTGATGGTGCAGGACTTGGAGTAATGACGTCTTGCCGCTTCGACGCATGCCCATCAAGAGGATCTGCGGATGCGGGCGAGAAGACGCCATGGTGATGGCGACGGCGGTGTTGGCGAGGGCAGTGAGATAGCAGTTGTGAAGTGGTCAGGTGATATCGCAAAGTGGATGACGGTTCTGCGCCATGCGATGCGAAGCTCATCCCCCCCCACCTGCACACGCCTGGCCGCGTCCTCTTCCGTCGACGGTCAAGGCAGACGAACGAGCACGCGACGGCAATCGTCTCGTTGCCTCGCCCGCTCTCACTTCCTCACCACATTCATCGCCATGCCCAGGGCAAAGAGGAAGTCGACAGGCGTCAAGGTCGAGTCAGAGGCAGCAGACCCAATTCTTCAGCACCACGATCCTTCATCCTCCTCTTCGGCAACAACTTCAAATCTAGACGCAACTGCCTCCCACCTAGCAGGATACTACGTCCCAGCTGTAGCTCCATCCGACGTCTCTACCAGCGGAGATGAGGATGACGAGGCTTGGATGACGAACGACGCTAGCGGCGAGCAGGACGCAACAGGACCAACTAATCAGCACCAACAGCACGGCGGAGCTCAGAGCGATGATGACGATGATGACGAGGGAGCAGGTGGAGCTGCTAGCTCTGGTGCAAAGAACAAGAAGGAGGCGACGTGCAGATGGAATGATTGTGGCCATATATTCGCCGATATGATCAAGTTCATTGACCACTTGCACAACAGTAGGTGCCAAGTGCGCACTCCTCTTTCAAGCATCTCAACCTGACCAACGCTCTCTCCCCTTTACCTTTCCCCTCGCACAGCTCACGTAGGTACCACGCGCAACAAATACGCCTGCGAATGGACAGGCTGCTCGCGTCGAGGGAAACCTCAGACAAGCCGATTCGCCTTGCTATCGCACTTGCGATCCCACACGGGCGAGAAGCCCTTCACCTGCCCAAGGCCAGACTGCGACAAGAGCTTTACCCGCTCCGATGCCCTATCAAAGCATATGCGCGTACAGCACGACATCATGCCGGCGCCTGCTCGAGGAGGAAGGATCTCTGCTGCAGCAATGGCCGAGAGGGCTGCTGCTGAGAAGGCGGCAGCGGAGGGGAGGTCGCTCCCGCCAGCATCTGGGGCGGGGGCGGGGACGAGGAGTAGTACCAGGCGATCAGCGATGGCTGCTAGTGGCAGCACCGATGCCACGACGTCGCTTGACGAGGAGCTCCTAGGCCTCGCGGGGGACTTGCCGTCCTCATCCCACTCTTCGTCCAGCATGTCCACCGCCGCTCAAATAGCAGCCAACGCAGAGGCTATGCCCGGTGACAAGCTACACTGGAGCTACGAAGCCATGTTCCCCCCTGACGAGAGCAGCGAGGCACAGCAGCAACAGCAACTTCAGCAACAGCAGGCAGGTGCCCAGCCTGGCTCTTCAGCTGGCCAGCCTCAACCCAACACGGGCTCATCAGGCTTCACAGATGAAGAGCTAGGCATCGAACGCTACTCCTCCATCCGCAGGCGAATTCCCCTCTCCTGGGTGGACGGGACACTAGAAGACTGGAACCCTACGGTCGGCGCGTCTGCCGTGGCTGTTGACCCGGCATCCAGACCGGAGCTCCAGTATCCGCATGACGATCAAGAGGCCGAGGCCGAGGCCAATTTGGTGCTGGAGAGAGGCAGGAAAGCTTGGGTCATGGAGATGAGCAGGAGACAGGCGGAAGAGTTCAAGCAAGCTGGTGGGTCCGGAGGGGCTTTCATGGGGAAGGGGCAGACGCCTGCAAAGAAGCAAGCGGATGGCAACGCAGCAGCTGGACCGTCGACGGCTGGCGCATTCTACGATAGCGACTCGGACATGTCCGACGTCAGCGGACCTACACAAGAGCCGGCTGCGGCAACCGCTCCTGCGTCAATCCCAGCAGACTCAACGACAACAGCAGAGGTACCAAACAGCGGTCGACCAAAGAGGCAGATCCGCCCACCCGCCGGCCGTCACCTCGATGAGACTTCCGGCGCCGGCGGTGATACGAGCGTGGGGAACGCCTCACTCAACAGCATGCAGGTCGACGAGGATCCGACAGCAGCAGGGGTTGGTCGTGCTAGGACGCTCGAGGAAGAAAGCGTTCTCTCCTCTGCCCCGTCGTCACCCACAGCTCATGCGATAAGTAGCTTTGACGCTTCGGCGACCACTGCTCCCGCATCAGCGGCGCCACACCACCTTTCACGACGCCAAGCGGCTCCCGCCCGCACCACAGGCCCCTTCTCCTCCTCCTCCTCCTCGAGCGGACCCCTTCTCTCCACTCTTATTCGAGCCCACCTGATCGAGTCATCCAAGCTCTCCCTCGCTCAAGCAGAGAATAAGCGCCTCGTGACTGACCTAGAGTCCAGCCTGCACGAGTTGCGCGACTTGATGTGGGAGAAGAAGAGGGTTTTGGAGGCCGTTCTAGAGATAGAATTGGGGGCCGACGTGAAGGCTATCTTTGAGCCGGGAGCTGAGGAGCAGCAGGAGGAGGAGCATGCGACCCATCAGGAGGAGGGCATGGGCATGGGCATGGAGATGGATCCTAACCAGCACGAAGGCCATCATCACGACATGTCCTCTTATGGCGATTCAGCAAGCGCAGTGGCGGCGGCAGCAGCTGCTTTGCAGCAGCAGGCTGCGCATCAGCATGCGTATCCGCCTCAACATCATGGCCAGGCTGTCTAGAGACCTCATCTTGAGCACCGCGTGTATCTGAAGATGAATTCGATTGATCAAGAGCATCTCGCGGGTCCAGAACGTCATTGCATGCAAGCCGTCGAGTGAGGCGCGAGGCGTGAGGCGTGAGGCTTGAGACTTGGGGCGGACTGAGGCAAAAGTCGACTTTGGGCGCGTGGCTTGGACAGATTGCAATTGTTCCGTGCGAGCGCTCTTTCTCCTTCGCTTCTTCCTTATCGCTCGTACCCATTGACCCTCCTCACTCTCCATCATCATCATCAACATGTCGGCGTCATCGCCCTCGGCGTCGACGGCAACGCTCAATGCGCCTCCCAAGGTTGCAGTCATGACTTCTGGCGGTGACTCGGCGGGAATGAATGCGGCTGTCCGCTCTGTAGTCAAGATGGCCATCTTTCGCGGCTGTCAGGCGTACGTGATTCGCGAAGGTTGGGAAGGGCTGGTCAGGGGAAATGAAGAGGAGCAGGGCGAACAATCAGCAGCAGGAGTAGAGCAGGTCAAACATGGTAGCAATGCAGCAGCAGCAGCAGCAGTCGCAGCCGCGGCCGAGGCTAGCAGCAGCACAGGCTTCGTGCCCACGTACGGCGAGGGCGAGCTCCTCAAGGAAGGGGTGAGCGAAGCAGAGGAGCTGGGATTGAAGGGGCGCTACATCGTACGCGTAGGCTGGGACGATGTTCGTGGCTGGCTCGACCAAGGAGGCACCCTCATCGGCACGGCTCGTTGTGCAGCTTTCCGTCAACAGGATGGACGTCTGCGAGCAGCACACAACCTCATCAAGCACGGCATCGACGCTCTCGCCGTCTGCGGTGGAGATGGCAGCTTGACGGGCGCAGACCGCTTGCGAGCAGAGTGGCCCGAGCTTGTCGAGAAGTTGCAGGCCTCCCAGCTTATCAGTGAGGCGCAGGCGAAGCGATACGCCCATCTCAAGATTGTGGGGCTCGTCGGATCCATCGATAATGATTTGGCGGGGACCGATCTCACGATCGGCGCTCCTACAGCCTTGTCACGTATCTGCGAAGCCGTAGACTCCATCTCCTCTACTGCTGCCTCTCATTCGCGCGCGTTCGTCATCGAGGTCATGGGCAGGCATTGCGGCTGGCTAGCCTTGATGGCCGGCTTGGCTACTGGGGCCGACTACTGCTTCATTCCTGAGCAGCCACCAAAGGGCAAGTGGGAGGACGAGCTTTGTGAGGTACTGCAGAAGCATAGGCAGGTAGGAAAGAGGAAGACCATCGTCATCGTGGCCGAAGGGGCTATCGATCGCGAACTCAACGACATCAAGGCAGACGATATCAAGGTGGTCCTTTCTGATCGATTGGGCCTCGACACGAGAGTCACAACCCTAGGCCATACGCAGCGTGGCGGTCGCCCGGTAGCCGCAGACAGGATTCTCGCCACCTTGCAAGGAGTAGAAGCAGTCAATGCCCTCCTCGAGGCCAAGCCAAGCACGCCCTCGTACGTCATCACCATTCGCGAGAATAAGATCACTCGCGCTCCCCTGATGGAGGCAGTCGCCCAGACTCAGCTCGTAGCCAAGCGCATCAGCGAAAAGGACTTCGACGGCGCACTCGCGCTGCGCGACCCGGAATTCGACGAATGCCTGCGCTCTTTCCAGTTCGCCTCAAAAGTCGCCGAGGAAGGGGACAAGCTGCCCAAGGACAAGAGGCTGACCATGGCTATCATCAATGTTGGCGCCCCAGCTGGAGGAATGAATGCCGCCACCCGCACATTCGTCCGCTACTGCCACGCGAGGGGCCACAGGGCCTTGGCAATCCATAATGGCTTCACAGGTCTACTGGAGGATAATGTCACCCCGCTCGACTGGTTGCGCGTCGATGCGTGGGCTACGCGTGGTGGCTCTGAGCTGGGCACAAACCGTGTGCTTCCCTCTGTGGACGCAGGGGGAGTGGCGAGCAAGCTGCAGCAGCACGGCATCCAGGCGCTCCTCGTCGTCGGAGGATTCGAGGCTTTCCTTTCCGTCAAGGAGCTCGAGGAGAGAAGGGAACAGTACCCTAGCTTCAGGATCCCAATTGCGGCCATTCCCGCCACACTGAGCAACAATGTTCCCCTCTGCGAGTTCTCGCTCGGATCAGACACGTCCCTCAATGCCCTGGTAGACGCATGCGACGCGATCAAGCAATCAGCATCCGCATCGCGCAACCGCGTCTTTGTCGTCGAGACTCAAGGCGGCAAGTCCGGCTATCTAGCAGTCATGGGTGCCTTGGCCGCTGGAGCTGTGCTAGTCTACACCCCCGAGGTGGGCATTAACCTCAAGATGCTCGGTCGTGATGTCGACTTCCTCAAGAAGCGTTTCGCCCTCGATGTGGCAGGCAAGTCGGAGGGCAGGCTGGTCATCAGGAGTGAGAGGGCTAGCGAGGTCTACACTACCGACTTCTTGACTCGAATGCTCAAGGAGGAGGGAGGCGGCCAGTTCGACGCTCGTAGCGCTAGCTTGGGGCACACATTGCAGGGCGGCACGCCTAGCCCGCTGGACCGTACGCGCGGGACTAGGTTGGCAGTTCGCTGCTGCGAGTTCTTGGAGGAGCACGCATGGAAGGCATCGGCCGCCTCGTCACCCTCTTCGTCGCCGTACGACCGTGAAGCTCAGGCGCACACAGCTGCTATCATCGCGATCATTGGGTCTGGTGTGGTCTTCACCAGTAGCAGGGATATGGCCAAGCATGCGGACATGAAGAACCGAGTAGGCAAGGGGGCTTGGTGGCAGAAGTGTAAGGATCTCGTTGAGCTAATGGGAGGCAGGAGGGGACTTGGTGGAGAGGATGACAAGTAGGCGTGGGAGCAAGGGAGGGTGGACATGGCGAGCAGGAAGAGATGCTGATTGATGATTTTGGTCTCTCGTTTCGTTCCACAATACATAGATGGTGATCAATGACTCTGGGTATCTTATGCTGCTGACTCCTCAACCTTGACCTTCTTGTCATTCGAATCCTCCTTCTTGGCTCCCTTCGCTGCAAAGAAGCTAGTCAGCTTCGTCTTCTGCCCGGCTTTGCTGGGCGACGTTTTCTGCCCGCCTCCGCTGCTACTACCCGCCTCGCTCTTATCGGCAGACACGCCGATTTCCATAAGCTCAACAAAGCGCTCCCACAACTTGTGCGGCAGAATGCCCCCAGAAGCCTCACGATGGCCTCGCGCGAAGTTGAGAGCTTTCGCTCCCTTGGCCTCCCCATCTACACTGCCCGCTCCCTCTGCCTCCAGCACCTCACCGACGTCTTCTCCTCTCTCGCTCGCAATCTCCTGCTCCTCTTTGACAACATCGTTGAGGAACTGTGGATCGCGCGCAGCATACTCGTGTAGGAGCTCAATAATGTTCGGATCCTCCCCTCTCTTCAAAGCCGCACCCGCTCTACGGCAGGAGAAGTGGGTGTGAGTTCCCGTAGGCGAGTACCCTGTGTTGGCGCACATGACCACTTGCAGCTTTTTTGCGCCTCGCAATGCTCCACTCCAGCGGGTCGCAATACCTGGATGGACCTGATAGGCTGAGTTGATGAACAACACCGCCAGCCTACCGTCCTTTGCGAACTTGGGCGGCGTATGCGTACAACGCTCCGCCTCCTCCCCCACGGCATTACGGGCGTCGTACAGCCTTTGGGCGTGTTTGTTCTTGTGGGGATCGAGCAAGGCCAGTGGATCGGGCGCAGCAGCCAGAGAGGCATAGGCCGTTGCGACGTCGAAATCTGGTGTGCGACGCGGAGCATTGAGGAGGGCGACTGCGGTACCGATTCGCTTCTTTGTCCATCGCTTGATCTCCGGTGAGAGGTCGGGCCAGGGAGGGTCCCATGCTACGTTTACTGATAGATCGCCACATGTACCCAAGACGGCTAGCCAGTCAATCGAGGTAGCGGCGAGCTCGCTGGTGTCCTTGCTGTCTACATCGGACCAGAGAGGGCGGCAGAGGCACCAAGTAAGGAGCGCAGAGGTGGCTACTGGCAGTGAATGGCTCGCGTTCAGCATGAGAGATCCTTCTGGTCCTCCTTCTCCCGGGTGGAGGTAGTGGTGATCGATGACTAGTACAGGCGGTGTGTCTTTGCCCAACAGAGGAGGGCCAGGTCGACTCCCCTGATCGAGCAATATGACTGCGGCCGGGTTCAAGGCCTTGATCTTGTCCGTCTCCGACCTGGAAGCAGCATGCGTTGCCTTGCTCAGATGATGGATCTTGATGTGCTCCGGAGGTACACCGAGATGCAGAAGAGTGCGATGCAATACTTGCGTAGAGCAGAGACCATCGGCGTCTTTGTCCGGGAGGAGGACGAGGGGTGTATCCATTGAGAGGGCGATGGGAGCGTCAGCCGACGTTGAGGGGCTGGAGGCGGCTGAGGGGAGAAGGCGACGCAGAAAGGTAGTAGCTGCAGCCATGTCCGCTGCTGGAGCTGGCCAGGTGTGCGAGGCCTCGAGCGGCTGGAGAGGATCGAAGCGCCATGCTGTTGGCATCAAGTCGGCCTTGACCTCTTGCTTGACAGCTTTTATTTTTGCCTGAGACGATGCAGTCGGCGACGACGAGGCTTCGCGCTTGATGACCATCCTGAGCGGCGATAGCGAAGCTGGAGCCTTGATGGCTGAGCGCAGGGCTAGAGAAGCGGCGACCCTTATGATGGCTGCTCTTGTTGCGTGGATGAGGGATAGTGAACGAGGCGCGGAGTGCGTGGAGTTGTCCTCGTGCTGCATTTGGACCCTCGATGTTGCTTCCGCCGCCTGTGTAGCTGACGTCAGGCCACGCTCTGTCCGCTCTCTGCCCGCTCTGTCCGCCCTCGCGTGGCCCGGCCCAGTCGAGGAGCCTATCACGGGTAGCACCGGCAGCCAAGTGCGAGTGCGAGTGTGCGACTCGAGTCGAGGCCTCCAAAGTAGCCACCACCTCACCTCCCCACACCACCTCTCCTCTTCTCATCCACACATCGCTGCGCCACCTGCCAACATGATTGCCACTCGACTCCTCCCACGACTCTCCGCTGCTAAGCCCGCAGCAAGCGCCTTTGCATCCTCCTCGCGCCTCCCTACCAGCAGCCGTGCCTTTTCATCCTCGGCCATTTCGCTGGCCAACACCCTCCTCTACCTCGAGCACCGCAAGGGGACCCTCAACCCGTCTTCCCTCGTAGCCCTCACCGCAGCAAAGAAGGTCGGTGGTGACATCCACGCCTTTGTCGCCGGCGACGAGGGCGTCAAGGACGTAGCCGACAAGGCTTCCAAGGTCGAGGGTGTCTCCAAGATCTTCACCTCCGAGTCCCCAAAGTACAAGGGCTTGCACTCAGAGCCCATCGTCCCCGTCCTCAAGTCCCTCGTAGAGAAGAACTCATACACACACGTCTTTGCTGGACACACTGCCATCGGCAAGGACGTCATCCCTCGCCTTGCCGCACTCCTCGACGTCAGCCAGGTATCAGACATCATCGCCGTCGAGTCGGAGGACACCTTCCAGCGACCCATCTATGCAGGTAACGCCATTGCTACCGTCAAGTCGTCGGACAAGATCAAGATCATCACGGTGCGTGGAACTGCATTCGACAAGGCCGCTGAGGAGGGTGGCAGCGCCTCCATCGAGGAGGTCTCAGATGCCGAGGCCGCCGACGCACCAACTACCTTTGTAGAGGAGAAGATCAACCAGTCCTCTCGCCCTGACCTCGCGACTGCTCCTCGTGTCGTATCAGGCGGCCGAGCTCTCAAGTCGGCCGATGGCTTCAAGAAGTACATCGAGCCACTCGCCGACCAGCTCAACGCTGCCGTAGGCGCCTCTCGTGCAGCAGTCGACGCCGGGTACGCGGACAATGCACTCCAGGTCGGACAGACGGGAAAGATTATCGCTCCTGAGCTGTACGTTGCTGTCGGAATCAGTGGAGCCATTCAGCATTTGGCGGGCATGAAGGACGCCAAGACGATCAGTGCCATCAACAAGGACCCGGATGCGCCCATCTTCCAGGTAGCGGATGTGGGACTGGTAGCAGACCTGTACGAGGCTGTGCCTGAGATGATGGAGAAGCTGAAGAAGTAGGCGTGCCGTGTTAGCAACGCTTGACATGTACATTTCCTGATATCGTCGCACGACTATGCTCCCGTGCTAATGGATAGCTGTGACGCTGCCTTTATTCAAGCGGGTCGAACATAATGTGAGCAAGCCATTCGGGTCGAGTTAGGAGTGGTGACAAGACTGCGTCGGCTGCATACAGATGAGCGAGCAGCGGGCACGTCGACGTTGACTTCCTACCGCCATCGTCTTCGCGAGATGCATGACCGCCAATGATGATGACTGCAAGACGGCGAAGATGCGAGTCACGGGCGACCGATGAAGTCGATATCTCCGAGGAAGCAAGCAACAGCAGAGCGAGCCATCGCCATGGCCGCTTGATGAATCAACGACGATGAAATGCAACGAAAGTCAGGGCAAAGCGGATGCGGCGGATACGGCGGTGGAAGGTAGAGAACGTCAGGTCCACCCCACTCAATGGCCATGCACTCCGCGGCGTAGCCTTCGGCATCGACGCCGTTCTGCCATGTTGTGGTCCAGCGATCTGGGCGGCCCCGCAGGTGGGAGGGCGTGATGAGATGAGTGAAGCTTACCTTAAGGGTCAGCAACGTACAAGCAATCGCATCCGCCTGGTCCACGCTCACAAGCATGGCCTCTCGTCCTGTCCAACGGTCCTTACATCCTACATCTTTTTCAAAGTTGCACGCCTCGTAATCACCCTCGCAACGCCCTCGCAATGGCCAATCGCAGAGCAGATCCTCTTGACTACGGCGACGCAGAGCAGCGACAGAGTGCATCACCAGCTTCTATCTCGTCCTCTTCCTCCCTCGCATCATCAACAAGACCCCTCGAAGTCAGACAAAGGACCCGCTCACAGTCCGAAGCAGCGATGACTCGCGCAGCATTGGCGGCGAGGGTGTTACAGCTGCAAAGGCACGAGGAGCTCCAACAGCGCGGTCCCGCTCATCATCCTACTCAGTACTCACGGACGGCTCAACGGGACCAACTGCGTACGCCCGCTGGCCTTGTTGCTCCGGCTTTCGACTATGAGGCTCATGACTCTGAGAGCCACTGCGACGACGAGCTCTCATGGGACTCGCGCACGGCACGTGCTGAGCAGCTCACAACGTCAGCATCTGACACGCGACTCTATCGCCTCGCCAACCGGCAACTACATGTCAGTGATGATACAACTCCGCAGGCAGCCTGGTCGGATGCGACGAGTAGTAGAGGCGCTGGCTCCATTCAAAGCAGCGAGGACGTCAAGCTACGAGGAAACATCGCCGTGACCACACCAGCGCCAGAACGTACGGGTCGGCTGGACGGTCGCAATTACAGCCGTAGCTCGTCCGTCTCGCCGGTCTCCATCATGAGTCCCCAAGAATTGGAGCTCGCTGCGCTGAGGAGGCAGGTCGAGCAGCTCCAGTATCTTCTTGAGAAGAGGGCGAAGCAAGGGCAAGGAGATCAAGGTCAAAAGCAGCGCAAGCAGAGCTGCGATGAATCTCGCACGACTACTCCCATGCAGACGTCGAGCGGCATGCCCTCTCCAGTAGGACACAGTGAGCATCGCCGACTGCAGTCCTCGACTGCGCCTACATCTCGGCAGGTATCCCCTCACCTCTCACGCGCGTCAAGCAGAGATGAGCTCCGCTTCACAGCCAATACGCAACCTCTTCGTCTGCGCTCGAAAGGCAGTGTCTCACCACCTTCAGCCTTGTCATCAACAACCTCCTCGCGCTCCTCAAGTTCTCGTCCAGGTGGGCGAGATACATTCCAGCCAACTCTCAAGTCCTGCACATCTTCTCTAGGCATGGTGGCCCACAAGGCCCGCTCCGATCGCAGTACGCCAGCCTCGCCGGGCACAATGACACCCACGAGTGCCACCGGCTCGACGAGGAGTAAGAGGCGCATCGTCTTTGCTGACCAGCTTGAAAGGGCCGAGCACAGCGAAAACAATGTGCAACTTCGTTCCTCCTCGCTCGATCTAACCAGGCGCGTCGGGATTGGAGACGAGGAAGCCCATCTTACATCAAAGTGCAAGGCGCTTCCTCCTCTACCTCATGACGCGCAAAGCAACGTCTACGGTCCAATCGCACCACTCGGTACTCGTGAAGCCGCCACTTCAACTTCCACCCTAGGCTTGAGCAGCATCAAGAAAGGTTCGACGAGCGAGCGCAGCACTCCCACCCCTACCCAACATCATCTGCACGGGCACGAGCACGGCACAGGTTCTGGTGGGCTTCATTCACGCAATCGCCGAGGAGGAGCACCCTTCCTCTCATCCGCTCTGCGACGTCGCGTCTCATCGTCATCATCGACGGAGAAGGAGGGGGAGGGTGGCTGGCGTTGCACCGGTAGGAAGAGCCAGGCAGGCTCCGAAGCGGACACACCCGCAAGTGCAGGGCGCTGTGGTCGTAGAGTTGCCTTCAAGGATGAGATTGGAGGCGAGCTAGAGGGTGAGATGTTGAACGAGAGAGTGCAGAAGATGAAGCATGGACCGGGTAGGGGGACTCTGGTTGTGAGGAAGAAGTGAGGCGAGTGGAGCATGAGTCAGTGGCCGAGCGCCCTCTCCAGTCGGTTTCCAGGCCTATTTTGCGGCCAGAGAGATTGCGAGGCTGTACATAGACAAGAGATCGTTGGTGAATGTCTTGTCGCTGAGAATGGAGCTGGGCCAAGCCGCATCGCGTTCCTGCACCTTTCTGCCGACCGTGACGTCCGTGCGCATCTCGGTCCGGGCGGTGTGCTTGATCCGGACTTGCCTGTCACTCGCACACGTTACCCTCCTTACCACAGCCAAAGAATCAGCATGTCCTTCCAGTCCAAGCTCGACTCCTTTGTCGAATCCTTCTCGCGCGTCTTTGATCGCAATGCGAGCACGCAGCAACAACTCAGCGTAGCAGGAGCCGTGGCTGTTGCGTTGGCTGGTACCTACTTGTGAGCGGGCGCGGTGCCAACTCCAGTCTCCCCTCCTACTCAACTCGTATCTGCTGCCTTGACCCACAGCACTCTGCCCTCCTTCGATCGCAAGACGCTCCCCTCGGTCAAGAAGGCCCCTACTCCTTCGAAAGGAAAGGAAGGCGAGCCCTACCCCTTGGACATCTTCCCAGGCGGCAACTGGCTCGACACGCCCGTTGGTCGCATCCGTTACTACGAGTTCGGCCCTCCCTCTTCCTCCGCAAAGGGCCACATCGTCCTCGTACATGGGATCACGACCCCTCAGCCTTGGCGAGCTCTTGCCCCAGCATTGACTGAGGCAGGTTATCGGGTGCTCAGCTTCGACTTGCCGGGAAGGGGACTCAGCGATAGTCCTCGGGTGCCCCACGATACGCATCTCTTCATGAGCGTCATGACCTACCTCCTCGCGGGTCTCCCGGCGTGGCCGACGAGATTCCACCTGCTTGGTATGAGCCTCGGTGGAGGCATCGTGGCCAACTTCGCGCACTATTTCCCGCAGCGCGTTGACAAGTGAGTCCCGTCCAGAGAAGCGTGCAAGGGCCCTTTTCCCGTTGAGCAGCTGCTCACCACACCCTGAACCTTCTCGCCCAGACTCATCCTCATGTGCCCCGCCGGTGCTACGCCGAAGAACTCTCTCCGCCCGACCGCCCGATTCTTCGGGTCAGCCTACCTGGCCTACCCTCTAATGGAAGCCATGGCCCGCACCCTCCCGCTGGGGCTACCCCTCTCATCCGCCAACCCCCTGGTAGCATGGCAAGCGCGCAAACACCCGGGTTTCTTCTACTCCTTCCTCAGCTCGTACCGCTCTGGCCCGATCTTTGACCAGACGGACGTCTTCAAGCAGGTCATCAAGGCTGGCGGCGGCAAGGTGAGCGCCATCTGGGGCGATGGAGACACGGTCGTACCTATGAGGAGCTTGGAGCACTTGGGTGAAGAAGGCGAGATGCTTAGGAAGAATCTCAGCGTCGTGCCAGGCGGTGATCATTTCATCGTGGTGACGAGGCCCAAGGAGACAGCCGAAGCTGTGCTCAAGCATCTGGCTAGCTGAGCGCGACAGACGACAAGAGTGGGACAGAGCGTGAATTATGCTCGAAGAGGGCGAGAGGTAGAGACTGGAATGAGACAACAGGAGCGAGACAGGAACGATCGAGACCGAAAGCTAGTAATACATGTACACGGCGAGACGAGACCGAGGTTATACCACAACGTCATCGCTCAGATCTGAGCGTAGCTCCTCGAAGCCCTCCCCGCCTTGGCACCTCCTGCCGTTGGCGACGGGTTCCTCCAGCCTCCTGTCTTCCCACCATCCAGGGCATCCAACCTGCTGTCGCTCCTGATAGGCTGTGGCGACGTGAGCGCCTCGGTGCTTTGACTGAGGTCGCTACCAGCATCATAGTCCCTGCCACGAATCGCTCCACCCGCAGCAGCCCCATTCGCCGGCCTCTTGCTGTACCTCACTTGCCTATTGTCGTTTCCCCCACCAAAGCCCGTAAAGCCGTACGGCTGCAGTGGGGTCGATCTTCCTCCAGGACCTGCGGCACCCGCGGGGGAGCGAGTCATCATCGGCCTGTCAGAACCGTGCTCCGATGCATTGAGGCGGGAGCGTTGACGTAGACGACGGGTGCAGAGGTACCAGAGCATGAAGCAAATCAAGCCAAAGCCAACGACGATGGCTACGATCGCGCCTGCTATCTGGCCGGTGGAGAGGGAGGAAGTGGCATCTTTCACTGAGTTGCTGTGAAGGCGAGTGGGCAAGGGGTTGGGGATGGTCAGAAGGTCGGTCGTATTTGGAGCGCGAGGACAAAAGGCCGCTAATACTCACTATCCCTTCCTACCTGCGTCACTCGCGCCGCTCGTCACACCTGTGAGGGCGCCTTGGCGCTTGCTGAGATGTTGGAGGTATGGCATCGCGTCGTGGTAGGGCGGATGGGCGTACGAGTAAATGAGCGCGATGCGTGAAAGGATGGCGTGTCGAGGGAATGTGGTTGCTGCCTTTGGGTGCGCGCCGTGTACGTGATCAGGGTGAGATAGAGATGCGAGCTCAAAAGAGGGTGATGATGATCTCAAGACAAGGAAGAGTGGTAATGCAGGAAGAGAAGGACAACAGAGAGTAGGCAGCGAGAAGGGGGGGATCAACCACTCATCGTCATCCTCCTCCTCTCGTTCCTCGTACACAACGACTCAAGCTAGCTCCCTGCACTCAGCTTCTCTGCGTCGAGCCAGTCGTCAATCGTTCACGCAGGTCGCATGAGGGTCGCTCTCTCCTCTGCCTGCTCCTCTTGCCCCGCACTTCTCGCCTACGGCGTCTTCGACCTCTCCTGATCCCCTTCTCCTTTCGTGCCCGGCGGCGGCTAGGCGGCTAGGCGGCTAAGCGGCTAGAAGCGGGTGAGGACGGGCGAGCGGGCGGGCGGGCGGGCGGACGTACGTCGCATGAGGCGTGACGAAAGAGCCTTCTGCTCGCTCGCTCGCTCACCCGCCCGCGGTGATTGAAGAAGGGGTCTGGGCGAGTGAAAAAGCGAGCAAGGTCAAGCAAGAGCAGGGGCAAAGCGATCGGGATGCGCAGGGACGCTGCCTGCGAGCTGCCAAGCATGTACGGTGAGCAAGCAAGCAAAGCTGTCAAGGTAGCATGGGAAGACGCAGGTAGGGGGCAATGAACGTCTCATGGTTGCCGTATAGCGCCGAGGCGAGGAGGAGCATGGTGGTCTCGCAATTGAGTGGGGCGATGGTGGGTCGGCTGAGAAGCTCATGTCGGCGTCGCCGTAGCCGCGGGCGGCCAACTCTCGTATCGTTGCTCACAGCTCAGTCTGCTGCTGAGGCTTGGTGCTGAGAATAGCATCGATATTGCACAACGAGATGAATGGCAAGAGAGAGAGGTGAAGGTGAATCTCGAGGCTTTCAGCGCGAAGGCAAGGAAAAGGATGGGAGAAGAGGAAAGGGGAAGCGACGGTCATCTCAAACCGTCTCGCACACGCAAAAGCTATCAACACACGCAGTCACACGAGCGACCCTGCCAAACAGGTGCTCAGCCAAGACGATGGTCGTCAAGGCCCGAGGAAGGCGAAGCGATGAGAGAGAAAGGGAAGGTAAGAGCAGCAAAGAAGGGAGAGGTGTAGACGAGGTTACGGTGGAGTAGCACAGCTTGTCAACGAAGGGAAAGGCAAGATGCCTACATCCTCGTCAACGCTGCATTTGCTACCACCTTCGACTCGCCCTCCTTCTCCCTCTTGTTTGCTCAACCCTGCACCCTTCGCCCTCATCGCCCCGCCTCCCCCAGACCCGCCTAGTCGAGGCTTTGCACAGCTCTGTGGCAAGGGTCTGGGGATCACGCCCAGCAAAGAAGATATGAAGAAAATCGCTGACCTGTGGTGAGGCCATAATGGTGATGATGTGGGTGTGAGGAGGCTATGCGTACAAAGAGGTCGAGAAGAGGATCCGCTCGCTCCCCGTTTAGAGGACGCCGACCTTGTTGGCAATGTCGAGGGCGTCCTGGTCAGCCGCGAGGCGGACGAAAGCCTTCTTCTTGCCGTCGGGGCGGATGAGCGTGTTGATGTGCTGAGCCTCAACATCGTAGAGCTTCTTGAGGGCAGCCTTGATCTGGCGCTTGTTGGCGGTGCGAGCGACGATGAAGACGAGGGTGTTGATCTCCTCGATCTTCTTCATGGCCGACTCAGTGTTGAGGGGGAAGAGGATCGTCTCGTAGGCGTCCATGCGAGGGGCGTGAGGGATCGACTTGCGCGGGTACCTGGGGGCACGAGCGAGACGGAGGGTCTTGGGGCGGTGGAACGAGACCGAGGTGCGGACCTTGCGGATCTTGTTGCCGGAGGTGCCCTTGAGAGCAGCCTTCTTGGCGGCGGCGGCCTTGATGGCCTCGGGCTTGGCCTTGGCCTTGCCAGCGGCTGCGTAGAGGAGATGCGGTAAAGTAAAGGTCAGTCATCGATTCATCGTAGCGGCCGAGACTACGCAGAAGGCAGCAGCCAGCACTAGCGCAACCCTTCCATCCTCCCCTCCACGATCCCGTGACATCCAAATGATGACGTCTGCAAAGCTCTTCGTCTTCTCTATCGAGGTTGCGGGTCTGCTGGCCTGGACGGCCTTCTTTTGCCTCGAACCTGCAATTCTGCGAATCATCCGCTCTCCCTGCCTCCAACCTGATCCTCCTCTCCCGCCACTCTGCTGCTGCTGCTGCCCATCTTTTGCGCCTTGTGACAATGCTCACCAGCGCCCTTGGTAGGTCCCTTGTTTCCAGACGACATCGTTGCTTGAGGAGGGAGGTGGTGGTGAGGAGAACGAAGTAGGATGAGCTCGACTGGACGAAGGACGCAGCGCCAGAGCGGCGGTCCGATTCTTCGCCCCGCCCGCTTTGCTGCGAAGGTCACGTGCAGTAATCTGGCGGGCTCCGTCGATGTCGACCCACCATACCACGTGGCTTGACCACTGCTACTTCCGCCCCTCCTCATGCAGCTCGACACTTGGAAGGCTACACCCGACTTTCGCTGCGCTCCTCAATCCTCGTTGAGACGACAGATAGCCTCGAGTCCGACAGCCAGGCTCGTAATGGCCAGCCCAGCTTCGTCGTCGGCGCTCTACTCACATCTCGCGCTCAGCCTCTCTACCCTCGTCATCGGATACTATCTCGGCGTAGGCAGGTCCTTGTTCTCGACGAAAGCGAAGTACGAAGACGAAGCAGACGACGACAGTGACTTGGAGAGTGAGGACGGGAGCGTGGACTTGACAGACGAGCAGAAGGCGAACGGCGACGCAAAGATGAATGTACTCAAGGCTGGACTGCTCGAGGAGTGCAAGCTTGTCCTGCTCGTGAGGCAGGACCTCAAGATGGACAAGGGCAAGATCGCGGCGCAGTGCAGGTGGGTAAGCTGCGGGGGCTCGTGAGAATGATTTCAGCTGACCGTGGAGTTTCGCTCGCTCGTAGCCACGCCACTCTCGCATGCTACAAATCAATGCTCAAATCAAATCCCAAGCTCCTCAAGCACTGGGAAACAATAGGGTGAGCCGGCACGCCTGCCCCACTCCCCACCGTGCTCGCTCAGCTGAGCCCTGACATCCTCCTCATCTCGCCCTCAGACAAGCAAAAGTTGCCCTCAAGTGTCCAAGCGAAGAGGAGATGAACCGTCTTGAGGCGCAAGCAAGAAGTCTGGGGCTATGCGCCAAGTCGATTCGTGATGCGGGGAGGACACAGGTAGCCGCAGGGTCAAAGACGGTACTCGGCATTGGACCGGGACCGGTCAAGATTGTGAACGAGGTGACGGGTGAGTGCGCGATCGATGGCGACAGACACAAAGGCTGGAAGAAGGACGCTGAGAGCATTGCTTTGTCGCCCCCATTGCAGGCCACCTCAAGCTCTTGTAGTCAACGCTGCGCAGAGTGGATAATGAGGATGTATTTGTTTCGCTTCGATGAGGCTCATGACTCTGATGTGATGATGATGATGATGATGATGATGATGATGATG